CCAACATCCGGACCTCAGTATAATCAACATCCGGACCTCAGTATAATCAACATCCGGACCTCAGTATAATCAACATCCGGACCTCAGTATAATCAACATCCGGACCTCAGTATAATCAACATCCGGACCTCAGTATAATCAACATCCGGACCTCAGTATAATCAACATCCGGACCTCAGTATAATCAACATCCGGACCTCAGTATAATCAACATCCGGACCTCAGTATAATCAACATCCGGACCTCAGTATAATCAACATCCGGACCTCAGTATAATCAACATCCGGACCTCAGTATAATCAACATCCGGACCTCAGTATAATCAACATCCGGACCTCAGTATAATCAACATCCGGACCTCAGTATAATCAACATCCGGACCTCAGTATAATCAACATCCGGACCTCAGTATAATCAACATCCGGACCTCAGTATAATCAACATCCGGACCTCAGTATAATCAACATCCCCATCCAGATCTCAGCTACATTGCCCCATCTAACTGCACTTAAACACACCACTGCGAATTAGTTGGAGTATCCGTGGTCACAATCGACTCTCTTAGTAACGTAGCCAGTCGTCATATTATCTTCTCAGTTGATTGTGTGTGTGCTTAGTTTTTCGTCTCCATGGTGATAGTACTATTTTGTCTAAGAATTACAGCACAATTTGTGCGATTTTGCACCTATTACAAAACAGTTGCCAAGGTATGGCCAATGACACTACAATGATACCACGGCTGCATTTTCAAGTCTCTTCATCACTGTTTGTCACTGTTTTAGTGTATCTGTCTCTACTTTATATACCCTTGACTTGAGTACTTGTATCCTTGATTTTATTCCAAAGTTCCATTGTAGAGATCTCTAAACAACGCCGCATACATATTGACACAAGCTGAGCAGCATACGTTCTTGGCATCTTCAAATGTGATCGGCATCTACTAATCAATTGTGAGCTAGCTAATACAAAACACACTACGAATGGGTTAGGCATGGAGAGGAGGAAACAAATGCTAAGTGTGAAAGACTCAATTGAAAACTACAATGCCATGCGGTGTGGAACACCATTTGGTTAGAGTGTGGACTTCATCGTAAATTAAAAAAGTGAACTACTCCATAGTCAAGAAACACAGCTCCACTAGTGCTAGTGCGAAGCCGTCTGGGTCGATTCGTCACTACTTTGGATCAATTGACTATTGTACATCCATAGTTGCAACCTTCCATTATGCCGTCATGCTATATAAATGTTGGCCTGCACCAGGTATTATACTTTCATTTCACTCATTCTCCCCAAGCATAACTGATTTGTCACTCTTTGAAGTAGTTCTGGACGATTCCATTTGGCACTGTTATGTTAAATCTAGACTTATTCCCTTTTTTTTCTACCCATTCAAGTCTATACAACCTTGGATGATCACCACTGAATTCTTGAAATCCCTTTTATTTTATTGCCATGCAAAGCAAGATACACGAGTTTGGTTGGTCTTGGAAACGTCAACTTGACCTCCTCAATTTGGTTGCATGATATATCCGACGCTTCGACGGAGCATGTCAGGAAATGGATGTGACCTTTACAAAGTTTGTTATCTGCGAGGTTCACTAAAGTAAGATCCTCAAACAAGTAAGCTGTGCTGGGGTCTCTTCCAAGTTGTTATGCGACAAGTCAACCTCTTCAACACAGGCAGGTGATTCGACATCAAATCTTGATAAATTACATCCGACCAGAAATAGATACCTTAAAGCAGACCCAAGTGACAACATTGTAACTACGTAAGCCTGCACTATCTCTTATCCTTTTCAGGCCCGTTTGATGTGAAGCTAGAAGACCACTCGAACTTATAATCACACGTAACAGACTAGTGGTATCATGGTATAGGCGAGGTTCTGATGGTTAAAGTCAATGCAGTTTAAACCATGTACTTTAAGAGTACTTTCAATGATGATTCTGATAACCTCGAAAATTTATCTAAAACATGGTAGCCGCAGCATGAAAGCTTTCCAACCGAATACAGCCGAGTCTCCCCTACACGATCCGAATCGGTACGCAAAATTGAAATTTGTGAGGTGAACTCATACCAAGGAACGGGGTTAACTGAACTATACACAACAAACGCGGACTTAATTCACATCCCAATCCGCTTCATTCGAGTATATAAGGGCAGGAGTTGCTTGAACTATGCTGTGATACCAGCTACAACTACAACACTCATCCAGCAAATAGCCGAAGAAAAACATCACCAGGAAACCCCACACAGCAAAGCCATCGAAATTGCGATGACCAGAGACGTAGAAGACAATGGGGTTAACAAATATTCATTCGATCAGGATGTTTACAAATCTGCAAGAAACTTCAACGACACAATGTTGATAGTTGGTGAAAACAAAGACTTCCCTCCCCTTCTTCCCGATAGAGAACCTTACTGCGTTAGTTTTTGCGGGATTGACGACCCATACCATCCTTACAATTACCCTTTTTACAAAAAAGCATTGTATGTTACTACTGTTGGCTTCTCAACTTTTTCTTTATCTATGGGTTCGGCCATGTTTGCATCAGCTGCTAGTGAACTAAAGCAAATATTCCACATTGGAACGTCAGTAGCTGCTTTACCTACTGCTTTGTTTATACTAGGATTTGCTGCTGGCCCAGTGATATATGGCCCGATGTCGGAGTTAGTTGGAAGAAAACCGGTGCTAGCATTATCAACTTTGGGCTATGTTTGTTTTGAGTTTGGAACGGCGGCAGCCAAAGATTTACAAACGATTATGATTTGTCGCTTTTTTGCTGGGTTCATTGGAAGTGCTCCGGTTGTCATCCCAGCTGCCGTAATGGTGGACATATTTGACTCGAAGACAAGAGGAATTGGTGTGGCTTGTTTTGGGAGTATATTATTTGGAGGAGTGATGATAGCTCCTATATTTGGGGGTTTTATAGTCAAGAACCAAGCCTTGGGTTGGCGATGGGTATCTTATATGTCTGGAATCATTGGTTGTTTGTCACTTTTCCTTTCAGTCTTTGCTTTTCAAGAGACATTCCATCCAGTTCTTTTAGCTAAAAAGGCGCAATACATTAGAAAGAATACAGGGAATTGGGGGATATACGCACCGAGTGAGAATATATCATTAGAATTGAAGGAAATTGTTGTCAATAACATCTTAAGACCATTAAAGTTACTATTTACAGAGCCCATTGTATTTTTGATAAGCTTGTATAACTCATTCATTTATGGTATATTATACAGCTTTTTGACGGTGATTCCCTTGATATTTACAGGAAGATACGGTTGGTCAGGAGGAGTAGGGGAGTTGCCATATTTATCCATGCTTCTAGGTGTTCTATCAGGTACTGCTATAAACGTTACTTTTGAGATTAGAAACAACAAAATGTCAGAGAGACTAGGTTCAAAATTGGACCCTGAACTGAGATTGCCTCCAGTTATGATTGGGAGTGTTACGTTTGTTATTGGTATCTTTTGGCTTGGATGGACTGGTGATTACCCAAAACATGTTCATTGGATTGTACCTACAATTGGTGCATTCTTCATTGGTAATGGTTTGATGTTGATTTTTTTGCCCACCATGAATTACCTTATTGATTGTTATGTAACCGAGGCAGCTACAGCTTTGGCTGGTTTAACCTTTATCCGTTCAAGTTTTGGTGCAGCATTTCCTTTATTTACCCAGCAAATGTTTCACAACTTGACAATCAAGTGGGCCGCCACATTAGTCGGTTGTTTGGGCGTGTTGATGATACCTGTACCATTTGTATTTCTGAAATATGGTGCTTATATTAGAGGCAAATCCAAATTTGCAACTGGTTGAGTACCGGGCTGTTGAATATATACCAATATAGATAAAGTACAAAGCTGAAATTAGATGATTTGTTGAGTCAACTCCAACATTGATTTCTCTAAATTCTATTATAAAAACAACAAGAGTCAAATTTCTGCACTTATTCATTATCCACTTTATCATTGATATAAGCTGTAATCCAGTTTCCCCATTCAGTAGCCAAATGCCAGCGATGTTGCTCCAAAAGGTAAGTTGGAACACTGCTTGGAAAGAATACCTTGGGCACAATCTCAAATCCACCATTATTTGGGAGTGACCGCATTACGTGGTTTGTGCCTCCAATCACTGTTTCCGTACCATGACCATAAGCAGGACCATTAAATTGAACTGGATAGTTTTCAACATCAACGATGGGTAAGTCAGATTGGGCTTCATAATTGATAGCAAAATGTGATGGTAAAACAGACCCGCCCGTGGTTTCAACGACATCTTGCCCCAAGTTGAAAGCAGTACCGAGAGCATAATGGTCAGGACAAGCCTGAAGCATCACTTTTTCGTCTGAAATCTTGGAGAGATACCACTTTCTGAATCCTTCTGCCGTTCCTCTATTGCTCTTCATGTGAATGGAACTCGATGTAAACCCCGACAGTGCTTTCAAAAGAAACAGAGTGACAGCTCCCGCAATGGCTGTTTCCGAAGAAACTAATTTTATTCTTTCATCATGACTCATGCCTATTTTTGTTTGAACCAAAGCTTCCCTTTCAGCAACGATATTATCAATAGAAACCTCAGGACTAAACAAGAAGTTCATAGCTTCTTGCTTCAACAGTGACATCAATCCTTCTTGAAGACGTTTCTTGACAACCTGTATACGTCTTGCCTCCCATCGTAAAACATCATCACGAGAAACTTCATTATCATCAATAAATGTTTGAATGTAAAGACCGGTACTATTCTCTGATTGCGAGTGGTTAGCGGCATCTACCGACTCTCTCATGACATGCGATTCATCATTATAAATAACAGGTAATCCAATTGCAAATGCAAATACAAGTAGTGTTGGAATTACTTTGTTAATCAACATTCTGCGACTCAATTTGTGTGGTGGATTCGAGATGCAAAAACACAAACTGTAAAGCCCACCCAACCTGTCTTCTTATATGTAGCCATTAGTGGTGGAGGCTCATTTTTGCACCCCACAAATAGCTGCAGTTTAGTTCATTGTTGGTATCTCCGTCCCTGCTAAGTTTCAATCTTGAGCTTGGTTGTGACGTAGAAAAGATTGAATTTTGTGATCAAATAAATGCTTGGTTAGGTGTGTTCATTATGCTAGCATCTAATAGCCTGTAACCTCGATGCAATATAGTATTGGCATTTGAGGATCGTCGTCGGGTTCTTCAATCTCTCTGGTGGTAGGAACAACCATACGCTTGACTCTTGAATTGTACCAAATGTTACTTTTACGAGTCCCCACAAAGCGTCTTTGAAAGATCTTGTTGCAAAAAGAAAACCAACATTGTACTTCGAACATTTCCAGTTTAAGTAATTTCAGGTTTATCACAAAACAAATGCAACGTCTTCCGCCATCTTCTCAGAAAGAAGCGATAAAACTTAACTCCGTTTAAAAAGCTTGTCTCCGTCTTACAAAGTCACTACTATGTATGCAACTTGGCGCGGACTTAACCCCGAAACACAGCGGAGTTAAATTGATAGACGTAGACGCGGACCTTTGGACAGCTATAAACTCACACAATGGACAAAGTCAATACCATGATTAGGTACGACAGTCTCGCTTTGTTAGTTGAAGAGTGCTGTAACTTATATCGAAAGTCCGATTTTACCCATTTGGGTAACCCTCAACTCCGACATATTCATAAGACTGGGTGATTCAATGATATGGAAATAACCTTTTCAGATACTAACCTGAAGTAAAATAGAACCTGATATATTCCAGGCCCAGTTGAATGAGTAGCAATCATATTAGTCAGGGGAAGCTCAAAAATGTGTTTTTTCCAGCACTCGGAGATCCGCTTCTTGAACCTTCAGTCACTAGTACATTTTTTGGAAACCACACTCTTTCTTAGGGGTAATTTCTCGAATACAGTTGAAAGAGATAGTTGGGGTATTACCACTACAACAATAGCCCCAGATCAGAAACGTTGATGATTGTGGCACTCTTAAAAGTTTCTGTGGCATTGTAGAACTACAGAGAGTAGAGTATCATGACTTTAGAGCATTACTATTCATGCACATATACATTTTTTGTCGACGCCACGTTAGCAATAGAGTCATCGAGTCTGCTCAGCTAGGTCTATTCATATCCTCTAACTCCACGGTTTCAGGTTGTCGTGTTTCCAACATGTTTGTGAAAAAAGTAACTCTCAATTCTTTCCACCTGGTGGAGTAAGTGCTTAACGTAACCAACAAAAACGCACTAACCACTTGTAGCATCCACCAAAGCATGCTCGTGGGAAATTTTCCAACATAACACCACGTTATTATCAAGTTTATGATGTGTATCGTTACTGCAAAGTCCCACGCAAGTTTTGACCGACCAACAATGATGGTAACAAATAGCACACACATTAATGAGTCAAATAGCCATAGTACAAACAAAGTCAATCCCAATGTGTTTTCAAAGGAAACCAATTGCCATTGAAAGATCCAATCTATTGAGAATTCATAACCATTGAGTAGTGCGACAATGTAGAATATGATTAGTGCTGATAAGTAGTAGAATACCTGTAGTAGAATGATCTGTATTAGTAGTTTCTTTGGATTGGTATAGTCTTTGTCTTGGTATAGCTTGATGTAGTCCATAGTTATAGCGGTGCTTCGTAGTCCTGTGTTGAATTTGTTTCGTGTTTTGATTTTAATTTTTTTTTTTTTTTTTTTTTTTTTGGATCTGCTCTTTCAGCAGATGACATTGTAGAAACATTCTATTCGCAAGCACTGTATTATGGCTAAAGAGGATTTATTACTCACGATAGATAGTGATGTTGAAGTCGAGAATGATTCCGATTCATCTGTTGAAGATGTGAAGAAAGAGATTAGTGATATTAACCCTAACTTTGAATTTTCAATTGGTGATGAGGTCGATGAGATCAAAGATTGGGATGTGGAAAATGATGAGATAGCAAAAGACGTGAACTTGGATGAGATCATTGAAAGGAAAAGAGGACATTTGCCAGAGAAAGAGGAAGAGAACTCCGAGGAGGAGGCGGATGAGGACGAGGAACATGACGAAATGGAGCAAGGTGGATCTGATGAAGAGGAAGAAGACCCCGATGCAGATGAGTTTTATGAGTCAGCACCAACTAATGAGACCAGTACCACTTTCCAGGAACTACAACTTTCACGTCCCATCTTGAAGAGCATACAGTCCTTGTCATTCACATCGCCAACTCCAATTCAATCGTCAACCATACCTATTGCATTATTGGGTAAAGATATTGTTGCAGGTGCCCAAACAGGTAGTGGTAAGACAGCGGCATACTTGATACCATTGATTGAACGATTGATCTTCAAAAATGCCACTTCAACCAAAGCAATCATTCTCACTCCAACCAGAGAGTTGGCCATTCAAGTCTACGACGTGGGAAAGAAGTTGGGTCAGTTTGTGAAAAACTTGAGTTTTGGATTAGCTGTTGGTGGATTGAACTTGAGACAACAAGAGCAACAATTAAAATCAAGACCTGATATTGTCATTGCCACTCCAGGTAGATTAATCGACCATATACGAAACAGTCCTAGTTTCAGTGTTGAGGATGTGCAAGTATTGGTGATTGATGAGGCTGATAGAATGTTGGAAGAAGGTTTCCAAGAAGAGTTGACCGAGATATTGTCATTGATACCAAAGCAAAAGAGACAGACATTATTGTTTTCGGCCACCATGAACACCAAGGTGCAAGATTTGGTTCAATTGTCACTCAACAAGCCAGTGCGTGTTATGATTGATCCACCAAAGACAGTGGCATCGAGATTGGAGCAACAATTTGTTCGTATTCGTAAAAGAGAAAACTTGAAGCCGGCATTACTTTTCCAGTTATTGCGGAAGTTGGATGGAAGGATTGTGGTATTTGTATCTAGGAAGGAGATGGCACATAAATTGAGAGTCATTTTAGGGTTGTTGGGACTCAAGGTGGCAGAATTACATGGTGCTTTAACCCAAGAGCAACGTTTGGCAAACATGAAATTGTTTATGAATGACGTCAATGTGTTGGTTTGTACAGACTTGGCAGCAAGAGGTTTGGATATAAGGATAGAGTACGTCGTCAATTTCGACATGCCAAAAACGTATGAAATCTACTTGCACAGAGTTGGTAGAACTGCAAGAGCAGGGAGAAAAGGTACATCAATCACGTTTGTTGGCGAAAGCAATCAAGATAGGGCGATAGTTAAAGCGGCAATAAATAATGGAAGGAGTGTGGCGAGAAAAGTTGATTGGAACGATGTTGAAGCTATAAACAAGAGAATTGAAGAGAAGGAATCAGTAATAGACGAGGTTCTACAAGAGGAGAAGGAGGCAAAGGAAATCTTGAGAGCCGAAATGCAATTAAATAAGGCCAGCAATTTGATAAAATATGAGAAAGACATTCATTCGAGACCGAAACGAACTTGGTTCAAAAGTGATGTTATGGGTCAATTGACTAAACATGGTAAGAAAGTAAATTCCAAAAAAAGAAAGGCAAATGAGGAAAAGAAGGATAATGAAAAGAGGTCGTATAAAAAGACTAAAGCTGATAGAAGTAAGAAAAGTGGCAAGCGAAAGTAGCTTTATAGCTTTATAGGAAATTGAAAACGCGCGTAAGAAAATTCTTGAAATCTCATTTGAGAAGAAGTCATTAATGCAAGTATGCAAGAAACGCAAACCACTTTACGAACAAAAGGAGAGGATTGATTGGCAACTTCCCGGTACTCATATTGTTGCAAAGAAAAATGATGTTGAGTTTTACCGTGCTGAATTGTTTAGCCAAGCGGTTACATTCGGAAAATTTTGTCCTGTGTTTATCAATGATTTGAATAATCAGATCAACTTTAAACGACACTATGCTGACATGTGGGAGCAATTACAGGACGTCATAATGATTAACAACTGGCCAATGAACAAGTTTGCCATAGTCGGGAAATTAGTGGGGGAAAGACAGTTTGATAAACTTGAAAATCGTGAAGCCAAATTGCGAATCGATGATTCGTCTGGTAAGGATCTGATTTTGGAGGTGTCTATTTCATTGGAGCAGTATGGGTCAATGTTTCCAGAATCCAATGTAAATTACGGGAAGCTCGTGGAAATACGAGGGTTCTTTAGAAGACGTCGACCAGTTGTTTATGATGCAGCGGTGTTATGCTCCACACCTAATGATCTAGCGAGCGAACTACTACATTGGAATATTCGAGTACAGTTTAGGAGAAATGCGTTGGAAAAAGCTTGGAAGTTTGACGTTCCGGTGCAGGGATACGATGTTGAAGACATAGTGGCGCCTCATAAAGACAACGATGAGAGTTCAATTAGGGACACGGAGACTGTCAAAGAGATATCGCCACGTGAAGGAACTTTGTGGGAAGCACCCAGGGAAGAACTAAGGGAAGAACTAAAGAAAGGACCTAGGGGAGAACCAAGAGAAGTGCCACCACGCGAAGTACCACCAGTCAACGCAAGATATCTGGCTCCTATCGGAAAACTTCGAAAGGTCGTTGATCTAACTGGTAACTCTACCCTAAGGCAACTGGCGGAGGACCGAAAAGTACAAGAAACAGCTGGTACGATGGATACGGATTTTACAACCACTAGTGTGGCTTTTTCTGTGCCAATTGGTGCCAAAAGGGACACCATTGAGCAAGCACTACTAAACAATAAACATAGATACATCAAGTTGGTAAAAGAGTCGTTGGCTGTTATTATCAAGCGACTGTTTTATGAAATAACTCTTGATGAGTTGGTCTCGGACCAAACTGTGCTTAGTCAAATTAACCTGTTTGCAAATACCCTCCAGCAAGCCAATGACTGCTCAAACGTCAACTTTAGACTGGAAATTGTATTCCGTTTGGCATTATATTTTAGAGAGTCAAAATTGTTTGAGTTTACAAATAATGTTATTTACCTGGTAAAGTTCGAACTAATGAATAGGAGCATTCAAAGAAAACTATCCACTAGATCTCAAATCAAAACGTTGAAATACGTGGACTTTTTAATGAAAAAGCTACAGCTTACCAGTTGCGACTATAAATTGGTAAACTACTTAATACGATATAACGTTCTGACATCAAATTTACGTTGGAAGTATGTCAAGGATGAAATTAAATGGGTAAAGTATTGATCTTGTATATAGTGAGTAAAACAGTCACAGCTGGTCATGTGACTTGATTGAATAATTTTTTCACTTCCTCTCTTTCACTTTTGTGTTACGCTCTTAGCTAGACACAGTGGAAAAAATTCAAATTCATCAAAAAGAGAACTTTGTTAAAAGCTGTTTCACGAGTTATAACGTATCCACATATAGATCCAACCAAGAATGGTATGTTCGTTGATATGTCATTGGGAATAAAGGAGCGACTATGGAAGGTCTTTTCAGAAGAGCAGACACGGATAAAGATAGAGCCATCATGGAAGGAGAAAATTTGTGCACAACTCATCATCATCCACCAATGTTAATCAAGCGCTTTCCATAGCGAGTCTTCAATTCCATCACTTCAACATCCAATATCCAGAGAACCCAATTTACTAACTCATCTTTTCTAGAGTGACGCCGTTACCATTAGAACCAGAAAAGTCATCACCAACCCATTATTGGCTAGAAGACAATTTGTCATTGACGTCTTGCACCCAAACAGACCAAACGTTTCCAAGGATGAATTGAGAGACAAATTATCAGAAATCTACAAAACCGATAAGGATGCCGTTTCAGTATTTGGATTCAGAACCCAATTTGGTGGTGGAAAATCAACTGGTTTCGGTTTAATCTACCAATCAGTTGCCGACCTTAAAAGATTTGAACCATCTTACAGATTAGTCAGATACGGATTGGCTGAAAAAGTTGAAAAGGCTTCAAGACAACAAAGAAAACAAAAGAAGAACAGAGAAAAGAAGATCTTTGGTACTCAAAGAAAGGCACAAAAGAAGGCTGCTAAGAGAAACGCTGATTAGATTGGTTGAATTTGTCACTCATATATATATATATATATTGTATATGAGTCTTACTGTACTTTAAGTTGAATGTTCATGTCAAGAATATAAGTTAATATTTTTAGGGGGAAAACCGTTATTGTAGATATGTCAAAATCGCGACAGGAGAAGAAGAAATCAACTGCATCTTCCTACACCATCAGCCATGTCCGAAAGAAAGGCAATAAACAAGTACTATCCACCCGATTATGACCCATCCAAGGTTGTTAAAAAGAAAAAGAATCCAAATCAAACAATAAAGATCCGTATGATGGCACCGTACTCAATGAGGTGTCTAAGATGTAACGAATACATTGCAGAGAGACGATCATTCAATGCCAGAAAAGAGGTGACTTCAGAGCGGTATTTGAATATCAAGATCGTCCGGTTCTACATTACGTGTCCTGGCTGTAATAACACAATCACTTTCAAGACAAACCCCGCAGAAGCAGGCTACACTCCAGAGGATGGAGCTGTACGAAACTTTGAACCATCAAAGAAGCAAAAGAGGAAACACGAGTCGGAGGATGAGTTGTTGCAGCGATTGCAAAATGAAGAAGAAAAGGACAAAAAGTATCAGCTATTGATGAAGAAGCGCAAGACCAATCCGTTTTGGAAGGAGCAGGATGCAAGTGGCGGTGATGTTATGGAGAAATTTGAAAAGAGATTGGTTGAACAACAGCGACAACAAGAGTTGACAGCGGAGCTTGAGGCAATTCAGAAACAGGTTGATAACTCGAAATCAAAAAGTGGTGATGAAGTGTTGTCGAATTTGCTTGAAAGGAAAGAGGATGATGCAAGAACAGACGAAACGGATGGCAGTGAGTCTGAGGAGAATGATGAGGCAGGTTTGGAGAAAATTGATGACGCAGCTAGAGCGCAGAAAAGTGAGACAACAACAGAACAGAAAGGAGAGAAAACACCAGATCGAAGAGCAAAATCTAACCCAACACCTTTAAAGATACCCTCCAAAATCATCGTTAGAAAAAAACCCAATGCTATACCAAACTTGGACTACAGTAGCGACAGCGACTAGGATCCTCATATTTTAAACTCAAAATCATCCAAAGTCAATACTGGAAACTCAGGTGGCTCAACCTCCTCATGGTATTTTGTCTTTATTTCCTCCAAGATAGGTTCCAATGTCCGCCACTGGGTCTTATCCATATCCTTTCGGCAATACACCACAGCCTTGATGTAATCAGTTGAACAATTGTAAAACACCGGAAGGATCTTGTACTTCCAAAAATTTGGAATAAACTCCATTGGATCAGGGCACATTCCCAAGTCTGCTAAAAAATCAATTGCAGACAATGTTGAAAAAAGATATCTCTTGTCTTTATTTGTGAATACGTGTTCCAATCCTTCAAATACCAACTCTGCATCTTTCTGAGCTCTTGAGCCAAAAGATTTATACCCTTGAGTTTCTGGATTAATTTTTTTACCATCTCCATACAATATATTCTCAAATCCAATCTTTAAATAAACACAAACAAACTTGTCCAAAAAGATTTGGCATAAACTTTGGTAGATAGTGTAAATGCAATACCTTCTGATTTCCTCCAAGTATTCCACAATGGTGTCTGTTAATTTTGTCGCAATCATCGCATCTCCAGTTTGCTTCATACCGTCCTCTAACCATTTCTTGGTAAACAATTTGCACAATTCAACATATAAATCATTGATGATGATATTGCTAATGGCTATGCAGACATCAGAATTCAACGAATCAGAAGATGCGACCGCGCTTTCAAACGCTTGCGATATCTTCACATGATAGTTTGTGTGTACCTTCTCTTTGTAATTGTTGATAAACTTGCTTGTCAAGCTCTCGCTACTAATCTCAAACGAATTTGCCAATGCTCCAAAATATTCAATTATACCGGGGCGTGAAATATTTTGTTGTTCCTCAAGACTCAATTCATCAACATTAACCACAGTGGGTCTCTTTTTGAATAACCGCTTAGCTTTGCTCTCCTTGACGAGAAACTTTTCATTACTGAAAACAGTGAAATATCTATCCATTTCTTCATCGATGACCACTTGGAAATTTTCGACGCGAGCAATGTAAGCATTGCACCAACTCTCAATAACCTCAACCAAGATTCTGGAATACCCTGACTCTGCCGCTACATCAGCCTGTTGTTTCAACATATTCAATGGAGTTTTGAAATCGGGTAGCACATAAGAATCAATCTGGATAGTCATTTCCACAAGATTATTAGGCCCTTGTTCGTCTTCAACGACTTGTTCAAATGGATACACATCTGGTTCTTTTAATCTCTCTGAAAAATAAGTGGTTTCCTGTTTCATTAAAATGTCATTCCACTCCATCATCTTATTGGTGATGTTTTTCAAATAATCATCCAATACTGTATTTTTCAAATCGTCTCCAATTATCGACTTTGCTGATCCATCAAGTTGTTTCAGGTAATCACCAAACCTCTTATCATACAGCAAAATGCGCAATATGTCTTCAGCTGGTGGTTCATTGTTGATCATGTCCATGGTGTATTGGTGTAACTTATCATAAAACACCTTTTCAGTAAATGCTCCAAACTGCCAATCCTTTGGCATTAACGGCGACAAAACATTATACACATAGGTCAATTCATCCTCGAGCCATTGTAGACTATCGTATAGTCCAATCTTGTCGTTCACGTAGTGATCAACGCAAGAATTAAACGTATCTTCGAAAAACACCTTGAACCGCTCAAAAAAGAACTTTCTATAATTGCGTCTTTTGCTTCGGTACATGTTGTAGCTCTTGTTCAGGTCATTCTTGACCAAATCCAAGTTTTGCATCATACTGAGTTTGACATCCTCTTTATCCTCCCACAAAATGATTGCAACGACTTTGTATAGAATCTCAAAATTGTGATCCTTTGCCGCCTCTGTGATTGATATGATACATTCCGTCAACAATCCGTCAAATGCCTTAATGGTTTCTCTAACGGGAGAGGTGATCTTGTACACAATTGATTGTAAATCATCCGACAAGGACTGTGAGTACATTTCAAGATAATCGACTAAATTCCGGACCTGTGTGTACTGATAGTGGATGATTAGAATATTGGGCAAAGGGTATCTCAAGTCATCTTTCAACAAATCTGTCTCCGTCGTTATTTCACGATTTAGTGATTCCAAAATACCCGTCAACAGTCTTATATCGTGATACAAACTGGTAACTTGGTTCAAATATTGATTAATTGTAATCATTTTACGAATGAGATCGTAATCTTTGACCGAGGTCACAGACTCATCAAAAGTGTTTTGGAACTTGTATATGCCCCCTTTGATCTCCTCCAAGCTCGTTATTGTTTGATTCAATTGTGTCAAGTTGTTGTTTACGGATGTAATTTGTATCCCCGTTGTTGTCGAAAGCTTGACGTCAACGGCAGATTTCTCTTTTGCAAATTGTTGACGTATTTCATCTAGTTTGCTAAGGTCTTCTGGGGCCTTAATTAGACCACCAATCTTTGACAATGCTAAGTCGCTCATTGTTGGTGATGGGATAAGATAGTTTACCTCCACCTCATTCTCAAGTCTTTTTTTTTTTTTCTTTTTCCCGTTTTGCTCGTTATGAACAACCCTTCTACAAAACTACTCTCAATGTATATACGAAAACTTTACTTTTGCCATTATATACACCTATTTGAATCTCCTTCCTGGTTGTCCGTTTTGATACGGATTAGGCATCATACCAAAATTTTGTGGAGGTGGCATGAACCATATTGGTGCAACCTGTTGCGGAAATTGTGGCTGAGGTGGCATTTGAAAGTTGTAAGGCATCGGCGCAGTTGCTGGAACCATTGGGCTTGGCATGAATGAAGGCGATTTGAACATTGCCCTTGGGAAAAGTGCTTCATGTGTTTCCTCAATTGTCGCATCCCACGTTGGCGGAGTATGAAAAGTTTTTTCGAGAATGACTGACGACTTATCCTCAGCTTTGGATTTTGTAGTGTTGAACATATTGAAACCTGTCTTCAACTCCTTTAATTTCTGCGCCTGTTTCTCTCTAGTAGGCACATTGTTTGCACCTCCAAAGAAATCCTGAGCAGAAATGTGGTAATGCTTCTTGATAGATCCTTGAGAGCTGCTATTTGAAGAGTAGGGTCTGTTGTTGATTGTATGTGGTGAATGAACAGGCCCTTGGTTATTGAACACAGCTTTTGGTGGTGATGTCAAAGTGTTATGTGGGAGTGAAGGCGTGAAGGATGCAGCGTTAGGGTTAAGCTTGAACACCTTCAGTGTCTTCTTTTCGGTATGAGGTCTTGCAGGTGACTGTTGTGCTTCTGAGGAGGTAGTCGGAGCTTGTGGGACGCTTTGTGGCGTAGGCGAGGGAGTCGCCTTGGTTTCTGCAGAATGTGCAGAAGCATCAAAACCATGCAGAGTGCTTTGCTTCTCATCTTGCTTCTGTTTTTCCTCTTGCTTCCTCTTCTCTTCCTGCTTTTTCTTTTCCTCCTGTTCTTGTTGTTGCTTTTTCAAAATTTCATCTTGCTTGAGCTTGTCCTTTGCCAAAATAGGTAAAAGGTCTTGTGGCATCTTGTGAGGAATCTTGAAATTCGCACTAAATTGTCGAAGAGAATGAATTTCACTTTCAGCATTAAGTCTGAAAGATTCATTGGGTACTTGTGGCTTTGCTGGAACTGAATCAGGAGCCGCTCTCTTGTCAGATTTCTTGTTTGTGGCTGAGCTTGACACGATTGCTGGATCATTGTGGTAGTTTGCAGCGCGTTGTCTTGGGGTAGCATACTTGGAAGTATCGTGGGTTGCTGATGGAGCGTTATCTCCTTTTGATGCTTTATTGTTCAACTTCAAAGCAGCCATCAATTCATCTCCTCTCCTATCAACCCCAGAGTACTTGTCCTCTTCATCCATACCACTATCATCAACCTGAACACCTCTTTCTTCCAATATATGGCGATCAGTAGTTACCTGTCCTTCGATCTCAGCAGCAATCTGATTGGCTCTAGCAAGACGTTGCTCATAGTCCGGGGCTGACTTGTCAATTCTTGTAGTATACAAATGTTCATCATAAGTACTCTCAACACCAAACTTTTCTTCATTAACCTTAAATTGATCCCAATGTGTGTTGCCATTTTTTGAGGTGGCCTCATCTTCCAAGGTCAATTTTTGCAAACCTTCCTCCTCCTCAGGCTCCCATTTAACCAACTCACGTTCTTCAAAAGACTTGACCTTGTCACGATTATTGGAAATGTCAGAATCAGTTTTAAACTCCTCTTTAGCATAATGCTTGATTGGCTCGCTAATGTCAACATCAACTTCAATATCAATCAAGTCCTTGCCTTGAACAACAAGATGCTCCGGCAACTTGTCGAGGTTATTCTTTTCATTGATCAAACTTTTCCCAACCAACTGAGGCAGTTTAATCACCACAGATGAAGGTGACTTTGCTTTTGGCGTCTCCCAATCCACAGTCAACAATAAACCCTTGTATCGAGATCCATCTGTTGTAGTAATAACACATGGCTTTCCAATAGACTTTGCAATCAAAAAAACCAATCTATTATCCCCCAATTCGTCAGTAGAGTTTGGAGGCTGACCTATTGCACCATCCTGACTCGAGCTTTTGGGATTAATCGCAACGGGACTCGCTCTCCCACCCAAACCGCTTGTGCTCCCATTATGACGCGAGTTTGAGCGGCGATGACCCACCTTGTTGCTCGTGCGATTCGATTGAGCCTTCATTCGAATACTCTGTCCACCAAATACAAATCAGGTTGTAATCAGGATAATTCCCGAAAAAAAAAAAAAACAGTCCAGAAAAAAAAAAAATTACAAAAATGGAACACAGAAGAACTTTGGTATGTGTATGTGCTTCCGTGCGGGTGGAGATCCAAAAGCGAAATGAGGTGAGGTGGGGGAGGGTGCAGGTGTATAGGGGGTTGTGTATTCAAGTGAATGATTTAACACAGGTTGAGGAATGGTAGATTGACGAAGTGGGGAGTCAATCGTCTGAAATCAAAAATCCTTGTGAAATCTCTCGAGAAAAGGTTTTGAAAGAATGATTTTTTTTTGGCATTTGTTGTTCATATGTTTTTCTTGGAGGAGGTAGCGCTCTAACGCCCGAGAGACAAGAGGGGCAAAGGTGGAATCTATATCACAATCAACCAAATTCTGTTTTATAAACCTACTATATACACCACTAGCAGCAGATATTGCTCAAATTATAACCCACGTCAACACTTTCAACTCGCTCTGGGTAATACTGCATAGCAAACTCCTTCAAAAATTGTACATCTTGGTGACTGTAAGGATCCAACTCCATATCAACCATATCCTGATACGTCAAATGTAGCTCTACTTTGTTTACAAGTTGCTCATCTTCGGAATTGCCATTATTTCGATGTTCTGCCTCCTCCTCTTCTATAGCTTCATCAATATAGTTGAGCCATTTTGACGTCAATTGATGGAAATACCCCACAACGTGCAAAAGATCTAGTAAGTCAATTTGTTTATTTAATTTGACATCAGGGCTCTCTTCTTCAATATTGAGTTGTTGACCAGCTGATGCAAACCACGAAAAAGCTGACCAGATTGATTCTGTCCACGACACAGGCTCAACTGCATCGTGTTGCCACCACAGTGGCTCGTTATCAATTCGTGGAGATATATTTGCATACATTTTTGCTGCAACTGGAGATGATGAATGTATTGAATTGTCATCATCTTCAGTCCTCGATGTGACAGAACTCAAGTCATCGGTGGATACATTTGACTTGTTGGTGAAATTCGAACCCCCAGTAACAAGATCTGAATAAAGTACTTGAAACTTGTGGTAGTCTCGTATTGTTGCTTTGATACCACTCTTGTTCCGATCAAATACTTTGATTGTATCACCTATTTCAACAGCAATATCGTATATCAGGTGGTCCTTCAAGATCTCGTCACTAGTAACTGCGATATACCCATTCTCCGAGTTTTGAAGTCGTTGGAGTAACTTTGAAGAAAGCTCATTCAAGCCAATGTTGTACAACGGTTGCTGTGAATGTAGTTTTGGGCTGGGTAATTTCGCACTTTTTGGAACCACTGATAAGATGGCTAGCAAATAACTGAAGGAGGAAAGTAGACTATAATTGTCTTTATCGGTTGTTTGTGTGTCATCTCCATTGTTCAAGTGCAATTCATTGAAGATCAAAATATTCTTTCGTAAAAGGCTTTGCTTGTAAATGGCAAATATTAGTGGTCCCAAGGTCTCAAACATTTGCGGTAGATTTAGTAGCAAATGCTTACCTTTTGCAGGTTCAGTCTCGGGGATGTTCAATGTGGATGGCTCAGATCCAATTCGAAGTAAATTCTTTTCAATGAATTTCATCAAATCTACATCATGGCCAGCTTCATTCTTACCAACAATCTCCCTCTCCAAATCATTCAACACACTCTTTAGTTCCTCAATATATTCCCAGCCATTATTGATGAATTCGTTTGCTTTCCATGTACTTTGTTTCGGCTCACAAATAATCCCCACTGAATACATTTTCAAGTTATCCCGATCATCAATTTTTTTTTGATCAATGACAAATTGTTTGAAACAACTCAACCCATAAAAGAGATTACCACCCGACTCGTGGCTAAGAAATACCGTTGCCTCTTGCAAATCATGAATCCCACTTGGAAACGATTTATATTCAATTCCTTCGAGTGGAACGTCTTTTGATGTGCTTGACCACAAGAGTTTGTACCCCGATTTCATGTCAAACTCGGTAAAAAATACCGCCACTACTTTGGATCGTTCGTGAGTCATCTTTGCAGCTGGAGGTGGAAGCAACAGAAAGTGTAACATCAATTAGTGATTTTTCTTATTTTTTTTTTTGCGTCTTCTCCTCTTTTGAAGCCTCTCGAATCATGTACCACCTACATTCAACAGTTCAAACTTGATACATATATATATGTATTATACAAAATTGTCTTAAAGTTATACACCTCCTCCTACTCACTCTCCCATTTCCCTCCAAGCTTTAAGCTCTTATCCTCAATATAAAGTTCACCACAACAGCAATAAGCAAAAAGAAACACAACATCGTGGGTCCAAATCTGTCGTCATATGGACCAGAACCTCTCAATCTGATAGCTTTTGCTCTCCAATGATAAGTAACCAAAGCATAGATCATAGTCAACATGGCAATAAATGTGAATAAACCAGCAGAAATTCTACCAACGTAATCACCAAAGTTCAACAATCCTACACCCAATGAACCTAAAATGACAGTAAAATTTAACCATGACAAGAATGTTCTTTCGTTGGCAAAAAAGACTTTTGGCTCAACTCTTGCTGGAAGTGCTATTCTTTTATTAGTGGATGACATTATTCAGTGATTGTGGTGATTAGCAAAATGCTCTCTGATAGGCTGTTCAATAAAGTGGTAGTTTGATGAATGCAGCGTACAGCTAGTGAGTCCAATTGATGGTTTTTGAAATATACCCTTCGTTTTACAAACTTCGTTGTAGACCTCAAGTATTTAATGAAGTTTTCAAAACTTTCAGGAAATGTAACACTCAATCCTAATGTCATTGGAAAGATAAATTGATAATAAAAATAATGCTCTCAATTAGGAAAGAGCCGCACAAAGAGTTAAATTAAAACATTCGCCCACGTGGGCCCCAATGCTACCAAAGCCGCTTTCCTTTTTGCAACAACAACTTTTACGAATATTTAACGCCATCAACCCATTTTATATTCCCTATTTCTATATATATATATATATATAATTTCTCTCTACTTCCTTGGCTCCAAAATCAATTGACCCATGGGCACATTCGAGTGACCTTTACCAAATGCATAAACACAATGACCTCTAACCAACGTCTCTAATACTCTTCCTTGAAATTCCATTCCATCATAAGCAGTCAACTTGTTTTTGAAATAAACATCCTTATTCTCCACTGTAAAAATTGCATCAGTATCGAAAATGCAAAAATCAGCATCGTATCCAATTTTTAAAGCTCCTTTTCTGTCTTCCAATCCAACTTGTTTTGCCGTGTTTAAAGAACACCATTTATTGATTTCAACTAATGAAATTGGTGGATTCAACTTCTGGCCCTCAGTGTACAAGATTGGCAATCCAAATCCAACACTTGAAATACCTCCCCAAGCCTCAAAAAAATCACCCTTTTCCAACCCTTTCAAATCAGGGGTACATGGTGAATGGTCACTAACAACGGTGGTGATGATATCGTTACGTAATGCTTTCCATAACAATTTCCTATTGTCGTCGGTCCTAATTGGTGGACAACATTTGAAATGAGTTGAGCAACTACTAATCTTTTCTGCGCACAAGGACAAGTAATGGAAGCAAGTCTCGGCTGTTATTGGCAATCCTTTAGCCTTGGCTGCTCTGAGTAATGGCACAGCTTCATGTGTTGCCAAATGCACTATATGTAAAGGAACTGTTGGTTCCAATGTTGAACAGTTGATGATTTCAGCTATAGCTGTAGTTTCAAAATTGTCGGGTCTTGATGCCAAAAAGGAAGCATATGCAGTAGGGTCAACAGTGGCTAACGATGAATCCTTTTGTTTGGCCAACAACAATGGTGAGCTAACTTTCGTATCGTCTTCGATTAACCATGTGCTCTCTTCTTCTTCTAAATGACTTTGTTGTTTAACCTTCATTGCATTTTTACCATGGGTTGGATCAGCACCGGCCAAAACTGGAGTGCTTGCCAATTTCTTGGCCTGTTCATTCGACAAAACTGATTCATCTATTGAGCCTGCGTGGTTGTGAGGCAATTTACAAAGCTCATGCTCTTCCTTGTGTGTACCTGGATCATTACGTAAAAGCTTGACTACCGGTTGTGGTGCTCTATTGATGAACGAAGCAGACATTCCCAAATCAAAATCTGTATTCATCAACTCATCTTCTATGGCAACTGCATTGGCATTGGCATCGAAATTTGCTAACCCCTCGTCCTCGTCTCGTGACAGGTCCTCTTCATCCAGAATTTGGAAATCCACTCGGTGTTCTTGCGGTTGCATTTCAGCATGAAACATCAACAACGTCTTTTCATCTTTGACAATCTTCATTGCCTCGTGAATAATGCGTGGTGTAACAGCTGGGAATTCATCAACACCACTTTCAATCATAAATGCCTTGAAGCCCCTTACACCCATCCTAATCAATGGGACCAAGTCTTGCAAATTGGCAGGGATCAAACCACCCCAAAATCCGACATCAACCCAACATTGTTCTCTAGCGGCATTTATCTTTAAATTGAAATTGTACACGGTTGTAGTTGGAGGGATGGCATTCAAAGGCATATCAATGACAGTGGTGACCCCTCCAAATGCAGCTGCCCTGGTGCCTGTTGCAAAGCCTTCCCATTCGGTACGTCCTGGCTCGTTCAAGTGAACATGTGCATCAACCAAACCTGGCATAATTACTGCCGGCGACACATTTCGATAGTCTATTGGCAAAACTGCATACCTTTTTAGTATTGCATCATTGGGTGGTAATACTTTTTGTTCTATATGTAGGATTTTCCCTGTTTCTATGGTGAATATTATAGTAGCTGGTATAATTTGATCATCGATCAATACTCTTGTAGATGACAATGCTCTCGACATGGCTTATAGTTAAATTTGATGAAGAAAAAGGCGAGTTCAAAAAGGCCTGCAAGTTTTTGAAACAAACAACAACAATATCAATAATGATTAAAGTCCAATGCAAAGAACTGTAATGACTTTGATAACGCAACTTTATTATATCTGTAATCGACCGTATCACCCGATTTATCAACAAAAAAAGAAAAGTGTTTCACTGATAAGATAAGTTCTCGAATCACTGATAACAAGAAAAACAGGAAAAAGATAAAGAATGATGAACGAATGACTGAATATTATGGAAAACAAGTCTGCTTTTATCACACTTCTTAAACCCCCTTTTTTCTTTACCCCGGACAAAAAGAATGAAAGAAATTATCAAATGCACTTTTCGAATGGTATGGAAAATAGGAACAAAAATAGAAATATAGAAAATTTTTTCAATATGAAATTCGGAACTTGCCGAAAAATGCTACCTATAAAAACTGTTGCAAATTTGCGCGACACAAAAAGAAATTTCTACCGACAAAAAGTGTGCGTGATTTAATAGCCGCCGGACCGAAAAGGTATATAGTTTGGCATTATGCGCAACAGGGTGGAAACTCTATGGTTACCCACACGTTTGAAGAGGTAGTGAGGGGTAGGGAAAGACAGGAAGGGTATGTAAAAGCTATGGGTTGCTGTGTTCATGTGAACGAATGTACGTGCTACGAGAACCTCCGTGAGGCGCCTTAAACTACAAACTATTCCACTACAGAGCCATACAAGTCATCAACAGGTTTTGGTCAACTTTAATAAACCCCTCACTCATTTGTAAGTAATCAATTGCTTTCCCCCTTTCGAATCAACAATTCCCTTCTGGTACAATTTAGCCAAATCATCACCATCAAACTCAACATGTGTACTTGGAGAATCTTTCAATTGACCATTTTCATACCATTCAATAATTTGACCCAATGTCTTTAGCTTCAACTCTTGATTCTTTTTCAACAATTCCGTGACCCAGAATCCAGCACTGGTGAAATTTTTGAAAATGTACAATGACGTTGGTATAGTGACTGGTTGCATCGACATTCCTCCGTATGTCAACATTAACCCATTGTTGTTTAATTTCCTAGCAATACCAGCTGACGATTTGCCACCAACACAGTTTAAAGCTAACTTAACCTCGCCACCAGTTTCCTTAACCCATGACTTGACATGACCACCAAACTCCTTTGATGCATTGTCTTCTTCAGTGATAACTTGAGTAGCGCCTAGTTCCTGCAACTCTTTTTTAACCTCATCCAAATTGGGTCTGTCTCTAATTACTGAAATTGAATTAAAGTTTAATAATTTACCAACTTGCGATGCATATTTACCCACAGCAGAATTCCCACCATTTTGAATAAACCAGTCCTTTCCCGGGATCAATTTAACATAATGGGTCAACATGAGGTACGCTGTCAATGGATTGACTGAAATAGTAGCTGCTTGATTTATGCTCAATCCTCGTTTCTTGCCATTGGATTTCGATTGCTCTGGGTTGGGCAACTTGATAAAATCGGATGACGTGCCCAATGCGTGAGTTCTCCAAGTACCAAAATTCACTTGGCTTGGAATCACCCAATCTCCAACAGCAAAATCAGATACGCCATCGCCCACCTTCAACACTTGAAACACTCCCTCGTTACCACAAGGGGCAGCTGGTTTGTCGGTGCTGAAATCCAATGTCTTTTCTGGTTTTGATGGGTAAACGCCTTGAATTTGGTTAATATCAGATGGATTGATAGGAGATGCCAATGTCTTGACAACAATTTGATCTGGTTTTAAATTATCATCATCGATGGAGAATTTCTGGGTAAACAATACATTTGAAGGTTCCCCATGTTCCGAGTAAAGTACAGCTTGGGCAGTAATCATGTTTCTTTTGAAAATTGATGAAGTCAATGGAGCAATTGATCTCTTGATTGTAAACATGTCCGGTTCAACAGTGCCTGAATCAAAGTGTTCTACGTCTATATAGCAAGTGAAAATCGCTTCTAATGGACTAGCTTTTTTTTTGCCTTTCGCTACCAACGCCCGCGAAATCCGGTTCTTACACATTGTATACAATACCCGTTATGCCATACATATATTTACTAAATAAAAGCATATATAGAGACCGCGTCCGAATCACTTTCATAAACTCAATTCTTCTTTTCCTTTTCCTCCATCTCCTTCAACTTCTCTGACTCAGCCAATCTCTGTTGCTTTTGCAATTTTTTCAATTTGGTATTTTGATAAGTTCCCAAACAAAAGTAGACCAAGTTGAAAAATACCACCCACAATTCAGGTCTAATGAAATTTTGAGCCACCAACAAAGCAAAGAATGACGTTGTCAATGATGATTTCAAAACTGGCAAGTATCCCTTCTTTAACCCTGCCTTGACAATAAACAAAATCTTTCTCAACTCAGCAATGGGATTGCAACTAGTACGTTGGTAGTTATTAATAATGGAGATCCACGAGACAAAACACGCTGAAATGGTTGGCGTCACTGTCAGTAAACTAGTCAACAACTGCAAAATTTTTTGTTTCTTTGTCAACGGCGGTTTGTAGATCTTGTTAATAACAGCATACATGTTGTGACTTATTGGCGTCGCAATCAACGCCCCGTAGATGATCATCTTGAGCAATTTTGCACTGAAAACATGTTTCACCTTGATACCGCAAATCTTGGTCTCTTTGTACTCGTTGGTGATTATTGATGACACAGTTTCATTCAATCCGTTGAAAACACCAGAGGTGGCAGATTTGGTCAATAATGGGTATTGCATAAGATACGCGAGGTATTGCGCATTGAGCGATTGGAAGGTAACAGCGGCCATTATTCAATGAATACTCTCTCTTTCTTTCTGCTTTTGATCAGTTTGGGTGGGCAAAGTTGTGGTTACCTCGAAAATGACTTGTTGTTGTTGTTGTTGTTGTTGTTTGGGAAGTTGTTGAGAGGTGTATTTACTGGCGCCAAAAAAATTATTTTCTTTCCCTCCACATGTTTTTGTTCATCGTGGTCTCAAGAAAGAGCCCCTCTCTTTATGTCTTTTTTTATTTGGATTCGGATATCTCCACCTTTTGCAAAAATTATTTTTTCTTTTCTTGATGAAGAAGAGAGAGATCTCGATTTGAGAAGCGCGCGCGAAATAGAGTAGGATATATTTCCCCATTCGAGGGAGATAAGAACCCACTGAGCAAGAGCCCTCAAAAACCGTGTTTGAACCCAGGTTAAATGAACAACGACTACAGTCGAGATGAGCTGAGAGAGTAAGCTCTTGGATGGGGAACCTTCTATGTTCAAACATGGTGCACCAAAAAAAAAAAAGAGGTGATGCAAGGAGATGCAAAGGAATTATAACTCCGATCTGAGCTTTTTTTTAACTCCGTTCTTCAATATTACCCCTCAGCTTACAGAATAGCCTACAAAACGTTTTGTAAAGTGAAGTAAGTTGCAAATTTGTTGCAACACGGTTGTGTACATAAAAGCGTTTGAATCTTGGTATTGGTACACGTCAATTGATATAAACAAGTTGGCCAAAAGTGAGGAGGTGGTCAACTGAGACAGTTATAGTACGCTGGTGTCTTTTCTTGAGGTGTGGTGTTTCCTGGTATCAAGGGTTTCGAGAAAACTTCATTTTGGATAAAAATGTTTGCAAAACACTCTACTCACTATATTTTGGCACGTAAATTGAGATAAAAATCATGGTGCACAAGATAGTAAATGACATTACCACAACACTGGAGGGATAAGTTTTCATTATGTTAGTGGCAGTAGCATACATCCCCTAACTCTCAAGTGCAATTACTAAAGTTACGATTCTGAAACAAATTTTGGTATGGGGTACATTTCTTCGTCCGACATAAATCTCAAAAATGGAAAAATGTCAGTTTTAAGCAGCAATTCATCATATGCATTAACTAAACTAAACAAAACAATGACGTAAAATTAAAGTGGGGAAGGGGTGACGCAAGAAGATATTTTGCTCATAAATGTCGACACTGAGCATAAACATACTGATGTAGACTGAATACAACTTTTCTCCGAAACTATGACATTTGGTTTTATGGAAGGTTTTTCGTAAATTTCTTGAGCGCTACGACATTTCGGAGATTCAGATCTTTGTCGCTGGTGGGGATCTCGTCAATAAAAAAAAGCGATTTAAAACCCAATCCTTTTTTTCCGAAACAATAATTTTACAATACCATTGTGTGCAGCTTAAATTGAAGATGAGTTGGTACAAGTGTTAAAAGGTCTTGCTGCAATTGCATGAAAAGCACACTGTTGTTATAAGATTGATGGTCCCACTTGCACTCGTGAGGACGCTCAGTCCTTATCGCCAGCGAGCTTCTTATTCGCTTCTTAGAGGGATCGATTTTTAAAAAGAGACTCATAACCATCAGCCTATCTCTAAAAGATAAGGCTTTGATTATTTATGGTCATCGAAATTTAGCAAAAGAAAGACAAAGTAGCAAACAATACTATGAACGCTTGATTCCCTCAAAGACCAACATACAAAACCTCTTGTTGCGAAAAGGAATCAGATACGAGCCCAAAAAAAACAGACGCTTCATAAGCTCAACCTGATACTCCGAGACATTCAAAACCACCACTCTAGTGATGTTGTTCTAGGTCCCTCTCTGTTTTGCAAAAAGTTCTTTTTATAGAAACCTTTTGTGTCTGAGTAAACAAAAAGTATACACTTTCGTGTCTGATTTTAGTTTTGTGACTTCGGAAGAACACAACTTTTTTTTTTTCATTCGACGCTTGGAATATCCACAACTTGATTTACTTGATTAGAACCAGAGCCTAACGTAATTTCTCAATAACTGAAATTCGAATTTGAAGTCCGATTCAACCTTAATGGGTACAAGGGACATGAACAGTAGCTATACCCCGTGATCCCCCCTTCTACGCTTATCGATCTTGTAGTCATACAGATAAAAAAGATATGGCAATTAAGGCAAATAAATTCAAAACAATAGATTTATTGTCTCCTCCGCAAGCCGAGAAAAATAAACAAAAAAGCTCATTGGAAAGCGGATCTAATACGCGTTCAAGAAATCAATCATCACTTAGCGGAAGAACGTTGCTCTCCTGAACCTATTGTGGGTGTGTGTGGCACGAAATGCCATTACCAAGAATCTTTCCGTTTTTAGCGAGCTGTTATCCCATTATCAAGAAAATTTACCAAGAGATCTCTCTTCAGTTGTTGGGCTGTCAAACAAACTAGCCAAGGATTTGCACCAAGGGGAGTTTCGTGTTGTGTGGTGTTGTGTTCTTCCGCTTCCACCGCAGATACTCCGAAAGGTACTGTGTCAACCAAACAACAACAGCACAAAAACCCTTTCCAGAGAAGACCGAAAGCCTTTTTTTTTTCCTTTTTTTAAAGTTTTGTGAAGAACTTGCAAAAAAGAAGGATAGCGGGGAAAAAAAAAAGCCTGGAGTGAATATATGACCAATCCCGAAAAGATGAAACTCGGGCACTATTGTTGTTGGGTACGGCAATTGCTCGAGTAAACGTACGAATCTCATTCAATGAGTGTTTATTCCTATTAGTAATCCTATTTTGGCCCCCTCCCCTCTCTTTGATGCTCATACGACTCCTCATGTGAATCAGACACTAAACTTTTTGTAGCTGCACTTTATGTCTGACACAAAAAGGGAAACAAATGCAAAAGCAATAGCAATTTTAATTATGGAAGTGTAAAATTCAAGTGCTAAATTTCAACAAATACAAACAAAAAAAAAATATTGTCCACCTCGAACCAGAGTACAATAGTAAGGCATCATTCTTTCGTCCTCAACACGGAAGTCCGTGACACAACTACAAAGCGCTGCTTCCGTGCTCAAGACAAGAAAATTAGTAAAAAGGGTCATCGATCGTTATGAACCTGTATGTTCTTGTATGCTATATACATTTCTGCATATCGAATAAAACTCATCATTATGATGTAATAAGGTGATCCAGCCTTTTCCCTTCTGAATGTATCTATGTTGTTAACATATTTTGCCTTATTTGGTATATTTAACTTTGTTTTGGCATTTCGGCGTCTGGACATTCCGCGTTTGTAACTTGTGTCTGCATAAATTACACTGCTGCAAAAAAAGACGTACTGCATATAAAACATATTGTGCTTTTTGTTTTCCCGTTCACAACATTCTTCGAGGGACTCAAAAAGTAGTACAACGACGGAGCAATAGCATGAGGAGCTAATACGGTGTCCATTCTATGAGATGCCATACTCCTGGAGTAACAGCCAATGAACTCGTTTCAGTTACGAAGTATAGGGAAAAAATGCTCTATTATGATTTCCATTTTGTGTACCACTTGATTTTTTTTTTTTTTTAATTTTAGATACTCGCCCCAGCTTTCAATTCAAAACTTACACTAAAAGTCGGCTTTGCAGTACAATACTCCAAACCAATATAGGCCTTGCTTCACACAGGTTGCATTATGGTTTATGAAAACAATAGGAAAAAAGAGAACAACAGAAGATCCTCCTCACCCACGGCACTATATAACATCATGCAAATCCTCTCCAAGCTGACTCCACTGTACTCTACTCTGACTCCACTCCCCACAAGTCTATACTGTACCCTACATTTACTTAATCGTTAGAGCTACAATTTTCACCCCTTACATTGACTTAATCGATAGGACTCAGACTATTCTATTATTGCTGCCAATTTTTTTATTATTATTCTATTTTAGCAATCCAATATAAACTACCGTTACAAAAAAAATGGCTGGTGATAGTGATTCCGACATTAGTGGTGAAAAACCCATCACCAACTACTCCGACGTTAGCCAAAATGAAAAGCAGCAAAGACAACAACAGCAGCAGCACAATAATGGTGCTCTTTTCGAAACTTCAAACTCGTCCACTAGCGACTCGCTAAACCCACCACCAAAGGAACAATTCGAGGACTCGGAGTCATTGCAATCAGAAACTGAGCGTGCTGATGGTGAACACGGTAATATTTTGGCCCAATACACTGAAAAACAAGTTATGGCCATGGGAAGAAACTATGCTACAAAATTTAATTTGGATGCCGATTTGTTTGCACGTGCAGCAGCTTTAGCTAGAGCACCAAATGCATTCAACTCGATGCCATTTTTAACCGATGAAGAAAAATCAGGATTATATTTGGAGGCCACCAAGAAATGGCATATCCCCATGAAATTGGTTGCCGTTATTGCTGTAGGATCTATGGCTGCTGCTGTGCAAGGTATGGATGAATCAGTTGTTAATGGTGCCACTTTGTTTTACCCAAAGGCTTTTGGTGTTACTGAAATGAAGAATGCTGACTTGATTGAAGGTTTGGTCAACTCAGCTCCATACTTGTGTGCTTCTTGTATTGCCTGTTGGATGACTGATTTGTTCAATCGTCACTTGGGAAGAAAGTGGACCATTTTCTGGACTTGTGCCATTTCAGCAGCTACTTGTATTTGGCAAGGTTTTGTCAATAACTGGTGGCATTTGTTTATTGCGAGATTCTTTTTGGGATTTGGTATTGGTATAAAATCGGCAACTGTTCCATCATATGCTGCTGAATGTACACCGAAACATATTCGTGGTTCCTTGGTTATGTTGTGGCAATTTTTCACTGCGGTTGGTATTATGTTTGGTTATGTTACTACTTTGGCATTCTACTATGTTCCAAAAAAGAGCTTTGGAACTGGTTTGAACTGGAGATTAATGTTGGGAAGTGCTTGTATCCCAGCCATTATTGTTTTGTTTCAAGTGCCATTTGTACCTGAATCACCTCGTTGGTTGATGGGTCAAGACAGACATCACGATGCATTTGAAAGTTTGGAACAATTGAGATACGAACCAATCGCAGCTGCTAGAGATTGTTTCTACCAATACGTTTTGTTAAAAGAAGAAGGTTCTTACAAGATTCCAACTTGGAAAAGAATTATTGAAATGTTCACCATTAGAAGGAACAGGAATGGTGCAATTGCTGCTTGGATCGTCATGTTTATGCAACAATTTTGTGGTATCAACGTTATTGCTTACTACTCATCTTCCATTTTCATCGAAGCCAATTTGAGTGAAATCAAGGCCATGTTGGCATCATGGGGTTTTGGTATGATCAATTTCATTTTTGCAATTCCGGCATTCTTGACAATTGATAGATTTGGTAGAAGGAACTTGTTGCTTTTTGCATTCCCCCTTATGTGTGCATTTTTATTGGTTGCCGGTTTCGGATTCTTGATTCATGATAATAGGGGACAATTGGGAATGGTGACGACGGGTATTTATTTATTCTCGTGTGTTTATTCTTCCTCAGAAGGACCTGTTCCATTTACATACTCAGCAGAAGCTTTCCCATTGTATATTAGAGATTTGGGAATGTCATGGGCAACGGCAACATGTTGGTTCTGGAATTTTATCTTGGCATTCACCTGGCCACGTTTGAGGTCGGCATTTACGCCTACAGGTGCTTTTGGCTGGTATGCTGCTTGGAACGGTATCGGGTTCTTCCTTGTCTTGTGGTTCTTGCCTGAAACCAAAGGATTGACATTGGAAGAGTTGGACGATGTTTTCGCTGTGCCAATGTATACCCATGCCGTTTACAGAACCAGAACTTTCCTCAGAGGTATACAAATTCACGTGTTGCGTCGCAAGAATGTTCCTGAAATTCCACCAATTTATAACCATCAAAGAATGGCTGTTACAAACGAAGAGTGGAACGACAAGGCAGAAGTTTCTCACGTCGAGTAATGAACCAACGAGCTCTTCTTGTTTTTTATTCAATTCTATTTTGTTTAGGGTCAGTAAATTTTTAATGTTTTTTAGAGTATTGAGATAAATGCACTGTAGTTTAAGTTAAAAATCCTTTATCTAACACCTACATCGTTCAACTTATTTACCTTAGGAAATCTCTCAAATAAGATCCTAGTTTTGTTGCTCCGTCTTCCAACGCGTCCTTCAACACCTCCATATCCTCATTGGCATTGCCTGAGAATCTTGAAGCAAATTCACGTGCACTTGCTTCCAAGTCACCCAAGTTGAGTCCACCTTGTGATCCGCCACGGCCTCTGCCACCAGCTGAGCCCTGACCCTCCTCTTCTTCACCAAAATAAGACGAAGAGGAGATGGATTGAGCACCATTGAAAGATTGTAGTTTGGCCCTGGCTTCATTTGTAGCATTTTCATCGAATCGTGGTCCCCTTCCGAAGAACTCATCCGATGAAATACCCTTTTGAGTTCCAAACTTGTTCGAAACCTCTCCTGTATACTTTACATCCTTATATTTTTTAGCTGGACCATTGCTAACAACATTGTCACCTTGAACCATCCCGAATCCTAATTTTTGAAATTGTTGGGTGGTTTCTTGAATTGGTGTAGGAGCCAACTTCTCACTCTTTGCATCCAGCTTCAACGACAATGAACTCGATGGCTTTTTCTCCAATGGCGTAGTTGAAACAGGAGTTGTAGTAGTCTCTTCTGGCGAGTAACCCAACTTCTTACGCTCCTCCTCTTCCTCACGCGCCTTTCTTTCAATCTCATCAAAATCGATAACTTCATCATTTTTGTTGATTCTCTTGGCTGCCAATCTCGATTTTCTTGGTCCGTTCCCTTTTGAGGATAGAATAGATGCTTTAGCGGTGTTGTTGTTATTCTTCAATCGAGATGACGTGGTGGCTTTGGCTGCAGTTGGGGTTGGTGTGCTAGTTCTTGACGCTGGTTTCTTTTTCAGCAAATCATCAGTTGATCCACTTGGTGTACCACTTAGTGACCCCAATGGAGATGGCGTAGCAGCAACTGGTTTGGTCCAATTTGAAAAGAAGTCGTCAGTACTATCATTTGACGAAACATTGGTCAGCGATGATGCATCAGCTAAATCATCCAAAGTGACAACATCTGGATGTTTGATTGCATCAGCGTTAGCCTTTTGTTTCAACTTTTCCTTATATTTGTTAGCAGCAGGTGAAGAATATTTTGCCGTAGCATCGACACTTTGTTTATTATTGACAAATTGAGAGCCACCATTCTTGATAAAAAAATCCTTGGCTGGTTGGTTACCTCCAAATTTGAAATTTCTCAATTGCATACGCTGCCAGCTATCCAAGTTGGAAGATCTGACGAATGAAACGTGCACCCCCAAGTTACGGTGGACTGATGAACATTGTAAACATAAGAATATACCAAAAGGAACTGACGTCCAAGTAGGATTCTTGTTAGAACAATCAAAACAAATCTGATTAGCAGGGTCTTTTCTCAACTTGTCAAAGACAAGAGCAACTTCTTCTTTACTAGCTATTGCGTCTGACATGGCGTAGGCTCTATTGATGGACAAAAAGTTGCGTTCGTAACCAAATCAACACAACACAACACAACATTTTTTATTTCAATTTTTTTTTTTTTTTTCGTTGCGAGTTTTGGTATGTCGTGTCCATACTAATACGTTCCTTTGTTCTCTAGTAAACATTATTAATGAACATTCTTACTTACAAAAATGGCTATATATACAAACTCCCTGGGCCCCTAATGGAAAGGTCTTGAACCACCACGGGCAAACTCAACAATCTTCCATCCCTCGGTTGTCTTGTTATCAAATTCCTCTGGAATTCTTGTCAAAACCATGGCATAGGTGCTCAATTGAATTTGGTCTTCAGTACCAGCAGCAATTTCTCCAGTCTTGGCTTTCCTATACAAATGAATCTCTTGTGCTCTACAACTGACAACAACGACCGGAATGTCATTAGGTTGCAAGCTTTTGCAAGTGACAATATCAACACCTCTAATATCCAAGATTCTGCTGTCTGAAAACAAACCTTGTTGGGTAAACTGTTTGTTGTTAGCTTCCCACACATTGTATGGAGCTTCACTGAACCATTCTTTCAAGACTTTTGCGTCGTTTTTGATATAAGCATCAACAACTTCTGGAACAATATAATCGTTTAATGTCTTTTGGAAATCAGTCAACTTGAATGATGGGTCCATATACTTCAATTGTCTAATAGTTTTGGCTTGTTCGGTCTCTGCAAAAAAACCAGTAATCTTTTCAATAATAGTACGTATTAGACTGATTAACCCATTCTCTGACTCGTCCCATTTTTCTTTGAGAATAACAATAGCTTTACCAATGGGCGACTTTTGCTTGAAAGATTCCCATTTCTCACTAGTAGACGGTCCTGATGACTTTATTTCTGTTGCAATCAATTCGCCTCCAGCTTCTTCATTCTCCTTAACGGGACCCTTGAAACCTTCTTTTAATTTTCTAGCCAATTCCTTCTCCCTCAACGCTTGTCTTTGTTCTTTGGTTAAGAATCCACCGTACATGTTTGAAGATCCATCATCAATCACCTCAGAAACGTCTTGATATATTTTGGTCTTTCTGACTGGTTCAAAAGCTTTATCTGCAACATCTGCACTAACTTTGACGGTGGTTCTCACACCTTTCCCCACTGGTGACTCCCATGCTTTATAAGCAGCGCCACCCACCACATCAGCTGTCTTTTTAACTGCCTTGCCTGCCGCACTTCTACCCTTTTGTGCTCTAGCGTATGCTTCTTTGGCTCTTTTGAATGCTTCCGATTCAGCCATCCGCCCAGACTCATCTTGCAAAGCTTTTATATTCTCTTTCAACTCGGACGATTTTTTAACTTCCTGTTTGAATGTGTCAAAGAATACCTTTAATGGGGAGTTTGATGATGGTGGTTTGTCATCGAAGTTGACATTTGATACATGGAATCCACGTATCGTGGTAGCTAATGGTATCCTAGTGGTAAGGCTTTGTTGATTCCTGATTGCTGTTCTGAGCATATTGGTAGTTTTCCAGAGGTGGTGTTTTTCCAGCGGATGTTACACTTCTCCACAGTTGTCTATTTACAAGTGAGATGGGTATGATTACTGTAGGCGAAATCGGGGTGAAATTTTTTGACATTTCTTTTTTTTTTTTTTTTTTTTGGTTTTTTCACATCAATTTTTTTTCATTGTCATCACTACAGAGAACGAATAAATATACAAGAAAGGGGATGGTATATTTTGCTATACACTAGCGTGATCTCCATTTATCGTAAACTTTTGCTCCTTGAACAGCACCGTATACCAAAAGGGAGCTTATTATACCCATTTGGAAATTATTCAAAATCCTCGATTGTCGTACTTCAATTGCAACTGCTTTGGAGTATGGAATGTCATCTCGGAACGAAATCATTGTATACAAAGGCTGCCACTTATTTTTAAACCAAGATCCCAATGTGTAATCTAACTTCTTTTTGGTCAAATACCAGATATTTGTCACTTTTGATGACATTTCGTAGTAGTTATCCAACGCCAACTTACATATAGCATCTAAATCATCTTTTCTTTGGGGCGAATACGCTAAAAAAGCCTTTTCAATGGCTCCCTCGTTTGCTTCAATCAATTCCATCAATATTCTCACATCTTCAAATCCACAATTCATTCCTTGTCCATAGAAAGGTACCATCGAATGAGCAGCATCTCCAATGATTAAAGCTTTTCCAAGAGGACTATTGTAAGGATAAGCACTAATTTGCATAAGCGACCCTCTTGGGTTGTTGTCAAAAGCACTAACCAATGCGTCTTGCCCAATAAGCTTATACGCATCAGGGAAATTCTCCTTGAAAAATTGAGTAAACTCATTGCTTGAATTGATCGATTCAATAACAGACCAGGGACTAAAAAATGTAGACGTAAATGATCCATCCTCATTTGCCAATGCAATCAACATAAAATCATGGCGTGGCCAAATATGCAAGTGATTAGCATCAATTGCAAACTTCTTCTTTGGATCAGGAGGGATATACAACTCCATATATTGCATGTCAATGTATTTCTGTGAAAAATCCATCCTCATGCCCTTTTGCATTTGATGTCTAAAGTGCGAATGTGCACCGTCAGCACCAATGATATAATCAAACGTAAATTTCACATTTCCATTCTTTGTGGAAAACTCCATGGTCGGCGTAGTATCCACATTACTCAATTTAACCAACTTATGCTCAAAGCAGACTTTAACACCACTTTGGCCCAACTCTTGCAACAATAAATCATTAAGATAAGACCTATCGATTGAATTAATGCACTCACCATTTAATCCATACAACTGCGACTCTTGCTTCAATCCAGTCTTGTCATGTATCATTCTCCCCTTCATGGGAATAACATGTTTAAGGATTTTGTCCGACAATGCTTTATCAACCTCTTCGATGGCTCGAATACCCCGACTACTCACAGCAAGGTTAATGGATCGTAAGTTTCGCTTTGATCGATCAATATTTGTTGGATCAGAACGTAAATCAAAAAGGCAAACATCATAACCCTTTCGTGAGAAAGCTAAAGCTGCTAGGCACCCCACCAAGCCTGCGCCAACAATGCCAATTGAAGTTCTATCGCTAGGTCTTTGATCAGTCATGGTTTTGAATATTCAATGGTATGACACATATAAAAAAAAAAGGAACGAAGAAAAAAAGATAAAGCCAAAGATACAAACTCCGCGCTAATTCCGTAACAATTTTAAAAAAACACCTGGCATTCTAGTAATAAACTACTTACTGATTATTTACCATTGCCTTTGCTATCTTATGCTTCTTTTCCTCGATCGACTTTTTCAAAGCTTCTAGTTGTTGCTGTAGCTCCACATTTCTTTGCGAAAACTCTTCATTAGCCTTGATAGTGTTGGCCAAATTTTCTTTCATTGTGAGATGCTCATACCTTTTCTGTAAACGCTCCTTCTCTTCAAGCAACGCTTTGCGTTTGACTTCAGCTTCGGTCAAGTCAATATTGTACTCTTCACTTTGTTGTGAAATTTCAGTATGGGTTGATTGAAGTTGTTCAATTTGGACTTTCATGTTGTTGATTTTCAACAACAAGTCATCATGAACTTCAGACAAGTTTCTCAATTCATTCTTGTTATTACTGAGGGAGTTTGCTTCCATTAAATAGTATTCATTTTCATAGGTTATCAATGGAGGTTGTAATTGCAACACTTTTTGAAGGTCCAAATTGAAATCCGAAAAAAAATCTTTCGATTCAAGAAAGGTTAGTAGGTCGTCTCCAGATAAAGGTGCAAGCTTTGCATCACTTTGAAGGAAAGCCCATGATATCAATCGCAATAAAAAGTCAAATCCTTCAAACACAAACAAATCTAAAATCTTCAAACTAACCTCTAGATCAAACTTTCCGAAAAATAACTCTGGAATAAGTCTCTTGTAATAACCCGACAAGTTAATACCTTGACTTGCTACATGCTTGAAACTTTCCAGTTTATCCTCCAATGATCGATTGATCTTGTAGATAAACTCTTCCAGTTTGACCAATGAATAAAGCTTATAAAGCTTGATCAAAACAAACAACCTTCTCTCCTCCGAAAGTCCAGGAATTGTTGTCAATAACTCTGCAAGACTCACCAAATACCTTTCGAGCGTGGCAACGTTTGCACTGCGAGCATTTAGTTCCGGTTCTTCCACGAGGAGGAGGATTACCAGCACTAGCTCAACTACCTCCTGCTTGTCGCTGTGCTTCAGGATACCATTGTTGAATTTACTGCTTCGTTTGAGCAACTCCGCAAATGACACATCCTGGTTCCATTTGTATCTCACTTGTAGCGTTTTCAAATATACTATGGATCTATAATCCGAGGGAATCCCCTTCAATATTTCTGTCTCCAACTTGTCAACTTCGCGTCGTCTAATCCATTGGTTGCTGTAGTCCCAAATAATTTCGTTCCAAAATTGAACTGAATCCTGGTCATTCAAAGTTTCATCCAAGTCGGGTATCACTAAATGCTGATGAAATGAGGAATCATTGACTAGCCCAGTAAAAGTTTCATTCATCCCTGGCAGATTGAAAATCTCCAGTTGTCTAACGGCTGATATAAATGACAACGAATCATCAGCTTGGATTCGAATGCTTGCATTCTCAAGGTTCTTGTTGTCCAGGTGCGGAACTGGTGGAACTTCTTTTTCTTGTTGACTGTTGGAGGTGTTTCTGTGCTCTGGGGGAGATCCCAAATGAGGTCGTGGTGGAAGTGGAGGAGAAGTAGGTTCAGCCAGCATTGATGTACTTTAAAAGAAAGGGGGGGTGTACAAATTGTATCGACTAGAATCTACGTGTGTAGCACTTCAACTGATCTGTTTTTATTTCCGAAAGAGAAAACAGCGCACTCACAAAAAAAGAGCATCACGTGAACTGTCCAGCTATAAACTATGCACCCAGTCAACTCAACTTTCTCTTTTTGAATGGTGAATGGGGGTAATCAAGAATAACGTCACTATCATCAGAAGGTAAGGCTACTCCAATCGAATGTGCGGCCGTATCATATCCATCTGCTTCTACCACATCCCTCGCAGCTTTCTTCTTCAAGTAATACTCAGCATGTTCGCCCTTGTTTAGGTGTTTATTCCCAAACCCACTTTTGCCTGGGTCACCACTATCAAATCTATGATGACCACAACCGCCTCCGTTGAAAAGGTCTGCATCACTTTTGGAAACAGCTTCCGACGAAACGTTTTTTGTAACTAGGTTGCCACCATACTTTGAAAAACCATCAAGCTCTTTGCTATGCGGATTCGACGTTTGTTTCCTCTTCCGTTTCCACTCCTCAAACTCCAGTAGCGGTGGCAATTTACCTGTCACGGTTGCCTCTTTCTCAATATCAAAATGGTTGTTTGTAATGTGCAAATTTTCTATGCGGTCTGTGACGTTTCTATTGGTGCTAATTGGGCTCCGTGAAAGCTTCTTCCTTGACGTTGCCATTATTCCACTTCCTGCACTTTCCCCACTTTGATTCCCTTCATTACTTGAGTGGCTCGCATACTGACGAAGTAAAGTCTCCAACTCCTTTAACTTGGTTGGGTCGTCAATAGCTTTTGAAATGTGTTTTTTGACAACAATCAATCGCACACCTTTAATTGGCATATCTTCATCAGGATAGTATTGATTCAACAACTGGTATAGGGCAGGGTATAATTGACAATCTTTAAACTGCTCTCTTAATGCAAGGTTCTTTAAGGTTAATGATTCCACCAGGGGGTCTTCTTGAGAATCAGTATTAGTGGCTTCGTCAACATCATCTTGGTTCAATTTGGTGTCAGCTGCTATTTGATTGTGCACTTCACCATTCGAAGCAGTATCCAGCAGCAGTTCAGTGTGGATTTCTTGGGGCAGGTGTTTTATCTGACTTTTTATGGAAACCTTCCTATTCGCCTCCTCACACTGTTCATCGTCAAAATGTCCCTGATCTGGTTGCTTATTTTCCTTCTTCCCCCGAGCATTCCTTTTTTGGTTATCATTTGCTACCTCCTCAATATCCAAATCAACCAGACTTTCACTCGAGAAAGTATCTTTAGATTTGTGATCCTCACAATGAATTGTGCTTCCCTCACCATACTGATCATACTTGCGCTTTAGCAATGCACCCTTCGTATCACTTTTTGCCTCCCTAGTAGAGCTTCCCTGCACAATTTCAATATCATCATCTTCCTCTTCTTCTTCTTTAGCGACGGTATCTGCTCTCGTGACATCTTCGTGAGGATCGTTTTGTGCCCTGTGTAACTCTAGTAACAAATTAAACCAATACTTTCTCTCATTCCTTCTTTCTTCTGCAGGGAATATCACTCTCGCCTGTGTCTGCAGGTGCTTCTTGAAAAAACTCTCGCATTCAGATATATTGTTGAGCCATTTCCTGATATTATACAACACATGGACACCACAATCGTTGAAGTTGTTCTGTCTAGGAATTTTGGCTGATTGGAAACGGATTTGATCTCGATTGATCTCAACATTGTGTTTTTCCTTGCAATAATCAATTATGAAACTTTTGATAGGCACACTGACATTGTACCTTTTACTTCCCAAAGAATCTAGTACAAAAATTTCCGCATACTGGTTGGGTCCGTTGGTTGGATTTTCCAGCTCCAAATCCTCAATATCAATAGGCTCATTGTCATCTGATTTTCGTCGTTGCGCCAGTTCCAATAGCGCAGGAAGATTCCTCACAATGCAGCAATACCAATGCAGACTCGTATTTACAGGTATAATGAGGTAGTTTAGCTTCATCAAATCGATCTTTGCTAGCCAGCGCTTGATATTGTTGTAGTAATCAGGGGTGCCTCGAGATGAACTACCCGATATCAACTTTGTGAAAAAGAAAGAGTTGAATGAATGTATCTCGGACCGCTTTACCAACCCTTTTTTAACTCCTTCTTGCACAATATACTTTAATCCAAAGTCAATAATAACATCATCAACCCAATTATTTCGATGCAAGGTTCTAAAATCACTTTCATTTACAACAATTTCGGTCCCATCGTCGTATTTGTACCTCAATTCTGGTTCAAAATCAGGTATGGGCTCATATTTGTCATAATCTGTGTCGTCAAAGAACTCAAACCTCTCCCCATCGCTATCGTAATTCCCCAAAACCTCAATGCCATCATCGGCTCTATCTGCAGGTTTGGGAATGCTTCTTCGTGGTCTTCGAAATGCAGTGTTTACTAATGGATCCGTGAAGGTGGCGTTTGATCGTTTGCTTGCTCTATCCACTACCCTCTTTTTAGCTCCTTCAGTCAATGTACCATTGATCCTCACCTTTGGATTGGGATGGCTTGTAAAATACTGTCGAATTTCGTCATCTCTGCCATAATGAGAGGCTATAATGAACCGCAGTCCCAGGGTCAATTGAATGATGAACGACTCATTTGCAAAGGAAAAATCTTTTAATTGAGTATCAATATTGATGACAAATTTGTTGACTGGTACTAGGTCAAGTGAAGGATGTCTCCAACCAATATAGATGTATAGCCCATTCAGTGAAACCGCTATCTCATGAATTCTTCGATGAGTCCTCTTGTAGATTTTCTGGTCACGGTAGTGAAAAGATTTCAAGGCATGCCGTACTTTGGGGAAAAGACTCAACCCACACTCTTTCACATCTAGCTCTTTCCCATCGCAGTCTTGAACTTTGGAGAAATCAGGCTCCAGGGAAACAGATCGTGCAGGTGATGGCGATTTCGAGGAGCTAGGATCAGGAATGAGTATTGGGGATGAAGATCTCGAGCGTGGGTGAGAATGTGATTGCTTCTTGCTAGATATCGATGCCTCATGAGGTTTTATAGGAGAAACATCGCTTGCGTCTGAGTCGTGAGAGATTAAGCTCCTCCTTGATCGAGGTTCAATTTGTTCAACATTTCTCTGTTTGAGTAGTCGATCTGCCCGACCTGTCAAGTTGTCGAGCCTCTCGCGAATCTTTGATGACGTTTCAAGTTTCTCTTGATAGTTGTAGTTTTTGAAATTCTCTTGATAATGTGAGTCAGGGGATTTGAATGAACCATTCTCATGTGATAAATGGGAATCAGCGTCGTCTGAAAATGAATCATGAGAGTTGTGATACCGATGGCTGGCCATCGCATGATGACTCAGACCCCCCCATTCACTGCTTTCGCTGCTTACTGTCAGTCCGTGTCTTAATCCGTGTGAACCTGTATGGTCTACTTCATTATCAGCTTTGTCAATATTTATGATTGTTGTTGTTCTTGAGTTCAAGCTATCCAATCTTTTTCGTGCAGGATCACCTTGTTTATGCGGCACGGTCCCTCCTTTCGAGTCCTGTAATAAACTGCTTAAATTGGTCAGTCGCGTTTTGGCTTGGGGTTTGGAGATGTTGGAACCAATATTTGGGTCAAAATTACGTGTGGCGGCAGGATTCTGCAATTTGTCCGTTTTCTTGTAAAGGTTGTCAACTGGCTTCGTTCCATAGGCACTTGATGTTCGCCTTCTGATTAGCGATTGATACTGCTTCTTTTTGAGGTCTTGGCTTGTCATCTATACATGAATGAGGACTTGCCAAGGTGTGAAAATGATTAAGTCGAAAGTAGTTGACTTGTGTAAGCCGAATACAACAGCCAGTGACACAGTTGCTGATATTTTTGCCTGTGTGGTTGTGCCTAGCCTTCGATCGTGGTGTGTATATACCTTTAGACTAACTTTCATTCCTACGAAAGAGGATGTTGATTTTCCTGCACAATAGATACCAAAAAGTATTGTTGCACGTGAGTAACAGAGGGAAGAATAAACTCCCCTGAGAAAGCCATTGAGACTAATAGCATCACCATTGCAGTCTGGATTATTCTACCTCTGAGCTCTATTGTGTGCCATACCTTTTCCACTACAACATCTTCGACTAAATGGAACCACAACCTAAAAAACACATGGTAGCGCGTTCTTTCTCTATGTGTGCAACTTGGTGGCGAGCGGTGTCTTTTGAAAAATTGCCCATCAAATCATTTACAATCAGTACGTTTGCCAACAAATTTTAGTGATCAAACAATGGGACAAGGGCCATCAGGTATGCCAGGAGGTAATAACCTCAACAAAAAGAAGGATGATAAGAAGAAGGAAAAGCCAAAGTACGAACCACCAGTTGAATCAAGATTTGGTAAAAAGAGAAGAAAAGGTCCTGATACTGCTGTGAAATTACCTAGCGTATACCCAAGCACTCGATGCAAGTTGAGGTTATTAAAGTTGGAAAGAATAAAGGATCATTTGTTGTTGGAAGAAGAATTGGTTTTGAATCAAGAAGCTTTCCAACCAACAGAGGCAAGACAAGCTGAAGAGAGAGAAAAGATTGACGAATTGAGAGGGTACCCTATGGCAATTGGTACACTAGAGGAGATCATAGATGATGACCATGCAATTGTCTCCAGTACTGCTAGCTCTGAGTACTATGTTCCCATCATGTCATTTGTTGATAAAGGGTTGTTGGAACCTGGTTGTTCGGTTTTATTGCATCACAAAACTGTGGCTGTTGTAGGGGTGTTGCAAGACGATGCTGATCCGATGGTTTCAGTGATGAAACTAGACAAGTCACCAACGGAGTCATATGCCGATATTGGAGGTTTGGAGTCGCAAATACAAGAAATCAAGGAATCGGTTGAGTTGCCGTTGACGCACCCAGAGTTGTATGAAGAAATGGGTATCAAACCACCGAAAGGTGTCATATTGTATGGTGCACCAGGTACAGGTAAGACGTTGTTGGCTAAAGCGGTTGCCAATTCTACATCAGCCACGTTTTTGAGGATAGTGGGGTCTGAATTGATTCAGAAATATCTCGGTGATGGTCCCAGATTAGTGCGTCAGATTTTCCAAATTGCAGCAGACCATGCACCTTCCATTGTGTTCATAGATGAGATTGATGCTATTGGAACAAAGCGATATGAGTCGACTTCGGGAGGTGAACGAGAAATTCAAAGAACGATGTTGGAGTTGTTGAATCAATTGGATGGATTCGACGATAGAGGTGATATCAAGGTTATCATGGCTACAAACAAGATTGAAAGTCTTGATCCTGCATTGATTAGACCAGGTAGAATAGATCGAAAGATACTTTTTGAAAACCCCGATTCCAACACCAAAAAGAAGATTTTGACAATCCATACATCCAAGATGAATTTGGCTGCCGATGTTAATTTGGATGAAATTGTCACTGGTAAAGATGATTTGTCGGGTGCTGATATCAAGGCTATTTGTACAGAAGCTGGGTTATTGGCATTGAGAGAAAGACGTATGCAAGTAAAAGCTGACGATTTCAAACAGGCTAAAGAGAGGGTTTTGAAGAACAAGGTTGAGGAGAATCTCGAAGGTTTATATTTGTAGGTTTTATATTTGTAATGAAGTAGAATTGGATGCAACATCGTTCAGCATATTGTGGTTCTGAAACAAGCACCTTTTTTTTTCTCTCTTGAAACACACATCAGTCTGTGGAACTCTTGCAATGTTACTTGACGCATCCAATGCCTAGCTCGTATACAATCCGGCCAATATAGAGACACTACCTTCACACCACGCATGTCACTACTTCTACGGCCAATAGTAGCGTGTATTGGCCAAAGATCAACTTTAGCCATTAGGTTTAGCTATATCGCTATACGTTGCAAAAGTGTTCAAGCACAAGTGTCTACAACGACCACGGTTATAACATCAAGTACAAGCAAGAATGTAAAACCTAAAGAAATTGCAGTTGCGGTAGTGTCAATATCTAAACAGGGAGCCGTAAAAGCTTCGCGGAAAGCGAAGAAGAAGAAGAAGAAAGCTGCTGCGAAATCAAAGATTATCCGAAAAGAACCCAAACCATCGATGAAAAACGTCAAGCCACCAGTTAGTGGCCCTGGAAAGCCAGTAAGGGGTCAGAAACTAACAATTAAGGAGGTCAAACTGCTAACCAACGACGAAAACCTACCAGCTAAAAAAACCAATTCAAAAATACCGAAACAACCAGTAAAGGAGCTTAAACTGCTAGATGAAGATCACAAACCACGAGCAAAAACGCCTAAACCTTTGCCAAAGAGAAAAGCTATTGTGAAAGTGACCAAAAAGTTATCCAAACCTCTGGCCAAGCCCCCAACACGGCCAATACCAAGTAAAATTAAACCAGTAACATCGAAGGTAATTAAAGTAGACGCCGATAATCCGCTCAGCAAAGAGACTCAAGTTTCAACAAACTTGTCTCACCAAACACCATTAAATTCGTCGCCCAATGGTGAAACTCAAGGATCCACCATAGTAAAGTCAAAATCATCAAAGAGTGATGCTGCGACGGAAGCAACAAGCCAGTTTTTGTCTCCATCTGAAGCAGCGAAAATTGTCTCCACAACGTCAACCAACCAGAACGATATCGCTCTGGACACGAATGTGGATTCAAACTGTAAAAACACGTTTTTTTATTACTCATATCTTGTTGATGAGACCACTGGAGTAGCGACAGACCTCCCTTCGGTTAAAGTTGTTGACAGCGGCAACGATAAATCGAAAAACTCAATTCCCGATACAACCACAGCAACCAAATTGGATCCGAAATTGGTAACGCCCGTCAATTGGTCAACATTCCTATATGACGTATTCGGCACCTCATCGAACAACCAAGTGGTTAAGTTGATCCAACCATCGAAATACGAGAGCCGGGTTGATGAATATTCATATGAAACAATTAGGAGCAAAAAAGGGTTGGAAATGAAGAGAAATAAGCCCAATATAAGAGGGTTTAAATTTATAAATTATGATGTTTTGACTGAGTTGGGCGTGGGGAATTATCAATTTGATAATAAGCTCGAGTCAAACGAAGCTACTGTGTTTGTCAATAACCAGCACTTGGTATTGGCTCATGATTCAATTGTACCACCAATTACAATCAAATTGCCAGAGTGTCTCAATTTTCGAAACCCGACGGGATTGAGTTCACTAGAGCAAATTGGCCGCCTGTTGACTTACGAGTATATACTCAAGTGGTCCTTGATGAATTTCTATAATCCTAATTTGATGTGGGACAAATTTGTCAAGAGTTGCCGAGGTTTACAATTTATGCAATTGGATAAGTCGGCAACAATATTGTTTCAAGGTTTGCAACCATTGAATGTATTTATCGCCATGGTCTATATAGAGGACAAGGATTACGAATATGCCATTTTGAAGTTCCTCAAACTGTTTGCAACCAATCACAAACTTGATACCAAATTTTCCACAGAATTGTTGATTGACAAATATAAGCCAGACTTAGATGCTTATTTGCAACAATTTCCAGCGCCAATTGATTTCAACAAATTTTCACAGGTATTTAGGCCTCCATTGTTGCATTCATTGCCAATAAAATTACCACCGTTGCCCAAATTTCATAATCAAGAACTATACAAAATGGTCCAAATCTCGTTAATTTCACTGCAATTTATGGCAAAATCAAACAAACTTGGAGTCTTGAATTTCCTCCGGAAACGCTTGGATAGATTGGGGGATGCTATACTCAAACGCTATTCAGTTGAATACATGGTTCACCATTGTAAAACTAACCCCAGGTTCAGATGGAATATGGATGACGTAAGCTTCATCAACACGAACATTGTATTCAGCAGTTTATCATTTGCTTACAAGTTACATCAGACAATAAATGATGCTGAAATCCAAGCAAATATGGATCGCCTTATCACCAGTAGTGACCTAAACACTGCAAATGAGTTATTAGGCGACATGTTTGAAAGAATGGTGGCCATTGAATACTTGGATAATCCTGACATGTGTCGAACTTGGATTTTCAAGATGTACGATGCAATTCTTGACAACTTGACCAAGGAGAAAGACGGGATTGAGTTTATTGATAAGGAAAAATATGTCAAGCTTTATGAGCATCATTTGAAAACGAAAACATTGTATTAGTAATGTGTGGTTTGTGTTGGGTGTTATAATAATAGAATGGTGTGTATTGATAATAATCTTGTAGAAGCTCTTGCCTTCTTGGGTACTTTCCTCTACTTTACTTGGACAAACTTTCGATCTGATTTCTTCAACTTCAACACAACAGTATCCTTGAATGAAACGACTTTTCTGCACAATGGACATAACCCTCTCCCACGAGGCATACGTACCGTCCCTCGGGCGTGTGAACTACTGATACTCATCTCGATGCACTCTAAACAAAAGACGTGTCCGCATGAAGTCACAGTCGCTACATCAACATTGTCAAAGCATATGGGACATTGAATATCAGCTAGCTTTTTCACGGTCTTGTGGTCTGCTGCGGTTGTTGAAGATGATACTTTATTGCCGTTGTCGTCATTATTATTATTGGTGTTTGTTTCTTGATTTTGTGGGTTATCTATTAGATCTTGAGTAATCTTTCTAAACTCAAGAATTTCGATATCATCATCGGTATCTGTGTCCGAGTCTATCGTTATAACGTTGGACGACATAGGTGTGTGTGTATGGTGTATAGAAGATACGATTGCAGTCTAGACTTGTTCAAATCAATGGTTTCAGATTTTGTTATCGGTTTGAATGTTCTCTATAATTGGTCGTGTAAAGGAGGTGAAAAAATGGGGACAATTTTAGAAATGGTAACCAAAGTGCTTTAACTGGCACGATGGAGACATTTGGACTAGTGTTGTATAAGAAATTCCCCAAGCAGCATGGAGCAGATCTGGGTGAATTTCATGTGTAAATGGCATTGTGGGGAATATTTCTACTATGCACAAATTTGGCTGCAAAATTGAAGAAAAAGGTACCCACACAACAATTGATGGAAAAGACATTCTTTAAGCTGATACATGAGTGCTCAAGTGCTATGGTACTTTTGGCAATTTCAAGACGAACCAGTCGTGAAGACGGTAATTTCACCAAGAAGGATATTCGTCTCATTTTGAGCCAAAACTGAGGAACGTAATGAATTCAACCACTTTCAATGCCTTCGAAGTCGCGAGAACTATCTCACTGGTTAATAACTCCGAACCGATGATAAATGGGGAAACAAAGCATAGTTGCAAATTCGTATCAGGTAGACCCTAGCGTTATACTGATGTCTTTTACGAGATATATTTTTTGAAACATATTACACTACTCGTCAATTTTAGCACGATATGCACTACCTTCATCTTACAATTACGTCATAAGGAAAAATGAGCCGATTTGCACGTGATGCACAAAAGACATAGCGTTTTGTGACACTATCATAAGTTATATCCCTTTTAGGAAAGCACTAACAACAAAAGGATCAAGAGGTGTATGACGTAGTGATAAGTGTAGATAGAAGAGCGTGCATTGAGTCGGAGGGGCAAAGAAGTGGTGAAAGAGGTGTGCCAGGGTGTGTTTTGTAATTGTATACGTGTGTCTAGTTTTGTTATCTTATCTCTGATTTTCTCTGATTTTTGTTTTTCTCAAAGGATACACTAATTTGATTTTCAATCTACACATCAAGTTTTATCTTTTCATGTGCACAGTAACTGAGTAAACATAACTCCTAATGCTACTTCTATGCACACACTGCCAATTCAAACAATGTGCTATTGTTTGTCTATCTTTTGTATGGGTATCATGAAAGGACTTAACCATAGTTACACGACCATATTTGGATTTTGTAACCGATAAACTCTGCAAAAAAATAGTAAGTAGTGCACGTGTGACCAAGAATTAGTTTTTGGTTTCAAATCGGCAACGGACAATCCACTGCCATTTATTATTTTGGGGATTTTGTGTAATTTTGTTAACAGTACACTATAATATTTGAGCCTATACCAATCAAGATAATTGTAAAAGTCTGAGACATCACACTTACTGAGTGAGAATGAGAGCAGCAGTTTAATACAAGATGCGGTGTGAGTAAGCTTGTGACAACACAAAAGAGAGGAGCCACCACCAAGTCCATAAACGTAGTGTTATGAGCGATAAAGGAGAAGAATCAAAATAACACATGCCAATTGCTACAAACAATAGGTTTATATTTAGCTAAAACAAAAACACAGATTGTTTGGTGAGTATTTTCGTGTGCAGGCTTTGTGACAAACAACACGTGTAAGGAAATGGAAAGAAAGGAGGGTTTTTCTTTAAAGTGGAAGGGATAAAAGTGTACCGATTGCCAAATAGAAGCCATCTGAGATCAAGTGACAGTCCGACAGGAAGAGGAGGGGAAGCCTGATCAATTAGAAATAGAGCAACTCATCTCAAAATTTTTTACACCCGTCACACTCTCTCCTCTCTTTCTGGAACAACTAAGATCCAAATAGAAACTGAAAAGCCAAGACAGATCGCATTCTAAAAAACGGATACATGCAATGCTTCGTTTCTTTTTCTTTCCTATTTCCTAAATAGTATCGTCAAGTTTCGTATAATTCAGAAATGTGAAACACACATTAACCGTTCAATTATGAAAAAAAAGAACCACTTTTCTTTTTCACCTTTTGCTTATCTGTAAGTCCCAAGAAAATGGTACAGCTTCGCATCACTGTCACCCTTCCCGCACTCAATCCTTGCTGTTGCCCCCTTCTCCGGTATCACATCTTCTTTAAAGCTAAAAGGACTCTGTTATTCTCCAGTTCTTTCTTCGTTTCCGCAGTATTTACCCTATGACGACATGCAATTGAGAGCATAACCAGGGTTATTGTAACCCTTTCACTCAACACAATAGATAAAATTTTCAACCAAGCTTAACTAAGGACCATGAGATAAAAGAAGTAAGCCAAAGGTTTTTGTGTGTTTATTACAAACAACACACTATACGTAATAAGGAGCATATGGATTAGGAAAATAGGTGAAGTTTAGTCAGCATACACATACAACATCTAAAAGAAAGCATTGGAAAATCTACATTTCGTTGCTTTTCGGAGTGTAATTACACCCCCCTTTCTTTACACGTTTTCTTTAACGCCGGAATCAGACTCTTCTCTGCACAGTTGTCATCCGTAACGCTGAAATATAAGGTTTTACGGGTATCATTGTTACACAAAGTTATTGACAAAAAAAGAAATTTCCATTGCGTTTCTTTTTTTTTCATGATCCATTATGCAGGACTATATGCATTGATATATGCAGTACTTTACTACAACTACTACTACTACTACGATGAGAGATATACTTTGTAATACAGAGCAGAAGCATCCCTTCAGCACTTTTACCCGTTTACAAAACAATAAACTAAAAAGAAGGAGCTTTACATAGTCTACATTCTGCAATGATGAAAAGATTATAAATATCGAACTAATTCCCTTTGATAAAACACATTTTCAATTCAATTCCAACATAGTTCAATCCAACAGTACTTACTTTCATTAACTACTCCATAACCTGTTTGAATAACTTTGCAATACATACACACATACACATACACAATGACAAGAGAACAACCACCAGCTATTTTTTACGTCAACGCCGCTTTGTTTGACTGTGACGGTACTTTGGTTAACTCCACCGGTGCCATTTCTGAATTCTGGAGAGAATTTGGAAAGACTAGACCACACTTTGATCCTGAAGAGGTTATTAGAACTTCTCATGGATGCCGTACATTTGACGTTATCAAGAAATGGTCTCCAGAAGATGCTATTGAAGAACAGGTGACGCAATGGGAAGGTGAAATCCCTGACTCTTTTGGTCATCATGCTAAACCTATCCCAGGTGCCGTTGAATTGGTCAAATCATTTGATAAATACTCCAAAGAAGAAAGTGATGATGGAAGACAGAGGTGGGCTATTGTCACTTCTGGTACTTTGCCATTGGCTACCAAATGGTTGAAGTTGTTGACGATTAAGAAACCAGATACTTTTATCACTGCTGAAAAAGTCACCAAGGGTAAGCCACATCCACAAGGTTATATGAATGCCAGAGAAAACTTGGGTTTTGGTGCCAACCACGCCAAAGTTGTTGTGTTTGAAGATGCTCCAGCTGGTATTTCTGCAGGTAAGGATGCCGGTGCTATGGTTGTTGGTATTTGCTCAACTTATGATGCTGAAAAAGTGAGAAACTCTGGTGCCAACATTGTTGTCAAGGATTTGACCAGTTTCCACATTGATTCATACAACAAGGAAACCGAAGAGTTTAAAGTTGTTGTCGATGAATACTATTATGCTGATCCACAATATATTGAAAATACCGCTTAGATCGGTGGAGAAGCTGATAGCATAGGGGGGCATTTTCATTTTCATTTTTTATTCTTCAACTTTATAGACTATTATCATTGTACATTAGAATAAACGCATAGATTATTTAGGGAAAATTAAGCTCGCCGATGTAAACGAAGATATCGATCTACTCTTTGTTGATGTTTTAATACAGAGACTGTTCCTGAAAGCAGTGTCGTAAATGGTGTCGAATTTCAGCATGCGTCACTCTTTTTTTTTTCCAATGAGATGCCATCAGAAAAATTTCAATAAAAGTCTAGCCTACTACGCAGCTTTCTTTATACCTAAAATATACCACCATGCTGTCGCCACAACTCACTGACCAATACCACGTCCTATCACTTCCCCGAGTTAATGACGTTCCACTTCCGCAGAAATTAGTCATCCCTCAAATCAACCAAACTGATGTCTCATCTACATCATCAATCATTGATATAGGTGTACTGAACTCAATGCTTGCTTCATATATAACCAAACCAAGTCCGAAATTAATTTGGTCCTATTCGATCAAGCCAACAGTTGGCATTAAGTGTATTGATGTATGGCACACAACCACCACCAGGAAGTTATATATTGCTGGACTCGAAGAACGGAAAAAACCACGAATCTTGGTGATTGAGACTGAAAATGGATCCACTGAAGATGGAAGTTTTCTGATTAGCACCGTTGGTGAAATGGAATTGGCTGTGGGCAAAGATCAAGTTGTTGCCGTGAAATTCTTGTCCACTGAGGATATTGTTGTTGTTTACCAATCTGGATCAGTGCAAATGGTAAATTACAACGAAAAACTAACTTTTGGAACCAAGTACCAAAATGAAGGAAATGTCATTTACAGTACATTCATTACAGATTTAGACGATCTTTTACTATTGACAGTATCGCGATCCAAAACTTTAACAACTTACAATTTAATCTCGATAAGTACATCGAAAATCTTACCAGTTCAAAGTTATCAAACCAAGCCAGTTACTGGTGCATCGTATACTTACAGCTCGGGCATACTATATCAATATCACGATGGTGTAATTGACTCCTTTTCAATCACTAATTTCCACATTCAAAAGTCGGTTTCAGTTTTGCCCATCATCAATACTGAGGAGCTTGTGTCGATAGTCTCACCAGCACCTGATCGTATTTTGCTAGGAAATGCCAACATGATCTATTTGTTAAACTTTAAATTTGAAGCAGTATTATCTCAATTCAAGTCAGTATCAAGCACATCCAATCCAGTCCCTGATAAAGTCTACCTCAACCAAGTTGCTCAAGTTAAAGGATCGTCACAATCTACTCAATCAACCCGAGCATACTATGTTAATTTAAAGAACAAAGACAACAACGTCTATTTGAATGTGATTGATGTCAATGTTGGATTGAACAAATTGAATGAGTGTCTTGGTAAATCAATCGAGGGTGGCAACAACCAGGATTTCAGTCAGGTTGTTGACTTGTACAATGGTGACGACAATGAACCTACTGCTCCCACATCTGGCGAGCTCGACCAAGTTTATCAGACCTTGGAACAAGCTTGCAAAGCCAAGGATGTAAATAAATGGGAATCGATCCTCATCCCATACTTGAAAACCCACAAGTCCTGGCAAGAAATCAATAAATCAAAACCAAAATCGAAAACCTACCAATTTAAAGAGTTTGACGTGGAAAATGATCGCATTGTTGATGTCAATTTCATAAATTCCATCTTTGATCTCATCTTCACAACAGAACCGTTACAGTTTAAAGATGCCCAGTTTATTCCCGAATATACTTTAATGTATTTACTCACTAACCCAATTTATCCAAAAGCATACACCACCAATCTTGTTCAACTTTTACACGATACTGGCAACATCACCTTACTCAAACAAGCCATCAAGACATGTTCCAATATCCCATTAAATGATCTACTCATACAGTTTGTAACTACTGAGGATATGGATATTTTCAATGAGTTGATCAATCGTATCGTTTCCGATTTTGCTGTTACCGAAATCACCACCAGTTTGAAAGATATCATGCCACAATATTCAACCGATACAATTGCATTAATCAACAAGGTCTTGTCAACATCAAACGATAAAGGTTGGATCTTGGTTGAAATACTTGTTGATATCAGTGGGCTATTCAACTGGAGTCAAGAAAATATCTTGCGATTGAATCAAATCATTGATGCCAGATTGGCCAACCTCGATATCAATGCTTACAATTTGACATTAATTGATCAAGTACAATTGAAAAAAAACCAATTGAAAAAGAGCAAAAACACTTCTGTTGACGGGGCATTGACAATCACTGATCAAACTCAATTGAACAAAAGAATGGAATCAGATCTGAATGAAAAAGTGCCATTGTATTCTATAGAGAGATTGGAAATATAGTGGAATTTAGAGTAACATATCTGTAAAGAGGGCTAAATAAACAGAAAAAGCTCAGTATGCATTTGTTTTCATTTGTGCATGTTGCTAGTAACTACTCATTGCATCTTCTCGATTATCATGCACTCACGGGTACATCACGACGATGAGGGGGAGAGGGAGGTTGCAAAAAGGAAAACTACTCCTTCAATTAACTGGTAGCGTGAGTATATAGAAAAAAAAAATTATTGATTTGCGAAGAAGATCTCTCCAGCTCCCACCCAACAAGGTCACTTCCTCCCTGTCATGTCCACCACCAAAGCAGCTTACAAACAAGCTCTAAAATCAATAAACACCGCATTCAAAAACGATACACCAATACTTACCGCCGCCAAGCAACAAATCAGACAACAAATTTTTGCTAATCGATTCATTACCGACAAGACCGAATTAAATGACGCTATAACCAAACTCAACGAAGTATCCAAGTTCTTGTTACAGAATATCGTACAGGGAGAGTTGAAAGATGATGGTCGTTATTTTTTAAAGTTTCATGAAAAGACAGAGTTGGGTGATAATGAAACGATAAAACAATCGAAATCGGAAATGGGATCTCTTAGTGGAGCAAAGGGAAGTAGGATAAGAGCAAAGAAATGTGGGGAATGAGTGAATGAAGGTTTGTACTTGACGAAAGCTGGTAATGGTATAAAGTCTTTTGTTGTATAGTTTGTAAATAGATAATCTGAGTCACGTTCCAAAGTGAAAAATAGAAAAAAAGACAAAAAAAAAAAAGGCAAGTAGAGACTTCCTTGACATGTATCTACGCTGTTAACGACAATGGCACCACTAGATGAAGCAAGACGAGACGTCCTCATCTCAAAAGCTCTCTCTTATTTACTTCGACATGGGGCTATCAAGGAAAGCCTAACATTCAATGATCAAGGTTACATCCCAATCACTGAAATACTTTCTCATCATCGAATGAAATCCTATAAAGCCACACGTCAAGACCTCGAACGTATTGTTGCCAACAACGACAAGCAACGGTTCAAAATTGATGCTGAATCCGATATGATTTGCGCCACTCAGGGCCATTCGATAAAGCAAATTGCCGGTGAATTGCAATTGATGAATCGTGATGAATTGAAGAAACTTCACATTTATCATGGCACATACAAGAAGAAATTGCCCTTGATTAAACAATCGGGGTTGAGTCGTATGAATAGAAATCATATACATTTCACTTGTGATGAGTATCTGACAATTTCAGGGGTAAGAAAATCTGCCAATTGCTTGATATACATTGATGTTGACAAGTGTATTGATGGGGGACTACAATTTTTCAAGAGTGACAATAATGTGATTCTTTGTCCCGGTGATGAAAATGGAATCATTAAATGGGAATTGGTGGACAAAGTGGTGGATATCTAATCAAATGTGAACAGTGCTATTAAACTACAAACGGTAAATAAGAGGGCCATTTCCCGCAGCCTCCCCAGTTACTCCATCTTGACATTGCATCCATCATACAAGGACATTGTCAAATGTGACATCTTGTGTGGTGGGTATTGAGTATTTGGATCCATCCATAAGGAACTAAACTCTTGTACCAATCTGGTTGTAACGTAGCTGGCTTCAGTTAGAGCGAACTGCTGACCAAGACAAATTCTTGGACCACCATTGAATGGAACAAATGCCCAACCCAATTTCCTTGTTTGTGGCTCAAACCACCTCTCGGGTCTAAATTCATTAGCATTTTTGCCGTAAAATTCCTCCATTCTGTGAGTTGCATAAACGCAATACTGGACAATTTGGCCTTTGGTGACAAAAATTGGTGACATTCCATCAGGTCCTCCACCACGAGGCAAAGTTGTGTTTTTTGTAGCAACACGGAAGTTTTGTGGAACTGATGGGTATAAACGTAAACATTCGTTAAGCACTGCTTTTAAATATTCACAATTCTTCAAGGATTCGAACGTGATCTCATCAACTCTAGCTTCTTTATCCAATCCAAATTTGGCACCAATTTCTTCTCTCAATTTGGTCAACACAGCAGGGCTCCTAGCCAATTCAAAGAACACAAATGACAACAATCCAGCTGTTGTATCCCTGCCTGCAACCAAAATATTCAACAATTGATCTTGTAAAACTTTGGGATCTCTTGTATGTTTAGCCAACTCGTAAAGAAACACATATCCGTTTTGTTTCTCCAACTCCTCTGGAGTCAATGATAAGGCTCTTTTAACGTAATACTGGGCAAACTTGTGAACAACTGCGTTATTATCTCTAAACTTCTTAGAGTTTAATAACCAGTATAATCCTTGCATGGTTGTTCTTGATGCCAAATAGTTTTGGGAGAAATTAAATGATTTGGCAAATTGTTCCTTCCCTTCAACTTCATTCGAAACCGCTTGCATGCCAATACTAGCATCCTTCAATGAATCAACTGATTCTCCAAATAAAAACTCAGTGGCAGAGTCTACGGTGAATCTGAAAAACAACTCTTGCAAATCAAATACTTGTCCCTTGTTTTTGTGTATCTGCTTGAAAAGAACCTGAATGTGTGGCTCCAACATCTTGACATGTGAGATTTGATCTCTAGCAAATTGGGGACGCAACATCTGTCTTGATTCCTTCCATCCTTGGCCATCCAATGTAAAAATTCCATCTCCTAATAGTGGCTTGAATTGAGCATGTCTCGTTCCCAAACAGAAATCATTAAACTGAGTAGCCAAGAGTGCTTTAATATTTTCAGGATCTTTAGTCATCCAAAGTTTGACCATAAAGATTCTTATTGAAAATGTAGGAATCAGTGGATGAGAAACCTCGTCGAATCTTTCAGCGACGTAGTCGACAACTGTACCATTTTCCTTCCTCTCAATCAACCAGAATGGAAGTCTGAAACCAAAAAGACCATCACCCTCACAATTTGCTTCTTTCGCTGCTCCCAATTTTTTTATCAAATAAGCATTGTAGACTTGGATGTATACCGCATAAAGGACAATCAATGCCGGCGCCAAAACGTACCACTTGGTGGCGTAATCGAATAGAGTAAGGTCTGACATGTTGGTACAGTATGATGCGAATCGTTCAATGTTTGTTCATAGACCAAAGGTGGCTTGAGATTCACCTCTTTTTGTAATCCCCTCCATTGGATAAAGTTAGCCTTTTTTTATGGTGTCATGAGAGCAAATGGCATCATACGTAAACTCCTCATCATCCCCGCAAAATATTTACCCGCGAGGCATATCATCTTTTCATTGTCTAATGAAGAACAACCCCCCTCACATCGAACATGCCTTGACTTAGCTAGTAAGTACACAGAAGTTGGGCTTGTGGGCGGCCTTTCGTGATTGTTGGACTTGAGTAACTAAAATCTCTCGGATTTAAAGTAATGGAGTGGAGCTTTGATACGATGAGATCTTGAGCCCAGGGTTACCACTACAACAGCTTACATATATATAAAGAAGCTAGCAAAATATCAAACGTTACCATTTAATAATATCAAGATGACCCTAGTCACGTTATATTTTGTACATGCTTAATTAGCTTTATCGATCGGGTAAGAAGGAATGTATTTGGTTAGCCATTACCCGACTTTGAACAAGTGGACTCTTTTTTATCAAAAAAAAGCATCCGTCTTCAAATTCGATAGACACCACAGGGAACTTCTACTATTGTCTGTTGATATCCCATGTGTCGTGAACCCAGGAGTTTCATCTATGGTTTGCAATAAGAGTTCATTAGTCAGTCACGTGTAATCTTCTTGCGCCAGTGTCGCAATTTTGTATCATGACACTCTTTCGCACGACATAGAAACGCGTCTTTGCTCATTTGGCAGTGAATTCTGAAACCACTGATTCCAACTGCCATTCCGTACTGCTTAGGTAGAGATCGTATGCTGATGAGGAGGTGTCCATAACACTGATTCAGCTGAAAATGTGGTTTCAATTTCTCGTGTATGGATAGGTTTATTAGGTAGTAGATCCAGATTTAAAATTTACAACGAAAGGGTATCGCTCCTACTGCTTCGTCTACATACTCGATTCATTTTTTGGTTGTTTCATCTATAATGCTTGACTAATAGGGCTAGAAAAGCATCCACACGACGTCGCAATTAAAAAGAATCGAGAACTTGATTCTGGGCCTATAGTGAGACAATAAGTGTCAAATGAGAATGTAAAACGATTGCGTCTATTAAATGATTGCATGTGTGCATATCTTTCGTTTACTTTTCAGGGGTACATACGTCTCACTCGAGAGCGTTTTGTTATCGAGGTAATTTGATTTAGACGATGCAAAATTCAGGTACAGATTTATCACAATATGAATATGTAGTACAGAAGGCAATACAGACAAAAGAAACCAGTTTCGTTTTGTCATTCTATTCGGGGAGCAAGGAAGAAAACACCCCCTGAAACTATTTCCTATTGTCCCAACTATCCACCATTCCATCTAACAAAACCATGAACCGTTGATTTTCCTCAATTGGGACAAAATGGCCTGATTTTAAATGTTGTAAATCAGAATGTGCACTCGGTTAGAATTGACCACAACAATGCAACGTTTTGAAACTGAAAAGGAGGGTTATGAGTGACCCCCATAGGATGCTAACCCTTTCCTTTCTTTGTGGTGCTGCCAGGAGCATTACTCTATAACCTGAGAAAACAAAGCTTTGATACGCGTGTGTAATTCATACAAGTGAGAGCACAATAAAGCACAAAAACAACGACACTATAAATCACTGCTACAAAAGCTTCTGATTATGAAGATAGGAAATAAAGAGTTTATCCGACCACCTAAACCAAACTCTGGCACTAAAGAACATTCCAGAAGTTGCCGAAACGCTCCTCCATATTCATTTTTGGAAGATAGGTGCGAGAAAAGTGACACTTTGTATTGCTCTGTTGTGGTCTTTGTGAAACATTTGAATTTCGCAGTCTAGTCCTTTGCCTAACCGGAAATCTAGACTCACTTCGGTAAACTCTATGGAACAGGAAACATCAACCTCAAGAAAAAAAGAAAAGGGGAAGGGGCACTTTGCAATTTTCCAAAAGCATCAGCCCGTTTTGATTCGCATTTCAATCATCTTACCTCCGAACAGGCCTCCCGTATCAGCACAATGGATCCAACCCCGATTTCTATTCCTTTTTCTTATTCTTTTTTCGGCGTTAAAAAAAAAATTAACTAAAAATATTCTTTAAAGTTTAGCACCTTTTGCGTTGTTGTGCGCAACCATCGGATGAAAATCAAAAAATATTTAGAATCACAGAATCAAATTGAAAAAAAAAAAAAAAAGGAACCCGCCTTCGCCTCTTCCCCATCGAAAATAGATCCTTTTTTCACTTATTGTTCTACGTTTTGATGCAACGCGTGACTTAAAAATAAGTGAGGCAAAGTGGTGAAATTTACAAGAGATAGTAGACTCATGACCGAAACAAACACAGCTTTGGGCTATCTTAATTATGCCTGTCGCGCCACAGCTGATCTCTTCGAATCTTGGCATGACCCAACGATAATTAACTTTAATGCAACCAAAAAAAGAACATCCAAAACCCTTTGTGTTTTGTAAAAAGAAAGGAAAAAAGAATATTGTGTGAGGGGGTGGAGATACTTTCGAGGAAAGAATTGAGCAGTAACGTTTCGAGATTCACGACTGCAAGCGACATTCTCTCTCTTCACCATAATAGATACGGAGCTCCCGCATATGCATATGTAACATCGCAACATTGTGCACACATGTATGTATTAGCTTCTTTGATTGCTCTGTTGTTGTTTTTTTTTGAGTTTTCATGCAGCCATTTTTATTTATTGGATCTAGAATCAAATAAAATGAGCGGTAAACGAAAAAAATAGAAATAAAATAGAAAATTAGACGCCGGATTTTCCTTTTTGCAATCTTTTTCTCTCTCTCATTGTAACCATAAAATTGAACTTGTTCTACTAGTTCACACTGAATAATGTCTTAAAAACTACAATACGTTTATTTATATCCTATTTAAGCTGATATTTACGAGTTCATACATAAAACTAAAAAGTATAATTCTTCATATATATAGGACTTTGTCTTTCTTCCCTTTTTCTTTTGGGGATTGCAATTGTCGTTTATTCCGTTATTCATTCCTTACCAGATCCTTTATAGCCAAATCTTAGTGAGACTTTAAGCAAGCCCACTCCCCTACCTTTCATTACAACGTTCAAGTTTCATGTACGTCGAACATCGAAATCAAGTACACCAGCAATCTACAGGCAATTCCGTTCATGAGTCAGTACCACCACATAGTTTGCGACACAGCACCAATACCACTACTACCGCTGCCACGTATTTTCCTATAATGTATCCACCTTCATCAATGTCTCCCTCACCAAAGCCATCATCATCGTCGTCACCAAATTCCCAATTGCCCAAACTACAGACATCAGGATTTTCTAATTATGCCCATGAAAAGCAACACCCGGAGTCTGCCACTACTATAACCCCTTCATCTACATCACGTTTGCACCCATCCTCAGCAACAACAACAACAGCTCAGTCGTCACCGCTGAGATCGTCACCCATTTTGAATTCTGAGAATAAAATATGTCAGTGGTATTGTTGTTCGTGTGGTCAATCATATGGTTCAGTTTTGTACAAGGATGACTATATCAAACAAAAGGAAGTTACCGAACGTCCTGAAGTTGCAAATGGGTACCGCACAGAGCAACCACCAACACAATCTACACGCAATTATATTTTTGACAGTTTGAAATATTACAGTCAGGTTGTTTACCGAGACCATAAACACGCATTGTCGAATTCACCCACATTGGTCAAGGCTGATGATTACTTTGAATGTAAAAATGGACAAACAAATGGTGATTATAGTCATAACCATTATTCAAATCAGCTGCAACTGCTGCAACAACTGCAACTGCTGCAGCAACAACAACAACCTGAAACGATAGATACACCTGAAAGTCCCAGGTTGAACCCTCACACACCACTTGTTTCACCACTACTGTTGGATTTGAATTGCAGCTCAACTAGTTTGATTGAGTATCAAGATAGAGCAATCTTGAGTATTCCTAATAGATTTACCTGCCACAGATGCGACCACATGATGTGCCCTTATTGTTTAAAGTTGAGATTGAAAGATATATGAAAGAGATGCAAAATCAACCTTGCAACCCCTTGCTTTTTACGTTACACCAATTTTCTGTCTTTTATACGACGCTTGCATTTTTTCCTCTTCTTCCAGTACATAGTTTCAATGGTTTGTATTATTTACTAGTTCATGATTTTATTGATAAATTAGTTGCTATGAATTAACTGCATATTGTTATATACGTTTTACTTGTTTCTAATCTCTTTGTTCACTTTCTATCAATGGCCTTCCTATGCAACCATTTGTGTTTGTTTTTCAAAATCTTTCCCTCAGCTCTAGGCACTACTTTGACAACAGTGCCAAAAGTTTGAGTCCTGACATAAACAGGTCCCTTTTTAATCGCAGTTGTTTTACTCTTTTTCAATTCACGCAACTTTTGTTCAAGTTGCTGCCTCTTCAGTATATGGACTCCAGATTCATCGAGTCGAATGTGTTTGGGTTTCACTTGTGGTAGTGTCTCCTTGCTTTGGGAGTTTTGAAGAATGAATCCAATATCATCAGGTAAAAATTCTGGCAACTCTTGATCAAGTTGACTTTGCTTCCTGGCCAATTCTTTCTCCTTCTTTTCCAATTGTTGTTGCTTGAAACGTTCATTTTGTAGTTTCCTTCGTTCTTTGGCCTGTCTGGCTAATTCAGCTTGTCGTTGTTGTTCTTGCTTTTGCTTGGCTATGAGTTGCTCTTTAGCGGCACTGGTGGACTCTTCTTCTGGCGCTTCATCCGATTCATCATCATCTTCTTCTTCTTCTTCCTCTTCCGGAGCATCCTCTTCAATATCCTCCAAATCACCAACATCCTCCTGATCTTCAATCTCTTCTAGTTCTTCATTGGGTATACTCTCGCTATCATCATCAAATGTGATTTTCTTATTCTTTGGTTTGTCAATGTGAGGTTTCGCATAAGTATCATCATACCCGAGGATGTTTTCTGATGATACATCATCAGGGTTATTCAAGGTCCCAGTATCATGAGAATGGTCCGTCTTGTGTAGCTTGCTTCTGGTGACAACCATGGCTGAAGAATACACTAGATATGTTGTTTTGGATTTTAGCGATGACTGTCAATTTTGTGATTGGCGACAAAAAAAATTGACGACATGGTTTTCTCAATACGCTACCTAATACAACCATGCATAAACATACAAGCTATATATTCACCTAGCTACTCCTTTTAATTTGATCTGTCTAACAATAAGCATGTTCTTATAAACGGCATCATTCAACATTCTCAACAAAATCTCCAGAATTTCACCCTCGTATGAATATGAAATAAACACTTCTTGCAATATACGTCTGATATTGGATAATTTAGCAACACTAGCATTTTCACCATCACTAGAATAATTTTGTAAGAATTTGGTGAAAATAGCTGAAAATGACTGTTCATTGCGAGAGTTGAATACTTTGTAATCACTAATCTTGCGGAAACAATCATGGATACAACTGTTGAAAAACTCATGAATTGGTGGTTCAGTAGCAACATTGGCGAGATCAACCAACGATGTTATCAACTTTAACCATAGCTTTTCATTAAGCGTCATTTCGTCATCGGTTGTGGCTTGGTAGGTTGCCGGGTCCTCGCAGATTGTACAAGCAAGGTTCACGTATGATTCACATTCACATTTACAAGCAAGGTCCTTAACTAGCTTCAAACGGTCCATGATGACCTGCACCGCATCCTCGAATTTATGTTGCTGAGCTAGCACAATTGCTTGACTGTCTGTCATGTCATGATCCCTCAATAGAGTGAGCACTTTCTCATCCCCAATAATCATGTCCTTAAACTTCCCCACAATAGCACTAATGGACCCCTTTTCAAATATAATAGATAATCGAATGTATTCATAAAGAAGTTCCTCAGAGCCATGATCCTCTGTAAATAACTTCGACAAATAGCGATACTTCAATACATCATCATCACCATCATCATTCGCAACATTTAGTATCTCCCTGTGAAGATGAGGAGCATATTTATGAATCAAGGGGAAAACTTCATCAACATCCAATCCAACGAGTTTGACAAAATTTGCCTTTAAAATTCGTACAAGATTAGTCCTTTCATTAGGATCTCTACTCTTTGTAAATGCGTCAGCAACAATGGCTTGAAGCCCCAGTATAAATCCTTCTTCATTTACATCCTTCAACATCAACAGTTCCAACGCACTGGCATATTTTTGCTCAGAAATGTACAACTTGACCAACACATTGTAAAACCCGCCCATTTCCAATCTTTCTATAAAATGATCGTCTTCAGGTAAGTAAACCGATGTCAAACTTTGTAAAGCCAACTCACAATCCAGAGCAATTTCAGGATCTTTTTTCAAGCACAATTTGTCAATCACGCCATCCAATGTTGATTCCGCAAGCCTAATGAATTGGGGATATTTGGGGTAATTTCTAGCAATGAAAATTGCCAATTGACACCCATCATATTCACTAAATTCATTTGTTTCATATAGATCCAACAACGCCTCCACCAAAAACTGTCTAGTAAATCGCGTATCATCATTGAGAAATGATGACTCAAAAAACTCATTCATGGTCGAAAGCATATGAAATGAATTTGTCTTAAGAAAAGTGTACAAATAAGGGAAAATCGTACCATCATCAAGTGCATGTACAACTTCGCCATTACGAATGATTGACCCACTTGAAAATAAAATGTCGCATATAGCTCTTGTTGGTTCGTTAGTGACAATAAATTTGTCAGTAGGATATTGTCTCCCTGTGAGAATAAAAGATATGTATGTGTATGCTTTGAATGCATTTTCTGAATTGGTCAGCTCAAGATGTCGAAATTCCTCGATGAAATCCAACAACGGAGTTTCGTAATCACCCAAGAGGTAGTTCCAAATGTAAATCAAACATTCACGTAGATCATGTTGTTTACACAACAGGATCGTCAAATCAATATCCAAACTTTTAATATCCAAAGTGCACAAAATTTCAGTCAATAAATCACCATTTGATGCATAGTGTTCCACCAAACGTTTCAATACAGTAGGTGGTAAAGCCATTATTGACTCTGATAAAACAAATGGTTCTAATGCTTGGAAAAATATTTCATCATTGTCAACTACGGACAACAAGTCTTCCAAGATATTGCTATATTCAACATATGCAACTATGATCAAGTATTTTTCCAAGTACTTTGAAGGCTTGGTAGCTTGTAAATGCGAAATTGACTCCCTCATAATTTCAATTAGATAAGGTCGTACTAAAGTGGACCGCTTAGTTTTATCAGCTGGTAAGCCAACGGCCGCCAACTTGCCAATTGAGTTGGTGTTGTAATACTCATCTGCGATATCCAATGCTTCTAAATAATTCGAGTTGGAGATTTTCTCCAAAAGTATATCAGCCCAACTTAGTTGTCGTCCAAGAATAAGTTTTTGGTTATCTAGTAGTACAAAACAACGCTTGGCTGAATTCAATTGTTGATGGTCTAGCACTAAGTCCTCCCCAATGAGCTCAAGTGTTGCCCCATTGTAGTAGAAAGTCGACATCTTGTCATGTGTGAAAACACATACCATGTCGGATTGTATCCACTTGATATCAGTTGCGTTTCCTTCAAGAGTTTGCTTAGCTGTCTTTATAAACGGTAATTTCGGAACAAATTTATCCTTATCCTTGGCATCATTGACAACTTGTACAAAATTCAGAGGGAAAACCTTGTTGTTCATCTCTAGAATTCCCACCACATTGTCCCAGCTATACGCAAGCTTGGCATTGCTGATGCCATTTAAAGTTTTCACACATGGAAACCATGACAAGGCGGTATTTATTCGTGAATTTTTGACGCCAATTTTGTACTGAGTCTTTAACAAAGATAATGCTGGATCATTCAACGATGTGGTTGAGTAAATAGATAGTACATCACGTGTTATCACTGCAACAACTCCCATTCCATCAGTTATTTGGTGTGAAGAGCCCATTGGTAACATACCCAAGCTCTGAATTTTACTTTCTGTAGTGAAAAGCCTTTCGCTGAAAAAGTATACATTACGCAATTTGCGAATTCCATTGTGTTTGACAACAACTCCTGCTTCGTCTGCACTTATAAGGTGATGTGTCTGCAGTTCGATAAATGCCAAGAATGTAATACTACAATTCATCGCATGACCGTCTTTTAAGTTGGGGTAGATGGTAAAGTATGGCTTTGCCAATTCCAGTTTCAACTCCCAGAGTCTAATTGCACCATCTTTGAATCCAGCGGCGAAAAACGACGAGTCTGACGCAAATACCATACTCGATATATCCCCAGGTTCTTGGCAATCTAGGGTAAATTGCACATCTTGGTTGTAGTTGAATATTATAACCTTGCCACCGGTGGTCCCTAGAGCAATGTATACAGCGTTGGATTTGATAATGATCACTTTCCCATAAGCAGATTCAAAGTCGAGTGATGTAGTAATTTTGGTAATTTTGGACAACTCAGACCATTTAAACAAACTGCTCACTTGCGATGACTTGCTCCGTTGGTGACTTGAATTGGTCTTGCTTCGATACGATCGTAGTGCCAAACTGGTCTTTGTTGTTGATCGATCATCAAATCGCCTCTTGTAGCCACTACTAAACGATGATGAGTTATTCGACGATATACTCAATGATGGGGACCTCAATGGTCTCGTTGCAAGATCATATATTGTAAGTTGTTGGTCAGATGCCATGCTAAGTCCAGCTGCAATTATCTCAAACCCCAAAGGCGGATACAAAAAAAATTAAAAGAACCAAACCTTTTCAAGACAATTTTCAGCGATTTAGTTTTGCCAAATGAATTTATCATTACAGGATCCCTTTTCAGTAGCTAAAGAGTTTCCCGAGAACTTGACAACAAACCTAAATTACGGGCACTCGGTTGCTATTCAGTTCAATTACAATGGCGATTACCTTGCATCAGGTCTTTCCGATGGATCGATAGTCATATACGAAATGGTGTCGAGTGGCATAATAGCGCATATCACTGAGGATTGTCACGTACGACCGATAACTTCAATTACGTGGTCGAGGTGTGGTAGGTACTTGTTGACCTCGTCACAAGATTGGTATTGTAAATTATGGGATTTAAGTTTGATCAATAGTGACGTTTCCCCTGTTATACGACAAGTGAAGTTTGATGGACCAATATGGCTGTCTAATATCCATCCGCAAAACCATTTCCAGTTTGTTGCATCGCTATTTGATGATTCTCCGGTTTTTGTTGATTTGGAGAAGGAATCATCACCGTTTGTGCAGAAACTAAGAACCGACCCATTGGAGAACGAAGAGCAAGGGGCTAATGGTGAAGAGCCGCAAAAGAAGAGAAAGAAACCCAACGACAAGCATTACACATTGGTTACTACATTTACCCCTGAAGCACAGTACATTTTCACTGGTACTAGTAAAGGGTGGTTAAACATTTTCAGAACAAAAGATTTGAAATTGATTCGCTCAAGCAAAATTGCCAATTCAAACATCAAAAACATTGCAGTAGCACCCAATGGCAGGAAGTTGGCGTTAAACTTTTCTGATCGCATAATCAGACAGATTAATCTTCCTGATATGATCAATGACGATGATTCAACAGAGTGGGATTTTGAAGTTGACCACAAGTATCAGGACGTGGTTAATCGACTACAATGGAATGCGATTTCGTTCAATCATAATGGCGATTTCCTAATTGCTTCAACTCACGGCCAATCGTCGCATGATTTGTACCTTTGGGAAACATCGATGGGGTCATTGATTAAAATCCTTGAAGGATCTAATGAGGAATTGATTGATGTTAAATGGAATTATAATAGATGTAAAATTGGATCCATAGGTCTTGACAGTGGAGTAATATACATTTGGCTGGTTCAATTCCCCCAAAAATGGAGTGCCTTAGCACCAGACTTTGTTGAAGTAGAGGAGAATATCGATTATATCGAAAAGGAAGATGAATTTGATATACAAGATGAAACAGAGTTGAATAAAAAGAGGTTGGAGGAGGAAGTGATGGATATTGATGTGATTACAAAGGAGACCACCGATGCTAGAGGGTTTGATATTTCACAAGAGTCGTTTGTAATCCCAATAGACTATGAAAAGGAATTGTATAGATAGGAAGAGGGGGTAGAGGGGGAAATGGTGAAAGAACGTAATATTAACTTGATTGGTCAATCGGTCAGTTACTACTCTGCCTGTCAATTGAGGTTGAATGCACAATGCAAGGACTAAAAGTCAAAAAGAAGTCCAACCCACTTCGTTGACTGCAAAAATCAAAAGCGCGTATAATCGTCTATAACTTGTTTATAGACTATCCTAAAAAGACATTAGCTTCAGTGGTTTACAGAGTTTCGAGTCAATCTTTCTATATAGGACTGGTGACTATTTCTAGACTCCACTCTAACCTATTTCTTTGTAGATTTTCCCATTGTAGTTTCTAATAAACTGCTTTTTCCCAACACGTGATTTAGTTCGTATGCTACCAATTGATTGTTTATGTTTTTGTTGAAGAAAAATTTATCCTTCATGAAAAAAAAAAAACGTAAACAATACAAACGCTTAGGGGTTTTTAAGTCACAAACGGCACTTTACATATAGCACTATACATCTTAGTATCCAGTAACAGGTATATATTACCAACAGAGCTACTATCGTCCCATTTCCAAGTAGTCTTTTTTTCCTTGAATCCACGTGGTATACATTGACCTTTGTTCCCCCAAAGTTTCGTTGCTCCAAAGTTCAACAAAAAAAAAAAAAAAAACATTATCAATTCCCATTGGGTCACAGCTCTATCAACACAGGACGTTTGACTAATTGATATCCATCCATTGGTATCATATAGCCTCATAGCCATTTACAGAGCAGCACAGGATATTTTTGTTTATTGTTTTTTTTTTGGTGTTTAACAACGCGTTCTCATTCATCACAGTATCCAGAACCACCAATGGCTTCATCTACAGATGCTCCTAGTAGAAAGCGTCTGGTAAACAACAATTCAGGACTTTTGTTCGAGGATGAACAAGATATGCTTAGTGCTGTGATATCCACATTGCAATGCCCCGAGGAAAAAACCACTGTTTCTCAAACATATGCCAATGGCTTGAACAATGCAACTGAAGTGCAAGCTTATGCCAAGATTGCTGGTAGGGATTGGACTTATTACGTTAAATCATTGGCTGTTTCTATAGGAAGAAACACTGAAGTGTCTGGCAATAACAACAACAACGACAACAACAACAATGGAAGTGTAACCAACACTTACAATGGACCCCTCATTGACATTGACTTGGGTCCAGCAAAAATTGTTAGTAGACAGCATGCCACCATAACTTACAATCTAGACTGGAGATGTTGGGAATTAAAAGTTTTGGGTCGAAATGGAGCCAAAATTGATGGACAAAAAATTAATGGGGGATCCCAAAAGCTCAATGCATTACATTCAGGAGCAATCTTGGATGTAGGGGGAACTCAAATGATGTTTATATTACCCGATGCGGCACCTGTAGTGGCACCAAAGATGTTGGAGAAAGCACTTGCAAAGTATAATGAACAAAACAAGGACCAAATCAAGCGCCAACGTTCATATAGTGGAGCTTCATATAATGGTGGTGGTGGTGGTAGTGGAGGAAACAGAGGTTATCATGTGTATGAAACTATCCTGATGAACCATTCACCAAGTTCTGCATCGGCAACTTCATTACAACACAATTTGGATGAAGATTTGTCCAAGGAGGAATCAAAAGATATCAAGCCACCGTATAGTTATGCCACCATGATCACTCAAGCCATTTTATCTGATCCACATGGAGTCATGTCCCTTTCGGATATCTACAATTGGATTTCCGACCGTTATGCATACTACAGATTTTCTAAAACTGGTTGGCAAAATTCAATTAGACATAATTTATCATTAAACAAGGCATTTGAAAAAGTTCCTCGAAAACCTAATGAACCTGGTAAGGGAATGAAGTGGCAAATCAGCGAATCTTATAAACAAGATTTTCTCAAGAAATTGAATGATGGAACTCTTGCAGGATCAAGAAAGGGGTCCTCAGTGTCTCGACAATTGAGTTTGCATTTAGCCACACATAAGCATTTACCTGATCCTAATAATCCTTGTCTTGATGTAACAAATAATCAATTTCAACAACGAAATTCAATTGATCAAGGTCAGCAACAACAAGGCTCGTATAGCCATCAACGATCAGATTCGAAAGCTTTCAATTTCAATAATATGCAAACAAACCCATTACAGTACCCAGGACAACAAGATCCGTACATTCCCATTGCAGGTCGTCCATATCCATATCCGCCTCCACCTCCACCTCCAAATCATCCTCAGCAGCAGCAACAGCAACTACAACTACAACAAAATCCGCAAAATCAACATCCGCAATCAACAATGTACCCTCAACAACAACAAATACCCAATTATCCCATTGTAGGAGCCATAAATAATTTGGCTTCTCCATTAAGACAACCACAACAATTGAACCAACAATTACCACCGCCATCGCAACAATCACAACCTTTGCGTGAAGGTGCAAAAAATCACACCAATTCCATGTATGGTATCTCTTTACAAAATAGCGGCCTTGATGTCAAGCCAAATTTACATTCTCGTACATCATCATACACCACGTCAAATCAGTTGCCAGATTTGTCTCAAATGCATTCATTTGCTTCAAATCAAAATGACTCACTTTCTTCAATTGCTGCATCTACTGAAAACACCACTTCTGGTATGTTGTCGTTTACCAGTCCCAAAAAGATTTCGGCTTTGGAGGCATATACGCCTGAGCGTGGCTCTAATAAGAATGCAGTGGGGAATAAACCGGTAAAGCGAGAATCGCAACAACTGCAAGAACATCAGTCACAACAGTCACAACAGTCACAACAGCAATCACAACAACAACAATCCTCGCAACAGCTGACCCAACAACAACCCCAGCTGCAGCTGCAACAACAACCACCTCAACTTCAACCACCTGTTCAGAACTCCAACCAAACAAGTCCAGCATTTTGGAACTTTGTCCAATTCAGCACTCCCAATGGACAAACTCCCACCAGAAAAGATAGTAATGATAGTGATGAACAAAACAATGGTAGTCCCACCATGAATAGGAAAAGTCACAAGAATGTAAAGCAAGAACCAGAAGAGGATTCTCCATTTAAGAAAGAGCATGATCAACAGGCAGCAGGGATGGTTGACTCGTGAAAATTAAAAGTGTAAACATACATGAGGGGGAAGGGGACGCTGTGTTCGAAAAAAGCAAACTGCTCTATTTTCATTTTTTTCATTTTGTTAATTTATTTATACAATCAAAGTGATGTCTATATTCTGTATAAAAACCCCCTCCTAAAAAGATGAACGATTTCGAATATCATTCAATTTTTTTTCAATCTCTCCCACTGATTTATTCAATTTTTTGGCAATCTTTACCTTCACGTCAAGTGGGATAGCAAAGTACAATTCCAAAAAATCTCCATCATATACATTCTTGCGTGGGTTGTAATAACTTCTCAACTTACCATGATTCTTACCGGCTACATTAACACCATCATTCCAAATGCCAATTTGTAATTGCAAATCATGCACCAATTCAATTTCTGATTTCGATAATAATGGAATTAATACCCCAATGGTACCCATTACTCCAGTATATATGATACACTCTTCACCACCAAGGTTGAATGACCCTAATTGGAACGAAGTGATTATATCAGGGATATAGTACTGGCAAAGATTTTGCAATTTGAACACACATGAGTTTAAATTGGACGAATTTTGAGCAGCCTGTTTCAATACCGTCCAATCTTGATCAACTTGTTTCGATTCTTCACGATCCAATCTAGTGACAAATATGTTGCCAAATTTATCTCCACCGATAATTGTATCATAATCCAATTGTTTCCAAGCAGTTATATTTCGTTTCACAACGTCATCAGCAACTGGTATAAATTGGTTCTCTTCATTGTCAAATTTAGCAAACACTATGGAATTGGCCAGGTCAGCCAATAGGATTCGATCCCTTGGTTGTGGTGATACTTTAACAATTGATTGTACGAAATCTATTCTCGTCAATGATTTGCGCAATAATTGTCGTTGACCCAACTCGTACAATGAAATGGCATTACCAGAAGCAACAAGTAACCTGTTTTGGAAAACCTCCATTACTTGAGGCACATATTTCAATTGGGTCTTGTGAATGTATTGTAAATTCCTCTTTTTGTCAATTTTGAAAGTGTAGAGAAGATTTTCCTCTTGTTTGGTCACACCGACTATCAAGTATTGATTTTTATTGAATTGGATCTTGACCATATCGACAATTCTCTGGTCTTTAACAAATTCCAATGACTGCTTGATTTCCCCATTTTCGATGAGTTGCACACATGATGCACATCCAGGACCTCGCTCAAATCCGAAAGCTTCATAATACTCGGGATCAACTCCATTTTCCACATCCTTGGTCAAATTGGAAACATACGGGGTGTTTATACCCATTTCAACTTCACTCGCAAACAATTTATCATCGTCACCACCCTTGACTATCTTTCTCGGTGTATACCTCAAGTTTAACTCAGTTACAGTAAGCTCCTGATTAGGATCAAAAATGCTATCCTCTTTGCCCACTGAGAAAATCACCAAATTATCATCATAGATACCAACAATTCCTTCGCCTCCAATATCCTCTGATTTAAATGATGCACCATTTATGATGTCAATATCTAATAAAGGTGTACAACGATACTTCCCCTGGTAGAAGTAACCTATCCATGGCTTTGTTGAAATTGCCAATACACCGGTAATATCATCTGATAATTTTAATTCATTCAAGGTAACTGGCTTGGGCCCAAGATACTTGATTCTGGTGTCCGATAACTTCCCGTTAAACGTATCGATTTTAGTTCTCACGTACACACCATTATCCATACCAATATGGATCAAAGTTGTCGATGGATTGTGGGTCAACATAACTAATGAGTTTGCACTTGACGACAATGCTTGCAATGACTTCACTTGTAAACAATTTTGACTCTGCAACGAAACCACCAGAATGGTTTCGTCTGAACACCCCACTACAGCAAAAGAGCTTTGTTCCTTTGGTATGCACATGCTACGAATAGGTGAGGAAACCTCCAATCGATCCTGATATTCACGCAACTGATCATCTTCAGGATCAGTCTCAAAGTAAACCAATTCCAAATTCGACATCCCAAGAAGTACTTGTTGGTTATTTGTGGTTGCATGAGTAATGGTTATACCAGCTGGTGGGTACCAATTGGTAACTTTCTTCTTTCCATTAATATGCCGTAAACCATTGGAATATACCTGAACGATTGACGACTTGCCCACCTGTTGAACGGCAACAGTTGGTTGATCCATTACAAACTTGGAGTCATTCACTTCTTCAATGACTTCTCCAATTGATAGAACCAACGTTTTGAACGCAAGCGTCGATGTGATTACCAAATACTCGTCATCCATGGCGTCTGCCGATGTTTTGGCGGTGAACACATTTGTTGGTTTTATTGGAAACAGAGATTCAACGAGGGTGGTTGTTGGCGTTCCATGTACAATACTTTTCAATTTTGATTTTGTTGATAAAGTCACCAACGTATCGTTGATTAATGTTGAATCCGTTATGGGGCTTAGTGACTCGACGACATCAATCAATGCCAAATTATCCAATCCTTTCAATTTGAATTCGACAACTTTTTCCTTAGTTAAGGGTATACTATCCATTTGTATTCTTCTGTTTATCCCAACACCTTCTTCACCGATTTCTTCCCCCAATTTCTCAAATTGGTAAAGCAATTGACTCCTATTCACACAATTGGCAAAACAAAGTCCATTTTTGAAAATGCTTAAGCTATAGCAAACTGGGATTGTATCGAAATAACTTATTTCGATATCCTTAACCAACTCGCGATCATAATCATAATCAATGACTAGTCGAAACAAGTCTCCAAATTCATTCTGCAACAAGATGAAAAATCCATAACTCTTCTTTTTCAAAACATGCGTAACATGAGTCACGATCACCGAGCTTTGACTTTTCCGTCGTGGTAATGGCAACGCAATACTTTCAGAGCCCAATTTATCATAAATGATCCAATTTTCACCACATACTAGTACCCCACCTATATGTCCCGGCACAGGTACCAAGTAATTTGCATCATTGGCTACAATAGCAACCCTTGATTTGCGTTTAACCACATGATTCATCCCCTGATCAAATTCGTAGTAGTTTAGCAATGTCACTTGTTGTTCATTATCATATTCCAATGCTGCAAATAATGGATTGGAAAAAGCACTTTCCAAACTAATCATTGACAAACATAGCAACAGTTGCTTTTTTTGAGCGACAACGCTAGCATACTCCACTGGTGAACTCAATTCCAATTTATCTCCACTATGTTCGACTTTATACAAGAACTTCTTCTTTTCCACAGCACCAACTAGTATACACCTGCTTTGTGAATCAACAGCAAGAAACTCTCCCGGGTAGCTTCGACTCCATCCATTTTTACACATGGGCATTTGACAAATCGATACAAACTCATTTCTTTTGGGTTCATATTGAATTATAGACAAGTTGCCTGAATCAGTAGTTAATACCAATACGTCATGATCATTTAATCGTAGTTTATCAACAGCATTTACTACTGCAAACAAATTTTGAGTTGTTTTGGTACTAAGCTTCCCGGTCTCTGGATCTGAAGTAAGTAATAATAGATGAGTTGATGAGATGAGTGCTAGTTGTTGTTGTTTTGCCCTGGGGATAAATTGTCCTAGCACTGAGTGGGGATAATTTGATGGTGGTTTTAGTGTGAGATTATACAAGTATGGCGATTCATTATCAATCAACATTTGGGAAAAGGAGGCGTACGTTGGTTATCGTTTGGTGTGTGGATTAATACATCAAAACTACTATTTATGGTGAACTTTTTCACTTTTGCGCGGCGTCGTGAGCGATGGGGTAGGGATCGCTTTGGGTGCCACAAATAAAGGGACACAGATCTACACTACGCAAAACTATTACAGTCGTAATCATTTCATGAAATTAAATAAAACTACTTATATACCCCCTTTCTACTCCCTCTTATTCTCTATGTTCAGTAGTTGACTTTACAGCTTCAATTTCATCTAATCCAACAACATTATCCAATCCATCTTGCATGGCATCAGTATGATCAGTAATCTTGAACCACAAGAGTGGAATAGCAATCACCAACGAACCTTGCACCAATGCCCAAGACGAAGCAAACAAGTTCATATATGGGATAGCAATAGCGTCCAATCTCCAAGCAATAGCAGCACCGGCTGATTGAATACCCTTGTAAAACCCAGCATACAAGGCGACTTTCTTGGGGTTATTTGATAACGCACCTAAGGTCCACAAGACATAAGTTTGGAAAATGGCATCGTATCCCCCGTAAAAAATGTAAAGAAACATGGGTCCAATATAACGGCCCTCGGTGTAATCCATGGGAGTGATCTTGGGAGGAACGGCTTCAACTTCATCTCTAGTGAACTCCAATTGGAATTTCAAACCACCACCCCAAATGGCTAATCCAAGAACAAACAAGATTGTCCAGCCTATTTTGGCTCTAGTTGGACGTGAAAATCGTTTAAGATCCAAAATGTAACCCAAGATTATAGCACCAATCATTTGCGCAAGCCAATAAAGCAACGAGTTCAAAGATCTGGTTCTCAAATTAAACATTCCATGATTAACATTATTAAATTGATAAGTGTAGAACCAATTGGATGCGAAAAACATGGGGAACATGATGAGAATCTTGGGTTCATGTATCAACAATTTGAACAAGTCCATCAATTCATCTTTCCAATTGGGGAATTTGTGAGTATCACTGGCCACTTTAGTACCATCCAGTTTCCAAACTTTTGAACTGGGCAACATGAAAAATGCAATACAGGACCCACAACACATTAACACAATAAAGGCAATAAAAGTTCCATCATTGGCTGATGAACCTTTATTTTCAATGTTATCAGCCAAGGGTATAATTGATCCAATAACAGCACCCAAATTGAAAATAACCCAAAAAATCATAATGGCTTTACCTTTATTTTGCTCAGTAGCATAACTCAAGACAACCAAACCTTGGGCTGACCAAAGCACAGCAGCACAAACACCCAAAAACGCACCAGCAAAAATGACAAATCCTTTGTTTTCATTGTGATTGAAGGATAATAATGAACCAGCATATAAAGCATACCCAATACCACCAAGCATCAAAGATGCACGTACACCAATAGTGTTACATATAGTACCACCAAAGAACCCAATAGTGGCAAATGTCGAATACAAAGCCACTGAGGCATTATCAGCAGTTGGCTTGTCGGAAATGGAGGCACCAATACCAGTAAGGGCATTGTACATACCCGGGGTCATGAATATAACGAAAGCACACATACAAATCTGAACCATGGCGTTGGAATAGTGTAGTTTTTTGCCAAATATATTAATGGTTTTGTCATACCATGCTCCACTTGCTTCAATTTCGGAAATAGTATGATGTTTCAATTCCAAATGTACTTGATCATCTTCGATGCGGTTTTCCAAATCTTTTGAGCCAGAGGAAGTTGAAGTGACTTCCATTGGAGCTGTACCTTTTTCCTCGGACATTTTGGTTATGTAGGTTACGTTGTCGATATATGATGGGAAATAATTGTTGTTAAATAAAAGTGTTTTATTGTATGAGGATCTGAAACGGCTGTAGCTCTGCTAGTTGTAATAATGTCGTTATTAAAGGTTTATAAACCGTTTCATCGTAAAAACCCTTCCTGGTGGATTTTGAACTGTACTTATATATGAATTTTTTTATGCTGAAATCAAACGTTGAATAAAAGCATTTAAAGATAAGCGGACTAAAAGTAATTTCATAAACTTAAGAGCTGCAAACACAGAAAGGAAGAACATAAAAATAAAAAAAAAAAAAAGTAATTTAGACGCCGTTCCAGTATAGGTTTTTCCCCCGCTTTAAAACTAACAACTATGAAATGTTACACTGTCACAATATATACAATGGAAGCGTATCTATATAAATGAAAACGATTTAATCCGAGTACAAAGTGTAAGCTGCTTGTTTCGCCTTATGAAAACTAAAACTGATGTACAAAGGCAATTTTTAACGCCCAAAAAGAAAAAAAAAAAAATGGTAAAAGAACTTGTTACATGTGTCTTTTAGTGTATGTTGTAGTTGGTATTTTACTTGGAAAAAAGAGATACCACTACTTTGATCCGTATCATCGATATGTAACTATTTTTATTTTGTTTTCTTTTTCTATTTTTGCAATCTTGTTGTATTTTTGCTTTTTCCATAGATTGCAACATCGTATAATTGAGGCGAGTGGTGTCAGGACAACAATACAACACGATCAATACCTGAGTGTCCCTCAACAGTACAGCGGTGCTTTCCGAGTCTGACACGGTCAATTCGTGTTATGTGGAGAGATAGAGGAGGAGAAGATACTTAGTGATGAGTGATCCTTGTCTCACTCTACGGAGCGGAGAAACTCATCGTGTGCCTTGTCCTTAATGCCAAAACTGACTTAAGATTTTTTGTGTAATTGTTATTTAATTTCCTATTAGGGATAAAATGAGTGCGGCTCTATTGCTTACTCACGGAACAATACACTTTCACCACTCTTAATGGGTTACTCTTACGAACCAATGCTATTGAAAGAAACTGTACTTAACCGAAAGAAGTGACCATGCTCCCAGCTTGTCTGGTCAATGTTAGTCGTTGGCCACTGCCATTCTCGAGATGGTGTCCTGAAAACTTCAATGGGAAAAGAATATAAGAGACTCATGTACTGCATACAGATTTCAAATGTAACATGGTTACAAATTTGATAAACAATGTAACATCATATTCCAACAAGATTCATATATCATCTTTCACCCATCATTTAATTTGTCGCATTTATCGTAAGATAAACCCCTTTAGAAGGAGCTTATTAACTGATACAACACTGGGTCACGCGATTCGATGTCTTGTGAGTGGTTGCACTTTGAAAATCTTACGATGAAATACTAATCTTGACGAAGTCTCCTTCTACCCTCAAAAGACCCTTTTCTCGAGCTTTAGAGTTTTCAACGGCACTTGAATCCTTGCCAGCTCATCTCTGTCACCACGATACATTTAATTTGCCTAAACTTTAAAAACACACACCGCAGCAGCAGACCCCAGAAAATTATGCCACTCGTAAAACCACAAGCACAAACTCTGTCTTTGCACAAAAAGAAGCAGATTTCGCTCTAATCGTACGACCTCCCACAATCTCAACTAGCCTCTCCATAGTTCCGAGCATTATTTGAGGTATTTCTCTTCACTACCTATTTGCCGGATTAAAGAAGAAACGAAGAAACATTCGATTCCAACTGCATCATTTCGGTATGTACGCTTTTTTTTTTTTCCAGCTTTAGTATGCATTTGGGACCGACCCCGTCTAATGAAAGCTAAACTTTTACTTCCGAGGGTAACTGCTAGAGGTATCTCATTTTGCACCCTTTTTCTTCCCACAAAAATAATCCCAAGATATAGTGGGCAATCCAAAGGCAGGTACAGTTGCTTCTCTTTACTTTCGTGTGTCTGTATGTATCTGGGGTACGTTGTGGGGTAAATGCATTTAAAAAACCTTGCAAAACCTTGTTGTTTTTGTTGCAATATTTGCAATGTTACATCTACTTGCAAAATGTAACATCAATACCGAGCTGCAACAAGGGAAGTTCTACAAAACTACCACAGAGCTTAGAAACACGATCTATTGAGTAAATAAAATCAACACACAAACTTATCTATAAACGTTAGGCTCCACTTTTCTTACTTCAACTCTTGACCAACTTTAACAATACTTTCAATCAAATCATCGACAACTTTATCACTCAAAATAGGTGAATTGAAAACGACTCGAAAAAACTCTCCTTGTGAAACATCTTCAGGGTTTGGACTGAAATCAACTAAGTACTTACCTTGTTTATGCAACTCTCTAGAAATGTATCTCGTTACTTCAGTGTTGGATTCACCACTACTACTTTTGTTGTTAATGGCACTTGGTGGATGATAATAAAAACAAACCTGTAAACATTGCGGTTCTTTCGGTCCAACAAGCTCAAACACACCACCAGGATAAGTTGTAATCTTGTTTACGAAATATTCTTGAATCTTGTACGCGTGTTCAACACGATGTTGAAACCCAATTTGCCCATAATATAACCAACTCAAGTAAAATTTAAAACTATCGGCTCTACGGCCACACCCCATTGTCCCATCAGCCAAATCGTAATTTTCATCATCATCATTATCACGTCCATGAAACAAATATGGGGCTTGTAACGACATAGCGGTTTGGAAATGAGCAACGTGGGGGATAAGTAGAAAAGAACAAGTCGTGGGCACACCCAACATCTTGTGTGGGTTAACAGTTATTGAATCAGCATATTGGGCACCAGCTAATCGATCTTTGTAAGTGGGGGAAAATACAACATTTCCACCCCATGATCCATCGATATGGAAATGTACATTGTATTTCTTGGCAACTTTGGCAATTTCTTCAAATGGATCATATGAGCCAAATACAGTTGTACCAGCAGTGGAGTTTATGTATAATGGTGTATATCCATCCTTGATCGATTCTTCAATTACACGTTCCAATTCATCCACCTTCAAAGTCCCCTCTTTTGTCACATCGACTTTAAATACGCTCTCACTACCTAATCCCAACAATATAGCTCCTTTAACCACTGAATAATGACAATGTTTACTGGTATAAATTGCAAACTTGTGGTTCCCGTTGCCATGCTGTTTAGTGTCGGGAAACTTCATACTGCGAGCAATCTGCATACTGGTGATATTCGACCACGATCCACCACTAAAAGTCAACCCACCACAAGTTTGTAAATTATCGGTAAAGAACAATGACGCATATTTCTTACCAATATAATTCTCCAACACCGATAATACTGGTGATACCGTATACACATGGGAATTTGTATTCAAAACACTCAATATAACATCGGAAATAACACCAATGGGGTTATTTGAAGCATACAACTTATCCAAAAACCCCGGGTTCCATGTATTGACCGAATACGCCAATACTTTATCAATAATCTCCCATAATTGATCTTCAGAAGCCGGTTTCACTAAATTGTTATCCAGGTCATTAATTAGTTCCTGTTTTAAAAAAGCCGGTTCGTGGTAAGTGCCCAAGGAGCTAGTCTTGTATTTAGTCGAATTAGGATCGGCCTCGGCAATGTATTGGAGGATTTTCGGTTTGATTAAAGTTAACAAATGATCCAATTCTTCAACCCGGTTTTTTTCCAAATCTGATTCGATAGTCATGACTGAGGGAAGCGTGTTGAGTATGTGTGAATGTAGTTTCACTTGGTACCAGGGTCTTTCTATTTGGTGGTTGAAAAATTTTTAAACTTTTTTGAGGAACCTCGGAATAAATCTCATGCACCCTATTTTTTCGGCGTGTTCCACAGTCAACGTTTACGTCATTTGGGGTAATTATCACGAGACACCGAAAAACATTGAAAAGCACCAACGACACCATAGACAATAGCACCAAACTACACCGAATACCCCATCGCCTCAAAAGAACATCTCTGGACACCCGCAAAGCATGCAGAAAAAAATCTACAAACCACAAGTTGATACGTTAAACAAAATATTACAATAAAAAAATATGATACAAAACTATAAGTCGTTACAGTGTGAGCACAAATCCATACCCTTTTGTGCCTATACCGTTTTGCAACGTGTGCCTCTCTCTCTCTCTCATGACTTTGGTTTCTTCGTATTCGAACTATGTTTAGCCAACGTTGATGATGTGCTTGATTTAGCACCACCACCAGCAACATCACTTTCACCACCACCACCGACTCCAACTCCGCCATTTTCTCCACCAACACTCTCCTCATCTTCATCATACTTGCTCTTCTTCTTCTTTTTGAGCCATCCGAACCCAACATAGTATATGAAAATATTGAATGCTCTAGTGGGGAACACACGCTCAACCCAAACATTAGGCACGATACGAATAACAATACCAACAGGTATACTAATAAACCCACACAAGATGGCCGTAGCCCACATACCTGGAGTTTGTCTCGCTATACTGAATGCAGCACCACCAACAAACATAATCAATACTTGGAACCCACCGATAATCAATGCAATAATGATGAAATACCAATTACGAAACAAGTGTTGGAAAAAATTCAAATTCTCCATCGTGATTCTACCACGTACAGTGGTGATTTCATCAGCTTCATCCAATTTACGCGTGACAATCAACTTCCAAAATTGTAACCATACAAAAGTATTGAACGTCATGGCATCCAATTGTTTTTGTTGGTGGTTGGAAATGTGCGAATGGCCCGGGTAAAATAATTGCTTACCAGCAAAATGCAAAATAAAAGTAATAACCAATTGTGTAATGGATTGACCCAAAATCATCTTCCACATTGATGTAGAAATCAATGGCGCATGGCGTCCCGCTGGTTTCCGATTCAAAAATGAATCATCAGGTTTATCGGTGGCCAAGGCCAATGCTGCCAAAGTATCCATAATCAAATTCACCCACAACAATTGCACTGCTGTCAAAACCGACTTGTTTTCGCTTGAGGCCACAGCTGAGACAAATGTCAAAACACAAGCAGTGATGTTAACTGTCAACTGGAACTGAATAAACTTCTTGATCGAAGTGGCAACAGTACGACCCCATTTGATAGCTTGAACAATATCAGTAAAATCATCAGTCATTAAAATGATATCAGAAGCTTCACGAGCAACTTCAGTACCTGCAATACCCATGGAAAATCCAACGTCAGCCAATTTCAAAGCTGGTGCATCATTAGTACCATCACCCGTAACAGCAACAACTTCACCACTTTTACGCAATGTATCAACAAGTATACGTTTATCTTCAGGTGATGATCTTGCCAATACTCGTAACTGAGGTACAATTTTCCTTCGTTCTGATGGTGAAAGTTTTCTAAATTTGGGACCCTCCATAAATGCATACTCATTATCCAAATCATCAGGAGTTAAAATGTGACATTCTTTGGAAATGGCCTTGGCCGTGTTTATATTATCACCAGTAACCATACGTACAGTGACTCCTGCGTGTTTACATTGCAACACAGCCTTAGCGACTCCTGGCTTCAATGGATCTTGAATACCAACCAATGCATCCAAGACAAATTGTTTATTGATTTCACTGGCGCTAGCGCTAACATTGATCAATGCATGAGGATCAACTTCATGTGGGTTTTCTTTGGAAACCATATTGGAAGGTGGCCATGATGAAATACCAACAAAATCACGATGTCCCAAAGCAATAGCACGCAATGCATCATTAGCATACTCATCAATCTTGGTCAAGACATCATCGCGTTTGGTTCTATCCAATTTAATCAAATCGCCATCGGTGTTTAACTCAAAACCACAGTTCTTGAACACAATTTCAGCTGCACCTTTGATATAAACGCGGAATCCATTTTCAATCTTCATGACAACTCCAGACCATTTTCTTGAACTTTCAAAGGGGATGACTTGTACAATTTCTGGTTGAGCTTCACTTCGTATCTCATCGAGTGATTTGTTTTGGAAAACATTAAACGTCTTATCAGCAAGAATCAACAATGCCGACTCGGTCTTGTTTCCCAAAAATGGTTCAGCAGAAAGAATCTCTTGTTGTTCTTGTGTAGCCAGCTCTGATTTAGAAAATAGCTTTTGGAAAAAACTCTTTTGCTTGGGTTTATGTCTAGCAGCATTAACCACGTCTTCGTCATAATCACTATTTTCAAATGCAGTTGAATTTAATGTAATGTTTGTGGCAAGGAAAACTCTAGATTCAGAAGTAATGTCTTCACCAGCTTCAACTGATGTAGGTTCGTACTGGTTGTTATCAGCAGCATTATCAAATTCCAAAACTTGTCCATCCTTTTTTAAACCAAAAAACCCTCGAACCACTCTCATTTTATTTTCAGTCAAGGTACCAGTCTTGTCGGAACAAATGGCGGTAGCACTACCCATGGTTTCACAACTCTTCAACACACGAACCAAGTTACCATTTTGGGCCATTCTTGTTGTAGCGAAAGCCAATGCCAAAGTCACTGCAAGTGGTAAACCTTCAGGAATAGCAACAACAACAATGGTTACCGCAGTAATAACGATATCAATAAACTTTCTACCTTTGTCAGTTGGGTTCAAGTTATGGAATGAACCACCTGGAGCTAAATCAACACCAAATCTAATAAGTAACACAATAAATAACACAATTGCAGCTAGGAACCCATACTTGGAAATCCCTTCTGCCAAATTATCCAACCTTTCCTGCATTGGTGTTGATTCAGGTTTATGTTGCAAACTAGCCATTGTTCTCCCATGTATCGAATTAGGTCCTACCGCAGTAACGATAGCATTACCCAACCCTGACAAGACTCTAGCTCCGGAAATCAAATACGGGTCACGTAATTTGATAGTGTGACTACCAATGTCTTCTTCAGTTGGTAAATGCAGTTCATAAATCTCCATTGCTTCATCAACGGGTACTTTTTTGATAGTGGCTGATTCACCAGTTAATGCACTTTCGTCACATTCAACATCACCTTGAAACAAGATTGAATCAGCAGGCACGACATCACCAGTTTGTAAATTGATAACGTCACCAACTAATAAATCATAAATGGAAACCAACTTCTTTTCTCCATTTCGTACAACAATTAATTCACGATCTTCCTTTTTAGCATTTAATCTAGCAAATTGTCGTTCTTTTTGATAATCATTGGCGGCTCCAACCAAAACAACAATGGCAATAGCCACCAAAATAGCAACACCTTCAACCCAATCTACTTTGGGCAAAGGTTTGCCCTCGTCGTCATAGTGAGTACCACTACCAAAAGTTTCATATAGTCCCAAAGCCAAGGAAACAACTGCAGCAATCGACAAAATAATCAATACTTTATCCTTCATTGCTTCCCAACAAAGTTGTATAAAACTTTTGGATGTTCTTTGTGGTAATCTGTTGATACCAAAATCATGACGTCTCGCTTCTAAATCGGCCTCATTGTGGTCATCAAGACCCTTTGGGGATGTTTTCAAAAGCGAACATAATCGATCAAACCCACCCATGTCGTACAAATGTTTCAATGACTTTGGGTCATGTAACCCAACCAAATCAGCTGGTGAGATTGGCGAGTCAAAATGACTTCGTGTTCCAGTCAATGATATCCTACTGGTTAATCTATGTGGTAAAGAATGGTGAGTTGGTGGTGTTTTGCCTGAAATTTTTTGAGGGTTGTGTAATGAAGGTGATTGTAAGGACGATGTCAGTTGTAACTCTATAGAGTCATGACGACTATAAGATGGAGGATTATCTCTTTGTTGAGTACTTTTGTATTTCTGTTCGCCGTCGTCTGTAGAATCTTGGAGTGGCGTAGTTGAATGAGTTGAGGAACCATCATCATCATACTGCGGTATTTCCAAAGTCGTAGCACGACCTAAACGGTCTGCTGGTGTTTGGGGTGCCATCGTAAAAGATTAAAAAATGGTTCAAATGCAGTTGAAAAGATAAAAGTGGGTGTACTTTTCTAGTGGCGTTTGTAATGCAAATAGTTGTGTATGAAATTCTATAATGATGGGTCTAGCAGTGGATTGAATGGGCAAATTTTATAATAGAAAAGAAACTCAAGGGGTTGAAGTCAAAAGGTACTTTGATTCTATTGATAAGCCTTGTTTTAGGAAATTGTGACAACCAGACACTACTGGGTGAAACCTTTTGTTGTATGTGTATAGGTGAAAAGCTATAGCTGTGTACTTGTTCATATAAATACCCAAGTGGTTGTTGAATAATTTATCCTTTGTCTCTATGTACTGCTTTGATAACTAACTAAGTTGATTTTAAATTTTGGTCAATTTGGATTTTATTTAAAACAAAAAGTGAATTTTTAATGTTGTTTTATGTTAATTTTTTTTTTTTTTCCGTTTTTGTTTTCAATTGCCGCTGACTGACTCTGTATTAACGCCAAATGAAATTTTCAATCCTATCCACAGTTTTAGTACACACAAAGCAATGAATGTTTATCAAAAGTATAGTTAGGCTCAGATATATGTATTGTTTAGATTTTTTGACCCTTCAGTTTAGATAAACATTCAAGTGTATTGTTACATATAACCTTGCAATTTACGAACTACCCAAAGAGTTTGTATCTTCTTGGCGTACAACCGTACAACAGAGAAACGTACCCTTCTCGCATAGCTCTGAGGCAATGCAAGTGGTAGACTCCCTTATCCTTTTCGACAGAGAGTAGCAATCGGGCACCAAATTTTGAAGAAATGAAATTTGAGTGACTGTGTTGTTGCCTAATCAGTGATCGGCCTCCACTGATTGCTGTTTTATTTATTTATTTTTGCTCCTTAACAATTTATCTTATCCAGCCCACAGCCCAAAAACCCCGGTCAGACTCAGCCTCAAGTTCATTACTTTGTTCTATGTGGTCTTCCCCAACACACTCTTCTCGTGAAACGGCACTGTTTCCACCCGGAGTCATGAAATTTTCCAACAAATACCCGGAATTGAATGACTTCTTCTTCTTCTTCTTTTTCCTCTACAACATCGTCATCTATGCATTAGAGGAATTAAGAATGTTTCAAAATGCATCAACGGTTAAAAGAGGAACTGAAAAATAATTCACGCATTACGCCCCCCACCTCTTTCATAACCGATACAACTATTCATGTGAGAAAACCGAGTATGTTGAAGAAATGGGCTGTGCCCCATTTGAGCCTAATCATTGAAGAGGTACCTTGGGCTGAGTTACTTTCTTAAACTCATGGCTTAAGTAGAATTTGATACGAGTGTGTCGCAACATTCAGTAATGTGACATGTGACCAAGAAATTAGTTGCATTTTGTGTCACTTGAGAAAAAGGAGGCTGTGTCAAAATTCACTATTACGTAATTTATTATGGAATAGATGGCCAATGTCAAAAGACATTTTTATGAAAAATTACCCAAGACATCTCTTGTTTATTGTTCAAAACTAATTTACACAAGAGACTGTAGCGTAGTGTACCTACCCCTGCCGCAGTACACTTCTTACCTCTTTGGAGCCGTACGACTCTATGGAGTCAAAAATATCGACACTTGACCAACAAGAAAACTCCTTCCCGCATTTGACGAAAAAGCTTATTTCTCAATGCCATCTGTTTTTCAACAAAAATCATTCTATTTTCTTTTACTCAATCGATCGTCACAAAACTTTATACCTTGAACAAGCAATAATAAAAGATAATCAGCTCAGAAATGGCAATGGCGTTGAAAGTTGTGCCTTACAACCACTATTGTCTGCCTCAAGCCTACCAGCGCAACAAAACGTTGTATTAGCTGTGAATAAATCTTGGCTACAATGCTACAATACGGGATCTCGTTTGCCTTCCGCACCACCAAAAGTTTCCTGGTTTTTGACTTAGCCTTCTCAGTCTTGACGTCACTCTACACAGCCCTGAGGCTACCCATCCCCTTTTAAACGCAGGGCATTTAGGTATTTCCAACGTTCATGTTTCAGTTTTTTGGTTGCAAAAATGCTGGATGAAGAAAACTAAACCTTCCGATTGTAGGCAAGCTAAGAAAAATTGTGCTCTTGCACTGTAAAAAGCATTGAGTACCAACCTGAATCTTAATCGGAGAACGATAAAAACTATCAAAGCTCATACCTACCTACGTTTAACTGGTTGATGCCAATGCAAACTGACAGCATCATGCCTTCAGTTTATTGTTGTAATTGTACATCGGCATTATCATATTAAGTGGCGCGTTGTGCACCTTAAGGGGTAATTTTAAAAACCCACAAAAAAATAACTTGTAGAAAAAAAAAAATTAAAGAGAAATCGAACAATTCCGCACAGCTAAGCCTCTTTTTAAATTCCATCACCTAACCTACTCAGAAAGCTAATTGTGTAACAGGAAGTAACTACAACATTCGGTTATCGGAGTCAGTCTTCTCAGAAAGCCATCGTTGATAAACGTATCTCATTTTGAGTGCGCGTATGTATATTTTTTTCACAGTTACCTTACATTCATACGGCTCGAGGCTTAGACTCTTGGGCGTAAGAGATATATACACAATCAATTTAACACAAATCAAATATGCGCCAAGCAAATAGAGACAGTCTCACAAAATGCATATAGCGATATCTTTCTTACGACAAGACTTTCTTGCACAAAAAATGGAAAGAGACATTGATCTTCCAATTTAGGAAAGAGTTGCGATTGTTGAAATCAAATCAGTGTGTGGGATGTTTGCTATGAAAGTGGGCCACATATCACAACTTGGATTGGATTAGTGCAAGAAATAAGGGGGGTGTCCCAGCAATTGAGGCTGTGACTATGTCATATTAATTGAACGTGTCGATTCATGCGAATACATTTTACAATCATATTTTGACAAATTTGAATAAAATCAATGCAAGCTCATTAATGAAGTCAATTTTATTAAATTAAAGAGCCAAAAGGCATCCTGTTGGCTACAACTGTCAATTTAAACCACAATAAACGTAAAAAACATCTATTCTTGACTCATTTGAACATGAATTTATATCATTCATTAGTCATAAACATAGCATGAATTTATCCCTTATGTAAAACATAGTGCACTCCCGATTTGGAGTTTAGCCCTGCTGGCCAAACGGTTAAGGCATCTGCCTCCTAAGCAGAAGACTCCGGGTTCGAGTCCCGGGTAGGGTTCTAGTGAAATTTATAACATTTTTTTATTTTTTTTTGGTTTTTGTCACCTGAGCACTACCTTGACCCCTTGAATATGGAGGGGATACAATCTGGAAAATTATTGTTGATTCGTTGAGGATTTGATTAATAATCGATCATTCATTCTTTTATTTTTTTTTGTTGTTGGTATACTTTTTCGCAACCAACAAAATGAAAAGTGTAAAAGCTACATACAATATTTACACTTACTCTAATATATATTCTCCCAAATCATTTCATTACCATAGGGGTCCCTAATACTCCCACTCTTGGTATCACATTTCAATTTCTCTCGACTACCAACATCACAAACCAATCTAACCAGTTGCAGTTTGTCAATAACTAATCTCGGCGGATGTCGAAACCACTGCTGTCCCCACTCCAACCCCTTCTCCTCCTCATCATCTTCGCCAATACTCTCACTCTTGTTGAGTTTAATCACTCTTAATCTTGAATCAATGACTTGCAAAGGAATGTACCCAAACAATCTCGCAGCAGACTCAGTCGAATAACAAGCAACCAAGTTATCCCAAGCCCGTTCTTTACCATATTTCAACCGTAATTTTTCTCCTAATGTAATACCGAATGTAGTTGTATTGAAAAAATATGGTGATCCAGTACTACCACTTATCGATCCACCAACTGTAGATGTATATCTCAATGAAATTGCCACTCGATGAGTCCATGCTATTCCCATAAGTGGAGGGTCCAATTGAAATGTACGGCTCGATATACATGGAGACACGGGGATGTAGTTGTACTTCACTCTCTTTTTGAATCTATGCTTGATTTCAAGGTAAGTCAATGTGGAAAGATTTGATGGGTTATCATGCATGAGCACTTCATCAATAGGTGCAATCAGAGTATTTGTGTCAGTGATGTAAATGACTGTCTTTGGGTTGTGATTTATTAATGATTGGAAGTATTTCAGAGTGAGTCGCAGGCGGTTGGATATGGTATGGTAGGTAATATTGGACAAGCTTGACAAACTGGTTGATTCTGGATCTAAATCAGTTATCGGTGGAAGCACGTCAGTCAAATCATTTGGTGGATTTAGCGGTGGGAACAACTCAAAAGCCATGGAAAAGCAAAAGAGGTAAAATATTGGCCACACCGTGTAGTGGGTGTGGGCATTGTTGATATTGTTGATCATATCAAAAATAATGAGTTTGAGAAGGAAAAGATTAAGTTTGGGTGCAAATTAGACACAAGTTGGAAGAGTACAGAGTCTACAACACAGACTTAAAGAAAACTTAGAACCCATCCAAATTTAGACTAGCTGACCTAGTACCGGCCACTAGATTAACAACGTATGCTATTCTCTACTCATATAGCATTCATAATGTGCTCTTATAGTCAAGTAACTTACAAAAGACCCTGCAGAGAAAAAATCAAATGACTTAAATTCCGAAATCCGGGTTTTCAGTCAAACATCCTTTCCTACACTGCTCAACCCTCCTTTCTCGCACCAGATGCCATGCCACTTCCACTTCGACTTCAACTACAACTACCACAACTCGCTCAAACCACGCGAACAAACCTCAAAATCACCATCTACTTTATCTTACCAATCACCCTATCAATCTATCTAATACCAACATTGTTATCACCAGAGATATTCACCTACTGGCAAACAAACTTCCGAGTCATCTTACTATCAAAACAGTTTTGTCAAGTTAAACCGCAACAATGTCAAGTGCTACTCGATGCCAATTTTGGTGACCCAAACCTCCTTTATCGACAAGGGTTCCATCATTATGATTTGATATATGTTGTCAACAAGTACATTTGGCAATGGGATAGTTTTGTGACGAAGTTGATTCTTTCCCCACCAATGAAAAAGTTGATTGTAGGATTGGCTTTCATACGTCATGGTCGCAATGCTGTTGCTGTTGATGACGACGCGTATTGGGAAATGATGCAAGAAACAATCCACATCATTCTTGCCATATTCAACACATCATTATTCCATATCGTAATGGGAATGGTGGTTTCTCGAATGTGGATGTTTTTCATTGTTGGCGTCGTATTGACAATCTTGGAACCATGGGAGAAATTGGCTGGTCCAATTTGGACTTTATTACAATCGGCAAATAACGTATTTTAATAAAGGAAAATAAAAAAAAAGCTACAAAAGTTATACACTACACTATAGTAGATCCTCTAGAACCCGAAATCGAATGAACTCATATCGGGCTCTTCAAAAGCTTGTGCCGGTGGCAGAGCCTTGTTTTTGAATGATGGTCGAGGCGACGTTGGTTGCGCTTGTGGTGGGGAGGATGGAGTGGGTTGTGACTCAGTAAAGGAGTCAAGCAAATTTGGTGCTTGCGCATCGCCATTCTCTTTTTGATGAACGTATCCATTTCCAACCTTGTCACCATCGATCTCACCACCCAGTGCCAATTGCCCTTGTCCTTGTACAAATGTCCAATTTCTCAAAAGTAACAAAGCGAGATACTCACATCCCATTCTCGAGTAAATCATCGCCACACGTACAACAAAATCAAACTCCTGCTGTGGGGAAATATTCAATGACCCTTTTAAATAATCCACTTTACGATGCCGCAAATCATTAAACAACAAAACAAGTACCGGGTCATCACGAAGAAAACTTTGCCCCTTTGATGAAACAGCAACATCTTGCAAAAACTGGGCGAATTTCCCACGACCACTTTGTTCAATCATTTGCATGGGAGATTTAATCAATGATTGGATCGACATTTGTTTATCATTCATTTGCCAAAACACCCAACTTGTACTCCATCGATCACCATTGGTAATGGCATGAGGCAAGACAAATTTCTCCATCACTTGTACCAAAACTTCATTCGATTCTTTACCGATATTTTGTACTCCAAAATAGACTTTAGCCACAGCTATGGCTAATGAAATATCCTCAACTTTTGTCGCCAATGTATTACAACAATCATAGGGTTTATCTGCCAACAAAAAGAAATATGCTGCATCCATATATCGATGTTTGCCAAGAAGAACAAATGCGTTTTTCAATGCAGCTGATTTCCATCTCGGATTGGTGAAATCATTATTCATAAATTTCAACATTTTGGTTTTTTCTTCGTGATTAACAATTCGCCATAATCCAATCAAGATTTGCTTTTTGCGTAAAGCCAAATATAGCAAAGATACTAACCCCGCTGGATCACGAGACTCACCAAACTCATTTCTAGCCACTGATTCAATCAATTTTATCAATCGTTCAGTCTTGACCCAGTAAGCTAATCCGGTTTGTTTAACATTCTCCCAAGTCAATCGATTTTTATAAAACACCTCAACCGAGTTCAACAATACTTCTTTATTATCTGAATGTAAAGCCCAATTGATGTCTCTCATTGAAAGACGTTTTTGTTTAGTTGCCAATTGAAACAATTTAAACCCAATCATGAATCGTATTCCATTATCATCCAATGTCACTGAATATTTATTCAATTCTTTAACAATAGCAACAACCGATAACAATGTACTTTGTTGATGTCGCGTCATCAATGGTAATGAAACCTTCATTAATTTGTCCAGTAACAAATCAGCCAATTCATCAGTGAATTTAGTAAACACATCCAAGTTGAAAGTCTGCGACATGCGTCGTTGTAAAGGCTTAATCTTGCTGCTGCCATTCGTTGTTGGCTCAAGATGTTTTTCCATCTCTTGAGCGAAATCAATGCCTAAATCCCATTCAATAGCTTGACCGTGTCGTAAAGCTTGAAACAATTTTACAAGGATATTTTGCACCGGGATAATTTGACTCATAAATAACGCTTGGATCAAAAATTGCGGATGATAAATGGGCAATGGTCCATTCAAGACACGAACCAATTGAGAAATATCGTATACAATATTCTCCTTATCCCGAGTTTCCTCCTGTGGTTTGTCCACATACCCACTCATCAATTGCCGTATTGTTGAATCAATGGTGCTTGACCCCAACTTAATCCATCGATCATCAATGAAAAATTGATTACCACATCCAATCACCAAATACCCCTTATCAAGCCAAATCAGATCACCAATTGCGTGTGACGTGTAATCAGACACATCGATTTTTTTGATCGTGGCATATGTGGGGATTTTATTTGTATAGTCATATCGTAATTGAGTGTATAGCAACACAAATCGACCAAATCCAACCGACAAGATGGCATTTGAGGTGGTTGAATTTTCATTACTTGTAGCATTAATAAACGTCCAGTCCAAATCAGTAACTGGCCCATTCTCCAAGGGAAAACTCTCTTCATATTCCAATACACCTTGAGTAGTATCCCAAATCGATAAACATCGTTTCGATTCATCAACAACAGCAAACTTGTTAATCACCGTAGACCCATTGATCTTGGCGGCATTCTTGACATTGGTGGGGATGCTGCAGGTAATAACCCATTCAAGCTGGTCCTTTGTATAATCCACAGTATAACTGCGCAACAACCCTTGCTTATCAATCACGGCAATTAAGCTTTTGTTGTTATCATTTAAAAACGCATCAACCCGGGTAATTTGATGAATTTCTTCATCTTGAGGTAAATGAGCAATCAGTTGACTTTCTAGCTCAATAGCATCAATCTTGTCATCTTGGTACGTGAGCACTAAATTCCACGCCTTGATCGAATCCAGCTCAAATACAGCAATGATGCAATATCGTTTCTTGTTTTGAGGAGCTCCCGGATACTCAGTCAATACAAATGTGCGAGGCAGTCGACCCAAATCACAATCGACAACATCGATTTTAGTTGCTGGTTGGTCATCATTTACTGATCCATTGCAATCCCAAAGACTCAATTTGCCCAATTTTTCAACCACTATAACCACATGGCGTCGCTTGTAACCGACGGGTGGTTCAATATCATTGATTATTGCCGCATCCACTATACCGTTCCCTTCCTCACCCGATAATTCCAAGCGGAACCGTTTGGTGATTGACATGATGTTTAATCCATTTTGTTCAATAATCATTGGCTCCCATATATAATTATGCTCAGCAAAATTGGAAATAGACAAGACAACATTCTTGGAGGAGTAGAGTGAGTTGGAACGCACCAATTTTCTAATTGATTTGATATGTCCTTGGTACTTGTTCAACAATGTGATTCCCAAGTTGTCCAGTTTCAAGAGCTTGTTAAAATCAACAACTTCAAACCGTAGGGTATTTTTCACTCGATCATGAAGCAAAAAAGAAAGGTACTTTACTCGTTCGTCATTATTCAATCGTGACAAGCTCTTGATCAATACTGGTTTCAAATGCGTTGTAACAAACTCTTTTGATTCAATGTACGCCACTGATAAGTCATGTTCACATCGTACATTTAAATGAGGAAACTCATTCCTACCAAATTCAAAATCCAATTTTTCACCAATGGGGACAAACTTGATATTTGTTGGTGGTGTTTGCGTTATATTTGTCACAGCATAGATTTTTGCTGTCCCTGAATTTGAAATCACATACAATAGATCCAATTCGTTCAAGTTGAGCCCATCAAATAGCTTGGACGGGGTGCTCTTCAAAATTGGAATCAAGCTATTTTGAAGGTATATGTTTTCAATAATGAGTATAGCCCTGATGCCATCGTCATTTTCAAAGCAATTAGTCAAGTCCAAGTTTGCCCAATTGCTTATATGGTTATGTCCATTTGATTCATAAGAAGCCCACGCTTTAAATTGATAATCCGAAGTCCACGTATAAATCACTTCACTCTCATTGTTATTGAGATTGACATGCCCCCTCATCTTTCGAATATGAGCCAATGACCCGTCTAGTACTTTTTCGTTTTTCCTACTCGATTTCCTCCGCCAATGGAAATCAACAACATACGTACCGGGTGGGTGCACAAGATACGACACTTCAAATTGAGTATTTTCATCACCATAGTTCATTCTCGTCCATACTTTGACTAGTCGGTCATATGGCCCACTTGTAGTCATTACAAGTTTAGCATTGGGACTGATACATATATGTGACACAGCACCAGGCTGCGGTGAACTCCATCGTTGTAAAAGTTTGAACTCGCCGTATTGCTCGGCTACATGGTACAAGTATAGGCTTTCCTTGCCACCAATTACCAACTCATCCTCTTCGCAGGCCCATTCAAGACAGGTTACCTCTGTGTCAACGGTAAATTCAATTGCCAATGTCCATTTCGGTATGGCCATGTACTCATTCATGGGTTTATAAATGACGAGTTTATCATCGTATGCAACGGCAATCACACCATTCTTGTGATTGATATCAATGGCTACGGGATCTTTCTCAAGATATATCGTTTGCAAGTCCTTGTCGATATTGTATGGATTGGGTCGTTTATTGGTTGGTGGGATTGTAGCGGTAGTGATGATTAAATTGTTACCTGATCCATAAGCAATAATATGATGGTTCTTCCAGTTGGATTGTACTGCCGAGCATGAGCTTTTGTTGACTTCACCGGGGATGAATGTGATAGTCATATGGGGTCAAGGGTGTTTTAGCGTAGTATGTGATTCAGGTGTAGAGTGTCGTTTGGAGTGAATCGAAAAATCTAGGGCCCCGCCAAAAAATAAAAAAAGAAAAACAAAAAAACAATCACCCCATCATCACAAGGGGAAGTAGAGCCGCTGATACGATATACACCTGACAATGGGAGGAAGGTGAGTAAAAAGCATACAACTACAATCTGTTTGATCGTACTAACTCCACAAGTTGCAAGGACCAAAAGATTGCATTAGCAATATGTTTACAACGATCACCATGCGTTTTAATCCAAAGACACACGCCCAAAGAATGTCTAACTGATCCTGATTTGAAGAAAGATCTACCAGAACTATGTAAAGCCAATTTTAGAGCGTTTATGGATTGTAAACTAGGTGCTTTAGATATGAGGAAACGAATGAGGGGCAATGCACCCTTATCAACTGGTAAATATGATGCTCAGTATGAGAAATTGTCATCGGGGAATTTTGACCCTGAGGAGGAGATTAGGAGGTTGGATGTGATGAATCGAAACTTGACAAAGCAACAACAGTTGCAAGAAGAGAAGGAGAAAGCTAGATTAGAAGGGGGCAGCTAAGGGGGGCAGCTAAGGGGGGGAGGAAAAAAAAACACACGTACGTACGCTTGTTATATGTAAATAGTATTTGATGTAGTTGAATCACTTCAACAAATGGGAATCTCGTTCAGTAATCAACTTGGTTATGAATCTCTTGTACACGGGGTTGAAGTTGTTTAAATCAAGAAACACATTTTGCATCGATATCAATTTATCAATATGATCAAGTAGAACAGACTTGTCTCCTCCACTAGTGGCGGTCAATTGTTGTTTGATACTAGCCAATAACTCATCTAGGACCAGTTGAAACTCGTCCACTGTGTATGTCAATTTAGTTTCATTTATTTTCGAGATTGCGTTGCTTATAGTTTCCAATACTTCAATGACAAGTTTCAAGTTATTTTTGACCAATTTCAAGTGAATCAAAGTCTGTACTGCTTCATTATTGATTGTTTCGTTTACCTCGATAGATTTATTGATTTCAACAAGCTCTGATTGTAAAGATAATATCGAATTATCAAGGATATTCAAATGGTATTGTAATCTTGATGTACTGTTACCATTACCATTACCATTACCATTACCATTACCACCACCACCATTACCACCATTGCCTTGTTGTTGCTCCTGTTCACCAGATGATGTATGGATCAATGTACTTGATTTGTCCAACATTTCGAGTTTTTCATGCAAATTGTTGTTGGCTATATCATTGACATAGTAATCAAAGTGAGTGATTAACTGGTTAATGGTATGTGATAGTTTTGTTAGCGATTGTTTGGAATATACTATCGATGGTGGTGCAGTTGATATGGAGGAGCTCTGGTGAGTGGTGACTGAAGTGACTAATTTGTCGATATAAGTGGATGGATTAAACTCATCATCAAAGAACATAGACATTGACTCGTTGACATTGTCAGTGGACATGGTGAAGCTAAAGAAGCTAAAGAAGCTAAAGAAGCTAAAGGAACTAAAGAAGTTAGGAAACCGTGTATTTGGTCTTGAGTAATTCCAGTTGGATGAAAAATAACAATGTCGCAAATTGAAGAAGAGAATGCGACATTGCAAGAAAAAAAAAAAAAAAAAGGACATACAGACAGCCATTAATAACAACATCAACTTGAGTTTACAGTCGTAGATTCACCTTCACTTTACTTCACTTCCCTTATCTCTCTCTCACCACTTAGAATAGTGCCCCATCATCAAGAGTTAGTTACAACTACAATTGCAAATGAGTTTCTTTAAAAAAACCTTTTCATCAATTCAGACTAAAAAGCTATACAAAAGTGTGATATGTAAAATATATGTGGATTTGTAGGCTTTCTCACCAATCATTTACAACTTGGATTGTGGTCTTGGGTCCAATTGCTTAAAGACAGATTCAATAGCAGTAGCCTTCATCAAGTTACCCTTAACCTTCAATTTACCATTCATAAACAATTTTTGACCATTGGCTTTACCTTCAGCCAACTTAACAAAATCGACATCCTTCAAAATCAATTCAACATCAGCTTTTGGTGGAGCACCTTCGACTTTCTTGATGGAACCTTCATTCTTCAAGTCCAAGAGCCATGCTTGATCTTTACCATCCTTGTTCTTCAAGTTAATAATGAGAACGGCATTGACAGCTTGAACAGCAGCTTTGGAAAGATCCTTGTCTGAGAGACCTTGTTCAATTTGGGACAAAAATGGAGATGCTTTAAATCCTTCAGCTTCGACAGACATTGTTGTTGAAATATGTATATTTGTATGTGGGGTGTTATTAATACTTCTTGTTCTTAATAATAGAAAGGAAAAAAGAAGAAGAAGAAAAAGAAAAAGTGATGAATGTTGGAATGGATGAAGGAGGGGGATTTGTTGGTCAATTTATATTTTGCAAAAAAAAAAAAATTAAAAATGGGCGTTGGTTGTGTGTTTTTCTTTTTGAGGTTGATGATTGAGATGGAGGGAGGAGAGGGACGTTGATTTTGCTTTTGCTTTTGCTTTTGCTTTTGTGCGTTAGTGTGTTAGTGTGTTAGTGTTAGTGTGTTAGTGTGGAGTATATAACTGAGGTTTATATGCAGGAGGAATACCGAAACTTCTTTCTCAAGCTTCTCTGTTTCTGTTTCTGTTTCTCTCTCTCTTTCTTTCTCACACTGTCTAATCTCCCCCTCCTCCTCCTCCTCCTCTCCCTCTATTCTTCTTCTTCTTCTTCATGTGCACACACACAATTTTTATCACATGCTACGCACCCACACTAACACACACACACACACTAACACACACTAACACAATAGACACACAATAGACACACAATAGACACACTAGCACTAGCACTAGCACTAGCACTAGCACATGACACAGACTAATTTTCACTCATTCTCATTTGTGTTTATCAATGTAGTGTGTATATATACACACCCATACGGTATCTTCTATCTTGTTTATGTGTTGCTAATGAAGTATATAAAATCATATGCTTGTGTTAATGTGACTGCTACCAAAGCTTACTACTAAAGTTTTTGAAGTACTATACAACACACATGTTAGTTATATGTACAGTTTTGTTCACCAATGTATGTGTGTGTGTATGTGTGTATTTGTATTTGTATTTGTATATATATACTGCAGTGTGGATGTATATTCATTGTATTTCCTAATTAGGAAATATGCAATAGAAAATATTTTTTTTTCTGCCTCGGTTGATTTTTTTTTCTTAGAGACTGATTTCTTCTTTCAACGGTGATAGTCTTTTGTAATAAAATAATATATACAGGAATATACATTCCCCCGTATCCCAAATATTAATCCGCAATAGAACCCTATAAGCCCCATACATAAGATATTACCTCAGTATAGACAATAGACAATAGACAAAAGAGCACACGCTTTCAAGTGCAAACTCCGTTTACACTTTTATTCAGAACCGATGTTAATTTTCCGCTTTGTGGCTTTGATATATATATATATATATCCTTAATCCGTGGGTTTTTTTATGACTTTTTTCCACCCCCTCTCTCTCTCTCTCTCTCTCTCTCTCATACAATACTTACCCCATACTCTTGCTCTTTCTCTGTTCCACTGCAAGATTCAAGAGCATCGGTCCATCACAATCGTCAATGCACAAATGTTTCCCTCTTTTGTGGCAAATAAGTACAACAAACATTTATCATGTGCTATTGATATAATCCATACTTGTTCTTCAACATGTATGGTTTTGAACTGCTCTTTTGTTGGTTTGGACCGCATAGCCTTTTCCTTTTCTCTAGCCACAACCGTCCCATCAACGTAGTTTACTCAATTAACCTGTTTACAAAGTATAGAGATAGTTTAGATATGGATCTTCTCTCCTTACTTTTTTTGCCACCCCCCCCCCCCTTTTTCCCCTCCCCCACATTTCAGAACAACCTGACACAAAAGCAAATCAGATACACACCCAATCAACAACATTTAATTTATTTTATTAGATTTTACTCTTTCATTTCATTTCATTTCATTTGCTGCAAAAAAAAAACCAAAAAAACAAAAAATAGAAAAAGGAATGTGCCCTCATCAACCAGTGGATAAAATACACGTTTGATAGAAGCACACAATAAGACGATCACACGTAGTCCTCCTCTTTTTTTTTCTGTGATTTGTGGCCAACAACGCTTTATGAAAACCACATGCAAAGACAAAAAGCCAAATCATATTTCTTTTACTTGCTCCCTCTAGTTTTGATTTATTATCTTAGCCATATTACCCCCGTTTACTTTTGACATGTGATAGTTCCACAACAAACCACTTTCTATAAATAAATCGTCATATGGTTTTGGCAATCGCGCACCTTGTTGTGTGTATCAACCGAGCTTTCCAACAAGACACAAACTAAAATATGCAAGTTAATTGACATCTCATCTAATGTCATTAAACATCATGTGAAAAAAAAAAACCAAAAGAAAAAAAAAAAAAAAAAAAAAAAAAGAGAGAGCCCCTAAAACACACGTGATTATCACATGACTTTTATTCGTGTCTCAAGAACCTTTACCACGACACTTTACTTGTGACACTGAAGTTTCTAACAATTTTCACTCTTTACTCATCTCATCTTATTTCCACTGTAACCAAGTAGAAACCAGCAACACCCATACAGCAGTCCCCACACCCAGCCACAATGTCCTTCACATCAAAAGCGTCTCAACACCAAGCTGAACAAACAGTAAATAAACTATTTGCAGATATACTACATACGCAACCAAGAGCAACAACAACAAGATCAACAACAACAACAACAACGAAAGCCGCTAAAGATCGTGATGCCAAACTATCTTCAACGCAAATCCTAACTAATCAACTCATGCAAGGATCAAAACCCGCTTCGACAGCCCGATCCAAACAGCAACAGAAACGTAAATTACACCAAAAGATCAAAAAGAAAGAAGCCCAAGATAAGAAATTCCAGAAATTTATCAAGTACAATCAAATCTTATCCAAACTGCCATCATCAAGAACCGATGCTGAACGAGCCTACATCAACAAATTGATCCGCAAGAATACCAATCAATTGAAACAGCTATCTCACATTGACGATTTCGAAATCGAATCGGAATTGGAAGCTGTCAAACTGCAATTATTAAATGAATTGCACCACCACCCGACACTGAAATCAAGAATAAGGAAAAAATTAACTGTGCCTAAACAAAAGAGTAGCGCCACCGATGAAGAAGGTTTAACGAAGCAAGATTTTATCGATTTCGATGATAAAGTTAAACGTGGCTTGATTTCAGTTCCCGGTTTAACACCAGGTTTGGCTCCAGTTGATGAAAATGAATCGGAATCAGACTCAGAATAGACATCAAATAGAAGCAAACAAATGTATACCATCTATATTGTATATACTATCCACTGATTCTAGTTATCTCATCTCGTACAAGATTTGTCGTAAATCAATCGCCAATTTCCTCACATTACGTTTCTTGTCATCCAAACAAACTTCCAATTGTTTCAACACTAAACTCTTGTATCGTTCAACAACATCAACACTAAATTTCTCAAACACAAGAATCAAGTTTTGCAAGGCCAATTCCCTGATTTGGGGACAGGAACCATTGGTGGTGGAATTTGTCGCCAATTGCATCAATTGAGGCACGATTTTTGACAAGTGCAGTTGCATCATGGTGGCATCTTCTCGTAAAATGATTTCCAAAATGTTCAATCCTGCACGATAGATTAATTGTATATTTTCCCTCGACGCATGGCAATTTTTGGTTGTGGTTGTGGTTGTGGTTGTGGTTGTGGTTGTGGTTGTGGTTGTGGTAGTGGTGGTCATGGTCAATGCAGTGATTACAAATGGTGTGAATGTTGATAAATGCGGCACCAAGATCTTGTGGGAAATATGCGGCAAAATCATTGCCAATGCTTGTATATTCACCATGGCATCGGTTTTCGAGTCGTTTTCGTCCATCAAATATGGCAACAATTGCTCAAACACCTGTTGTTTGTACAATAGCTTCACATTGAGATTATTCACCTTGGATATGACTTTCCTTGATGCTAATGCCGCTGGTGTATTGATAAACAATTTTACATCAATAACAAGTAATGGCAACGCCAGTATTATCAATTGTTTATGTTGTGGTGCAGTAGTTGATGATTGGAAAGTTTGCATCAACTCAGTCAACGATACCATTCCACTCTGATCAATCTTCATCAAATGAGCTTTCAATGTCCATACATATATTTCAAATTGATTCATATCGGAAAAACTCAATTCTGGTGAGAATTCCTCCACTGGCCCAAATTTGTTCACTAAAAGACATAGGTGTTGTAGATACTGCACTCGCAAGTACTTGCCATGTAAATTCGACAAGATCGTCGTTACTGCATCCAATGACGTTGCAACACTTGTCAATTTACATGATTTATCAATAGCTGAAACAATCTTGTTATAAATGCTCATGTAGCCACTTGGCTGATTTAACAAGTTTCCTTGATACTGAAACACCAGTTTCGAATCCCCATCAGTACAAAAAATCAGCTCCATTTCATTCAAGATTGCTTGATGTTTGGTAACATCAATGAATCGAACAATAATACGAAGTAAATCACCACTTACTTCCAATAATGCCAAACTTGCTTCATCATTTGCATCAGTAGGAACCAAATTGTACAACAACTGCATAAAATTGGGGATGAATTTCTTATACCATGAATTTGTCAAAAATGGTTGGATAGTTTCCACTTTATTGAACAAGGTGACAAAGAATTCGACAACAATCTGTAATGAATCCAATGTAAAGTTTTGCTTATTCATGATTCTAATGGACACAACTTCCAAAATTTGATGATTGATAGTTAATTGTTGAATGATATCAAGTGCAAATTTGAATTGGACATCAGATACAGCGTCTTTATTCAAGATTGGATTTATAACTTCATCAATTATAGAGGCAGTAACCAATGGTTGCCCCTCCATGATAAACGACAACCGAGCCACAATTTCATCAACAACAACAACATCCTTCAACTCCGTGACAATACAATCTTCAATTATCCCTTTGAAAATCTGTAAAATCAATTGTACATTGGTCAATGTCAAAAAACTCGGTATTGTCATCAACTTGCACAATTGTTGTACAACTTTACACCTCAAGGTCTTTTCCAAACTGGATGAGTTTGATAATAATTGACATAGAAAAATGAGTAAATGGTCTTTATAGTTGTGCAAATGGGTTTCAACTGCCATTGGATGGGCAATCAAGATAAATCCTAAATTATCAACTAAATCACGCTGTTTGGATATGTTTAGCGTGAAATCATTGTTTTTATTCATATCCATATCCATATCGGTATCAAAATCATCTTGGTTATTGTCCTCTGCTTCACCCTCAACGTTAAAGTATTTCCCCCAAACACTTGATCCAAACAAATAATCAACAACAAAGTTGTAATTCTCCACAGAAGTGCTTGCCAACAGTGCCAAAATAATCACTGATGGTTTACTCTTGTCTTTTTGCAAATTAGGTCCCAATTCATCAACTACAGTTTGCAACATCGATTCCCGCAGCAGCGGTAACAGAACCTTCTTTATCAACTTTTCCAATATCACCAAAGTTAAAAACAACACTTTTACTTCATCGTTATCATCAATTGACGTATAATCTTTTGGAACAATGCTTTCCATGGTGGGTTTGAACACTTCACACTCATTATGCAAAATTTCAAACTTTAATGCATTCCACAACGAAAGCCAATGCGAATCAATCACATCAACAGTGTAATTCTCCACACACATGGCAATTGTTTTCAATGTGTCATTACGTATAACTGGATTGGTGGATGCTAGTTTCTCCACTAAGCTGGGGATCGACTCTGACGCAAATCTTGATTGTGATGCAATAACTTGTCTTAGATCCGTCTTCAACTGCTCAGGAGATATCTTGTATTGGTCATTAGCAGGTGGAGTAAACGAAATGGGGAAATAACAAAAACAAACATCAAATAAATCAGTCACAAATTCCTGGTGTAAATTTGAATCAGAAAATTCAAATTCAGCATTGATTGTCTTGTTCAATTGGAACGACTGTAACAAGTTTCGTGGATCTTTTTCTCCTGATGCAATGTGTATAAATGCCTTGATGTATAAGTTGGGCACCGAAGTCAATACGAAGCTCTTGTTATTCTCAAACAAACTATTCATTATTTGAAACCCTTCGTAGCGAACTTTAGCCAAATTCTTTCTGGGATCGTATCCAGTAAGAAGCTTGTTCAAAATCTTTTCACTGTTCAAACTAGCAGTGTATGCCTTACACATAATCAATGTGTTGATCCCTTGCAATGCATGGATCAAACTCAATTTATCATCAAATTTACTCATCAAAAAATCAATCATTACTCCCACATCTTGTCGTGAGAGTTGGGACAGTGGCAAATTACCCAACACTGAGCTCAAGAATTGCATACCACGACTCCTCATGATTTCGTTATCTGAAGTCAAAGTAGGTCCCAAGTGCTGAACAAATTGAAGTAATGTTAGTTGATTCCTGATGAAGAGATCAACAATTTCGGAAACGTAATTGTGTGCTACATCACCATCATCATTGTTACCCACAGCAGCAACGTATTGACTTATCAATACCGGAATGTTATGAGTCTCAACTGGAGTGGACATCGATGGCATGTAGTTTGATTTTTGCAATGCCTCTCGATAAAGCCTCAAAGAATTTTGGAAATTTTTCGGCGTCTGTAGAGATTTCGTCATCGCGCGATCCCGCAGCCCTCAATTTTTGCGTTCCAACACACGTTAAAACCATTAGTGGCTTTTACGTAATAATATCGGTTGACCAATCTAAGCCAAATTGTAACACCGGTAATGACGGCCATATGGTGAAGCAAAGACAGAAACCTGTATGTTCGTGGTCCCATTATATTCTGTGTCACTTCTGGGGATCACCTGACGCAATGTTTGCAGAAGCACTATTCCTTCATCTAACCACTTCCCCCTTCCTCTTCCCCCTTTCCCCCTTCCCCCCCTCCCCACTTAAAGTTTACCTTGGGCTCAGAACGTCGTGCACACTCATACTACGCACTTTTCTTTCTTAATTTACGCGACTCTCACTGTAAAATCGATACCATCGCTGTTGTGTAACTGTTCCCACTTGTGTTGTAGCTCAAAATCGTTTGATGGAGACAACAGAAAATCTTTTAGAAACCAAAACAGTTGATTCCCATCGTCACACATACATACACACATACCACCACTACTTCCAGATACTATAGCTCTTATTAGACACACGCATGATAGACTGTTCCCATGATTGAAATACCCGATTTGAACTCGATTTACATCCCAAATCTAGAACAAGATGCCACTACCATCAATCATCAAGAGACAGACCAAAACCGGCAGCATAATGGACAGCATAATGCTCCCGTAAACGATGTCTACGTAGCATCTCCAGCATCCCCAAATACCCTCCCCACTAGATCAATCGATCAAGAGCCAGAAATGCAAGAAGTAAGCAGCAGTATTGACGGATTCGAGATGGACAGTATAAATTTCAAAACCAACTCAGGGCTATCATTTGGCAGTGATCAGAACATTACCACTCAACAAGTAGACTATGGTCAAAGCGAAACCCCAACATTGGCAACTGGCTTGTCGTTTTTACCCAATAATTTAAATGAACACAAGACAACTTTTAAACTACAAGAACCGCCTGTGAATGGCCACTATCAAACCGACTCAGCAGACCTACATCTATTTGAAGCTAGTGACCAAGTTGGACCTATAGAGACTCCCAAATTTGCTCTCAAATCGAAAAACACTCAATTATCACTCAACCAACTGCTAGCGTCGCCAATGTCTATAATGCCACAACATGATCACACTGAGCCTTCACCACAACTACCGGCTCCATTATCATCAACATCTTTACAGAATGTACTTACGATGAATGAGAACGGAGGAGGACAAGGAGAAGGAGGAGGACCGTCGCGGAGAAGCTTAGCCACTGACTTCAAAACTCCAGCTGAGTATACACTACATATCATATTCACCCAATTTGTCCGATATGCAGAAAGGAAACTAAATGTGTTTCTTGACTACTCAGTAACCGATGAGTCTTCATTATTTAGCATCTTTGCTGAAGGATCTGATCCGCAATTCGACAAAATCGTTGAATCTTTAGGTTACATTGCCAGAAGAAAACCTAAACCAGTGATTGATAGTGTTATGTTTTGGAGGAAATCAAAAAGTGAAGTGGCGGCAAATGCTGCCCACGAAGTGGAGAAAGTATTGATCCAAGCGAGAAAGACATTGCCAGAGGATGCCCAATTGGCACTTGCAGCACCTGCACCACCACCACCAGCACCAGCACCACCAAAACCAAAACGTTCCCTCAGTCTAATGAGAAACAAATCGAAGTCTCATCGTCGTAATCAATCATCGGTTTCGACGCTTTCGTCTGATCCAGAGTGGATGAAAAAGAAGCAAGTGGTGGATTCACAGGTTGATGTAGTCAAACAAACAGCCATAAATGCTGAAAAGAAATCATTGGTTTCGATTTATATCTTGTGTCGAGTGCTTATGGAAGTTGTCAAACAAACACCAACTGAAGTAATGGGCGAGGACTTAGGCGATAAGTTGGAGGAGATTGTATACACTCAGTTGAAAACAACTGATCCGGCAAGCACTAGCCAATCAATAATACGAGCAGCAAACTGGACTTTATTTGCACAATTACTAGGACTAATGTCAGAAAAGAGATTTCTTAGTGTCAGTGATCGATTTGTTTTCGATTTGGAAAAGCTTCCGCAACGTATCAACCATGAAGATGAAGCAAGATTGTATCTACTTATATCGGCGATGAAGTACCTAAAAATGAACCATTACCCACCTGAGCTATTTGAAGATAGTAAAGAGTTTATGCAAATTCTCGCAAAGTTTTTTGAAAGAACGACCAATGAAGCAGTGCTTTATGCATATTGTGACTCCATATCAAACTTGGTTCTCCCCTTGGCCAACAACTTAACCGCCGAGGCCAATGACCCCGGGTGGAATGAAGGCATTGAAAAGATTTACAACAAGGCAATAGACATGTGGAGGAAACTACCCGAGGCAAGCACTTCAACCAGTATATCGAGTATCTTGCACCCACAAACTTCTCATTTTGGCAGTGGCTGGTCTCATTTGATGAATGTGATTACAGCAACATTGTCGGTGTCTCGAAAGGAGCTATTTTCAGCTAAATGGTATGCCATTATTGAACAAAATGCATTCAAGTTGAAGCCGAAAGTTGACGTACATGAAAAGACGGCGTTTGTGGTGTACACCAGTCGATTATTGTGGGTCTATTTCAATCGTGTTCCCGATTCCCTCAACTCAACTATTAAAAAATTGGATGATTTTTTCAAGTTAATTTTATTCCACCCCGTGTCCACCAGTAAGAAGCAGTGGCTAACTCCTGATTTCGAACTTATTGGCGCCTTGGCGCAAATGATTAAAATTGTTGGGTACAATCATCTTAATTACACCCTTGAAAATGTCTTACTTCGTTTATTACGCGATGCATTTAGCCAGTCAATAGAGCATCTTCAAACGGAAAAACTCATGTTGGTGGTTAGATCGTATATCAAGATATTGAAAGAGTTTGAGCGCAAAGATAAACCACAATTTCCAGGAATCGACCAAGGAGAACCAACAACGAGCTCCCAATTTCAATTTGTTGCAAAAAACAGTACAAATGTGGGATTTCATGATGAATTTGGTCGCACTTTTGGCACGCTATTGAAAATGCTTGATCACCAATATGGTGTCACTTTAGGCGACTCTGGATCCGCCAAGTCGCTGTCGTCATTTGGGTTTTTCAGTAATGAATCGATGACAAAGATATCCAAGGATACGCAATTGGAATTGTTTGCTGATTTGATTGGCGCTGTTCCATACACCATGGTTCCCACGCAAGGCGAAACACAATGCGCTAGTGGTCTTCCGTTGAAGCAAGTGGTGGAGTTGTTGACAAGAAATGCCGTCCATTCGAGTAGGAAAGTACTGGATGCTTCTGTGGATGCATTGAAGGCGCTATCCACTAGGAAAAACCCCACTACCTTGTTGAATATATTTGCTAAATTTGCCTTTCAGTTATCGGAAAAGACAAGCTCAGTATATGATTCAAACTATTTGAATTCACCTACTTTCATCTACCTTTTGAAGCTATACACTGAGTTGCTTGACACTTGGTATCAACTGTTTGAAGTGTCGAGTGATCCCAGTGGGAAGAACCCTTTGGCACAAGATGACGAATTGATGAACAAGGACGTGTTGAATGACTTGTATCAAATTAACCATAAACATGACTTGCCGAAACTGAATACTGGAAACGAATTGGAGTGGAAGACGATCATCAACCTGGTGGAGAGTATTGAAGGGAATGGATTATTTTTCCTTTGCTCACAAGATCCCCAAGTCAGATCATATGGTATTAAAATATTGCGCACTGTTGACAAATTTGACCAAGCGATATACAATTTAACTGAAAGGGAGGAGTTTGACCATAAGCTGGACCCCAAAGATGCAAAACAACATTCGCGCAGCTCATCCAAATTTGCTGCTGATTTCGGCACTAGGATAATCCATATCTTGGAAGAAATTGATTTTCACGACCTCATCAAACCCTTCAAGAAGGAATTGAGTCTTCCTGAACGTCAACGATTGTTACGTCTTAAAAGTGATAAAAACGTGTTGATAAAAGTTGTTGAATCTGATTATGGAATTGACTCAACCATGTGGTTTCGATTATACCCCAAAATTCTCGAAATCTTGTTTGTTAAATGTCCCATGCCCGTGGCAATGTGTCGTGATATTGTTTGCGTCAGTTTAGTACAAATGCACGAATTGGTGTTTGAATTTTCTGAAAGTGTCAAGTCAAATACGTCATCATTATTTTCCACCAGACTGTCTTCAACTGTGGCGCCAGAAGTGTTGGTAAATCAGTGGAAATTGTACTTGGTGTTTGCTTGTATTACACTCACTACCACCAATGAGCAAAAAATTTCATTCCCTACGCAGCCGACCCACGGTAGGAAACGTTCATTACAAATGTTTATCCAGCATCAGAAAATCACTAGTGCCAAGTCCATTTTCAGAATGGTTTTACCATTGCTTAAATCACATCAAATGATGGTGAGGGAAGCCGTTATTGTTGGATTGAGCCATATCAATATCAATATATTCAAGACCTTTTTGGAAAATGTCCCCTTGGTGGTGCAAGAATGGAATACAAATGTCAAGCTGAGGAATTTTGCCGATGATCGATTTAGAATTGAGATTATTCACATCTTGATGAATATAACCGACAAGTACAAATCTAATAGCGAGATTTATGGCGATGATTCAATTGTTACCGATTTGATTGCCATTGTGAAGAATGTAAAATCATTTCTTACCCTAAGCACGGTTCAAGTTGACATTGATTTCCAACGATTGCGTCGGTACTTTTGCGAATTTTTGGAAAATGTATTTTTAGCCCTTCAAGGAGATAAGTTGGACTTGTGGCTCCCTTTTGAAGCAAGAATGTCTTGTTTCAACTATTTAAAAGAATGGTGTGGTTATGGCGACTCTAGTGCAATAACCGAGGAACGATACAATATCATCACTCAAAAAATTAACGAACGCAAAGATTCACCGTCAGCGATTGCTCTATTGGAATTTGAGAGAAAGAGACTTGAACAATCTGCATTGAGTTGCATGGCGATTTTGTGTCTGGGGAAAATTACCCAGGAACTTGATATACCGGGTGCAGGAGTGGCGTATGTTTCTTTTGATATTCCTGTGTTGTTGAACTGGATACATGCATTGTTAGAAGCCGAAGATAGAGTACAGGAGATTGGTAAATCTGCATTAAATAACCTACTTTACAACAATTACAATCATGCCGACATTGTAATGGAAGTGATTAGGCAATGCTGTACTAATCTGAAGTCGATGCCGGTATATTTTTGCACCTACGTGGATGCATTCTTGTCGAAAGACAAACTGGATTCGGTGCTGGATGAGTTGTTTGTCTTGGCTTGCTTTTTGTGTGGCAATGGTGACATCAAAGTTAGACAATCAGCGTTTAAACTATTGAGTGAGCTTCAAAAAAGGATAGGTGGCACCAGTTTGGATCAATTTGTGGAAACAGTTTATGGAGATAGCTTTGTCGGGAGGAGAAGAGTTCTCGGTGAGATTGCAAGAGTTGTTTGCGAGTGTGATAAAGAACGGTTGTACAATCGAATCTCATATTTGGCTCAATTTTTCAACATTGTTACGTCAAGAGAAAATCTTGCCATCATTTTGACCACATTTTTAGAAAAAGTCGAGCTAGTCAAGGACGATCCACTGTCAATAATGGTTTTAAACAACTTACTTGAGATTTCAATAAAGTATGAGACTGACTACTCACTGATTGAAGCTATGTGGACAGTTCTCAGCAAAGACAATTTCGACATCACCTTTGAATATATTCTCAACACATGTCTTGAATATCGCAATGCATTCCTCGTTGACAAGGCGAGACAAGTGGTGGATTATTTAGCTGCTGCACATCTGGACAAGTTGTATGTCTTGCGCAAGTTGATTAGTAATTTACAACCAAAGCTGATGATCCCTCCTGCTGCAAAGCCGATAGAGGTTCCAAGCTTGTATCCGTATGTGTCAGATTTATCGGAAGTGCTTGATTATAACGAAAAAGACGCAGCATTCTCGCTTGGCCAAATATCTGTCATCTTTATAGTTGACTTGATTGAGAAGTGCCCCATTTTGGATGAAAAATTACCTTTATTGTTGCATATATCTTTCACATTGTTGGATCATTATCTTGTGTTGGTGAGAGAGCAAGCAGGCAAACTTTTGATTCGCTTGGTTCATACGTTGGCAACTGATCCTAATGATGTGGTATCCCATATTCGAAACAAGGATCATATAAGGGGCTTGTGGGTTTATGACGACTTGAATAATGACAAAAAGGGGGCTCGAACACCAAACAATATGATTTCGTTGGTGAGAAATGTTCTTCAAGCATTTTCCAAGATCCCCACCTTGCAAGACGATTGGAGTCGAATTGCGTTAACATGGGGAACTACTTGTGCTGTTAGGCATAGTGCTTGTCGATCTTTCCAAATTTTTAGAGTTCTTATATCGTTCCTTGATTTGAGTATTTTGAAGGCAATGTTTCACCGATTGTCCAATACAATATCTGATGAGTCTGCTGATATTCAAGGATTTGCTATGCAGATTTTGATGACCTTGAATGCCATTGCTGCTGAACTAGATTCGCAAATGTTGATTGATTTCCCGCAGCATTTTTGGTCAAGCGTTGCTTGCTTGAGTACCATACATGAGCAGGAATTTATCGAGGTATTGTCAACCATGAACAAGTTTATATCCAAGATTGATTTGAACGCCACTGACACCATTAATTGTCTTATTTCAACATTCCCACCAAAATGGGAAGGCAAGTTTGAAGGATTGCAGCAAATTGTCACTGTGGGGTTGAGATCATCAGCTTCTTGGGAGCCAACGTTGAACTTTATCGATAAATTGTTGTCTATAAAGGATTCGGAAATTGTCGGAATGGGTGACCCAAGAGTGATTACCGCATTGATTGCCAATATGCCCGTTTTCCTCAATGCATTGGAGACAAAGACAATAACGCCGCAAATTGAGAAAACAGCTACGGCAATTGCCCACCTTGCTGAAGATAAACCATCTCTTGCGAAGATTTTGACATCTTTGGGCAAGAACAAATTTCGATCAAAAAAGGACTTCGTGGTGCAAATGGTGACCACATTGAGACAGTTGTATTTCCCCGACTACGAAGTGATGATTCTCATATCACTATTGAAAATACTTTCCAATCCAACTGAGTTCATCAGGAGGGAAATTTTGGTCTTTCTCAGGGCAATCATTCCATACATTGATTTCAAGAAGGAGGAGTTTATTGGACTCGGTGCCGATTTAATTTCTCCATTGTTGCGGTTGTTACTTACTGATTTTGCTGAACCGGCTTTGGAGGTGTTGGACGAAACTGATGTAATTTCTGGATCGTTGATGGATAGAGATATTTTGAGGATGAGTCTTGGCAACACTTCTATTAAGAAGGAGTACGAAAATACAGCAACATTGTTTGGTATCCCAGAAGAGAGTGGTTGGTCTATCCCTATGCCGGCAGTTACTGCTGCCAGTACTCGTAACAATGTTCATGCTGTTTTCTCAACTTGTGTTGCCCCAACAACTGTTGTTGACGAGCAAGAGAATAATGAGGAAATCCAATTTCATATGGAGGATTACTACAGTCCAAGCATACATGATAATGGAGATGCGGTGTCAGTAAGTGTTGACGAAACCACCTTGAGTAATATGTGGGCAGCACTTGACGATTTCGACAGTTTTTTCAATACGGATAAAATGGTCAAGAGGAAAACAATTAGCTCACCAATTGAAGCTAGACCACTTAATAAAGCGTCGCCTATTGAGAGTGCACCAAACACATACGACAAGAAAGTGTCCGCCATATTGAACAAGACATTAACAACAAATTCAAGGAACAATTTATTGGATTACATTGGCGAGACGGAGCAGCAACCACATGCATCACCAGCTATTTCGTCAAGACGATCATATATTCCTTTCAGAAACAGGTCATTGGCAAAAACGAGAGAAAGTTTGACAACACCTACACTTGGAGCTGACATGAGTCCGCATACACCGTCATCAGCATCTATTGTTGCAAACTCATTCAATGGCAGTGATGTTACACAGCAGGCAATGTCACCAGACAGCACAAGATTAGATGGATTGCTTGGAAAGAGGTCCAGGAAGAGAATGGGGTAGGGTGTAGCTTCTGTATAGTTTGTACAACGTTGAAAGAAATATATAAGTATACACAAGGTTTGACAATCCGTTGACGTTGCACACAATTTCAGTCTTTTTCATTGAAAAGCTTTTCTGCGGAAGTGGTAGATACACAGGATATTTCATTGGCACCATCAGAAAGGATAGTTGTACTGTTGCACACACACTTTGGATGCAAAAAAAAGGAATCTTCATCTTTCAGCAATTGTTTGCTGGAAAAAAAAAAAAAAAAAATTACATCAAGCATCACAAGAGCATTACCACAAGAGTACGAGACATCATGCCACCAAAAAAGAAGCAACAGCCATCAGATAAGAATAAAGCCAAGGCCAAGGCTAAATCAGCCGAAGATAAGACCTTTGGTATGAAAAACAAGAATAAGTCGAAAAGAGTGCAACAACAAATTAATCAATTGCAAGCAGGTATTGATGGAGGAGCAGCCAAGAGGAAAGAAGCCGAAGCCAAGAGGAAAGCCGAGGAAAAGAAGGCTGCTGAAGAAGCCAAGAGGGAAGCAGCTAAACTTTTCGGAATACAACAACAAAAAGTACCCTTTGGAGTTGATCCAAAGTCAGTCTTGTGTGAGTTTTTCAAACAAGGTGTTTGCACCAAAGGAAACAAGTGTAAATTCAGTCACGATCCAAATGTCGGAAGAAAAGATGCCAAGAAGGATTTGTACACTGATGCAAGAGAGGAAAAGGAGCAAGATACAATGGATAACTGGGATGAAGAGAAATTGCGTAGCGTCATTCTTTCCAAGCATGGTAATCCAAAAACTACAACTGACAAGGTTTGTAAGTACTTCATAGATGCAGTGGAGAATGGTAAATATGGATGGTTTTGGGTGTGTCCGAATGGTGGTAATGAATGTAAATATAAACACTCATTGCCACCAGGATTCGTATTAAAGACAAAAGAGCAAAAGAAGTTGGAAAAACTAGCGGCAGAAAGTGCACCAAAGATTACACTAGAGGAATTTTTAGAGTTGGAAAGAAGCAAGTTAGACAAGAGTACATTTACACCAATTACAGCTGAGTCGTTCAGGAAATGGAAGATTGAGCAAAAATCAAAGAAGGAGGATCAAAAGAAGGAAGAGGAAAAGAAAAGTGGGAAGAAACCGCAAACTGGTAGACAGGTTATATTGGAGAAATTCTCCGACAAGTATTACACGGAGGAGGATGATGGTGGAGAAACTTGGGACTTGTCTCAGTTTAAATCGGATCTTCCTGATGATAATACTATAAAGGATTATGGAGACGGGTCCAATGCGCAGGAGTATTATCAAGATGAGGTGAAGGAAAACGGAGACGCCAAAGTTAATGGTGAGACAGTTATTCATGCCTAATTATATAGATACTACTTAACACGTACATCTTCATCCAATTTGTTGCAACTGCTTTCAAAAAACTGATCATCGCTATCCATGAATATGTGGATTTGGGTGTTTGTATTTTTCAAAGCAGTTATCGCAGTGGATACTCTGCGCACCCACTCTGCGCCCTTTTTATCTCTATCTTCCAATTCCATAAATCCCGGGGAGTCGTAGATGCTGTCTGGATCATAGTCGTATCCATTCCTCAGCGTCGTTCTAGATCGTCTTGGAGGGAGCGGTGGTCTATACTCATCAATCATCAGGTTACCATCAGAAGAAACATTGGATGATGGAGGGGCAGATACAGGAGGGGGAGATCCTCGACGTTGAGATGATCGAGTGGATCCCTTGGACTGAGCGTCTGCAGCAACTTCCTTAAATTGAGGTTCTGACGGCATTTCACGCAGACTTGAGCTACTTTGTAAGTTCCTTGGCTTTTTTGGTTTCATTGGGGGTTTCTTCTTTTCCAGTGATGCAGTAGTTGGTGGGAGTACCGGCGAATCTGACAAATCAATCAAGTCAACATCTTCAGTCTCATGAGGATCCGCCTGGCTACTCAGTGATGCCACTTCACTCTCCTGATCAGTACGTGACGCTTCTGTTCTCCTTTTGGCTAGTAGTCGTAATAATTCCCTCAAAATGCGACGGTCATCCTCAATGGATAACGAATTCTCGACGTATCGAATATAGATCGACAACACTCTATTAGGATAACTGATCGCTAGGTCAACGTACGCTTCCAAGTCGTACTCTCCAGAATCTCCAATACAAACAAACTTTTTATCGGGAAAATCTCGGAGAATCTTATGCAACATTGTTCTTTTTCTCGACAGTGATGGCTCTAACAACGACGAAATCATGCTACCCAAATATCTTTTCAAATGTATTGAGCCCTTTGGCAATCCAGCAAGATTGAAATATTCCGATATCGAGGGGAATAATTGCCATGGTGAATTGGAAACATAAAAGAAACTAACATCGCGTTTCTTGCTAAGATCAATGTACCATTTAACAATGGAAGGGATTTTCCATGCTTCAAAGTCTTGCAACAATAAATTTCGAAGTAAGAGTCGTTTGTCACCAACGACTCCTGTGAGCTTAACTGTATCATCGATATCGCTAATAACACCTAGTCCTTTTGACGGGACTATCATGACATTTTGTGCTGCAAAGATTGTTTCTGTAACCATTGAGGAAGCAAATATTACCGAGGGTTTGTAGTTGACTTCTATGGTGGTGTGGAAGTAGCCATACCCATCAGTCATCAATTGTTCGTGAGCCACTTTTTCATGTTGACTTTCGGACCCAATGGTGATTTTAATTTCAGTGTTTGGTATCGATTTAGCAAAAAAGTCTGCCAATCTCTCATTGATGATGGCATCGGAGGTGGGCGAATTCGGCGATGAATTTGTGCTTTGATCCGATGCCACCGAGTGAATCGATTCGTTATCAGAGTCACTTTCTTTGTGATGTACTTGATGCACGGGGAGGTATGCAGTTTCACTTTCAATTTGTTGCTCTGCATCTTGATTATCTCGTTTCATCAACAGCTTGATCACAGACATCATGACTCTATTTTTCCTATTCATTGCCCCAGGAGCTGACATCCAACCTGCGACATCGACATAATACTTGTTCTCTAGCTTTCTTGTGTATGTTGGATACAATTTTATTCGTGTATCTTTTGGAAGTACAACCTTGCCTTCCTCATCGTAGACTTCTCTGGGATTAGTGAATGCTTTCGATGCACCAGACGCAAGTGAGGTCACAGATCCAGTGATTTTGGGGATGTAGTTGTCTCTAGTGCTCCTTGCGAGTCCTATCAATCGTTGCCTTCTTGACATTGGATTGCTTTCAAGATTCATGTGATGAAACGTGAGTGCGAAATGACACCAAATGTAAATCCAAATGGTAAATGGGTACGCCAACAGTATAGGCTAATGGTTATCAATGAAGATGGACCGATGGGGAATCAATGGGGAATCAATGGGGAATCAACGAGGGAACAATGGGAAGTCAATGGGAGCAATGTAGATAACTAAATGGCAAAATTTAACTAAATATGGGTGGACGGATTTAAGTGATAGTTCCACCTAACGCAGTAATGTATGTAGATATAGACCAAAGCTTAATGACAAAATTTGACTTCTTATGGATCTGTTGCTATTGATCTCACTGTACTCCGTTACAAGATCAGCTACAGTTTCAAAACCGAAAAAATATCTAGCCGCCAACTCTAAACCTTTATCCCAACGAAAATGTCACTAGACCAATTGTCGATAGGAAACGAGCTAAAAGATTCATACAAAGCCACATCTACATGGATTAAGAATGGTATCAACTTTTTGGGCGATATCGACGAATTCTACCGTGAACGAGCGGTTATTGAAAAGGAGTACTCGACAAAGTTGAAAGAGTTGACGAAGCGATTTTTTGAAAAAAAGGCCAAGATTTCATCAAACTTGTCGGTAGGCGATGAACCTCAGATTACACCTGGATCATTGGAAAGTGCCTCATTAGTTCTTTGGAATGATGTGTTGACCCAAACTGAGGCAATTGCTGATGAAAAGGCTAATTTCAGTCGTGAGTTGCAACTGAAGATAAGTGACAATTTGGTGAGTTTGAAGGGTAAATGCGAACGTATTGAGCGTCAGATAGGTCTGATTAATGAGTATTTAACCACTGAAAAGAAAAGTGTCGAGGATGAAGTTGCAAAAGCGAAGAAGCATTATGACTCGTTGTGTCAGTCTACAGAAACCGCTAGGGACAAGAACCAGAAATCGCCTAGTGATAAACATACTCGAAAGCTAGCGGATAGAGAAGTTGAAATGAATAATGGGAAAAATGCATATTTAATAAAGATTAATATGGCAAATCGATTAAAGGACAAGTATTATTACCAGGATGTGCCGGAAATATTGGACTACTTGCAAGAGTTGAATGAAGATAGGGTAGCCTTGATGAATAAATTGTTGAAGAATGCCAACATTGTGGAAAGAAATTCATTAGATAAGGTGAAGGAAAAGTTGCATTTGATTGACAACACTATTGATCAGAATAACCCTAAATTGGACATTGCAATGTTTATCAAGCACAATGCTGTTGATTGGGCAGAGCCACAGGACTTTTATTTCATTCCATGTTCCTTCTGGCATGATGATGAAAGTTTGATAATTAAAGAGCCCGAATTGACTGAGTTAAAAAAGCGACTCAATATTGCCACAAATGAGTATAGCAAGTTTGAACAATCGAGTTTGGATATGAAACAGTCACTTGAAGAGAGCACAGCCAAAAGGAAAACTGATGAGAGTATTACTCTTAAATTTGACTCGGGATTGCAAAACTCACTCACCTTATTGAGCAAATTTATCAAGGAGGACACCAACCGTGTCAAGAATGAAGTTGAGATTGAAATTATTCAAAACTTCGCTGGTGACAAGGACTTGAGCTATGTTGCTCCTGTGGCACAAAAAAAGTCTCGATTTGGGTTCCTCAAGGGTAAAAAGACTGAACATGAACAAAATGATGCTCATTCTGTCCACACTGTGAAATCGCAAACGTCTAGTATTCTACCAAGTGGAATATTCAACCTTCGAAGTGGCAAAGGGAAGGAGTCGTCCAATGGGCCAACTGCAAAAGCTTTATATGCATATGCAGCCACCAGTGCCGATGAGACGGGAATGCACCCTGGTGATGAACTTTCCGTCGTGGAGGAGGATGATGGTTCAGGATGGACATTGGTCACCGGTCCACAGGGACAAGGATTGGTGCCCACATCATATCTTGAAGTCAAAGCGGCAAAGAAACCGCCTCCAGTTGCACCAAAAAGAGGTGCAAAAAGAGTACAATACTTGGAAGCGCTTTACGATTACACTGCTGATGGAGAAGATGAGTTAAGCATCCGCGCAGGTGATCGGATTATTTTGGTTGAAGATGACACAGACGGTAGTGGTTGGACTGAAGGAGAGTTGAATGGAGAGAAAGGAATGTTCCCCACTAGTTACGTAAAAAAAGTATAAACCTTTTCGAAATATACATTACCTGATTATACACAAAACACACATCTTTTCCTCTAATGAGTTTCACCTGGGATCTCAAAAACAACTTGTTTTCCAGTCAACTTGGTGTACAATTGTTGGAATGAGTCCAATTTGTAGTCAATAGCAGTAGAGTCCTTTGAGTCCAACAAGACTTTTTGAATCTTGTTACCACCAACCAAGTATCTTACTCTCTTTCCGGTGATTTCAGTTGGGAAAACCAAATCTTCCAACAATTTGTCGTGAACGGCAGTCAAGGTTCTTGATCTTGGTCTCTTTTGTTGTTTTCTGGCTTTTCTTGATGGTTTTGGCAAGATTCTTCTTTCAGCCAAAAACACAACATGTCTGTCTGGGAATTTCTTTTCCAATTCTCTGGTCAATCTGGTTTGGATCTTTCTGTAGCCGACTACTGATGGTGGTGGGACGAAAATGGCAAGGGCCTTCTTTCCTCCATTGACATCGATTTCTCTAACGGATTTGAATTGTAATGGACGTAAATCAGCTTTCAAATCGGTGGTAGATTCCAAATCGAGGAAAGCTTGAGCAACTTTCAAGTCGAGTGGAGATGGAGATTCAGCAAGGATCTTTGATGCCATGGTAGTTGATGATGATGGTACTAGATTATAGCTCTGAAACTTTTTGGAACATTTCAATTTTTTTTTTCTGGTGGTGGTGCACTGAAAAATGAGATTGTTCACGTGAGAGAAAAGAAGAAAAAGCGAGGGAGGGTATAGCCCTATGCAAGTTTGTGCACGTGATTTTCATATAAAGGAAGTCGGCACTGGAATAGGCGTGATTGACGTGCATGAGCTCTTATATGATAAGGGGGGTACATACCAATTTGTTTATATGGTGTAGAGACAATCTACTGTGTCATTGCATTTTCCTTGTTTTTGGGTTTTGATACTCCCCACTTTATTTCCGCACAACTTCCACCGGAATGATTCGGTTGCTGTACTTGCCGCGCTTGCTTCAACATCGACTCACCCATACCATGTCCATTGAAACCGCAAAGAAGTTGGCAGCATATAGAGCTGTTGATGAGAACCTACCACCCAATGCTAAAGTTATTGGTATTGGATCTGGCTCTACCGTGGTTTACGTTGCTGAACGTATAGGTCAGTTACCCAACAAGGATGATTTTGTATGTGTATCGACTGGATTCCAATCTAAAGCACTTATTATTGACAATGGGTTACATTTGGGCCAGATTGAACAATACCCATCACTTGATATTGCTTTTGATGGGGCCGATGAAGTTGATGCACAGTTGAACTTGATTAAGGGTGGAGGAGCTTGTTTGTTCCAGGAGAAATTGGTTGCTTCTGCTGCCAAAAAGTTGATTATAGTTGCTGACTACAGAAAGCAGTCAAAGAAGTTGGGTGAAAACTGGCATCAGGGTGTGCCTATAGAAGTTGTGCCCATAGCGTTTACAAAGTTGATTGGCGATATCACCAAATTGGGTGCCAAAACGGTCAACTTGAGACAAGGAGGTAAAGCCAAGGCAGGGCCTGTGATTACCGATAATAACAATTTCATCTTGGACGCCGATTTTGGAGAGATTGACGATCCAATTAAATTGCACACTGAGTTGAAGCAATTGGTTGGTGTTGTTGATACTGGTATCTTTTCAGCAATTGCCGAAAAGGCATATTTTGGGGAAGAGTCGGGCGATGTAACTACATGGGAAGCAACTGTTATAGAGGAGAGTAAGTAGGGACACACGAATTCTTTTATTTTGAGTGGGAAGAGATCCAATTGAGTGTTTCAACCAATCCGGTTCCATCTATGGCCACTGTTGGAATAACTGACCAGGTGTGATTACCACTCAATTTGTTTAACTCAAACTTTTCAATTAGGTCCTTTGGCTTGACCGCGCCATCAACATCCTGCTTGTTTGCCAACACAACAAGCAAACAATTGTTTAACTCTTTGTCCGTTATTATTCTGTACAATTCCTGTTTCGACTCTTCCAACCGCGATTGATCACTTGAATCAACAACATAAATCAATGCATTAGTCCCCGTAAAATAATGTCTCCACAATGGTCTTATTCTCTCTTGCCCACCACAATCCCAAACTGCAAACGAAACGTTCTTGTGTTTGACTGTTTCAACATTGAACCCTACGGTAGGCACAGTCTTGGAAGTTTTGCCGAGTTTCAATTTATAAAGTATCGTTGTCTTTCCCGCATTGTCCAACCCAAGCATCAATATCCTCATCTCTCGATTTTTGAAGAGCTTTGACTAAGGGAAAGTTAGTAAAGGACTGTGACGCGATGAGGGCTAATACATACCACTAGAGAACCCATGACTGTATTGACGTAAGTTGTTTCCTTTGATGTTACAATTTTTAATCAAATGATTTTTCGAGTTTTGTCAACAAAAGACAAAAATTAGACGAGTAAACAATTACACAAAAGGGAAGGAGCTACTTTGCGCGAGTTTTTGGAAAACATTTCCGCATAGGGAAGTCAAGGGGGGGGGAGAGTGGTACTGGCAATGATTCCCCAAAACAATCTTTGGAGTTAGTAAGGTGTGGATGATACCCAAGTTTCGAATGCATAATTAGGTCCAAATGCGCTTGGAGTTAATGGTTTATCTTTTTTCAAGGGTGTTGGTTTACGCAACTCCCTCCTAGGAGGTTTTTCCCCGCCACTGTGTGCTTAATCCCCGCTCTTTTTATGACAACATTTCACCATTGGATCATTCTACCTTGCACACACATCTTTGAATTCTTACTGAACTACTAATGACATTTCACCATTTTAAGGTATATCATCTTCAAATCAATTCGAGTAAACAAAACACTTCTACAAAAATTTAACTTTAAATTACTAATTCGGCATACCCTTTATCCTTCTCACCATAAAGGAAACCATTCAACAAGAGCGCCATTGACGAATCATTATACCTAGCCATGCCCATCCAACTTAATTAACACCTCTTCCTTCAAAATCTTTTTCAACGTTACGAACGATTTTGGAACGTTCTAGATCATCTTTTATATTCTCTAATTGGATTCTTGTTGCCAAGGACCAATCTTGTCCTCTCATCTGTTTGAAGTTGGGGCGTTTGGCCCATACATATACAATATCGTCCACGTATGATTTAATAGATTTGTAGTGAACTAACCCTTCTGCATCACGATTCGTTAACACCAAAATTTTGGCTGTAAATCTTTAGTCAATGTACTGGATGGAGATCTTCACTGCATTACTTAGCTCCCCTTTTGAACCAATCAACACGAAATTACCCTTATATGAATCTTTCATTAATAAGCCAAAGGGTTTGCTGATGGATATCTTTTCTAGGACAATAACAAGGACACCACCATAAACATTCTCGAAATCGTTATCATTGTTTGGGCTTAGCTGATATTGTGGAGAGCAAATCATATTTTACCATACCGAAGAACGCAACTGCTTTTCTAGCAAAAGGTCATGGTATAAACTAAATTTGGTAGTTTCCTGCACTCAATCCAAAACCTTTTACAACATCTTTTGGGACCTTTCTAATATGTTGCTGCAATTATAGTATAATCCATGAGTCATAAGAACTTTATCGTAGATTAAGCTTTGAAAGATAATTGGAATGATCGCGCATAAAACTTGCCTCTTTTAGTATCTGTTGAACTTATCGTTGACTTGTCGTTTTTGATCACGCGGAACACAATTTGGTGGCCTCGTGTCTGTCTGAGGTGGATAGATTGATACGATTGTTCAACCACTTGAATGGGGTAAGCATTTTGGTATGACGGGTTCTAATCGGCGGAACAGACATTGTGAAGAGGTAACTAAAAGTTGCAAGATTAAAATCTTTTATTCAAAATATCAATTATACTGAAAGCGCTGAGATATATTTTCAATATGGTACAAAATTGATCGTGTAATGATTTCAACGCTGTAAATCTATTTGCTATGTACCATGCGGGAATTTCATCCAAAAATTTGCTGAATTTTTTTTATTGTTTGCAATGACTTCGTGACTCAAATGACTAGGGCACTATTTGGTTGACTCTCATTTGTGAGGTGTTTCTAATCTTTCTTGTTGAATCATCGATATTGACACGATACTTCTCCTGCAAAAAAGCCGGTACGATTAGATACACTCGCTTACATGCTCTATCATGGTCAAATTGTAACTCAAAATATTGTTTAAACATTTGTCCGGCGAGTGGTGAGAAAACAAGTGGTAGTTGTTTTAATAAATCTGCCATGTGATAAGCATTAATTTTGTTGATGTACAATAAGTTTTCTTTCAAATCTATTGTTTCATTTGGTTCCTCCACATCAATAGAAAATGCATGTCGGATAAAATTGTTGGCCACCACATAGAAATTAATGTAACGCTTGAGCTCTTTGATTGTACCACATTCAAGAGTCAACTTAAATGAGAGTGACATCAATACTTTCACCTTGGCATTGTAATCCAATGCATTGAACATACCTCGAAATCTTTTACTTGAAATTTGCACAATAATTTCATCATCTAAATCCCTGGTGTCTAAGGTGAAGTTGTACTTTAATCAGTTCATTTGTGAGGGTGATAATTTTGCTTTGCAATAAAGTGGTGGTGACGAGTTGAGACATCTCACGGGACTCATTTATGGCTGTTTAGGTTGTACGCATGGTGGGGGTAGGGTGAAAAAGAAGTAATAGTAGAAGAAAATTTACTATTTTTTTCCTAGCGCTTCAAAAATCAACTTAAATGCCAAATTTTGTCAGCAATCCCTTCTCTAAAATGCTTGTACTGTCTTGAATTTATCGAGGAAGCGTCTTTCTTTGGAGTAAAATAATACATTTTGCTAGCAGGGTCGAAGACGACATTAAAATTGACTTCTGCAGCCGTGTTGTTGCCTTAACTTTTAACCTTAAACACCTCCTGATGGCTTGCAATTAATCTAGGGTTGGATGTCGTTATGTTGAGGTATATATGGGTTGTCTCGGTCTGGGATGTACAAAGAGAGAGTAAACAAACGTTTGACACAAGTGTGGGTTACACAATTGCTCATATGCACAAGTAATAACGCTTCCTCCAAATACGCCTTGAGTTTGCAACTAAGACAAGGGTTTGTTACACAAATCCAAGTTGCACAAAATCCATACTGGTTGATTATGAATTAACGGAACATGCGTTAAGGCTTTTCCTCTATCTCCCTTTATTTGTTCTGACCGAATGAGGGAACAGCATTCAAGGACTGAAGAACCTATACAATAATCTACTCTTCGTGAAAACAATTTGTTGTCTGTTCGTTTTGATTTTTTTTTTTGTATTCCAAAAGTAAGATTTTGAATATTACATTGTTGTTGAGGCCTATAATTGTTTTGTTCTACGTTGTTGAAGATGTGGGCCGGATGATTAACAGGAGCCTATACACACACATATATATAGATGCACATGAAGATATTCGACCAAAGCAAATGATTTTGTCCCGGTATTGATAGCTTGAAAGTCGATTTGCAACCATCTCACGATAATTGTGTTGGTTACCAAGACTGCCTACCTCCGGGTAAAAAATATGAACGTAAACCTAAGTACACAGACAAATGGGAGGAAGAGCTGTAGCTTTCAATAATTTTTTTTTAGAATTTTATCAGTACCTATCACGTGCCGTTATCGGTAATAAAATTTAGGTTGCATTAGTTTATCCATTTGCTCTAACGCGGTGGCTGCGAACCTTTTCTTAGTAGTGTACGATATAGAGCTTGATTCAAATCCTCAGGTTGTATTAATGGTATATGATAATACATCTTGTCGATACCGAAGTAAATTGATTGATTATTGAAGAAGAGAGTAATAAGATAAAGCCGTGTACAAAAGCTAATTTCTTTTATACCCATCTTACTTTAGTTTTGTGATCACCCCGCCTTTTATTCTGCTCTTTCTTAGTTTCACCTTTAACAAAAAGGAACAAAAGCAAATTCAACAATTCTGCTGAAAATGTATTTCGAAACCCTTCTTCTTTTCGTCTTTATTTCCCGCTCAAATCACTAAAGATCAGTTTTTCAGGTACCCTGAAGTTTGATTGCGCGCTGGTAGATCTCAAGATCTCTCGGATGCGGTCTTATGTATGGCTCGGACTGTTTTATGAGGTTGATGTACAATTACGAGACACGTTGAGAGTTTGAATTGGCCAGGTAGATGTCTATCTCTAACTTTTGCTTTGAAAATGCATAAAATATGTTAGGAACTTTAGCTCCTACCCTGTTTCTACGGTGCTGGTTCTTGTTATATACTGAAAGCGGGCGAAGTTTAGGGTTTTCAGCCGGTTTGAGAGCAACTCATCAAGCATGGATCAAATCCCCCTAAAACCCATAATCCAATAAACGCATGGGCCGAAGTTTTAATACAAGGCAACAATACGATTAAATATCCCCTAGCTTTTTAACGCTTTTAAGCTTTAGGTGGTGATTTGGTTTCTGCTGTTGAATGTGGGAGCTGCGTATACATATGGACAGAAAAGGTATTTGATTGAGATAAATTGGGTTAAGGGAAAACAGATTTGTGTTTGTCTCGTCCCCTTTAGTTAGGGGATAAGAAACCCAGTTGTGTCCCTTGACTTTTTTCATGACATCATTTCAATCTAGGTTGAGAGAAAGCTCGTGCATAAGATACAAATGCCTAATTATTATCGCAATTTATTGCGCAGAGGCAAATGTTTTACCATTGGTAATGAAAGCCCAGGCCCTTGGCCTCCAAACTGCCTTCATGTATAAGTGTACGATCTGTTCACTTAGATTTGAATTGGATATTACAGTCTTAGTAGATTTTGTTTGAGGGTCGCCCTGAAACTTAATTTTTATAATATATGTTATACGAGTGTTCTATTATTTATAGCATTTCATTTCAATTGAAGAGTCTTTTCCATTTCTATCTCTTTCGTTTGATGAGTTGTCACCATTCTTTTTTCGGTTTGCACAACCAATGGTGTATCCAAAACTGGTTAATCAGAGAGTAAAGATCGAGCGGATATTAGAGTAGCGGGGAGCGCTACCATATTATCTATTCACATGTCTTTTATCGGATATTTTCTCCTTCTCTTTTCCCCCCCACACTTTTTTTCTCCTCCTTTGCCTCGGTTAATAAGTACGGTTTATTTCCGCCGCCATCAAAAAGATCATTTTCTGGAGAAAAATTTCAACAACAAAACTTTATCACAACTTTTTCTTTCCCACTTCAAAAACCACTACAAACTACTACTACATCATGTCCCAAATCAGAGAAAAGAACCCAGACGATGTTGTTGTTGTCGCCGCCTACCGTACCGCTTTGACCAAAGGTGGTAGAGGAAGCTTCAAGGACGTTGGTTCTGACTACATTTTGAACAAGTTAACAGAGCAGTTTATTCAAAAGACGAAGGTTGATCCTTCCCTCATTCAAGACGTTGCAATTGGTAACGTTTTGCACATGAGAGGTGGGGATTTCGAGCATAGGGCTGCACTCATGGCTGCCGGTATCCCTCATACAACTCCATTCATTGCAATCAACCGCTTTTGTTCGTCGGGTCTTATCGCGGTCTCCCAAGTCGCCAACAAAATCAGACTTGGAGAGATTGAATGTGGTTTGGCTGGTGGAGTTGAGCTGATGTCAAAGGACTATGGACCTAATGCTATAGTCCAATACGACAATGCTTATGTAAACCACCCGGAATTCCAGAAGAACCAAATTCCAATGGGAATTACCAATGAAAATGTCTGTGACAAATTTGGTATTTCTCGTGCGGAACAGGACCGTTTTGCAGCTTCATCCTTCAACAAGGCTGAAAAGGCTCAAAAGGATGGATTATTTAAAGAAGAAATCCTTCCTATTGAAGCCTTTGTTGAAGATGATGAAGAGGAAGATGAGGAAGGTGATCCAGTTGAAAAAAAGGTGGTGGTTACAGAGGACGAAGGAATCCGTCCAGGCGTTACCGCCGAAAAGCTTGCAAAGATTAAGCCAGCTTTCAAGAAGGATGGTTCAACCTCAGCTGGTAATGCCTCTCAGGTGACTGACGGAGCAGCTTTGGTATTGTTGATGAAGAGGTCATTTGCAGAAAAGCACGGATATCCAGTCCTTGCCAAATATATTGGTTGTTGGGTAGCCGGTGTCCCACCTGAGATTATGGGAATTGGTCCAGCCGTTGCTATTCCAAAGGCTTTACAAAAAACTGGTCTTAAAGTTGATGACATTTCTGTTTTTGAAATCAATGAAGCTTTTGCTGGTCAATGTTTGTACTCTATTCAATCTGTTGGTATTCCAGAAGAAAAAGTCAATTTGAAAGGTGGTGCTATTGCTTTAGGTCACCCTATGGGAGCTACTGGTGCCAGACAATATGCTACAATCTTGCCATTGTTGAAACCTGGTGAAATCGGTTTAACTTCTATGTGTATTGGAACTGGTATGGGTGCCGCTTCTGTTATTGTTAGAGAATAAGAGCTTTTTGTAGTTTCGAATATATGAGATTGTCTTTTTCTATCTACTTCCCCCTCTGTTTCTGCACCCTCTCCAAGCTCAATCGAACATCCCCCTTCACAAAATGATCCAAATTATAATATTTTGGTGCAATTTCAATCAACCATTCTGGTTGCACTGAAGTGATGGTTCTGATATAGTTTTTGCTTGTCAAGACAAACTCATTGTAGATAACCCATTCACCGGGGTTGGTCACAACTGTACTGGGGTGGATCATGACATCTTGATTGTCTTTGACAGTGAGATATCCTTTGGATCCTCCTCCACTTCTTCTTTTAGCCACTTGCATAAAAAACCCACCAACAAGAGCTTTTTTGATGTCTTGCCAGTACTGGAACTCGCCAATTTCACCATATTGTGACACCAATTGCAAATCGTACCTCTCCATCATTCTCAGTAGCTGCGACCTTACATTACGAGCAGACACGAGGGATCTATAGCTAAGGAAATTGTCACGACACCATCTGTGGGCTTCCTCCTGTTGGATAAACTCTTCATACACGTTTATCAAAGTTAGATGATCACCATCGGGTTGGGCAAACGACATTTTCGCTTCATCGGCTCGTTGACGCGCTGATTGTGGACGTACAAATACATTGGGCACACTCAACATGGCAACAATGGTTAATATCTCTTCCGAACATTTATAAGCTGGTGATCCAATCAACATCACTGCAAGCATGGGGTCAAGAGGGAAATTGGAAGCAAGTCTACCCAATGCGGTTAGCTCTCCTTCATCTGAGAGGCATTGTAGGTAGTTTAGCTCTTCCAATGCACGCATCATGGTTTCAGGAGCTGGTGGATCCATAAAATCAAAGTGAACCAAATCATCAATGCCTAGCTTTTTCAACTCTAACACAGTTGATGATAAATTGGAGCGTAGAATTTCGGGGTACGATTGCTCAATCAATTCTTTCTTGAATGCCTCCTCCGTGTATAGTCTGAAACATTTACCAGGTCTTGTACGACCAGCTCTACCAGCTCTTTGTTGTGCACTGGCTTTGGAGATTGGTGACACCAACAATGACTCTACTCTCACCCTTGGATTGTACACTTTTTGCTTGGAAAACCCTGGGTCAACAACATAAACAATCCCATCAATGGTTAACGAAGTTTCAGCAATATTGGTGGATATAATGATTTTTCTCCCTGGGCGGCCACCACCAACGTTTTCCGGAGCTGGCTCAAAGATACGTTGTTGCTGATTTGGTGGCAACGAACCATACAATGGATACACCTTCAATGGACCACACCCTTGTTCTCTGATCAATTGATCACCTTCCAATTGAATTTTTCGACACGCATCTTCAATCTCTTCCTCACCAGTGAGAAACAACAATACATCTCCTTCATCTTCAGTGGCGTGTATCTGCAACACAGTACGTATTGCCGCATCAAGATAATCTTGTTGAAATTCAGGGGTGTAGTAAATCTCCACTGGGTGGGTTCTCCCAGCAACTGCCAACAATGGTGCATCATGGAAATAATTTTGAAATTTCTCTGCATCCAATGTTGCCGACATGATGATCAATTTCAAATCTGGTCTTCTTAAACTAACTTGTTTGAGCAATCCCATGAGGATATCAGTAGCTAATGTTCTTTCATGCGCTTCATCAAGGATGATGCATGAATAACGACTCAAATTGTGATCCTCCATCGCCTCCCTCAACAACATACCATCAGTCATGTATTTCAAAATGGTTTTGGAGCTGGTTTTATTTTCAAAACGGATGCTATACCCAACTTCGTCTCCTAATCTTACATCCATTTCATCAGCCACTCGCAGGGCTACGGACATTGCCGCCACTCTTCTTGGTTGGGTACAAGCAACTTGTTTCCCAGTTAAATGTGGCATTTCGTCGTAAAGAACAAACTGAGGGATCTGAGTTGTCTTTCCGGACCCAGTTTCACCAACAAACACCATAATCTGAGTTGAGTGAAAAATCTTGAGAAACTCTTGTCTTTGTGCATGAACTGGTAAGTCACGACGTAACTTGAGGATTTTGAAATAGGAGTCAGAAAACTGTTCCCCTGTGAATGGATTCACTGGGCCATCTTCGAGTTTGATTGCATCCTCAGCTGTTGTTTGATGACGTACAAGTCCCTTGAATTCACCATTATCGTGATGAATCAATTCATGGTTGTCTTGTGGGTGTGGGTGATCATGAAGTGATTGCTCCGCTGCCTCAGCAACCTTTTCTGCTTGGGAGTCGTCGACAGCAACTCTCTGTCTCTTATGGGATCTTTCCGTCATGTGTTGGGAAGAATAAAGAAGCATCGTAAGAGAGCCAAAAAAAAAAAAATCTCATCTCAAAATAAATAGCCAAATCTACAAAAGCACAGACGCATAGCTCATCAGAAGCTCATTAGTAACTCCCCAAAGCTCCCCTCTTATCTTTGCAAATGCAGACACCAATCATTCAATGCAGCACTGAGAATCTCCCTGGTGAAGGCTTTACCCCCCTCCATTACCACTCCCCTTGATTTAAACCACTCGGCAATTGCTTGCTGCAACTTCCCTTTATTCTTGATACTCAGTTGACTCAATGTAACAAAGTTGTAATCGATATAAAAATCATCAAATAGGGTAATCACAACATCAAACTCATCTTTGGTAAGCTCTACTTGACCTGTGAATGGGAGTAAAGCAAACTGATCAATGTAAAAAGATGCAAATAGTTCAATTTTCTCACTAGTGGGTTGTTTCAGTTCGTTCAAGTTGCAAAGAAAGCAGTAGATACTAACCAAAAACAATATCCCTGACTTGTGAAGTGACTCATGAATGGACAAGATGTTTTCATCGTGGGTGATCTTTTTGTGGTAAAAATTGTTATTCACAAGTGATAATGATGGGGAGATTTTGCGATTAGTGGTGAAAGCATTGGAGACAGGGGAGGCAACCAACTGGCGATCAGATTCAATAGTAGAATTCATTAGCAAAAGAGAAGAAACTAGGGTGGTGGGTTGATGACATTTTTTGCAATTTTGGTTATGCCGAAAATAAAACTTCATTTAAAAACAACTCTGTAGCTCTGCTAGCCACTAGCTACACCAGTTTAACCCTTCCTAGCTCTTGAAGCATCTAGCTCCCTCCCCGGTAGCTCCTCTTCCCGGAAGCTCCTTTCCCCAGCTCTTCCCTCATATATCTGAAACAAGACCAAAAAAAAAAAATATTCACTAGCACCTTCTTCCCCGCCACCACCCGTCCCCTATTCCCACAATGGATATCAGCCTCATTTTTATTGTACTCGGTACGCTACTTACTGGTGCTGCCAACTCGCTACTCACAAAATACCAAGATAACCAATGTGTACGCAACTGTGAAGACACAGGTTCCTCCCCGCAGTATTTCAACCAACCGGCGATACAAACTTTGCAAATGTTTTTAGGTGAATTGGCCATGTTTTTCGTTTACTTGGGGTATAAATGGTACTACTCAAGGTCGTATATTCAATTAGATCAAGAGGAAAGCACCGGTGGTGGTGTAGCTCTTTTCAAGCATTGGAAATTGGCAATCCCAGCAATATGTGATTTAAGTTGCACAACATTGCTCAATATTGGACTCATTTACGTGCCTGTCTCAATATACCAAATGACTCGTGGGTCGGTAGTGTTGTTTGTTGCTGTATTATCGGTTGTATTTCTCAATCGAAAGATTTCCAAATTACACTGGATTGCTTTAGTTGTGATTACTTTGGGTGTGGCCATTGTTGGACTTAGTGGAACACAAACAAAGGAAAAAGAGGCTACACTGAGTGCTGGGTTGATTGTGTTTGGTATTTTGTTGATAATTGGTGCCACTTCACTACAAGGGGTGCAATTTGTTGTTGAAGAGCACATTTTGGCCAAACAACCAATAATTCCACTACAATTGGTCTACATTGAAGGGTTTTTCGGGGCAGTGACAATTGTCATGTTCATGGTGGTGCTCAACTTTGTGGCAAAGGCCGTTCAATCACCAAAAGAATTTGCCCAATCCCCATTCAACATTGTAGAAGCATTTTCAGAAGTTTTGGGTAACAAAACCGTACTTGTTACTTCATTTCTTATTATGGCATCAATTGCCAGTTTCAACTTCTGTGGGTTATCCATTACTCATCGAATCTCAGCCACTGCAAGGTCAACTGTCGATACATGTAGAACATTGATTGTGTGGTTATTTGCTGTTGTGGTAATGCGATGGGAGCACTTCAAGTTTTTGCAAATGATGGGGTTTGCCATACTAGTGTTTGGAACCCTATGGTTTAATGGAGTTATCGAGGTAGAGAACTGGAGCTTTATCCCCAGTTGGTTAAAGGAAGGGGAAGCAGAAGATGAGAGAACTCTGATTGATGAGGCATTAGAGGAAAGACTTATTAGTTAGACAAAATGCTGTAGTATTTCACAAAATCGATCAAGAACGATTCCAAGTAAATCAGACAAGTGACGGTTGGTAGAGGCAAATGACTCGATCTAGTAAGGCGCCTTCCCTCAACACTACCCTTTAAACTTGTCGATCTCTTAACCCAGTTAATTACTTACATCAAGGCTAATCAAACTAGCAGCTCATTTACACAATGTTCCAATTCTTTTGTAAAACAATTTCTTCACAATCTTTTTTTGCCAAGTTTTAAAGCCAAAAAATGAGAAAATTTCTTCCCGAAATGAGCCCATCTCGGGTTAACTTTCCATGCGCGAGCTAACAGACAGACGACTCTGATCTCTGATCTCAAACGAGTTAAGGGATGCGTAAACGATCTGCGTTGTCGTACAGGGACACCCACTCAACAGTGTACTCTCATCTACTCTTTCCCACACTTTCCCACTCTCGACTCATACTCATGTTTTGTCTTGAAACAAGGCTGGAAGAATTTGACGATTTTGGGCTTTTCTATTGTGTTACTCTGTTTATTTTTTGTTTGTCCCAATTAGGACAATTGACACGACAATGTGTCACGTGAACAAAACAATAGAAATAACGCTCGTTTTGTGTAACTACGCGGTGAAGAAAACAGGAGTCCTAAATTTTAACCAAAGCCAGCAATAATTGGAAAATTGTACACTACCACTCACATAGTTAAGAATAATAATCAAACTCGTTTAACAGAATGTAAACAAAAACAACTACAACTTACACAAAAGCCAGCTGAGTACATATTATTTTTGCATCAATTTTCAATAATCCCAAAACTAAACAAACGCCAGGTAAGCCTTGCATTCCATCACAAAGCAAAAAAAAACTCTGACCACCTCTCTATGGCCTCACAATAAAACCAAAACAAAATTTCTCTTCCTTTTATACTCCTTTCATATCACCACATTTTTTTCAGCTCCTTTCACCTTGTCATTCCTTTAAAGTGATCAAAATTTCTAACCTTTAGTCATTCCTTTATACCACAGTCGTTCCTTATAGTCACTCCTTTATACCCCCAATGAAGTTTTCAACCGCCACGTTAATTGCTGTGTTGTCCTCCATCGTCAATGCCTCCTGTTCATACGATGGTGGAAACTATTACTGTTCTGAAACCAAAAAGGTTGTTTACAAAGGTATCGGATTTTCAGGATCCTACCAAGATGTCACCAATATGGATGAAGACAGTGGCTCTTGTTCTCAAGAATCATACTCCTTTTCAGGAAACTTGAGCCCCCTCGATGAAGAATTATCAGTTCATTTCAGAGGTCCTTTGAAATTGTTACAATTTGGTGTCTACTATCCAAGCGGATCTAATAGCAAGAGACAAGTTGAAGATTGCAATACTCAACATATCCACCACAAACATAAAAGAGCTACTGAAATTGTTCAAGTTACTCAAACTGTATTGATTGATGGTAATGGAAACACCGTCACTTCACAAACAACAGAAACATCGACCGCTGATGATAACCAAGGTGGCTCTAGCTCCCCCGCAGATGGCTCTTCTGGCACTACTTCCATCACTAATTTAGCCGGACAAGGAAAAGCCTACAGATCAATCTCCACCTCCTCAGCACCAACAACCACCTCATCCGATTCTTCATCTTCAGAGACTGCTTCTGCTGATGGTGCTTGGCAAAGAGACTCTTATTATACCCCAGGCAATGCCGATAACTGTGTCTTTTTAAACTACTATGGTGGTTCCGGTTCCGGTGTCTGGTCATCCAAGTTTGGAAATTCATTATCATATGCAAACTCCGACAACTCGGGTGGATCATCAAGTGCCGTTGCTTTAGAAGAAGTCACTATTGGATCAAACACTGAATTTGTCGTCATGTCTGGTGAAAAATGTTCAGGAAACTCTTGTGGTTACTACAGAGAGGGAACTGTTGCTCATCATGGGTTTGGTGGAAGCAACAAGATTTTTATTTTTGAATTTGAAATGCCAAGTGATGGCTCTTCTGGATTCAATGCTGATATGCCAGCTGTTTGGTTATTAAATGCCAAGATCCCTAGAACTTTACAATATGGTGATTCTTCTTGTTCATGTTGGAAAACCGGTTGTGGTGAATTGGATTTATTTGAAATCTTGTCTTCTGGATCAAACAAATTGATTAGTCATTTGCATGATGGCCAAGGTGCTTCATCAAACACCAACAATGGTGGTGGTGGATCCCAAGATTATTTCGCTAGACCAACTAGTGGATCTTTGAAAGCAGCAGTCATTTTTACCAGTAATGAAATTCACATTGTTCAAGTTGATGATTCAACAAACTTTGGTTCCAGTTTGGATGAGGATACTGTAAACTCCTGGTTGCAACAATCAGGTTCTGCAGCCACCATCGGATATTAGAAAGAGACACCACTGTCTAAATTGTTTGCCTTTATTTTCTATTTGTATTTGTAATTGTATAGTAAAAAAATTGAAATTTTTAAGTAACTGTTTACCACTTTAATGCATGTTGGAGTAAATTTAGGTATACAGCGTCAATACGTGCCAGTCACGACTTTAAAACAAAAAAGTTACCCATTGCTACCTATAGAGGACGCTTCATTTCTCAATTTTCATTGTCAATCTACTACTCACTCTTACAATTATTGCCATGACATTACAACTCCATCGCAATATCAGTTGCAGGTTCCATGGTCATTACAAGAAAACTTGACGTATATCTACAACCATTTAATATAACTAGTGACACTCCATAAAACATTCCACTCTACATGGACAACACTTCCCTTAAGGAGACTGAGTTCTTCAACAATTCAGCCTCTCTCAAGATCAGTCAAGCACGACAAGAACTAGGTGGCATATTCGTTGCCGAACTCGGTCATTCCAAGACGAAAATGATTCAAGACTGGTTTAAATCAGAGGAAATAGTTTGTTTTGAATTGTGTGATTAAATGTGCTATTTGTTGAAATAAGGTGTGACTGGGGTGGGGTACCATCCACTACAATTCAGTGGATTGTATACCATTGACGGGTCAATCAAAGGATGGTCAACACAGTTGCTTTGTGAGGCAGGAATCTTGATTGAGATTGGTGGATTGGACGGTTCAGGTGGTTCCCCACGATTGGGTGAGCCCGTTGGCACTGTCATTGGCATCAATGCCATTATTGGCTACGGTTGTATTGACTGTTATGTAGGCTGGATCAATTCAAACGTAACTGCAAAGGCAGGTTCCTATTTTATGGTTGCAAGGACATCTACTTGTTTTATCCACCTAAGTGATTAAAAGGACTACTGTCCTGGTATTTAGGGACCATCCGGTATTGCTAAAGATTTCCAACACTTGTACGAGTTTGGTCAGCCTGCCGCCGGCAAACTATACGAACGATTATTTGCCAAATATGGCACTGCAAAACAAAATACGCAACCATTTTTCAAAAACTTGAACAAAACACTGGATCACGTCAAGGAATACACGAGCTTTTGAAAAGTTATTTCTACTATGGAGATGTATATGGTAATAGAACACCTTACCAAGATTGCGCCGTGTTGGAAATGATTATTGATAACCCCAATGGGCCATTTGGATTAATAATCAACACGATAACCCTCGAGTCATTGCTCGCGGAATATAGTCTCATTATGGAGTTTCTTGTGTTTCAAGCAAGACAACTTTTTGAACCATTAAGTATAAACAGCTTGTTTGTCTCTGGTTCTCAGTGCAAGAATGATTTGTTTTTACAACTTCTTGCAAGTGTGTGCAACGTGACCGTTACAAAGATTGACGCAAATTGTTGTCCGGGAGCTGCAAAAATGGGTCGCGTAGCTCATCTATGTCAACAAGGTTGGACTTATGACGACGCTTTTGATGAGGTGACAAGAAGTGGCACTGCGACAAAAATGGTGCATCCTGGTGACTATAACTCGCTATCATCCCTCAAGGATGAGTTAGCGTTGTTGCTTGTTAAGTATGAAATATACCTCGACATGGAAGATGAACAGAGACAATATAGGAATATGATGAATTAATAGATGATGTATCTTGTACCTGATTTACCCCACTGGATGAAAACCGTCCGAGAAAATTAGGAATCAAGAGGCTGCAAAAATAGGCGCAGTAGATACCAGACACAACGAAGTGGTAACTACGCAGTAGTGGCAACGCAGTAGATGCCACGCAGTAGATACTTATCTACCTAAGATGAAGTTGCGCCCGAGACCACGTAGACACTCCCCCCTTCCACCGAGCTCCTCCTTCTCCTCTGCGTTTTCTGTGGTCTCCAGCTTTTTCACAAAAACCCTAAATTGAAGAGGGAAAAAAAAAATTGTGCCCATTTACGAGCTCTTCCAGAAGCCTTTAGAGGATACCTTCCCCCAAAGAATACCTCCCCCTACCATGAACAACAGCACAGCTGACTCACGACAATCTCCCCCCAGCAGCAACAGAGTTTCCGATTTTTTCAAAAGTGAGGGAAACTTGGATAATGGTGCCTTGACACAGCCAAACATCACCAATCAATCAGTCACTAAATTAACCAACAAGCACACCACAAACACTCACAAACCAAATAGGAAAAAGCGAACGACAACGTCACGAGCTTGTGATGCTTGCGCATTGAGGAAAATTCGATGTGAACCAACTACACCTTGTTCTCATTGCAAGAATAACGGATGGGTTTGTACAAGGAATCGAGAACGAAAGAAATCGGGGCCCAAGGCGTTATCGAAAAGAACGATTGATTCGATTAATAATCTAAGTGAGGTGATTGAGCTTAATACATCTAGACCACAATTATCTTCGAAAAATTCATCAACTTCGGTATATTCGAAAAGTCCGAGCATTGAAGAAACTGAATCTCATCGATCGTCACCGTCGGCAAGGTCATCAGTTGCGCATTCAGTGACGCCGAATCCAGTTCAGCAAAGACTGCACAGTCAGTCAAATCAGGGGCAAATGGGTGTGGCTTTAGTGGGTCAGGCCCATGGCTCTGCGGCATCCCAATTTCCCGAGAGCTCCACTCTACACTCCACCCAACTACAACCTCTGGCAAGCAACGACACCCAGACGGGCACATCAACTGAGGAATACCTCGTCACTCCATTCTACTTGATGGAGAATCTCAACTTGATAGGTGAAGAGCCAGCGATTCGCGAGTTGCTTGCGCCATTGACGGTGAATTCAGTATTGACCAACTACTCCCGACTAGTATCATTTTTAACTACAAATTACCCAAACATGATCAACACTTCCGGAATCAATACTCATTTTACAGAAATCAACTTGGTTGATCATCATGATGACTCGTTATACTTGTCGACACTACTAATCATCATCACTTTGAATCAAATCATTGCCGAAATACTCATCAAGTTGAAGAAACAAAAATTCAAGAAATTTTTACGGTACCCCAAGAAGTTTCTTGCTTTTAGACCATACAAGTCGTTTAAAAACTTGTGTCATTTCAAAGTATTGGAGATTTTCTCGTTAATTGAAAAGAATTTCATTGTACCTTCAATCATACCAAAGACTAGAGCCAATGGAAATCAGTATCTCTTTGCCCATTTGAACCAATATCAAATTTACTACAATTTGTCGCTATCCAACATACAATTGTGCAATTACAATCACATTTTGAATTTAACAAACACCCTCAACTCAGCAACAGAGGCCCATAACGCTTATGGAAATGAAGCACAAGAGCATCAAAAGATCTTGTATTTAAGTCGAGCAATCAGCACGTTTCAGCTAATCAGTGTCAAGGAAAGCGACTCGCTAGTTCCCTTACGCGAATTATACGAATTGATTTACTCATTTGAACGATACTACATCATATTCAGTTCATACAATTACGATGTGAACTTGTTCCGAAACAACAATGTATTGACACATTTGAAAAGTGATAGGTATCACGGCGAAGGATACGCTTTCGAGTTGATGCACATTATTGATGATCTGGGATTGATAGATCCGCTTTGCAGAAACGCATGGTTCAACCTGCTGTTGGAATTTGATAAACCACAACCAGGGTATATTGAACTAAAGGGGAGGATTGATGCATTGAGATGCACCGACTACATGTGGTGTATCTTGCGTGAGATTCTATTATTCAAAATCATGCTTGTACGACCATTAAGTTTTGACCAAAGTAAATTAGAAGTTGTTCGAATTATTGACACAATCTGCAGAAATTTGGAACTTGCTGATTCAGACGTTTTCAAAGTGAAAGTGTCCAACTATCAAATTCTACAACCATTGTTGCATATTTTAAAAGTATTTCTCGAAATCAAACAAGTTGAAGTCAGGCTAGGGAAACCAGTCAATATACAAGATCAAGAGCTATTAGTTCGATACACTGAGCTAATCATTACTCATTTACCATTTTTCAACAATATCAATAAACTAATTCGAGCTCACAAGATACTCAACAATTGGTTCCTAATGTTGAGCGAGGTAAAGAAGGATGACACAAGTGAAAAGCAAGAGCAACCACAATTGCAATCTCAAATCTACCAACCCACACCACCAACACCACAAGCAAACATTGATTTCCCTTTCCACACTGGAATCACACCTCAAGCCCAACAACCAACATTTTCTCATTTACAACCCCAACAACGACTTGCTTCCCAAATCGATGTCAATGAGCTAATGAGGGACTTTACAGTCTCTCGATTGGATGGGGATTTTGATGTCAATAACCCAACACCAACGATCCAATACCGAGCTGACGATGACGAAGACGATGAAGAGCAAGATTTCTTCACAATTGTGCCCAAAAATGAACATGGACACAAGTTTGCCAATCAAACTTCTGGAGCAGCCGATTTTCTTGCGAATGCTCCACCTACACCACAGTTTGGTTTCCCTAGTGTTGTCAACAATAATAATCTCCCCATGAGTGCTAGCACCAGAAGTTTCTTCTCATTGCTTAATGCTACAAATTACGTTGAGGATAACCAAGCAGACCCTGGTCAAGCAGACCCGAATCAAGGCTCTGATAAGGGAAGTGTAATAGGATCCAGTTTCTTCAACTTGAGTAATCTTAGATAGTTCTATTGTATAGCATTCTCATTTTTAGTGCAGATGACAATTCTCAAAAGTCAACGAAAAAGTAAAAAAAAAAAAAACATGAAAACTGTTTCGACGGGTTCACCAAAACATACTCACCCTATAGACATAACCATCACAGTTAATTTACTTTGCATTTCCCATCAGGCTCACCACTCATCAGTAATACACACTACCCACCCTTGAATAATGGATTTAGATACGGATGTACCAATGGAGGACGTTGAAGACCAAACCTACAACAGCAACGACCCTTCCTCTTCCTCGTCACCAATCAAATCAGCAAACAAATCCACCATCAAGGAAGCTGCCACCTCAGACGACGCAAAAGGTGAAGCACCCTCTCTAGATGCCCTGTCGATCAACCAATTAGACGCATGGATTGAAAAATTATCCAAATGTGAACCACTTTCTGAAGCCGATGTGAAAAAATTGTGTAATATGGCCATTGATGTCTTACTACGCGAAGAAAATGTACAACCAGTTCATGTTCCAGTGACAATTTGTGGTGATGTTCATGGTCAATTCCATGATTTGATGGAATTGTTCAAGATTGGTGGTCCTTGCCCTGACACAAACTACTTGTTTATGGGAGACTATGTCGATCGTGGTTACTATTCTGTGGAAACTGTATCCTATTTGGTTTGTATGAAGGTGAGGTTCCCCAATAGAATCACCATTCTAAGAGGAAACCACGAGTCGAGACAAATTACTCAAGTTTACGGCTTTTATGACGAATGTTTACGAAAATATGGCTCAGCAACGGTTTGGAAAGTGTTTACCGACTTGTTTGACTATTTCCCAATTACAGCATTAGTTGACAACAAGGTATTTTGTTTACATGGTGGGTTATCACCAATGATTGAAACCATTGATCAAGTGAGGGAATTGAATAGGATTCAAGAAGTGCCCCATGAAGGACCCATGTGTGATTTATTATGGTCTGACCCTGATGATAGAGGCGGCTGGGGTATTAGTCCCAGAGGTGCTGGATTCACTTTTGGACAAGATATTTCCGAGCAGTTTAATCACACTAATGATTTAAGTTTAATTGCCAGAGCACATCAATTGGTTATGGAAGGGTTTAGTTGGAGTCATCAAGAAAATGTTGTCACCATCTTTTCAGCACCAAATTATTGCTACAGATGTGGTAATCAAGCAGCAATAATGGAGGTCGATGAACAACACAACAGACAATTTTTGCAATACGATCCATCAGTAAGGCCGGGTGAGCCAACAGTGACGAGAAAGACCCCAGATTACTTCTTGTAGAAGGCGCAAAGGTTTTAGACTTGGTTTAATGTATTTGTATTACAAAGCATGTATGTAGAGTGTCGCGACAATAACTCTCTCATCCGCACGACATTCCAGAAATAAGCCAACCAGAAGTTGAAGAAAATTAAAGTGTAAGCAAAAGACGAAAAAAAAAAAAAATACACCCAATAACGAAGCTTACCCAATAAGGAACTCCTCCGACAAGTGTAATGTTGAGAACACAAGTTAGAACTATACCCAAGTTGACAGTCCCTTGCAGGTCGTTATACACTTCTGTATTGGACTCGGACATCAACATCACCAAAAATGGCAAGGTAAATGTATCGGTGGGACCTGGAGGTCGTTCATCAAGAACTGGATACACAGCAACAGTATTTGGAGCTAGTGGGTTCTTGGGACGTTACCTTGTGTCCAAACTTGCCAGACACGGTACCACCACAATTGTCCCATTCAGAGATGACATGAAGAAGAGATTTTTGAAAGTTGCTGGTGACTTGGGTGTGGTTAATTTTGTTGAAATTGATGCTCGTAATTTGCAAAGTATACAAGATTCAGTGGCCCATTCTGATATTGTTATCAACTGTATTGGTGCCGATTATAATACCAAAAACTTCACCATGGCGGATGTCAATATTGCCTTGGCTGAGAGGATTGCTCAGGCTACTAAAGACGCTGGGGTTCCAAGGTATATCCATGTCAGCTCCTACAATGCTGACCCAAAATCGGAGTCTATCTTTTATGCCACAAAGGGAATTGGTGAACAAGTCGTAAGAGATATCATCCCCGATTCGACAATTGTTAGACCATCACAAATGTTTGGTAGAGAAGACAATTTGTTAAACTACTTGGGACCAAAGATTAAAATGTGGACCCCCAACAGAAACCAAAAGCAAATTTACCCAGTGCATGTACTTGATGTAGCTAGAGCTTTGGAAAAAATTGCCTATGACGATTCCACCGTTGGTCAATTGTATGAATTATATGGACCGGAAAAATTGTCTTATCTAGATATCAGACAAATGATTCACGGCATTACCGAAAACTACGCACAAGCAGGTCCAATCAGTTATAATTTCTACGACTATGACTTGCCATTGTCAATTGCTAAAATTATCGCACAAGTACAACAATTGGTGTGGTGGAAATTGGCAAACCCTGACCAAATGCAAAGACACGTTATAGATCAGCATATAGACCCCGCTGCCAAGACGTTTGCCGACTTGGGGTTGCATGATCAAACTAAATTGGCTGATGTGTTGTTTAGTTATGTGAAACAATGGAGACACCCATTGATTGCTCAAAAGGGTGGCCCAAGCCACAAGAAATTGGATGAATTGAGAACCATCCAGCATTTCACCGACTAAAATAATAATAAATAGCGCAAACACAGTACTATAAACTACACTTTTTATTACACTCGTAGATACCCGAGATAAGAATAATTTTTGTGAATATTTAATTTTCTCTCGCTCCTTTTATTTCACCACAATTGACCCCACTAGATTAACTGACAAAAAATCAACCAGAACCAACCCTAAAGCTTATCCCATGTACCAGCTACCACCCATTGAACAGTTTAGACTGCTGCCGCCAGAGGAACAGAAGGTGGTAATTGACCACCTATTTGAACCATGTGACTCCCTCAATTGGTTTATTCAATCTTGTGTCATTAAAAAAAATTACGAAAGCTACGCTGAGTTCATCAATTTAGTTCGTAATGAACTTGAGATTCTTGTTTATCGCAATGGATTCTTCGCCGTGAGGAATGGATTTGAAGCAAACACTTTAATCAACGAAATCATTTCAGCACATCCACGATTAGGAGCGCCCAAGCACACGAAATTGAGTCAACATTCAGCTGAGGAGCAAAAAAAACTCGGCGGTGAACAAATGCAAAAGAGATTAGCTGAGCTTAATGAAGAGTATGAAAAGACTTTTCCTGGGTTGAGATATGTGGTGTTTGTCAATGGCAGAAGTCGAGATGAAATTATTGCCAACATGGAGAAAAGAATCAAGCGTAATGACATCGAATTGGAGAAAAAGGAAGCGTTTGAGGCAATGTGTGATATTGCATTAGATAGAGCAGCCAAGATGGACGTATTTAAGTTGTAATTGGGGCCTCTATGTGTATATGCCTTTATCGTTTATGAAACTTTATGAAATTTCGCCTTCTCGACACGACTTTTACATTTCTCAATTTTTGTTGTTGAAACAAAATTGCGTCAACTTTTAGATACCAAAGTGGCATTCCCGAAATTAGCAATCCATCAAAAAACAACAACAATGGTATGTAACATCACCACCTCCCTAGAATGTTCCAATCATACTAACTTCCCCTTCTAGGCTGGCGCTTTAGAAAATGCAAGAAAAGAAATTAAACGTCTTTCATTAGATGATCACAAGGAAATCCACTATGGGCAAATCTTTTCAGTTTCAGGACCAGTTGTGGTTGCTGAAAATATGGTGGGGTGTGCGATGTATGAATTGGTCAAGGTGGGTCATGACAACTTGGTAGGAGAAGTTATCAGAATCAATGGAGATAAAGCAACTATTCAAGTCTATGAAGAAACGGCTGGTGTAACTGTTGGTGATCCAGTTTTGAGAACTGGAGCTCCCTTGTGTGCTGAATTGGGTCCGGGTTTGTTGAATACTATCTACGATGGTATCCAAAGACCATTGAGATCTATTAAAGAAAAGACCAATTCGATTTATATTCCACGTGGTATTGATGTGCCATCATTGTCAAGAACGGCTGAATACGATTTCAAACCAGGTCAATTGAAAGTAGGGGATCATATTACTGGTGGTGATATCTTTGGGTCCATTTATGAAAACTCATTGTTAGATGATCACAAGATTTTGCTTCCACCGAGAGCTAGGGGTACAATCACCTCAATTGCGGAACCTGGTTCTTACAATGTTGAAGATACCGTTTTGGAATTGGAGTTTGATGGTAAAAAGCACAAGTACTCCATGATGCACACATGGCCTGTAAGAGTCCCCAGACCCGTTGCTGAAAAATTGACTGCTGATTATCCATTGTTGACGGGACAAAGAGTTTTGGATTCATTGTTTCCATGTGTTCAAGGTGGTACCACATGTATTCCCGGGGCTTTTGGATGTGGTAAAACAGTCATTTCTCAATCCTTATCAAAGTATTCCAACTCGGATGTCATTATTTACGTTGGTTGTGGTGAGAGAGGAAACGAGATGGCAGAAGTGTTGATGGAATTTCCAGAATTGTTTACTGAAATTGATGGAAGAAAAGAACCAATTATGAAACGTACTACTTTGGTTGCCAATACATCGAATATGCCCGTGGCTGCAAGAGAAGCATCAATCTATACTGGTATCACTTTAGCTGAATATTTCAGAGATCAAGGTAAAAACGTTTCCATGATTGCTGACTCCTCGTCACGTTGGGCTGAGGCATTGAGAGAAATTTCCGGTAGATTGGGTGAAATGCCTGCTGATCAAGGTTTCCCTGCTTATTTGGGTGCCAAGTTGGCATCTTTTTACGAAAGAGCGGGAAAAGCTACTGCATTGGGTGGACCTGATAGAGTTGGATCTGTGTCTATTGTTGCTGCTGTTTCCCCAGCTGGTGGGGATTTCTCAGATCCAGTCACCACTTCAACATTGGGTATCACTCAAGTGTTTTGGGGGTTGGACAAGAAATTGGCACAAAGAAAGCATTTCCCTTCGATAAATACCGCTGTTTCATATTCGAAATACACCAATGTGTTGAATAACTATTATGACAAAAACTATCCTGAATTCCCCCAGTTGAGAAACAAGATTAAGGAAATTTTATCCAATGCTGAAGAGTTGGAACAAGTGGTGCAATTGGTTGGTAAATCTGCATTGAGTGATTCAGACAAGATCACATTGGATGTTGCTGCATTGATCAAGGAAGATTTCTTGCAACAAAATGGTTACTCCACCTATGATGCATTCTGTCCTATTTGGAAAACATTCGATATGATGAAGGCATTTATTTCGTACTATGACGAAGCACAAAAGGCTGTTGCCAATGGTGCTCAATGGTCAAAGTTGTCTGAGGCAACAAGTGACGTCAAGCATGCCGTTTCATCAGCCAAATTTTTTGAACCAAGTAGAGGTGAAGAAGAAGGCGATAAGGAATTTGGTGAGTTGTTGACCAACATTTCGGAAAAGTTTGCTGATGCCGCAGAGTAGAAAATTGATTCGTGTAAAGACTTAACAATATACGTTTAGCACAAGTTTGAGAAGTTCGTGATGGAGTCATTAAAGAATGTCCAGATTCCATCAAAACAAGATGTCAAGAAATTATCCAGGCCATCAACTAAATCGCGCACTTCTTCATCAAACAGATTGACAATTGCGGTTCTTCGTTCTGTTTCTTCGCCAAGGTTTGAATCATCAACTGGCTTACTGTAGTTCAAGACAAACTCATTAATAGGGATCCCTCTCGGGGTGTATACCGGATGTGGTGAAGTATTATCTTCTTGATCAATCACTACAGTGTTGTGCAAAGACTCACTCTTCACGTCTTCGTCGTCATCGTCATCATTTCGCTGTTGCATTTCCAAGTCTGACACAACTGATTTTGATTTAAACCACGCTGCAATACTCTCCAAAAATGTCTTTGGCTCTAACCCATAATCATCTCTTTGAAACGGATGCATATTATTCATAACAACATCATTATTCTGTTGTGACTCCGTTGGCCTGAACCTATCGTATCGGTTTCCAACATACTCATCAAACATATCGCGGCCAAATAAGGACGTTCCTCTTGGTTTAATACTACCTCTTTGTGGGTAATATAAATCAGCGTCGTAGGGTGGATCATGTGGCGATACAAGTGATGGAACTTCTGGTGTTACAGACACTGAAAGTGGGTCAGATTGAGTGGGAGAAGGAATTTCAAATGAGCTTGACGTTGTGATTGGTAAAACCTGTATGGTGGAGGCGGCATTGGTCTCACTCGATTGGATATACTTGTAATGGCTTGTTAATTGAAGTTGAAATCGATGTGTGGGACTGGAAATAGGTGAGGTTGTATTGTATGTTCGGGTTATGGGTGATAGCTCCACGTGTGAAGGTACACTTGGTTCTATTACCATGACTGGAGGTAGGTATGGACTTTGTTTAAAACTTGTAATGCTGCAAAAACACTTTTTTCACAAAAAATTTGCAACAAAAATGGACAAAAAACACACATCACATGATCATCGTTCATGGTTAATTGAAGAGGATCTCTTCACCAAAAACAAGCAAACAAGGTCAAAACGGGCTATAGAGTGCTTGCAATAGAATAGCTTTTTCGCTCTCATTGTGCTCTTCAGTAATTGAACACCTATGCCTACAATACGGTAATTCAAGTGTATTTTGTTCTTTTTGGGGCAAGATTGAAAGTGCGCCACGTGCGGGGTAGCAAGATCACATGATTCTCAAATAAAATTGTTGAAGTATAAAAATGAGGTTGAAAATCCGACAAAATATTGTTCCTTCGTACATTGATTTCGTTTCGCTAACAATTCGAAAGTAGCTTGATTGTAGATAGTTAATGATTGGTGATCTGTGTATACTTCTAATTGAACCGGTGAATTGCCAGTTTAGGACTCAAGCATGCTTTTAGTGATGCCTTTTTTCTATGAAGATAAAGGTTTTACCATTGGAAGTTACTACAAAATGGAGTGGATCGTCTCCCAGCTTTACTTATAGCTGTAGATGAGTAAATACATACGTATAGTTGATGATGCCGAAAGGAAGACAACATTTGGGGCCATCGCAACTGCGAACGTCAGATGTGTGAAATGATTCTTCCCAAGCGCATGGACTATGGACAAGAATTCCTTTCGCCGTATGAGGTAGTTTCGTTCCGCGATTTAAATAGCTGAGCGTACCATTAGAACGATTATCAATTGTGTCAGGTCCTTTTTGACAGAACGGTTACAGCAAACCTTCTAACTCGAAAAGATTAGTACATGTTTTAATTTTGGTTTGTAAAACTTCACGTAGTTGTAGATTTCGCCATTGAAGAAATATGTCATCTCCATTGTCTACTTAGAGTCCGGCTTTCGCCTACATCTTCTATCAAATCATAACATCAGATACTTTTCGTGATAAATACAAAACTCTATACATCCATCTCTCTAGTCAGCATCAATCTTTCCCTCATCTTTCAATTTCTTGTACTTTTTCAACAACTTTCGATTCAATTTCCTTCTATTTCCCTTGGCTCTACTATCAGTAACGTCATCACTTTTCGAACCATTCTGATTCTTTCCAAAGAAAGATTTTGAATCACCCATGAGTTTTTCAAATTCTTGCAATTCCTTCAAAATCAAATCTTGTTCCTTTTTAACCTTTTCTTGCTCAGCAATCAACTCCTTCTCCCATTGCTTAAACCCTAATGGATTGTCAGCTTGGTAAGGTGGAACAAATGCCAATTTCTCCTCAGGCATCACATCCCACAAGAATTGATCTTTGATTTTATTCATGGCTGGATTGAGTGTTTTCAAACCCGATAATGACTTTTTCAAAGGGTGTTCCAAGATTGGGTATATTTCGTTATGGTCCGGTTCCATATGAGCACTTATTTCCTTACCCAAATGGATCAAACTACGATCATCATGTTCACCAGCGATGAAATTCTTGATTTTCTTGTCCAAATCTTTCGTCTTTTCTGGACGCACATGACGCTTTGGCGGTTGTGGAGGTTTGATGAACTCGGGTGGAATAACAAGATCTATCCCCTTGGGTTGATTTATTCGATCAAGAATGTGTCTTTGACCAAGTGATTCATATATCGATTCAAGTGATTGTTCTTGTAAATGTTCGGGCATTTGCGGTAATGCCGACGTAGGAAGGTACTGAGATGGTTGGATTGCGATACCAGAACTTGTTGAGCTCAGCAATGCAACACTTCCTTCATTTTCTGACCCACTGGCATCCTTTAACCTTCCAAATATCTTTCTCTCCTCTTTAGATTTCGATTTAGGTTTGTCGTAGATTTTCTTTGTAGTGACGGGCTTTGTCGTATGGGATAAACATCGTATCGATAGCCCACTGGCTCGGGATGAGCGTGGTAACAGTCTTAAACACGTTGTAACTAACATTATTATGCTGATCGGGGAGGCGGTGACGTTTAGGTGTAATGGCAAGTCACTAGACAAAAAATTGTCTCTTCGCCCAAAAGAAAACAAATCGTCCGGGACTGCTGTTGCAAAAGTACACGACCTTGGGTGACGCAAAATAAATGTCGTGAAATACACATATAGGACTTTGGTGTTGCCACAGTTCTGGATCTTTTATATGCAGGAACAATACTGCGTTTGTGTAAATCTTTTGTTGAAAATTTTTGGGTACTCGTGGGCTCTAACCGCTGGACCAAATTCGTCATTCTTTTAACTCCTTCCACCAGTGTATGGTAAAGAAGATCCCTCGGACAAACTTGGCAAAACTATTCAACAACATGTCTGTTCATAGAGAGAAAATTGATGTGACTCATTTACCCCATCACTATGATGGTCAAGTGACTCTTGCTGTTATTGGTGGAACTGGATTATACGATTTACCAAATTTACACCCAATTGCAAGGTTGACGATTAGTACTCCATGGGGGTTCCCATCTAGCCCAATTACAATTTCCAAAACTGAACTGGGGTTCCCTGTGGCCTTCTTGGCAAGACATGGCCAACATCATGATTTGTTACCCAGTGACGTTCCATCGAGAGCCAATATTGCTGCATTAAAGAAATTGGGAGTCAAAGCGATTATCGCCTTTTCAGCTGTTGGTTCGTTACAACAAGAAATCAAGCCAAGAGATTTTGTATTGCCTACACAAATCATCGATAGAACTAAAGGTATCAGACCATCAACTTTTTTCGAAAAGGGATTTGTTGCTCATGCAATGTTTGGTGAACCATTTGACTTGAAATTGAATTCACTTGTTGCGAATGCTATACCATCAGAGGGTTTCCTCGAAGGATACGACAAAGAAGATGCCAACCCAACATTGCATACTAAAGAACACACCAACAATGGTGAAGATTTGACAGTTATATGTATGGAAGGTCCTCAATTTTCCACTCGTGCGGAGTCTAAATTGTACCGTTCATGGGGTGGATCTATCATCAATATGTCCGTGTTACCCGAAGCCAAATTGGCAAGAGAAGCAGAGATTGCTTACCAAATGATCTGTATGTCTACTGATTACGATTCATGGAACGAGAGTGAAGAGCCCGTCACTGTGGAGACAGTTGTTGGTAACTTGAAAGCCAACTCAGCCAATGCTTGTAAGTTGGCAGCAAAGTTGATTGATGAGTTTGCTGAAAAGGGAGGCGAAATCGGAAATGATATACAAGGATCAATGAAATTCGCTGTTAGTACTAGTCCTCATGGGGTAAAGAAGGAGTTGTTGGAAAAGATGCATTTCTTGTTCCCTGGTTATTGGCAAGTTTAATATAGACATAATAGACAATTAAACACCTACACTTTTCTTGTTCATCGTAATCGTTACTTTTTATTCTAATAATACAATATTTATTCCCCTAGATGCTCTTTACTGAGTGAGCTAAAGAGTGAACCGGCCTCAAAACAGCTTCATCCAATTCATTTTCATACTCCAAATCATTCCATGAATCTTCCTTGGCGTTGTAACTGCTGTAAATAACCCAGAATAAACATCCACCAATAAAACAAGCAACAGCCAAACCAGTATATGTCCAAACCATCTTGGGGTCTTTACTGACTGGAGATAAAGCAATACCAATAGCTGAACCGAATGCGTTTGTGACAAGGAAAAGAGCCATAATGAAAGATTTCATTGATACCGGTGCTTTGGTGTATGCATATTCCAAACCGGTGACGGAAGCGAAAATTTCTGACATGGCAATCAACCAGTAAGCAGGAGTTTGTAAAGCAATATGGATATTGTTACCATTTGGACAAGCACCAGGGTCGTCATAACATGGACCTGATTTGTAAATGTAATGTTGCAAAACAGCAGCGTAAATCATAGCACCAGTTCCAAACATGAATCCGAAAAAGATTTTTGTAATTGGCTTCACTGGAGTGAATCTTCTAAGGAATGGGTAAACAAATCTCTCCATAATTGGAATAAAGATAATGATACAGATGGAGTCAAAAGCTTGCAAGAAATCATTAGGCAATCCATGTGCTCTCATTTGACCAGCTTGTGAAACGAAATTGTTCAACATTTGACCATAAGTGACCCAATAAACTGGATAAAAGACAAACACTTTACATGCATACAAAGCACGTCTAACTTCTTCAACGAAATGATCAGTCCACGGGTATTCCTTTTCTGGATGCACTGAAGGTTTGGCATTGTCAAGATTGAACCCATTAGTTAATCCAACCCAAGCACATTTAAAAGTCTTGTTGATGATTTTTTCAGATACTGGGATATCAACCGATTTATTTTTACCAGCAATCAATGAAGCCAAAGCAAGGAAAAAGAAACAAAATGGTAACAAATAAGCAGCCCAGAATCCAACATGAGCTTCCAATTCAGTAGTGGCAATAACTGATAAACTTCCAATATTAATCATCAAATAAAACCATAAAAAGATATTTTGCACAGTGATATTTGGATCAACAATTACACGTTCACCATTTTTTCTAACTGAAATCCTTGGTTTCCTTTTAGGCACTTGATCAGCCAAGTATGGTGACACATTGGATTTGATTAACCCAGTACCAATACCAATAATAATGATTGCGGTTACGTAACCTCCGAGAGCAGTGTTTTTGCTTGTAATTGATGGGATTGAAGTGACAAACAAGATCAAGATACCAACAATGTATACAAAACAAGCCACGAAAAGAGTCTTGTATTTACCCCAATAAGTATCCGCGATCCACCCTCCAAAAATAGGAGTAACATAACACCAGAATTGGAAAAAGTACGACAAAGCAGTAGCACCTTGTTGTTGCAAATCCAACTGTCCCTTTGGGTGGTCGTTTGGACCATTTTGCATATAGTTTTGGAAAGGAGCTGATAATCCATAGTAGGAGAATCTTTCAGCCAATTCCACAACAGCGACTAACCAAGCGGCAAAGGGAATTCTATCAGCCACATGTCTCAATGTTTTAAATTCGTGCTCTGTTGGTTCTCTACCTTCATCTTCCTCTTGAAGTGAATCATCGATAAAGTTTACTTCATTTGAGTTGGTTTTTTTGACTTCAGCATCCTCTTCAAGTGAAGCTGTTTGAATGACATTTTGTTGTTGTTTTTCATTGGTTACTGATGGTGAAGCATCTGATGAAGAAGTGTACGCCTCATTTTGGTGTTGGGGTTGTATTGGTTCTTCAACACTCTGTATATAATCGTTCTTTTCTGACATTTTTCTAAAGCCAAGACTATTAATAATAAAGTATTGTGTCTTGGAGGTGATGTATTATACTTCGATAGCCAAGAGATCTTTTGCAATTTACCCTTCAAGAAAAATTCCAGCCTATTTATTTGAAAAAAACAAAAAAGGTTTAAAAAGAAATGTATCAAGTGATGAAATAGAAATTATAAAGTTACCCAAAGTGGGAAAACCGGCGGGAGAGGGAATAGAAATTTTTATTTTTTGATTTTTCCCCAACTTATCATTTGTCATTGATAAAAGTAAAAAAGTAGCATTATAATCATCACTCTCTCCTCTGCTAAGCACAATAACACAATGTCTATTTTCTGAAGGGCATTTTGACGATTTTTTTCGGTTTTTTCCTCTTTGTTTCAACCCTTTAAACTGTACGATGGTTGCATTTTTTCGGCTTTGTGGCATCTACAATGAAAAAGAAATTCAATAGACAGCAGAAAAAGTTTAAAGTTGGAGCACAAAATTAGCCGCTGAATAAAAGAAAATAATACAAAATTGCATCAATGTGGCTGTCTAACACTCCTTTCAGTTGCAAAATGGGCTGGTCACTAGTCACTCGGGTCGGGGAACCGGTCGCGTGAGTGTTTTTGTTTTCTTTTGCTATGGATCGAATCTTGTTGTAGCACTTTGTGCATCGTGCCGTACGAAACACAAGCGAACTAAAGAATAAAGAAAGGGAACGGGTAGTTGCAGCAACTAAAAGAGAAGCATTTGCTGCAGCAAACACCTTGAAATCACATGTTCATGCAGTTTACGTAGACACATCTTTTACATGCGGAGATGGGAAAACATCATTACCCGCACCAAAAATGGCTTACCACATGCAGTACTGGTGAACATACGGCATGAGTATGGTTAATTCCCGCTTTAATGAATTTTAGTCTCCCTTTTCTTTTTTTTTTCACGGCATTTTGACATGTCAAATTAATTTTTCTGGATGGTTCTTGGTTGGATCTCCGATACACAAAGTTGTGACTACACAAAAAGGTCATTATAATTTCTGTCTGTTATATCGTGGTAGTGTGACCCCCCTCCATTAAGTTTCACTTTCCGAGTCATTAAGGTTATAAATGCCACCTTTCAAAGCCACTCTAATCATACGTTTGCAGGTTGTGCAAATTTCCGGTTACCCTCGGAGGACTCGACTTAAAAATGAGGGTCTAGTGGTATAACCGTTTCCAGTGAGATATGTCTCATGTGGTGCATGCTATACTCCATGTGCAAATCGCCGTGTGAAAGTCCATTGCCTTTTGTTACCCCGGATGCGTAATAATAAGTAGCACAATACCGCAAGGAGGACGATTTTGTATACGCGGTATTCCCGTAAACGATAATCAAATAGGGCATCGTTTACGATAGGCTGATTAAATAGTTCCTTATCAAGATATAAGGCGGGCTACAATTCACACGGCGCAGATCCAAATCTTACAAAGTCACTAAAGCCCCGTTTCACTTTTTGCCCCCCCCTCTGTATTCAATCTTTCGGGGAAACATGTAAGATTATGGAGATTACTATATCAGGTGAGATCGAATGATTCAGCACAGCTCAAGAAAAAGGTAAAATTTTGATACTGAGGGGAGAGAGAAGGTCTTGGCACATGCTGAAAGCGAGGTGCATAGCACTTGCATTGGATTTAGACATGCAGGAGAGAAAGAGAATCAGAGTATACACGTGTCTAATATTTGGAGGATGAATTACAGGGTTTGAAGTCTACAAGAATTTCCTTTCATTCATTAAGGCATAATAACAGTTTCAAAACCACGAAATCCCCCACTTTTGTGTTTATCTTTTCCAAGATTCGTGCCTTGCGTAAACTAATATATATTTCCAAGTAACATATAAGAACTAAATAATACAAATCCCACAGCAGATCAAGCCATGATCTAGTGACGACACATGATCGCCCGTTTTCTCCACCGCTTCGCAACTCCCCCCCTTTTTTTTTTGTCTAACAAAAGACATGGTAAATCCTCTTGTAGAATGGCTTAGCTCTCATAATGGCCTTTTCTTCAGCAATTTCTTGTCTAAGTAAATCCAAATCCAAATCAGTTCTACCAGTATCAATATCGATTTCATTTGCTTTGTAATACAATTTCCAATTCTTGGTGTAAAGTTTGTGACCACAATAAAATACAAGAACAACAGGAACAGTCAAAAAGTTCATAAAGAAATCTTCAGCATTGGGTTTGGTATGTAATGGCCAAACAGCAATCCAAAATTGCAAACACAAGACCACCAAGTTCAAAAGCATACCCCAATATGCACCAAATAATCCAGCTTGGGAAGTGAATGGAAGTTCACCGGTATCTCTACCTTGGGATCTTAAAGCGGCCCTAAATCTAATAAGACACAAGTTGATTGATCCCCAGGTAAAAATGGATGATAATCCTGATAATGCCAATAACCAGTTGAAAACAAGATTTTGTTTTGGTGAAGCAGCAAGGAAACACAACGCACCAATGACCAATTGAACAATGATACCAACCAATGGCCTACCTTGTCTGTCAATGTATCCAAAGATCTTTGGTGCTTGGTTAGAAGCAGCTAAAGCAGCCAATGTTCTTGATGAACCAAAAACTGAGGAGTTACCAACAGATAACACAGCAATCATAATAACAACATTCATAACTGAAGGTAATCCACTGATACCACCCAACTTGATGGCAATAACAAAGGGGGAAGCCGAAGCAGTGTTTTCAGCATCAAACAAATCAGTGTTGTCGTATGGAACCAAGATACCAACCAAAGTCAAACAAATGACATAAAATAAGGTGATTCTCCAAAACACCTGCTTACAAGCCTTTGGTAATGATTTCCTTGGGTTGCTAGATTCAGCTGAAGCCAAACCAACCAATTCAGTACCAGCGAAAGCAAAAGCAGCACCAACGAAAACAGTAATGACACCTTTAACTCCATTGGCAAAAGCACCAGGATGTTGCCAGTACTTACCACCGATGTAACCACGGCCATTTGGTGATCCACCAGCAGCCAAAACAATACCCAAAATGATAAACCCAATAACAGCAGTAACTTTAATGGCACTAAAGATAAATTCAGCTTCACCATATCCACGAACCCCGAAAAAGTTGATGGCAATAATGAGCACATAGAAAATCACAACAAACGCCGCTGAATTTGTTGTTGTATCCCAGAACTTAATCGTCACTGCGGCAGCCACCAATTCCAATGGTAACACCACTAACCATTGCATAGCGTAATTCCAGGCCATGGCAAAACCCCAAGAAGGATCAATGAATCTCGTATTATAAGTCACAAAAGCACCAGCAACAGGGAAAGTCACTGCTAATTCACCCAATGATTGCACGGTACAATAAATCATAGTACCAATGAGAATATAAGCAATGATTAACCCAGCAGGGCCACCAGTATGTAATGAACTTCCTGAACCAACAAACAAACCAGTACCTATACTACCACCAATAGCAATCATCTGCAAGTGTCTGTTTTTCAATGATTTACTCAAGGGGGAATTTGCCGTCAAGATGGCAATCTTTTCTGCTTCCGACAAGTTTGGGTCAATACCCATGGCATCAGTATCAGCTCTTTTGAAACCATCTTTGAATTTGGCCCATCCCTTCAAAGGTGGTTGAGAATCTTGAGCGTCAAATGCATCAATGTAGACTCCACCTTCTTTATCATCAGAACCAGCAATTTCACGCGAAGTGATGTAGTTTAATTCCTTTTCTGGCATCCTGAAAAGAACTATGTGTTTGAGAAAATTTGGTTAACACAGGTAGTTGAGAGAGTCTGGGAATTTCGCAGGTGTATTTATATCTCTACATTATCCATTTGCTAGCGAGGGGGCTATTTCGTTGAAATGAAACAATAGACGATTGTAGATAACATTAAGAGAATAAGAAATTAAATACGTTGATAGCCAAATACGCCTTATTGTATTCAAAGTTGACCAATGAAAAGAAACGTTTGTTAAGCTGTTTTGACAATCAAGAAAAAAAAAATGAATTAAAATTGATCTTTAAGGTGATATGGGATATGCAAAACGGATTAAATTGAGGAGCCCATAGATTTATACGATTTTTTTTGTATGTAAAGCAATGGGCGTTTGTTTTTGTCATTTTTTTCCCTTATCAGCTGCAAAAATTGATAATTTGATAAAGTGAATAGGGTGTAGTCTTGCGCTAGGCTGTAGATAGGAACTAATTAATCCGAGGTATGCTATCAATTGGATTACAGTCACAACGTATAGAGTTGGTTTGCTCTTCTACTAAAGTCGATTGATTGCAATCACTTGCTACTTGTCACAGTAGATAATTTTTAGCCGCTGATTTGCCATAAACAGAAATTCAGAAATATGGAGAAAGGGAGATCACACACACACACACACACACCTACACCTGAAACTAACCATAATAAAGAATTAATGGTGCGGTGGTAGTGGTGGTGGTTTTTTTAAGCTTTTTGTGTATTCTGATAAAGAATTGTGTATTGTTTAGGTTGTGATTGTTATTGTGTTTCAGCTATTCAAAATGCCGTATGGAAAATATTACGTAAATGCTTAGGTGATTAATTAAAATCTGTCAGATATGATTTTGACACTAAAACACGCGAGAGCCACAGTTGATGAATACGACACATGCTTTCTTTACTCGCACCAGGGATGCCTATCGTGGTGTAGGAAAAACATCCCTGTATTCAACCAGCCTATGTGATAACCAGTTAACTTCGGTAGCACGAATATATAATGTCAGTTGCTTGGTGACAACGTTTAACCAGATCTGCATATCAAGTCATTTCCTTTTTTCTTTTTTTTTCTCGTCCCGTCGTTCTTCCGAACAAGGGGGCCGGGGCGGAAGCCAAAAAGAAATTGGTTCTCTCAGGGCGGTGAATCATACCGAAAACGTGATCAACTTTCGTTTAAACTCGCCCTAAAAGAGTTTCACATTTCCAGAGAATCTCCTTTTTTTATTTTGACGGAGAAACATAAGAAGCTCTAAAGTGAAACTTTGTGAGAACGCCCAAAGAATTTTACACTCAACTGGTAAGTTCAAGATGGAAAAATGACGTTACCGGTGCGAGTTTACAACCGTAACGGTGATTTCATTCGTGTTTCATCTTTGTTTTTTGTACATCATTAATGAGCGAATCTCTTTCATTTAGTATCTGCACCAAGTGCAAACTCTATCTTGCAAAATACGGCCAGAATGCTTTGCAACGGACTGTTGAAAATGGAACATCCTTTATCAATTTTTCGGTGATGTACTTACTAATCCAAGACGCCAAAGAATGCCAAAACGTCTGATATGAGCCGTTCCCAAAATTAACTTGTGTATGGCAACTCACTTAGGTCGCAGATACGACGGTTGCAACCATCTCGTCTAAAGCTTGCACGAAACGGTACAAAGCTGAACCTTTACAAAACGCCGTATCCAAAGTGTTCTGTTCCCCACCCTTGTTTCCACTTTGTCCTACTACCATCTACATTGCTCACTCTACATTTGTATTCATCTTTTCGTCGCCCAAGAAATATGTACAAATTAAGACCTGATGCAGGAGTAACAAATGTCAAAAACACATATTTTGTTTCCCCACACTTCAGTTTGTTGTAATTTACACTGGCATGGAGACAAACTGGTCCATACATTGCCATTGTACTAATGCCCGGCGATGTGCATTTTTGTTTACAAGCGGATCACGCCGAAATAGCTCCCAGAGAGGGGAAGAAACCGAGGGTCTATGAGAAGCAGCCACTAAAACTCCTTTCTACACTTCTTTTATGCTCTATTGTATACAATCATAAACTCTTCTTTTTCTATCACACAAAGCGCCTCCTAGCTACACCCTTTATTTAGCTATTCTAGACCAGTTCTTAAACTCTTCGTCACCGTATTGGATATTTTGAATCCATTCACATACTTTAGCAGCAATTTCACCACTACCACCAGCAACAGTGGGAACTTCAATCAGTTCACCTTTGTATTCAATATTGTTAATGGGAGCAACAATAGCAGCAGTTCCGGTACCGAAAGCTTCAACCAATTGACCCTTTTTAGCCTTTTCTTGAACTTCATGAATGGTCAACTTACGTTCATTAATGATCCAATTGTCACCACCAAGTTTTTCTTTAGCCAATTCCAAGGTCGAATCACGTGTGACACCAGGTAAGATCATTCCTGCTAATGGTGGAGTAACCAATTCCGATTTACCATCATCAGTTTTGAATGCAAAAAACACATTCATGGCCCCAACTTCAGTGATTTCTCCATCGTCACCAAACAACCACAAGTTTTGTGAATGACCTCTCTTGGCGGCTTCAGTTTGGGGTTCGATACATGAGACGTAATTGGCACCCAATTTGTAAGAACCAACTCCCTTGGGCCAAGCACGGACAGCGTAATCAGTAGCCTCTAAAGAAACTGGCTTGAAACCTGATCCGAAATAAGGTCCCACCGGAGATGCAATGAGGAAAAGCTTAGCTTTAGTTGGGGCAGATACGCCGAGTCCAACAGACGTTCCAATCAAAGTTGGTCTCAAATATAATGAAAATCCTTTACCTTGAGGTACAAATCTCTCTTCCAAGAGCAAAAACTTGTCAACCAATTTCAAAAACTCTTCACCATCAAAGGTAGGCAATGATGCTCTCTTGGCTGATCTATTCATTCTTTCCATATTCTTATCAGGTCTGAAAGTACGAATTTGACCTTTGGAGTCACGATAAGCTTTTAAACCTTCAAATAGTTCAAATGAGTAGTGTAAAACACATGTTGCTGGATCCATTGAAAAGTTGTGGTATGGTTTGATTGTAGGTGTATGCCATCCATGATCCGCTGACCAATCAATTTCCAAAATATGGTCAGTAAAAGATTGACCAAATTTCAATTCTGAATTTGGTAAAGGGTCTTTTGGATTGGTGGTTTTGGTTACTTCCAATTTCGAAGCATCTAATGGAGCAGACATTGTACGATTGTTTATGAGATAACAAAAGATGGTAAAAGTGATTTCTAATGTAGCTACTCTATATATGAGTTTTGAAGATTTAGTAATTCTCTTAACTTTTTTTTTTTTTTCAGTTTCGGTATGTGAGTCAACATCTTAATTCCAATTTTTCGGCTATCAAAGGCTAACTACAAAACTCCTATACCGGCGTGAACTACAAAATGGATCTCTCACATTACATCAAGCCACTTCTTCTTCTATTCACCTAGATCATACACTACTCCGTTCTCTTTGTCAATACGCCATACTCATCAGGATAGAAGATTAACCTCTCAACTCCCTTTTTCGTTAAAATCACCATTCGAATAACCCCACCAGAAGATCCATCCCATTTGATAGCTTCAGCCAAGGCAGTCTTGATAAAGTCAACCGTCTCATCTTTCTCCATGCTTGGTTTATAATTTTCATTGCACCATCCATAAATGAATGTTGATCCACTTCCAGCAATGGCATAATCTTGTTTATGTATTGACCCTCCAATTGGAATCGAGTATACAGAACCACCATACTTGTCATCATATCCAGCACATATAATACCAGCAGTTAGATTATCCTTATTGTTGTAACAAATTTCTTGAAATACATTGGCAGCGATATTTGTTGTTGGTTTTTGACCAACTGGTAATTGTGATGAATAAATTTGTAAATAATACTTCACCATATCGGCGACAGCTTGAGTATCAGCAGCCGAACCTGAACGACAACAGTATATGGTGTCGTGTATTTGTGTTAGTTTGTCGGTAACCCTATTGGCAATATAAGACCCCGTTGTGGTTCGTGAATCAGCTCCTAAAATTACACCATCTTTAAAAGTAACAGCCATGATGGAAGTACCTAAGTTGACCTCTCCCTTTTTCAAATGATTTATATCTACTTTTACACCGTTCATGATTGATGACAAAACGCAATTGGGGTGTTAAAGGATGTGCAATTGGATCTGAATAACTGCTGCTGAGATAACTCTTTGCCACCTTTAGACGGATTGTTCTTTTTTTTTTTTCGCCTCTGGCTCAGTTCGTCTCTCCCAACAAACTACGAAAATGACACGTGGAAAGCACGTGAACGATATACCCAAAACATCAACAGACTAAAGAAAAGCATGATACACTCCAGTGCAGTAGTAGAAGGCGATAAGCCCCACTGATTTTGGTTAGATGAATTTACACTGTGAAGTATCCTCAGTTCCAACGTTCGTTGGTCATGTCGAGAGCAATGTGTCAAAGTTCAATTTTCGTTTCTGTGTAAAAATTCCCAAGTTTTTCGGTATAATATAAGCAAAATGTCAAATTTTTTGATTTCATATGAAACACCATATAACCCCATAAGCACATTAATTTTAAGCGCTGAAAAACCAACACACACGTATATATATATATATAATATATATCACTTGCATTGCTATAAGCAAATATAATCAAGAAATATATACATACATACATACATTTAGTGGAGGCTCGATTTGATCAATCAGTTTTTCCCCCGAAAGATGAATTCCAAATCAGTGGTATTAGTAATACTCATATACATAACTTCCTTCATCACAGCAACTGTTATCCCCCAAGTTGAAACATTCCATCTCAGTGAAGATGAAAAGAAATATTTGGTAGATGACCCCAAAGTCACTCATAAAGTAACATTCACCATTTCTCAAAAACAAGCTGATTCGCCCAACATGTCACTATTGGGTAAACTAACATTGGCATTATTTGGTGAAGTATGTCCCATAACAGTGGACAATTTCTATCAATTATCAGCCATGACTCGTGGATACGGGTACAAGGATAGTCAATTCCATCGTATCATCAACAACTTCATGATTCAAGGTGGTAATTATGATGGAGAAGGCGGTAAGCTGATTTATGGCGGCAGCTTCAATGATGAAAATTTCAAATTAAAACATGACAAATTGGGTCGTTTGTCAATGGCTAATGCTGGACCAAATACCAATGGAGGTCAATTTTTCATTTTAAACACTGACAAGACCCCACACTTGGATGGGAAACATGTGGTATTTGGCCAACTAGTTGGTGGATTTGATACATTGATGAGGATAAGCACAGTTGAAGTTGATGGTAATAACAAACCATTGGAGCTGATTATTATTGCTGATGTGGAAACTGCTAAATTGAGTACTGATCCTCAAAATGGCGATGAATTAGAATCGGCTGCTGCGGCTGCTGAATTGAAGGAAAGCGGATCAAAAGAGGAAGATGTCAAGGTTGAACAAGTTGTACAAACTAGTTCGGTTTATCCTTGGTTTATTGGTTTGCTTTTGCTTGGGATTGTTGGTGGTATTTATTACAAGAAGTTTTATAAAGCTGAAAGAATTACTGATATCAGGAGTAATCGACGCTTTTGACTATTCAAAGAGGGACTCCTTGAGGAGAAGGAAGCTAGAAAGGTGTTTTGAGCAACAAACTTGAAAAAAAGAAAAAAATACACTTGGGACAAGTGACCCAAAATTGGGGTATAAGTTAGGTATCGTTCATCAGTGTGAGGAAGTAATCTATCAGTTAGCTTATGATGTATACAATAAATATGTATAGGGAAACTTTCACGACAAAATGAGCTGAGTCGATACTCACAATCTCTGCGCGATGAAATGATATAAAAAAATCACAAATTCCACCTAAACTCAATGTACACCCACACAAACACTACCCGCACACATATGTCACTATCCTACAATTTTCCCATTGTATCAGTGAAGAACGTATCCTTCACAACATCACCAACGCAATTGTTCAGCACATTTTCACAGTATGGCCGCATTTATCAAATACGACACAACCCCAAGGAAAAAGGTCAGTATTTTGTCATTTATTATGATTTACCACTGGCTCAGTCAGCTGCTAAGGAATTGAATGGCGTCAATCTTGACGGCAGGTATTTGGTTACTTCTATATACGGGGTGGACAAGTCGAGGATTCAGTAAATGGGGTTAATCAACCGAAAAGGAAACAGAGATTAGAGGTAAAATGGAATAACTTCTTGTCTACAAATCATGGAACACTCTTGCTGGATCAGTGTAAAGAAACTTCTCTCAATGCATCGAACTTGATACTGTGTTTCTTCTAAAAATCTATAAAATATTCAACAAGTAATAACTAATCAACCCAACTAACACAAACCCGGCAATCTTGCCCACTTTGATATAAAGATTAGTTGGATTATACTTGTAAATCAAAAACAAATCCAACTTGTGTAAATCATCAATCAAATTTTGGAAATGTACTGTTACTTTAACATGACCTTTAGACACATCCAAATACGACAACTCATTATCAACATTAACCGATTCATAAGGCAATAACGATGACACATTTACAAATTGGGCTCCTTCAGGTAAATAGAAATCAATGTATACATCATCATAAGTGGCATCACGAACCGTGTTTAAAAGGGGAAACTTGATGATATATTCATCATCAGCACCACCACCATGGGTCTGGGGCAATTTGTGAATAAACAAGTCCAAGTTTTCCGACCAACCCAAAGTAAAATTGTAGTGCCAATTGCCAAAAAGTGGGAATCTGGGTTGCAAGATTAAGTAATTGGCAATATTTTTCGAACTTGAAACAACACCAACTTTGTCAGTATAATAATAATCATCCAAATTACGATCCTTGAGGGGGATTTCCAAGTGACTCAACCCCCAATGGTTTCTTGTAGCTTCATATCTTCCCTTCAACCATTCCAAACGCGAAAACCCAGAAGATAATTCAGCTCCAGCATTGGTGATTTCATAATACTCTTCAATTGAAACACGATTTATGTTTGATGCAGGCACCCAAATTGATCGGTTTAAATTGAGCACTTTGGTCAATGGACGATTATGATCGTACATTAATCCCATTGGTTTCAAAGTGAATGGCTCAATATCATGGACTAATGGCCCATATTTTAAAGTATCTTGATCTACCCTTGGTTTCAAATCTGGTGTGTCCTTGGTCTCGAGTACATCGGCTAAATCCTCCAATGCCAATTGCATTTCTTGACCTTTTGTCATACCAGTCAATACAAAAGTGTAGTCTTTGGTAAGATACGGAGAATAAGGGAACTTGTTGGTCTTGAATAATAGCTGTTGTAGTTCTTCCAACTTGATCCGTTTGGGAATAGGCTCCAACGTATTTGCGTAAACATAATTGACTTCAATCTCAATGTTTGACCCAGGTGCCAATGGAGCTGGTAATGTAAATTTATAAACTTTACCAGGGACAATTGCCTCAAGTTTAATTTCAATAGCTTGATCAATAGATACAACATCAATATAAGAAATGTTACTCACACTGTCAAACCCATCATTGACAGTGTAATAGTACTCTGCCTGTGGAGTAGATGCAATGTTTTTGATATCAATCAAGTCAGTCTCTTTAACATAGCCTCGATTCAAATCAACCGACCGAGTATAATGAAGATTCTCCCATGTTGGCTCAAATGTGTACAAGTTTTGGAAAGGTGTGGTGGTGGCTGCGGCAGAAACAGAAACTATAGATAGTATGAGTCCAATTGTGAAGTAAAGCTGCCTCAACATTGTGTGATTGGAGTAAAATGGGATGGGGAAGGGGGAAAGACACTCTCTGTGTTGGCTTTCTGAAAAGGGTTACTTCATTTTTTCACCTTTTGACGGTTTCGATTTAGCAGAGGGAAAAACTTCTGGACACAACAGCGTGTGTGTACTGCATATAAACAATAATTCGATTGGTAGCTCTCTAACAATAATACATACACAACCAACTACTTCTTTAACTTCGTTTCACAGCCAACTAATATACTCGAAAGAGTGAAGCATGAATGAGCTAGTGTAACCACATTTAAGACGTTAGACTAGACAGACCTCAATAACAATACCAACAGTTCTCATACAGAAAATAGTCATCAACTGCATCAATTCGGTATCGGAATAGTACTTGATAAGCTCAACTGTTTGCTTATTACCCTTCTCTCCAACTACAAACATTAGTGGTACAGGATCAAAGCTCGCAAATGTTTTGGGAGTCCAGTGAATACCTATAAACCCTTTTGGGACAGGGTAACTGAATCTGAAAAGATTGCTTAATCAAATAGACCATATTTCCTGTGCCTAAAAAAGAGCTACACTAGTTCATTGCTTGCTTTTGGAAATTGCAAACTAAGGTTACAAATTTCTTGTGCAATATCCCCGTCATCTACGTTGGTAGCAATTATAAAGTGTTGCACAGCCTGATGCGATAACCTGGTAATCCTATTGCCTTTATTCCTCTCGGGAACTCATTTATGGCTTAGCCCCAATACAATCAGGTTAGGGAAATCATTGTCCATTTGCAAATTAATAAAAGCCCGATCCAAGCTCGAAAAGGTAGTAGTGAACAATTCGCGAAGAAGTAAAGTATTGGATCCAGACGTAATTTTAAACTTATCCGCAATTGTAGTCAGAAGTGTATGCAATTTTATCATCGTCAGGGGTAGCGTTATATCCATTTTGTCAAGTTTTGGACCAAAGTCATGACAGAATCAACAATCCCATTATTCACTACAAACCCAACGCGTGGCAGGGAATGAGTTGTGGGTATACTGTTCCTTTGTATAACCCATGACATACCGCCCTTGACTGTGCACGGTTCCATTAGATACTGGATCAAAAACACTGTTGTCCCTGAACCGAACCTCTCAAGACACAATCGCATATCCCAAGTGCTTAAAGGTACCGTAGTGGTTGAGCCAATCGGTGGTTTGAAAGAATTCGAGGGTTGTAAACAAATTGAGGATCTTATCAAAGAACTCAATTTGGAGTGGAAGTATCAGTAAGTAACCTATAGGCTCATTTGCATCCATTTGCTTTGCACAGCTGAACAAAATATTCTTTTATACACTTTAGTGGTCATGACTAAAAAGCTTGTGTGACTGTTGTGAAAACGAGTTGAGTATCAAAGATTGGGCTGCTAAAGCAAAGGTTAATCATAGTTGTTTCCACGAGACTTATTATAAGCCGTATTGGGCAGTTTATTAATGGTCGTGAAAATTGCAGTGTCGTGAATTCACTGTGGACGTTTGAGGTAGCAACAAAAAATTAAATGACGCGGGTGAATGTCGTGGTGAGAACAAAGACAGACAATGAAATGAAACTTGCGTAATTGATTTTTAGGAGGGGTGTTGCAACTACTTTGAACTGGTTTTAATCGAGTTAAGTTAATTGATCGTCTTTCATTCGTAGTGTAAAAGTGTATCCACCAGGTATCACGTGATATGTCTCATTAATATAAGTAACGACATTGACAAGTACAAAAAGTGGCAAAAACACAAAGCAGCACAGCACACAGAGAGAGAGCAAACTAAAAGTGTAAACAACATAAACAGAGTGTGCGTGTGCATTGAAAAAAAAATTTTTGTTGTTTAAACCCACCAAAGAACGTTGAGGATTTGAGTATTTTGGCCCCCACCATCCCCTTCATATATATTTACGATCCATTTCAAAGGCCCTGACCCCCTATTCCCATCAACCTACATCTGTCCCTTTCCTCATTTTCAAAATTTCCATCATGTCTTTGCAGGATCTTATACCCGTAGTTAACAAGTTGCAAGATATTGTAACCACTACTCAATTGGCTGATATTGATTTACCCATTTTGGCAGTTGTTGGGTCCCAATCTTGTGGTAAGTCATCAGTACTTGAAAACATTGTTGGCAGAGATTTTTTACCTAGGGGTACTGGAATTGTCACTCGTAGACCTTTGGTTTTGCAATTGATCAATGTTAAAGAAGATGATCCTATAGTGACAAAGTACCAACAGAAGCTGCCAAAGAAGCAAAAGTCGAAGAAGAAGAAGAACGGAGGCAAGGAGCATGATGATGATGACAACAGCGACAATGACAATGACCATGACTCTGAAGAGGAAGTTGATTTGGAAGAGCATATTCGAAAAATGAATGGTGGTAAATCCGGCAACGATAAAAAGAAAAGTAGCAATACACGGGCTGAATGGGGTGAGTTTTTACACATTCCAAACAAACGTTTTTACAGCTTTCATGATATTAGAAGAGAAATTGAAAGTGAGACTTTGAGAATTGCTGGAGAGAACAAGGGAATTAGCAGATTACCCATCAACCTCAAAATCTATTCCCCAAATGTGTTGAATTTGACTTTGGTTGATTTACCAGGTTTAACCAAGATCCCCATTGGTGACCAGCCCACTGATATTGAAAGACAAACAAGAAACTTGATTTTGGAGTACATCTCTAAGCCAAATTGTATTATATTGGCAGTATCTCCTGCCAATGTAGATTTGGTCAACTCTGAATCTTTGAAATTGGCAAGACAAGTTGATCCTACAGGTAAAAGAACTGTGGGGATTTTGACTAAATTGGACTTAATGGATCAAGGAACAAATGCCGTGGATATTTTAAAGGGCAATGTTTATCCATTGAAATTGGGATTTATTGGTATTGTCAACAGATCTCAACAAGACATTTCTGAAAACAAGTCGTTGGATGATTCATTATATTCCGAAGAACAATTTTTTGCCAATCATCCAGCTTATAGAACCATGGCAAATAAGTGTGGTACCAAGTATCTTGCTCAAACATTGAATAAGATTTTGATGAATCACATTAGAGATAGATTACCCGACATTAAAGCCAAATTGAATACCCTTATGGGTCAAACTGAACACGAATTGGCTTCGTATGGAGAAATGCCCAACATTGGTGATTCTAGAGAAGCAAGAGGAGCCATGATTCTCACTCTCATGACTAAATTTGCCAATGGATTTATCAACTCAATCGAAGGTAACTCTGTTAATGAAATTGATACAAAGGAGTTGTGTGGTGGTGCTAGGATTTACTACATTTACAATGAAGTATTTGGTTCCACATTGGCATCAATAAACCCAACTCACAATTTATCAGTGCAAGATATTCGTACTGCAATCAGAAACTCAACTGGTCCAAGACCTTCATTATTTGTGCCAGAATTGGCATTTGATTTGTTGGTGAAGCCACAAATTGGCTTATTGGAATCTCCATCACAACGATGTGTTGAATTGGTTTATGAAGAATTGATGAAGATCCTTCATAGTGTTTGTACATCGAGCATTGGGCCTGAGTTAAATAGGTACCCTCGTTTGCAAACCAAATTGATTGAAGTTGTCAGCGATTTACTTAGAGAACGTCTTGGCCCCACCATCAAATATGTGGAATCATTGATTGAGATTCATCGTGCTTATATCAACACCAATCATCCAAATTTTGTTGGTGCTGCTAAAGCCATGAGTGAAGTTGTTGCTGAGCGTCAGAAGCAAAAGGAACAAGAACTGAACAGTAAATTGAGATTAGCTACACAAAGGATCTTGGGTAAAAAGACAATGAAAAATAGTGCCATTGAAGAGGTTGAAGGGGATGACGAAGCAGATGGAGAGGAGGAAGAAGATACTGATGAAGCGGTGAAGAGAATGAAGGAGGATATAAATTCAGTTGATGATAGAATAGATGAAGCTGGTCCCAAACACAAGAGATCTTTCTCAAATAGATCTAAAGCGGACCATTTCCATCATTCACCTTCGCATCAAAGCAATAATGAGTCATACCTCAATTATTTCCTTGGTAAAGATCCAATCGTTCATCAACAACAATTACAAGCTCAAGCTCAATTACATCCAACTCCATTCAAGTTCCCTCATCCACAGGAGACCACCTTACAGTTCAATACCCAATTCGTCAACAATGGCGTCATTCAAAGTCCTCAACAACAGCATCAACAATTCCAACAACAACAACTCAATCACAGTTTTACCCAAAACTCATCTCCATCAATCAATGGAGGAGGAAACATCCCCCACCACGATCTCAACAAATTATCCCTTGATGAATCAAACGACGGCTCATCAACATCATTTGAAGGCGATACTGCCATTTTGGAATTGACCGAACGCGAACAAATGGAATGCGAATTGATTCGTCGTTTAATCATTTCTTATTTCAGTATTGTTCGAGAAATGATTCAGGATCAAGTACCTAAATCAATCATGTGTCTTTTGGTGAATCATGTCAAGCAACAGATTCAAAATCGGTTGGTTGTGAAGCTATATAATGATGCATTGTTTGATGAATTATTACAAGAAGATGAAGGAATTCAAGCTGAGCGGGAGAAATGCGTTGAGTTGTTGAAGACTTATAAAGAAGCTTCAAAGATTATCAGTGACGTCGTATAGCGGCGAGTTATAGCGGGGAAGAGTAGTTTTAGAGTCTATGTATATAACTGGTATTTATTAAAATAAGAAAGATCAGTATAGATTTCATGTAAATGGGGTTCGTGAGCTACCATTAGGGAATGTGAGATGATTATCAAACACGCGTTTCCCTCGAAATTCACCAGTATCTTAACCCCTTCAATGTTCCCCAAATGGGCATCCCTACTACCAATACGGGAAATCTGGAGCAACGTAGACTCTTATACCAGAAATACGGCTACGATATCAACAAACTAATCAGGACTCATGAAAAACACGAATCGAGAAATCAACATGAAGATGGTGTCAATAATGATGGATTTATAATTCTCAATGCAAAATCAGACAAGTTAGACTATCAACGACTATTCGAGGCTTCAAATAAGGACATCTATGCTAGTAACAATGTTTCACACAAGAATAACAAGAGCAAACGTCGTGGCAATAATGACCAAGGGTTTCGAAAATTTACTAAAGTTTCAACATCGTTTCGCAAATTGGAAGAAGAATCGGCCAAAAGGAGTCGAGAGACGAGCTGGGTGCTTAAAGATGTACTAAAATACATTAAGTATCGATCTCAACGACTAGATCCATTCATCACCAAATGGTTTACTCCTAAAGGCATTACCAATACAAGCACAAATGGAAACGGCTTTTTACTACGACTTGTTGAATTTGGTGAACCGACATCCAATGGCGACACAACCGCCCTTTTAAGCGACGCAACTCACAAACTATGCGTTATATTCCCTCGCAAAACCGTATTCAACTATATTTCCAATGGTGGACTTCAATTTCAAGACGCATACTCAATCAACAATTACATCTACATCACTAAAGCCAATTTGAAATTTGTAACCCATGAATTTATCAAGACTCATTTTGGAACTAAATTGAACTATATCGATACTAAAGTCAGTTATTGTGTTTTGCAAGTGCTCGAGTTTAAATTGATGTACAGTGTTGAATATTTGCTTGCTAATCGAGTGGCCGGAGCTCCGCCTTTAGAAAAAGTAGTTAATGACAATGGGTCGCAATATGAGGTTTATGATTATGAGGACTTTGATGTAAATGGGGGTGCGAATGGAGGTGATGGAGGTGGTGGAAATAGAGGTGGATGTGGAGGTGCTATGGGGCAGGTGGTGCCCAGGTTTGATAAGTTTGCCTTAAAATTGGTTTATAATAATGAGTTGTATCGGAAATTGTGTTACTTGAAACCACTGGAGAGATGATGATTATGGGGCTCAGTAGGAAGGATCATCACCATAGTGGAATGGTGGTTGGTATTTTGGACAGATTTTTTTTTTGCAACACAATTCCCAAACCAGCCAATGCTTCAAAAGCGTTCCCCTTTCGAATCCACCACAAGACGCTAAAGGATGAGTGTTGAGCCAACAGGGACAGACTCGGCCAAGGGAGTCCCACAGGATAATGATGATACCACGCACCAGTCCAATGTTTCTTCTGCTATTGCTGCTGCTACTACTATTACTCCACAACCTGTTCCCATAAAGTCAAAATCAACCTCAAACTTACCCACAATGTTGGATTCAAAACCCCTTGCAATTCCTGAAACCGATGTCATGTCAAGTGTGACAACACCTATTCATCCATTACATTCTCACCACGGTTGTAATTTGATAGATTTGGATCAAGAAGAGTTGAACATCCCCTTGATTACTCCTCCTCCACATCAGCACCCTCAGTCGGTCCATAGCATCATACCACCACTACCAACTCAAGATACTTATTCCCCCATTGGTCATGTAATTTTACGGTACTTGGAACGATGGATACTAGAGCTAATTGAAAGACATAGAAATGGGCCTTATTTTTACCCCATTGCCATTACACTAGCAATCATTGTTGTTGTATTAGTATTGATACTTGTATTCTCGGGTAATTTCAATGCATTAGTGAGGATTTTGCGACACTTGATTTGTGAGTTGATTCAACTGGTTAAACCTTCATCTACAGTGCAATTTTGTGTGTAAATAGAATAACAACCACTATAGCATAGACTACGTTTATTACTAATGGTATATGTACAAGCTCCCTTTCTCCTTCCTACTTGTGTCTCACCATTCTTCCCTTTCTGTTTCTAATAACATTTGGGTTAGCTCTAAGTCTTGTCTTTTGGAACTTCTTCAATCCCCATTTCGATTGACTAAACTTGTTGGACTTGGATTTACCTCTACCACCACCATGAGGATGATCGTTGGCATTCATAGCAACACCTCTTGTGATTGGTCTCCTACCTCTGTGTCTTGCTCTACCGGCTTTACCCCATGAAATCAATTGATGCTCCTTATTGGAAACCACTCCCAATGTCGCATGGCAATCCAAATGTACAAAACGATGTTCCCCACTGGATAATTTGATAATGGCTCGTGATTTTTCTGGATGTTTGGACAAAATTTTACCAAATGTTCCTGCACTACGGACTAGTTGTGCTCTTTGACCTGGATGTAAGGCGATATTATGGATGATTGATCCAACGGGTAACATCTTCAATGGTAAGCAATTGCCCCTTTGTAAGATTCTGGCGGATAATAATGCATCATCAATTTCACCATTATTTGTCCTCTTCATTTCCTCAATGAAATCTTGAGGAATACCCTGTCTGAAACTTTCAACCACATCACCACTACGTAACCCTTGTGGTGCCAAAATATATGACAAGTTCCCCGTAGTTACGTTTTCCAATAATGCAATATGTCCTGATCTGTTTGGGTCATATTCGATTCGAACAACTTTGTTTTTTCCCAGTTCCCATCGGTGGAAATCAAGTAATCTAACACGTTGTTTGTGACCACCACCTCTACCCCTTATTGTGATTTGTCCTTTGTTGTTTCTACCGGCTGTCTTTTTCTTGGGTGCAGTCAATTCTTTAACTGGTCGTCCCTTGTGTAAATGGTCATGGACTGGTTTTTTGTAGTGCGTTGAACCTGGATGAGTATGAGGTGGGAAATAATCGCCATAATTCTTGATCTTAACCAATCTGAGAGAAAGTTCTCTTTGTTTTCTATACTTGATATCCTGAGCTTCCAAGTCTGTAAGTTGTTGATCTTGTGAGGGGGAGGACGAGGACGAGGACGAGGACGAGGAAGAATTGAACCGTTTAAAATACGTGTGTGGTGTAAAGTGGGTGGTAACTCTGCATTTTGTTATGAATTCAGAAGATAGCCTTATTCGGCTACTGACAAGAGCCTGTGAAAGCCTAGGTATCATCTCAAATCGTGGCTCTAATGAGAGATGCTGTTGGGATAACAGGCTTCCTTTTCATAGTGTAATCCCATGTAGAATAAATTTTTCACCTATCCCTATTCGAGCAAACATCCATACACACATACTAAAGTATATAAGCCAATGATATATTGCCAATGCTACCAGTTGTACCGCAGAAATTGCGAGAACGAAAAATTTCAACAGAGAAAACACAGAGAGAGAGATTCAAATATTGTTGGAAAAGAATCTTAGTCAGGTCAATTGACAAGAAGAAAGAGCTAACGTTAACCAACATATTCCTTAGGATAGTAATCAACAATGATCTCACGTGTATTCACCCGTTCATTAGCTTCAACTCGTGTGTTGGCCAATACTGCTGCTAAAAACACCAAACCACCAATTCAATTATTTGGTATTGATGGAACTTATGCCAACTCATTATACTCGGCCACAATCCAACAATCAGACATGAACCAAACTTACAACTCATTGAAGAAAGTTGAAAATGTCATCAAGGGAGATCCAAAATTAGAAGAAGCTTTAACTAATCCTGCTTTAACTAAAGATGATAGAATTTCCATTGTTAAACAAGTCAATAAGAATTTACAATTGGACAACACCACTGCTAATTTCCTTTTGGTTTTGGCTGAAAACAACAGATTGGGCAACTTTCCATCAATTTTCAAAAAATTTGGTATGTTGAATGATGCTCATAATGGTATCATTGAAGCTAAAGTCACTAGCGCCAAGCCATTGGAATCTAAAGTGTTGAAGAGATTGGAATCTTCGATTGGTGGCAGCTCATTTGTAGGACAGGGTAAGACTTTGAAGTTGAAGAATGAAGTTAATCCTGATATAAAAGGTGGTTTGATTGTTGAAGTCGGTGATAGAATTGTTGATGTTTCAATTGCAAACAAGGTTGCCAAATTGAACCAAACTTTGAGAGAAAACTTGTAAGATGATGGGAGAGAGCTAGTAGCTGCTTTTTTCAATTAGCAAGAGATTGTGCACGATTAGTTTAGAATATACGTGATTTGGTTAAAGAAAGAGTGGACAAAAAAGGTGGGTTGTAAAGTGCCGTGTATGTAGTTGTATCGGCGTCCAGCTGTAGCACCTTTGGGCTACTGTTTCCCTCTAGATTAATCAATGCATAGACTAGGCAATTCTCTTCACATCGTGTCCTCAAAGCTAAATCAGACGACGGTTGAAAAAAACTAAACATTTCAAGTTAACACGATAACCTCACTAGCTACCCCCTCCTCCCTCCCTTCCTCCACAATGGCAGTATCAAAAAGGGTAAGAGCCATAATAGATTTGGCCACAGTGTTTGCCATTGGCCTCAACATATTTGTCTACTTCTACCCTGATATACTAAACGAACCTCACCAATGCAATTGGCACAATTCACCATCTTTAGAACCCAAATACAATATACTTGAAATCGTGCCACAGCAATATCTTCAACCTATACTAAGTACAGTTCCCGGCTTATGCAAAGAGGAAAGCAATGATGTACCTGCTTTTATTAAGAAAGATCAAAATGAGATCCATATGTTGTTATTTGGTGATCCTCAAATTAACGGCAATTGGAAACTGACGAAATATATCAAACGATTGGACAACTATGGTAACGATTACTATCTTGGTCACATTTACAACACCATGTATAATCGATTACATCCATCACATGTAGTGGTGATGGGTGATTTATTCTCAAGTCAATGGATTTTGGATTCAGAGTTTTATAATCGTACATATCGATTTGTTGAACGATTGTTTCCTAGAGATGAAGAGTATAAGCAACATGTGATGGAAGCATATACCAAGCATGAGGATTACAATTGGCGTAAATGGCTTGAAGATGAAAAAAAGATGGATCCATTACATCGATTCAAATCTAGAGTGTATAACAATGTTTATGATTGGGTACATCAAGATCGGCAAACACCAAATTATGAAAACCCATTGTTCATTAACTTGACTGGTAACCATGATATTGGTTACAGTGGTGATGCAACGTGGCAACACATGGCTAGATTCCATTATTTGTTTGGTCAAAATAATTATGTCATCAATTACAACAAAGGCACCAACCGTGAATGGAGGATTGTTGTTGTTGATTCATTAACACTTGAAGGGCCAGCATTACAACCGGAATTTATCAATTATACATGGTCATTTTTGGAACATCTACGTGATCATGAAAACCCCACTTTCAAAGGCACGACAATCTTGTTGACACATATCCCCATGTACAAACGAGCAGGATTGTGTAGAGATGGACCTGAACATCGATACTATGATGAAACTTATGAACGTGAACCATTCAAAATTGGCTTGTTGCGTAGTCAGAACCATTTGTCGTTTGAAACAACTCAACGGTTATTAAGTATTGTGTTTCCTAATGATGATCAAGGGGGAATTATACTTACAGGACATGATCATGAGGGGTGTGATGATTGGTACAATTTTGATTCCCAAAATAGTACATGGGTGGCGTCAAAGACGAAAAACACAACCTCTCCCAAACAACCAGTGAGGGAAATTGTAGTTAGATCAATGATGGGTGATTTTGATGGTCAAACTGGTATTTTAACTGGTGAATTTAAGCAAAATCGCTGGCAGTTTAATTTCACTTACTGCTCATTCACGGTTCAACATTGGTGGTGGGCTAGTAAAGTTGCCATTTTGATTGCCATTTTATTGAAATCAATTACAATTTTGATTTAGAGAGAATGGAAACTGCATAGATTTTGTATATTTATTTAGTTTTGAGTTTTAGATGTAAAAAAGGAATCACATTTGAATACAGAGATTTCGCAGTACGAGGTTAATACGATTCTTTTTTTCTTTTTCGAATCAAATGGTTGTGGTGGTTGCTTCGGTGATGACTTCAGCCGGTTGTTCTGAGGACAACAAGGCATTGTCTTTTTGCTCTTGTTCTTTGGACTTTCCTTCTGAGACTCCACCACTAGTGTCACCAGATGGATTGCTTTCCTCCTCTTTTGAAGTGTCAAGTTGTGATGGATTTGCTCCTTCTGGTATGCTCGTTACATGATTGACGAGTTTGGCCGCATCACTATTGGCAGCAGGTTCATCCTTGACTCCATTATCAACGACTCCATCGCCACCATTGGAGCCTCCCTTATCACCATTCGCCTCAGCAATAAACTGTTCAATCTCCTCCTTAGCGCCATCAACACTTTGTTCGGGTGAAATTTGCAATCTCTTAACCTTTAATACCCCATCAACAAAGATCCAATGAGATCTCTTGATTCCCGAAGGTTGCTTCTTAGCACCCAATGACCCAATCAATTCTCTTTTGGGGTCACTCAACAAGTCATATTCTACATGTTGTTTAGTTTGGAAATTTTTTTGATTGTGTGGGGTATCGGCAGAAAGTCCAAAAACAGCCACATTTTTGTCAGTTAAAAATTGAAAATTCTTTTGAAATCCACAAACTTGTCTAGTACAACCGGGTGTTGACGCCTTTGGGTAGGCGAAAATGACAACATACTTGTGCTCCTTAGCAACTGTGGGTAAATTGATTTCTTTTTCATCTTGATTGAGTAAAGTGAGATCAGGGATCTTGTCGCCAATTTCAATTTCATGAGTGATTTCAGCTTCTTCTTCCCCTTCTGGTTCACCTTTTGGTTCTGTTTTAGCTTTTTTGGCTGGAGGTGGTGCAGTGGTTGTAGCGGCTGCAGTTTGTTGTTCTGCTTTGGCTTGCGAGGTAGAAGCAACTCTAGCTGAACGACGTAATCCTGACATATTTTTATAAGCTGTTGTGATGTTGCTTAGCGGTGGTGCTCTTCGTTTCAAAATATCAATTGTAAAAGAAATAGTGTCTAACGACAGAGAGCTTCTGGAAGTGAAGGAAACTGTTTAAATTGTCTAAAAACTGTCAAAAAAGAAGTAAAAAACTGTGGGTGAGTTTTGAAATTCTTTATATGAAGAAGAATGGTACAATGTCACACAAAAATACATGAGAAGGGGTGTGTGTCTTAATTAGTGCAAGCGACATCGGAATTGCGAAATAGGTTGCCGAAAGGAAGAGAGAGATTGAAGTTATGATACTGGCATCATGTATTGACCTCAAAGTCCGATCTCAACAAACCTCCAAGTCCAGTTAATCATGGTTATTGGATCTTTCTCAAGCGGAGATCTAATGAAAGTCATACTGCATACAAAAAGGTATGTCTTAAAGAATGGAAAAAGGGGGGTTTTCTTTTACTCTTTTTCTTCTTTAACCGTCGGAAATGTTCCATATTAAGGTTAAGAGCATTAAATTTGCTTCTAGAATATACCAGGGTGTTTAAGACTATGCCTATTTTGCTAATTTTGCTTTTGCCCACGACTTAAACGCTGCTAAAAATTTAACCAAAAGGAATATGTTTTTTAAAATTGATGCAAAAATTGGTGGTAAAATTTGTCTAACGACAATGCCCTTAATGTTGTTGCAAGTCTGCAAAATGTCTATTACTTATACCACATACTGTCCTGATGTGCATTGCCTAGCGTTCTTCCGAGTCCAGGACTAGCTAGTATATGCACTGTTGTAAAACGGGGCACTTGTTTGCAACAGTCAACAACGCCCTATGTTGAACCAGGAACAATGCACTAGCTTTTTATTAAACCTGAAACTCTTTGTAATCGACCTTCGAGTTAGCTTGTCGCAATCTCGCATGCCCCCCCCCCACTACCATTACTTCCACTATTTCGTCAATGTCGCTTTTTTATTTATGACACTCTAATTTACGACACAAGACTATCTGTCACCAAAAATTTTCTCCTTGTTTTTATCTAAGAGTCAATTGCACGTGGAACAAACGGAATCGCCATCGGTATCTACCTCCCCGTTTCCCAATAATCTCCTCACTAAATGCCAAGTACGGATACCAAGACTGACCCTGAATCGAACGAGGGTCAAGACATCATGTCCAAATCTCCCATCCAGATCAAGACTGAAGATAGTAGAAATGAAAACAATGAGGATTTATTCACAGTTGATAACATCTTGCCTGGATGTAAAGTTTACGCTACAAAAGATGGTGAAGAAAGATTAGCGGAGATATTACAAGAACATATGAAGAAGGGCAGAAAAGTGTTTTATGTCCATTATCAAGATTTTAATAAACGTTTAGACGAATGGATTGAAATTGATCGAATAAATTTTAAAAAACCCTTAATTTTACCTGAAGTTAAAGTTGATGAAAAGAAGGAAAACAAACAAAAGAAGAAGACTAAACTGAAAGCATCTAAGTCCCAAGCAGGGACCAGCGCCTCCACCCCACGAGAGGAAACTCCACAAATGAATGATGATGAAATGGATTTGGAGAATCTTAATGTGCAAGGATTGAAAAGACCTGGAGAAGAAGTGAGTCGAGAAGAAGAGATTAAAAAGCTTCGATCAGGTGGGTCGATGACTCAAAATCATTCTGAAGTGGCTAGAGTAAGAAACTTGTCAACCGTGATTCTTGGTGAACATATAATTGAACCATGGTATTTCTCACCATACCCCATTGAGCTCACAGAAGAAGATGCAATATATGTTTGTGATTTCACGTTATCCTATTTTGGCTCCAAAAAGCAATTTGAAAGGTTTAGGTCAAAATGTTCAATGAAGCATCCACCAGGTAATGAAATATACCGTGATTCAAAAGTGAGTTTTTGGGAAATTGATGGTAGGAAACAAAGAACATGGTGTCGAAACCTTTGTTTACTTTGTAAACTTTTTTTGGATCACAAGACTTTGTACTATGATGTTGATCCATTTTTATTTTATGTCATGACCATAAAATCAGAACAAGGACATCATGTTGTTGGGTTTTTCTCCAAGGAGAAAGAAAGTGCTGATGGCTACAATGTTGCATGTATTTTAACTCTTCCTTGTTATCAAAAGCGAGGATTTGGAAAATTGTTGATTCAGTTTTCATACATGTTGTCAGCAGTGGAGAAGAAAGTCGGATCACCAGAGAAACCATTATCAGACTTGGGATTATTGTCATATAGAGCTTACTGGACGGATACATTGATAAAGCTTCTAGTGGAAAGAAATAACCCTACACTTCATCGAAGAAATAATCCGCATCCAGCTGACGACGATGAATATAACGAAACCCCACCACCACCACCTTCATCATCATCATCGTCAAGAAACGGAAACACAACCAACGAAATCACCATTGAAGACATATCGGCAATCACATGCATGACAACAACGGATATACTACATACCTTAACAACATTGAAGATGCTACGGTATTATAAAGGTCAACATATCATCGTATTAACTGATCAAATAATGGCCATGTATGAAAAACTAGTAAAAAAGGTGAAGGACAAGAAGAAGCATGAATTGAATCCAAAATTACTAAGCTGGACACCTCCACTGTTTACAGCAAGTCAATTACGTTTTGGGTGGTAAGGGCCTCCTATTCAATCTCGCCCCATATTTTAATACTTTTATCACCACCACATGTAATCAATCTCAACCCCGACATGTCAAATGTTGATGCATAGATTGCTGCACCGTCAGCACCAGGTAATGCTGGTGCATGTCCTAATTGCAATAATTTACCCAGTACATAATCATAAAATTCAATTTTTCCATTATCGTACCCAGCAAACAATGTATTTGTCACTGAATTTATCGACAACGTATTGATAATATGTCCGTCCTCTTGCGCTTTTTCTGATTTCTCAAAGTTGTTGAGCAACTGACCCCCTGGGAGCAACCATTGTTTGATGTTACCATCAGAATCACCAGATGTGAACGTCAGTTCCAAAGGATGGGCAACCATTGATCGTATACTCTTGGAGTGTTGCGTGATGCACAACTCAGTTGTTTGTTTTCTCAAATCCCATAATCGTATTGTCCCATCCATTGAACTGGTGATAACTTGTGGTTCATTATCAAACGATTCAATAGATGTGATATCGCTCTTGTGTCCTGATAATAAGGTAATCTCCTTTGTGGCTCTAATATCCCATATCCTAACCACCGCATCTCTACCTCCACTTAAAACAACATCTAATTGAGGATGTAGTGATAATGCATATATCCCACCAACATGACCATGGAAATTCTTGATTTGACAACCCTCCACGGCATTCAGTTTCTCTAGATCCCAACAACGTAATGTCTTGTCTTCAGATCCTGAAAAAAGATAGGGAAACTTCTTCGATACTACAAGTGCTCGAACTCCCATTATGTGGCCGGTGATTGTGCTTTTCAATTGCAGGGTTGCAAGATCCCAAATCTTGATGGTTGAGTCCGATGAGCCCGTGACAAACCAATCATTGGTGACTTCATCCATAGTTACAGCTCGTACCCATCCTTGATGTGCTCCAGCTATAGTTCGTAGAAGTTTCCATTGACCGGGGTAGTTTTGTGGTTCAGGTGACGTTGTCGTTAATGCAGTTGATGTTTCTTGATTCATAGTTGATTGAGGGGATGATGGAATAAGTCAGCTCTTGCACTTCTGTACTAATCTTTGGGGGAGATTTATGGCAAATACCGTCGCTGTGTTGTGTTGAAGCATGCTTGAGCATCGCGTTGGGTGCATTTTGAAAACCATGAAAAATATTAAGCACCAGAAGTTCACACTACTGCACCAGACAAAGGAAATCAACAGCCCATATGAGCTAGTTCTCTTTATCCACGGCTGTCTAAAATATATACCCCTAGCCAATGCAATTGATTAAAGATTTGTGTGATGTACTTACAACGTCCAATAAACCGATAAAGATAATTGGCATTGTTCCACAGTCTGGAGAAGAGGACTTTATCATCCACGAGGAAGGGGATACCTTAGAGATAGGACTAACTAAACAAATATACTTTCGAATATTCAAGGAGTCACACGAGGTTTTTCACACTCACCATGAGGATCGACTACGTATAGACAGTCTATCCCATTCCAATATGGAAGAGTTGTATTACATGACTTTGGGATATTTGATCACCACAAATGAGCATTCAACAATTATTGCCCTTCATGAAGAGCTCGTTGAAAGGCTAGGAAATCATGAGTATGATTTGGAAATCGTATCATGCTTTTTGACATGTCGAATGAAACGTATAAATAAGAGTTCTATGTTATGGCACTTCGTAAAGAAATTGACAATGATACGGTTGAGCAAAGATTACGATGTGTCGCAGTTTCTTTGTCGTGCACTTGTTAGTTGTGAGTTACATTTTGCAAACTATTATGGAAACAATTATCTACAGTGGCTCATCGTCTTGTGCAAGTCAAAGGAGGTTGAGTTGAACGAGTTCCAAAACATGTTAATCGACCTGTGTCGAAAGCACCTCCTGGATAGCTCTCTTTGGGGGACACTCAAGGTGGCTTTCAACCCCGACAAAGTATTAATTGAATATGTTACACTGGTCTACTACAATAGACTTACAGGTGAGTCCTTATTGAAAAAGTTTCCCAGAGTTGATTATAATGATACAGTGGTCACCTTGTTTGAGTGGTTGTTGCGTCTGTACTGCCAGTACAAGACGCCATTTCTCGTGTTGATTGAGTCGACTAATTCATTGACCATCTTGGATGAGTTTGGAAAGATGTTAAATAAAAGTACATTGAAGTCCACTACCGATCTCAAAGACAAGCTTCTCAAACGAAAGCAGCAAATCTTATCAACACAATAATATATATATCCAAACACCGACTAGATTTCTACTCTGTTTCTTCTCTTCAGTTGGGTGCAAATCGCAAATCTCGGAAAAAAACCCCGGCAAACAATATCTCATTTCCTAAAACGCAAAATTAAATCAGCAAAAAGACAAACAGAGAGACATTACAAAGTCCACCACATAACGAATGTTGAGGATACGCGAGCTCCAAAAGAAAAGACAAGAGGAAGAAGCAGCGGCTGCTGCTGCCGCAGCAAATCCAATGTCACCCACGTCTTCATCAACGTCATCCTCCTCCAACAACAGTAACAACAACGCGTTTTCATCATCATCCAAAGTTAGCGCCGCTCAACTACGTGTCCAAAAAGACATTACCGAATTGGATTTACCCAAAAGCATCAAACTCACATTCCCCAATACCGCTGATTTCTTTAACTTTGATTTACAAATCATACCACAAGATGGTTATTACAAGAATGGCAAATTTAAATTCAAGATTGAAATCGGATCAAATTTCCCCATTGAACCACCGAAAATCAAATGCTTGAACAAGATTTATCACCCCAATATAGATCTTGATGGCAATATATGTCTCAATATATTGAGAGAAGATTGGTCGCCCGTATTAAGTTTGAATTCGGTGTTGATTGGATTGAATTTCTTGTTTTTGGAACCAAACCCTAATGATCCATTAAATAAGGAGGCAGCAAATATGTTGGTTAAAGATAAGAATCAATTTGAAAGAAACGTTACTACATCAATGAGAGGCGGATATATCTCGCTGGTGCATTACGATCGAGTAATATAGTTGGTATATAGTTGTATAGTACAACAAGTGGAAGAGGAGAAAGCTCTTCACTTCCATATTTTGACAACATTATCGGTACTCCCACTAGCAACCACGCATCGCATTCGTGCCTCTATATCTTTTATAACATTGTCGTCGTTGTTGTCGTCGTGGCTATTTCCATTGATCTCGTCTTTGCGTTTAGCTAGTCGAGCAAAGTCAATGTCAGTGACGAATCCTTGGTGGCCGGCAAGTGTTCGCAAAACACCCACCGAGTCGTCTATATTCAACCCGTTCAAATCCCATATCTTGATTGTTTTATCATCGGATCCACTAATTATATACCTCCCATTTGGATGTACTTGCAAAGTTTTAACCCATGACAGATGCCCTTGTAGGTTAGCAATATGCCATGCTTGTGCTTGGTTATACTTAGATGGCATGGGGGTACGACCTGGTACTAGTGTAGGTGGAGGTAGTAGCCATAGTTTGATAGAGTTGTCTCTGCTTGCAGTAAGACAATACTTGAACCCCAATTTGTCATACACTTGATTTTTGATCAACTCAATCGGGAGTGTGGGAAACAAGTCGGAGTTTGCCATGATGAATGAGTCTATGACACTATTTGAAAGCTTAGGTAGGAATGTGACAGCTTCAATCACATGCGTATGACCAATTAGCAACGCAATACCAGTACCAGATTGGCCATGACTTAACCGACCACTTTGATCATTAGAACATGTCAATACAAAATCACCAAACTCTCCTGAACACACATCTAAATCTCTCACCCATTCACTATGTCCCACAAAGCTCTTGATGCAAGTACCATCAACCACATTCCACACCTTGATTGTTTTATCCCTCGAGACACTATATAGCATGTCGTGGGCTGAAAATACAATGGAAGACACCGTATGATCATGACCACGTAAAGTTTTCAAATGCGTATATGTTGTTGCATTGTATAACTTGATGGTAAGGTCAGAAGAACAAGACGCTAATATGTATTGCAGCTCATCGCCTTTATTCATTTCAATCTTGTTTTGTGAAAATGCTAATTTGTTAACTCCTCGGGTATGTGCTTTCAAAATCTTTTCCGGTAGAGCATTATCATCGGAGGCGAAATTCCATACATTGATTGATCCATCATTGCATCCAGCAAAAACCAAAGGAAGAACAGGATGTAGCCTGACACTATTGACAACACTTGGTGCTTCAAAATTCTGAATTGCAGACATTGGTATCCAATTTATTCGATCCTTGCTAATCTTGACAGGAGCAACATCAACAACACTTCGTAGATTGGTTACTTCATTCTCCAAATCGATAATCTTTTTCTGGAGACGTAGAACCGTAGACCACTTCTTTTCAAGGTACTGATCAACAATCTCACCTTCATTGTGCGTGGTTGAAGAATTGCTATTTGGTAAAAGTAACTTTGATAGTTGCTGGAGAAGATGCTCATTTGTTTCCGAAGATGAGCAGAATGGCTGTAGGTATTGTAGTATGGCCTTATTGAGTTCCACTTGTTGTCGTTCTGTTAAAATCAGATTCGACATTGTCATGGCAATCGATGCATTCTTTACCAGTCAAGGGAGAGAGATACAGAGATCAATTGTTTACAAATTTGCCCAAAAAAAAAAAATAAAAAAAAAAAAATTCATTTACTGCCGTGCGGCTCAACACGATTTTGTCCATCTATTTCGGGGTATTTTTCAAAGCAGCAAATCTTGCTGCCAATGCATCAAACTCATCTTGTTGTTTTGGTGCAGGTTTAGGTCGAGGCTTACTAGCAGCAACACTTGGTTTATCAGCCAACTCCGCCAATGGCGTCTCTTTCTCTACCCTTTCCTTAGTTCCACCCTCACCGTCATCATCCTCATCACCACCTTCTTTGTCTCCCTCTCCCTCTTCGTCTAATTTCAAATGCTCTAGTCCCGAGTACGGTACACTATAAGCCAATGCAATCTCAACAAGATACATATTCACCAAATCCTCACTCGGTGGCTCAACTCCACATCTCCGTACAATCTTTTCCGGTACATGACCTTCTTTATTCTCCAATGCCTCTTTACCAAACTCAGCGCCATATTTGTAAATCAATATATCTCTAATTGCAACAATTTCCTTCAAATCTGTACTGTGTGCTGCATAGATAAGTGAACTTACAGCTTCAAGTAAACTTGGATCACACGCTGGACGATCAAGTATCATGTTCAATCGAGCTAGTAAAAGCTCGCAGTATAGCTCGAGAAGCTCCAAGAGCTCAATGTATATATCATCGCGAATGATGTTTTCGACTCTGATTTTGGCTGATGATTCTTTACCAGTTTTGAGCAATTCCGCCAATTGTCTTCGCTGTTGCTTTGTCAAGGCAACCTTCTTTTCTTGAGTAAACTTGAGCTTTGAAATTGCCATTTTGAGATTCGTTTTGAGTCTCAATTGGTTGAGATGTGGTGGTACTGGCTTAGGCATGATGGGAGTAGCTCGATTGGTGTCAAGTCAAAAGGCACTGCTTTTGGCGTGAGGCAAATTCTCGATCTCTTTTCATTTTTTTCCGCCTCCAGGCTCCCTCTCAACTGCCATACAGAACCCTTTCTACGAAGTCTTTTCATCCAATACTGTTTTTGTATATTTCATTTTCTACGTAAACACACTACGAACTCTCCGAAACGATTGTATGTTCATGAGGTGGAGTTCCCTTGACCAAAATCTCCTCATCGTCTTCATCAAAATTAGCACCAATATTATCAGCACTACGAGTCTCTCGTTTCAAAGTGCAACATTGTATATCCTTGATCCACTCATCATTCATAATCTCTTCTAAAGTAGCCCTCTGTTTTGGGTCAGTATGTAACATTCTAGACATGATTGGACGTGAAGCATGGGGTAAAAGACGCATCAATCTATAAGGGCCATGTATTTGCTTGTGGGCCACTGGTTTCTTTTTGGTTTCTTTACCATCTGCATTTGCGGCGGCAGCGGCAGCGGCTTCTTTTTCTTGTTGAATACGTTTATCTTCTTCTTCTTGTTGCGCAAGAAGCTTCTGATAAGCTGGATCATTCTTTCTTTGCTCATTGAATTCATTTCTGGCGTTAGTTTTCTTGGTTTCGTATTCTTCCAACTTTTGATCAATTTCTTTCAATTGGGTCAAGATTTCATTCTGCTGAGTTTCATCGAGAATATCACCTGAATCAATCGACTTTGCAACTAATTTAGCCACTTGACCCTCCTTCTCCCCCTCATTTTCACCTTCCTTTTCACCCTCATTTCCACCCTCATTTTCACCTTTCTTTTCACCCCCATTTTCCTCTTCGCCTTTATCTTCACCTTCACCTCCCTCCTTAGCTGTAGATACAGCCTCACTTGCTTCCTTTTGTTCCTCCTCCAATAACTTCTTTCTCTTATTCAGACGTACAAGGGTGTTTTTCAACTTACGTTGCTGCAAAAGCAACTTGTGACACTCATTACTCAAATAATAATCATGATAATTGTCATCAGGCATGCAATACATTTTAAAACTATTATCCTTTTCAGGATTGGGTATTTTCCATGGGAACCTCTTTAACGTCATACAACAATATATGATTGCAATTGACCAAAGATCAACTGGTTGTGGATTGTATGAATTTGGTGATTTCAACACTTCAGGGGCCAAATATGGATCACTACCAACAATACCATGACATGGATGAACATTTTGAGCACTACCAAATTGATCATAAGGGTATCTGAAAATCACAGCACTACCAAAATCAATAAGCTTCAAAATTCCATTTTTATCCAATACACAATTGTCCAATTTCAAATCTCGATGAGCTAATCCAAGACCATGCAAGTAATTAACCCCTTCAATAATTTGTTTCAAACAACAATTGATTTCAGTTCTTGACATTTCGCCACTCATCACCACCGCAAAGAAATCAATTGGTGCGTACTCCATAATTTCAAAATATCGGTTGTTTTCATGCAAGATATCAATGGTTTTAATAATATTTGGATGCTTCAATGTTGAGCCAATACAGTATTCTGCGGTACATTTCCGCGTGTAATCTTTCAACGACTCATTAGCTCGCTTAGCTCGAAACTCTTTAACAGCAAATGTTTTCGAGTCAGAAGGTCTTGTGATTAGCTTGACTGACCCACCAGCTCCACTACCCAACTCTTTTCCCACTTTACCATACTTTTGCACCAAGGGTGAACTATCATCAGTAAATGGATCCTTGTTTGAATTCAGTGAATGTGAGGCATTGGCAAGTAATTGTGATGATGTTTGGTTAATCATGGTAGCTAGGGCGGTGCTCGATTGGTCTCGTGAAGAAGTTCCACTTCCACTAGCAATTGGTGGAGGGGTATGTATTTGGTTCGAGTAGTGTCCGCTACTACCACCACCACCACCTTTAGCATTCGATGTCTTTTTTGTAGGTTTAAAGAACCGTTTCAATTCACTCATTGACCCAGCAGGCTTATTAGTGTCTTGCAGATGATTGGTAGTATTTGATGGAACGGGCGATGGAGCTGTTGGTTTTCGGTTGAAATTAGGCGGTGAATGGACATCATGGTGTGGTTCGGGAGTACCACTGGGTGAAGGTAACGAATCTTGAGAATCATGCTTACCAATGTGGAAGCCGAGGAATTTACGCCCACTTGACATGTCTGTACTGCTCGGTGATAGATCGTGTCCGTCATTGCTATGCTTATGTCTTGAAAACAAGCTCAACTTGTGTTTCTCAGGCATCGTGCAAATTGAATTGAAGTGTGTGTGTGTGTGTGTGTGTGTTTGTGAAAAGAATCTGGTGGAAGGATGATTATCTCTATGTGTCTTCGTTAAGGTGCCCCTATCACGTTTTACTCTGCTCCCTCACTACTTTTGCAAATTACAACCAGCTATGGCAATCGGGTCAGGTATCTGTATCACAGTTGACTTCTTCTTTACCACAGTGGAACTATTGGTGCTTCTTTTCCCAAAAAATGACTAAATATAATTGATCCTCTTAAGTTTTATTTCTAAGTCTCTTACACTTTGTTTGATTGGACAGAGAAGAAAAAAAAAAAGAACGCATATAGTTTTATGTAGTTACTTAATGGGGAAGTTTGTGCGGCTGACATCGGAATTATAAAAAAATGTATACAGAGAAAAATCAGGTGCTTTTTTTTTTTTAATTACCCTTCCCCAAGAAGAAGACTAAAGCGGATCTAATATTATATGATTTCACTCAATTGCCGTTCCCCGAACTTGTTTTTCTCTTTCGGGTACATAAGGTTTACTTCCTTTTCTTGAATGTCTTCGTTCATTATCTTCTCGCCTTTTCAAACTTTCAATTTCAATACGTTTAATCTCCTGGGCCTTTTTCACAACTTTTGGTACATGTCTATGTCTAGCAATTCTCTTAATTTCAGGCATGTATTGGAACCTTTCTTTCAATTTGTCATCATATTCAAGTTTATTTCTTTGTTTCATAGATTTGATATTCGACCTATCGGAAGCTTTTGTTCTCCAAATCCTTACATTGGTATCGTCCGATCCACTAAGAATATACCTAGCATCGGTACTAAATTTAGTACAGAAAACATGCTGCATTCTTTTAGTGTGGTAAATGTCACGCGAGTGGCCAGCACGGGAATTGAAAATCCGGATGGTTTTATCGTAAGAACCAGTAACAATTTCCTCCCCAGTGGGTGAGAAATCAACATCCATAATGGCAGCAACGTGGTCCTTGTAGATGTTTAGAGTTTTCTTCATGTTTCTCATATCCCACAAATATGCATTGTGGTCTTCATTACCAGTGACGAAATTGAATGCTTCGAGGGGGTTCCAACTGATACAATTGTTTCTGAAATTGGTCACTGCTCTTTGGACAGGGACATTGGTACGTATGTCGTATAAAACAATAGAATTGTCTGACCCTGTGCTAGCAACAATGTTTGTTTCTGTTTGATTAAACTTGACAGTGTTGACATTATCGGCACCCCAAGATAAATTACTGATATATTTAGAGCGATTCATATCCCACAACTGAATTTGAGCACCACCAGTTACAAACATGGCATCTTCTCTGTGATGGTCAATACCTTTAAAAGCATGCTCGCCAATAAATGTTTTCACCAATCCTTGATCTTTGTTAGTGTATATTTCATCATCTTGAACACTTTTGTCAAATTCCTCACTATCCACCGACCACAACTTGATCAGCTTGTCATCACCACAACTCAACATTTGGTTCTGTGGGGTTATAACAAGACCACTACACATTCCATAATGAGCTCTGAAACTGGCAGTTTCTTGCCTCGTTGTCAAGTTCCAATACTTGATTACACCGTCACCACTTCCACTTGCAAACTGATTAGTCGAGTGGAAGTTCTTTGCAAGTACATAAACTCCATCTCTATGGCCATCACCAAGCTGGCCGATAAATGGTTGAGCAAACATCCTTTCAAGTTTGGTAGCTTGAAGTGCCCTAGTGTATTCTCTGGCCCTTTCAAATGGATGTAGTGCTGGGTTCAAGTTACGTGGCAATGCACTTTCCTGAGTATTTCTTACAGGAACATAGGTATCTGAGGACCTACTAATCGTTTTCAACTTCATAATTGGGGAAAGGGGAGCTTGTGTAGATGGATTTTGATAACGCTTCTACTTTTTTATATTTTTTTTCATCTCATCGGAATAAGAACAGGCATTTTGTGTATGGAGAGATAGATAAGTAGAGCAAATACAGAGACAACTACTCTACAAAGCTCACCAGCTCTTGTTTTATCTCTCTATAAAGCAAAATTAAATTAAAATCAAAATCAAAAACGAAAACACCTATAAGCTGGTATCTAACACCAACTCTACATTATCGACATTGGGTTTGCTCAAATCCTCTAAAAACGGCAACAAATCCAACAATTCGTTATCATGGGAATCACTGAACCAACTACTAATGGGAACAGCATTTGCCGGATGAAAAAGATACGACTGCGGCAGATTATCAATTATTATAGTATCTTCCAATCTTCTCCCAAGTTGCGACAAATTTTTGATGAAGTTTCCTTGATAATTGTAGCATGAATCTCGATATAGCCTGTGAAGAACCGATTGACTGAAATCCAATTTATTTAGCAATGGGTCACCATACTTGGACACCGAAGCGGTAAAGACAACAACTTCATACAATTTCCCCACTCTTTCTAGAAACTCATCCACTCCCGGTCTCTTGATTACATACACATGGTGTACTTGACCATCAATTTCAACTGGAATAACAAAATCGGCACTTCGCAAGTACTTGAAGGAAGAGTGCACCAATGTTTCGTCCAAGTCAAGCACAAGACATTTTTTATTAGCAGTGGGCAAACCTAAAAGGCACCCAGTTTCTGGGTCATGTGCTTGACCAGTTTGAAGTCGTTTCAAATCGAGGATGCCATTGGATTGAGTGTCATCAAAATCATCGATATCAGTGTCTACGTCTTCGTCCATTGGTTGTGGCTCTGGTTGATGTTGATTGGGTGTGGGCAAAGGTTGCTCATTGGGACTAGCTTGAGCTATTATATCACCAGCACTAACTCGACGCGTATTTGTGGGAGGTTCAATAGTTGATTCATCGTCATCGGTGCTTTCCTTTTTGTCACCATTTAATTTAGTTGCAGATGGGGTGGTGGTGTTGGTTGTCGCTTTCCCATTCAATGTAGATCCCTTCTTGTTGGTTAAGTCAGTCTTTGAATTTGAATTAGGGCGGTGCATATTGTTCCCATTAGCCGATTTTGCTGGTTGCGGTTGTTTAGTAGTAGTGGTAGTGGTGCTAGTCTTGTTATTGTTATTGTTGCTGTCGTTTGTAGATTTAGCTTTGTTCAGTTGACGATTTTGTCCATTAACTGGTTGCTGAGATCTTCTGTCTGAGGAATCTTCACTAGTGTCAGAACAGCAGAATAATGAAAGAACACCCATGCCTTGTACTAAATCACGGGTAGTTCTTGTGGTATAAAATGAGGAGGAAGACTTTGGTTGTTTGCAAAGTCGTTATTTGCTAACTTTTCAAACGCTGGAATTGGGGAGAAACAAAAAATGAAAACAAATGCAGGAATTAGTGATGAGTTGACGTTACCAAAATGCAAATTGGATCTAATAACTGGTAATTACAGAGAGCTGATAGATCACCTGTATCTATCAGCAGTTGTGGGGTGCGAGTGTGTGTGTGTATAAATATATATCTGTTGGTTCTGTCTGATGGAGGTTTTTTTTTGTCCAAATTTTGGTTGTCTCTTTTCTGACTCAAGTTTTTTTCTTTCAAAGTGTTTGTTCTATTATGGGCATTGAAAAAGTTACTGTTACAATCAGTAATTTACATCTTCAACTGCTCACTCTATCGTTAATGGAAATGTAGCGCATTTGAAGTTTAGAGTAAGTTGACGATTATATTTTATCACTTCCTTATTAGGTATTGTTCTATGTATTGTTCTATGTATTGTCACAGTGATCCTCTAGAACAAGGTATAAAATTTCAACATCTTGTGCTCTGTACCATTCATTGAACTTGTAACTGGCCCATACGGCCATGTAAGTGTCCTTGTCTCTTCTACAATCCAACCATTGGCGTTGGGGGGGTTGTATCTCTTTTGCAAATTATAAACAGAGCAACTGTGCACACAACCAGCAACCAGCCATGTTTCGTCAAAGGCGAGAACAAACAATAGGAAAAGAAAAATTATTCTAAAAAAAAACCCATCAGACGTGTTTTCAGGAGAGATCACCTACTACCAAACACAACTTTCTTCTAGTCTACGTTCGTTGCTATATAATACATCTACTAGTACACGCTGTATTCGACCACACTTGCTTCTTCAACATGTCTGATGTCCCTCTTACTCCACCAAGGAGAACCAAAAAACACTCCACTTTTTCCACGCCAAATCAATATGCTTTACTTACTCCAGCAACCAGTGCCAAAAAGTCAAAGAGCTTTAGTAACACCAACATTTCAAGTGCTAATAGGCTATCAGCGATCGCACCAAATACACCTCAAAAATCACCATCTAAAACAAACTCTCACAGAAAGAGGAATTTTAATGACATTTTTGTTGATACAAATACGCAGAGTTGTGAGAAGTTACCTATGGGACTTTTTCTACCTTCACCTCGTATAGTCGGCTCAGGAAGAAATGGGAAACATTTGCCTGTTTCGAATAATAGATCTGAAGTGAGGGAGGAGCCCCCCACGACACCAGGCAAACAAGTGATTAACGAGGAGATGGTGAAACAATGGCACAACACCAGTGATGATGAAGAGGAGGTTGAGATCATGACACTAGAGGAGACGAAAAAGATTCCAAAAGTGCATTTGCCCAACCCATTCTTGACCAGCGAGAGTAGCCCTAGTGTCAAGGAGCAGCATAGCTTGGAGCTGTCGAACCCATTTTTAGACAATAAGGAAAATGACCTCAAACAAAAGGTTGATTACAATACACATATGGAATTGATAAATAACAAGACAGGTCAACGTAAAGTGGTGAAGTTGACCAAAAATCAAATGAAGATAAAACCAAAAAAGTTATCTTTTGAAGGGTTATAGTGAGCTTTCTTTATTCTTGACTGGTCAAGAAGGAATGGTCTAGAAATGAATACTTATGTTACAGATGTTATTTAGGATATAAGATGCCTATTCTTGTAAGTGTGTACTGTGTGATCTTCGTGATCTTCTCTGTTTAAAGCTGACCGAAAAAATGAATCTCATCATCACCAAAGCGAATTTCGAACTCTTTATCACCCCCAAATTATGTCAATTCCCGGGTTGGGTTCAGAAGCAACCTACGAAGATAGCCTAAAATTAATATCAATCCCTCAAGGCTCTGAATGGAGAATTGAAGTCCCGTTTAAACAAATTCTCAAATTCAAGGTTACTGAAGGTATCTTGGAAATTAACGGCACTGAATTACCAAACAATGTTGAATTGCAATTAACAGGCACAAAATGTAGCATCTATTCACCAAAGCAACAATCCAAGATTGAATACAACTTGGTACAAAACCATGACATGTCAATGTGTGAAGATGATGAGTTCACGGAGTATACAAGCAATGAAACAAATATGGAATCAGTATTGAACTTGCACATGTATATCGAGTCCAAACGACAAATTGCAAGTGACCACAATGTATCCAACGAAGAACCAACTTTGGGACCTCGAGTTTTGATCTTGGGTGGGAAACAACTGGGCAAGACGTCGCTTGCTAAGACTTTAGTCTCCTATGCTGTCAAGATGAATCAATATCCAATTCTTGTCAATTTGAATCCACAAGATGGGGTGTTTGCCTTGCCCGGTTCGATATCAGCCACTGTTATAAATGACTCACTAGATGTTGAGTGTTGCAATGGATACGGACTTACAACTACAACAACTGGAGGCAACGCTTCTTCATCAAAGCAACCAATTGTGAAAAACTATGGCTTTACAGCAATCAAACAAAATTTAGATCTATACAAGTACCAGATTGAACAGCTTGGAATCACGGTGCTATCGCGATTAGAACAAGATCTTCAGTGTAGAGATAGTGGTGTTGTTGTTGATACCCCAGCACTTGGCATCAAAGATTTCGAAGTCATTGAAGCTATAGTAGGTGATTTTAGAATCGACATCATTGTTGTCTTGGGCAATGAAAAGCTAACAATTGATTTGAAGAAAAAATTGCTGCATAAATCCAATTTGCAAATCGTCAAGCTAAACAAACTGCCGGGAGTAGTTGAAGTCAGTGACAAGTTTATTCGAATGAGTCAAGAATCAACTATAAGAGAATATTTCAATGGAAACTTCAAGACTAGATTATCCCCCTTCAAAACTGATATTGATGCTACGGGCTTACAAATTTACAAAGCAGTACAAGATTCCGTGTCGTTGTCGTTTTTACCAGCTGGTGAGGATTTTGAACGCGATGACGACAAAGACAATGATTTGAACAAGTATTATCTGGCTATGGATCCAAGTCCATCCAATGTCGATAATTCAATAATCGTAGTGACTCATCTACAACTGTCGACCCCAGGCAAAGATTTACTAAACTCATCGGTGTTGGGTTACATACACGTGTCCAAATACGATGAAGAAAAAAAGAAATTAAAAGTATTACTTCCGTTCCCCGGGGTATTTCCAAGAAATGTCTTGATTTCTACAGATATAGGGTATAATGAGTAAAAAAAAAAATTCTAATCAAATGGGACACCAGCTCTTTTTATACTCTCACTGGCAGCTATGGCACTAGGGATCTTGATTCCACAACAATCACCCCATGTATTTGCGATACCATGTACATGCCCGCAATCACTCTCTATCTCTCCGTCGTCATGATGTTCGGGAATACCCTCAGGGCATTTCAATATTTCACCAAACATGAAATGTTGAATAATTGGCAATTTCCCCAACACTTCAACTTTATACATTTTGATCATCCCTTCTCTAATCTTGCCCCACAGTTTAGCAGCGGATATATCATCCAACATCGGTGAATGCCATCGTAAACTCAATTTCTCCTGTTGTTTATTGGTTGATGTCTTGATATTATTTATGAAATCAATACATTCCATATAAATGTACTTGTCCCGATACATTTCCACCAACTCGTCATTATGGATCGATTTCGGTTTCATATGCGGGTGATTGCACAATTGAGCAGCTCCAAACAAGAACGGCAAAAAATGGTAGTCGTCTAAACCCCAAACACCATGTGATCCAGCAGGTTCAAGCCAGTAAGTGCGTTGTAAGCATCTCATGGTGGCCATGTACTTGGTAAATACTTTTAGTATTAATGCTGAAAAGTCATTACGTTGAATGATGTCGAGTTTGTATAAGCACAATAGAAAGCAAATGAAATTGAGCTCATGCCCCGATCCATAATCAATTCTGGTACGATCGCCCCATGAGTTGGCAAGATAAGTGGAGGTTTCAATCAATGCCGTATCACATATAGGTTGGATCAAATCTGTCGATTTCAGTGCCACTTCATCGTAAAAATCACGAAACTCAACTTTACCAAACCTCAGTATATCCTTATCCTTTTTAACTGGATGATGTTGTATGATTTGGTAAATTTCATCTATGAGGTGTATGAGCTTTGTAATTATGGGGGAAGTCGCCACCCGGCTATCATCATTGGCTTTATCGATGACGGATTCTTGAAGCTGTGTTATAAAGTTGAGCACTTCGTTATACGTGTCTGAATCAATCCATTTCGATAAATCATCTTGCGTAAACACTCGTCTTACTGGTTTGAAGTACATTGTGGAAAGTGAAGAGAAGAAGGGGGTTTCTTGATCGGTATTAAATTCATCGCGCGTGTTTTTATACACACTTTTTACATACTTTCAATAAGCAGCTCTTTTAATTTCAAATCATCCAAGCTTTGCTCCAACACCTTAATCTCTTCCGTTGACACATCAGCCAGCACCAGTTGACTCATCTTCACCTTGAATGCAATAAATTCTTTATTAATATTATCATCGAAAAGGTAAACTAAATCACCCTCAAGTAATTGTCTCTTCATTCCCTTTCCAAGTGAAACTTGATTCACCTTGCATGAGTTGGTGCTCATATCAAGTAACCAGATGGTACCATTATCGCTTTTGAGTATACAGTGTATTTTTGATAATCGGTCATCACTTATGGCTACGTTGCAAACATCAGCACGTCCAATGGCAAACCTATCACTGGAAACAGGTATAGGCTCTGTGTATAAAGAATCTGGGATCGGTTCCAATGTCATAAGAATTGATTCGTTTCCTTCCTTATCATCCATTAAATCCTCCTTTTTAATGGAAATGTTGCCATTAGCCACTATTTGCGGCTCCAACTTTATGCGCTTAGTAGATCCATCGGGGTAGATTGGCTCCATGAGATACGGACGTTTCAGCGGATGCGACATTGGCAATGGTTGTGACATAGGAACTTGCGATTGTGGCAATGGTACTACCCGTTTAGGCACCTTGAAATCATTCTGCTTTTGTTTCGATGTCTTTCGATTCCTCTCACTATCCAAAGGTCGAAGCATAAAGTCCTCGTCAATCCTACTCAACGAGTCAAATTGACTATTGTCCACTTTTCTTGATTGTTGTGATTGCGATTGTGATAAGCTCAATGGCTTTTGCGAAGATGATTGAGATGAATCATCCTCGCATAGCCATTTATGCTTTAAAGCTTCAGCTGCAGTAAATCTATTCTCAGGGTTAACCTGCAAGCAACAACGAAGAAAATCCTGACACTCTTTACTGACTTTGAATGTATCCAATGGCGCTTTTTGGTATTCCCCCTTTTTTATCCTGGCAAACATCTTTTGATGACTATTTCCTGGAAATGGAACAAGTGCTGTTAATAAAACATAAACCAAGCACCCCAATGACCATATATCCACCAATGAAGAGTAATCACTATTAGCTTGGCTCGCTTGTGACAGACCATACTTTCCGGTAATCACTTCTGGAGCAAGATACGCCAAGGTTCCACAAAACGTCTTCATAACAGTCAGGTTATCACTAAACTTGGCCAACCCAAAGTCGGTGATCTTCACCAATATTGGTTCATCTTGCATAATCAAAATATTATCTGGCTTCAAATCTCGATGTGATATTCCCAATTGGTGAACATAGTTTATCCCTTCCAATATTTGCTTGGTGATGACTCTTGTTGCTTCTTCTCCAACTCGACCAAACTCTTCGACAAATCCCATCAAGTCACCCCCAGGAACCAACTCCATAATAATGTAGTAATTCTCTGCATCCTCGTAAAACCCCTTTAGCGATACGATATTTGGATGGTGTAGTTTCCGCAAGATGGATAGTTCCCGCTCAGCTCCTGATAATGCACTTGCACCACCATTACTGCTCAACGCTTTTCGTCGATTGATAATTTTTACTGCGTATGAGTTACCCGTTGATCTTTCAATGCATTTCTTCACCGTTGCAAATGCTCCTTGTCCAATTGTTTCTGTTTTGATAATGTAATCCTTGTATATACCTTCATCTTTGATATTCGTGTCTGGGGAAAGGGCTGGATTGAATCGATCAGTAAATACAACAATGAATTTCACCACATCCTTAGGAACTCCATTTCCCACACTTATTTCGTCTCCTTGACTGAGCAAATAATTGGACCCTTTCACTGCCCTTTGCCCATTGCGGTAGGTACCGTTTGTTGATGTATCCCGTAGCCATAACGAGTTATCCTTCAAATTGAACCAAACCATGAAATGTCTATTGGATAAACGAGATGACGACGTTAATTGTAAGTCGGCATCTCCGGATCGCCCAAAATACCAAACAACTTTTCCATCTTCTTCAGGTTTGTCGGTCAAACTAAGCGTCTTATTTGCATACTGACCCGTGGTGCATAGTAGTTGACATATCTGATTTGGATTTGATTGAGGTCCGTTTTGAGTTTGAGTTGCGGGGGATTGCTGCGTGGGCTGCGTTTCAGTGAATTGAGGCGCCTCCATGGAAGATGAAGTAGACTGATGATGGGGTTGTGATCAATTGAGTTGTACTTTTAGTGTGATGCACAGTTATTATATTTTTTTTTCTGAATTTTTTATCTCACCAGACGCGTTCAAAAGGGGACAAAAATGGATTCCAATTATGGTGTTGGTTACTAGTCTCAGCTCCAAGGTCTAGTTCAGAGGATCACAACGTAACGAGTGATCCGAACATCAATGAAGCTAAATCATGTTGAAAAAGGCTGACTTTAGTGGGTGGAAGGGGGGGGGTTCATAAGTATCCTGCCCGAATCTGCTACTGAGGTTATTCACCGTACACCCTGACCACGGTATCAATTAATTGTTCTCCAATGGTACGCCAACTAGCAGTACAATGCTCCAGTACAGCCGAAATACATCCATATTCAGCATGGAATACATCTTAGAAGAGGATTAAACAACGTCTGCGTCAAAATTTTAATGTTGATAAAAGATATAAAGTTTGTAACAAAAACTGCAAGAGGAAGCGGAGTTGTGACCTTCATGAACCCTGATTTCCACCTACCATCTTACTGCTTTGGATAGTTGTTTGAGGCATAATTTGCGTTGTTAGCTCGATCTCATTGAAGCTGATCAAGGTCTGATTTGAGGTCTTTCAAACCCCTGTTCTCCCAACTGTTCGGGAGCATTCTCCCAAAACATAGTTAACGAACCCGATAATAAGGACGCGTGTGGGTTCATGTGAAAATTTAAATATTCAAACCCAAAACTATGATTTTGGCAACTGTCTTCGGTGCCCTGCTTTGTCCTTGAGTTTTGCCGCGGTCGAAAAGTGATGGCCACTAACATATAATGGGTCACTAAAAACCCTAAAGTGGTCTTCTTTCCACACATATAAAGACCAATTTGATGAAGAACTTTGCGATGTTCTAACAATTTCTTGTTATAGAACTTAATATGTGGGTCTTTTTTAAGCTCCATAATTGAACACATGTTATTTTGCAAGGTGGCTATATAATCCGGCCATAAAGAATGGCCCTTTTTGCGAGGGTTAGCTATCCTTGGCTTTTCTTCATAACTACCTCTCAAGAACTGCACTAACGGAGTTAGCCAGTGCTTGAATACAATGCTAAAGTCACTTTCCCTAGACTTCAAATGTGACGCTGGCAAGGTGAATTTTTGACAACTGAGGTATTCAAAGGATCGTAGAGTGAGCTCTCCAATAGTTTTCCTGTTGAATTTGGCTTCTTGAGATGCAACATTTGAAACTTTACCGACCCATCCTATGCTCGACACATTGAAGTAGTTAACATGGTGAATGGTGATTATATTTTCCATGCACATGTTGTAGGGAGTGTTTTGAGTTTGTGCGGTTGTACTGAGCTTCGATGTGTGTGTGTATTTTTGTCATTGCAACGTTTAGAGCTCTAATCAAATTGATTGTTAGATGATCGGTTACTACAGGAGTAGCTGAGTCTAAGAATAAGGCAAGATGTCTAACAATTGTGTGAAATAATTTTGTCTCCTTTGTATTCAACAACCCCATCTCTTCCCTGAATGCTACACGGATGAATTGTGTGGATATAGTGGCGTCCGGTATTTGGTGCTCCCTGACGAATGTATCATGAATTGTTTTTAATGTGACAGTGGTGTCACCAACTTGAGTTCTAGCAGAAACCGCGCTTACTAAGTTGTTGATGTTTAAGTGTTCAAAGAAGACGTTTAATTGATCCATTGCACCCTTTGTTGTATGTATTGAAATGGACGACAAGAGTAAGAGCTACACTTGGTCAAACGCCCAAACTATAGCATATACTGCTCTACATCAATGTCACAAAAAAAGGAAGGGTGGTTAAACATTCTGGTATGCCATATACTCCCAGTTAACTTTTTGTTGTGTAGTTTCCTTCATATATGAACTTTTGTGTAATCGCGCCTTCAGAAATTAAGGTTTTGTGTTGTGTACTAATAGTTCTCTCTTGTATCTGAGTAAGTTAAGCGACATAATGTTCTAAATTTGTTTGACTCAAATACGTTTTGCGTTATATCAACACTGTATTAAAATAGCCTTGCTAAACCGTGAACCAGAAAACCTCAAAACTTATGAGTGGTATTGCACTTTCAAAAGATCCCCAACACTTTGAACAAGACAAATAGAAACTGGATTATTGACAGCTTCGACTAATATCGACACTTCAATCAAATTCGTTATAGGTAATTCATCTCCATGAGGAAAAGGTGTCCCTTTCTTTCTTAGTTATACACTGCGCAACTTAGCAACTATCTCTTGCAACTTCCTATGTTAGTTCATCCGAGACGCGTTCATAGATGGCATTTAGTTCAGCCTCAGAGTAAATTTGCTTCAAAGTAGTGAAGAACTGCACTCGGTTTTTGCCCTCCACTTTATACCTCTTTAGTCTTAGTTGTTGGCCAGTTGTACGAGGGAAATGATAGCCCACGACTCCAAACGGAAGTCGAGGACTTAGCCAAATAATGTCATGAGTGAACGGGATATCATACTTGTTAGGATTGTCTCTATACCAATATGCTAACACAATATCCCTTGGTGCATACCACCAATTAATTGTAGATTTGGGAAAGTTTACAATTAACCTGCAAATCATTTGAGCCAACATGTGGTCGCTAAATTTGTTTGCGACCACAAGCATGCTCAACCCTTTGTGAGTGTAATCCTCGAGTTCTAGTATTGATTCACGTTCATTATGTTGCCCAATACAAAGTTGTACAAGCTTTGGATACTCTTTTTCCAACTCGTGAGTGGTGAATACTCTAAACAAACGAATAAGCCCTACAATGGACAATTCCCGGAGTTCAGAAGTATCAAACAATTCGCTTACACTGTAATGGAATTCTTCGGGTTGGATATGATGTATGTAGAGCTTGTGCAATTTGAAATTGAGACGGTGCAGGAGCTTTGAATACTCCTCGACAACGATCGTCAAAGATGTTAAAAACTGAAAATGATCTAAGCAGTTCCAGCCGCTCTCGTGAAAAATAATAATACTGAGCGATGTCTTAGAGGTCTGTGACATTACAAGTTCTAGTATACGACATGGTGTGGACGTGATCTCAGCAGCAAAGGTTTGTTTGTCGTGAAAAAACCGCGAAAGATGCATGAATTCGGATTGCGTGGTAGTCATGACGTCTGCAGGAACATCATTGTGGAAAGCCAGAATGATCTCAAAAAGCTTAATGGATTTGAAATAATCCAATGTACGTATCAGAAGCTCCCTGTCAAAGTCCTTGAAAAGAATGTGTTCAATCTTTTCCTCTACACTCATTTGAGAAAAGTACTTTTCGAAGTTGTCACTTGATATTACAGTGTACAGGTTTACCTTTAAGTTGTTAAGATTCCTATGATATTTGAATTTCTGGTATTGCTCTCCCTCATATGCTGACACTTCACGTACATATATATTTCGATATAATTTCGGCTTTGCAATAAAGTAAAGCTTGGAATGTAAAGGGGCAAGTGACAATGCTTGATACTGGTTGATGTGGCGAAACACCTCCTCTAATATCCCAAAAGGTAAATCAATTAAACAAGACATTCGAGCTGGTAAGTGTATCGATGTTTTGAGCTGGTGAAGCTTTTCTCTTTTTAAATACGAATTTTTTGGGTTCCAGAGATACCCTCCACTTTCCTACTTTTAAAGAACTTTCGGTAGCGCTCTAGCTGCAAAAAAAGTGTAACTATCTTAGAGTGAGATCGCCAATCTTCGTAGAGAGACGATGGTTGGCGATTGAAGAAACGCTGTGTCTAGGCATAGAAAGTGTACTCTCTCCAATTTGAATCAAATATGTGAAGGTCGGGTTCAATAGTACGTAGCAGCCACAATAAAAAACTCTATAGGTGTGGTTGTAATCATATGTATTCTATACACTTTCTATAACCAGTAGCTCTTAAAATTTCAACTACAGCTTCCCTCTACTTGTTTACTAATCCAGCTTCCACGCACAACGCACGATACATGGATGTCCCATCCTTCAACAAATTGACAGGAGAGTCGAACTCCTTCACCTCACCTTTATCAAGAACCAATACTTTATCACTATCAGATATGGCCTCCAATCGGTGTGCAATTGTCAAAATTGTCTTGTCTTTGAACTCAGTTCTGATTGTGTTTTGGACTATTCTATCAGTTTCAACATCGATCGAGGCAGTTGCCTCATCCAAGACCAAAACGTTTGATTTGTTTAATAAAGCCCTTGCCAATGAAAGCAATTGACGCTGTCCCGCTGATAGGTTAGACCCACCTTCGAAAATCATTGAAGCAAGTCCTACTCTGTCTTCATCACCATGTTTGCTAACTAATTGCTCAACATGATCTTTTAAGTGAGCTAATCTCAAAACATCCCATAATTCTTCGTCAGTGTGCTTATTCAAGGGGTCTAAGTTGTCACGCACGGTTCCTTCAACAACATTTGAGTCTTGAGGTATGATGTTCAACAGGCTGCGCAAATCATAGAGTCCAAGTTTATCGGTAGCTTCTGAATCAAGCTCAATATGACCAGAAGTTGCTTCGACAATACGAAATAATGCCATTGTCAAGGTTGACTTTCCAGCACCAGTTCTGCCAACAACACCAATCTTTTCACGCAGTTTGATACTAAGGTTGATGTCTTTCAACACTGGTTCAAGATCCTGCCTGTATTTTGTGTAGTAATGTTTGAACTGTATCTCACCTTTGCTTGGCCACTTGCTTGGTGGTCGATACTTGACAATTTCAGCTGCCTCTGGCGTCAATCCACAATACTCAATCACTCTTTCCAATGATACGGATCTCGTTTCAATGTCTGCCCAGCCTCGGATAATCATACTGAGAGCATTGCTGATACTTAATGCATTCACCAACACAAATCCAACCAATCCAGAACTCAATTCGTGCGATGTGCCCAATGTTGCTAAAATGAGCAACGATGAGGAGTAAAGGATGACAGCTGATATTGTTTGCAACCTCATTGACAACCACCGATTGCACGACAACATTGTATACTGTACTCTAATAAACTTGTTGGTTATTTTGTCATTGAGTCTGGAAAATTTTCTGTCTTGCCCAAATGCTCGAATTGTTTCTACACCATTGACGGATTCCAGCAAGTGTGAAAACAACGGACTCCTACAAGTACTCACCAACCTCTTGAGCTCGCGTGTTGATGGAATGTAGTACACCCTGATTCGATTGAAAATCGCCAAGAGTATTAGAATCACCACAATCATGATGGGGAGATTAAACACCACCACTGAAAGAACACCAATTGCAAGCAAACCGTAGTCAATAACCGCCAAGATCGACCAAATAAGCTGCTGATCAACAACATTCATATCATCAGCAAACCGGTTCAAGATTCGACCTATTGGCGTTGTTTCAAAAAATTGCATCGGGCTGCGCAAAACAGATTTTGCCATTTTGTCGTGGAAATATCTCGATCCACGGATAACGCAGTAGCTCCACATGATCAGAGCAGCAGCAAGCATACACGCGGCACCTGTAATACCTGTCGCGGCATACACAGCTAGGTAAAACAGGACGCGCGTATTGCTCCCTTTGTTGAGGTTAATTTCTGACCAGTATTTGAGGATGTAATTGGCACCAATATTGCAAGTTACATTTACAGCGTAGATAAGCACATACAAAATGATCATGGGGAAGTTGCAAGCTTTAAAGTATTCGAGGTAAACGCTCAACTTGACATGACCCTTGGCTCTTGTCTCTCGGGAAGGGCCCAGTTTGTCTGCACTCTTGCCTTCCTCAACACTTTTAGTTGATACAACACTGGACCTTCTACGGGTATCCTCTTCGTGTTCTACGTCACCGCTGTGCTCGTTGATGAGTCTAGCTAGTTCCAACCCTTGTGCCATGACTTTTTTGTAACTTCCTCCTTCTGCAACCACGCCATCTTGTAACAACACCATCCCCTGAGAGTATCGCAAAACATTGATTGCATTTGTTGCCAAGATGACGGTCTTGTCAGAAAGTAACCCTCGGATCACATCTCGTATGATGCTTTTTCCAACATGTGCATCAACAGCAGAAAGTACATCATCTAATAAGTAGATGTCGGCTCTAGAGTATACAGCTCGAGCTAATGAGATTCTCGCTTTCTGTCCGCCGCTCAATGCAATCCCCTTTTCACCAACCATTGTGGCGTCACCTTCGGGCAAGATCTCCAAATCAATGGCCAACTGGCATGCAGCTACAACTTTGTTGTAAAACCGGTCATCAAACTGTTTGCCAAATAGAATATTTTCCCGGACCGTTGCATTTTGAATCCATGGTTGTTGCGCACAATAAGCAATAGATCCGTTCACTGAAACCGAACCTTTAGAAATTGGTACTTCTCCTAGTATTGCTTTAATGAGTGCTGTTTTGCCGGTACCTACTTTGCCAACAATGCATGTGAGTTGGCCACTTTTGGCATTGAAGTCTATGTTTGATAAAGCTATATTCTCGCTATCCCATGAAAACGTCGCGTCTTTTATAGATACTGTTACATCATTAGGCAACACTGGATTGTCCAATCTAATCACCTTCGATTCATTCTCCTTCATGGAAAAAAACTTGTCCAATCTTTTAAAACAATTGGATGCCTCTACTATTGCAACAATGGCATCAGGTAGTTGCATGATGGGTTCAGTCAAGAAATCAAACAATGACAATGCTGGGAAAATGATGGATGGGATGAGAGAGATGTTGGTGAGTTTGACAAAGGAGATTAAACAGGCGATGGTTATTGCAAACGGGATGGTGTTCCATAAAAACATAGAGAATGCATTAAAATGGCCTATTCGTTTTGCCATCACCAATTCTTTATCGTTTCTGATCCCAAAGAGTCGTTTCAACATTGGTTGTTCCCAAGCATAAAGTTTGATGCTTTTAATTGACTGTAAAATCTCTGAAGTCAACTTTAATCGCTCGTCTCTGATTTTCATATTCTTCTTGACAAGCCCTGAAATTGATGTGCTGATTTTGCTGCTCAATGGAATAAGAACCACTGCCGTGGCAAATCCAAACAATGCGGAAACCCCAAGCAACCTATACAATGCCCAAATACCGACAATTATTCTAAATGGTAAATTCACCACAAATGCATACATTGCCAACTGCGAAATCTTGGTGACATCAACAGCCAAGTTGTTGATAATTTCTCCACTGTTTTTGTTTTTTCTAGCTTCTGCTGATAGGTTGATGGCTTTTTGATAAACAAAAGTGCCTAATGACGAGTACACTTGAGATCTAATGCGGAAATGAATAGACGCAAACCGGTTCATTGAAGTGTATTTACCCACCGAGCAAAGAAAAATAGCGGTTGCAATGGCGAATCCCACAACTGGAGATTTCCGGTCTTCATTGCCAAAGTAGACGATAAATTGTTGCAACAAAAAAGCTTGTCCCAAGTTTGAAGCAATTGCAATCCATTCCATGAATAGCATCAAAAGGAAGCTGGAAGAGTGCAAGGCAAGGTACACCCTGAATAATGATTTCTTCCCACGACGTTCCTTATTCCATTTATCGAGAGTTTTTCCATATGTGTACTGGCAGTTCTGATCATAATGCAAGGGAGGCGTTCCTTCCGGGTCAATTGTCTGGTTTTCATAAATGCTTTTTATAGTAGGGTCCAACCATCTGAATGTAATCTCTGACCAAAAGTTGTGCACTGTTTCAATGCGCCAATCATTCAATTCGTAGTATTGTTTTAGCTCCAGACTGGGGGAAAACAACCCCACTTCAAACACTAAAACTAACATTGCATTCAAAGCAAGGCCCACTTCGGCAGTCTGCAGTGGCAAATTATGGTTAAAGATTTTAACACTGGAAAAGTTGTCTTGTAATGAGACCATAACCATGAAGATGACTTGGACGAACCAATACAATGATGGTGCAGACAATGGGACCACACTTCTTGTTGGCTCAATAACTTGCAATGGCAAAATCATTCCTCCAAGTAAGAGCACATTGGCAAGCAATGAGTTCAATAGCAATCCCAGACCTGAAAAGCTCAACACCAAAACAGCATACAAAGCTAGCTGGGTCACTACCAAGTTTAATTTGAGTAGCTGAAAAATCCCAACGCTTTCCGATTTGAAGGGATGCCCAAAGCTGTACTTGATTTTGAATGGCCCGTAATAGTTTCGGAACAAAAGGAGGTACAATTGACTCAATGAAAAAATAGCAAGCGCGATGGTGGCAGATATTGAAACAGTGGCCACAAAGCACGGGTTTAGCGAGTTGCTGCTCAGTTCGTCAATGAGTGGATCTCTTATAGAGAACCTACAGGACATCGTTGGATGAGTGATGGTTCCGGACGGGACATTTTTTTCATACGGCACGAAAATTGTGGCTTTTTAATTATGATCTCGACCTACAAAATCTTAAGCGCGGTTGCATTGACTGAGACTAGATTTTGCTGAGATACGACAATTCAAGGGAGTGAAGTTAAGACTCAAGAGAAGTGCCGTGTATGTAAACCCGGTTGTCATTCCCGACTCTAAGTATTGTTACATGATAAAGTCTAATTCATGATGTGAGCGCACAGTTCTATTAATCTTGATAACTTCTTGTAGGTTAAAGGCGTTTAAAGAATTACCCACTGGAGCTGCCAAATCTGGCTGCTAAATCCAAACTTCATTTTGAGCTTCCACAATTGAGGCCATATCGACTTTATCTTTTCAAAATTTGGGGAAATTTCCGCGCAAAAAGCTTTCATATCTCGACTTTTACTAGCAAACAATGAGATCCGCAATGGTTAGTGTTCCATAGAGTTACATGAAAATTATTAGAGATCCCACTACTACAATTTTGATAAGTTGATTATTATTGATATTTATTTGAAACTAGTTAACTAAATAAGACTTCGTTTAAGCAGCAATTAATTGTTGGACGGCAGTAATAACTACTTCGAACGAGCTCTAACTGCTCTTCTCTTACGCTTGAGTCTTCTGACTCTTTTCTTTCTCCACTTATCTCTCATAGTGGCACTTATGAATATTAATTTCTAATGAGGAATGAATAAGAAAGGAAAAGAAGGGGGAATGGTTGGTGCCCGCAAAAGTTGACATTGCTGAAAAATTTATACTCCGGCTGCCTCAAGAGAAACAACGGTGCGTAAAAAAAAATTTAAGAGAAAGTGTGCAAGTCACGTGCGCAAAGTCAGGGCAACTTGGAAAATTTATTGAATTTACCATTTGGACTACAAAAGTATTACCTACAATGGTGCTACAACAACGTTTGATTCTATTCTCGTTTAGCTAATATGAACTGTAAGTGTTGGTTTTATCGGATAATGGCTTCTTTTTCTGCTTCTTTGCCTCTTTTGCTTCCCTTTCCTGCTTTATCTTCTTCAGTCAAAGCTTAATCTCCGATGATGGTTTAGCATCATCATCGATCTTAAACACTCGAAATTGGAATTAATTTTTCGTAAACTTTTCCAATTGCTCAATGCGGGCTTTTAAGTTATCTATTCTCTTATGCTGCTGTTTAATATTTTGCTTGTCAAGCAATACGGAGTTGTTTTCTTTTCGTTTTTTGGCTTGAATATTTCTTTCAGTTGACACCGAACAATCCTCCTGGTAAATCACCCCTGGGACCCCATTTATACATAATTTCGTATTCAAAGAATTAGGTAGTGGTGCATTTTTATCAATAACGAGGTCAGTTTTCCTCGTTAGCTCGGGATTGATCGAAAACCATTTATTTATCAACTGACCACAGCACAAACTTTCCAAAACCGCTCAAAGCGTTCTCCTTTTTCATATTCTCCGTTCTAGAGGTAGATCAAAGCTCTATGAACTCATCTTTTGGCACAATGAGTTTCTTTTCTTGGACAAAATAATTGAAAAGAATGCCCCTATAACGATCCTTAATAGGTTTGAAGACAAAATCGTTCTAGGGTTGCATCAAATGCAGACTATGGGCTGGCACGTAAACCAGGATCACTCTGGCTTTATCTAGGAGCAGTTTGAGCGTGTCGTTGTAATGTGTGAAGTAATTATCCATGATCAAAATTCGGTACCCCTCAGAATTTTTTGAGGGACATATATGTTCCTCTCCCAGTTCCGAAAGGTGCCCGCAGTAACCCAACCTCTCTATGTTACGGCGTAAACCCCTTCTGTGCTGTTGTCGGTTGAAATTTGATTGCTCACAAGCGTTTTACTCTTGGAGTTTTTAACCTTTTTCCGTCGGCAGAAGTTGCTTTCATAACAGTGATTATGTCCTTGATATCACCGTTCATTGTATACTTGCCATTTTTCTGACTATCCCTAAGAACTTTTCTTTTTCCAGTTTGGTGTTACAAGACACCTGCTTCGTTTATATTACGTTGCGACTTTATACTGCTTTATAACATCAATATAATATTCGAAAAAAACTTGAATACCAGATAAAGAGACCCGGTAAATTCTATTCTGCGCTGTCAGTTTTGCTGATAACATACTTATCCATGGAGATTTTTCAATCACTTAATATGGCCAGTTATGTCCTAGGTGTGGCTCATAACCAAAAGCTTTCAAAATTTCCTCCCAAACCCTACGTTGATAAACCTTCGTGCCCAACATCTGCGGGTTGTGCCTGTCTGAGAAAGAAAATATCCAGCTTTCCTGATAGTTTCTGAGTACTTTCGTGAGCTTGATTACATGTTGAACCTCCATTCAATCAACACTTCAATACTGATTCATATCTTTCATGATGACTCGCAATTTTTTGTTTATTTGGGTCGGTTTGAAACTTGTATTGGATAACAACCAATTTCAACCTTTTCTCCGGCTCTGCTTTCTCCTCTGCTTCCTTTCTTTTTTTCTGGAGGGTGGCTTTATTGAGGGCGTGAGAGAGAATTATTAATTGGGCCCATGTGTTTTGCTTATCTATTTTTTTTGCGCAACTTCCTGGGAATGCGTTGCGAATTAACGTCTTCATTTGCATGCGATTAGAATTGAAACTTATTTAAACAATTGAAACCCCCTAAATTACACTGTTTTTATTTTTCTACTGTACAACAACAATGATTGAAGGTAGTTCAAATTCTGCTTCAAAAGGAGAAGCACCAAAAATGTATTATTGCTGAAGCTGATGACAATGAGATGAAAAACTCACCAAAACTGATTACCGAAGTTGAAATTGAGGCTGCTACTGAAGCTGAAGCCAATGATGAGGATGATGATGAATTGAGGGTATATTATTCTTTGAAGATGAAGCTAAACAGGCAGGGCCATTTACTTTGGAGGAATGTGTTGAGATTGTAAAAGATGCTGCAGTGAAAGCTGCTATTCCCATTGAGGAGGAGAATGCATCAGACAACAAGGAGAGAAACAATAGGGCTGGTATCGCTTAGCACGACAAGGAAGAATTACCAGCTGACGAGAAAATGGATTGCAGGGCTCGTATCGCCGATCACGACGGCAAGATTGTGTCAAGCTTTCGAATTGCGTTTAGAGGTATCATGAGAGAAGTTTCGAGCTTGGACCTTACTCGTCCAAAAACGCTCAACTGCAAGGAGTGGGCCAACTACGTAAACCGAGTTGTGCGATGTTTTGGTGAATCTTTGGGCAATCTAAAATTCGGAGAGTTCACCGTCCATTATAACAGATTGCAGGACAAACTGAATAGAAAGCTATTCATTCAAGTCATGAAGGATCAATTATATATTCGTCTTACTCGGTTTAAACCCAATCTTATCCCCTATTTGTCAGTTAAAAAGGAATGCACATCAACTTAGACGATTTGATTAATGTTTTCAGTGGATGCAATGAGATATCGATTCTGCATGCGTTGTATCTGTTCTTCCGAGAAGTTGGGGACTTTGAATTGATGGATCCCTCAATTTCAAACAGAGGTGAGTTTTGGACCGAAATGAGAAAAAAAAAAAAAAAGACGGCAAGATGATACGCTTGATAATTTCAAATATGACGTCGTTTGCCGTGATTATCATTACTTTTTTGCCTTTAATTGCATTCGACATGACGCGATCAAGACAGAAAAGTTTTTGAACCTCCTCATAGACTTTTACTCCAATCATCAATTGGTGCTCCGATCACATTACCACAAGCTACTACGTTTGGACGTGCACTCAGTGATACGACCAAGCCAGAGAAGAACTATCTCTCATTTTGGTTGATGTGATGAAAGAGGGTTTTGATTCGTTAGCCGTGATAGAAAGAAGCAATAAAGGCAACTCTTATCAGAATCGTTCAAATGAAAGAAATAAGAGAATTAAAGGTCGAGCTAGGTATTTACGAGGTTAGCTTTCCACAAGTTTTTCTTTGTTTCAATTCTAGGGAGTTTTTTTTTTTCATTTTTCTTATCTACGAAGATGGTTTTTCTTTAATTCTAAAGTAGTTTACTTGTTTATTTGCGTGTTTTAATTCTAAATTAATCTAAATGCTTTTGAGCTTCTTGATCCTTCTTCTCCTTCTCCTTCTTCAATTGTTTCCTTGTTTGCATCAACGCTTTGGTCAAATCATCTTTGACGTGATTTTCAAGGGACAATTTCGTAACGAGTAAATCTATAATCTCGGGAGTGAGTAGAATTTCCTCCTCTTCGGTGTTGCCATACGCTTCATCTATTTGGGGAAGCTCGACAAATCTAATATGCGATGCGTTGTTTTCTAATAAATAATCCAAATGGTTGATGCCTAATAATGCCTTAATATGGCAATATAACCTATAAGCAAGGTAGAACCCAGGGACATTGGGAACTACTGGCACCAACGCAAATGGCAATGTCAAAGGAATGCCAATAGCGCAAAGGATTGCTCCATTCTTGTGTTTTTTGTAATTGTCTGTTCTGAAATGGGTGAGCTCAGTGAGGATTTTGGAGGGCGACTGCTGCTTGGCGTGGTACAATGGAATCGGCTTCAACTGAGAATCAGGAATGTTCAACTGTTTGATGTCGGATTGATGTACAAATCCATGGCTATCCTTTTCCAATGGTTTCACCAAGTGTAAACTCTCTTCATTGATTTCTCTAATCATTGCTTGCTTGTTGGGGAAAGACCTGAGACAGTTTTCCTCATACGGTATCGTTGCAAGCAACTTGCGAGTCCATTCAACAATCTTGACATTGACGGTGAGTTTGGAAGATGCTAACTTGTTCCAACCTTTTGTTGCAATGTTGACAGCTTTGGTTTCAACTTTTGTGATCAACGGTGCATGGCTTTGGAGAAGAGGTCGATGGTTGCAGTAGATAAATGATCTTGATGCTGTTAGCGGGATCGAGATGACGTAGATGGAGTTCTTGTCTGGGAGCTTCATTAGGGAGGAATTAGTTGTCGTTAGATTGCTAAATTGAGATGGCAAAAATTAGGGGTCCGGGGTAATAGTGGAGTAGGGGGAAGAATATAGTCTGCAGCAAGCAATTCAAAACACTGTCAATTGTCAAAACAGTCTAAATAGTCAAGCAACGCTATTGTCAAGCTCTGTCTTTGCTCTGTCTTTGCTTTGTCTTTGCTTTGTCTTTGCTCTGCCTTGCTCTGCCTTAAGCCTGGCAATTTCATCATAACGCTACCAATGTAAACAAGAATAACAAATAATTCAATTGCTCCAAGCTCTTCCTTCCACAAGCTTCCCTCCTCCACAAGCTTCCCTCCTCCACAAGCTTCCCTCCTCCACAAGCTTCCCTACTCCACTAGTCCCTCTTCATGACTGACTCGGATAACACTTCTACACCTCCTACTACCCAATCAAATGCGTCACCACGCAATCGTCTTGATCCTTTCAAAAACACCAATGTTCAAACTTATAGCCACCGACCAAATGTGTTTCCAGTGTATGTGCTAGATACAGTGTCGAAAGCAGAGACTGCGCATAGAGGGGAACCCCGAAAGGAGACATTTCCCGATCCATATGGAACAGATATCAACGGCAGCTGGTTTCAATTCAAGAAATCTTTATTTTATCCAACTACATATCCTCTGGAAAGAGTCGAGATTGATGAGAAATATCTAGATGAATACAGTTTGAATGGATCTTGGGGCGGTGATGCTCGACTCAAGGAAGAATTTACAGAATACCAGCAACTTAAAGATGCCAACAAACATCGAAGCTTGCTCAATCTATTCATGAGAACAAAAGACCCTGGTGAAAACGATACAAAAGTGCGTTCTACAGCTGGGTATTGGATGGGAGAAAACCGATCCCAATTGAAACCAGCATTTAGGAAATTTTTCATGCAAAATCCCTTGTTACCGTTGACATTGAGGATATTGACCTTGATTTTTTGTGCCATTGCCTTGGCATTGGCTTGCAGTATTTTTGTATTTTCAAAAGACACTTATGATGGGTCCAAAGTTGGTCAAAAGGCGAGTACAATCATGGCCATTGTCGTGCAAACATGCGCCTTGGTGTATGTGGTTTACATTGCCTACGACGAGTATTCAGGAAAACCATTAGGGTTACGTGATCCAATTGGCAAGTTCAGACTAGTCATGTTGGACTTGTTATTCATCATTTTTTCCTCAGCAAACTTGTCGCTAGCATTTGATACATTGTATGATGACGAATGGGTGTGTGAAATCTACAACAACCCGCATGGGATTGACAATAACGCGTTCCCAGTAATCTCATCCATCTGTCGTCGACAAAAGGGACTAGCATCGTTTTTATTTGTTGTGCTAGTAACTTGGGTGTTGACATTTACAATTAGTTTAGTACGAGTGATTGATAGAGTTAATGTGTAGAAAAAAAACACACAGCAGATACATCAATGTATATTTTTTTTGGGCAACTACAACTCTTCCCACCACGACCTTTTTCTAGTTATGTCCACATTACCAGCATTCACCGACCTCAATGCCACTTGGGCATTCATCCAACCAGGGTTGGAGTTTATACTTGGTGCGCAGAATGATCAAGGTGTCACCTCGACAATGTACATGAATTGCTACACTGCTGTGTACAATTATTGTGTCAACAAATCAAGACGTGGTCTGACATCAGTGGCAAATAGCACTGAAAACAACTCTTACTCTCTAGCAGGGGCAGAGATTTACAACAAATTGGAAACGTACTTGGTGCAGTTTATACGTAATTTAAGGAAAACCCCCAATGAATCGTTTTTGGAGTTTTATGTTCGCCGCTGGACGAGATTCACCATTGGGGCAGTATACATGAACAACGTGTTTGATTATATGAACAGATACTGGGTGCAAAAGGAGAGATCGGATGGGAGAAAGGATGTGTTTGATGTTAATACATTGTCGTTGATCAAGTGGCGAAACGAAATGTTTCAACCTAATGCTGACGTTTTGATTGAACAGGTGTTGGATTTGATTGAAAAACAGAGAAATCATTTGATTGTGGATACGAATTTAATCTCGAGTGCTATCAAGTCATTGGTTTATTTGAGTATTGATATTCAGGATTTGAAAAAACCAAACTTAATTATATATGTTAATTCTTTCGAGAAACCCTTTTTGGATGCAACAATGAGCTACTATACAAAGGAGAGTTCTGAGTATTTGACAAACCACAATGTTGTTGATTATATGAAGAAATGTGAGACGAGATTGGCAGAGGAGATTTCCCGATCAAACACGTTTTTAGAAGATCATTCGAAAAAGGCATTTGTAAGCATCCTCAATCAAGCAATGATTGAAAACCACGCTTCGGAAATGTACGATCAGTTTATTGTATTGCTTGAGCAGAACCAGATTGATCACATTCAACGAATGTATAAGCTCTTGATGAGGGTGCCAAAGACTTTGGACCCATTGGCATCAGCATTGGAGGAATACATCAAAAAGGAGGCCAATGCAGCTATTGAAAAAATCAAGAACGAAGCAGATGCCGGTGAAGGGAAGAAGAAAGGCGGAGTTGAACCGAAGAACTACATCAACACATTGATTGCAATTTATAACCAATTTAATGACATTGTGATACAAGCTTTCAGCAAGGATACAAAGTTTATCAGGTCGTTGGACAATGCCTGTCGTCATTTTGTCAACAACAATGCCATTGCTGTTCCCAAACCTCGAGCTGCATGCAAAACGCCAGAATATTTGGCTAAATATGCCGATGGGTTCCTCAAAAGTAATGCCAAAGATGCTGATATTGTTGATATGAATGCCGACAATTTGATGATTGTTTTTAAATTCATCAATGATAAAGACACATTTGAAGAGCATTATCGACGCTCTTTGGCAAAGAGATTGATTAATGGTACTTGCAAGTCGGATGAATTGGAGGAGAGTGTTATTCACAGATTGCAAGAGGAAAACTCAATCGAGTACACTTCCAAGATGACAAAGATGTTTTCCGATATGAAGGCGTCGGAGGATTTAAAGTCAAAAGTGAAGGAATCAGATCAATTTGTAAAGGAGTTCAACCCATTGGTTCTTGCCCAGAGTATGTGGCCATTTCGTCATGTTGCTGATTATGATTTAAAAGTGGCACCTGAACTTGAAGCACCACTTGCCAACTTGAAACAAGTTTACGCCACTCAACATCAAGGGAGAAAGTTACAATGGTTGTTTAACCACGGTAGAGCTGAGGTTAAAGCCAATCTTTCCAAAAAGGGGAAACCACCATTCCAATTTCAAGTTAGTAATGTTCAGTTGATGATATTGATGGCGTTTAATAAGAAATCTAGCTACACGTACAACGAATTGTATGACATTGTTGGTTGCAACAAAATAGTGTTTGATAACCATCTCAATCCCCTCATCAAATTCAAATTAGTTGAGTCTAGTAATGAGAACCTAGCTAATGCCACTTTAAAGATTGTCGAATACTACAACTCCAAAAAAGTAAAAGTCAACTTCATCAGCGGTATCAAATCTGTCGACGTTAAGCAAGAGGAAGAGGACGCCACAAGGGAAATTGTTGCCGCTAGACAAACCTACATACAAGCCACCATTGTTAGAATTATGAAGAGTAGAAAAGATTTGGGAAACACTGAATTGTTGAATCAAGTTATGGAGGCAGCTCTGACAAGGTTCACCACTAGAGTACTCGATATAAAGAAGCTGATTGATACATTGATTGAGAAGGAGTATATACGTAGAGAGGGAGATAAATATGTCTATATAAGTTGAGTACACACGAAGAAGATAAAAGAAAAAAAAAAAAAAAAGTAAAGCTCTACAGCCTACTCTATCAATGGACAACAACTCCAAAACCCATTACTTCTTACAACCAAAGAAGAAGAGTATTGAGGACAACAAATTTCATCAATCTGTTCAAGTTCATGACTCAAAAACACCATTTGTATCATTGTTCAATGGGAAAGAGCCAATTGCAAATGTTCAATTTAGATTCAATTTATATCAAAGAATATGGGCCAGTCAGTTGGAAAAAATTCACTCGATTTTGAATAGCGCCAATGATGAGCTATTTAACAACTTGATCAAGTTTATCAATGAGCCATTGAGTTCGAAATTATCCATTGGTTATGTTCAACTAACTTCGAATAATGCAAATAATTTACGTATATTGAATGAGTTTTACGACCACACCAACAACTACAACTTGATAAAATTGAATTCTAAAAACTGTCAACATATAAAGGGGACATTGAGGGAGATTATTCGCCAATTTGGTGAACGCAACAAGTTGGAAGGTGATTATTTGGGCTATGACTTGGAGGTTTTGCAAGATTGGTACGCCATGGGTAATGAAACAAGGACAGTTATTGTAATTGAAGATACCAATTTGTTCAGCACCCAATTGTTAAATCAACTAATCAAGTTTCTTCAAGCAATTCATATACCGGTGAAATTGTTACTTGCATTGTCTTGTGATACAGTATCCTCATGGGTCAACAACAACTTGAGAAACGACTTGCGATTGAATTTGGAAGGGTATAGGTTCAAAAGTAACGACAACAAGAGCTTGGGATATATCATTTTGAACAATTTGTTTCTCACGCCAGAGCTAACCGATGACAATCCATTGCTAATCAACAACACACTAAGCACCATCATTCTCAATCGTTTTGAAAATTCAAACAATTCAATTGACGCATTAATTTCCGAGATTAAATTGTGCTACATGATTTTCTTCTACCAGCTGCCATTGTCGATTCTTATTGCAAAATTTGACTCGTCAAGTTTGTATATCGATGCATTGAGGAAAACGCCATCTTTTAAACGGCATATGGAGATTAAACTACTGCAAAAGGACCCAATTGTCAAGGAAATGCTTGAAGATGATGATAAAGTGGCAATGTTGTTTCACGAGTGCAAAAAGCAATACCAAAAGCACAAATTAGCAGTGATGAATTCCATAAACGTGGTGTATCAATTACACCCAAACAAACCAATGGAAAAATTTCACCTATACAAATTACTTGTCAATAACAAATTGTTCAACTCAAAATACTTTCACGAATGTCTTGATTTTTCAAAGTATTCAGATGAAGTCGTGAGTCGTATTGTGTTGCACTTGACTGATGACTGCCACGAGTCTATTGGCAACATCAATGACACATATCTCATTGAATTAAAGAAGAACTTGTCTAAAGATAACATCACGTCTGCATTGGAAGCCTACTTCGAGAACCCAATTTTGACCACACCACTCGAATATATGGTGTTTAACGAAATTTTCTCCCTCAATGGAGGAATAATCCATGCCAAATTTGACAAACAGCCTCTATTTGAGGAAAACTTTGAAAACCTCATGATCAACCTCCTTCGTCCTAATTTGCGACAAACTATTGAGGTGAGCCTAGACAATTATGAGTTGTACTTGGCAAACCCATTAATTTGCAAGGAGCATCCACTAGATGGTCAGCCACTACTCTGCGCAATGTTTAGCGTTTACAAAGAAGCACCAGCATCAATCAACTTGTGCGACTTTTATCAAGCCTTCGCGGCATCGTTGAATAAGCCGGCCGATATTGATGACGATGAATGGAAAGTGGTCACTTACTCCTGGTTTGTGCAAAACTGCTTCGAGCTCATGCATATGGGAATCTTACAAATGAAAAGAACAAGCGAATACCTCGAAAAGGCAATTTGGAAAGGTGTATAAAGAAAATAAAAAAATACTTAATCCTGTTTCTGTTTTTGCGATGCTGCCTCTTCTTTCAACCGATCTGCTTCCTCTTGCGCTTCAGCCTGTTTTTCCAAATCAGCGTCGCCTAAATCAGGGCTGGGTAATTTATTCAGTGATTTGTACAAATCACTTAATGAATCACTGGCTTTATTTGTGTATGTTTTGACTTGATTGATGACATTTTCATGATGACCAGCAAGCGACGTGATTATAAGTAAAAGACCAAACATGGCAACTATCACCAAGATCACCAATCTTTGCGTCTTGAACATTCTATTTGATATTTGAGTTGAGTTAGCCCTCATTTTGATGTGTGGGGGGAGAAGAGGAAGTTATCGATAATTTGGTTCATTTGTCGTTCGTTTTGTTGCCTTTTATCGGGAACTCGGGTATAGCGCTACCGAATTTTTTGCGGCCGAGATTGAGGACAAAGGGTTGCAATAGTATACTTTGTGATTCATTTTGTCGAGTGTTGTATGAAAAGGAACAATCCTAAGTAGTTATTATACAGAATTGGCATATGCAAACTATTCGAGGAAGTATTTAAAGCTGCTTCTTGATACAAGAATCAGTAAAAACCAATAAAACCACAAAACATTAATATAAATTTTTAAAAAAAAAACATATATAGCAAGAACTCAAACATTCAAATTGTTGTCATCAATGGATACATGGTCACTAGCATCTTGAAAAGCAGAAGATTGGACCAATTGAAGTATATGATGACCCAAGTTTGCATTTTGATTGAGCCCGACAATTTGTTTCGTATTCAAAATATCTGATACCACAAACTTGATAAAAAGTGGAATGTCTTTATTTTTCAAAATGTTTCGAGCCTGGTGCTTTTCCTTAAGTTCGACAAAAGACCTGTCCTTCGTGTGCTTTGGTATCACATCCAATTACACCATATCAGGAACAACTCTTTTCCACTGATGAAAAATATGCAACCCGGCTGTGTCTCTATCAGTGACACTTAAAATTCGGGCCTTATACCTTGTGACTAAGCGACAAACTTTGGATAGTAACTCATGAGAAGGGAACCCCTCTGAAGATATTGTAAAAAAAGTGGCGTTCTGTCCCACCATTGGTATATCGGTGGATAAATTTGTTCAATGTCCCAATTTCTCAAACACGATTATAGTGACACTGTCTTGTGTGATATAGGAACTATTTTCCTGAAACCACAACTCAACAGCTTCAAAAGCAGCTACATCTTCTAAATTGTTGTCATCACCAAGAAAGGATGTATTTGCTGTACAGACACACACGGGGATAACATTAACATTATCAAAAGTGATCTCTAATGCTGATACCGACCTTTCAGCTGTTCTAGACACTACTTCTTGGTTTCTCCAAAAACTCTGGGCCCATGCGATAAATTTCTCGATATCCAAGCACCCTTCCATCAGCCAAATGGCGCAACAATCTTGCAACCAAAAAGGTAATAATCCAATGGCACCTCTGTATCATACAATGAAATGGTTTCATCGCGGAACTTCAAAACTACATCAGTAATTCCGACACGTATTTGAAACATGGCATATAACGATGCCATGGTGTCAATTGGCTCTCTATATCTGGATACAATGGGAGATAATCAAAATCGAGTCTTTCAAGTTCAAAACGAATTCAATATGTTCAGTGGGTGGTACCACTCCTTTCTCCGTTGGACATGGCTATAATGAATTGAATTGAGGTGGAGCAGTAACTATTGGTAAAGTGGGCAAGCTAGAGTAAATATCTAGGAAGCTCAGGAAAACTAGTGGAAGCAAAAGGAGTTTTAGTAAAGATATATGTAAATGTGAATTATTCTACGATAATGAGGGTTCTTCTATTTGCGATGTACTAAATACAAAAACAAGCCTCTTGTGGCATTCCTTCCTTGCATTGATGTTTAAGAATGTCTCAAAACATAAATAACACGACACTACATTCGTTTACGAAGTTACATGACTTTCGCTGCAAAAAGCAAAAAACTTCAGCTAACTATATAAATTTATCAATGGTGATATTCACACCACTCTTTTTATCATACTCTTTTGAGCTATAATCACCTTCCTACTTCTTAATTTCATTACTTGTTTGCGTATCTTTGTCTTTATCAGAGTTCATTTACAGTTTAGCATTGACCACTCTATTCCATAACTAGCTTTTATTGAATATCATTCAAGACACTAATGGTCTTAGTGGCCAAGATATAGTACTGTAACGTAATCCAATTAATTCACATGGCAACTTAACCTTTAGCTTAGCTTGTAGTCTTTCACTATTGCCATACCTGCGTATATTGACATTGGCTTGACTTACAGCGTTTAGTTTGCAAATCTGCGGCTTCATTCTCTCTTCAAATTTTAATTCTACGCAACAAATCTACACAACCCAATAATCCCTTTCTCTCCACCAAAACAATGAAGACGAGTTTACTCACTATACCAAGTAAAAAGACCGAAGAGGTTTCATGGGTGAAACCACTCAACAATTACCTTCTCTCGATATATGGCAACACTTCCACTTATCAAACTGATATAAATTCATTTGAGAAATTGCGCCAGGATATCAGGGGCGTTCACGCCGACAACACTGGGTTGAGATTATATTTTAAATACTACAGCCAGTTGGAAGTATTGGATGTAAAGATTCAATTTACGACAATGAACCGATCTAAGAAGTTGGATTTTGTTTGGCATGATGCGTTTTCCCCTGATATTACTCATAGGCAAAATGCCTTGCCATTTGAAAAAGCCAATGTGCTATTCAACATTGGTGCATTGTTGACAAAATTTGCCATTACAAAGTACAATGAACTGCAAAGCAGCAATGGCGTTGCCACTGTAAAAGATTCCATTGTCATGTTACAACAAGCAGCTGGGGTTTATGAGTACTTGAATGAAAACTTCTTACATGCGCCTAGTGACGACTTGAGTCAGTCAACCATTAGATTTCTCAGCAAGTTGAGTTTGGCACAAGCACAGGAAGTTTTCACCTTGAATGCAATTACCAATGATTTGGACCAGCTGAAGAATTCATTGATTGCTAAATTGTGTAAATCAACCAGCTTGCAATACGAGGAGTGTTATAATATGATCAGCCAGGAGGAGAAAGAGAGCTTCAAGATTGTTGACGATTATGATGATCTTGTTAGTGATGATTTGGAAGGTCCTGGAGATGATGAAGAAGATTCGCGTTATGTCACAGTGCAATTGGATCCATCTTGGATCTCGATCATTTATTTCAAAATGCAATATTATAAATCATTGGCATTATACTTTCATGCGTTGCAATTGGAGGCAGGAAGAAAATATGGTGATGCAATTGGGTTCCTAAATCAGTCAAGTGTAGTATTGGAAAATATCAACCCACACGCAATGAAAACAATTTCTAAAGGGCATGGAAATGTGTATGATTTATTAGACAATTACAATTACCAAAAAGATGCAGTGGGAATTAAAACTGACGAATTGGTGAAAGACAATGATTTAATCTATCACGATTTGGTGAAAAAAGATGCCAATTGGAATCTGTTGTCACCATTGCAGGTTTCCAAAGTCGTACCATTGAATGATATCCCTCTTTTGAAGGAGGTTAACGAACAAGGATATCAAAATTTTTTGAGCAACGTTGTACCAATTAACATCCACGAATTATCAAGCTTCTACTCGGAAGAGAAATCGCAATTGTTGAGAAATGAGATTGATTACTATGAGGTTTCAAAAGAGGAAACTGAGTCGTTTTTGGAGTCTTTAAAGTTACCCAAGGCTTTGCATCAACTAAAGCATGCATTAAAGGCATCTGATGAAGATGAAATTCCCCATGATATCATGTCTAAAGTGAGGGAAATATCAAGCACCTACGCAAGAGATCAGGAGTTGGAGGAAGAAAATGTCAAATTGAGGCAAAAGATTTATGAAACTATATCAAAGTTTGACCAATATAGTCACCAAGATGAAGCAATCAATCTCAAACGCGCTCTTTACGAAGCATCCAACTCGGATAAAAAGATTGCTTCTTTGATTGATCGATCTTTTTATAAAGCATTATCAAAGGGGCCTAACGACAAGCAATTCCGTCAATTGTTTGAACCAGTTTCTTCTCATGAAGTGAGCTTAATTGACAAAGAGGACACTCAAGATCAACAAATCAAGACATTGGAGACCTTTTTGTACGACTTGGGCACCATCAAAACAAATAAAGCCAGCTTGATTGAAAAATTGAAAAAAGATATTCACTCAGATGACATTTCCAATATCTTGATGTTGAATGCAAAGCAAATGAGCAATAATGAAATCAAAAGTGTCATTTTCCCAGCAGAATTGAAAAAATTCCAACCGTTTGTTGATAAATTGGATAATTTGATTAACCAAGAGAAGTCGATACTTTCTGATGTGAAAACAGAGTGGGGTACGTTATTGAGTGATCCTGTGGTGAAACAATTGCAATCGCAAACTCAAGAAAAGGCACAATTATGGAGTGATAACATTGCCAAAATTGAATCATTTTACAAAAATTGGACCCAGTATCATGCAGGTTTGGCAAAGGGGAATACTTGGTACAGCAAACTCTTGACACATTGTGAAAGTATAGCAAATGCTAGTACTTTGAATCAGTCGATGAATTCACTAAAGTTGAATGATTACAACAACGCGCATAGCGCAGGTAGTTCCCACTCCACAGGACAGTGGAGTCAACCTTCGCACTCGCAACCGATGAATCCTCATTACAACCCCCCACCTATGCAACCGCAATTTTCTGGATTTGCACAACCTTTACAGCCTCGGGCGAGCAGTACTCAATATGCTAGCGCACCGCAACTACAACAACATCCTTCATACACCAGGCCGCCACAGTTGCCACCAAAGAATCCGAATGCACAAACCGGCACGTCTACATTCACTTCACAGCTGACCGCCTCAACAGAGGATTACAAAGTGCCACCCTGGCAGCATGCCAACAAGAGTTCTGATTCCAAAACCGGGCTCATCTATGATCAACCATCAACTTACGATCCCAACATGTATGATTTTTTTAGCAAGTAGGTGAAATAAAATGTTTTGAACCCCTTTGGGATTCTTTCGCGCAATTAATTGTCCAAATCGGGCAATAAATAAACAACGAAAAACAGTCGTGTACAAAAGGTCACGTCAAGAAAAAAATTGTCTAAACGCCTGAAAAAAGTGATTTGATTACTATTAATAGAAGAACTCATCATCCAAAGGCTGAGTCAAAGCAAGGCTTACCACAACATCGAAGATCCACCCAACTAACAGGTTTCTACAAACACTCGCTCATAAACACATCCCTCGTTTATACACCTTCACCGTTTCTCCGCCCACATCGTTTTCTCAATGAAGGCTATTTACGTTTTATTTTTAACACTACTAAGTGTAACCTTAGCTGCTGATGTTGTCAGTTGTAACGCAACTCAGCACTGTCCAGAAGATTCGCCATGTTGTTCTCAATTCGGAGAGTGTGGTACTGGTGCTTATTGTTTAGGTGGTTGTGACATAAGATACTCATACAACCTCACAGCTTGTATGCCTATGCCAAGAATGGACGACTATTCAAAGACATTTGATTCCAAAAGTGCGGTAAAAGAGATTGAACTTGCCAATGAGTACTTGGGTAATGCTACTGAGGCAGACTGGGTATACACAGGTTGGATAGATTACTACAATAGCTCATTATTGTTGCAAATGCCTAACCACACCACCGGTACAGTTCTTTCATCAACAAAATACTTGTGGTATGGTAAGGTCTCCGCTAAGATGAAAACTTCTCATGGTGGAGGTGTTGTCACTGCATTCATTTTGTTTTCTGATGTTCAGGATGAAATTGATTACGAGTTCGTTGGGTACAATTTGCAAGCTGCTGAATCAAATTTCTATGCCCAGGGAATCTTAAATTATACCAATTCCAAGAATGCTACAGTTAATGATACTTTTGAGTACTACCATTTGTACGAAATGGATTGGCATGAGGATCACATCACTTGGTCAATTGATAACAAAGCCGTTCGTACATTGAATAGAAATGAAACTTGGAATGAAACCACAAAGAGACATGACTTTCCACAAACTCCTTCAAGAATCCAGTTTTCATTGTGGCCCGGTGGTGACTCCTCCAATGGTGTTGGTACCATTGAATGGGCCGGTGGTGAAATTGATTGGAATGCCGAAGATATCAAAAAATACGGATATTTTTATGCCCATATTAAGGAGATTGATGTTGAAGTTTACGACTTACCAGGAAATGTAAGTCTTTCGAGTAATTCATCCAATTCCGATGATTATCATGCATTTTTGTACGATAGCACTGATGGTGATGAATCAAATATTTATTTAACAAACAAGAAAACTTGGTTGGGTAACGATGATGCTACTGGGTTTGATCCAGATAATGATAGAGACACACAAAATGAAAATGAAACTACCACCATTGTGAAGACCAGTGGCTCATCAACCATTACCAGTGTTCAAACTTCGACAAAAAGAGTTTCAGCCAACGCACCAGCGCAAAACACAGCAGCGGCAAACAAAGCCACTGCAACTCAGGATTCAACCACCACTGATTACGATCCAAGTGCTGGAGTCGGTGGGTTTGTGCAAAACTCAAAAGAGACTTCCTCTGGGGATTCCTCAAGCAGTGGTGGAGCTGCAGGGTTGACCTATGAAGTTGGCAAAGAGAGTATTTTCTTTGCGATTGCGTTGGGATTTGTATCATATTTTGTATAGTAACATAGAGGTATGCAACAACTTTGAAAGTAACTCTATGGACTTGTAGATCCTCCTCACTTGGTAGTGCCAAAAGTATGCGTGTCCAATATTATTTTTCAATTGTTTTGTCGAAATTTTTCTTCGTCGGAAAACAAAATAACTAGAATAGAGTAATCACATCTTGTCATTGCATACCCACCATGAAGATGTTGACTAAATTCGAGTCCAAGTCATCAAGGGCTAAAGGGGTGGCTTTCCATCCTAAAAGACCTTGGTGCTTGGTTTCCTTACATTCATCCACTATTCAGTTATGGGACTACAGAATGGGTACCTTGATTGATCGTTTTGAGGATCATGTGGGTCCAGTGAGAACGGTCAATTTTCATCCGACTCAACCATTGTTTGTTTCTGGAGGTGACGACTATTCCATCAAAGTTTGGTCCTTAAATACGAGAAAGTGTATATTCACCTTGAATGGACATTTGGATTATGTTCGTGGAGTTTCATTTCATCATGACTTGCCATGGATTTTGTCCTGTTCTGATGATCAGACTATTAGGATTTGGAATTGGCAAAATAGACAAGAGATTGCTTGTTTAACTGGTCATAATCATTATGTCATGAGTGCTCAATTCCACCCAAGTGAAGATTTAATTGTTTCAGCAAGTTTGGATCAAACTGTGCGTGTGTGGGATATTTCTGGATTGAGAAAAAAGCATTCGGCTCCTACTTCAACAAGATCATTTGAAGATCAACTTCAAAGAAACCAATTGCCTCAACAGGATATCTTTGGAAATATTAATGCCATTGTCAAGTATGTGTTGGAGGGTCATGACAAAGGTGTCAATTATGCCGCTTTTCATCCTACTTTACCATTGATTGTGTCTGCTGGAGATGATAGGTTGGTTAAATTGTGGAGAATGAGTGATACTAAAGCTTGGGAAGTTGATACATGTAGAGGTCACACTGGTAATGTATTGAGTGCTATTTTCCACCCACATCAGGATCTCATTTTGTCGGTTTCTGACGACAAGACAATTAGAGTTTGGGATTTAAATAAGCGTGTTCCCATTAAACAATTTAGAAGAGAACACGATCGTTTTTGGTTAATTGCTAGTCACCCTAGCATTAATCTTTTTGCCGCTTGCCATGATTCGGGAGTAATGGTTTTCAAATTGGAAAGAGAAAGACCTGCTCATGCTCTTTTCCAAAACAGATTGTTTTACATCAATGCTGAAAAGCAAGTGCAAGCATTTGATTTCCAAAAGCAAGAAAGCTCATTGCCAATGTTGTCCTTGAAAAAAATTGGTAAAACATGGTCGTTTATGAGAAGTTTGGCTTATAATCACACCGACAATTCCATATTGGTTGTTCATGGAGAAGGAGATAATTCAAACTATGCCTTAATTACGTTGCCCAAACACGCTACTGGTGCCATTGAACCTACCGATATCAGACAAGGAGAAGGTAACTTTGCCACGTTCATTTCACGTAATAGGTTTGTAGTGTTTATCAAAGGGTCAAAGACATTACATGTCAAAGATTTGAGCAATAATGTCACCAAAACAATTCAATTGGACCTGTCAGTTAATGACGTATTGCCAGGTGGTCCAGGACGTGTGTTGTTGGTTAAAGCACACTCAGTGATCAACTATGATGTTCAACAAAAGAAGGAATTATCCGAGCTCAGTGTGAACAATGTCAAATATGTGAGCTGGTCCAATGATGGTCAATACTTAGCCCTCTTGTCCAAGCATACAATCACCATTGCTACTAAGGATTTGGAATTGATTACTTCAATGCATGAAACCATTAGAATCAAGAGTGCGTCATGGGACGATTCTGGTGTATTGTTGTACTCAACATTGAACCATATTAAGTACACCTTGTTGAATGGTGATAATGGAATCATCAAGACATTGGAAAACACCGTGTACATTACCAAAGTTACTGGAAACTTGGTTTACTGTTTGAACCGTTCTGGGCAAGTTGATGTAATCAAGATTGATCCAACTGAATACCGATTCAAGCGTGCTTTGGTGAACAGAAACTTTGGCGAAGTTTTAAGAATCATCAAGAACTCCACTTTGGTGGGACAAAACATTATTGGATATTTGCAAAAAAAGGGGTTCCCAGAAGTTGCTTTACATTTTGTTCAAGATCCGGAAACGAGATTTGAGTTGGCTTTGGAATGTAGCAATTTACAAGTTGCTTTAGAGCAGGCCAAGATTTTAAACAGTAACCAGGTCTGGGAGAAATTGGGTGAAGAAGCATTGTTGCAGGGAAATATCGATATTGTTGAATTTGTTTATCAACAATTGCACTTGTTTGATAAATTGGCATTCTTGTACTTGTTCAAAGGGGACACCGAAAGATTAAACAAGATGACCACTATTGCTGAACATAGAGGTGATGCTTCTGCTGTTGTGCAAAACACCTTGTACAGTAATGATGTTAAAAAGAGATGCGACGTGTACATCAAAAGCGGCATGTTGCCATTGGCATACACTTTGGCCAAATCCAACAATTTGAATGACTATGCTGCGCAGATTTTGGAAGATGCTGGAGTTTCTGAGAAGGATGTTGAGTTGCCCGAGTTGGGCGATGCTGTGCCACTCCCACAACCAATTGCTGAGCCAGTTACAAATTGGCCATTGAAGGAGTCGTCATTGTCATACTTTGAAACTGCGTTACTTACTGGTAAAGTTGAGAATTTGTCACTTGAAGATGATGTTGCTAAGGAAGTTACCACAAATGCAAATGACGTTAGCTTACAGTATGATGAAGAAGTTGAAGATGGCGAGGAAGAAGGTGATGCATGGGATATTGATGAAGAGTTGGACATTGGAGATGATGATGATGACGATGGCATTATTGGAGAGGATTCAACTGCAACTGTTGCAACCGCGGCCACCCTGGAGAATGAAATTGGCGATTGGCTACGTAATGCCAAAACTCCTGCAACTTATGTTGCCGCTGGTGCTTTAGGACAAGCAGCATTATTGTTGAACAAACAAGTTGGTGTATCCAATTTTGAGCCATTGCGTCAACGATTTTTGCAAGTGTATGGTGCTTCGAAATTGTACTTACCGGGCGTGACTGATTTACCAGCAATGAAGACTTATATAAGAGAAGATACCGATGAAGAGGATCCCAAAAAGTTTAGACCAATTGTTCCCGGATACGATACCTTGGAAGAACAATTACAATTGGCATTCAAGAAATTCAAAGCCAATAATCTTGAAGATGCAATTAAGACTTTCAGATCGGTCATTTACACAATCACAGTGTTGAATGTAGATGATGAAGCAGCCGAGACCAAGTGTCAAGAAGTGTTGGTGTTGTGTCGCGAGTATATTCTTGGTTTATCAATTGAACTAGCACGTCGTGCCTTACCACCAACCGATGTGAAGCGTAATTTGGAATTGGCATCTTATTTCACCAAGGTTCAATTACAACCAGCCCATAAGTTAAATGCATTGAATGTGGCCATGACCCAATCATTCAAGAATAAGAATTTCGCTAGTGCATCTTATTTTGCTGAAGAGTTTTTGAAGATATCCAGTACCGGGCCCAGAGCTGAACAAGCCATGAAATTGAAGGCTAAAGCTGATGCTGTTGCTAGTGATTCAGTTGAGATTGATTTTGATCCATTTGCTGAGTTTACCATTTGTTGTGGTAGTTTTACACCTATTTACAATGGTGAGCCTAGTGTGACTGAAGCATTAGTAGGTGCTACTTACAAATCACAGTTTAAAGGTTCGGTTTGTAAGATTACTGAAGTTACAACTGTTGGAGTGCCAGCTTCTGGATTACGTATAAGAACATAGGGGATAAAATAGTCAAAAAAAAAGTTGTGTAGGGCTTGGAGAGTAGTGGCAATACCGAGTTTCAATGTACTTAGTGCTGTAGATATAGATTACTTTAGAAGCGTCATTGCTCGTCTAAGAAGCCACGCCAAATTGGTGGCTTCATTAATAATGGGCCAAGATTAGCTCGGCCGAATGCAAACGGTCACCTTTTCATCTAAATTTTGCTACCAATAAAAATAAAAAATAACAATCGTCACGTTAATATGTCCCATTGGAGTGGTGTATATGCAAGGACTAAATCTCTTTATGGTGTGACTGGCGGACAGACACGTAGGAAAGACTGAAGAGGAGATGTCTAACGAAAAGAGTTGAGTATTATAATTATGGTTTGATATCTGGACACAAAGAGTTTGGATCTAAGAAAAAGGTACATCTTGTACCAAATAAAAATAATATTTCATTGATGACATGAAGTTTGTAAATAATACGCCATTTCCAAAAGTCAGCTGTTGCAACCCAAAGGAGAATACTTTGTAAATTGGGCGGGAGACAAGGTGTAGGTATTTGTCATTGGTTTAGTATGATTAGGTTACGAAGAGAGGTAAAAAGGGAAGTGGGGGTTGATTGCGTAAGTGTAACTTGAAACGCTGAAATATAAAACGTTTTGTTGGGTGGGTATAAAAACATGCACGTGATTCTTTTCCTCATACAAGTGGCTTAATGGATTCCATTTACCGCTCTCATAATTGGTTACCACAAACACTTACTCCAGTGATCTTCACATACGAGTTAGTGTTTTGATTAGCTACCTCGTACTTTTGGGTTCAAGAGGTGGTACTTCGCTTAAACATGAAAGCATTGCGTAGATATTTTAAAGCATGAAAAACAAAAATGCAACACTAATTAACACCTTGAGCTAAGTGAAATTTGTTTTTATTTTTTTTTTTTTTTTTTTAGTCCAATCTGCATCAACATACAAAAAAAAAAAAAAAAAAAAATCACATAATCAACAACAGAGGCATGAAAACAATAACAATATACACAAAGAACGGAAGGGTTTTTACTTAACATATATTTCTACAAAAGCGCCTCCCCTTTCACTTTGTAGAATACGTAGTTCTTTTTCTCTATTTTTTTTTTTTTTGGTATTTTTTCATCAGACTTCACTTATCTTTCTGTTCTTCCAAAGGTTTACGACTCTTTTGGGCTAGAAAAGAAAGATCTATAGAATACCGCAATCGAGTTGGTAAGATCTTTGATCTACTACTCATCGACAGAACCCAAAAACCTCATATCTAGAGCAATCGCTGATTATATTCACTCGCCACACAAGCACATACATAATCTCACATATCGCCAATGAAGGGATTGACGCTATTTGGAACAAGGCTGCCATATCTTAAATACGTGGCGGTTGTATTGACGGTATTGGTGATATATACCCTTACTCATGGTGCTACACTGTATACCAATATCAACCAAAATGTACAACAACAACAGAAGCAGCAACTGACGCTGCAACAAGAAGTTGCTAGAGACCAGGCGGCGGGTGCTGAAAAGGTTCAAGTTCCCGAAGAACTAAAACATGAAGCAGCAGCAAAACCAAAAGCTAGTTTAGAAGATATCAAAAAATTTCAAGAAGAATTGATGCAAGGTAAAAAAGGTGAATCAGCAGTGGGGGATTTGCTTAGTGATGAAGAAAGAAAAGCTGCCGTTGCTGAAGTTAAAGAATGGGCTCAAGCTCAAAAAGAGGCAAAACAAGAAAACCTTGATCAAAAATCCGCCCTAAAGCCCCAGGAAAAGCAAGAGGGTAGTCAAAAGCAGTCACAAGCTACTCCCAATGAGAAGGTGAGTGCCACGTTTGTGACGCTAGCCAGAAACCAAGAGCTTTACGACTTGATCAAATCGATTCGAGTAGTTGAAGATCGATTCAATCGCAAGTACAACTACGATTGGGTTTTCCTCAATGATGAAGAATTTACGCAAGAGTTTAAAGATTTAACCACAGCAATCGTTTCCGGTAAAACCAAATATGGGAAAATCCCCAAAGAGCATTGGTCGTACCCTGACTGGATCGATTTAGAAAGAGCAGCAGCATCACGTAAAAAAATGAAGGAGGATAAAATTATTTATGGGGATTCCGAATCTTATAGACACATGTGTCGATTTGAACTGGGGTTTTTTTGGAGAAACCCATTGTTGGATGAATATGAATGGTATTGGCGTGTTGAGCCTGGTATTGAGATCAATTGTGATTTAAACTATGACTTGTTTAAATATATGCAAGATAATGATAAAGTGTATGGATTCACCATTTCAATCCATGAGTTTGAGAAAACGATACCTACATTGTGGCAGCATACAAAAGATTTTATTGAAAAAAACAAGCAATATGTGGCTGAGGATAATTTTCTTGATTTTATTAGTGATGATGGTGGGAAAACTTACAACTTGTGTCATTTCTGGTCCAATTTTGAAATTGCCAATTTGAAATTCTGGAGAAGTGAGGCCTATAGGAAATATTTTGAATATTTGGACGCTACGGGTGGGTTTTTCTACGAAAGGTGGGGTGATGCACCGGTACATTCAATTGCGGCAGCATTGTTTTTACCTAAATCCAAGATCCATTATTTTGAAGATGTTGGATATAGACATCATGTGTATGGACAATGTCCGTTGAATGCTCAATTCAGATATGAACACAAGTGTTCGTGTGATCCTAATGGTGATTTTACATTTAGAGGTTATTCTTGTGGTAAGAAATATTTTGACACGATGGGGTTGACAAAACCTGTTGAATGGCAACAGTATCAATAAAGAGGGGTTTTAGGGGGAAGAAGGAAAGAAAGGAAAAGTAGGGTACAGTGGTGTGTATAGTCTAGACGGTTTAATCAAGGAATCAAAATATAGATTCAACTTTGAAGCGAAGGGTTTCAACACGAAATCGGGAAAAAAAAAGAAAAAAAAAAAAGAAAAAAGGGTGGGGTGAGGGGACCTCTAGTCCTCTAGTGACGTCTTTTTGGTGACCAGGTAATGGCTCTCCCAATGCCTTTACCCTCGAAAGTTAATATCAATAAACTTCTTTAGAGTCGTTTATTTAAAATCTGACTAAAAATGAAAATTGTGATATGATTTTTTTTTTTTCTATTCTCAGAGACAGGAGATGGATGGATGGTATCAAGGAACTTTAGAAAAAAAAAAAACCAAAAAAAAAAAAAAAAAAAAAAAAAGGGTAAGCTTCCTTCAAGGAAAAGGGTTTAGTTTAGTTTAGTCTTTTTCCTTTTTTTTCTTTCAGCTCTACCTCGATATCTTTTAGTCAATATCTTTGCGTAGAGTAAGATAGTACGATCTTTTGATAAATCGGCTAATCAAAAGGTTTGCTTAGGATTAGATATAATGGGGTCATGTTTAACTAGAAAGCTTATCTTCAATCAATGTCTAAGTTAGCTAACTTATAGCTTCCCCCGTTTAATGTACCCACCTTTCTCTTTCTTTTCTTTAATGTCGGTTATCCAAGTTGGGAACTTCGTGAAATGTATACAATACATCATTACTTACTTGCCGTCTTTTAGAGTGCACTGGTATATTATTTGTGCATTTATACACTACTTTTTCGTGTAGACTTTTTGTGTAATTACAGTTTTCCAATATGAACACGTCACAAACAAGAAATTACGAAAACAAAAAAAGAGAAAAACACGCGACGTGACTCGACACCTTGCGACACTGCACTTACACGACACAACCACCCCTTCCTATACTGCTCTATATACGATGATTGTAACGGTTTACAAAGTAATCATTTGTATAGCATAACTGTGCTATACTGCAATCCGAAACTCAAAGCGTATCAAACCCCTTTTTTAGCTGTACTCTTTCTTTTTACTTTTCTCTTCTGTTCGCAAATATCGCTCTATATATATATATATATATATATATATATATATCGCTATATATAACTTTACTTGTGTAGCAAGGCTTAAATAAGAGTATACGTAACCAAACTTTAACTCCCTCCTTTCCCCTCTCCTCCACTCCACTCCCCAAGAACAAGAACAAGAACAAGAACAAAAACAAAAAGAAGGACACGTACTTGTTGGAAAGATGTACTGAAGACCACAATACTATTTGCATTATGTATTGTGCACCCAACCCAAAAGAATAGGAAAAAAAAAAAAAAAAGAGACCCTTTTTCTGCCTCTATGTCTCTTGCGTAGGGTAGGTAGAAGAGTTGTGTACTACATGTTTATAGTTAAGATGCACAATCTAAAAATGGGTTTGGGTGGACTCAGTGGAGCAAACGCACAGGGCAATGAAGAAAGAGAGAGAGAGAAATAAAAAAATAAAAAATAAAAAAATAAAAAAAAAAAGAAGCAGAAGGGAGGAAGGGAGGAAGGGAGAAAACGAAAGCATTCGACTGGGGGGCTGAGTGAAATGAAATGAAGTGAAGTGAAGTTCATATGAAGCGAGTAGGAAAGATAGATAGCTTAAACGTATATCTTATATACTCCTCATCCCTGTGATTCCCAAGTAAGTAGAAACAGTCCACCCATATTGACTTTTGTAGGGTATTCTGCGTATTCTGCGTATTTTGGTAAAAATGTGTAGCATCAACTAAATTACTCAATACACATTGATTTCCCAAACACAAAAACGCACCACCAACGAACAAAGCAAAAACGAAGAAGAAGAAGAAGAAGAAAAAAAATTGGGTAACAAACTCAAAATCTCAAAAACCCAAGAAAGACAAGAAAGACAAGGAGACACAGAAGGATTTACACACATACGAAGTATACTTAAAGCATCCCACTTTTCAAACTAAACGAAAATAAAAATAAAAAAAAACCTCATCTTCCCAGTTCCTTTTTCTTTCCTACTCAGTTTGAAGAACAACAGGCGTGGCTCAATCGATCTTTTCGTCATGTCTTCAACTAGATCCAACGCCCGTTTAATCCGATTTGGGATCTTTGCTTTGGTGTTGATTGGATGTGGGTTTATACTCACCAAAGGTACATCATTCCAACCATCATTGCCAGTAAAACTACAACAATCACTGTCACAACAGTTTAACAAACAAGTGCCTTCCTCGCAGCAGAAAGGCGGTGCTTCTGGTTCTACACAGAATATTGAGCTTCCCTATACTCCTAAAGAAATGGGCCCATTAGCTAAAGCCCATATTGGAGGTGACGGCTCACCAGAATACATTCCTCAAAACAACATCAATCCAGCTACTTACTCCCCTGAAATGGACAAGGTTAAAGCTACATTTGTCTCATTGGCACGTAACCGAGACTTGTACTCGTTATTGGATTCTATCAGACAAGTGGAGGACCGATTCAACAAAAAGTATCACTACGATTGGGTTTTCCTTAATGAAGTTGAGTTTAGTGATGAATTCAAAACCACAGTTTCTGAAGCGGTTAGTGGTGTTGCCAAGTTTGGATTAATCCCCAAAGAACATTGGTCATACCCCGATTGGATTGATCAAGAAAAAGCAGCATTGGTTAGAGAACAAATGAGGGAGAAAAAAATCATTTATGGTCATTCTGAATCTTATAGACACATGTGTCGTTTTGAGTCGGGTTTCTTTTGGAGACAGGATGTGTTGAAAGATTATGAATATTATTGGAGAGTTGAACCAGATATCAAAATCTTTTGTGATATCGATTATGATGTTTTCAAATGGATGAAGGATAATGACAAGAGCTATAGCTTTACCGTTTCTTTACCAGAGTATAAGGAAACCATCCCCACACTATGGGAAACCACCAAGCAATTTATTGAAAAACACCCCAATTACTTGGCCCAAAACAATTTAATGGATTGGTTGAGTGATGACAAGGGCAATACTTACAATGGATGTCACTTTTGGTCTAATTTTGAAATTGCTCGTTTAGACTTCTGGAGAAGTGAAGCATACAAGCAATATTTTGAACATTTGGATAAAGCCGGTGGGTTTTTTTATGAACGATGGGGTGATGCACCAGTACACTCAATTGCCGCAGCATTGTTTTTACCTAGAGAAAAGATTCATTTCTTTGAAGATTTGGGATATTTTCATGTTCCATTCAATAATTGTCCTGTTGATCAAAGAGTTAGAGCTGAACGTAATTGTATCTGTGATCCAAATAAAGATTTCACTTGGAGAGGTTATTCTTGTGTGGGCAAGTATTATAATGTCAATAATTTCAAAAGACAAAAGAATTGGGAACAGTTTACTGCCTAGATGAAGGGGAGAGAGAGGGGAAGTGACTTGAGATGTGGCCGTGGCTTACTTTTGGTTCAAGTCGCACCCACCGAGGTGACAAACATTGAAGTGCTTTGACTAAAATGCAAAAGACGTTGGGGCGGGCTCTATTCCCGAAAGGACTCGGGTATGTCCTTGAATGTACATTACACTAGTTTTGAATAAACCAAGTATCTAACACCTAGTAATTATTTCTCTCAATACGATATTTGGATACGTAGACAATTCACAAGTGTCGTTGTTTTCATTTGCACGTGATACAATTCGGCTTCTGCACGTGTCTGCCTTTTGGCTTTTAAAAGTTTTGTTTTTGCTTAACGAGATAATAAACAACTTGTTGTTTCAAAAATGTTAACAAGCATAATTTTTTTCCCTCAAAAAGTGCTCGTGGTAAAAAGAGTTGATGATGGGTAAGTTCAGAGTGTGGCCCATCGTTTCTCGCAATAATAAAAGTCCAATTGTCATTTCTTGAACTGTTTTACATTCCGTTCCAATTTTTTGGGCGTCAATTTTGATATTTTGATTTGCAAAAACTAGGAGGTTCCTCAATGATGAGGTACAAACTTAGATTTGAGCCACAAGATTAAGCTTTTTCTATCCTCAAGATTGTACTTGCTATTATCTTACAATTGTGGTTATACAATTACACTCTATTCTCGAATAAAGTACATGTACAAATGCGTGATGGGTATGTTGTGTTGTTGTTGTTGTGAGAGTGGAGTTAAGATTTTCATTTGAAACAAGTTGCAAATGACACAAAATTGTCCTAAATGGGAAACATAAAACAAGTATCCCTTACTCTATTCAAAAAAATATATCATCAGACATCAGTCTATCTACTTTCTTCTTCTTCTGTAGATTCTATTTTGCAAAGTTTCCTTTCGAAAGGCAAGTACTATGACTACACGCCACTACTTCTTGATTTGCGTACCTTCTTCACAAACAAACGTATAATCTACTATATTTACATCAAAAGGTTCAAATCCTACCCATAGTTCCCTTTTTCAATTGCAAACCACAACAGTTTAAAGTTTTATACTTTTTGGCTCCTACATTTCCATCCATACTACATCCTTGCAAACACCCATAAAGAGACTACAAGAAAGTCATTTTTTGGAATTGTTATTATTTTCAGAAGTTTCATCATCATCCATCACTCACTGTTTTAGCATCTCCCTTTGGGTTATCTCAAGAAACATACTTCTTACACTAGTGATACTGCTGCCATTACTACTACTACTCATCACTCACCATCTATTAATAGTATCATAACACGTTTCCACAGTTGTTGTTGTGTGACTGTGTCATAAAGGAACTTGACAGTGTTTTGAAAGTCGCGTCTTCGAACCGCAGAAAAATTTATTGCACCATTATTTAATACAAGAGAATGTTTAGTCAAGTGGATATCCGTAACAGCACTAGTAACAACAACAACTGTTCTAACAGTACCACTGATACTACTACTACTACTACTACTACTGCTGCTGCTGTTGCCACTTCCACTGCCACTGCTACTGCCACTACCACTGCTTCTGTCCCACCTGCATCTACCAGTCCGACCACATCTACTCCAAACGCATCCTCCTTGGAAACTTCTCGACTGATTTTAATGTCATCAATTATTTCACCACGATCCACCACAACGGAAGAGCAACATCAGCAACCACAACCAACAGATATGTCGAACGAGAAAACAACCTCCAACAAGATATCACCACCTGCACTGACCCTACCCAAACCGCAGACGCTATTGCAACAACAACAACAACATTCTCCAACTAAACCACAAACTTTGGTGCATCCACCTGAGCCAAGGCTTGCATCGTCTCCAAACTATAAACGCAAGACGCCGACTGCTACGTCCCCCTTGAATGTTAGTCCTGCGACTAGTTGTAGATCCACTACTAGTACAACAAGCACAACGAGCACTTGCAACAGTGCTGTCATTTCACAGCCACCAAAACGTCACAAACCCCTGAACTTGAACTTGAACTTGAACTTGAACTTGAACTTGAGTGCGCCTAATAAAAATGCTGCTGACATGGCATTAAGAATTGTAAGTCCTGTACTACCGGCTTTGGACGATGAGATGAAGTCTACTATCAAGTTATCACAAAAGATTCAACAACAACAACGGTACTTGATTGCCAGTAGACAAGGATTAGATTTAGACCAAGACAGGTTTGATGATAGCGGTGATACATATGTTGATGAAGATGCCCCTATGGATAAAAAGACATCAGCCACATTTTCGAAAAGTCATAGTACTTCGCCTACTACTACTGATTCGGGTCAACCAACTGGTGAAAGACATGCAGCTGATCATCAAACGCCGCTTTCACAACTTGAGAATAAAGAAAATGCAACTACTCCAACATCGGCAACCACAACCACGAAATCACCAGTGTATGCACTAGATGATTCAGATATAACCAGACTTTCTAGTTTGAAGAACAGGAGAATGAAGCGGAGAAATGTTCCGGCTCCACTAAACATTGGAGCTTCATCAAATACAAACACCAACAATCTTAACAACCTGTCGAAACCCAAACTGCATGTTGCTCCATTATCTATTCGTTCTGCTCCAATTAGATCAGCACCACTACGTCCTACTCTCAACTTGAGGCCTAGAGGGGGCGGAGGGACAGCGGGAGCTGGGGCAGCAGGATTTGTGGTTGGAAACCCCGGTAAACCAGTTGACATACATCATTTACCACCTATAGCATCTTCTGCGTACCGTACTCCAATGTATCCTTCGTCGTTGCAAAGTCAACAACAACAACAGCAACAACAACAGCAACAACAACAGCAACAACAGCAACAACAGCAACAACAGCAACAGCAACAGCAACAGCAACAGCCGTACTATTACTTGGCTCCACCTAGAACAGCGCGATGGAGTAGTAACAATGCGCCACCACCAATGTCATATGCATTAAGACAAGGACGTCCACTCTCACAACAACATCACCAACAACAGGTAATACCCCAAAGCTCTCTCCCACGAGGCGTACGATTAGTGCCAGCACCTAGTGCAGTAGTGGCACAACAAATCCCCATGCGATACTTGCCAATTGTCCCACCGTCATCAACAATGCTCAATTTCCAACAAAGACAATATCAGCAACAACAACAACAACAACAACAAATGCAAACACAATCACAAAGGGATAGAAACTCCACTGTTGGTGCTGGAAGTAGTGGTGGTTATGGAAACCCACGACATGGTGCTACTGTAACTGATGTGTTTAGTGACAATTTTCAAAAAGTTGCACCATTTCAATCACAACCATTATCTTCGCAAGTTGAGTTTTTCAAACGTGTTGATGCCAATGTACCGATAATTCAGGGAGATGTACAGTCAAGTGATAAAATTGTCGAGAATGACGGAGGTGCTGCTGTTGACGGCGATGATGTAGATTATGTTGATGATGATGACAAAGCACCAGTGTCCCAAGATGAGATTGAAGAGATGCAACAAAAGTATGCTTCTAGTAGAACCGTGGTTCCTCAGTATGTCCCCAGTTACCGTCAACAACAACAACAACAGATACCTCAACAATACTCTTCACAGATGATGATGATGCCAATCATGGCTCCTCCTCCTTCATCTTCCATCCCTAATGGATGTAATTCGTCATCACCACTAAATGGAGCCCTGAGCGGCGGTGAAGTCTTTGGCAGTATTAATTTTATGAATGAAAGTATATTCAATTTCAGGATATTTGAACGCAAGAATAAATCAGGAGACAAGGACCAAAAGAATGAGGAAAATGGAGCTCAAGCTGACTACGATGCTGAGAAACATGCATTGTCTAGCTCTTCTTCTTCTTCTTCTTCGTCTGCGGCATCGGCGTCGAGTATGGATGAACGCAGTGAGAAATTGAAGTCACCTGAAGTTTGTGAGTCCAAACAGGATCTGGATGAAGCTGTGAAGAACGAAATGCCAAAACAACAAGGTATAAAAGGGGGAGACTACAAGGATACTAGCGGTGTTGAAAAAGAGCAAGTGGCTGAAGCAAATGACAATGCCGATGACAATGACAATGACAATGACGAAAATGAAGATGAATCAATGGAGCACGATAGCGATATTCAACCCAAATCAAATGAGATTGATCAAGATTGGTTACATTATGAAAAGGAAAAGTTTATGAAGATTTGTGAAACTTGTTGGGATGAATTTGTAAAGTCAAGAAATTCACAATCATGAAAAACATAAAAATGAAGAGAAAGTATTTCTTTCTTAGTTTTTGACGGAAAAAAAGTTCGTTTTGGTTTTACTTATTGGATTCAGTTTGTATAACTTTGTAATATGACATTAGCAAATGTAAAGTGCATGGTTAACCTCTATACAAGCTCATTGACAAAACCTCTCAAATTTTGATTGTCGTCAATTGTTTTTTGCCATTGAATGTGCGACATTAAAAAGGTCTTTTTTTTATTGTGAGTGGTGACAAATTTGAGAAAAAAGACCTCTGTCTGTAACAGAGCTCAAAGACTTTGAAACACGCCACTGTTTTCTACAACACACATACTCACAAGTACATGTTCAACGGTGCAGTGACGTTTAGACTTCTAAGTAGGTCGTGTATATCACGATCTACTAGAATAATAAGACCAGTGGGTCACGGTGAAACATTGACTCGTTTGATTACACCACGACTGTTTTCAACGATGCCTCGCCGTTCATTGCATCAATCGTGGATCAACTTGAACAAGCAATTACGCGACGACAAGAATGAGGATGATTTAGAGAAAACTAGACGGGAATACGAAGCCAAGTTGAACAAGAACTCTGAAAATAAAGAGGAATCAAAGCCACAGGTGGGAGAGGAATCCAATGAAAAGAATAAAGAGAAGGAAGAAGAGAAACCCAAAGAAAAGAGTAAAGATAAGGAAGAGGAAGAGCAAATACGAGAGGAGTTGAGAAGGAAGTTTATGGAGAAACATCCTGGTGCAGAACCTAAAGATTTCAAGATTTACAAGATTGAATGGAAACAAATTGCCAATGTAATGTTTCTTACAACTGCATCATTATTGCTTTGGCTCTACATTATTTCATCAATGCAAGATCAAAGAGGACAACAAGAATTATCAATGCAAAGCTTTATAACCAATTACTTGGAAAAGGGGCTAGTGACAAAATTAACCGTCGTTAACAAGTATGTTGTTGAAGCTCTGTTAATTCCTGGTGCCGTTAGCAGTGCTACTTTTACCAAACCCGACGGATCGCCAGCTGTACTGTTTACTATTGGATCAATAGAGTATTTTGAAGATGAGATTAATAAAGTTCAAGATAGGTTGGCAATACCTATGGATGAGAGAATACCAATTGTTTATGAAGAAAAAGGATCGTGGATGAGTTATATCTTACCCATTTTACCAACTGTCTTGTTGATTGGTGGGTTGTATTATTTAACAATGAGACGTATGCCAGGGGGTGGCGGTTCTGGTGGTCCAGGCGGTGGTGCCGGTGGTGGTCCAGGTGGTATCTTCAAGATTGGTAAATCAAAAGCCAAGTTATTTAACCAAGAAACCGACGTCAAGATCAAATTTAAAGATGTTGCTGGATGCGACGAATCGAAGGAAGAGATTATGGAATTTGTCAAGTTTTTGCAAGACCCCAAAAAGTATGAGAAATTGGGTGCCAAGATCCCTCGTGGTGCAATTTTGTCGGGGCCTCCTGGTACAGGTAAGACCTTGTTGGCAAAAGCAACTGCTGGTGAAGCAGGTGTACCTTTTCTCAGTGTTTCCGGATCGGAATTTGTTGAGATGTTTGTTGGTGTTGGTGCATCGCGTGTACGTGATTTATTCAAAACGGCAAGGGATATGGCCCCAGCAATCATTTTTGTTGATGAGATTGATGCTATTGGTAAAGAAAGAGGTAATGGTCGTATGGGTGGCAATGATGAGCGTGAAAACACCTTGAATCAATTATTGGTTGAAATGGACGGGTTTGATACTACTGATCATGTTGTTGTTTTGGCCGGTACCAATCGTCCTGACATTTTGGATAAGGCATTATTGAGACCAGGTAGATTTGATAGACATATTTCCATTGATGTTCCTGATGTCGAAGGTAGGAAAGAAATTTTCAAAGTGCATTTGAACAAGTTGAAATTGCAAGCAGTTGAAGATATCGATATTAAACAAAAAGATGTTGATTTTGCCAAATTTCAACAATTGAAAAACAATGCTATTGAGCAATTGGCTGGAAGATTGGCTGCTTTGACCCCTGGTTTTGCCGGTGCTGATATTGCCAATTGTGCCAATGAAGGAGCTTTGATTGCTGCTAGGGAAAATGCTCTGGCTGTTGATGTGCACCATTTTGAACAAGCTATTGAACGAGTTGTTGCTGGATTGGAAAAGAAATCAAGAATTTTGGCACCCGAGGAAAAAAAGACTGTTGCTTATCATGAAGCTGGGCATGCCATTTGTGGATGGTTTTTAGAGTATGCTGACCCATTGGTTAAGGTATCCATCATCCCTCGTGGACAAGGTGCTTTAGGATACGCCCAGTATTTACCAAAAGATCAATACCTCACCTCGGAAGAACAATTTAAACATCGAATGATTATGACTCTTGGTGGAAGAGTTAGCGAAGAGTTACATTTCGATACTGTAACCAGTGGTGCATCTGATGATTTCAAAAAGATTACCCAAATGGCCCAACAAATGATTTTGAACTTGGGAATGTCGGATAAACTTGGTCAAATTTGCTATGATACTGGTGATAATGGCAATGGGTTTAAAGTGCACAATAATTACTCTGAGGAAACTGCTCGAGTAATCGATCAAGAAGTGAAACGATTAATTGATGAAGCATACGTGGCTTGTCATAAGTTGTTGAAGGAGAAGATTGATTTGGTTGATCAAGTGGCTGAAGAGTTGTTCAAGAAGGAAGTGTTGACGAGGGAGGATATGATTAGAATCTGTGGCAAGAGACCATTTTTGGAAAGAAATGATGCGTTTGATAAGTATATTCAAGGCCAGGATGCATTCAAAGGTAGACCCAAAACTACTGATGATGCTCCACCTGCTGCACCAGCATAAATGATATCATGTTGTGAACAGTGGAAAGTACATATCATTACATCTTGAGCTTTGATGACGGATGATTTCTTTTTCTTGTATAGTCTTGTATATAAAGTATAAATTACATTTTTACTAAACCATTTTGTCATTGAAAGAGCCCTTTAATTGATTCCTAGCCATCTCCATCATGAGGACGAACTGGCTTTTTTGTAGCAAATCGATCCTTTTGAGCGTGAGAAGTCAAGACTCTGATGTCCTTGAGCAAAAGCTATATAATTGTGTGATTTTTGGGATTAGACGATGGTGGATTGTGATTTTGACTTGCAATTGAGGTTGAATCTCGCGTACTGTTGTTGCTACTTGCATCATCCAGAAATGCAGTCAGTGTTCTCACTTCCACAATCTCAATATCACTATCATCGTCACGATCATCAGCGTCAGCGGCACTTGATCCATTGTGGCCCTTTGCGGCATCAACATCATTCAGTTCACTTCTCCTCTTGTCATCCCGTGTATGTTCAATTTGACAATGACCAGCATCGATTAAATGATTGCGCCATTCTTCATACCCGCCATCAGTCATATATCCACACCCCAAGATGGGACAAAAGATAATCTGCGTTTGGCAATTACATTCCCCACGTTGTTGATGTTTGATCAAGTCTTCAAAATGTAAGAAAAACATTTGACATGGTGAAGTGTCACCCTTATTGACTAATTTGCCACATTTATAAACACTAGTTGCGGAAACGGGGATTTCGAATCGCAAGGGGAACTCATTGAGCAAGGTTCTTTTCTCGGATGGGGTAACTTGTCTCTCTACATCTTCTGCAGTTGCCATCGAGTCGCGTCTAGTGTCCAACTCCACTGGGTATCCCAATTGGTAAAGTATATCTGAATGATGCTTGATTAGGTGTGATGCGTACATCTTTCGATTCATTGTACAGAATGAGCAGCCGGTAACACAACAATTGAAAATCTTGAGTGTCAGTAACGATGCAGGAGAAGGCAGAATATTTCCCATAAAATAGTATGGTTCTTCGACAATGCTAATTTGCTCTTCAAATGATTCACATGATGCTCTATTAGTTAATGGTGGCAACGTCTGCAATTTTAGCAAACTCAATACATTTTTATCGAGGTGCTTGTCATCGTTTTTAGCTGGAGAATTCAATGGCAGCGACTGATCAAGAAATGGCGAAGGTTCAATTTCGTCTCGTTCTCGCTGATCTTGATTGTGAACCTTATTTGGTTTGGGCAGGGAATGCTCCAAAAACAAATGACTAAGGTTGTGAATGGAGTTGTCGTTGTCACTGGAGTCGTTTCTACTTTGCTGGAAACGCTTCGATTTCACTTTCGATGGCTGTGGTTTGTGTTTCATTGGAATCAAGCCAAACTCAATTCCCGATCTCTTCTTCATTGGCAGGCTCGCTCTTTTGTTTTCTGACGGTAAGTCTGGCTCTGGCGTGGATCGTGAAAGCGGACCCTCATCCAAGCCCAATCTAGGCGCATTCAATATAGATGAACTAAATTGGCTAAAATAATTTCCCTTCCGCAGCAGCAGCAGCAGCAGCAGCACCGCCTCCTGTCTCTCTTCATTATCAGAGCTTTCCTCTTCGTTGTCTCCCTCGGAACCGTCACTAGACTCTTCATACAGCTCATCTTCCTCAACTGTATTGTCAGCTTCGCTTCCATTATCGACTGAATAGTCACTAGACATATTGGTTTCAGTCTCGCTATACTCGGAATTGGAGATCTCAGAATCTTGTTGAATGAATATTTTGCGCTTCTTGGTGGGTGATTCGTCAGTATCAACTCCAATGGGGACTTGTCCTTTAGTGGGAGATACATGACGCAAGGAATCTGCGCTCGTTAAAACTGAGTTGCTACTCGATTTCAGTGGTGATGGGATCCTCATGCGTCTCATGTTTCTTTCTCGTTCTTTTTTAATAGCAGCTTTTTCGTCAAGTTGTTTCCGTAGTCTATTTCGAACAGTTGCATTATCATGTCTTGTATCCTCGTGTTGTTTCCACAATTTGAAAGTGGTTAGCCGTCGTCTTCTTTTGCCATCATCATCGCCACTCCGAAGTCGATGCAAATGGCCATTGTTGGTGATAATGTCTCCAGTCACCAAATCAATCTCATCACTTTCACGTTCATCATTTATATTCAGGTACTTTGATATTATCCCCGTCCATTTGTTTTCAAATCGGCGTAAACTTTCCTTCTCTAATCGCTTCAATTTGGCATGAAAAAGCCCCTTATCTGATGATTCTTCAATGAGTTGTTCGATATTTCGTGTTGCTTCTTCTGGGTATTTTTCATCCTGATCGAGCTCTTCATCGGTTGATATTTCAATCAGAACCTCTTCTTCTTTTGGAGTGTAGTACTGGTTAGGCCGTAGCGATGGTGGGTATAATGTAAGCTGGAACGGTACAGGTGGCCGAGGTTGATTCGTTGCCTGTAGACTGTCTGATTGCTTTGATGGTGACATAGGGTTACGCCAGTCGGTGTTAAGAGTAAAATATCTTGTGGTTTTTGTCATATGGAAAAACGCAATTTTCGGGAATCCAAAACGCGTAAAAGCTCAAAGTACGGCGAGAGATCATTGGCGTCAAAGCACTGGGAACTAAACTTGACTCGCCTATGAAATGGAACCACGTGAGTAATGCATTACTCTTATATCAACTATGTGAAACGATTGGTCTATATTCAAGCTATATACAAAGATTGCGTAATTTTTCCTATCCCCTAATCTCACTTCACTTCTGGATTATCGACAGTTGATGTTCTCTGATTGTTCTTGTTCTTTTCCCAACAGGCTCTGAATGCTTGCATTTCTTTCAAACATTTTCTCCAATCACCAGTATCGGCATGACATAGTTGTAAGTTCAAATTTTCTTGGTGGCAGCCTGTATCCATAATTCTTTTGTCCCACTCGTCAGGCTCATCATCATCAACATCATCGGCCACATTGTTGGACATGGAGTTGTTTATTAGTGTATTGCTAGGTTTCATTTGTGATGCTTGTTGGGTGATGCAGAAGGATTAAGGTGGATTGAATTGGATTTTTAATTGAGCAAATTCTATTCTATAACCCAATTATCGCTACCAAGGTGCCAAATATCACCGCCGCCACCGCCACCACTACCACCACCACCACCAGGACCTTTCCATACATAAGTCGTCTATTGTATCATATCTAATGATAGTCTAAATATTATCTACAAATTAGCCTTCTTGCACTTTAAAATCCAAATCCACCTTTGGAATAAGCCATTGGTTTGATATCAGGATGCGGACTAGCTTTAAATGTCTCTTTAGTCAAAGTCCAAGGACAATTATCATCATCCAATTTTCTATACCCTTCGCCATCATCCTTTTCTGGATCATATGCCTCGTTCTCAGTAAAGTGAACCACACCTCCTAAGTTACCAGTAGAATCACAATAATCGGGTGCACTAAACACGGTGATTAATCTCCCCTTTTGTTCTTCTTCAACACCACTCATTCTTACTTCATGTGATCGCAACACTTTTCGTATCTTGTTTGAAAGGCAGAATCGTTCAGTTATATCAGGTCCAAACTGCATTCCAATACCACGTTTTGAGGGTGATCGTCCATTTTCTTCTTGTGGGTCAGTCCATAAGAGCTCCATGGCCACTCCTTCTTTTGGTGGTTGTGTCGATCCATTCTTGGGGAATCGGTTCAAAGATTTGATGTCTTGTAATGTCACTTTATCGTCAGAGAATAATCCTCCATGCATACACAAGTACTCTCGATTGATTAAAGTGGCCAAAGGCAATGCTCCGAACGATTCAGTAAATGCATCGAAAATTTTCTTGGAATACTTGGCCTCACATTCATCAGTAAATCCATATGTTTTGTTCATGTCACTTGTTTCATGATTACCACGATTGATAAAAATTGATTTTGGATAAAGAATCTTCAATACGTACAAATATAATGCCACTTCACAAGACCATGAACCACGATCAACAAAATCACCATTGAATAAGTAGATATGATCTTTTGAAACATAGCCGAATTTTTGAAACAAATTTAACACATCGTAAAATTGTCCATGCGTGTCACCCACAACGGTCAATTTCAGGCCACCATGGATCTCATCCTTGTTATCGGGAGCTTTCAATTTGGAATGATTGATGGAAATTTCAGTCATTGTTTGCTCCTTTTCCAATATCTCATGAACCTTGGAAATAATGGCAAACACATGCTTTTTAGGTAACTTGCCTCCTTTTTTGAACAATTGAATCATATATTTGAGATAATTCTCATCCAATCCTTCAATATTCACCACAACCTTTTCCTTTTGATTCTTATCTCTGGTTTTGGTTGTGGATATTTGCAATTCAGGTCCCTCCCACGATTTTTCCACTTGAATTCCTTCATAATCAATGGTGTTCAATATGGAAATATGATCTGCACCAGCAATGGCCTTTTCAAAAGCTTGTCTTTTCAAGTAGTTGGTACACTGTTTGTAATTTTCCAAAGTCAAGGCGTCGTTTGGCAACTTTTTCAATATAATTTGAAAATTTTGTTGAGCCTTCTTGTGTTGTAATATTGCCATTTGAGCAACACCTTTCCTGTAATAAGCTTTGAGAAAGTTTGGGTTCACAGCAAGAGCAGAATCACAATCTTGAATGGCCAAACCGTAATTTTCCATCTTGATATGTACTTGAGCTCTATTGGAGTAAAACACAGCATTGGTTGGATCAAGCTCAATGGCTTTGGTGTACAGGTTGACAGCTTCATCAAACTTGTGTTCTTTCAAGTATTGATTCCCTTCATCTTTGACCTTAATGGCCTCTTCTTTGCTTTGGGTCATTTATCACTGTGTGAATAGAGAGTTGTTGCGTTATTTTCCTGTCTATGATCTTCCCATCTATGCAATGAAATGGGGAAACTTTTTTGACATTTTTTTTTTTTTTCAAAATCGGTCGTGTGAAGGGAACAAGTTGAGTGTAGGACTTTAAGAGAAAAGCACAGGTAGAAGTTGCATGGATAACGGCCCAATTTCGATTCAAACAAACTGGAGGGCTAGAGTATAGAGATCATATGGAGTATATAGAGACACAAGAGACCATTCTACAGTCCCAAATGGGTTTGTATATAACACACACCCCTTTTTACGTTTATTAGATAAAGAAGAAACATCCTTGAGTGAGTTGGGGCTCATTAAAGCTTATACGTACCATTTGTGAAAACAATGAAATCTCCAATTTGTGATATCGACGTCTCCAAAATGATTAGATAATCTCTCCAAAATTGGCATAAGTTCAAAATGTATAACTGAACAAACAGAATTTGCGTACTCAGAGTTTTCTTATCACATCACGGCCTACAATATTCATCTTTCAGCCAAAGACGAGTACCCTGAATTGTAAATATACGCAAAAGAGTTCCATTATCCTAACACAAAAAGTCTCATAAGATTTGCAACAATAAAAGACAAACTTCTTTTATGAATCTTCATCGGAAAAGATCTAAACCCATAAGAACGTCCACCAGGGTGCCATTCAAAAAGAATGGTATTTTCTGTTTGTTTTGCAATGCAAAATAATAATTCCCACCACCACCCATTCTTCAACGCAAAATAATTTTAAGAAAGGGGCTTCTGAAGTAATCAAGCGCCCTATAAATAGAGTGCATAGTAGTTGTTTTTCCTCCTTCTCCACTTGTTTACTCTCCATTGAGGGACTGATGTAACCAAAACCGGCAGAAAACAAAGTCACGCAATCATTGTCAAAGACTTTTGTGCAACCACAAATGGACCAAAGAGGTACAGCATAGTGATGGGTTATGCAATCTGGCTCCATTCATGATCACTACTAAGCTCCCACATACTCTCAAGAACTGTTTATGGCCATTCCTTTTGTCATGTTGAGAGTCCACCGTGCTCGAAACTGCCCACTCACGCACTCTATGAGTTCTGGAACTTACCATTAATGGCACCGCAATACCTTACTTATGCCCCGACCCATCCAGAAATGCACTGGTCCAAAAGTGGTGCAATAAGTGGTTACAATCTTTGCCTCTTGATATACTTTTGTACTTGACCATGTTTTGGTTGTTGATATAGGATAAAAGGGTAATGATATGATAAATGAAGAGAAGTACAATTTGCAAAGGGGAATAGATGGTGTATGAAAGATGTGAAAGGAAGAATTTTTTAAAAAAAAGGGGGACAAACTGTAGCTTTATATAGCTTTCTGTACAAGTTGGTTGTAAAAGTAGAAAAGTATTTGTTGCAAAAAATCATATCAAAAAAGAAAGAAAAATTACAAAAAGGTAGGTAAAGAGGGGAAAATAAATAACGTATATGGTATGTGGATTTCCTTTGAGATCGTGCAAGTTGAGATCCACCAATGGATATGTATATATAGTCACTGTAGTAAGCAGTAGTGCTCCATATGACGTCAGGTGTTTAGACCCCCTTTTCCAAAAAAGCCAAAAACGTCTCATTTCTTTTTGCTGGTGAGATGGAATTCATGAAGGCTACAATTCCAAAAAACTGTACGGAAAAATGGCTCTATTGTTTACTGAATCTATTGTTGTACCCAGGTATTGACTCCATAAACTCTCCATTTGGTACGTCTCTGATCAAACAAGATATTTTGAACAATCTCCTTTCGTTTGACATAACGAAGAGTATCTTCGGAGATGTTTAATCCGTTTAAATCCAACTTCTCTAACCGTACGCCAGTGCTGAGAAATCGCATCAAATCTACTCCATCAAATTGGTTGAAACTAAGATCCAAAGATTGTAAATTAATCAGTTGGAGCGGTATTGATTGAATTTGTTTCGTTATATTCAACATTGATACAGTATCAATATTCATATCTGGCAATGCTAGATGCTGCAAGTTGGGGCACATTGTGAGGAGTTTGGATAGATCAAGCTGTTTCCTGCCATGAATATGAAATGATAAATAAGTAGGGCATCCTATATTCAAATTCTTGAGCGATTTGCCACATCTACCCAAGAGTTTTTCGAAACCTGTCACTGACACAGAAGTCTTGTATAGATCTAGCAGCTCCAATTGAGACAATTGAGTAATCAAGGGAAAGTAAACTTCTTGTAATGACATTGTTGAACAAACTCCATATTCTCTAAACGTGAAATGAATCAATTTGAAACTTGGTCTATAGTTTAACAAGATTTGTAGAATGATGAGCAAATTCAACCCGGGATTATTCTCAAGGTAAATTTTAGTCAAGTTGTGATGCTGGGCTAAAAATTCACCAAATGTAGGCAAATGATTGCCAAAATTGAATGAGCACATGGTAAGCTCACTCAAGTTGGGGAAATAATAATCAAGCAAAACAGGGAATGGACTGTACGTAATGGCTGATACACTCATTGACTCATTCGTAAGTAGCTTTACATGATTAGCCAAAAACAATGTTTCCAATGTATACGACTCGAGCTTCATTTGCTTAAACTTTTTAAACATTTTATCCTGTAATGGTACCATACTCATTGCGCTCTTGTCAGCTATTAAGATGGAGATTTGCAAATTTTTCAATTGTGGAAACATGTTTAGCAATATTTGAGGATACTTGATACTACAATTTATGCCTAATGACAATGATTGCAAATGATGAAAGTTGTTTAGTCTCCATGAGTTCTTGGCTAGTATGGCACAAATGAGTTGTAAGTTCATTGTTGGGTCCATTACTTCCAACGATCGTAGCGGAAATTGCGGCTCCTTGATCATTACTGCCAACACATGCAGTAGCTTTTTGTTGTAAACTTGATTGATTTTGAGTTTCTTTATTTGTTTGGAGTAGGTATATGCTGCACTCTTTTTGAAGAATTTGACACCAAGGATGAACTCGTCCAACGTGATGACTGGTTTACAATCAAACTGGAACAAATTTAACTGGACAAGCATGTTGTACCATGATTTTGAGACCAACAAACATCTGAAAGTGGCCCTTGGTGGCAACATTTGAAACACTAGTTTTAAGCACTCCAATGGAAGGTACTTTATTGGATCAATATTCTTATCCACTTTTCTTCTCTTTATTAAGCTCTGAGATGTGCTCTGTGATTCACTCCTACCAAAACTAGAGCTTCCCCTGGAGCTTTCATTGTCGGATATTTTCCTCTCAGCTTTCAACTCTTGATTCAATGATCTATACTGACATTTCAATCTCTCATACAACTGTGTATTTGGTGTATGCATGCATTTTTTGATCAAACTATCAATGACATAAAGACCTCGCTGGAAAGCTTTGTAAGCTTCATACTTGGCACCATTCATTACATGCAATTTCCCGATTCTTAAATACCCTTTATAATCAGCAGGATCCAAGTCAATCAGTCTTTTAGAATCTCGCAAAGCCGAGTCAAATCTGCCAAGTTTCTCCAATGTAGCTGCTCTTTGATCGAAGTATGTTGTTAATTTAGGATGTATTAGTTTCCCAACATCTGGCACCTCTTTTAACCCATACTGAAGTCGTATTGCTTTGATGGCATGTGCTGGAAGTTGCCTAACATTGTATATTAGCTTGTCGTAGATGCTTAATGCTTTAGCATAGTCACCTGATTTGAAATATAGTACAGCTAGTTTGCTCTTGTCTCGTATCAATTGTTCATCAACAACCATCTACTTGTTCAGTTGTGTGTTGGAAGCTCTTGGTGGATTGTCTTCCTTGTAGATCAAGAGTAAACATGAAAAAAGTAAAAAAAAAAAAAAAAAACACAACCTCTCACGCGCGTCGTGTGAAATTCCGCTCTGACCGGCTTCCCCAGCCACATAACCATCTCCGACCTGTTTGTGTGACGCTTTTACATGATAGAGCATATCCTACATAGCAGACAGCAAGACAGATCTCGATGTTTGTAACTAAATCGGTTGAGTTACTAGCTGTCACGTTGGTGATGACAGCCACTACATTTGTTTCCAGCATAGCTCCTATAAAATTGTTCACATTGTCGAGTACAAGCTTAACGTACTTAACTGTGTTTAGTATAGGTATGTTAGTTGGAACTGCTTTGCTAATTGTTTTGCCCGAGGGTATAGAGCTATTGAATGAAGTGAAATACAACTTGACCTCCTTTACAGTAGGTTTACCCATTTTGGTCGGATTTGTGCTCATGTTCACTATCGATAAAGTCATATCTCGTAAAGACGAAGTTTCTTACACCACGCCAGAAACTACATCATCATTCCATCAGGCCAAAGTTGCTTCGACCTTGAATTCGGTGTTGCAATCATCAATAACCCTAGGGCTTCTTGTGCATGCCGGAGTGGATGGTATTTCATTGGGCTCTTCTTTTGCCGATGAAGATTCCACATTGCAGTTTGTCATGGTCATTGCTTTAATTGTTCACAAGATCCCCACTGCGTTTAGTCTTGGTACAATATTGAGTAAAGAAGGTTTGGAAGATAAGTTGGTTCTAGTGCATCTCGTTTTATTTGCAGTGATGACACCAGTAATGACTTGGATTACCTTCACAATTCTTGGACTCTTTAACACAAGCATACAGTTACTTACTGGAGAATTGTTATTGTTCTCATCGGGTACATTCTTGTATGTGGTGTTTCATGTTATCAACGAATTTGAGGATAGTTTGTTTGAAGAAAATTCAAGTAGTGCTGGTGGATCAAGCGGTAGTGAAAGCAATACCTTTGTTGATGAGCAAACAAAGAAGAAGAATGTATTTGTAGGAATAGTGGGGCTAGTGATTCCTCTCTTACTTAGTTTAGTTAAAGAGTAGAGTAGATTTGGGCCAAGTATACTGAAAAAGTATGTCTTGTGAATACAAGTGATCTCATTGAGTGGCAATTCTAATGTTCTTATGGTTCCGAGAGACTCTATTCATCAATTTCAATGGTTTTGCTCTTGCCTTTTGCTGGACGAATAGGAAGTGATATACCCGAGGGCCAGTGTGAAAGCCGTGCAACGCTACCTCATGGCACAAAAAAAATCTTGTCGGCATTGAGGAAATTTATCTCCGATTCCGAGGAAGATGAAATCGACCTTGATAAACGGCACAGTATAGACAAGCAAAAGCTAAGTTGCAAATGAAAGTAAAACATAGCAAATAGGGTCTTTCCTTTTCTTTAGCAATTTTTAACATTAAAGCTGTGAATTGAGCTGTTTTTCGACATTTCCATTCAATTTTATGCCAAAAAGTAAAAAAAAAAACACACTTTCATGGGACTTAAGATATAAGACTATTAACAGATTGTTCCAGCATTGTAGTCAGGAACTGGAAGGGTGATTACTGTCATTAGCCCTTAACGATGTTACCATATACTTCTCTTCCCTAAATATAGTAATTGGTAGCAGCAAATACAAAGTTGCACAAAATGTCGATCGTCACCCAATCCTCGCGCCGATCTCCTCCTCCTCCTCAACCATTGGAGATAATCCTTTATAAGCCAGCATCAAACAGCCCACTATTGAAACCACTTAATAGTAAATAAAGGAGGTGAATTTAGGGGCTGCTATTGTTTACTACTGCTACTGGTACCATTTTTTCCCAGATTGCGCCACAACTTGAACAACTCACATACATATTCATACATATACGTATTTGCTATACATCACAACGAAAGACATACCCCTTGAACTGACAAAAAAAGAAACAAAATAAGAAAGCTCGCCACAATATGTCAGCATCACTTGACAATAGTGCATTGTCATCACACAACAAGGAGGAGGAGCAGGAGAATCATGCAAGTCCTGATACGACTTCCACTACAGGATCATCCGTATTTGACACTACTAACAACGCATTAAGGCAAAAGAAGAAGAGATCAGCTACACAGGATTCTACGTCATCGCAGATGAGTTCCATTTCAACCGAATCAGAACTGTCTACTGCATCAACAACCCTGTCTGTTGGAGGAAGAGGTAGTGGTCGCAAACGCAAACAAAAGAAAGGGCCATACTTGAATGTGGCACCAATAAACACTCCATTGAAACATCGACTTGAGACACTTGCAGTTGTTTGGCTTTGCATTAGTATTCCTGCTTTTATAACTATTTTCTTAATTTGCATTTCATTAGGCTGGATTGTTTGGCTTACTGTTATTTTACCATATTTCATTTGGTGGTATGGATTTGATTTGCATACGCCAACAAATGGTAAAGTTGCGTATCGTGTTCGCAATTCAATGAAAAATTTTATCAATTGGGAATGGTTTGTCAACTATTTTCCCATTAGAGCTCACAAGACTGTTGATTTGGAGCCCACATTTACTAAAGTCCTTGTTGAACAGAACGGAGCTAGCACTGAAAATGATGATGAATTGGATTTGGTTTCTGAAGATTCAACCACTGTCTTGGACAACGTGTTTAAATTCATTGGGTTGAAAAAGAGATTGAATCGAAGCGATGATAATGTTCTGATCAAATCTAGCAGTTCCAGCTCTCGCAGATCATCATCGCCACCAACAGCTGTTTATAAACGGGTCCTGACTGGACCTAGATACATTTTTGGCTACCATCCTCACGGTGTTATATCAATGGGTGCAATTGGACTTTTTGGAACAAATGCATTACGAAATGAACCTTATGAGCCTTTGCATAAATGGTTGAAACCATTCTTTCACGATCCATCTAAATTTGAGCCATTGTTTCCTGGAATTGGACAAATTTTCGCTCTTACATTAACGACTCAATTTACAATTCCATTTTATCGTGATTACTTGATGAGTTTGGGGTTATCTAGTGCGTCAGCAAAGAATATCAAGAGTTTGATCAACAATGGTGACAATTCAGTTTGCTTAGTTATTGGAGGAGCCAAGGAGTCATTGTTGAACACAACTGTAGCCAAGAATGCTCGAGTTGGTTATGGCTATAAAGGGGGAGAAGAAGAAGAAGAAGCAGATGAAAATGAAAATAAGGATCGCGCGAAGGAAAAGAGCAATGAAAACATTAACCAAGGGGACTCCAAAGACGTTACTACGCCAAAAGATGCGGCAGAAATGCAAAATGCCCCACCTAAGAAACAAATCAAACTAGTCTTGAACAACCGTAAAGGGTTTGTCAAATTGGCGCTTGAGTTGGGGAACATCAACTTGGTGCCCACATTTGCATTTGGTGAAGCTGACGTGTATGACATTTCAATCCCCGAACCAGGCTCATTGGGTTACAAGTTCCAACAATGGATAAAGAGGACATTTGCATTCACTATACCATTCTTCAGTGCTCGTGGTGTTTTCATTTATGATTTTGGGTTATTGCCTTATCGAAACCCCATTGATATTGTCCTTGGTCGTCCTATTCATGTGCCAGCCGGTGCGTTGCAAGAGTTTCGTGCTCAGCATCCAGAGGAATTCGAAGATGAAGTGAAGGAACAACAACAAGAGGGAGATGCAAAGGGCAAGGAATCAGACTCAGCTTCTTCAGCTATGCTGAGATCGAGCTCATTTACTGATTTCTTGAAATTGTCTACAAAGAAGAGCTCTTCTGTCAAGACAAAAATACCTCAGAAATTATTGGACAAGTATCATAAACTATACGTGGATGAATTGAGACGAGTGTATGAGGAGAACAAAGATCGGTTCGGGTATGGTGATGTCGAGTTGTGTATAATTGATTAGAAAGAAAAAGAAAAGCTACGTACTGTATAACAATTAATTTGTGTATTTACAATGTATCTATAATCTCGTCATCTTTCTCTTCTTCATTGAGTTTCCTCTTTTTAGAATTAACTTCAAACATATTCTGAAGTAATGACCATTTCTCCTCCTGGGTATTGAAATCACCATATCTGATATTCATCAAATCGTACGCAAAAACAATATCTATATTGGCCAATTGATCAACATTAACATTTCGGAAAATATCAAAAACTTTCTTTTCAATTAATTGCAGCTCCAACTCTTTTGCTTCTTCGCTCAAGTCTGATTTCGGCACACAGTTATTACTCATGCCATAACGAGTACTAAAATGAGTCAAAAGTAGCTTAGGACACTGCATCAATTGACACACACCGACAGCTTCAATCATAGCAGTATGCTTTTTGGCAATTGCCTCATCAATCCAAAATGAGTCTAATGAAGCTTCATGGATTAGTAAATCGGATTTATGACCAATGGAGCAGAATTTTGGGTTGGGTCGCGTGTCACCGGAAAAGGAGATTGTGAAATGTTGGTCACGGTTGGAATCAAGAATGAACTTGAATGTTGATGAGTAAGCCCAAGCACAATGTAAAGCGCGTACAGTCGAGATAGACACAAGACCAATGGCTTCGTACATCTGAGCAATAGCATCGTTGTCGACTGGTTGTAACGGGGCCTTATTTATGGAACGATGTCTGTCTCCACAATCATAGGCTTGTTCAAATTCATCAATAGTGAGCTTTTGGTACTCAGGCAACCTTCCTTCTTTTAAAAAATCCTCACAACTAAACATTTGCAACCGGGTCAAATCAACAGCGTGATTATACTGCGTTTCTAAGCTGTACCAGTCGTTAACAAAGGTTATAAACTGCCAAGGAATTATCAAATACAATTTTTTATCGCTTCCACTATTCAATTCAAACCATTTGTTGATTATTGAAATCATACCTAAGTGATGATCAGCATGTAGGTGGGATAAGTGAATCAAAGTCAATTCACTGTATATTTGTTTCAAGTCGGATTCATCTTTATGGCCGAAATTACGCAACATGCTACCAATGGTGTTTTCACCAGCATCTAAGATGATTGATCGATATGTAATTGAGCCGTCTCTGTGTTGATATGGGATTCGGATGAGATTGGAGAGAACATTGCGCGATATGCTAGGGAGAGCAGATCCAGTACCGAGGGTACTAACGTGCACCAAATCTTTCAAATCAGCTGCACTGTCTTTCAATAAGTTGAATCTTGTTTGTAAAGTTTCAAACGGTGGTGCTATATCACTCAGGTGTGTCATCTCGTCATATAATGACAAATTCGAACTCCGCAATACATTTGTATTGTCACCATGAACTCCTGTATCATCAACACCCATACATTGTAAGGCATGTAAACGACCCACTTTATCACTACCAGATAATGGCCTGAACGGATCCAGATTCATCAATTGAAAATTGTCAGGTAAAATCAGTTTCAACTTTAAGTGGCCCGAGGCAAATTTCTCATTTACAATTATGTTGTTCGTAATTGATTTGTGACTAATGAGGTGTTTGGTAGTGGCGGGAAATTTATCAAGAAACAGTTGCTGATAATCTTGCATGTCAAACTTGACATCATCGCCAATGAAATGATACACAAGACCAACATTTTCTATTTCCTGCAACTGATAGCTAGTCACTGTCGGCTCGTAATACGCTTCACTTGGTATATCAATGATTAAAACCTTAGGCAAGATGCGATCAGGGCCAACTACCTGACTAGGCAATATCGTTTCTCCAGCCTCATTGACTGCTGATTTACCAGCCACCAATTCTTTGAAAACTGGACCTGGTTTCAAACCCAACTCTTTTGCCTTTTTAGCATCAAACTTTCCTGGAATTGGTACAAATTCAATGCAATATGATATGGAGTCTTGTTGAGTAATCAATTTGGAAGCTTCTGGTAATTGAACATGAGTGTGAATATCCTTCAGTGACGGGTCGGATTTGTATGACTCGGGGTTACGACTATTGACTTCGCCGGTGTCTAATGGAAACATGAGTGATGCCAATTTTCGTATCTGAGTTAATACTTTATCAGCTTTAGTTACTACTGGGACATCAGACTTCGCTGAATTCTTTGGCGCTATTTTGATCGATTTAACAACAATCTCCTCGTTGGAAATCACGGGGTTCTGATCAACATTAATAATCTCCAAATCGATTCCCAAACGAAACACAAACTGTCTCCAAGTGGCAACAATATATGACAACAAATTACACTCGCCAACAACTCTAATCCCCTTTTTGGTAGCATCACTAATGGTTAGGAACAAGCCTGGTAATCCACCAATATCGCTCCATGTAAAAATTGTCCCTGTTAGGAATATACTTTGCAACTTGGGGAATCTAACTTCAGATCCAACGGCATTGATCACACGTTGTGCACCTTCGGGTATTTTACCAAACAAATATCTATTGCCCTGCCGAGTAGTTAATGCAACCAATGGTCTTGTAGTATCATTATTTATATGAGCAATAGTGGTGAATTTAAACATTCCTGGAAACAAGTTGGGCAACTGAGAAGAGTCGTTATTGTTGTTGTTGTTATTGTTGTTGTTGAAAGGTGGTGATGTCTGTGTGGTTTTGGATCCCCTTTTTTGCGCCTTTCTCCGTTTAACTTTGACTCTATTGCGTGGTTTATATAATACCGATGTACTAGACAATTGTCGTTGTTGCTGCTTGGTTAATGCAAGTGCAGATCTATTAAACAACCAGGAAAACAAACCGAAAGTAGAAACTTCTTGTAAAGGAGAAAAAAATGAATGACTGTATTGATATAAGCTTTAGATGTATACGTTATAGTATGTAAGCCATAGGATATCTCTCGACTAAAAGGTGTAGCACAAATCTGTTCCGGAGGATACAGAGCAGCCCATTCAATTTTTCAAAGGACGATGCAATGAATCATCTTTTGCGCCCATTTGGTAGCGTTATGCTAACATGTTACAAATAGCGAAATCCCCCCCCCCCCCCCATTGAAAGTGAACACACTTGAACTTCTCTTCTCTTCCTTCCTTCTTCTCCACCCTAGTAACATCTAAGGATCATCTGTGCCTCAGGGCCAGTTTGAATTGCCGTAGCACGTGGAGGTCAAGAAGGGGCAGAAAATCACAACCCCCAGATGATTCTCGTGATTTGAATGTTACGATCTCAGGTTACAGCCACTTGCACACTCCTATAGATGAAGTCATTCCCACCACAAATGGCTTGCTTCCACCAGAGGGGACAAGATCACCACTATTGTCTCTAATCACCCAACCACCACACATCACCACTAACACATTGACCACTTTGTTGAAAATATTGTCACCACCAATATTGCAAACACTTCAGTCAATGAAGACACTAATGAAGCTTTAATTTTGAATAGGAGACATGTCAGTGATTGGAGAACCCGTCCTCATGCCAGAATGTTAACTCAAGCTGTCAATTGAAACTGGATACATACCATCAAGGAGAGCTGGGAACCCCTGAATTGGAATAGGGAAAATGCCCATTTGTCACCTCAATTGAGTCAAGCTAAAGAGTCTGATTGGAAAGGTAGAGCTCTGGAATTGTATGCTGTTGATCAAAGAATTGAAATAGCTGATGCAAATTTTGTAAGAAGTTGTATATACACTTCTATTGCGAACTCTACAAAACTTGTGTCGGTAAAATTCCCGATACTTGCTAAGAATTGTAGCATTCGTTGTAGTTGCTCAACGACTTGGTATAACAACGTTGCTTGGTATTTTCGAGATACGAGTAACAAATTTGTTCCCAATTTCAGCCAGCTGTACCTTCGTCTCACGGTTGGTGGGTCCGAGCAGAGCTGCCCTAAACTCACACAATAACAATCAACATGCGGCACTCAACTTGCTCATTTCATTGTTCCTTTTGTCAGTCATAGAAACACATACGAAGAATAGACGTGGGGCTATGCTTCTTTTGACACATCCCGTGAAGGGCAAACTGCTTGCGTCTGATCCAAGCACCACAACCAACAAGATATCATCCACAACAGTATCAGTCATTGCAAAATTTCCTCTTGTTAAGATCTGCTATTGCTCTCAATGTGCACCAATTGCCTTGTCATCATGTATTATAAACCGTTACACACACAAACTGTGCCGTTTTTCTCAACCTTCAAGTAGTTTATCGTAGCTACCCTCAATGGGGTTATCCAGTATCTCCATCAGTCCTCATTGTATCCGTCAGTGATACTCTCAGTTGTATTTGCATCATTATAAATCTATTTGCATAGTTTTTTCATGTGACATTTTTCTTTGAAAATCTTGACCAGCCGAAACTAGGACCAACTTTTTTGACCTAAATTTAGCAAAATCCACTAAAAAAGAACCCACAGTTTGAGAGTACTCTTGTTTTCTCATTGTGGTGTGATAACTAAAGACATTCAAGTACACTCTGTACATACAACCAAAGAGGGAAGTAGTTCATATCGTGCAACTTACTGTTACTCTGGCCTTTCATATATATACTCCACATTATTTTGCTTTACCCATTTTTTGCTTTCAAGCTAACCACACACCGCCTCAATACTTGTTATGAGTTTAATAGCGCTGACACCAGCAGCAAGAGTCGATGATGTTATTCGACAGTTGTTTGACCAATACATACAGATACACCCTATAAATAACCAATACTTGCTTAAATCATCCAATGGCAGCAGTAGCAGCGGCAACAACAAGAGCCACATCCAGCAATGGTTCAACTTACGTAATCTACCCATTGTGGGGAGATTTGTTCCTGAGATCGACGAAAAGACAAAGCTTATTAATGAACTACTTGAGTATCAAAAGACAACAACAACATATCGAGATTGGTACACCATTTCCTTGAGGTTGGATGAATTATTGGGGAATAATGCCTGGAAATCCGATCCTCAGTCGGATATTTACGACTATAATTTAATTTACAAACATTTGAATGCAATGAAACAAGCACGAATGAACAATAATTACAAGTTGTTGTTGTATTACATCCGTACTACATGGGTGCGAAACTTGGGAAATATGGGTGATTCAAATCTATATCGACATTCCTATGTTGGAACCAAAAAGTTGATTGAAGAGTATATACAAGAATGTCAAGTTTCACTAGGTTATCTTGTTGAAGAACATCATGATCAGTTTGATTTTGATGATCGGTACTTATTGGGGATGTTGATACAAACGAGGAAAAATATAGGTCGAACTGCGCTAGTGCTATCGGGTGGTAGCACATTTGGTATTTTCCATATTGGAGTATTGGCCACTCTATTTGAAGCTAATTTGTTGCCGAGAATTATTAGTGGCTCCTCAGCAGGATCGATTATGGCCAGTATTATATGTTCACATACCAATGAAGAGACAATTGAGTTGTTGCAAACCATATCGCAACGCGATTTCAACATTTTCGACATAACCGACAAGGTGGAAACTTCAAGCAAGTTTAAAAAGGTGCTTTTATTTTTGGGCCATTGGATTAAATTTGGAACCGTTTATGATATTGAAGGATTACAAGAGACAATGATTGGGTTTCTTGGGGAATTGACCTTTAGAGAAGCTTATAACCGTACAGGCAAGATTTTAAACATTACTGTTTCGCCTGCATCAATACATGAACAAACAAGGTTATTGAATTATATAACTGCTCCCAATTGTTTAATTTGGTCAGCTGTTTGCGCTAGTTGCTCATTGCCAGGAGTGTTTCCCTCGAGTTCAGTTTATGAAAAGAATCCCAAGACAAATGAAGTACATGAATGGAATAATGACGAGTCAATGAAGTTTATGGATGGATCGGTGGACAATGATTTACCAATCACTAGATTACTGGAGATGTTTAATGTTGATCATATAATTGCCGTACAAGTGAATCCGCATGTTGTCCCAGTTTTAAAAGTATCGATAAGTAACGTGGGTGGTGATGTTGAAAATGAGTTGAGCTATAAATTAAAACAAAGCTTGAATAACGTTTACGATTTCGTGGTTTCGGAAGCTATTCACTATTTGCAGTTACTTAACGAGATGGATATTTACAAGAACTTGGCCAACAAGACAGTTTCTTTGTTATCACAACGGTATTCAGGAGATATCACTATATTACCTGAGTATAAATGGCAAGATTTTACCAAGATTTTGACTAATCCAAGTCATGAGTTTCTATTGGAGTTTATATGTCGTGGTGCTAAAGCATCTTGGCCCAAGATGAGCTTAATTGAAAACCATTGTCGGGTTGAATTTGCTCTTGATAAGGCGATTTCGGTATTGCGAGGCAGAATAGTAACGTCAGGTAATTACCGTTTGACTAATTCGCCAACAGCAATGACTAGTGGAACCGCTAAAGCGAAAGTCAATGGAAGTGGAAGTGGAAATGGAAATGGTAACAATGGCAGTGGAAGTAGTATGGCGATAACTTTAGGATCTCAAGGTAATGGAAGCACTACCAAAATTGGTTCCCCTAATGGGGACACTGATGGAGACGATGCTGATTTAGACATTGATATGGATGACGATGCTGATGCTGACGCATCAGTTGTAACCACACCCTTGGCAACAGCGACAAGAACACCACCACGAATGTTGAAATCACTGGAAGAACGGCAAATTAGACAAGGTATACGTAAATCTAAATCGTCAAACTTGATCAATTCAGTAAGGTATCATAGGGAGAGGAATAGTGATGGGAATAATAGCAGTGGTGGTAATGGTGGTGCTGATACTGGTGGTGGATATAGTCATGAAGAAAGAGCTAATTTACCATCAAGATCCAGATCGTTGAAGAATTCATATATAGGGTTAAATCGGTTGAATGATGATGATCCATAAAATGAAGGAGACGACATATAAAAGAAAGAAGATTACCCATAAAGTTATCAATTGGCTGCAAATATTGACAAAAAGTAGATATAGTGTCAAATTGGTAGCTTAATGTATTTCCCCCTTTTTTATCCGAGGTTAGCTTTTACACCAATACTTTTTGTAACCGACAAGAATAAAATAAAATCTAGCCGCTAACGGAAAGGGAACTAAAACTGAAAAAAATAACAAAATATGAATAAACTATCCGGGGAAAAAGGTAAAAGGGGTACAGGAATAGTAAGGTGGAGTAAGAGAAAAAGAAAGAAAGAGAGGGGTGAGCAAAGCTTAATAGATCTAGAAGCATAAGCCACATCTATCCTGCGTCTGTATATAAAGTTGGAGAGAAGAGGGACTTGTAAACCCTCGTATTAACAGGAGTAGTGAATGAACCGTCTCCTTCTTATAAATCCGCTTTCTGTCTGAAAGTCCGTTTTATAATTGTGTCGCTAAAAAACCTTTTTGACGAAACCTTTTTTACGACATTCGGATTTAGACGTTGATAGAACGTCATATAACCGATATGCCTTCACCTTTTGGATTGTGTCATTGAATTTCTAAGGCCAGTTCAGGTCATCAGATTTGTGTGAGTGAGTGTGTGTGTGTGTATGTGTATGTGTCGATATTGTTGGGCCGTTGTGAACTTGTGTGATTATTGTACCCTTGGTCCTCGGTTCCATTAATTATTTTTCAATTTGAGTTAAAGTGCACGACCTTCTGGAGCCACAGTAAACCCTTAGATAGTGAACGTGGTAAGTGGATAGAGGGACACACACACACACACACACCTACCTAAAACTATAGAATTTAGAGTTTGAGATACTATGCTGTAGGTACCACGAGTTATAAACAAAATCCGTTCTCTAATGCTATATCCATTAGAGCTCGTTATGTTCTATGAGATTACTTAAATTATCTCCGTTCAAATGTGCTCTTCTCTAGTTCTTATAATGAATTCATGGGATCGCCCCGCATTTTTCTATGTTTTTATTATTTTTCTCACACATGGTTTTTGTGCATCCAAACACACATACAAAAAAAAGCAACCAGTTCATACTCGGTTAATTAAATTTTTGACTTTCACACAGTAGGGGATTGCCAGTTGACGTATACCTCTTTCTCTTCACATCCAGAAACTATAGATTAATACTAAAACGTAGAACGAGCTGTAATTGAATTAGAGAGCATTCAACTACTGTTAGATGTCTCAATTGACTAATCTTATTGAGTGTTGTTCCCCTAGTTTAGAAAGCTCTTTTAAGTGTGTATCACTTTATGCCGACGATAACCTTTTAAAAATAATTTGTGTTGTGCACTTGTACACTACCTCGGATTTTGATTCCTTTGCCCTCCTCCCTCCCTCCCAAATATTACAAAAACTAAATTCCCCACATATTTTATCACAAGCGCAGACAGAATACAGAGACAGACGCAAGACAGTGAAAGAAGTAAAGGAAAAAAAATTTGATTTTTATAAATACCAATCAATATTTCCCTCATATAAAATCTGTAGTTTTTGCTCTTCTTTTCTTTTCCTTTCTTTTGACACCCTAACGTATAATTTATCCTTTACTTGAATTTCAAAGAGACTTTCATTGATTGAAAACCTACTGCAAATTGAGAAATAACGTTATAATTTTTTTTTTTACGAGTTTACGAATAATAAGGGAATAAATTTACATAAATTACAGAAGGAAGAAATAATGTCACAATTGGATTTTAAAGACAAGGTAGTTATCATCACTGGTGCAGGTGGTGGTTTAGGTAGATACTACTCACTCGAATTTGCCAAAAGAGGTGCCAAGGTTGTTGTTAACGACTTGGGTGGTGCTTTAGATGGTCAAGGTGGAAACTCCAAGGCTGCTGATCTTGTTGTTGACGAAATCAAAAAGAATGGTGGTGTTGCCGTTGCCGACTACAATAATGTTCTTGATGGTGACAAGATTGTTGAAACTGCTGTCAAAAATTTCGGTACAGTCCACATTGTTATCAACAATGCCGGTATTTTGAGAGATGCTTCATTCAAGAAGATGACTGAAGCCAATTTCAAATTGGTTATAGATGTCCACTTGAATGGTGCTTTTGCCGTTACCAAGGCTGCTTGGCCATATTTCCAAAAACAAAATTATGGTAGAATTGTTAATACCGCTTCTCCAGCCGGTTTGTACGGTAACTTTGGTCAAACCAACTATTCTGCTGCCAAGTCTGGTTTGGTTGGTTTTGCTGAAACTTTGGCTAAAGAAGGTGTCAAGTATAATATTATTGCCAACACCATTGCTCCATTGGCCAAGTCAAGAATGACTGAATCTATTATGCCACCATCAATTTTGGAAAAATTGGGCCCTGAAAAGGTTGCCCCATTGGTTTTGTACTTGTCACATGCTGATACTGAAATTACTGGTCAAATATTTGAAGTTGCTGCTGGTTTCTTTGGTCAAATTAGATGGGAAAGATCAGGTGGTATCTTGGTTAAACCAGATCAATCTTTTACTGCCGAAGTTGTTGCTAAGAGATTTAGTGAAATTCTTGATTTTGATGATTCAAAGAAGCCAGAATTGTTGAAGAACCAACACCCATTTATGTTGAATGACTACTTGTCATTGACCGAAGAGGCTAGAAAATTGCCACCAAATGATGCATCTGGTGCTCCAGCTGTCTCCTTGAAGGATAGAGTTGTTTTGATTACTGGTGCTGGTGCCGGTTTGGGTAAAGAGTATGCCAAATGGTTTGCCAGATATGGTGCCAAGGTTGTTGTCAATGATTTCAAAGACGCTTCCAAAACTGTTGAAGAAATTAAAGCTGCTGGTGGTGAAGCCCATGCTGATCAACACGATGTCGCCACTCAGGCTGATGCCATTATCAAGAATGTTTTAGACAAGTATGGTACTATTGATGTCTTGGTTAACAATGCTGGTATCTTGAGAGACAGATCATTTGCTAAGATGACTAAACAAGAATGGGACCAAGTCTTGGCCGTTCACTTGCTTGGTACTTTTAACTTGTCTAGATTGGCATTCCCAATTATGAGTGAAAAGAAGTATGGTAGAATTGTCAATATTACCTCCACTTCAGGTATCTATGGTAACTTTGGTCAAGCCAACTACTCATCAGCCAAGAGTGCCATCTTGGGATTGTCCAAGACGATTGCTATTGAAGGTGCCAAGAACAATGTCAAGGTTAACATTGTTGCTCCACATGCTGAAACTGCCATGACTTTGACCATTTTCAGAGAAGAGGACAAGAACTTGTACCACGCTGATCAAGTTGCTCCATTGTTGGTTTACTTGGGTTCAGAAGATGTTCCAGTTACTGGTGAAACATTTGAGATTGGTGGTGGATGGATTGGTAACACTAGATGGCAAAGAGCTAAAGGTGCTGTTTCCAAAGACGCTCACACTGCTGTCGAATTTGTTAGAGACCACTTGTCAGAAATTACTGATTTCAGCAAGGATACTGAAAATCCAAAATCCACTCAAGAATCATCAATGGCCATCTTGTCTGCTGTTGGAGGCGATGACGATGATGATGAGGAAGAGGAAGATGAAGGCGATGAAGAAGAAGACGAGGAAGAGGTTGAAGAAAATGACCCAGTTTGGAGATTCAATGACAGAGATGTCATTTTGTACAATATCTCCCTTGGTGCCACTACTAAGCAATTGAAATATGTTTATGAAAACGATAGTGATTTCCAAGTTATCCCAACTTTCGGTCACTTGATTACTTTCAACTCGGGTCAATCACAAAGTTCATTTGCCAAGTATTTGAGAAATTTCAACCCAATGCTTTTGTTGCACGGTGAACATTACTTGAGAGTCCACAAATGGCCACCACCAACTGAAGGTGAATTGAGAACTACTTTCCACCCAGTGCAAACCACTCAAAAGGGATCTAATGTCGTTATCGTTCATGGATCACAATCTCTTGACAACAAGACCCAAGAACCAATCTATTCCAATGAAGCCACTTATTTCATTAGACAATGTCAAGCTGATAACAAGGTTTACAAGGACAGAAGATCATTTGCCACTAATCCATGGACTCCACCAAAGAGAGACCCAGATTACCAAGTTGATGTCCCAATATCTGAAGATTTGGCTGCTTTGTACAGATTGAATGGTGATCGTAACCCATTGCACATTGACCCCAACTTTGCCAAAGGTGCCAAGTTCCCTAAACCAATCTTGCATGGTATGTGCACTTATGGTTTGAGTGCCAAGGTTTTGATTGACAAGTTTGGTATGTTTGATGAAATCAAGGCTAGATTTACCGGTATTGTGTTCCCTGGTGAAACTTTGAGAGTACTTGCTTGGAAAGAAGGTGAAAATGTCATTTTCCAAACTCACGTTGTTGATAGAGGTACTATTGCTATTAACAATGCTGCTATCAAGTTGATTGGTGACAAACCAAGCTTGTAAAGAATTTGCCCTTGGGTTTTATAGTATAGTTTTTATATAAATATATGTTTTCGAATTTTGAAGATTCAAGTTATTGGTAGAGAGTGAGAGTTGTATTTTTACCTGGATGCAAACATTTGTATTAATATTACCTATAAATCCTCTTCATCATCTTCAGTTATATCATCAACTGAAGAAACATTAGCGTACCCATACCCACCACCACCTCCAACTACTTCATTATTCATGCCATCAAGTACAATGGTGTCATTACTACTGTGGCCAATACTGTGACTTCGCCCATGATGATGATGATGATGATGATGATGATGATGATGATCACCACTGCCAGGTCCACTTCCACCACCGCCGTTTGACCAAGTATTCAACCCTGATTTAGTTGCCAATTGATGATAATGGTGTTTCTTATTATACGGGTATTGAGTGCGACCGCGTGATGTAGCAGCATATTGATGTTGAAGTGGTACTCCAACGTTGAAATCAACCGGTGAAGCATTGATGGGATCATTGTCATTGTCATTGTCGTTGACATCGTCATCATCTTCTTCGACGTAATCATCAATCAGGGATGAGAATGGAGTGGAGGAAGAAGTGAAGGAGCCAATACTATTTTCTCTTGCTCTTGATCTTGACCTTGATCTCGACCTTGAGGATGCACGCATAGTTGTGCCCACTGCTGTGGTTGAGTTCAATGGCGATGGAATAGTAGGCGATGCCAGAGTTGTGCCAATGACATTGGACGTTGACATTGATTTCTTTTGTCGTGGTGGGAACTGAAATGAAGAACTAGGTTGAAGAAAAGGTGATCGAGACGGTGATCGAGAATGTGTTGGTGAATGCGAATGCGAATTAGCATGCGAAGCAGGCGATGATGCAATAATTGTGTCATTTCTTTGTATGACTGATGTTGGAGCTAGTGCCGCCAATGAGGTTTGCAATGAGCTTGGTTTGCGTGATACTGGTTTCATCATCGAAGAAGCAACAGTAGGCAATGTTGGTGTTGAAGTCGAAGATAACCTTTTGGCATCAAAGATATCTGCTCCCGCTGCTGATCCTGTTACTGATGTTCCAGGTGGTCGAGAAAACATATCTGATCCCACATATGCATCATCATTCAAGGAATCAGTAGACAGGGAAATATTTTCCGACACAATCGACGACGCTGATGAATGTATTGATATCGAGGAGGATGAGTAGTTGGAGAAACTCGAGTAATTTGACATATTCGAAGAAAATGAACGACGATGACGATACAGCAGCAACAGCAGTAACGACAGTGACAGTTGCGCTTTGTGGTGTTGGTGATGCAGTTGTTGTTGATTATGGTGGTGCGAGTTACGGAAGGATGTAGAGGGTGGTAAAAAGCTCCGCAATTGGTGCTGTTGTTGTTGTTGTTGTTGTTGTTGTGGATGGTGTTGCGTGTGAATATGTTGCTGTTGTTGTTGTTGCAAATGCAGTGGGTTCTCCTTTTCAACTTCTTCACTAAAATCAAAATTACTAAACAAGGGAGAAGTTAACGGTGACGAAGTTGACGCAATTGATGAAGACGATGATGATAATTGATGCAGATTATTAGTAAAAATTGGTTGATCAAAAGTAAAAGTATTAGCTCGTGTTAATTTGGTGTTTAAATTGGTGCTAATTGACTTGACTTTGGAATGTGATCGTTGACGTTTAATCACTTTACCACTGTTCAAAGTGGTTGATGAACTCGAGGATAATGAGCGACTATGAGATGACATACTCCAAAAGTCATTTGTACTTGCTGATGTCAATGCTGATGGTCTGTTTGGTAAATGGTCACCATTTCCACCACTACCAATACCACCACTGTTACCACCACCAAATTGATTAAACGATTTCGCCCTAGTTAACAACTTGTTATCTTTTCGAACTCGACTTAAATTGGCCTCACAAGAAACTTCATGCTTGATATCCTTCATTTCAACATAATTTTGTGGGAAACAAAAGGACTTGTACTTGGTGAAAAATCTTTTGTACCCACCTTCCAATATAACAACATCTGGCCACGATAAGAATGGGTACGAATTTTGATTCATCATTCGATCACATTTACGAAGATGCTTGGCCATGGTTGGACCTCTGAAAATACTAAACTCACAATGGAAAATAAGCAACTTTTTCTTACTCTTGTTGCTGTTGTGATTGTTGTTATTGTTTGTTGCCGGAGAGGATCCCTGTTGATGGCTTTCGTGAATTTGCTTGATAAATGCATTTTCCAATGCTTCCTTAGAGGATATATTCATGGCATTAATTATATGACCGCCATGATATTCATAATCAAATCGACAATCAACAATGATGTATTCATCAAATTCGTGCTTGTGTTCCCCACAAAGAATCTTGTATAATTGATCTTCATTAATACGGGGCAACACATCATTTCCCAGAGTGAATGTGTGTATATTGGTGTGCTTTAATTGAGAATTATCTTCATGTAGTTGGAAATTATCAATCTCACGTTGGGTTTCGCAAACTGAATGAATACGTCTAATAGTTTTAGGTCGGGTTGTAATTGGAGGGCCCCTTGTGTGGGTACTGCGAGTAGGCAGTTGTAACAATGTTTCATGATTGTAATTTTCTTCTTGTTGTTGATTTATTTGTATGCTATTGGTTTTTCTATGCATTATAGGGGACTCTATGTTGATAGTGTCAAAGGTAGCATCACCCTCGTCTTCAGAATCTATTTCGTCCTCGTCGTTTTCGTGCTCCTCATGTGTCCCCTTTTTGTCATTGTAATTACCAGAATCACAATCAGTGGGTATATCCTCATCCTCATCCGCATCGTCATAGTCGTATGTCGAAGTGCACTCGGTTAACTTTGGAGTCATGTGTAAATTGGCAAAGAAGCTATGTGACGATTTGGATACTACTTCAGTCATTGATTTAGTGAATGCCTTGGTTTTCTCCTTGACATTTAAGGGAAAATTAGTCAAGCTCTTGAGTGGTGTTCGATTGAGCATTGGTGGTGAGTCAGATGAGCATGAATATGATGAAGATGATGATGATGCTGATGCTGATGAGTTTGAAGTCTTTTGTTGCAAGAATAGTCTTCTAGAGGAAGAAGTTGAAGATGATGCTTTGGTTGGTGTGGTGGCAGAAGTAGTGGACATAGTAGACGCGGACGCCCATTGGTTCAACTTATCGGAGTATATCAGTTTGGCGCTATTCAGATCAAAGTAGTTTTCCTTCTCGATTTCCATTTGATCACTACCACCACTAGTGGATGCACTTTGACGATGATTATTCTTGTTTCGTAATCGCTGCAAATGTGATGTGCTTGACTCGCTCGTCAAGTAGGATGATGATGCTTTCCTCAAAGTATGGGTGAAGGAGGAGTGGGACTTGTCATTTGGATATTGCATCTTCTTTTTATCTGTTTTGGGAAGGGCAATTGTAGTAACTCGATGTTCCCCCGCGTAGTATATCTGTGACTCTCTATAAATCCGCCTGGAACGTTCTCCTTATCTAATGTACTATAATAATAATGTTGTTACTGTTATTATTATTATTATTATTATTATTATTATGATTGTTATTATTATTGTTGTTGCTGTTGACAATGTTGATAAATATTATTATTTAGCCCAAGTTGGGTTGTTAATTAATGTGAGATACACTTTGTGATGATGATAATAATGTACAACTCTGATTCTGATGCACAGTACTCAAGGCGAAAAGAATGAATTTAGAAAAAGGCAATGGCACAGATGAAGCTTCGTATTTTCGAAGTGGTAAATAATGATGATGATGATGATGATGGGGGAGTTTTGGTTCTGGTTCTTGGTTTTTGATTTTTGATTTTTGGTTCTTGGTTCTTGGTTCTTGATTCTTGGTTCTTGATTCTGTTTGGCTGTCAAAAATCAGGTGGGAGAACCAAGGAAGAAAAAATATTAAAGCCAACAGCAGCAGAAGCAGCGGTAGCAGTCAATGACTATTTAATTGTGATTGGAAGTAGATTGTTGGTGGTGGTGATATAGTCTAAGGGAATGAGTGTGGTAGTATAGTGTAGTATAGTAATATGTATTACCCAATTAGTTAGTTGGTTGGTTGGTTGGTTGGTGGGTTGGTTGGTTGGTTGGTTAGGTGTAGGGAATATATTATGCTTGGACTTGTAACAACAAAAGATTGTTTCGTTATTATTTACTTCTTCAACTTTAACCATAAACAAAGTGTCTGTGTGTGTGTGTCTGTGTGTGTGTGTTGTTTACATGTACATTGTGTTTTTGTGTTTTTGTGTTTACACACGCACAATCTCATGTTTTGGATAAAATGTTGCAATACTACGAGTACTACCACTACCCCTACCCCCGACCCCCGTTTACTACTTACTATTTTGCTTTTCTGCTATTTGCTTGTGCTATGTCTTCAAGAAACCTGTTATTTATCCAGTTGCACAGTTGCTAATGAAATAAAGCTGTGCTCTCATGAATTGAGTTCGTGGGTAGACTAACGGTTGTTGCGTGTCTTTGACATTTTTTTTTTTTTTTGGGAATTGGGAATTGGTGTCTTTGTGTCAAAAGAAGGAGGTATAGAGGATGAAATTCTGTATTGCTACCAGTTGTTTAAGAACTCATACCAACTTGTGTAACTCAAACCAATACTATTGCCACTACACTATAATGTACAGCTCTTCACTTTGGCTTTCAGCCCAAAATCATTCTCATTTTGATGCGCTACTTTCAGGTTTCGATAAACCAGCTTTACATCTTCTTTACTTTTTACACTTTTTAGTTATGTATTGGTGCAAATATAATGTATCAACTATTTTCAAGCGCAAGAGAAATGTTTTCATTCAAGTATAAAACTAAGAGAACCGTATGTCAATCATTGTGCATTATTCTGGATTTTTCGCAAGTTGACTCTGGCCAGATTGGTGATTTTCAAGATTATTTATTGCTATTGGGCCAAGTTTACTGGGTGCAATTATCGTACAATAGTTACAGTTGTTTCTTCCACGTGATTATCCCGTGACTTTAACATTTGTGACATTTTTCTGTTTATGAAAGAATATAGCCGAGAGAGGGAGAATAACATGCACACACACACACACCAACCGGTTTCATAGTCCAAGGTTGAAGCGGCAGCTAATAAATCCCACCTTCAACGTACGTCTCCGAAGCTTACATTTGTTTGTGTCCATCACTTAAGGAGAGTGGTCCCAACTAATTTCATCTTTAGCACATCAAATGAAGTTCATGAGATAGCCATCAACTGCCAGGCGTATAAGAAAGAAACAAAACCAAAAAACCCGTCCTTCACAATGGACCAAGACAAACTACTGATCGTACTAGATATAAAAACAGGAAAGAAAGTCATCAACAATAAATACAGAATTCTTAAAAAGATTGGACAAGGTCAATATGGTAAAGTGCTATTAGGACAAGTATTGGATGATACAAAACCTACAGTGAGAAAACAATCTATATTGAATGATAGTGCCACAATCACGTCATCATCATCACCATCATCATCATCAACAACTCCCATTACTTATGTTGCTATAAAAACCATTAACCGAGTTGATAAAGCAAAGCTAATAACAAAGTCGTACATCAGTAATGTCACCAAGATCAAGAAGGAGATTAAAATTTTGAAACAATGCAATCATCCCAATGTTGTCAAGCTATATTCAGTTATTGATGATACCCATTTCGACAAGATTCTTCTAATATTGGAATACTGTAAGTATGGGGAGATTGATTGGAAACATTATAACCATTATTACGAAAAATACACCACACATAAACATAGGCTACCACTCAATCTAAACAAGATATTACGAGATATAGTCAATGGGTTGGAATACCTTCATCTGTATAAACACATTATCCATCGAGACTTGAAACCACTGAACTTGCTAATCGATGAATACAATAATATCAAGATATCTGACTTTGGAGTTAGTCTAATCTTGGAAAATACCATTCAAGACTCAAAAGAATTGGCAAATACTATGGGCACACCAGCATTTTATGCTCCAGAACTATGTCAGTTTGTGAAGAATAGGTTTTCAATGATTACTAATGAACATCACCAATTAAACAAGATCAAAGTAGATTTTAGAATAGATATTTGGAGTTTGGGGGTTACACTATATTGCCTAATGTTTAATAATTTGCCATTCAATGGGATAAATGAGTTTGATATATGCAAAAAGATTGTTGATTCGGAATTGAAATTCCCTCAAATAAAGCATACTTCAAGAGTCACTGATTCTGATGTGGAAGAATTGCAATTGGTTAAAGATTTGATTAAACATTTGCTACAAAAAGATCCCGATAAGAGAATAACCTTGGATGGCGTTAAACATCATAGATTTACTACATTTGACCTAAATGCCTCACAGCGAGAGAAGTTTTTCAATTTTAACCAAGCCATTTTCAAAGATGCTGATTGCAAACGGAAATTGAGTGAAGGTAATGGAAATGGAGACCCAATACTTAATAACAATGGTCTTTCAACAAAAATACGAAACTTTTTCAAAGGAACAAGCTCCACAACACCAACTCCTCCTGCAAAAGATACCATATCATCAGTGTCGAATCTGAAAGAACCGCTTGCACACGACTCTGAAACCAAACGACCTAACTTGCCTGATTTACAACACGTTGATGATTTGCTAGACTCATACTTTGATGACTCTTCTTCATTGGGTAGTAGCATAGGAGACATGGATGAAGATCCTATTGACACTTCCAATATCCTTGGTGATATGATCAACAATAACAACAATGGCAGCAGCGGTTCCGTCTTGAAGCATACACCACAACCATTGGTTTTGAAACCATTAGCTTTGAAGGGACCCTTTACTGCTGATGCAACATCCACAGATGCAGAAACTAAAGGCGCGCTAAATAATGGCTCTGCTCCCATCACACCAAGCTCCAGTCATCATCATTCGTTAACTCCGACAAATGACTTGTTTGCAACAATAGGTCAAAGCTCACCCAACCAGATCGATACCAACGGACCTGTGTTTAGTCCAAGCAAACGGTTTTTTGATAAACAGCAGCAACAGAATAAAGAAGCACAGCAACAATGGCAACAACAACAACCATCCATAAAATCTTTATCGACTGATAATGATTATGTTATGGAACCTCCATTCGTCTTCAATAGGAAATATGGGTCCAGCAATACCATCAACACCAACAACACCAACACCAGCAATAACAATACCAATACCAACACCAACACCAACAACTCCAATGGCGATAGAAGAAATAGTGCTGAACGACCAAAACCACCATACGCACTATCACGTATCCCCAGCTCATCAAGCTCATTGAACTTGCATGCATACTTCACTGACGATTGTGAGTCAATAGAATCACTACGTTCCACTCATTCAAATCATTCGTCGTCGGTAAAGTACAATTTGAAAAAGGGGAGAGACAGTGTGGATGTACACGATAAAAACTCCAACTCGAGTGAAATCAAATCCATGGGAGTTATCGATGGCAATGCCGCTGATAGTGGTGGCGGTGGTGGTAGTGAAGGAAAAGAAGAAGAAGAAGAAGAAGAAGAAGAAGAAGGTGATTCAACGTTCTATTTAGGCGATGAAACTGCTGGCGTATTTGAGAAATATCACGATTTGACCAGCTATTTGGACAGTCTCGAATAGATATGAAAATGAAGTAATTTTATTTGGGAATAAGATTATTGAAACTTTGTTTGCTATTTAGTTATTTAAGCATTTACGCAGTGTGGTTGCAAAAAAATTTTTAAATGGCTTGATTTACCGTAGAAGATAATACAATAGATAAAAATTTAAAAGCAAGATAATTTATTAATATTTCACACTTCAATAGAAATCTTTAGAACGGCGACTCTTCAATAGAAATCTTAAAAAAGCAAGCAAGGCAATGGCTTCATTCATTTTTCTTCCGCTTATTCATCGACCAAGATCCATTTCTATTATTCGGTCCTCTTTGCCGCCTGCTCTTATTTAGCCACAAATTGTGCAATCAAAACCATCCGTTTCTTCATCAGTTGAATCTTTGGATCTTGTCCGATTTTGCGACTCAATTTTTTCCTCCTGAGCCTGAAATCTTGTTAAAGATTTGTCAGTATCAAAAGTACTTTCGAATGCGACGACATCCATCCTTGGGGACAATCTTATCGCTTCATTATTAGCTAGTGGATCCACATCTCTCACCGCAGTTTCTTGAGTTTGATCCAACTTTAGCTCGAAGGACTCCGATGCTGGCACATTCTTCGCGACATTAACCACCGACTTTGATGTATTTTTGTTTGGCATTTTATTAGCCGTCAGCCCAGCTTTTTTATCTCTGGATTGAACCGGAGAGGCATCAGGAGGTCCAGGTGCCCTATAATTGGAGAACTGCGTAAATTGCGTTTTTAAATCACTCAAGATCCCTTAATGCTCTTCCGAGGCGTTCGATTCCTTGGTTTTTGATCTCCAATAGTCTCGTCAATCTGGTAATATCGTGAGCCAGCTTATGTTTCACTTCATTGCACTCTTTAATAACCTTGGTCAACTCCAAATTTTCGGCTCTCAATAAGTCAGCAAAGGTTGCAGCTTGATTTACCAATAACAGTTGATCATTAGAAGATTCAAATTTGAGCACCAGCAATTCATATTTCAGATTCGCCACTTCCTCTAAATGCTGCCAAGTTTGCTGCAATTCAAAAGTATGCTTTTTTTCCATGATAAGTGAGATTTTTGTTCCAACAATTGCCGTTGAAACAACCTTTTTTGTTGTTGTGGTTGGTGGCAATGTTTTTTGCAATGGTAGTGAAGTTTCATTCTCTTACTTTGTAAGAGCTGCTCCACCTCTGAGCAATGGCTTTCAGTTACGACTCCTTGGCCATCCAAAAGCTCTTCCACCTCCAAACGATGACGTTGGATCTTCATTCTTTTTGTTTCTAAAGCTTCTTACAATTGAGCAATATAGTCACCTATTTGTTGAGCCGAGGTTTGATTGGTTGAAAAGAAAGAGGGTATATCAGAGCGGTTGTTGCTGATTGACCTTGTTCTTGATTTTTGTTGACCACTTCATTGAGCTGCAACATTTGTAAGTCTTGCCTCTTGATTAATATCAGACTCAAGATCACTCTCTTGCTGGCCACGAACGAAAGCCCTGTGTAACCACTTTCCAGGATGAGTACCAATATGGAATTTCTTGTATGCTAGACGTTGGGTAGCAAGCTTCTTCACGATAAACCTCCACTAATCGGATTGCTCTCCCTTCCCTTGAACAACACTCATCAAGTGGATTGACAGTGTGTGAATATTATGCGACTCGAAAATTAAAGTTTTAAGGGCAGCCAGTTTTTCCTTTCGACAATTTGCAACCGAAACAAACTTTTTAATTTGGTCGTGTAAATGCAACATACATTTTATCCTCCGAATAGCATCTTTTGTGGACTCTTCTTCAAATTTGCTCTATTCATTTCAATTGAGTCAATTCAGATGATCATCTGCCACCCCTACGCATAGTATCTCAAATCCTCATGCATTCATCGGTACAAATTTGTAACAATATCTCAAAGATCCGGAGGTATTTCATACATTTGAACCGATGGAGCATAATCCAAGTACCGTAGATGCTCGAGACTGTTTTGTAGCACACTCTCCAAATACCTCTTTGTGTTTTTGTTTTCAATTTTGCCCGTCAATTCAGGATGAAGCCCTTCATCACCAAACCATTGATACGTACCACCATAATTTGGTATTTTCCCATTCAATGTTGTATCAGTTAAAACTGCAGTTTCGTAGCACCACAAACGTGAAACGTTCTTTGGTGTATATCCACCACCTCCCAATACCACCATTGGTATTTCAAAACTTTTCAAGAAATTTAAGCAACTCCCGTGTCCCTTCAACGATAGATTGAATCTTCCCAAACGGTCACCACCTAGTGAATCTGCACCACATTGTGCAACAATGATGGATGGTTGAAATTTGGGTATCACACCTTGCATAATCAGCTTGAACAAAGCCACATATGATTCATCATCAACACCATCTCTCAAGGGCACATTTATGGAAAAGTTTTTACCTTTACCTATCCCGACTTCATCACCTGACCCTGTACCAGGAAAAAACTCACCATCATATTTGTGGAAACTGACCGTCATAACTCTATCAGTTGTGTAAAATGCCTCCTGAACTCCATCCCCATGATGTAGATCAATATCCACGTACAACACTCTTGGATATATTCTCAATAGGTTGATAATACACAAGACTATATCATTTATGTAGCAGAATCCACTTGGTTCAAACTTTTTAGCGTGATGTAGTCCTCCTGACCAATTGATCGCTATATCGCTCATACCGGCTATTATTTTCCTCGATGCATCCAATGACGCTCCGGCATAAATCGAAGAGTAATCAAACATGCCATCAAAAACAGGGCAGTCATCTCCTATATTGAACTTTGCTAACGTTTGATCACTTAATCTCTTGACCGTTTCTGGAGTCACTGATTGGAGAAAATCGATGTAATCTTCAGAATGAAATTGTAACAACTCGTCCTTTGTGGCTCTTCTTGGGGTGTACAAATCCATTTTTTCGTGAAGTTTGTATGTGCTCACTAAGTGATCGGTCAACATTAGCCGAAAAGGCTTCATTGGGTGTAGAGTTCCATAGTGGTAGTTCGCTACCTCAGGATTGTAATGATATGATACTTTGGTTTTGGAGGATTTGTTGGGGTGGTATAACGGTGTGTGCTTTTTGGTCTGCTTGTCGACAGCAAATGTTTCTGTCTCGTCTGTAGGTACTTCCATACTTGGGTAAGGGGGGGGCGTGCTTCCGTATTTTAAGGCGTGGAGGCTTGATTGTTCCTATGAAGCTGCTGGTTGATACTTTTAAAAAGTTTCAGAACAAAAAAAAAGAGAAAACCGTTCAGGAAAAAGTTATTACTTTGCCACCAAATCATTTAGTTACCCACTTCGCACTGCACCCGCAATAATGTCAGGATCAGCTGGATTTGATAGACATATCACTATATTCTCCCCAGAGGGAAGGTTATACCAAGTTGAGTACGCTTTCAAAGCCATCAATTCGTCAAACATCACCTCAATTGGTGTCACGGGACAAGATTCAGCAGTTATTATTTCGCAAAAGAAGATTCCTGATAAATTGTTGGATGCAAAGACTATATCCTACATTTTCAAAATCACTCCTAGCATAGGTATGGTTGCCACTGGATCGATAGCCGATGCCAGGGCTCAAGCAATGCGAGCACGTGGCGAGGCTACTGAATTTAGGTACAAATATGGTTATGAAATGCCCGTTGAAAGTTTGAGCAAAAGAATGGCCAACTTGTCACAGTTGTATACTCAAAGAGCTTATATGAGACCATTGGGTGTAGCGTTAACTTTTGTTCAAGTCGATTTTGAAGATGAGGGGAGGGGACCACAAGTTTTCAAATGTGATCCTGCTGGATACTACACCAGCGTTAAAGCTGTAGCTACTGGTCCAAAACAACAAGAAGCAACAACTTATTTGGAAAAAAAGTTTAAAAAGACTGATTATGTTAAAGGTGATTGGAAGGAAACTGTTGATTTTGCCATCACCGCATTGAGTTCAGTATTGGGAACAGATTTTAGAAAAAATGATATTGAAATTGGTGTTGCTACTGAAGGGGAATTTAGGATCTTGACGCCGGATGAAATAGACGAGAGACTTGTTGCTATAGCTGAACAAGATTGAGTACCGAGCTATATATAAGATATCAATACAATACTTTTTTTTCTTTCCTTTTTTTTAATGTGAGAAACAACACAATCAATCGCCTCTCTTCAACTTTACCAAACATAAGGGATAAACATATAAGGACAAGCTTCCAAATACCTGTCCCAGTCTTTGCCATACTTCTTTTCACATTTTCTTTGATCACGGTAACCTCTGTGAACCAAAACGATGAAAAAGAAAACAGGGAAGAACCATGGGAAAGGGGAACTAAATCCACACATTAATGCCCACGTCAATGTTTGAATATAATCAGCAGTGTAGTGCATTTTTCTGGCATAAACATACCATCCATCAGTCAACAATACTGATCCGTTTTGACACTTGATGTACTTTGGATTCTCGATATCAGAATATGGCAAATATGGGAAAGTTTTACGGATGTGGGTGTTTCCTGCCATTGTTCTTCTAAAGCTATTCTTTTGACGATTACCGGTGTCGAAAAAGTAATAAGCAACTGTAATCAAAACAAACAAAAACACATTGTAAGCTATGGACCACTGATATTCTTGTGGATCATGATAGGCCAAGTATAATGTACATTGACAATAAGTAAATGGCACACCAGCAATATTCCAAAATAATAACATGAAACCAAACTTTTCATAAGCCATATCCCAAGTGGGGACAATCAACTCTTCACCTTTAGCACAAGCATTAGCATAAAGCCAATGAGCATAAAGCAAAAAGGCAGCTTGTGGAGTGACATACCCATAATTGTCGTATTGCTTAAAACACAAACCTAAACTCAAAAAGAACAAAATGAACCAAGGAATTCTAACCTCAAAAAACATCTTCAAGTCAAGGTATTTACCAATTCTTGGGTTCAATGGTGCACCCATAAACATATCGTAAATATGATTACCAGTCATTCTATGATAGTCCCCAGTAACAAAAAGACAAATCAAATACAAGATAATCGACAATGAAATGCCATAAGTAATGGCAACCGTCATGATTCTGCCAAAATTATCCAACATGTAGTAAGCTGGTAAGATTCCCGTGAAATGTAAAACCAACCACGCAGCTAAAGTGGTGTAAAATGACCAAATGGCATTACAGAAATAGGGCAACTGTTTACCATTCAAATGAGCCAATGGCTGACCTTTGGTCCAAACACCGGGTAAAGTCAAATAAAACACCCCTTGAATGACAATAAAACAAGTGAAGAACAACCAAGTGCCAAATGTGGGTAATCCATTCAATTTAAATAATTCCCACAACAACAACAAGAAATACGACCATGATTGATCTTGTTCTGGCCAAGGGAATTTACCATTGTAAAACTCAGCACCGATCCACATATACCACATCAATAATGGGAATCCAATAATCATTCCCAATGCACCAATGGGGCCACCAAACTCCCATTCAATTTGATCCTTGGGTGTGTAGCCTCTTGGGGTAGATTCAGAATCACCGGATGAGACCAATGGAGTAGTTTCTTCAGCCATGTTTACTGTGGATTAGCTCTTGTTGTGATTTGAATAACAGAAAAGAAGCAGTGGTGAATACAAGTGAAGAAGAATTTCAATTGTTTTGATTTTGAATTTTGACATTTCGTAAAGAGTGGAAAACACACACACACACACACACACAAAACGCGGGCCAATGTGTGTTTTGGTGTTACTTTTTTTTGTCTGTCTTTTTTTTTTTTTTCGGGGCGGGGAAAGAAGACGGACCCGCCGAAAATGGTTTTATTGCAAGAGAAAAAATTTTCATTCCATCGTTTTATGCCCTCCTCCCTCACTTGCACCACGAGATTGACCGATACGACATGCGTCGGAGCGAGAACGAGAAAGAACGAGATTTGGTACGAGAGGTGAGTCGTATATCGTATATATATAAACACAGCACGACATAACACGAATGGACGTAATCTGAGGCTTGCTTTCTATTTGTTCTATGTGTTTGTACCACCAAACTCTTTTTTATAGTTTGATGTAATACAATATATGTATATCCCCTGATGATTGAGACAATCAGGGTTTAAGTTTATACCTGAAATTTCAATTAAAGTTGCTACAATACAAACGCAAAGAAGATGTCCATGCTAAACATTGGATACCGCTTATATAAGTAGTAGAATGAGCTAGGTTCTGGTTACAAATGATTCTTTGCTTCAACCTCGAGGTGGCTTACTCACACACACCCAAACTTTTTTTTAGCCTCTGTTACAACGTGAAATAACAAGACTATAACTCATACACCTTATGCAGCTAGTATCCCGTTTGCAAAGTTGGCAACCCATACATTGAAAGCCAACTAGCTTGCCATGGATACACTTTCAAATTTGAACTCCCCATAATACGAAAAGACTTGAGATATAAGCAATGGCCGTATTATCTTGTTACAGGTACCAAAATTTTCAAATAGCGAGGCTTGATATCTTCAGATACATCACCATTCGTTGCAATAGCTATATCAGTCAAAAAATGACACGTAGCTTTCTCCACATGAAAAAGAGCTGTATCCACCAATGTTATAGAGTGGATAAGCTCAATACAGAAAAGTGATATAGGGCCAACAAGTGTATTTTCCAATGTCCAGCCTAGTACCGCATATGAACATGATTATGTTCTCAACATTACCATCTGGAAGCTAATAGGCTTGGTAAACTTTAACACTAGCGAGGAAAAACAGCAATCAGCAGCTGTTGAATGTATCTGAAAACACTATATTATTCGAAGCTTATCACATGAACTTAGGTAACAGGGATATTAGAGAGATATGGGACAACTATTTGAGCAGAAAATGACAACTTTCAGCAACAGCTTGCTTCATCTGTCATTAATTTGAGCAGCTTAGTGCTTCCATTATATCAAGTACAGAAAAGCAATTCAAGGTGTGAAGCATTAAGGATCTGGTGTTTGATTTCGACTGAATGTATCCTGAAAGTTTGCACATGTTTTTTGAATGAAGCGAAAAAGGACAACAATACGTCGATATCACGATGAAGGGTGGCAAAGATAATATATTACTCCTTGGATTTATTTCTTGAAGGTATTTGGTAGAATTGAAAGCATAACAAGAATGGTGGTAAAAAGGTGAATTCCATACCGAGAAAAAAAAAAGTGGTGCAGTGGGTTGCAAAACTGCTTTCCATCAATACGCTGATAGTATCAACATGATGTGTCAAACAGATATGCTTAAACTACAAGCATCGTAAAGCTACAACCCACAAATGTTATTCGATGTATTCATAAAGACAAGTAGAGCTGTCATCTTCCTATTTGAAGCAGCTGTATTAATACCATACTAGTGTCTGCAAAAACCCAAATTTTCTTTTACAACCAATTTGGAAGCATATCAACAAATCTTCACTAACAAAATCAGTTAAGGCGGCTTTTTTTGATATTCTTAATGGACGGAGTATAAAACGAACCAAATGGATCCCAAACTTTGGTGAACTTTCTTCATCCTTTTTCCCACCACCATCATCCTCCCACCTAATTTTGATTTGAAAGCAGTTAATTTTTGAATCACAGATAAAGCATTTCGAATTAGAATTATCCCAGTCTTCATCCTTTGTACAGATCCGTATTTGTACACACTTAAGCTCCACAACAGTTTATTTCAACCAGTTTCAAACACACTTTTATCTACTGACCCACAATACACCACTGAATTTTATCAAATAACAACTAGAGAAAAAGTCCAATCAACCCGTTAATCCCCACCTGAGTTAAAGGTTTTAGTTGTTGGTGTTTCACCTCCCCCATTCCCATCGGTTTCCCCCCTTTTTGGTTGAAAGTTTTACTGTTCAGCATGAGTTCTGAGCACAGTTTTGTGTTTAGCGCACAGGCAGATTTTGAAAAGGTTTTCAAGATTACATTGAACAATCCAAATGAATTTGCATCCTTGTTGACTACTACTGGACGCACTACAGTCAAGTTTGTTTTGAATTGCCCCATTGTATTTCTGGTATCACGTGAACTGAATGAATTTGAACCCCCAGAGAAGAGAGAAGAAGGAGAGCTGCAAGCGGATGTGAATGTGACGAGAATCCCGCAATGTTGTCGTACAGCTCCGAGACCTTCATGGGCAAGAAATTGGAATGGTTTGAACCCGTATGCCAGAAAACCAGAAACTCCAGAGAATCCACAAGCGTCAAATGAAACAAAGAGGCAATCTGAATCGAAACCAGTTGTAAATGTTGAAAGTGATGATGATACTGCAAATGAGAACGAGAATCCATGGCTCAAACCCACTGTTTTCAGCAGAAGAGAAGGTATTCATCAGCGGAACTCTTCAATTGGTGTTGGAAGAAGAGATAAAGAAGTAACTGGAAGAAGATCCGTTGTGCAAACTGTTTCGGGTTTAAAAAGTGTTAGAGCAACGATGAGTGCCATACAACAGTTGATTACTTCTCCAGTTCCACCACCAGTTCCACCGGTTTCATTAACTCAGTCACTTGCTCAATCCCTGCTTGTTGTTCAATCCCTACCTGTCGTCCCACTCCACCCTATTGTCCAGCCCCTGCCTATTGTCCAGCCCCTGCCTATTGTCCAGCCCCTGCCTATTGTCCAGCCCCTGCCTATTGTCCAGCCCCTGTCAAACACACTGATTCCTGATATCCCCGTCAATCATTCCAAGCCAGTTTCGAAGTTGAAGACTTGGTTCAGACGGAAGGTCCTGAAGATGAAAAGAACGGTTTCCAAGGTCAAATTGAGAAAAAAACCAGCGGAACCAGTTACCTGTGAGGAACTGCCAGAAGAGGAACCAATGTATTCGGTTGGTGTTGCCAATAGGAATCCTTATGAAAACATGATTGTGTATCCAAGGTACAATCCGTACAGTACCGAGAGAATTTTACAGGAGTACTCTAGTGAACCACTTGGACCAATCATTGACAATCGACCCGACACTAGTGAATTCCAATTTTGAAGAATATTAAAAGGTCAATCTTTTTATTCCTGACGGTCGCGTTTACGTGGCTGAGTGATTAACGTCACTCGTTGGGAATTATGTTCAGTGAAAATAAAGGAGATGAGGAATTGAAACATGAATGTTGTATTTTGTTGAGAATTATAGTTGGCAAATAATTGAAAAATGATTAACAATCGACTAGACACAAGTGAAATTCCAATTTTAAAGAAGAATAATACAATGTCAATCCCCTTATTCCTGACGGTCACGTCCCCCACGTGGCTGAGTGATTAACGTCACTCGTTGGGAATTATTTTCAGTGAAGATAAAAAAGATGAAAAAGTAAAACATAAATGTAATTGAAAAACGACCGAGAAATGAGTGTCAATGAGGATAATGAAGCTAGATTGGTGTTGTTTGCTGTTGTTCAATACTTTGTTGAATTTGTTTCCGATGGATGCAGGGGAATGGTGGATTTGCGATTTTATGATCTGGCCAGTCTGATTTCGTAATGAAGCTGTTTGTCTGTTGAAGTTGGGGACTGAGAATGGATAGAAAAGAGGAACACGGATACAATACCATTGGACTACTTTGATGTTTGTGTTACTATTACGACTGCCGCTGCTGATATATCGCTGATACCTTTAAATGTTGAATCACTGCTACTGACACTACTACTATACTATTTTCAGAAAATCATAAAACCCCCAAAAAAAATTATTGCATTGCAACTTTATCAAAAAAAAGGTATAGATTCAACAATATATTTCCGATGTTATGGATTTTCCTCTGTAGGTTTCTCTAATTTCTGTGATCTGATAAAATAATGTGTTCACGTTATATCGTTATACGTCTATCAAAGTGTCTATGAGAACGATATAAACGCCATATTTGTTTGATCGTCATCATCATCAGAGCTTTCGATTAGCTCCAGTCCATTGCCATCTCTACTCCTTTCGTTGTCTTCTTTTAACTTGTACTTCAGCCATAACTTTTCAACAACCTCCAAACCAATCAATGCACTCCCATTGCCTAACTTAACCAACGCCTTAAAATACAATGACAACTTTTCGAAATCGTCCTCATTTAAAGATACTTTTAAACACTGACGAAACGTACTTTGTGCCATGAGAGCTCTTTCGTCAAACAAGGTTTTCGACACATAATAGTGATCCAGTTCAAGGAAAATGTCATCTTGATAGTTTCTGATAACATCCTGGCTTTTTTTCTTTATGAAAAACATCGAGCTAATGATCCTGATCTTCAACTCTTTCACAATGGGATGAGTTCGAGGAAGTTTGAGTAGCCCCTTAGTTATGTACACTTTCAAAGCTAGTGATTCAATTTGCATTTGTTCACTCCAATCAAACCACGAGTAGCACACCAATCTCCCATCAGGCAAAGTTTCTTTACCATAACATGACGCAGGAAATGAAATACGATCAAGTTTGTGATACTTTGGATGTCCAATCGATTCAATAGGGATCACGAAGCTTGATTTATCAACCAAGGGAACAATAAAACTATCTCTTCCCTGAGCTATTAGTGACATTACTTTGGCTACCCTGAAACCCGATACTTGGACATTATTGTGTTCTCGTAACAAGTCTAAACATTTGGTTAATTCGTCAATAATGCAAACAACATTTATGCTGTACCCATTGAATAAGTTAAACTGAACTAGGTTAGGATATTGTGCTGTTAGCAAATTGATTTTGAGTAATGCATCATGGTATTCAGCGTTCCTTTCTCGACTGAAATAACCCGTTTGTAACCAAATACGACTCAATTCGGAATGGTCGTGTTCTGCGTCAGTTTCAATGATATCAACAACTTGCGATATATTCTCCTTCAGATAATGTAAAGTCCCACCAAGCGGATCATTCAACTCGGCCAATGCTTCGATAGCAAAAAACCAACTTTTCGCCAAAGCTAGACCATCGGAAATGTACGCCCGACTCGACGATTTAGTAAGCTCAGTGTATTTCAATAACAAATCCTTGACTCCACGCAAATGGGTTTTCCAGGAAAGCATCTTGCTGTCTGATTGCTTTTGGAAAAACGCCATTGCTGTAAAGCAGGATGTTAAAATCAAAATTGTGAGAAGAAGCTTCTCAATATCGTTGGCCATTGTGGTTGCTTTTTCGTTTGGTTTGGGGAATGCTTCACTTAGAAGCTTCAAGCAAGTGGACGTATATTTTGACCTGTTCTGCTCATGGACTTGTTTCCTGTTCTGAATAAACTGAAATGTGACTGATGATGACAACAATGCAGCTAGCAAGTAGGGACATCCCTGCAGGTACTTCAATAGAAGTTTCAACACTGCATTTGCATCTATACCGTGAGCAAATGGAAATAAATGGTACCCTAACTCAGTTTCGGTCAATCTGTTGAGATATATTTCATGTGGCCCAGCCAAATCCAAACCACTGAACGCTGAATCAATTAATTCTTTGTTTGATATATAGCCTGAATTAATAATTGGTTGTGATTCAGACTTGTAGGAGAGTTCTCTCATGGGGAATTCCGGGATCGACAGTAACTCCTCCGAGCTTTGCACGCTGGGAGGGTAGTTGCCATCACCACTACCACCGCGATTAAACAGTCCATAATCATCATCATCATCCATATTGATACCAAAGATTTCCAAAGAGTCGTGAACAAGCAGGTTTGCGTCACCAAAGAGATCCTGAACCTCATGGGGAGCAATACTTCCCCAGTTGTAGTCATTCAAGAAGTCAATTTCTGGTGAAAGTACATCGGAAATCTTGTACTTTTTGCAATCGGATGGTGATGGACCTTGTGACTCGCGTTGTAGATGTAGCATTTGTTGTGGCGGATGCTGGAGTTGGTGGGGCTGGTGGGGTTGTTGTTGTTGTTGTTGTTGTTGTTGTTGTTGTTCCTGCTGCTGTTGCTGTTGCTGTTGATGTTGATGTTGCTGCGGGTTAGGATCAAATTCACCACTACCAAAGTTGACATCGACGCTGGACATAGAACTACCTTGTAGTAGTGATCTTGAGGACGATGTAGGTGTTCTGATGTCACTGTGATTGACTAGGTAAAACTTGCATGGGCTAGGTTGTGTATGCAGAGGTGGTTCTTGCTGCTGTTGTACCAAAGATTTCAGCAGATTATTCCATGAACCAACATGGTTGTTCGATTGTGGGTAGCCACAGACTTTGTTCAATCGAGTGCAATTGTGACAAAAGGGTTTACCTTCGTCACATTTGATTTTTCTTCTTTTGCATTCCTTACACCCACCTCTGCTATATTTTCGTTTTTTTATCACCTTTTTGGTGGTTGACAATATCGTTGAATCCATTTTTAGAACATTGAGATAAAGTAAGGTGTGTGTTGTTAGAGCTATTACTCGATTATTAAAAGTTTCAATTAGTTTTTACAGTTTTCGAGGTTTGGAAGAAAAATGAGAGCGGCTTATCGGACCAGAAAGAGTTGGTGCAATGTATTAGCCGCTGGTGGGAGAGAACAATGGTTCATTAGAAGTTTGCATATACGTTACTGACCTCTATGGTATTTGCGAGGCTCTTGGATCGCGTTTTACCAAATCCACTCTTGTGAACTATGGAGTTTACCATTTTGATGCAAAAAGATCACCATTTGACTTCCCCACCACAGAAAAATTAACCTCAAATGTATTGCGCTAAAAACTGAAGCTGCATTAAGCTTCATAATAAGGGTCAATTACCTCCTGACCTTCACATTGCGAAACGCAGAACAGTTCTAATGCGACAAATTATGTGCACACATATCTAACGCTTCAACTCGCAAACCCTTCACCACCACTACAAAAAGACCAAAAAAATGGTTTTTCAAATTCTAAATATTATTCTATTAATAAAACGTATAAAACAAATAAAAAAAAAGATATAAAACTAAAATAAATATACCTATAATACCTTTGTAAAACAAAAAAGAAAAATGAGCGTTATAAAAAAATGTGTAGTGGGGAATGTAGTTGTGAATCATGGGGGAGGGGATTGGAATACAACCAACACGTTGAAATAACGTAAATATTTGTGGAGTTAGTTAGTCAATGAGGATATTGATTTGAATCCGTATCGTCATCATGAAGAATGAGTTAGTGATTTAATGATTAATAAACGACGGAGGGGGAGTGGGGTGGGGGAAGTGGGCCTGAGGTCTGTCTGTGAAGTTTTTTGGTATAACAAGAATGGACAAAAGTTTTGGGGAAAAAACTGCCATCCATCCTCTATTCTATTATTAATTATGACTTCTTCGTAAACAAAAACAGGACACCTCACAGGATCGATGAATATATATGAATGGGATGGTTAAAAGAAACTCAAATGAAAAAGCATCAACAACAAGGGCAAAGTGACATAACAGATTCGAGGTCAATATATGGCAAATGTCCATCACCAGCATTGGGGACTACCAGCGAGGACAAAAAAAACAAAAAGCTTCCATGAATTAGGGAAAAAATATCAATGGAAACTAAAGGACCTCTTTTATTTCAAAAACAAATGACACCTACCCAAATCAACACTAAACCCAAATGAATCTCTCTCAATGTAAATGGGGTGATATTATTAAAAAAATGGACAGATTAAGGAAAATAAAAAAAGAAACACAGATGAAAACAAACGAAAACTCTCTTGACTATGCAATCAAAAGCTCTTTGCAAGAATAAGCTTAGGTTGATTTTTCGTGTTGAGTAGAAACTCTTTGCATAGAAACAAGGAAATCTTCCAATGATCTGTGGTCCTTTTGTGGTTTTCTTGGTCTACCGTTACAAAGGTTGTCAAATGATTCGGATGAAGACATAATGTAGTAAGCACCACCCATAACACAGAAGACACCAAATGACCAAACCCAAACTCTGACAACGGTAACAATATCAGTCCAGTTTTGTGACCACCAACCAAACAAGGTAAACATGGTGGCAATGATATCAACAATCAAGACGGCACCAGATAATTGCCATGATGGGATAGATGACCAGAATGGACCTTGAGCTCTGGTAATGAAAATCAACCAGTTTTCAGTCAAGGAGATTTGCAAAAACAAGATACCATCAAGACCACCGAAGTTTTGAACGATACCACCTCTTGGCAAAAACATAGTGGTCAAGGTAATCCAAGTACCGATGGCCAAGATAATACCCAAAACGATAGACATACCCCACAATCTTGGAGTGTTCCACTTTACTGGTTTTGGATCGTATGGAGCATTATCATAAGCGATAGCCAAGGTAGCAACATCAGCGAAAATAGCAATAAAGACAACCAAATCAATGTTCAAGGAGTGGTTCAAGATAGCAATCCACAAACCAAGGAACAATTCCAAGTGCAATGACAAAGCGATACGGTAAACAACATATGAGTACATACGGTGGAAAATTTGTCTCGAGGTCTTCAAAGCATCAATAATGGCAGACAAACCTGGAGCCAAGAAAACAATATCGGCAGCTGAACGAGCAGCATCAGTAGCACCTTCGACAGCAATACCAGTATCAGCCTTCTTCAAAGATGGGGCATCGTTAACACCATCACCAGTCATGGCAACCAAGTAACCTCTGGATTGCAAGATTTCAACAGCGTTATACTTGTGTTGTGGGAAAACTTCAGCGAAACCATCGGCATTTTCAACGAAATCAGCAATTTCAGAACCAGCCATGTCACCACCTCCAGACAAACCCAATCTGTCGGCATCGTAAATGTTGGTACCAAGACCCAATTGACGACAAGTTTCCTTAGCAATACCAACGGCATCACCAGTCAACATCTTGACTCTCAAACCCAATCTTCTAGCTTCGTTAACAGTGGCAGCAGTATCGTCTCTTGGAGGATCCATACATGGCATGATACCCAAGATTTCCCAGTGACCTTCACCTCTCTTTCTGGCAACACCAAGAGATCTGAAACCTCTTGAAGCAAATTCAGCAACAGTGTTTTGGTAGTTTTCATGGACATCTTCTGGAATTGGGTGGTCATCTTCAACAGTCTTCAAGACGAATAATGGAGCACCTTTAACACAAATAATACGTTCACCTTCTGGAGATTCAACAATGGCGGTAACCTTCTTGGAGACTGGGTCAAAAGGTTGAAACTCAATAACCTTGTATTTTGGCAAAGCAGCTTTAGCTCTTGGGTAGTTAATCAATGATTTCAAGAAAGCCTTATCAATAGCATCCAAACCCTTCTTCTTTCTAGAAGCAGCCAAACAAGCAGTCAACATCAAGTCATCTGGTTCAACACCTTCAACAGTGTATGGCTCGTGCAATGACAACTTGTTCTTGGTCAAGGTACCGGTCTTGTCTGAACACAAGATTTCAACACCAGCCAAAGATTCAATAGCAGACAATTTTTGGACAATAGCTTGCTTCTTAGCCAAGTAAGCAGCACCGACAGCCATAGTGGTGGTAACAACAGCTGGCAAACCAACTGGAACACCAATAATGGTGATAGCCAAAGTGTATCTCAAGATTGGAACAATTCTAACAGTTCTGTAGAAACAAGCAACCCAGACAACCAAAAGGGTAACAATGACGAAAACCAACAAAGTAGTACCAATACCATTCAAAACTTCAGTGAAATGACCTGAACCACCTGAAGCCTTGTTAACCAAAGAGGCAGCTCTACCAACGAAAGTAGAGTCACCAGTAGCAGTAACAAGCATAAAAGCTTCACCAGTCTTGACAGTAGATGAAGAGTAACAGTTGTCACCATGTCTCTTGTCAACAGCCAAAGATTCACCAGTGATGGCGGATTGATCAACTTGCAACAAGCAATCTTCAGAAACAATTCTACCATCACATGGAATAACAACACCATCTTCCAATTGCAAGATATCACCAGGAACAACTTCGTTGGCGGCAACTTCAGACAATTGACCATTTCTAACAACCAAAGCAGTGTTGGCCAAGGACTTTTTCAATTCTTCGACAATTGAACCAGCTTGGTATTCTTGGATGAAACCAACAAAAGCATTCAACAAAAGCAAGGCACAGATAACACCGAAATCGACCCAATCTTCCAAACCAGCAGCCAAAACAGCAGCGGCTTCCATAACGAATTGAATTGGACCAACGAAAAACATGACAAATTTCAAAACCATATTTTCGTTTTCTTCAGCCAATTGATTCAAACCATATCTTTTTCTTCTCTTGTGGACCTCGTCATCGGTTAAACCGGTTCTTGGGTCAGTTTGCAACAATTCTTCAGGAACGGCCTTGAATGAAGCTCCGTCATCCTCTTCCTCTTCCTCTTCATCGTCACCTAATCCCTTGTGAGATTGCAATTCTTCCACCAATTGATCAATATCGGCGTCATCATCATCAGATGCGTTGGCTTTGTCAACCTTTTCATTAGTTGGTTCTGTAGCACTCATTTTTTTCTCTGTAACTAACTAACTTTGTAAAATTAGAAAAAAAGAAAACAAAAAGATGAAAGGGTATAGGTAGTGGGAAAAATGAGTGAAATAGATACTAAAGTAGTAGAAGTAAAAAGGGGAAAAGAGAAAAGGGAAAAGAAAAAGGGAAGAAATTGGGAATTAAAAAAATTGAAAGTGAAATTGATGCAATATATATCTCTTGGTTCAAAAGAGAAAATGGAAAGGAATGGACGGCATTAGAGGAGGAGAGACGAAAAAAAAAAAAAAAAAAAAAAAAAATCTCTCAATGTTTTTTTTGAACAAACAAAGAACTAAATACAACAAAACAAAGTAAAGTATAAAGTTATTATAATAATAATAATAATAATAACAACTATTGGTAGAAGAGGAAGAAGAAGAGATGCAAAGTAGGTTATATTACTTGAAAAAACAAAAGAAAAAGAAAAGAAACGGTGGGTAGTAGTATTTGTGACACTTTGAAGCTAGGTTTAACAGGCAAGTAATCGGGTATTAGCAACATTTTTGAGTAACATAACTTCTGCACAATGTATTATTTTGCTATAACTACATCGGCTTAATAATGGTTTTATTATTGGGTAATAATTACACAAACAAAGCTCAACAAACAAGCCCGACATCAGTACACATAGATATACAAATGTTACAATAATATTGAGACGATTTGATAAAACAAAAGAGGCTCGCTCTTATTGGTTGATAAACACAGGGTATAAAACACAATGGTGTAATATGGCCTGGTGCCCGTAATATGGATGAATGGATACATTGCATCTAATACTTCAGTTGCTATTGCATATAATTTGGTTAGAAAGAGGGAAGGAAAGGAAGAAAATATATGGGCGGCTAACTCCACCCGGCCTACACTCATTTCTTTTTCTTCTTTATGTGCATCTTTTGTTTATACTTTCTCTTAATCTAGAAAAACAAATATTCACAACAGTCTAGCTATTATTATTGTTAATATTATTATTACGTGTGTATTTGTTTTGAATTCCTGCCAAACGAGTAACAAGAGGGCTGCTTTGTGCAGCGTCTGTTAGTTGCTTATACAAGAAAAAATCAAAACAAAACAAGCAAGCAAAAAAGCAATACAGAACGATACTAAGCTCATCTTTAGCCGCTGAATAGAAATGCAACAGCACTAAAGCATACAAAGAAGTTACAAAATACTGAAAACAGTTTACTTTTAAGTAAATGTTGTACTTTCCACAAAAGAATATAGACTAAAGAAAGGAAAAAAACTGGACGAAACGTATTAAAGAAACAGCAATGATGAATAATAAAATGTGGTATGAGATGAGCTCATATTGTGGTGTGTTGTGTGCTACTCAGGATCTTTACAATCGATTATAAAATTCCATCTCGTCCTCTTTTACCTCCTCAAAATCCACGATTTTGTTCAAGATCAATTCTGCTCTTTTTTCCCAAATCTAAACGATGTTTCATTGAGAAATCCTCAGTTCGTATGGTGTTTTGTTTGTTATTGTTTGAATGGAGGGAAGTGTACCTGTGCACAAAATTAAAGCAAAAAAATAAAATATAAATTCCCTCAAATTAATTACACAAACACAAAAAAAAACAATTTTGTATCTCAGTACACTACTTTCTACTTTCAAATAACTAATAACCGATCAATACAAATTTTTACGAATAGAGTCAAGTTAGCTTGTCTCTTTCTGTCTCATTAAACGCCGATCTCTATATAATACAAAACCCAGTTGGAAGTAAGTAAAAGGCGGGATATTTGAGTCACAAAACAAATGTCAAAAAAAAAAAGCAGGGTTACTCCGGTTATATCTCCGATCGGCCAAACTGTTCCAAAATAGAAAATATCTTATTAGTAAGGAATGGACCACTTTTGTATCCTTGCCCTGGCGTAAAGCCGAACATCGTTGTTCCTTAATGAATTACCGAAATACAAATCATGTTGTCTACTTTCCATAAAGGACTAATTTGGCCCTTCCTTGCCACCCGAAGGCAGCGTATATGTAAATGAATGAGCCACAGTTTTCTTTTGTACAGGCATACAGTCTTTCTGCGCTTTACTAAGTAATGGTTAGGTCTATATGTGCCTTTTCGTCGTCTATGTAAGGTGTAAAACTCCTCTTTTACCAGTTGCTACTACGTCACACGAGTAATTCAGAAATGATTATGATGCAATATTTATGGCGATCCTCGTTTTCCTTTGGCACACAAGTTTCATACTTTGTACTCTCTCATGAATGCTTGTTTTATTTTCTTCATGTTTCGCTTAAGCCTTGATGAGGAAGTTACAAGACATTAGCAACGGCTGTAACGATAAACTCGTCCTCTTTTTACATTATTGTCTGGATATTATCAGAAATATCGATCCGAAATTGCAAGCTTGAGACCCGACAAACTGATTCGTCACTCAATAACACATTGACCAAAAATTCCCATTACTTTTCAACCTGGCGTTAATTATGTGATAGCTGTCTTTTGTCCTACGACCCAGCAATGAGCATCTCGTCTAAATTTCATTGTGTTTTGCTCATCATTTTCCAATTGCTGGTTGTTTGCTCAAATCAGATTAGGGTTTTAGCCAGCCCTATCCTGTTGCCATTGCTACCAAATTGAGTTTTACAAATTTCTTTTTTTTGGAATGCATCACGTGATGCTATTATTACATACACTGTTGAACGTTAGCCGTTTTTCCTAAACTTTTTGTGACTTGTGTAGTTCAAGTAGTAGTTCAAATTTGTCTCTCTCTCTCTCTCTCTGATCATTGTCCGTCTTACTCCGTCTCCCTTATTTCACCAATTAAATTGCGGATTACAAACTTTTTGAAACTAAAACACCACTGAGAGCGTCTAGAACACTCGAATGCTCAATCTTAGTAGTTCCCATCTACAGAATTTTGGACCTGGCACCAGCTTTACACATTATTTAAGAAGCACTCAAATCGTTGACGTAATCTAACAATAAAGAGATGTTACATCTCCATTCCCCCTTGTGTAACCTCTAAAAACAACCAACAGCTATATTTTCTTGGTTTACTGAATTAGAGTAACAACTAAATCTCTCTAATTCTGTCTCTTATTTTCGTTTATTTTTCTTTGCAATGAGGTGGGGGGACAGAGTGGAGCGATGGGGGGAGGGGAAGACCACAATAAAAAGTGGAGGAGAAGGAGATGTACACTGTTGCAATTTACTTACAAGATTGTCTATACCATACCCAATGGCACAATGTATCTACTCTTGTGTATACACACACTATTTCTCTCTCTCTCTTACCAAATGATCTACACTTTATTCGCCTCTTACTTGTTCGGGACTATATGTACCTTGCATTTCTCAATCCACTCTTTGCCATCTTTGCGGTATCTCTATACCTCTGAGATTTCACCCATTTCATCTCTATCGTCCAATTAACATGCGTTAAAGGTTCTTATATCACTCCGGATCCACAATGGCCGATGTGAAACTCTCAAGCAAAAACGTACGAGCTTCTTTTTCCTCCTCATCACCATCCCCTCTTTGCTCTTTATAAAAGTTTGTGTAGATTTATACAACCTCCCTTCAACGGTGTAACTTAGTGCTTTTGTGTGTTTTAATAAAAGCAAACGTTTTGATCTTCCTTGCACGACCAATTTTTATTTTTGTTTTTTTTGTAGTCTTAACGTCGGTTATAGCAACAGAAGTAGTGTACATATTGCTAAACTTTTCCTTTATTTTGTCGGCCGTAAGAGCCACAAGAAGTACTTTTATTTTTCTCTCTTTCACATCGGAGTTAAACTACTATCTCTATGTTTTCCTCGGATATATATAATTCGCAGAATTCCACTTTCAAAGTAAACCCGCTTAAATCCATACCAACACGGTTGATTCCCGAGATCATGCGGGTCCGAAGACGAGACTTTATTCCCTTGTCATTTGTCGGCGCATCTGCAAGTTGCGAATCTCGAATTGGTCATCAAATATGATCTTGTTAAGTACACAATGCTCTTATAGAGTGAAGGGCTCTTGAGAGAAGAGGTGATGAGACTAAGATTCAGTTTCCATAGTTTACGTTTTGTTCCTACCAGAGTAATCACTGTATATCCTGTCTTCTTATTGTTTCTGACCACACTTAAACGTATGATTGAGTTTGCAAAAAACAACTCGTTTAAAAAATTTGGCATCATTTTCAGACAAAAATTTTACCAGATTGCAAAGTACACCAAACTCAACGTTTACTTGCGCCACCTTTTCGTTTCAATTCCTGTATATTTACACAATCTATCTGCTACTCTTGACTTCTCATTCGTTTGTTTTCCCTCAGAGCTCTCCATTTCCATTTCAATGGTCTAAACTCCTTTAAAATCAAGTAAATCACTGCACCAATAAATCTAAATGCTGCCATTCCAGCAACAATCCACAAGATAATCGTTAAAAACACCTCAGAGTTACCTGAGATAGACCCGTCTGGGTTTGTCGATGACCTATTTGAAAGCAAGTCAACTCCAGCAGCATCCAAAACAATGGCAATCAATATGGCATTGGTAAGCATCCACACCAACACGGTAATTGTACGAACAAATGCATAATAAGAGTCATCTTTAATCAGTCTTGATTTGACAATGTCAACTTCTTCTGGGGGCATGCTTCGAAGTTGTTCAACTTTATCTAAATATGTATCATTGAGACCTTCAGTAGTATCGGGAGCAATCAACAAGATATTATCCTTGTCTTCACCCACGGATTTGGCTGAGCCCAAGTCTTTTGCTCTCTCGACACCCTTTGTACCCCATGAAACATCATGAATATTGCAAAATGAATAGATATTGAGTACATTGACATAGGTTGGGGACAACAAAACGTATTGAACAAATGACGTAAACATAAAGCTTGGCTCACCATACATAAAAGCACCGACAAAATACAATGTGTATGTAGAAACCACTGACACAACAAGATCTCTAAACTTGGTATTGGTGAATACCATCGACGCTGTGAAATCATGCTTGTGATCCTTGATGATTGCTTGTGCAGTATGAACAGCGAGAAAGATGGCTGCAAATATCAAATACGCCATCATAACTGCAAACAAGTAGGCAATCACCTGATAAAACTTTCTTGTCCCACGTGGGGTGTTTCCAAATGCCAAAACAAATGTACAAACAACGGACCCAACATATATCCATAGGAAAATTATTGCCAAATACTTACCAGTCTCGAAATGCATATCCTTTGCCCCCAAATTGGCAGTCAAAATTCTAAACACAAGAAAGAATGAAGCCAATGAAAACCACGACACTAAAAGTGTAACCAACTGATAATAAAACTCCAATTGCATAAACAATTTCCGTAAAAGTGAATGATTTGATCGCCAGAGTTTTGTCCAATGAAACACGGCATAAGCTGCGGCAAACAATGATCCATTCAACCATCTTCTTCTTTGTAAAACAAACTCGTCAATGCTTTCGGGAACATCAGTCTCGGCTTTTGCTTCCTTGACGTATCTCAACATGTACTTGTGATTCCTCTTGGCAACCAATTCAAAACAAAGAATCCTATCCTCGGCTAAATACATGTTGGACGTAAAGATACCGGCTTCTTGGAAGTTGCGTTCTTTAATCTCTTTTTCATCATCTTCAGGGTCATTAATTTGACTGTTTAAATCCAAATACTCCCCCTTGAAATATTTCTCCAAGGGACCTTTCCCATTAATGTTCAAAAGAGCCTCGTATCGATAAGCACTGAAGGCGCCCGGTAATACCGAGATGAAACCAAACACGCTTTCCATTGGTTTATCCAAAATATTTGATATCTTGTATTCAAAGTTTTGTGCTGCAACCAATGGGTTTGCCAACAATCGTTTACCAGTTCCCAACGAGGCTCTCATTTCACCACAAGCGCCAGCAACATTGGGGTCCTTGAATGCACGCCAAAGATAATAAAATGCATCTTTTGATGGTTTGGTACCACAATCTAACAACATCACCACCTTGGGGTTCAATATGGGTGCAAAAGCTTGAAAACACCAACGATGCGAGTTAATCTTTCTAGCGTTTTTTTCCTTGAGACAAAATAAGAATTGTACCGGCATTGAGTTGGGAGTTAAGTGAACATGATCATTAATGGTGTCTATCCCAACAGTGGATGTATACTCATAAATATGTGCTTTCACTGGTTTATCATTGATTTTTGATTTAGCATAACCATCTTGAAACAAGCCAAGTGCCGATAAAAGAATTTGCGTTCTCTTGTTCAAGTGGATTCTTCCATCACTAACAATACAAACAACAACTTTTTTCCAAGAATCATCCCCCCAAGTTGAATCAGACCGCTTTTTCAAATCTGCTATATTGTCAAATATACCCTTTAATGTCCTCGCCAAAAGGATTTCATCCTCGTTATACATGGTGATACAAACCATAATTTCAGTTTCTCGACGTGGTTCATAAAGTGCTTGACGCAAGTTGTATTTGTATTTGATGTAATTGGATGGTCCACAAGTGGCGGCAGTATACCTCAAAAAGGACATTTCTCTTCCAATATCGCCCACTTTTTTACAATAGGTATCGAGTAAAGCCTTTGGAGCTGGTGCATCAATAATATAGTTACCATTGATGAGTCTAGCCTTTTTGATGGTCTTGGTATATTTTAAATTATAACCTTTTTCATCAATATCATCATCAAATGTAATTGTTGATCCTCGGCTTTTGGTCTTTTTGATTGAGTTACCAATTCTTCCTCTGTTTAAAGTGGTGTTTCTTCTCAAAATGTCATCGCCGTCTCGTGAAAACAAACTATCGTCATCACCACAGAAGTCAAAATCCTCATCATCTTCATATTCCGCATCAACAAGTGGATTGATAAGGTAATCTTCGCCGGTAGAGAATGAAGGGTGGTTCATATTGTAAACCAAGCCGTCATGATCTGTACCATAGTCTTCATAATTTTCATAAAATGGATTATCCAAGCCTGGATTGTATGCGAGGGGTGGGTATTTCAAATCATTCTTGAAGGATACTGTCTTTTCCCTCTTGGGAGCATCATAGTCAAACATATTGTTGTCGTTATCACCATCATCATCATCATCATCATCATCATCGTGATATTTGTTATTGTGGTATTTCTCATCGAAGGTATTACTTACAATTGTTCCAAATGATGAGCCTGTTGGGTATCTCAAACCTTTGGGTCTTTGAGTACTGAAATGTCCTCGCCTAGAGTTACCCAGAAGCAGACTTCCACCACTCAGTGAAGCCAGTCTTCCAGTAGGTATGGTTGAGTGGTAACTTTGGTTCACTTCTGATGTAGTTGGATTTACCGTATCTACATCGTCAAATAAGTCGTCATCTGACACATAATCAAACGGGTTGTGCGACATCTCACTGTGGCTTTGGGAGGGGGTATATTGCTATTAAAAGACTGTCGTGGCTTTCAATGTTATACGAATAACTAAATGCAAGGGCTTTTAAAGAATGGGTATGTTGAAAAAAAAATGGGCTTGTGGTGGCTTTTGTTTGCGTAAAATCCAGGGGGGGAAGGGGTGGCCAGCGGTAAATGTTGCTTCTTTTTCCGTAATGAGCTTCGATACAGGCAATCGTCCTGCAGTTGTGATCAATGATGGTTGAATATAGATCCAATACTCAATGCTTTCGATAATAATAATTCTTTTCAAACTCAGCAAGATAAATTGAATTTTTTTAAAAAAAGCCACCCATCCTGCTCTTTTACCTGTACCTTAGATCACTGGTATCTCGCCATTATTACTATTATTATAACCACAAGCTAAGTCCCAATTGAGTAACATAATTGGTGTAAACAAAACAAATAAAACTCCATATCTTTTGTGTTGTATATGTTACATTAATCTATTTAAAGTATGTTTTTTTTTTTTTTTTTGTTTACAAAATGTCTCAATTGGGTAATGCAACAGAAACAAAAAACAAAAGGGGTTTATAATTTGTATATGCAGTAATAGTGTTAGGATACAGATTTACATATACAGATACGAAGTGTCACAGCCACACTATGATCCACCATCACTTTACCCAAAAAACTTTGCATACTTCGACTTTTCCTTTTGCTTCTCTCTTTCCAATGCAGATTCCACATCTTGCAACTTCTTCAGTATAAGATCATCATTGGGAACAAGATTTTGTGCCTCCCTCAAATCAACAAGTGATGATTCCAATTTATGCGACTCAAAGTAAGCAAGACCTCTTCTGAAATAAGCTTTAGCTCTTTCCTGGTCAGAAACATCTTCCAACTCCAAGAGAAAAGTACAATATTTGATTGTATCGCCAAACTGTTTCAATTGTAAAGTTACCAAACTCAAATTCAAATAAACCTTTTTTTTCAATTCTCTAAACTTTTTGAAATACTCAGGATTTTGATCCTGATCTGGATCAAACTCAACAATATAACGCAAACACTTTCTCCATTTCAAATGAGCTTGCTTCTTGTCACCCCTTTTAAACAAGATTGTCCCACTCTCTTTGATACGCTCAACAGCCGTGAAAGCAGATTCTGTAGAGTCTTCCTCAATTGTTTTGTCATCATCTGGATACTCTTCATAAATATCGCCACCCGCTTGGTCATAGCTAGCATTAAAGACTGGGACATCCATGGACTCATCCCAAACGCCACAAGAATCAATAACGACGGGCACAGTAGGTTCGTATTGTGAAGTAACACCAACCCTCTCGATTTCCCTTACCACTGATTTTCCATGTATCACACATCCAAATACTGTATGTTTTTTTGCCAAATGAGGCTGAGGATAAGTGGTGATGAAGAATTGATCACTGGTTTGTTGCAGTTCACTATTGGCCCAACAGAGACTAAATGTGGGGCAACTTTCACATAAATTTTCTTCTTGAAGAAGCTTGGTGTTGTCATTCTTGTTTTCCGGTTGGCCAATACTATTCTTTTGTGCTTGTATGATAAAGTTTTTAATCACCTTATTGAAATGGGCGCCTTTATAAGTTTGACAACTTTCATCTATGGCTCCACCACGACATAACGTGAGGAAACGTGCAGTTGATTTTGGAGCTTGTTGATCATATAGTTCTAGTACAATACGCCCAATTGACTCTGAATTGATACTGATGTCAAAGTAAGCTTTGGGTTGAATTGATTCTATTTTCATGGGGGGGAGGGGTAGTGTAAGTTTGGTGGGAGGGTCTCAGAGATGAGCCAAACGTCTTCGACTGCAAATTGTGTGGAAAAAATAAAAAGAAAAAAGTAGAATTGCTCAAGTGGGATATACTTGCCAGTGCATGGCTCCCAACACTACGAATCCCACACAATGCTAGCCAATAGAGTGACAATTCCTATTAAAACAGCACCAATTAGCTCAATTTTCATCAGGTACTCCAGTACAAGCTACGAGTCGCTCCTTCACAACTCAGTGGAAAGTGTCAGCCAAATATTGGAAAAAAGTGATCGATCGTCATACATCTTGGCTCAATATATCCCCGAGCCAGCCAGAAATACATTCCTAGCCATAAGAGCTTTCAATCTTGAAATTAACAAGATCAATGAAGGTGGGAAGAATGTCCAATCTCGAGCATCTATGGCATCAAGGCAAATGACGCAAACATTGGGAGTGTCGACTGGTGATTTGAAATTTAAATTTTGGAGTGATTTACTACTACGAGTATTTACTGAAGATTCCGATAGTCTGAAAGATTTGGGCGAGCCGATTGCAATTTTACTCAGAGATGGATTAAAGAATAATATGAATATAGATTTATCATTTTTGCAAAAATTCCTACAAACAAAACGTTCATTTATAAAGAATAACGCATCGTTTAGCACCATTAATGAAATTTGCAGCTATGGAGAAGGAACATATTCACAATTGAATTATTTGACTCAACAAGTTTTGCTATCTCCATCCATTTCGCCATCTTCGATTCAACTTTTGCAATATTCCCCCACTCTACAATCACTCCTTACTGACATTGCCGCTCATATTGGTCAAGCAACAGCAATAGCATCAATGATTACTGGTGTGAGGTACTACGCCTCAACAAGAAACCAAGTGCCCCTTCCAATTGATGTGATGAGTAAACATGATTTATCACAAGAGGATGTTTTGAGATTATTTCAGGGGCACACAGCCGACGCAAAGAATGATCAAGATGTGCGTCACAAAATCAACCTGGTGGTTTATGACACGGCAGTTGTTGCAAATGACCATATGTTGACAGCAAATAAAAAACTTGGCGATTTTAAAAAGGAAGTGGCTCAAGTCATTACCTTGCATTCAGATGACAAAAGTTTTCAAAATTTTGCTAGAAAATGGAGAGGGAAAATCCCTGATGCCATTTTTACCCCCTTGATGGTTGGTATACCCACTAGTTTATACTTGAAAAAATTGGAGAAACACGATTTTGATATTTTAAACACCAACTTACAACAACCAGAGTGGAGACTTGCTTGGACATCGTTCAAGGATTATTACTTGCGGAAAATATAGTGGTCGTTGGGGTGGGGAGGGGGCCCTGCCGTATATACAATCTAGCATTTGGCATTTCTTTCCCCCGTTAGTTTTCAGATAAGTCTTTTTTAGTCAATATCTTGATAGGTTTGAAATCAATTGGTGTAGTGGATGCATTATTTTCTCCCTTTGGTGTATCACCTTCCTTCTTTTCGCCTCTCTTTTTGCGATTACGGTGCCTTCGACGAGACTTTGATACACCAGATACTTCGTTCTTGTTGTTTTCCAGCTTAGAAGCAGGAGTTGTTTCGTTGCTTTTGTTATTATCCTTGCCATTGCTTGCAACAGTTGCTACCTTGCTTCCTGGTTCATGAGCCTGTGGTTTCCTATTCCTATTCTTCTTCTTTTGTTCCTGGTTCTCCTTCCCTTTTTCTATACCATTATCAACACCTTTAACATTCTCTTTCTCCTTGGCCTTACCGTCCTGCATTTTTTTCTCTTTAGCCTTTTTTTCCTTCCCCTTCTCTTTCTCCCCTTTCCCCTTCCCCTTTCCCTTTTCCTTTCCCTTCTGCAAGTCCTTGTCCTTTTTTTCTTTGTTTTCCTTCTTTTCCTTCTTTTCCTTCTTTTCCTTCTCTTCCTTGCTTACCTTCTTGCGCTTGCTGCTTTTTGAAACCAGAGCTGATTGATTCTTTTTCGGTTTCTCTTTCAGTTTCTTGTTCAACGCTTTATGAATCTTTTTCAAATCAAATTCATTCACACCCTTGTCCAAATATAAAAGAAACTTTTTGTAAATCTCATCGTCTTCCAAATTGTCCAATTTCTTATCCTTTTGTGGCTCTCTCTTTGAATCAACAATGTAATCAGAAGTGATCATTTTTGGGAAAACTGCTTTTTCAACAATAGGAATAATAGAGTCCTTCTCATCATGGAAAGGTTTGTTCTTTACAAATGAGCAGAACTCGGATGAGTCTTTGGCATTCTTGAAAGTAACGTAGGCCCTACTGTAAACGGGAACTTCAAATGGCGTCAGTGGATATGACCCTTGAACAAAGTAATGAAGCTGTATTTTCGAGGCATGGTGAGGATAAATATTTGCCAATTGGTTTAAAAACTCGTCCTCTTTGAGTCCCGGTGGTAGCAACCTTAAGGAAAGTTTAACATTTTGTTCTAGTTCATCCTGTGACGTCCTTTTGGAGCTTAACTTTGTAGTAGATGTACCCTCGAGATTATGGTTTGTGCGGTTGTTACGCTTCGGTGCTGCAGAGGATATGGCTGTTTCTGGGGCTCTTGAGGGTGCAATAGACGTCATCACTCTATAAGGAAGTAGTGAATCACTAACGCTATTGGATTTGTTTCAGCTAATTTTATATTCTTTCTGATTGGAATATGGTAATGAAGTGTATAATCACAATTTGGCTTGTCGCGTTCATTGCTTTTGCTTGTGTCCTTTTTTTTTTTTTTTTTCAACATTTTTTTTGTTTTTTATTCAACGTCAACAACAACTTTATCACCTTTCATATTCAACCAGGTATCGAACACAAACATTGGTTACATCTTTAGTGTTGACAACCAACTTTTTTCTCCTCTTAGACTTAGAGACGTGCATAAACGCCAAGCTTTTTGTCAACTTGGAGTTGGGATACTTCTCAGAATTGAGATAATAGAAATATGGACTCAGATCACCATGCCATTTCGAATGGCAATTGGAATTCAAAATGGAGGGACGGCTACGCCATAAGTATTGATCCCATTACTCTCACCGTGAACGAGTGCATGGTGATGGTATCGGCAATGAGACGATCAAATAGGTGGGCCTCAGGTGGGGTTTCTTCGTTGTTCAATGCGGGTGATTTTTTTGGAAGCAGAGAAGATGATGAGACGTTTTCTGACAGCTTAGACATATCTTCCATTCTTAATAACCACAGTTCCAGTTACGAAAAGAGTGTTGACGCAAACAGCGTTGGTGGGAGCACAACCAAGCACCTGCAAGGCAATCCATTACTTTCGTCATTTTTGCAACTACGCACGATTTTGTTGGAATCTGAAAGCATATTTGATATAGACAGCTTGACCATTCTTCAACCGTTTTTGCTAGTTATTAAATCATCCTCGACGTCTGGGTTTGTCACGGGGCTTGCGTTGAACTCAGTATCAAAGTTCATCACCTATGGGGTCATATCTACTAAATCAAAAAATTTACAAAATTCTTTAATACAAATTGTGTCATCACTTACTCATTGCCGTTTTGAAGCTGCGGAGCAAAGCTCTGACGACGCTGTTTTGTTGCGAGTGTTGCGATTGTTGGAGAAACTCATGGAGAGTCCCCTCGCCATTTTACTCCCCGATGATAGCGTGTCTGAGATTGTTCAAACATCCTTGTCTTTGGCATGCAACAAAAAAAGAAGTGAGGTGTTGAGAAGAGGAGCAGAGATGTCGTTGGCCTCAATCACGGTAGTGATATTTGCTAGGCTAAGAGACATTGAACCAGACAAGGAGATTGCCGTTGATCTCCAAACAAACTTTTCAAACACACAACTACCTGAGGATACTATTGGTGGGACAGTAGCCGAAAATATTCAAGCCAATGTTTCACAAGAGCAAATAAGTGTTCACAAAGATGATCAACAGCAACAACAACATGTGCAAGACAATTTGGAGCCTCCATTTGGAATCAAATGCATCAATGAATTTCTTGGGATACTAGTATCAATAATATCCCCATCAAATCAATATCAGCACATGGAGAGTACTCGAGTGTTTGCTTTATCGTTGATAAACACTGCGGTCGAAGTTGCAGGATCACAAATATCGAGACATTTGTCTTTATTGACAATGATAGCGGACCCGGTATCGAAGCACATATTGCAGATAATAACCACCACCGAATCGTCAGCATTGTTGAAACCTGCACTTCAATTATTTTCCACGGTGTCTATTGTATTAGGAAGGGAATTGAAACCGCAATTCGAGCTCTCGATGATGTTGATTTCGAGATCCATTTTGCCAAAACAAAAAAAGGATAACAAGAATGACCGCACAAGTAGTGGAAACTTACAAAACAGATCTCCCATTGCGAAAGAGCTTCTTTTGGAGTCTTTGAGTTTGTTATGGTCTCGAAGTCCCACGTTTTTCACTGAACTTTTTGTTGAGTATGATTGCGATTTTGATAAATCCAACCTATCGATTGATACAATCAAATTTTTGTGTCAGTTGTCATTGCCAGAGTCAGCACTCAATACCACAGTGAACGTTCCGCCTTTATGTTTGGAAGGGATCTTGCATTTCCTAAATGGTGTAAATGAAAGATCAAAGACGTTCAGTTCGAATGAAAAAGTTTCAGCAGCCAATGAGTATATCAAGAACAAGTTAAAAAAAAGCGCCTTCATCAAGTGTACTGAGGTGATCAATAAAAAACCCAAAGACGGGATCAAACTTTTAGCATCGGAGAACTTCATCGCTGATGAGAAAGATGTTGCTGAGGTTGCTAATTTTTTCTTCACCAAAGCAGGCAGATTGGACAAGAAGATGCTAGGGGAGTTTTTAGCCAAGCCATCAAACTTTGAGATCCTCCAGCATTTCATCAAGTTGTTTGATTTTGAAGGACTAAGAGTTGATGAGGCCCTTAGGGTTTTGTTGAAAACGTTTAGACTTCCTGGGGAGTCTCAACAAATTGAGCGAATCGTTGAAACGTTTGCTCAAATCTACGTTTCTTGCCAGAAAGATGGTTTGCGTGAGAACAAGCCAGTCTCATCCACTAATCATGATGATTCTGAATTGGAGGATGACGAATCAGATGTTGTGAAGCCGGATAAGGACTCCGTGTTTATATTATCCTATTCTATCATCATGCTCAACACTGATTTGCACAATCCACAAGTCAAACGCCAGATGCTTTTGGATGACTATAAACGGAATTTGAGGGGTACATACAATGGGAAGGATTTCCCCGATTGGTATCTTGCGAAAATTTACCTGTCGATAAAAGATCGCGAAATCATTATGCCGGAAGAGCATCATGGAACTGAAAAGTGGTTTGATGATGTGTGGCATAATTTAATTTCAACCCAGGATTTTACGCAAAGAGGGCATGTAAATTTAGAGAATGATTCAACTTGCGAGTTTGACAGGGAATTGTTCAAGTCCGTCTTTCACGATATCGTCGACATGATTATGATGATATATAAGGAAGCATCAGATGACCATGTGTTGACGAGGTTGATGTCATCCTTGGACAAGATTTTTAATATATGCTTGACTTACGATATGGAGGTGGAAATTGATGACCTAACATGCAGGTTAGTCGAGTCAAGTAACTTGTTGAAAACAACCTTGCAAAAAGTGCACGTTGATGATAACATTCGTCCTGAGATTCCTATCACTCAAATCAAAATTGAGGGCAGAAAAGGTGAGTTGTATGTAAGTGACTTGGCAGTATGGTTTGGACGCAATTTCAAGGCACAGTTGGCCGCTGTGATGTTATTCAGATTGATCAAGAAGACAAGTTGCAAGGTAACCAAGTCGTGGTACAAGGTAATTGAAGTTTTAACTAACTTGTTTGAGAATTGTTTGATTGAACCCAACATATTCCTAGAGTTTCAAAAAAAGATTCAACTCGGACCACTACCAAAAGTTCCTCCCATTTATGTGATCAAAAGGGCAAAAGCTTTGAATAACTCGGGCCTTTTGTCAACTTTCTCGTCATTCCTTAAAGGCTACTCGGATGAGCCACCAGAGCCCACTGACATTGAGGTTGAGTCAACCATTTCAACAATGGACTGTTTGAAGTCATTGAACGTCCCTAATATATTTTCGATCATTTCCAAGAGTGAGCCGACGAATCTACTAAGGTTTATACACTTGTTACTTGCAGCGCTTCCTGATTATTCTGAGGAACGAAAGAGGGTATACGAGTCAGAGACCTTGTTCATTTTGGAGACTTGTGTTTGCTTTTGCTTATTGTTGAATGATGAGCATCTGTTGCAAGATGTCTTGCGCGAACTCAGCAATCGCAATTTGAGCGGACATGGCGAATTGAGGCTAATTGCTTACAAGTTGCTTTTGTTGCGCTACTGCAAAGATGAATCTGAGTTGATTGCCACTGTGAAACAAGCTGCCTTGGTGGACAGGGATATTGCAAGCAAGCATGGAACGCAAATTGTGCAACCATTGATGTCTTTAACAGATGAGGACTCTTGGTGTTGTAAGATCTTGCTCAGAGACGAGTCCTATTGGAACACAATGAGATATTATGGATCCTTACAAGCTTATGCCTTTGACATGGTTCCTTTTCTTGAAGCCCTCATCAAGAGCTCTCAGCAAGAAGTTACACCAGATAACTTCCTTCCAATTTTGGGACTCTTAGATGAAATTTCTTCTTTGGGTGCTATCGGATCGCAATATGAATGTGAAAGTGCAAATGCTGCTGTCAAAAATGCGGATGATCTGTATTATAGAGAGGTTGTTGCGCTTTCTAAAAAATCAATTGACTTGACGTCGACTCTAGCACTGACGCTGAAAGCAGATGATTTTCAGAAGCAAGATTTGTTCTACTCTACAGTACAAGCATTGGCTCATCAATGCTTCAATCCATGCAGAGAAGTTAGAGAGTACTCTGTCAAGGCCCTTTCCGCAACAGTTTTGTCTTTTGAAACTAATGAAGAAGTCACCTTTGATGGCATTTTTGAGTTCAGTCTCTTTCCATTGTTAACCGAGTTGACCAAACCTGAGGTTTTTCAAGGGGGTGTAAACGGATTCGATAAAACGTACAATGAGATATTTAGTCTCTTATGCAAAGTGGTTTTGAAGCAGATGGATAAATCGGATGTTGGTACAATCGCCAAAGTGTGGACCGAGCTCTTAAATTCTGTTGAAAGATTTCATTCCGCGAATGAGAAGTTCTTAACTCCAGAAATGAAAGAATCAAGTTCTGAGAGTTTGAAAAATTTGTTGTTGGTATTGCAAACAAACGGGTTCTTGTCTGAAGAAAATCCTGATATCTTAAAAACCACTCGAGAGAAAGTGGGAAGATTATTTCCTCATTTGAACAAGGAATTGGGTTCGCAACCAGAGGAAATCAACCAGTCTGGAGAGTAAATAACTTATATAGATAATGATAAAAGTAGACTTGGGTATTACGTTGTGTCGTGAATTTTTCGCTTCCACATCAACGAAGAGAGATGAGAGAACAAAAAAAAAAAAAAAATTTTGGCTCAGAACCCCCATTGCCGTCTTCATACAATGGTGACTAACAAATCATATCGTGAGAGGTCTGACACAAGTTCCTCCCCCGTCACTAGGCGCTTGTTTCATTTAATGGAACAGAAACAATCAAATTTGTGTGCGTCAGTGGATGTTAGAACCACCAAGGAACTATTATCATTGGTTGACAAGCTTGGACCTTACATATGCTTGGTCAAAACACATATCGACATCATCGATGACTTCTCGTACGAGGAAACTATTCTTCCCCTACTCGAGCTATCGAAGAAGCACAAATTCATGATATTTGAGGACAGGAAGTTTGCAGATATTGGAAACACAGTGAAGCATCAATACACTGGTGGAGTCTATAAGATTGCCAAATGGGCAGATTTGACAAATGCACATGGCGTCACTGGTGAGGGGGTGGTTAAAGGATTGAAAGAAGGAGCTCAAGAAACCACTGATGAAGCTAGAGGATTGTTGATGTTGGCTGAACTTTCGTCAAAGGGCTCTTTAGCATACGGGGAGTATTCTAAGAAAACAATAGATATTGCCAAAACCGACAAGGATTTTGTCATGGGATTTATTGCTCAAAACTATATGGGAGGCACCGATGAAGGTTTTGATTGGGTAATCATGACTCCTGGGGTTGGTTTGGACGACAAAGGCGACAATTTGGGTCAGCAATATAGAACAGTTGATGAGGTTATATCCAAGGGCACGGATGTGATAATTGTTGGTCGCGGCTTGTTTGGAAAAGGAAGAGACCCTGTTGTTGAAGGTAAAAGATACAAAGAGGCTGGCTGGAATGCATACTTGAAAAGGGTAGCAGCCGGCAGGTAAGAATATTTAATCATGCTATTTACAAAAGTTATATATAGTTTGTCATGGAGCTAGTATCTCGGACTCATCTATGTTAATGGCTAGTCTTGTTCTTGTGATTTCAAAAACAAGCAAAGCCACCGAAGTAGCAGGAATCGTTGTCACTGCATTTCTGAAGAATCCACTATATGCAGCTTTGAACCAAGTGACTTTGGCTTTCTGCTTCATTCTCAATACTTGATTGAATGTGTCGACATATGAATTGTAGTACAATTTAATAAACGGCTTTTCTTTTCGAGTTGATGCATTGAATATATCCAACGCTTCCAATCTTGACAAGTGGATCTTTTGAACTTTAGTCACGGGATACTGGATTGCGAGTAAAGCAAAAGCGGCAGATGCGCCCGCAATCAATATGAATGATGTCTTTAGAAGTCGTTCCAGTTTGTACCTCTCTAATCGCTGCATTTTTTCGTCAACCTTGATCTCATCCCAATTGAAAATTGACTGTAGCTTTCTCTTGATCGTTTCCTCTTGATTGCGAAGAAATTCAAAAACCTTAAAAGTGATTGTGTATCCTTGCGTTTTAATGGTTTCGAAAGTTGAAAAGTAAAATGCAAACCCGAAACTTTCCTTAATCAAAGAAAAGCTGTACCCTGCAAACACTCCTACTAGTCCAATCTCTTTCAACTTGTTGATCCCAAACTGCCACAAATTTTGATGCGAACCTTCGATCATTTCGGACACCGACAGTCTTGTGTAGATTGCGTCCACAGGAGCTGCAGCAAGAGACTGCACGACACCGGCAACAAATCCGGCACGCCATGTATCAATCGGTGAGTACCAGTGAAATTCAGCATTGTGAACTGTTTCCCTTTTTGAAGTTAAGCGATCCAATGTATTCAAATACGTCGCGTATAAGATAATCCCCGTGGCTGAGTTGGCAATAAGTGGTGGCATTACTTGATCTGGTATAAATTTCCATCCTTCTTTTCGGATAACGCTAATGAGCATACCAATCGAAGAGTGTGTTCGAAATTTATAGGGTTTCTCGTTGATGTTGTTGTGTTGATTCGCAAGTGCCCGCACGTAGGCCAAGTAGTCGAATCTTGATGGGCGAAATAGCTTTACGGGTGATCTTAGATACAAGCTCTGTATTTGGTAGGCTATAGCTCGTATACCAGCAGTCAAGACTGATACTGCTTGATTACTTCTCTTATGCTCCAAAGCGCTATCTTCCACACCCATCTTACCAGTATCATTGTATACGAACCCCCTAATAGGAATCATCGAGTAAACTTCTTGACATTGTGAATTTTTCAGCTGAATATAACAATCATCGCCCATCATATAATCGTTAACAAATCTAAGCTCAGCTTATGTCGGAGCATTTATTGTGAATACTAGTGCCAATCTTTTGATAATCGAGCTCAAAAAAAAAAAAAAAATTCAAACCGTTTGCATATTGCGCGATCAAATACAAGTTGTTTAATAAAGCACACCTAACAAACAGAAGCGGCAGTGCTTCACATAGCAAAGCGCCTTGAGTCAGAGTGTGGTATGCCAATACGGCAACCATCTAAGCTTTCACGACAAAGCTATTCCGCTTTTCGTAGGGGTAGCACCGAGACCCTCAAGTCTAACTTACAAGCGCACCAAAACATAAAACTGTAAATCCAGAAGCAGCAAACCCGCTGTACCGGTTTTGTTGAGGTGCCAGTAATGCATCATATAGTAGCCAAACTGACAAATTCAGCATTCACCTAGTTTGGGAAGCTCCCACATATCAGTTCGGGCTCAAAACGCGGATTTCGGTGTTAGTGCACGTGCCTACACTATATTAACTACAAATTAACTCCGTACCTCTAAAAATTTTGACCGAGCTTCGCCGTCTTGGGGCACCCAAAAAATTCTATTTGCGATTCAGGGGGTGCAAAAACTGTAATTATCTAGAAGCTGAAGCTCTACTGCACTAGTGTTGAACCGTTGCCGGTTTCCGCTTTCCTGGCAAAATGCTTATTTTATGAGACTTTTTTCTGTAATGCGCTATAACTTTGCTTAGAACAGCCTGAGACGGCGCTGGAAACACCCATTGTAACCCTGAACCCTGCTGATAGCAGCCACAAGAAGGAAAAGGGACCCTAGATGTCTGTAGCATAACATGTGCTTGGAAGTGAAACGTATAGCTGCAAAAAAGATGTTCGATCAGGTTTCGATTAGGTGCAATATTTTTGGTGAGAGTGGTTTGTATAGCGCACCACTTTTAGGGGGGAAGAAAGATTGTGTGTGCACTTTGTTTTTGTGCATAAACAAATTCCCACACAAGATTGCAGTAATTGAACACAACCTCCTCTTCAAAGGATAACTTGTGAACGTGCTATCTTCCAATACGGGACGTCACAATCATTATAGAAATTACTGTAATCACTAGAGGATGGTGAATACTATGCCTGATGCCTGCCAATTACGACTAAGTTTCGAGACACGGGTTCAGTAATACTGATGTGCCAATTTTAGACACCAAATGGCGATCTATCATCAAATCGAGTCTCTGGATGACAATCGATCATTCAAGCTGGAGTATCATCAAATGAATGAAGAGGATGGAGGTTACAGTTGACAGAGATCAATGGCTACGGTAACTATGTCGGTCACAGGGGAGGTGTAACAGAGGTACACCAATTGATTGTGCAGTCAGTATTTAGTGTATTTGTCTGGGTCACAACCGTTTGATGAAGTTGATGAAGTTGATGAAGTTGCAAGAGGCGGACGTTTCAGACATGATGGATACTGATACTGATATCTTGGCCCACAACCAAAGTGCACATTGCCCAATTTTGAAATGAACCGAGCGCGTCCTTGGACTAGAATGAGTAGTGTGTGTGGAATACACTCTCTCGAATGGTTGACATTATAGACACAATAGAGATGATGGACTATATGCGAGCTCACTCAGGGAGCAGGTAAGTGCAAATGCCTTGATACTAGATGTTTTGTACCAGAACAAACACAGTTTCTGGAATCCACGATTGGAGGCTGGCACGTCAATTGGTTCGGCTAAAGCATGATTTCATGCTAGTCAACTTGAAGGACCGATCTTGTCCTCAACTTGCTGCAAGGGTCGCTGATTGTGGTCGCAACCAAACTTCTGTCAATGAAAGAACCTGGCACCAAGATAACTTATTCTAAAGTCAGTTGGTGGATGAGGGAAACCATACGAGATCCAATCATGAGCACTGTGGTGATCGTCATCCAAGTGGACCCCCAACCCTGTCTAGTCATGGACCTGCCCAAAAGCATTGAAGAGTCATGCAGCCACATTCGATGAATAGCATCATAAAGAAAAAGGGAGACCATCTCATTGAAACGGAAGTAGACTCGTTGCGTAATGTCTTTCAATGGAAATACTGGCGAGCCCAATATGTTTATAGATACTATCTGATACACACCTGCCACTTCCTGATGGTAGTTACAGATTCTCAGAAACCTGAGTGGAGCGAACGTGAGGTGCTATTTAGGAATATCCTCCACTGGTGATGACTTGGCAATTACATAATGGGACATGCTATATCAAGTAAATTGTGTAATATCGATTATGGTACACAAACCAAGCAGTAGAACTCAATGTGAAATCAGTCACAAGACTCTGCCAGCCAGTAAGAACATAAACCCTATGGTAACACCTACTAAGGAAGCAGACGGAAATAGAATGAACGAAGCTGGAGGACGCAAAGTAGCTGCAACAGAACAAAAAAGGAGAATGTTAACCAACGAGGATGGGTGTTTTCGTGCGCCCCGGTCCTAACGGAGACGGACATGGGAACACCCCCATGTAAAATAAGCATCGACTTGTACAAAGGAGCCTACACCAAAATACGAAACAGAGACCCCGCGCCCACATTGCAAAAGAATAACTATTGGAAACTGTTACGTATGCATAACATGGTGATTGCCTCTATGGTCAACGAGATTCAACTTGACGACGCCACTTACTCAATAGATTCAGATTCGGCACTATTTCTTTTCTTTAACATCTCTACGTTCTGTATAATGTATTGAATGAACAATGGGAATCAATCTCGGTTCTGAGTGCATCAACACGCTAGTATAGGTTGCCTCAAGACATCAAAGAGAAGTGGTCTCTGCGCACCACCCAAAGCTGTGCCCATAACGCAGTCTTTTGACACTATCACTGCACACTTACTCCGAAGAATTTGGACCACGATACCAAGGCTATTGCACCAGTACATCAAGGATTTTGCACCCGTACATCAACGATTTTACACTAACCCACCAAGAATGAATACATCCACACACCTATTTTGAACATTTTCATCAAAAACGAAAGACATCCATGCAGTAACTGCAGGCCCACCCAGAGACCTATAGTAGTAACCTAGTCATATTAAGTTAATGCCGCAGATCCTTTACACGAGACTGCTTACTTCGCTAGGAGAAACAGACCAGCGTCGAAATCGCAAAATTCGAGCTGATCTGACTACAATATGGGACAAGACTATAACAAAAACTCACGATAACCACACCCAGTGTTGAACTTGTAGCATAACAAAACTGGCGACTTTTTACATAGCGAAACAAACTTCCTTAAGATACCAATCAACACTTATGTAACAAACCAAGTTGTACGGAGGGAGCATCGACATAGATTTGTAGCACTTAGAGCGACCAATTCAAGAAGAAGCACAAGGTGATTATTTCCTGGAATACACTCTTGCGCGGCGTACAAATTTTGTGAAAGAAATTTGATGAAACTTTGTTCCCAGATAATCCGCAGTTCAAAGGGGACTTCCTAATGAATACTTTTTTAAACGTAGAGACCCTCCTGAAAACACACGCAATTATGCCAGTGCAAATGGTTTTCCTGGATTTATTGAGGGCCTAACCCACAAGATTGCACTGGTCTTTCACGGCGTGAACAAAAAGATATTCATATATAATGATACTAAGAGTTCGAAAATTCGTTGCCTTAAGCCTCAACTCTAGAAGAAAGTTTTGTTGGCACTAATGCTCTTGTATGATTTGAACAGAGCCATATGTTAAAAAACTTCAACAATAAGTTTCTGGCACAACTAGGGTGATGATATTGAGCTAAAATTGAGAGTCATAACATATGAATAAAGGGGGCTCAGCAGTAGGCAAATAGGCCAAACGGCGGAATAATAACACGAAGCGTTCGAAGAAAATTTCAAGTACAACTAAAACACGGGCAGGACAAAAATCTCAAAAAAAAAGATTTCCCGTAACATGAACTGCTATATCTGCAAAGCAAACTGAACAATCGGGATTGGGTTTCAGGGCATTCTCCATGTAATTGGGGATTCGCGTTGTTTAATATTTGAGAGATCAAGACTCCGAGTTGTAACTTACTGTGTAAACTCAATATCTAAGTTGGGACGCTTTACCTCCTCTCAACATATGTTCACTTGAGTGAATCTCAAAATGTGATAAGTTATTCAGGAATTCGTATTTATATTACTCCCTTGGGGATCTGTTAAACAAAACTTGATTGCACGTTTACCCTTGATATTTTTAGACGACTCGTAATAACGAAGTGTAATCTGATGTTTGGGTAGTCTGTCTTTGCCTTGCAAAATTTAAGAATGACCCAAATTCATTTGTGTAAATTTAGAAGCTACTCAGTAACTGGTATTTAACATACATGGAGAGCATTATCCCATTATGCAAACAATCGAGATTTTTGTTATACCATAATTCCAATTTTTTTTCCCGAAATTGAGATCCCTGTTATCAGTATACATTCAATCGGTTGTTGATACGCGCAAAATCTGTAATTCCAGCCCCGAACATTATCTTCGAAAACCAAGTGTTAGTTCTGTGCGATACTCCCTAAAGGCGGTCACTTTTCTTTTTCCTAGCGTTTGGATCAGTATCGCAGGTGCATGGATGTGTCAAGTCCTTAATGAGAAAAGGTGCAAAATTTATGTGCGAATACAATTCAGCCTATTCTATTCACGTTGTGAAAATAGTTGGTGTGTGGGTGTAAAAATATTGGATGTGTGGTTGTAAAAACATTTCAAAAAACTTGAGGTAAGGGTGCAAATACTTTGTCAATAGGTTGCGGTGAGAATGTAATATATGGGCGGCACCTGTGCAACTTGTACTGGTGCAGGGGGTGCACTCTGCGCAAAATTGATTATATGTGTATGTACTATACACAAGTCGCAGAGGTATTACATCGTTGAATTAGGGTCGAATTTACGTGAAGCGGAACTGACGATCATCAAGTGGGTTAGCTCTTGAAGATGTAGGCGTTTATCATACATTGAGCCCTCAGTACTGACCAACAATAGTATTGTCAAGCATTAGAGGGAGCTCCCTGTTCGGCATGTGTTGGACAAACTCTTACAAATGTTTGGAGGGGTTCTTATATTCACCCACCTTTTCTTCGGGTTGAGCTCTTTGTTTTGGGCAGCGAGCCGTGTTCCCCACCTCAAAATGTCTCATAGTGCTAACAAACTTTAAATTCAGCCTTCTCTGACAGTGCTAACAAATTATTGCGTCAGCACAATCAATCGATCACACGCTCTGTATTGAATGCTTGTTATTGAGGTGCACACACCTCATTAGCGTTGTCCACTTGGAAGGAGTGATAAGCGCTACAATTGTATTGGCCGGTCTTCAGCTTACAGGTCTGTGTTGCGTTTATCAAGCATCGACTGCAAAGCACTAGCACACCTGCTTGCTCGAAAATGAATTTTCATACAGAGCAATTCGAGTCCAGGGAGTCAAAAACACCAGCAATCCTTGACATAGAGGTTTTGACAGACCCTTTCAGGCAAAGGTCGAGTCGAGCATTCATCTTTGCCTATGATACTTGTTCACTGAACGAAGACGATACAGCGGCTCCTCTATACTTAGGTTTTCGCCAATGAAGATGTAACAGCTGTATGATTCTCCCCTAATTAAATTCGTGTTTTGGGACTCAGCAAACCCTTGATCCACATCCATATGCAGCAACATGTATGTGGTAATGGATCTGTCTGGGCTGAATATTTGCGCATTCTTTCTCCAGGAGGTTTGTAAAATAAATACGTCTTCTTTTATTGTAACACCCCTTTGATGTCGTTCAGGATTTAGTCTCAACTCGCAATTTTCATTGCATTGACATTGGAAAGTTTTGATTTTATTTGTGGCGATCGGAGTAGAATAGACTGACGAAGAGCCGCCGAGACACACTTAAGTGAGGACTCCCCAGAAGGCATTCCGCTGTGCCACCTTTGTTAGCGGTGTTGGACTTCTTCAACTCAAATCAAGGTTTCAATGGTGCACCTTTGCAGCCTACCCCTCCAAGTTCTTCCCAATCAATGAGCTAATGGCACTCCAATATATCCTTTGCATCACTCTCGGAAAGGTCTCGTGTACCCGACATCTTTGTACACCTGACGTCTTTGTACACATTGTAACTGCGTAAGCAATCGATGCACCTCTGCTACAAGTCACTCTGTGACTATTGTAGCTACCGTAGCCATTGATCCTTGTCTGTTACGAGATCTATCCTCTTCATTGAGCTTCCCATTTTGTGATACTCCAGCTTGAATGATTGATTGCTATCTAGAGACTCAATTGGATGATAGATCACTACTTGGTGTCTAAAACTGACACAATATCACCACTGAACCTGTGTCTCGAAACTCAACCTTGAATGGCATCAGACGTAGTATTCACCATCCTCTAATGATTTCAGTAATTTCTATAATGATTGTGACGTCCCGTATTGGAAGATAGCACGTTCACAAGTTATCCTTTGAAGAGGAGGTTGTGTTCAATTACTGCAATCTTGTGTGGGAACTTGTTTATGCACAAAAACAAAGTGCACACACATTCTTTCTTCCCCCCTAAAAGTGGTGCACTATACAAACCACTCTCACCAAAAATATTGCACCTAATCGAAACCTGATCAAAACATCTTTTTTGCAGCCATACGTTTCACTTCCAAGCACAGGTTATGCTACAGACATCTAGGGTCCCTTTTCCTTCTTGTGGCTGCTATTAGCAGGGTTCAGGGTTACAATGGGTGTTTCCAGCGCTGTCCCAGACTCTTTTAGGCAAAGTTATAGCGCATTTTAGTGCGCATTACAGAAGTCTCATAAAATTGGCATTTTGCCAGGAAAGCAGAAACTGACGAAGTTTCAACGCTAGTACAATAAAGCTACAGCTCCTAAAGATCTACTGCTCCTCCACCCTTTAAATCCATAAAAAATGAAAGTTTTTCGATGCCCCAGGCCGATGAAGCACGGTCAAAAATCTTGAGGTGTACGGAGTTAATTTGTAGTTAATATAGTGTAGACACGTGCGTTAACACCGAAAACCGCATTTTGAGCCCGAACTGACATGTGGGAACTTCCCAAACTAGGTGGGTGCTATACCTTCCTCCCTAGTCGTGGTTGAATTAGCGGTCTCGTGATGTGAAGTTCACTTCTGATATTTTCTCGAAATTAAATTTGTCTGAGTCAAGATCAATTGACACGAAAATCTTACTCATCATTCTTGATGATGCTACCGACAAAATTTGTCTTCTATTCACGATGTTTGTGTGCCTACTCGTCAGTGTTGCATTGAATGGAATCCCTCGAGGAAGGGGGCTCTAATAAGAGTGCAATGGTTTAGAACTTTTGGTATAAAAGAGAGGGAAGATTTAGCATTATTGAGGAACAAGGTTGCATTATATTGTCAACCAAGAGAATGGTCTACCCTAATTATAGCTTCTACAACAACAAATGAACGACATATAATCAATTGGCCAAACAAGAACAACAAACCAAAAAAAGCAAAAGAAAAACAAATTGAGAAAGAATAAAACTAAAAGGAATCAGTGCTGGCTAAAGAAAGAATCTCAAAGTCGGAATCAACCTCATCACCACCATCATCGTTATCCTCAAAAACCTCATATTCATAATGATCATCTTCACGAACAATTGAGCCACTATTGGCATCAATATAATCGGACAAGTCCACACTCTCACGGGCCAAAACTGGCAAAACCATCGAATGGAAAGAGGATGATTGTGTCGCTGACTCCAGTCTTGTAGTTGCATTTTCGTCAAGGAGTTCAAATTCCTCTTTTGTTGACGAAATGGAGGCAGAATCCCTCCCTTCTTTCCACAACATCAAATCTGCTTCGTGTTGACCTTCGGCAAAAACACAAAAGGCTCTTTTCTTGTCTTCAACGTAAAAGTCCATACAAAGAGGGTATCGGGTAATGGGATGTTTCAAAATGATGTTGGATTTTGTTAAACAACCCGGGTTAATACCATGAGGTTTGTTGATGACCAGCTCCAGAACTTTCACGTCCTCTTCATAAACCTCAATTCTCAAGTCATTACAACTGAAAGTGGTATTCGAATTGTTTTGCAATTCAAGATTCAAAATCACTGATGATTGAATTTTGTATGCAGCGTGGATTAAATGAACACCACCATCAACCATGGACTCGTTGAACAGGTCATTCACATCAATCCGTTTTCTGTCTGCATCCTTTGCAGTAGAAAGAGATTCTGATTCTGCTGAATCCTCTCTTGGGCTTTCTTTGAGTTCGAAATCCATTTGAAACAGATTATTTTCAATTTTCCTACTTGTCATGATCATGTTGGAGGCTTCAATCACCAATGTTGCTTCGTCTTCAAATACAAATCCCTGAGGCACCGCATCCAATTTGTAAAACTTAACTTGGCCGGGTTTCACATCAGCAGTCTTGATTGTGGTTGAGTACTCTTTTGCATTTGCATCAACAAGATTGACTTTAAAGTCTCCACCCTCAATTGACACTTCAGATTTGTTAATCAATTGAATACACAGCTTCGTTGATGTTGATCCCAAACTCAAGGTCACTATAGCGTCACATTTTATTTCTTCTTCTTCTTCTTCTTCTTCTTCTTCTTCGTCTTCTTCGTCTTCTTCTTCGTCATTATTGGTTTCCACGTGTAGAGCATCATTTGCAGAGATGGCAAACGCTTTCTTCAACAAAAAATCCTCGACACACAGTTCCAAATATTGATGCTTCGCACCTTCGTGGGGAAACGACAAACCATTTGCGTCCAAAATTCTTAAGAGTCGTGAATACTTGTCGCTCCTACTTATAATGCTATCAACTTCGTCAATGAAATTCTCAAATCCCTTTGATTGAAGTAGGGTCTCTAACCTCACTCTGTTGGCATCGGAACAACTGGACAACGGAATGTCGTAAATAATATTATCAGATCTAGTATTGGGAAATACATTACGCCTATCACAGTCTGAATTCACACCATTGACATTAAACTTATCATTGAAAATATTTCTGGAAAAAGTATCAGGTACAGTAACTTTCACTGTCGGATGCGAATAAGAATGAGTGCCATACGTCAACTTCTCATCTTGCTGTCTTCTTTCACATTCAGCACAAAGATCATAGTTTGGACAAACCAAGCAACAATATCTAACTCCCTTGAGGGGAATAAAGTCGTGAGGGCAACAATGGTCACAAGCAATATTTGTATGCACAACATCAGCTTCTTCAACGGGATCAATCTCTCTTTGTGAACTATGGGAGGCATCGGCGGCACCTTTAGCAGCAGCAACAGCAGCAGTGGCAGCAATTTCCGTTTCAACTTTTTGTGTAGTTGCATCGGTCTTGGATCCAGTCAGTTTGTGCTTATTTTCAACAAAGAACTCCTTAAATTGTTCCAAAGTTGCCTCAAGTAACAAATCTCCCAATCTTGCAAAATCAATCGATGGATAATGGTGGGATAAAGGGTCAGTGGTCTCTGTTGTTGTTGTTGTTGATGCTGTTGGTATGGAAGAAGATGGGGAAGTTTTCGTAGATGACGACAATGGCTCTTGACCCAATGGCGATACCACAACATTCAACTTGACATGATTCTTAACCTTTAAGCTTCTACCAAGTGATTTGAAATCCTCTTCATTATCCAAAGGTATAAAACATTTGTGTTTTTTGGATTTTCTTGTAAAATTCAAACCATTAAATTCTTTTGGCAACAAGTCTGGCAACTTGGTGTTTATATATTGAATCAAAGCATCTTTTGAATTGATGGATAAGAAATCATCTTTTCTTGCATGCAATGTCTTTTCAACAAAGCAAGAAGCCTGATCTCCTTCTCCTTCTCCTTTTTTTCCACTAAGGACATTAATCTTGATGGTTATCATCTGATCTGATTTGGGCATAGCGTAGTAGTAGTAATAGTGGTAGTGGTAGTGGTAGTGGTAGTGGCAATAAGGGGGATGGAGTTACTTTTGATGATAGCAAACAAAGGGGTACGGGGGAAGTACGAGGAGTGTGTGGGGGGGAAGTTTTAAAGGCAAAAAATAATAAAAAAAATCAAAAAATAATAAAAGTGTGATAAAAGTGTGAGCCAAGGGGTGCGTGTGTGATGTGTGTGAAGTGTGGAGATAGATCCAGTAGCAAAGCAATTGCAGTTGGTTTCGTATATTGGAAATGTATGTGATAGTAGTCGGCGTATATGTGTATAATAGCAGTCACTTCCTGTTGTATTGTGTGAGTGATGAGTTGTGTGGGGGTGTGGTGTGTGGTGTGTGGTGTGTGGTGTGTGGTGTGTAAGTTTGGAATGATAAGGAAAAAAAGTGTATGATTACAGTCTCCCTTACTTTTGGGTTTCTTACTTGAAAGGATAGCAAGGGTAATGTACATTGGTTGAGAAAGCAAAATGCTTTTAGCAAAGAGCGCACTACCTCTACTGTATTGTAATTGTCATGTCGTGTAAATAAATACCAGAAAAATGAAAATGGGACATTGCAATTTAATACGTCTTATCTTTAAAGTCTTTCGTTATTGCAAGCTCATAAACACATGACAGTATCAAAATACCCGGAAGCAGTAGTATTTGATCTAGACTACACCCTATGGCCTTGTTGGTGTGATACTCATATATCACCACCACTAAAACCCAAGTCACAGTCACAAATTATTGATTCTTATGGTATGAAACTATCATTCTACCCCGATGTAGAATCAATAATACTAGAACTAGTGGCAAATAACGTCACTATAATAGGAGCTAGTCGAACAGCAACTCCTTCAGTGGCTAAAAAAATTTTAAATCTACTTCACATCAATGGTAAACCAGCAATTCAATATTTTGATGCTCTTGAATGGGGACAAGGTTCTAAAACCAAACACATTAAACTAGCAGCAAAACAACTTGGTATGAACGAGGAGCTAGAGAAAGGTGGGTTTATTTTGTTTGACGATGAGTTGAGAAATAGAGATGTTGCTAGTATCAATTGTCATTTTGCTCATGTTCCTAATGAAACATTGGGGTTAACTAGAAATGTATTTGAAAACGGGTTACAGTCATGGGCTAAAACTGCAAAAAACATTTGACAAGTAAAAGCGGAAAAAGTTTCACAGTGATATGATTGTGATGATTGTGGATCATTATATATATTGGCATTAGACTAGATTTTTTATAGACAGACTAAGAGTATAGTATACACGGCTTCTTAGCAAGTCACGATCGCAACAGGTCTTTGGTAGAATAGGCTCAGTTTGACAATAGCACACAGCCATATTTCAGTTCCTTCCTTCCCTTCTTCCCTTCTTCCTCTTTCAGTGCACAACTTGAAAACTATCGATTGTCCTATTCTCATTATTGGGGTCTCGATGTATACTCTCAATAACCACCGTTTCACTTGACAAGGTATCATCATTATCATTACCCTCTAAACTACTCTCACCATCAGATTCTTCTTCGTCAGCACCACCCCCACCATGTAGATATTGACGTATTGTTGTTTTCAAATGGGGAAATGTATTAACAATCAAAACTCCAGCGCCAACAACCGCGACACAGGTAATTAACGTAGGTTTCAAATTTCGTAGTTCAAATCTCCTTTTATTAAGTCTAAGAGCCATACTTTTCTTTAACAACTGTGGTGGCGTTTGCAGTAACAGCTCTACTTGATGATGTTGCAATGGGTATATACTCTGATGTATAAAACGCTGATGCTATTAGTATAAGTATTATTTTTTAAAAAAATTGTGGCGGGAGATGCTCCGCAATATATAAATTCCTAAGTTAGCCAGCATGTGACATTAACCGCGGTTAGAAAAAATTCATTCAACCCCCCTCGTCTCAAATTTTTCTTTTGCATCAATTTTGAGCCAAATTTATTGGAAAAAACCCTTAATAGGTGTAGTAGCAAGTCCGAAAGACGTCCTTTCAAAAACTCACTTACGTCTACATTAGAGAGGAACTAATTTCAAATCCCATAAAACATTATCATTTATGTTAAATAATTGGTGTATACTTACCAACACCTTCCCTTTTCTCCCATCTCCATCTGCTTCCGATCAAGCTCCTTCCTCAACTCTTCTTCTCCAAAGCTAACGACAATTGATATTGTTCTTCAATTGAAGGACATTTCTCAAACCACGCATCAAGATACTTTTGAATCTCAACAACTTCCAAAAAATTGTATCCAGCATTCTTAAATCGATCAATGCCAGAAACAATATCACACGTTTTGGCACGTTTGGCAAAATTAAGCATTCTAGTCCTATTCAATAAATAATCAGGATTGCCATGAAAAACAAATGTCAAATCGGATAAAAAAACCCCAAAGAACGGAACACATGGCTCAGACCCAATAAATTTCAAAACATCCCGATACTCATTAAAGTTACGACTTGAATTCATCAATTTGTTCATGTTCTTAAGTAAAGTCAATGAATCAGCACTAGCAAAATTCCAAGTCTTTTTCAACCGATGTATAGGCGATGAATAAAGCGCCGAGATGATTGCCGTCATTGATGAAAAATTGTTGTATTGACGACATTTTTCAGCAACTTGAATAAAGTATCGGATAATTTGTACTCGCTTCTTGGCATCAGATTTTCTTAAAATCATGTAAGCAACAAAATTGGTCAATTGGTTGGAATACTTGATGAACTTGGTTATACTTTCAATACTTTCATTCAAGCCTGATTTTTTACCCCATACTTTGGCCAAACATGAAAATTTGGAAATAGCACAATACATTTTGAATTCACGCAATGTTAATTGTCTTGCAAGTTCAACATAATCAATATCCATTAATTTGGTCTTTTTAACAAACGTGGAACCTTTAGTCAATGGAGCTGGTGGTTTGGTGTTGGGAATCACTGGTTGTCTTTCAACTGTATATATCTTACCACCCAAAAGATTCTTCAACTCATTTGACAACAACCGTCCAATGGAAAAAGATTGTACAGCGTCAGATGAAGCAAAGGTCAACCATTTCTTGATGGCGGATTCATTGAAATATGAAGGTGACCAATTCTTTTCAATCAACAACTTCATTATATTCATAACTCGAAGCCGAATGGGATTCTGTTTGCGCACAATCCAGTTATTGTACTCTTCAAAGGCAAGCCCTTCCGGTGGCTCAATATTGAACCGCTCAATCAAAAGTCTAATCAACTCAGCTAACGGCATCATGGTGGCAAATGTCAACAAAAACGCCGTATTAAATTGACTATCAAACAAGTCATGATGCGTCAAGTGTGCCACCAAAGCTTCCTTTGTGCCACCTTTGATGTTTCCTTTTACATCCAACAACAAATCATTTTCATGATCACCTTGCAAATACCACGGAACATCTTTGGCACTAACTTGGCCACCACTAAAGTATGAATGATCCTCCAGTTTCTCAGATGAGAGTGTATTGTTTCTTTCCATCAATAATAGTTGCACATCAAATTCATTGTGCATGACTCGTGTAGCATAATTCAAAATTGTTTCCCTTTCTTCAATCAATTTCTGCGTAATCTCAACAACACTGGTACACGCACCAATACTATCTTGTAAAAGTCCAGATAGTACGTCCTCCGAATCAACATCTTCTTCTGCTCCACCATACACTTTCTCTGCTCGTCCAAGAAGAACAGTTGACAACAACATGGCAGTTTTTTCGTTATCATTTTTCAAAATATCCTTGTCATAAAACAATGGATCTTCATTATCCAAATCCTTGTACCACGGACCAACTTTGCCAATTGATAGTGATTGAGTTGCCATAATAATGTGCAGAACCAAAATATGAAATTCTTGTTTGAATTGGAAAAAATCCAACACAATGGGGTAGTCAAACATGAGATTGAGATCAGTGCTATGACGATGGCCCTCGAGTGATAAGGCATTGAAAGCCTTGTTCACATTTGTGAGCTCCTTTCCATCTTTGAACTCGTCAGTTTTAATTAAACAAAAAACAGTAAAATCAAAAGATTCCATAAGGTCTATCAAGGAGCTAGAATGATGGAGAAATCTGTAAATTAGTCGCAAAACTTGTGAGTTTCTCTCCTCCAAAAAGCTAGCTTCGTTGGTAGTTGACGGTTCTGTCTCAATTGTGTTACAGGCCTCCTCGCCAAGTTTAATCATTTCCGCCAGATAACGAGAAACTGATTCCAAGACTTGGTGATCGAGCAATACTTTGGTATGATGTTTATTCTTGAGTTCGTTCCCACTGGCATTCAAAAAGGAGTTTTTGGCAACAAAGAATGGATTACACCAATTACCACCATTGAACTCCCCCAATAAAAACCTCGGAATAGTCTGAGGTAACACATCCGCCCTCTCTTTTCCTTCTGCATCAGATAAGTCGGACGAGTCATAGTCTTTCGCCAGTACTATTTTATCAGCTGTCAACTTCATAAAAATGTCAATAAAACTATTTGTGCATTTCCTCAAAAGAAGAATATCTTTTGTTATTCGCTCAAGTGTAGGGTCCTCCACATTGCTACTTTCTGCATTAGCTGCCTGATTGGTAGACCCAGATATTTCTTGTGTCATATGCATTTTGTACTCATCTTTGATTGAAGTCATTGAATTGAGACGCACCACGTCTGGAGAAGCTTCCTCATTTTCGTATGCATTCAAGTACAATATGCAAATCAAGTACAAGTGAGACATGGTGTGGCAAATAGTCCTGAGCTTTCGCCTGACTATACTCTCATACTGACCATTAACATAATCATCCAGATCAAGCCGTGAAGATGCACATACTATAGCTACCAATTTGTTCAAACGCGAATAGTGGGTATCAAACATTGATCTTTTCGGATTTGTGACTGACTTCAATAGTAAATCGAGCGATGAATCAATTTCTTGTCTTAAAGCAGACCATTTTGTAACATCTGACCCATGCTTGTAGAACAACCCGTCCATTGCAAATAGTGGCTTGCTAAAATTGTGGTACGATGCATTTGTGCTTTGGGTACTTAGGGACGAATTTGAGTCCCTTTTCGCTGAGTCAAAGGATGGTGTTATAGAGTTCTCTCTTGGGACAATTTTTGGATTGCTCGAGTTCCGAGTACCAGTGATATTCACTGCCAATACATTTTCAATTGTTTCAGCATCTGGATACTCCAAGTTTGGTGGAAATCCCAATGGATCAAAAGATAACAATGGCAATGACTCACAATAGATATTCAATTGTTGACAATAAAAAACAAAATCTCCCGAAGTAGTTGAACGAGGCACCCAAGTAACTGTTTTATTGTTTCTAGTTCGGTATTCTTCTGCCAAGTACTCCGCTTCTTCTAGACCTGTGAGCCTCAATTCATCCATGTTGTCCAATGTAGATAGATGATGCTTATGTAAAGAGCTTACATCGCTCTGGGTTGTTTGAGTTTCCTGACTCAAATTTTGACTGAATGAGGGACGCTTTGGTAAGGCATCCGTGTCTAAGCTGTTGGTCCCTTGCTGAGCCGAGCTTTTAGAATCTGAAGGAATGCTAGTTTCAGAACTGGCAAAACTAACTACCGAATTCTTTCGAGTAGCATTGGATGAAGAATTCTTTTCCGAATCCAAAAGATTCTTTTGCAATAGGCTCGTAAACGAAGGGATCAAAACGTTTGCTGCTGTGTTTGCTGCTGTTATCGAATCCAATTCCTTATTGTCCTTCATTTTCTTTAGTACAGGTTGAACATAGTTGACAGAACGAACAAAGGTATTTGGAAACCAGCCTCTACGTGCCCCACCGTCATCATCAAAGATTACACCGTCCCACCAACCAGTGGCAGATTTGGCTAAAACGTAGATTGTATCTCCTAAAACCAATGACAAGTGTGACTCTTGAGACTCCTGAAAATCATGTAAAGCAATGACAGTGTCAAGCGGTTGTAGCTGATCTGCTCTTCCGGTGTGAGTATCTCCGGGGGATACTGCATCCGGTGCAATTTCATCAAACAATGGGTTATTTGACATTTGTATGAAGTCCCTTATAATAGGAAGCAAACTTGACAATAGAATGAAACAAACACTCAGTTATGTAAATCTAGCATAGAATAAGGGATATTGACGTGCAAAGTAAATTTTGGAGTAGGATCAGTTCCTTTATTGTCCTTGCAAAGTGCAAAATGTGTGTGTATGTATGTGTGTTTGTGTGTTTGTGTTGGCACTATACACTTATGGCTGACTAGATTCGTCGATGAATGTGCACTGATGGCTTGTTTAGTATTTGATTGATTAAAGCCCAATTTCTGGAAAACAAAAAATCTTGTTCAAGTTTGGATGCCGCATGGGAGGACGAAAAGGAAAATATATCATCCATTATAGGATAAATCATACAACAAAACTAGTCACTCCACCGTCATATTATCGCCATCACAGAAACCAACTCATCCACTACTAAAGAAGAAACCACAAATCAATCACAAGTATGTCCCTTTTTTTCAAAACACCCTTGGAAATTGAAATCAGATTGGAGAACGAAGAGAGTCGAAAGCATGCCGAGGTCAAGAACCCACATGGACGACTTGACAAGCTACCTATTTATATGGATGGGGAAACTGTAAAGGGGACAATCACATTGTTTACAAAAGAAGGCAAAAGGGTGGAACATCAAGGGGTTAAGGTACAGCTTTTGGGAACAATAGAGACCAACAATGATGGATTGTCTTCGTCCAATTTTCTATCACTAGCAACCGAATTGGCTGCCCCTGGTCAATTAGTACATTCTGAATCATACCCTTTTGAGTTTAGAAACGTTGAAAAACAGTACGAAAGCTATAGAGGGAAAAATGCTCGCTTACGGTATTATGTCAAGGTCACAGTTTTACGAAAGTCAAATGCTGAAATCAATAGGGAGAAGGAACTTTGGGTCTACCAGTACACCAGTACATTGGCTCACGAGAAGGTAAATAAACATAATACAGTACCTAGCTCAATGCAAGCAGCACCAAAACAGAAGGATAGCACAACCACCAATGGTGTCAAAATGGACGTTGGAATAGAGGATTGCTTACACATTGAGTTTGAATACTCAAAATCTCGGTTTTCATTAAGGGATGTGATTATTGGAAGAATTTATTTTTTGCTAGTACGGCTAAAGATAAAACACATGGAATTGTCCTTGATTAGAAGGGAAACAGTGGGCTCAAGTCCAAAACAAATAACTGATAGCGAGACTGTTGTTCGGTTTGAGATAATGGATGGTGCGCCAGTGAAAGGTGAAACAATTCCGATCCGGCTATTTTTAAGCGGGTTTGACCTAACACCTACTTATAAGGATGTAAATAAGAAGTTTTCTGTTAGAACCTACCTTTCCTTGGTTTTGATAGACGAAGATGCAAGGAGGTATTTCAAGCAGAGTGAAATATTACTCTACCGTGATGCTTGATTGTGTACTTTAGATATACGTTGCTATTGTATTTTGACAAATCCTTCAAGTGAAAATGGGCTGTAATATAATTTTCACACGTTGTTCCAGGAATGATCCAATGCAGCGTCTTCACGAAAACTGCGCCAGTTCATTTGGTACCTCACCCATAGTGTGTGTGACTTAAGAGGAGACTGCAGCATTGTCGATCTCACTCCTCTTTACCGTAACGCATCTCGCTCGTCCCATTGCACAGGACCTCTCTCCTGAATCAGCTGTCTGCCTATAGGCTCCATGCGGCTTAGCTGTTCTGCATCGGTTGAGGGCTACGAATAAAAGTGGTTGGTACAGAGTTGTGTGGTGGTGGTTTTTTGGTTGTTGATTTGTTTTTTCTTTTGTCAATGTCCAAATATTTGTGTGTCGTGGAAGTCGATATGCAACACTGACTATGTATGTAGAACTTGCAAACTCCTCTAAAGTGTACTACTAGAGAGTAGCTACCTACAAATGGGGCTCTTTTCTCTACCTCTATCTCTCAATACTCACATATCAGCTTTCTGCCCAAGAAACGGCTCCTCGCTCACACGATCCACCGTTTTTCCAACATTTTGCATGATTTTGAATACAATTAATCAAAAAACAGTTTAGAAAAAAATATCACACCTAATTGAAACATTTCTTTTGCAACTATACGTTTCATCTCGAAGCATAGCTTATGCTACAGACGTCTAAGGTCCTTTTCTTCTTTGTGGTAGTTATCAGTGTGGTTCAGGGTTACTATGAGTGTCTCCACCGCCATCTCAGGCTGTTCTAAGCAAAATTATAGCGTATTTTAGCGCACATTTCAAAAAGTTTCGTAAAATTGGCAATTTGTCAGGAAAAGCAAAAACCGACAACGGTTCAACGCTGGGGTGCAGTAGAGCTACAGTTCCTGCACCTCCTAAATCCCAAAAAAATTTTTGGGTGCCCCAAAACCGCAAAGCACGGTCAAAACTTGTTAGGGGTATGTATTTACTTTGTAGTTTATATAGTGTAGGCACGTGCGTTAACACCAAAAACCGCGTTTTGAGCCCGAACTGACATGTGGAAGCTTCCCAAACCAGATGTGAGCTGAATCTAGCAGTTTGGCTACGACCATATAATACGTTACTGGAGCCCCAACAAAACTGGTGCAGCAGATTTGTCGCTACTAAGTGAAACAGCATTCCACTATACATATAATGCCTTGTTGTCGCATATGCAAATGTCGCGAAGTGACTAGGAACCATGTGATCTGGTTGCTAAATCCTTGTTGTTGATTTCTCTATTTGAATGGATTTAAGCGGGTACAAACAACACTGTATCCAATTCTAGACCAACAGTGATGTCTCATTGCTCCACGTATGATATCTTAGCTACACCTCTGGCATCGTTTAGCTACAGTCTCGTAGCGTTTCAAAGCTAAATTGTATATAGATAACTAACGCGATTTGCAACTATCCAGAGATCGTTAGCGTCTATTTAGCAGCTGCTGACTGGCGTGGTTCTACTCCTTACGGCGTGTCGTATCTTCACACTTGTAGTGGCCAGGTTTAGGATTTCCGAGTTGACCAGCCACATACACGTTTTGGGAGGTGATTATGAATGCTGATTATCACTTTGTAAGACCCACTAAGGTGTTTGAATAAATTTATTGATTTCGTCCATGCAATGAGACATTAATAAGGTTTGCGACGAGAGAGTGGTCTGATATTTTATTGATCTGTATGGAATATGGCTCTCGGCAATCGTGTTCCATCTGCTGACACAAAACCCGTTCAGAGTTTTTATCAGCAAACAATTTTCATTTGATAAATTGCCAACCATTGTCAGTCAAACTCACGTAGAATTATAAAACGCAGCGAGTTCATGCAATCGTTGGACTGAGATAAGCAATGGGTTTTGGTGAATTATTGTGTGTGCGAATCCATGGAAACAAATAGGCTTCTGATCGCTACTCGTTGGGATGAGCATCAAGTTGTCATGTGTTGTGGGAACAAAAAACTTTAACTTTTACCATGATGGATGCGATTGAGAGGCGAATTTGATCTTTGCTGTGGATATGGTGATGTTGGCAGAGTTAGGGGCCAAGAAAATCTACCTAAAGTTACATCGACGCTTAATATTCTAACGTTGCCTGAAGTATTGGTTCTAGAGGCAAGAGACTAAACTGGCGTCTTGATTTAGATCAGCGGGACTATTTTGAAAAAGCTACGAAAACTTTCATAGTTTATACAAACACACTTTGGCTAGGTATAGAAGATCTTGTTCATGTTGCATAATTCTGTTCGAGTTCTTCTTTGAAACTTAAATCGTCGCGTACTAAGTTGCGGCAGGGGAGGCATCAATTGACGGTTCAAGTGAATCAGTTTGATGGAGGCGTTTATCAAATTAGCCCATTTTTTTATTTAAATCAATAACATTGCCAGACACGAATCAAATCTTCAATGGTAATATATCAATTATTGTCCTAGTTGTTGAAATGGAAGACCGCAAGGAATCGCCAAAACTTGAGCCAGTGGTTTCATTCACAAAAGCGGACTTGGAAGACAAGCACAAGCATGTCTTAACCACCATAGAGTTACCCGGAGGAAAGGAGATTGAAATCACAAACGATGTTGATGTTGCGATGAAGTTTGCCATTGAGCACAAGGGGGAAAGTAAGCCATTGGATCCCGCTACCGATAGAAAGATTTTACGTAAAATTGACATGTACTTGCTTCCTGTCATGTGTTTGTTGTATTGTTTTCAATTTATGGATAAATTGAGTACCAGTTACAGCTCAATTTTAGGTTTGAGGGAAGAATTACATATGAAAGGGGATATGTACAGTTGGACCTCAACCAGTTTTTACATTGGATATTTGGCCTTTGAATTTCCAGCTTCATTGATCCTTCAAAGATTTCCCGTTGCCAAGACTGTAAGTGTTTTTATCATTTTATGGGGAATGATTCTCGCCTTATGCTCGGTTCCAAAGTATGCGGGATTTATAACTTTGAGGACACTATTGGGTATGTTGGAGCTGTCGGTTAGTCCAGCATTTGCTATAATCACATCCCAATGGTATAAAAAGGACGAACAATTTTTGAGGACGGCTTGGTGGTTTGGTTCCAATGGGTTTGGAGTTGATCTCGGTAGTTTGATTGCATATGGCTTGTATAAAAAGCAAGACTCATATACATTACCTGCTTGGAAGTTGGTGTTTGTTGTTACTGGGGTTTTGACGGTATTTTTAGGCTTTATGATTATGCTCCACATCCCCGACACCCCCACTGGTGCGTGGTTTCTTACAGAGGAGGAAAAAGTTTTGGTGGTTGAAAGGATCAGGTCCAATCAACAAGGATTTGGTAGTCCCAAGTTTAAGAGGGAACAATTTATTGAAGCTCTAGCTGATCACCGAACTTGGCTATTTTTTCTCTTCTCAATTGCTCACAACATCCCCAACGGAGGTGTCACATCATTTGGGTCAATATTGCTCAACGAGCAGTTTGGTTATGACACGGCGGATTCCCTTTTGATGGATTTACCTTCAGGAGCAATTGAGATTGTCGGATGTGTTTTGTTTGCGTGGGCCCTGAAGTTTCTCAAGTCTCGTATGATTATGGCAATATTCATGGCAATGGTTACTGTTGTTATGGAATGTTTATTGGCATTTGCCCCAACCGATCACGGAAAACTCGCAGGCTACTATTTGTGGAATCTCAGCCCACTTTGTTTTATTTGCATTCAATCTCAAGTGTCTTCATCTATTGCTGGCCATACAAAGAAAATCACCGTAAACGCTATATTTTTGATCGGTTACTGTGTCGGCAATTTGATTGGTCCTCAAACATTCATTGACAAGCAAGCTCCTACCTACTCTGGGGCCAAAGTTGGTATCGTTGTTTGCGGCAGTTTCGAGCTTGGATGCTTGATTGCAGTTTACATTTCTTTTTATTTGGACAACAAGAGACGCGATGCTTTACCCCCGGTTGATATGAGCCATATTGAGAATTACGAATTTGCTGATTTATCCGATAAGCAGAATCCAAACTTTAGATATGCACTTTAGTATAATGTGTAAGGGATGCGTTATAATGGTGAGAGAGATGTAAAAATGTGGTTGTATATCGTTTCTAGGATATGAACAGAAAGCTCTATGCATGAGTGTAGGCAAGCATATTATGGCTTGTACTTTCTGTCAACCTACATGTTTTTAATTAGTTTATGAGCTACACATCCAGTTACTGCGTTTTCGTGGGTATCACTAGCATAAAAGCCTCTATATGCCCACAGAAACATAATGATTAGTCTTATTCTGCAAAATGATGGGAGAGGGGTGCTCATCGTGCTTTCTTTGCAAATGGACTTTATTTTGTACGTCTTTATTACGTTTCTCAGCATCGTAATGTTGGTTTGGTAAATCGTTGTTTTGGAAAAACGATTGAAGTCGTTTCAATTACAATTAGTTTTGCAGTGATCGCAAAAGATTGTATCAAGATACTAATTGTGTTGCTTTCATAAATATATAGCAAGCTGTAGTCTCGTTTTAAAGACCTACTTGTAGAGTGTGAAGGTGGGGAGAGAAAGTTGAATTGTGGTTCGATTTCCTCTTTACAACACTATGAGGCTCTGTTTTCTCGATACGTAGAAGATGTTAAGAAAATAGCACTGAAAAGTTAGTATTGGATCTACAGAGAGGTTTGTTATTTTTTTTTGAGCTTTAAGGCATTCAAAAACTGGTAAAATCTCAATTTTACGCAAAAGGACAGTCTCTATATTCTTTGGGTGCACAGGAATGCAACGAATTCAGAAATGTAGAGAGAACGCCCACCATTACAGAAAGCAGCACCAATTGAATAAATAAATTTTTCAAAACGCAAGAGAAATACAACAGCTCGCATGTTTTGAAAATGAGTGCAATTAGGTATACATATATGTATTAATAAAAGTAATTACTATCATGATTAGCTGTCGCCCATAATAGAATAGTGCCAAAGTGACATAGTTGGACCAATTATGCTGGCTTACTTGTGTTTTCTGAATGGGATACTGGTTGGCATTGGAATTGGATGTGGTACAAGGTATGAATTGAGTCTTGTTGCAGTACCAGCAAACGCATTATACCAGGCGATGAAAGCAGTAATGGTTCCAATGACACCACCCGCACGAGTAACACCAACTCTTCCACTAAACTCCCCACCTGCAAGTAACAAGAATGTCAAAAACAAAAAGAAGAACAATGAAAAGAATGCCCAAGTTGACTTCATGGTGTTTAAAACCAAAAGGAAAGTAAACAATGCCCACGCCAACAAGAAAAAGGCAACAGCATTATTGAACTGATCAGTATCTTTATAAGCAGCAGCAATACCAAATCTTTCAATAAAAATAGCACCATAGCTCAACCAAAAAGCACCATAAGAAGTCAAAGCAGTGAAACCAAAGGTATTCCCAGTAACAAATTCAAACAAACCGGCCAAAAATTGAACCAAACCACCATAAAAGCAAGCCAATGACACAACAGCGTTGGGGATAGTAATACCCATGGCTCTTGCGTTAACCAAACTCAAGACAAAGGTAGTTAAAACGAAACCACTCAAACCAATTGGAGCTGGGTTGATATTGATTTTAGGGTATGGAATAGCACCAGGGTTCAAAGTACCACCAAACGCAGCCATTAATTCGTGACGATAGAATTTTTGACCATTTATAGTGACAAATTCTCCGCCATCTCCATGAATTTGTACTCTTGATACGCCATTATCATCAACATCAGTTGAAGCGTGCTTGGAAGGAGCCGAGTGTTGTGACGATGCAGAAGACATAATATATAGATGTAGTTATTTGGTCTTTGAAGGAAGTGGTAATTGTATTATTAGGTATGGAGTGTAAAAGGTATTAAGGTTCGAACTAAGTAATTGATGAAAATTGTGATAAAATGTAATAACACAACAGTTAGTAGTAGGATTTTGGTAAAAAAGCTGAAGAAATGGAAATATAGGGTGATATTTATAGAATTATTCAAATGTAAACCTATATTGGTTACATAATAAAGACGGTTGCGTTTGTGCACCACCTAACGGGGAAGTCGAAGAAAGAAGAAGAGAAGAAAGAGGAAGTATAATAACTCTAAACAGTAAACAGTAAACAATGAATAGTATGGACTGAATGCACGTTTAGCCTAACATGACTGGGCCTTTTATTTAGACTATACAGTACCCATACAAAATTAACTAGTGGATATTGGATATACGTGCACTACAAGAAATAACACCGACATATGACGATATACTCGAAGTGGACACAAACTTCAAACAAAACAAGGTCAAGAAACTTTTAATATATATATAAGAAGGATATAGCCAACCATAAAAGCTTAATCATGTATGTTTTGATCAATTTGTGTCAGTTGGGGATTGGAGTGGTGACAAGAGATTGTTGTACAAGTAGAACAAAAAATGGAAAAGAGAGAGGGTGGGGGGGGGAGGATGCAGGTTTGCCTAGTCCTTTTCAATGACTTTCTGAAATAAGACAAGCTTAGTATATCGCATGGTAATGTTTTAGCCAGCTATTACCGAACACTCCAGCTACTGGTTCTGGCTTTCGTCTAAAAATGTTTTTGATTGTTTTCGATTAATCCTGAAGCAGTAGTTTATTTTGTTTTTTTTTTATTTTTTCACATACAATTATCTAAAATACGTAGTCATTCATTTTCATATGTATCTATAGGTGAGGTGGTTGTGTTTTGTATAGTGTGGTGAAGTATGGTGTGATGTGTATAAAGTATGGTTACAATTAGAGGCTACATATAACTTTGTGCATAAAGTATTTTAGGTGGTGGTGTGGTTTTTTTTTTTTCGTTTTTTATTTTTTCTCCCTTGTTGTCACAATTGGGAATTTCTCGGAGTTTAAACAAAATTGAAAATTACCCTTTTTTTTTGCAAAGGAAAACTCCGAAGTAACAGATACCGAAAACTCAATTCCAACCATACACAACAATCATATATAATAATACGAATCTATACACGTAGCTCTTCACTTACATACTTATTGACCACCAGTAAGTTACTGGCCACGACACATACAATTAGTTTGAAACCCTTGAATGATGTAAAAAAGTAAGAGAAGAAACAGTAATATTACTTTATATAATAGTATCAACTATAACTCTAAAACCTAGTAGTATTTCCAACTAGCTCTCAATCGACACTGAGAAGAAGTAGTATTAGAAGTAGTAATCGTCGAAGCATCCGTGATGATAACAGGTAGTAATAGGTAGTATTTCTGTATAAGTCATGACTTTATATGATGTTCTGTTGGTCTCTATGACAGCGTCGTGTTTTATTGTACAAAGTTAAACTCTTCACTTTTTTCTTGTTTTACACTATGTATGCAAGTTTTGTTTTTGTGTTCTTTTTTCAATCAATAGATTATAGTCAGTTAGTTAATGTATATGTTTGTGGTGGTGTAAAAAACTTTAGGAAATGTCTTTCTCAGAGGGCGAGTAGTGGGGCTGGTTGGTTAAAGAACGTCGTCAATTTTGCTAACAGTTACTACTACTACTACTACTACTACTACTACTACTACTATCATCATCATCATCATGATGGTATTCATTAACCCTCTACATATTTAGTTGCTTATATTACGTTAATTGACTCGTCTACCACTTCTTGGGGAAAAATATTTACAACTTTGTACACTGATCAATAAGTAAAGCTTAAATTACGTTACGTCGTTGTTTTCTTGCTAGCTCTCTTCTGTTGCAATTTTCTATTATTATTATTGAAAAGCGAACCAGAGCTCATCGGTGTTCAGCCCGCTTACCTTGACTCTCACAAGCTCATAATAGCTTTTGTAAAATTACAAAACAAAAGTTTTACTGCCAGTGTATTATAATTTACGTAGTGCTATCTTGACTTTGATAATGCAACCCTTACATTTTTTGCCTTCTCTTTTCTTTACCAATCGTCGAAGGACAATCGTCGATTTGAGAAACGGTTCTCAAGCAGTTTACCAAACAACTGGTACTTTCAATGGTTACAGCTCATAGTTAAACTACAATCCACAACATTATTATTTTTCAAAAATAATAGTAACGTCTTTTCAGTCTATGCATATCAGGTGGTTTTGTCTTGTCTCTTGATTGAAAAATAATATTTTGACAAAGTATTATATAATTTTAACACCAAAAAGGCCTAGACTTTTCCAAATGGTGTTAGCATCATTCTTTATGTTAATCGTCAACTAGAAATATATATGCAATAAAAAATTAAATACTGCATCAACTAAAGACAAAGTGTGAAGGAACCGAAAACTTTTTCTCGTCTTTCATCAGTTGTAGTAAAAGTCTAGAGTGACATATAATTTCACTCAGCAGATTTCCAACATGCTCAAACTGCTACAGTAGTTGGCAAATGTTCAAGCCGTTGGTAGTGTCTTTGGACCAAACGAGCAAAACTTTTCTTTTGGGTTTTCATATACATTTTTGCTTAGACCATTCTTGTTATATGAGCACTGGTACTATTGAACAGGTGGCATATATTACGATGAGCGTCACAATGAAAAGCTTACAATCTCTAACGTTGCGATATTCAATTACAAATTATACACTGTTGTAGATATTTGGGGTCTCTAATATCAACACAATCATCACACTTTATTACCCACCAAAACATCCCAATTGGGGGATTATGCCTGTTCTTTCCCCTGCACCACCACTATACCTGATTGTCGATTTTCCCACCTGTGTTCCTGACCTCTCATTTATTTCCGCACAACCCCTTATACCCTTTCACTCTACGCCCTCTTTTTCCCAAACTCTATCACCGGTAATGGAAAAACGTGGGGCACAACGTATGAATTAAAACGTGTAGCAGTACCAGCAAACGCATTATACCAGGCGATAATTGCCGTTATAAACCCAATCACTCCACCACCACGAGTCACACCCACTTTTCCTGTCAATGACCCACATGCCAACAATATAAATGTCAATTCCAAAAATAAAAACAATAAAAAGAATGCCAACGTTGACTTCATGGTGTTCAATACAATGATCAAAGTGAAAATGACCCAACCCAATAGGAATAACCCTACCGCATTGTTGAATTGGTCAGTACCTTCATAAGCAGCAGCAATACCAAATTGCTCAATAAATAAACATGAATAACTAATCCAAAATGCACCATATGACACCAATGCTGTAAATGCAAATGTATTACCAGTGGCGAATTCAAATAATCCAGCTAAAAACTGTACAACACCACCATAAAAGCAAGCCAATGACACAACAACATTGGGGATAGTAATACCCATTGCTCTTGCATTATACAAGCTCAAAACAAAGCAAGTTAATGAAAACCCACATAATCCAATTGGAGCTGGATTCATGTTGACTTTGGGGTATGGCATGGCACCTGGATTTAAAGTACCACCAAATGCAGACATCAATTCATGACGATAGTAGCTGTGGCCACCAATGGTAACCAACTCATTGCCTTCACCATGAATGTGGATTCTTGACACAAAACGATGGCCATGATGACTGTCTTCTTGATTGTGGTCATCGACGTGGGAAGTAGTTGGTTTATCATTAATTTGCGAGGAGGATGACGACATCTTGAGGAAACCTAATTCGAAAACTTATTCTCACCTTCCGTTTGGTTTGATGATTGATACTTATGTGGTTCACTTGGAAACTAAAACAGATTGAAAAAATTGATGGCAGGTAGTTTGAAGAATTCCTACCTTCCATATATATATATATACATATTTTTAATTTTCCACTTTGGTGTTTCTTATCTATCCTCTTGGCTGGCTTTAGTAAGTCATTATACATATTTGGGTGAATGGAAGGTTAGACAACCCCAATAGAAATTCCCAAATACATGCTGCATCAACATTGTTGAATTTGCATATGCAACAGCTGCAATAATGTGATAACCCCATAGAAGAAAGTTTCAAACACAAAATTAACTAAAATGTGGAAACTAAGAATAAATGCATAGATCGCTATCAACCTAATTCAAGGTGAACAGGCCATAGACAAAAACAAAATCACCGAATCTTTAAACAGAACTTGACTAAATGTTTCATGCAAGTCGTCTTCTTTTGACCGATGGGGCTGTTTTCTTTTTCGTGCAAAGAGAAAACAATTTATACCACCACAAACGAAATAACAGGTACACTATTGTTAAGTCCCCCACCTCAATCAATTCTCTCCTTTCTCATTGTGAAGTGACGGAAGGAAATCTCTCCATTCAAATGGCAATAACGACAATCAACTTCATGACCACATGATCCTAAACATATTGTCCTGCTGCGGTATTTTTTGGAGTCCCGACTTTTTTTTTTTAAAAAACTGCTTAGCTCACAAGTTTAAAAGCTCACGCCTTAGATACTCAGTTTAGTGATTACTTCCTATATACTCGAGAACGAAACTAGTGACTGTTCAGCATCAACACAGCAAATCTCTCCATTTCTACGCAAGAAAGAACAGGTACAAAACAGAAAACATCGGTCTCAAGACTCTACTTCTTAACAAAGCCATTTACATTTTTGATCACTGCTCAGGCTAACAGCAAGTCCATTCTTCTCAACCCTTTCGCAACAATTATCGCACAAAATTCTTCGTGGAACTTTTCTTTGTGTCCATCGTAATAAAGCGGTCGCATCCCTTCAACCTTATGTACACTGTGATATTTTCTCACACGTGTCGTGATGTTGTTACTCTTTTTCAATTCACACATGTATGTAACCCACAAATAAATCGATAGTTACTCGTCTCATTAAAGCGAGCAAAAGTTCTGTATACCTTCAATTAGTAAAGCAGAAGCTACAACCTGGGTCTGCCTATTCGTTTCAATTGAACATCAAATGCATCGTCTCATAAAAGTGTGCTTCGTAGAGACGAATGAGTTGAGAACAATACGGAATCTCGGAGTTTTTTGCCAATTTTGTGCAATTTAATTTTTAGTTTGTGGGGTAATTGTTTGTGTGATTTATTTTTGCTTTTTTAAAATCAATCAATTTAGCAAGAGTACACGCCAGCTCTTAGTGAGAACCAAGATGAAAGCATGAAGCTACAAGTGAAGAAGAAACAGAGTAAGTTGAACCGACTAAAAGAAAGCTGGTTGTTTTCTGTTTCGACTAAAAATGGAATTTACATGACATAAAAATTCTTTTCGACATTGTCGCAGGTTTTCGTTTAAAATTCGGTGTAATAACTTGCAACCCGCACTTTCCATCCAATTTACCGATTGCAAAAAAAGCCACGTATTAACACCTAGAAGCCAGAAATCTCTATCCTACCGAGGACTTTTAAAATACATATACAGTCTTATATATATTAGAACAGGGTATATATTGGAGTCGATGTAGAGCTACCAACATTCAGAGATTAAATTGTTCTCCGAACTGACACACAACTTAAAGGTTTGACTATTCGGTCCTTGTTACCAGGAGTCAAAACACGGCCAGAGCAAATAACACGACTTCACTTTAAGGAAATATAAAGTGTACAAGAACAGATTGTTGGCCTGTTGATGATTGTCACAAAAGTTTGTCAAAAGAAACTAAAGTCTTTGGCTTTTTGCCAACTAACAAAGCTAAAATTTCGCTCTTTTCAGTTTTTATTAACCTTGTTCAAACTCATCATACTAGTCTACAGAGACCACAGCTATTTCTTGCCACAAATGTCTGAATTCGAGATATAGCTCACTGAAAATGCAACTCAAAGCTATCACGACAACTTAAAAGTACGCACACAATGCATTTGATGGCACGGGATGTACTCTATTGCGGTTTCTACATATCACCAAAAGATAATTGCGTATTATCGTATGGGTGAATGGGAACATACACATACTTAAATTTATTGTTCGTTGTGAAAGAAGTTCACAATGGGCACATCTATACGTGGATATTTCACAATTTTTAACTCTCGCCACGAAAGTGGATAATGTAATTGATAAAGTTCAAGCTTTTCAAACATGTCTACTCTTTGCGACACCATTCATATTGCCTATACTTCAAAGGTAGATAAGCATTTCCAAGTACAGAAGAAGTTGCATGCACCTTCTCTTCCCCTCTTTGAAACCACTCGTAGAACAAGAGAAAAAAACACACTACAATACTTCTACATTGTACAATTCATTAAAGTATTTCATTAATAGATATCTCTTTGCTTCACATTGCATATGCTTCAAATTCAAAGTCGTTTCATTTGCTCATTCTTTTTTAGCCAACTTTGGCAACGGCAAAGAAGGGGGAACAAAATACGAAGTGGATCTGTTTGCAACAGCTTCATAAGCGTTATACCATGCAGTAATAGCGGTAAGCATTGCAATCACACCACCAGCCCGTGTCACACCAACCTTTCCACTCAATGCACCAGCTCCGAGAAACGTATAGGTCAAGAATAAGAAAAAGAACAACAAAAAATTGGGTAAGGTTGATTTCAATGTTGGAATCACCATCATGAAAGTGAACATTGCCCAAGCAATCATTACAAGACCAAGTGCATTGGCAAATTGATCACTCTCGGCATAAGCAGCCTCAATACCAAATCCTTCAATGAAAATAGCACCATAGCTGATCCAGAAAGCACCATAGGAAGTCAAGGCAGTAAAACCAAATGTATCACCAGTGAAGAATTCAAAATAACCACAAAGGAATTGAGTCATTCCACCAAAGAAACAGGCCGATCCTATAACAACATTTGGAATCTGGATTCCCATTGCTTGTGAAGTATATATTCCCAGTGTAAAAGCTGTCATGCCAAATCCACATAAGCCGATAGGAGCAGGAGTAATGTTTCTCGTGGGGTATCTTCCGATAGTTGGTGCTGGGTTGGAGATGTCACTGAATATTGACATTAATTCATGGCGGTAGTACTTATTGTTCCCAATAATCACAAACTCTCCACCATCGCCACAAATCTGAACCCGTGAAACTTTAGTAGATTCTCTATCCTCGGAACTGTTTTTGAAAGTGCTGTGATCTGATGTGGACGACATGTGGTACAAATTTTCAGGTACTGAGATGAAGTGCTGAAAGGAAATTGGCAAATGTCAAGGCGACGTCATTTTCAGCAACCATATACAATTATCCGTTTGAGAAAATAGCAGAAAGTAAGCGAGTTCAGTCACCAAAAGGGATTCTTATGAGTAGCGAAGTGTGGGGGAAGAATAGACAAATTTAGCTTTTTGGGTAGTAGTTTCACCCAAATTCAAAAGTTTGGGGCAAAGGTTGAATGTTACAATGATAATGGCCAAGTAAATAATAACTGTATTTTCAAACTCACTCAAAAAATAATAAATTCATTGATCATTAACCGATTGTTTGTAGCTATTAAAGCATCTGATGACTCTTTTGTGGAGAATCAGCCTTTCATTGTTGGCGAGTCAAGCCTTCTCATTCGAAGAAGGGGATTTTCAAAATGATTTCCATTACAGTAGGTTAAAATTTTGTATAATAATTGCATAGACCAAAAAAGACAAATAGTTGATACTCAACTGTAGTGATATTTCCCCATAAATCAAAATGACGAGAATGGCACGAGTTACTTGGCAACTTCAACGAAAAAAACATTAAGACAGATTCTTTTTCATTCTCGACAGATTTGTCAACGTATATAGCAAGTGGAATAAAGACTGGAGTATCCGGGCTGCAACAATGAGATGAAACAACTACAAAACAACAAATTCAATATAGGGCGAATTCAATCACCACATTAACATGTGACTTTTAAACTTTAGGAAAGTGTTTTTTTCTGTCCATTATTTTTGAATTGTGGTAGTGTTATTTTGGCATTAGTGCCAGATATGTAACTTTCAAAACAAAACATGAGGATGTTGAAAAATACGCGCGAATGACGATCTTGATATAATTGCTAACAATCTGTTAAAAACAAAGTTTTTCTGAATGTCTCGACTGGAAAATATAGTGAGGTCGATTACATTAACTATTTAGTTTTCCTATTCGTGATAGAGAATGAAAAAAATATTGTTCTTCAAGGTTTGTACGCGCGCAAAAAGTACTTAACATTTCGAGACGTGCACTTGGTTACAAATTTTGTGTCGTGTCGTGATATTTATTCTCAAGACACAAGGCACTCAAACCATTACTAAATCAACAGCCGGAAAGACTTGGTCATGAAGGAGCGTGGTAGACACGAGTGGTGAATATTGCCATTGGCAACTAATATAGCAGCGAATATTTTGCAAAGAAGACAATGTGGTACTTTGTAGCCATTGTTGAGTCGTGTATTTTATAACAAAATGTAATGTCGTGTAGTTTACGTTTGCGACACATTGAATAATGTAATGTAGAATCACACACTGTCGCGTTTAACTAACAAAGTCATTTTGAATACACGACAAGGGAATCACACGAAAATAGAAGAAAGAGTTGTTTGATCTTTACACTTTTCAATCGATGGAGGACTTTGACACCCGGCTTTCAGAACTTTCAAAGTGGATCAATTCTACGTCTTATGGTGGCAAATTATCCCGAGAGACATATATATCGTCCGACCTTGTAGTAAAAGATGTTAAGGGTTCGGGAAGAGGTGTTTACGCGAGCGAAAATGTCAACCCAAACAGCTTGATCATCAACATCCCTCATAGGTTTTTGTTAAACTTTGTCACGGTATTGAATCACATCGCGAAATACAATGGGATGATACTTGCAAATCATGCAATAGTGCCGCTGGATATGAACCACGACGCGTACACTAAAGTATATCAAAGATTATCAAAAGATGAATTAATAAAGTTGTCATCATTTCAATTGTTGTCCATGTATATAAGCATCGAAAGAAAACGGAACCATTCTTATTGGAGACCTTTTATCAACATGTTACCCTCAATAGACGACTTTTCATTGATGCCTATAAATTTTGACGAGGATACGCTTAGTTTATTACCGGAATCAACCAAGGCGATGCACCATAAAGTGCTACAGAGATTTGATCACGATTATCAAGTCATTGTTGATTTGCTCCGTCGCAAATCTGTGGATGTTTCATCTGTGGTAACTAGAGATGAGTTTCTTCTTTCATGGCTCAGTATCAATTCGCGTTGTTTGTTCATGAAATTACCCACAAGCTCCAGCCCACTGGACAACTTCACAATGGCGCCTTATGTCGATTTTATTAATCATTCCCCCGATGATCATTGCAATTTGAAGATCGATGGCAAGGGTTTTCAAGTGTTTACTACCTCTGCATATTCACGCGATGAGCAGTTGTACTTTAGCTATGGTCCCCATAGCAATGAATTTTTGCTTACAGAGTACGGGTTTATAATTGTTGACAATAAATGGGATGATATAAATGTGTCAAAAGAAATATTGTTTCTATTGAAGCCGAACCATGTTGAATTTTTGAAGCAATATGACTACTTTGACAATTATACGGTGAACAGGGAAGGAATGTCTTTCCGGACTGAAGTAGCATTGGCTGCGTTTCAGGAATCGAACCCTCAAGAGTCTAGGCGATTGATTGCGTTAATCAATGGAACTTTTGAAGGTTCATCGTATATGACCGTCTCGTCTCGGATTATCTCAGAAATTTTAGAAAAGATAATACATGAGGCGGAGCAGTATCAATATCTACAATATGCTGATGATCCTAATCCCATTCGAAGATCCAGGATGAAAACTATAGGGCAAATTTACAGAAATCGCAAACAGCTCTCACGTAATGTGATTGATAATCTAACTAAATTACAAACTTAAAATGGCATCAGCAGCAGATTTGTCGATACCTCTATCTATGCTTAATTTTGTCTTCACTAAACTAGTAATCATTGAATTTGTAAACGTAGGCTTCTTGTGCTTTCTTCCTAAATAGGAAATATATCCATTCATGTTGTCAATTTCGGTGTTTCTCAAATTTCTCACATCTTGCCGCATCGAAGAGCTGTTGGACGCTGTTAATTGACAGACAGAGGTAACCATTTCCAAAAGTCTATCGTCACTCAAGAATGCCTTTGATTGTGGGATCTTTTGTAAGATGGGAAATTCCAAAAAGAACATTTCTGTACATTCAGTTATAATTGATCTCCAAAGTTTAACAGTTTCGTCTCCATAGATCAAATGCCCATTATTGACGTCAAATACAGCAGTTAATGGATTAATGCAACAGTTAATAACCAATTTTTGCATTTGAAGTAAAAGAAAATCATTGTGTTCCAAAAACTTTGCATTCAAACTGGATGTTTCCAAAATCGCTTGGATCATTTCAGGTAGCTTATTTTGTGGCGTGCCATTTTCATCACTGATTTGTAAAGTCCCGTTTGATGCATGATTGACTATTCCGTTTTCATCAACATACACCCCGTGAGTAGTAATCGCTTCAAAAAATCGTGGACAATTCGACCCGTTTGCCCAAAACCGATTAATTAGAAATTGGGGCATTCCCATACCATTTTGTAAAATTAATATATTGGACTGGGAAGACAAATTTTCAATGTATGGTTGCAATGCTGCTTCTGTTTGAAAACACTTTGTGGTAATAATTAAATTTTCAATCTTTTTCCCTTGAAGGTCCTTGGCCCTCTCAGCGGGAATTTCAACAAGGGACTCTTTTGCTCTGTGTACATCATTGAGACGCTTCACTCTTATAAACTGATCTTTTATTGATGATTTATTTGGCCGAAGTAAAAGCGTAGGTGAAATGGCTCGCTGGGAGTGCAGTTTTAAATCGTGGGCCAAAAGTGAACCCAAAGCTCCAGCTCCGAGTATATATACTTTAACAGGCTCTGTTAACCTCGGAATGGATGTCATTAAAAATATCGGAGGGCTGTTGAATTTAGTGCAAATGGGGAATTTTTTCGCGCCTCTTCAATTTGTGGTTGAAGAAGGAGGGATCCATAACAAGAGACTAACTAGATATACACAAAATATGCTTATAGTAGGATTAACCGGTGGAATCGCATGCGGCAAATCGACAGTTTCCCATGAGCTTAAAACGAAATACCATTATACAGTGATTGATGCAGATTTGATTGCTAGAGAGGTGGTTTTGCCTGGCAAACCTGCCTATAACAAAATTGTTAGGTCATTTGATGATGTCCACGATTTACTACACGAAGATGGCACACTCAATAGAACTGTCTTGGGCCAAGTTGTCTTCCAAAACAAGAGGAAACTAAAGGACCTCAATTCGATTGTGCATCCTGCCGTTCAATGGGAAATCGTTAGACAAATTCTAAGGGCTTACATTTCTTGCAAAAGCTTAGTCATCTTGGATGTTCCTTTGTTGTTTGAGTCGCAATTACACTTGATATGTGGACTAATAGTCACGGTTTCAACAAAGTCTGAATTACAAATTGAAAGATTGCTTGCAAGAAATGCCGAATTGTCAAGGGAAGATGCAGAGAATCGAATTAAAAATCAAATGACGAATGAGGAGAGAAATTACCGAAGTGATATTGTTATTGACAATTCAGGATCAGTATCAGATTTGAAAAAGTCTGTTGACACACTTTCACGTGAGATTAAACCTAGTATAGTATGGACAATTTTGGACTTGATCCCGCCTTTTGGTGTCGTTTCAGCATTGTTCACGTTCACTATTAAAAGAATAACGGAGAAATACAAAGGTAATAAACCAAAAAATCAATAGATGTATCATTTAACCTTGCGTTTGGCGTACTCCACTAACAATATCATCCACTCTCAAAAGTAAACACGCACTCTCAATCGCTGTTTTGATCGATTGCTGTTTGATTACTTCAGGCTCCCAAATACCATAGTCGTTCATGTCAACTACTTTACCATTTTCCCCATCTATTCCATAAGTGTAGTTTCCCAGTGCTTGCTTAGCTCTCAATTGCGATAAAACTTTGATCGGATTACCACCACAATTTTGAACAAGTGTTCTAGGTATAACTTCAAATGCATCAGCGACTGCCTGATATGGATACTGCTCAACCCCTTCAATGGTTTTGGCCTTTTCAGATAGTCTAACACTACAAGCCATTTCAGTGGCACCACCTCCTGGACTTAAACTTGGTTCAAACATGACATTTCTCGTCACCGCCATTGCATCATGAAGGTTCCTTTCTATTTCGTTCAAAATGTCCTTTGATGCCCCTCTCAATATAACGGTACAAGCTTGTGGCTTCTTACATTTATCAAGAAATGCAAAATACTCATCACCTATTAATTCAACCTTAAATTCCCCACATTTGGTACCAATATCTGACTCTTTCAAGTCTTCCACTCTATTAACAATAGTAGCACCTGTAGCTCTAGCAATACGGTTATTATCTGATTTTTTGACCCTTCTCAATGCAGAGACACCGCCTTTCAAAAGGTAATGTTGGGCCAAGTCACTTACCCCTTTCTCCGTTATGACCAAGTCAGGCTTAAACTCCAACAATTGATCACACAACAATTTGACCTGTTCCTCTTCGATTTGTAAAATCCTGTTCCAATCGTCTTCCTTGGTGATTTCTATATTTGTTTGCGATTCTCCCTTTTTGTACTCCAATGGACAATCCAATAATATGATTCGTGGGTTTTCGATATACCTTTTCATTTTGGGGTGAACAACGTCTTTGTTCAACAAAATACCATCAAGGACCTCAGAATCTGCAACTTCTCCTCCAGGTATCTTTTCGATTCTCACGTATCTCTTAACGTCAATTTCTTTATAGTCACCTTTCTGGACCATGACAGTCCTGACAGCTTGCAAACTCAATTCACACATTTTCTCGGCCCATTTGTTGATATACTTTGTACCAATGGATGCTTTGATTAACTGAATCATCGCTTTGTCATTATTGATATCAACTGGTTTTGACACTTCGTGTATAACCTCTAATGCATCCTTTAAAGCCTGTTTCAAAGCTTGGATGATTATGACTGGATGGATGTTCTTCTCAATGTAGGGGAAGGTTTGCGCCAAAATTTCTCCTGCCAAAATAATGACAGTAGTAGTACCATCTCCAACTTCCTCATCTTGTGTTCTTGAAAGTTCAATCATTGACTTTGCAGCAGGATGAGACACGTCAATTTCCCTTAGAATGGCATGGCCATCATTAGTCAAAACAATACCACCCATTGGGTCCAATAACATTTTAAGCATGGCTTTAGGACCCAAACATGTCCTGATGATATCAGCAACTGCTTTTGCGGCAGTAATATTGGCCACTTGTGCTTGTCTACCAGTTTGTCTTTGGGTAGATGTATTTAAGTATACCACTGGTGCCTGCATTATCAATTGAAGTAGGTATGACCTTTGTGATTACAATAGAATAGGGTTGTTTGCCAGATAGTGATGATGACAAAAGGTAGAGAGAGCAGCTTGAAATTTTTTTATTTTTTCTCCCTTTCCCTCATTGTTGTTGTTGTTGTTGTTCCACGAACTTCGATCGAGTTTTACCTCAGTACTCACCCGAGAAAAGTCGTTTACAAACACCACACTTGAAGCAACCCACAGGGTCATAGTACTATAATAAGGTATGGAGGTTTCCAATTACGTGGACGCCAACTTTACCAGTATTGAAGATTTGAGTTTAATTGAGAGTAAGCTTGATGAGTTGCGGGGCATTGACAAGCAAGTGAAAACTGTTGTGGCCAACAGGTTGTCCAATTCAAGTGAGTCACACTTTCAAAAGGAGCTTAAACCAGACATTGATGACTCTAAATTGAATGACGCGGTTGAGAAGATTGTATCAGTTGTGCAGGTGGTGACAAGTTTGGACGACTTAAATGAAGCTTATGACAATATCCATGCGTTGATTTTAGAATTTGGTGATATACCGTTATTGAGGGAAATTCAGGTCCAATTGAAGAAAAAACAGGTTGCTGAGATCCAAACGGAGTATCTTTTGAAATATCAACAGATTGAGAGCAAGCTAACAGAGGATGCATCATTGGAGGATTTGCGTGCCATTTCTCTGCAAATAAATGAGATGCATGCACCTGAGTTGGTTTCTCAGGTTGATCAAGAAATCAACCGACGAAGTGCAAACTTAGAAGGCGAATTACAAAGTCTCATTAAAGAAAATAAATGGTTGAGTAAAACCACCGTTTCAAACGCAACCTTGACATCAATCACCAAAATTAGTGAAAGCTTGATTGAACTACAATCTATACGGAATTCGCCCTCATATCCTGATACTTGGTGGGCATTAGAACGCTTGTTGGAGCCGGTCATTACAAGATTCCACTACCATTTTGACACTCCTAATAAGGACACCAATAAGTTGTCAAAACCAGAATGGGCATTGAATTTCATTGAAAACTTTTTGGAGGATAATCTTCCACTTCTCAATACAGTTGTGGACCAACAGTTTAAAAAGATTCATCGAATTGGAACGTATGAGATAATAACCACTTTGCTCGTGCCAGTGCGAAACAAGATGAACAAGGTAATTAAAGTGATAAACACTAATTTGAAGTCCGAGTATGATAATAAGGTGAGAGAAAAATACGGTGTTTTGTTATCTCATTTGGTATTTGAACTATCATCATTTGACCAAAGACTAAGGAACAAGTACAGATACAACCCATTTGCGACGGACTCTTCAGGACCTGTGGTGGAAAAATGGACTGGAATTACGGGCGATATCTTCTTGGACGAGAAAAATCGTGCTTTTGAAAGTTGGCTTGAGTTTGAAAAGACATTAGCTGTGAAAAGATTCAATCTGGAGATCATTAACACCAATGATTGGATTAAAGTAGATTTTGATTACCAACCACACAAATTAAGCAATGAAGATCCAAGTGCTCGCAGAAGATACTTGCGACCAACATTTTCTGCTTATGGGCTTGTCAAGCTCATCGAAAACTTGAACACTCATTTTCAAACCCTTAGGATCGTTAAGTTCCAACTAAAGTACGTTTCGAGTATTCAATTACATTTGCTCGAGTTGTACTTGGGAGAATTGACCCAAGAGCACAAGACCTTTACTGACCAAAACACCAAGAGTGTTTTAACCATGATACCTGGAGGAATTGAGACGAATGCAAAGAACTCTAATAAGCGTGAAGCAGACATAATCGTAAGCTTGGAAAAGCTCACTGAAATATATTGCTCAACCAAGTTTGTCAATAATTGGATCCAAAAGTGGAACGAAGATCTTGTATTTATTCAGCTTTGGAAATTGTATCAAAGTTTTTCAAGTTCCGATTTGGATGCAGACATGAATGATGGTTTATTTAGCTCCATTTCCACAAAGTATGATAAGTTGCTGGATAAAACGCTCGACAGCTACTTGGGAATTTTGCGAGTAGAGATCAAACAATTGTTGAAAGCATTCGTTAACACAAGCCAGTGGGATTTAGCCAACCCAGAAACTGATCTTTTACCATCTAAAGAGTTAAATTCCATAATAAACACGTTGCCAAATTATTTGGATATCATTGAAAAGTCGGTTTCAAAAGTTGATTATTTTGCTGTATCTAATATGGCAGTAACTATCATATCAGAGTTGTTGTATGAATATGTCATTACTAATAACCGGTTTTCAAGGACCGGAATCGACCAATTGATTCTTGATTTCAACTACTTGGTCAGTTCGTTACATGCAACACTACTTTTGAACACCAGAAGACTGAGCTCTATCACGCGGCTTGATGATAACTCATTATCTAATGATGGGAATAGGGGCTACGTCAAAGTGGTACAAGCAATTGATATTCTCGACTCAGTTCTGCCGAGCTTAGCAGCTGAAATTAAACACCAAGATAGAGCAATTGATAACTTGAGGAAAGATTATGGACATGGTATAGGAGCTATGAAAAACAGTGAGATAAAAGATTTACTCAACCGAATTATCTAGAACGGGACTTTATTTGTCAACTTAAATAGTGGTAAATAAGATTTCAAGGCAGCTATAAATAGAATTACTAGGAAAGTTTGCATCACAAAGTGAGAAAATAAAGCCAATAATGAACACTCTTCGAAACGGTTCGCAGTAAAGCACCCACACACCAAATGATGAATGTTGCCATCAAATTCATTGAATAGATTTTTGTGAATTCCACAAATTACTCAATGACTGGAACAGCATTACTAACCAGTAAAGACATGGAATGACAGCAAAACAATCAACGAGCTCTTCACCAATTACTTCATGTACCGTGTGACTCCTGAACAAGACGTTTTATGAAGACACACCATTGGTGGGGTTATCAATGATAGGAACCAAGAATTCATCAATTCCAATACTACGACGTATTTCGGGAAAAGGTGCCAAGCCATCAAAGTGTGGGATGGGGGTACCCAGGATAAGCAGCTCCTTACTAGTTATCTTGTATTCAGACAGATCGAGGAAAATCGTGTGAGTCGTCGCATTGATTCCAACCATGCAATCTTTATGAAGTACATAACTGATTGATGGGACTTCATTCGTTTCCCAATTGATTGTAGCCCGAAAGGTTGATTCATTTGAAGGATTCCATCTCATGTAAATAAGTTCATAAAGTTCACCGTTAAATTCTTGGTCTACATCTAAGCTTAGGCAAATATCCGAAGTTTCTAAAGTTGTAACAAGAATGGGTATTTTTGATCTAATGAGCTCTGATCTAATTTGCCTGAAAATATAGATCTTGGACAGCATTGCATTATTCTCAATCAACATCTCTTTGGAGGTGGATGATTTGAATTTGGGGGTACTAGGGGAAGCTCTACCACGACTTGGGCTACATGTGTAACTCAAAAAACATTGGCTGAGGTAGCTTTTCAAAGACAGGTGTTCCTGAGGTGAGGTTTTAAACTGATCCATTGGTTGAAGTTGGCTTGATGAAGAATTTTGAATTTGTTGGGTTTGCAACATATTGGCAGCAAATGCACTTAATGACCTCATTGCTTTGCAGTAAAAACGTGAATTTCAAGAGCAGTTAGAGGTTATTCACTAATGCCCTTGAAAGAAGAAGACGATGGTGAAGAAGAAGAAGAAGAAGAAGAAAGTACAAACTGTATCAAAATATGATAATTCAAATTTCAATGCACCTTTTCTTTGCAAGAGAGTTTCAAGGAAACGTCTTTCATAAAATACAGATTGAACACCACACCAACACACCAACACACACTATAGTCAATTGACTCACTCATTGGATTGCATACATATCAGCCTGGTCGTTTACTTACCAATCAATACAACAGAGATAAATTGGACTATATTGTGCACCGAAACCAGTACAATTTCTTTATTGAACCTAGTTTGTAGTTGTTGTTGTTCAATTTAAAGACATCATCATTTACACTGGGTCTAATACTTAAAGATATTCATGTAGTTTTATGTATGCAGTTGTATACACTTCTCCTCTCTCTGGCTGGTTTGCTGAAACTTGGGTGTTTGCCATCGGTTGTCATGTGAATGGTTATTTTTGCAAAATGTGCATGGTCACTTTGTACAGCCGTGCACTACGTGTTGTCTACCACTACTCTGCCTTACCCCTCTTTTCCTGTCTTAATATTGACAATCACTCCGTTAGAGTTGCCTGTTTTCTTTCGAAACGTCTTTTTATCGCATGGGACTTGTATTTGGTGGCTTCTTTTCATCACAATGGATTCTCGCGTGCCAAAATATACGCATCTTGGATCGCTCTTTCTTTCTCTCTCTCTCTCTCTCTCTCTCTCTACCCTCTGCCCCTCGGACCGGTTTTAAACCACCCCTTAAGATCAAGAAAAATAAAGAGAGAAAAAAAGAAATAGAATAAAATAAAATATGCACAGACACTGTAATCCACAATTTGCACCAGCAAGTCTCAGCTATTCATGACATCATAAGAAATGGGCTGGAGTGAGTGAGAATAACCAACATGGGTTTCATTTCCGCATTTGCATTGTACTCACTGGGTTCCAAAATTTTTAAAAGACTGACTGACTAGCCAGTCCAGTCATTTTGTTGGAAACAGCGTGCAACGACATCAAGCTGTGAACTTTCTCGACTTGACCATCATCTTTATCTGGGTCTACTTCGTCCTAAAAAACAACGAGTACTTGGTTAAATCCATCACTTGCCCCTCCTGAAACTTTGAATATTCTTGGGGCACAAAAAAATCCCAATAGGGAATATTTTTGTGCCCCTCCCTACTCTCAATAGCCTAGGTAAAATCTTTCCTTTTGTCGCTATCGAATTGGCACACTTGCATCTTGTTGTCAAATCTAACGTTGGTTTTGTTTTTTTGTTGGAGGAATCTTCACTAATATGTGATACCACGGATGCCTTTTTCAATGGAGTGGTTGGTGAAGGTGGTGCAAAGCTAAATTAAACTTTCTTTCAAACAATACACTAAACTGCTTTCTATTTGGTTCTCTAAATTATTTTCTTTGATTAACGTGGCAAAATCATATTCGATACATACATTCTATGACGTCGCAAAATTTTTGACTGGTGATGTAATAAAGCTGAGTTGAGAACTAGTATCAAGCTTAGCGATTCGCTTGCTGGCAAATAGCATCATGCGCTTGATTCGCAATTTTGGTGATCAGAGTATGGATACCAGCGAACCAATACAGGTAATGGTGTCGATTATGTTGTGTGACGTGTTGTTCCAACTCGTGATGAAGTTAGGGATTACTCATTGAACGCACAAACATGATTATCGCTCCTCATTACATCGGATTTCAAAAGCTATTTGCTCAACAATCGTTGCGTTGAAAAGACGTGCTTATTCTCGAAGGAGTAATTTTGAACACAAAGATACAAGTATGAAACAAACACTGGCACAGAGTACTCTTGTTGAAATGCATCATATCACTCTCGTCTCATGAACCATATAGATGAAATTGTGAGTGATAGATCGAAATTTGGCTGGCTAATCTGCTCTAAGCTTGTAATTTCAACCATCCCAATTGGGACAGTTCTGATGTCGTGGTTGAAGGATACCTGCTCATTATAATACTTTGATTGAATTCTGGTAACATTCAATTCAAAGAAAACAAAAAAAGATGCTGGTAACATTTTCTAATTGCTGAGACTTGGCTTTATGATTTGCTTAATTAATCGTTGTGATTATTTGTCTCTGGGTTTCCTGTAAGATGACCTCTTTAGTGTATAAGTAGCTCTTTCGCTGAATCAATTGGTTCTCTTCATGGGGGTAGGGGAAGATAATGTCACCAATACTGAATTTGCAACAATCAAAACGCGACACTATCTTTTTTTTGGACCACCTTGGCAAGCATTAGGCTTAACCTACGATCCTACCCATGATACCTCTTGGAATGTCTACCCCAATGCGGCGGTATATACTAGCTAGTAAATTTAGAGGACTTGCTTACCACCTCCCAAAATTGTGTATTAGCACATCATGAAATAAACTTTAAAGAACACCCAGCCCAAAGCTGATTATAACTACTACCAGAGCCGCTCCTAAAGAAGAGACATAGTTCAAAATTCTCAAAATGGAGGTCTCTTTGGTGTTGGGCGCGATGCTGTATATTTGTCATGAAAGGGAGAGACATAGTGGAAACCCCAATGATTGTCTCCATCTTTCTCTACCTTTAGTGTTCGCAATCTTCGCTACCATTTCACCATCTTTTTCCTTCAAACGCGTTTTGCTTTGATAATTTTCCAGATCAAAACATTGAAAGTAGATAAACTAACAAACATTGAACAAAAGACATCTCAGCCACATACACATACACCGCTCGACTAGAAATAGGAAGACTCGTTTCCTTTTGCTAGACTTTTTTGTTTCAGTCCACTATGTCACTAATACGAAAACGAGTATGTATTTTATTCAAAGAAACAAGCTCTTTCCCATAATGAATCTCCTAACTAACTATTTCCCCTAGGAACTTGTCATCAATGATGAAGACACACATCAAGTTAAGCGACAAGCAACCCCAATCACTTCAACCACAGCCAAGTTGATTGCCAAACTCTATAGTACTCGAGGGGCACCCACCATCAATATTCCCAACCAGTCCACCTGTTTCCTAGGTCGCAGTAAAGCTTGTGATGTAAACTTACAAGGAGCTGACGTTTCCTCCAAGCATTGTCAATTGGATCGCATAACTTCCGAAAGCCAGGACAAGACGCGTGAGTATTTACAATTGACTGATTTGAGTTCAAATGGAGTCTATGTTAATGGTGAAAAGATGGATCGTGGTTCCAGTGTTGTTTTGAAAACGGGGGATAAATTACAATTTGCAAAGACTGGGGGTATATATATCTTTCGATATACTTTTGATATCATCAATAATGACCCATCGGCATCATCGTCATCATCACCACAAGAGGTTCCATCCGTTGATGCGCTGCTGGGTGTCAAAAAGTCATTTAAGAGTTCATTTTTTGATGATTACATTCTTGGCAAACAATTGGGTACGGGCCACTATGCCATTGTTCGTGAAGCCAAAAACAAACAGACGGGCCAAACAGTAGCAGTTAAGATTTTCCACCCAAACAAGACCAACTCTGCAGCACAAGATGCCAAACTACAACAAGAAATGAATTTACTTCTTTCGATAAATCATCCCAATATTGTTCAATTTGTTGGGCATTATATCGAACCAAACAGTAAAAACTCGGTCAATACCTATTTGGTGTTGGAAAAAGTCAATAATGGTGAATTATTTCAACGTATAGTAAACAAACAAAGACTACGAAGTGATGAAACAAGAGCCATTTTTAAGCAATTATTGAGTGGATTGAAATATTTACATGATAATAATATAATTCATCGTGACATCAAGCCGGAAAACATCTTGTTGGATATAACGAGGCGTAGTGACATTAGTCATGGTCAACAGAACCAACTAGAAGAAAAACAAACGGGGCCCTGGGATCCTGATGAACTTGATTTACGTGTGAAAATTGCCGATTTCGGACTAGCTAAATTCATTGGCGAGTTGAAATTCACAAACACATTGTGTGGTACCCCAGCATATGTAGCTCCCGAGATTTTGAAATATGATCGCAATTATTCAACAAAGGTTGATCTTTGGTCAAGTGGCGTGTTGTTGTACGTATGTTTAAGTGGATTTCCGCCATTTAGTGATGAATTGGCACCACCAAACATGAAGGAGCAAATCTTGAGTGGGAAGTATGCGTTTTATTCACCATATTTTGATGAAGTTGATGATGTTGTTTTGGACTTGATTACGAAATTGTTGAAGGTTGATCCTGAAGAACGGTTTGATGTTGAACAAGCATTGAATCATGAATGGTTTCAGGACTAGGGAAGCCAAGAGATAAGAGCCCTTTGTTTATATATTTTGTTGTAACAATTCAAACTCTTGTTTCCGACCTTGGAAAAATGACGCCAATAACGAATCATTTACTTGGAAACTCTCCTTCATTGAGTCAGGCACTTTCTTCAGAGCACCTTTCTTGACATCACTTATTTTTCGACGCAACTCATTTAAATTCCGCAACACTTTATCTGCCGCGGCCCATTGCTTCATTTTGATATAACAATCAAACTGACCAATCAAACAAAGCAAATCCCGATTGGCTTCTACACCCAATTTAAACCATTCAATAGCAATTTCATAATTGTTAAACTTGTTCATTTCCAAAAACCCCAAACTGGCAAAACTTTCCAACAAAGATTTCAGAGCACTAATTTCCATAAAATATTTAGCGACTCGTGGGTTGGTATCAAGGTACAATTGTCCCAAGTAGTAATGGGCTTTAGTTGAATACAAATCCAAGTCAGTTAATGCAATACAATTTTGAAAAAATTTCTTGGCCAAAGGTAGGTCTTGTACTGGTGGTGGTTGTGAAAAGTAATAATAGCCCAAGTTGTAATAAACATGACCTGCTTCAATAGTATCATCTTCCAATGCCAAAAATTGTTGCCAATAATCAACAGCAGTAGCAAACACTTTTTTCTCAAACGCCAAATCACCCGCCATTTTGAACACCAAAGGATGTTTCAATTGTGTCAACTCTGTGATCAATTTATTAGCATGGGCTAAATCTTCCTTGGCAGCTTTATCAACAACCAATTCCCCCCTAACATTTTCCCTCACTTTTTCAAACGCAAGCATCGTTATTGCATCCAAATCACCTCGTTCAGCAGCTTGCTCCACTAACTCATTCTCTAGATCAAGTAAATTCTTATTGACTGATTGGGTTACTGATCGAATACTAGTCAAGAGTTTTCTAAAAACCATCAAATCCAGTGGTTTAACTGTATTGGGGATGGTAATTTTGGATGGTTGTGATAAATTATTGTAAATGTTTGTTAAAATGGGCATCATTCGCGAGTAGGTGATGGGGGAGTCATTGTCGAAAAGGATTCGATTAATGGTACGTTTTGAAGGTAGGATCGACAGTAGTTCTGGTCTAGTCTTGGTGGTAGACGTGCTAGCCAATCGAATAAAGCGTAGCATTGTGGGTATGGGAGTGAGAGCTAGGGTTTAGGCGGTAGGTGTGTGAGGTGCTACTGATTTGGCACATTTTCAATGTCGTTAAAATTTCTCACGAGCTTTGACAATGCGACATCAACCCAAACTACATGAAAAAACAAAAACGTATATGTCTCTTCTAACAATACGCAAAAATTAAATATTATGAAAAAGAAAGTTAGTTCAGTCAACTAAAAAGATAAAATACAAATAAAGCTCTAAAAACCCCCAAAACAGAATGAAGTAAACACAAATGGATCTCTTTCTTTTGGTGATACTAAAGAAATGAATGGATGATGTTAAAAAGAAAAACGAAAAAAAAAAGAAAAAAAAAGAAACAAAAAACAATGGAAACTGTATCGAGTAAATGGCGCAACAAATGGGTGTTTGTTTGGGCCTCCACGTTGTGTAAATCGAGTGATGGTGAATAAGATTCCCTCTTCTCTTTTTTTCTCTTTTGTCTCTAAAATGTTGAATTATAAAATATAATGTGCAGCTTAAGCAGTTGAAGCAGTATGAGGAAAACAAAGCTTTTCCTGTCCATTTTGTTGAAATTGGAATTGAAGTTGTAAATGTTGAATTGTAAATGTTGAATTATATAGTTATTGGGTTTGGAAGCCCCCTTTCCCTCTTCGTAATGACTCACCACTCAAAAATCAATGAAATCAATATTTGATGATTGAAAATCACCATTCCCACCAACTAAATCAATTGGATCAAAGTCATTGTTATTGTTATTATTATTGTTCAAATATGGTATATTGTCCGATACACCAACCACAAAATCATTAATTTGATGACTAGAGCCATGTACGTATGCATTTGTAACATCATTGCTACCTACACCACTGAAAAGTGCATGATTATGATGATCACTGGAAAATGACAATACATCTTCGGGTGAAGTCGTAGGCTTGATGTGTGTGAGATTCAATGGATCTAATTTGTTGTTGTTGTTGGTGTTGGTGTTGGCGTTATTGAAATTACCAAACGATTGTAGTGATTGTGGTGTGTCAGCTTGATAAAATTGATTAGATGTGGTTGAAAAGGGCAGTCCATTGAATGTAGTTGTTGCAGTAGCCGTTGCAGAACTAGGAACAGACAAGTTGTTAGGGGCATAGTTGTTGGAAGTGTCGTTACGGTTACTGTTGTTTGTGTCAATATTCAACGTTAGTGATGACAAATCATTGGGACACATTGAGTTAGGATTCTGTCCATTGAATGTAATGCCAAGGTCAAATGAGTGGTGTTTCAATGAAGCCAAGGATTCAGGTGGGATAGACGTAATAAATTGGGAATTGGTGATATCAGTAGTGGCAGCAGCAGTTGAAGCATGTGGTGTGTTATTGGTAGTCGCGTTGTTGTTGTTGTTGTTGGTTAATCCCACTATGCTTTGACTTATATAAGAACTAAGATAATTAAGAGCAATCTTGGATCCAACAAGTACATGAGGTACATCTGAATTACCCTCATCTTGTTCCTCTGACTCATCATCTTCTCCTTCTTCTCCAGTTGCAGTAGTTGTCTCAAAGTCTTTAAATTTATACTCCTTGTCAACGGTACTGGAGTAAGCTCGACTGACTTGTTGTCCTTCACTAAAATCATCACATATAGACCATTGATTGGTTGATGAATTCAATCCATTGAAGAAATACACTGAAAATTTAGGTTGATGACATAAGTGAATCTTTAATTCATTACTATCACAAACATCATTTCCTCCATTGTCACTATGTTGAACCAAGTTATCATGTAGTGAACAATGAGAAATGGCACTCAAGGGGTAAAAAATCCGAAATAAAATCTTGGAATCATTGGCATGGGCCAGAAAAAAGTAGTTTAATTCGTGGTTTTTCCTTGAAAGTAAAACCAACAAGTCAACTTGTTGCATAACATTGTTTAAATTGAATGGTGATAGGTTGATCAAATTGTTTTGAAGCAACAGTTGTTTATGAATACCACTTTTAATCCTTTGCCATGATCCAACTGATAATGAAGTACAATCAATAAATGAGTACTTGTCATTGATTTCTATGGGTACATGTTTTTGGATAAAATCAAATGTAGTATGGTGTGAAGCCAAGTGTTTGCCGAATGAACTAGAATCAGTCACTGTCGTTGGTGCAGTAGATAAAGAAGACGTAGTGGATGAAGATGATGAGGATGAAGATGATGCAGATGATACTGATGATTGTGCTTGTCTTAAACTTCTTTCATGCTTCTTTTGTTTAGCTCTTCTATTTTGAAACCATATTCTCACTGCTTTTTCATTCATTTGTGCTTGTTGACTAATAAACTTTCTACGATCAGGACTGGGGCTAGGGTTTTTCTCAAATTCCAGTATTAGGAAATTTAATACTTCACCAGTGGCTCTTATACGTTTTTGTGGTGGATTAATGGTGGTTGATGTATTGACTATAGTGGCAGTGGGGGAAGTGGTTGATATACTGCCATTGGCATTAATATTGAAACTGAAATTGCTTCTAGGGGTTATAGTTGTTTCTGACATGATAAATTATGACAATGCTATAGATGGGTAACGGAGAATGACTTGGAAACTTCCCTAGTAGTGTAGTATTAGTGGCAACTTATTTTGTTTTGTAAATGTTTATGATAAAACAAGCGTGTAAAGTTATTTCAATATAAAGTAATAGGATAGTCCTGCTTTAGTTTTGGGCTTGGGGGAAAGATTCGTTTTGTATTTTGTATCCCTCGGGCTAAATTTTTGTCAATGATCTTTTTTGTCCTATTGGATGGAGAATAAAAGCGAAAAAAAAAAAAAATTAAGATGCAAATAGGATGATGCTTCTTATAGCTAAGCTTTGAGTGTTTTTTTTGGTAAGTAAAAAGATGTTATAAAGATATAAGTGTTGTGGATTAAATATGAGCCATTTAGAGTGAAAGATATCCAAATGAGTTGAGAGATGGTGAAAAAAAGGGGATTTAGCGTCTACTTTTATAAAATATACAAGATGAAAAATTTTTGTAACATTAAAATTCCTTTTTTATTTTTTTTGATGCTTTTTCTCTTTCTGTTTCTGTCTCTGTCTCTGTTTCTTTTCCTTCTGTGTCATATGTTACTAGAACAATGTAAACTTAAGTAAGTGACTAAACTCAGTTTGTGGGATCATCATCATAAACATATTAGACACTTTTACGAATCAAAAAAAATAAAAAAAACAAAATAGGCTGAGATACCGAAAATGCAATTACACAAAACTCTTGTGATTGGATTTGTGTAATCTTCACAGCAGTTGGTTCTCAAATCATATGCAGATTGAAAAAGTAAAAAAAAAAACAACTTTATTTTAGAGTTTTATATTACACAAAAGTACAAAAGGTTAGAGTCGTAGTATCCCCGGTATTACACAAAACAACCAATTGAATAGAAGAGACGACATTTTACTCTTTTTTTGACGACTTTTTTTTTTTTTGAGTTTATCCTTTTCCCGTAGATATTTCACACGAAGTACATCTACAAATCTATAAAAGTAGTTTAGTCTTGCTTTCTTTATACTCTTCAGTCGTGTGTTACTGTTGTTATTGTTAACTTAGTTATAGTCAGTTAAGACCAACAACAAAGTAGTGCAATGTTACGAAATCTAAGTTATTGAAAGAACAATAAACAGAGGCTTTACTTGGATAACAATAAACAACTATATACATATATATGTCAACCAATGGGAAAGATGTTGAATGTAATGTGTAATATAATACTAACTACTACTCACCACTACAATCAGTTACTGTTACCAGGTTCAAAGCGGCATGTGTTCAAAAAGTCATGTGAGCAACCAGTTATCATATACACATACCCTCACTCTCTTATACAACAGTGGCAACTGAAAAGCTAAAGATCAACTTTCTCACTACAGTACAAACCACCATACGCAATATAGGTTGTTTTTCTATATGTGTGTGTGTGTACATCTCTATTGTTCTTACAATATGTATTATGCAAGAATGTGCCTCACTGAACAACAACCATAGCACTTAAAACTAAAGAAAAGAAACGATAAAGTAGTAGGGATAGAGGTAGAGTAGTAAGAAAGAAGGGATTTACACTCACAGGCTCAATGACGTAGGGGGACGGGGGGGGGGGGGGTATGCATCCCTGTTTGAATTTTGTAGTTTTTTTGCTTATGCAGGCTCAGTAGATGTTGTTCGATTGAGCTACGGGGGGTATTCATGGGTATTCATACTCTTCCAACTTACAGATGTTGCTTGATTCGCATCGTATTACTCTCAACCAATATAATATAGTGTATGAGTATCTTCTTTCCAGGCGTGTGTGTGTGTATTTAGCCTACAATTGCAACTTGTACAATTCACTTTCTAGAGTTGTATCAGAAAAAGGAAGCCAAGAAAAAATTGGTATGGGTTTTCTAAAAAAAAAAAAACAAAACTTTAAAAATAGGAACAACTTTTATGTACGGCACAAGGGAAATAAACATTGCATTATACCCCCCTCAACGAGTTCTAATTTCACCCCCTCAGTCCTTTTTTTCTGGTTTGACTTCAGCTTCATTCCCTATTCATAGAATAACGATGTTATCATTGACGCACATACTACAAAATCTCATCTTTCACTTCTTTTCTTTGCTGGCTAAATGTCAAAAAAAAAACTAGTCTGCTGTCTATTGTCTTATTTTCTTTTTATTATATTTTTTTGTTGAGTGAAATTTTTGACACGACACTACCCATATTGTGTAGCTCTTTGAAACTTTACTTCTTTGTAGACGACATTTTACACAAAACTAACATTAGCTGATACTTTTTTGGTTTCATAGTACAAAAGGGGGGAAAGGAACAATAAACGATAAAAAGTAAAACAATATCGTCTGCTATTGTTATTTACACCCCCTACTTCTTCTCCCATTGTTGTTTTTCACCCTCGGTTTCTACGTTTATTGCGTTGTAGCGTAATGTAGTGTAGCGTAATGTAGTGTAGTGTAGTGCATTGTGTTACTCTTACTGTTTAACGCGCACACATACACACACACACACACACACATACACACACACATACACAAGATTGTATCTTTGTAAAACAAAGTGCTTGTAACCAAAAGTTTGTTAGTAATCCCTTACTTTCCACACCAACCATCTTTTTATCCTTTTTTACGCAAGTAAGTAAGTAGGTTTGTAAAAAAATCTAATCATGCGATTCCGGATAAATCCTGTCCCCTTTCCGTTTTTAATAATTGTGATGATGCAAAAGTCAAAATACTGTGAAGTAAAAAGAAAAAAGAATACAAAGTATCAAGTATCAACACTTAAAAAAAAAAAAGAAGAATCCTTTTCTTTTTCCTTTTTCTGCTTTTAACCGCAGTACCTATTTTTCGTCTTTTTTTTTTTATATATGTCGTCCTGTGTCTTAAAGGGAAGTGTTATGACATGGAATGTTGTTTCTCTTTTGTTTGTATTTTATGTCGTGACATTAAACAATAGGACATTGAACAGATGTAAAGTAACAAAAAGTAACAATAGAAAAAGCCCTTGTTTTTTTTTTTTTTAACAAATACGGTAGGAGCAATGGTTAGGAACTATTGGTTAATCACTCAAAAAGGCGGATGAGAGAGAGGCGAAAACAAAATAAAAATTCAATTAGACGATCAATAATCAATCAGTTCGTAAGTTCCCCCTCCCCTTTCCCTATCCTCAAGGCGTCATGGTTATATTAAAATCAGATGATTAACTCCAGCGACTCTTTGCTCCTTCTCTCGTTCTCTTTTACTTGTAGCAATCTCGTCTTGAAGGAATCTTTTTCGGAAAGATTGTGTTTGTCGTCAAAATTCTTCAACAATAGAGAGATACATGTAAGTCTTGGGTCTGGATCCAGAATCATAAAACAAATCATACAATTTCCATTTTTATCCGGGGTTATTCAATAGTACCGCTATTACCACCTCCCCCTCTCCTTCTCTCATTAAATGTACTTGTTTCTAACTCCGTTTAATTCTCAAAAAGATTGCTTCCATAGATTTTTATTGTATAAACCATGTTTAGGAAATAGTGCAGAGACGGGTACTTTTTGTTTTTATCCGGTGAAAAAGAACAAAAGAAACCGTAAACAGCTTCAACTTCAACAACAATTCAACCGAGCGAGAGCACTAACAAAGACAATAAGCTGACAGTAGGGAATTCTTCTATTGAAAACGTTTTGTTTATTATTTCTTCTTTTGCCGTATCTACATACATTTCTAGAACAAGTAGGGACAGAAAGTGTATATGTAAGAGCTAGACTGTGGGGGGACTAACATTTCGTTTGTCTTATCTTTAGACTGTGTGTAATCAAGACATATGTAGGTACAAGTCCATGTGATGCGCTCTGCAGCTTCTACAAGTGCATGAAACAAGCGTTTAGTTTGGAATATTTCTTGGGTGTTTGAAGCGATACAGCTGTAGAAGCAAATTTGTCATTTGTACACTACTATTGGCTTACAAAGGAAAATGAACTTTGTGCAATTGTATGCTGCCTTTGTTTTTTTTTTTTTTTTTGGTCTTGTTCAGTGTGATTGTTGTTATATCGTAATGCTCGCATTAAATCAAAGTCTTTGTACCAACACACTGGCTTGGATCTGTCTTGTCTTTTATTGTTCTGTTTTGTTTTGTTTTTACACCCCCCTGGACGCCCTGTTGTAGATCTTAATCCTATCCCTCTCCCTCCTTTGTAAAGCACAATGCCTAGCACATATAGCATGGCAGTCAGTCACCCAACCCAATGTCAATTACAATAAAACATATATGTGAGTGCCTTTTCTGCATCAATAGTAGAAAGCCCTATGACTTGTAACTGTCACACACACACACACACACAAGTTAACGGAGATAACTTTAATCCGCTGTTTCTTTTACACCCCCCTGCCATTTTTGGTGGTCTTCTTCATTTTATACAAGTCGATTCTTTTCCACTAAGGAGTTAAGAAAATAAATAAATAAATAAAAAAAAGCAAGAGCATTAAGTTTAGACATAGCACGAAACAAAAAATGTCTCTTTGTATTTTCTTTGGCAAGTCCTTTCAAATGCACCTGAGGTAGATTTAACCGTAGATACATAACATTAAAAAAGCAAAGTAGCACTAAACAAAGGGCAACCCAGCATCTAAGCACAAACAAATTAAAGAGCATCAGTTTGTTGACCTCGGCAATCGATCATCTCATAACAATAGAACAAATGCAAAAAAAAAAAAAACATAAGCCAATTGCCGGTAGTGTAAAAGTAACAAACAATATACGACAAGCAAGCATGCAAGCAATCGCCCTATATTTCACCACCTTTTTCAATTGAAGCCCTTTTTTACTCGTCTCGTATACAGCAACTGTTCTTCATAAACAGTTGTTGTTGCATATATCTGATGTTACTGCCTTTGGTCACAGGCCCATTAGGTCTAAGGCGAGCAATTCTGGTTACACAAAGTGACGGAAAACGATGTTCAGTTTCTTAAAACAGTAAATAAAATAATATATCCCTTTCCTTTCCTTTCAACGGTTTCAAAGAACACTCCCGACTCAACAGTCACTATAAGAACAATACATAGCAAGCAGTAGCGGCGGTTAAAAACGGTCGGATAAATACTTTACAATGACATATAGAAGTGAAGAATGCTCCAAACATTTGATTTGTTTTTCATCATGAAGAGTTAAAAAAAATATATATATAAAAAATTTTTATCTCTATTTTCAGTTAAGACTCGCGTGCTGTTTTATCAAAATTGATCAAACCAATCATGAATCCTTTAGTTACTAATTATACAAAGTCAAACTGGACAAAAGCAAACTGACCATCTACTCGTCGGACAAGTCTCAACCTCGAGTTACTCAACTGATAATTCACAACTCATTGTAAGCCGAGGTAGTAGTGCAACATCTTACGAAATTGTAGATCTTTCCCTTCACATGTGATATTGCACCATACCGTACACAAACTTTAAAACTTTAACTTTGTCTCTGTCTCTCACTCACTCTCTTTTTCCCGCCGCTTAATGTTTCACTTGACAAGTACAACGCGTGTATATCTACATAGCTTCCCTTGTTATTATGACTCAGGCAAGCATTGTCACACAAATTTTGAATCTGAGACACTATGTTTCAGCACAAATAAAGATTCAAATAGCACACATCGGTGGGAATGCCTAATATCATTTTTGCGTTTTGTGTGTTTGTTATTATTTTCAACCAAAACGGGTCATCAATGCTGAATCTTTTCTGAAGGTTTTACTGCATGTGTTGAACTAAGATTAGCAATTACACAAGGGGAAGAAACAACCGATTTGTGTTGTGCTCCTATAGCTGTGCATGCACTGAGTGGAGGGGATAGATAGATACGGATCCCCCAAAAAAAACTAGTGTCTGCCACAAACTCGTTTAGATTGATGAGCACACAATGAGGAAGACCCACCCACACGTGCGTATCAGGATTTATATTCTTTTCATCTTTCCCGAGGAAAAGAACAAATCGAATGAAGAAACGTATACTCTCGTTGAGCTGCTATTAAAATGCAAAGCGCAAATGATGGGAATAAAAATATAATCATCAGGTACAAGCACACGTGCGTTTGCACATGCCCACTACTACCATCCTAAGGCATGCACCATCTAACCCCTACGTAATCAACTCACATATACGTATTCAAACTTACACATACGTAATCAACAATGTTTATTTGAGCCCTAGAAATAAATGGGACGAGTTTATATTTCGGTAAGCACCGGTAAAAGTTTCTTTTAAGATTTTCATCACCATGAAATAGAAAAACAATGGAACCCATACAAGTTATAGAATCGTTTCATAATTTTTCAAATGAAGAAACCAAGTTACACTAAAAGCAAGCTTAGCTAACTAAAAATAGAGCCACAAACTCACAACTATTCCCTTCATCGTTTGTCTATCGGCTTATATGTTTTTGTGTAGCTATGTTGACAATTTTGTAATCTGTTACACAAACACGAATGGTTACAAAAGCTGAGAGGTGTACGACATTTTGGAATAATCTACCAAAAGTGCATTGAAAAGGACTAAATATAGAGCATATATCTTGATGTTATGAAAATAGACACATATTTGTGTCTTCCCTAATGTCCTCAACAAAGCACAAGACAGAGTCCAAAAAAAAGTCAAGCTAATTTTGCAGAAAAACTGTTGCAAATAAGACACTTTCAACAACACCTAACCAAGTTTATCTAGTGGGATTGAAATCTCTATCCGACCAAGTTACAACGCAAGAAGGGGATTACTACTTGATTCTTGTCACTTAACCAGACCTCCCCCAAGCAAATGAAAGGCGGGATGAAATTCCTAATTTCCAAGCATTGCCCCCCCCCCCCCCTGTTAAGTTTTTCAACTCTATTGTTCTTGATATAACCAAAGCAAAACTAAAAACTTTGTTAAAACACTGGAATTCCACCTCTGAATTCCATTCTTTCGGGGAGATTCTATAAGCCCCCCTTCTTCCCCTACTCCAATCCAGTTGGAATTGTAACAATAAGATCTATGAACAATAAGGGCCAAGGATGGAACTCCATTTTCTTTCATCCAACGACGACAAAATTTAGATCAGGTTTTCAAAATCGAACCCTGATTTCAATTGGATTCGCAGCATTTCTAATTGCTTCTGTTTGCTTAGTGGACACTTGACTACGTGAAATTTCTCAAAGCAATAGAGCTTTTTTCACGCTTCTATTTACAAGGCTCATAACCGGAGAAGAATTGACGAGAAAAAAAATGAAAGCTGCGTCGGAGTTAACATCGATTTCTTTTCTGGAGTCCTTGCATTGTTGTTTGTGGATTAAACATGGTTTGCTTCATGTATGCTATTTGCACCCCCCCCCCCCCCGTGATTTACATTTCAGATGTCAAAAGTATACGTCACAAGACAGATCACGAAAGTTCTTTGTCCGCTATTATTTACTCTCTACTATAAACAAGGCCAAATCTATTTACACCCCTTCTTTTATCACACTCTAGTTTTGACTTTTTGTAAAGGTGGTTTATGCAGGGTGGAGTTGGCATTTTCTCCATAATCCAAATCAGCACCTACTGAGGTAAAATTGCAATTACGTCTTTCAGGAGTCACATTCAATCTATTCAAAATCTGTGCTGACAAAGTTGGCATTACTGGTTGGATCAATATCGACAGAATACGCATTGTTTCTGCACATAGGTAAACAAAGTAGTTCACCAAAACCTCATATGCAATTGCTGTCTCTCCATTTATTTTTGACTCTTTAATTGCTGACACATACAACCATGGTTCAGCGACTTGAAACAATTGGTTAGCTTGATTGATAATCTTCCACCACACTTGTATTGCTCGTATATAATCAAAGGCAGTAAACTTTGCATCCATTTCCTTGTAAGCATCGTTTAGATTCTCTTGTAATTCCCTAGACAATTGTATTACCAAGTCAACATTTTCCTTCTTCAAACTATACCGACTTATCAATTCATCAATGCCCTCATACACCCCACCATCTTTCGCCTGCGTCACTGCTGCCTCAATATCAAACAGCTTACCCCCAATCCTCGAAATCAAATTGCAATATTTTCCCACAAGTGCATCCCTACTTCTTTGCAACAAAGCTTCACTAAATTTACAATCATCATCGATATTAGAATTCTCCGTCAAAAAGAACCTTACGGGATCAACACCATAATATTCACTCAATTCCATTGGATCAACAACATTTCCCAAACTCTTGCTCATTTTAAAACCTTCACATAACCAATGTGAGTGGACAATCACTTGCTTCGGCAATTCAATTCCGGCAGCCATCAAGAAAATGGGCCAATATATGCAATGAAATCGTATAATATCTTTACCAATAACATGTGTTGCTGGCCATGGGTTGCGCTCAGGGGTGATGAATCTATTTCCCTCTTGTTCGAACCCTTTGGGGAACCCAGTGGCAGTAAGGTAGTTTAATAACGCATCAAACCAAACGTAAATCTTTTGCGATGAATCATGAGGGACATCAATCCCCCAAATCAACCTTGAAGATGGTCGAGACACTGAAAGATCAGGAAGTGGAGTGGTTACCAATTCATTGAGGATAAATTTATATCGATGTTGGGGCTGAATGAAATGAGGATTCTGTTTTAAATACTCAATCAAATCAGCTTGGAATGATGAAAGTTTGAAAAAATAATTGGTCTCCGTTTCATACACAACTTCATTCCTCGTCTCTGATGATATTTTAATCACTTTACCATCTTTTTCAACTTCTTCAATACTTGATTCAGGATAAAAAGTCTCATCGCTGATGCAATACCATCCACTATGCGTTCCTTTATAAATGTATCCCTTTTCCATCATCAAGTTCCAAAAATACTGTGCCACTTCAACATGGTCCAAATCAGTAGTTCGAATAAATCGATCATACTCAATATTCAATTGTGAAGCTAACGATTTGAAGTTGTTGGATACTTTATCAACCAATTCTTTTGGCTCAACACCGAGCTTCTCAGCCGTATTTTGAATCTTTAGCCCATGCTCATCAGTACCAGTCAACATATAGGCCAGTTTCGTTGGGTTTAATTTCTCCCATCGCGTCCTCGTATCGGCAATCAACATGGAGTATAAATGTCCAATATGTGGTGCCGCATTGACGTAGAAAATTGGTGTCGTTGTGTAAAAGGGGTTGGACAGGGCCCACCGTTTGAATAACAAGGGGCATCTTAGGTTTAAGCTTCGTAGTTTCATTTTGAATTCTTCGTTTGGGTGGGCTAAATCATAGCATGTGCGGTGTGGTTCTTGATTTTCTGTTGATGTAACCACGCGATTCTTGAAAATGAGAGGCATCACAGCTATCATCAAGAAACTACGTCAATAAATAGTATTACATACATTACCTCCTCCTACATGTTTTAATTCATACTTCTGTCTTTTCAACAAATATAGCCATGAGTGCAAACACTGTGTAAAACATGCACAATGGATACGCAATCAAAGGTCTAACATTGTGCAATTTCAACACCGAAACAAAGAATCCACTAGCTGAATATGTACACCACAACACGGCAATTGTACTAAGAATGTAGCCCACCAAGTTATCCAAGTTTGTAACGACTCCAACAACACTAATCAACACTAATGGTAGTAAACAATATCCAATGACAGATGCTGAACGACTAAGATCGATTTGAGTATCATTACTCATAAACTTGAACAAATAGTGTAAACTGATGGTCCCAAACAACCCAACACCGTATATATACCCAAATTGCACTTTTCCTGCCAATAGAAGCAAAGTACCAAACAATAGCACAAACAAAATAGGACCAGCTAGATCGGAATCGGCCATAATATCACTTGGTATATCCTTCATCAATGGATTCAACACCACAAGCGTCTTTGATTTGATGTGCAGAAAATTTATTCCCAATTCTTCAAGTAATGGGGGTTCACCAGGGTATCCCAGAGTGCCAAATGCTGCAAGTAGTCCTGGAGTCAATTCGCCACCACCCATTACACCACTTACATCATTGTTGAATCCCATATCCATGGAGCCCATGCTGTTGACTGGAATATTCGGTTGTGTTTGTTGGTAAGAATAGTTAGATTGGTAGAACTGCATGTTCTGGGGATTGTTCACCTGTTGTTGATAGTAAGCCATATTTGAAGTATTTATAGGGGTAGATGTGTCTTGATTGAGTCGTAATACGAGGCGGATCGAGTAGTCTATATGTTTTATTGCTAATACGTGTATTTGGGTTTTGATTTTAAAGTTCTGAATTTTTTTTTTTTTTTTTTTTTTTTTTTTTTTTTTTCAAATTGTTGTTAGCCCAATTGAAACGTCATTCCCAAGAAGAGACACGACATTGGCATCATCTGCGGAAGCAACGTTCATCTACCATGTCTCAATCTTTAATCATATTCAAGCCTTCGGGTAAAGTGGAGTACCAATTCAATAACAAAATCTCCCCTTTTAATGATTACATCTCCACTTTAATTAATGAAACACAAACAAATTTGGACCAAAACTTCACCACAGACACCATAAATCAGAAACGATTCTATTGCTATCACAAAGAGGATGTGTATGTGGTACTATACTTTGACGCGATAACTACAATAAACAGTGATAAGATCAAGCAATCACTCATAGGGGTTTTCAAGACTTTTAAAAAATTCAAAGAATCTGATGACCTAGGGGAGGAAAAGTTTCGTAGTTTAGTTGATCTACAATTCAACAACTTGATGAAATCAAAACAAAATGTCGAGGAGACTACATCCGCCAAAGAGCCTAAACCCACCAGCAATGGATCTAAACCACAATCGAAACAGCCAGCTCAAAAACAAGTGTCGTCCAAGAAAATGAGAAAATGGGATAATAGTGGTGAAATGGTTGACTATTCAGATAATCAAGTATTGGACTACTCTAACTCTCAGGGACAAGACGAATCAATCCGGCCAAAAGAAATGAAGGTCAATAATGAAGCTGCATTTACAAAGGAGAGTGAGCTTGTTTTGGTCAATGAATTAAATGACATATTGAACGAGTCAGATGAGGAAGAGGAGGATGAAACTCAAAATAAACCCACAGGATTTTTTGGTAAAATCGGTTCATACTTTGGTGGCTCTATTAATGTGGATGAAGTATCGAAAAAGTTTAATGAGCAACTCATTTCCAAAAATATAGCACCAAGTACAGCTAAAACCATCATTGATAAGCTCAAAACAAGACTTGCTGGCAAAAAGGTGAATATGGCCACTTATAAGCAAACATTGGTTGATGAGCTCACCAAGATTCTTACTCCAAATGTGTCAACAGATTTGTTATATGAAATCAAGAGAAATGACACAGGAAGACCCTATGTCATCTCAGTCGTGGGTGTGAATGGAGTTGGCAAATCAACCAATCTTGCCAAGTTAGCCTACTGGTTCCTTCAAAACAACCTCAATGTGCTAATATGTGCTTGTGATACGTTCAGGTCAGGCGCAGTTGAACAATTGAAGGTGCATGTAAATAATCTTGATCGATTGAATTCCGAGTTATCCAACAAGTCCAAAATTGCATTGTTTGAAAAGGGATATGGAAGTGGAGACCATGTGGTGCAAACTGCCAAATCTGCCATACAGTACGCTACAGAAGAGCGTTTCGATGTGGTGCTCATTGACACTGCCGGTAGAACTCATTCCAATGCAAAATTGATGGCACCTCTAAAGAAATTTGGCGACGCTGCTAATCCAAACAAGATTATCATGGTGGGAGAAGCATTGGTTGGTACCGACTCTGTTGAGCAAGCTATAAATTTCAACAATGCATTTGGAAATAGGAGAAACTTGGATTTCTTCATAATATCCAAGGTTGATACAGTTGGTGATTTGGTTGGAACAATGATCAATATGGTTATGGCTACCAAGGTTCCTATTTTGTTTGTCGGTACTGGGCAAACATACACTGATATCAAAAGGTTGAGCGTGAGACAAGTTGTGGACATGTTGACCAAGTGAGACACGTAATTATAACGCCATTAACTAATTTAATTCGATCAGAAACGTCCACTTGATGAGTTTCAAGATATTGTAGAATCATCGTTGTATGGAACACTATCTTTTCTTAGTGTAGAGGTTATTACAAGGTTACCAAGGGGGAGCCATGAAATTGGGAATGAGCTTACGTAAGGAAAAATTCTATAAGCTGAACAGAGTTCTCAAAACACAACTGTGTGCAGTCAATATGGTGGAAGCAACTGGCGCGGCCCTCGCACTGCCCTAGTAGCCGACATGGCTAACAGCAACTTAGACCAGTTTCCTTTAATTCGCTAAGCAACATCTATGCATAGTCAGCTCACATCATTTCCATCCTAAAACATATTCAATGTCAATGTATTAGCAATAGAATTGCTATCAACAGCCTTTTTAAACTCTTCGAAATTCAATTTCCCATCGCCATCAACATCGGCTTCCATAATAGTCTTGTCCACAATTTGTTGTAGTTCCTCATCCTGTAAGTTCTTCCCCACCATCATCTTCATAACAATAAACAACTCTCCGTTACCAATATAGCCATCACGATCAATATCATATATGTTGAATGCAAATTGCAATTTCTCCAAGTTGGAGGATTTACCACTGAATGCTGATAATCCCGTTATGAACTCTTGAAAATCAATTTGTCCGTCACCATCCTTGTCAAACACATCCATTAATCGTGTGGCTAATGGGTTTGACGATATACCTGGGATCGATAAAAACTCATTCTTATCAATTTCCCCTGATCCATCTTTATCTAGTTTCATGAATCGTTTTCTTAGTCTGTCGATCTCCTCCACACTGAAATTCGTGTCTTCAACAAACTCATTTAGTATACTTGATGACGCTCCCATTGTTGCCTTGTCCTTAGATGTATTTGTTGTGTGCTGCTAAAGCTTCGTGTCGAAACAACTTAGAGGCGAAGCGCAAATTTGGTGAAACGAAGAAAATGAAATTTTACTTGGTAGCCCAAGTTACAGTAGCTCTTATATATTGAAACTATTCTATTTGAGATTCACTCTGCTTTCGAAAAATAATCAAGTCACCACTTCTCCTAGTATCCCAATGGAAGTAACTGTTAAAGTACTGCTTGTGTAAAACATAATTGCTCAATTCACTTTCAATCAACTCCTTCATGGGTGCAAATACAATAATGTAATCTGGATAATGCAAAGTTGACCCCAAATTTTCCTTGATAAAGAGTTTGGGATTGTCGTAAAACATATCTGATTGGTCTCTGTAGGAGTTTATTTCCAGCAGGGTAGGGTTCAGTAAGTGTAATGGAGGTTCGCAAGTCAAGAACCAAGCGCGCAAATCTGGATTGTGCAAATGGCTTTGCCATGGAGTAGAATGGCAAGGGGTCAAGAAACCAAATAAAGCATCCTTGTTTGATTTCATAAAGTGTAAAATGTCAACAGCTCCTCGTTCATTAACATTACTGAAGAAAATTGCAATGCACACGTTCAAAAATAGACCAAGTGGCACGTATTTCTTGAATCTGTGCAATTTTCGATACCCGCGAGCTGAATAATATAGGAAAATTGGTTGTAATGGCATAATAAACCGAAACTCTTTGTGTTGAATCAAAGAGAATCCAATCAAGTAAATGAGACTGCTGAGTAATAATATATCCTTGCGTAAACCACAAACTATCAATGGTAAATATAGCATCATCATCAATGGTATAGCTTGTAGTACATAAAAGTGCCAAGGGGCAACACCATAGAATACAGACAAATTCTTTACAACATTAAACTCAAGGAAATTGTAAAGCGGTATAGTGAGCTCCTTGTAAAAGTAGTAATCAAGTGCAACAGACAATAAGAATAACACAATCACTTCAAATATCGAAGACGCGATCCATGCAAATGTAATACGTATCCGCCCCAAAAGCCAAATACCCAATGGAATCCATAATAAAACATTTGTTGGGCGTATGATACAGCTTAAAAATCCGAAACCCAAACTGAGATACCAATTGTAGTTGCTTATTCCACCTCTCCATGGCCAGTATCTCAACGCACAGACCGTCAAACACGTCTCTAAATTATTGGAGAATGATCTCGTTAAAACATACCAGTTGAACGGATTCAATAATGACAACGTCAAAGTGATACGAGCCAATTCGCTATCCCGTGAATAAACTTGAACAAACCGATATAGTTGATATTCAGTAATTGTCGCAACTAAACTATTGATCACCTTAGGAATGAGCCAAATTAGTCGCTCATTTTCATTTGCAAGCATGTACCCCAAGGAATATATCAAGGGGTGTATGGACGATCGCAATTTGGCATGCCATTCCCATGTTATGTACCCATACCCGTAAACAAAATTGTGGGCTGGTTCTAAAGATTGATAAAACTCATCAGCTTGAAAAAAGGTCTGTATTGAAATAGCATTTATTAATCTGATGATGAAGATTATGATGAAGAGTTTGGTCGACGACGGTAGTCTGACACCCAGGTTGGTTCTCATCTGCGGTCAATGATTCTGAGAAGTTTATGTTTTTGCGCGTTATGAAGAAAGCATTTCCGTTCATCTTAAAGCCCTATCCTTCACTAAATTGAAGGAACTAACATTTCGGAATCCCTTTCTCTGACAAAAGGAAGCATCGTGTTCGATGCTACAGACGTCCTGTGCTCCTTGCTAAGAACCGCCACAAGGGCACGCACCAGTAAAAGCTTCATAGGGGAGCAGTACATCAATCTCTACAAACTACCATAGCTACAAAGACAAATAGCAACAACGCAGAAATTAGATCAAATATAGATATGAAAACAGATAAAACCAACAGGCTAATTTAGCACCAGCAAAATTAGTCCTTTTCAGCACCTCGTAGTCATAGGTCTGATTGAAGGAGCAATGATCATCATGGGTCCTGCTTCTTCGCTTACCTCATACTCACTCTGTTCTAGACTTACAAACGACCGGTTGGCCAGACCAGCCGCTTTGCTGGAAAGAGCGTGCAATGACATCAAGCTCTGAAGCCGCTTTCCGCATGTTTTGATCCCGTACATGAACCTCCTAACTTTGACCTTGAACCTCTTCATAGAAGTGTTTGCAAACGACTTTGAGCTTGGTCGCCAATCCTTCTTATAGTCGTCGTCATTCCACAAATCACAACGAATGGTGAACGGACAACTCACTTGCTCTGTTTCATAGTCTTCACCTTGACTGCCATCATCATCGTTATCCAGATCAATTCCAAGTTGAAGGGCAACACGTCCCAGTTCCGAATCAGGGGAAAACAATGGTATAACTTCGTCTGTGGTGTGATCCTCGGGAGAATATCCCGTTTCCTTGAGGATGCCCACTTTTGCTCCATTGCTTCTTTTTGAAGCTCTTTTCGCCCCCCAAGACCTTTTCCTTTTGAGACCCTGGTCCTTCCTTTTCCCTTCAATGACTCTGGTGAAATCTTGACATTTGTCACCACTAATTCGTCGCACTTCCATCCTATTGTTGAATCTGACTTTTTTATCTTTGATGGAGTCGTCACCAATATGCAATACCGCGGGTGTCTTTTTCAATGCTATGGTTGGTGGAGGTGGAGTAAAGTTGTAATGATCTTTTCCAGAACTGGACACTAGTCGATTCTCCTCTGGGCTTTCTGTTTCAACATCTTTGGTTGGAGCATCTAATCCATCTTCATCGCAGTCATCCCATGGGGTTGCAAATGGTTTGGCTTGTGCTGTGGCTAGACTAGGTGCAAAACTGGTATTGTTGGTAACTTTTTCGGTGCTCGCGGGCTTCGGAACTTGCTTAGTGCCTGCTTTTAATGAATTAAAGCACGTGGTGGTCTTGGTCTTGTCGTTGGAACTATTGTTGAGTGATAGAAAGCTGGTTTGGTTCTTTTTGATGCTTCGAAATTGCTTCGTTGTTCTTGCAAGCATCGTTTTAGAAGACTCAATAACCATGGATGTATCAGAATCAAGTCTATAATCCTTGTAGTCACAGGATGGCGTGAAGTTACTCTCCTTGAAAGCATCAACAGGGCTATCATCTTCCCTGACCATCTTCGACTTCATAAACCTCTTGTTTGATTGTTGCGTAGACTTGTGTCGATTATCAGTGCTGGCTTTTTTGATATGAGATTCCAAATCCACATAGTTTGAAAACGTAGGCATGGAGTCCGTTGAGTAAAATGCACTAGCTTTGTTTTGCTTCGAGATACTCTTTTCGTTGATGGATAGGTGAACGTTTGGATTAATTTGGGTTGGCGGTTTCACGAAATAAATGTCAGTGACCATACATCTCAACTCGGACAATACTGACTCAATCAAAGTAAATCCGTAATCTTCATTCTCGTCGTAAACAAAGTCTTGGCTGAAACAAGTAAAGCTTTGGTTCTCTTGGGAGAAAAACATCAGTGATGCGGGCATAATTAAAGGTAGTTTGTGTTTTTGGTTGAATGAAAAAGGGTAGTAAAGTAATGGTTTATGACTTGTGATTTTTTTCGAGCCCTAGTATAGGGTTTTCCCAAGAAGAAGAATATCAAAATTGTTGCAACTTTATGTGTGAAAATTGGCACGTGAGTTTTGACACGTGAATTTTGGCACATCCATGTCAATATGGCAAGCGACAAGTGCTGCTAGGTACCCATGATAATAAACACTCAGTTGATTTGAGTCGATTTGCGTTTCAACAGCAAACTCGACTGCTCCATAGCTTCCACTAGAGCTTTGTGCTGCTTCCGCCACCGAATATTGAAAAAAAAAGCAGTGACCAACAAGTTGTCAAACATATGAGGAATCTCTCACACTATTTGCGGTTCCATTGACTTGTATCATCCAACACGTGATAAGTCTCAGCAGCTTGTGCATTTCCTTGTGATTGATTTATGCTTGATGAGTAGGAAACTTGCCTCATCTGAACACCAAGCTGGAAATATACTAGTGAATGTCAAGCGAGGTAGCTTATGTTTCAAGTAGTTAGGTACGCATTTTTCAGTATCTATATAATCCCTCTTTCGTATTGACTCACAGTCGTCGAAGTTAAAATACTCAATCGTATAATTTCTAACTCCATTCCCTTTGTCTCCAAGTCTATTCATAGGCCCCAGGACAACGAACGGACTCTGCCTCTTAGGTAGGTCACATTTTGTAAAGGTTCTCTCTTCTTTTTACCGCTGTGTCAAACTTCATTACTTTGAATCCATAGTCACCGAAACGAATATACTCGGAGTGCTAATATGTGATTTAACGGTAGATTTGTCAATTGATAAATACCATGACCCTGTAAATACCTCTATCATAGCAAGATCGATGTCCAGTACTATGATTTACAAAACTTCCTCCTCAAGTTGTGTTACTCAATTAGATTCGCCATGATAAATGAAACAATTTGTCACCCATCGTGTCAACCTTTTTCTCAGCCTTATTGTGTGCACCACCAGCAAAGCGGCAAAAATTTCATTCCACGCAGAAAACACTACAAATACAAAAAAAAGCCTCTCCCTCTTTGTCCTCGAATCAATGATCACCGTATAGCCACGACCATCTTGCAATCCTTATTTATAAGAACACTACGAAGAACTGTTTTTACATTGAACATAGCTCCGACAAAGGAAACTAAGCGGAGGCAAAATAATGGGAGACCGATTCCAAGATCAATCGAAGTCAGGGTCAGGATCCAACTCGAGTTCAAATTCAACCTCGTATGCATCACTTAGAAACATTGAAAACAATGAGAATTCCAAGATCAACGTCGATATCAACCAAAATTCTTCATCACCATACAAATTGTACTTGAAAATCAATGCCAATCGAGCTGCTGACTTGGTCACGACTACAGACTCTGAGAAGGAGGCAAATGCTGGCAAACACTCATCGAGGAAATTCATCAATCCAGTTCTTGTCGCCAAGATCAATGACAAGAAGAAAGTGACTCAGAGGAAAACCAACACAAATCAACCGAGTTGGGATGATGAGTTGAACTTGTCTTTAAAACGAGGAGACTTGTCGTCGATTTTGGTGATTTCAGTGTGGGATAAGCATAAACGATACAAAAATTATTTAGGAGAGTTGAGGTTGAGCTTGGAAAAGTTGTTCCTTAAAGATGATGGGACTTTTACTGAAAAAACGGAATTGAAATGGTATGGTCTTAGCTCTAACTCAACAGTTCATGCGTTCGTCACGGGGTCAGTCTTGCTTTCATTTGAATTGTTTGTCAAAAGAAGAAAATCAAGAACCATCACTGGGAAAAAGGAAGTAGGGGCGAATGTGGGAGCGCAAATGCAAGACTTGAGATTGAATATGACTGAGCAAGAATTTAAAACATGGTTGCGAAGTTTGATTGAACCTGACTCGAAGGCTCTTCATCTGTTAACCCCCGACGAGCAAGGGTTTTATGATGAGGCAATGACTGATATATCTGATATGGAGTCCTTAGCCACAAAGAAATCTGCTGGTTCCATTTTAAGTAACGACAGACCCGCAAACAAGATCAAAAAAGACAATTTTCTCAGTGTTCGTGGTAATGATAGGTACGCGAGCTCGTTTTCCGAGCAATCATCCTATCTATCGACTGATGCGTATAGTGATGGAAACTTGTCACAGGGAGGTGGAGAGAGAAAAGACAAACCAAAGAGGAGGTTGGGTATAAGGAAAACTGGCCGTGCTCATAGCGATCTTTTCAAGAGCAAGAAATTTGAATTGAGTGGACGACAAGTGTTGGGAGTTTTGTTTATCGAAATTGTTTCGTGTGAAGATCTACCACCAGTTTCAAATTTCACTCGCACCAGTTTCGATATGGATCCGTTTGTGGTTGTAACATTCGGTAAAAAAACGTTCAGAACAAGTTGGAAACGTCACACTTTGCTGCCAATTTTCAACGAGCGTGTTGCATTTGAAGTTATGGCCCATGAGAGCAACTATACCGTCCAATTCTCAGTACTCGATAGAGATCGTTTTTCATTCCATGATGATGTGGCTCATATAAAGTTGGCTCTTCGAGATCTTATAGAACTATCTCCATTTCAATCATTAATGGATCATGGTTTGTCAAGCTCAGATTTAAGTGCCAATCCAGAGCCAGGGTACTCCACTGGTGACCTTGATGCTAGTCTGAATTCCAATGTCAAGATATTGGAAGAGGATAATATTGTCAAATCAGTCAGGAGGGGGAGATTTTCAAACAGAAGAAAAATCGTTGAATCTACAGTGGATACATCAAAGTTCAAAGTTATGTCGTTGAGTCTTGACTTGCATGATCAAAAGTATTTGGGAAAATATTCCCCAAAATTGAAAATTCGCGTTCGTTTTGAAACATATAATGATTTGCGAAAGGAATTTTGGAAAGTGTTGTTGAAACAATATGATTTGGGCGAGACAAAACAGGAGGAAACTTATGACTTTATGGAGTTGGTTTCTCTCTTGGATGCTTTAGGAACCAAAGATGCTGAAAGTTTGGTCGAGGAGTTTTACAGAAACTTGGGAAAAGATGCCACAGCTGACTCATTAGCCTATGATGAGATCATCGAACAATTGGAAATTCATGTCAGTTTAAATGACCAAAATTCTAATAGAATATTTGTGTTTGACACTTGTCCCTTGTGTTCACAAAAGAGACTTTCAAAGAAACAAGATACCGATATAATCACCCATTTTGCGATCTGTGCTTCTAAAGATTGGAGTATTGTGAATAAACTTCTTGTTTCCTCTTACGCTACTCCACGTCATGCCACCAAGAAATGGTACTCCAAAGCACTTATAAAACTTACATACGGGAAGTACAAATTGGGCGGCAACACAGCCAATATATTTGTCCAAGATCGACTAACTGGTATCATTGTGGAGGAGAAGATGAGTGTTTACGTTCGATTGGGAATACGCTTACTATATAAAGGTTTGGATAAAGCTAAATCCAAACGAGTCAGATTGTTGCTTAGTAGCCTAAGCAAGAAACAAGGGAGGAAGTTCGACTCACCACTGCTGAAGGCAGATATTGCATCGTTTATTAAATTTCATAAACTTAGTCTTGACGACTGCTTGATTGAAGACCCAGAGGGATATCCAACTTTCAATGAGTTTTTTTACAGGAAATTAAAGCCCAATGCTCGGGTTATTGAAGATAAGAAGAATAAGGGCATTGTTTCATCTCCAGCCGACTGCAGATGTACCGTTTTTGATTCAGTTGATGATGCAACCAACTTGTGGATAAAGGGGAGAAATTTTACATTGGCGAAATTATTTAACGGCAATTTCCAAAATTTGAATACAACCAATTTATACAAGTCAGACCAATGTTCATTGGGGATCTTCAGATTAGCACCACAGGATTATCATCGGTTTCATTCGCCCGTTTCGGGGACTATAGGTCCAATCAAGTATATTGAAGGTGAATACTACACTGTTAATCCAATGGCCATTAGATCAGAATTGGATGTGTTTGGAGAGAATGTGCGAAGTATCATACCTATACAGACTAAAGAGTATGGAATGGTAATCATGATCGCTGTGGGGGCGATGATGGTGGGCTCAATATGTTTAACAAAACAAGAGGGTGATTCCATTGAACGTGGAGAGGAAGTGGGGTATTTCAAATTTGGTGGATCAACTATAATATTGTTGTTTGATAGAACAAAGTTTACATTTGATAGTGATTTGGTATCGAATTCCAAGTCTTGCATTGAAACCTTGGTTAGAGTTGGCCAATCTATTGGTCATTCTCCGGATGTAAACGAATTCAAGAGAGACCATGTTGAATTTGATCAATTACCACAGACTACTAAATTGCAATTGATTCGTGTCTTGACAGGCGGTGATTTGACGGATAAACATCAATTGAGCAACTGGGAGGCAAACCGAACAACTGGATTGGAAGAAGTTGATGAAGAAGAAGATTATTATGTTTCTGATTCGAATATTAGTTTTGGTGCCGATTCCTCAATGGAGGAAGAAGGGTCGATCACGTCGGAGTAGATTAAATAGAGAGAGTGTACCGATAAGGTATAGAGATTGGTACGCTTATAGATATCATTTACTTAGATGATCCAGGGTGTGGAGAGCGTAGATTTTAGAGGAAAGGGTTGTATGTCGTGAAAAATAGCGACGCGCAATTGAATCATCAATTGTGATTTCTATCGTACAAAATACTCCCCCTCCCACTATCACTCCTCAAATGGACGAACCACTGATTTCACACACTACATCGTCAGAAACAGACACATCCGCAAGAATTGATGACCTCCATCCTATCGAACTAGCAGCCCACTCACTACTAACTGGCCCACTAGATACCCTAAGTGATAATTTCGAACTGTTGAACCAATCACAAATCATTCTTTTGACGAGACTACGTGTTATTGAAAATCGATTGAAAACGTTCAAGCAATTGGTTGAACTGAACGATATTAGTGAAAAGCAATTGTTGGCTCAATTTAACAAGATTAAAGACTTGACTGATCGGATAAATCGGTGTTTAAAGTTGTTGGACAAGATTGACTCTCGAATATCGCGATTGGATGATTGAGGAGGCAAGGTTAGAGACACGGGGGTTGTATACAAAAAATTGTTTTGGTTGTTAAACAATGGATGTCACTTCTTTTGTTTAAAAGAATCTAATAAATCTATATGGGAATCCCATTCCCTTCAAACCAAAAATCGACAAAAGCAAACTGAACAAAACAAAAATCAATAAACTAACCACCGAAACCAAAATCAATGCCACGGAATCGTTTTTGATCTCGGGTGCTCGTTTGACCAATATGATGACCAAAATACTCAATATTCCATACACAAATGACATGATTTGAGTTTCGATTCCAAATTGTGTTTGTTGCCCCGGTGCAAAATAATCAGTTCTGCCATCTTGATGTTCGAGTACATACGGAGTACCTCTAATTTGATTAAACATGTAACCTGTAGTAAACAACAATACAGCAATTAATGATACGATACACCATGATAGTTTTGAGGTTAAAGCTTTGCCGACATACTTGCGATACCTTTTCAATAAAAACATCGACACGAATCCGATCAAGGCATGAATGATCAATTTGGTATTGTCAATGGGGATGTGCAAGTTTAATTTTTGTCCAGTTACATCTTGGACCCAGTTAAGCATCAATGTCTTGTGATCTCCTTGAAAGAACTGGTACTCTTCCCTTTCACGTAAAAAGTTCTTTGGACCCAAAGCTTTAGTTGGTTTGAAATGGAAGATTTTGGGAATTGTGTTTAATTCAAACAAGGCGAATAATTTTTTGGACTCGGCAAACTCAGCTTTGAAAAAATAGATGTTCTTGGCTTGTACTCGTTTATCTTTATTATCTTTAGAAGTGCCTTCTTCGCCTTCTTCCTCTTTCTCTTCAAGTTTGATTCCCTTTGGATGATCCTTGACCCATGAATCAGCAACGATTTCCAATTCAGGCGCAATTTGATGACACAAGACGCAATTGATCTGTGGTGAATTTGAAGTCAAAAGTGCCACAATGTGGTAGTCTCTTGGTCCGTTCAAGATGGTTTCATAGTTTTCATCATTCAATGTTAACAACTTGTGTTTGGAATTTTGGACTGTCTTGAGTAACTGATCGTTTGTTAGACCACAATGTACAATCGTGCAAATGAACGCAAGCACGAGCAATGTCAAGCTTTTCATTGTGTGAAGAGGCTGTGCTTGTTGGTGGTTTTAGGCTATAAAGGAAGTGGGTTTGTTGAAAAATTGACAACTTTTGGTGTCCCTCGAAAAAAAAAGGACAACTTAACTTGTTGAATGGTTCGCAGTGATTTTCGTGATTTTCTCCTTGTCTATTTTATACACGACACGATTGAAGAAACTCATTACCATGCAAAGAACTCATTACACTGAAGACAGAGTTTTTGGTTAGTATAGACATGAGGACTTGATCCTCCTTCTCGATTTTGATCCATTTTTAGGGAAAACGACCTAGCATGTTGACCGCATCAGTTGGGCATAGTCCTATTGGTTTTTCGTAATGGTTTAAAGGTATTTTAGTCACATATATTATGCATTTGCGTTGTAACTCTACACGTTGAAAGCCACATATCTGATCTGAAGCGTGCATCTAAGTCAAATTGTGTTTGCTAGACGAGACATGATCCAGCCCCCCATTTTTTGGAGATTTCTTCGCTATCAAGCCGACCGTCTCCTTACTGAAGTGCATGGAGCTAGCTGCTGGAAAACAGCCCATCTGCTTTTGTCTACGTATTCGTGGTAAAACTTCATCATGCTATTATTGGCAACACATGTCCCAGTCATCTGGATTAAAAGAGGCACTATCTTGGGCTATTTTTCACCACATTCGTTACTTAAACTTATTTGAAGAATGCTGTTTCAATTGGTACACATCACACCAAATTTAAACGATGACATGATGCTAGTTATTCATCAGGTTGGAAAAAGTTGAGGGGTATGTTTTGCAACCAATTGGGATGGTTATAGACAAGAGTGTTGCTCAAACAAACCATTAATCATAAAGAGGCTCACTTGTTGAAAAGCTTGGCGAGCCCAGTGATGATAACTTTATTCAATTTTTCCCGTCGTGGGAGATGGCATAGTTCTATTTCAAATCGTCATTGCCTTCAGAGATGAATCTTGTAGCTGCTCATGAAAATAGGGTTGTTTCGATATAGGAATTACATCAACAATTTATGTTACTGACTGTTGAGAAACAGCAATCGACAATCAATGTCATCACTTCAGTTATAATTTTCATGGGTGTCAGTGCATTACATTAACATATTGCTTTTCAGCATTGAAAAGACTTCACTTGTTGCTAGTACGTTATGCTGATAAAATGGCCGCTACATGTGTTGACAACAAGACGTGCCCTAGTTAGTACTTGATAAGCTCTGGCGTCATATCCAAATAGGCGTCCATGTTGGCATTGATTGCAAAAAAGTGGCCAGCCAAGGTGCCGGTCAGTTGAGTTGTGTTTTGATGTGTTGAACCCTGCAGCGTGAAGAAAAATTGGAATGTATCAACCGATGGAAAGATTACGATTTACAAAACTTTTCAGCCCAAGTCAATACCGAGTACATAGACTCTTGGTAAGAAATTGATATCAACGAGAAGAATGGCAAATGGCTTTTTAGCTTTGTTGGGGTTATACATTGTTGACTTTGGGAATCATTGGGTGATGTCATTAGATCGATTGGCTTTGGGCATTACAGGAAGTTTGTTGTATAATACACCAAGGGGCAAGAGGATGTGGCTTTCTACTAAACGATAGGTAATGCCACGGAAAACCTGCCATTGAAAAGAAACTATTTGCTAAAGGATCTCACATTGTACTGTTGTCTTGTTTGTCGCAACTTGTGTGAAGGAATCTCCAGTGATGTCCAATCAGAATCAAAGTGGAAATCGCTCATTAGAGATATAGTGAGAGAAAGATTGAGCTTTAACGTCAATAAAAAAAACTATATACAGCAGCAATATCTGATATCAGCAGCCCACCACAACCACTTAATACCAAAAGCAGCTGACGTCAACAGAAAACAAAATTAAGGGTTAGTGGCCCACCACAAACCACAAACCACTTTTGCAATTCCTGTAATTACCACCATGAAACAAATAAGCAAATAAGCAAATAAGCAAATAAGCAAATAAGCAAGTCAATTAAGTCCGTTCTGGGGTAAAACCAATGGGTAAACAAAAAACATTCATCTTTCTTTCACATGCACAAACTAAGTAGATCAACCCAATGACACTCCAACGAAACACATAACCAAGAATGATTGCTTTATATATAGACAGCTTTTTTGCATTTTTGCATTTTTTATTTTAATTGAATCTTTCCTTTAATTTTTATATTCTTTTGAACGCTGTTTTTCATAACTTATAACATTACCTGCAATCACCATCTTCCATTTTCGATTATGGGATCAATCATTGACCGCAAAATGAGGGTACTTGAGGATTAGATGAGGGAAAAATTGGATCAAAACGCCACCATGATCAAGTCTGAAGAAGCAACCATATCACATCCACCGAGTTTCAGTAACATGGGTTTATTGCTTCTTGTTTGTCAAAAATATTGACAAACCAGACTCAAAAATATGGGCAATTCATTTGAATATCAACACATCTTATCCTCAATGGTCCCGCTCAAATCTTGGTTGATATCCTCCATCTTTAATGGCTCTTGGCTTGTGTGTATGAAGGTCCAAGGGGGTCTCTCTCCCATAGGGTGCACTATCCAGATGAAACTTGAATTACATTTGAACAATTCATTGGATGGGTGTTGGAGATACCATTTTGAGTTGCAGGGATAACAATCTTTAGCGTCAGTTCTCTTCCAATATCTATCCCTTTTTATCAGCAACATCAGTTGTCACTCTGTATCCTCCAGTTGTCTAACCCATCCTTAAATTTCAAGTTTAATGTTATTTTGTCTTTCACATCAACAAACACTGTCTCGGACCACGGTGCCCGCAAGATCTCTTTTCATCTCCGGGGCTTAACTCTGCCAGCAACTTCAACAAAGTCATTGCCAACAGCAGTATTATTGGTCCTTCTCTATCGTGTCGGGTTTCAACTACTCTTGGCCACGATTCAATAAACAGTGTATATACCAACACAACCAGTAAGGGCTTTGAGCCTTTACTATTGTCGCTGACAAAAATCTCTAAGAGCAGCAATATAATTTGCCCGATCCGCTCTAAAAGTGGCAATATAAGTTTCCCAGTCAACAGATGTATCAATTTCATAACCGGCAGCTGCTCCGATCTTGGTCAATTTCTTCAAACGATGTTGGATCTTTTGTTTCCAATTCACAATTCTGGAAACCTTTTTCTTCTTTTTAATGCAAGGTTGCTCCAATGCTGCATTCTCATTCTGTTCAGGCGACACGGTTCCTCTGCCAACGTCTCTGTCATTGTCATCGGCGTTTTCAACGATGCTTGATTTTGACTTGAAATGGAATGCATATGCAAACAGTTTTCCCAAAGCTTGAATTTTCTGTTTAAATCTCTGTGTCTTAGTTTCCATTCCATGGCAGCCGGCAATACCAGCTGCTTGATCAGACAATCGGCTCAATCTAATTGATTCCCAACTTGTAGCTCTAGGAACGTCTTCACCAACTTCATTGTTGTCTTCAGTGGCCACAATGGGTTCATCAATGCTAGGTTCCGAATCAATACTTGTCACCGTTGGGGTTTCTTCATAGCCGTAATCAATCGCACGCATTGGAGAATTTTCATTAACAGCATATGGACCAGCATCAGAGTTCAATGGGGCTAAATCAGCGGCCCTTCTTTCTGCCTGTGCGCCAGATGAAGAAGCATTTTCAGTCACAGAGTTATCAGCAGTTGTTTCCAATTCAGTCACACTAGACGCCTTACTCTTGAAAAATGACATTTTAGAACACTTCTTCTTTTCGCGACTCTTGCTCATGTATTCCTCTTTCAAGTGTTTCTCGAAAAGCTCTTGCATTTCTGGCTCCCAATAATAGAAGAACGTCCTTTTCAAGTCACAAAGACCATTAAAGCCCGAAGGGCGTCTATCTTCTGGTTCATGCTCTTCAAAGTATGAGCTTAAATCGGGTTCATCAACAGCAGCAGTATCAGTAGCGTACTCTTCCGAACCATTCAATCTAACCAGTGGTTGCTCAACCACAAGTTCGTTTTCAGTTTCATTTTCATTGGCCATTTGAGCACCGTTAACAGGTTCCAGTTCATGCACTTCTTCTTGGCTGCTTTCACAGTCAACATCAGCATCACTTGAAGCATCGTCATGGGGAGCAGGCTTGGGCGCCTTCACTTTTCTTCTGAACAAATTTCTAAACTTTTTGTTCACTTGCAGTGTGGAAGTCACCTGGGTATTTCCAAGTTCAGTCAAATCTTTGGAGTCCTTAATGACTGCTTTCTTCAAAAATGGGCCTCTCAATGCATTTCCAAATTTTGACCATTTTTGAGCTGTAGTACTCTTCATATGGCCATTCGACTGCACTTTATCATTGATTGCTTCAACTGCAACTGTAGTACAAACTTGTTGAGAACCTTCAAGCTGTGATCTATTGCCCTTTCCCGGACTCTTCCTGAATGTGTTGCCCAAAATTCTTTTCCACTTGGGTTTCACTGCATCCTTCAAGGGAGATCCTTCTTCAGTAGTTACAAGGGGATTGACATTGGTAACTATTCTCTCAACGGAATTTTCATTGGTGATTTCCAGATTTTCAGTAGCATCTCCAACAATCGCATCATTAGAACCGGGGACACCTTCTCCATCAGCATCATTTAAAGTATCCGTGGTATGTGCACTATTACCAGTACCTTCATCATTATCAAGCACAGATTTTTTGTTGGTGTCCAAATTTTTTCCAGGTGATGCAATGTCAGCAGCATTACCAATTTCATTAACAACCTCAGCATTCGATTCTGGAACTCTACTGTGCAATCCAGTTCCATCAACGACTGTTTTACCCAGATCCAGCAGTTTGGAGGACAAGTGGACATTTCTAATATTCAACTCTGTAGGATTGCGATCTTCTTCCTCTAGTTCACAAAGTTTGTTTCCAGGATTCTGATCTGCTCTGACCAATGCTTGCATGCGAATATGTCTGTTGCGTATACGCCAATCTTTGACACGCTTCACTTGCAACTGTTTAGATTCTGTGGTGGTTCCAGTAATTGAATTATCATCTGCAGCTGCTTTTTTGGTGGTGGTTTCCTTTCTTGAATATTCTGCTTTCTCAGTGGTGGTTGATGCAGTGTTTTCAATTTCGGAATTGTTTATGATGGATTCAACTGTGGTGAAGTTCAGTTTAGTAGGGGTACTTTCCTTGATAACGTTCATAACATGCGGCGGAAGGGGAACAGGAGTAGTTAAGTTTAAACACTGGCCGGGATTGGACCTCTCGACAATTCTTGAAGCATCAGAGTGATTCGCTTCAGCCAAGTTCTTGAATTGTGAAAAGGCAGTGACATTAGGTGTTGGTTTCAGTTTACGCTTGGCGGCGGTGTAGTTTGAAAGCATGTTAGTGAGGAGAGAGAGATAAGGGGAAAGGGGAAAAGGGGGAAAACAGGAAATTGAGGGGGTTTTTGTAGGAAATATTTTAGTGGTTTTGTACATACAATTTGGTGAAGTTTGGGAATATCAAAAAAAAAGGGCCATATTTTTTGATATGTTTTGACCAGCTAAATGACTATATTGTTGCTACTTAGTTATGTAGAGATGTTGAGGTTGAGCTCATTGGTCTACTGGGATCTATTCGCAGCAATGTATCTCATCAATGATATAATGATTCAGATCACCGATTATTAGAGAGGAATTTACACACAAAGTTGAAGCTAGGATTGATAAAGCTTTGAACTAGTTGATCAGACTTTATTTCAGACTATTTCCAGATAAGGTAAGGACTTTGATCACTGGATTACTGTTTGGTTGCTTATAGAATGTATGTGCATAACAAAAATCGTTGGAATAAACTTTACTATAAAGATTATTCTCCCCTTTTTTGTTTCGTTTTTTTTTTTTTGCAACCAAGATTGGAAGACAACCACCAAATGTGACAACCACCAAATGTGACAACCACCAAATGTGACAACCACCAAATGTGACAACCACCAAATGTGACAACCACAATCAGAACCATGTGAGTTATGTGTCACTAACCACAAGTTGAAACAATCCATGTAAAGGGTAGCGGGGACCATTGTTCAGATACACCAACGTTGATTTTTAAAAGAAAATATTTGTGATATACTAGTGAGTGATCTGTTCCATTCACAAGAAATAATCAGAGAACCAATATACCAACCTTTTCTTCAATCCATTCCATTTTAATCCACAGAGAGAATTCACGTAAAAGAAAGAATGGTGTTGAGAGTGTGTAATTGAATATTGATGGATTCACTATAATACGGGTGATACTTCCGTACATAATTTTTGTGCTTTGTCATTTGATGGAAATTTCGTTACTCAAAAACGTACAACAAATAATCGTGAAGTTTACAATCACACAGATTCTTTACAACATATCAGGTAAATCCATTGTATCATATACTAGCATCAACAATGGGCTAAAGTAATTTAATGGGGTAAAGAGTTTTGATATTGAAAGGTTTATGTATTCCAAGATCTCGACTGTAAAACACCAATGACAGTAGCTGAATTCAATTCACAGTCACGAGAATATCCCTCTTTTGACTTCTCTTTGTAACAATCATGAAGATCTTCAAGAATACTCAGTATTGTCAAATGAAAGGAGCTGCAAAGATTGATATGGTTATAGTGGAGGTGTTGACAAGGTGAATACAAAATGGGCCAGAAAGATCAACTCGAAGAAAAGGTGACGAATGGTGGGATCCATTTTTCTTCATGAACTGTAAATCTTTATTAACTATCACCTATTCAATTGCATTTGAGAATGTATCGAAATTTGGCTCAGGAAAGCTCTCACATTATGATTCTAACCATTTACGCGACCAAAATTAGGTACACTAGCTAAAGACAAGCACTTTTCGCTGTATGACAACAACCGGCCAACTTCCGATACAAAACGGCCCCTTCTAAATCATTATACTTGGAAATACTAATCAGTTTTATATACATTACAAAATTGTACACACTTTAAAGCAAGGTTAGCTTATGATCACTTCCCAATACCACATCACACCTACCCTTGCCAATTTCAAACCGTTCAATCAACAAGATATACTCTCCTGGGTCCTGTAATCTCTCTTCAACAAATAATCCATACAAACAATCATCTCTAAATTGGTCATTAATTTGCACTGGCTGTTTAGTCACGGCACTGAATAGTGAAGCTCGTAACGCTGGTCGATAATCAGTTTGACGACTATATGCGGCATGTTCATCATCAGTATGACGTATCTGGGCAATGATTGATGTGTTGTAGACACTTGTCTTGAAGTACAACTTGAGTCTATTTTGTTGATTCCATAAAAATGTTTGTTTTAATGTGTATAATGACATGGTTGATGGAATTTTTTGTATCGCTATTGATTCAGTTGTGTTTGATAATAATTTGAATGGTGCTGGAGAGCCATCAAAGTTCGAAACAACAATCTTGTACAAACCCGGATCCAAATGAAGCAGTTTTGATTGGTAATCTTGCGAGTACTTATCCTCAGTAAGACATTTGGTTTTATTGTAACTTCGAATACGTTGTCCTATTTTCAACTTGTCGGCAAAGAAAATGTCAAAATTGACAAGTCCCTTAGCAAAGAGTGCTAGTTTCAATGTAGTTGATTTTGTTACAACAATATCGAATTGTGGATTGTTTATATACGATGCTAAGGTCCAGTTCCCACCACAAGTGTCATTAGTCCATTCGCTATCGAGTGATTGAATATGAGGATATTGATAATTCAGTCTATGAAAATTACTTCCATATGACATCAACGAGTATCGTCCTTGTTTATTAGACCAAATTACCAATGTGTATGTACCCAGAGGCAATTTAATCAATTGAAGTCGGTTATTCGTTTCAAACACTGAATGCTCTTCATGATCAAATGGAGAAACGACTCTGCATGCCGATTTGTACACGTTGATTCTCATCCAGTGATGTTCTTCCACCGGTATATGTTTTTCTAGTAGTAACCACGTCGTCTCCTTTCGGCATTCCATTGTAAATTGTGTCTGATCAAATATACCGTCTTTAACCGTATAGATGAAATTCTCCTGATACATTTCCACTCCAGGTTTCGGTTGCCAATTGACATACAAGTACTTGAAATGAGTCAAGTTGTAAACTTTAACTAGTCTTTTTGATAAATCATCAGTAACCCATGGATTCTTTAAAGTTATACAATGTCCATCAAAATCATCAATGACATAATCATGTTCACCAATTAAATTAATTGATGAGCTAAACTGATTGCTAAATCTTTCAGTGCCAATACCCAAAGTCACTTTATTGCGTACCCTCATTTCCCACAAGTGAGATAGCGCGTCAATCAGTTTACTATTTGGTAATCGAATCACTTCTGGAATCCATCCACTTAGTAAATATGTATCATTGGCCATATTTGATCCTTCAAAGCAATACCCATGGCCCATTATTTTGAGATATGCTTTTTCAATCAATGCAGGCCAGTACAATTGCGAGTCAGTGAATGATTTCAAAGTTAAATTCCGGTTGGAGTTGACAATGTAGGGTAATTTATCGTCAACTTTAACAGTTCTTTTGCATCCATTAAAAGTTAGTGTAATTTGGTATTCTGATGACGTATTGTGAGGAGCTATAAGCGAGTACGTGGAGAAGTTGACATTTGTTAGTGCAATATATGATGAAACAAATGAACAATTGGTTAAAAGATCTTGGTACAAGTTCAACATGTGGGATTTGTCATCTTGCCAATGGGACGTACTAATGGACTTGAATTTGACTTCCAAACCTGATGGAACCGTCATGGTGGACGCGTCTGTGCCATCTTTAGTAGATGATGGATTTGTAGTGAAAATGTCTGAGGCAGAGGTAATTTTTTCGCCAAATTCAATCAATGGGAAGTAGAAATCAATCCCAATCTTTGATGATAACCAAATAAGCTTTTCAGAAACTGGTTGCTTTTGTTGCACTCTGTCATAATTTGTCAATGCAAACTCCGATAACGGCTTCAAGTATGGTTGATTTACATATGGTGGATCTTTTGCCAATGCATTCAATACTTTGATGGCTTCAATAGCTTCAGATTTTGCCCGTGGGTAGTCATCTATTGAATTGAATAGATTACTTTGTTGTAGATGATGTAGGAAAGTAACTAAAGACATGTGCTAAGTAGCATAAGCTAGTTACGTCATAGTTCACCGAGTGTCTTTATTTTTTCTATGTCGGTTTCATTTTGTTGTGAAAAGCTACCACACAATCTGTAAAAGCAAAAGCAAAAGCAAAAGCAAAAGCAAAAGCAAAAGCAAAAGCAAAAGCAAAAGCAAAAGCAAAAGCAAAAGCAAAAGCAAAAGCGTTTCAGTACTGCTGAAGAAGAAAGAAAAGAAAAAGGAAAACAATATTGTTGGATCAGTGATAGTCCAACCTGGGGGAAAGGATGTGTACGTTTGATATGTATCTACACCACTCTGTACCGATTGGAGTAATAAATAGGTTGGGAGTGGGTGAGTTGTGCTTTATGACTGCTTGGCAGTGATAGGCTTTTGACTTGCAAATTTGACGAGAAATTGCGCGAAGAATAAGATAAAGGAAGAAAATTACTCCTTTTGGTTTTCGGAGTTTATTTACACCCCCACAAAGTTTTTCAACATACGAATAGAAATTAAATGAATAGCAGGTGGGGGTTATACATGTTATTGGCCATACCCTCTTGACGGCAACACAATACAATAAGAGAAAACAAAAAGGCAGAGAGAGTTAAATCCAATTCCGGTTGGATGGAAGAATTTGCAAGATTTGCAAGATTTGGTGAGGGTTGTAAAAGGCTGTGGTGTCTGTCCCAAACCACAAACCCATAGACCACTTTGGGACTTCATCAATCCGATATATCGAAACATCCATTGCTTTAATCTCTGTTTCTATTGGGTGGGTGGAAAGTATTCACCCGCAAAAGAAAGAAAAAAAAACAACAATTGAGTGAACGAAAGATCTACCACTGCCACTGATTGTTTGCTCGTACCACAAAGAAAGTAATACAAGCAAACACACAGTCACTGTTTGTGCGGGTGAATGGTTTGCATTCATCTTGCAACAATATTGTTCAATGGTGGGCAGTTGTTGTCATTCTATGATCACTCACTCTTTTTAGTTATGGTGTTTGTAGACCAATTGAGTCCAACTACTACGTTACATTTCCATATTGAAACATGTGTGTGTGTGTGAATGAATGAATGAATGAATGAATGAATAGAAAATAATAAGGTGATTGTTTCATTCTTCCTTTATTTGCATTTTGTGTGATTTGGTACAAGAACGTTTAGTATGTAGGTGTCTATCTATCTCCTATTTTGTTCCTTTCTCTTATTCAGAGGAACTATACAGAGGATGTGGCATTTATATGCACAGTCTAATATCATAGTATAGGTTGATTGTGGGGGGCGGGCGGTTGAAAGAAGAAAACTAGTTGAAGGAATTAAAGAGCTTCACCAAATATATACATTAACATATACAATATGCAAAGCTATCTGGTAGCAACCAACCTCTACCTCATTATAGTGGTTATCAAAATAACCTCTATAAGTGTTACGACCTGTAAGACTATATATAGACAAGAGAATACTCTGCTCTTTTGAGTTGTAATAATGATAATAATATGTCATAATCTATAGAAACGAAGGCAGAGAGGCAGAGAGTCAGAGACAGATGGAATATAATATTTCAACGAAAAACACTGTCAAAAACGTTATTTACTTATTAATTGCCTCACCAAAATTTAAAGAAGGATGGGATTAGACAGCTCTCATCGGTTGAGTTGAAATGAACATCTCCTCTCAACAAGTTGTGATGTGGGTGTTCCGTGACAAATCGGATACAAGGATAATATGAAACCCATAGTGCACCACCGCCAAAAACACTCATCGACGATAAAAGAAGAAACACAATGGGAAGAGAGCGAGTGGTTGTGGTTGTGGTGAAGGTTGTGGTGGTGGGTGGAACAGAGTGAGTGAGGTGAATGACTTGTACGACTTTTAAATCATGCGATAAAACTCGGAGTAACAAAGTCCGCAATCTGGTTTTTTTTATAATCACACACAAAAAACACTGAGGTAGAACAAAATCCACAAACCCACAAACACACAAACCCACAAAAGAACAAAAGAACAATGTAACCCACCCAGATCCAGTCACCCACTCACACACCTACAACTTTCATCAGATCATTTCCGAATTGGAAAAAAAAGTCATCCTATACAAAAATGTACACGCTCACACAAAACTCACTTCTTTATTACTATTCCATATAGTATTAGAAACGGAGTGGGTGAATGTATTCCTTGCAGATAAGCGCTTCAACATTATGCATGAACCAAAAACACCAACATGTATCAGAATAACATTCACCCGCAAAAAAAAGCATAAAATCATGCATATCCGATGGTTGAATAATTTTTATTTTCAAAAAGCCAAATGTAACAATATAAATAGACCACGAGGGAATGCCAATTGGCTCAACACATTTCTTTCATTTCAAAAGCTTTATTAGATCAATTGCAGTTAACAAAGTAACTACTATTCCAATTAAAGCGTTCACTACTACTACAACTAAAACTAAAACTAAAATTACAACTACAACTACAACAAACAGTTTTATATCTACAATGCCAGAAATTCCAAAGACCCAAAAAGCTGTTGTGTTTGAAACAAGCGGAGGTAAATTAGAATACAAGGATATTCCAGTCCCCAAACCAAAATCAAATGAATTGTTGATTAATGTCAAGTACTCTGGTGTGTGCCATACTGATTTACACGCTTGGAAAGGTGATTGGCCATTGGACACCAAATTACCCCTTGTTGGTGGTCATGAGGGTGCTGGTGTTGTTGTTGGCATGGGTGATAATGTCAAAGGATGGGAAATTGGTGATTATGCTGGTATCAAATGGTTGAATGGCTCTTGTTTGAATTGTGAATTTTGTGAACAAGGAGCTGAACCAAATTGCCCTCAAGCTGACTTGTCTGGTTACACCCATGATGGTTCATTCGAACAATATGCTACTGCTGATGCTGTCCAAGCTGCTAGAATCCCCAAGAATGCTGATTTGGCTAAAGCTGCTCCAATTTTGTGTGCTGGTGTTACTGTATACAAGGCTTTGAAGACTGCTCAATTGAAGGCTGGTGAATGGGTTTGTATTTCTGGTGCTGGTGGTGGATTGGGTTCATTGGCTATTCAATACGCTATTGCCATGGGTTACAGAGTTATTGGTATCGATGGAGGTGCTGAAAAGGGTGAATACATTAAATCTTTAGGAGCTGAAGCTTATATTGACTTTACCAAGGAAAAAGATATTGTCGAAGCTGTTAAAAAGGCAACTAATGGTGGCCCACATGGAGTTATCAATGTGTCTGTTTCCGAAAAGGCCATCAATCAATCAGTTGAATATGTTAGACCATTGGGTAAAGTTGTTCTTGTTGGTTTACCAGCTGGATCCAAAGTTGTTGCCCCTGTTTTCGATGCTGTTGTTAAATCAGTTGAAATTAAAGGTTCTTATGTTGGTAACAGAAAGGATACTCAAGAAGCTTTGGATTTCTTTGCTAGAGGTAAAGTCAATTGTCAAATCAAGATTGTTGGTCTTAGTGAATTACCAGAAGTTTTCAAATTGATGGAAGAAGGTAAGATTTTGGGAAGATACGTACTTGACACCAGCAAGTAAAAGAGTTAGAGAGTAGATCAAATGTTTTGGTTTAATAGTTCTTCTTTTATATTGACGAAATGAGATGGAATTTGGAAATTGTGTAAAAAAGAGAAAAGAAATGTAGATTCAACTTATACACACTTTACTTGCAAGCTTTGCAAAGCTGGAGGTTATTTTCCTAATCAACGCTTATCTTTTTCAATTCTATCACGCAACACATTCAATTGTATCTGATTTGTCAAGTTTTCATCATTAATCAATTCAATAGTTTTGTTCTTTTCCTTCATTTCAATACTCAAGTGTTCAATTTGCTTTTGTAATTTACTAACCAATTTTTCCAATTTGCCAATTCGTACATCCTTATCTTTAATTATAAACTCTAGTTTCTCATTTTTCAAAGTAATTGAGTTCAAATTTGTAATCAAGTCCTCATTTTCATTTCGTAGTTGATGATTTTCCTTAATGATTACAACTGTGGCGGCATCATTATCACTAATGTTGTCCTTTAGTTTATCTTGTTGAACACTCTTTGACTTTGATTTAGTGCTGGGCGGGACTTTTTCTTTTTCGATTCCTAAGATTGTCGATGGAGATGGTGACTTGGAGCTAAATGGAGTTTCGTCCTCCTCCTCTGTGTTACTTTGGCAATGATGATGATGATGTTGCTGTTCTTTCAGAAGTAGCTTTTCCACTAATTGTTTAAACGCAAGGTAATATTCTGAATCCTTCTTCTCTACTTCATCTCTAACCTTCAATTTGCTTAGTACATCATCTACCCATGTTTCGGTGCTCATATACGGTGATGGATGTAAAGTGTGAAGTGTGGTAAGTATGCCCTTTTGTATTGTTCAGCTTTCTCTGTTTTATTTTTATCCAATTTCCGCGAGTACAAACAAACCAACTTTATCACAAGCATTCACAAAGTCAACTCCAATTTAGACACTGCTTCACCATCATCAACAATCGTTCAATAGATAGTCAAGAATCACCTACAGGAAAGTATAACCTTTTATCACAACTTCATATTTACCATAAATTTGTCTGCCATTCATGGAGTATGGATTCACAAACCAATACTCCACAAGAAGATAACAATAGTATACGAGATAAGCATCATCAAAAATCACAAGATACTCCAAAAGACATTGTACCACCAGAGGTACCGATTGCTACAGATGTGCCGAACTCAACTTCGAGGTCTGTTTTATCATGGCTCACGAGGCTGCAGAACAATATCATCAACAACAATGATATCTCCAACAACAGTAACGGCAACAACAACAACGCCACTAGTAGTGATGCAGTATTCCAAGATGACACGATACAAACCAATGGCCAGATGATCCAAAACGAACCACATGTGCTAGCTACATCCACAGACCTCCTTGTAGCCAGTTCTGGCGAATCGCCACTACCGCAAACATCATGGTATTCATACTACACTTCATTTATATTCCCAAGCAGTGGTGGAGAATCACCGGCAATGGAGCATATGCCACTACTACAGGGCAACTTATCAATTACAAAAGGCAACGATGATGAAGATGCCAATAATGGCACCGATGGTTGGTTTGGTTGGCTATTTGGTTCGAAAAAACAAACTCAGGAGGATGAAGTTAATGATGAGTCAAGTGAGGCTTACAAATCAGCCAAGGTTGTTATTGAATCGTCAAAAGAGGAGTGTCACTATACGTACAAGAGCACAAACGAATTCAAGACTTTTGAAATGAGTGTTGATGGGACACCTACTGAAAATTTACCAGTGCTTATACACACCAGAAAGCACAAACCAGTGTCTGCTCATGAAGTGTATGAGAAAACTTTACGTGTGAGAAATAATAATGAGGCAGAGGTGCCAGTACCGGGCATTTCACCTAGATTTGTTGACAATTATCGAGAAATTACGTGGAAGACGAAAACGCGATTACTTGCAGGCGACCTCGTTTGTGGATACGATACTGAACATCATCTATATCGCAAAAAGGAAGAACTGGCTTTACGAACCGGTAAACTGTTGAAGAAAATTGTTGTTATTTCTGTCCACAATTTCCTACCGGTCAAATTAGTGCGAGCACTTATTGGAGAGTATACTGGTAATGCAATAGGGTACGCCAAATTGGCAACAAAAGCAATAAAAACATGGATGAAACAGAATAACCCCGAGTACCAAGAGGACGAGGTTGACATTATTAGTATTGCCCTTGATGGACAAGGTCGAGCATCCACTTCTGTTGATGATGCACTTCGACTATTGCGCAATTACACCAAGGAGCTCAACGAGTCTGATTTCATCTACGTTGTTGGATATGGCACATCTTCACCCATTGCCATAAACCTACTCGCAGAACTTCTTTCACAAAATCATCATTTATGTAGGAAACGAATTGGAGTTTTGAGCATGTCGGGAAATCTAATGGGTCCGGTGTCCTCAAAATTCACCAAGATTGTTTATCGAGCATATACACAATTGGAAAATGACATTGTTCGAGAAGTGTTTGACTATTCGAAAAATGACCATCCTTTATCACGCAAATTAACTGAATCAATACGGTTTCTTGTTGATCAAAATGTTAAATTTACCTTGTCGAGTACAACTAGTGATTCATTTATTCCATTGTATTCATCATTGGGTATACAATTTGATCATCCGAACATTCATCGAAACTTGTACCATATAAACACTGCTCCATTTATATCAACGGTATTGGACATCAGCTGCCAAATGAAGAATCTAGGTGTATTTCGCGACCACGAAATTATTAAAATTTTGAGTGATAGGTTGGATATCAACAATACAAGCAGGTATATATTTGATGATGAACAAGTGTATTTGGAAAGTTTAAGATTTGCGTTGGAGTCAACAAAGTTGCACAAGATGAAACCGGTTTCAATCCGAAAACAACCACGGGGGTCAACAATGACATCATCGGCATCGACATCGGCATCGACAGCAACAGCTTCGACAACACCATCAATAATTAATGATCTCAATCTACTTCTGTATAATTTCCGAGGATTTATTCAGGAATTTGTCAATGTCAAACATGTTAACAATGTGACGCAGCTCAAGAAGTTGCTTGAAGAGTACAAGAGTTGGGAACCAAATTTGAAAACTAAAGATGTAAAGTATTGTTTAGAAGCTCTTGATAACTTTCAAATTGAGGAATTATTTATTTAAAGAGACAGAGATGCGAAGGAATCGCAAATAGGCTTGTATTTCATAGAATGTATTGATAGGCCAATTTCATACAGAGATGTTTTAGCCTCGCAGCACTGTAATAAACGCAATAAAAACGACAACAAATGGCTTTGAGTATCGCCTTGCTTCGCTTGAAGTGGATCAGTAAACTTTAGTCTATCCACTTGCAAGTCAGACTCGCATCGACACACACAGCTTGAGATATAAATTAACATTTCTAATAGCTTTAAAACTTCATTGTCGTTATCCTCCCACTTGTATTTCTCACCACAATCTCTACAAACTACCATAGCTACAAAGACAAATAGCAACAACGCAGAAATTAGATCAAATACAGATATGAAAACAGATAAAACCAACAGGCTAATTTAGCACCAGCAAAATTAGTCCTTTTCAGCACCTCGTAGTCATAGGTCTGATTGAAGGAGCAATGATCATCATGGGTCCTGCTTCTTCGCTTACCTCATACTCACTCTGTTCTAGACTTACAAACGACCGGTTGGCCAGACCAGCCGCTTTGCTGGAAAGAGCGTGCAATGACATCAAGCTCTGAACAGAAGCCGCTTTCCGCATGTTTTGATCCCGTACATGAACCTCCTAACTTTGACCTTGAACCTCTTCATAGAAGTGTTTGCAAACGACTTTGAGCTTGGTCGCCAATCCTTCTTATAGTCGTCGTCATTCCACAAATCACAACGAATGGTGAACGGACAACTCACTTGCTCTGTTTCATAGTCTTCACCTTGACTGCCATCATCATCGTTATCCAGATCAATTCCAAGTTGAAGGGCAACACGTCCCAGTTCCGAATCAGGGGAAAACAATGGTATAACTTCGTCTGTGATGTGATCCTCGGGAGAATATCCCGTTTCCTTGAGAATGCCCACTTTTGCTCCATTGCTTCTTTTTGAAGCTCTTTTCGCCCCCCAAGACCTTTTCCTTTTGAGACCCTGGTCCTTCCTTTTCCCTTCAATGACTCTGGTGAAATCTTGACATTTGTCACCACTAATTCGTCGCACTTCAATCCTATTGTTGAATCTGACCTTTTTATCTTTGATGGAGTCGTCACCAATATGCAATACCGCGGGTGTCTTTTTCAATGCTATGGCTGGTGGAGGTGGTGTAAAGTTGTAATGATCTTTTCCAGAACTGGACACTAGTCGATTCTCCTCTGGGCTTTCTGTTTCAACATCTTTGGTTGGAGCATCTAATCCATCTTCGTCGCAGTCATCCCATGGGGTTGCAAATGGTTTGGCTGGTGCTGTGGCTAGACTAGGTGCAAAACTGGTATTGTTGGTAACTTTTTCGGTGCTGGCGCGCTTCGGAACTTGCTTAGTGCCTGCTTTTAACGAATTAAAGCACGTGGTGGTCTTGGTCTTGTCGTTGGAACTATTGTTGAGTGATAGAAAGCTGGTTTGGTTCTTTTTGATGCTTCGAAATTGCTTGGTTGTTCTTGCAAGCATCGTTTTAGAAGACTCAATAACCATGGATGTATCAGAATCAAGTCTATAATCCTTGTAGTCACAGGATGGCGTGAAGTTACTCTCCTTGAAAGCATCAACAGGGCTATCATCTTCCCTGACCATCTTCGACTTCATAAACCTCTTGTTTGATTGTTGCGTAGACTTGTGTCGATTATCAGTGCTGGCTTTTTTGATATGAGATTCCAAATCCACATAGTTTGAAAACGTAGGCATGGAGTCCGTTGAGTAAAATGCACTAGCTTTGTCTTGCTTCGAGATACTCTTTTCGTTGATGGATAGGTGAACGTTTGGATTAATTTGGGTTGGCGGTTTCACGAAATAAATGTCAGTGACCATACATCTCAACTCGGACAATACTGACTCAATCAAAGTAAATCCGTAATCTTCATTCTCGTCGTAAACAAAGTCTTGGCTGAAACAAGTAAAGCTTTGGTTCTCTTGGGAGAAAAACATCAGTGATGCGGGCATAATTAAAGGTAGTTTGTGTTTTTGGTTGAATGAAAAAGGGTAGTAAAGTAATGGTTTATGACTTGTGATTTTTTTCGAGCCCTAGTATAGGGTTTTCCCAAGAAGAAGAATATCAAAATTGTTGCAACTTTATGTGTGAAAATTGGCACGTGAGTTTTGACACGTGAATTTTGGCACATCCATGTCAATATGGCAAGCGACAAGTGCTGCTAGGTACCCATGATAATAAACACTCAGTTGATTTGAGTCGATTTGCGTTTCAACAGCAAACTCGACTGCTCCATAGCTTCCACTAGAGCTTTGTGCTGCTTCCGCCACCGAATATTGAATAAAAGCAGTGACCAACAAGTTGTCAAACATATGAGGAATCTCTCACACTATTTGCGGTTCCATCGACTTGTATCATCCAACACATAATAAGTCTCAGCAGCTTGTGCATTTACTTGTGATTAATTTATGCTTGATGAGTAGGAAACTTGCCTCATCTGAACACCAAGCTGGAAATATAATAGTGAATGTCAAGCGAGGTAGCTTATGTTTCAAGTAGTTAGGTACGCATTTTTCAGTATCTATATAATCTCTCTTTCCTCATTCAATAATCTATATTTATAAGACCAGCGTTTTGATCAATCTCCGTTTGTCATTATATTAGCACTTTCTTTGTAACTAGATACTAATCATGCTCTCAAACACCAAATTCCATATCGGCTGGAGATCACAACTTATTGGGACTTTTCTGTTGATACATGCTCATGTGATACATCTCTTGGCATTTGTAACCAGCAAAACAGGTCTGCAACGGGTGCTTATACTTGCTAAAACAAATGGTGCTAACATACAACAAGTATGCTCGCGACCAGTAATCCAGCATTTATGCTGTGAAGCTTCTATTTGTTTAGTTTTACACGTGACATTTATTGATTAGGGGAGTGTAAAATGTACAAAAAGAAAAAATGAAAGAAAAAGTTGTCTCAGTTAATTTTAAAAAAAACGGAAGTTGATTCACCTGTGGTTCATCTATGCACACACACAAGTACTCAATCAATCAATGGGTGCAACATTCTTTTCCCCTTACAAAAAAATTGGAAATGGTTGCAAAATATTTGCTTCTATGAGCATTCAGAATACGAACGAAATGTAGATTAAGAGTACAAGGGCTCAGTAATTTTTTGATGCCACGCTTCGAATAAAACGTCGTTGTTACTTCGTAAGACTACCACCTCTTGAAGCAACGGTCACTATCACCGCTTTTTTACAGTAAAACCCTCTTGAACTCTTGGAATATGATTGTACATGGATTGTAGGGGTGCTTTTTTTCTCTTGCTGAAATGGATTGGTGCAAATTGTGCTTAACTATGGGCAAAGTGCGTGCGCTTACCAATTTTATCATCAAAAAAAGACAAAAACAGAATCTCTCGAGCATTGAGCAAAAGACAGTTTTAGTTCCATATTATTCTATAAACATTCATTGCATTTTGGCTAGCATCCAAAATACAACAGATTACTTATCATTGTATCGGTTGTTGAACATACTAGATAACAGACAAAGTTATCTTTGCCACAACTCAATCGTTAATCTTGCTTGTTAAGGCTCGCTTTTTTTTTTACGATTGCAAGATTTCGCTGCGAAGGGTATCAAACACTATGGCTAAACATTCAAGAAGAATAGACTCAACTGATGACGAAACTACACCTGACTTCAAGTTAACAGTGACGCCTCCTAGACGAAGTACAAAGACGATTTCATATAATGAAGATGACGACGATGATGGTGAGGCCACAATTGAAGCTCCAGTGGATGAACAGGCTCATCTTGACAATGACATTGTAAAGCAAGAGGAACCTGATAGTGATGATCCATTTGCTGTTCCCACATCACCTGAAAAAGATGACGATAGTGAGGATTATGTCGAAGAGTCAGACGCAGAAATTAGAGGTCCAGGAAGGAAAAAAAGAAAGCTTAGCAAAAAGCAGAAATCAAGAGGGAGATCAAGTAAACCACGCATAGATAGCGAAGACGAGGACTTTCGAGATGATGGTGATGATGATGAAGACGAGGACGATTTCACTCTTTCTGATGATGATTTCATTGAAAGAAAAAAACGAGAGAATTTCATAGTGGAAGATGAAAACGATTGGGATGACGAGGAAGATGAATATGGGGTTAAACCAAAAAAGAAAAGAGGTCGTAAAAAAAAGGGTAGATCTGTTTCGGTAGAGCCGAGAAGGGCAACCAGATCGGGCAAGGTTTTGCAAGAAGATGTGGAGTACAATGGAGATGATACTCGCGATGATATACAAGACGACGTGGATGATATACAGAGGGAGATTGCTGAACTATACGATTCATCACCGGTACGTGACTCCGAACCCTCACAACATAAATTGAGACAAAGAGCAAAAGTCGATTACACCATACCACCACCTATTACCAACGACTTGATGCTTGAGAGACCTTCGACCCCGGTAACTGTAAGAAACAGACGAGGAAGACCCGCCAACAAGAGTGAATTTCGAAAAATATTGTACCCCACAGCTGGCCCCTTTGGTGGTAGTGATGTCATATCTTTATTTGGAACAAATATTCCACCTGGGGGTATTCCCTTGCCAGGCATGACAGATCCAAATAATCTTACTGCAATTGGTCAAAATGTCAGTGACTCAGATAGTTCTGAAGATGAAATTGCCCCTATCAATGGGGAAGCTACCATCAGTCACAAGGTAAAAAAGCCCTCTAGGTCAGATGGAAAGCTACTTACAGGTGGTTCAGATGACAAGAGAAAGGGAAAGAATAGTTTGAGTGATACCGATCCTCTTGGGGTTGACATGAACATCGACTTTTCCGTCGTTGGAGGTTTAGACAATTACATAAATCAATTGAAAGAGATGGTCGCTTTACCGCTATTGTATCCGGAGTTGTATCAGAACTTCGGTATAACACCACCTAGAGGTGTGTTATTTCATGGCCCCCCAGGAACCGGTAAGACTTTAATGGCGAGAGCTTTGGCAGCAAATTGCTCAACACCAGAGCGTAAAATTACATTCTTTATGAGAAAAGGTGCTGATTGTTTGAGCAAGTGGGTTGGGGAAGCAGAGAGACAATTGAGGTTATTGTTTGAAGAGGCGAAAAACCAGCAACCTTCGATAATTTTCTTTGATGAAATTGATGGTTTGGCTCCGGTGAGATCATCTAAACAAGAACAAATTCACGCAAGTATTGTCTCGACGTTATTGGCATTAATGGATGGTATGGATAATCGTGGACAGGTTATTGTTATTGGTGCAACAAATAGACCTGATGCAATCGACCCTGCCTTACGTAGACCTGGGAGATTTGATCGTGAGTTTTATTTCCCATTACCTGATATCAACGCTAGAAAGGAGATTTTGACCATCCACACAAGGAAATGGACCCCACAATTGGATGAATCGTTTTTAAGCAACCTTGCCGAGCTCACAAAAGGATATGGAGGTGCAGATTTGAGGGCATTGTGTACCGAGGCAGCGTTGAATAGTATCCAACGAAAATATCCTCAAATTTACGAAACAAATCACAAGTTGGCAGTGAATCCAGAAAAGGTTAGGGTTATCGCAAAGGACTTTATGATGGCTCTTGACAAAATTGTACCTTCGAGTGCAAGATCCACTTCTTCTGGTTCTGCTCCGTTACCCGATAATTTGAAACCGTTACTACTGGACAGTTTTGAGCAAATAAAATCAAAACTAAAAGATTTGATACCAGTATCTATTAGTGTAGCGGGACGCAAAAAGCTCACTACCTTGGAAGAAGCCAAATATCTTGATCCAACTGTTCACGATAAAGATGGTGGGTTTGGTAAACAGCAATTGTTGAAGAATTTGGAAAATGCAAGAATTTGTAGACCACATTTGTTGGTTAGTGGTGAAGAGGGCAATGGGCAACAGTACCTTAGTGCAGCTGTTCTCAACTATCTCGAAGGATTCCAGGTGCAGTCGCTAGATCTTGGAACAATGTTTGGTGACTCTGCAAGAACGACGGAGCTGGCCATTATTCAAGCCTTCATTGAAGCTAGAAGGCACCAGCCTGCCATCATTTTAATACCAAATATTGATGTATGGTATCTGATTTTACCAGACTCTTCAAAAGCGACATTATTAAGTCTACTACGTGGATTGAGAAGCAACGAAAAGATATTGTTACTAGGCTTTTCAGAGACTCCATTGCACTATTTGGATGATAGAATTAAAAACTTGTTTGGAATGGAAAATTCATCAAATAACGTCATTTTGCAGAATCCAAATAAGCTGGCAAGGAAAGAATTTTTCCTGACGGCATGGAAGACAATATTGATGAAACCGTATGAGTTTATCAATGACTTGCAAAATAGACCGAAAAGGAAATTGAAGCAGTTGAAAGTTGTTGAAACTGTGGCAAATTTGTCTGATAATGAATTACTCAAGAAGAAGCAAAAGGAGCAGGAATACAACGACACCAAATTGAAAAACACACTCAAGATAAAGTTGGCCAGTTTGATGGATTTGTTCAAAGTAAGGTACAAAAGATTCAAAAAACCGATTGTTGATGAAAACTTGCTATACCATTTATTTGATCCCACAATTTTGGAGAATCCACTTAACAATTACCAAGTTTTGTACACCAGATCAGATGAACCGGGTCACGAAAATATGATAAAGGAAATTGCTACTGGTAAGGATTATCACAATATGGATCTTGACACAGTTGAGGAGAGGTTATGGAATGGTTTTTATAGTGAACCAAGACAATTCCTCAAGGATCTCAAATTGATATTGAAGGATTGCATTACTTCGGGAGATCGGGAAAGAATTTTGAAAGCAAATGAAATGATTACCAATGCCCAGTTTGGTATCGACGATTTTACAACTCCGGAATTTTTGAAAGCTTGTAAAGAGATGAGGGAGAGAGATAAGGCCAAGCAAGAGAGATTGTTGAAAGAATACGAGGGATTGAAGGCAACGCTTCAAAATGGTACCACAGAGCAGCAACCTCAGGATGCGGCTCCATTGGAAAACAATGCGAGTGTTATCAGTGTCGCCGAGCAAAAGCTCTCATCCAATCCTCTTCCCGATGAAGATATTTCACACGGGGATATAAATGAACCTAATGATGCCATGGATGTGGACATAGCTCAGAAGGGTGATGAAGGGTCGTTTGTTGGAGTGGGGGAGCCACCAAAAGTGGAAGAAATTAAAGAAGAGAAGATGGGCATGGAGAAATCCAATAATGATGCAATGCATATGAAGAAAGGTGAAGGGGAGGAACAGACGGAAAACCCACAAGAGGACATAGTCGAGGAGTCATCTGAATCGGAAGCTGAGGAGTCAATCGAAATCGATCACGCGAAGGAGATAATACTCGACAAGGAATTGTACGACAAGTTAAGAAAACAAGTAGTCAAGCTCACGGACCAATTCACAGTTGACAAGTTGGAAATGGTTATGGCCAGATTGATGGATATCGTTTGGACCGATAGAAATGAATGGGATAAAACGTCGACTCTACACAATATTGAAAAAGTGTTGACTTCGTTTCAACCGGCATCTTGAAATTAGATATATAAATCCTGTATAATTTAAAGTAGAAATTATACCATCTATAGATCAACCGTGCTCGTATAAATCTCCACCTTAATCAATCCTCTGCACTTCCATCTCTTGGTCTATATATGACATCCAGGGCTTCCAAATGTTCAATCACTATGGGAGGTAGCTTACCATTGATTTTGACAGCATATAGACCTGGAACAAAACTATCTATTCTTAGCCATCTCGCCACCCATGATTCCTTGTCATCTTCTCCCATGGCTACCAATCCTTCGAATGATGGCGATGTGCAATCGGTTATTGGATTGAAATCTTGGTCATTATTTTGAAAATGCAACAACCCTTCACAGTTGGGACACCCGTCTTGTTTGAAAGTCTTTACGGGTTGTATTATACCACATAGCATGCAAGCTCTTTCTGTTCTAGTTGACATGTTTTGGAAGATTTAGTGGTCCTGGGGTGGTGGATGGATTGTGCAGGTGCAATGTTCACTAATTTTATTGATTTTTTTTTCCACATTTTCATTCTTTTTTCACTTTCGTGGTTTACACACAAAGCATCACCTTATAATTAATTACACCAAATCTCAATGCTACTACGAGGCTGTCAGGTAGGATCACGTTTGAAACCAGCTCATAAGAAGCTTCTTATTCCAGCCCGACACTATTCTATCGATCATAATGCAATTATCAATACTTTCACATACACCTTTGAGGGTTTACATGAAGCCAGTGGTTTACCATGGTGGGCACTAATTCCAATCACCACGTTTGCCTTGAGATCTGTTTGGACGCTACCACTAGCTATAATACAGCGTAAGAGAATTCAGAAACAGAGCACATTGAAACCAATAGTGAGTGCACTCAATCCCATTTTGAAGATGAATCTAGCGAAACGAGTTCAAAAAGCAAAAGGATTGCAACAATTACCAGACACTGATGAGTCAGTTAAAGCTGCTCAAGCTCCATTAGCCAATATGTCCTATGAGCAGATTTTGCTTCTCACTACAAAGGAAACACGTAAGCGTCAGAAGGAGCTTTTCAAAAAACATAATGTTCAAATATGGAAAAACTTTATCTTACCTACATTTCAAATCCCACTCTGGATTATGATGTCATTAACGATGAGAGACTTGAGTGGATGGTCATCATGGGATAACTTACACAACAAAGCATTGGACCCTTCATTGTATGTAGAAGGCTGTTTGTGGTTTCAAGATTTAGCAGTTGCCGATCCAATGCACGTTTTCCCCTTGATATTGGGAGTCATTTCACTTTGCAATGTTGAGTGGACTTTTAGAACTCTAGAGTTGTCACGGTTGACACAGAGATTGAAGTATCGACCCAATTTGACTGATGCAGTGGCAAACTTTTCCAGAATGTCTATTGTGTTTATGATGGCTATTTCAATACACGCACCAGCTGCGTTGGTGTTGTACTGGATATCGTCGCAGTTTTTTTCATTGATTCAAAATATAGTATTGGATATTAAGTACCCCATCTCATTCACTCCGAAGAAACGCTTTGGTGGGGATATATTGGAATAATGGAGACACCACCTAGGATCCAGTATTTGTGTCGGCCAGCTCAACTGTAAATAGCTGCAGTGTTTTAACTCTGTTTATAAACTGGCCGCAAATAAAGATAGAATCTGATTCTGCGGTATAGTCTAGACAATAGTTCGAAAAAGTGAAGTGAAGAATCACAGCCAGGAATGAATTGTATGATTTTGGTGGTGGTTCTCAAAGTGTCAGCAGTGAGTTCAAAATAGTTACACTTGGAGAGATATACTTCCTCGTTAAATATGTAAATATTAAGCTGTTGTGTAAATGTGCATTTGATAGGATCAAGCATAATTCTGATAATTATTAAAAACAGTCACAGCTAGACTAAGCATGAGCTTCTCATGCATTATTTTTAGAGATGTCGATAGTTTGTTCTTGGATCGATTTTATAGACTTTGTTTTGAATATAACTAAGATTGTAAGAATATATCAGACTAGACACACTCCACGCATTAAAAACAAAGCTTATCACATTAATACCATGAGTATAAAATACATCACCAAAGCCAATAAGGAGCTATTTGTGCCCATCATACGAGAACTATCAGATCAAACAAGCAAGAAGTTTGACCATAACAGCAAAACGTATGAGGAATTGAATGATTGGAAAGATCATGAGTTGCTTGACGCTGTAGCCAACCGATATTCCAACTCCAACAGGGCCACTACATACATCACCAAAGACGAACTTGTCAACCTAATGGACTGGAAACTAAACATTGGCACATTCCGACCCTCGTTGCCAAAACTTATTCGATCTAATGACGAAGAGCAAGTAGAAGATGCAACCAAAGTGGGATTCAAGATATTGCTCGACTATTTCAATAGCCTCCCTACTGATTTCTGGTCAATCGCCACTGATGAAGAACTCGACAAGTACAAAAAGGTCATACGGCAAGCAATGAAGGAATTGTGTAAATTAAAGGGTGTTGGCCCTGCAACTAGTAGTCTTATCATGACATGTCTTTACAATATCCAACCCAAATACACCCCACCATTCTTTAGTGATGAAAGCTTCATGTACTATGTACTTGATCCAACCAAGCCGGGTCAAAAGATCAAATATAGCGTCAAGGAGTATGTAGAAGAGCTATTACTGGTTTATTTCAAACTATTAAAGAGTGATCCAGAGGTTACATTCGTCGAATTGGAAAGAGGTGGATGGACAATCAAGTATTTCAGTTTATACCATGATGATAAATTGATTGATATCAAGTCACCCTATACAAATGATGAAGAATGGGAAACGTTTAAAGTAGACGTCGAGGTGGATTCATTAGAGCCACCAAAAAAGAAGAGAAAAAAATCCACCTAGCATTATAATAAAATTTGTCATACCAACGTGTATTTTCTTTCGTATCAGATCAGCTATTCTGGCCCATGTAGTCTGCCTCCAAGTTTACCAACTTGAATTTGTCATCGCGATCTAGCCGAATCAATGAAGTTACATTTTGTTCCACCTGATTGAATATCCTTTCAAGACTCGAAGTATTCGTGAACCCGGCACTCTTCAAAATAACAGCGTTTACCGATGCTAAGGTCTTTTGGAAATGCAAGGCATGGTTTCCAATTATCTTTTTCACTTTAGGTAATTTATCAAGATCTTGCTTCAGACGAACTATTAGTAAAGGTGATAGTTGACTGACTTTATCCTGCAAGTGTTCCGATTTGTACTCTTCCAATAGTGAATTCCTTTTTGTGATTATCTTTCGCAACATTTCTTGCTCACTTTCTTTGAACTCAAATTCAAAATTGTCATGTAGTTTTAACCGCCTGTCCAAATACACTTTCAAACTGATCATATAATCTAGCCATTTAATTTTGAAAACGGTATCAGTCCCTAAAGTGGAATCAAAAAACTCGTGATGATAATGTTGATCAAGAAATTTTAAAACCTCATCAAATTGGTGGGACTGCATGAGTGTTTTTATGTGTTGTCTGTTCTTTGCGTGACTTGCAATCAAAATCAGATCTTTTTCATCATTTTCATTGCCATTGATGGTATTAGAAGTTGATGTAGTCAAATCGGAATTGAGTGCATTAAAGGTTTTAATATATCCTTGATGAACAAGATAACCCTTGATCAATTTGTTTAGCAATTGCGAATCATCGTTGACATGCAACAATGCTGTCTCTGTATCACTCAAATCGTTTGATTCATTCAGCTTCGAATGGCTCAGTCGGATCTTTTCAAGCAACGACATGCAAATTGCCTTTTGATTTTCTCGCCTGAAATGGTTCACATAGCTCTTTATATTGAACTTAAACTCCTTGAATCCAAAATTTGTGGTGATTTTGGCAGTACTGACGGAATCAACTGACAATACCCTCTCCAATTCATTCAACTTGAATCCAAGCATCGGATATATTTCGATAGTTGGATCATGCGAATTTGGGACTTCAAACAAATCATTTGATCCTCCATGAGTCGATGTGATTTCTTTTTCACCAATTACTTTGGCCAAAACTCCATTTAGCGTGATAAATATAGTCTTGTTTACGAAATTAACTCCACACCCAACTACATCCGTCTTGTACACTCTGTGCCTGGGTGTATCCTCAACCATCCTGGTTCTGAAAGGTATGCCGACATCAATTTTACCGGAATCAAGCTCTTGTTGTTGTGCTCTTCCAATGGTACTGAGCCGTCTATTCATGTTTGAGATTTGGGCCCTCCCCAATGCTTCTGCACCTTTAATAGAGTTGTAAAAATTAGAGTCTGCAAAATTAACAGCATAACTTCCCTTAAACTCACCTGGCCGCGTATTGAGAAACAAGTTTAAATCGGTACTTGAGAATCCTTCCAGTGACTCGTTATGATGGACATCGTGTTTAATTTTCTCCATGTCAATCGTGCACAGCTGATTTGTTGAATTTGATGGTGATTTCATAGCATCATATGTGACAAAACGTTTGGTAAACCCAGCTAGTACTTCCAATGTAGAATTGGAGCTCACCGATGGATCATTCATGGCAATCAACGTCTTGAAACTTGTAGCTTCTGTAGCCACTTGTTCAATCTCTAACTCGTAGTAGAGAATCCCAAATGATGAAATGATTGGTTGATCAGTGATAAAGTTATAGAAACGCGCGTTGCTTAAGTCCTTATCGTTGGGTTGTGTGAGTGTCTTGCCTGAATGTAAAGTAATAGTTGAATAGCCATCATCGGCATTTATCTTCAAATCACACCTCTCTTTTAAAAATGTCCAATACTTGGAGTGAATTAATGGAGCCCACGACATCGGAAGTGGATATCCAAAGTACGTATTTTTATCTAATCGAATTGAGCTAAGACAATGTCCAGAACCTGGCTTGGTATGGTTATTGGCCAAGCTCAAAAGCTCCTTCAATGTCATTCGATAATATGCCTGATATTCATCTAAATTGCTGACGTCACAAAGACCTCTGAAATTAACTTCACCAACTCTAGTTGAATTGAATATTGAAAATGGACTTTTGGAAGCATTTTCCTTTGATGTGTCACTATTTCCCTCGTCGCTGACGTTGCTGTTACCAGATTCAGCCTCAAGCAATCTAGATTTGAATATGTTAAACATTTCATGCACGTATTTATCCTCATACGCAATTGACTCCATGGGGTTATTACCCAACACGCCAATTATAGCAAGTTTATACAATACCTTCTCTTTAATGATTGAATGAAGTATAGGGTCATTAGAGAATGCGAAATCACCTTTTTCATCATCGAGATCGGTCTCGAGAGGGATATTGGAAAAGTATGGGGAATCTTTAGTTATCACGTTGCAGGCGCTCAAGCGTTCATTTATGCGAGCTAGCTTTTTTCGCAATTGACCGCCTTCATGAGTACTGAGTAAGTAAGGTGGTATGATGTATATGCTTGATGGTGGTGCCATTCCGTTTTGGTGTTGGTGAAGTTAATCTGTGTTGACAAAAGGGGAAGACAAAAAAGTGCGGCACTCAAATTTTTAGCTTTACCAAACATTGGAAATACCATACTATAGAAGACCCACATCTCTTCGGGCATGAGTGAAAAGCACATCAAACGAGTACAACAACTCGTACCGAATATAGACCTCAAGGTCATCTCCCAAGGAGCGGAAGCCCTAGTGTTTCAAACTAAAACTCATCCATACTCATCACATCCGTACCTTAAAAATTCAAGCCAGTTTATAATCAAATACAGACCTCCCAAACCATACAGACACCCTAAAATCGATGCACAAATTACTAGAACGCGAACAGCTGGGGAAGCTAAATTTATGTACAAGTTGAGCAAATTGGGGATTGCATGTCCGGCTTTGATATCGTGTGATTTAAGTAATGGAATTATATGGATGGAGAATTTAGGTATTGATTTACCCAATGGCAATGTTAGTTCAGTGAAAAATTGGCTATGGTATCTCGAGAGAGAAGCAAGTGAATCTGATTGTACTGGCAACAGAGTCAAACAAGTTTGTTTCAAAGTTGGTCAGTTGATTGGTAGGTTGCATCTTGCAGATATGATACATGGTGATTTGACTACTTCTAATTTGATATTGACGGGGTCTGAAGAGTCATGGGAGCCTGCCTTGATTGATTTTGGACTATCTTCATTTTCAGGATTGGCCGAGGACAAGGCTGTTGATTTATACGTTTTAGAAAGATCCGTTACAAGTACTCATTCGGTATTTGCGCAATCGTACAACAAGTGGTTATTAGAAGGATACGAATCTGCACATGATTTGAAACAGTACAAGAAGTTTGGCAAGGCCAAGTATGCTGAAACGTTTAAAAGGTTGGAAGAGGTGAGACTTCGAGGAAGAAAAAGAAGCATGCTAGGGTAAATTTTGTATAAGGGGAGGGGGAGAGATATATGTGGCCATAGAGAAATAGTAGAGTATAGATTCGACCATGTTTCGGTTGATGTAGAAGGAGAAGGTATGTAATAGATACTTACTAAACTGTGTTTCCTGTATTCTTTAGCTTTTTCTAAAGAGAGCGATGAAAAATCACCAAAAGCAACCCATCAAACATCACCAAAGACTATGTTTCAACAATTCAACAGAACAACAAGACAATTTCCACCACTCCTCAGGAGTATCCAATTGAGACACTTCACTCAATATGCAAAAAACCCACAAATACATATCCATGAAAACCCACCGCACCATTATAATTTTTCATTGTCAAAAAACCCAAATGCTCTAATTATCGGCAACTCACAAAGTACCGACCCTAAACCAGATAACTTTACCATTAATAAGGAGTTTGTCGATCTATTGCACAAGACTTTCGAAAATAAGATTTACGATGATTTCACATTCATAATGGAGGCTGGAACAAATGCCAATTCTTTTATGCCCATTTATGATTTCAGAGATATTCCCAAATATTCAAGACAACCATATATTGGTAATGTATTTGGGTATTTACAGGTTGATGGCAATGCCAAGATTATACCAGGAAGCTGGCAACGAAACGATATGTATGAGTTGTGTAATGGTAAGGATGGGTTATGTCATTTTAGTGAATACATGTATGAAACATTGCAGCAAGAATGTGAAAACGCTAAGAGTTAGCGTCTAGGCGAGGGGAAATAGTAGTGTCAATGAAGCTTATACGATACATCTGTTATTACAATACTAGACGCCTATTGTTTCTATCCTAAAACATCTTTTATAAACTTCACAACGTCAATCAACTCTTCCTCACTAGCACTATGAGCTACTCCAGGATATGTATTGAATTGTATTTTTTTGTATCCCAATCTATGATAAAGTTCACTAGTTCTCTTTCCAAAATCATAAGCAATAATGGGGTCAGCAGTTCCGTGACCTTGAAAAATTGGAGTATCAAAGTTTACATCTTTAACCAATCGTTTCTCCAACTCTTCACTAACGGCGCAGAATCCAGAAAGGGCAACAACACCACCAATTTTGAAGTTCAATAATGATACAGTTGCTAATGAGATTGCTGCACCTTGACTAAATCCACCAATGATGATTTTATTGGCGGGAATGTTGTATTTGTCGATTTGTTCTTGTATTAAGCTCTTTAATACATCACAACTCTTGAAGAATCCATTGATATCTTGTCTAGCATTGGGATTACCAAACTCATAAATATCAAACCAACCAGGCATCCTCATACCCCCATTGACTGTGATTGGTATTTGAGGTGCATTTGGGAATACATAATTAATTGATTGCGCATCGGGTATTAAATCAGTTTGGTTGATGAGTTGTGGCAACCATGACCAACCTTCACCAGTATCACCAAGGCCGTGAAGAAAGATAATTGCTGCCTTAGCGGGTGTTTTTGTTGCGTTGAATCTAATTGCTGTAATGGCACTCATATTTGTTGGTGGTGGGGAGGAGGTTCCGGAATTGTTGTTGTTGTTGTTGCGCGTGAAAATGGAGTTAAAAATGGAGTTGAAAATGCCTTGATAAAATGACAAGAAAAGGACCAATATGCAAGAAATGAAGATAACGCAAGACCTCATGTTCCCCAAAAGTCCTAGAGGGAACCTACTTGTATATGTGTTTCTTTACTATGCACATACGATGTAGTTCACCTCTTAGACCTATGGTGTAATGCATTCCCTCCCCCAACGTTCTCCAAAAGTGGGCTCATTTTTAGTCGCGCTACCGTTACCGTCACCGAATTAAGCCCGGGGAGGGACCTCGTCAACTGGTCGATATGATTCAAGATCAGTGGGTGATTAGTTTCGAGAACATCTTTAGATTGATGGTGGGAGATGAATTATATACTTGATAATAAAGATGATCGAGGTCCAGTTGTGGTTTCTTTCACATACCGTACTTTGTGTCATTGATAAAGTTTTCGTAAACCTCTCGAAAGCCGTTTCTAGTTGATCTAAAGTTAAAACTGTGGAGGCAATTATCACATGTCAATGGGGTGTCCCAATATTTTATTTCTGCATCATCACAAATTTGGAGATTATTCAACTTTAGGGAGATACGTTTGTTGAAGTAATGCACATGCGAATACAACCAATGAAGCTTTGTGGATCATTATTTTTCTCGTCAAGAGTAGCTTCTTTTTAAAGAACTACAACTAAATGTTTTGGTCATTGAAAAGAAAGGATAAGATCAATGAATTGTCTTGAATCTCTAAGTTACAGAGGTACACAACGACTGAGATATTGTGGTGAATGCCAAGAGAATGAAAGAACTGATACAACAGCACCCTTCTTCTTTCTCCTCAGCTTTGATAGAGGAAGTGTTTAATTTGACAAGTAAGCTAAAGCCGATCATAGACAAAAGGAGGGGGGAATGGGAGCGATTGTTGATTATAGTAGCCTCTTGATCTATCCGTCTATCGTATACTATTCTTCTTCTTCTTCTTCTCGTATTCATAAACCGTAAATGTAACAAAAGAGTGGACGATCATTCAAAAATATTGAAAATCTCGTATTTGTGCTCTTGTTACCTAAATGCTTATGTAAGATAATATGTACGGCTGATTAAAAGAAGTAAGCTCTAGATCCTTTGTTTGAAAAACTCAATAAAGAACCCAAGAAAAATATACATTGCAAAGTCACTACAATTCAATTTTGTACTATGCACAAGTGCGCATACATACCAAAGCATAGCCCAACTTTTACTAAAAATGTATCAACTATATTTAATACTTTGACTCGATTCAAACCAAGAGTTGCAGATGTACATACTTGGTCACATCTTAAAAAGTTGACTCTCGTATAAATCATAAGCCTCAATAAAAAGCAGATACTACCGCTGTGCGCAGAATGTTCTTTCACAGTTACGGTTTTTACCCCAAACAATCCTAGTAATAGCACTAAGAAATCAACAATACCAAATGATCAGCAATTTTGATAAACACATTGTCGTTTTTGCAAACTGTGATTGGTGAATTCTCCAAGAATCAAATAAGCTTTGTATTTTATTACCAGCGAATCCCATTATTTAACTCACATTGCATAACCCACGGTGTAGGGGATGCACAAATTACACTAAATTTAGTCTAAAAAAGACGGTTGTTGTGACCTGACTACGCAGTCATTTCCTTCCTCCCCCCCCTTGATTTATTTATGCTTTAAAAACTCATGAATTCTCCCATTTACATTTGGGTTCCAACTGAAAGGCAAGCACCAACCTTTCCTATTCCTCAGAATGAACATCACAAAGACAACTACTAGTATCATCTTACGTCTGGTTGAATTCTTATTCGCCGTCATCGTATTGGGCCTCACTGCCGGTGTTTTAGCAGGCTACAACACCAACATCTCCAGAGTCACATTCAACTTGGTGGTGGCAATTTTCAACATCATATGGTTAGCATACATTGCCTTCATTGCACCCAGAGTGTTGCTCAATCAAACGCCAACAGCAGTAGTATTTGGTGTCCAAGTCATATTTTGGATCTTTTATCTTGCCGGTTGGGCAGCTATTGCTGATGTGTTCCCCGATGATTGTAATTGGTGGTATTATATGAGAGATTCGGAAGATACCTGTCGCGCTTATCAAGCAATTTTGCCATTCTCATTATTGAATTGGATCTGGTTTAGTATTGAATTGGGATTGTTTATTGGTTACAGTTTTGTTCCTGAAATTAAAAATTACGGTGCAAACCACTTGATGCAAAATACAACTTATTATTGGGGCACTTTATTCAATGCTGAAACTACTACATCAAAGAGTTTTGCTGGTGTCAATTTCACTGATTCTGGTATTGCTACCAGTGGTGGTGGTGTTAATAAAGACGGGGGTGTTGTTGCTCCTCATCTTGACGAAGAAGCTGCTATAGGAAATGGAGTAAACGATGAAAATGCATACACTACTCATGGTGAGGAGGAGTCCAAAGTTGCAACTGAAGGTTCTGACCACTCTTTGCCCCACCAACAACAACAGCAGCAACCAGAAGCTGGGTACGGGTCAAGAACTAATGGTACCGTTCCAACAGCATACTAAAGCATGTGTCAATTTGTGTGCTTTTTATACCCTTGAGAAAATTCATTGTAGTTAATACACGACTAGTATACCCCTTTCATTCTGAATAGAGCTCAAATACTAGAGAGTTCAGAGATTAGAGATGCAACCTCTACACTTCCTTTTTGCGTATGAGAGTATAAATAAATTCCATATGCAAATAATGGAGAATGGATGGGAATAAAAAAACAACAACATCATAATAATCAATATCCGCAGATCTCTAGCACTTCTGTCACACCTGCGTTTCAAATTTGGCATTCCAGATACTTGGTTGGCCAAACAAAGATACCCTTGTTTTCTCATCACTCGCAACAGGTAAACTTCCGTATTTCGGAAACCAACTTCAATTGACTTGTAGCGTTCAAACTTGATATATTGACTCAATTTCAATGTAAAGTCTCTATTCTTCCGCACACATTTTCTAACTTCACAAACTTTGACAACCAATCTTCATTTCAATGGATGTTATTTTAGCTGTGGAGTAAAGAACACGAATTCCTTGCGGTTTTCGCGAGACCGTATCTTGCAAACAAACCCTTGGCCTGCTCAAGAATCATCGTTTTAGTTCTCGGTTATACAATGCCTTTCATTACTTTGCCATCCAGCAAACCCACCTGAATTTTCTGCTTTCTGTATAACAATCAATCATTAATTTGTATACATCAATTTCCCATCTACTACACTTTGATTATTCCCCACTTTTTTTTTTTGATTATTTGTGTGTGTGTGTTTATATGTTTACTTGTATGTGTATGCGTGTGTATGTTCCACACAAATTTTACAACCAAAACATTACCCACTTAAATAACTTTTTACCACCAAATTCACTGATCTTTACCACCACATTTTTTTCTTCATCTAGAAAGAACCATCAGAAGGTTGAGAACTTATTCACATCAGCCTCAATAAGCTTTCTCTTCCGTGATCTATCATTCGGTCAATACTTAATAGATAAAGTTCTTTAGATTCAATTGCAACCACTAATTACCAGTTGGACGAACATGGCAGAACCAAGAAGAAATACAGGTACATTTTTACGTACGGTTGAATTCATTACAACTGTTGCAATCATGGGTCTTAGTGGCAGTGTTTTGGCAAAAGTTGGCCACAACATTCCGAGAGTTTCATTCACAACCACCGTGGCTGCCATTGACATCCTTTACTTGGGTTACGTGGGTCTTTTTGTTCCTGTTGCATTGAACAACACCACACCTTCATTCATCATTTTGGGTGCTCAAGGAGCAGTTTGGATACTTTATCTTGGGTCATGGGCTGCTATTGCTGCTAATTTTCCCACCGACTGTAGCACTAATTCCTGGGAAAATAGTTCAAGAGCTACATGTCGTGCTTATCAAGCATTGCTTCCATTTTCATTGTTTAATTGGCTTTTGTACGGTATTGAGGGTGCTTTATTCCTTGGTTATAGCTATATTAATGAGGTTACAAACTATGGGTTGGGACATACTTTCAGACCCAGCCCATTTTATTGGGGATCAATATTTGCCATTGATCTTGGTCTTATTCGTCAATGTTGTGGTATGATAATTTCCAGTCGTTCAATAAGAAGAAAAGAAAAACACCGTGGTGATCTCGAGGATGGAGCTGCACATAGAGACGGTGAGATTGTTGCTGCTGATGCTACTGGTGAGGATAGTAACAATTTGGCCGAAGAGGAGGCAAAAGCAGTTGCTGAGGAGCAGGCTGGACCAAGAGGAAATACTACCAATAACACTGTTCGTGGCTCGGCCCCAGTTCATGATCGTACTTCCATTCAGAGCAATAGAACTGCAACTGGGGAGCCAATTGGCAGAGTTTAGATGAAGAAGTCGCTTCAGTTTTGTTTTGCTTTGATTGCTGCTTAGAGCATTGCTAGTTTTTTTTTTAATATATCTTGTTGTGTTGCAATAAATAGAGTTTTTAATTGAAGCATTATTTTGTTTGCAGTTTGAACTGTTTTGAAAACCCCTTAAACAAGATTTCAGCTCTGATCCAATGTTTTGTGTAATTAAAAACATCGAGTTAATTTTTTTTTTGTTCAAAATCATCACGAGAAAACGAAGATGCGATATCACAATCAGTACCATCAACAACACACATTTACCACAATGCAAATACTAAAAGAACGAGACTCCTTTTTATCCAACTTTGAAGTATATGACCACCTAAAACATATCAAGCACAAATACAACTGGACATTCTCACCTGAAGAAGAGCTCGCACTTCAACAAGAACAACAACAACATCAACAACTGGACCAACACAGCAAAAAGCACCATCAGAAACAAAAGAACCGATTCACGGCATGCGGTCCGGAATTGGAGGTAGTAACGCGGGATGTGCTTCAGTTTATGGAGAACAGTGCCGAAATAACCCAGGTTGATGTTGATGGTTTCAAGCAGCTAATGTTGTTTTTGAACCAATTTGAATTGATGAAGGTTGAGAAATTGCAAATTGTCAATTGTTTGCCTCGATCTTTGGTTGTGTTATATTTGTTGGTTGAAGATTGTGAAGAGAGATTTAGCGTGGAAGTATGTGAAGAGATTGTGGGGAAGATAAATGAGTTGTTTCCGAAAGATGACGATGAGGGAGAAGAGGACGAAGAAGAAGAAGAAGAAGAAGAAGAAGCAGATGCGGCTGGGGAGGAGGGTGATGAAATAAAGCAGGAAGAAGAACTAAATGATGAAGTTATGGAGTAATTTTACTTTTCAGTAATCTAGTGGAGGGCTATAGAAAATTATTCATTACACCCGGTTTCGAAAGACTCAAATCACCTGATTCATCAATCTCATCCTCGGCAATGGAAAGGCTGCGTCCTTGATCATTAGCAACAACGCCATCGGCCATGGCAGGTTCATTTGATGGTGAAACTAAAGCTGCCGGTAAGGGAATTTGTCCAATCAATGGAATCGAAGGTCTTTTCCCGTTAAATATGGCTTCGCCAAAATCACCAACGAAATGAGTAACTTCTCCCAATAACCCAGCAACTCCCAATGCAAATATACTTTCCGAATTATCCTTAGCATTAATCCACGCAGCATTTGCAGTATTTTCTTCTTCAGCAGTTGTAGTTTCATCAATTTCATGATTTTGCCTAGTCATTAAATCTCTATTAACCAAATTGGTCAAGTCTTGTTCATCGTCTAATGAATCATGGCTGGCAAACTCGCCTGTTGATGCATGTTCCATTACTGATGTTACTGTTTTATTGTAAACTTTTTCAGGACCGAAGTGATTCTCGACAAGATGCTTGATAACTGGCCATCCATAAGCATTGGCAAACCTTCTTCGTACAATGATGTTATTATGCGCATCAGGCTTGAGCTTAACCACTACTTTTCGCCAACTCATATTTTTGTGGTATTCTCGTGCAATCTGCTCTTCGAGTTCCTCGTAATTGTAGTCTATTCTATTGAGTAATCTCTTTGTCATTGACGAGTTTCCATTAGACGACGAGCCATTGCTTCCTGAGACAAATTGATCACCATTTCTCAACATTTTTGGCAAATCTTTTTCATAATACACCTTGTCGTGGATGATGACATTGTCTCGGCTCGTGGGGTCCGTGATGTATTTCATCGATGGAAGAGGAGGAAGGAACAATGCAGCGGCACTATCCAAAAATGTCAGATTTGGGATTCCAGAAGCTTCGCGTTTTTCATCTCCACCTTCATTTTTTCCTTCTCCCTCTTCATTTGTAGTTTGGAAATTTCTATACTGTTCACCTTTACCTTTTTGCTTCTGTGGCATGAAATATGACATTAGTGTTTGCATTGGCAGAAATGGATTGTTATCTTTCACTGATTTTGGCGCCTTGCCGGAGACCTCATCTTTAGCATTCCGCTGTGCATTTTCAATAGCACCTTTGGCATCATTTGAAGAAACATCATTGGAATTGATCAATGGTACCAACCCTTTATAATCAAGGTACAATAAGGAAGACGTTCTCAAAGGTACAATCCCATCGTTTAATGCATTTGCATACACTGTTCTCCGTTTGAACTGCTTCAACGTCCTGTGTGCCAATCCTGAAGGCAATAGCAACAATAATGGTTTGGAATTGTTCTCTAAATACTTCAAACCTAATTCTTGACCTGTTTTTCCCACAACACCAGCTGACAAGGCAACTTTGACATAAAGAGGGTTTTCGTTGGCTACTCCTAATAATGGTGACGCTATAGCAACGAAATTGATCGGTTTAATCGTTTCAAAAAACCATGGGAAATTCAGTCGAAGGTAAGCAATAACAAATACTTGAACACACCCACCTAAGGAATGGCCTATGAACGATATTTTTGTCACTTGTCCATTATTTAGCATCTCATTCTCAGTAACTAGTTCAACGATGTACTCTGCAACCCTGCTCCCTAAATACTTGATCCCTCGTTCAGTTTTCCCTCCATTGTCGAAAAATGCTTTGACAACAGTTTCTTCCCCACAGCCAGTTTGAGTCTTTTTTGCCATTCGGTCAATTTGCTCTTTCAAATACAACATATCAGCACTTGAATTTGAATGAAGACCATGAGTCAATATTACCAAATGCTTTGGCTTCCCAGGCAGGAGTACCGGTAAATTCCACAAATCTCTTGTGTCCCATTCTGTGACATTCAACAAAGGATGGAATGTGCCCACATGATCGGCATGAAGGATATGCTTTTCTGCATGTGATGCCTCGTGAAGAACTTTTTTCGAAGTTCCCACCATAATCTCGAAATCAATTGTAATCTTTGTGTTGAATATTATTTGGGACACAACATCGACTATCCAGGAATAATCCTTCTTTAAAGTATGACATGACAATTGAACATAGAATGATTGGCCGGGTAAAAGCTGTGGCTCAAAAACAGGTTGATCTGCAGTAACAAAGTATTTGACATTAGGGTCGTAGTCCAGTTGACGACAATCAACATATAATATGTATGGACCAGCTAGACTATGTTAGTAAATCCCTTCTCTTTATATAGTTACTGAAAAATCATTTTGAAAAACATACCTAAGTATATTGCCCTCTTTGATACTGGTTCAAGGTTTTTAACTTTTACCCATAATGTTGGCGGTATTACTACCTCATCGCCCTCTGCATGCGGAGTGAAGTGTATTTTGAATCGTTGGGTGTCACCTAGCCTTAATGATCTGGTTTGTCGATATAATATCTTGTGTTCCATATTATCAAGTTGGTCTTGGGTCATGGCTATAGGTGTATTTCGTAGTTCGGAGGTGTTTGGTATTGCGGCTAGTGGTGTATCTGAGGCCATTATTGGGGGAAGAGGGGGGGTTAGGAAAGGCTAGTTTATTTTATATATGATAGAGGGAAAACTTGATCGATTGTTCTATGGTTGTGAGCCTCTTTCTCTATATTTCGTGTATGTTATTGCTATTGTTTGTTTGTGTTTCTTGTGTTAAAAAGTGAATGTGATAATTTCTCATTCTTCTTTTTTTGCCTTCCTTTTTGGGGTGCATAACCGAAGTTGTGAACATTATTGTCAAATGACGGTTCGATTGAAGCAAATAAATGAAGCTGAAGCGATGAACCGCTTTCATAAGTATAGACTATATCCCGCGCAAGTAGGAAGACAGCAGTACACTTTCTCATCACAATATGGGGCCTATAATTATATCTCGGAATAATTTCTGGGTCGTTTAGATAACAATAGCCCGTTAGAATCCTGCATATAGGTAACAGGCAAGTCCGACGCAATAGAACACCTTCAAATACAAAGTCATAGAGCACCTTGATAAATAGAGCATTCAGGTGATGCAAATTTTGTTTTCAAACTATTCATGTGTTGAGGCATTCCGCTCAATAAATACGTTCAGGTGTAACTGGCTATGACGAGGAACACAGTATATAACTTGCTGTACGTCCAAAAAAAGGGTTTCACAGATTCTGTGGTGTAACAATGCTTATTTCACCTATCATTCAGGGTCCCTAAATTGAATCCGTAGAAATGGTAGGTAGTAGAGGTGAACAGTTTTGGATAACTCAAATCAACAGATTCAAATTCCAAATAAAAAAAAAAACAAAAAAAACAAAAAAAACGTAATCACCAACAGGAAAACCTAAGATCCACAACTTTCGTCTGCTTTCGAAATTAAAAAAGCATCCGGAGCATGGAACACAATGGCACGCACCCCTTCCAATTGAGGTACTCGTACTTAACTAGTTAACTTGGAGTATTTGTATTTCAACATTGTTTAGACTTTAACGATAGATACGCGAAATCAAAAATTGTAAATAACATAAATACATCAACAACAGACGCGTAGAGTATTAATCAAGTGATTCTTTTCCTAGACTCCACACACTTTTCTTTACAGTACACCATAATCCTCCAACCTAGAATGCCTCTGAAAACCTTTCTGATCTTTAGTCCAGAGTTCAAGTATATAAGTTGCGATCCAGATGAACGTTTGGCTGATGAGGATGGAGAAGTTTCTGTTGTTCATGTGGGGCAGTTTCCATTGAAAAGTGATCCTAAATCAATATTGGCTTGGTGTCCCAAAATGAATTTATTGCTCATGACCAGAGATAAAAACACACTACATTGTTTCCGTATTCGTGGTGAAGAGATTTATTTTGTTAATAACGGTGCTGAAATAAAAGGTATAACTTGTCATGAAAAGAATTTTTGTTTGTCAGGGGCAGACAAAACCATCAAGATTTACGATTCTAGTGATGGTAAGCTAATTAAAACATTGGACCAAAAATTTGCTGATATCGAGTTTATTCATTGGTCAAGTACCAATTATCAATTGAAGAACAAGGTACTCAAGAGTTTGCCAATCATTTATAATGATATTTCGTACAATTTGGATTACTTGGTTATTAATGATGAAAAATCCATCACTTTTACAATCAACAAAGTTTTAAACATCAACATTGTCACAAAATACCAAATTCGGCTGCAGGTTCAGTCTGCGTTATTTGAGCAAAAGTATCTTGATGACAGTCAGCGATTGATCAGTATTGAAATCCCCACTAAATCCCGAGAAGCATATGCAGATCTGATGATTCTTTTATGTCAAGTCATTGAGTATCTTGAGAGGTCGAAATCAACTTTAAGTGAGATCGAAAAGGAGCTCAAGACCTTTTATGTTGCCATAAATAGGTACTTGTCAAACTTGAAAACGGAAATCAAAGGTGACTTGTTGCAAGACTTGGGTGATATGTTACTCACAGGAACTATTCCTGATAATACCAAAGACTTTTGGGTCAATCAATTTGGAGAGCGTGGATTGAAAAAGATGAACAAGTTGTTGGAAATTGTTTTCGAAGAATGTCATAAAAAGATTTTCCAATATTTGATTGCACCAATGGAAAGAGTGATTGCATTGTTGGATGAATTGAATGGGATCACCAAGTGGAAAAATCCAATCGAACTTGACGAGAAGGACATCAATAAACTTACAAAAGAATGTCAAGCTGAATTGAAAGCTTATACACAGTTCATATGGGATTTGAAAGAGGAGAAAGAGCACTATGAAGAGTTTTTCAACTGGTGGAAAACAATCGTTGATAAATTTGCAGATAAGGAAGAAACTAACAGCTATTCAACGTCAAAATTATTGGAGTTTATTCACGCAAACTTGTTGCAATCCAAAGTATTGCAATATATTTCAACGGATTTTGATACAATCAAACAACTCGGTGAGCGTAACTTGTTGAGCGAGTCTCAGCAAAATCTCTCAGATTCATTTCAAGTCATTTTGGATCAGGTCGATGATTACCATCAATCAAATGTCGAAATTTCTGTTTATGCTGAAATATACCATCCAACACCTTCTTTTGATATGCGTGGTTCAACATGGGGACTCCAAATTGTTGAAGCACACACCGATTATTATGACAAAACTTTGGAAGTGTGGAAAGCGAACGGTCAAGTAATTGACAAAGTGGAAGGTGCCAGAGGGTTTGAGTTTAGCGACAAAGACATGGTTGCACTAACAAAGGATAGTCTTTATGTTTTAGATCATGCTACAACTACACCAGTGCCCTTACCGGATCTTCCCTTTGAGCCAGCACACTTGGCTGTTAATTCTAAATATGTATGGATAACGGACAAGAACAAAGTACACTATGCGGTGTTGAAATTGGTATTATAGTTCTATAGTTTGTTTAGTTTATAGCTTGCGTTTTCAAGGTAATATTGTTGTCGTAGATACTTTTGAATTATGTCTTGTAATTGCTCTTCACTCAAGATCTTCTCTTTGATGATTAATTTCTTAACTTGGAAACTAGTTGTCTGTTTACTACGTTTTCTTTGAAGATGGAGGAAGAATCTAGAGTTGATTGAACCTCTAGCATTCATCAACTTCTCTAGTTGTGACTTTTGAATTGGTTGAAATGTCTCCAATACACGCTTAACCTGGCTCACTTTTTTCCTCAATAAAGAATCTAACCCAACTGGGTGTTCCGGTATACCTAGTTTGGAAGGATAGTAAAACACTTCAAATGGATGCTTTGTAACATCAAAGATTCTTTGTGACATAATAAACGCATAAACTTTCCTTACTTCTTTGATGATATCAACAACTGGATTTATCTGCTCAGCATATCTTTTGATCAACGGTAGTGGCTCTCGTAAACTCTCAGTGTTGATGTTGAGTGCTTGGGTCACAGAAAAAGGCTGGGGTAGCTTATTGTAGTATGTCTTTTTCGGGTCCTCATTATCTGTCAAGGAGTCAATTAAATGCACTGTGGGCCAATGGCCCTTCACTTTCATGTATGGAATATTTTCAAACTCTTTATACCATTGGGGTTTGTCCACTTTATATATAGCGTCAAGCACTTCACTTATCTTTTTGTATTGTTCTTGATCCAAGATTTGGTGTAATAAGTGTTCAAATCTTTTAGCTTTGCCAAGTAGATACTGCTGTTTCAACACTCTTGACCCGTCTAGAATCATACCACGCGGTAGAGGTAGCCTTCGAAGCTGTCTTTGTAGTAACTTGTACGACGACAGCATCACATCCCCATAGTAAAAAGCTTGTTTTTAAAATTTGGTAGCTTTTTCCTTTTTTCAGAATCCTCTTGGACACATCAAAACATCACTTGCCCTCTCATCGATTATCATCATCTACAGTTATGGCCTTAGCAGAGAAGGTACTTAGAAAAATTCATAAATTGAATTTGATTCCAAAGGCAATCAAACTACTACCTCGTCTTTCGATAGTCTTGGCTGCTTTAAGTGTACTATGGTTAGTCACTTTACCTCAAGATGGAAACTATCGCAACTGCTATATTTCAGAAAACGCGTTGATGCCGGGACAGGTTACATCCTATTTTAGAGAAAGTGAATGGAACATTGTTCGTGGGTACAGGAATGAGATTAAGCAACTTGAACAGCAACCAATTGAGCAACGCAATGAAGTTATCACGCAATGGTTACAAGATTTAGGTTTGCCAGTCTCGCGACACCGCAATGGCTTCACTAACGACACTTTGTACTCAATCATGCATGCATCGCGAGGTGAAAATACAGAGGCTATGGCGTTGGTTGTGCCGTGGGTTAACTCAGACGACGAATTCAATGAAGGTGCAATGGCGCTTGGGATGGCATTGATGCGTTATTTCCAACGTATTTCCGTTTGGTCAAAGAATATAATACTTGTGATTCCACCCGATGGCAAGCAGAGTTTGAGATCCTGGGTTAATGCCTATCATACAAGTTTGGACGATACTGCAGGATCCATTGAGGCAGCTATAATTATGGAATACGGTAAACAGGGTGATGGTTTCCAGTATTATGACATGTTCTATGAAGGTTTAAATGGCCAATTGCCGAACTTGGATCTCCTAAACACAGCAAATCAAATTGGTCAACACGAAGGTATCAGTTGTAGTATTCAAGGTATTAGTGATCGCGCAATAAACTTTACCAACCGATTGAAAACATTATTTGCTGGTATTTTGCGATTGGTGGTTGCTGGATCTAGAGATGTCCATGGCCACGAAGCCTTTTCTGGATGGCAAATTCAAGCATTCACAATCAAAGCCAGGGGAGCTCAAGGACACGATGTGACGCAATTTGGACGAATTGTTGATTCTACATTTAGATCAGTCAATAACTTGTTGGAGAAGTTCCATCAATCATTTTTCTTCTACTTGATGTTGAGTCCTAAACATTTTGTTTCTATTGGAACTTATTTGCCTAGTGCCGTTTTGTTGGCAGTGGCTTATGCTCTTGGAGCATTGAATACAATATTGAATACTGGCATTGAGTTGGACCAGATACCCCATAGTTTGACCAGATTATTGGTAGTAGCCGTTGTTGCTGAAGTTATATGTGTGGTGTTGTCCGTTATCATACCACAAGCATCAGTAGATATGTTGGAATATGTCCCAATGGCGCTCCTGATATTGCCAGTTTTTGTGGCAAAGAGCCGCTCACAATCATCAAATACAACAAGCTTTGCCTTGATTGGATTGGCTTTATTAATCATTGCGTTTTTGATAACCGCTTTGTTGATTGTTCATTTTGCATTGGCCCTCACAATTGGTTTATTGGCAATCCCATTAACGTTTGTCCCCACTGTGATTCAAACTAATAAGAAATTGGCCATCTTGTGCTTGTTTGTATCGAATCCATTTTTGGTGTTTGTTTTGGCAAATGGGTACTTTGGGGAGGATTTCTTTGCCAATTTGATTGCTTCATGGAACCAATTGCAATGTTGGACTTGGTTGGTTATCATTTTGGGATGGTTCCCTGCCTGGTTAATGATTGCATATGCTACAACCGGGATCAGCTCAATTGGCGCCAAAGAGGAAAAGCGCGAGATGGAAGAAAAGTTGTAATGTATATATATACAAGTTTATTTACTTTGACTATAGTAAGTTCTCTATTGGACCTATGCTTCTGTTGTATTTCTAGTCCTGTTTAAAATCGATAACTAACCCTGGACTATTTGCCGATGAAATGAAGCAGTAGCCCAACCTAGTCTTTTTCGAAGCATTTGGATCAATTTGTGAAAAAATGACATCACTTACTGCCTTCAAGTTCGACATGATTTGAAAATCACTAAATGTAGCATTTCCAACAGTAAACGTTATATGTGAATCTTTTTGTTTAATCTGATACGATCTCAAGATATTTGCAATAGCTTGAGGGTCATCGGTGACAGTGCCCTTCTTCTTTGTAGGCTGTAATCCAGCAGGACCCAATATCCTTGCAACTGCTCTCAACTGACTCTCCATTTCACTAGTTGCAAAAACATGAGTGAAATCATTAGGCAACAACTCTTGGTTAACAAATTTATCAATCAACTCCTTACCTCCTAAAAACTGTGGATCAACCAATGACAGCAACTCTTCAATTATCGAGTGATGAGTCGTAAATACAAGTGGTTTGGTTTTCTTGTTTATGGGGAATGGTATATCAACAGTTCCATTTAGGGGAGCAGCACCTTGTTCTTGACGCACATACAAATTACAAGTAATTGTCGTCTTTTCGGCTGGTTTGCCCACTTCAAATGACCTGATAGTATTGAGAGCTTCAGCAATTGGCATATGTAAGGGATGATCAATGGGGTTTTCCAATGATTTGAATTTTAACTCTTGTCTCAATTTACGCTTCTTTTGCTTATCCTTTTCTCGTTGAAGTTGAGTCTTGGTCTCCTTAGAATGTACTAAGGAACGTATGAATGTGCACGTGGGTGAAGCAGTACATTTGGGAAGTATGCGCCTTAGAGGCTGAAGCGGTATTAGTTTGAACATTGGAGGATTCAACAAATCTACTTTTGGATGATGTTTTGGCTGAAAAATTTTGTAATGAACAAAGACAAAATGAAAAAGGAAAAAATAAAAAAAAAAGAATATCACCAAGTGGTTATATGCAGGAGGAGAACATACTTAATGAATCACTATGTTTAGCTATACACTTTTCAATCACTTACCCTTAATCAACTTTATCGTGTTGAAAATGACAATTGAGGATATTGGCCCTAATAATGGTAAGAACACTGCCAATTTATGTTCACTAGGAAAGTATGCTTGTTGAACCATCTCCTTTTCAAAGAATGCTTTGTTTGAAGCCAGTTCTGCTTGAGCAGCAGCTTCAACTGACTTTGTACCTATTGCTTCGTCAATTTTCTCGAGACTATAAAGCACTTGCTGGCGAGTTTCCTCTGGAACAGTGATATCTTTTAAAGATTGTGACAACTTCACCAAGGATTTTAAATTATCAATTGAACTTTGAACATTCTTGTACACCAATAACCGTTGTATTGAGTCTAGCTTTATTGCTAATGATTGATCTCCTTTGGGGAATCCAAGTAGTTGTAACAACTGATTGGCGAAAATATTCATGATTGGAATCAACTCATCCACGGTTATGGTGGAATTTGCCATTGATGGTAATCCTCGATTATAAATCTTGAAGCCACCCCATTGTGATACCAAAAACGAATTGGAGCCTGAATGGGAAATGGAAAGCGGTTGTTTAGGAAGAAAAGTGACAAAATTGATTGTTGGATTGATGTCCAAATTCACAAGATTCCAACCACCAAAATCAATAAATGTCGTCAAATCATCCTCGGTAATGATTCCATCTTCGTAAAGACCTTTGAGGTTGGAATAGTATTGGATTTGAGTGGTTACTGAAAATGATGTGATGTTTTGTAAATAAGCAAGCACAGGTTCAAATTCAGCAAGCGCCTGTTCTATCTGCCAGTTAATTTTTTTACCGTCCTCGACAAGTAATGAAAATACCAAATTGTAATTGTCACTGTAAGCGAAGGAAATGTCAGTAGTTGGTTGACGAAGTTTCAATGAGACTAATGTATCTAATTCATCTTTGAATACATGCTCAAACAACACTTGTTGCACCAGTCTGTCAACCTCATCTTGAGGTCGTAGGCTGATGTTAATGATCCTGTCATCAGTCTCGACTTTAAAGTCATTTGCATTGCGGTGCACATTAACAATATACCTTGCATCGTCTTTATTCACCAAATCGACTACCCAACTCAGTTCCAAGTCTGGGTATAGCAGTTTAAACCTGGATCTTAGCTTTTTCTCGTCAATTGGTGCATTGACATGCACAGGTATCTTGAACTTCATGGTTGACAAATCATACTTGTTAATTTGCTCGATTGGTAAATCAGCACGATAAATGGAGGTAGTGTAGGTGAACAAAGGGTAGCCAATACCAGCCATCAACACAATGACAACCAATGTTATCGCTTTACGTAGCGACTTAACGCGGGGAGACTCCTTGGACTGCCTCATTTTATGGTCTAGTCTGGTTGTTTACTTGGATGAATATTTTTTTGCGTGTCGCAATTTTTTCTTTTTCATTTCGCAATCACCACCAAAACTAAAACCACTTCTTCTTTGCCATCTTTCTTTACAAATGTTCAAAAAACCACCACAGGTGAAACCAGCGGCGAATATCAAATCATCCGATCGAAGGAAACTTTTATCAACAGTATGCAAGACCTACAATCTCCCTATTGATGAGATCGCCAAAGAAGGACTAGATAATCTCGTGCCACCAATCAGCAAAAAGGCAACTTTTACATCACCAGTTGACAAAAAATTAACAGGAACAATATATTTCGATTCCAATGAGATTCCAACTTGGTTTCAAACTAGAGACTCTCAATTGTACCCATCACTATTCACATGTTGGAAATGCCCTTATGTTTTACCGTTGGTGAAGACGCATGAACCTGTTATTGGAGTTTTAGGAAAGGGAGCCGATTTGATGTTACCCGGTACTATTCCTCCATTTGATAAACGAGCAGTGAAGAATGCAGTCGTTGGTATTGTCTCAAAAGAGAAGCCAAATGTGATTATGGCTGTTGGAGTGTGTCGATTGAATTTGACACAGTTTGATTATGTCGTTGGAAGATCAGGAATGGCAGTGGAGATTATCCATCATTTTGATGATGAGTTGATAAAGTTGAATAAGGAGATTGATGTAGTGATACCTGAGGAAGTGGATGCCGAATTTCCAAAAGCCGCTAAGGAAGAAGTGGTGGAAACGGGTGAAGACGAGACAACTGAGATAAACGAGGAGCCAGTCAGTAAACCCCCTGAGGCTGATTCCATTGCTGGAACAGACACAACGGGGAATGAAAACAACACCGAGATTGATGATGTTGCCGAAGAGTTGGCCCAATTGACAGCAGAGGAAGTGGATAATTTCTTTGTCAGATCATTACTTCAAACCATCAAGTTGGAAACTGTTGAATTGCCAATAAATGCATCAACATTTATGTCGTCATACATATACAAGAACTTGCCCATACTTGATTCATCCTACGCCAACATCAAAAAAACATCATGGAAAAAAACCTCCAAATACCTCAAAGCCATGGCTAAATCATCTTATTTGGAAGTCAAGGGCAAAGATGAAGATCTATCCATCATCAAACTAATGTCACGCACCAACCCCACAATCGAAAACTTTGTTCCTCACAAGATCAACAAAGTGAAGAAACCAACGTCCTCCAATTCAGATGGGGGATCCTCTTCCTCCTCAATGATGAAGATTACCACTTTATACAAACCAACTAGTAAATCACGCATGTTTTTTAATAAACTCGATGCTAGATTTGACCATTTATATACTTTACCCGAGCTACGCACCATGTTCAATGATTACATCAAATTGGCCAATTTGGTCAACCCAACGAATCCGAAACAAATTATTGTTGATGAAATTATTTCCAATCCAACAAACAAACCAAATGGCTCACAAGTTGCTCGTGACCAAATCTTTACCACTTTCTTGACCAATTTCACTCCACATTACTCAATCACATCTCAACAACATAGCCATTTGGGTAAAGGCACACCACCCAAGATTCACATTGTTACTGAAATGAAGATTGGTCGTAAAGTTATAACACGGGTTGGTAATTATGACAAGTTTTTTATCAAACAAGGGGCATTTGCTGAGGAGTTGAGAAAATTGTGTTCGGGATCAACGACTATTGTTGATGATGAACAAGTACAAGTACAAGGACCTCATGGAAATACGATTATTAATTTGTTGAAGGAAAAAGGTGTTCCGTTGGGGTGTATTGAATTTGAGGATAAAGTAAAGAAGAAAAAAAAGAGAAGCTAGTGGGTGATGGTATATTAATTTATACAGTAAAAAATATGTTTTGAAGGTGATGTTTCTGTACTCGCAGTCTTTTCTGACTTTGTCATTAAACGATGTATTATATTACAATAGGCGTGCACTCTTTATGTTGTTCTTCCCGTGATGAAGCTTCATATGAAAAAATGTTGTGATTATCAAGGTATTAGAAGGCCCAAGTGAAGATATTTTTAGTGTTAATTAAGTTTGTCGGTTCTGTTGTAGAGAAAATCGTATATCGATACTTTTGTGACAAAAAAAAAAAAAAGAAAAGTCTCTTGCATCAAGTTTTGTGTAATAATTTACTGCCTTCATTAAGAAACTCAAATTTTTTGGCATTGGATTTCTAAAAAAGCTTATACGCAACCGCAAAAGGTGGTGGATTATAGGGGATAGAGATCATCAACTCTATTGAGATCTATTTATTTCAAAAAACTCAACATTCGCATATACATGTATATACTTTATTCACAGTTGAAAGCAAATGAAAATCCATTAAATTTAGTGCGCAACACGCTATTGTTACGCTAAACGTAAACATCACCACTTACAGAACTGATTTCATTTCAAAAACCCTTTATTCAAAATATCAACAATTTGTAAATCACAACGTTTGATGTAATCATAGTTGTTCAACTTCAGTTGAAAATTGCTTGTGGGTGACTCAGTGGTGGCAGTCGAATAGAAAGATGGATGTGGATGTGGAGGAGCGACGGGAGCTGCTCCTGGTGATTGTTGTTGTTGTTGTTGTTGTTGTTGTTGTTGTTGTTGTGGCAAGGTTGCAAATTGAGGAGCGAGTTGGAAAATGGGTGTTGCGCTATTCGTCGATGCAGTGGTTGTTGGAATTGCATAGTTTGGGTAGTTAGTGTATGGATGCGATGCAGGTCCAGATGCGTGTCCAGATCCATGTGCAGATAGAGTTGTTGTTGTTGGTGCCAGTGGCAGTTGATGACTATAGCTGTTTAGTGCCTCTTGAAGATGGGTATAAGTAGGAACAGTTTGATTTGAAGAGTTGAATTGATTTTGTTGTTGTTGCTGTTGTTGTTCCAGTGACGTTGAGTCATTAATTCCAATTGGTCCAATATTAATGTTATTAGGTGTCGATCTATTCGATCGTTCTACTTCATCATCATTATCTTCTTCTTCTTCTTCTTCTTCCTCTCTCGATGAATAATCAGCATCTTTGAATAACGATGATGGAGTAGCTGGTGTATTTGGTATTGTTGTAGCGGCAGTAGTGGTAGTTGTACTTGGGAACCCACCACGAAGACTCTTTGGTATTGCTTGTAGTGTATGAGTAGGATAGATATCATTAGAGAGTGGCAATTTGTTCAATTTAGGATCATGCGATGGTATACACACAATGTATCCATCTTCATAATCTTCGTGTAGCAACTGTTGTTGTTGTTGTTGTTGTTGTTGTTGTTGTAGCAGTTGTAGTTGTCCTGAATTTGAAATTGAAGCTGATACTGGATATGAGAATGAGTTTGGTGTAATGTTGTCTGAATTTTGCAACAACTTGCGTTTCTTCAACACCCTGTTGACGTCGGCATCACCATCATCATCATCGCTTCCACCACTATTTTCTGGAGCAATACCAGTAGTAGGGGTATTCAACTTCAGCTGGTTGTTATTGTATTTTACCCCACGATTAGGTCTATAGTAAGAAATCAAATGAAATCGTTGACCATCTTTGGTATTCAAACTAAAAGATTGCTTAATCAATCCATTAATTTCTGGCGTCTTTGTACTCTTGTTGATTTCGCGATACTGCAAGAAATTACCAAATATGACTTTTGACGCTGACCATAATTTACCGTCTGTCCACCGTTTCATACCACTCTTGGTTTCATTCCAAATGAATATACTATTAGGTTTGATCAACTTCAGTCGTTCAAATGTGGTTAATCGACGATCTATTGTAGGGAGGATATTGAGCCTGCATGCTTCTACTAGTAACATTGCATCGTATAAAGTGTATACTCTACCGAAATACGTAACTTGGTTGATTGTAGGTGGAAGAATTGTAGCATTGGAGTTTGATGATGTTGTTGGTGGAGGAGGTTGAAATTTAGTAGGTTGTGTCATGGAGGAAGAGATTCAGTAGTGTATGTAATTGGGAATGGTTTAAAGTGTAATAAGGAGGGAGGTTGTTGATATTTAGTAGTAGTGGTGGTGAGTTTTTGATATGTTTATACCAATATGAGTGAAAAATTCCTTTTTTTTATGATGAAGATAATATTATTTATAGGGTGTCTGTGTGGGTGGGTGTGTTAGTGTGTGTGATTTGGGAATCAGTTAATAAGGAAATAGAAACGAAACCTGTTAATGATGGGATGTGGGTAATAACAATAACAATAATAATAATAATGTTAAGTATGAAATGTGTTTATAATATCGAAGTGTTGTTGTTGTTGTTGTTGTCTGTTATTTTGTTGAAGGAAAAAGAAAGTAAAAGGGTTTTATATGAAAACTCATATTGGGAATAATTAAACGCTAACAATTGTCTTATATTATGTTATATTATATTATATTATATTTGGCGTCAACTTTAGTTAAGTTTGAAATAAATTAAAGTTAAAGTATTGTGTAACTTTTCTATATGCTTAAACCCAACAACAACAACCAAAAGAAAAAAAAAAATAAAGAGTAAACAACAATGAAATAATAGCATTAACCCCTATGAGAGCAGGTAGTACAAAAGCATATGTGTATGACTGAAATTTCAAAAAATAGACAAAAAGACAAGAACATAGCAGTAACGTAATTACTGAATTACTGATGAATGATAAGTTTTTGATTATGAAGTTGTTAATAATACAACAGTATAGTAGACAAAGAAAGTGTTGCGTGAACAAACTAAAAGAAAAGACTTCTTTTGACTTAAAATGAGATCGAAATTGTATACATGGACTTTACTAAAATACGAACTTTGATTAGTCAACAATCCTAAACTGAAGCAGGAAAGTGGAGAAGAGCGTAGCAGTAGCAACAGTTGCAGCAGAATCGGTTACACGCCCTCTTTCAACCGGTTTTGATACGTTTCTAATCAGTTACTCTACTATGCCACACTACCTATTTGAAGAAGCCAATTATGTATCCAAGATATAGTTACATACTGAATATATACACGTATATAAAAAGGTAGTGTATATGTGCTCAGAACAAAAATTGCCTAATTTAAAGCACTTTCTTTTTTTTTTTTTGGTTCTTCTTCTGTTGCAATTTCTTTTTCTCTTTCACTTACTTCTGAAAAGTCGTGTACAATTGTCGTAAGATTATTTGTGTCTGTTTTGATTTATATTGAGAAGAAGAACAAGGAGTCATAGATAGATCAATTTCCTTCCCCCCTCCCTTGTTGCTCATCACGTTGTAACCACAGACAATCTCTTTTGAAACATCTAATGGTGAGGAAGAACCTTTTAGCATTGCCTTTCCTGCCCACATACTTTTCACTTCAATTTTAAAAGGGGGGGTATTTCAGTATTAGTTATGTGTTCATTCTCTATTTCTAGTTTTGTGTCTATTGCTATAAGAGGACTCTTTTGTTTGCACCTCTGTTCTCCATTTTTTTACTCTCACCACTAAAAACCACTCTTTCTTAATAAATGATGACCGGTAGTTATCTTTTCTATTCATTTCTATTTGATTACTAGTGTTTGGAATCACACTCAATATACACTACGGAGTTAAACGACTTCTTCTTCTTCTTCTTCTTCTTTGTGACAAATTAGACAGCAAAAAAAAAAAAAAAAAAAAAAAAAAAGACAATAAAACCTTGTTGCATAAACACACAGATGTTCTTTTAATATTAGATGAGCTAGCAAAATGATCTAAGTCCAGGTGTCTAGGATAACAACCGAAACTAACTATCAAGCCCTTCTCATATGAGTTTTCTACATTCAAATTCTCATCTTTCTAATACTCTTCTTGCCTCATTTTTTTCTGTTTTTGATTCTTTCTTTTCAGTTTTTGTAACTCAAAAGAATGAAAAATAGCTAGACATTTTTAAATAAGCATAAGTCATGGTATGGTTGCTATACATTCACATGCCTTCATCCTTACACTCAGTCGACCACCTTCCAATCTTGTCTTAGCAACCTTCATCCCTTTTGGAAAGTGGAAATAGCTTCTTCAGTTGCCTAACACAATTACACATCATTTAACGAAACAAATAATACAATTCTAGAAGGAGAAAAGACGTGTGTTGCACAATTTAAAGTTTTGTTACGAAGATACACAAAAAGGAAGGCTTTTCATGGTAGTGTCGAGTTGGCAAAAATTGTTCAAACCTCTGCCAACTATGTATACAAATGCGATTCAGAAACATAAAAGAAAAAGGTCATTTGATGGGCGCTCTCTCCTTCAGTAGTAACTTGAGATCAGCGATTCCTCTATTGAAGTTTCAGTTAAAAGGAGACTAATTAAGAAGTGCTCCTAAATCTCGCAATCGCTGATAAACAGTTTCAGTTCCCTCCCTCTCTGAGAATTATCTTGTGGCCCCCAATTACAGAAAACTTGCCTGTAGATCTAGCCAGCTGCAAGTCACCGAAAACTTCGTCGTTAGGCTCACCTTCAAACTATTGCTTTTCGAGATGATAGTCATCATCATCATCAAATCCGAATTGAATTTCGTAAGATTAGAAACTATTCTATGATTTTGATACCAAAAAATAAAATATCCACATCAGTCAATATCCAACGAAAGAGATCTGAATTGAGGCTATGAAGTAGACTAGCTCTTACGAACCATCACTATCAAGGTATCGTAATCATAAACATCTCTATTCGACAACGGTTTAATGTTTGTCAAAGATTTGAGTAGCATTCTTACGTAAGTACACATCACTCCAGCTGCAAAATTCACCCAGAGGAGGTTACTGCAACAGTGAGTTCAAGCGTAACCTCTCCACTCCGTCTCAATGGCGTTTCTTATTTCACAAACAAGCTCGTGTTTGGCATCCGTTGTGGTTGTCAGATATAGAGCACGACACAACAATAATTGTTGCGACACGACAAACAATTTAAATTCACAACTGAAACTTTGACAACAGAATCTTTTCGTCAACACCAGACACACACTTAGTGATAACGCACGTAATAGACTATTTATGCAGGGCACACCCTATGGCATCTACTATAAACCAACTCATCTAGATCTCATGACTTTATTCTAGTGTGTGGTGTATCACAATCTTTCTTGCACTCACACACCCCTGACGCGATCTTAAAAAAAAAAAAAAAAAAACCAGTCAATTTTTTCTTTGTTCTTCTTACACGAAAGCAGATCAAAAAAGAACAAAACACCTCACCACCAAAACAAAACTTCAACTTTGATTAATTTTTTTTTTACAACCAACATTCCCACATAGATCTCTTACCACCAAACTATGAACTACTCCATAGACAACAACGTATCCTCATCAGCATTGAGAAAGAGGAAGATCCTCAAAAAATCAATCAACTTTTCCATTATGATTGTTGGTGAGAGTGGCTTAGGTAGATCAACATTGATAAACACATTATGTGGTGGTAACTCAATTGTCCCTACATCATCCACGATAAATGAAGACCCATATACCAAAAAATTGACTTTGAGGCATGAAAATGTCGAATTAGAAGACAATGATGGCCACAAGATTAGTCTTAATATTATTGATACCCCCAATTTTGCCAATCAAATCAATTGCGGTGAAGATTTTCGCGTCATTGTTGATTTTATCCGTCACCAATTTGATGAAGTATTATTGGAGGAATCGAGAGTTAAACGTAATCCAAGGTTCAAAGATGGAAGAATTCATATATTGATTTATCTTGTTAACCCCACTGGCCATGGATTATCGGAAATTGATGTTAAATTTTTGAAACATGTCAACAACTTGGTTAACATAATACCAGTTATTGCTAAAGCTGATTCTTTAACTAGAGAGGAATTACAATTGAACAAGAGGTTGATTTTGGAGGATTTAAACAATTATGACATCAATTATTATCGATTCAATGAATATGAATATGAAAAGGATTATATTGATGATGAAATTATTGAGTATAACAAATATTTGAATTCATTGTTACCATTTGCCATTATTGGAGCTAATGAGTACAAAAGAAATTTGAATTTTTCAAATCCCAAAACTGGAGAACCCAATCAGGGCGGTGAAGACGAAGATGACGATTCCGAAGAGATTATAAAATTGCGCGTTTTGCACAAGGACTTGAAACCTATAAATGTTGACAACCCCGACACCAATGATTTCACAATTTTGAAAAATGTCTTGTTGATCACCCATTTGAATGAGTTTAAAGACATCACTCATGATCAAATTTACGAAAATTATAGAACTGAAGCATTATCAGGTAAACAATTCCATTACATGAATAACAACAACTCTGAGGATGGAAGTTACAACACATACAATAGCAGTAGCCACAATTTAGCTGATAGTCAATATGGTAATGGAAGCAATGGTCATGGAACAAATGGAAGTGGAATACACAATCATAATCATAATACTTCTCATGGATCGCATTATGACAAATCATTTAATGGTAATGGTAATGGCAATGGTAATGGCAATGGCACCGATGTGGGTGCCTCTACTGGTAATGGAGGTGGATCTGATTACTTGTTGAAAGAAGAACAGATTAAATTGGAGGAAGAACGATTGAAAAAATTTGAAGAACGTGTTCATCAGGATTTAATTACAAAGAGACAAGAATTATTGGATCGAGAAAATGAGTTGAAGGAAATTGAGAAAAGATTACTTGCCGAAGGATTGAAGTTGAATGAACATGGAGAAGTTGTTAAAGTAGAGGATTAGGAAGGGAAAAAAGAGCTAGGAGTTGTGATTAAATAGTACCATGTATTGTTATCCAAATGGGTTTTGGTTTTCACTTTTTACCGTCTCATACAATCGCGTAAAGTTGTCGTTTGATCGATGAAAAGAGTGTAGTGTGATCCACAAAACATGGCATTTGGGCCTTTTTTTTTTTTTTTTTTTTTATTTTTTTTCACTTTAATTATCACATCTTTAATAAGCAAATTCAACCACAATCAGATAATCGTTACAAAGTCGTCCATGAACTAAGTTGCGTGCATCCTTCGCAATAAAACCCAAGATCTCTTGATTTAACAAAGAACAGTTCATAGTTAGATCCCCACTACTTTGAGTTTTGGTGCTCATGCTCAAAGGTTTGGAGGTTCGTTTTTATAAAGCAGCAATCAATACACAATGTAACCTACGCAGATATTAATTGTGCAATCGTTCAGTCTAGTCAAAGCCCTCTTCAATTGTTCGGCTCACCAAGACTCACAATACACACACAAAAAACATGATACTCTCTCAAACATGGTGATTTGCCCCACCAAATCATCCGACTTCACCGCAACACCGCCGAGTATTCAGCTTCACCATCCCGAGTAGTCTTAAAAAAACATCTCGGACTTGTAGCAAACGCCGATCCTTAGAAACCACATAACCGACCCACCCCCACAAATCAGTCCCCCCCCCCGGAGTTTGCGAGTTTGCGAGGTTGCGAGAGTTTTCTTTGTAAATTTGTTTTTTTTTTTTGATTGGCAACCCCACATAAACGTTTGGTGATATATTCAGCTTCAGCTCATTGGATGACTTTGGTGTTACACATCATTCGGTTTTGTTTGTAAAGTTTTACCCTTGGTGCATAAATGCCTTCCCCAATTGCCGTTTTTGGTAGGGTAAGAACAATAAGAACAACCCAAAACCTGAGAAACAAGAAAAAGACAAACAGAAAAAAAAAGAAAAAAAGTCCTCCAATTTTATTCACAAACACAAACAGAAGAACCTCCCATATAAAAACAAGGCAAAAATTTTGTTGAATCTCTAGAAATTGTGTATGTTGGTTGGGTTAAAGCTAAAAGGTTACACAATGGGAAAACACTGGAAAGTGGATGAAACTCCGAAGGGAGTAATGTAACAAACCGACAAAGAAATTTTCTGCTCTGATGCTATATAAAAGGGAAAGCTGTTTACCCCAGACTTTGTTTTCAGTTTAGTTGATCATACACAACTATACCTACAAACATGTCATCAACCTCATCACAACATTCAGGAAAAGTAGGTGTTGCTTCCAAAGACAGCGACCAACACCACCACGACCACGACAAAGTTTCAAGAGTTCATATTCATGGCAATGGAGGCGAATTTGTCACCATCAATGGACACAAATATTACCGTCATGAGTTGATGTCAGCATTCGGTGGTACTTTAAACCCAGGTGTGAGCCCAAATCCCACAATCAATATGAATCCTGCTCCTGTTGGATTGTGTGGTTTCGCTTTGACGACGTTTGTTTTGAGTTTGTACAATGCGCAAGCCATGGGTATCATGCTTCCAAATGTCGTTGTGTCATTGGCTTGCATGTACGGAGGAACGGTTCAATTCTTGGCTGGTCTTTTGGAGTTTGCCACTGGTAACACTTTTGGTTTCACTGCTTTGACTTCATATGGTGCCTTTTGGATAAGTTATGCCGCTATATTTATTGAAGCTTTTGGAATCGAAGAAGCTTATGCCAACACTGATCAAATGGAAAATGCCGTGGGTTTTTTTTTAATTGGATGGGCGATTTTTACATTGATTTTGGTGTTGAATACAGTCAAGTCAACAGTTGCATTTTTCCTTTTGTTTTTCTTTTTATTCGTTACGTATTTATTATTAGCAGGTGGTGCATTTTCCGGCCGTGTTGGAGTGACTCGTGCTGGAGGTGTCTTTGGAGTGATTACTGCTATTATCGCTTGGTATAATGCTTTCGCTGGTACTGCCAATAAGACAAACTCATATATTGTTGCTCATCCTATTCAATTACCAGTGTTCAAGAGAGATTAATTGGGAAAAGTGAGTACGCTCTTTGCTTTGTGGGATAGTGGATGGAAATCACAGTTGACAGTATTTAATTAATTGTAATTAATTTTCAGAACAGTTGTAGATACATCCACGTCTCTTTTGGGTTCGGCGCACTGGATGCAACTGCGGTAAGTATAACTCAATCTCTGGCGCAATTGGCGTAGAAAAACCCAATCACGCATTGAATTGATTGAGTTAGAGTTGGCAAAAGTCTATATTGCAACACAGTCATATGAAATACAATACAATTAAACAAAGAACCACATAATAAGATGCTACGAGTGACTCGCCTCAACTACAAGTTCCCCGCTAACCCAGATTCACAAAATTAGAAAAACTCAACCTCAAAAAAACACATTAGAACAATTCATCACATCGTTACCCAATTACTTTGACACGGAACGAATACAGACAAGCTCAGACTTCCATCAAACATTTGTTACCAAAAATCGGAAGCACCCTACTCTCCTTTTAAAGCGAAGCATGCTTTTGAAGCTCGGACTTGTGGCCGTTCTTAATCTATAACCATTGATGTAAATGGGAATGGAGTTGAGAGCAGTATTTCAAACTCTGCTTCCACATTAACTTCAAAGTGCCAGATAGTAATTGATGTAACTCTTTGTATTTTAGATGATTTTGAGCAATCATCCAACACACAAATGGTGATTAAAAAAACCAAACGACTTGAAACAGATCAAAACTTTGGATATTCGATTGTTTCCCGTGATGAGGTTTCGCATCAATTTACCCTACGCAGTGAAACAACAAATTCAACCAGCACATCCAAGGAACCGAAAATATCATCGCAGACATTCTTTCACGATTCATGGATGATGTGTTTTCAAAATTTGACGACATGATTTTTCGTTAAGAAATTTTAGTTTCCAATAAAGGAGAAAGAAAAAAAGACGTATACTTTGCCTCACTGTAACTGTATACTTCCTCTATACAGTTTGGTACTTTGCAACAATGGCATCAAATACTTCATTCTTTGACTCTTCGTCCTTGATTAACTCATGCTCGGCATTCACTCTCTTCAACTCTACCAACAACTCATTGGTTCCTTGTCCGTAATTAACCAATCTATCCAATGTAATTTGATTAGCAATCAAATCAGCACTCTTTTCGTTAGTCAATGTTGATATTTGATCCAAAATTTCTTGTGCTTCAGGGTAATGTTTCAACTGTAAAGTCAATACCAATAACACTGTCAAATTGTGGACTTTACCCTTGACGTCTTCATCACTATAACTATTACTTAAAACTTCATCGTAAAGTGAATAACTATTATTGACGTTATCGGTTCCATTTTGAATACTAATGTACCAGCTCTCGATGATTTGATAGATGATATTGTCACGAGAGAAATCAGGAAACAGATTCAATACTTTAAAAATAGCAGTAGCTTGTTTAAAGTTACCTTTGATAAAGTACAACTGAATCAAGGTTAAAAACACTTCAATTTCGTTGTATTTTTGCAAATTGTTCAACTTGTCAATGTAATCAGTAAGAAACTTGATACTTTGATCAATATCTTTGGCAAATTTGACCAAGTAAAGTGATGTCAATATAGCTTGCAATTCAAATTTAGCTTGTTTTAAATCCTCAAAATAAGTTGAATCGTCAGTTCCAAAATCATGCAAATCGTTCCATGCTTGTAGCAATTGGAAAAACCCTTCATTATCAGGAAACCTAGTTTTACCTTGTTCTATCAATTGCGACGCATCTTGGTCCAAAGCTACTGTTGATCTAATCTGAAATTCCAATACCTTTAATTGATTCTCTTCGGAAAATTCCTCAAGCGAATAAGATTTAACTTTGTGGTATTGGTTGGTGTAAAATTGATACCTAATGGTATATAGTTCACCAGAGTCGGAAAAGGCGTCCATTGTAGATTACGTAGTGATGTTGGTATTCGACTGGAGTTGTCGCTTTGTTGTCAAGTATTGGAATTTTGAGAGTTCTTTTTTTTTTTTTCCAACAATGCGCTACCGCCCAATATTCTCATTTACTCAACGCGTGAACTTGTATAAAACCAGTCTAGAAAGCTACGTGTCTTCAAGAGGCACTTGAAGGGATATGCCTTTGGCTATAAACAGATTATTTTTTACTTTAGATATTCTACTTACCACCTCTGATTCTGTCCCATGCTGATATTTGTGTAGACGATTCTTGTGGGTCATGCACTGAAACGTCTCCATTATAACTACCACCAAAAGGCTGCGCTTGTGGCAGTTTCGGTTCTTCGTCTTCAGTCACGTCAAACCCATTGGCCAATCTAATCTTGTCCCAATGGGACAAATTGTGATGGTCATTAAGACCAACACTATTGACAAAATTTGCACCACCATCTCTCTGATGATATTCCTTCTCTTTGTAAACTTGTGGATCAAAGCTCACCTTATCTGGACTTGGTTCAATTATTCTTCTTGCTTTGGGGTCAACCGTCACTGTTCTTGGATCTTGTAATTTGTATTTCGGATCCTTTGATGATTTCAAGTAGTAATAATAAAAAGCGCCAACGTTGTGCCATTCCATGTGTTTCCAAGCATCCAACTGCGGCCCATTAAGCTCACCACTAGTGATTTTGTCATTGAAACTTTTCCGCTGTACAATTGTACTAACAACCATCATGTTGGCAAGACCAAGGAAAAATGACAAGAACGGTTTCTGGATAAATGAAAGTTTCGAAGGCGTTTGTTTCTTGATTAATTTGTAGTATATAGTAGGCGTGATAAGTCCAATCATACCAGCTGAGTAGCCAATAAGATTGTTGGATACAAGAACCGATTGTAATTCTTGCTTTAGCTTCAACCTGTCTTCTGGGGTCAACTTGCTATCGGCTTCATAAAAGTCAATGCTCGCCTGAAATTGCTCTGGAGATAGCCGCGACTTCAAGTAGTTGTATTCCGTAGGATTGGCATCTGTGTTGCGGTCAGTCATGGTGTTTGGTTGTGCACTATTGCTTGTGGAGTTGGGTGGAGTCGGGTGAAGTCGGCTTTTTTTTTTCTCTTCTGAAAAGCAGAATCGATTAGTATAGAACATTTAAGCAAAACATCTTTTAATTACAATCTATATCATCAACTACACATCACTTGCTGATATCCAAACCATGGTGCATCTTTAACTTATCCCAGGTACTCAAGGGGTACTTGTGGACTTGAGAATCAGTGTGACCCAATCCAATGGTATCAGTAAAGTGACCCGTTTGTTTAGCATCAATCAATGCTTCATCAGAACAAGTTCTTGGGTCTCTAATGATAAACATTGGATTGAAGGTTGTTCTGAGGTAATACAATGTGTATGCACCAGCATTTTGGTAGCTCATGTTCTTCCAAACATTGGCGACATTAGTGTTTGGGAAATTTGCTGGGTTCTTTTTAGTTTTGTTGAAAAAGTACTTTCCTGAATAATAGTTACCAGCAATCAATGTACCAAATCCAAAACATAAAGACAAGAATGGATATTGAATCAAAAAGAATGGGGTCGGGGTGATGAGTGGCTTTTTAATGAGTCTAATGTAAACAGTTGGACTAAAGAACCCCAACATACCAGTGGTATAACCAACAAGGTTCGATTTGATTGAGATTTTTTGCAATTGAACAGCAATTGTTTCTCTATCCTTATGATCTAATCTCTGATCAGCTTCATAAAAGTTGATACATTTTTGAAATTGTTCTGGAGTGGGAATGTTTTGCAAAGGGTTCGAAGTTGACATTTTGAGGCTAATTGATGACAGGTTTGAAAAAGAAGAATTTAGGCGAATGATTAATTGGGTTATTCAATTGATGCACAGATGAAGCAAAACGAGTCTATATATGTAGTCTATTTTTTATAATAAATCTTTGCATTACACTCAGCGCAAACTGAAATGACCCTTTTCGAATCTTCTAAGAAGGAATTGCCAAAACTGCACGATTACGTAAGGTACGCAAAAAAATTGAATTGCTAAAATTATGCACCAACACTTAAATAAAAATGACAAAGAGAATTGATTATTCCAGTCCTTTCCCATAAAGTTCAATCTTTTACAAAATCTCTTCATCACTCACTAATATCCCATTCACTTCTATCTACCTATAATTTGTTGTCTGATCTTTTTTCTTCTCTAAGCTTAACCAACAGTTGAATAACAGAATCAACAGAAACCATTGGATTCTTACCTTGCTCTTCAGTGATATCTCTGTTTCTAATGTTTACGCTGTAGTTCTCCTCTTCTTCGGCACCAACAATGAAGATGAAATTGTATTGCATCAATTGTCCAGATCTAACCTTCTTTGGTAATGTGTTACCACTAACGTCAACATCACAGTAGAAAAAGTATTCATCGTTAAACAACTTCTTTAATTTTTCAGCGTAATCATAGTATTTTGGACTGACTGGAACAATAAGAATTTGTCTTGGTGACAACCAGAATGGCCATTTACCTTTGTAATGCTCGGTCAAAATAGCAGTCATTCTTTCGACTGAGCCCAAAATGGCTCTATGAATCATGACTGGACGTTCAGTAGCACTATTGCTTTCAGATCTGTACTCCAACTCAAATCTGGAAGGCAATTGGAAATCAAGTTGAATTGTTGCACATTGAAACCATCTCTTCAAGGCATCACTTATCATAATATCGATCTTTGGACCATAAAAAGCACCATCACCAGGATTCAACTCCCATTTACCTTCACCCAAAAAGTCATTCAAAGCACCTTCCAACTTCTTCTCAGCAGAATTCCAAGTTTCAATATCACCAACAAACTTTTCAGGCCTGGTTGACAATTCCATCTTGAATTCGAAACCGAAAATACCATACATCTTTTTCAACAAGTCAAAAACTCCTGCAATTTCGGTACCAATTTGATCAGGTGTGCAGAAAATATGAGCGTCATCTTGTTGGAAACGACGAACTCTTGTTAATCCAGATAACGCACCGGAAAATTCATTTCTGTGGAGAACACCAAAATCAGCAACACGCCATGGCAATTCACGGTATGAACGTTCTCTTGATTTGAAAAGTATACAATGGCCGGGACAGTTTCCAATAACAACTGGTTTTGATGCACAAACAACGTTCCCACTAGTATCACGGTGTACTCTATGGGCGACAATCAATCCAGTTGGAACAGTGACACACCAAACTCTTCCCTGGTAGTCGCCAACAGCTCTAATTTCGGTGGTTGAGTTCAAGGTAGTATTGACAAAGGCATGCGCTGAAGAAGCAGATTCTTCAGCAGCAACAAGAAATCCATATTTTGAATCTTTTTGCAACAATTCACGAGCTGGAACCTTCTTGAATGGGGCTTCACGAGATTCTGCATTTTGTTGAACATACATGTCGTGGTCTTCAGTAACTAACAAGGATACTCCACTCTTGTCTCCACTTGAAGCAATATCGTAGTTTGCAAATTCCACCATCTTGTGGTTGGCTGAATCTTTGACAATAAAATTTGAGGCTTTGGAGTATTGGATTTGTTTAGATTCTGGGTCATATGTTGCAAAATTTACATCCTTCCAATTGGATTCAATTTCATTGAGAAACAAGAAACCCTTGTCAGTTTGGATTCTCATATCTTCACTCAAACAGTTCATTGGTTTCAACCCAAAAGTTTCTTTCTCAACTTCAAATGAAAACATATTTTCTTTATAGTTTTGCCAATGACCAGACGTTTCCCATAATTTGGTAGCATACATGTTTGGAGTGATAACTTCTTCATATCCTCTCTTTCTGTATTCAATTCTTAATGTGTCCACCAAGGTGTTGTAAATTCTGGTACCATGAGGTAACCACATTGCCGAACCTGGCGATACATCATTAAAAAAAAACAACTCTTGGTCACGACCAATCTTTCTATGGTCTCTTTCAGCAGCCTCTTTCAAAAATTGTAAATGTTCAGTCATCAACTTCTTGTCAGGGAATGAAATACCATAGACTCTTTGCAATGAGTCATTCTTAGCATCACCGAGGAAATATGAACTGGAATTCTTCAACACCTTCATTGCCTTAATTCTTCCTGAATGGGGGATATGAGGACCAACACATAAATCAATCAATGGGCCGCATCTGTATACAGTTGTTGATGTGCCATCTGGAATCTTGTCCTTGATAAATTGAACTTTATACTTGTTGTAATGAAACATTTTCAACAAATCCTCCTTGGTCATTTCCAATCTGTCAAATTTTTGCTTCTCTTTAATAGCTTTGGTGGCAATTGTTTCCAAACTACCGAAATCAGCCTGGTTAACGAATGTGGTTCCATCATTGATTGACATGTCGTAAAAGAACCCATCATCAGTTGGGGGACCATGAGACAAGTGACATCCATAATGACACTCACAGGCTTCACCCAAAATGTGTGCCGACGAGTGCCAGAAAACTGCTTTACCTTCAGGATGCTCAAAATCTAAAAATTCCAAAGTGGCATCACCTTCTAAAGGACGTGGCATATCCCAAAGTTTCCCATTGACTTTTGAAATGACTTGTCTTTCGGCAAAAGATTTACCAATAGAGTTGGCAATATCCATTGGTGAAGTCTCATAGGAAGTTCCTTCCTTGACGCTTCCATCCTTCAAAGTAATCTGGATAGGCTTCTTTTCCTTGGCTGCAATTTCTGCATCGTATTTAGCCTTTAATTCGTCAAACAATTTAATTCTCTCTTCGAGAAATGCTGGTTGGGGCTCCAAGTACAATGGTGAGCTCGATTGTTGAGATCGCTTTTTGTCCTTCTTATTGTTTTGTCCTTTGTTATCCTTAACAGATAACTTTTCGACTTTATCAGCTACTTCAGACATCTTCGTCGTGGGTGTGGATAGTTTGATTGAGTCAACCCTGAAAATTGCAAGATTTTTTTTTTTTTTTTTCGTTTCCACGTCTGAAAATTTTGAAATGGACTTACGTAAGCACAGAATACAAAGTGAATGTCTAATGAGCGAACTGAATGATACAAAGAAATACATAATACAAACGTATGAACTGACTATTTGAAGCAACAAAGCCTTTAAACAACGTGTTTTGTCCACGTCAACTATAGGGCTCTTTAATCTTGCTCTGTTGCCTTTTTCATTCTGGCAATCTTCACCAACGGACTCAAACTTTCCACGTCATCACTCTCCAATATAAATTTGTCATGCAATAAATCGTCCGCAGTAGCACGCTTATTGAAATCAACTTGCAAACACCACGACAAAAATCTACGAATATCGTAACTCAATGCCTCTGGTTCCTTCAATGATGGGGTTCCATTCGTTGCAATGAGGTACAATGCACGAAGTGGAGTTTCATTCAAATATGGTGGCTCTCCTTCAATCATTTCAATCACCATTATACCTAATGACCATATATCCACTTTTGGTCCATACTCCTTTCTCGAAACCACTTCAGGCGCCATCCAGTATGGAGTTCCCACCATTGTTGTCCTTTTCAAGTTGAGTTCATTTATTTGCGCACAAAAGCCAAAATCAGTCATTTTGATGTTACCATTGATGTCAAGCAATATGTTATCCGATTTAATATCACGGTGAATGACACCCTTTGAATGTAAAAACTTTAAACCTTTCAATGTTTCACGACATACTGCACCAATTTGGCCCTCCGTCATGACACTGTGGGTAACAATTTCAGTCAATGAACCACCCTCCATATATTCCATAATGACCCATAAATCTCCCTTGACTAGGTATGAATCAATATAGTTGACAATGTTTGGATGTTTGCTACCTTTCATAACCAAGATCTCATTGATAATCAACTCCTTCTTTGGTTGTTGCTCGAGGTTCATTTGTTTAATTGCGACTGTTTGGTTCCCCTTGGCTACATCGTGGGCAATGTAAACACCGCCAGAGGCACCTTGTCCAATCTTGATCAAGTCAACATACAACTCCTTTGGGTCACCTTGAGTACATATGCTTTGAAGCTTGGTAATAATTTGTAGGTTTTTACGCTTCTTTTCTTCACGCTTCTTCTGTGCTATAAGAGCAGCTTGTTTGGCATCACGCACAGTTCCTCCAGACGACTTTTTCAATGCTGGAGCAGCACTATTAGGATCAATGTTCAGTTGTGAAGTGGACTTATCCAACTGCTCCTGGTTTTGTTGCTCCAACTTTTTAGCTTGTTGTCTTTTTTGAATCTCTTCAATTTCCCTTGCCTTTTGCTCTCTCAACCTTTTTTGTGCCTCTTGAAATTTGCTTTGTTGTCCCTCCTTCTGTGATGATGACGTTGTTGGTGCTGTTGCATTGGCAAGTGCCTGTTGTGGGTCACTACGAGGAGGGATCGATTGATGCACAGGTACAGGCGGTGGGGGTGGAGCTCGATGAGAAGTAAACTCATTCTTTCGTTGCTTTGGCACATTCAAATCATCAAACTGTGGTGTGGGCGCAATTGGTGCCGTAGTAGAACCAGTAGTTGCAGGCTTGATTCGATTGGACAAAGAAGCAGAATGCGATTTTGACTTGGGAATGTTTGATGGTGGTGGAGGTGGGGCAGGTATATTGCTGAATTTGTCAATGCCACCATTAGTTTGAGCTCTTAATGACTTGACAGATTTTTGTGATAGCGTCTTTTTTTCCAAATAACCCGGTGAATTTGTTTGATTCGGTGGTGATGTACGTGGCTGTCTTGGAGTATGGTCCAATCCTTGTTTCTGCGAAGTGGGTGTTCTGTTCACATTCTGCGCTGATCCAGGAGTTGACGGTGGCTTTGGAGCAGGTCTGCTAGGAATAAATTGCGTCTCTTGATGAATGTTTGGTGTGGCTTGTTGCAGTGTTTGCGATTGAGCTTTGTTTGGAGAAACCCGTCCTTGCTTTGGGGTATCCAGATAATTCTCTTTATCTAGTGACGTCGTGGACACCCTTTGTGGACTCCTGGACTCAGTACTAGGGGTTGCCGGTGGTGTGTTTTCAAAGTTTTCAGATCCGCTGGAATCACTTTTGTTTTTATTGACTCCAAACTTTTGAAAAGCGTGATCATCCGGGTTCTCATTTGAGTCTTGATAAAATGCCACTATATCCATCATAGCTTGAGGGTGTTGTTCTTGCTCCTTCTTGGTGATACCACTAGCAGCAAGTAACCTTTCCCATTCAACTGGTAAACCAGTGTATGATCCATCATCATCAACACCGACGTGGGCTACATGTTTTGCATTGAAGGGAGTACTTATCTTCATATTGAGTTCTGGCGAAGGAGGCGCAGGTGCAACCGACGTTTTGCTCTTGCCAAACATTGATGAAAACACTTCCCTCATTTTATTCTTTTTCTTTTCAGTCTTTGGGGATTGCTTGTTGAGGCCCATTGATAGATTGGTTGTTGGGAAAGTACCATTTGAAGAATTTACCAAAGTTGATGTAGTTGATGCATTCAGATACGAAGGGAACTTTGTTGCGCTTGGCGGCACTGGTGTGATTGCAGCAGTTTGATTGTGCACTGTGGACTGATTACCCCTGGCAGCTTTGACGCCTGTATCCTCTTTTGGTGTTCTTACAACAGTTGATGTGGATGACACATTCCTACTTTGATCTGCCGGTTTCTCTGGTTCCATAGAAGACACATTCCTATTTTGATCTACTGGTTTCTCTGGTTCCATGGATGGGGTTTGATTGAACTGGTGCTGGTAACGTAGTGGGTTCATTGGGGGGATATCGTCGATGTTTTCGTTTTCAATCGTGGGTATTCTATCTAGCTCATTCTTTAAATTTGGCGAGTACACTAGATTACTTGACGAGTCATCTTCATCGCTTTGGTTCAAATACTGGTTAATATCGATCGATGGCGGTTGTGCAAAACGTGTGGGTTTGCCTGGGTCCAAGGTTGGTTTATAAGTTTGCAGTTGTGTGTCCACTTCAGGAGTGCTTGTTTCAGTTTGCTGTGCATTGTCACTATGTAATGGATCCTCTTCTCTTTGCAACTTGTAATAAGAAGCGGTCAGAAAAGCAGAATCATCGGGTGAGATCTCTTTCTCGTCTTCAACTTGTTCTGTCGTAACGTCACCTATTTGCACCGCATTGTTATGCTCACTCTCACCTTCCTCTGTTATTGCATCTGCAGATTCGTTCAAGGCAAGATTGGAATTTGTGTCTCTTTGGCTAATACCTTCAAATATTCCCTGTCCGATTGAGTCTTTGCTTTCACTTTTATTTATTGTTTCGCGTAATTGTTTATACTCTTCTTCCTTGTCATTTTCCCCTTTTAATCCGCTAACATCAAACGTACCGGGCACTCGAAGAGGCATACCTTGCATTTGACTCACACCGGTACTGTCGTACTCGTGTTCTTCCTCCGTCAGTTGATGTCCCTCGTGTACTGAGCTTCTCAATTCAGATTCATCAGCAATTCCGTTTTCGTTATGTAATGGTTCTTGTGATGGACCATTCTCACTTGATATTTCGTCAGTTTCAAATTGGGCCATTCGATCCTGCATGGGCGAGCCCAAACTCAACTGAGACCCATTATTAGATGACTGCAAGACATGTCTTGGTTGTTGTAAGATTGTTTCCTCCTCTGAAGGAGAATATTGAATATCATGTGACAGGTCATTCTTTGTGACGTTTGCATGGTGTTCACCGGTGTGGGCGCTTTCGGCACCCTGTGTCTCATTTGAATCAGATAGCAGTTGATGGTTAGAGCTCATTCTCGTACACTGCTTATAAACGGTGGGTGATGGTTGATACTTTTAATTGTCTTTAATTTGGTAACGAACGTTGTGTGTTTATTTTTTGTTTTATCTATGTGGCGTGTAGATTGGTAATAATTCTTGCTTCTTGAAATTGCGCTGTTACAGTATACTCCGATAGTAGACGTGTCTGTAGTTCCTTCTTCTTTCAATGATCGACAGTAATTGTGCAATAAAATGTATATGGTATCAGTTGTTTTGAGTATACTATCTTTTCACTGTTGGTCTCTCTCTCTCTCTCTCTTTGAATTTTTTGATTATTATTTTTTTTTTTTTATTTAATTCTTATTTAAGTTCAAACATTCTATTTTACTAATTACTAATTTCTACAAAACTCCACCCCGGAACAATATTACGACGATCATTGCTAAAGAATGTAGCCCTTGGAACGTAAATATGCACATCTCAGACAACATATCGCGTGTGTTTTCCCCCTCCTAATTACAATACATTTCCAACAGTCGTACTGTATTTTCACCAAAAAGGGTTTTCAAATCGTGCCACACCCACACACCAATACAATACAAACGATACATAATAAATGTGTTTTTTGTGTAAATGCACGACCAAATGCAATAGTTGCACAAAAGGATCTAAATTGTAAAACAATAGCAAAACAAGCATAGAGGCCGTATATAGCACACACACACACACACACACAGTACATTTGTGTATGGTGGTGAGCTTGTATGCATCAAGCTTTGTGCAACATCAATAGATGAGAAAACATACCTTGATGAGTGAGTTACAAATACTTTTTCATTGTTCCATGTCTGAATTTAAGCATTTAGAGGGCCGTGAAAAACAATCGAGGCTTTCTCCTTTTTTTTTTAAACTTTTGGTAACTTTAGATTTAACTGTTGATTCTAGACACAATCTGTATGGTTTGTATACCATTTTGTTTTTAGGTTAGAGAGCAACCAATGTGCTACTTCTCTACCCCCGCTGTGTTCCATGTGAACATAGTTTGAGGCGTTCGGCCTTGCTTGTACTACCCCAATTCCTCACTCTCACAAGTAGACGAGAAGATTACAATCTTTTTAGTCGCTTGGCATATTTTCGCACGTTTTGTCGCGACACGTCTCTTCTAGATTCTTTGTCACATTCCACAACGCCCTTTTTTTGCACACAAGTTGCTGTGACCCATGTATCAATAACAATCGTCAAACACCAATTCTATATAGATAAACCTGTCCACAATTGGACTAGCTGAGCCTCCTCACTATTTTTTCCGCAAACCTTGGACCTCGAAATTACCAATCCCTTCTTCAAAAATATAGCCATTACGAACTAAATGATCCTTGACGTATCGCCTGATTATGCTTACTCCATTCGCCGAGTGTATTCCGCGACCAGTTACGATTAGCAAGTTATTAACAAATACCCCTGAGGAACCATACAGGTTAAGCTTGCCATGTTCAATACGTTGTTCTATTTCCTCTTGCCACCATGCATCAAGAACCCTTTTCGTTAGTGCAAGAGCCTCCAACGCAGTTTTTCCATGTAAATCTAGCTTGGAGTCCGAAACAAACTTGCTAATGTCTTTTGTCGAAGTTGGTGTTGGGGTTTGCAGTGACAGTGGCCCCCTTTTCGCAGAGTAACCTTTGAAAGTTTCCGCAAGACCTGAGTAGATGGGGATCGAATTGGTGGTGTAAGAATTTTTTTTGGCCGAATTGTTTATCGGGGCTACGTTTATAGCGTATTCTATCGTCGGTAACTTATCAATCGATCTATGCGATAACACCTCAATTGCGAATTGCAACACTTTATCACAATCACCTTCGTAAAACTCAAGTGCATTGATGAGAACAGATTTATCCAACATTTGAAGCTGCTTATTAACAATGTAAATGTGTTGAAGCTCCAAACTTTCTGCTCCATGTGGATTATATTTGTATGTGGAGGATGCTAAACGGTATTCTGTGTTTGTTCTTGAAACTTTCTTGGGCCCACCCCTTTGCACACGGCCACCGACATTTCTGATTGTCACTTGTTGTCGTACTTTTGGTCTGCAATTAACGACAATGCTCTTTAATGTCTCACTATAATCTTGACGACACTTGCATATATGAAACTTGATTTTCTCGTCGTCAAGTATTCGTTGTGCTGACTTGTCTCCGGTGGTAAAGGTGTCACCATCATTGACATCTAAAATGCTTTTGACTCGACTAATCAAGTCATCATCAACCTTCCATGCATTGCTTTCAGTTCTGCCAGTCTGCATTGATTTTAATGAATCAGGGTCTAGCAAATCAATAGATGCACCATCCACATCTCCATTATGTTTAATAAGAGCCTGCTCAATCAATGATGGGTGAAAGTGAGGGAAAATCTCTTGCAATTGACATGTCTCCACCACGTATTTTGACAGCTGAAGCTTGGACGCAGGCTCAACAGGCTTTTGGTACCAGGTCAACCCTTGATCCGTTGGCTCTGCTGCTTTTGAAGCTTGTACCTCTTTCCCTTCAAGCTCTGTATGTATGCCTTCCCCTTCCATTAACTCTCTTTGTTCACTTTCAACAAACAACTCTTCCATTAGTTGCTCAACATTATCACTAAGCTTCAATCTGATCTTCAAGTCGGTTTTGACAAGGTTGGGAAATATCTCTGACAACTGCTCTACTAGATTAATGAAGTTGGGATCTGAATCGCTTTTATCGAGAAAAAACTGTGTATACTCCTGCTCTGCATCGAGGATTCCATTATCTGTAGAGTTGATGCTTCTTGATGATATTGCATCTGCTGAATTTGCCGTTGGCTGACTCATGGCAGTTGACGATTGTGACCAAATGCTTGCATTCCCAGGAGTATTGGAATCAGGACAGAGACTAGTATCGGCATTTTCTTTGTCTATTTCATCTTTTTTAGTCGATTCCATGCTTGTCAAACTTGTTTTTGCAAGATTTTCACTCAATTGATCCATTGTAGATGATACTACTCGTTCTTAGTGGATACGCGTGGTTCATTCAATAGTGTAAGGGTATGATGATGGCCTGCAATAGGGTAAACTAAAGTGTACGTGTGATGACCAGGGATCGTGATTTACAATGTCAAATCTGCCAAAAAAAAAAAATAGTGTAAAATAAAGTGAGCACAAAAGCTAAATGCATGGAATCAGAATGCAAGGCACACAGTACAGTTAAGAGCTATTTAGCATTGCTACAAACACCGGCATGTTCTATAAACTATCCAAAACCTGCCCACTCGATTGAAAAACACATGGGTTCATCCTCATCATCAAACAACTGTTCCAAAAGAGTGTCATTGGCAAAATCTGCATCATCACCATCGTCGGCTTTCTTTTCTCCCTTCATCTCCATTAAGATTAAATTCTTCTTTACACTAGTAGCCAATCTCCCACCAACAATGATATCATACATATCAACTACATCAAACTTTACAATTGAATAAGAATGATAACGTAGTGGGTCTCCTGGGTATATCACCAAATCTCCACCAAATTTCAATCCTGGATTGATATAGAATCCACGGTTTTGTAAATACTTGTAGTATTTGTAATGATTAACGAGCTGAGATAGGCTTTTGGTATTGCTGTGTTTAAAATATGCAGACAAGTACGATTGGATTGAAACTTTGAATGTTTGAGCTAGCTTGGCATCATGTTCAGACTCACAATTCTCCACAACCAAAATGTTATTTTCTGTCAAATTATCATTTTCCACCTTTCCCTGTGATTGCTCCTGTCGCCTCTTCAATTTGGCATTCCGATATGCCAATTGATTAATCAAAATTGCATAATGATACTGAACCAACCATAAAACTTCATAAATGTTTAGCTTCAACGGCACCGATAAGAATATATTTTGTTGAGGGTATTGCTGTAATGTGCCAATTAGAATACCCAAAATGTGATACTTGTTGCGTAGCTGTTTTATATCATCAAGGTTGAATACGAGGACTTCAGGATTTGATGTGGGGTCTATAAGTGGTAAGTGGATAGGAGGCGTCTCTATCGCTGGGTTTGTTGTATCAGAAGATGGAAGCGTGGGTTCTGTCTCATTGAGCAGTGGCAGTTGTGTTTTTATATCATCTTGCATGTTAATCACACCGGGTCTGCTGTTAGTATACTCCTTTTCCGTGATGAGATATTTCGGCCAAATTCTGCTCCTTGCACGTGCAGAAGGAATAATGAATTCATCACAATGTACACGACAAATTAAATTCTCTCGCTTTGTTGTTCTTTCACAAACCGCACAAGCAAAAAGAGTTGCATCAAAAGTTAAATTTGTGTCCTTGAATGGTGTGAGTATCTGTATCTTTTGTCAGGCTGGGTCCTATTATCGCTATAGCGCATCCTCATTTAAATATATCGACTGCGGCTCACCATTGGAGACAATCGAGGTGATCAAATTTTGATTTGTTTCAAGTGGCGACACCCATTCGGTCATTTGTTGGGTATCAATGTTTAAAATATTTGGCAAAAACGAAGTGGAGATATACCAGAGAAATAAAATATAGCTTGTAAGCGCTTTTGCCATGAATCCCGCAATGATTACAAACAACAAGTCGTTAAATCGTACATCTTTTAAACTACACGCCTTTAAACTATGTGCTACCACCATCGGAATCATCCATTGGTGGGGGCTTCTTCCTAACTGTTTTTGAACGACTAGGTGAACTCGGTTGAGATAACGCCACCGTTGGCTCAGCAGACAACAACATGTTCAAATTGTCCTGCTTTTCACTACCTCCAACACCACCACCACCACCATCACCACTACTAGCATGTGGGGATGCCGATGCCTCTTGATATTCATTTGAAAACACATCATTGTTGCCCGCTTGTTCCATACTTGGTGAATTGGGCATATTTTGTAAAGTCTGCGCAAATGCACCCGATGATGCCAATTGTGCAGCTGTCACACCACTGTTTGATTTGTAGTGCCTTTTCGGGGTGAGTGAGCCTCCTTCTCCAGCACCGTCATTACCGCCAGCACCGCCATTACCATTACGTTTACCAGGCTTCACTGGTGGATCATGTATATACTCAGCACGAGCAAAGTTGAATGATGGTGATCGAATTCTAGGTGATGATAACGATGCTTGAGTGAGAATTGACAGTGCGGTGACGGGCTCGGTTGAAGCAATAGGCAATGTTGCATCACTTGCACTTGCACTTGCACTTGCGCTTGCACCAGAACCCTGTCCCTGTCCCTGTCCAATCCCATTTCCAGAGGTCCGATCTTTACCAAATGATGACACACTTGATGATTTGCGCGCTCGCCTATTGGTAATCATTTCTGGTGGATGATACGTTTCACTAGCCCCAGTAACAGGAGATGTCATAGGCAGCAGTGAAGCTTTCAAACCTGATGTGGTGTCAGCCTTTTGTTGAGGTGAGTTGTTTCTGTAATCATCTTTAAAGTACCATTTACCTATACGTTTCAACAACCCGTTACCATTGGCATCGGTTGCATTTGTGGCACCTCTACTTGAGCCTCTTGTGGATGTTGTGGCCCCTGTTTCAGGAAACTCATCCAACAGAGGTGAATTGGACTTGTTCTTCATTTTTTTCGTAAAATCGTTTATAGTGGAGCCCATTCTCCGTAACGATTTTTTCGAAGTGGTCTTGAAGTCAGAAGATTCTGACAATTGAATCGATGCTTCGTCAACAGTGTTTGTCTCGGATGAGTGACCATCATGAGAAACTGTATCATCTGCACTTGACAGTTCTTTGTCTTCCTCACCATCATGTTTCCAAATACCACCACGATACAATTCATGCAGAGTATTGAAAAATTCAATATCATCCCAATAGGGCATAACCAAACTTTCCTTGACTGCCTCTTTAAACTTTTTTTCAATTGTGCTTGTAATAAATGAATAGTTTAACGATTTTGAGCTCAATATCGGCTCAATTTGGAAATTCAACGTTGGCTCAACTTCATAACAATACCAAAAACGATTACTTGGTGGTGGTTTCAATTTAATCAACATTGGACCTTCGAGATTAACCAAAGAGATCTTCAATACTAGATCAACTTCTCTTGTGGTGAATTTAGTTCCAAATGTAAGATCCAATTTAGTGGCAATTGTTACCGATAATCCACCATTGTATGACACATGAGAACTGATTACCAATGTACCATCTGGATTTATCTCTTTTAAATTAGGATAAGTGAAAAATGGAGCTGAACTTCCTGGTTGTATATCAGTGATTTGAAATTCATTGAAAAACCCTGGTTTTTTAATTTTGTTTAATTTCTTGCTAAGTTTAGTGAAGATGTAATTTTCGAAAAATTTAGTATCCTTTATGGCCAAGAACCATCTTCCAATTAACGCATTCAACCATTTCGTTTGTAAATGTCCCTCGGAGCTATACAATGCTTGAATTAAATTGATCATTTCCTTGGTTGAAAAATGCAATGTTTGTGCATGCTTTTGTGGACTCAAACTTGCCGGTATTGATGATGTTGTGTTGACAGAGTCCAATTTGGTGCCTCTAATCAATGCAAAATACCAATCTTCTTTATCGCTATTGGTGTCACAGTAAATGAAAAAACTGCCTCGAGGTGCTTTGTTTGATTCTTGATTCAAATCAGATAATTTATTGACATTGATCAATGCAATAGCGGTGTATTTTGTAAACAACAGTGGCTCGGGTAAATTTCGTGGCCAGATACTAACAAAATAGTTTCCCAACACAATGACATGTTTGACATCCTTGATTGTTTGATCCTTATATAGGAATAAATTGCCATGTTTTAGCACGCCAAAGTACCGGTGCTTCTTTAACGACTGTCTAACTTGTGCTGGCGGTTGTTGAGTGGACGTAGCTGGTGGTGGCGACAGAAGCAGCTGTTGAGTGGTTGAAGTGGTGTGTTGTGAACTAATTGATGCTGCATCAGATATGGAAATGTCATCTCTTGCGTCAGCAGCATCTGCGTCTGTCTCCTCTGTAATCTGATCTTGTTTGTGCTTCTGTTGTTGCTGTTGTTGCTGCTCCCTATTCACTAGTTTATATAATGACGAAATAGCCGATCTATTCTCCACTGCTTCAGTAATTGAAGTGGTATTGCGATTGATCTCATCAGTACTTTCAATATACTCATTGGTGACAAATAACCAACCATTTTTGAAACTCTCCAATCCCGATTGGTGTTTTTCTTCTATTTCTCCTGCCTTGATTGGTGATTCTTGTTCCTTCTCAGATTCGGATACATCACGTAGTACGTATTGGAAAATGAAGACAATCAACAAGAAGGGGCTGATGAAACCTAGAATGAATATGAATAAGGATGATGTTAGCCCCATCAATGAATAAAGTAATTGTGCTGTGATGTGTGTAGCAAGGGCACAATTTTGTTGGTTGCTATTGAATCAAAAGTTTTGTATGATTGACGTGTTTTTTGTTGCCGAGGAGGATTGTCGCGTCATTTATTAATGTCGTGAGAGAACAAATTGCGACGTTAACTAGCCGAAGACGGGTCCATATCTTATCACCGATTTACCCAATGGAACAAAAAGCATGAAAGAGGCAGCTTTATGGATGAAGTTAAGGGGGGAAAAGGGGGAGAGGACGCATACAGTAAGATAGCCACCTCTGTGCGCCTTGCTTTTTTCTAAACTCATCTCATTGATATGAAGTGCATTATTGAAGCATGATTTAAATTTTGATTTAGGTGAAGAAGAATAGGCTAAACTGGTGCTTTCTTTACAGAGAAAGCCCTCGCTGGCTACATTGAGGAAAGGCGTCGCTCTTCAACAGATCCAATCACAAAGTGAATGAACCGGATTGTGTCGGGACGATTCAAATACGAAACGGGAAAGTTTTGCAATAACAAACAAACATCGTACACAATGTGTACGATGGAAATTGATACATCAAAAATCAAACCGCTTGTGTTTGAATAATTTATTTTGCAACGGTTTCAAGACTGTTTTTTTTTTATTTTTGTGCTTTCAACGGCCTGCTTTGAGCTCCAATAATAATAATAAAACACAGTGAATGAAAATTTTTTTTTTTACAAAAACTACGAAAAACGCCGCTTGTACTAAACATTTTGTCTCAGTTTTTGCTTGTTTAATCTTATTGTTTGTTTCCCAATTAGGTGTAAAATGCACCGGGTCGGGGCCGCCCTTTGGAAATCAACAAAAAAGCTGATCGACTCAAAGAATTGCCTCTATGCTTTCCAACCGATAACCTGGCGAGAGGTTCACAACAGGAACCATCAATGCTCGACGTATCTAGTCTTAATGTTATTCTACGGAATAAAAACGGTGGAATCGTGATTATTATTCCCAACAAGACGTTGGGGAAAACTCACTTTTAATTGTCACACGAACGTTATATAAATTACCACAAAGCTACAAACTGATAAACGCTGAATTTTCTGAGTGACAACAAATATTTTGTAAAAAGTCTACAACTCCCGGTAATTCTTTGACCCTTACACAAAGGATTTACAGTGGCCAATTCGATCCTTTCAACAACAAATGCCCTTTTCTTTTTTTTTTTTTGTATATCCTGTCTACACCAAAATGCTGGTTTCAGATACAAAAAAACAAAATTAACTTGGATTAGCGTCAAAAAGTGCAAAAAGGCACATAACAATGGCTTTTCCAATACAGTAAAAAGTAAAAACAAACTTTGCAAATTTTGGCTGTGCATATTAGTCGGAACCGAAATACAGGAAAAGTAAAGCCATGAATACTTTGTGTTCCTTCATTTTGACATGGAAATAGAACCCCGTCTCTCTCGCCTATTGGTAATTGCCCCGTTCGCACCATACTATAGAAGCGCCGCTATTGCTTAAGGGGCTACTAATGACTGAAGGGTGTAATTTATTCGCATTGTGAGAACAGCATCCTAGTAGTATGTAAAATAGGAGAAACAGTGTCTCATTTAGAAAGGTACTCTGCCTATAGTTTTGGTCTACTAAACACAAAGCACTTGTATAAGAAAAAAAAAAAACAAACAATAAAGTAAAGACCATCAACAAAAAACGTTACGTACTACAGGTTAAAGTGAAGGTCATAAATAATAGCTTAGCTCTTTAGAGCCAATAAAATGTTGGTAGAATGTAATACAATTATATAACACGGTAAACAGTGAAAAAAAAAAAAAAAAAAAAAAAAAATGGAGTATTCTGTTTATATGTGTGACTATTTGTGTAATGAAAAAAATTTTCACATACAAAGGACTAAAAGTGAAAAATTTTTTTTTTTTTTCTTACAGTAGACGCCACTAAATTACCAATCCGAAAGGGAACAAGGGCAAATACACAAAAAAAGAGGACCAAGAAACAGTATGTGGTGGTGTATATTCACATTTCTATAATTAGTAAGACAAACCTCCTCAATGGCAAAACACAACTATGCAAAGAGATTGTGTAGTGTTTTACTATATCGTTACAAAAAGTATCCTAAAAAAAAAAAACCAGTAACCTATTAAATATATATGAATATATATATATATATATATAAAAACAAAATAAATACTATACACTAGTATATAAATAGTGGTGTGAATTAAAAATCCAGAAACGAATGAATACACCTTTAGACCAATAAGAATAACAACAACAGTAGTACAAGGTGGATTATTGAATGGCACTCTTTCCCTTTCTCTTCTTCTTCTTCTTGTCATGGTTCTGTGTAACTTCGGAACTGCTAGCCAATTTCTCTTTTTCTTTTTTCCTTTCTTTTGTTTTAAAATCCATTTTGTGAAAGAAAAAAAGTTTTTTTTTTTTTTGGTTATTGTCCTCCTTTTTTTTTCATCTCCGACTGAAACTTCCCCATTTGTATTACACCATACACCCCGTCCCCCAGACTTGGTTACACTGATTTAGCCAATAGCTATACATCTAAAGGTAAAAATCATTAATCATGAAATTACCCGTAGATACCATCTCACTAGTAGCTGTATACAAACTATGTTGTTTCAATGCACTAGACACATCTTGTCCACCATCAACAACACCACCACCACCACCACCACCATTGAAACTGAATCCATTGTGGTTGTTGCGTAACCTCCAGTAGTTGAAATTAATCTTTGGTTTGAATTGCCAATTAAATGTAGACGATGTAGTTGTGGTTGGGGTAGTAGTTGAGTTGCTGGTGTTGGTGTTGGTATTGGTATTGGTATTGGTATTGGACTTGTTTTCCGAGGTGTACAAGGAAGATGTAGTAGTAGATGGTGATGAAATAGGAGAAGCAATTTGTGAATGAGGGTCATCATCTGCTTCCTCCTGTTCCGTTGTGAGTGACATTAAACTAGTTAATGAAGTAGTTGAAGTGTTTAGAGAATCTGAACCTCCTGTGGTTTGAGTAGGTACACTCTTTGGTGATTGTCCGCCTAATTCTTCTCCTTCTCCTTCTCCTTCGTCTTCATCTCCATATATGACATAGTCTTCCACTGAATATTCCCTCTTGGTGGAGCCAAAATTGACACTTCTAAAAAATGGTACAGATGGGGATGCAAGCAGATTGTTTTGTTGTGTATGTTGTTGTGGTTGTGATGCTTGTTGTGATTGAGGTTGAGGTTGAGGTTGTTGCTGTAGGTCTTCCGCTCTCTTGTTATTTAACAATGCAAATGAATCTTTATATTGATTCTGTAGTCTGTTTCTATAGTATCTCCTTATATTATCATTCAATATTTCAGTAAAATTGACTGAGGCAATGCCAAGTGGCTCATTTGTACCATCATATTCCCCATCCTCCTCTTCATCTGATTCCTCTTCTGAACTGAGTTCATATGCATAATGTGGATGTTGTTGGTGGGGATCACTTTGTTGTTGTTGTTGTTGTTGTTGTTGTTGTTGGTGATGTTGTTGGTGATGTTGTTGGTGATGTTGATGTTGATGTTGTTGTAGTTGTTGTTGTTGTGATGTAGGGGTGTCTTCTGATTCTATATCCAGCAAGAAATCATCATTTGTATTAGTCAAGGAAAGCAACTTTTCAACAGGGTCAATCTTGTCTTTACTATGCAATGCTTCTTCTTCTTCAATATATGATCTCTTCCTCCTCTTTGTATTAGGTTGTTGTTCTTGGGGCTCATTGTCACTAGTTCTCTTGTTGTGCATGGGGATGGTGGTAGTAGTTGTAACTTGAAAAGGAGGTACTAAAAAGGACGAATCGTTAGTGGATGATGCTTTAGCAGTTAAGGATCTGATGCGATTAGACTTACGAATAGGTTGTTGATTGTGTGGAATAGCAGTCATTGGCAAAGTGTTGTAGTTTGTAGTTTGTAGTTTTGGTATGGGGTGAAAAATTTGAAAAATTTAATTTATGTAATCGTCTAATTTAGAAATAAATATATGTTTGAGTGAGAATGAGTTATTGTATATAATCTCTGTCTCTCTCTCTCTCTGTTTGTAATAAAGCTCTAAGTAACTAAAATGTTATGAAATGAAGTAAGTGAAATAACCAGTATTCAACTCTTTGATGCTGTATAGCAGGAATAAAAAAAGAAAAAAGAACAAAATTGGTGAGAAAAAGTGGTATATATATATATATATATATACATGCAAATGGGTATTAGTATATGGAATTAGTGTAATGTAGCACAGAAGGAAAGAAGAAATAGAAAATTCTAAGACAACAAAAATTTTAATCAACAATAAACAATAAACAATAAACAAGTAGTAGTAAACTAACTTGTAACAAAACAATAGTGTTGGTGTTGGTATTGTGTAACAGCAAATTTATGTTTACACTACACTACGCTACACTACACTACGCTACACATAACAACAACTAGCATTTATTACGTTGTGCATATACGTACAGTTTGTGTAATATTGAAAAAATAAAAAAATAAAATAACACACACAACACACAACACACAACACACAACACACACATTATATGAACAAAAAATAATAATAATAATAATAATAATATTTTATAATTGTACACATATACACTACCTTTACTTACACTAAACAATAGAACAACCAACCATATACCAAATATCACACACCCACAAACGCCCATACTAACACACACACACTAACACAACTACTAAGTGACTCAACTACAAAAACATTAGCATAACTCATTAAGCAACAACTAGAACACGCTAATAAACACACACACTATATCTCATCTTACTACAATATCCACATACATACATACATACATACATACATACATACATACATCCATACATATATATATATATATATGTATATATATAGCAAGCATAGTAGATACAAAACTAAAAGTATGTATGTATATATTTTGAGATAATATTTCTTTTATTTCACTATTGTTGTTGTTGTAATTGTTGTAGTTGTTGTAGTTGTTGTTGTTGCTGCAACTTTAAGAGACTCTAGGCCAATGTAAATAAAACCACCTGATTCATTTCTTTACAATAACAATAACTGGTGTATTAGCAAACCAAAACTAACTTCTTTCCTTCTACTAGATGGGGGGGGGGTGGAATCTTATAGTATTGTGTAAAAGAGGAAGGGGGTGCTGATTGATTGGGAGTATAGTAAAAGTGAACAGTTTTTCCACTAGTTTCTACGCAAATTGGGTTAAAAATGTGTATCAAAATAATAACATTATGTATTTTATATCTACCCACCTTTTTTTTTTCTTTTTTTCTTTTTTCTTTTTTCTGTTCCTTGGTTTGCCAATAGAGCTTTTAACTAATTTAGGAGATTTGAAAGATCTTTAGAGCAAAAAGCAAGTCTCATTCTGATGGTTGGTTTTTGCGGAGAAGTGAAAGCATAAAGAGATAGAGAGGTCGTATAGTAAGAGGGGCGTTGAATTACTTCTCTCCCCTCCTTTTTGTTTTTTTTTTTTTTTTCTTAAGAATTGTGTGTGTGTACAATGTACAAACTGCTATATTTACACTTTGTTCTTTACGCTTCTCCTTCTTCTTCTTCTTCTTCTTCTTCTTTATCTTTGTCTTTCTTCTACCAAAACGTTCTCTCTCTCTCTCTACCATCCTTCATTTTATGTCCCAAGAACTTATTCAAGAACCTTCTACAAATCCAAAGACGTAGGTAACTTAACCATTAATGATGATCATCAAATATAGCAAAAATGTGTGACAAAGTAATAATAATAGGGAAAAGAAACGTTCACTGTACCAGATAAGCAGCTACCAAATTTCAGGTTAAGGACATACCCCACCTTATTTGTGATTAAGGATTAGTTTCCATTCCCTCCGACTGTAGCTCCTCCTTACTTGCTCTATTCTCTTGTCTGTCTGTATACATCTTACTCAATTATCGTCAAAGCTATTCAAAATTCAACGGTGGGATCCTAAAGAAACCTCGGTTTTCGGAATCAAGGTCTACTAAATGATAGAGAGAATGACATAAATCCGGTTTTAGATGTTGCATGCGAACAAAAGGAAGAAGCAATTGCATTTTATGCCGGGAGTACTTAGCAAACACACCCTTCCTTCTGCCCTCCTCCTCCCATTCCCAATCCCATTCCCTTACAAAATTTTCACCCGGTTTCTTATACCCTCAGACAGCTATCGGCACTAAAAAAAAAAACAAAAACAAAAACAAGCAAACAAAAGTACTACCATTGCTCGGAAAGATGCTTGATAAGCAAGTTGAATCGCATAAAATAAACAATGGTACACACCTATTCACTCAATTACTAAGTCAACTTTTACCATACTTGGGGAAAAGAACTTCTTGTTCTATTGTCTCTCTTCTCCTTGTTTGCATTATTTCTTTGTTGCAAAACTCCGACAATAGAAGTAAATAAAGAAGAAGAAACAAAGACGAAAATGACTTTTCACTTTAAGATAGAAGAAAACATGTGGGTGTCTAGGATGTTGAAGCACAAAAATGCCAACATTCAATTTTAACCCAATGTACACACACACACACACACATATATACACAGAGATAGAGAGAGAGAACATGAGAAACGTTCCTTGTCCATCATCATCAAATTATAGAGTAAAACCACTAATTACCTAACTTCGTATTATTCTTTTTTCTTTTTCTGATTAAAACTTGCGGGTTAGAAAATGCATACAATTGCTGTTTGAAAATTAATATACGCTCAACGTTTCATACGTCATATGGACTTGAATGTGACATTAAAGGGGGGGTGCAAGTGTAACATACTTTCTTTCACTTGCTGAACATAAAGGCTAATATCCCCGCTTTCTACCTCCCCCTCATTTACATGATTACCTCCTCTACCTACTCAATTCTCTGCTCAAAGCACAAGAAACTTTTCTCAATTTGATGTTACATTCTCAGATGTTGAGCTTCAAAATTGTTAGTTGCGAAAAGAAAATGAATAATTTGTCAAAGCATAATGGATATTGGAACAAGACCCAAATTTTCAACTACACATACCCCCCCCCAATCCTTTGTCTGCTCCTCTGATTGATGCTTTGCCCAATGCATGATAGTTTGCCTTATCAAAACACATTCTACAATTATCGACTCAAAAACAGGGCGACAAAATGCACCAATGGGGATGAATCAAAAAAAAAAAAACTCTTGATTCTTTGTACTTTTGTTTCAATTACACATTGCTACATTGTTTAAACACCCATGTGGAAGGTAAAAAAACAAGAATTATGGAAGAAAAGGTATTTCTTCCATGTGTTCCTATTGTTTTTGCAAGCCAATGCAAAAAAACAAAAAACAATCGATAAACTCATATTGTCTTCATTTGGTTTGCTCAAAATCGCAAGTGGGTGATATGCATAGTCGCTTATCTCTTGTTGGATGATGTGGATTTTGAACAGATGAATTCTCTCTCCTCTCCTTTATTCGACATTTCCTTCGGAACACACTCGCGAGTGTATTTTGGACTCTATGTTGCCTTTCGCCTCAAACCTACCCCTATTATCCAGATACTACGAGGGAGGGAAAGTAGGGAGACACAAGAGAGTCAATTTTGAGTTTATTTGATTCTCAATTTAAGTAATGTTGCATTTCTAATAGCCATGTTCCAATGCATTCTTTCCACTCCTCAATCTTAAAAACTCTATCTGACGTAGTATGTTACTACTTTGACCACGAAAGGGAAAATGGTCTTTGGCCCAGAAAACTACCTTGTTATCATCAATACATCAAAAAAAAAAAAAAAGAGGATTGCTTTTCATTACACGGAAATGTACACATCATCTATTGTTTTGTACATAATTCCGATACACAAAAAAATGCACACACGTGCGTGCATACCAACTGCACGTCTTGCCCTTTACTTCCCTTCGTTCTCCATAGCTTGCTTAATAACTCCAATAATAGCACTACTTTGAATCCTATCATTACCACCTTTCGATATCCCATACTCAACCTCACTTAACCCTTTCAAATACTCAATTCTCGTCTTTGGTTTTACTTTGTAATCATTCAAAATGTCAATAAACCCCGTAATCAAGTCAATTAGAGCTAACCCCTTGTCGATTTTGTACTTGTTCAAAGTCATGTACGCAGTAGTCCAATCTTGTTTCAATATCGAATCCAAAACAGTTTCAATATCTTGTGGGTGAGGAGCACCAACACAATTGTAAATCATTTCAACATCAATCGTCTCACTATTATCATCATCATCCCCACATGCGGCTTTACATGCTTGTAAAACATTTAAACTTCGTCTCATATCACCTTGGGATAGTTGCAACAATGCATTCAATGCATCAGGTGTGATATTAACTTTTTCCTTGATAATGACATTATCAATCCTACTACGTATAGCAGCTTCATCAATGGGGTGGAATCTAAACCTCGTACACCTCGAAATCAAAGCTGGATTCAACTTGTGTGAATAATTGGCCAAAATACAAAATCGACAGTTTTTGGTATACTTTTCAATAATTCTTCGTAATGAATTTTGAGCAACACTAGTCATGGCGTCAGCTTCGTCCAAAATAATCAATTTAAACTGCGGCGATGAGGAACTAGTAAAGATTTGCCTAGTTGATGCAAAACTCTTGATTTGATTACGCACAACATCAATACCTCGATCATCAGATGCATTCAATTCCAAAACCATGTTTTTGTAATTGGGCCCATAGATTTCACGAGCTAGGGCAACAATGGTCGATGTTTTACCGGTACCTGGTGGTCCATAGAATAACAAGTGGGGTAATTTGCCCGTTTCAACAAATCTTCGTATGGTGCTGACGATATCTTGTTGGCCGTACACTTCAGTCAAGTTCTCTGGACGGTATTTCTCAACCCTTCGAGAGAGTTAGTACATAATTGAGAACGATATTGTCTCACCGTATACATACCATGGTAGGTTGTCTCTATATTTGTCACTCATCGGGTGCTTGTGGGTGCTTTTCGTGACGCGTTCTACTTGTTAATTTTTTTTCACTCACTAATTTTTTGCACTTTTTTTTTTTTCTTTTTTTTTTTTTTAGTTTTTCTATTCCTTGTATGCGCTTCTTCTATATAACCTGCATAAGAACAACCATTCCTAATAAAACCCAATTCGCAGCCAACTTCAACCCAAAACTCCTCCTAATAAACATCTTGCCTACGTAATTACACGACGGCCATTGCGTACCCGTGTCTTCATCCCAATAATAGCTCAAGGCAATACTTTCGTTTCGAGTAGGACATTGGAAATTAAAATCCAGCGGACAATCACGAGCAATGGCATGACATACATTAACACACGGCAAAACTTCGTAATAATCTTCCACTGGTTGTATCACATCCTTGATAAAATCATTCCGTTGGCTGGTATCGTTGCGTAGTTGATACCCAGTGGCATTCTTGCCAACACATCGAGGTATGGTTACTGCACATAACCAATCTCTATAACTATCAGCACAATCATCACATGATCGAACATTGGAATAAATTGCCTCTGGTACCGTATCACATGCAATTTGTTGTAACGCTTTTGAAAAATTCTGGTACAAACTCTTGACATGATCATCATAAATCCGCTTAGTCAAATTCTTTTCTTCATCACTTTCTTGAGTTTGATTACCCAATGCCGGTACACTATACGCCACTCGATTGCAAAAATCCAAATCATAAATCAATTTACACGCCAGACCGGTCATGGTTTCAAATTGAATTTGTTGATAAATGGCACCACCAAATTCAGTTCCACTGAAATCAGCAACAACATAGGCAATGTAATGTGTCAGGTCATTTAAATTGGGTACGTAAAATTGTTGTTGAATGCCACCGTTTCGAGTCGTAAACGTGGTATCGGTATTCCATGGTCCCATCATTGCTGGACCTGATCGAATAGCGCACCAACTTTTGCTCAATCCTTTGAAAATGTCTTTATCCTCATAGGGGTACACGTAAAGCGAATATTTTGAATTCGATGCATTTAATGAACCCCAATCGCCTCCATATTCAGTAAGATTCTCAGTTATTAGCAATGCCAGATTATCATCAGCGTCAACAATGTGCCCAAATGGTCGATTATCCCATTGAAACACCAAATCATTTTGCGATACACCAATTTGATAAGTCCAAGTTGCCGTGACGTTGGTGTTTTGTGGTGCTCGCACAGCAATATACAATACCCTTTGATCGTCATCGAGTCCGGGTGTAGGTGTCGCAGAAGAAGATACCGAACTTGTGGTTGTTGGGTATATCGGCAAATCAGCCAATGCTTGGAAATACCCATCTTCAAACAACTCCATTTCCCCCACTTCATTATTCTGAAACATGGTTGAGTTGAATGAATAGTACACTGCCAAGCTTGTATCATTAACATCAACATTATCTGGTTGGGTACATATGTTGCCTGTTAAAAAAATTAAAAATTCATAGTATTCTCCTAACCCAGTAGTTGTGTTGACATTGAATGAATAATACTTGACTTCTGATTGTGCAATAGTATCAATAATAGGGGTAAACTCTTGCAACCCTTCTGATGATGTCTTTCGTTTATCGCTTTGTGAATAATGCTTCACTTGAATTGGTTCTTGACTGGAGTTGAAATGTAGTAGCTTCTGATGCCCTAGCTTATCTTCACCAAACTCCTTTCTAAAGGGACTAAATATTTCACTAGCAAATGAAAAACATAGTAGAAGTGGGATTATGATGAGCTTCTGCATCGATGGTGAGTGGGGGGGGGGAGGGGGAGAGTGTGTGGGAAGCTGAGTGTAGTCGCTATTTGAAATGTGTCAATCCGTCTTTCACTGATTTTGTGCAAACTAAAATTAGAACTGGTATTTTTTTTTTTCTCACGACATTGTTCTATAACATTATCATCAGTTTAAAGTATATCATCTATAACCCTATGTCTTTTTTAAACTTACTCCAGAACCCTTTCTTCTTCTTCTTCTTCTTTTCGTCTAGCCCTCCACTACTGGTTCCACTTGCACCTCCACCACCACTGTTGCCCGACATTCCAGGTTGACTTCTTCTTGGCTCCAACTTCAATTTATCCAAACTGGTTCGACTTCCATTCTTGGCTCTACCATCAGCGTCATCCGACAAATATTTACGCAACGGAGAAAGACCCGACCCTGATGACGGCAGTCCGCCTTTATCACTAGGTTTCTCCAAACCGCCCCATTTCAAAGTCTGGGGAGGAGGAGTTGAATGATCACCACCATTACCATTTGCACTAGGCGTTGGCAGTGGTGATTTCTCAGGTGATGCCAATTCCGGTGTTGGTGTTGGCGTATCAGCGGCAGCAGCAGCAGACTTTGTCTTGTTTAATTTCAATTGTTGACTAACTTCCTTGAATGATAATTTATGCTCCTTTGGTGTTTCCTTCTTCTTTTCTTCTTTCTCTTCTTGTGGCGCAAGTAATGATTTGGTTCGATAGGTACTCACGCCAAATGAGTTGGATCCAGTTATAGCTCTAGCTAGTTGTGCACCTTGTCCAGTATTTTCAGGTTGAACAGCAATAATATTAGTACACAAGTCGATGGAATTATCAGTTATCGCTTTGGCAAAGTCGACATAGTACTGATCATTGATGGGATCGTGGCCCAATTCATTCAATTTCTTTTTGATACCCTTCTTGTGATTAACAAATAACCGAGCAATTTCTTCGTAGGAATCATATGATGTGGCAGAAGAGTTGCTTTGATGAGATTCATGAGACGCAATACTGTCTATATCATCATCATCATCATCATCACCATTGAGGACTTCCTCATCTTCAATGGAGTTTATAGTCTCCTTCATGCTGGTACCATTGATTCGACTCTGCAATGAGTATTCAAAATCACACATATTCACCGCAGGCACAACAATTACTGGCAATGGAAAGTTTTTCACCAATCGATCAGTCAACTTTGATGAATGCCATGACCTCAAAGGTGCACCGAATGCTTTGTTAGGCTTTGTTCCAGTACAAACAATATTTGGCTCGTACAATCGATACATATCTTTCAAAACTTCCTTGGTGCGTCCTGCAACCAACTCAACAGTCACTCTGGTAATAACATCAGGATTGATTACTTCCAATATGTAGTCCATGAGATTGGCAGCAATCTTGGAAACATTATCAGGCTCATTTCTCAGTTTGAATCTTTCCAATGGATCCGGTCCTCTGGAAGGAGACCTCGATAATGAAAGTTGACCTCTCCTTGCAGCGCGGTTCCTCTCATATTCCAAAACATCAGGGTCAAGCGTGGCACAAACAATAATTTTATCCCCATTCTCGATAAATTTGCTCAACATCCAGTCCAATGCAACCCAGGTATGCTGTCTCGCGCTTATGTAAACTAGTATAGTCCTATGTGGCAATACAGGTGTCATTGGAAGCAATTTGAGATTATACAATGGCTCATACAATTTGTGTCTTTGAGTGATTGAACAAAATCTCCGTGTGGTGATTGGTGTTGTTGGATAATGAATCACTTGCTTTTCCAACCTTTTCAACTCAGCTAATTCAGAACTATCCAATTCTTCATAAGCATTGCGTCGAGTAGGGGAAACAATCGGTGAGGAAATTCTTTCTCCAATCGAAGAAGGTTGCCGACCACGTATATAAGTAGACGCAGGTCTAAGGTTTCCATGCTTGCGCTTGTATATCTCCCATCCGTAATCATCATCAGGATCTGGAATCTCGTCATCATCATACAGAATATTGACGTCATCAAATGCAACCTGTTTTTTGTACAATGGTTTAACATCTTTATGCGTTTTCGAGTTGGTGTCAAACTTGATAAACCGGTAATTCGTAGACTGTTGGTTGGTTAGTTTATTGAGCAAGTCATCTGCTTCCAGGCTTCTATCTCCGACACTGAAATCAGACGATCTTCGACCTTTCGGATTGCCCAAGTTGCCTCCTGTGAATGCTTGTATTTCATCTCCATCAGTAGCAGCATGATAAAGCTTTACGTTGTTATCGTCATCATCATCATCATCAGAATGGTGTGTAACAGTGACTTGTGGTAGTGAAGTCATAAATCAAGTATAAGGTTCGATAAGTTTACTATTCACTGTGGGATTGCTCTAGTAACAAGATGAAAGGTGGGTGAATCTAGTAAATATGTGATTAAAGGTGATATATATATATATCGCGTTAGTTCAAAAATGAAAAGTAGTTGTGGCTCTCTTGGGTTTGTAACAAGGAGTAAAAGAAAAAGAAGATTTCTAACTAGTAAGCGTATCGCTCAGTTTTTTTAGTATTGTTACGATACATATAATGGTAAACCCAGTTGCTACCATCACTTGACATTGTATCACAAAAGATCGGTTGAAATTTGTTTTTGGTGGAAACGGTTTAAAGAGATTTGTACCAAGAAAAAAAGACTAAGTAAAAAAATATCACCTAAAAATAGTAAAGTATGACGGTACATGACGGCAGTAAAAAAACAATGAAACAAAGCAGCAACAAAAGAAGATGAAATTGGTGATGGATGTTGCAACACAGCCTACTACATTTGATTTTGTTTGGAGTGGCTTCGCTGATATTTACAAAGACGATGTCGTTTCCCTCTCATGTCACTCTATTGGCCTCTTCATATTGCACACTACAGTTCATAAAAAATCCCTCAAGGAAGAAATCACTTCATTACCGGCGGCGATTCATCGTGTGACCTTTATTAAAAAGAACTGTCAATAGGCTTCTAGGGAAGTCTAACTGCGATCTGCATCGTCTAAAACAAAGTATAATAAGAACGGAACTCAATTGTGTTTCGCTTACATACTCCGTTCTTTCTACTCGTTTAACCGGAATTAGTTGTTGATTAAAAATTAATCGTCTGATTTTATTATATGCGCTACCGTTGCGCCATATATATGTAAAGCCGTGCCGGGGAATATCCCGGGACCAAAAAAAAAAAACAGGCTTTATTTTGCAACCAATTTATACGATACATCAACTCTCATTATTACTATTGGCAAAGAGAAGCATCAGCGAGGACTGTGACACTCACTAAATGTAAGCTGACCATCCTCCATACATTTGTGCCAATCTTTCTATTGAAGTCGCCTCTTGTATCAAAACATCAACTTGCCCATGGATATTCATTGCCAACCCTTCGTCTTCATTCATCAATCCTCTAATCTTTTTTCGAACCTTCATGAGGTCTCTTTGTGGATCCTGGTTCTTCCAATCCAATAACGGATCATAGAGCAATGTCTCCAATATATTCATTAATGACTGTTCATTGTTTCGCAACAACTTACCAGTTTCTTCACATGAAATGCGGAAACTTCCATCAACACCACATATTCCCATAGCGTCAACCATGTTCTGGGTCAACCTGAATGGCACAATTTCAGGTGTAGGTAAAGTTTTCCCCTTTTCAAATAAACAATCAAAATCGATATGAAGAATTGCCCCAGTGTTTTTAAAGAAAAGAATATTTTCACAATGACGATCACCAAGTCCAACCAAATATCCTACAATCGACATCACCGCTGTTGACCTAGTGAATTTGTTTCTAGCCATATACCATGCACTGGGGTCAGAAAATTGCTCGATAAACCATTGGTGTAACACGGGCTCATTGTTTTGGACAATCGATTTGAATAGCTGCACCAAATGTTTCAATTTGGTCTCATCTGATTTTCCCTCTTGAATAAACTTTTGTGCTGAATTTAATGCCACAAATATTTTACGCTCATTGACAACTTTACCTAATCGTTTCCTCTGCTCATTTACAATCCCCTTCATTGTTTGAACATCCATAACAAATTCAATAACACCAATTTTCTCCGATAATGGAATCACCGAGTAATTGGCCACATTCAATCCCCTTTTCCTTGCTTCGGTACTACTGGCAAGTATACGATTAACCATTGTTGTAAATTCAACCACCTTGGCGTCTTTCCTAGTATCATCACCTTTGACCATTAATCGATACGCATTTCCATCAGAGCCTCGAATAGTAACTTGTCTCGGCATTTGTAAAGAAAAAAATATATTAACAACATCGTCAAAACCATCAAATGTAACCGATGCACTCTTGGGAAATGCCGTATAATTAGCAACCTCTTTGTAGGGAAGTCTGATTTGGAGATTAGATTGCACGGGTATAACTAGTTGATCATATGGCTTGGAGGCATCTTCAATACCGAAATATTTTGACAATGACAATTGCTTTGTTCTAGATGACTTATTAATAGGCTTAGACGCGATCCCTATAAGCTTCTCAAAAAGCTCCAGCGCCGCCATTATCAAAACACCATGTGATTTTCTTGACTTTTTTAACGATTCCAAAATCGTATTCACTTTAAGCTTTCTTTTTGGATCTGTTGAATGGATATGAGAAAGAACATACCACAAGCTGTGACGTGGATACTCAATTATGATATTTGACACCACATTTGCCATGATTTTGTACGAAGGTTCATGATCCTGGACGATTCTTGAAAGAATTTGGGTAATCACAGTGTACCACGCATATGTTGGCACGCTTTTCAAGCTGGCATTCAAATCATGGATTATCTGTTGTAATTTCTTTTCCGCAGACTTGGTCTTATTTGGTTTCTTGGCGAAATCCAACCAAATAGTTATGAGCTTGGGTAGAGCTTCGAATATAAACAGCGATCCGATTGAAACAGCTGTAAGAAAGTTTCTCACAGTCAAATGTTCATAAAATCCAGATGAATCCTTGGACGACTCAATCAATTTGTTGAAATATTTCCCAATATCGTAACTCGATTTTTCGTACTCTTTATCCAACTCAAACGCCTTCTTGTACTCCTCAACAATTTGGTGTGCAGATAAATGATTCGACTCATCTAGCCAATTGGCGTATTGAAGTTGAACCTTGGCTTTGGATTTGTTATCCACAAGTTGATTACCAGTCAAGACTTCTGAAATTGTCTTTATTGCTTCCGATTGCTTTCCTTCCGTCCACAACAATTTGGCCAATTCAATGTTTGCTACCAGGTTGTTCAAAGCCATGGCTTGCACTATGGATCTAGTTGAAATGTCAAGTCTGCCATTTTCACGTGCAAGGCTGGACTGGAGTAAAAAAATATCAGAAACTTGCTGGTCATTTTTAATAATGTGGTTGGCAACACCATGTATCGTCAAGATTTTATTCTGCGTTTCAAAATCTTGATCAACATTGCTTAATCGAACTTTCAAGATATCGCTTTGGTCAACTGATGATAATATCTCTCCCATGTCATGCAACGAATGCAACTGATTCATCAAACTCACATTTTTGCTAAAACTGGAAGATACTGAAGACACAAGCGACAGACCAATGACATCGAATAACTTATTCATGGACTCCGCAAAATCAGGCTTTTCATCATTGTATAGCTTTTGCAAATACCTTGCCAATTCGTAACTCACCACTGTCTCGATATCTTGAGCCTTGCCTAGCGAATCAGTAACTTGTAACCATTTGTGTAGTTGATCCATCTTGCCTGAATATACAGCAGACTTCAACCCCACTAAAGCCCAATCCAATGGAGTTTGTTGTATAGCACCAGCATCAGTGGTTGATGAAAGGGTGGAAAGTACTTCATCGTAAGATCCATGTTCACTCAAAGCTTTTAATAACTTGGTGTTATACTCCACAGAAGATTCTTCACCAGTTCCCAATACCTTGAATGATTCCAATGCCAAGCTCCAATTATCGTTATACTGGAATGCAGTCAATTTCTGTTTTACGTTGTTTGTTGAAAACAACTTCAACACGCCATTTAATGCATCATAATCATTTATATTGGCATACATGTTTTGCAAAGTCTTTGACGCGTCTAATTCGCCTAATTTGAAAGAAGTATCATCAATATGACCATCTCGATAACATTTTTCGATGTAGAGAATGGTTCGTTCGAACGAATTGCATTCTGCTGATTTTATCGCAATCAAATCCATTCCAAATGAATCAATAAATCTTTTAACCAACTCAATCTTATCAAGCCACATATCTGACGTCGTCACATCCAGAGAAACCAGGTAATTGGCAAACTGTCTTGTTGCTGATAGCCACTCATTGCAGTAATCAAATACAGAAAATACTGATTGGAAACAAAGCTTCAACTCCTCTGCACGGTCTGTTGGCATTGTTCGTGTATCATGCTCAAACAAATTCTGAAACTCGGTAAGCATTTCCTTTTCCACATCTTGGTGTAAGCATAGAATGTGACTGAGAACCACATATTTGAAAAGATGCTGACAAAGGGAGATATTATGATCTTTTTGAACTAAAATGGCACACGTTTGGAAAATGAGCTGTCTCAGATTGGGACTTTTGGATTTATCATAGTGACTTGCTCGTTTCAACAAATACAAAGTTACATCAATTAACCAAGTTTCATACTTCATCCCCAGCTTAAAGTAAGGGAATTGCATTGGCTCCAACTTGGGTCTTGGAGCTGAATACTTGGAACTCAACAATGGAGTTAAAGTTGATTTGGCAACGTCACTAAATTTATTCCAAGTACCGTTGTTTTCCTTTAATGACTCTTTGCGTACCTCCAATATTGTTAAGAAACTCTGCATGGCATATGCAGCAAACAATTGCTTCTGTGGATCATTTGAAGCCCAAAAGATATTCCAAACATAGTTTTCAATCAAATCAATCAAAAATACGGCATTCTCCTTTACACTCTCGAAATTCAGCTGAACGACAATCAGTTGCTCCACTCTTTTGAAATGGAATTTGTTTGCATCCAAAGCACCAACAACGGCCAACACTTTAGCACACAGCGAGGTGATCTTGCGATTCCTATTTTTGAAATGAGTGGCAGTATCCATTACAGTTCGAACTAAGGTCGTTATGGTATCGTGTAAACTAGGATCTTTGAAGTAATCCGCTTGGCAATTGAATTGGAATTTCTTGCAATAATTGTAAAGATCAAATAACGCCTGCTCAACCACATATTGATTACTTGTCCGAAGCCGTCTATTGAACTCTTGAAAAATTGTCAATCTTGACGGTGACCTCATGTTCTTAAACTCCTTCACGAAGCTATAATCTGACATGTAGTCCAAGAAGGGGATGGACAAGTAGTACAATGAGTACCGATTGTATTTGTCCTTTATCTCTTTGTAAATCTTTTTCAAGATGTCAATGGCAATATCTTGAGCTTCAGGTCCAAACGACTGGAACTTTTGAAAAATGAGTGATATTATTATATCAAATAAAGAAATCAAATGAGTAGGAGGTAACTTTTGAACCAACTCATGCCAGCATTTTAATGTAAAGATGTGAAAGTCGGGTTCTTCTAAAGTGGCTTGTAAGCATGTAGACAATTGCCCTAAAGCCGATGTCAAAGCTAAACTGTGGTTCCTGATTAAGTACAAGACTGCCCTAAACGATGCTCTTCTCTCCAAATAAGGTTTGGCACCTCGCAACAGATGGGTCACGTCACTAAACTTTTGGACCAATAATAAGACTTGCTCTTCGATCAACATGCTAGCCATTTTACCCTTTTGAACCCTTTGATTCTTTTGAGCTGCCAAGTTTTTCGCCACAATCTCTAAAGCGGATATTATATTAGGTAAGTTCCGGACATCGTCCTTTTCGTCCATTTGAATCTCCATCAATATATGCCAGGTGATGTCACCGATATGGGTAAAAATCTCATCACTCGAAACCATCCTGTAATGCGGGCACACACTACTCAACACCTTGACGACATAACGTTCATTTTGTGGGTCCTTTACTAAATATGTGGCAAGTATTCGTGGCAAATTCTGTGCAAGTAATTTTTTTATCGACATGTTGGCCGCCTCGGCGATTTGCACCAACAATGTTGGATCTTTGTGATATTCCAATAATCTGGGGACAGTATACTCCTTTGTCCTGTTTAGGAAATATTTCCGACTCATTCCCAATACCAGGAGAAACTTTTCAAATAAACTTTCTTTTTTTATAATTATGTCAGCGATACTAGGCAAATAAGGAGACAACAATTTGTAAGTGGATATGTTCTTGCTATTGGCAATATCCAAAAATCCACAGTACACGTAATTCAGATGTTGATCATTGGGCTCACCTAGCCAATCCACAAGCTTAAAGTACACAGCACATAATCTTTCCCCATTACAAACACGGGCTAGCTCGATCAACGCATATATAGTTGATTCTCCAAAATGACGCCGATTGGGTGACTTAAAATCAATCGCCGTTATTCTCTGGAAGACGAATTTAAAGATTTGGTCAAGTGTGGTATCATCCGTATCTTGAATGAGGTACAAGGGTAGTACGCGAATAATCATCATTCGCACGTTTCTGTTAGAATGAGTCGAAAGGATGGTGAGCATTTTGCTCAACAAATTTTCATGACCCTCATCAAATACGGGTAAATAGCTTGCATAGTAATTGTATATCATGAGAAAGAAGTTACAGCAAAGTAAAGGCTTTGATTGCAAAAGCTGCATCCGAGGAAGGAAAAACTCTTGAATGATTTCGTCCAAAATCAATGATTCTGTGGTACTCTTCACAAGTGGTCTGCTTTTGCTGATTAGTGGATAAGGATGCTTGATTTGAAGGGCGTCCGTGAGTGGGCCCTTTACATTAGCAAAAGATCTAGCTGGAAAGTTTCCCAACGCGGTAATTAAAGTATACAACGTTTCATCGGCTTCCATCTCTTGTGGGTGTCTTTTAACCAAAGCTCGAATGTGACGAATCCAAGTGATGTCATTGATAGCACCGTTGGAGTTACTAGCTTCGGGGCGGTACTCAAGATCAGCTTTAATTATAAACTTCAAGTTCTCGTCATTGGCATGTGATGGGGTTATAAGCTTGTACTTTAAATCGTTCAACTCTGGGTTACTGTATTGGTAATTAATAAAGTCTATTGGAGCTGCATGCGTCATTTGGGAGCCTGAGTTGTTTAGTCTAATATGATTCTGTATCGTGGCTAAAGTGCATTTGATTGACATAGGAAACGTTGGCTGATTCGATGACTTTTCTATTATCCCTTGTAAATCGAAAACAGAATCAAAGTTGAACACGAGCCTACTTTCAAAACAAATTGTGTATATCTTGAACAATACTAACGACACTGACTGTGTCAAATTTGGATACCCGAACCCATTAGAGGTACTGCGCAATTGCTCAAAATCTTGCAACAAAACTTCTGCAACCCATGTTAATAATTGAGAGATTTTTCCCCATGTTCGTTGTTCGTCAAGAAGCACATTGTCCAAATGGGTAAGTAAAATCAACGATTTTAAATTATCCATCATGTAAAATGAATCATCTGAATTCAATGTGCTCATTTCTTGAAGTATAAACCACAATTTCCTTCCAAAGCTCTCATATTTTAGTTGATGATTACTCAAGTTCAATAAAAGTTTCTTGGATATATCATAATCATTGACAACAGAATACAAATGACATGAAGATATTAGTCTTTTGAGATAGGTTGGATTGGTGCTCGATAAAATGTCATTCAAGCAAAAGGTAATATCGTCTTCCAATATCCGTGTAACATTCTCTCGTAGCAACTTTACAAACTTGAAACTATGCAATCTTGTCGCCACCAAATTGATTACCAGTATAAGGAGACTCTTTACATGATGGAGGATCTTCAGCTTGCGCCATATGTTTGATATATGGGATAGTAGAAATGAAATCACCCACTCGTAGAGTAACACTTCTTGAACTGCAACCAAACCTGAACTTGAATTTGGTACATGAATCAAGCTGATTTCCAGATACTTTAACAACGAGTTCAACAAGTACAATTTCTTGCCCAAAACAAGTTCAGTAGTGTCAATAATCTTCAACACTGTATCTTCGGCATCTTTTCGATCCAGGATGGATGTTTCTATCAATTTAGCATTCAAAAACTGTAGTAGGTAAAGAATCAATTTTCTGAAATCAGTTTCTTGATCATTTATATTTGCCTCTATGTCGGATAAAAACTGGTGAAGCTCCTCTAAACTCAATTTAAGTGCTGGTGCCATATCATTGCTAGATCCGCCACCGGTATAGTTAGATAGATTGGTTGATTGCTCGTTGGGTGATTTATAGATGTGTTGCAAAATTGATGCTTTCTTCTACGCGTGTGTTTTTTTTTTTGGTCCCTCGCATTGGAAATGAAATGGGATTGTTATCGAGGTACAACAATCTACCTACACTAAATAAAAGATATACATTTGTCGCATTAAAAATCTATTAAACTAAAGTAATGGGTGTTAGCTTATTGGATGGGGGTATTTTCGCTTGTAACTTTTATGTTCAAGCAAGACCCAAAAGAATAATGGCATACACACTATTCAAAAACTGAACTGACATAGACGAGCATTGAACGAGATGTCAAAATCCTCTCTCTGCTTGCTCTATTGTCCGTAGTTGATTGGTCTTTTAAATAACAATATATGAGGCTCCGGAGCGTGTGTTTCATAATGTACCCATCCTAAACTTTGGGTAATACCCAATCCTCTCCATTCTTCCTCAAGTAATATTCTCAATGTCCCAGTTTCAGGATTGAAATAGTCTTGTGGTATCACCTTGAGCATATTTTTGGGCAACATTACGTGTCTATATTCGTGTGTATCATCATTGTATCTAGGACTGTAATGAATCATATCTTGGAATTCAAGCACCTTGGCTCTTTCTGCATCTGTTAAGTACCTTGGTTTCGCTGACATTGTGTGTGTGTTTGTGTGAGTTTGTGTGGGTGTATGTGGGTGTATGTGTGCGCGAGTGAGTGAGTGCGTGCGTGTGTGTGTGGGCGGGAGAGAGACGCTGTAACTGGTTCTTCAATGACTAGTTTTAAATTTTGACAAAGGGCTCGTCTAGCAAGGGAGATTGGACACGGTTGATATAAGTTGCACTTTGACGGGTATCAATGGGTGATGATAGAAAATTGCCACTTGCTTCGTAGTAGAAACTAATTGAAGTGCTTTTCAATTGTTATGAAATTGCAGACGAAGTTGTGAAAATAAAGGGAATTGTTGGTCCAACTTTTTCCCTTTCTGCTCCAATTAATTTTTTTTTTTTACTTTTTTTTTCAGCAGTCCCTTTTTTCAATGATAATAATAACCAGACGAAAGACTCTCACGCGTCTAATTTATGCATTAAATTAAAAAAAAAAAAAAAAGCACAGGCGGAGAGGCTATGGGTTATGAGATAGCATTATTGAAGCATAGTATGATGAAGCATAAGTGTGGGGTCCGTGTTTATCTTGTTGGTGATCGTTCTCTTTTACTATGTGAGTCCCTAGGATCTCGTTGTCTGAGTGAAAAACTATCTTCTCTTGACCTTTCTTCTTCTCTTGGTCTATGTGGCCTGCGCCCATCACTTGAACTGTGTCGATTATGTCGCTCTCTTGAGTGGTGATGCTTGTGACCCCTTGAGGAGTTCAAGCTATGTGGGTGATACCTAGGCTTATGATTATCTCTATCTTCTCCATGTGACAGCCTTGACCATGACCCGTCATCACGGCGATTAGTTGTTTTCTCACGCACTGTGTCTCTCTGCTTCAATCTTTGTTGACCCACTTGCTGTTTCTGAATCATTGCCAATGGGTCATCGCCATAATTGGTTGAGTTGGGTTTTTTCAGCCCTGTTCCAATCACTTTATTCATTCTTTCATTTGCAAAGCCGTTCGTGTCATGCTTTTTGAATGCACGATTCCCACTCAATAAGTTCTCTGCTTCTGTTTTACCCTCAGTAAATTCTGTTGTGGTTTCAATAAATCCACTTGAACTCATTGTTTCAGTCTCTTGCTTTTCAAACGGAACATCCTCATACATCCAGCTCAACTTTGATACTTTCAATTTTTCATTGCTCGAAAGTTGGTCTTTGCTGAAATTGTCTCCATACTGTAGTTTCAAAAGATCTAAGTATTCCTGCTCTTTCTTGAATTCTAAGTTCTTCTCTTTTGACTCTTTTAGTTCCTGGAGTTTCTTTTGCTCAAGTTCCCATACCTTCTGTTGGTTTTTTACAAGAGCTGGATTCCATGACTTTTTCAAATTCAAATCTCCCGCCATGATTTAAAACTATCGTTGTACTGGATTGTACTTTAAATTGCAAAGATGCATCTAAGTAAAACCAAAAAAAAATTACTAATGACGAGAGTTTCTATCTTAACAAACGCCGCAAGCAAAAAGAACAAGAGATATAAGTGAAAAGCTTTTAAACATATGTATTCAAAATACGACTATACAGTACGCAGAGTGGCAAGTAACCGTTGGGTGGGTTTACAGTATCCTCCTATATAAGTAAGGATGGCGAAACCACTTCTCCACTAGAAACCGTGAATCTTGATATTCTTTTTAGGCAACTGTAATTGAGTTGTCAAAAATTCGGACACCTTGGTTCTTTGGTCACCTTGTAATTGGATAACCTCTCCCAAATCATCATCCTTGACGATGTTTCCGTTACAAGCAAAGTCCTTTTTCAAAACTTTCAAAATCTTTTTCAAATCATATTCATTTGGCACACCCTGAACTGTAGTTAAAGTTTTTCTACCGTTACGTTGTTGAATACGGATATGAATATAGTTTGTTGGTTGAGCTTCAGAATCACCAGTGTCGGCGAATGGATCAAATGCGTTTAAGTTTTGGATAGTTGACATAAAATAGTAAAGAAGAACTCTGCTCTCTTTTTTTGTTTCTGTAGTACCTCTTGAAGATAAGTGTGTTAAGGTTGATGTGTTAAAGGGATCAGTGGTAGTAAGATACTAAGGCGGATAGTAATCTTCAGATAACAGTTGATGTGATGGAGAAGAAGGAAAGAAATCAGTAATCCAAATTATAAAAAAAAAAAAAAAAAAAATTTAAATAAAAATTTTAATCTCTGTGTCACACACACACACACGCACATACATCCTTACATCAATACTTTATTGTATACAAAAACCAAAAAAGAAAAAGCAAACAATTGTGGGTCAGCCATCCAACAAGAGAGGAAAAAAAAAAAAAAAATAGCATTATAAACTTGTGCAACTGTGCACTCCTTTGGTATAGGGTACACGACCTTTCAATTTACTCTTATTCATTTTTTTTAACCTTTTGTACACTACTTTTTGTACTTGTATATCTCTCCATTAGCTTTAAAAAGATATTTTGTCGCTCCTTCTTTGCATGTGAAATATTGAATCCATCCATCTTGAGGGTGAGAGAGAGAGAGAGAGAGATGGATTATGCAGCTGCACCCGCATACGGGCGGATACCTGTACTGCTTCCCAGATTGCAAATGCCAATGGATTTACTCACAATTAAGTCGTCGAACTGCGTAACTGGTTTCTCTTGTTTAGTACCTTTGCTGTATCCATTTTTCTGATACTTCCCAACAAAAAATGCGCTCTATATCTATCTGACGCGATAGAAGGGAGGGGCTACGAGTTTTACCCAGCAGAACTCCCCACAAAAGAATACCAGGCTTTCACCATTGCAACTGAGGTAGATCTCTGTTTCAACTGATAAATGCCAATCTACATTTCTATTCGCAGCAATGCTCTGTTTGTTTCTTTTCTCTCGCAATTCATCAACTTCCTCCCTCCCCCCTTTTTGCGTAAGATTCCATTCTATTCAACGCTCTCTCCATCAGGAAAAGAATCAATTTTTCCTTCTCGCTTTTTATTAGAAAAAAAAAAATCTCACCCAAAAAGTTTAGATTTCAAGGTATATATACTACTAAATCAAACTAAGATACCATTTTGCTAGGACGAGTATTTTGATAAGTGGTTACTGCTGAAGATTTTCCAATTGATTAGCGATATACATTAAGCGAGCAGTGCAAGACAAAGGTACATACCAATTACGCTGTACACACATCTCAATACAAAAAATAAAACATTGGGGTTAATTTTAGATCATCACCAAAATACTCCAAAACAATCTTTGGTGGAAACACACTTCACGTCATCAATCAGGCTAGCTGTTCCATTGAATAGACCAACAATGAGCAAAAACGATAGTATTAACAACAAACGGACCGATGTTGATGTCGATGCGCATGCGCATTCCGATGCTGCTTCGATAAAGACACCAGCTACTTCCGCATCAATAACTCCATCCATTTCCAAAAATGAAAATGATGGTAAAACTTCCAAAAACGAACCAGTGGTGAATGAAAAAGAGAAAAAGAAGCAAGCATTTGTAACAAGAACAATCTGGACATTTGTCATGATTGCCGGTTTTTTCGTTGTTTTGGCATCGGGTCATTTACCCATCATCATCATGGTTTTGATATTCCAGCTCTTGACATTTAAAGAGATTATTGCATTAACTTCAGAGCCAGCAAGGGATAAAAAGATTCCTTACAATAGATCGCTAAATTGGTACTTCTTAATTGCTACTTGGTATTATTTGGATTTCCCATCATTTGTTGATTTCTTTCAAGAAGAAATCTTTTCCAATAAGTTTCTTACATTGCTTGTTTTAAACCACAAGATTGTCAGTTATTCATTATACATGGCAGGGTTTATATTTTTCGTTTGGACTTTGAAAAAAGGATATTACAAGTTTCAATTTGCTCAATTGTGTGTTACCCACATGACCTTATTGTTGGTTGTTTTCCAAGCCCATCTTATTATTGGAAATATACTAAATGGTATTTTCTGGTTCTTTTTGCCATCGGCGTTGGTCATTGTCAATGATATTTTTGCTTATATTTGTGGAATCACATTTGGAAGGACTCAATTGATTGAAATCTCACCGAAAAAAACTGTCGAAGGATTTGTTGGTGCTTGGATATGTACTGGCGTTGCTGCTGTTATTGGGTCACTTATATTGTCCAAATCTGATTATTTAATTTGTCCAGCACAAAACTTGTCGACTCATTTGTACAATTATCCAAGTTGTGAACCAAATCCCGTGTTTATCCCCCAAGTTTACCAATTGCCACAAAACATTATTGATTTGTTTGGTGGTAATATTGAACTCATTACTTTTAAACCGGTTTATTTCCATGCTGCTATTCTTGCCACATTTGCATCACTAATTGCTCCATTTGGTGGGTTCTTTGCCAGTGGGTTAAAGAGAGCATTTGGTATTAAAGATTTTGGTGATACAATCCCAGGTCATGGTGGTATTACTGATAGATTTGATTGTCAATTTTTGATGGGGTCATTCACTTATTTATATTACCAAACATTTATTAGCAATCACAATATGAATTTGGGTAAGGTTCTACAAATGGCCATTATCAACTTGAGCGCACCGCAGTTGATTCAATTGATTAAAAGCATTTTGAGGTATTTGAATAGAGAAGGTGTCGTTGATAATGACAAGTTACAATCAATTGTTGACATATTAACCAACTGATGAAGGTGTGTTTCTAATGAAAGTGTATTTAGTAAAAATGAGATTTGTAGTTGGAGGCAATTACGTCTACTGTTAGAATCGAACATCAAATAAGATCACTGTTTGGAGCAATCACAGTAAAGATGTGTTTCGGAAGTGATAAAGCCCTTGAAATAACCAGTATTCACACCTATTCATATTGTGCACTCTCCTTGCAGGTTTGGAATTGAAACAAGGCTTTTTGATACAGGCTGGTAGCGCCGATTTCGGTTGTTCTCGCCGCACTTTCCTTTTTAGGATTTCGCATCCAGCAAAATTTACAATTTTTGTATCCATGTGTGGCTGGATGAATCATATAAACACAAAATGGAAATGTTAAAACGTCGGTAGAGACAATAGTTTTCTCTTGGTCGTCTACGTAACGGGTACGTGTAGAGGCCATTGATACGCCGAGTAGCTATGCTTGGGGGACCTAATATAACCAAAAACGCATAGTTTGGATAGTACAGTCCTTCTTCCCCAACGTCTTTCGCCAGTCCACGACAGCTCCATCACAAACACTCACTTTGCTTTGACTATTGGCAAGACAAGTTTGGAAGTCAAGCTATCTCACTGCCACGGTAATCAATTGTATAAAATGTTCCTAACTGGATCAAAAAATGTGTCAATTACAAAATCAAACAATGAATCTAACAATGGATCAAAGGCTGGCTCATATTTCCGCAAACTCCAATAGGCTACAATTTTTGCAGTGTCAACGTTTCCAAAGAAACTTTCTATCATTTCTTTGATCCCAAAATTGTTTGTTGTGCTTGCTGCAAAGAACAAAAGGATCAAATCGACTTTCCTATTTGGGACTTTTGCTGCGCACCGAAAAGTGAAACAAAAGAAGGAAAAAAAAAAAAGAAGGTGCCACAAAATTTATATCTTGGTTGCGAAAGCTTGGGATCAAATCAAAATCATGCTACAAGGGTCTTTGATCCAGCCAGCCAGCCTAACTTGTGTAACTGAAATGAAATTGAAAATATAAAAGGTGGACAGATGTCACCGAAACTTTAATTCTGATCCATTTCGATTCATCTTGATCTCCATAACCTATTACATTCGTTTTCAACCAACTACTACTATCGTTACCCAACCGACTTCATTCATTCACTGAGTCAAAGATTACTACATTCGTTTAAGAACTAACCCAGATTACATTCGTTACTGCCACAGATTACATTCTTTTCCAACCAAACACACTCATACACATAGGCTACAATGTTTGCAATTCTATTTACATTCTTTCTTTTCAATCTCATATCAGCTGCCCCAATCCCAGCTATAATAACAAGATATCATACTGCTGCTCCCGTCACTCAGGTCGTCACACAAACAACAGGAACAACTACTGTATGGTTACCTCCTGTCGGAATATATGTTTTGGCTGATGGAAGTTCATCAACAAGCACAGTTTGGAGTGGTCAATGGAATACTTATCCAGCTACATTCACTTCAGTCTTGACTCCAGATAATGCAAACACTCAGCCAGATGCTCAACCAACTACTGCTGCTGACACAACTCCAACCCCAGCTACTACTACTGCTGCCGCTGAAACCACTGCTAATACTCAACCAACTAATGAACAAAATGGTGAGACTACTCCAGCTGCCACTACTGCTCAACCTGAAACTACATCAACTGCAGCACCTGAACAACAAACTAATCAACAAACTACTGAGCAAGACCAACCAACTACTGAGCAAAACCAACAAACTCAACAAACCTCATCAACTACCTCATCCAATGACACACCATCTTCAAGCTCATCATCAACATCCGAAACCAGCAGTAGCAGCGAATCGTCAGGTAGCCTTTCACCACCCTCAACAATTGTCTACTCGCCATATGCAGACGATAGAAGCTGTAAATCATCAGACGAAATCAACTCTGACTTGCAATTGATCTACAACAAAGGAATTAAGCAAATAAGATCATACGGTACCGATTGCGGCTCATTGAGCACCGTTTTGTCCAAATGTAACCAACTTGGGATCAAAGTCAACCAAGGTGTATGGGTTTCACAAGATGGCGTTGATTCGGCTGATGATCAAATTGATCAGGTTATCGAATATGGTCAACAAAATGGCTGGGATATCTTTAACTTATTTACATTCGGTAACGAAGCCATCAATTCGAAATACGTTGATGTCGATTCATTAATGACAAAATTGGATTCAGTTAGGACCAAAATGAGAAACGCCGGGTACAATGGACCCGTAACCACTGCTGAACCACCAGCTACGTACATCAATTATCCTCAATTGTGCACTGACACCAGTATGGATATTGTTGCCATTAACCCCCACTCATACTTCAATGAAGGAATTAGCCCCGATAAGGCTGGTGATTATGTCACCACACAACAATCACAAGTTGCCAAATTGTGCAAGGGTAAACTGGTGTGGATTACCGAAACGGGGTATCCATCACAAGGAGCAACTTTGGGGTTGAATGTGCCTTCACCCAAAAACCAAGAAATTGCCATCAAGTCGATATTGGATTCTACAGGTGGTGACGTTACTATTTTGACCACGTATAATGATTTTTGGAAAGACCCTGGTCCATATGGAATTGAGCAATATTTCGGTACTATTAATTTGTTCAGCTAGAGAAAGCAAATAAGCACATTGGGTTTTTCAAAAACTACATCCTATTTTAATCTTCATTTCATGTGAGAATGAGAAAAAGGGGAGGATCCTTTTCTATCTCATCAATGTATAGTATATTACATTTAAATAAATAAATTCAAGCGTTGTACAAACCACATCTTTAGAAATCAATAACTTTATCCGGGAAGAATTCATCAATCAATTCAAGGTAGTATGGCTTCAACTCTTCAACATCATACTCTTGATCAATCTTGGAATACAAATCATATTGATTAAAGGCTTTAACCGCTTTCAACATCTCCTTATCATGATCGTCCATAAGATAAGTGTACGCCATCTCTTGATGCCATGGGTAGAACGAATGGTATCTGATCATGGCCAACCCTTCCTTGGGCAATGTTGAATACTTCTGAGCAATGTGGAACATGTATTCATCATGACCCCAACTCAACATTACTTTATCCAACCCACAATGTTTAGAATAAATCCCGTATTTAGTATTGTACAATGGGTTCAAGAAATCAGGATTGGATTTAAAACTATCGGGGAAAATGATGCGTTTGGAAAACTTGCACCCCACTGGGAACGTATCACCAACAACATCCCATTGACCACGTGAATCATAAAAGTAGAGTAATTTGCCCAAATCGTGAATTAACCCCACAAGTTGGAACCATCGTGGTTTGTTATCTCTTCTTATAGCTTCTGCCGTTTGCAACGCATGCAGGATTTGGGAGAGTTCAGTGTCAGGATCACTCTCATCCAACAACTTGTTTAATTTCTCCAACGCCTGCCAAACAGTCATGGTATCACGAGTCTTTGTTTTGAAATTGATTCGTGCTTGGATATTGTATGCCACAGTTTGTTTTGCATGTTGTTCTTCGTAGAAAGATTTGACTCGATCACAAGCTAGCTCGTATTGGCGAAATGCTTTGGTATCGATGTTTTTGTAGTACTCGGTTGCTATATGCCAATTTTCATCAGCTAACTGGTCGGATTTCTCTTGTAGTGACATTTCATATTCCAATGTAGGTGTAATCGTTTCTTTTGGTGGTGTGTGTGGCAATAAGGTGGAGGAGTTTGTTTCCGATGCTGTTGCCGCTTGTACTGCTTGGGTCTTGAGGTTGTTTCGTAAAACATTGACATTGAGTACTTCATCGTCTATATGTTCCAATACTTGACCTTGTCGTTTTTCAGAGAGAGGCTTGGAATGCTTTTGGGTAGATGTGGATGAGCTACTGCTCTTGGTTATTCGTGACATGTTGCGACTTATAGAGAAAACGTTGCGTAGAGGATATAGCTTTCGTGAAGAACTAAACGTATGTCTTTTTTTTTTTTTTCTCGTTTCAAGCTCTAGCCACACTAACTTTCCCACACATAACCAAAACTCAAAAAAGCCCTCAAACTCCAGCCACTACGAACCAAATTATACCGAAAAACTTTTTAACTTTTTTGTTTTATACAAATACAAATAGTTACGCATATAGATGTCTCAATCATACACTTATAACTGAGTTTAGACAACACTAACACTTACAATAAGGCAGCAATAAACACAAGTGGAACTGAGAACCACATGGCATTGTTAGAAGCAGCAGCACCTTCATAAGTTGAAATGATTTCAGGAGCAGCAGCTGATGATGATGCTGGAGCTTGTTGTTCTGGAGCAACAGTTGAAGTCAAGTCGTAGGTGGTGGTGAGAGTTTCAGCTTCAACAGATGGAGCAGCGACAGTTGGAGCTGGAGCAGTGGATGATTCGACTGGAGCAACTGGTGCTGGAGCAGTGGATGATTCGACTGGAGCAACTGGTGCTGGAGCAGTAGATGATTCAACTGGAGCAACTGGTGCTGGAGCAGTAGATGATTCAACTGGAGCAACCGGTGCTGGTTTAGAAGCAGCAGCGGTGGTGGTTGGCAATGGACAGTAAGTAGTGTAAACAGTGTCAACATCAGTAATAGTTACAACACCAGTGGTGACTGGAACTTCGGTACATTTGTTGTCTTCACATGAAGTAATGGTAACAATGGCAGTTTCAATGTTGGTGACAGTAGAGGCTGGAGCCTTGACTGAAGTAGTTGGTTTAGCACTGGTGGTTGGCAATGGACAGTAAGTGGTGTAAACAGTATCAACTTCACTAACGGTCAAAACACCAGTAGTAACTGGAACTTCACTACATTTGTGGTCGTCACAAGAAGTGACGGTAATAATAGTGGTGTGGATATTAGTAGCAGTAGAAACAACTGGATCTTTGGTAATGGTGGTGTTTTGGTATCCTCCAGATGGTGAAACAACGGCACTAGTTGGGTCAACAATGTCTTTGTTGTTGTTGGTGGTGGTGGAGGGAGATGCAGTGGTACTACTTGATGATGGTGCTGGACAAGTGTTGTCATCCAAAACTTTTTTAACTTGATCAGCAAAGTTGGCACCAGAAGCGTCAGTGTTTAACCAAGCACCAGAAGCGTCCCAAAGTGAGACACCAGCAAAATGTTTGTCACATTTGATTTCATCAATAGACTTGGCCAAGGTAGCAGCATCAACGTATCCAGCAACGTTACCAGTAGATGGAACACCAACGTATAATTTCAAATCTGGGTTTGGTGACGATGAAGCAAACTTGGACCAAGTGTCATAGTTGAATTGACCATCAACTGAACATGGGTTGTTGTAAAATTGAATGAATGCGAAATCCAATGGAACTTTTTCCAACAAAGGACCGACGTGAGCATCAGGGTAAACACATTGAGGAGAAGCAGACAAGTAGTATTTCTTTGATGAATCGAATTTTGATTTTAAAGCAGTTGCCAATTCAGGGTATCCAGTTGAAGTACCCAATTCGATATCGAAATCAAAACCATCAACAACAGCGTCATCAAATGGTCTTTCCTCATCATCTTTACCATTACCAAACTTGTTCCATAAGGTATCGGCATAAGCGACAGCGTCATCAGTGGTTTTGAAACCATAGTTTCCAGCAGCACCACCAAGTGAAAGCAAAACTTTTTTACCTGAAGCTTGACAAGTCTTGATGTCTTCACCAATGGCAGAACAGTGCAATAAACCAGATGGGTAAGTAGCACCACACTGGTTAGCAAAGTTAACATTGGTTGGATCTGGGAAATCATTCAAGAATGACAAAATGACGACATCAACGTTGGAATCAGCACAGTAGGTGCTCAATCTGTCTTGACCACCAGCACCATTTTGACCCCAGTAGACAGCAACACTGTTTGAAGCAGCTAAAGCAGAAGCAGAAGTAGCTAATAAAGCTAATAAAGTATTTGACAACATATCGATTGAGTTTTGCGGTTTTTGTTTAAACGAGTGTAAATATTTGTGTGGTAAAATCAAATGAAAAGGGAACGACTATGAGTTAGATAGATGTTGGTATTCCAAATTATGTGTGTTAAGGAACGAAAGACTGAAGGTTGGAGTTGATATAGAAGAATGGAACAAATGAATGAAGAGTTCAATCTATTTGTATTTTCTCAAAATTTGATCTGTTGATGTTAAAGAAACAAAAAAAAAAAAAGAAGGAATGGTTCGATGAAAATATTGTTTGAATTGGCGCTTATATATATATATATATAAATATATATAAATAAATTGAGTGTAGTATTATTGTTTTAGCATAACCCAGTGGGAAAGTGAAAATAGTTTTCCTCCCGACTTTAATGAGGCGATTGCTTGAGCGGCACCACTATAAGAAACACTACAACACAAAACCGACTAAACATGTAAAAAAAATAAAACAACATATACACGATCATAATAATGCCTATGCCTAGGGTAGTGGTTATTGTGTTTTACATTACTAAAAAAAAAAAAAAATATGAACTATGAATGATGTAGAGGTGATTCTTACACGTTATGCATCCAAACTTAAAATGATACTATTGCATTGTGGGTATTGTATATATAAAAACATACACTCCTTCCGTCAATACATGCGCCTTAATTGTAAAAAGAAAACAATAGGCTGAACATTTGTAAAGCTTGGTCAGATTATTTTTTGTTATTTTTCATCTTCTATCTCGTATAAAGGGCAAAAGCCTCTAAACCAATTTGTAAGTACCTATTGTTGTTTTTGACAGCGGTTATTTAGATGAAGATCTGTACTGAAGTTATTACATGTAGAACAATATTCTCATAACATTTCAGTCAATTCAATCAAATCATGTTCTGTAGATGAAAGAGCTGGTGAATAGTATTGTTCCTCTCCTACAATACAATAGACATTTCCTGGTACGTCAGTAGATTTTGTTGCTTCGGTTATTGTTGACAAACCTACGCATTATTTTGTTAATATTATTATTATATAAAGATTTAGAAAATACCGCGGCTTTGTGTAATATGCAATAGGTGGTGCTTGTTTAACTTATTGTTGTTTGTTGACAACTATCAACTTCTTTTTGTGTACTGATTTTGCTTGTATATGTATGTGTGTATGGATTTCATTCTTTGTCCAAACGCGCTATTTTCTTATTATTTTATTCTCATAAAGAACTTACAGTTGGTCTGCATAAAAACATAAGAAACACCCACGCATTGTTTCAGCTAAAGGGGATATAAACTTTTTAATCAGCTGTGCATGCATATATGTTATTAAACTTCTATCGAGGTGGGTTGAGCAAGTGGGTGTGTGTGTGTTAGTGTGATAATGTGATAATGTGACAGTCGTTTGTGATTGGCTAGTTTCTTCATAAATTGAATTCTACTCCAACTTTTGTGTTTTTTAGTGTTGAATAAAGGAATTGTGTGACCAAAATTCACAACTTAAATAGGGGAGAGGTGTATTCGTCAACTTCGAACTAATATGGAAAGTTCGAAGGAGGCCGTTTCTACTCTTTTATGATGTATATTGTATACATAAAAGGCTTGTGATATAGTTCAATCGGTCTAGTACTAGTGTATATATATATATACATATATATACTGCAGTTGCAATTACAAAAAAAAAAAAACATTTGATACTTCAATTTTATTAGAAAAGCTTTTTCCCCCATCTAAGAAAAAGAACAAGAAAAAATTTTCTCTCTCTTAATCGTAAAATTCCATTAAACGAATCAAATGACAACAATACACGAAAAGAACAATCCAGCACACAAAATTGAAGAGAAAAAGAAGGTTTTATTAATAATATTGCTACGTAGCACAAGAGCAAACAAATTGGGAAAGAAACATACCCAATTGAGACAAGCCTAGCCAAAACCCAATAATAATAATAGTAATAATTATAATAGCAGACTTGCACGACCTTGATGTAAATAGGAAACGCAAACAAGAAAAAAAAAAAATCTATGACAGAAGAAGCAGGATTCGCGCAAACAAATTGTGCTTATCCCACCAGAATCAACAAGAATAGAACAGTTCGACAGTGGGGCGTATCCATTGACAATAAATCTTTCCAACATCACGTTAAAACTGGGCAGTTTCCCCCGCCCCTCTCCTTTTTCCGCTCAAGGATCTCAAATAAGTTCTCATTCCGTTAAGCTGACCAATGCAAGAACGACTTTTTTTTCAAATGTCACACGATCAATCGAAAGCGCCATAGTGTAAGTTTTTCGAAAATTGATTTTGAAACACGCATTTTGAGAACAAAAGAATATACACACAACCTTTTAACACTTTGTACATTCATTTATTGTTTCTCTCCACTTTATTGCTAGCTGGCTTCGTTAATGTGAACCTCAATTTGAGCGAGTACTATTGTGTCAATAAAGAAACCTAATACTCTTCTTTATGTCAATCGGGTGGCTTTTTTACAAACTTTAGAAAAAATTCTTCTCCACCTAAGCCATTTAATTGTGACAGGGGAAGAAGGGGGCTTATAATAAAGAGTTACTACATAGGTTATTTCTAATTCTGGCTTAGTCCAGGGGGGGGAAGGAAAGATTGGCATTGCATATGACCCATTATAAATCTAAAAGAATCATTTATTGATAGCGCTAACACACTCTCTTATACTATACTATCAAAGTAAGCAAAAACAATGGCAAAGTGAAAACAGATCCCATTCGGAATGATTCGAAACCAACACCAACTCCTTCATAAACTGAAACACTTGACTCTGGTACACGGCTACTGCTACTTTGGCTGGATTCAACTGCAACTGTTTGTTGTTGTTCAGATACTTGCACACTTGAGATGGATTTCGGTGACTCTTCTTGCGCAACACTAGTAGTAGTGATAGGTGCTACAGTATTTGCAGCAGTAGTCATTTCTTCCCCAGCACCACCACTACCAGCGCCTCCAATAGTCACTGTAGTAAGTTCAGTTTCATCTGCTTCATCTGTAACGGTAACGGTAGCACCAACAACTATTGTTTCCTCACCTTTGGTGACACTAACACTAGTTTCAATTACAACTTCTGTCTTTGCCGTACCTGGTTCCGACTCACCTTGACTAGCTTCTGCAATGGCAGTATCAGTTGTAGGTAACGGGCAATAAGTAGTATATACTGTATTACTCTTAGTAACAGTAGTTAGCCCAGTAACAACAGGAACAGTGAAACACTTGTCCTTTTGACAAGTAGTGATAGTCACAGTAGTAGTATCAATTTGTTCATTAGATGAATCAGAAGCAGCACCTTCTGAACCATTGTCATCGAAGCCACCATCAGTAGTAGCAGCAATAGTAGTGGTAATAATGGGTAATGGACAGTACGTGGTATAAGTGGTGAAGTCATCTGTAATGGTAGTGACTCCAGTAGTGACTGGGTATTCATTACAAACATCATTTTCATTGCATGAAGTTACGGTCACCGTAGTTGTACTGATCTCTTGTTCTCTGGTTTTGGGAGTTTCTTTTCCTCCTCCTTCACCATTGCTAGATTCTTTAGTTGATTTGGTTGGTAATGGACAAAATGTAGTAAATGTGGTGGATTCGTCAGTGACGGTGGTGAGTCCAGTAGTTACTGATGTAGTAACACAAACGTCATTTGAGCAAGAAGTGATGGTGACAACAGTGGTGCCAACAACAATGGAAGTTGCGTCTTCATCTTTCAATTTTGTTGTTGTAGTTTCCTCATCAGGAGAAGAAGAAAAAGATGTCGATGCTGATGGTGAGAATGGTTTGGTGGCAGGTGGTGATTCCGTTGGCGATGATGTTGATATATTTTCTCCTGACAATGACTCTTTGATAGATGATGTTTCAACCAGTGAAGATGGTTCTGTGGTGGATGAAGAATCTGCAGATAAAGAGGAGTCAGTAAAAGCAATTGATTCAGCTGATGATGATGGTTCTGTAGACGATGTTGGTTCAGCAGACGATGTTGGTTCCTCACTAGATGTTGGTTCCCCACTCGAGCTTGGTTCCTTACTAGATGTTGGTTCCTCACTCGAGCTTGGTTCCTCACTAGATGTTGGTTCAGCAGACGATGTTGGTTCAGCAGACGATGTTGGTTCCTCACTAGATGTTGTTTCCCCACTCGAGCTTGGTTCCTCAGACGAGCTTGGTTCCTGACTGGGTGTTGGTTCAGCAGAAGAGCTTGGTTCCTCGCTAGACGTTGGTTCCTCACTCGAGCTTGGTTCCTGACTGGGTGTTGGTTCAGCAGAAGAGCTTGGTTCCTCGCTAGATGTTGGTTCCTCACTCGAGCTTGGTTCCTTACTAGATGTTGGTTCAGTAGAAGAGCTTGGTTCCTCACTAGATGTTGGTTCCTCACTCGAGCTTGGCTCCTCACTAGATGTTGGTTCAGTAGAAGAGCTTGGTTCCTCATTAGATGTTGGTTCCTCACTCGAGCTTGGTTCCTCACTAGATGTTGGTTCAGCAGACGATGTTGGTTCAGCAGACGATGAAGGCTCAGGGCACACTTCCTCATCAAGCACTCGCTTGACATTGTCAATATATCTACCATTTGATGTCTCTCTCAAAAAAGCTCCAGAAGCATCCCATAACGCAACACCAGCAAAATGTGGGTCACAATTAACCCGATCAATAATTGGAGGCAAGTTACGAGTGCTGATGAAATTTGAACTCAAATCAAAGGTGTATAAACCAAGATACAACTTCATATTTGGGTTAGGTGCAGTATCAGCAAATTGTGACCATGAATCATAATTTATTCCACGATTCGGCGAGCATTGACCGTCATAGTATTGAATAAAAGTATAATCTAAGGGAACTTGAGATAACAATGGTCCAAGTTGTGGATTTGGAAAAGTACACGTTGGTGAAGCTGACAAGTAGTATTTCTTTGAGGAATCAAATTTCGATCTCAAGGCTTGTGCCAATTCAGCATATCCAGTGCTACCTCCTGAAGCGATGTGGAAATCAAACCCATCAATAATTGCATCACCAAATGGTTTTTCATCACTTTGTCCAGTACCAAACTTATTCCATAGTGTATCGGCCAAAGCTTCAGCTTGCTGTGGGTTTGCAAATTGACTTCTTGAACCTGGGGCACCGATTGATAAAAGAACTTTTTTCCCACTTGCTTGACAACTCTTGATATCTTCGGCAAAATTTGGACAGGTCATGTAACCTGTAGTTCTATTTTTGTAACAGTTGTAATCGAAGTCTCCATATCCAGTTGTGAAATCAGTAATTGACGAAAGAATAACAATCTCGACGTCGGAATTTTGACAATAATAGTTCAATCTCAGTTGACCAGCAGCGATATTTTGTCCCCAATAAAGAGCGATGCTATTGGTTGCGGCTAATGCTGTTGTTATTGATAGCAACAATACGATGAAAAATTGTTGCAACATCACAATCTGTAGTTGCGAAGGTTGTTTTAGTTGCTGAAAAAGAAAACGAGTAAAGTAAGATAGGGAAGCACAACCCCGAATACTCCAGAGAGGAATGCCAAGTTCTATATATATATACCTTTTCATTCAAGTACGTTGCTTTTGTTTGCAGCCACTATCAATAGTGGAAGCCATTTTGCTCAATGAGTTATAACCAGTCACAATCAAGATACAATAAAATTAGGCAAGAATCTCAATATCATCTAAACAATAAAAAGTGCGAAATCTTCTATTTTACCGAGTTGGGACACCATTGTTCGCTCTTGCATTTACGGCAGAGGCGAGCTCAAACTAACCGTGATACAGAATAAAAAGGTATAATTGTTCACATTGTTTTAATGAGCGAAACGTGTTTCTTACGCATCAGCAGCCACCCTCTGATTGGCTGTACTAAAATTAATGTTTGAAGCTACAAATGTTTGATTCCGGCTTTAGAGCCCCTGAAGGATAACCAGTACTAGTGTTCATGTTCGTTACATGTTTCTCCTTCTTTGCAACCTTTACGAGTTCTAGAGTTTGTAGAGGTGATACGTCGCCATGTGGCTATGTGGCTATTTCTGGTTCATCTTAAGGGGCTTAGAACCCCTGTCAACGAAACCTTAACCTTTGAAAGACTAAAAGCGGATAAATCAAAACTATCCTCGAACGAGTAAGTGAAATGAACTAAGTCCGATGTCGGTTAGCCTCATTTAATGTAAACAGACAACGTGCATGAATGTCCCCAGCAAAGCTTATGATCATAATGATAGCTTATTGTTGCCCTTTCATAAAGTAGTTTTGAGGGAATTATTTTCTTGAATCACAAAAGTTAAGTTTCAATTTAGATGCATGGAAAACTTTTTGATTTGGCTTTGTGTTTAACGGAAAAATGGCTTTTTCCTTGGCATTCTTTTTATTGTTCTTTTGCAGCTAACTAATGTGATTAATAGCACTTTAGTTGATGTATTTCTAGCAACAAGAATGCTAGAAAAATGAACTAACAGAAGTTAACAATAATTATTTACAACCTCTAAAGTCTACAGTAGCTAATACTTTTAACGGAGATCAAATCAGATTATGTAAACAGCTAAATACATGTACCATTTTAAAATAAGAGGGCCAAGCACAAGAGTGGAATGGTCATGATGTTCTCCATTGCAAATGATCTAACTCCCTTACCTTCGTAAGTTGAAACTGGAACTTCTTCAGTAGCTGCAGCGGTTGATGAAGCTTTCTCAGTAGACTCTTCACTTTGAACTTCAACTGGAGCAATAGTTGCAACAGTAGTAGCTGATTCTTCAGTGTTGGTTCCCTTTGATTCAGAAGCAACGACGACAGTAGATGTCTTGGTTTCTTCTGGAACTTCATGAGCACCACCAGCAACAGTAGTCTCTTCACCACTTGCAGCACTTGTGGTCCCTGTAGTCTTTTCAGCACCCATAGTGACAGTGGTCTTCTCGGCAGTAACTTCATGTACTCCTTGCTCACCTTTGCTTCTACTGGCTTCTTCCTTCTCAATGGTTGATTTAGGAGCACCTGGAGCTCCAGTAGTTGTAGTGGGTGCAACATTTTCCGAGGTATCGCCCTTAGTTGTAGGTAACGGACAGTAGGTGGTGTAAACGGTATCATTCTCGGTGATGGTAATGACTCCGGTGGTGACAGCAACTGGAGTACATCTGTTTTCTTCACATGAGGTGATAGTGACAATGGTGGTACCGACATCAGTTTTAGTTTCAATTGAATCTTTTGAACTGTGTTTGGTTTCATCAGTAGTGGCAGTAGTCAATGGACAATAAGTGGTGTAGGTGGTATACTCTTCGGTAATTACGGTGACTCCAGTAGTAACTGGAACTTGGGTACACCCATCATCGTGACATGAAGTAATGGTAATAACTGTTGTGCTGTCAAGGGTGGATGAGGAAACGTCTGCTTCTGGAGTGGTGGTTGGTTCTTCTGAGGAAGCCTCGTCAGTATTTTGTTGCTCTTGTGATGATGATGGCTCAGTAGATGAAGTTGGCTCAGTAGATGAGGTTGACTCAGCAGATGAAGTTGGTTCTTCTGATGAAGTTGGTTCCTCGGATGAGGTTGGTTCAGTAGATGAGGTTGGTTCCTCGGATGATGATGGTTCAGCAGATGAGGTTGGCTCTTCACTTGAGCTTGATTCAGCAGATGAAGTTGGCTCAGTAGATGAGGTTGACTCTTCTGATGAGGTTGGTTCAGCAGATGAAGTTGGCTCCTCGGATGATGATGGCTCAGCAGATGAAGTTGGCTCAGCAGATGAAGTTGGCTCCTCGGATGATGATGGTTCAGCAGATGAAGTTGGCTCCTCGGATGATGATGGCTCAGCAGATGAAGTTGGCTCCTCGGATGATGATGGCTCAGCAGATGAAGTTGGTTCAGCAGATGAGGTTGGTTCAGCAGATGAGGTTGACTCTTCTGATGAGGTTGGTTCAGCAGATGAGGTTGACTCTTCTGATGAGGTTGGTTCAGCAGATGAAGTTGGCTCTTCTGATGAGGTTGGTTCAGCAGATGAAGTTGGCTCCTCAGACGATGATGGCTCAGTAGATGAGGAAGCAGTAGTGCTTGACGAAGGTGATGGACAAGTTTCATTCTCCAACACATATTTAATTTCATCAATGTAACGAGCATTCTTGTTAATCAACCAGTCGCCAACGATATCTTTCAACCAAGCACCAGAAGCATCCCATAATGAAATACCATCAAAGTTAGAGTCACAATTGACTTTCTTGATAAATTCTGGTAAATCTTTTGGTGGAATGAAACTTTGGGTATAGCCACGAGTAGTAAGACCAAGATACAGCTTCATGTTTGGATTTGGTGCAGAATCGGCAAACTTGGACCAAGTGTCGAAATTGAATGCCTTGTTTGTTTGACATGGACTGTCATAAAATTGAACAAAAGTGTAATCCAACGGAACTTTGGACAAAACTTGACCAAGTTGAGGATTGGGGAAAACACATGAAGGTGAAGCAGTCAACAAAAAGTTCTTTGAACCATCAAATTTGGATCTCAAAGCCTCAGCAAATTCAACGTAGCCAGTATCAGAGCCTGTTGTGATATGCAAATCAAATCCATCAATAAGAGCATTACCAAAGGGTTTTTCTTTACCATCTCCATTACCAAATCTACCCCATAAGTTTTCAGCCAACTTGACAGCATCTTCAGTATTGTCGAAACCAACAGGGTCAACGGAAGTTGGAGCACCAAGGGATAAAAGAACTTTTTTACCCTTTTGTTGACAATGTTTGATATCTTCTTCAAAGTTGTGGCAAATCATTTCAAGAGTGGTTCTATTTTTGTAACAGTTAAAGTCAAAATCACCAAACCCGGTGTAAAAGTTTGTAATTGATGAAAGGATAACGATTTCAAAATCAGGATTTTCACAGTATTCACTCAATCTCTTTTGTTGACCTTCAACGTTTTGACCCCAGTAGAGGGCAATATTGTCGGCTGCAACCAAAGCAGAAGCTGCTGAGGTAGCCAACACAGCAAATAAGGATTGCAATAACATAGAAGTAGCGACTTGATTGCAAGTAAGTGGAAATGACCAAAGGGTTTAATACGTTAAACGAAAGAAACTTTGGAAGTGGTGGTAGCTTATAGTGTGATTACAGAGATTGATATAAATGGCGGGACTTTCTCCTTCTTTTATAGTTTTCCAATTAGTCATCTAAGAGCACTCTCATAGCATTTGGATTGCAACAATTGTCCCTCACATTAGCAGAAACATTCAATTGATGAATACAGGACAATGAAAATGGTAGCTTTTTGCAATTGCTGGTATGTAAAACAAACAAAGGTGCACAAAGAGAACAATAAGAATACGACGGAAGTCTGCATGATTATGCCCTTGTCCTTGAACAAAATTTTTAGTTTGATCTTAATGGCGTTGATTGTTTGTACGGAAGAACGTCCGGAGAAACATAATTCCATTTTCAATTAACAAATGCCAAGAGCCCCTTCCACTTTATATTTTTTGTGAAAGATCTCCTTGAAAACGCATTTCATTGGTGGGTTATTGTGTATCTCGAATAGTTTACTAGCTGGTTCTCTTTGAAAGGGGTTTCTTTTTGCCACGTGAATAATTGAAAAGAAGAAATACTAAGTGTGTCCTGAATGCCAATTTCTCAAGGTGAGAACCCTCTATGCCTCGTTCTTTCCTTGCTACATAGTTTGCGCATATGTCACTTTTTAATCTAAGTTATCCAACGTTTCCAAGAAAACGAAATTATATGTATGAAGTTAGTGTAACTGAAAATTTACCTTAGCGAAACTCTAAATACCGCTTTGTGCAAAGACATATCAACGAATCCGAAATCGGGTTTCATCATTTGAAAACGGGGCATAGTGCTGCTGCCTGATGGATCTGATTAGATGGGGGAATGTTAGTGATTGCCACAAGATTGGCAAGATTATATTTTTCGAAAAGAAGGTCTACAAAGCTTAATTCGAGCTGAATACAAAGAACAATAGCATTCACAATCGAGGCGTTTTTCTAGAACATCGTTTCATTGAGCTTAAACGAAAATACACACAAAGATACGCACCCTCAATTGCACAAAAAGAGTACAGTTCTTGGCTAATTTGATTCTTTGCATTGTCGTAATCAACAATTGCCCTCTATTGGAAGTGAAAAATTGCGGCAATTTGACGGCAGCTCCGCGGAGCACCTCAAAGCAGTCATCTCGAATAAATGAATTCTCTGCCTAAGTTCTTCAAAACCAAGATGCAGAAAAAAAGAGTGACAATATGAAGCTCATTTCAAACTCCAGGAAGTGTTCCGAGAAGCACTTTTCATTATGAATCCACATGAACTCCAATGAGTATCGAGTCAACCATTGAATAATAACTGTTGAGAAATTTAATATATCTTTGTATTCAAGACAGCTATTAGGGTTATGAAGTGGCACTTGACTAGTTTGTGCTGTTTAAAGTATACTCAAATGATGTCTTTTTCAAATACTGATGGATGCCGTTGATCTTTAATTCAAATTTGTGACCTGCATGTAGGCTACGACAGCTCTCCTCCAATGAGGGGATGTCATATGGACTAAGTGGGCTAGTATCTGAAGTGATTGCATGGGCATCAACAAATCAACTGGGATCTTCTATCACAAATAAGTCCCATCACTAGAATCACGTGCGCGTTTTTTACGCATGGGAATAAAATTGTGGCTCGAAAATCATCAAACGGCTCGAAATATCAACGACAAAAACCAATTTCTAGATCAAATCAATTCCAAAAAGTCCTCTCCATAAAGCTCTTTTACCTCTTCAGCATGGACTACGTTACACATCTTCCCAAGGAAAATCCCTCAATTGCGACCACGTCAACTTACAATTTGAAATACACCTATCCAGTTAAGTACTATGATTTTCATATATACTATTTTGCTCACAACCAAAACTCATTAAAAGAGTCAGAAGCATTACGAGAGAAGCTACTTGCTGATTTCCCTGAAGATGCCGCCAATGGATCCATTTTGGTCAAAAAATTGCCCAATGACAAAGTGATTGGACCACATCCGACTCAATTTTGGGAAGCTGATGTATTGAGACCCGAAGTATTTATCAAGGTCTTGAGTTGGTTTCAGTTGCATCACGGCAACTTGTCGGTACTAATTCATCCACAGACTGGCGATGATTTGAAAGATCATTTTGATCATGCATTATGGTTAGGCGATAAATTACCATTGTTCGATGTATTTGGTCCTCGTGAAGGTGTTATTCCAGAATTTGGTGTCAAGGGAGGTAAACGAATCAAAGTAGATGATTTCGATAATCATAAAACAGTATTGTGAATAGGTGAGTAAAGGTGTAGTTGAAATTAAACAAGGCAAGTATATGTGTAACACCTCTGTTTAACGATACAGTCGCTATTTGAATCGATGTTTGGCTAGCCCTTCATTGCTTGACCAACTTCTTATTGTTCTCTATTTCGTACACGAAATCAGAAAATATCGTACCAGCCGGATCACATTGTAGCAATACGTGCTATCCTTGTAAGCGCATATTTGTTTCAAGGCGGAAAAAAAAGAAAAAAAAAGTTTAATTCTATGACAAATTTCATCAGTGCCCTTGTAAGAGCATATGAACCTTATATAAGACAAACAGGGAAGGGCTTCTGGGTAGAGATGAAAAAAAAAGTACTATAAAGAGCCCATCTCATCTTTCCACTTTCTCATTTGAATAACGACAAGACAGTCCACTTACAACCTACACATACGATGGCACAATTATCATCACAAGGTAATAATGCCATTATTTACCTCACATATATCTTCATGTTGGCAACAGGGTTGTTCTTGGCTTGGAAATTTGCCTCTAAGACCGATTTCCTTTCCTCGAATGGAACTCAAAGAGGTATTCCATTGGCTTTGAACTTTATTGCTTCAGGTATGTGAAAGAGAACCACATCACACAGAAAGAATGAGAATAGCACTGAGGAATCCTAATCTAAAAATCGAAAAGCAAAGGTTGGACACACAAACCATTGTGGAGGACGACTATCTCCACCACACTGAAACGGAAAAACTATGAGCGGGTATCTTCAGCAATGAAGATTGAGAGCAAAACCGTTCGAACTCGATCAAGTTGACACTTGCGTGAGGATCTTAGTTTCTCCTTTCTTGAAAATAACAAAGCAAAGTGGGGTGGTGGCGGAAAGATGCCGACCCTTTGAATAAGACTGCACTACCACCACCCACTTTGTCCCATTTCAATTTGTCAATACTAACTTGGTACTAGCTATGGGTGTTGGTATCATTTCAACATATGCCCAAATTGCAAACATTGCTGGATTACATGGGTTACTTGTGTACACACTTTGCGGGGCAATCCCCATTCTCGGATTTGCCATATTTGGACCCATCATTAGAAAAAAATGTCCCGATGGTTTCATTTTAACCGAGTGGGTAAGGCATAGATTTGGAATGATTACAGCATTGTATTTATCATTTTTCACTTGTTTGACAATGTTTTTGTTTATGATTGGAGAATTATCAGCAATTAGAAGTGCCATTGAAGCTTTGACTGGGTTAAATGCATTGGGTGCTGTTATTGTTGAATGTGCAGTGACTACAATCTATACATTTTTTGGTGGATTTAGAGTCAGTTTTATCACCGATAATTTTCAAGGTGCTTGCGTTTTGATCTTGATTATTATTTGTGCTTGTGGGATGGGGTCATACATCGACATTGATACATCAAAAGTTGGTCCCTCGGGACTATTAAAAGCGAATAAGTTGGGTTGGCAATTGGTTTACATTTTGTTTGTGGCCATTGTGACTAATGACTGTTTCATGTCTGGATTTTGGTTGAGAACATTTGCTAGTAAGACCGATAAAGACTTGTGGATTGGTTGCTCAATTGCTGCCTTTGTTGCTTTTGTAATCACGTCGTTGGTTGGAACTACCGGTTTCCTTGCTGTTTGGTCAGAGGATTTGCAAGTTGGTGATGACGAAGGCTACAATGCATTCTTTGTCTTGTTGTCACATATGCCTCGTTGGTTGGTTGCATTTGTATTGATTTTTTGCATTGTTTTGTCGACGTGTACATTTGATTCGTTACAATCAGCATTTGTTTCAACAATATCGAATGATGTTTTCAGAAATAAACTTCACACCAATTGGGCCCGTCTTTTGGTAGTTATAATGATTTTTCCAATTGTGGTTTTAGCAGTAAAAGTTGCTGACAATATTTTGCAAATATATTTGATTGCTGATTTGGCCAGTGCCGCTGTTATCCCCGCCGTATTTCTCGGTTTGAGTAACAGGTACTTTTGGTGGATGAGAGGATTTGACGTTATGTGTGGAGGATTGGGTGCTTTACTTGGGGTGTTTGTATTTGGTACTGTTTACTACCACAGTGCAAAAGAAGGTGGGAAATTACTATTAATCTGGAACGGTCTTTATAATCCAGAAGATTGGGGTCCATTTGGTGCGTTTGTGATTGCTCCAGTTGGTGGTATTGTTTTCTCATGGATTGCAGCTGCAGTTAGAATCGGTGCTGTGTATGTGTATTCAAAGATACTGGGTACACCATTTACGGTATTAGAAAGACCTGAAGAAGAGCCAATTTACGTTGACAATCAAACCACGTATGGTAGTGATACCAACATTGAACAAACCAGTGTAGATAAGAAAAGTGTGTAAATATTTTTAGATTATGCAGTTACGTAGCTTTCAATTTAATATCTTTAATATCAATAGGGTCTTATCTGATTGCGCACGTTTTTTTCTAATTTAATCCGAAAATATATATTTCAACAGACTATTCTGCTCTTCACAGTTATTTCACCACAACAACTCCGACAAAATGCTCGCCACAGATACACCTTTTTCAAAAAGGCTAACACAATGCGTATGTGCCATTGTGTGGTGCTTGTTATGCGGTGGTCCAATATTTGGATTTGCTGCGTTGAAACCAATCTTGATCAAAGAGCACGTTTATGAATCACTATGCGACTTACACCCGGAGTCCACAATCTACTCTGTGGCAGAAAATGAAATTGTTGCCAAATGTACACCACAAGATTTGAAATTGAACAAGATGTTCACCGTTGCCGCAGTTGTCACCAATGTTTCGGCATTGCTCATTGGCCGTATTTTGGACAAGTTTGGACCTAAAGTATGTGGGTTAATTGGTGCTGGGTTCTTATACTTGGCCAGTTTTGTATTTATCTACGCAAAACAAATTCAATCGTCACCGTTGTGGTCCTGGTTTGATCCATACTTAATGGGGTATAGCCTCTTGGCATTAGGGGGGCCATTTACTTTTATTTCATCGTTTCAACTTTCAAACTCATTTCCAGAACGTAGTGGAACAATATTGGCAATGTTGACTGGTGCCTTTGATGCGTCTAGTGCTGTATTTTTGCTCTATCAAATTGCCTATGATAAATTGGGCGGAGAATTCAAGTTGGATACTTTTTTCCAGGTGTATTTGATAGTCCCGGTATTCATAACCGTTGCTCAGTTGACAGTGATGCCTAATGAGTCATACCAAACAAGTACTGAAATTGTGAAATTGGTAGATGGGGGAGAAGTGAGGAATGAGAACAGTGTGGTAACTTCAGAAGTCAATGAAGAATCTGCATTATTGTCAGGAGACACACCCCGCAGAAGAGATTCAATTGGTGATGCGTTGAAACACCCTTATGAAGAAGAAGCTTACTTAATTAAACATAGTGGTGATCCAATAGTTGGAATACTTCATGGATACACAGCACAATACCAGATTAAAACATACTGGTTCTTGTTGATTTGTTTATTCAGTACCATTCAAATGTTGAAGATTAATTATTTTGTCGCTACAATTGCTAGTCAATACCAATACATTTTCCGTTCCTATGAGCTAGCCACCAAGCTCAATAGGTTTTTCGATGTGGCCCTACCCTTGGGTGGAATTGTTTGTGTGCCCTTGATTGGTGTACTACTTGACAATTACTCGTCACTGTTTGTTGTATCTACACTATTGTCAATTTCGGTGCTCATTAGTGTTTTGGGTTTTTTCGCAAACTATTCGTTGGCAATCATTGGTGTTTGTTTATTTGTTGGTTACCGACCAATGTTTTATACAGTTATATCTGATTTATGTGCCAAGGTATATGGATTTGAGACATTTGGCACTGTTTATGGATTAATCATGACAATTAGTGGTGTGTTCAACTATGGACAAAGTTATTTAGATGAATTGACGCACACTGTGTTTCATATGGATCCAATGCCTGTGAATTTGATGTTGGTGGGGGTTACACTTCTCATTGGTGGATTAACAGTAGGGTATGTTTATGTGGAGGGTAATCGAAGGATAAAGAGGACTACTGAGGCACTTCAAAGGGAATAGACATTATAGCAGCAGTGTTGTTTATATATATAAAGTATTATAGAATAAATAGTGAGCTTTCAATAGTGGCAAGTGAAGTTGTAGTTGTAGAATCTTGTGATGTACGGCTGTGGTTCGCTGTTGGATATGCGTAATCTAATTTTAGCTTTATCAACAGGAAAAAAAAAAAAAAAAAAAAAAAAAAACTTTACGGAAATGCAACACCACCCAAGAAAAAAAAAAACGTAAGGTACCAAAACAACAACACACAGGCGGCGCAAACAACAAAAAAATTAAAATAACAGAAAGGGGACCCCTGTCCAAGAAATCTTTTACTTTTTCTTCAAGATCTTGTCAGGGGTAAATACCTCAAATTTGAGACTAGTCAAGCATACGAGATACGTACTTTGAACTTCCCTTCCTCCCCCCCCTCCCCCACCCACTGGATTTATATTATCACACTCATCTACAATTGCAACTACCTTGATGATACATCTACACACAAATGATACTTTGCTTTCAATCTAAACCACGACGAAATAATCACCGCCACCGCTCAAACCAAGCGCTAGTCATTGTGACACTTCTTTCACTATGCGTTACCCTAGCACAAGCCTCGATCGGTGATGAACTCCCCGCGTTCCAATATTGTTTAGCAACATGTCATTGTGCAAACTTACCATCTGAATATACTGTGGTTGGATGGTCGTGCACTTCCAACTGCAATTACTATTGTCAGCAAACAATTACTGACGAAATAGAGAGGTTAAATCTACCAGTGGTTCAGTTTTATGGCAAATGGCCATTCAAGACTGTGTTGGGGGTACAAGAGTTTTGGTCAACAATGTTTAGTTTGGGGAATTTGTATGTTAATTATCAAAGTTTTCGAGTGATTTATCGAGAATTTAAAAAATTGCCAAAACAAAAACAAAATAGTGCTTCGATAAATACAACTGTGGTGGAATCTCAAATATTAAATTGGCAGAGTTTGGTTTTACTCGTTGTTTCATGCATTGGATGGTGTTTTAGTTCAATTTTCCATTTTCGTGATACTGCTTTAACTGAAGTACTTGATTACTTTGGGGCATTTGCGATAATATTGTGCAATTTGAATGTTATAGTCGTTCGATATTTCAAGTTATACAAGCTACGTTTCAAACTGGTGTTGAAGTTGTGGCAGTTGAGTTTAATCGCATTGTATATTTATCATCTAGTTCGGCTATTTATGGACTGGGATTACACTTATAACATGAACATCAATGTTGTATTGGGGTTATCGGCCATGATCTTGTGGTTTCTACATTCATTTGCAATTGGACGAATCTATAATAAGAATATCAATTTGGTTAGCAACACCATTACGTTGGTTCCATATGAGACAAATATTTTACAAAAGTTGCATCTACACAACCACAAAATCACAAGATTGAGATCTAGGCATAAGAGATTGAGTTTGGCTAATTCGTCGCATTGGATTCCGTATATTCCTATATTCAACAACGTTATATTATTATGTGGATTATATCTTGAAATTAATGATTTTAAACCATGGAAAAGATTAATTGATGCACATTGTTTGTGGCATTTGTTAACTATATTCCCAAGCTATATTTGGTTTGATTGGAATGTATGGGATGTTGAAATGTCGATAGTTACTAACACTTTGTAGATAAAGGGCAAAACAAGTGGAAGTATACTAGTTTTATACTAATAATTAATAATTTATTAAAGATTTATATAAATGGCCGAATGAAAAGAAAATGTAGGAAACCAAAACCGAAAGCGTGTTGCATCTAGTGTAAAGTGTATGCATAGTGTATTGTAAAGAAAGTTTGATGTGGTGTGGTGGTGTGGTGGTGTGGTGGTGTGCGGTGTAATCTATGAAAGGAGCGAATAATTGAAATATAGTGGGAGCTCTCAGCCTAATGGAAAATGGAAAATACTGAGGATAAATGTGTAAAGATTGTGGAAGAAAGTGATATGATACCCCCTCAGTTCAATACTCCCTCTGTTATACCATGTTGCTTGGTTTTGCCTTTTCTCTCAATTTCTCAAAACTTCTTCTCCTTCTTAACCAACTGGAAAAAAAACTGTATAAAAGCATTAGCATCGATGATATGACAACCAACCTTAGAAAATTATCCATGGACAATATGTCATCAGTATCAAATGTTATTACTCTTTGAATGACCGATATGATTGAATCGGAGTTGATAGTGTTGGCAGTAGGAGATGTAGATGCTAAGGAATGCGACGATGAGGATGAGTCATAGAATTGGTGTTCTTTGATCAAGTTTGGATCAGATGTAGGATTGGGTATCATTATGTGTAGTTGTGTGTATTTGACGCTAGGGGAGGTGGGGGGGGCGGGGGTTGTTATAAACTAATGCACCTGGATAAAAGAGTGCAACAAGATAAATGTAATGATTCTAAAATGTCTGTTTCAATTATGAAACGTGTATTGGGTATCGAAATTGTGGTATGTGTGTTGTTATATAAACTTGAACAGAAGAAATGTAGAGAAGACAAGGATATATATATACTGGATTTCAACATCAATCATACATATATATATGTATATATATATAGTAAGAAGTTTTCTGCAAGTGATGTTCATCATCGAAAGAAGAAAAAAACAAAAAAAAAAAAAAAAAAGGACAATGTGTAGTTTTGTGTAATATGGTACAACCACAGTTTATGTATTTGGTTGTTGTTGTTGTTGTTGTTGTTGATTACGAAAAATAAAGAGCAGAGTATTTTTAGCACAACATACACTACAACAACAACCAAAAACTTACTTAGCATTCAACAACCCATACACACCGTACGCACCGTACACACCATACACTCTATACGACACTATGATTGCGATGTACACAAAAACCTATCATCTATCCTTCTCCTCTGTTTAAACATCAATAGCAATCGATGAAGCATCTGAACCGTTGACACATTGAGTGTTGTTTGTTATTTGACATCTATTACCAAAAAGGGATTGTTATTATATTTTTATGTTTATGTTTATGTTTGTATATATATATATATATATATAATGTATGTATGTGTGTGTGTGTGCGTTTTGCTATAACAATTAGACTTCTTTTCTGTTTGTGTACTTTTGTACACATCTACACGCACATGGCTCAAGAGTCAACACAATAAGTATTTCACGTGACTCTATTGTTCCTATAGTTTTGTGTATAGCAAGTGAAAATTTCACTCCTAACCATTAAGCAACAGATCACAAACACACAATCTACAACCTAAACTACACCTACACCTACACTACTGTTTTAGCCTACGATGATTAAAGCCTTTTACCTTTCGCTTTCCTTTATCTGTTTCCATCTATTCCGTCCTTTTTCCTCTCGCTCGAGAATTCGCTTCTCCTCATGTTTTTGTGTGCCGAACCCTCGCCTATAATTATTTCTTCTACTAGGTTTAATGGGACATGGACTTCACAGAGGTAGCCCAGGAGAGGTCATTTGGTTTTAGACTTTTGATCATTCGACCTTCTTTAGCTCGAAAGGGGGAGGGGTGGGGCGTGGAGTGCGTGTGTATACGGAATGATTTAATGTGTGATATATTTAGATTTTGAGTTTTAGTCGGTTTTCTTCTTCTTCTTCTTCTTCTCCTTCTTCCAAGACTTTTCAGGGGGAAGAAAAGTTAAAACAGGAGATCCCCATACTAAAAAAGAAAAAAAGTGTAAATCCACATGCACATGCCTTTGTTATGTGGTATGTGACATCATGAGCATAAGCATTTTGCAATGCAAAGGAAAATCCAGGAAGAGCAAATTAGTGATTTCTAAGTCATTCTCTAACGAAACTTTTTGAATATTGCCCTGTTGTCTAAAAATGGTATTACTTAGCCATATGCTTTTCATCAGAAGCAAAAGCTCTCTGTCAATTTACCCCCCCTCAGGATTGCAATTGCTATGATGTTGCATCTGCTTAGAGTAGCCTGTTTCTTGACAAGTTGATATATGTTTACCAAATAGCTCAATTTGGTAAAGTAATTGTCTTTTTTACATACAATTCCAAAAATAGACAAATTGTAAACAATATCACAAAGACAAGAAAATCATAAGGCACACAAAATTGTCACAATAAAGTTGTAATATGCCCAACAAGAGGACAAAGTGGATATGTTGTAAAGCGAATTCTTGCACCCCTTGTTTCTACAAAGGCTTACCTCGTCAGTAGAACACTCCACAAGCTTACAAAAACAAAGTTTGGGCCCATTTAACTTTTCCTTCTTAATAATACACAACAAATTGAATTCTTTCTCTCTGTAGTAAAGGGCAAGCCTTCTCCATGTTTCTATATACCCAGGAAAAAAGCTACTCAGATATACAACTAAAGTACTTCCGTAGAATGTGCTACCTGCGTGAACTCTGTCCTACTTACCCCTGAACTTACTGAAAAATGACTTTTTCTTCTTTTTCGTCTTGTCCATGACGTCACTACAACTTGAAGTGACTTTCAACTTTGATGAGGGGGCATTCACATCAATCTCTGATAATGGCGGTAGCTTAGTAGTAGAAGATCCACCAGTATTTATTGACTCAATTTCACCAATCGAAGATGCAATTGTATCCATTGTCCATACTGATCCATCTCGTTTGCTCATTTGTGACATTAGCGAAGAAGTGCGTGAGTCCACCAGAGCTTGTCTCAACTGTTGTTGCTGTTGTGGCTGTTGTGGCTGTTGTGGCTGTTGTGGCTGTTGTGGCTGTTGTGGCTGTTGTGACGATTTCTTTGCAAATGGTGGATTTGGTTGCTGAGTGTATTCCAAATTTGACGATTTCGGTGGTGCTTTTGTAGAGTCTGGTAGAATTGACATGATTTTTGCAACAAAATGTAAAAATCGTATCCAAATTGCAACCAAGTGTGAGTCCAATTGGTGCATCTTTTTCACGCCATCAAAATTGATAATTATAGTCTCGATCAATTTATCATTAACTTCTTTTCCCCCAAATGTTTGTTGCATCGAATGTAGATGATGGAAATTATGGTTATTGAAATATAGATAGTACTGTTTGGCCAATTGATTGTACTCGATTGAATTTCTAATCTCTTCTAAGCTTGGTTTGAGAATATGTAGATTGATGAGTAGGTAATCAATAAACTCAATGTAAAAAGACATGGCCATGTTGATTGGTGGTAGTTTATCATAAATGTCGTTAGCCTCGGCCATACTCTCGAATTTCAAATCTTGGTAACAAGTGTTCCAAAATTGATCACTTGAAAGTAATGAACGCATGTTATTTATGTCATTGGAGTCTTTATTGTGTAGGGATTCACCATCAACTTTGCCATTTTTTCTTTCTTCGTCTTTATCTTCTTTTTCTTCTTCTTGTGCTGTAGACGACGTTGTAGCAGCAACGATTGTTGAAATGACAGAACTACTTCTCGTTCTCTTCTTCTGTCCCTTTCTTTTTGTCGTAGGTGTACCCGTGACTACATCTCCCCCGTCAACTTTGTTCCCATCGTATTCAAAGGCTTCGAAATAACTATACCTCAACATCTCCAAATTAGACAAATCTTGCACTACTGATTGATTCAATTGCAAATTCAATTCATGGCTGTCCATGGATGATATTGTCGTGAGATTGCGAAGATATCCCAATTTGGACACTTGGTATGGTGTTTTCTCCATGGGTACATATTTGTCCAATGTTGAGTCATATACCCATTTCTTGCCATCACGAATTATTACACCAGGTAGTGACGGTGACGTTCCCTTGATTGTGCTACTTCCAGATCTACTCGATTGGGACAGTTGGAAAGTACCTCCGCTATCAGTAGTTGATCTGCTTGTAGTACGATTCAATTTTGATTTTGTTGGATCTGAATGGATGGAGTTTGCTGTGGTGAATGACGATGATCTTGACCTTGATCCCCCTGATGATGATTTTGATGATTTTGATGATCTTGATGGTAATGATGATGTTGCCATAAACATATCTCCCCCATTCATTTTATTCTTGGCTTCAGCCCTCTTCTGTTTCTTTATTCTTTCATCTTGTGCAAGGGCAATGTATAAATATGCAGACATCTTGTTAAAAATAATCCAAAAAACTCGGTTCCTGGCTCTTTTGTGTACTCCTGTGAAAAATTAATCCGTCTTGGTGTCTAATTCGGCTTCGCATACAATACTAAATTCAGGTACAACAAAGCGTGTGGCATTTTCCAATTGAAAACGTGGTCTGTGAAAAATTATGAAAAAAATCGCCGTGAATACATATATATATATATATCCTTGAAATATCCTAAAAATGGATCCGATTGTACACCCACAATTGTTTCTTAATGAACCAAAAGGGATTGCATTGTTCTTGACATAGCGAATGTGAAACAATGGAAGCTTGTAATAGGAGAAGGGAAGGAGGTGCCGACAAAAGCATATCTAGAATAAACACCCCCCCCTTAGGCGAAAACTATAGTTTCGTTTATTGTTGTTGTAACGAGGTCCACTTATTGGTTCGTTTTCCTGCTCGTCTAATTCAAATCATTTGTTGAGCCTGTAAAAGACAATAGAGCCTAAAGAAAAAAAGCCTAAAAAAAATGTGCCGTTTGGAATTGTGATTGGGTTTGTGTTGTGATAATGTATAATTTAACTGCTTTCGTATAATTTTAAGCAAGAAGGGTTAATTTTCAATCATGACGTGTAGACGTAAGATTTGTTAATGTAATTAATTACACAATTTTTGTGCAATCTTGCAAATAGTAAAAATAAATTTCACATTCAAACGATGAAAAGAAAAGAAAAAAAAAAGGGTTCTGACACCCCATCTCACTTCTTTCATTCCGTTTGAATGTAGATTAAGCCTTTCCGTTAACTGAACCGACTTCGGGCTGATGGCTCTTTTTCAATTTCACAATCTAAAAAATGCTATATAGTAAATATCGCAATACACTAAAATTGTCTCTGCATTCTCTTATCAGTTTACTAGGCGTTAATTAATTGAAACATAAGGGAATATATGCATGTTACAAGGTTTGTGTTTTGTGATTGTTGTGTGTATGTATGTGTGTACTTGGGATCAAAAATTGTTTTGTAAATCTAGGCCATTGAAGTGGTCCTCTTTCTGGACGAATTTCAAGGCTCCACGAGTGACCGAGCTTCTCTCAACAAGCTTTCACTTGTATAAGAGAGAGTGGGTGACGAGGTATAGTTGCTTTATGCGTCGAATTTGATTGTCTCAAAGTGAAAGTCGCTCACGTATATGCAACTTCTCACCAACAATAACTGAAACGTACAAAGTTATTCGATTGAAATCCTTAGTTGTCGCTGTCTACCTACGCCCCAATCGCAATCATTGTAATCATATTCCTCAACGACCCTTATTGAAAAAGATTTCAACTTGTTTTTTTTTTTCTACACACATTTGCAACTAAATTAATTGAAAAAACCACGAGCATCTAATCCACAGTAAAATAAATGGTGCAATATATCTGTGTCACGTATGATACAGAGAATGGCTTTGATATCTTATTGAGCTAAAAAGTCAGCTCGGATTAATCTCAATGAAAGACAAAATGAAAAAAAAAAGAAAGCTCCCTTGCGGGGAATCGAACCCCGATCTGCTCGGTGAAAGCGAACCGTGATAGCCATTACACTACAAAGGATTTTATGAAGATTAGTTGTACACCCAAGTAAATGTAAGGTGGCAGATAATTATCTAAGGTACGTGGGGATGCTAATTGTTAACGTAGTGTAAGCTTAAGATGGGTTTGACTGGCCGAAGGTGTATCGTAGGCAACTAGCTAGACTCAACTAGAATTAAAAACTAAAACTAACACTTCTTTTCCTTCATTTAAAGCCTCTCTCTTCTCGGTTGCATTCCAAAGGAGACCCCATGTCCTTTTTATATTCAAATATCCCTTGAGGGAATCAAAGAGCACAATCCGGGTCTTCCTTGTCACTCCAGTGAAAAGCCAATTAAGTCCAATCTCAAATTCCTTCTTTAGTATAAACTAAGTGAATCAGTTTTGAAGTTACAGAATATCAACATTTTCCTGTTTCAACAATTCCATCACCAAGAAACTTATTCATGGTGCGCAATTCAGTCTTCGTGTACCACCGTCTAAGTTTGACTTCGACATTTCTTGTAGAATTAAAAGTAATGCCGTGTCTGAAATCTGTTAAATATTTGTCAGTCCAACTGATCATATGAAATCCAACTGTCCCAAATGAGAAATAAGGACTAAGAACTCTGATGTTATGCAAATGCAAGATATTTAAAACATTTCTTTGGGATTCCTTCCACCAATTGATACTACTATTAGGGTACCGGGAACATAATTCTCATATAGCTCGTGCGTCATCCTCCGAACACGTTTGATTCGAGATAGCAAGGGACCTTAACTTGTCATGTTTAAACAGCTTGAGTTCTTGAAGTCCAGAAGGTGCGTATATTGCGCTTGAAAATTACAAACTTACTTGAGCCCCTATCCTCCAACCATTATTAGTCTACTTTTTTTTTCCCTCTTTGCTTTGTTTTGTCGCTAACATCACCTGTAATGGAAGTTCACGAATTTTTGTGTAATCCTATCCTTCTGTCTCCATTTGACGTACTCGGCACAAGATGGAAGACAGGCACTACAGTGCCTACACTATATTCAATACTGAATTTGAAGCGGATATATAGAAGATACGAAAGTTGCAAAGTAAGGCACATCTATTACTAGATCAATAACAATATCCTTTTAAACGAGCGTTCATGCTCATCCCTTGATACACATCAACCAGCAACATTTTCTTTTTCCTGAACTTCATAGAATGGCGCCCTTCAACACCTCCGTAGATTGTTGCAATAACCCTCAAAATAATGAATTAAATATATCGCGGTCTCTCGTAGTAGATTGGCCCGGTGATTGCCTCATCCATAAGCTCGATCAGACCATTACAGACATTGTCATTTTATGTAGATATACATTTGGAAATGTCTATTCGACATCAACCCTATCCGTTATGCATACACTAATCACCAAAGTTTTGACCCCTTTCAATAGCAAAGGCATCCCAGCAAATGAACAAAGTCGATATGATTTCATATATCATTCAAAAGTGAGGTTGCGAGTTTGACAATTCAGGTACAAACACACTAAAGCCCTATGCATGAAAGGCACATAAGTCGTGATATGTAGGCTTGTGTTACCTAAAGAAGCACCTTCTCATCACGCTCTATTGCTGTGTAGTCGCAACAGTAATACAATTCACTTTCTCGGTAGTTGATGAAGATCCACAAGATTGCTGCTGTTTATGTTGGTCTCTTTATACACGAATCCCACTGGTTCATTGTAGAAGAAGGCAAAAAAGCTAAATGTAAAGCATTGGGCAAAGAGGCGTAGTGCTTTAACGGGCTTGAATTGAGGTAGTGAAGTGCAGTACTCATAATTCCCGTATTAGATAAAAATTCTACGATTTCTTTTAAATAATAGAAAGCCGAACCATCTTAAAAATAGTTTGGCGAAGTTTCACACATCGCGCTTTAATCGTCTAAACGTGGCTGCAAAAAGCCTGTTTCTCACATGTTGTCTATTGTCTTGTTGCACACGACGAAAACATCATAATGGAAGAAAAAAAAAAAATTATCAAATCGATGAAAAACTTTTTCAGGGTGACAGTACCAATTAACTGAACTATAATACCCGACTGTAGGTAATAACCTACTCTACTATACAACATGATAAGACTGTCAATACGCAAGGTGCATCACGCATCCAAGGAAATACCATATCAAGCTGTGCCCCGAGGTAAATACAACCCCAAAAGATCAGCATTCAATTTCAAACCCAAGCCAATAGACGGGCTAGTACACAATCCACCTGCTGCTATAATAAACCCATCAATGCAAACCCCATACATATTCCTTCCACCAAACGACCCTAGGCGAGAGCTCGCGAAACAGTATCGACTTTCTGAAGATGTTGTTGCTGACATGCCGGTAATAAGAGCATTCAAAGCACCACATGAGAGAGAATACACTGTGACAAAAGAAGTTGTTGATCAAATCAAACAATTGAGAAACGAAGATCCCGAACGTTGGAATCTCAAAGAGCTCAGCAAGAAGTTTGACATTGAATTATCAAAACTAGTGTACTTTCTTAGAAGCGACTTGCCCAAACTGAACAAACCAGAAGACAAAGCCAGTGTACCTATGTATGTGTTGGATAGAGAAAAGAGAAGACAGATGTGGATGAAGAATATCTATTGAGTGAAGGGGGAGCTTGGGGACTATGTCCACTTTCAGCCAAAGACGGTGAAGGGGTCAGGGTCACAGATGTATATAATCGAATCAATACATAGCTTTGTAAATACACAACATCAGCATAATGATCGTTTACATTATATTGCGCTTGATCTATGTCACCATTGATTGAGTTCTGTAAACAGCTACCAAAAATAAAGCATTGGAAAAAAAAAATATTAAGCAAAGTTGGAAAATGTAGTAAAGAAGCACCCAGCCAACGACATGCCTGAAAACGTATGTTCAACTAAAGTGATTCGCCATGACGCCTTCATAATGAATACTAACGCAATGAAAGAGTGAGAACAAGAAACAGAACCAAAAGCAGAATAGGAGAAGAAACCAAAACAATGATAGGCCAAGAACCGAAGGACCAAAAAGGGAGGCTATACTAGATTTAAACAAGTACAAAAACGAAGAGATTAGAGTGAGATTTGTTGGTGGACGACAAGTAACAGGTGTTCTTAAAGGGTATGATCAATTGATGAATTTGGTTTTGGAAGATGTGAAAGAACAATTTAGAGGTATGTAAGAAGACGATGTTCCAATGCGATGACGTATACTAACAGCTCAATTAAAAAGACCCAGAGAATGAAGGTAAATACCTTGATAAAACCAGAGATCTTGGATTGGTTGTGGTCAGATGCACAAGTCTTTTAACGATTTCGCCAGTGAAAGGTAGTGAGATAATCGATAACCCGTTTGTATCAGAACAATAAGAGTTTAGCAATCTATAGGAAATGCATTATAGTGTAATCTGCATGTTAAGTACACCCTCAGTGTAGAGCTACTTTTTATGCCGTGCTTTGTCTCCAATATCGCATCTTTGGGCTCGCTTTTTAATTATTTTTTCAATTCTCAACTTCCATCATCTCTTATCAGTAGCTCATCCTTCAACCCACCAAATGTCTGTCCCCGAACAAGTAGACAAGAACGTGATCTTGCTTCCACAAACAAATCAACTAATTGGCCTTTACAGTATCATTCGTGATCAAAGTACCAAAAGAGGCGACTTTGTATTCTATTCTGATCGTATTATTCGTCTTTTAGTTGAAGAAGGGTTGAATCAACTACCAGTGGAAGAATGCATTATTGAATGCCATGGAGGTCATAAATACAAGGGGACTAAATTCTTGGGCAAAATCTGCGGTGTTTCCATTGTTAGAGCTGGTGAATCCATGGAAATGGGTTTAAGAGATTGCTGTAGATCGGTGAGAATAGGCAAAATTTTGATTCAACGAGATGAAGAGACTGCTTTGCCTAAATTGTTTTACGAAAAATTGCCAGAAGACATTAGTGAACGTTTTGTGTTTTTGTTAGATCCAATGTTGGCAACTGGTGGCTCAGCAATGATGGCAGTGGAAGTGTTGCTTGCGAGAGGAGTCAAGATGGAAAGAATATTCTTTTTGAACTTGTTGGCAGCACCTGAGGGGATAAAAGCGTTCCATGACAAGTACCCTGAAGTCACAATCATCACTGGAGGAATAGATGAGAAGCTTGATGAAGACAAGTACATTGTTCCTGGTTTGGGAGATTTTGGTGACAGATATTACTGCATATAAACGTCATGGATCATCATCTATAAACATTTCTTATGAACCACATCGGGGTCGTCCCTGTATTCCTCTAAAGTTACCCACATTTTCTTGAATGTAGACAAACCTGCTAGTATCGAACCTCCAATCCACGTTGAATATTTTCGTTCAGGTGGAGCATAAATTTTAACCTTCATTTTAGTGCTATACAGCTCATCAATCTTGGACTTGTTCCAAATGGAAGTGGACTCGCTGGATTGGGGGGTTTGCATACTTTTCAATTCCTTCAATAATCGATCACCAAAGTTCTTTAACAAAGTGTTCCCCCCTGATAGTAAGAGATTTTGATACAACTGGGGCCTTAAATCTAAATCGGTTTTATCAACTGCCAACGAGATAAGCTCATGCAACCCTGGACTCTCGTCACCAATAATCTGTGGATTAAATAGGATCTCTGGCGCTCGAAATTTCTCAGCTCCGAGATGTAGTTCATGTCCATCGGGTAAAGTATAAGTTGTAAACAATTCATTTCTGGCCTTCGTTCTCCTTGCATACAAAGCACCGTACAGTTTCTCATCCTTTTCTGGCTCCTTCGATATGAAACAACATTGCTCTTTTATTAGCCGTACAATCTCCAATTCTGAACTACTTTGCAATGCAACTCCTGACATTTGCCTAATATTGAATGACAAGTTTGTTGTGATATCCCTTCCAGCAATATCCATTCGCTTGATAGAGCTTGGTAAGGCAAACCCTTCATACACAGGTACAACATGACTTACACCATCACCACTGTCAACAACTACCCCGGTTGTCCTCCCCGAGGCATACAACGCCAATACTGCTTGAATGGATATATAAACACAGGGAACATTAAATTGCTCAAACATAACCTGACACATTGCATCTCTATTCGATCTTGGATTCAATGGTGCTTCAGTGAGTAGTAGAGGGTGCTCCTCGGGCTGAATTTTAAGCTCTTGTGTAAACATATGATACCAAAGTTTCTCCATATCCGACCAATTTGTCACAATTCCGTGCTCCATTGGGTAAGTGAGTTTTAATAAACCCCTATTGTTTTGAGCCGAATCACCAATAAATATATCACCATCTGATGAATCTATTCCTGTAGATGAAGCTAACAAGGAACCCGCCATAAGTTTTTGGTATTTCGGTCTGCCCACCACTGCCGATGCATATGTACGTGGCTTATCATCCCCAGCAAACCCCGCCTTGAGATTACCTGATCCATTGTCTACCACAACTGGTTGATTATACAAGGTTTCCATGACCAATGGGTTAGGATCAAAAAAGTTTAAAACGCGTGCACTTAAAAAATTGTAAACAATGCGGATCCAGTCCTTTCCTCCACCACACACACACACACACACACACACACGCAGTATGCTGCACCTCAATGCTTTATCCAACTCACAACGACAACAAATAAGGAATGCTTTTGCTTTATTGGATGGCGAATCAAAGGACTCTCTAATCACTAAAGAAGATTTGAAAAAGATGTACTCTAACCTAGGGCTTAAACAACCCTCAGAATCTGAAATTGAAACCATGTTTACCATTGATAATGTCAATTATTCCGACAAGGGTATATCATTTACACAGTTTCTGAATATTCTTGCCAAAGAGTTTCTGTTGATTGAAGATAGATCGTCGATATATGAGGCTTTGCAAGTCTTCCTGGCAAAGGGAAACTACAAATCCTTCAAGGATGAGTTGCAAATTGATCTTGACGACTTAAAAGATGCTTGTTGCTCAGTGCGAACGGGTGATGGGAATCGCCTATCACGCTCTACATTTGACGAACTGGTAAAGGGATTCGTTCTGGAAACAATAGATGGTAAAAAGGTATTTCTAGCATCGAAATGGATGTCAGCGTACATTGATTAGAAAGCTTGAGGGTTGCACTATGTAAAGTTATTAGCTATAGAGCCGACAACACACCACGCGGTACGTACTAGCTTCCCTTACATTAAATATACATGAATACATTATCCATATTTGTTTATACATTAACTACCAACTCTTCTATAACTCCGAAGCGAATGGCAAAACATTCAAATCACCAACGGCGACGTAATTAAAGTCCTTGACAGGAGCATCAGCTGCAGTTGGTTTAAATTCTAATGGGTGCGCAACCTTTGATTGTAAAGCAATAGACAATTCAGCAGATTTAACAGCTTTGCTCAAATCACTTGAAGTAACTGATTCAGCAACCTTCTTGGCTTGTCTGATACCTTGAGCAACATCACTAGCCTTACCAGAAACTGAAATGACAAATAAACCAGCATCTTTGTATTTGTACAAGTGTGAAGTGGCACCTGGAATCTTAAACAATGGAGCAACAGATGTTGGTAAAGTAGAGGTACCAATGGCGGCTGACAACACTTCGTATCTACCGAAATCAGCTGGCTTGACTGGGAAACCAATCAAAGCTGTGGATTTTCCAGTAGCTGGTATTCTGGCTTCGGCGTTCTTGTGGAATTCTGGTGTAGCAGCTTGTGCTTTTGAACCTTTTGGCAAGTAACAGAATGCAGATTCTTCGACAAATTTAGTCAAATCGGCTTCATCAGCACCTTGGGCCACTATTTGAATGTTTTCTCCTGTAAAATTATCTTGAGCAAATTGTGCCAATTCTTCAACCTCAATAGGAGTGGATTCGCTGTAATACAATGGGTTACCCAAACCTCTTCTGAATGTGATTTCGTGCAATTTTTCCAATCCAGTGAAATGTGAGTTCGATTGCGCAGCTCTAGCTTCGGCAAGAGCAGATGGTAAAACAACTTCTTCGAATTCATGTGGAGTGAATTGGGTGTTTGAAAGAACATTTCCTAAAGCTTCAACATAGTATGGCAAGTCTTGTTTTAAAAATTTAGTTTTCAAAACCAAAGCATCTCTTCTGACATGTCCTTTAAAGTGTCCACCCAATAATTCAGATTCTCTAGTAAAACGCAATGCTGACTTGGCACCGTTGTTTAAGAATGCAAATTTCGATAATAAATGTGATGTACCAAATTTACCGTCTTTGGCACCTGCATTTGAAACAACGACATGAAGTTTGGTCAAGCCATTGACGGACTCCTTTGTTGAAATCTTGATACCATTTGGTACGGAGCTGTAAGCACGAACGGCAGTACGGGACAACATGTGGGGGTCTAGTTTATGTTATATGCTTATGGAAAATCGTCGCTGGTGGACCTTTGTTCAGAACAGAGCTTTCTACTTTTTTTTCAAAAGTGAAGAAGAACCAAAAAAAAAAAAAAATTATAAATTCTCAGTCGTTGATTGGCACATGAGAAAGTCATGTGACTCAAAATATATAGGTAACACTCTGAATGTCCAACACGAGTCAGTTCCAAGATACAAATTGCCACCACAACATACTCTATTAACTATATCTGTGCTAAGCTAAGTTGTTCGAGCTCCTTCTTGCAGATGTCATTTTCAACACCGTAATCAACAATGAGCTTGGCCCATAATAAGTCCATCAAAATGAGTATATGTACACCACCCCATATCAAGTTGATACTATAAAAGAAATTTGCATTACCGTTACCCAAAACAATCCAACAATAGTAAAAAATAGGAGACAAGATAAGCGATGTCACCAAAGTCAAACTGGAAACATAAATCAATTTGCAATACGGCAATACTGTGCCCTTGAAAATGGGTAATATTGATAACGCAAAGCCCAAATCACCGATTGTTGGGTATGGTTTTGTGAATGAGATCCATAGCAATGATAACAACACGGCCAAGAATGAATCACCCAATTCAGGAGTAGCATTTGATTCAAATAATCTCATTGCAATTGGTAATATGAACGAAAATGAGTATAGATTAAACATCCCAAGATAAAATGGCGTGAAGAATTCAAACATCTCAGTAAATAAATACCACCATAAACCAACATTTGGTGTTATTTTCTTGAAATATATGACAGCCAAGTAGCAATTATCTACAAATTTCCACGACGACGTAAATGCAAACGAAGCTAACCCCAAAAGAAGCAATGAACCAAAGTAAACCGCCAAGCTGGCACGTAACAACTTTGTCGTGGTTGTTGAAAATGTTTTGAGAGCCAACCCCAACACCGAAGGAAAAAGATACAATGCATTAAATGAAAGGTATGTTGCCACTGCAAATGCAATCATTGATCGTACAATATTCCTCTTTTGTACAATTTGAGTCAAGCTCTCAACAATAAAATACCATGTAAACACAACTGTAGAATGACTCAAGTTTGTCAAAATGATTAATGGGTTGAACAAGTAAAAACACGCAACCAAATCATTGTTGAATCCAGTGATCTGTGATCCAACGATTTTGCTACGCGAATTGTTGTACCACTTGTTGAGTTGTACTATCTTCCAAGCTATTGATAAATCCATAACCGTGTACGCCAAATTGAACCAAACGTACGACGGTGGCAAAAAACTAATCCAGGATGCCATTATTACCAATAATGGTGGATGATGATTCACTCCTCCGTCATACAAATCTATATCGTGATTCCAAAAATATATCGCCTCGAGCAATGACTTGAACGAGGTTATGGGTGTATTCAACTCAACTGTTGAAGAAAGGGTGGTAGTTATTGAGGGAATGAACGTTGGTAGTAGAAACCGTATTAACCCTCCTATGATGAACACTTGAAGTAATTTACCCATGTTTTAGTCTTGTTGGTGGACGTGTCAACTGAAGCTGAAAAAAAAAAAACATTAGTATGAAAATCAAAATCCATCAACAGAAAGTGAATCAAGGTGTACGAGAAATCTACTGATTTACACAATGTCCAGCGTATGTATCAACACAGATTCCAGGACACAGTGCTGTACTAACATATTCTAGTTTCAACCAATCAACCCAAAGCCCTTCATAAAATCACTAATAGGGCAGGAGGTAGTCGTTAGACTAAAATGGAACAAGACAGAATACAGAGGGCAATTGATGTCAACTGACAATTACCTCAATTTACAGCTAGATAACACGTTTGAGATTATATACGATAGTGAAGACAAATTTCGTGAAGAAGAGATTGGAAGCATATTCATAAGGTGTAACAACGTGTTGTTTATAAGAGAGTACAAGAATGAAGGAACTGAGAATAATAAAGTACCGGTAACTGAGAAATCAGCAAGTGTTGAGGAAGCGGACAAGAGCAACAATGGTGAAGTGGGTGCTAGTGGTGAAATTGAAGTCGCAAAGGTAGAGTTGAAGGAGGCTGAAATGGAGGGATAAAGGTACAATAGTTATGGATGTCAATCTCGTCTGAGCTGGGTGAGGTATTGACAAGTTAATAGTTCTTTATAGGCGTCCAAATACCTATTCGATTCTGTAGCGTTGGTTGACGTTCACCCACCAGTTGTCAGAAAAAAAAAAATCAAACTTCCATCTTTTTGAAGTCAGACCGGGAAGCCAATGACTGAACCAGAAGTTGCCCCATACGGAGGGTTCATAGTAAAGACTTTAGAAGACGAGAAGGCAAATGAAGCCAATCTTGAAGAGCTTGCCATAGAAGTGGGATATAATGGCAGTACTCAAAAGTTAAGACCAGAGGCATTGAGATTGAATGGGGTGGACAATCTATCCACCGAAGAAATCAAGTCATATGTTGATTACTATCTCAACTACACAACATCACATAACGAAGAGCTTGATACAATAGAATACAACCAGATCCCCTTTGAGGAACAAGTGACATTTCGTGTTGAGTGGATTGACGATTCCAACGTTAATATAGTTTTTAAAACAAATCATGATAAGTTAAGAGCACTTAGACAATTGTGCGGTGATCCGATAGACATCAATGAGGATGATCCGTCCTTTATAACAGAGGCAATTCAAGAACGTCGTGCAAAAGATTACAATCCAATAGTAGCTTTTCGCAGCAGTCAAAGCTTGTCCAATCGGTTGGGATTGAAGGAAAAGTCAAAAGATGATCAACAAGAGGGTATGATGGAGGACGAATCTTCAATCGAGTTACGTATTAGGCAATCATTTCAACTGGATCGAAAAGTAAGGAACGCATCGCAATATTCACGGTACTACCTAATTCATGGAGAACCTGAGAGAACACGCAGACCTCGCCCACCACATAGACATAAAAGGAGAGATTTTGAAGTGAAAGCAAATGCTGAGAAAGAAGAAGAGGAGGATTTGTTTGCAGACAAACTCAAACAGGGAAGAACCAGATCGCGTGAGCCGGTGATTGATGACGACGAGGATTTGTTTGCTGATAAGTTGAAGAGGAGTAGATCACGATCCCCAACTCGATCTGGTAGTAGTCGTTTCAGTCAAAGGTAAATTGAAAATTGTATCTATTTCGCTCTTGTATTATACACAATATAGAATTGAACTTTTATAAACAATCATGACGATGTCTCTCAGTTACCCTCTTGACCAAAATCTTCAGTGAATTTGACATGGTTTGCTATATCAGACTCATTGACGGTAGGCCTATTGCTTTTGATTGATTTAATAAAATCTTTTATCGTTAAGGCTGGCTCCTTCAATTGATCGGTTTCTATTTCCATCCAGCTCATTTCTTTTGCATCAGCATCGCCAGGCGAGCAAGGTGTTAATTTTTCCTTGTCGTCATCATCCATTACAGGTTTGAAATGAGTCGCTTGTTGAATCTTTCTGATGGGTTGCATCAAAGCATCTCGTACAACCACAGCAATATCATGCCCAGAATAACCATCCGTCATTTCAGCTAAAGTTCTATAATCATGAGGAGAACATTCACATGGGACTTCACCAATGTTGATCTCAAACATTCTCGATCTTGCTTCAACGTCAGGTAACGGAATGTAAATTCTTCTTTCGAATCTTCTTCTAATTGCAGCATCCAATTGCCAAGGAATGTTTGTGGCGCCCAACACCAATACACCCTGTGAATCATTTCCCACACCATTCATTTGCACCAACAATTCTGTTTTGATTCTTCTTGAAGCTTCACTCTCACCCTCTCCTCTTGGTCCACACAAAGCATCAACCTCATCAATGAATATAATGGACGGCTTGTTCTCCCTAGCCATGGTAAACAATTGTTTTACAAGTCTTTCCGATTCACCCATCCACTTTGAAACTAAATCTGATGAAGAAACACTGAAAAATGTCGAGTTTGCTTCCGTAGCAACTGCTTTAGCCAAGTACGATTTACCTGTACCTGGTGGTCCATATAAAAGAATACCGGATGTCGGTTTCCTATTGCCCACGAATAGCTGAGGGAATTTCACAGGTAAGATTACCGCCTCTTTCAACGCTTCTTTTGCTCCTTCAAGTCCAGCAATATCTGACCATTTGACATTTGGTTTTTCAGACAAGATTGCTCCTGCGAGAGCACCTCTTAATTTCTTTGTATCCGCGTCATCATCATCATCTCCGCTTCCGGACTTCTTTGCCTTTGTTGAGCCATTAGTGGAGTTTTCAGCTGAGTTGGATTTGTTTTGTTGTTTCTCGAGGTGGTCTTTCAACTGTTCTGCTCGAGTTAAATACTCTGTAAATTTTGATTTAACAAGCTCTTTCGACTTGGGGTTCTTTTCATACTTGATGGCCAACATCAAGTAATCAAGACCATTGTAGTATAACTTGTAGGCCTCCTCGTATCTAGTTGCAGTATCAGCGTCTATCGCCTTTTGCACTAAATCGATACCTTTACTTAGAAAATCAGACGCTCCTGACATTATTTGGATCAACTGTTTTGTTGAGTAGTTATGGTTGTTAGCCTTTGGAGCTGAAATCTTGCAAGACCTATCACAGAAAAAAATGAAATGGCAAATGGAAATGAGCCTTTTTGTGTAACATGAGAACATGTGAGGCTATTAGGCAATGTAGGCACACTCACCCACTCTCAAACACGTAGACGCATCAGCTGTACCAGTTGTCTGTTGTATATATGGTAGTGGACAGAGCTCTTTGTTGAATTCTTTGGTGTAACAGGAATCTTTTCCCTTCTAGTTGTGAATCAAACTTCATATTAAAAAATACCTATCTGCACCTTAAATCAGAATACGTTTTGGACTCCTTTGAGGCTACGCGTGACCTCACTAAGCAAAATAAAGACCGAAACCGCTTTGTTTGTTGTCTCTGCTATACGTGTGATTGAGTTGGAACTTATGAATTTAGTGGTGGATAAACTCAGGTAGCGCAAAAACTCTCTATACACAAGAAAATCATTATCCTAAACTTTTCTATCTCATGCCGAACAACTCTTCCTCGTAAAGCCATTTTGTATATCCATTAAAACATAATGGCAGGTAGAAATCACAAAGAATCAGCTTCAGAATCGGAAACTCCATCGTCACGTCATTATAACAGAGACAGGGATGGACCACAAACATCTTCAAGTAGGACTTCACAAAAGGCTAGAAATCAACAAACTTTACAACAACAGCAGGCCTATTTACAAAAACACATCAATGCAAATGGACCAAAAGATAAGCCCAAGATTGATCCCCTTGATTTTGAAAGAATGGATGAAGCTACGCTACTTAGATATAAGGATCGCTACAATATCAACCTTCCACGACCCGAGTCGTTAAATTCTGACATCTTGAATAGTGAAATTGGAAAGAAAACATTCAGCAAAAGAAGTCAAGCTAGGCGGCTACAGAAAGCCGGTATGGGAATGGATCACAGAATAAGTAAAGGCGAATTTGCCAATCAAGTCAAGAACCATTTCTTGGGATTACAGGCGAAGGAGAATGATATAATTACTGGGTTCTTGTATAAAGTTAAGCATCAGGATAAAGAGTTTAAACTTACTTTCCAGTGATTGCTTTGTAGAGCTATAAATGAATAGTACTATCTGAACTAATAGGTTTACGCGTAAAAGAAAAGAAAAAAAAAGAGAAAAGATCAAATTGCAAGTGGGCCTCTCTTTCTTTATCTTCTATCATGGACTCTTCGGCGATACTATTCGTGGTAACCTTGATCATTGGGTTTATATTCCTCAGATGGATAATATCTCCCATTCCAGAAACCAATGATTTCAATATAGATCCATCCACCTTGTCGAAAGATGGAGAAGACGAGACCACCACCGAAATATCCACATCAACGAAAAGACGTAACCGAAGAGAAGTAACTGATTCAATGATTGAAGTTGTGCAGACTATTGCTCCCAGGTTGACTGTCGAGCAGATTCGCTTTGATTTGGAAAAGACCGGATCGGTGGAAGTGACAGTTGATAATTATATGGAGCATGGAGATTTGCCACATCCCTCAAAGTAAATTCAATCACAAGTTTAGGAACATATGTGTGTAAACCACAAGTGTATGCTAATGTGGGCAGCTGCACTGAACTTTATGAGAGCAAGATGGCTTTGCTCAGCAAGACATAGTTGCGGAGCAGCTACAAGTTGCTTACCTAATGGGATCAAGAAAATGTCAATTTAGAAAGATTATACATAGATTACAGAATCAATGTGGGTGTGATTCGTTTTTTGCCCTTTGTATCTTTAAAGAATGTGTCTATCGTAGGAGCTTGTTTCTTTGGTGGTGAGGATGAGGTTGAACTTGCTTGATGCTGTTCCTTCACGGGTGGCACCTTTTCTCGATGTAAATTATCACCCAATGGACCGTCGTACAATGAGCCAAACGTGTTGGCTTCGAAGTTGACAACAGAGCAAAATCCGTCCATTGAACTAACTAGCAACTTCGTACCGTTCTCGTCCCAAGCGAGATCAGTTATAGCTTGATAATGTATGTTTGAAACCTGCCCCAAGGGTTTGAACTCGTCATCCGTTGAGTAAATCACTATACTGTCCAACGTTCCGATTGCAAAAATCAATTTATAAGGCAATACCAGTGATTCACTTAGCAGCTTAAATAGTTTAGGATTAAACGACACGATAATTGCTGGTTTGATGAACCCACTTATCTTGATAACTGGTCCAGTTTGCAAATTTGCTATCGAGTATATGTAGACACAATTTGATCCATTTTCATCCAAACCAGCAGGAGTAACCAACAATGACCCCTCGGGTGAGCAACATAGCCTTCGGAAAAATGATTGAAGGTTTTCCGATTGATACATTTGAGTGCCGCCAAGTTTTTGAAATTTGTGAAGTAGCGATAGCGATCCATTGTCACCGAGTTTGTAAGCAACAATGCTACGGTCTGCGGATTGTGTGAATAAATAATCATTAGAAAAAGACACACCTTGGATAAAGTGATCATTGTTTTCCAACGTGTGAACTGGCTTTCCCGTTAACTTCTTCCCATTCTCAACAACATGATAGACCCTCAAAGTGTTATCCATCGATCCTACTGCCAAGTAATTTCCGCACCAGCATATATCAACCAATTCATTGCCAATTGTTATGTTTCCCACACATTGCCAACTTTCCTTCATATCTTCGTCTTCTTCATCACCCAATTCTTTAACCAAGGTATCGCTCTTTGTCCACAAGAAAACAAACCCATCGTCTCCAGCAGTTGCAAGGACATCCCCATTCGAATTAAATCTGACGACATTCACCGCTTGAGTATGTTTTCGCAATGTAGAAAGGTACTCGACTGAGTTGTCAACAAGTTTCCAAATTCGTACATTATTGTCTCCTCCTCCTGTGGCTAATCTTGGTATTCTGTTTTCAGCTGTCGTTGGTTGAAGGTCCAATGAGTATATGGGTTTATTTTCGTCATGCCAATGTACAGCTATCGTAACCGCATCCATATTCAATATTCGATTGCAATGACTGTTTAATTGTTATATGATGTGGTTGACAATCAAAAATTTGGAAAAAGAGAAGGACGCGTTTTCTGATTTGGTAACGCTACCAATTGATATCAACTGTAAAAGTGTCTTGTATAGAGCATCAACATCGACTCCAACAATCAGTGAACTGAGTTGAGAGGGTTCATTCTCTAGACACACTTCTCTTGAATGTGTCCGCTTTATCGCTGGGTTTCTCAACGTAGCTTGTGAAATTCTTAACAATCTGTTTTGAGTAATTCCGAGCAACGCATTTACCCCAGAGATGAGGAAGTTACCTAAAACAAATGTAGTTGTGCCAATCTGCTCTATTAAGGAAGATCAGATAGGATGCGAATGCATTTTAGGAACAGTTCTCAAGTAATTTGTAAACGTCATCAATCAAGATATGTCTGAAACCAATCTGTAAAGTAAAATTCCGAGGAAAAGTTTATAAACGGCAACGACAAAGACAATGACAGAAAAAAGAAAAAAAGCAGCCAATCTCCCCTCGGTTTAAGCTACACAAAAAGTATAAAAAACCAACGTATTCGATGGTACATCAAGTATAGCATAGGGGTTTAAGCGCAGTGTTTGGAAAGAAAATAGAACTCAAAAAGGACGGTTATCAAGAGCAAAGCTTTGTCATGCCAGAAGTGGAATCAGAGCATAAGAAAACGTCATCAGGCAAAGCCCAATCACCAATGTCATCGGAGCCATCTACTCACACGAGTGAAAGAGCAAACTCAGAAATTGAAGACGCTGTACTGATCAAGAAACCCAAACAACAAAAATACACAGAAGCCGATGCAGGCGATGGGACGAAGGCTCACGAGCAATATCTTACTGGTGTACCATTGTTCCTCACTATAATATCATGTGTTGTGACTCTATTCATTGCTGCATTAGACCAAACTATTGTATCTACGATATTGACAACAGTGGGTGACGATTTCAACTCATTCGAGAAAGTGGGATGGCTTACTTCTGGGTTTATGCTACCCATGGCGTGTTTGATTCCATCATATGGTAAAATTTCAATAGCATTTGGTAGAAAAGCCACACTCATAGCCGGGATTATAGTTTTTGAAATTGGGTCATTGATTTCGGCTCTTTCTAATTCAATGAGTTTGTTAATTGGTGGTCGGGTGATTCAAGGTATTGGTGGAGGTGCTATTCAAAGCATGGTGATGGTGATTTTAACCGAGAGTGTACCAATATCTAGGCGATCATTGGTTTTTGCATCAGTATCAGTAGTATGGTCTACTTCAAGTGTACTTGGTCCAATAATTGGTGGGGCTTTGGAAAAGATTACTTGGAGGTGGTGCTTCTACATAAACTTGCCCATTGGGGGTGTCAGTTTACTTGTCCTTATATTTGGTTTCAATCCGCCGAAACCAAAAGGTAACATTCGGGAAAAATTGTCCACAATTGATTATATTGGTACTTTTTTCTTGACACTGGGATTAGTTTTGGTTCTTTTGGGATTGACTTTTGGTGGAGTCGATTTTCCATGGAGATCTGCAGCGGTAATTTGCTTGTTCACCATAGGTGGAGTGTTGCTTATAATTTTCTGCATATGGAATTTCCGCTATTCATCACATCCTATCATATTAGCGGAGTTTGTAAAATCATTTACAACCATGACCGCTTTAATCAGTGCCATGTTTAATTTTGGGTTCTTTATATCCAACTTGACCTATTTGGCAGTTTACTTCCAAGTGGTGTTCAATGCAAGCTCTTTACAATCAGGTATAGACTTGCTACCTTTGGTTGTATCTGTTACTATTGCATCATTGGCAAACTCAATGTTTATCAATATGACCAAGAATGTCAAAATTACAATGATTGTTTCGGGTATATTGAGTCCCCTTGGCTCTGGTCTTTTGCTACTATTGGACAAACACTCAAGTGTTGGGAAAAGAATTGGGATTTTATTAGTATCTGGTATAGCTATTGGGTTGCAGTTTCAAAGTTCGACATTAAGCGCACAGTTGGTTGCTCCAAAGGATATTCCCGGTGCACTTATCTTGGTTACTGTGTTGCTAAATTTTGGTAGAGAATTGGCATCGACCATCTCGGTTACAATAGCACAATTGTTGTTTCAAGTTACTGGAACCAGATATCTCGAAGATTTACAGCGTGATATGAGCAGTAGCGTCGATGGGTATGCGCAATTTGCAAATATTTCAGCAAAGTCATTGATTTCGAACCCAAGACTTGTTAGAAATTTTCCTAATGAGGTACGAGAAATGGTATTAGATCAGTATATGAAGGCGTTGAAAAATGTCTTTTACTTCGGGTTGGCTTTGGCTGTTGTGTGTTTTATTGCATCTTTATTTACAACAGGGAAGAAGATACCTAAAACAAAGGATATTAAAACAGCGGATAGCGAAGATGATCAAGAGCAGATGAAAAAGGCTAAGGTGTCTGATGAGGCAGATCAATTACAGACTGAGGAACCTACCGCAGAGAGTCTAAGCTCGCATCAAGAACAACATCCAACAATGAGAGAGGTCTCAAAATAATCAAACGATAACTGTTTTGCATTCAGTTATTTAGCTCCCTGAATCTATAGAAAACTTCTTTGTCAAACTTTCCATATAGGACGTCAAAATATACTTTAACTGCGCCAATTGCGCTTCTTTTGACTTAAAATCTTTTTCAAAATTGCTTATTATATCATCGGTTTCTTGTTTGATCTTAGAAATCAATTTATGCGTTCGTTTATTCTCTTCATTGCGTTCTGCATTTTGTCGCATCACGTCATCCAATGCCTCATTTGTCTCTTTCAACCTCTTGCTCAAACTTTCATACTTTTTAGTATACAGCTCTTCCAAATCACGATATTTTTTTTCGTATTTGGCCAATTGTTCGGATCTTGTTTGAATTTGTTTTGCCAAGTCATTGGAATCTCGAGTGATGTCCTGCAATTTATCATTTTGTTGGCGTATATTATAAACGTCGCTTTCGTCTTTAGTCAACAGCCTCGAGATGTCCTCAGCCACTCTGATTAGATTATTGATACTCAATTCGTTTACTTGTATTGAATCAAGAGTTTTGCCCAAGTTTTGATATTGTTTTTCAAAGGTTATAAAAGTTCTGATTAACCCTTCTGCTTCCTTGTCTAAATCATTAACAATGGTGGTCAATTGGCCAATATCTTTTTCTTTGAAACTTTTCAAGTTTTCAATTTCGCCAGATGTCTCATCACAGAGGAAACCGATATCGTAAAGCTGGGTAGCAAGAGAATTCTTTTCCGTTTTGTAGTCGTCATGTTGTTTGGTCAATCTCTCTTGAGTGGACTTTAATTGACGAAGTTTGGACTCTAATTTCTTGTTGTAATTGTAAACATGTTGGAGCTCGTGTCTGGGAACATCACTATTTCCATCATCTTCATACTTTAATCTCCTCTGCAACTCGTGTATCTGTGAAACACGAGCCTCATTCTCCTCCTGTAATTGTTGAATTCGAGTTGTTGTAGAGTCAGCTTCTTCAGCCAATGCCTCATACTCGGAGGAGATGTTTTCTCGAAACCGTAGATAATTGACAACAGCACTCAAAAGTCTTTTGGTGCTCAATGCTTCTGGTCGTGTCAAGTCTAAAAGGGTGAAATCATCAACTCCAATATTTTGAAAGAATTTACGACAACACCTAAACAATGTAAGAATCTCATCAGTGGCTGATGGCTCGATACTATTCTCCTCCAAATTGGACCCACCATTTTGCTCGGCACCTTCATCAGATGCATTGTCGTCTCCATTTTTCAAAACCTCCAATCTCCTCATTGCTAGTTCTCTGGCTCTTTCATAGAGATTGTCGATACCCATGAATGTCTCGAGAAAATGTGTATATAACCTGATTATGAAATCACTGGTTGGTTTGGCGATTAGCTCTAATGACACATTGAAATCACACTCCAACAAACATGAAGTTATCTCTCGTGTATCCAAGTACGGGAACGCATCTTTCGTGACTGGTCTTACTCCCCTAGCTGGAGTGGTAGTAATTGTACTTTGTCGTCTCATAAGGTGGTGCTTGTCCTGTTAGCCGTGGTGGTGGTGTTTAATATTCTTTTATGGTTGTTGTTTACACTTTATTGTGGTTACAAAATAAAATTAATTCTTGAGAAAACGGAAAATGGAAGAGATTGAGACAGAGAGAAAAAAATTACAAGACACATCGACAGTTCGTTACAAGAGTTTGACGAAGGATCAAAATTAGTTTGAAAGTCTCATCATCAATCAAAACCGAGGTACTAGTGGTACATCAAGCAAAAGATAGGGTCACACATTTAGGTTTTCCATCGATACATACACAACTATCTTAACCAACTAGAAACTATGGCTAACGAGGAGTATGTGACAGATTCCAGTTCGGATTTCACAGAGTACTGGATTGATTCATTTTTGGGTATAAAAGGTAACGAGTACTTTTGCGATATAGACGATGAATATATACGTGATCGTTTTAATCTTACGGGGCTAAATCAAGAAGTGTCGAAACTTCCCACACTAATAGATATAATAACCGATGTCATTGATATTGACTCCCAACCAGAAGAGCACCGAGAGGCGTTGGAACATAACGCAAGGATATTGTATGGTTTAATCCATGCAAGGTATATATTGACAACCAGAGGGTTGAATAAAATGTTTGAAAAATTTCGTAATGGAGATTTTGGGTACTGTCCCAGAGTTCATTGTCAACTAAATCCTTTATTGCCTATAGGGTTGAATGACCAGCCCCGTATGGCAAGTGTTAAATTGTACTGTTCCAAATGTGAAGATTTGTATAATCCCAAATCAGGACGTCATTCAGTGATTGATGGTGCTTATTTTGGGACTTCTTTTCCAGCAATGTTTTTCCAAAATTTCCCAAACATGATACCGATACATCCAAAGGAAACGTATGTGCCTCGGGTATTTGGGTTTAAATTGCATGAGTATTCAAAATTGAATAGGTGGAGAGAGTTGCAAAGGTTGAAATTGGAGAGGAGATTGGCCAAGAGTGGCATACAAATAAAGAATGTCGTTGGTGGGTTTCAAACTGATAACAATCAGCCTGCATCGCGTAATGTATAGTATGATCGTAGCATAGCTTTGGTGTTAATAGACATAAAATTGGAAACGGTGATGATTTGTGTAGCGCTCTTGGAGAGAAGAAGAAAAAAAAAAAAGTTTCGGTGGATTTAGTGGAATCTGATGATTTGAGATTCTTCAAGGACCATGTCATATTTGAGGGCGACAAGAGTAGCATCGAGAGTGAGATTTCTCTCCACAAAACAGTCCACCTCCTCAATACAAGAGATTGACAAATACAATGACCTTCCACCGAATTCGCGAGTGTTTTCAATGATTCAACCAACAGGCAGAATACATTTGGGCAACTACTTGGGTGCAGTTAAGAGTTGGAGGACCTTGTCCAATACTAATCCTGATAGTGAGTTCATCTTTGGTATTGCAGATCTACATGCATTTACCACTCTCAAACCCGCTACTGAGTTGAAAGAGAATAGATATCAAGCAATTGCAAGTCTATTAGCCAGTGGTTTAGATGTTAGCAAATGTGTCTTATACTTTCAATCTGCTGTACCTGAGCATCTGGAGTTGAATTGGTACCTAACATGTATGACCAGTATGGGACAATTAAATAGAATGACACAATGGAAACTGAAAGCACAGCAATCACAAACAAGTTCAATCACAGATGAGAAGGTAATGGAGTCAACAAAAGCTGGATTATTTTGCTATCCAGCCTTGCAAAATGCTGACATTTTGCTATATAGATCAACCCATGTTCCAGTAGGAGACGATCAATCGCAACATTTGGAGCTTTGCAGAAACATTGCCAAACTATTCAATAATACATACGGTGTCGACTATTTCCCCTTGCCAAAAACTTTATTAACTCCAGCAAAAAAAATTCTTAGTTTGAAAAACCCAGAAAAGAAAATGTCCAAATCTGATCCTGTGCAAGCATCTTGTGTTTATGTGACCGATTCGCCTGAACAAATTCAATCAAAGATCAAAAAAGCAACCACAGACTCGATTCAAGGAGCTTGGAACTATGATCCAGTATCAAGACCAGGTATATCAAACTTGATCAATATTATATCGGGCTTGACAAATGAGTCAATTGACAACACTGTTGCCAATTTACATCATTTAAAAGACCACAAGAGTTTAAAGGATTACGTTGCCGACTTGATCGTCAATGAATTCGATGACAAGAGGCAATTGTATGATGAACTTCTCCAAAACAAAGATTACCTTGAACAAGTTTGTAAACAAGGAAGAGACAAAGCTAGAGAAATGGCTCTGGTAAACATTGGCGAGATCAAAACCATCATAGGGATGGACTAAATGATGTATATAGGTAGTAGATAGACCTTGTAAATAGACCTCAAAAGTATACGTCTTAGAATTGGTTGCCTTGTTGTATGCGTAATCTCGACCCCCTCCCTACGGTTGTTTGTGACCGGCACGTCTCGTAGTTTTTTTGCAAGTTGTTGCACAGACTCGTACCATTTCACAATTCACAAATTGCTGCGAAAAATAAAGACACTCAACTAACATGAAATGCAACACAAAAGATTTATTGCTTAACAAAATTTCGCGTTGTTTTGAATTTTCAATCAGTCACGTAAACATATAAAAGATGGAAATTCCCAAATAACACAAACACCACTCTTGGCCTCTTTGTGAGTGTCATCACATCACAAGACTAACGTATAACAGTATACTATAAACTAAAGAAGGACGAACCCAATTGAATGATCAGCAATTGAAGTGTCATAGCTGTTCATCTCCACATACACACACACATACACACACACACACGCACACACGCACACAAGTTCAAAGCGTCACCCGAGTCTCAGTCTTTGTTCCTTTTGCAAACTATAAACAACGAAAAACACCAACCGGTTTTGGACTAATCAGAGAGAGGGAGCCACGTCCGAAAGTACACACAGAAGACACAACCCACACAACCCACATAACAATCGACAAAAATTTTTTTCTACAAAACCACAACAAACATTTCATTACTCGTTGGTACATCATCCACTCTTTTCTTAGCAGGCACCACCATTGACCATCATTTCTTACAACAACACCAGCCACAACACATCAACTCATCATGACTACCGAAGATAACGCTCACAAACAGATGCAAATCAAGATACTATACTCGTTTGATGATAATCCAACAACATTCCTCTCCAGATCAACTCAACAATATTCAGTGCAAACGGCCGAGGTTCCCATTCAGTCATCATTATCGGAAGAGCCGGAGCTCATAACTCTAGGGGCGTTTGAACTTCGAAGTTGTATCAAACAACTACTCCAGTCTAATCCGGAAAACTTCAAGCTCCATTCAGAAGATTATGCTGTTTACTACAAAGATATAACTGAACAACCAGATGAGCCTTTTGTTTCAAATGGTGTACTTTCATCGCTTGTATCGTCCAAAGAATCTTGTCTAATTCCGGGTCGGGTTTGTCAAAACGTATCAGCCAATTTTCTATTTGGCAACAAAAAGAAGGCGTCATCATTGACATTAGAAATTAGGTTGAAACTACATACTATTGAAGGTGCCCCTGCTTTTGCGTCTCCGGAAAATGTGTCACAACCACAGCAGCAGCAACTGCAGTTGCAACGCCACCAACTGCAACCTAGACAGCCGCTATCAACTATAAATAGTTCCCACAATGACAGGAAAAGGCCGTACGAGTCCTCACACAAGTCAATGTACAACTCCGCCAAAGCCACAAGAACGTTATCGTTGCCTTCTTACTCAAACATTCAAAACATACGACAAGCCGATCGAGCCAACATAATCACTCGCTATAATAGGGAGAATGTTGAGAATAGGTTCAAGCTGGCGCCATTTTTCCAGGAAAAGGCTGTGTATGATAGTGGGAAGAAAAGACCAAAGTACTCTTCAGGAACTACTACATCACTGCAACAGAGCAAACCAAGTCCGACTCCTTCGCAGCTTATACCACAAAGAGCTGTTCGTACCAGATCAATGTTTACAAACACCCCGATTATGGTCTCATCGCCAATCAATGAAGAATCGTACTCATCTGATGACCCTGAATACAAAGCTAATGAAGACAATAATGAATGTGTTGAGGAAGAGGAAGATGAAGAGGAGGAGGAAGAGGAAGATGAAGAGGAGGAGGAAGAGGAAGATGAAGATTACAATGCTACATCTCCGTACACTCCTCAACAACCACCATATGTTAATAAAGAAACACCTCCGGAGTTGCCTGAAGACTTGGATAGTAAGCGAACTCACACAATAACCAGCGCGAAATTGCCCGACAACCATGGCTTGGTATGCATCAACTCGTGTTGCCGAACTCAGTCATCAATTGCATGGAAATATTTTGAAACTGAATATAAACCTCACTTTTCAGCACTTATACGAGCTACTGAATTTGACAAAAGACATTATGAAGGAATGCTTGGTCCTTTATGTAATGCTTGTTTCCTATTTTACAAAAACAAGGGGTTTATGAGACCAGAACATGTTGTGAGAAAGTACAATCAACAGCAACGATACACTCAGAAATTGAAAATGAAAAATTCAAAAGAGGAGGAAGCAGAGAATACAAAAACGTCATCGTCATCAACACTCAATGCCATTGCCAATAAAAAGAATTTCCATTCCTCTCCGAAAACATTTTTAACTCCATCCCATACCCCATCAGCAATCAACCAAGTCATTCAAAATAAGTACCATAGTGGTCAAAACCATCAGCATTATCACCAACAGCACAATCCGCTACCATCGGGACAAACACCTGACTATCATGATCTACTTAATCAACTAAATGTGTATGGTGGTCCGTCCACTGATATTGATCCATTACCAGGTACAACTCCGCCAATGCTTGCAACAAAGTCCAATACCAGGATCATCAATGTTGCCGATAATGAGGCCAAACGAGCAACCAAACAAAATACCACTGTGATTGATTTCTACGAGGGCGAAGATAAAGAAAATTGCCCACCGCAAGAAGTAAGCAATAAGGAAATTGCAGAACTCGATGCCATGTTGCAATCTATCCACGATGATTCTAATTCCAATTGGATGAATTTCTTTACTGATTCAGTCAGGAAAGATGAAAACAGTCCCAATTCCAAAACCCCTGTTGATCAAAATCCAATCACATTGTTGAAGAAATCGTCAATTCGATCACCAGCAAATTCATCGAATAAGCTGTCAATGGCAAACATGCCTAGCTCTCCATACTTGTCAGCACAATCACAAACTGACAACAATCATAATGAATTGGATGATGATGTCGTCTTGGGCAGTGCAACGTTCAAGCAAGGTGGGTCGTCGTCTCCACAACATGCTGCCAGGACAGATACGGCAACTCTGTTGATGAATTGGCAACACAATCCAAATAACCCGGCATTGAAAGATTTGGGCTCAACTCCGAATACTGACTTTTTTTCCAATATGGATCAAGAGGGAGATAAGTTTGATGGAGATGTAAATGTTGCTTTGAGCACGGAGAATGTGCAAACTAGTTGATGGATTGAAGCATAGTAGTTTAATAAACGTAATTTATTGAATCTCCTTAATCTCGTAAGAATCACAATTGTAAAGTTGCCAGAAGTAGGTGGATATGAGTGAATAACCCCCTTATGGCCCCTTAAGGGGTAATGGGAATTTTTTGTCCTGGGGGGTGAAGCGAGACAATTTTCAGTCATGAAATTTCCTTTGTAGTGTAATGGCTATCACGGTTCGCTTTCACCGAGCAGATCGGGGTTCGATTCCCCGCAAGGGAGCTTTTCATCATTTTACCACATCCTTTGTAGTGTAATGGCTATCACGGTTCGCTTTCAAATGATTACATCATTGTAAGTTCCGAGCAGATCGGGGTTCGATTCCCCGCAAGGGAGGAAATGTTTTTTTTGCACTCGGCAGTTTTAACCCTCGTGAGGGGATTGACTTTTAGGCGCTAGAAACTGATGTACTCTATCATTCATGGCCAGTGCTTGGCGCTGAAGAATGTTGTTGGAATTGTTGAAGACTATGACTATCAGAGTGGCCAGATCTAAGCGGGCTAAAACGGGAGCTTCTGCGAACGTGAGTCAATGCTTTGTTAATGGCCCAATCCGACTTGCTTTCGAATCTACGCCTCGATCATCAGTATAGTTTTAATTTCTTCAATTTTCGTGTTAGATTCTCCTCCTTTATTGATATATTTTTGCAGCAATATGCGATCAAAAATTCTTTCCCAGGCTGGGTCGACATCTCCTGAAACTTTCAAATACGATCGAGGACTAAAACCACAATGTGCGGTCCTAAGCTTCAGTCACACTGTAGTCTCTCTCGACGTTTTTAGTAATCTGGATCTATTCATTATGAGGATACTATAGAAGTTTCATTCTATTTTGTGCACTTTCTGGAAAACAATAAAACCTTCACCAATTCTTGGCAATTATAATCGTTAAAATTTAGAGGGTTTTCTCTTGACAGGTGCCAAAGTTGTGCAACTCATTGCCCATTTGGGATGAAGCTCGTCTTTCACTAATTTTTCGTCCCTTAGTGTTGTGCACTTTAAATTTCCACAATGTTTTTCTATTTTGCACCACGTGTGCACCAGCCGCTTCTCTTTATTTTTGCAAGCCGTCTCAATTTCAAAAAAGATGAAATTGCGAGAAGAGGGGCAGCGGAGAAATTACGAAGAAAAAAAATCTGACAACTTTTGTATCAAGAACACACATCATCACAACATAAGAGATATAGTCTTCTTCAACAGACGTTTCCTTTTGCTATTTACACTGAAGCTATTCTATGCCCCACTTGGAATGATATAGTTCAAGAATCATAGACCATTGATCCTATACTACAAATGAAATAAAACCTCATTTCTTCCCCCACCCATATAATGAAGTTTGCAAAGACATTGGAACAAACATTAGCCAAGGACATACCAGAGGAATGGGTAGAGGCAGCAATCAAATACAAAGCATTAAAGAAAACCATTAATAAGGTAGTTGATGAATTACAGTTCCTTGGATTAGAGAAGAACAAATTAAAACTTATACTTAATGATAAGGTTGTTGATATTAGTGATGATGAGTCCACTACAAGTCCACTGAATCCCATCATTGCCGAGTACACTTTAACCAAGCCATCCCCAGACAGTCACACGATTAAACCAATGTTGAAAATTACGTTGGATTTCAGTCATGAAGAGTATTCGAGTGATAAGATTAATCAAATCTGTCATGAAATAAAGGAAAAGATTGAAGGATTGTTGAATGAAGATGAAAGTGAAGCTGATGAAGAGAAGATTATTGAGTTGACTGAAGATGGAGGTGAATTGAAAGTGGTCTCAAGTAGAGAGGGATCACTTTCTCCATCTATATCTCCCCAATCACCGCACACGTCTCCTCCCTTGTTGGCAAGTGAAGCCAATGGTGGCAATGGTGGTAGTGGTGCAATTGGTAATAAATTGGACAAGTTGGTTTTGAGTGATGATCACAAAAGGCGAGAGATTTATATCATGTTGAATTCTGATAGTAAATTTTTTAAAATGTTGGAGGAGGAGCTAGAGGCGTTGGATAGATTGCGAAAAGAAGAGGAACAAAAGATCATTGAAGAAGTACAACAGGTTGCTCAAGCAGTAGCAGCAATGAAGGACAAGACTTCAGAGCTTTACAAATGGCGTGAATTGTTTAGACTCTATCTCGATTCAGAAGTCTACTTCAAATATAATGAACTCGATCATCAACAACGAGATAGTGATGAGGTTGAAGAACATCTCACCGAATTTTTAACCAATGTGAACAAAACTGGTATTCTTACCCATTTTAAAAAGAAACAAAGTCTTGAAACATATAATCAATTTGTAAAAATGAATTTTCATTTACTCAAGATGCTTCAATTTCAAACCATAAACACTGAGGCATTGCGCAAGATTTTAAAGAAATTTGATAAACAAACATCATTAGGTATTCAAGAAATTTACCCAAAACTTGTTTCATCAGATCACATATTTGTCAGCGGTAAATCATTAGCTCAGTCAATTTGTTATATAATGCAAACCTCAGTGTTGCAACTAATACCCCAATTGGATGATTATTCATGTCCAATATGTACAAATATTGCATACAAGCCAATACGTTTAGCGTGTGGTCATTTATTTTGTGTCCTGTGTCTTGTCAAGATGAAGGAACGTGACAAGACTGATTGTCCATTCTGTCGAAGGCATAATGCTATATTGGAGGCCGATTCTAGTAACTTGGACATAGAAGCTATGCAAGTGATGAAGAAATATTTCCCCGTGGAAGTCAAGGAAAAATTGAGAGACCGAAGTAAGGAAAGGTATCATGAGTTTAAGGGAAATGATAAATGTATCGTTAGTTAGGATTCAGTTCGTTTCATGAAATGGAATATATATAATTTGTATTAGATTCAAGGGAGCATAAGTTTGTCTTTTGTAGGATACACGTCTCCGCATTAGCTACATATTTCAATTTTTTTGCCACTTTCACATGCACAACAATTCGTCACAGTTGCATTCCACATGGGTGCTCAAAAATTTTTGACGTACCTTTTGGCGTAGTGGTAGTTATAGCTGTTTGTTGCGGCTGTAGGTCGATTTCGCCTTTGGAAAGGACCAATGGTGTAGCCTGGCATCACCCTAGATTCTGACGCTTTTGAGGCGCAAGTCTTAAAGTACAGAGTATTCTAGTAACGTGAGTTCGAATCTCGCTTGGTCCTATTTTTTTCTTCTTTTTTTGAAGAAACTCTGTATTAAGTCAAGACACAGAGGGTCACCCCTGGGACAGCTCTACGATGTGAGTGTTACTGTGACGTAGGAAAGCATTCTTTGACATGGTGCTACTTATATCATCCGGCTAAAGATTTGCTAACGATTTCCGAAAAGTTTTTTTTTAGATTGTACATTCTCGTGTCATAAATATGTAAACTACAGAGTATCTTGAAGTATTTGTTGCACTATCCTCTCATTCGACTTTTCATCATCTGCAGCATTATGTAACGGTGGATGTCCCACTTGCTTGTTTTGTTGCTGCTGTTGTTTCTGTTGCGCTTTATTACCATTACCAACGACGTCATCTTCATTATTACCAACCAATGGTGCTTCATTAGCAATTCCGCCTTTGGGAGCTTCAGCCACTCCCAATCCCTTTTCACCCTTAGACCCAGCTGCCAAATTTTCTGCCAAATCTAGATTATCCTTTTCAGTATCAGCTTTTGAACCAACGCCTTTAACCATATTATCCAAATTGTGATTGTCGTTATCTAAATTGTGTTTTTTGTTAGAAGAGGAAGACGATGAGGATGAAGTGTATTGATCTGCTGGTACAACTTCGTATTCTGATTCTGGTTTATCTTTTAAATCTTGTGAAACCCACCACATTAAAGTTCCAATTATTAGAAACATAAAAATATAACCAATTAATTTTCTTCTTGGAGTGTTGAAGAAAACTATTGGCTCTTTGAGATTGTTGTACGGTGAATGCTTCTTTTTCGATGATGGTTTCATGTAGTATGGTCGTGGTAAACCATTGCTATGATAGCTTCCTTGCATTTGATATGTACAGTGTAATTTCGTCGAGGGGGGTATTATTTTATGCTTATGTATGCTTCAGACAATTTTCCATCAGTTGGTATGGACCCGTTACCTTCTTGCGCTAGTGATAGTGTGGGGCTATGTTGGATGAAAGTTTTGATTGATTGATTGATTGATTTCTAGAATTCTCACAAAGAAAGACAATTTTTTTTCTCTCGCGTCGATTTTTTTTTTGATCGATCGATTGAGTGGAAATAGCCTCTGTACAGTCTAGATCTCGCTTTTGTTTTTCCTTCTATGAGGCGGATCTTTTTAAAGCTTAAAGTTTAAATGTAATAGATTAATATACGTTTGTTTAACTACAAGTAGAAGGTGGAAGCTACTAAGGGTATCGAATGTAATAATGTACTACGTAGACTCAATCAATGCCAGTCTAGCTGAGAAATTTTAATTCACTTTGATGTACTATGTATAAAAATTACTCTTTGACTTCTTTTGCAACACAATTGACTACCAAAAGAGAAGTACACTTAATTCAGCACCACCAAATGACCATAGTCATTTCCACACTATTAATTATTCTTGTATTGACCCAATGTGTTTATTCAATACCACCTGCATGCTTCTTGAGTTGTATTGCTGAAGTATCAAGAACCTGTCGCCATAGTTTACGCCACTTGTCATGTGTTTGCATCAGAGAAGATCAAATTGTTGGTTGTTTGATTGATATTTGTCCCTTTGGAAACTTTAATAGTGCTAGAGATCATTTCTTAGGTACTTGTTTGGAACATGGTAAGCCAACAATAACAAATCCTTATCCCCCACCAGCAGCTTGGCCACCACCAGATTATGAGAAAAACTTGCCCAAAATGCATGAGCCAGTGTATCGACCAGAACCAACTAGGGGTCGAGTGGTTGACCCTCTGCTAGTCCCTGCTCATGAAATCGCCGATCATAACAATCCACCGAATTCACAACCACCACCATCTCCACACACTCCAAATTGGCAACCATCACCACCAAATGAAGCACCAGCAAATCATGTCCCCAATAAATTACCCCAGAGTCAAGCACCTCAGAACCAGGAAGAGGAAAACCTGCACTTGCCTAAACACCTTCCACTCACTGTCGACTCACCAACTCAGGCCCCTAAACCAACATCACAATTCATCCCCGACTTTGGTCCTTGGTTCGATGAGTCTGATGACAACTTTACAGACTCGTATGACCCGGAAAAACCATTGGAATGGGAGGAAATGGATGTCTTTGATAAATTTGGACGATTTATAGTTGTTCGCCGTCCAATAAATGTACCAAAGGAATTGCGTGATCCATCAAATGCGGGCAAAAAGAGACGCGTTGTCGTCAGAGGGCCAGTGGATGGGGATAAGCAACGTCGAAATTCAATTCATGAAAGTGGAAGACTTGTTGAAAAAGCTGATTTCGAAAAGAAAACGTCAGCGGTTGGTAGTCATGATGACATCCTCGCATCTCAAACTATAGCTGTTTCACAGACATTTCACCGCGAACCATCACTGGAAGCCACATCACTAGCTCACACTCATAAAAACAACACTGCTCAATCCATAAAACCCAAACGCAAACGAACCAAGAAACTCAACCGCAAAACATCACCCTTTTGAAAATTTTACTAGCTCTTGCCAAATATATTTTTATGTGTCTTTGCATCTACCTTGATACAAACTATCGTTTCTCGTGGTACACTAACCAATCCAATTTCTCTAACATGTAATTTTGTTTTGTCAAATTTATCTTTGGAAGTTTCGTAAACATTTGATAGAAGCAAGTTTCCAAATGGGTCAATGGCAGTTAATATGCCTTCAAGTATCCTTGTATCAGTTATGGTGACATGGAAATTTGCTCCTATATATTTCTCACAGGATACAGCGGTGTGCAGTGCCTCGGACATGATTTATTCAAACGTTGTTGGGCAATTTGGAAATGCCGCGATTTACTACAAAATGAATATCACGAAAATTTTTTTTTTCCCACCTCTTCCTTCTAGTTCTTCTTCTTCTTCTTCTTCTTCAACATCAATCGCGGATTCACCCTTTGTATCAAAGAGTTGACGGTTTAGCTCTTTTTTCTAGATCGATGATTTGTCAACTTTTGAAGGATTTACAAGTGAATAAAAAAGCGTAGATAAACCTTTAATGGAGCACGTTTCTGGGCGCCTGATGTTGACTATATTTTAAAATGGGACATTGGGAATCAGTTGTGACTACAATTATTTAAGTAAAATCCTTGTGGGACTCTATTGTAACTCTGTCACTACATATCGAAGCAAGCTCTCACGGTTGGTGTCAAGTGATGTAGATCCAAGAGTTTACAATTTTTTTTTTAACCGAACTAAAATTCGTTCTCTGGTGAATTCCCCTACAGCACAATGGATGCAAGTCAACAGCAACATGAACTAAGCTCCATCTATCAGGAGTACAAATCATTTTTCCCAAAAAGTGAACTAAATCTAGAAAAAGAACCAAAACATATCGAGTTAACCACAATCGAGGGCCAATCTATTAAAGCAACAGTCGATTTACGAGGCTGGTCTCAGATATCACTCACACCAGCTCGTCACTACGAAACTTTTGAGGCAATGATGCAAGATTTGAGCCCGTGTTTTAGAGACAAGTTTGGTTCAGAACTTGCAAATAGATTGAATAGCTTACTACAATGAAATACAGCAATTGCTATTTGATTGCCTCTCTATATACAAAAGATGCTTCCCCACTTAACGTTTCTTCTTTTCTCCATTTTGACGCCTAACGAATGCTTCAACATCATCAACATCCCTTCTAGATTCCCTAATATAATAATGAGCAGCTCTTGGCATGTACTTTTCCGGTTTATAAAGTACTTCAATATTTCTAATATTGGGGTTGTACGCTGGAATCCTAATTTCTGATCCAACACGATTCAATTTCGTTCTGAGTAAAATATTGGATCCTAAATTACGTTGTCCTCTTTTAATGGCAATGATTCTTCCAGTGACATCTGAACGATCCAAGTAGGTTACTTTGATAATATCACCTGCTCTCAATCCAGTTTCGTAATTTAATAATTCACGTCTTTTCCCCGTTGGATCGTGTTTCGAAAGTAGTTGTTTATGAATATATGTCATTACATTTTCGCCGTTTCTTTTTGGTGGGAGTGGTTCGTAAACGGTTGGCAAAGCTAAACAAAAGGGAAAGATAGAATGTTAGTAGGTGCATCTTTGTAAGATGATCTATTGTATCACGTACGTTTCCTCAAGTAGTGGAAGGATCTTGATGGTACCATGCGACAAGCATTAATACCTAGCGATCGAGATATGGATCCAAACATGGTTGCAGTTGCTGAGTTGTTGATGGTGACTATGGTGATAATTTTTTTTTTTTTTTTTCAGATGTTTTATAATTTTCACTTTCCGTTCAGTGTACTGAAAGGATGACGGTACATGGAGAGGTACACTCTACAACACTACGACAGTATTTTCAAAATGCTATTGGATGATTTCCACTTTAGTGCACTATTTCCTTCATTTTCACTTAAAACCTTGGCTTTCTCTTACGACCCGTGAATTTGGAATCTTCAGCAACCATACGACCTCTCTTTCTCATTGTCTCCTTCTTTCTATTGATGTACTCCTTTCTCGTCTCCATCAATTTCCTCTTTTTCCTATTCAATTTCAGACTCTTTTCTTCAGGAGCTTCCATTTCAGCACCAGCCAAATTTATATTACGTTCGGCCAAACCTGCAGTCAAAACCAAGTAATACTTCTTATTACGTTTCAGCTCCGGCTCATCTATGATCAATCCACCACCAAACCCAGCCAATTTTGCAGCACTCATTATACTTTCAGTTTGTGAATCATTCATGGGATAAAATTGAGCCACAAATTTACCACCTCGTTTCAATGATGCATACAAGGTATTGAAAAATAGTAATAGTCTTTTTTTGGGATCGGCATTTGCAGAGTCGGCATTACATAGCCATTGAATAGCTGATATAGATATGGCTGCATCAAATGTACCGGCACGAAATGGTATCCCATTACCTAAATCAGCAAGGAATAAATCTCCTTCAACATCCCGATCTAGACCAGTTGCCAACATGCTTGGCGATATATCCATTCCTATCCAATCATATCCTTCTTCTGTTAAAATCTCTCCTGATAAGCCTGAACCACATCCAAGATCAAGTATAAATTGTGGTGCATCTTTTTCCAAGTTTAAAAGTTCCAACGCACGTAAAGTCATTTTGGCTTGAATGTGCTGCACACGTGTCGACGACGTATATTTAAAGGACTCTGAATCATTATAAAACACTTCTGGTGGAGCAAGCTCCTCTGGTCTTGACATGGTGTGGTTTTGTTAATAATAACTTTTGGTGATGGCTTTCCCTGGTATCAATTTTTTTTTTTGGGGAGATCCGCGATGGTGATGAGTTAGCGCAACCGAAGGAAGCGAAACCAAAAAGTTTTAGTAGGGTTTATTGAGTGGTACTACTTAATGTTACATATGTGCAGAAGAAGAGGAGGAGCTAAAGCTCGAACGAAACATTTAGAAACGGAATTCGGAATCGGCATCCAGCTTTTCGTGGTGTGCAACGGTCCTAAAACTATGACTTTTTGATTTGTGATTTCCAGTAAAGTCAAACCCTTCAGAATCATCATCGTCATCATCATATCCTGGAGAATTTCGTTTGGTGCTTCCAAAATCGAAATCATTCAATTCATCCTCGGATCCCTCATTATCAAAACTTGATGACTCGTCAGAAGATTTTTCTCTAGCTTCTCCAATTGAATTTGCCTCCACATCGCTTTCGATCTCTGAAGGATACAATGATTGTTCAGCAGTGACAATTTCCCTTACCGATTTGGGTAATCTGTCTGGCCTGTAGAATCTCAAATCTACTCTTCCAACCAAGTACAATACATTAACAAGTAACTCCAAGCCTCCCCAAAACACATACATCATTGCTGGTGAGCCAACGGGCGAGGCATCGTATACCAAGCGTGCTTGAAAGCATGACACGGCTCTTAACACCGATGATAGGAAAATAATCAAAGTGGTTACGGCAAGGATCATCATGGATACATTGTGCGTTAAATCACCACGTTCGTTACTCAAACCTTTAACTGTTCTATAATGATGATGTGTAGCAGCAATAACTCGAATAGCATAACGATGGTTGTGGTTTCTTTTCAAGAAACTCGCTCCTGCTTCTTGTGGCTCACCTTTTTTGACGAAATAAAGTGGGCTAAACGATTTGATCCACCATGGCTGATATGTATACAAATTCTCATCTTTCCTGGTTGGCTTGAAGAAGAATGCCAATCCAATCAAAGAGATGGAGGTCAATGAATAAAGAATGATCAAGATTGATGAAGCTTGTACCACCTTCACGTACCTATAGTAATTGGGCCCACCCAAAAGGTAGACTTGTATTCCCGCGGCGGCAACAATTGTCATGGCAATAACCCCAGCAACAACAGCATACAAAGCAAGCATGAATCCCCAAAACAATTTTCTTGATCCACCAACCGGATGTCTCCATGTGAATATTCGTTGTGCCAAAATCAAATTGAAACTGGTTAACAAAACCTGTGGTAAAATCAAAAACACCTCACTGGCAACTCCAACACCAGTGATACTAAGATCACGCACCCATTGTATTCTTATTGCAAATCCCAATACGCGGAAAATACCATAAATTATAAACCCAATCCCTGGCCAAAAGTAATGCCCTCGTGAATAGTTGAAACTGAAAAGCAAAATGTACAAAACAGTGACAATAGAGTATAGAACTGTAAATGCTATCGATGGTGCAATATCATAATGTTGAGCATAACTACCAAACAAATTGAATTGAATGGCTGTAGAATAATGGACAAATACGTCGGGAATCTTGTTCCCTAATAAATTTCTTGCTTGGAAAGCTAATGGTCCAGCCCCAGATGAAACATGGGGGTAGTTGTTTTGATATTGTAGTAAAGTAATAATACCGTGTATAGGAGTGTACACATGTGGATTACTCAAGTACACCATTTAAAACACAAAATTTCACTTAATGATAAATGATAGATGCGAGGGAATGAACTGTTGCTAGAACTCTTTGATGAGTTGTAAAATTCAGGTGTCAATGACAAACAAGAAAAATGAAAGCTTTTATATGTCTCGGCAGAAGGACCCTTTCTCAGACAGAGCTAGAGACTACAGTATATTCAATGAATTGCCTATTTTGGGTAGATGAACTGTGTTTGTATTTGTGTTTCGATGGAAAAATCAGTTGAAAGCGGTTTTAAAAACGGATTACTGCATTGTTTATAAATCCGGTGTAAAGAAATTTTTCCGCATATTTCCTTTTTATTTTCTTGTTTTTGTTTTACGTATTTGTATAATAGAAACAAAGGTATTACCGAGGAGGATACCTATGAGCTAGTGTAGAATGCTATTGAAGGGGGAGGCTGTCCCCCCTTTGTTGGAACGCGAAAGAGAAGACCAAAGTTGGATCGTAAAAGCATGAGAAGCGCACAGAAAAACATTTGCATATATTGAGACCTTCAATCGGTTGTTCTAGCTTCAATTATGCCAATTTCTAACACGAATGTACGAGCACGTGAAAAGCGGACATTAATATAGTCGAATATTGAACTTTTCCAAAGAAAGCTTTGTGCTTTCTTGGGTTTTGATCTTAAATTACGAGGACCAAGAAGCGAAATTTGAGTTGCAGCACAAAACTCTATTAAAGTGACACAAAAATGAATTTATTGTCAAAATAGACAAGGGCCACACAAGGTACCTAATAAACTCCAAATACGTTGAAACGGTTTTGTTCGTCTATCCATTGTTATATTGATAGCATCTGATACTAAAAGGAAAAGTCTCACCATTGTCAAGAGAAATGACCGGACACTAGTTAGATTAATTACTCCACTTGAGGCTCCATCAACTGCCTACTTGGTCTCCACAAATGAGTTTAAAAAAAGGTTTACTCTACAGCTATGCTATGAAGTGAGGTGTCATTACCAATATAAATGCTACATAATCAAGCTAATCTACGAACTTTTTTTTCGAAAATTTGATTCTCAGAAATGGAATTCAGATTCAACATCCAGTTTATCATGGTATGGGTATGGGACAGTCGTCTTCACGTCATGGCTCTTTTGATTATGATTTCCAGTAAAGTCAAAACCTTCAGAATCATCATCATCATCATCGTCAAATTTAAATGAGTTTGGACCAGTGCCTCCAAAATCAAAGTCATCCAAACCTCCTTCATGATCGTTATCACCAACCGAGGATCCATCATGCGATTCTTCTTTTCCTTCTCCGTATGAATTGGCTTCTTCATCGCTTTCAATCTCTGATGGGTATAAGGATTGTTCAGCAGTCACTATCTGTCTCACTGATTTCGGCAATCTATCTGGCCTGTAGAATCTCAAATCTACTCTTCCAACCAAGTACAACAAATTGACAAAAACTTCCAAGCCTCCCCAAAATACATACATCATTGCTGGTGAACCAACCGCTGAGCGATCGTACTTGCTCCGTGCTTGGAAACAAACAACTGCTCTCAATACAGAGGACAAAAAGATAATTAATGTTGTCACTGCAAGAATCATCATGGACACGTTCTGTGCCAAATCACCACGTTCGTTACTCAAACCCTTGACCGTTTTGTAATGATGATGTGTAGCAGCAATAACTCGAATAGCATAACGATGGTTGTGGTTTCTTTTCAAGAAACTCGCTCCTGCTTCTTGTGGCTCACCTTTTTTGACGAAATAAAGTGGGCTAAACGATTTGATCCACCATGGCTGATATGTATACAAATTCTCATCTTTCCTGGTTGGCTTGAAGAAGAATGCCAATCCAATCAAAGAGATGGAGGTCAATGAATAAAGAATGATCAATATGGACGAGGCTTGGATAACCTTGACATATCGACGATAATTTGGCTCTCCCAATAAATAAATTTGCAACCCAGCAGCGGCAACAATTGTCATGGCAATAACCCCAGCAACAACAGCATACAAAGCAAGCATGAATCCCCAGAACAATTTTCTTGATCCACCAACCGGATGTCTCCATGTGAATATTCGTTGTGCCAAAATCAAATTGAAACTGGTTAACAAAACCTGTGGTAAAATCAAAAACACTTCACTTGATATACCAACAGGGGTTTGAGTGATATCATGAGTCCATTGTATACGAAGACCGAATCCAATAACACGGCAAATGGAATAGAAGATGAATCCAATACCGGGCCAAAAATAATGTCCACGTGAAAAATTAATACCAAATATTGTAATGTGCCCGAGTGCAACTAATGTGTACAAAACGGTAAACACAATCGATGGTGCCAAATCACTTGGCATGGCATAATCACCAAATAAATTGTATTGAGACCCAGCAGAAAAGTCAACCAATACTTGTGGAATCTTCTTCCCTAGTAAATTTCTTGCTTGAGCAGATAAAAGCTTGGAACCAGTTGCCGGATGCGGGAAATTGTTTTGGTATGAAAGTAACTGCATAACCCCATATATGGGTGTATATACATGGATGTTCACTGTCATTGTAGGTCTAAGTTATGCCAGAACAATGATCTGTTTGAATATGTGACGAGAAAATGTGAGCGAGTGTGCTGAAGCTTGTGGTATGCGCGGAGTAAAACGAAGACACAGTGTAAGTAGCAATGGGGGCGGTATGAAAATGAATGATTACTCCAGGAAATGAAAAGTGCTAAACTTTCTATTATATAAAAGACTTCTTATTTCAAGGAATATGTTTGAACCCTTTAATATTTAAGGGACGGATCTTTAGGTTAGTAGTCGAGTAGCCATCCGTAAGTTTCTGCAAAAAAAAAAAGACTTTCAATGGTTGATGGCGTATTCTTTGCATTTGTAAACCAAATTAAGAAATTTTAATACATTATGCATTTGATAAAAACAATAAAGACAAAAAGAATAAAAACAATTTTAAAGCAAATGAACGAATAGACCGTGAAATAGGAACAATAGAATGTAGTGCGGATTTAATGCACAACGTCTTACTCTTTTAATCGAACATCAAGCTCATAGCAAAGTGTTCAATTCAACGACTACAAGTTGCAACTTCTGCGGAGTTTAGAGATTTTTGTAAAGGGTTAAGAAAAAGAAAATTACGGTTTGAAGTTGACGAGATTTGAAAAGACGATTGATAATATAGGCTTTGTTCTTGACACCAAGAGTGTAGATCGATAACTTTCATCTTTAGTCCAACCAAAAACATCGAGGTAAAAGCTCTAACGATGAAGAATTGTTGGGCTTGACCATGTCTTAAAGAGGATTTTAAATCGCATAGGTAATGCCGTTTTTGTTTAGATAGGAGTCTGTTTACATAGTATCGTTCCTAATTAGGAAAGTGGAAAACATAACACAAAAATAGAATTAATCCATGCATATGACAAAACTCCTAAAATGCCACACACAAGATGGAAGCAAATGGGGAAAAAGAAGGATGATCTAGGTCAGAGACAGTGAGGAAAATGGTATTTGAACTCGGAATTGCCATAAACCCCGCAAACTAATCCTATTCGTACCTCACAGCTCCTCACGAAATTGTGGTAACAGATATGTCACTAAAGTTAGGAGCATCATCGCTGGCTCAACCGTAAACGGGAGGGTTATGAGCTGCGATTGGCTCAACCGAGCTTTCTAAATCAGGGGCGAACAACGCATACATCAAGAAAGTTGCTAAAAGTTTTTAAAGTGTGTTTTCCTTTCTATTATTGGATCAACATGCTACCATTTGCCCCACATTACTGCCCCACTGGCACTGCTTCATCTTCCTCTCTGACTCTAGCCCACTTATTTCATCTCATTGTTCAAATCTAAAAACAGAAATGACGTATTGGATCATTAGATACGGCGTTTGTTTCTTTTCATTATTGGGGCGGATCATCTCGATATCAAACGTTTTTTTTTTTTTTCATTTTTACTTTCTCAAACGGATTTAGAGTACAAGCATAGGCGAAAAACTTTATCACACGATCACTAAGAGAGTTCCTTTTATAGCATACATCTAATGTTTGTTGATGCTTGTATCATGTGTAGTGGGAAGGTGCATGTGAATATTGAATTTTGTTGGGTAGATCATTTTATTTCCTAATGTAGAAATGTAATATACGTCCTGGGAAAATTTTTTTTTCCGCTATGGCGACACAAAAAACAAGAAGGACCCAAATGTTAGACTGTTTTGCTTTTTGTATCCTCCGAATGGTGAAAGGACGGATTTAATGTAGATTGAGTTATATTTTATATAGGCCAAAATTGAAGATCGGTTAGCCGTTAGTAGCCTTCGTGTTCCTTTCCGCTCAACGGTCGTAATAGAAAGATTCAGAAATGTCGATTATCTTGCGATTTTAAAACTTATCCAGATATCTTTTACGATGAAGTAATCGAGTAGTTTTTTCGATACATGTTAGCTCATGGGTATTCTTTACATCGCCACTTATATAGAAGCTCAATATGCGATAATGATCCATTGAGAACTCCAAACACTTACGCTCACAAGCATCGGGTTTATCTAGCATTGTAGTTTTGCGTCAGCTTTTAAGCGGTACCACCATCACCTCCCCAATAGTCAAGACAAGTCTGAAAGTATCTCTGTTGGTTTAATCATTATAGTGACTTTTTCAACTCAAACAATGATTTAGGCGAAACTACAAGGCTGAAAGACTGACTAGAAACACCAAATGACGTCAAAGGATGTATACCTACAAAAGCAAGGAAACAATAACAGCAGGACTCAAAATTGCAACACTATTTTGAGGTTAGTTTTTGATAACTTTTGAAATCTGTTGGAAATCTTTTGATGGGGCGCGTACACACAATTTAATTTCAATTACACAAAAATTAACTGCATTTGCAACCACTGGCTCAGCAACATCGATGACTTACTCCATATTGTACTAATGTAGTCGTACCACAATAGCAAAAAAAAACTCGCCAACAATAGCCTCTGTGAAAGCCATTCACCAAAATCATAATCTCTAGTTTCAATAGAGACTCTCTCTCTTATTTTATCTCATACACCTGATATCAACATGTCAATAAACACCACTATGAGCTCGATTAAAACATTCTCAAATACCCCCACCACCATTTTATTTCAAATTTTCATTGGAAAGCGGTTAGAGGTTTTCAAAAGTAAAGCCGTCATTTTCAAGGACAGACAAGAGAAAGCTGATGTTAAGTTGAGAGAATTAAATCCTGCAGAAAACTCCAACCTAACAAACGAATGCACTATCCCCTTGATTGAAGGAGCTTACCGCCACTGGATCGAGGCTTTGCAAAAGAAGAATGTCAAAAAGTTCAATGAAACTTGCTACAGGGTCTGCACTTTGAATATTGACTACAAACCATTTCGAAAAACTTTATCTCGTCAAGTCAACATGGCCATCAATGAAGTGATTTAGGACTTTTGCTTCTTCGTGAAATCAGCTTGGACGGGGACATTGCCTCATGCCTTTATTATGAACAACGGTTTAGCAATTGAATTTGCATTTCAGCAAGATTCAAGTAAATAATGGAGCGAGAGTACCATGTTACCCACAAAAGAGTTGCTACAACAATGTCTGTAGTTAGCTTGTGAAAATAACTCACGATTATAAAGAATTTTGTCCTTATCTTACGAACCTCTTTCAAGGGGCTTCTGTGTACTTCATTTTGACATATCAAGAACATATCTACCTAAAATCTTTCCTTCTGACATCTCTTTAAATACTTTTCCCACTTCTGTCATTCCCACAACTTTGATAGGGCATTTGATCAAGCCTCTAGCAAAAAAATCCACAGCTTCAGTGGTGTCCCACCTAGTTCCCACATACGAACCGCGAACTGTTACTTGATTGAGTACAGTACTCATGACATCAATGTGAAGTTTAGCTTGTGGTGGCAATCCAATGAGCATAACTGTTCCATATGGTTTCACAAACGAAACACTTTGTTGGATAGCTGCTTCCGAGCTGGTCACATTCAATGCCGCTTGAGCCCCACCATTAGTAATTTCCATAACCTCTTTAGCGATATCTTTCACTTGTGTAAAGTCAATATACATTTCAGCTCCCAAGTCTTTAACAAATTGTGCCTTTGCTTGATCGCCATCAATTCCAATGACTCGCAATCCTAAACACCTGGCATATTGAACAGCTAAAGAGCCCAAACCACCTCCAGCACCAGAAATAACCACCCACTGCCCTGGCTTAGCCTCTGAAGCTTTCAAACCCGTGTAAACAGTAATTCCCGCACACAATATTGGTCCCACTGATTTCAAATCGATATCCAGTGGCAATTTTGCCGCTTGGATGGCGTCAGTGGAACAATATTGTTGAAAGGTTCCATCCTCAGTTACACCGTTCATTCTTTGGAGTTTACATGCTGTTTCTTTCCCCTGTTGACAGTAGTTACATGTCAAACAAGTGGAATTGAGCAACTTCACTCCAGCATAGTCGCCGATTTCCCATCCACGAACATTCTCGCCCATTGCCACAACAACACCAGCACCTTCATGGCCAAGGACAAGTGGATACTTTATAAAATCTTCTTGCCAATCATTTTTCCATGCATGGTAGTCACTGTGGCAAACACCAGAATACTTGATGTTGACCAAAATTTCGTTGGGTTTGATTTTAGGAACAGGAATCTCTCTGTACTCTAGTGGAGCACCAGCGTAGTCAACTACAATTGCTTTCTGTGTTTTTGGGATTTCGACAGACATGAGCATGAATTGGTGACCCATTAATTTGCTTGATTGATAGTAAGGAAAACCGTGTCTATTTATAATTAATTAGCCTCTTTTAGTGGAAACTTTGAAAGCTGCACAGTAGTGGGTGACAATCATGCAGCTTCCGGGGGAAGTGGGAGAGATGGTAAAGGTGGGGGCATATGCCTAAATAGGGCGGAAGGTTCGCAATACGGAGGTACATATGCATCATGTGGAACTTTACTGGAAGTAATAACTCTAAAATTTTAGTAACATCATGCTTAGTAGTTGAATAAACTGAAAGTGGAGATCTTTGTGCAGCTTGAGTCTCCAATCTTAAAGTTGAGAAAAAAATTCCGCCCTGGCCCACGCCATGACTACGTATTACGATTCATTTGATCGCCAGTTTTATTGTAAATGATGGTAGCAAAATCGAATTGATGTTTGGCTGAGTGTACTATCTTTCGTCACGAAGTTTATTGTTTTGACTTCTTGACGATCTAATTCCGTGATGTCAAATTCCGCTTCAACGTGCTTAACCATACCTCTAGGAACAACCTGTTTGTCGTACACACGCAAAGAGAAGCGAAATTGAGCCGGTGACGTATTTTAGCCACGCATAGCCAATCACAGAAACGACATGCGTCTGAGTTTATGGTGAACAACGAGTATGCAACAAGTGTAAGCGGAATTGATGATAAATGATTTGTGAATTTGCAAGACGCGCTTTTAAAATTTTCAACTTTTCAATACCCACCCCCAACAATCTACTCAATGCCTACAGCCAGGATAAACTGTTTAGCTGTTCAAGAACTACTATCACAAGAGTGCACCACTAATGGCTCTTTTTCCACCCTGTCTTCTCTAATCACCACGCCGTATGGGCTTGCGTTACTTGAAATCCAAGGTGAATTGAACCTACCTCATACCAAACCTGATATACCATTAGACGAATTGCTGCCCCAAGATCAGGAGAAAATGAAGAACTTTGTAAAGGTGGATGACATTTACGATGCAGTCAAGTTTGGCCACTTGCAATTTGATGACAAAGATCAGCTGAAGGTGACGTTATTTATAGGCAAGAGTCAGCGATTAATTGGCAATGTGGTCAAGTTGGATGTTCCATTGGGTGTGTTGAAGGTACCACTAAAACAGAAAAGCGTGGAAGATTCTGATAATGTGGATATGGATCAAGATCATGAGATTCAAATGATTGATATAGTACGAGCCAAAATGATTTTCAAGCAACGCCCATTACCCATTATGTAAAGAGGAAGAGGTAAAAGATAAAATAAAGAGGAGGGGAGGTGTATAGTTGTATAGATCTATCTTAAAATTAATGTACAAACTATGGAACTCTGGGTTCATGGATCAAAATTTTGAACGATGGTCCCATTGAACATGAGTACTAATATCAAATCCATTGTAATCAGAATCAACAACAACAATATTCTCGTAAATTTGTCTGATTTCATCATGATTAAACCCCAACTTTTCATTCATGTAGCGAACAATGTTCCTGTAAGTGTCATGGAACAAGGCAATCGTGGCCAACATCGCCTCATAGCGAGAACTGATCAAATTGTCGAACCCTTGCTCCTCAAGATTCCAATTACGTCTGCCACGTGATATCAACTTTTCAATATCACTTGCTGATGCGCCACTATCGGAGTTGTCACTGATTTTCTCTTTCAATTTGGCCACTGTTTCAATAAATCTACTCTTGAGAAGCGGGTGATCTGGTTTCAAACCAACTGTGGTCAACTCATACTCTTTACCAATGGTATGCTTGTCAACACCAGCTAATAACAAAAACAACATTCCCAAAACACCAGTACGATCTTTCCCAGCGGTGCAATGAAACAAAAATGGTTGATTCTCGTGTAAAATATATTGGAAAATAATCTTGAACGATTCAATACCAAATTCCAACATGTCTTCATACACATGAACATATGTTGACCATGAAGTCATTAAATTGGTATATCTCATAGCAATTGCTTGTGGGGAGTAATCATCATTGGAGTACACAGGAGCATGAATTCTCTTGATTCCATATTTCTCCAATCCTTGAGGGTATCCATCTTTGGCCACTTCTCCATCAGATCGTAAATCAAATACTGCCTTGATACCAAGTTTGTTAAGTTGTTGAATACCAATTTCAGTCATACCAGCAATGTTTGCACATCTGAATGCCAAATTGGGCTTGACGTAATAGTTTAATCCGCCATTAGTAGCGGATATACTAGCTCCTTTGCTTAATTCAAAAGTTGGCTTAAGAATTCTCCATCCCCCGATATCTCTAAAATTGCTCACCCCTTCAACATGTTTCCAACGAGGTACTTTACCCACAACCTTGGTTGATTGCAAGAAACGATCCAATTCTTCTTCAGGTGAAAGGTATTCGATAATGTAGTCAACGACAAGATAATTGAAATTAACTCTATTACCTTTCAATGGTAAATTATAAGGATTGACATCATGGAAGTCATCATCTGGTTCAATTTGGTTGTGACCATAGAAATTATGATCAGCATCCGGAATCAACTTCAAAATATGCGATTTGGGTCCCCTATTCAAGGCATTGGCAAAATTGGCTGAATCGTATTTAGGAATAATTTGATCTTCCAATCCGTAAACACTCAAGACAGAAAAATCGCGTGACAACACATTCAACGTACTCAAGTCGGGTTTCGACAATGTAATGATCTCTCTAGCTGCCAAATCAGATTTGATATATTTACCATGTCTAAAATTAAGTATCCCTGGCATATAATCGAGATCACCGAAACCACTATATCTATCCAACACAGTGACTGAAGTGAATCTGGCAGCACAATTAACTAAATTGGGCACAACAATTGCTTTTGGATCACCCTTTTTCAATAATTTGTCTTGTTCCAAAGCCCAAAGAAACATGGCTACTCCACCTCTTGAATGGGCAATAATTGAACTCAACGTCAAATCAATTCCCAAGCCATTCTTCTTACCATCTTGAATAAATTCGGCAGCAGCTTGAATATCTTCCACATCTTGACCCAAGCTTCTTCCTTCCAACTTGTCTTCGTTGTCATCTGAGTCTCCACACCCTCTAAAATCTATTCTTAAACTAAAAATTCCCAAATCTTTTGCTAATCGATGGGCCAAATGTTTTTGATAACAGTAATTTCTGTGACCACCTTGTCCATGTAAAATAAGAGCTCCTTTATGAGTTACTGGAGCTAACTCTTGCTCAAATGGGTTGTCTGCATCCATGGAATGAGGGATGGCAAGTGTACCGGTGACACCCTTACCAAATCTAACTTCTATTTCACGTGGTGGTGGTGGGCTGTATTTCTTATCGACTGGTTTAGACGCGTGAGTCATGATTGTTTGAAATTAAGTCAAAGTGTTGATAGTGTAGATTTGAACTATGGTCCCCTTTAGGTGCTTTTACGCAAAAGAAAAGTTGCAAGGTTTTGGAAGGAAGTTTTGTTTCCTTTAAATGATTTATTTTTTTGAAAAAGTTATAAATCCGCTTCTGATAAATTTTTATATCCTCGCTCCACTTTCCAGGCAAGCTTTTTGTAAACTGACCCAGATGGAAATCACAGAGCTTTTGTGACCATACTAAAATGAAACAGCGACAACAAAGACAGATTCAACGTTGGCTGCATAGAAAAAGTGGGAACTCGCCCGCAATGGGAAACAGCTTTGAAGAGCATTGTTCGCGTGTGTGGGGCGCTAGACTCGGTTCTCGTTAGAGACAAAATAACCGCCGAATATTATTATGTGCCCCTCCCCAATCCGCTCACCCCCCCACTCACACACCTTACTATGTTTTCTTTTATTTAACCAAATAGATAATTTTCTCAGTCAGAATATATATATATTATTCGACATTGGTTGAAAAACGTTGTAGGCTTCAGATAATATTGAAGATCGAATCATTATCAAATTATAAAGGAATACCCTTTTGTGAGTACGTGTGAGTACATCGCTTTTAGAAACAACTTTGTTGGGTTAACTCCGGTGAATTGAGTGGGACATTGTGCAACGGAGAAAAGTCAAAAAAAAAAAACGAAAAAACAAAAGAAAGTCACACTAAATGGAGGAATCCATGTGATAAACGACCTATAACGTCTATAACATGGATCCACAGTCAGATAGAGATGCGTATCAACAGCTAGGACAACGTTTAAATCAACAACATTCTGAACAACTATCGACGCAACTACAGGTGTTTCGATCTGCTTTAATCAACTTTGTCAATGATTACAGCAATGAGATTAAAAGTAATGGTGAATTTCGATCCAAGTTTAATCAAATTTCCCAACTGATTGGAATGGATCCATTGGATTTGCTCATTTACGCTAATTCCAAAACAAAAAGCAATGGCAGTAAACGCGATGTCAATAATTTTGTTACTGGATTATCGGTCAAGATTGTAGAAATATGTCAAGAGACTCGAGATTTGAATGGTGGATTGTTATCCTTACGTGAATTACAATCAATCTTGACTGACAATTCATCTGATTTGAAAATAGACATCTCCACAAAACATATAGAGCAAGCTATAACTATTTTAAATTCAATGGGTAAAAACTACGAATTGATAAAGATTAATAATGAGTCGTGGTTAAAATTTTCCTCCATAGAGAACTTGTCTAATGATCAGTTGAAAATTTATGAGCTATGTGGATTTATGGGAGGATATGTCACTATGGGTTTGATTAGAGATAATTACGGTTGGGATAAATATAGAATCAAGAGTGTTATTGATGAAATGATTATGAATGGGATATTGTGGGTTGATGAACAAGGTGAGGATGAATGGCAGTACTGGGAACCATCGTGGATATCGCATTAAAGCGCAATGCTATTGATTCAATTCTATTCATTTGATTGGGCTTCTTTGGTGTTTCGTTTGGCCCCTTTCTTTGCCAACCATCGAGCATTGATAATCTCATAGTTGTCAGTTCGTTCTCGGTTCGCCAATGGCGTGTACTTGGCGAAAGCACGCCCTACACCATCACCAAGGGGCACAGTATTGACTGCTGGGGCATTTGCATTTGACTGCTCTTTGAATACAAGATTTTGCATTATACTCAGCATTTTCGTTTTGATGCTCAAATCATAGCACATCCCCTTGAACCCATTCATGATTCGATTGAATTTGTATTCATTATCAAATTGCTTCCATTGCATAGGTGGGAATTCACAATCATACAATACAAGAGGTATATCATTGGCCATTTCATATTGTGGTTTAGTGGGATACTTGGTAATATCCATTAAATCAGTTACAATTTCTGGTTTTTCCAAATGCTGCCCGACTAGGAACAAAATAGCAACCATGCATCGTACTTGATGCCATAAGAATGCAGTTCCCACCAAATCAAAACAATACAAGTCATCTTCCAAGTGAATTATTTTAGAACTGTAAATGAAGCGTTCAAAGTTGGTAATTTGCTTAGATCCATCCAATTTGCAAAAGTTACGGAAATCGTGTTGTCCTTGATAGTACTCTGCTGCTTTATTCATGGCATCGATATCTAAATTGGATGATTTGAACAAGTATCGATAATGACGGTTTTTGCAACTGAATCTGGCGTCAAAATCAGCGGGCGGATGTAGACATATAGAATGCACTTTGATATCACTTGGTAAATTGGCATTTATAATTGTTAAATAATCAATCTCTCTATCATCATTGGTTGAACTCTGTTGCTCCTCCGGTGTCAAGTTTGATCGAAGTTTAATTGAAATCACTTGGTTCATCGCACTAACCCCCTTGTCTGTTCTTCCGCATCTTGAAAATTCCACTTGATCTATAGGCTCAGGTATGAGTTTGATCTTGGATAATGTTTTCAAAATTGTCTCTTCAACTGTAGGTAATGGTGTTGGTTCAAATTGGTACGCTAAACCATTATAGTTCCAACCTAGATATGCAAATCGTAACGCAACAAATCGAAGATCGTGTTTGCTCCAGTCAAATTGTTTTTGTTTCTTCGGTTTCTGTTTGACTTCTGGAGTAACCGTTGTCGGTGCTGATGCAATAGCAGAAGGTGTAATTGGTGTGGTTTTTTGTTCCAATGCCGTTAGTCTAGTAATCAAATCTTCTCTCGACCACGATGAGTAATCTATAGCTTGTGTCATTGATGGGGTAATTGTTGTTGTTGTAGCAGTAGGCAATTTGCTATAAGACCTTTTCATGAATCGTCCAATGGTTGTCCTCTTGAACATGAAAACCTGGTATCAAGATTGGATTTGTCTTCCTATCAAACTTTTTTTCTCCATTTGCAACTTTTTTTTCAAAATCCATCTCATCTCCAGTCCAAAGCTCCTTTTCATTTAATACATTTTACTTCGCCACAAGATGAAATCGCAGACTGGATCCCTTGCATGGGAAAACTTAAGATATGACCTATACCCCTGGCTCAAAGACGCTCTACTATCGTTGGGCTATCCAACGATGACACCAGTGCAAGCATCCACCATACCTTTGCTTTGTGGGAATAAAGACGTCATCGTTGAGGCCGTCACCGGGTCAGGTAAGACACTAGCATTTGTTATTCCAGTGTTGGAAAAGATATCAAAGAGGTTATTTACACCTGATGTGGATGGCAAGGTGGAACCATTGAAACGGAATCATATTTTGAGTATCGTCATTTCACCCACTAGAGAATTGGCCAAACAAATTCAAATGGTTTTTGATCGAGTATTGGAGTATTTACCAGAAGACTTAATGCCACAGATTAAGACACAGCTACTAGTTGGGTCTTTGGGTACTGTTCGTGAAGATCTTGAAAAGTTTCAAGAGAACCAACCACAGGTATTGATAGCTACACCAGGGCGATTGTTGGATTTCTTAACCACGTCTCCCGTTGTGAAAACATCGAGTTTGGAAATTGTCATTTTGGATGAAGCAGACAAATTGTTGGATTTCTCATTTGAAATGGATGTCGTTAACATCTTGAAGAAGTTGCCCAAGCAACGAAGGACGGGGTTATTTTCAGCGACAATTTCATCAGCTGGTGATACCATTTTTAAAACAGGGATGAACAATCCAGTAAGAGTTCAAGTCAAGACCAAGAACTTCCTCGGCGAGCAACAGAATTCTCCTACTTCATTGCAATTATCATACATGTTGTTACAACCAGAATACAAGATAACTTTGTTGTTGACGATGCTACGAGACTATGATTTCAAAAAAGTAATTGTATATTTCCCCACATGTACGTCAGTAAAACACTTTTATCAAATTTTCACCAAGTTGGTCAATAGTGATGGAAATGAATCAGATTTGCAATTCTTCTCATTACACGGACAGTTAAATACCAAAGCTAGACTAAACACGTTGGAGAAATTCATCAATGGGGACGAAGCTGATACCAAGTATGTTTTGATGACTACTGATGTAGCCGCTCGAGGTATAGATGTACCTGAAGTTGATCTAGTAGTGCAGTTGGATCCACCAACTGACCCGAGTGTCTTTTTGCACCGATGTGGAAGGACGGGAAGGGCTAATCGGTCTGGTAGAGCTATCGTTATGTTGAATGATGGAACGCAAGAAGAAGATTATGTTGGGTTCATGGAGGTCAAGAATGTATTTATGACCAAAATTGATCCACCGGAATCAACAACTGCACGTCACGACTTGTTTCAGAAACGGCTTCGTAAATATATGCTTGATGATAGAGCTCGCCACGAGTTAGCTGTTAAGTCATATGTTGGTTTCATACGATACTATTCTAAACATGTTGCAAGTCTGATTTTCCGTTTAGCTACTCTTGATTACTTGGCAATTGCCAAAATGTATGGATTGTTGAGATTGCCCAAGATGCCAGAGACGAAATATATTGACAGTTCCCTCATGCCGCAAGACGGCTGGCTCGGTGAGCCCATTGATATGGATACTTATGCTTATGCTGACCAATTGCAAGAAAAATCAAGGGTGGAAAATTTACAGCGAGATAAGGAGTTGAAAATTGCCAATGCTAAAAAGCGCAAAGAATTGAAAATCAAAAATGAAGCATGGTCAAGTAAAATTGATCATAAGGAGACCAAACAGGAACGGAAAGCAAAAATGAAACGGAAACGTGAAGCAATTGAAAAACAATTGATGGAAAATGGTGATGAAGAGGAGGAACAAACACAACAAGATTGGAAGGATTTAGTACGTCAATCGAAAAAGACAAAGAATCAAACCATGCAAGGATCATTTGATGATCTATAGAGAAGAGAGGAGGGAGGGTGATACAGTGATTACACTTTATTTTTAATTCATCATGATGCAACAAATTATAGATGTATATTCATATGGGGTGGTTTTTTTTATTGAATCTTGAATCGTTCACTAGTTGATTTTATACCATCAAAAATGAATAAATTATCCAAGGGAATGTACTGAGCTGTAGTCAATTTTAAAATCTCTTGACTAGCAACACCACCCATCAAACTACTCAAATTTGGGTAATTGGTTGAATTGTGCATTAGAATTTCCTTGAAAACATCCAATGTTGATGGTTGAATTTGTGTTCTTGGCGGTGTAGCTGAATCTGTAGTACCCGATTTTAAAATTTTTGATCGGTATATTGAGATAAATTCATGGAGGTCATCAATTGTTGGTGGTGCTTTGTATTGTTCAATATATGCATTAAATGTTAGTATCGCGACATAGATGGAAATCATACCTGATTCCGTAGTTGCTGTAGTAGTAGTGCTTGAATCAAGTAAATCACTTGATGGATTGAGATTAGCCAATAGTGAATCATTGACTAGATTTTTAGATCCCGTGGTGACAAATAATAAATGGGTATTTTTGCAAAATGTAGCAATCGATTCCGGATTTATCGAGTCTCGTGGTTTGCCAATTTGATCTAGTATCTTGTAAACTTGTTGGGTAAATAGTTGTTGATCTTTAATTGCCTTGTCACGATAAAGTCGCGATAACGTTGTATAATTTTTGGTATCCGATGCCATATCAGGTAGTTTACCCGGCAAGGGAAGAATATTGTTATTCAATATCAAAAATTCCCTCAATGCGGCAATATAAATCCAGAAAATTGAAGTCTTTACATCAATCGGTCTAGAATCAATGGCTTCAACTAGAGCCTGTATACTTTGAGGTAATTCCGTCTTTTGAAAAGCTCGATGACACGATTGTAAAGCCTCAATGAAATTCGTTTCCAAATTGATGTTTCTCGACATGGATTCAACTAAACTCTTAAATGATTTCTTCTCATTATAAGTGGATGGTGGCCGACCTTCATGATTAAGTTTCCAAAACTGCAATGCCTTGATAAAAATGACTATATATGGCACATGTGCATGATCTTGATCGCTCAATTCGTCCATTCTGAAAGAGTCGGCATATTGTTGCAATTCTGGCCATGGCTGATCAATTCTCAAATCAAACAATTTTGATGGATCATGAGTTTCGATAACTGTGGTTTCATTGGCAATGAGATTCAATGATCCATAAAACCCCACTGTATTAACCACAAGCAAAGGTATATGTTTGTCCCAAAGTAAAGCAATCAAATTTTTCAATTTAGGAGTATAATTACTAACAATAACACAATGGAACTGATCCCAAAATTTGTATTCAATGTCATACTCTAATATCTGTTCAAGCGATTTTTCAATTGAAAAACCTTCAACATCAGCATTCAACTCATTCAAATTTGTCTTGACACAATGAGCCAATTTTTTACCCATATCTTTCAACCTGAGAAAGAAATTCGATGACAAGTGTTCTTGAGTCACCACCCGATCATCAATAACGGTATATTTGCCAATTCCGGGCAATATTAGGTTTTTCAATACTTCACATCCTGTAGCGCTAACATTGATTAAAGCAATATGGCTATTTTCTAAATTCAGTTGACCAGAAGTAGCCCATAACCTTAGCTGTCTATCGTATTGTGCTTCCTTATCGACCGTCATTTGTGTAGTTGACATAACTCTTTCATACAAAAATAAAAGGGGGGTGTGGAACAAGTGAGTAAAATTGTGGAGCCAATAACGCGTAATATATATATCTCTCTAAAGATAAAGATTGACGTGTAATACTGTCATACACACACACACACACACACACACACACACACACACGCCAACACAACTGTAAGATTGTTTGAGATGAGAATTTTATGTATGATGGTTATACGATTGGCTATTTATTTCCTGTGCGTTGGCGTTTTAGATGGTGCTTAAAAGTGCCATAATCATTTTTTTTAAGCGCTCTTTATTTTATTTCTTCTTTATTTTTTTTTTTTTTTTTTTTTTTGGGTAGAAGTATAAAAACTGTAATTACTTTTAAGTTAAGTATTAGGATCTATGTAAGCTCATTTTCTCAGCTCATCCAGATATGTAGCATATTCCTATTTCGGGGAAAACATTTGGGCCATAAACTTTGACTGTGAAAATTTAAGTTAGAGTTGCTTCAAACTTTGAGTAGACATGCAATGGAAGCAGAAAATTTAGACCCAACATTTTACTACAAAGGGTTCTTCTTCTGTCGTTTTGCTTTTATACCCTTTCCTCCAAGAAATGTACTTCTTACAACTGGCATCACCTTTTCATTTCCGTGTAAGCTTTTGTCGAAATAATTTCGGATTCTTTGTATACACTCAGTTTCGAAATCGTATCATATTTTACCACGACTAAGTAGTACCAAAAGTGATAGCCACTTTAAAACTGTTTAAACCAACAATTGGTTCTAGATGAGCTACGCGTAATTTGCTCTCTTCCCCTATGTACAGCTGACTATACAGCAAACACTGTCTAAAAAATTGTACAACTATGGGGCGTTAATAAGGCATTCGCCTATTAGGTAACTAGTCAAACCGTCAGTCATGTGACCGATTCGAAAAAAAAAAGAGTCGTGCAATTTTCAACGTGCAGAAGCGAGGTACTGCATAAAAGCAACGTAGTAGCACGTGCACACGGTGTAATACAACCGAGACCAAACAGAATTTATATAATACACCCTCATGTGAAAGAAGCAAAGTGAAAAACGTGCTTCTTTAGTGGAAATACAAGGACCATTTAGGATCTCTTGTTTGTTCATCTTAACCTTCTGTGTTAAGCGACTCGTCACTGACAACTAGTAACTGGAGCTGTACAAGTTCATATCAACAGAGGTTGTATATCTTTCCCTATCATTCAGTTATGATAACTACTACTACTACTACTACTACTACTACTACAACTATTACTATCTCTCCAGCTATTGGCCTTGCTGTCTATTGTGTTACATAACTATAGGCGTTTAATAATAAAACAATGTAAAAGAAATTTAGTTGAGGAAAATTTTTTTTTTTTTTAGGTTGAGAACGATGAGATTGTAGTAGCAGCTGTTTTATATAAAAAAAAAAAAATTTTTTCACTTTTTCACATCCCTTCTTTCTTCCTCTTCTCTTTTTCCCCCTTTTCTTCTTCTTTCTTTCTCTTTTCAGTGTATAACCCACCAGAGGATCCATGTCTGCTTCTAGTGAATCAAAATACTCCACAGAAGTACTTTCTGAGTTATTGAGTAACTTGCAAGTTGCTGACGATAAGGAAGCAGCTGCCAACAATATTGCCACTTTTTTAAACTCATCCATTGTTGAACATGATGTCCCAGTTGAATTTTTCGCTGATTTGAAAAAGGAAATCAAGTCAAAGGATGCTAAAGTTGCAATTGCTGCTTTGGATGCTTACAAGCACATTGCATCTCCAAACAATTTGACTCCTTCAGTTGAACCATATGTTGTTGACTTGGTTGACGAAGTTGCCACTAGAGCTGGTGACAAGAACAAGGATGTTCAAACTACTGCCTCAGCTGCTTTGTTGGCTATTGCTGGTGCCATTACTCCAACTGCAGTCAAAGCCATTTTGCCAAAATTGGTCAACAACTTGCAATCAACAAACAAGTGGACTGAAAAAGTTGCCATCTTGGCTGCCATCTCTCAATTAGTTGACACTGCCAAGGGTCAAGTTGCTTTGAGAATGCCTGAATTGATTCCAGTCTTGTCTGAAACTATGTGGGATACCAAAAAGGAAGTCAAGGAAGCTGCTACTGCTACCATGACCAAGTGTACTGAAACCATTGACAACAAGGATATCGAAAAATTCATTCCTAAATTGATTGAATGTATTGCCAAGCCAACCGAAGTTCCAGAAACCGTTCACTTGTTGGGTGCTACTACTTTTGTTTCCGAAGTTACTACTGCCACTTTGTCCATCATGGCTCCATTGTTGTCCAGAGGTTTAGCTGAAAGAGACACTGCTATCAAACGTAAAGCAGCTGTTATTGTTGACAACATGTGTAAGTTGGTTGACGATCCACAAGTTGTTGCTCCATTCTTGGACAAATTGTTGCCAGCTTTGAAGTCCAACTTTGCCAACATGGCTGATCCAGAAGCTAGAGATGTTACCAACAGAGCTCTCAACACTTTGAGAAGAGTTGGTGCTGTTGGTGAAGGTGACAAATTGCCAGAAATTTCTACTGCTGGTGATATCGAAGTCACTTTGGGTGAATTTGACAAGTTGGTTGCTGACCAAAAAATTGCTGACAGATTTAATGTTGCCAAGAACTATATCGCTGCTATTGCCGGTGACTTGGTTGATGAAAGAGAAATTCAACCAGAAGCTTGGTTGCAAAACATTTTGCCATTTGCTACTATTTTCTTGCACGAAAAGGAATCCAAGGACATTATTGAAGAATACAGAAAGAGAGCCATTGACAATATCCCACAACCACCATCATTTGAAGATGAAGAAGATGAAGGTGAAGACTTGTGTAACTGTGAGTTCTCGTTGGCTTATGGTGCCAAGATCTTGTTGAACAAGACCCAATTTAGATTAAAGAGAAACAGAAGATATGGTTTGTGTGGTCCAAATGGTGCTGGTAAATCCACCTTGATGAGAGCCATTGCCAATGGTCAAGTTGAAGGTTTCCCATCTCAAGAAGAATGTAAGACTGTTTACGTTGAACACGATATTGATGGAACCCACGCTGAAACCACCGTTTCCCAATTTGTTATTGAGGATGGTGAAGTTGGTTTGACTGAACAAGTTGTTGAAGACAAGTTGAGAGAATTTGGTTTCTCCGATGAAATGATCAAGATGCCAATTCAATCTTTGTCTGGTGGTTGGAAGATGAAGTTGGCTTTGGCCAGAGCTGTCTTGAAGAATGCCGATATCTTGTTGTTGGATGAGCCAACTAACCATTTGGATACTGTTAACGTTGCTTGGTTGGTCAACTACTTGCAAACATGTGGTATTACTTCTATCATTGTTTCCCACGATTCTGGATTCTTGGATAAGATTTGTCAATATATTATCCACTACGAAGGTTTCAAATTGAGAAAATACAAGGGTAACTTGTCAGAATTTGTCAAGAAATGTCCATCAGCTCAATCATACTATGAATTGGGAGCTTCTGATTTGGAATTCAAATTCCCAGAACCAGGTTTCTTGGAAGGTGTTAAGACCAAGCAAAAGGCTATTGTTAAAGTTTCCAACATGACTTTCCAATACCCAGGTACTTCTAAACCACAAATTAGAGATATCAACTTCCAATGTTCGTTGTCATCAAGAATTGCCGTCATTGGTCCAAATGGTGCTGGTAAATCAACTTTGATCAATGTCTTGACTGGTGAATTGTTACCAACTGAAGGTGAAGTTTACGTACACGAAAACTGTCGTATTGCATACATTAAGCAACATGCTTTTGCCCATATTGATAACCATTTGGACAAGACCCCATCTGAATATATTCAATGGAGATTCCAAACTGGTGAAGATAGAGAAACCATGGACAGAGCTTCTAGACAAATTAACGAAGAAGATGAACAAAATATGAACAAGATTTTCAAGATTGAAGGTACCCCAAGAAGAGTTGTTGGTATCCATTCTAGAAGAAAGTTTAAGAACTCTTATGAGTATGAAGTTTCATGGTCTTTGGGTGAAAACGTTGGTATGAAGAATGAAAGATGGGTCCCAATGATGTCTGTTGATAACACCTGGTTGCCAAGAGGTGAATTGATGGAAACTCATGCTAAATTGGTTGCTGAAGTTGATATGAAAGAAGCTTTGGCTTCAGGTCAATTCAGACCATTGACTAGAAAGGAAATCGAAGAGCACTGTGCTATGTTGGGATTGGATGCCGAATTGGTTACCCACTCTAGAATCAGAGGTTTGTCTGGTGGTCAAAAAGTTAAATTGGTTTTGGCTGCTTGTACTTGGCAAAGACCCCACTTGATTGTTTTGGATGAACCAACCAACTATTTGGACAGAGACTCTTTGGGAGCCTTGTCCAAGGCTTTGAAAGCTTTCGAAGGTGGTATCGTTATCATTACCCACTCTGCCGAATTCACCAAGGATTTGACTGAAGAAGTTTGGGCTGTTTTGGATGGTAAGATGACTCCATCCGGTCACAATTGGGTCCAAGGTCAAGGTTCTGGTCCAAGATTGGAAAAGAAGGAGGATGAAGAAGATAAATTCGATGCTATGGGTAACAAGATTGCTGCTACTAAAAAGAAGACCAAGTTGAGTTCTGCTGAATTGCGTAAGAAGAAGAAGGAAAGAATGAAGAAGAAGAAGGAATTGGGTGACGCTTATGTTTCTGAAGATGAAGAAGATTTTTAAGCAAAGTGAACTGAGCTTGAGCGGGGATAGTAGTATATAGTTGCTAGATATTTAATTTTGTTTCTGGAACATTTAGTAAAAGAAAGAATTTGATAGATTTGATTGAGAGAAAGAAGTAGAGAAAGAAATACGCTGTAGATAGAAGAGTAGAATGGAAGATTGTTGGACTTCAGGGCAGAGAAGCGCGTTGGCCAGAATTAGATCAACAAATTTTGAGAAAGCTTTGGTTGCAAGACAAGAAGTATACTCACTTTGAAGCAAATGCCAATGAAGAGTTCCACTCACGAACAACCAATTCCCTTAATAGACAGATGATGGGGATGGGTACGGACCCGGCTCTGTGTCGCAATTTATGAGTGTTCAAATTTGCACAAAGAATATTTACAGAATTCAAAAGTTACTGTATCGCAAGCTCACCAGTTCGAATGAGGGCGAGTTGCATCATCAAGCTTCACATGCTCATAGTATATGCTTCTGGTTTTTTGTCCTTTTCAAGCCGATATTATTTTAACTTCACCATTAATTCAGCAGTCGTTAACAACCACATCACCACTTCAGAGTCACTTTGGAATTTTTCGTATGCTCCTTATGATGTTATTTGTCCTGATTATGAGCTAGTTCGAGAAGCCAATGATGTAAGTCGGAAAGACATATGCACCGAAGATGATTAGTATATTAACTTTAGACGCTAATTGATAGACTATATGTGATCGAGAAGAGAAATATATACAATATCGAAATATCGAGACCGAAGCAAGATTGAAATCGTTACTTTACAAGAATGAGATACCCAGTTTTGATATTGAATCATTTTGGCAGAGTAAAACTACTCCAACGATAGTTGCCATTGCTATATCTGGCGGTGGATACCGATCAATGCTATGCGGTGCAGGAATATTATCTGCATTGGATGATCGAGAAGTAAACAATTTGACTCATGTCAGTGGCATACTACAAGCGTCTTCTTATATCGCTGGGATAAGTGGTGGTGCATGGTTAGTGATGTCCCAATTCGTTAATGAATGGCCTCGAATTAGTGACGTGACTCGTGGTGGACCAAATGGATGGAATTTGAAACTGAGTTTACTTGAAGGTATACCCGAAGTCAATGATAACGTACGAAGAAGGAGCAAAGAAAAGGAAATTGAAAGCAAACCGAGGTCTGGGTTCCTGTTGATAAAGTATTTTAGCAAATCAAAAGAGAAGCAATCGTTTTGGAAAACTGCATTGTTTGATCGATATAAAAACTCAACTACGTCTGCATCTACATCTACACCATTGAATGAGAAAAGTGTATTGGAGTATCTCAAATTTTATAAAGAGTTGCTAGTTGAAGTCAGGGACAAGAAGAAGGTTGGGTTCCCCGTGGGATTAACCGATTACTGGGGTAGAGCATTGGCTCACAAGTTATTCACCACAACGGCAAGAACACCGGGAGTAACAATGACCGCGGTGGTGAAAAACTCAGCGCTGTTTAAAAGCTACGATCAACCATTTCCCATCATTGGTGCTATTGCTAAAGACCCCATGGATAATGATACATCAAGCAATGACCCATTGCAAAAAATGTCCAGTTTGAGTAGTTCAATTTTTGAAATCACCCCATTTGAGTTTGGATCTTGGGATAATTTAGTTGATGCATTTGTCAATATTGAATATTTGGGACTGCATTTGAAGAATGGTAAACCTTTGGAGCTAAGTGCGAGGAATGAAACACGATTATGTAAATCAGGGTTTGATAATGTTGGGTTCTTAACTGGTACTTCATCTTCATTGTTTAATCACATATTCAAGTTTTTGTTCAATTATCTTGCTGAAAATCAACTGGAGGTTACATTATCAATTGAAAATATATTGAAATTTTTTGGATTCAGTAAAGAGTATAGTACCAATAACATTTTGCAACCACCACAAGCTTCTCATCATTATCATCATCACCATCACCCTGATCATGCAGTATATTCACCCAATCCATTTTGGAAATTTGGTCAACTGAATCGTCGTTTCTCGGAATGCAAAGAATTGTATCTTGTTGATGGAGGTGATGATGGACAAAACTTACCGTTCCAACCATTGATTAGAATAGGTCGTAAAGTCGATTTGATCATGGCTTACGATATGAGTGGAGAAGATATGAATTATCCTAATGGGTCGGTATTGCAAGAGACTAGTAAACGTTTTTCACAAACTGGTGGAGATTCAACGCTGGGTTCTCAATTGGCGCCCTTTTTCAAATTGCCTAGTGTTGTGGCGTCTGAACTGAGAGAGGGATCAGTTTTCAAATCAATATTCCCCAAAGTTCCCACAACTGAGCAGTTGATTGGGGATGGATTAAACCTACGACCTATATTTCTCGGATGTGACATAATTGAAGATTTTGAGACAATGGATGTGAATGCAACTGACGATAGAGCACTATACAATTTTGATGATGATGGTTACCTACCGCCCATAATAATGTACCAAGCAAACTCAAACTATACCCATCAACTGAACTTTTCCACATTCAAGTTGAGCTATAATGAAACGGAAGTTGATGCAATTGTTGATAATGGATTTCAAATGGCTTCATTTTATAATTCATCATTGTATGCAGTGTGCTTGAATTGTATAATTTTGAAACGAGAGTTTGATAGGACACGATTTGGGATGCTGGCACGTACAAGTGGTTCAGTGAAAGTGCCTAAATTTTGTCAAACTTGTTACAAGATATACTGCTGGAGAGGGTGATACTTCTGTGACATACAAAAGCTTCAATTCTTTGTGTGTAGCAGGACACAAGCAATCAATTGGTGGTTGTTTGTAGAAAAAGTAGAGTAGCGTTTTTATATTATAGTTCGTCTCTCCCGTCCGCAGCCACTAGCATGAAATGACACAAAGGTGAGATTTTTTTTGTTTTTGGTGTCAAATGTACGCGAAGGGGAGAGAAGAAAAATCTCTCAATTTTGTTGAAATTGGTCTCTTTAGTAAAGCATCACCCGTCATAGCATATCAAAAAAGATAAGAAGGACGTGCAAGAGTATTACTACAAAGTGCAAAGTCATCCCTCGGAACTATACTTGGAAAAGATTTTACTGAGAACAAACTTGGAGAGCATTGAACTTTATTCCAGATTTTTAAACGCCTCTTATTTCCCCCCCACACACACACAACAAGACATTCTAGATTTACATCATTAACACAATGGCTGGTGTTAGACACTTACGAATCATTGGATTGACGGCATTCGTCTTGATTTTAATTGTGGTACTACACCAAACTGGTCGTCATGCGGCATCGTTAGTATTTGCTCAAGCATCAGATCAAATTGCTAATAAACATCGGGCAAAGTCCAACAATGGGGCACAAGCAGTTTCAGGAGGTGCTCGTGTTGGTACTCATGGCAATGGTGATAATCCAGTTGTGGTTTCTAATAATTTAGTTGATCTGAACAATGATGAAAAGACTGATGACGCCATCAATCAAGAAATATCCAAGGATCAAAGTGAAGAAGGAATCAAGAAGAAGCCCAATGAGGATGTGCAAGGGAAAGAAAATGGAGCTGGTGTAGGTGCAGGAGCAGGAGCAGTAGGTGGAGTGAATGGTGACAGTTCTGGTTCTGGTTCTTCTGATGTGACAACTAATGAAAAAGGTGAATATGACCCACAAGCTGATTTAATCAAAATCAGATCGCTTTCACCTATGACGATATTTTCCAAAAGTTATTGTCCATATTCAAAACAATTGAAGAAGCTTTTGTTGGACAAGTATGAAATCATCCCCACGCCAAACATTGTTGAGTTGGATCTACATGAAAATGGTGATGACTTGCAACAGTTTCTTTATGAAAAAAGTGGTAGAAGAACCGTGCCCAATGTATTGGTTGGTTCGTCTTTTGAAAGTAGAGGTGGATCTGATGATTTTGGTGAGTATCATAAAAAGAATCAAGTTATTAAGTTATTAACTGATTGGGGTAATGGTAGATTACAAGTGAGTAAAAAAGATACTCCATCAAATGCATAAGAAGTTGGACAAAGCAATATGTTTTATATACCACATATAAATTGGAGATAGTATTTATGAGATTTTTGGGATGAGAATAGACGAGATGTATACATGTAGATGCTGTAAAACCTTCAATCGGATTCACCAGTTTATCAAAACTAATGTAACATTAAAAAGATAATATAAACACGTTATATCCCACCTAATTACTTCATCTTCTCTATTGCTCCCTATTCGCAATAACTTTAAAACTTGGAGAAAGATTTTGTTTTTGAAGATGAAGCAGTAACCTTCAAAACATTAAATCTAACAGTTTTGGAGATTGGTCTACATTGACCAACGGTGACAACGTCACCTTCAGCAACTCTGAAAGCTGGTGAGACATGAGCAGCAACATTCTTGTGTCTCTTTTCATATCTGTTATATTTTGGAACATAATGCAAGTAATCTCTTCTGATAATGATGGTTCTGTGCATCTTGGTTGAAACAACGGTTCCTGACAAAATCTTACCTCTAATGGAAACAGTTCCAACAAAAGGACATTTCTTGTCAATGTATGAACCTTTAATGGCAGCGGATGGGGTCTTGAAACCTAATCCGACATCTTTATACCATCTCTTGGCTTTTCTGTTAGCCTTAGCCTTTGGGTTGGTGAAAATATGTTGTTGCTAAAACAAAAATGAGGAGTTAGTATAAACTTGTCTTGGTTAAGTCGGCCAGGAGGTAAAGATGGGGTGGTTCGAAAGTTTTGGGGACTTGATCATGTAATAGAATCTGGTTTTACAATGGCTGCTTCCGAGTCGGAGCTGGTTCACACTCAAATGTGCGGTCTCTCATTATCCCTCTCGAGTACTGAGATTTGTGGTGGTTTGTTCTGATGGCCCAAAGCTGCCTCTTCAAATGATCCCATTTCGATGAAGTCCCTACTTTCACAAACAGTTTCTCAACGGTCTCCCTCTCTTGTTTCCACCTGGTGTGCGTGTTATGTACAAACCTTTTGGAAAGCTCTTTCAGATTGAACAGTCAATTCAGTTGCCATGGTGTGTGTGCTTGCTGATGATAGTGGTCCTCTTTACAATATGAAAAATTTCAGTTTGTTTGAAGAAAATTTTACGTTGCACACACACACTGGCACGCATAGTATGAGAAAGTGCGTGTACTAGTGATTAGAAATTCGGTAGCATCTTTTCTCAATTGGTAGCGAAAGAAATACAAAAAACCAAAAAGTCAATGTTTTAAATCAGGGCTAATGCCCTAAACTATCGATACTGCATATAGATGGGCTTACCGTTTTGGTCAAATTACATTTCCCAATTGGGAAGAGAAGAAAAGCACGAAGAGATATTATATACAGCCAGCCTCTTCTCATAGATAAGTAAAGATTGCTATCTTCTCATGCCTTGAAAACTCTTATGATTGAGTAGAGATATGCTATTGGCAATAAGAAGAATGAAAATGGTGACAAATGGATAGCAATGAGTCTATTGCCTCTGCTCTTTACGTGTGCAGTCCAATGTGCCTTATGAATTTTACCGCATTAGGAAGGCATAGGCTAAAAGACTTTTGGACGTGAATACTGGCATCAAAAAGAGTGTACCCAACTTTGGAAACTGAACTCTCAGTATATGAGTAGTGGGCAAAACCCATCCTCTACATCAGTGTAATACACCCTCTTTTATCTAACCCAATTTGGTGTGGGGTGGTGGTGAGGTGGTATCTTAGTAGCAGTCAAGGTAACATAGTTCACCTGTATGTGCGGCGTTTGATTTTTTAAATGTAACAAAAAATCAATAACACTTCGTTAATATCACCAATCGAGCAATAACCAAACCATTATCAACTCGTATCACTCTACAATATGAATACATCAACTAAAAACATTGCACCTGCCAGTATCACAGCCACGTCTACCACCACTTCATCAAAGTACAATTTCCTACCGAAGTTCAACCAACAACAAGAACAGCAACAACAGGCTAGTGGAAACAACAACCAGCACTATAACAATGTAAACACCACTCAGCAGAATCAACAGCAACAGGCACATCATCATCAAAGTAGGGTATTTTCAAACGATGTAATTGATTCATTAGCCAACAGTTTGTCATTCAATCGAACAGTGAGTTCATCATCATCCATCTTGAGTACACCTAGCAACAACATAAGAAAGTATCAGCGGCAGCAACAACAACAGCAGCAACACCAACAGCAGCAACACCAGAACAATCGTCACAACCATCATCATCATCATCATCAGCATCATCATCACTATGACAACACTCATAACCATTCTCAGCCGCATCTGAAGCCAGATACTCACCCCCAAGATGACAATAAACAAATTGGTGTAGAAAAAAGTGTTGGCCGTATATCAAGAAATGGACAATTGATCAAGAACAAGCTATTGAATCTTCATCAATCACATAAACTGCTACAACCAAGTACTGGTAACAATGTGCAACAACAAAAAACCCACCAAGCAACCACACAACTGGAATTACAACACTCTCCTCGCAAAATTACTCATGATGCGGAGTATTACACTCGGAAAGTTATATTTGGCAATGATACATCAGATAGCGAAATCGACGATGAGGAGAACGAACAAGTAGAAGAAGACGCATCGCCAATACGATCGATTCCTGGGTATACAAAAGGAGAATTGCAATTGTTGCTAAAACAACCAACCCAATTGAATGAAGAAGATGAAAGAAAGTTGTTGCTAGAATATAAGAGAAATCTTATGTCCAAGCAAGAAAGATACTTTATGAAATCACACTCATTAGCTATACGTCGACAGGTTCAAGTGTCACAAAAGAAAGATGTATTGGCAAAAATGTTTGGTGATAACAGCATGCTAATCAGTGAACACATGACAAACAATACAGACTACTCCTCTCTGGACCATTCTTTCAATATTCATAAAGTATTGAATGAAGATAATGAGGAAATTACCAACTTATTGGAAGAAGATACTTGGTTTCAAGCATCAATGGAGGAATTTAGAACCATGATGGATAAAAAGAAGCAACTGTATGTACTAACTGATGGTAGTGGTGGAGAGCACGAGTTTAAAATTGCAGTATCAGATCTAATTAACAAGTTTGATTCTGGCATGGAGGGTGATGATGATGATGCTGCTGATTACGAAATGATGATCGATCGAAATCAGGAGCTATATCAGTTAGGATTGTCTCATTTGAAAGCGATATGCAAACAAGAAAGAGAAGAAAGTGAGATACAGTTTTAGAATGAGCATTAACTATATACATACTTATGTAGAGCAACGTATATATTTTATTTCGAATCCAATTTCGTGTAATTCTTCCCGATTGGTCTAGATCGTTTGGGAGCAATTAAATGTAACGTTAGTCAAATTTAGCCGCGAGGTTCCATCAGGACAAACAAAATTTGTAATCAAAAAATAAATATAATACAAATAACCCAACACTTGTTCTTGTTGTTGATTTCTTCTTGAGATTATGTTGAATAAGCATATTCTTACATCAACAACTCAAAGACTAACTCAATTGAATAGACATTTATCAACATCAATCCCTAAAATGGCACCAGTCACTTCTACTACTCCATTAAAAAACTTTGACTATTTAGTCATTGGTGGTGGATCCGGCGGTGTTGCTAGTGCACGTAGAGCAGCCAAATATGGAGCTAAAGTATTACTTATCGAAGCCAAATTGAATAAGTTGGGAGGCACTTGTGTCAATGTTGGTTGTGTACCTAAAAAGGTCATGTGGTATGCTGCTGATTTAGCTCACAAGAAACATGATTTGTACCCATACAAGTTGTCGCAACAAGAGGAATCGGTTAAATATGGCGATTTTGACTGGGCTGGTTTCAAGCAGAAACGTGATGCTTATGTTCATCGATTAAATGGCATTTATGAGAATAATTTGAAACGTGAAAAAGTTGATTATGTATTTGGATTTGCGAGATTCATTAATGAAAAGGGCGATGTTGAAGTGACGTTATCGGGGGATCAAAACTTGCCATTTTTAGAGAAGGAGTATAAGAAAGATGATAAGCTTGTATTTTCTGGTGACAAGATTCTTCTTGCTACTGGTGGCACCCCCATCGTTCCACCCAAAATTGAAGGTGCCTCATTGGGTATTACATCTGATGGGTTTTTTGAATTGGAACACCAACCAAAAAGAGTTGCCATTGTTGGTGCTGGATATATTGGTGTTGAATTTTCTGGTGTTTTCAATGCATTGGGAAGTCAAGTTGATTTTATCATCCGCGGTGATACTGTGTTGCGTTCATTTGATGATATCATTCAAAATACCATTACTGATTATTATACTGATAAGTTGGGAATCAATATTATCAAACAAAGTGGTGGTGTTGTTAAAGTTGAAGGAGATAAAAATGGTGGCCGCACCAAGAAAGTCACATTGGGTAATGGCTCCACTCTTGAAGTTGATGAATTGATTTGGACTGTTGGAAGAAAATCACTTGTTGATTATGGATTGGATAAAGTTGGAGTCAAGCTTGATTCTCATTCCAAAGTCATTGTTGATGAGTATCAAGTCACCACCAACCCCAAGATTTTCTCACTTGGTGATTTAATTGCCGAAGCTGAATTAACACCAGTGGCAATTGCAGCAGGACGTAGATTATCCAATCGTTTATTTGGTGGTGAAGAATTTCGCAATGATCGTTTAGATTACACTAATATTCCCTCGGCCATTTTCTCACATCCAGAAGCAGGATCAATTGGACTCACTTCAAAACAAGCCATTGAGAAATATGGTGAGTCAAATGTAAAAATCTACAATTCTAAATTTACAGCCATGTATTATGCCATGATGGATAGTGATAAAGATAAAGCTCCCACTGCTTATAGAATTGTTTGTGCTGGACCTGAAGAAAAAGTTGTTGGATTACACATTGTTGGTGATAACAGTGGTGAGATTTTACAAGGTTTTGGTGTGGCTATCAAGATGGGGGCAACAAAGAAGGATTTTGATAATTGTGTTGCTATCCATCCAACCTCAGCTGAAGAGTTGGTTACAATGACATAGAAGCGAGTGAATCTTTTCTTTTTAGTATTCTGATAGATCTATAGTAATTATACAAGACGTATGAATGTGAAAAGACTAATGCAATGATTCGTATTTCATCCACCCATTATAACCCTCTTAACTCCTCCATTGCCACGACATGGCTAATACTTTCTCCGTTTTCTAGGTGGTCCTCTAATTGGCGGCTTCGGTTTATCGCCAGGCTTCATATAAAACATTGGCGCATGTCGTAATATATCCGGTACTGAAACAAACCTAATCATACTGCCTCTTACAAACACTTGATCCATATGTTTTGATGATCCATTGCGACCATTGGTTATGGTAACGTCAAACAATGATGCATTCATATTATCTTCATTTTCCAACAATTTACCTCGGTATGTGTCGCCATTTGTAAGTTCGATTGTTATTATGTGGCCCTGGGCTTCGTTTAGTAGTCGTACTGGGATACCTGCTGACATGGTCAGAGTTGTGTGTGTGTACGGTTTGACGTGGTCTTCGATATTGGTTTATCTTTTTCCTTCTTCACAATTTTTTCTTTGGTTTCTCACAGGTGTGGATGGATTTTTTTTATTTTATTTTGCAACAACAAAGCAACAAAGCAACAAAGCAACAATGAATTAAGAGTGTCGTCGTTCTAATGAAGTTGATTTTCTGTTGAAACACCACACACACAAAGTGTGAGTTTAGTGTTAGCATACTGCTTATATAATCTGATGGGTACAGTGTTGAATTTTCCTTGTAGGCTACAGATGCAGCCAGAGACACTTAAAAGATGTGTCAATCTCAACAACTAATTATACAACTCAACAACAGTCCGTCATCTTTCTGTATTGATAAATGAAACGAGACTACTTATCTTTGTTCACTCTCGAGAAAATCGAGATGTCAGAAATGGCATCGCCAAGAAGCCAAACAACATAAATTTGCATTGATTTTGTTGCAACTTGATCCAAATGAAGTACAACTCACCGCGAAAAAAATGTATAGAACTTTATCTACATAAAAACTACAAAGTTTTTGAGATTACATTTATCGATTGTTTTTAGAACAAGGAGCCAACCAATGACGACGAATCCCAAGTCTTTGGCTACAATTCACTCGATCTGCACCAAAGTCAATCAATCCATACGTACTATGTCTTATTCGTAACTTACTAGGGAAGGATGATTACTGCCTTGTCTCTACACTCCCACTACCATTGCATCCACGTAGCATTTACAAATTTCAAAACATGAATTAGCTACACGATCAAGTTTACACTCCTTGTACGCATTAGACCGAATTGTCAACAAGAGGGCAGGTTTACGCGTGATACCCAGGATAGTCAATCTTTTTTGCACGAGCTGCTGATTTTGCATCCAAAACAGCGCAAAACCCAATGTACTCCTAACCATCCCTTTAGATTACAATTATATCAGTGGGAAACTAGTTTTTGTCACTTTTGGTTTATTGGATGGAGTTATCGGTAATGACACAGAACATAAATATTATGAAAAGACAAGAAATTTTAGTTCAGTATTTAAAGTGATACAAAAAGGATATCAGTATACTTTGGAAGTTCGGACTCCCTATACAAGCACAACAGTTAATGGATTCCAAACGCAAAAGAGGCTTTCAAAAACCGTGACACCCCGGTACGAATAAAAGGACAATAAAGCAACTTTTTAGGGTTGAGAAGCCTCCGTTTCGTATGCCAGTGGTTAGTGAAACGACATTGTATTTCTTTGTTTGTGACATCATAAGTCGTGAAATGTTCTAGACACTTTTAGGTTTTGAAAATATCAAAATGCGAGTTCGGTATGGAAAAAAGTAGCCACCCCTTGCTTTATAGTGGGGAACTCCCTCATTTCTAGTATAGTCACTTTCCGAGCATGTGCAACCTCTCGCCTGTCTTTAACATGTCAAAGGGACGTCTGATGATGGAATAGATAAAAATTTTTTTGGTTTTGTGCTTGTTTGTGGTTATGACTTCTAGGATGATGAATGATGAAAAAAGTGGATAAGTTTTTTGCCTAGAACTTTAAGATACAAGTGGTTCGAAGGCAACCAGGTGCATGTTATACAAAAGCAGTTTCTGAAACGAGTAAAGTCATGTGTCGAAAAGAGATCGGTTTTTTGATCGGACTTGGGTAGGCGTTTAGAAGGTAAACAAGTGCCGTGTGTCGTAAAGCTTCTCCCCGAAGTCGGTCCGATCACAAGGACCTTTCGTAGCTTATGGTACTGGAGTCGCCAGATAAAAGAAGCACAAGAATAACAATGGTTGGAAATTTACATCTTTTGCAATTGTACAAAAGTGGAAATATGAATCTTATTGTGTTTAGTTTTGTATCGTTACTATAGTCAAATTGTTAATCTAGGCAACGGAATTCTTACTGTGCTTTTGTATCCATTAACTGTATCGAGTTCACTGTTGGAGTCATATCATTGTCTATGGTGCATGTTACGTTGGTCAGTAGTACACACGTAAACCTTGTATGATTTGTTAAAATTAGTCTCTTATGCATAGAACAAAAAAACAAAAGAAGAAAAATACTAAAGGGCACCAAGAATCCTTTTATAAAGAACTATTAAATCCACCTCAAATATAAACAACACCTCCTTTTCTTATCAACACACACTACAGTGCTTCACTTGTTGGAAGGATCCGTTTTACTGAACGCATATGCATAGTGTGTACCCACCTCGTATCACTAGCTTTCTGATCAATACAGCATTTCAGCATTAATAATCACACAGGCAGACTTGTCCCTCCCCTGCAAACATGGTGCAGACAAACCTGTGTTCTACAACAACAACATCCAACACATCTTCAACTTCAGCAACGAAGCCAAAGCGACAGAGAAACAGAACTCCCAAAAGCTGTATTCAATGTTCCAAACGAAAGATATTTTGTTCCAAGGAGAGACCAGCATGCAGTAATTGTATCAAATACTCGGTAGGTCATCTTTGCTCATATGCTTTACCACCATGGGCTGATGCATCTGCTAATAACAACAACAACAATAACAACAACATCATCAACAACAACAACAACAACAACAACAACAACATCACCAATAAAGCCAGTGCTAATGCTACAAAACCAAACTCACCTCGTTGCTCCCTAGTAGAACAGCCACTTTCACCAATACGAATACTACAAAGTGATGAATACCGCCAGTTGAAACAAAGCAATGAAAAAGTAATACAAGCGCAACGGAAGGAAATCGATGATTTAAAGCGTCAGTTATCTGTTCAACAACAACTTTCACCAAGAGACACTACGACAAAACAACAACAACAACAACAACAACTTTCCAATCTGGGAAATATCCCAATCACTGTCTTAAACAAAATCAGCCCCTTGGCAAACACCTACAACGGTAGCAAAATTGAAATGTTGAATGATTATACCCTTTGCACCATTGACAATTCATCGCTGGGTAGTAAAAACATATACGTGGACACGTACTCTTGGATTAATATAATCAAACTAGATCCTCAGTTGACTACGCTCTGGTTTAGAATAACAAACCTACAGAAAATGTATCACGTATATAAGATGAATATGCTAAAAGGAGGTCAATCTACCGACAATGTCATCAAAAAGGTATCGAAAAAGTCAAATTACAAGATCAATGAAATTGACTTTACATATTCACTACAGCCAACCACCCCTAGTGATTCAAATAAAGAGCAACGGCAACAACAGCAACAACAGCAACAACCGTTGAGATGTCCAGTAGTTGAATGCGACTTTAATTTCATGTCGGAAGAACAACAATTCACGACTCCAAGTCCCATGAGATCGGTCTCTGTCTCACCGGCAGTAAAACTTGAACGATCGGCAACCATTATTGAGAAATCAACAGCTTCCGAACTACAACAAAAACTAATAGGACTCTGGGAATCGTTGATTAGTTTACCCAGAGGCGAATCAAAGTTGAATATTCAACAAATCCATTTTTTATTGGACTACTACTACAAAAGTGACATTGAAAGCAAAGATATATTATCTTTTTATCGATTTGATATTCAGGCTGTTTTCAAAAAGACTGCAAATGACGAAGTTGTGTTAAATTTACCGCAAAATACTGGCTCTGCCGAATTCGAAGCACAACTCAAATCGTGTGGTATTTTTCTATGTATGTTGGTGTTAATTGTTGAAGAATCCTTGTCAGAACTTAGAGTTTTATTCAAAGAAGCAACAAATAAAGAACTATGTGAGCAATTTGAAGACACGTTTCCAAACGAAGTAATGTTGTTGAATCTTGGACCTCGACAAAACAACTTGTTACATAATGTTCAAGAGTTCTTGATTCATTTTGAAAGTGACGAGTACAACAGATCATTATCATATTGTGCCGTGGTCGTTGCCTTACTAAATAGGGAAATTGACGATTACAAAAAGCCAGGATCGAGCATCACTGATACCAAAAATTCATTCACTTCATTATACACCGCTTTCCTTCATCTATTACTCGATGGATCCTTAGACATTTGGAAAGATCCAGAGTTGGTGGAGATCAGATCACAATACAAAAAACGCAGAAAAGATTTGAAATTACATTTTTGTCATCTTTGGGCAAGTGTAGTCAGACTAACTAATTTGGTGACATTAAACTTTGTACCCTTGGTCAAGCATTCCGAGTACTTGGATGGATTGTTGAGACGTATATACCGCAAGATCCAAGAGGTTGACCTGTTGCAATATCATTTAAAATTTTTGTCCAAATTGGGTGAAGATCAATTGATCGTTTCCTTGCACGTTCATTATCTTATCGCCAATGTATCGTGCTCCTTGTATCATGGAATATTGAATTTGGGGTCAAATAAATTAGTCATTAGTACTTTGGAACAATTGATAAAGCAGTGCCAAACTTGGATCACCGACGTTGGTGTTCAACGATTTAGTGAGGCTCGAAAATTTGAAATCTTGATCATTCTTGATTACTTGTCCTATTTTATGATTTACCTAATCATGTTACAGGGTGAGGAGTTGGGTGATGCTACAATGGTTAACAATGTTGTGCCTAATATCTTTACAAAGTTATCTCAGCTAATTCAGCTGCTACGGGTGACTCCTAAACGTCATGCACAGTATCTTTACTCGATAGGAACAGAAGTTTTGACTAGACTGGTTCAGTTTGTTGTGGGACTTCTTACTCGATTCAAGGATGAATCTCGTGATGGCAATTTGTTGAAAGAAGGGTGCACTACAATATTCACAATCAAGGGACTTTTATCACCCACTGAATGCATGGACGACCTTTCAGCTGAAATCGAGCAAATAATCACCTTTTTGGACTCAGTATTGATCAATAAAGAACGTTTGACAAAGCTCGTAAAGTTGTGGAAATTTTACATCACATTGAGTAAAGACTTGAACTGTTCCAAGCTTCACATCGGGTTTCCCGGCTTCAATAATGGAAATGCTTCTGCTTGTCCCGTCTTGGCTGATGGCGGAGCACAATCCGCGGCAGTCGCAGCGGCAACAGCAAATACATGTCCTGTTCTGAATTCAAGCAAAGCTACCGCTGCTGCGTCTGGTTGCCCTGTAATGCATCATAAAGGTGTTAGTACAGCATCTGATTCAATGACAATGTCGCCCACTTCACAACCAATTAAACGGGAAACGATAACAAAATGCCCAATATCGCTGATTACAACGCCCATGAATGATGAAGAGATTAACGTTAACCAACTACCACCGCCTTTACAAGCATCAAATCATAAATCACCTCAACAACAACAATTGCAATCACCAATGAACAAAAAGATGAAGAAATGTCCTTTTGATCATGGATCAATGATGAAACCAAATTTGTACCCTAATCAAGTCGAATCAAGTATAAGAGGCAGTTTCGATACGTTTAAGACACATGCACCAAGTCCTTTGGGTGGTGGGGGTGGATATTCGATGAACAATACGCCGGTTCCAATGCCACTGCTGTTGCAATCGGTCAATATGACTAATGTGACAGGTGAGGAACCACTGAAAGACGTTGCTTCAGGAATCGGAGGTGGTGACATCACTGGTGGTGCACCACGATCTTCTAAACAAAGTGCAGCCGGGTCAGAAACTAGCTGTCCTGTGCTGAGCGCTCAGCAAGTTGCACCACCTCAACAACAATCGCAGCTTATGAATGGATTAGAAAACTTAGACGTCTTTAATCAATTCCATGATTTTGATTTTGATTTTTTGAACCTGGAAAACATACTCGAGCATTTCGGCGGCTCTGCTCCCGGGACTGGTGCTGGAACTAATGGAGACTTGGATTTGGGGTTGAATAATTTGGGCAATGGTAATATTGAGGGATTTTTTCAATAGAGTATAGACTAAATGATAAGTAATGCAATTAATGAGTTTAACACAAAGGAGAGAGACGTTGAGTTTTGGACATAATGCATATTCTGAATTTAACAAATCTAAAGTAAAACAAAAACCTAATACTTTGACCTAAATGGTTTCAAAGTGGTTATATAAATAGTCATTTCACGAACAACTGTTGAAATAATGTATAAAATACCAGTGAAAGACTTTGTGATCTTGGTGCGAGATGCATCCATGTACACAAAAAGTATAAGAAAAACTAACGAGAATTGTGTAGTATGGTACATCGACTCCGTAAGCAAAAAATGAAAAATGGGCAAAAAATTGAGCTTGAAACGAGCCAGCATGGAAGAGGTTAGCCCCTTAAGCATCCCCCTCGAAGAAACAAAAAGATTGAATAATGAAATTGAAAAAAAAAAAAAACACATTGTTGAGTTACCAACAAAGCTTGAAATCCTATCCTATGGCAGGAAGGACAACTTGACCAGGAATAGGTGGAGTAACTTGAAGTTGCGTATTTGCCTTCAGATTCAACTCAGACTCCTTCTCAACACCAACAACATCAGTCAATGCCAGTTTATCACCAACTTTGCCATGCTCCTTCACGATATGTTCATGCTCTTGTGGTCCCAATTCATGATTTTCCTTAGCATGTTCTTCCTTTTCATGCTTCTCCTTTTCATATTGTTCTACACCAGGTGCAGTTTCATGGCGTTCCTTTTCATGATGTTCTTTAGCATAATGTTCTTTCGAATGGCGTTGACCCCCCAAAGTGCGATTTGATTCGTAGTGATCTTTATCGCTTTCGTTAGCAAATGAAGTGGATGATTTTAAACTCTTTTCCAATGTTAATTTATCTCGATGGTGAGGGTCATCATCACGACGACCGAGGCGTACTTCGTGAGTCAAACCCTTTTCATGATTCTTGTGGTGTTCCTTTTCAGCAATGTATTGATCTATACTGTGAATGTCTTTGGATACTTTAGTATCTCCATGACTTTTCTCATGATGATTCAATTCGCGCTCATCCTTAATTAGTCCATAATTATCTTCATTGTGTGATTGTTTCTCATGTGTTTCAGAACCATCATTCATCTTCTCGCTAAAGCTAGATTCATGGTGTTCAGTGACTTCCTTGTGATTATCTTCTTCGTAATGATCAATTTCGTGTCTTTTTCTGTGATTTGAGTCATGAAGGTAATCTTTATGATGTTCTTTTTCAGCAACAATGCGATCAAGTTCGTGGATATCTTTCACGTAGTCACCATTTTTGTGATCTTCCTCATGATGATTCAACTCATGATGATCCTTATTCAAACCGAGATTATCCTCCTTGTGGTGTTGCTTATTGTATTTTGAGGCGCCATCAACAAACAGTTCCAGTAAATCAAAATGATGCTTTTCATTCACATTATCGTGAAAATTCTCTTCATAGTGGACAATTTCATCACGCTTAGTTCTAATGGCATTAGTAACACTACCCAATTGGTAATCTTGCTCAAATTTTTCCTTTCTTTGCTCATGGCGATCACTTTCGAAACGTTCCTCTTTTGATTGACCCAATTTCGCTGACTCATGATACCTTTCTTTGTGGTGATGCAAAGCTTCATTCTTAGTGCCCTCCTTGTGAATAGCATCTTCATCTTTTACCTTTTCAGATTGTTCGGTCATTATATCGCTGTATTGATTTTCGTGACCACCTTTCTCAAACTTTTGTCCTGAAAAGTGTTTGACATGATCTTCTTTTTCAAACTTTTTATTCTTTTCTTCATGGCGCTCCAAGGTATGATCATTTGTCAGGTTAAAGTTCTTGAGATATTGGTGCTTTTCTTGATGCCCTTTTTCCAACTTGACATGACGAGATTCATGCCCGGCATCATTGTGATCGACTAGGCCAATTTCCAATGATCTTTCAGTATCGTCTGCTGGTTTCTCATGGCTCGGTTGGTCTTCTTTAATCGGCAACTTTTGAATAACATCCAAGCGGGCTAAATACCCTTTCTGAACAAGGAAAGGAATTACATCCAAGACAAATTTTGATAAAAGTTTGCCAATTTCTGGTTTCGCAAATGTCACCTTATCCACATCAATATTCAACCCATGGGCTTGAGATGCCATCAACAACTCATCCCAGGGAATTTGTTCATTTTTAATCTTCTCAATTGTCAAACCCATCAACGAGCTTCTAACTATTTTATCCTTCAAAGACAAATTAAGAATGTCATTAATCAATCCGGATTGTTTTAAAGTCGCAAACACTTTTTCAATTCCTCCATCGACATCAAAGCCATTGAAGGGAATAGCTTGATGTGCTTCAAATGAATCATAACCTTCAAAGTTTGTAGAGCTATCCTCTTCATCGAACGCACCCCAGTTAGAACCAAAGCCGTCAACGCTTTCGTTATTCTCTTCGAATAATTTTGTTACTGTATCTTTAATAACCTTTCGATTTTTGAATGCCATCTCCACTGAATTATTCTTCTCCTTTGTGATATGCTCACGACTAAGTGATTCTCCGATTCCGTCATCAGTGCCATCTGCTACGTTGCTGCTTGCGGCTGATTGCTTCTCGTTTGCAATATTGTACGCAGTTTGAATAGTCTTGTAAGCAACTTTCACAACTAATGCTTGATCAAAGTCTGGTGCCACACTAACAAACTCTTCGGGAGACAAAAGCTTGGCATCTCCGTCGTCTGGGATAAGAAGCATGAGATTCTTCAGCTTTTCGGAGGTTACCGAACTAACAGGAGTAAAGGTGCTTGGTACAGGCTTCAGCTTTGCAGAAGGGCCCTTGAGAACGATTTCACTCATTGGCGGTTTCTCACTCTTACCATTGCCTGTGGACGTAATTTTTTTTGGTTCCATCTTGTTCTCTGACTTCGGAATTTTCTTCAATTTCTCTTTAAGTAATTTCTTTTCACTTTTGAGTGCTTCCTTATCGTTCTTTAATGCTTCCTTTTCCTTCCTGAGTTTCTCCTCCTTCTCTTCTCTAAGTCTTTCCTTTTTCTCTTTGGGGCAATCAGGGTCATCTTCGTCGTCGTCATCAGTTCCAGCTTCAGTTGGCTTGGGGCTGTTCAAGATTGTAGTTGTTGTTGTTGTTGGCGTAGGTACTGTTTTCAGCTTTCTTTTCTTTGATCTCAATTTCTTTCTCAACAACCAATTCGACTCAAACGTAGTATCATCTGAAGTCGGCTCTTCTTTGCTCTTGCTACCCCCAAAACCAAAAATCGACTTCCAGGACCATTTGCTTTCCTTCTTTCCCAGATTATCTTCTTCTACGTCATGATAATCATCATCATCATTATCGTCAGAGTCAGAGTCTTCAAAGTCTTTGTGGCTTCCGTTCGTGGGGGTTTCCGCAATCTCTGGATAATCGGACACCCATTCATTATCGTCGTCGCGTTTTAAAAAGACAATCTCATCTACCTGGATGTTACCTTCTGCTTTGTCTGATCTGATGCTGAGACTGCGAAGAGCCCCTTTTTCTCTCAAGTTGATTGGCACATTCATGGATTCATCGCCATCACAATCTTCTTTGTTTGAAGAAGACTCGGCACCATCGTATAACCCATCGGGATATTCTTCTCCCTTAGGATGCAAGTAAGGGTAGGTTTTTGGCTTAGTTTGCATTTTGTTTTTAGGACAATCCTCATCCAGCGTATCTGTCTCCGACTCCAAGACGGTCGTAATAGTGGTGCGTAATGTTGTTGTGATAGTTGGTGGAGCTTTTTTAAAATGTGATTTGATTTTACGGCTTCCGTTGTCTTCCTTCTCCTCCGTTTGTTTCTTTTGATCTCCAACTTTCTTGAAGATGTTCTTTACTTTGGAATTTGAATCGCCGTCATCCCCTTTCTTACCAGACAAGCCAAGCTTGCCCTTCAACTTATTAAAATCATTAATATCAAAGCTTGATTTGCCATCATCCTCTTTACGCTTGACTAATGGGTCGCTTGGGTAGCCTGCGTCAGTATCGTCCTCTTCTTCCTCCTCCTTGTTGTCACCTTTAGACTTGCTCTTTCTCAAAAAATTTTTTAAATCACCGAGCTTGACCACGTTGCTCAAGTCTTCAGGAGTTATGTCATGTCTTTTCAGCAACTTAAGTTTTTGACCCTGTTCAGCAGAGAGTCTCCAAACATCGATTTTTGCATCTTGAGATCCCTGAGTTTCCACTGATGGTGAAATATTGCTTTCTCCATTTGCAGATGCATCTTCTCCACTTTCTTGAGTATCCTCTGGTTTATTTGACTCGGAATCTCCGTTTTCAGTAGCACTCTCTTCACCCGTCGTTTCAGTTTCCTCTTTAATCCGATCAATCAAGAACAATACATCCTTCAACACTTCTATCTTTTCCATTGTCAAGTCTTTTCCAACGTTCATCATCTCCATAAACATATCACCAAAACCTTTAGATGGAGGAGTCAAAGGCAGTGAATGTTCATCCTTCTCGGCCCCATCACATTCTGTATCTTCATCATCATTATCATTATCGGCGATTTCCTTGTTACCTGGTGTTTCAGTGGCATCTGATTGAAACGACCAATCTTTGGCGACGGACGAGGCTTTGCCGCCCTCTTCTACACTTCCTACTTGTCCTGTAGGTATTGAATTTGGGGAAGTATTTTGGAACGGTAACTTGAGCTTGAATTTGAAAATTGGAAATGCAAACAGATGTTTGATCTTCATCTTATCTGAGCCTTTGGCGTCGACCTGGGTTGTCTCATTCTTGTTTAACTCGCTTTTGACCGCAATTGCAGACACAGTAGTGCCGAGAAGCAACAACCTATGAACTTTCATCACCACACAAAATGAATTGGTCTAATTGAATACTATAATCAAGCAACAAATACTTTTCAATCAAGGTTCTGATGAACTTCATAGCTTATATAACCGTTGTCATCTTACGTTAAAGTCCTAATAGTTTCCTAATCTGGATCTTTCACAAAATACTAGGTCGTATCATGTCAGGGCCCACCGAAGAAAATGAACATTCCCTTTTTTTTTGTAATGCTCAATCGCTTTTTGAGTCACAAAGAAATTCGCTGGTGATGACGAATCTCTTCTTTGGCATAAGGGGACTGATTTGTTTCTTCAAGATTGGTGTTCTTTTGTAGGAAAGATGGAACTTAGGGCAGTGTCGTGAGGAAAATAGTAAATGATTGTCGCAAGTTTTATCGCGACATTAGGCAAAACACGGAGAATGAAATGATGTTATATCCGTCAACCATTTTTGGTGTGTCACCGAAACTTTTGCACTTTGAAGTACTTTACAACCACATATCTAGCGCCACTATGATTAGACTTATATCGCCGCGAATGGGTATACCCAGGCTTAATATAAGCCTGTTGCTTGTACAACCTGGTCCCCTACGCTACAGATACGGCATTGGCCATTATGTCAAAAAATCATATGCAACCTCATCTGGAGCAACAGCAACTTTTACCAAACCCAAAACTAGCAGATCCAATAAGTTTTACAAGTATTTTGCATTTGGTATTGGGATAGGCATAGGTGGATCTGCATTATATTATACAAGTGACAAGTTTAGACATATGGTATTAACCGCGGATCGCGTTGGTGTTGTTACTGTTGCCGTGGTTCGTTGTTTTGCATTATACAAAGAGACACTAGGGAGAGAGTACGATTCTGCATCTGCAAGGCACGATGCTTTATCAAAAACCCACAAAAGGGCAGCCGAAATTACTTTGAAAGCTTTGGAGAAAAATGGAGGTATATATATCAAATTGGGGCAACACATAACGGCATTGACCTATTTATTACCCCGTGAATGGACAGACACAATGATTCCGTTACAGGACAAATGTCCTAGATCTTCTATGGAAGAAATTGAAAAATTATTTGAGACTGATTTAGGAGTCAGGCTTGATGAAATGTTTATCGAATTTGATCCGAACCCTGTGGGAGTTGCAAGCTTGGCCCAAGTGCATATAGCCAGGTTACGCAAGAATGGACAAAAAGTCGCTGTTAAGATACAACATCCTAGTTTGAAAGAGTTTGTACCTTTAGATGTTAAGTTGACCAAGTTGGTGTTTGATTTGATGTACAAAGTGTTTCCCGAGTATCCACTTACCTGGTTAGGGGATGAGATGCAAAATTCGATTTTTGTTGAACTTGATTTTACCAAAGAGGCAGCAAATGCAGAAAGAACAGCCAAACATTTCAAGGATTTCTCTTATTTGAAAATTCCGAATGTTTTAGAGGCAGAGAAGAGAATTTTGATTATGGAATACGTTGCCGGATCAAGATTGGATAATTTCGAATACTACCAAGATCACGACATAGACACTTCAAAAGTCAGTGCTTGTTTGACGCATATATTCAATGAAATGATTTTCCGGCCTGACGTTGGCTTACATTGTGACCCTCATGGTGGTAACTTGGCCATAAAGAGTGTTGAACCTAGTAATGGTTACAATTTTGAAATTATTCTCTATGATCATGGTTTATACAGGGATATTCCATTGCAAATGAAACGTGATTATGCTCACTTTTGGTTAGCTGTTTTGGACAATGATATACCGGGAATGAAAAAGTACGCAAAAGTATTTGCTGGTGTTGAAGGGGAACAGAAATTTAAAATATTTGTAAGTGCAATTACAGGTAGAGCTCCCGATGCTGTATTGAATAAAGAGATCAAGTCTAGGAGATCAAAGGCGGAGATTGAAGAAATTCAATCACAAATCAACAATCATGATCTGGGTGTGTTGGAGGATCTAATGGATATATTGTCAAATATGCCAAGAATGATTTTATTGATTTTGAAGACTAACGATTTAACTAGAAATTTAGATGAGAGTTTGCAATCAGACCTAGGTCCTGAACGTACCTTTTTGATTATGGCTAATTATTGTGCTCGTACAATCTACGAAGAAGGGATTGATATAATTAACCTCCACTGCAAAGGAATCACCTGGGCGTTCAAGAGATTCATAAATTGGTTTGATTATCACAAACGATTGACTACCTTGTATATATACGATCTTGTATTGAAGTTTGAGAATGCAAGAAATTGATTTAGATTGATATAAATACTAATGTTGAATTATTCATTATTTCTTTTGATCTTTTCTAGTAGATTGTTTATCCTGGGTCCCATAACTGGTTGTCCACGTTTGGTCTTTTGACTCAATTCCTTCTTTTTCAACTCCCTAATTTTCTCCTGTCTTGCTACGTTGGTTAGTTTCTCCTGTACTTTCTGCAACCGTTCGTGACGATTTTCAGCTTTCCGTTGTTTAGCAATAGCAGCTCTCTCGGCAAAGCTTGTAGGTTTTGGTTTTTTTGATTTGGACTCGTGATGTTGACGCAACTTGGCCTCGTGGTTTTCTTCGTCATCACTTCCTTCATTAAGACTTTCCGATTTATCCTTACTTTGTTCTTCTAGACCCTCATGCTTCAATAGCTTAAAATAATTCTTTCTCAATCGAGCACGATGGGTGAGTGCTCGTTTTATGTCAATGGATTTTGCCTCTCGACGGTCGACAAATCTCTTTTTGCCCTTGTTGTGTTGTGGTGGTGCCATCCTTGATCAGTTCAGTTGTAAAGTAAGAAAAGGAGAGGATGAGCTTCCGAGATGTCTTGATGCATTTAGTGTCAATTTTAAGAACATTGTCTGGTTTTGACATTTTACGACACTTGCTTAAAGAAGGTAGCGGGGCTTTTCTTTATACCAACCATTCATTTGTGACGACGCCTGGAAGAGCAAATAACTACTATTTGAAAATGTCTTGTACCCATCTCTCCTTGGCACTCACCGTGCCTTGTAACAATTACTTTTCATGCTGTACAGTTATTGGTACGATTGACAAAAGTAATCATACGGTCAAATTCATTGTAGCTGGCTTTAACATAGAGAGCAAACCAAATTCGAAATACTCGGCACCATGCCGCTTCTCCTCCGCTTGCTGCACCTGCGTTTGATTTTTCATGCTCAATCTAATTACGAATTGATGTAGAGCTACGCGTTTCATATTTCCAAACGAGCCGCACTTTCTGCAGTTTTGTTGTCCCCTTTTGGCAATATGGGCGAGAGCCGATCCAATAATATTCACCAACAAAGATTTTAAAATCAGGCACCAGTCCTCTATTTAGCCATATAAACACAGGAGACAGCTCTCGGTTCAAAATAACCAACGCTTTTACTTTACTAGAGCTGAACTACACACACACACACACACACATACGATACCATCAACTGACTGTATCTTCTTACACATCGATATGCCACCATCCATACCGAAAAGTAAGTACACTGCATTACCTAATGCTTCAGATATAGCGTCTACATCTCCAACAAGCGATAACACACTCCCCTCATTAAACGGACCCAATCTGAAATACTCCCCACAGGATTTCGGCAATGATGAAGAATTTGAATTGGAAACGATAAATAACTTTGACTACGAAATAGCGATTGAAGATGAGAACGAACGCGAACCGCATCAAAGAGCTAGCTTTGGGATAGACATGTTGCCAAGTGCATCATCAACAGCTTCTTCAAGTACTACCATCGTTTCATCATCAGGATCGTCTAATATGAAAATGGCATTTATGAATATGACAAATTCGATATTGGGTGCAGGAATTATTGGTCAACCCTTGGCTTTTCGAAATAGTGGGTTCTTAGGTGGAATCTTGGTCATGGTCGGACTAACCATACTTATTGACTGGACACTAGTTCTCATAGTGAAGAATTCCATTTTGGCACAACTGAAATCATATCAAGATACAGTCAATCACTGTTTTGGGCTAGTGGGCAAAATTGTATTGCTTGTTTCTATAAGCTCATTTGCTTATGGTGGATGTATGGCATTTTGCGTCATTATTGGCGATACAATCCCCCATGTGTTGACAGCTTTTATACCAAGCTCAATAACTGAGGGTATTTTTGCTTGGTTATTCAGTCGAAATGTCATTATTGTCCTTTTCACTGGTTGTATTTCATACCCACTAAGCCTTAATCGAGACATATCTAAATTGGCAAAGGCTTCAGGTTTTGCATTGGTGGGAATGTTGACAATTGTAGTGTTGACTGTGGTCCGTGCACCTTTCATTTCATCTGATTTGAAGACTAAAGTCACTGGATCGCAGTGGATACTCAATGGAAACATTTTCCAAGGTATATCGGTGATTTCATTTGCCTTGGTGTGTCATCACAACACCATGTTTATTTATCAATCGATGCGAAATGCAACCTTGAAGAAATTTACCAAATTGACCCACATTTCCTGTTTTATATCAATGATTTTCTGTATGGTTATGGGGATTAATGGATATTTAAACTTTGGATTGATGACAAAGGGCAATATCTTGAACAATTTCAAAAGTAACGATAATTGGATCAATATTGCTCGTTTTTGTTTCGGATTGAACATGTTGACTACTTTCCCACTTGAAATATTTGTTGTTCGTGATGTGCTTAAAGAGATCCTTCTCAGTGGGAAAGCAGTCGATGGTAGCACATCGCATTTAGAATTAACGAAATGGCAGCATTTTACAATCACATCGTTGCTTGTGTTTACATCAATGGCAGTCAGTTTATTTACCTGCAATTTAGGAATGATTCTCGAACTTATTGGTGCCACTTCTGCAAGTTTGATGGCATATATAATCCCACCATTGTGTTATTTGCGATTATCGTGGTTACAACTTGATTGGCCACTGGCACAACCTTGGGAAAAGAAACGGTTCATAGTGAGGAAGGCCTTGCCTAGTGTTGGTTGTATTGTGTTTGGATTTGCTGTCATGTTTATTAGTTCAGGAATGACGATCAGAGACGCAATACGAAATAAAGATGGCAGTGATAGTTGTGTAATAGATTAGAAACTATAGATATAGAAAGCAGTTGCCTCTTTTTTTAATCATCTTCGTCATCACTTATGACAAGTCGCCTCTTTCTTGTGATAGCTTCTGGATGTTCCTCGGTCTGTGCACGTTTGTTGTTGTTGTCGGAATCCATATCGGATGTATTGGAAGAAGAGTGATCCGGTTCGTCTTCCTCCTCGCTTTGACGGGGGTCACTGTCCTCACTTTCAAGCAATGCGTTGTTCACTGTGTGACTTTGCGTGAGGTCTCCCTCTTCCACTTCCTCTTTCTCTCCCTCATCATCATCTTCTTCTTCTTCTTCCTCAACAAACAATGATACCTCCTCGACTGCATTGTTTACAACATTTGCAACTTCCTTGTTCCCATTCTTTGAATACACCAGCCATACTTTTTTAAACTCTTCCAATTTTTCATTGTTGGTAATGCTTCCAATTTCATTCAATAATTTCCTTAATCTTTCCTCACGAACGAAAAATTCTTGATGTCGTTCGTCATCCGAATCATCATCTGAGTCATGAACAAATTCAGCTGATCGCGCTGGCTGTGAATCTTCAAGTAAACCCGCGGGAATTATTCTTCTTCTCGAAGTCTCATTACTCTTGCTCGGTTTGGTCTTTGTCTTTGATCTTCTCTTGTGGGCTTTACCTGGTTCCAAGTTCTTGGATCGTGGTTGATGTTGTGAGTTCAATTGAGCTTCCAATTCATCCAATAGATCTAACTCAGTTCCGTGTTGTCTTGACGAATTTGGATTAGCATCCAATTCAAATGCAATGTCGTCGTCATCACCATCACCATCACCATCTTCTTCACCATCTCCTTTGTAGGCTTTATCACCATCGCCTTGCTGTTGGAGCTTACGTTCAAATCTTCGTTCCAACAAATCCTCCTTCTCGTATAAATCGCCAGTTGATAAATAACACTTGCAAGCACTCTCCTCGATCCTGGGGAACAAGACTTCAATTATATTGGGGAACCGACCAAGAGCCACTTTGAATTTTTTCATAAAATAATAGATAAACTCCTCCACTTTCAATCTAATTGACGAACCTCTTGGTAAATGGCTCTTTAATTTGTGCAACATCTGCATAAAATCTAACCGAAACAACCCGTTATAATCCTTTCTAACAACAAACAATTTATGGAAATAGCTCAAACATATTTTGATATCATCATGAGTCAAATCTTGGAATCGAGACAAATATTCAATATATGCAGTAACGATAGCTTGATGGAAAAACCTCACTTCAGTAGCTTGAAAATTCAATCTCCGTTCTCGAGTAACCTCACGTATATTTTCAGCAATGGCTTCATCGTCAGAATCATAAATGGCTGCAGAGAGTTTTGCATCTGTATCTCGATTCAATTCGTTAATTCGTTTGCGGTTTTGTTTACCCTGTTTCCGTTTAGTTTGAACATAAAGTTGTAAATCCTCCTTGGCAAAGGACTCAAACGATTTCAAAATGATGGTGATCACATGGATTGACTGTTTCAAAAATCGCGGTGAATGTTTGAATGCTGATTGCGGGATCAACACTAAAATGTTTAGAAAATCGTTGAATGAAAATAATTTCCTAATTATACCTTCAGCCAACTCACGATCAATTTCATATTGAGTATCTTCTTCTTCTTCATCGGTGGTAGTTCTCTTTTTTCCAAATATCGAGTTCGATATTTGAAGCAATTCTTTAAAACAAATCATGGCCACATGTAGCGAGTTCCATGATTTCTTCGCAAATGAGTCACGAAAATAAGTTACAATCAAAATGAAATTGATTTCACTCAATGCTGCCCTAACGGAACCAAAATCAAACGACGCTGTATTGTTTAGCATAATTTGTTCTCGTTGATAGTTCAAGAACCATGCAATAGTGAAGAAATAACTGGCATTTGATAGATCATCTACGGTTGAATATTCCGATTGACTTGTAAGTTTCGATGCCATTACTTCAATCAAGTTATTGAAACAACCACCTGATAGAAATTCATCAATAAACTCAAAAAAAATATGTCGGCCTTGAGCTGTGAGATACACGGGTGAGCTCGTCTGTACATAGTCATCGGAATCGTATTTGAAATGATTCGGATTCTTCCAAGTCTTCGACTTGTCTAGTTTGTCCAAAGTTCCATCAGTATTTGCCAACGCTTCTTCTCCAGATACCACGTAGGAAGTTGCATCTGAAGAACGAATGGATAATAATGTACCAAACTTACCATGTCTGGTGGCAATTTTCAGGGTTTGTGCTTGTTTCTTTCTAGCTTCAGTTGCTAGTAGATCCAGCAATTGCATTCCTACTGTGCTCGACAATGGTGCCAATGGTGCAGATGCATCAGTCGATACGCTGGGAGCATATGGTAATGGAGGTGGACGAACAAGTACATCCTTCGCCTCAATCCCTTTTATCATCAAGTAAATACACTCAAGTGTAACTTCACCAAACAATTCCTTATCAAATTCAACATTAATTGATCCTGAGATAGTTAACAAAAGCATAAGGACCTTGTTCCTTTTAAACACTTTTAAGACATTGTTTATCGAAATGTCATCTTGAGAAACACCACTAGGTAAATCTGCCGATGCGACAATTGTGTTTCTTGCTTTTGATGAAATTGAAGATGTTGCAGGTTCAATGGCTAAAATATTTCTAACAAGGTACAATACAAGTCGTAGGATTTGATTTTCACGAGGTTCTCGATCGATCTTTGATTTTTGTAGAACAGGTAGTACTAGTCTAATCACTGCTTTCAACAATTGTCCACCATTGTAGGTTAAAATGTGTTTCTTGTACAGGACGTGAATTTTTCTGATATTTGCATACAACAATTTTTGATTGTCTGACAAATTCTTGTCAAAATCCACTGGCCACGTTAAAAGCACAAGTATTTCCAAACACGAAAGCATTATCTTCTCCATTGAAGTCTTGTTTCTGATTATCTCCTTTTTGGCCATTTTTTGCTCCCATTGACAAAGTATGACCAAGATATCATTTTGAATTAATCCACAATCAGCACAAGCGAGTGCTACTTCATAGTTGTTTTGTTTTTCATCAACAGCCCTGATCCATCTTTTTATATCTTTTAGACACGCCAATGCATCATGACCTAGTTTATATGGAGGGGGTTTGACTTCTGATGTATGGTCAACACCACCCAATGCAGATACCAAGATGGCGATATGTGCACGCAATAATTTTTGTGCATGAGTTTCATTTGGCTTTAGAGTCGTTGATAAAGATCTTAGCCTGTCTTCTTCTTCCTCCTCTTCTTCCTCTTCTTCCTCTTCTTCCACTACTCCCCCCTCTGCACTACCTTTGTCATGGTCTATTTCAATGGGTTGATCTGCTGACTGTCCTGCAATTGTCTCGTGTTTCTTTGGTAGCTTAATTTTAGTAACTTCTTCGTCTCCGTAGTCTATAAAATCATCAAATTCTTCTGCATCGTAATAGTTTTCAATATCTGAGCCTGTCTCCACGTCACTCATATCGACTTCAACGTAGGAGTCCATTAGATAAGGAAGTATGAGCTTAACTTTTGGTGTCCTAGTGAAAAAAGAAAATCAGAGAGAAAAAACCGCGTCATGAAAAACAAACACGTCCAAATATTGGTTGGTAGCGTACAACATATCTGAGCTTGAGATGCAATGAATGAGACAACTGGTGCTAGACAACTTTCCTGCCACAATGTGCTAATGCATTCGTTGCGAAAGCACTACCTTACTAATGACTCTTCTTCTAGGATATCTTCTATCAGCACCATCTGCTTACTTAAGCGATATCGTGGGTTTACATTGCATTAACAGCACGATTGTTGGCACTGTGAAATCATACAATTAGTAAATTGACAAGTGTGGCCGTGTATAAACAGCCTCCCTGAGGGTGACCTATAATGGGGCTCTATCCAATATGGTCCGTTATTGAATGTCCAAAACTTTTGTCGTGAAAATATATATCACGACATTCAATCATTAACTGTAGGTGGTCTTAATGGTAAAAGGTACTGTATATAAAGAAAAGTTGCATACTTGGAAGCGGGGTAAGTTTCTAAATCTGTCTCTTAACTACAGCCAAAAACAAAACTATACAGTAAAAAGGAATGATCAAGATTCAATGGATTGGAAGGTTTCATATGAGCTTCTGCTAATGAAATAGCCAATTGACTTTCGATCACAACACAGTTGAAAACAAAAGTTTGAGAAATATATTTGTGCGCATTTCACGTTTTAAACAATTCATGATCCTAGAAACTTTTCCCATTACCCTTCTCAAGAACTTCAAGTCCATTAGTGTTTAGTCTTGATCTGTCATCAAGGTCACTTTGTGTATCTAGAAATTCTCCACCACGCCACTACTACCATTTTACCAATGCTCTCTATTAGTTTGTGGTCTCCTATTTAGTTTAATTTAGTTTTTATGGTTATGAACCCTTGTTGATGAAAATAGAAAAAAATTTTCTTTCAACAACTTTGGTAGATTTTAGCCCAACCAGAGTCGTAAAAATTCCACCTATAAGTCACTGATACATAAGTGCTTGTAGTTTCTTACTGCAGTAGGGCATAAAGGTGGTTCGGTCGATCAAAGTCGTGTACCTGTGGGGAGGAGGAACCCACGTGCCAGCCACAAAAACAAGAGCAGTAATCTCTCTAAAAGGGTAAGCCAATGCATAGCGATTAGAATAATAGAACTACCATCTATATACGAGAGATTATGTACAATGGCATCGTTTTGTTTATGCTCCCCCCAGTGAGAAATTTAAAGTAAAAGATACTCCGAACCCATTTTCTTCCATCTCATTAGCTTCTCATGGCACATACATATACTTACACAGATCGCGTTTTCGCTTTGAATTTTCTCATTGATTAAAGCTAACTTGACCTCAGTATAATCAAACTGAAGTATAGAGTCACTCTTGTTGATTGTGCAATTTTTTTTTTTTAGGTTTTTTTGTTGTCTCTAACCAGCGCTAGAAAAAGAAGTAACCATTAAAAACCATTAAAAACAACTCCAACTGACGTGAAAAGAAGTCGCCCCGCATCCCATTACTACGACTAAGAACGTTATAGCGGAGCCAATCAATCATTCAAAAAATAGATTCTGAAGCTATCGTCAATATTGTTTTCTTAACAGTAAAATAGTCTAACAAAATGGAGCACACACCTACAACCTTGGGGACCGTGCAACACAATCCTGCTAGTGGATCCAATAACAACCTGCCAGCAAACCCCACGTCAACTCAATCACATAATACATCTCCATCCACGGACACAACACCGAATAATAACGATAATGTACCAGCGCAATCCAATGGCAATGAGGAAGGCAGCGACGCTGACAACAAGGAATCTACATCACAACATACACTAAAACGAAGAAATAGGATACCAGCATCCTGTTCCATGTGCAGGAAAAGAAAGTCCAAGTGTGATAGAGTACGGCCTGTGTGTGGCACATGTATTAGAAAAGGTATAGCCCATCTTTGCCAATACGAAGTCAACTCCAGTCATAGATACATCTATCAAAATTCTCATCCATATCAAGGGCAAGGATACATGCAAGGCCAATCAGACTCCTATAATAACCTTAATGGACCACAGCCGTTTCCAGTGCAAGTACAACCACAGCTCCCAGGACCACTACCACCTCATTTTGCTCATCATACGCCACAACATTATGTACCGCCTTCACCAAACTCATCTGACCCGGCAAATTATGTGCCACACAATAACCCACAACAGTTTCCTGGAGGAGGTCCCCCACCTCCGCCACCACCACCACCTCACTTGTATCACAGCCCACCATTCAATGGTCCACCATTATCTCAACCTTCGCCCGATTACATGTCTCCATCAGCTGCAAACAGGTACTCGCCGTCAAATGGTCCACCTGGGCTGTCATTGTCTTATGGGGCATTTCAGCATCCACCCTCTAATAATGGTGCAGAAAAAGTCCTGCCCCGACAGTTGCCTATACCAGCACCATCGTCACATCACAGAACTTCGCAAGACAATGGCAAACCATATTTGCCTAGTCCAACAGCAATCTCAAACTCCATGTTTAGGGGTGGTCCTCATCACTTGCAATCAGGATCAATTAGCTCCATCCCGTTACCACCACCGCCTTCAGCGCCTATACCAGGTAGTGCAGCTGCTTCTTCATTAGGATCCGAAGGTCAGCCACAATTACCTCCGCCATCAGCGAGCCTGGTAACGCCAAAAAACGCATCTACGTCGCCATTGGCCAACTTTCCTACTTCCCAGCACCCATCGCCTAATGAACAGAATGGTGTTAACCAAACCGTGACCCCATCTGCAAGAATACGATCGATGCCTTCGGAGAATGTGCCTTCGCCTTTGACAAGTATGCATAAGCCAAGCGCAACAGCTACAACCCCTGGATCGTACACTAGTGAACAAAAACCCATCTCGATGCAAAATTCCCCTGGAGCCAAGGACTCTTTCTCATCGAATAACTTGGTATCGATCCCACTTGGACCCAATTCATCATTGCAAGTTAGTACGGAGGATAGAATGAATGTCTTTTCCAACTCAAGCTATTCGATTGCTTTGGAGAACCATATAGTCCAAGAACATGGGGTGCTTTCGTACCTAGGTTTGACTAAAAGCGATCCATTCATTACGATATTGAGGAATTTTACGGTTCATTTGTTTAGAGCAGGGGAAATGACCAAATTTATTCGAACAGATGCCAACAAAAAACGCAGAAACTCAACGGGTTCGGCATCGAAATTATCATCCAAGCATAGTGATGGTCTCCCATCGTTTCAAAAGAAGCCAAAGCTAAGTATGACACCCGCCGAACAAGATAACGCTGCAGAAGCAGCACCAATGGTTCCAACGGACTCAAGTCAGTCGAATAATGACGTTGACATAAACAACCTTTCAAAAGCTGCAATCAAGCATGCACGCGAACAATCTTTAAATGCATTGAATGTTGCCTCACCTCTCGATAAATATTCTCCAAATGTTCCAGAGAATAAACGAGACGAGCGTAAGATTCCCAAAATAACACCATCGGTTGAATCATTCTTCACTGGTCTGAATAAAAAAGAGTACTATGCATTGGTGGAAAAAGTTATTCTTGCAACGTTACCTGATCAGGTTAATCTGTTTAAATTGTTTTGTCGATTTTTCAAGTATGTTCACCCATTTATTCCTATCATTGATGAAACGTCATTTATCGTGGAGGTCAAGAATTTGTTAATCACTTTCCCATCGTTTGGGCATGAGCGATGGACCTCAGTCAAGATTCGCAACGATCAAGACTTGCGTACTTTGGGATTGTTTTTGCTCATTTTGTCCTTGGGATTCAAGAGTTTGATTCAAAATGACAATGTGTACAATGAATATACCGATGAAGAGGTATCCATGATTCAAGACATGACGCAAATCTCTTCGGATGAGTTCAAAAGAGTCATAAATCTATGCATTAGTGATAGCTTGCTCGGTGCCAAGTCATCGTTCAAATTAGTTCAATTATTGACTCTTTTGTATTTCTATAAAGAGGTATCGGCTGATGATGGTCATGGTATATGTGGTTCAGACTCACAGATCTTACTAGGTGTTACTATCCGGCATGCGCTTGCCATTGGATTAAATCGTGATCCAACGTCTTATACCGCATATGAAGCAATTTGCAAGAATCCTTCGCTTATCAAAACTTGGAGGCATTTATGGAACTATTTAACGCAAGCTGATGCAATGAGCAGTCTCCACAATGGTACCAATTTGAATTTGAGGAATTTGAAAATGAGCGACGTACAAGCACCTTATGAACTGAAGGATAAAACAGGCGAATTAAATGAAACGATTAAACGATACAATTCGATCTGTGACTGCTATCGTCAATTGTGTAATAAAATCAACAATGTTTGGGAAAAGCCAAAAGTTATGGATATTTTGGCTGATACCAATCATTTGGAAAAGATATTTTTTGATTTTTTTGGAAAGGACTTCTTTCTGACTATTATATGCAAACCAGCAAAAGTAAATCCTGATGCGAGTTCATGGGATGCAAGCACGTTGGAACATGAAGAACAGATCATCAAGGTGATGAAATACTGCATGTTCATTCAATTGAGGACGAACTTGTCAGGTATGTATTATATGATTGCCATTCATTATGAAAATGAGTATAACGAGTCCAAGACTCCATCCATGAATGCTGGTATTGAGTTATTCAAAATATACATCAAGAGCGTGGTGCAAATCGTATACATTATGACTCATGTATTGGATAACTCGGTTGAATTATTTGGCAAAAATTTCGACTACATTCTTACAGCGGCTAATGAACGGTACATGATTCGAACTCATTCCTTCTTGACTTCATTCTTTATCCGTTTGCTCCATCAAAAGAAGGATCTATCATTCAAGGTGTTTAAAGAACCAAGTTATATTCCTCGACTTGAAGTTATTGATACTTTATTCACAATGGTTTTAATCGAGGCTGAATTATTTGTGGGAAATTTCCGTAAAATGTCTCGAACTTATATCAACAGTTATCGATTATACATCATGACATATATCATCATGCGTCAATGTGTTGAAAATCCCGATGTGTTTTTCGAAAAGGCGATTCATGACCAACTGTTTTTCCATCAGGGAACAAATATGATTGAATTTTTCACGCTTGCTGAATTGCATCACTTATGTCGATTATGTGGTGAATTCCGCAATGCTACTGAAGAGAAAAAGAGATTGAAGCGGGAGAAACTAAAAGCAAAGGGAATCATTGTTGAAAATGACGCAGATGTTGATAATTTCAACTTTGACAGTTTACAATCATCCGGTGCTCTTGATGATTTCGCCATTTTCAATGATGGCAATGGCACTACATTTATGTCATTTTTCGATGACGATCAAGTATTTGATAATTTGAATAATTTGCCTGATGATATATTGGATCCTGTTGCTCGTAATGAAGATTTGATTCGGTTGTATAACATTTATGGTGATTTTGATGAGGATTTGGTTAGAATGGCATCATCTTGATAAAAGACGGTTTGTTTTTTGTATTAGTTTTAAAAAAAAGTGTGTATTATTATCAACTAGGGTTACTCTGATAGAAGCATTCTTTGTAGGATCAGTTGTAGATATAGCTCTACTGTCTTCTTTAGTGGTTATATGATCTTTACTTTTCTTTCCACGTTGTATCGCCGTCCAATAGCCTAACATCGAAACGGTATTAGGTAGCGCGTCAAACAACTTCAAAACAACTTTTTTTTTCTACCTTACATACTTTATGTTTCATAAGAAGCCTGTAGAATCCTCGAAATCAATCAAGATAGTCTGGCGCCCCCTCCCCTCCACCAGAAACAATGCAATCTGTCTTTCAGGTAGGAAACGATCACCAGAAACCAAAACGAAACCGTGTTTCACTTAACTGCTTATCTTGTAAACGGCGTAAAATCAAATGTGATCGAAAAAAGCCGTGCGGGTCATGCGTCAAGTATGGTTCCGCTTGTGAGTACCTGCAACCAGTATGGAATCAAGCTGAGGAGGATGATCATTTTGGTGTGCAGCGGTTGAATTACAGGAGTCTTGAAAATAGTCGAAATGGTGATAGTGCTGTTAAGAAACGTAAGACTAGTAACGGGGAAAAGAGAGCCAGTGCTGTAGTTATCGAAGGCACGGATACAGTTTCTAATGTGGTTCCCCCATCTGAGGCTATATCTGGTGATGTTTTTGCTCAGTTAGAGTTTCTCAAGTCGAAATTACACGAATTGGAATCAAAAGTGCACGATGGACATTCTTCTCATGCATCATCTAGCAATTCGACACCAGTATCAGAAAAGAAACCACTTGATTGGGAACATATCACTTCATCGACCCAAACGGAGTCACATAACCCTACGTTTATTGGAATCAATCTATACAACGACATGAATTTTAACGAAACCATCAACTTTTATGCAGGCTATGCTCCAGTTCATGTTCAGGATTTGGCTAGACGATACAACCATGGTCCATTTTCTTGGTTGACATTGTTGAAAAAGGATCCTGCCCAGAGCCAAATTTGGAAATACTTGCACTCTGTTCGACAAGAAAATCGTCAGAGAATACGTCAAACCCCTCGCGCTGCACAAATACCACCTTTGCTTCATGTGTTCAAAGAAAGCGGTGACCATTCGGGTCCCAAGACTACCCAAAGCTGTTGTGGTCCCGATGGTGTTGATAAAGATGAATCTGATAAATCCGGTCACTGTCAAAGTAAAAAAAAAGATCGTGGTCAAGAATGGGAGTTTCGCGAACGAGCAATTGATCGTGATGGGTTCAACGATTTGAGACTTTATGGAAATGTTCGCACCAATTTTAAACAGCTGGGGATTAGAGAAGGCACTAATGTCGGTTCCAATCCTGCTAAACTATCAAAAATAAATTCACCACTGCCGCCGGCAGCAACAGCAAATGAAAATATAAGCACCAAAAAAGACGCTGCTATCACTCCTGAACCCGAAAAAAAATCAAGAGGTGCCATGTCTTTTGGCAAAGGTAAAATTGAAGAGGAACTAAACTTGATTGAGAATTTGAGAGACTATCTTCCGAAGCAAAAGGTCATTTGGAAATCAATTGAGTTATTCTTTACTCACTTATACCCCTTTTTCCCAATACTTGATGAACAAGAGTTTGTTCAAGAAATGGAACGTATATTAGGACCCAAAGATTATAATGATACCAAAATAACCGACTTGAAAATTGAAAAACGATTGGACCTTGCCTATTTGGGAACATTGTTCATTGTGATTCGATTTGCCTATGTGGCTCTAGTCACCAACAGAAGGACCTTAATGGACAAAAAATTGGCCAATAAGACTGATGATAGACATGAATTAGATGTACAATACTTGTTGAAAAATCCGGTTGAAATGAAGCTTATTGAAATGGCAGAATTATGTCTTGACCAATTTAACTTGAATCGTAGAAGTGCACTCATTGTTTTGCAATGTACTTTTATGCTTCGGTTATACTACATGTTTGGCCCCGAACATGGAGATGGTGCGGATGGTGGAGACTCGCAGGTGATTAATGGATTAATGGTGCAAATGGCGCTTGCCATTGGGTTGCATCGTGATGGATCAGTGGTTACAAATGTAAATGATATCATTTCCGATTCTATTGAAGAGTGTGTTGCTGAAGAGGATAGTGCCAGAGTTCAAAATCTTCATCGCAAAATCTGGTTCTTTTTAGTCATTTGTGATTTGATTCAAGGGTACCAATATGGTAATCCCTTGTGTATCAGAGAAGAGATGTACGATACTCGTTTACCTTTTTACCAACCAGGGAATGAAAATATTGATGATATCGAAAAGGAAAAACATGCAGTTAGCACATTTGCCTATCTCGAAAAATATCGCACCAAGTTGGTTAATATTTTAAACACATGTTTGAATTTACATAAGCCAGCTAATTTGAAAACTTTGACTGGGTACATATCCGACTTTGAAGTGTTTCTAAACGACAACTTTGGCATTATGAAATTGTTTCTCATACCTTTTGACAAAGATAACTATGCCTACCCATTTTTGAAAATTATGAAGTGTAAAAACTATATCAATATGAAGATGTTTCTCAATGGCTTGTTAGCCCACTTATACATCCATTACGAGGCCCAAGCTAATGATCAAAAGCAATCGCTAACAAAGCAAAAGAAACTGCAATCATTGGCTTTCTTCTACTTGCGGAAAATTATGGCTTCATTGTACGGTGAATTCCTACCTCACGTTTTTCAATTGCTTTGTGAAAATGCCAAAAACTTTGGTACTGATATCGGAAGTGATTTGATCTTGAATCCGATTGTTGAATCAATGTTGCACAAGATTTCTCAATTCAGTTTTGCAATGTTGACGCGATTGAACTCAACAATTTACCTAATGAGATCAGACCCAGAGGCTCATGAAGCTGGAATGAAATCTGGATTTGAGTATCGAGCCAAGTATGGCAAATTGGTCCAATTGAGTCAACTTGTGGAACGGATTTGTGAGATTGTGATTACGGCAATGTCACGTTTAAGTCAACGATATTATTATGCATGGAGAATCACAAAAGCTCATACATATATCATGACCCATTGTATGAAAAATCAAGAGTTTTTTAAATTATTTCATGAAAAGAATCAGTTGAAGAAGTTTTTGGAATGCGATGGTGAGCAGTTGAATGAACTAATTGCTATTTGTGAAAAGGGACAGAAACCATACACAAAGTGTAGGAAAAAGTTTGCTAAGATTTTCACCGAAACCAATAAGGAAAGTGAGAAGCAAACTAGTAGACATGAAGGTAATGAAGAGTCAAGTGTAAAGCATATCTCCACTACAAAAAATGCCAATAGTGGGGAAGTAAACATTAGCAGCAATGACGACGACGCCAAAGTTCATAGTCATCAAAATCTGGTTAGTTCAAATGCCCCAAGTTCAACAACCGAGTACACAAACGTCGTTACCAATCCGATGTCATCGGAGTCCTGGTCAAGCCTTGATGATTTCAACACCGTGTCAAACACTGATATCGATAATTTGTGGATCTCGCTCAAGATGAAAACTACTCCGTATATCAACGACAATAACGGTGATCAAAATCTGGGTAACCTGGGTGAGCTTTCAAACGGAAATGCAAATGCCATACCAGCAACCACGGCATTTACACCGGCTGTTATGACCCCCTTTTGGCAATCTTTAGCTCAACCGTACAATCAACAGCAATCTCCACAACAGCAGCAAGAGCCACAGCAGGAAAACTATCATCAACCAGGTGTATATAATGAAGATGCTAACAACAATAACCAAGTAAATGAGACAAATACCGGTCAGTATGGTGCCGCTTATCCTGGCAATACCGGTAGTGGTGAATTAAAGACATTGAATGATTTTGACTTGTTTAATAGTTTCCCATTGGAGGAAATGTTGGGCATAGCTAGCATGAACTTGCCATAAAGTTGCGGGTATAGTCGTGTGTTTAATACAATTAATCTAATATTTGCAGTCATTACTTTCTTGTATACCTATTATACTACGCTTGTCTCAAATGGCGTCATTTCATAATGGTTTATCAGGGTGGCCCACATTTGGTTGCATGGTGCGAAATATTTGGTTGCAAATTGGTCCGTGCATCGAGTTGCATATTGTAATTGGAAATTTTGAAACATTACCCCGCGTTCGGGTTTTGCCAAGATCTGTTCCTCTTTTTCTCTACGTAGCTTTTAGCACCACTAAAGTTCTTTACAGTCTTGTGATTATACAAACGTTGGCTTTACGAGAGATGAATAAAGGATAATGCAAATAATCTTTTCGATAATAATAATAAATCTCTATATTCAAACTTCCTTTTTTTATAAACAAACTAAAACCATATAACAGTTTCAACCCCGGAATTGAGACATGCAAAAGTTAAACCCGGGGTTAGAAGAAGTAAATTTAGTACCATCTCATCTTCAGTCGCATTATTGAGGAACTGAGAATTTCTAAAACGCAAACAATATGGAAAAATGTGATAAAATCAAATGACCAGCATTTGATAGATCCTAGTTGGTGAACCATTGAATCCAATAACACTCATAACGAACAACTCGCAACTTGTTTAAATTGAAGACTTGCTGAACTTTTTCAACAAATTATTCAACTCAATCTCTTCCTTCATGGCAGCAAATTCAATAAGTGGATCAACCATGTATTGATGATGACTAGGTTGTGGCTTTTTCTCAACAAGACCTCCATTACTAGTGGTTGCCGATGTAGTTGGTGGCAATGGCGATACTGAGCATGTTGAAGTGCCTGATGTGGAGTTTGATCTTGTGGAGTAGAGTGAATTGTTTGATTTTGAGGAGCTGATTGATGAAATTGAGCTTTGTGAATCTTGTCTATAGTGTAATTGATTGTACAATGAGTTGGAGCTTGTAGATGAGCTTGATGGACTGACTGAGCTTGATCTTGACGATGATGATGGAGTAAGGTATGCAGAAGCTGGAGTAGCAGAGGCTGGAGCACCAATTGCAGCAGTTGCAGTAGCAGAAGCATATAGTTGTTTTTGTTGTTGAGCTTGTTGTTGTTTCCACAATTTGATCTTTTCCAGCTTGATGATTTGAGCTCTAACTGGCTCCAAGAATGATCCCAATACTTCAACCATTTCTTCGTTTGTAACCTTCAAATCCCAGTTCAACAAGTAAATCAATTGTCTTTCCATAAGATTGATGTCTTTCACATTAAACAAACCGTCTGTGTATTTAGCCCAATGCTTGTTTTTTGGACTGGAGTCGTTGTGAAATTTGCTTGATAAGATTAAACAACTTAATAAGATTCTGTGTCTGGTACATGGCAATCCTTGAGCGTTTTTAGGCAACTTGGTTTTCAATTTTTGCAAATAAACCAAGGTAGCCATCAAGGTACCAGTATATACATTGGTGTATTTGATCAATTTGGTGAGAAAAGTCATCAAAGAAGGCAATTGTTTGACTGTGTTATTTGTAGTAGTGTAAGTTTGTGACTTGGTGTCTTTGCATGGAATGACTTGCAACGTAGCAACAACCAACTTGTGAATCATATCGTGAGTAATTGGTCCATTGAGGAAGATGTTCAATGCTTTTAAGTCAAGTGCTGAAACCATTGTGGATATGAGAATATTTAGTGGTAGATGTAATTGTTTGAAAATGAAACTGTTGGATACAGAAGGAAAGCATGAAAGTGGAAATGAAATTGAAGAAATACTATCGGTATATATACAAATCTAAGGATCCTTGTCTAAGGAGATGTTTTGATAATTTTATGAATGCAAAACAAAAGGTACGTCTTAATTGATTGATGATTGTTTTACCATTAGTTATTATAATACACGCTTAAAAGTGGTCTTGTGTTACTTTGTATTTTTTTTTTAATTTTCCAAAAGGGTGTTTGTGTAATAAATGGTCTCTCTTTTATTTCTGGCGCTTAATTTTTTCTTTTCACCTTTAATAAGAACAACAACCAAGAGACATAACTCCTTTTAAAATATATACAACGTTATTCATAACCGCGGAAGGAAAACAATAGTAACTACGAGGCGGTTGCAACAACTTACTGTTAACTGTTTGTATAGAGCTACATTCATACGGGCTCAGCTTGATGTCTCTATCACCCTAAGCACGTCCTCTCTTCCTTGCCTCGAACAATCCCCCTTCCACGAAGGTATCGAAATTATCGTTTGATATTCACTTGGATGTCGTTGTTTTTTGTGTTTGCACATATTTCTCGTTTTTGTGATTGTCATCAGCTCGCGTCACACAACAAGAACACCAGAGATTTGTCTCACATGAATTGGCAGGAAAAAAGAGAAGAATCTAAAAATAATAAAAGGCAGTACAGTTACAGTGAGGTGGGTATGCCCAAGATTCGAAATATGCAAGCTCATGTATGATGCAACCCCGTATCTAAAATCCTTCGGACTATAATTGGCAACCCTTTTCTTTTGTCGAATAATGACGATCTCTTTCTCCTCATTAGATTTGAATTGAATGCTTAATCACTTATCCTAAGTTAAATTAGTGTAAATAGTGTGACGCTGGGTGGCATTGGGTGACGACGAGTGACGTTGCTTGGCCCGCGGAACGCTCAGTAGAGTAGAAGCAATAATTGCTTGGTGGAAACACAAATCTATAGCACGCATGTGAAACCAAGCTACAACCTCAGCCCAGTGTATACTTGAACAATGTTTTTACCACGCTCATGATATCCGGTCGTCTACATTACAGTGCTTGATACACATTGTCTTCTTGTTGGTCTCCAAACGTCTTTGAAAACGCGTTAGAAAATTGTTGAAAGGGCTCGCACTACACTATCAGCTTTATCGTTTAGTCCCACGACCAACTCGACTGCATTGTTCCATTGTCCTTCCTCTACATATTAGACTTGTGTTAGTAACTTTGAAAAGCCAACTCAATAATAAGTAAGATCTGTATAGTTTGCTAAAGGGGGAACTAAAATAGGAAAAAAATTAACTTTACTATCGCGTGTATTGTGTTTTCTATTTTGTTCGTCTAAACATCAATTTAAAACCCAAAACAATAGGTCCCTATTGAACAACACAATAGAACTTGCATTCTCTATTCGTTTGTGATACATATTTGAAGCGTGTCATATTCCTTCAGAAAAGTGGTACAATATAGCAACAATTAAATTTAAGGGGAAAAAATCCAGAAGCATGGAAAACAATAAGGCGTAGTAGAGATTCTAGATCTTTTTGATCGTCCAACATAATAGTGTAAATCAATGAAACTTACACTACACAACTCACGAAACACTTTTAGGACCCCAGCTAGTTGAAATTAGTCACCACCTTTTCGATCTCTTGGTGTATCTGTAGATACTTTACTAATTTGAAACAAGTTCGATACCAAATGTGCATTGGCGTGTACACAATAATAAAAAAACCACGCGTGAGCCCTTGGTTTAAAGCGAAGCCACTACCAGCAAAGCCCAAAAAAAAATGCACGGAAATACGTCCAAATGTTTCCAAGCTTGGTGCATTGTTAGTCCTAAATTTTTATCATCCGATATTCGCTTACTCTCCTGCCTTTTGGGTTATATTTTTAGGTCGAATAATTTAGGTCGCGCGTCGCCACTCCTGTCGACCCAGTTTTCCTTTTCTCTTTTTTTTTTTTTTTTCGGCTGCATTGGGCAGAAAGAGATGCTGGTTAGGTGGAGAGATTCTTTTCACGCGACTAAAAAATGAAAGGAAGTTAAGCCATGTAGGAAATTTGCAGGTCTATTGCTAATGCTATCCTTTCAAGAACTACATGTAAACACACTCAAAAATAGAATCAATGTACCCGTCTTTCTCACTGACACGTTCTTGGTTTTATCAACAATGGTCGGAGACCACACCACCTCGCAAAACTCCCTCTTCACATGGGCAGATTTTAGTCCTTTGGTCAACTCTAAGAAGACTACGTATACTTTTCAAAGAGAAATGGCAAGTTCAACCGGATGCTTTTAACTGCCCAATATCGCCACAGAAGCGTGTAATTTATCTGTTTTAGTAAGTTGTAGTTAATACATGTTAGATAAATTACTTGCAGCATATGCTGAAATGTTTTCTTTTTCCGCTTCTATAATTTCAAGAGATGGGCCAATTTGCCTAACTCGGCACGTATGATTCAATCTTACTTGCTAACACAACTTCTTTGACGAATAGATCCATATGCGTTATTTTGTGCATTAAATAATTTAACCAAATTGAGTTAAATTGAAGTGAAGAAAAAAAAAGTGGCACAACAGAGAGAGTGAAACCAAACGGTTTCTCTTGGGCAAAATAGACGACTACACCTGAACGAATGTGATTCTGAAAACCGTATTGTGTTTTGACCAAAAGCAGCGGGGGTTTTCTAACCGAGGTTAATACCAGCATACTTTCAGTGTTAAAGAGTAACTTTTCCTCTAAATCACAGATCATTAGAGCTACAACATCATAAACAATAAACTTTACTTACTAAAAGGGTGTCTCCCAAACAATGAAAAACAATTCCAATCGTTAATATTTCAACCGACACCCACAGACACACACACATGTACACAACTTCTCGTATAATATATATATTTGATCAGAAATTTGGGTATATTACTGGGTCTGTCATGCGTTTGAGTACTCAGACTGGTGCACAGCAAATCTTGTCATCATAAATATGTATAAGTATATCACTGAAGTGTGTATCCTTGTCATGTGTTGTGGGTTGTGAATCTATCAGATTGTGAAATATCTTCTATTGAAAACGAAAACTCCCCTTCTTCCCCAATCCTAGGTGACTTGAGTTACAAGAAATACATGAATAGTATTTACTCATTGAATCCTTGTTACTGTGCATCCCCTCAGGTTTAGTACTGAAAGATGATATATAAAAGTAAAAAAAAAGGAAGTAAGTACAGGTGGAAAAAAATTTTCTTCACTCAAGAGATGAGAGCCTTTTTATACAGAAGTGGTAGCATTTACAATCAAAGCCATAATGAATTCACGTACATATTTCTTTACACAACCAAGTTCTTCAACTTGGTCAACTGCTCATAATACTCAACAATATCATCTCCCCTTTTCACACCAGGACACCCTTTCATGCGCTCACACAACTGCTGATATTCTTCAATCGATTGGGTACCAATTAACCCTTCAAGCCATTCGCAGTACAATTTATTATACTGGCATACAATCAATTCCATAAACTGGTGAATGTACAGTAAGTCAGTCACTGAAGAACGACGATACAATTGTAAACATTCATCGATAGGCATTATCAATTTGGAATTTATGTGACGCACAATTGTATGTTGAGTGAAATTTATTTGATGGAGGAGTTTTTCATGGAATGATTGATAGATTGATTTGATGTATGGGTCCTGAATGCGATAGCCAGTGGTGGGAGAATTATCCTCGAGGAATCTCTGCCACAATTGACAGTATTTCAACTGGATCTCTAAAAACTCAATCAACTGTGGACCTAGTGCTTTCAACTTTTTGCGCAATTGAACAAGACAGTTGATGTAATTGTGCACTTGTGAGTTTGCTATTGTTGTTGTTATTGTTGCTTCTCCTTGTTGCTTGTGCTTGTGCTTGTGGTGTTGCTGTGGTGAAGTAGCTTCTGGCTCAGATGGCAAAGGTCGATTTTTGAGCATGAGTAAAATGTCCTTCTTGCTTGGTGAACGCGTAGCTAACCTCGGATGCTGACTTGGCAGTTCCTTTTCTTCATCTGCGATATTCAGATCTTGCTTGTTTTCATGTAATGATTGATTTTTTCTTGGTGGAGTCGTCACCTGTGTTGTTTCACTACGAAGTTTAGACCGTGATGATTTGGTTGTTTGCGATCGTGAAACTTGTTGCTTTGGTTGATTATCCATCAGTGGTGTAAAAAAGTCACTCAACACATTCAACTTGCTTGGCTTGTTCTTGTCATTGGATTCGGATGTGGAAACATTACGTTTTACCATCGATGACAATGATCGTTTGATAGAGACTCCTCTTGATAATGTTCGTGCTGGCTCCGCTTGTTTTACTTTGCTTCTGGCTGCTTTAGCATCTAACTTATAGTTCGAATGGAGCCCGTTGACGACATTGGTATCAACAGCTGAACTCAATGGCCGACTAGTGAAATCATCAAACTGCAACTTGTGACTTCCACCAACCCCATTCTCATACATTATATGGTGTTGTGGGTAGTAGTCCGGGACTTTTGCTTTCAAAAGTTCATCCACTTTGTTCAAATCTGTCCATTTCAATATTGGATAATTCTTCTTTAGATTGTCAACAATGGCGAATTTTGAAGTCACGGAGTTCAATTTCACCAAGCATATTTCCAAGTCTTGATAATTCCTCTTGATTCCATTGTCAATTCCCATTTTGATGTTGTGATTGCTAAGTTTCACCAACTGGTCCTTGATGGATTTGACAAATGTGGGCAATTTAAACCAAACTCCCATTGGAATGGCCAACGCATCACGATGGTGAACAGCTTTTTCAATGACAAAATCCAACTTGAAATAATAACTCAATAAGCTAAACTTGAACAAGTTGTTAAATATAGCCAGATTATTAATCAAATCACCAAAATTTACCGTTTCTATTGAGCAATTGTAGACAAATTGGAACACATTACAGTTGATTAGCTCCATTTCAGTCACTTCTCTTTGATCAATTATACCCGATTGTTTACTCAATTGTTTCAATATACTCAATATTATATCCTTAAATCCATCTTTGATCCGTATGAGGTTCAACAACACCAAACTCTTTTCCGAAGTGGCATTCCACTCCAATTTATTAGTCTCCAAGTATTTTTCCAACTGCTTGTATTTGCCAATGGTATAGTTAAGAAACTCTATAATGTGCTGTTGGTATTGAAACTTTACATCACTTGTCATTTCATTGTTGAAGAATTCTGCACGCATGGGGGAATTCACTTTTTTGTGAATTGAGACATTGTTTGGTGGTAGTGGTGGTCCTGGTAGTTGAGGTGGCATGAAACTTGGCTTGGGAGTTTGTGATTTCGATCCTTCATTTTTTTGTCGCTCATATACGGATAATGGAAACTTGGGAGGTTCCAAATTCAACTTTTCTGGCTTACGTTTCATCAGACTTTGGTTTATTTGTGACAACAGTCTTTGCACGTTGTTGAAATTGGGATTCGTCGTAGGTAAGGATATATTTGGGTGTAAATTGACATCCAGATTCTTTTGTTTACGTGATTTCGACCTTGTGAGTTGAGCCACTTGTCTCTTTGACTCAAGCTTTGGTTCTGATTCAGCAAATCTCAACCAAGCTGGACAGTATGGATCATAATCAGCAACAATTTCATTCCTTACTACAGCACCTGCATTCTTCACTCCTATCAATTCTCTTTCCAGCAAAGGTTGTTGATAGTGTACAAACTCAGTCATGATATGGCGTAGTGTATAATATTATTGTTTGGTTTCGTAGGCTTAGATACAACTGTTGAATCTCAGAGAATAAAAACTTCTAAAAAGGGCGACGAGGGCTTTTCTACGTATTTTGACAGACGGATCGAAAAGCTTACTTATATAATAGATTATGGATTTATCGCATCGATCCATGTATGTGTAGGTTTTTGCTTATGTATCAAGCAGTCTTTTCATAAATGTTTCATAATTGATTGTTCATTGATTTTGTGTCACGAGTCTAAAAGTAAAAGAAAAGATTTCAACGGCAAGGGGGACAAAAAGTACAGCACCTTCAACTGATCTAGAATCAACAACAATATATATAATACACACCTATACCCGTCATATCAAGACGGTGTAATGATGTACAATTCTTTCTTTCTTGGTACTTGTGATCACAACCATTCCTAATAGTCTTCTTCACCTGTGGTGAATGCAAAAGACGCGAAATTACTAAAAATAAAAATTTAGTGCCAATAATTTCTTTAAAAAAAAAAATTATAGTTAGGTACCACGCCATCACCTCTTTACAGGTGCATCATTACCTGTTCAAACTACTGCCAGGAGAAGCTCATTAGGGCTACATCGGTCTGCATTAAAAGGAAAATAAAAATTGGTTTATGTAAGAGTTAGTGTAAATGCTTCATTGTGGTATTTGTATCAACCGGAAATGTTTAAAATCTATAACCCGCCACAAAGACAAAAAAAAAAACTAACACACGATGCCTACATTTGTAAAATGAGAAGCGCTTACTGTATAACACTACTTCTAGAACGTCGGACCTCAGGCTATTTGTAATCGGTAGCTTCATTCTACTCATCGATGGTAACCGACTCATCCTCCATCACTCCTTTCCCAATATAATCAGATATAAACTTGAATGTGTCACTACTTTCATGCAAGGATTGTACAAAGAAATCGACATTCTCCTTCAATTTATACTGACTTTGTTTCATTTCATTGACATCGTTGATACTTTGCGCGCATATAGGACACTTGGGCCCCTGCTCACTAGCATCATCAACAAAGTGCGAACTGCCATTGCTTGCGGGTTTAGCAACAAGACTTGATGACAAACATTTTTGATGGAAAGAATGTTTGCACTTGAAGTGGATCATGGGGAAATCCAACTTCATTTGACATGCTGAACACTTGTTATTCTGTATGACAAATGGATGGGTTAATTCAGATAACTTGTAGGAGTTTTTGGTCGAATCGTGTTCATACACTTCAATAAGTTTTTCATTGTTTGTTATTTCTTGCTCTTGAGTGGTAAAGTACTGGAGTAGATACTCCTTAACAATACCAAACGTAACAAATCCACTGTCATTGGATTCACCGCCGGTTAGCAAACTAATCAACTCAAGTGGATCCAACAATTTAAATTTTTTAATTTGTTGTAGAATTGCTTGTACATCATCGTGATTAACTTTTTCATAAATTTCCCGCTTTGATACAATAAACTCAAGCATCATTTTGTAAAGTTGTGGCTTTGTTTCTCCGTATTTTTGCAACACTTTAAAGCAACCTTCAACATCTTCATCTATTCTGTACGACATAAAAATACCTTTTTCATCACCGTTGTCCTCTCTGGCTTTGATTTCACCGGGTTTGAAATTATACAAGTGTCCCAATAACAACAATGAATCGTCATCTAACAAATCACCATATTGTTCAACAATGGATTGTGCTTTATCTAGCCATTCTGATTGTATAGCTTTATTATTTAGTGAAAGATACATTTCAAGCAATGTTATCAAAACTTCTTTCTTATCCATCAAGTTCCCTTGATACCTATCCAAGGCTTCTATGCATGCCTCGAGAAAGATGACAAACTCATGCGGGTGATCAGCAAAACTAGAATATATCAAATTGGGTTTTGGAGGGAGGTACGTCGGCTCTTTAGTTGTGCTGGGTGGCTCTTTGGCAGTTTTTTCATTGTGGTCTGAGTCATCATTGCTCCCACGAAGAGTCAAATAGTTCAAAAAAGCTTTGTAGTTTGTCAACTCAATTCTACTTTCGCCCACCACTTCATCTTCATCGTCCGATTTAGCATTTGAGGCCGTGGTCAAATTCTCCTCGGTAGACTCTGTAGCTTGATATTTCCCCGTAAATACATCAATCAATAATTCGGTTGTTTCAATGGGACAAGAGTCAAGCAATTTTTTCGATTGATCAATCAATATCAACAACAAGTCATCAATTTTCAACGTCTTCATGTAGTTCAATGCCACCTTCGGTTTATTCAAATCATACAATTGAATATCAACAATCAAGTTTGGTTGATTTAGTTTGTACAATAGTCTCAAAACTTGGCTATAGATTCCACATTCTTTAAACAAGTTTATGATTAAAGGGAAATTGAGCTCTTGTAACTTTTCATTAGACAAATCCAACTCATCGATAAAGGTATCAATCTGAGTAAGGTTTTTCAATTTACACAAACAACACAATAGAAGAGTGATGTGGTCCACACTGGCTATTGACATTGCATATAGTTTCTCCAAAAAATTTACCATATTCGCGGTATTAATAGCTTCCTTGAATTTGGTAATCACATTCATGATAAAATCATCTCTATCCTCGTTCGAGTTTGCCTTGTCAACATCCAGAGGTTTTTCTTCAAATAGCTCAAGGCAACTAATATAAACATTCATTGATTCACCGTATTTTTGTTCCTCAAATAGGTGATCTGCATGCAATGTTTGAATCCTCAACAACGTATCAGACGCAAGTTTCAGTTGTTTTGCCAAATTGTAAGCTACAGAGAATAACTCCCTCTGCAAGATAAGCTCAATTTGTTGGTTAATTGGCTTTTCATATAGCCTGTACAATACACCATCATTTGACAAAAGGTATATCTCATTATTCATTTTGAAAATAAACTTTACCACACTTTGTGGGATCAACAAGTTGAGTGAAATGTGGTTGTTTCTAGTATCAAGTATGATTACCCTCGATTGAAACTTCTGCAGATTACCATTATCGGTTGAGCTCACCATCAATATAAACTGATGAAGCCTTGCAATTTTCGATTTTGGAATATCAAAATTGATTGTTTTGAGTTTTGATGTTGAATTGTAGTATCTGATCGAGTCGGGACGTCCAACAATCAACTCTTGTTTGCTTCCAGACGCGGTGCAATCCAAATCTGCACCTGTCTTTTGTGATAGGACGCGTAAGGGCTTGCCGTGGTTACGACCAGTTGTAGAGACCGTCAATACTTTTGAAGTTGTTGTGACATAAAGTATCTGTTCTGTTTCATTAAATTCGATCCCAGTTATAGGATCACTGCCAGCACTTTCGTAAATCACTCTCTGCTTCGAGCCTCTATCGCGCAATAGATCCCCTCTAATAAGTAAGACTTTTCCATTGGTATAACCTACTGCTAAGCACGTCAAGTCGTAATTAAACTTGAAGCAACTGATGGGGAATGAGTTTTCACTTGGTGCTCCACTTCCTCGACTATTCTCAGTAACGGCCACTTGAGTTTGAAACTTAAACTTGTATTCCGATGCTTCTAATTTTTCCATATTTAATATCCTCATCAAGTCCCAAAGTTTGATACTCAGTGGAAACCCTTGTTTTTCTGCCAACGTGATGACCAAATTACTCGAATTGAACACAGGCCCTATAAACGTTATCCTGTAGTCAATGTCATAAGCTTGAAATTGGCCCTCGCAGGCCATGTTTTTGGGGTTTATGATTTTGAGTATGGAGTTGTTGACGGCAATAATCAAGTACGTCTTGGTGGCGTTTATAGCACTTAGTGTAGGATCTGAGTATAACGCATCGTGTGATTGATAGTTCGGATCTCGTATAGGAATGAAATCAAATAGCTGAAATTGTCTCCATGTTGTTAGTAGGGACATTCCTTATTGAGGTTGCGTTGTTAAGTTTGAGAGGTTTCAACAAAAGGTTTTCCTTTGCGGAGCGCAAAAATTAAAACGACGAAAAGAACACACTTTCATTTCATTTCACAAACTTACTACAAGTATTAACAAAAGAAGGACACAATAAGGTAGACACATCGTCTTTCCCGTAACAGAAGAAAGAGAGTTTAGCACGAATTCTTTTCTTGGTAGAATTACCCCCGTGAATGAAAACACGCCACGAGGAGCCACACGAGATGACACAGTTTCATCATTATTCGATGCCAATACGGAAACCTGCTTGTTGATTGTGGTATCGCGGTATTCAAAGTTTGTGGACTGGCTTGATGTTGTGTCTGGGCTTCCAGTTTCGTTGAATTTTGAGAGTTCAAGTGTCAATGAAGATGCAGTGGTATTGCTAATTGTCAGGAAACTTGTCAGATGGCTTCGAAACTTGGGGAATGAAGTTGGACGTATAATTATCGTAGTCCCTTTTATCGGTAGTATGCTGAAAATCCCTGTTTCCAACGGAGAAGGCGACTTTGAATCAAAATTTTCCGTCACTGAAAAAGTCTGTGTAGTTAAAAAAGCTAATGTCGTTGTTTTAAATGTCAGAATTGTGGTATCACTCGTCGCTGGCCTCCTGCCTAAAATAAAATGGCCATCCTCATATTCAATCAATTCAGTCGCATCAATCTCGTGTTGTGATCTAGTGTTTGGGTTAATATCGTTGATGAAATAGTCTCCTGGATTGCGTTGGTTATCTGACATATAGATTTTGGAGGTACCCATAGTTATTGCATCAACACTTTCCAACATGTCTGCGGCTGTTGAATATGTCAGCCCCGCTCTGGTAGTAAATACCGGGTTAGTATAGTCTGTCATCAATCGTGTATGCGGTCCTGTCACGCTAAAAACTTCGTCATATTCAGTATCAAAGACAATGTTGTCATTCTCAGTATCAACTGCGATATCATCACTTTTATTCACAAAGTTCGTGCCGATTGCCAGCAGCAAGATGCCTAGATCATCGTCCAACATTGAATCCACTTGTATTGAGTCTGAAGAGCCAACAGTATCACTTTCTGACGTGACTGTGTTGGTTTCTGGTACCTTCTTGACATCAACAGTATCTTTTGACAAAGTTACTAATTCCGTTATTGTTAAGAGCTTTGTGATTACAACTGGGGTGGGAAGTGACAGACTGATCACTTTGTGTAGTGGTAACACAATCGGGCTGGTTACGTTAAGTGGCTCCCTCTCGTCAGTTGAGTAATCAAAGTCTTCATCCAAGTCGTCGGTTTCCTCGGTCCACTCAAAATCCGCTAAACCTGTGTCATCAGTGAAATTTGCAATTTCATTACCTACAAGATAGCCACCCCAGTTCATAATTGTCTTTGGTTTGTCTGTCTTCTTAAATGGCTTTTTGTGAATTAGCTTGTTACTCATGATCTTGTTTTTCCAAGATGCAAGGACATTCTTGGCATTTATCTTCATTCCACTATGAACTTTTTCTGGCTTTTTGCTTCTCATTATTATGTCCCTTTTACTGTGCTTTCCTTGTACCTCAAGGACGTCTGTCCTTTTAGTTGAATCACAACTTGTGTCTGAGGGACAAGATTCTCCGTTGGGGTAAACTCCGGTTGTGTACCTGTCTTCATCCACTCTTTGCGTGAATAAAACTTCTTTTTGGTCACCGACTCTTTCATTGACATCTCCTCCGGCAAAATCGTAGATATTGAAATCAGAGTTCTTGTTTCTATCAGTGGCAATTTCGATTGAGTGATTGAGTGTATGGTGGTGTATGTAAGTTGCGTTCAAGTGAGTATTTGCTGACATGAGTAAAAATGAAGTCATGTAATGCATGGTGGGACCGTTAAGAGTGTAATAATATGAGTTTAGTTATGTACAAAAAGGTTGGGAAAATGATCGTCCTTTAAGCTTGGTGAACTGTATTCTTTTTGTTGTTATGTTGCTGCAAAAAATGGAAAAAGAAAAGGAAACAAACAATATTTTTGCAATTCTTTTCAAAGATTACTTCTAAAAAAACAAGGGGAGATACGTCCGCGATTCCAAACAAATAACCGAATTGAGTTGATCCCACGAATGACCGAAATTCCCACATGAAGAACTTGCCATTTATGAAGGCAACAAGGACAAAAGTAGCAAAAAGAAAAAATATTGCTCCCTACCAGAGTCGAACTAGTGACCTTTGCATTACAAGTGCAACGCTCTACCAACTGAGCTAAAAGAGCAATTTTCACTCAAAAAAATTTCACTGCTTTTAAATACGCATGAATAACACACATTCTTTTTTTCTTCATCTCATTTATTGTTTGCTTAATTGAAATATTTCAACAAACATGTTCTTCTTTGATCATTATCCATAAAATGTCAAAATCATCAGTCAAACGCGTGGTAAATGCAAGTATGTAATTTCAGAAAAACTTTTGCAATTGGAATACTGACAATCAAATTAGTCCAAAAATTCTATCCTACAGCTTTAGCTGATAAATCTTGGGATAACACAGGTTTACTCTTGGATTCAAGCGTAGATGACGCAACACAACCGACGTCTCCAATCAAGGTTTTACTCACAATTGACCTCACCCAATCTGTTGCCGATGAAGCCATAAAGAAAGGAGCTAAATTTGTCATGGCATACCACCCATTTATATTTCGTGGCTTGAAATCGATAACTCCACAAGATCCTCAGCAAAATTCATTGTTAAAATTGGTCAAGAATGATATCAGTGTGTATTCACCACACACAGCTGTCGATAGTGCAAAGGGTGGCGTGAATGATTTCTTGGTGACTGCAATTGCTGGTGAATCAAACGTACAATGTTCCAGCCCTATTGAGCCGGATTCAGCAAATCCTGAATGTGGAATGGGTAGGCTAGTCAATCTCAACCAGCCATCCACTTTGAATGAGCTCGTGTCAAGGGTGAAAGAGCAATTGAGGCTTGATCATGTACAGGTTGCTGAGTCAAGAAAAGGAGCCAACCAGGAAATCAAATCAATTGCTATTTGCGCTGGATCTGGCGGAGGGGTTTTCAAAGGCGTGAAAGCTGATTTATATTTTACTGGAGAGTTATCGCACCACGAGGCATTATTTTTCAAAGAAAGTGGATCGTCGGTGATTTGCTGTAACCATTCCAACACAGAGCGTCCATTCTTGAAATTTATCAAAGAACAGTTGCAAAAAGAGTTAAATTCCGATGATGAAGTCATCATCAGTGAGACAGACAGGGACCCTTTTGAAACTTGGTAAATATTCTCGGAGGTGGTGGAAGCTTTGTTGTTAGATAGATTTGTATATCTTTTTCGCATAAAAGCCGCACATAGTAATATTATCACAAAAGAAAATCAGATCCCAATAAAGCCACATTACCAAGTCACACACATTGCTTATACTAACAAAATCTATGTCCCATTAACACAGTATAATATGGTTGACCTGCAACCAAGTGCAAAGTCGATACTGCTCCCCTCCTTGGGTGGCTCTCAAAAAACTGCAGTGAGTTTACATCAAGCAAAGGGTGCAATTCCATCACATAATTTGAAATCAACAATAGTTGCTTGTTCTGGAACTCCATATGTGTTCTTATATGGAGGGTTTGATGAAAACGATGCATTGGACAGTAATGTGTATTTGCTAAACACTGATAGCATGGAGTGGGAAATTGATAGTAAATTGGATGGATTATACAGGGAAGGTCATCTGGCTGTTTATCTCAATAACGGTAATATCTTGATATTTGGCGGGTTACCTTTTGATGACGAGATTACACTCTCTGGCACTGTCAGTGGCGTTACATCGGATGGAGAAATGCGAAAAGATAGCTTGATGATGATTTACAACATTTTTGACAAGAAATGGATTGGGCCGCCAGATTTTGCATTAACAAATGCTCCTAGTTCAAGAGCAAGACATGCTTGTTGTTTAACTCCTGATGGTACAAAGTTCTTTGTCAGTGGTGGGTTGGTGAAAACCTCTGTGCTAAGTGATTTGTATTGTTATGATTTAGCATCTGGAACCTGGAGTGGTCCTTTTGAATTTGAGCCAAGATTCGATCATACCATTATTTATCATAATGATCGCATTTATTGCTTTGGTGGTTTGAACGGGGACATGAATCATGTCAAGACTGTTACATTTTATTCCTTGAAAACCCAATCTAAATGTGAAGTTTCTGTATCGAGTTTAACTACTGCAAACTTTTCATCATTAAGCTATGACTTGTTTATTTTGGAAAATGGAAAAGATTCCGAGACGTGTTTATTTGTCAATCTTCCAGCGTGGAATACAGCTGGTGGAGTGGACATTGCTAGTTTGAATTTGACAGACTTTGAAGTGCAAGTCTTGTTTGAACAGTTGGACTTTCTGAAATTTGTCAAAAAGGTAGAGCGAAATGGTAGGTACCTTTGGAACTGTGCATTTATGAACCATAATGGGACCCTCTATTTGTTGGGCAATAAAAAAAGACAATTTTCTCACTTCCTTGGGGGTCCTTTGGCGTCCAATGGTTTGGAGAATGAAGATGAGGCGGTCCGTGAGAATGATTGGATTGAAGAAGAGCAAGATTCGGTGGTTCTGGGTGGTAAATTGACGCATGTGTTGGAAGTTGACATGGGACTGTTTGGGTTTTCAAGTCACCAAAGCAGTAACTTGACATCAGATCTCGAAAGGCTTTTTGAATCACATTTATTTGCTGATTTTGAAATCACATCATTAGGTGAAGAAAATGATAAACGCAACTTTGAAAACCAAGTTGCTTACAACACTAAATCGTTGTCTGTACACAAATCCATCTTGAGTGCTAGGTGGCCGCATTTCTACCGAATGATATCAGCAGGAATGAATGAAACTTTAGAAAGCAAAGTTTTCATTCCAGAACCATTCTACAGAGTTAAAGCGATGGTCTACTATTTATATGTCGGAAAGCTTGAGCCAGATGAGCAATTGAAAATACATGACTATTCTGCATTGGTAGTTTTGGCTAATATGTATGAATTGTCTGAATTTAGAAACATGGTATTACTGAGATTGGTCTCGTTATTCGAGCAGTATAAAAATTGGTTCAAGAACGATGAAGACTCAATTTCGGAGTTGTTACGGATTTGGAAAGATCTTTCCATATCAAATGAGCAAGTTTTGTTGTCAAAAGTGATATCGTTTATTAAAGAAAAGTGGGGGATTATCACCAGATCCAAATCGTTTATTCTACTTAGCAAGGACGATATTGTAAAATTGTGTCAGGATTGCACAGACGACGACAATGTTGCGTCTCAGCTGAACACAGCTGCCATTAAAAGTCCTAGTCGAATCTCCTTGCACTCAACCGAAACAACATCACCAGATACGCCAGGAAGAAGAACGAATTCTCCTTTTGTGATTGATTCCCCTGCTGCGCAGACTCATTTTCAATACAGCGGTTCAATATTTTAGCAATAAAGAATCCGTAGCTGGAATAAACTGAATATCTATCGAATTAAACTTGTATCCTAAGTACCTAAAACTAGTCAAAATTGTCACCAATAAAACTGTGCAATGCATCACCAATTGCCTCCACTCCATCCTCAATATCGTCGATTATTTCATTAAACAATCCTCCGATCCCCTCTTGGTGCGTAGTGGAAGTAGCTGTATTTGTTTTTGAGGGGCCAGCAGTATTGCTAGTCGTTGTCGTTGTCAAAAAGTCACTTGGTTTAGGTAACGATTGTGTCTCAATATGAGTAATCGTTGATTGCCCAGACACGAGTGATGCCTTGGGGCTTGGATTGGGTTGTTCGTTAACCGGCTTTGCTTTACTTCCAACCCTCCATAACTGATCATAGGTGGCGTTATTACGCACAATATGCTCCACTTGGAATGGCAAGTCGGGGAATACCAAGGCATCGTTCCAATTTTTGGGCAATACTTGCGATGCGATATCTTGAGCCAATTTACCATTGTTTGGAGCTGGTTGCAACTCTAGCGAATCGCAAATAAGATTGTAAAAATTCACATTGGCAAATGGCTTAACTTTGTTTGACTTGAATTTCTCCTTGAAAAATGGGCCCGATCCTAAAAATAATGCTCTCATTAAAAGATGGGAATTGTCGTAGCCATGAACTCCTTTTGGCTTGTACTCTCCCCCGTTTTCCTCCATTTGCTTGTGGGTTGTAACGGCATACCCAACGTCTGGGATGATCCAAAGAGGAGCTAACCTGTAATTGAACTTATGCTCACCAAGCTTTCCTCCAAATTGAAATCTTTTTGGGATATCCTCTCGTTTGTAGATGTGGTAGTGCTTGGTCAAATTTGCATCGAGTTGGTCAAAGTTTGCCTTGATTTCATTCATTGCGTCATTGATATCCACATTTGGTATTAATCCAATCAATGGCCAGCCGTCTATATGATCGATCTTTTTCAAGTCAATCAAATCATCAAGATACACTACTCTCTTATTAGACGTGGGTGCCATTCCATGATCACTAACAAAAACCAAATTGACAATATTGTCAAGATTTCTCTTGTGAAGTTCGCTTTTCATCAATTCTACAAAGTCATCGACATAAGTCAAGCTCTTTGATAGCTCGTCACCAGATATTCCGTACTTGTGGCCATATTCGTCCACTGTGGGAACATATGTCAAGATCAACTGTGGTCGCGTCTCTATCTCTCTGTCTAACCATCCCATAACTCTTTCCACTTTAGACGTCAACAATTCGGACCCATTGAATTTATCGGAATCAAATGCGGGACCAACGCCAGGAACTTCAGAACCAGGCCACATATGCACAGCCGCTTTGACTCCCTGCAGTACAGCAGTTTTCCAAATTGGTTCACCACCTTGCCAAAAGTCAGGATCCAAACTACCATTCTGAGGATCAGTACTGACAAACTGTTTGTTCAACTTGGTATCAAAAAATGTGTTTCCAACGATACCGTGCTCGGATGGATATAGCCCAGTCACTAATGTCCAGTGGTTAGGGAAAGTCACAGATGGGAAACTTGGGATCATGTATGGTGCACCATAATCATTAATGAACATATTGTGGAGAGTTGGGGTGTCATGTGGATTGATATAATGAGGGTGAAATCCATCTAGCGAAACAACGACAGTTGTCTTATAAAAATCATGGGTTGAATTGGAGTAGAGTTTATGCAGCGGCTTGTTTGATTCACTATTCAACTTTGAGCCGTTGGTCTTGGTAAAGTAAAGTATGAATAAGACAACAGCAACAGCTGTAAGCAAAGCACCACCAAAAATGGTTCTGTTTTTGACTTTTTTTTCAAGAAGTCTTAACCTGTACTCCTTTAAATCGATTGGAGGCTCGTTCATTGCTTCCTCGTCAGAATCGATGCCAGCATCATAACGCAGAACCATTTCGTAATCATTGGTTCTTGTATCATTTCGCAAAAGCGATTTAAGTTTCCCAATGAGACCTGACTTGGATTTGCTCTCTTCGTCATTAGCAAGGGGGTCAAATAATACATTTGGTGGGTGTCTTTCGTTAACATGTTCGTCAAAAATAATATCATCCTCCGGGTCATCCATATCTGTGATAGGAACATCCACGGCGTGCGGTGTGCTGTAGTTTATTGACATAGTGAATTGATAGTATCGATATGTGAAGGGCTAGGAAAGGAATGAGTTGATATTATCATTCTGGAATAAACTCTTTTTTCTTCGCTCGTTGTTTTGTGGCACATTGAAAGAAAGACAAAGCCGCCACAGGTGAAGCAGGAAAAATTCTCTGACCACCAAGGTACTAAGTCTTATCAGTGTTGTTGGGGAGGTTTTTAAAACAGAGTGGCTCTGCAATTACTTGAGGGGAGAGGTTGAATTGTATGAATTGCTGGCACAAGGACTAAGTTTCGTCTGATTGTAAATGTTTTTGATAAAATAGGTGCAAAATCTAACTAGAATGTAACAGTTGATAACAATGAACAGCACCATCAAGTACCAAAAGACCCAAACGTTCATGACTTCGTAATCTCATTGCAGATATGTTATCACCTTATGTAGGAAAGGGGAACAGGCACCCAGTTTTAGTAGGTATTCATAGGATTTGCATGTTATAAAAAGAAAATAACTATCAGGTGAAAGTCTCGTGAATATCATGTGAAAATTGTACTGTATATTTTACTCAAACTGAAATTTTTCAACAATTTGAGCTGATAGCTTAGTTGTCAGGCAACTTGTCCGAGTGGTTAAGGAGAAAGACTTGAATAATTTCAAGGTATCTTTTGGGCTCTGCCCGCGTAGGTTCGAGTCCTGCAGTTGTCGTTATTTTTTTCTAACTTTTATCAACTGGTGCTGAACACAAAAACGTCCCAGCACTTCTTAAAATTTAATTGCCGACATTAATCCCTGTAATTTTTTTGCAAGTCTCTTGAACTCCTTTACTTTCCATGAGTGAATTCATCAAGTATCAGGGGTTTGACCATGTATGGAAATATACTGGACCATGGTTTTACTATTTACTTGCTGCCTACATTAGTCTCCCAATATTAGCCTACAAGCTACTACCATATTTTTCTCAGAGTAGGAGGTCACCTAGTCGAAAGAGTGTATTGATATTCGTGTTGGGGGATTTGGGCCATTCGCCTAGAATGTGCTACCACGCATTGTCATTTAGTAAGAGTGGGTACGACGTGAGTCTATGTGGATACATTGAAACACGACCATCAGGTGAAATTGTCGATGATTTGAATATTGATGTCGTACCAATAGGCGTTGTTCATAATGTTCACAATTTCCCATTTATGATATTTGCGGCACAGAAGATTCTTATTCAAGTGAAGCAATTGATGACGATACTTTGGAATCGAGGAGGTGAAATCGATGTGGTGATGATACAGAACCCTCCAAGTATACCCATATTGCTCATTGTTTTATTGTTCAAGTTTTTGATACATCGTCATTGGAAAGTGGTTATTGACTGGCATAACTTGAACTATACTATCTTGAATTTGAGATTTCAAAACTTGAACCACCCTTTGGTGAAATTGATGAAGTTTTACGAGAGCTTTTTAGGAAGATTCGCTGATTTGAACATAACGGTGACAAAACAAATGAGAAAGTTTTTGATCAATGATTTTGGTTTCGCTAAAGGTAAAGTGATTACATTCTACGATAGACCGGGAATGCAATTTATACCAGCCAAGAGCTCGGAACTTAAAAAGACTCATGAGATATTCCGAGATGTGAAAAATATCGAACTGTGTAAGATATTGATCAGCTCCACTTCGTTCACCCCCGATGAAGATTTTGATCTCTTGCTTGATGCTTTGAAGCTGTATGATACACTGGGCAACCCCAATTTGCCTCCTATTTTGCTTATTGTAACAGGTAAGGGCCCACTCAAACAAAAGTTTGTACAAAGAGTGATTGAACTAGACTTTTCACCAAGAGTTATTGTGAAAACTGCATGGTTGACATCGGAAGACTATCCAAAAATTTTGGCACAAGCGGATTTGGGAATATCGCTACATACATCGTCAAGTGGGATAGATTTACCCATGAAGATTGTTGATTTCTTTGGTTGTGGTGTTCCAGTGATATCATTAAGTTTCCCTGCTATAAACGAATTGGTAAAGGATGGTGACAATGGACTCATTGCAAAAGAGTCCACAGCGGATGATCTAGCCAACTTGTTGGAAAAAGTATTTACAGATGACAAATTGTTATCAAAATTGGAAGATGGGGCTTTGAGAGATAGTAAATCAAGATGGGATGAAAATTGGACAACCGTTCTCAAGCCGAAATTTGTAGAATAAATAGCTTCAGATTACACTATAGTGATAGCAAATGCGCTTGCACGTGTTGAAAGTAATTCAAATCATTTTCATTCTTCATTTTGCCAGGTTGCAAATTCGAGTCTGTCCAAAATTGATAGCTGTCCGCCTCGTATTGATCTAGTTTCTCATTTTCTGGAATTTCCCCAAAACTGTCAGCATTGTATCCCAACAAAGTGCCAGTCACAAAAGTCCAACATCTAGCAACTTCTGCGTGGTTGTACCCACCACCACCAAACACCATAATTGGTAAGCCCGCTCGCTTAACCAACAACTGTATTGCCTCCAGGTACCCTTTTATCGTCATGTTCCACTCGTTGTTGGGATCTGTGTTTAGTCCATCGCATCCTAATTGCACTATCAAATACTTTGGTTGATGCCTATGAATCAATTGAAGCACGATGTTTTCAATGATCCATATCATATCATCATTGGTCAAGCCCCTTTTCGTGGGTACATTATACATACCCGAAACTGATTGCTCTAATTTCCCTGACCCTTGAGGAAAGAATCCGGTGTCATACCTATGCACCGAGCATGTGGTTACTTTTTTGGAAAACTTGAACGCCTCAGCTACACCATCACCATTGTGCAAATCTAGGTCGAGATAAAAAACGCCACCAGCACTCATTTTGCGAATTGTAGTTATGCCAAGAACAATATCGTTTATGTAGCAAAATCCCGAGCATTTGGAGCGATGACAATGGTGCCGACCTCCATACCAATTAATCCCTATAACTCCACCAAAATCAATCTCCCTGCTATAATTTACAACCCTCTTTGCAAGTTGAATTGTGGAAGCAGCAGTTAGATTGACATAGTAACGCATAAACGGAAAGGGGTAGCAATCAAATTCTAGCCCGAATTTCCCGGCATTAAACTCGGAATAGTCCTCTTCACTTTCATCGACGTCGTCAAACTGGTCACGTATGAAATCTCTTACCTCACGATAATCCTCTAGTTGTGAATCAATGTCATTTCGAGGTCTTTGCAATTCCTTGATGAAATCTTTGTCATGATACTGCTCCAATAATGTCCACTCTACTGGAGATATTGGCAAAATTTCGCATTGCTGATCTAGTTTATAAGCATTAAGTAAACCTTGTACCAATGATTGTCGCTGCTTATTTGATGGTAGTTCATCGGCTAATCTTGTTAACAACTCAGAATGTGCAAGAATGATTTTGTTCATTCCACCAGCTCGATGGATGTTTTAATGAAATTTGACGCGTTTTAAGTTCAGAATTATACACAAAAAAAAAAACACTAGATACCCTTTGGATCACCATTTCAATACCATGTTTTTCACCTTGCAATAATTCGCCACGACAGGCTTCAAGACAGCATCAATTTGTTTATACCAGTCATCAAAGCCTATCCTGAGAAACATATGTTGGTTGTCATCATCATCTTCATCAAAACAATTGAAAACAGTCTTGCGGTACATTAGTATACCAAGGATATCTCGCACCAACATCACAGCCTTGGTAAACAAACCCCTGTCGAGCAATAGTTGCAAATAAGTCCCAAAATAAAGTACGTCATCCTCATGGGGCCCGCCTTGATCCAATGAAGTATTGACCCAATCTTTGACTTTTTGCCGCAACTCAGAGGCAGTCACCTGCTCATTCAAAAACAAAGGCATGTCAAACAACTTGGGCTGCTGTTGTACCCACTGAGCAGTGATTTCTTTGATCTCTACTTTTGCCCCCTCAATCTTTCGATTCACCTTATCGCGCATAGGCACTAGATCAAACTTTTTAATCTTCTGTTTGTACTCCATGTCCTTTAGCACATCCGCCTTTACTGATGACGGCAATTGATTCAACAACGAGGAGTCATATGACTGTGAGTCATCATAAAGAGGCTCTGATTTAGATTTTTTCACAGGAGAAGGGATAGGGGTAGATTTTCTCTTTGGCGGTGTTTTAGTTGGTGACTTGCCAACTCGCACATATTTTGCAGTACCACTTTGAGTTGGTATTAGCTCCTGTAGGTATGTTTTGCCTTTGAATGGGCTTTTCTTTTTCAAAAAGCCCCTTCTTTGTAACTCGTTTTGCAATTCACGACGAATCTCCAACGGCAAAGACTCGAATACCTCCCAGTCAATTTGTTGTCCATTTGCAAAAGGATCCAAAAGAGCTGCGGATGGAGTCTTGTCACGACGCTGATTGGACGATAATTTTGCGAAGCTCACACTACCCTTGTTGAAGCTGCTTCTCTTTGTCGAACTATGCACCTCTTTGGGGCTACGAAACGGGTCCAAATCTTCGTTTGCCGGAGGAGCTTTACCGACGGCGCCAAATGGTAATTTCATTTGTTTTGAACTCTTGACTGATTCTGCATCTTTCAACTTGGTCATGCTTACAGATATGCCTCGCAAATCCTTGACTGGTATATTGAGCATCCTGTATAATACTTTTACTTCACTTCCAATGACACCCCAGTCATTAGTGGGCACTCCAAGCCTTGAGGATTTATTGACAAAATCAACCTCTCCCAAACCTAAAAACTTGGCGGTTACAACACTTGCGCCAGCTCTTCTTTTTGCTAGTTTCAAAGTCAATGTAGAGCCACACACACCTAAATTAATCATACGCTGATACAATTCTCTTGCTAGTCTCATGAAAAAGTCGTCTAGTTCCTCCATGGTATCAAATCGAATACCAAAATTGACATCAACAGAAATGGATTTCCTTCCTAAAACGATTTCAGGGGCGGCAGTGTCAATTTCAATACTTGTATGGTCAATTCCTCGTGCATATTGGTACAATTTAGTACCAGTCTTTTCACCTAATAGCTGGATCAATCTCGAATTGGATATCGGCATCATGTCCTCAATATTTGGGGAGGACTTTCCAACTTCAGGCTCTAATTTTTCCAATATGCCACTGCCAAATCCAGGCAAGTCTTTCACCGGCACTGATCGCAAGAAGTCGCCGGCATCACCAAATAATGCAAACTGTCCATGGGGTTTGGCTTTTCTCAATGCCAATTTTGCAAGCAAGACATTGGGGCCCAATCCAACACTAACAGCACAATTTGTGAGTTGGTACACATGCTTTCTGATCAAAGAGGCAAGCTCATTGGCGGCATTCTCGACTCCATTTTCTGACTTGTTGCAATATGATGTTGCGTCAACTAAAACCTCGTCAATTGAAACCGGATAAATGGAGTCAAAATAGTTACTACTGACTAGGTAGTTGTAAAACTCACTTGAATATCTCTCGTATGCTTCAAATTCATAGTCCAACGAAATCAAGTTGGGACACAATTTTTGAGCCAGTCTCAACCACATCCCATTCCTAACTCCGAACTTTCTCGCAACATAATTACAACTCGCAACATCTGAAGTGTTTCCTCCATGCCCAACAGCTATTGGATCCTTATTGATATCCAAGTTTGGGTGTTTTAGACATGACGCTGTAGCAAAGAAACAATCAAAGTCTATATGCATTATTACTTTAGACTTAAAGGCCCCTTCGCGAAAGGGGTCTTCAACAGGTTTATGAAGATTTTTCTTGATGATTTTTCTCAAAAATTTTAACCTCAAATCAGCTTTCCACATACTCAAATGATGCAACCTTGAATTTGCAAAAAATCCAGCCAAAAAATCAGGATGTCTTGCATCCAACACATATTTTCCTTTAATTTTGTGTACACCCTTGGTGGAGTTGGATGGAGGAGCAACATCAAACTTTGGAATGTCGTCGTCTATGTTTTCTTCTATAAGGCCCTGCTCTGCAGCGTTCGCCTCAGCATGTTGCAGCCTTTGCAACAAGTTTTCTTCCTCTGGCAACAAAGTGGACTCAAAATCGTCCTCTTCCCCCATTCCTTCTAACTCGGCTTCATCCTCCGCCTCGTCAACCGGTGGCGACGTTTCTTTGGGAACACTTTGTTCTTCCACATTTGCGCCAGTCTCCTTAGACTGTCCCGGTTGAAAATCTAGACGCTTTTGATCAAAAGCTATATCTAAAATCAGGCGATACTGCTGCCAATCCAAAATACGACCTGCCTCAACACAATCAACGATCCACTGCGCTTTCACCACTCGACAATTTTTGAACATCACATTCTTTCTTGGAGTTAAACGGTCACAAACTATGTGGGTGGCACTAGATTTGTTCAGTAAATAACTTAGAAATTTACCACCATGGAGAATAACCAATCTATGTATTTCATTAATCGAAGGTTTCGTGTGTCCATTAACAAAAATCGTACAGCCAGCAAAAATAAGCAGCGGTTGTAGATTTTGATTTTGAAGCTTCCTTCTCTCTCGGTCCCACTTCACATACGCTTCATCCTGTACTTGTTGCTTCATTCGTTTGGATTCAAAATATGTGCGATAATCACCAAATTCATGTAGTTTACCAATAACGCTTTCATCTTTCTCGCTCTCAGAAGAATCACCATCATCTCCATCGCCCGCATAATCCCGAGGAGCTGGAGCTGAATCGTCTGCGATTTGATTGCCAACATCAATTGCACCGTCCGTGTGACCTTGTTGATGTCCCACTAATTTTATCACATCCTCATCCAAACCGTCATTGAATGGATCCGTACTGGCAGAGCTAAGTAAAGGAGCCGGCCTTTTAGGCGTCGAAGCTTCTTGGAATGATAGGTCATTTTGACCTTGTGATTGGGTGATGTTATTAATATGAGATATAAGTGTTTCATCGATTAAACTCCTTAAAAAAGTCAGATATTGACTTTCGTTGAACTCCTCATTATCCTTATCCTTTCCTTGAGCTTGTTGAGAGTTCTTGAACTGATCATTATTCATAGACTTGTTGTATCCATTGAGGTTGGTTTGTTAGACCTGTGTCGTGCAACTTTGCCAATGAAATTCTAGGCTGCAGTTACTCTCTCTTCGCACAATGCGCAAAGTAGAAGAACTAAAAATAACAACAACAAAAGAGTAAGAGACTGAGGGATCATTCAAAACAGCCCAAAAAAAAAAAACAATGAAGTATTATACACGTCAATACTCAACTTGATCTTCATCTTAGCAACGATAGATATTACATCAAAATGGTATGTAAATAACCTAAACGTCAGTGGAAGGAGGAGTATAAACCACAAGATCTTGATTTGCCTAATTCAAAGAGGTAAATTCCCAGATTATAATGATTGCTTCTCCTTCAAAGACGCCCATATGATTCAAACCTCATCACAATAAGGTACTAACACTTTTCATTTACAGGCTGAAAAATTATCAGAGCAACAAATTGCAGAATTCAAAGAAGCTTTCTCATTGTTCGACAAGGATAGTGATGGAAAGATTACCACCAAGGAGTTAGGCACAGTCATGAGATCCTTGGGCCAAAACCCGTCAGAAAGCGAATTGACAGATATGGTCAACGAGGTAGATGTCAACTCTGACGGATCGATTGACTTTCCGGAATTTTTAACCATGATGGCCAGGAAAATGAGAGATACTGACTCTGAAGCAGAAATTGCTGAAGCTTTCAAGGTATTCGACAGAAATGGGGATGGAAAGATAAGTGCAGCTGAATTGAGACACGTGCTCACGTCTATTGGTGAGAAACTATCTGATGCCGATGTTGACCAGATGATTAAAGAAGCCGATACCAATAACGATGGTGAAATCGATATTCAAGAATTTACTCAATTGTTGGCCGCTAAGTAAATGTCGGTTACTTTTTTTTTGTTAGAATAGTAGTGTAGTTTAATTGATCAAAGATACTTCATACTGGGCTTGGCTCTGTTGGAAAAGCTTTGTAGGTTGTAAACCTTCTTTGCACTCTATCTTGATAACAAAAAAATAAAAAATAGGATATCTCCATTTCACTTCCCCTTAGCTAGATTACAGACACTTATGGACAACAGTTTAAAAGTATTGATCAATACTTATGAGCTAGAGCCTAGTGATTCCCCCGTGAGCTACAAATCAGTTTCTCGAGAAAGCTACCATCCACAATTAATCGTAGAACAAGCCAGTGATATGGTGGATTCATTTCGCCGCAACTGCACGCAAAATGGTCGGAAATACGTGCCACCACATAGGAAACCCAGAAATGAAGATTGCATTGGCTCTGGCACGAGTCACGGCTTGAAAACGACAGAGGAGGACAAAATTGCAAAAAGAAGAGAGAGGTTTAGCCGGCGGATTGAAACATGCAACCAATCACATGATTACGGTCTTGTTAGTAGAGGTGAAGATACACGTTTGAAAGAGTCGGAGGCTCTAAGGGAGGAATACTTTCTTGTTATACTACATCAATTCATCAGATACACATCAAATAATACATCACACGCCTTGTCTGAAACTTTCAAGAGGATGAAAGATTTGAACCCAAATGACTTCGAGAGTGCTCAATCTTTGCAATCCAATGAGGAAAGCGACAAAAAATCAGTTTCCATGGAATCATTAACCATGTCTCTACGGAAATTACGAGAAAGTTTGTTGCATTTGAAACCATCACCTTTCCACAAAAAGGTATTTTTATTCTCCACGCGGATTTCCTACTGCTGTGGCCAGTACCAAACTTACGTCCCCAGCATCAACTATTTACTACTACATAAACGTGCTTTAGGTTTATCGAGTTTGGAGATTGAAGAAGTCGCGGTGATATTGGTGTTACATTTAACCCATTTCAACAATGCCCCACTGGAAGCTATCCTGAGATATTTCCAGCACATACCTAATCGTAGGGACATATTGCAGATTATAAGGTGCTGGATACGGAACGATTACTATACATGGATCCACACATATAATCTGATTGAGAGTTTTGCTGTAAAATCAATGATGAGGCTAGGTCTCCCCACTATGTTGAATCACATGATCAAGATTTTGAGCTCAACTTACTTTACAATGAGAAAGTCAGTCATAGAGAACGAGTTGCTTCCTGATGATGTGGAATATGATGATTTAATTAGAGACTATAAGGTGAATTGGACCGTTAATGATGGCGGTATAGTAACTTTGCGAAGGCGACAAAGCAGGAAAGAAAAGTGACACGTTTTTGGTGCAGATATATTACTCCCATAATGCGTCTAAGATAGATTATATAATGCTTTTGAATTGTTAGCACATGTGTAGACATTCTTTAAATATGGTTTTTACCAAAGGGTACGCCAAAAAAAGAAGAGAAAACAAAAAAAAAAATCAAATGATACTATCCTCTTCCTTATTCAAAGCACTTTACGATTGTTGCTGATCCCCAAAACCCCCCGTTCAATCGACTAAGGAATATCAACCACAAAAATACGTTCCAACAACACACACATATGTTCAAATTTGACTCATTAGACACCAATCTGCGACCCAAGCTCCCAGACCTGATCAAAATTGACGACATCACATCGGGAAGGATTGATCCTCAACTAATATACAATGAGATAGAACGATTGAAAGCAGAGATTAACATATTGCGGAACGACATGTCAATGTTCCTACAAGCGTTGGCTACTATACCTGAAGATAACTCGCCTCAAGAGTACTATCGCACAACAATGTCGAGGCTAGAGACAGTACAGGAAAGTATACAGGAATACTGCGAACGATATAATAAGCTTTTGCCAATCATTAATCTAGCTCAAATTAAACTAGGTCACGAAGTCGAGGCTCCACCTGTAAATAAGGCGAAACCCATTCAGTCACAGCAAAGTAACAAAGTCAAAAGTAGTGCTAAAGTACTAGAGTCGGGTGCTCAAGGGCAGATTCCAAACTTTAATCAATCAACCGCTAGTAATGGAAATGGGAACGCATCGAGAAATACAAAAAAGCCCACCAAGAAGGGAAACCTGACGAATAAAATTTCAGAAGGAACATCAACACAGCCGATAGTGATATAGTTGGAAGTGTGTGCGTGTGCGTGTGTAGCTTGGATCACATACTGCGTAATACAGACCGTGTACTGATAACAATACAATAAAAGACTTTGAAGACTCTTTTGCCATGAAGAATGTCATACCAGCAAAAACGTTACACTGTAGACAAGTCAACTACGTCGTAGAGATCAGCCATTCATTGGTAATTCATTACTATCTTCTTTTAGGTCTTCTCGCTATGAAGATTAAAGTCCTACGTGGTGCTCATAAGCTAAGCTATAATTTTTGGTTAGTTGAATTTCGTTAGATTGCTGTAGGACCACAATGTTTTCAAGACACAAAAACCACGAGACAATAAAACTTTAAAGGAGTTCGGAATATCCACCATCAACGAATATTATATTCCATTCCTTCACAACAGCTACATTATTATTCCAAAGTGGTTGGCTAATCAATTAGAGCTGTCACTGATCAGAACCGATAAACACCATTTAAATTCCTGATCGAAATGTTTGAATCACTTGTTGCCAATCTAATCAATAGATTTCTCGGATCATACATCGAGAATTTTGATCCCAAGCAACTAAACATTGGCATTTGGAGTGGTGATGTTAAACTCAGGAATTTGAGATTGAAGAAAGAAAGTCTTGATGAGTTCAAGTTACCAATTGATGTCAAATTTGGACACTTGGGAGAGCTTACGTTGCAAATTCCATGGTCTAATTTAAAGTCGAAACCAGTACGAATCATCATTGAAGATCTATATGTGTTAGCTTCTCCTATCATTTTACAAGACTATGACGAAGAAGAAGACGAAAAAAGGCAACAGGCTTTGAAGGAATCTAAATTGAAAGATTTGGAGGCTATTCTTGAAGCAAAAGGAGAAGAATTAGGTCGTGACCTCGCCGATGAAACTTTCGCTGAATCTTTAGTCAAGAAGATTGTTGACAATCTTCAAGTTACAATTAAAAAGATACATTTAAGGTACGAGGACCAATCTGTTTTGACGGAAAAACCATACACGTTGGGATTGTCACTAGATGAATTATCAGCAGTCTCAACGGATGAAAATTGGAAACCTTCATTCATTGCAATCACGCAAGCATTCACTAGAAAGCTACTTACTTTGAAAAGCTTATACTGCTACATGGAAACCAAAGATCCACAATTGTATTCAGATCTCGATAAGGAAGGGCAATTGCAAGAATTTGAAGCTCAAAACGATCACCAGGAGTATTTGATGAAGCCAGTCAGTGGTACTGGTAAACTCACTATCCACAAACTTGGGACAACAAGGGAGCATCCACACTTGGATACAGAGCTTTTCTTTGAGGAGTTTGGCCTAGAAATTAATGAACAACAGTATGAAGATATTTTATGGACAGCATCGAAATTTCGCTGGTACTCCAAAACGGCCAAATTTCGTAAGTATAGACCAAAAGTGCCACCTAGTGAGGATCCCAAAGCATGGTTTAAATATGCAGCTGAATGTGTTTTGAATGAAATTCATGAAAAGAATTCCAAATGGAGCTGGGATCATTTCGCAAAAAGAAGAGACGAAAGAAAGGAGTACATTCAATTGTGGAAGTTGAAATTGGAAAAAAAGATTGGCGAAGATGAACAAAAACAGCTTCAAAATCTTGAAGAGACTCTTTCTTTTGATGATATCAAGTTGTATCGTTCGCTTGCTAGAAATGAGCTTAGAAAAGAAGGAAGTAATGCAAAGCTCTACGATACCGATTCGGCTGAGAAGGGAGAACAACAGAAGAAAGGATGGTTTTCTGGTTGGTGGGGAGGTGGAAATGCAACCTCGCAAAAAGACGAACAACAGAAAACTATGGGTGCAGACGGAGAGCACATTGATCTTTCTTTAACCGATGACCAAAGAAAAACGCTTTATGATACGATTGATTACGACGAAGAAGCTGAAATTTCCACAGTGGACCTTCCAGATGATTGTGTAAAACTTCGTGTTTCGGCCTCTTTGAAAAAGGGAGGATTGGTTGTGAGACGCAGTGATTTGACAAATTTGGCCGATGTCGCATTTGAAGGTTGCCAAGCGCATTTCTATCAAAGACCAAATTCCTTTCTTGGTGGATTTCAAGTGCTTGAGTTTAAAGTTGAGGATGGAACTGGTTCTAGTGTTTACAATCACGTTGTTAGTGTCAAGCAAACCATCCCAAATGCAGGACAAGATCAGAACGACCTTTCCACACCATTTTTCCAGATCCAGTATGAACAGAATCCTCTTGATGGCTCTGCAGATTCAAAGTTGCTTGGCTCATTGAAATCTATGACTATCTTTTACAATCCAAAGTTCATTGAAGAATTGATTCGTTTCTTTACACCCCCCAAAATTCACTTAGACACTGTCGGGGCCATAATGAATGCGGCAGAATCCACAGTTGAAGGGTTGACTTCGCAAACTAGAATGGGACTTGAGTATGCGCTTGAAGAACATAAAACAATCAATGTAAACATGGATTTGCAAACACCATTGTTGATCATGCCATTAGATCCGTCTAGTTACAAATCACCTGTAGCTATATTAGATGCAGGTCACATAAACATTGTGAGCGACTTAGTTGAGAAAAACAAGATCAAGGAGTACAAAGATAAGGAGAAATATACCAAAGATGATTGGAAAAATCTCAATGAGCTATTATACGATCAATTCAAGTTTAGTTTAGAAGATGCTCAGTTCTTTGTGGGGCATACTATAAAGTCCACTATGGAGCAGCTTTACTCCCATGATAAGCCAAGACCGGCGTTGATGCTCGATAATTTCAGTGTCAATTTCAATCTTGGACTATCAATTTTGCCAGATGCACAAAATTTGGCAAAGATGAGATTGGGTGGAAATGTGCCGAAGCTTCAGGTGGCGATGAATGATTTTCAGTACAAGACTATACTCAGTATACTTGATGCAGCAATTCCCAACACAAGTTTTGATTCATCGGATGAGTCAAGTGTTTTTGAAGCATACGGTAATGATAACCCCGGCGACGGACTCGACATCGATGACAACCTGTTCAAGGAAAACACAAACAACAAAAGTGTACAAAAGCCTAGCAATTCAGAGCAGCACTTGATTGAGTTGAGTTTCAGTGTTGATTTTATCAAGCTACATTTGTCAAGATGTTTTGATGGACGTACTTTAGAAGCCGAACCTTTGATAGAGATTGTGGGTAATGCCTTGGAGATGGACCTCTACAGAACTGAAACCGATTTACACATGAATTTGGCGCTTTTGGATTTCAACATATTGGATCATATAGAAAAATCGGGAAAGGAGGAGTTTCAGAAGCTCATTACCTCAAATACCGAATCCGATTCGACCAAAAAATTGTTAAATGTTGAATATAACAGAAGGTTAAGAATTGTGGACTACAACAACAAAAAAATTGAAGTGTTTGATCAGGACATTGATCTTCATCTTGCCACAGTGAAATTCGTCATCACCAGAAAATCACTTTTGAGTATCCTAACATTCTGCTTGAATACATTTACTGATCCCAATCAAGAGCCAACACCAGCTGATGAGTTGAACCATAATCCTGAAGATGTGGATGCCGCACCACAGAAAATCAACATGAAACTTGATCTCGACAGTGTAATCATGGTGCTCAATGAAGATGGTGTCAAGTTGGCGACGTTTCTGTTGAATGCCGCACAGATTTCACTTTTGCTTTTACCAGAGGCAATGGATGTATCGGGGAGCTTGGGCGCTTTGTCTCTAGTTGATGAATTAAAGTACAATAATGACGATTCTCCACGCTACTTGCTACAAATGGACGAAAAGGATTTGGCAAACTTTAGATACAAAACCTTTGATATGCACGGTGAAAGACCATCAGAGCTTAAATTTAATGTGAGTGCTATCGCAGTCAATTTCGTTGAGAGCTCCATTGGTAGAATCGTTAGATTTGGTAATCAGTTTATGCAAATGAAGGCCATTTATGATAGAACCCGAGAGGCAGCTATAAACGAAGCTCCTCAGTTGCCAAACAAGTTAAAGTTTGATATCTTGATTCAAGGTCCAAAAATTACGTTCTTAGTTGATGGCGTTGGATCCAATGAGATTGTTGCCAATTTGGGTGAAATTTACGCACACAATGAATATCAAAAAGCATTGAATGTGATTTCTGTTGGTATAAGAAATGTTCAGCTTTTATCCAACTTCAAATTCAAGGAAGTACAACAAGACTTGAAAGTGATTGATGATTTGGATGTCTCGTTTGATGTCAACTGGTCAGAAAACTACGTCAAAGATACTTCGACATTCGAAATTACTGGGAAAATGCCAGAGTTGGATATCCATTTGACTGAACTACAAGTCAAGCTGTTAACAGATATATCAAACTCAGTAGCTGCAGCATTCACGATAGGTGACGATTCATCCGACATGGTGGAGATTGAAGAGGAAGCTGCTTTTGCCAATGCTGTTTTGAAGCACGATACAAAAGTTCGCCATGGAGACAATAATACCAAAGACAATAAAGAGCCAGAGGCACCATCATTGGTGCTGGAAATTCCATCTGATCATCTGATGGCCAATATCACATTTGAACTCCCGCGTATTTCGTTGTCTCTATACAACAATACTGCTGATTTAAGTGATATAAAACAAGCCCAATTATCCAGTTTTTCACTCAATGAGGCCAAAGTGAGTGTTGATTTAAAACAGAATACACTGCTCAAGGCTAATTTGGCTATAAAATCTTTTGTTGTAGAGGACACCAGGCAGCACACGGAAAGCAAGTTTCCTGTGATTATACCAGCTGCCAATGACGTTGACAATCAATTCCAGTTACAGGTAACTTCTGACATTGTTGGCGAGAGCAAGACGCTTGCAATGATATTGACTGTTGAGAAACCAAAAGCAATTTTGGCACTTGACTATTTGTTTGACTTGCAAGCATTTATTGACACCGCGATTCCATCAACTGAACCACCAGCTTCTGATAAAAATCAACTGCGAAAGTCAGTGTCACTGATACCCGACATAAGTGCCACTGCTGAAGATATTAAAACACATTTCGGATTTTCGGTGAATATAATCAAACCATCTATATTCCTTTTAGCTGATGACACCAAAGCTGATACTGAAGCAATTGCCTTCAAAGTTGAGCAAATTTCAATTTCGAAGCAGAATGTCGTATCTTTGGCCACTAGCAAAGTTGGCTTGTACTTGACTCGAATGGATAATCCCAAGAATTCAAGATACAGAATAATTGATGATTTTTCCATTTCTTTTGCGTATGATGATAGGAGATCTTCACCAGGAAAGTATTTGGACAACATTCAAGCCTCCATAGATCCTTTGGTGTTAAGGGTGTCGGTGCGAGATGTCAGATTGGGATTGGCCATACTTCAGCGTGTAAATGACTTGTATGCAAAACATCAGGGCATTTTGAGTGCAAAGGATAAAGACAAAAGGCTGCTATTAGAGAGTAGTGATGATGACTCACTGTCAACAAGTGATTCCCAGCAACTAGAGCAGGTTGAATCCACTGAAGTTGCGAGAGATGAGGTTGTTAAAGGAGAAGAAATGACAGTAAGCTTCGGTGGGTTGAGATTTGTCTTGATAGGAGATGTTTCAGAACTACCAGTGTTAGATATGAATGTGAGCCCATTTGAAGTTAGAGCTATTAACTGGTCAACTGATCTAAGCGCTGAGATACATTTAGAAACCTATGTCAACATATTCAACTATTCCAAATCCGCTTGGGAGCCCTTGGTAGAAGCTTGGCCTGTTTCGATATATGCATCGAAGACCCAAGGACCAAACTCAAAGCTATTTTTTGAATGTGTATCGCGACAAGTGGTCCAAATTACTGTCACGTCTAGATCTGTGGCCTTATTGTCGCAAGTGCAATATCTTTTAAGTAGCGACGAGAAGTTGAAACCAAGAGGTGAAGACTACCCATTCTTGATTGTCAATGATACAGGTTTAGATTTATCTGTATGGACAAACGGAAATAAGGCAGAGTCTGAAACGAAGATCAAGTATGGCGAATCAAAACCATGGGCATTTGAAGACTGGAGAAAAATTCGTGAAAATTTGGACGTCAACACATCAAACACATTGGATATTGCATTCAATAACGGCGAGTACGAAAATATTGAGCATTTATCTGCTGCTAGGGAAGGCGAAGATTTACACGTTTTGTATCCAGCAGTTGATGGTGTGCACAACAGGCTCGCTGTCGCGATAAGTTTGCGTGAAGACAACGTCAAGGTGATTACCCTCAGATCAACACTTGTTATCGAGAATGACGCGGATGTTCCAATTACCGTTGAAATCCTTGACGACAAACGGGCAGAGATGAAGGTAGAATCAAAGGGTACACTTTCGGTCCCTATTGATCTTGCATATAATGGAAAGTTTAGAGTCAAACCCAATCTACACACGTCGTATGCCTGGTCCGATGGGGAAATACATTGGAAGGATGCTATGAAGAGTGAGCTTTCGTTGAGATGCCCAGCTACAACAAGAGATGACTCATCTGTTTTCTACTTTCAAGCAAAGGCCGTTTTTGATCGACATGAACCTTTGGCACAAGTGTACCCTCATATGAAGTTTGTCATTTCTGCACCATTAGAGATTGAAAATTTGTTACCTTATGATTTTGATTATCGTTTGTATGATAAGAATTCGAGACGCGAATGGACAGGAAGCGTGCAAAAGGGTGTCAAAAGTTATGTCCACGTTGTGAGTTTGAAAAATTTGTTGCTTCTCAGCATTCAGCCTCGAAATTGTAATTATAGCAAGTCGGAGTTTGCCGTCATCAATGGTGGATCACGCAGTGATTTTGAGAGAGAAAACACATTGAAGCTCAAAGGTGATGATATTTTAAAGTTGAACATCTTTTACCCACGTAAACAAGCTGATAGTACAAGTTTAAAAGTTATCATTTACAGCCCTTATGTGATTTTAAACAGGTCCAATTTGAACATAATCGCTAGTGAAAAGGAAAACCAATTTGTATCATTAGCAAAAACTATCGACTCAGAGCAAATATACCCCAAAATGTTTTCCTTTTTCAAGGTTGATGATAGAAAGAATAGAGCAACAATCAAAACCGACGAAACAGTTTGGTCCCGGCCTTTGAGTTTTGATGCCATTGGACAAGCTAGCGAGTTGAGACTACAACTTTTGGGTAAACAGAAGGAAATCAATTTAGGAGTGACTATCCTGGAAGGTGAGGGAATCTACAATTTAACGAAAACAATTACAATCACCCCGAGATATGTTGTAATAAACAGACTTCCGGAGAGTATTAGCTTAGCAGAAGAAGGCTCCATCAAGGAGATCAACGCAATGCCCGATGCCTTGTTACCTCTCTACGGTTTGCGCTGTGTTGACAAAAAGAATTTGATTATGAAATTGGGACAAACTTCTAGGTGGTCGCAACCTTTTTCTATTGACAATGTTGGCCAGTTGTATATCAAGGTACAGAAGAATAATGTTGGACAAGTGTTGGTCAAAGTGACCATGTTACTTGAAGATGCGACTATGTTTATTCACATTGAAGATGCTAATAATCAATGGCCATACTCGATCAAGAACTATACTGATGAGGAGTTTTACATTTATCAAATCAACCCCAATATAAATGCAGATGGCGAAGTAGTGAAAAGAGAGACAGTTTACAAACCCATATATTATCGTGTTCCTCCAAAGAGTGTCATGCCGTATGCATATGACTATCCGAATGGTATTGTTAAGGAGATTATTGTCAGATCTCACGGTCGTGAGAGAGGAGTTAGTCTAGCTGAAATTGGTAACCTTCGACCATTCAGGTTACCATCAACAGATTCTCAGGATCAACAAATCGTTGATCTCAATGTTGTTGCCGATGGCCCTACTCAGTGCTTGGTGATCACCGACTATGACCCGTCCCAAAGTTTATACAAGATGAAGAATGAGACAGTGTCAAGCTCCTCATTGCCGTCTAACCAGGACCATTTCGTTGAAGCAGATGTCGAAGACAATTACCACACCAAGGTGGTTACAAATTTTGATGGTGTAGGAATCTCATTGATCAATACAAGAGACCAAGAGCTTTGTTACATCACTTTGAGAGGAGTCGAATTTAGGTACAACGAGTCAAATTTGTATCAGAATATCAGTGCTAAACTCAAATGGGTTCAAATTGATAACCAGCTTTATGGTGGTATTTTCCCAATTATACTTTATCCATCTGTCATCCCGAAAACGGGCAAGGAATTGAATGAGCACCCTGCACTTTCAGCATCGGTGTGCCGAGTTAAAGATGATTCTCATGGAGTGGTTTTCATAAAGTATGCAACCACACTCATGCAAGAGTTGAATTTTGAACTTGATGAAGATTTTTTGTTTGCAATGCTTGATTTTGTCAAGTTTCCTGGAGCTTCATGGAATAAAGAACAAGTGAATAGACTTTGTGATGAAAATTTGGATATACCTGAACCCCTGAAATTGAGCAATAGCAGTGACATTTACTTCGAAGCTTTGCATTTGCAACCGATCCAAGCGAATATCTCGTTTGTGAGGACAGAAAGACTCAATGCTGAAGACAAGACCAATAGTCAAAACACGGTGATGTTTTTCTTGAATATACTTACAATGGCAATTGGTAATATAAACGATGCACCAATAAAGTTGAACGCTTTATTTATTGAAAATATTAGAGCACCAACACCAATATTGGTGGAGTCAATTAAAACCCATTATAGTCAAGCATTTTTCTACCAACTTTACAATATTGTCGGTTCGGCTGACTTTTTGGGTAATCCAGTTGGGTTATTCAACCTTCTTTCTTCTGGTGTGATGGATATCTTTTATGAACCTTATCAAGGTTATGTATTGACCGATAGTCCACAGGAGTTAGGTATAGGTTTGGCAAAGGGAGGTCTCAGTTTTATGAAGAAATCAGTGTTTGGATTCTCGGACTCTATAGCCAAGGTTACAGGATCTATTGCCAAAGGGTTGACAGTGGCAACTATGGATTCCAAGTTTCAAGAACGTCGTCGTTTGCAAACGCGCAGAAACAGAGCTAATCATGCAGTGTATGGTTTTACCACAGGAGCGAACTCGTTTATAGAGGCATTGTCATCAGGTATTGGTGGTATCGCAGCTGCACCGTTGGAAGGAGCCGACGAAGATGGAGCGGCTGGATTTTTTAAAGGTATTGGTAAAGGAATTATTGGCTTGCCCACAAAGACGGCCATTGGGTTTTTCGATTTTGCTTCTAATGTAAGTGAAGGCATCAGGAATACAACCACTGTTTTCGATGGTGAAAAACTTGATAGGATTAGGTTACCACGGTATATCAACCCAGATGAGGTGGTTAGACCGTACAATGAAAGAGAAGCTCAAGGTCAGTACTGGATGCACGGTATAGATGGCGGTATCTTTTGGAACCACACTTACTTGGCACACTTGTTGCTTCCTGGAGATGAAATGGCAGTATTGGTGACATTGAGAGACATCGTTTTGTTTGATATCAATACACTCAAATCGAGATGGGTTGTTAGGTTTGATCAAATTAAATCCATTTCGGTGGAATCTACGGGATTGACTATTGAATTGAAAAATAGAAAAGGTCCATTCATTCCTATACCCGATCGCAAGAGTAGAACTTATTTGTATCAGAAGATTGGAGTTGCAGTAAAGGAATACAACAAGTTTTGCCGTGTCACGTTATAGATGCAAAAATACATATATACATAGAAAGAGTCAATTGATTAGTCTATAAAATGTTGAGGCGTATCACCCACAGTCTTTTGATAAGAACCCATAAATTTTTCAGGAGATTCATTGGCTCTAGTTTGTAATTTAATCTTTTGCACAAGAATGAGTCCCTCTCTGCATTTGATACACAAGCCATCTTTAGCCAAAGTAAAGTCTCCTGGTTGATGTAACTGAATGTCGTTACGTTCACGATCCATCTCAGTTAATGAGCTCAATATTACTCTTTTTTTTTCTTCTACCAAACGACCCTTTTTCTTTGTTCGTGTGTTTATAAACGTGTAAACCGGCCCTAAAGCGTCATATAGTCTTTTAATATGTCTAGCTGTGTAACTTCGCCATAGTGCCTGGCTTTTGGATTTATCAATTTTTGGTGCCAATGATCGTTGGTAAGTATTTGGCACACACGCGTCGAGGAAGAGACCCTTATCAATTACATCCAGTACAAGCACTCCTCCCCTTTGCGCAAGTCTTTCAGAAAGACTATCGAAGTCATCGGCATCATCGATCTCCATTTCCTCAGATTGTGCCACTATATTCCCATGATCAAACTTCGTAGGATGTAAGGTTTGAACAGTGACTCCAGTGGTTTTGTCATCATTGAGCAAGGCATATTGTATAGGAGATGAGCCTGAATACTTTGGAAGTAGCGATGGATGTACATTCAATCCTCCGTACTTGCAATTGTTTAAAAACGCAGCAGGAATTAACTTACCGTAGGAAACAGCTATCGTCAAGTTAAAATCGTTACTCTCCACCAATTGGAGAATATCATTTGAGGAATCGGCCCGTAAAATTGGAATGTTGTGTTTTATTGCAAATTCGCTAGCAGGAAGTTCCGAAAATGTCTTCATGTACCTCCCGCTGGGCTTTATCGTCCTAGTTATTACTTTGATAGTAGATATCTTTTCTGGACATCGCTTTTGCAAATCAAGTATTTTATTTAGACTGGCGACGCTGAACTTTCCACTTCCAAAAAAGGCTATGTTCAAGGGATCATACTTGTAATGTAAAGATCGTTGAAATATTCTTGAATAGGAATGTAGTAGCTTCATGGATTGTATGGATCATAGCATGAGATATTTTGTGCATCGCGATTCTTATTACTTGTAAAATAAAAACAATTGAGAAAGTTACAACAGACGTGACTTTGTTAATCAACATAATTTACCACGATGCTGACTACACCAAACGACATTTTGAATGATATAGCTAAACTTGTGAATGTACGTGGCATCGACGCATCTACGTTGACTCTATGCTATAAGTTATTAGACGAAGGGGTTGATCCTCGTAAGTTGGCAGAAAAGATCAAAGATATACAAAAGGAGATTTCGTTGTGAAAGAGAACCAGGTAACAGATATATATAAACAAGCGATGTGGGCTTGAGCGACTTTACCCATTATTCAAAATCCACCTTTCTTTTTCTTTCGTTTCGGCTGTGAACCGTCCTGACTACTGCGTTGAGACGAAATACGAAGAGTGTCTGCCAACCGTGAATGTGATCTTTGTTGTGAAGCCTTTGTAGAACCTTTGCTTGAACCGGATAAACCACCAAGTTGTGTGTTGCTGCTTTGTGATAATTTTGGGGGCTCCATTGGTTCCAATTGGCTCGATTTCAATAGAGGAATGGTTTGGGATGCATTGTGTGTCTGCGACACAGGTTGTTGGTGCGCTTGTGTTGTCGTGGAAAAATCCCATTCATCAAGCAATTCTTGAACAGATTGATTAGACGCCGATTTTTGGTCGTTGTATTTTGTCTGGAATTGATTTCCTTGGTCTTGGCACTTTATTAGGGATAGTCCCAATACTAGTGAAGTATTGGTTATAGATTTTGTAGTGTTACATTCCCCAAATACTTGTTGTAGCAACGTATGTATGTCACAAATATGCGTTTGCGCTTGTGGTATTGTCAAGAACTCATTTCTTTTGATCAATGCATTATTGATAAAACTCTTGATATTGATTCCCTCAGTGAGTGAACTCGTTTCGAATTCAGAGATCATATCATCCAGATCACCCAAATCCAGAATGTTTAGCGGCGGGTGGTGGTCAATTTCTAGTAATGAGTGATAGCTTCCTGATGAAAAAGTTTGTTTCTGATTATCAGCTTCAAAAGCAGCGCCCAACTGTGACGCATAATTTTGAATTGCCTCAATCAGCTCTTCATTTTCGTTTCCTAAATTGTTTTCCAAAAGAGCTGCATGAAGCTTCTCTGAATGGCGGTGCCTGTATCTATGCTTGTGCTTTGTTGTTGAGGATCCTCTAAATTCCAATCCATTCTTTTTCGAGCTCGAGTTTTGTGCCAATGGTCCGAATTGCAAACGTCTCTGTCGCAAATGCAAGGTTGATGACAACTCAATAACATCTATATCGCTTGAATCAATTACTCGTGACGGTATCAATTGTTTGAGACCTGTGGAATCTGACAGCTGTATCATATATGGATCTCTTGAACTACAAGGTTTCGCATCCTCATATCCTAAGGAGTACACCAACACCAAGGGGCTAGCTTGCGAGTAGATAAACAACGAATATGACTCTTTTTGAGTGAATACCAGTAATCTGAGCGAAGGATCACAATCATTTAAAAAATGTTTCCACGATAATAATCTTTCAATTTCTGTCCCACAACGTAACCAAATCAATTCTTTCGATGTCAAGTAAAATAACATATCTCCGACACATTGAACGTCTCGTATTCGCGACCATGTATTCGAGGTAACCAAAGCCTTTTGTGTAGCGGTATCAAAATCATGTCGAACTATCATGGTTCTTGTTGACAAAAGTATGCTATTGACATTTGGCAACCAAGTTAGTCGTAACCAATTGGATAAGTTATTTGTATCAATGATTGATAATTGCATGTCGCTGGTCCCCAATCTCAGAACTTTATCGTGTTTTCTATTAATTATCCATGCTGATAGGTTGCCTTGAATATCAACTATTGCAAACTTCCTCACATTGGCAGCACAAACAGCTACATCAGCAAAAGTTGATTGCTGCAATTTGTGCGCCGAAATCTCTTTAATGATTGATAATTGAAAATTGGGACCAGATTTGGAGTTACTCGAGTAACGTGATAGTTTGCATGTACTTACATATACCTTGACACGAGTTCTTACAAGAATGATTAATCGACTCTTTTCTTCGTTTTCAGCTACCTCGACTTGTCTAATCTGATCTAGAAAATCCACTTCATATGTAGGTGATAACTTTATCGAACGTGCATCTTGCAATATGATAGATAAACTTAGCACTGACAATGCTTCACCTGTGACATGAACTAAACCGTCAAGTGTCACAACAGTAGATTGCGGTTTGATTTGAAATTTCTGAACAATATCACCGAAGCCTGGATCATATGCCATCGCTGAGTCAATAGCTTTAGTCTCCAACCCATATGAGGAAAGTATCTTGGAAGGTACGCTCGTGGTGCCGAAGTTCTCGTCATCGAACGATGTATTCGTTTCTGACGATTGATAAACTTCACCCACCGAATGATTAAGTGGTTTCTTAAGTAGTGGCTTATTCAACACTTCATTCAAGTATTGATCTGCTTTCTTGTCCCCTTCGTTCCGTGGAAATGTAATCTTTGGTTGCAAGTAGTCGTCGCTTGAAATAAAGTTTGCATTTGACGCTGATTCTACTTCAACGTTGGGATTGCCAAATACGCCATAACTTAGTCGGACACCAAGACCAGCTTTGTGTGGCCACATATCATAGGTCACAATGCAAGTAGATAAAATCTTTAGTGGGCAGTGGTTTGAGGATGTTTCAGTATTATGATAAATTTTTGTGGTACTTGAATCAATTGTGAAAAATCAAATCGCCAAAAACACCAAAACCACATTTTCTACAGTCCTCACCAAAATAGTACATTGAACCATGATATGGCGTCTTTGGAGCCCGTTACTTGTACTCAGCTATATCTCTACATTAATACTAGCAGAACAAGTTGAATTCAATATTTATGAAGACGATGCCAACTTTCCGGCAGGTGAACAACTCGTGAACAACAACACAACCACTCCCCTCGCGTCCAAGTACGCAACACTTGCCAACAATTCATTACTATGGGGCCCATACAGATCATCATTATATTTTGGTGTTCGACCACGAATCCCTAAATCATTACTTTCAGGATTAATGTGGTTCCCCATCACTGATTATCAATCAATTGGCAAAATACGCCATTTTTACGAACAGTTTGATAGAATGGGCAAAGCCAATTGGGTATCTTATGATCCAAGAGTTGGTGGTCGCCAATTGATTCAAGATGATGAGTCACATTTTGACATTATTATTGATTTTGTCAAATCTCAAGACGGGTTATCTTGGGCCGTGAAAGTGAAAGCTACACCTCATAAGGGGTACGAAGATTCAATCATTTCCTTTGTTTGGTATTCGGGATTGGAAGGGGAGAAAGATACTGTAGATGAGATTACTGGTCAAAAGGAACGAAGCGGATATTTTCGATTGGATAATAGTGCCAAAGAAGGTGGATATGAAGGAACATTGAAATTTGGTGGAATTTCTGAAGAATTGGGTGCATTCAGCCTTGATATCAATGATGGACCAAAAACTAATAAACATCCGAGGGGAAAACTGGGCGTCAACAGGGAATTAGATCCATATTTGACTCATCATTTAAGTCTTACTGTACCCGATGGAAATATATGGCAAGCTCGTGATATCTTTGTTACCATATTACAAGAATCAGTGAAGCAGATCGTCGATGCAAGTAATAATGGACAAGTTGACAAATTACCACCAGAGAATCTTTTTGTTATTCGAGATTTGTATCATTTTGAAGGTAATTTACATTTTGTGCAAAAAATTTATCAAGGTGCATGTGAATTTGATGTGATTTATACCAATGCCTTTACACCAAAACCGAATCAATTGACTTTTGAAAATCTTCCAAAACGAATCGATGAAACTTTGCTGAAGTTGGATAATGATTTTGCATCACATTTCCAAATGCAGCCACCATTCAATACTAAGCCATATTATGAATTTGCTAAGGAAATGTTATCGGGATTACTTGGTGGAATCACCTACATGTATGGTGACCATTTAGTCGATAGAGAAACCGTGTTTGATGAGGATACATTTGAATCATATCAATTAAAAGGGTCCTTTGAAGGACCATATGAGCTATTCACCTTGGTGCCATCGCGTCCCTTTTTCCCTCGTGGCTTCTACTGGGATGAGGGATTCCATTTGTTGCCTCTATTAAATTATGATTCCGATTTGGTGTTGGATATTGTGAAATCATGGTTTGATTTGATTGATGATGATGGGTGGATAGCTAGAGAACAAATTTTGGGTACTGAGGCAAGATCAAGAGTTCCCAAGGAGTTTCAAGTTCAAAGTCCCCATATTGTTAACCCGCCTACATTGACTTTAGTTTTGAGTAAATTATTGGATTTTGCAGCAACAGCTGCGTCGGGGCTAAGAGGAAGCTCTGACTCATTCGGGGATATTAATCAGCCCATAGACATGGAGACTGAAAATAGTTTGGATGATGGAAATGGGGATGTGCCGTTGGGTAAATTCATTTTGAACAACCCTGAAGTCTTGGTCAATTACACCAAAGATGTATATCCCAAATTGAAATCTCATTTTGAAATGTTTCAAAAAACACAACAAGGTTTTATCCCCAATGAAGATGACGACGACGATGACGACGGCGACAATTCAACCGGATCAGTCAAGAACAAACGAGTTTATAGATGGAGAGGCAGCACAATGACCCATTGTTTAGCTAGTGGTATTGATGACTATCCCCGCTCATCACCACCTGATATTGCCGATTTGAATGTCGATTTGATATCGTGGATCGGTGTTATGTCGAAATCACTTCGTTTAATGGCGGAAATCTTGGGTACTGATGATAGCGAAGTACAAGAGTTGAAACAATTTGAACAGGATATTATCGCCAATATCCAATCGGTTCATTGGTCACCAAAACATGAAACGTATTGCGATGTGACTTTAAACGAAGATGATGAACTTGTGCATGTATGCCACAAGGGATACGTTTCATTGCTTCCATTTATAACCCACTTAATCCCAGTTGATGATGTTGATAAATTGCAAAGTGTCATTAATTTAATCACTGACCCAATGGAATTGTGGTCACCTTTCGGTATACGATCATTATCAAGATCAGATGAGTTTTACAAGACTAGTGAAAATTATTGGCGATCACCCATTTGGATTCATATCAATTACTTGATTTTGCAAAATATTCAAGAATATTATATTGATTCGTCAACGTATATGACGCAAGAGTTGAAGAAGAAGTTTGCTGATGCCTACCATGATTTGAGAATAAATTTGGTCAATAATGTGTATAAACAATGGTTAAAGACTGGATTTGTTTGGGAACAATATGATGATGACACTGGTGAGGCCAAGGGAGCTAAGAATTTCTTGGGGTGGACTTCAACCATCTTGTTGATTATGACCATGCCAGAAAACATATAGAGAATGAAAAAAGCTAGACACTACAATTGCTGAAATTAGCAAAACATAACCAAATATCTCTAAACATGTATTCAATTGCATCTATATACCCCTCTTCATTTCATCTCACAAGACATTCTTCTTTGATGGGTCTTCTTCAAATCGCAAATCCCAACCAATTTCCTCACCCAACTTGGGCAACACTTCAGCAACCGATTGAACATCTTTATCACCTCTTCCAGACACATTAATGACAATATGTTGATCTTGAGGTAAAGTTTTCGCCAACTCAACTCCACCGTAAATGGCATGCGACGATTCCAAGGCCGGAATGATTCCTTCCAATTGTGACAAGAGTTTAAAACCTTGTAAAGCTTGAGCATCGGTAGCAGCGATGAAATCAGCTCTTCCCGTGGATTTCCAATATGCCAATTCAGGTCCAACACCAGGATAATCCAACCCAGCCGATACCGAATGGGTATCGTGAACTTGTCCATCATCATCTTGCAATACAAATGTTCTTACTCCATGGAAAACACCAGGTAAACCAGCGGTCAAAGTAGCTGAATGACGATCGGTATCGATACCGTCACCACCAGCTTCAACTCCCAACATCTTGACGTCCAAGTCCTTTTCAAAGGGAGAAAATAATCCCGTAGAGTTGGATCCACCACCAACACAAGCAACAACGGCATTGGGCAATTTACCATTGTTTAATTCAGCAAATTGTTGCTTCACTTCTTGTCCAATGACACTTTGGAAAGTACGAACCAAAGTTGGGTATGGATGGGGTCCAATTGCTGACCCAACGACATAATGAGTAGTCTCCAAATTAGAAACCCAGAATCTAAAAGCTTCTGAAGTGGCATCACGTAAAGTTTGAGTACCATTCTTGACGGGGACAACATTGGCGCCAAGAATCTTCATCCGGAAAACATTTAGTGCTTGACGTCTAGTATCTTCAGCTCCCATAAATACCGTACATTCCAATCCAAACTTGGCACAAGCAGTAGCGGTAGCAACACCATGTTGACCAGCACCAGTTTCAGCAATAATTTTCTTCTTACCCAATCGTTTGGCAATAAGTACTTGTGCCAAGGCATTGTTGATCTTGTGTGAACCAGTGTGGTTTAGATCTTCTCTTTTCAACCAAATAGTGGCACCTCCAGCATGCTCGGTCAATCTTTCTGCTTTATGTAATGAGGATGGTCTTCCAATATATGAATACAAGTCTTTAAACTCTTTCCAAAATTGTGGATCAGCAACAGCTTCTTCAAACCCCTTTTCCAATTCAGCTAAGCAAGTATGAAGGGCTTCAGGGACATATTGACCACCAAAATCACCAAAACGTGGGTTATACTTGTGTGATTCTTGGAAATCGGGTTGTTGGGAGGTGAGATCACCACCTTCTTCTTTATCAACCTTGTTGCCATTTTGGAATTGTTCGGGAGCTGTAGCATTATAATCATCACCAAGGATCGATCTAACATACTTGTAAGCAGTTTCACCGCGCTCACCAGGCTTGGACTCACCAATCAATGTGACAATTTTCGATCCAATAACCACCCCATCAGCAACTTTACCCACAGCAAGAAAATGTTCCCTCGTAGAGACACCAAATCCAACCGCAATGGGAGTATCTTGACCAATATATTTTCGTACTCGAGCACACAATTCTTCAATACCAGCGCTAACCTTGTTGGAAGCACCAGTAGTACCCATTTTGGAAACAACATATACAAATGAATCAGCAATTTGTCCCAATACTTTCAATCTTTCGTCAGTAGTAGCTGGTGCTACCAAAGGGACATATGACAATCCATGTTTAGAACAAGCGTGTCTGAATTTAACAGCTTCTTCCGGTGGTAAATCAACAATAATGAATCCATTAACGCCAGCTGATGCCGCATCTTGTAAAAATTGCGATTCACCATATTTTAAAATGGGGTTATAATAACCCATCAAGATTAAAGGAACCGAAACTCCAGCACTACGTGCTTGTTTCACTGAATCCAATACTTTAGCCACCGTCATTCCATTTTCCAAAGCTTTGATGTTGGCAGTTTGAATAGTGGGGCCATCAGCAATAGGGTCAGAAAACGGTATACCAATTTCAATAATATCAACCCCAGCTTTTTGCATATTGGTGAGGATGGGGACAGTGTCTTCAATAGTTGGATAGCCGGCAGTAATGAAATTGACTAAAGCATTACGGTTTTCCCTTTTGCAACGGGCAAATGTTTCTTTCAATGCGGAAGACATGGTTGCGAGATAATACTCTTGTGTGGAAATAAAGGTGGAGTTGTGCTAAAACGAAATCTAATGAAAATATGGTGAAAAATTATTCGCTTGGTATGGGTAGAGTGAGTCAATAAAAAAAAAAACTCTTTTGGAGATTAGTTTTATATGCAGGATGTTACAGATATGATGACGCAAGTTCACAATACACTTTGAGACACATCCTACAAGACACTAACAAACCCTACATACTGGTCTTGTTTTTGTAATTCTGTCACAACCGTGATCGAGATCTACTCTACTCTTCTACTCCTCTTCCTTTTTGAATATATGAATATGAATTATATGTACAACCCTTATATATAGTGAAACGATCTATGAAAAAAAATGTTTCCTCCTTTTTTTGAACTGAAATTTTTGATGCTTTACTTTTTTTTGTATGTCATGATCATGATCTCCCATTAGCCTTAGTGCTAGCTTCATCTAGAATACTTCACCTTGGTCAAACATGGCATCGGCAACCTTCAAGAACCCAGCAATGTTTGCACCTTTCAAAAGTGATGGCAATTCACCTCCTTTATCAGTAGAATACTTTTTGGCAGTGTCATAACAGTTTTCAAAACAGTTGATCATAATTTCCTTCAATTTAGCATCAACTTCTTCCTTGGTCCAATTAACTCTTTGGGAGTTTTGAGCCATTTCCAAACCAGAAACAGCAACACCACCACAGTTGGCAGCTTTACCTGGAGCATACCAAACACCGTTATTTCTGTTGGCTTCAAACACTTCAATAGCTTCTTGAGTAGAACCCATATTTGAACCTTCAGCAATATATTTACATCCAGCATCAACCAAAGCTTTAGCTTCATCGCCACTAACTTCATTTTGAGTAGCAGATGGCAAAGCAACATCAACTTGTCCAACTTTGGTCCATGGTCTAACACCAGCAATGTATTCAACTGAATTGTTACCACCAAAAATAGTAGCTTCATCTTTAACAATTTGTTCCAAAGTCTTGAATTTCAATTTAGCAGCAGCAATAGCATCAATTTGTTCAACAGTGATACCATTCTTGGAAATGATTGAACCCTTGGAGTCAGATAATGAAACAACAACACCACCCAATTCAATAACTTTCAAAGCAGCAAATTGAGCCACATTTCCTGAACCAGAAATGGCAACTCTTTTACCCTTGAATGATTCTTTACCATTAGTGGCTCTTTCAATCATCTTTTCAGTATAGTAAACACATCCATAACCAGTAGCTTCTGGTCTAATCAACGAACCACCCCAAGACAAACCTTTACCAGTCAATACACCTGACCAGTTATTTTGCATTTGCTTGTAAGCGCCAAAAAGGAAACCAACTTCTCTTCCACCAACACCAATATCACCAGCTGGAATATCAGTATCTGGACCAATATATCTAGCCAATTGTCTCATAAATGAAACACAAAATCTTCTAATTTCGGAATCAGTTTTACCCTTTGGGTCAAAATCAGATCCACCTTTACCACCACCCATAGACAACCCAGTTAAAGCATTTTTGAAAATTTGTTCAAACCCTAAAAATTTCAAAATTGACAAATTGACAGTGGGGTGGAAACGTAAACCACCCTTGTATGGACCCAAAGCAGAGTTAAATTGTACTCTGTATCCATTATTGACTTGAATTTCACCTTTATCGTTTTCCCAAGTAACTCTAAATTGAATAACTCTTTCAGGAACAGAAACAACTGGAATAACTTTCTTGTATTTTGGTTGTTCAGTGAATAAAGTAGAATCCTGAATAGCAGTAACTAATTCATCATAAGCTTGTTGAAATTCTGGTTCGTGTGGCAAGACCATTTTTAGTAGTAGTAGTAGTAATTAGGAATTGGTAGTAGTAAGTGGGTATATATGTATATCAAGGAAAGACTAGTTCTTGTCTGATGAAGAAAGAAAGAAAGAAAGAATGAAGAATGAAGAATGGACAAAAGAGACTATTGAATGATATTTATATTCTTAGTTGGACAAGTAAAAAACTTTTGATGATGATTCGATTGATTGTGATGAAAAATCATTATGAGTATTGGTTTCTTTTTGTTTGTGTCATTTGGAATGGATTTGTGTAACTTCAAAGGAAGATGCCGAAACTTACAGAACAGGAAAAAAAAGAAACTCAACTCTCAGGTATGTGTGTATGGATGTAATTATGTTATCATCCAATCAAATTGTTTACTGATTATGCACCAGGTAGTATTACATAATATATTACATAATACACCACATAATGCACTCGTTATATTACGATTACTCCTGTATCGGTCTATATAGTCAAACACTACGAAAACAAAATCACAATGACTGGAGTCGTTTTGAAATATTTGGTCCCTCTCTCTCTTAAAGTCTCATTATTGTAATACTTCTCTGATAGGGATGTAATCTGTGTATAAAGCCGTAACGGGGTTCAATTCTATCAAAGAAGAAGAAGATTACGTTGTGATTGGGTGGGGTGGGGTGAGAGAGGGAGTAGATTTATTGTAGAGAGCAGAAGAATGGTGTGCTATAATTAACACACACACACACACTAACACACACACACACACACACTCTCTCTCTCTCTCTGTTTCTCCTCAGCAAATGTATATGACATCCAAGGAGTCAATGTGTCATCACAAGAGTCAAATATTGAATACTATAGTAACCTATAACAATATGAACATATAGCTAGGTAGAGCGAAAGGGTAGTGTACTTGTCATAAATTCATTAGTATGATTTTATGTGCAGGATACACTACCAACGGCAAATTGCGAAAGACAGAAAACAAGTGAACGGTGTTATCCGATCTTTACAAAAAGAAAATACGTTAGTAGTGGATAGCTTTTACTGCATTGATACGACTGTGGAGTAAGTGAAGTCAACAAGAGTCAACTCGACTTGATCTCCTCCCTTTTTCTTTCTCTCCACTTTCGTATGGTGGTGAAGAAACGTACGATGTTAGTATTATTATGTACTCATTCTCTTGTTATATGATTGGCTAGAGATTAAAGAAAAACTAAATAATAATCAATCAAGCCATTCTAAGGTACATCCCACATAGGAGATCATATATTCTTTTGAAGAAGTTAAAAAGGCAAAATAAGCTGGTGATGATTCACTTCCAAGAAAAAAAGAAAAAGAAAAACACACTTTAGCATTGATAGCATATGATATTATTTCATTGCGCATGCTCCCGGTTTCATCCCAAACTTTTTCATTTATCCGTAATCTTCCGTCAATAATCGCTTTTCATACAGTCTTTTTTTTTTTTACTTTAGGTTTGACTCCGAACCCAAACTGCTCCGACGAAAAGAAATGAAAGGCTGATTTCAAACGCTACAGTTTCCGAAATGAATGCAAAGAGTTGGAACCACTGCCGAACGTTTCTATGCATTCGCAAAAGTCTAGTGCTTAGCGAAATTGAAACAAACAATGCACTTGAAGAGCTCAAAGTATTTGATTCTTGACAACGCAGCCATCCATAAACGTCGCGATCTCGAGTTGATGGTAGCCCTGAGTGGAATGGAACCAGTGATCGTGTCTCCGTATCCACCAGGACTAAACGCATTTGAAGAGCTTTGGTCTGTGTGCAAGACTAACGTTTAAACTATCAAATCTACCTGGAAAGGAATAGTTGACACCAAGAGTAGGAGAAGCAACAGCAAATATAGCCTTGGAAAGTTACCAAGACTTCCGTAGACATGCTAACAAGTGTACACAATATCGTATTAAATTGAGATCTTTCTAGAGTACAAATCCTTGTTCCCAAATTAATGAATAGCAGGACAACTACTTTTGACTTGAGAAAATGACTGCAAAAATCCTTTGAGAAATGAAGGCAAAAAGAAATAAAATTGAAATCAGAAAAACTTGCAAGTAAAGTCATAACTTGTTAATATTCAATGTTTCTCATGTTTATACCCTTAATTCAAACATCATCGGGTTTATGAGTCAAGACAAATTGCTCTAATTGCTTCGGGTGGTTATGTGGTATGAACTAATACGTCACGTTGGTATTGAAAATCTACTTCTAACCACCCCCCCCCCCCCACAAATATTCCTCTTCTACTCCTCTTTTATAGGGTTTGTGCAAACATTTAGACCTTGCTTATTCTTATTCGGATATCTCTTTTCCTTAATATGTACTGTGCGAACAAAGCCATGTGTCGCATTAGTAAGAACTAACATATCGCACTAGTTTGAAAAAAAAAACAATAAAATAAAAACTGTATGCACATGAATTAATCTCATTGACAACTTGGAGCTTTCTAGGTTTTTTGGTGCCGTACGAGTACGACAATTGCGGGAGTAATGAAAATATCACGCCATTAATCATGTTGGTTACTTTGTTGAGTAAACCTTAAAAATTGTTGCAAAATGGAAACTTAGATTCACGTGATTTGTGGATACAACACATAATAATATATGTAAGGAGAAGAATTCCCACCTGAAGTTGTAACTAACCGTTGTGTCATATTAAGAACCAACTGACAGCTTTACTCAGAAAGAAAAATTCAACGACTGAGCAGAGAGTACGGTGGACGGAATACACATCATTGTCAGCAAAATATTTACAAAATCATTATAATACAAAATGGCTGAAAAGAAAGATAATGCAAATGAAGAAGAATTGTGGAAATTCAATAGAATAGTGCTTACGATAACTTTGTTAGTCTCGGTGCTTATGAATATAAAACTAGCTTTGTTTATTGCTAGAAATGACAGAACGACATGTCTACAAGATGTTCAACACGGTGGTCAAATACTGACTGCAACTCTGGCACCACATGACAAACGTGAATTGGCTCAAGTGAATTTTATGTCATCCGAAGTTGATGAGTACCTGGATGATATGGACGACGGCAACGAGTTGATTGAATACGTGAACGTTGAACGGCGAAATAAGTGGATATGGACATCTTTAGTAGTTGGCGGGATAATATTGGCAGCAGCAGCAACTCTCACAGCAGCCTGGGCTCCTGCATTGGTAGCTGGGGGGTTGGGTAGAATAATATATTCGCTTGTGGTTGGAGCTAGTGCTATCATGGCTGTAGCAGGTTCGATAGGCTCTACTGTTACTAATGGAAAGAGGGACAGTTACAACAACGATTGGCAACATGGACAATTTATGATGGTTGACGCAACGAATACAAAATACTACTTTTATGATGTATTACAACTTCATGGCAATAGTATTCATGAATTATTAACCAGGTCAACTATTAATCAGTACATGGCTTTTACGACTAACGGGACAGGTAGCGATAATGCAGGAGGGTTATTAGGCTATAGTGATAATGGCACACATTTCATACTAACAGAACAACATTATTCTATAACAGAATTAATAAACGACATAGTTGATCAACACAATGCTGACTGTATAGGAGATTGCTATGTCAACAATTTGAACAACATCCATTTAATGAAAAAAACAAATTATTATCAGGTAAATTGGGCAAGCTATAATTATGATATATGGTCAGAGGAATATCAATCAGAAACAAGGTATCCAGGTTTGAATGGGCAACAAGTAATAGACGGAATAAATCAGGGGTACCTGAGAAATGGAAATCCCGACACTTGGAAGTATTGCATGTGCATAGATGGTGACACTAGTGGGCAATACAATGACATACCAATTAGAATGGGTATGACGGGAGAGGTATACTTCAATACATATGGTGGAATCGATGGTTACTGTAATAACGCGCATTGTGGTGCACAATGTCAAAGCGATGGCTGTACATGAGTTTGTGCAATTATAGACACTCAACAAGGTGTAGTGCCTACAATAGCAAATAATCCAAAACAACAAACTTAAATAAAACAAACATAAAGTAGATACAGTTTTTTTTAATTTGTTTCATACTAGTGCAAAATAAAATTTTCATACTAGCGTGGCATTTATTATTCAAACCATGTGTAGCGTAGCCACAGTAAAGACCTTTAAGTTGGTGTTCTTAGATTAAGGAATATATAGATATAAACTTAGGGGAAATGTATTTACATATAAAGCAAATAGAGAAACTAGATATAGCCCCATTTGCGTTGCGTCGCGTCGCTTTTAAGTTACAACAACGACACGACACTAGGACATAGTTTTTTTTTGTTCCTATGTGATTTTATTTTCTTGCTAGATCAGAACAAATTATAACAAGAAAAGAACTGAACTTTAAGCTCACATTACATACTGACAGATATATAGATGGACTTGGTGATTGCTTTACTTTGGAGTCAGACCTGATGGGTTTGGAAAGAGATACTGCTCCATAGGAGTCTTGATTTTGTTTAGTTACAGTATTTACAATGAAGCATTACTTCCAACTAAAATTGAAGTTGACAACTTACATTCCGACATAGAATGTGATGACATAAATGTAGACATTAGCTCTGAACAGGACGAAACTTGTAAATGTAAGAGGGGTTCATACAGATACTACTCTGAAGCACAGAAGTAAAGATTCTGGCAACTAGTTATTGAACAAGCGTCTTCTGCGTACAAAGTAGCACAAGCATTCAATACCAGTTTGCTAACAGCTTATACTTGGAAAAGGATGTGGAATTGCCAACTCATCCGTGAACTCAATAGTATTTGTGATGAATTCAAAAAGCGTGGTAGTAAACCCTTTTTCATTCTCTGAGGAACACAAAAACTTTCATGAAAGAGTTGGTACGCTCGGACCCTACTGTTACCGTAGACTTCTTGTTAAATAAATTGAGGAGTATATTTGAGGATGTGAAGGCAAATATTTCTACTATTTATAACTTTCTCATCCAAGTTTGTAAGTTCAGTCTCAAGAAGCTTTCTAAATGGGCCATGAGACGGGACCTGTCAGAATTAAAACAATAGAAATTCTAGTGGGCACTTGAAATTAAGGATAAAATTGACCTCGAAAAGAACTATGTTTTCATTGATGAGGCTGGTTTTAACATTAGTATGAGACGAAAATATGGATGGTCAGAAGTAGGTGAAAAGGCTGTCCTCGAAGTTTCTGTCAATGCTACAGTTTCGGAAACTAATGCAAAGAGTTGGAACCACTGCCGAACGTTTCTATGCATTCGCAAAAGTCTAGTGCTTAAGGAAATTGAAACAAACAATGCACTTGAAGAGCTCAAAGTATTTGATTCTTGACAACGCAGCCATCCATAAACGTCGCGATCTCGAGTTGATGGTAGCCCTGAGTGGAATGGAACCAGTGATCGTGTCTCCGTATCCACCAGGACTAAACGCATTTGAAGAGCTTTGGTCTGTGTGCAAGACTAACGTTTAAACTATCAAATCTACCTGGAAAGGAATAGTTGACACCAAGAGTAGGAGAAGCAACAGCAAATATAGCCTTGGAAAGTTACCAAGACTTCCGTAGACATGCTAACAAGTGTACACAATATCGTATTAAATTGAGATCTTTCTAGAGTACAAATCCTTGTTCCCAAATTAATGAATAGCAGGACAACTACTTTTGACTTGAGAAAATGACTGCAAAAATCCTTTGAGAAATGAAGGCAAAAAGAAATAAAATTGAAATCAGAAAAACTTGCAAGTAAAGTCATAACTTGTTAATATTCAATGTTTCTCATGTTTATACCCTTAATTCAAACATCATCGGGTTTTATGAGTCAAGACAAATTGCTCTAATTGTTTTGGGTGGTTATGTGGTATGAACTAATACGTCACGTTGGTATTGAAAATTATGTTGCATTGGTATGAAATAAAAATAAAAAGGACTGTACTGTTTTAGTTTAAAAGAGTACATCGTCGTACAAAGATCTCTCTGGGCTTATGAATCCCAAACAGATGCTCCCCCCTTACGTCTTGAATGCCTTGAAAAAACTCCTGATTAAGACATGTGATATTCACGTGATTATATTGTATCAATATTTACAGCTTTTCTACACACATGCATATATCATTTTCAAAATGCATCATCGGGTATTTCAATTTGATCATTTGGTTCTTTAGGTTCTTGTGCTTCACTCCATTGAGTTACATCATCAATATAACTCAATATATTTTCAACACTTTTGCTATCTTTTGAACAATCCAATGGAAGAAACTGTACCATACCAAAATCATCAATCAATTGAGCTATACTCTTGGTCATTTTCGTGAACTGAGGATTTATTTCATCTTCTTGCTTTGCCAACAAATAAGGATCAGGATTCAAAAATTGTTTCAATTTCCGTTTCGAAACTTCATCTTTAATCAAATCAATCTTGGACAAGATATTAATATGAGGCAATTCCAACAATATCATCGCTGACATGGCACTTAAAGCACCACTGAAAAACTTGGAAGCATCAATAACAAAAGCCGATTCCAATAAATAACAAGCACACAAATTAAAACCTAGACTCAGTTTCAAATGATTAACAATTGTCGGCACCACTGGTATATGCGTATATAATTCAATTTGACCCGGCATATCAAATATAAGATATTCATCATTATAATCACCAATTTCCTCATCTAGCCAATCTAGATTCTGCAACAAGTATTCGAAACAATAAATTAAACCACCGTTGGGACCCAAGTCCAATTCTTCCATTACATCTTGTAAAGAAATTAGATCACGTATATCAATGGTGAATTCAAATTCAGTTGCATCTGCCGCGGGGTCCAAGTTTACAATGTGGGCTCGACGACCTATTGATTGCATATGTGATATTATTGAGTTGCAAAATGTTGATTTGCCTGCTCCTGCTGGTCCCATTACCAATACACCCGTGCGTGACATTTTTTGATACGTGTGTGTGTGTGTGGGTACTTGCCTGTAGCTCTTGATTGAATAAGGAAGTATTTAACGAGACTGTTGCTGTAGGTGTGGTGCTAAAAGTGCAATAATCCAGTGTGATGACCTTGTGAAGATTTGGAAGATGAGAGAAAACAAAAAAAAATTGACAATCAGAATATTGTCGCGACATTTAAGGATTTCCTCGCCCTTAACTTGGAGCATAATTAGTTGCAAATCTTATCAAACCTTGTACACTTGTCGTCTCTAATATGTAGTAAAATACTCTTTATCCGGTACATATATATATATATATATATATATACCACTAATAGCACCCAATAAATACAAATCACCCCGTTTAGTAGCCCTACTTTGTCTTTCGACACCAACAATCATCATAATCATTCTCAACTTGAATCATTACATCATCACTAAACAACCCATTACCACCACTACCACCACTACCACCACTATTACCACTACCATCGTCATGAAATAATCGTTCAATTTGTTTCTTGATATACCAACTATTCTCACCCCGGTAGATCTGTACATGTACATATCCATTGATTTTGGCACCACCACTAGGCCAAAACCTCGGTGTTGTGATTGATTTAACTCCCTTGATGTGGGAAACTTCATGCAATGTGTGTCGTATTATTGATTCTTGATGTGGTTGTATTTTTAGCAATAAGCTAGATGACGTGGATTTGATCAATGGGATAGCCGATGCGAGAATTAAGAGGGCGATAATGAATGACGCAATGGGGTCGAATCCTTGCCAGTGGAACCATTTGGTCAAGACGGTGGAGATTACTACTCCTACTGATCCGAGTGCATCAGCTAGTATGTGAAGGAAAATACCTCTCATGTTGTCATTAACGGCATCGTTTCCATTTGTGGAGTGAATAGTAGATGAGTGAGTATGCAGATGCAGATGCAGATGCAGTGCGGCATGTTGTGGACTCGCATGGCTATGACTATGTCCATGACTATGTCCGTGACTATGCCCGTGCCCATGATTGAAAGCAAAAACACCAACAAGATTAACCAACAACCCCAATACCGAAACCACAATCAACTCATTAGTCCGTTGTAAATTCACAGGGTTGATCAATCTCCCCACAGCTTCAAACATGATGGATCCACTAATACCTATCAACAACGTAGCATTGGTAAAACCCGCCAAATTTTCCAAATGGAACCAACCTAATGGGAAATTCAGAGCATTATCAATATCGCGTTTCGATAAAACACCAGCAACGAGACCCAATGCTAACGATAAACAATCTAGTAACATGTGTAATGAGTCCGATAAAAGACCTAATGATTTCGATCTGAATGAATAAAGAAATTGGATAATCATGAAACTGGCATTGAGGAGTAAGAAATTGAATATTGCTCTGGTATCTTGATGTTTCACCACTTGTGATAAAATTGACGAAGAAGAAGAAGAAGAAGAAGAAGATGATGATGATGATGTAGCAGTGGTTGTCACATTGATGTTGTCGTTGGTCCCATTTCGAAGCAGTTTGTATCGCTGACTTGTTTTTAACCCAGGTATAATCAACACCGTCAACACCATCTCACCTAAACAAGACCAAAACTTAAATTGTTGAAACACAAGATACTTCAACACACTACCAACCAAACTCAATCCCATAAAGAACAAAACTTGCACTTGTAGTGCATCCTCATTGTTGTTGGTACCAGTGTAAGTAGGAAACTCTTGAAACGTAACAAGACTAATAACAACTGTAATCAAATTGACTGTCATCATACTAAAACTAACTACCTTGCTCAACCACAACCAAATTATCCCACCCGCAACAGTTGTCAATATAACCACTTTTCGGTTTAGACCGATTTTGATACTATTGGCTTTCCGCAACATTGTACACGCGACGCCAATCAATGCATACCCCAACACAATCAAAATTTTGGACTCTTCTTGATCTGAGTTGTTGGGTGAGCTCGTGTGCAATACTAATAGGTCTAGAAACAACATTATTGGAGTATAGATATTGAACGAATTTAAGTAAAGACCAAATATAATCATACTGCATCGATCAAAGGGGAGGAAAATGGTGGATAGTAGTGCAAATATGATTGACAAGTAAATCGTCACCGTATTAGTCCTCGACTCTGTTTCCTTCGAGATGGTCTCATTGTCATGTGGAACAATCTTCATCCATTGAGCAATGAAGATCAACAATAATATAGCCAGACTTGATGCCAATGCCGCAGCAACCTGCAGCGATAGCAGAGGTGCATTAACAATACCATCTTCGATAGATTTACTGGCTGCTATTGTTGTTGTTGCTGTTGTTGCTGTCGTTGTTAGGATCAAGCCTTGTGATATCAATACTATAGGATAAGCAATCAATAGCGGTAGCGATGTAGTTAAAAGCAGAGCTATTGATGACGTAGTCGATGATAGCGATGAAGCTAGGTTGAGTGTTGGTGTGAGTTTTGAGTATGGCAGATTGAGGTTGTACGGTACTTCTGTTTGTTCCATTATATATATATATGTATGTATATGTTCTTGTGTTGATAGAATTGTGAATGAAAGTGACGTAGATGTGAGAATAAGTGTGTTCTTGTTTAAATCTCTGTACAACCACTTTAGCTTCCTGTTCTCTTTTTGGTTTTGTTGTTGAAATTTTGTGCTCGTTGACGCGTGCTTACTTGAAACAACAACGACACTTTAACCACACAACAATCAACCATTGGTTTCAACCACTGACTACTTTCCTCAATGTTTAAAAGGTGTGTACTCTATTATCTATAAACTCTATCTTTAATCTTAAATAGGCTCTTGTCATTTTTTTTGTTGATCCTCATTCATTTTTCATCTTGCAGTCATTAAACCTCACCATTACTACTTACAACCATCATTCCTCTCTCTTTTCTTATTGAACGGTAAATTGTTCAACATCAAACTTCTTTGGTGAAATACCCATATTACCAATAAACTTGACAGCGTCTTTTCTCATTTTTTCCTTTGTATCATCATCCCATTGCAATTCTTTGGACATAATTTCAACGACTCCATCGACGGCAGAAAGTGCTTCTCTAGCATTCAAGAATGCCAATCTGGTTCTTCTAGAAAGGAAGTCTACTGGTGTTCTTGGGTACTCGTATTTCAAAGAATACAACAATTCAGCAATAGTAAAAGGTTCATCAAATGATTGATAACTCAATTGATTCTCAGGTGATGCTTCAACTATACTAGGAATAAATTCTTTATTGGCTGCCAATGTGATTGGCAACTTGTTGTAGTCACTAGCGGCATACAAGTCCAAAATCATGGCCGAACGTGATCCATAATTGTGAGACAAATGTTTGGCCAATTTCAATGGAATCTTGTATTCGTGAATCAATCTGGCGGAATAGTTCTTCGAGTAGTCATCACCACCAATTAATATCAATTCATTAGTTTGACATGGTTTGATATTTTTTCCGGCAAAATCAAAATGATTAACAACGTAATCAATGGTTTCTTGAGCCATTTCTCTATACGTGGTCCATTTACCACCGGAAATGGTCACTAATCCAGATGACGATTCAATCAACAAGTGCGACCTAACTAATCCTTCAGTTGATCCAGAATCTTCTTGTCCCTTTGGAATTGTGCTTGGGTCTCTAACCAATGGTCTAATACCTGACCAAGCTGACAATACATCAGTTCTTTCAATTGGGAAAACCAAGTATTTTTGCATTTCATTGATGATATCTTGAATATCGTGCTCAGTGGGGATGGGGTTTTCAGGAACAAATTTTTCAGGCGTGTCAGTAGTACCGGCAAGCACCTTACCTTGCCATGGCAAGAAGAACATAACTCTACCATCAGCAGTTGAAGGATCTAATAAACCGATATTTTGTGGACAATAGTATTCTGGTAAAACAATGTGGACACCACTTGAAGGAACAACCATTCTTGGCTTTTGAGGAGTCTTTGGTGGTAATCCTTGTGGATCTTCATCCATTTCCAAAATATTATCAGCAAAAGGACCAGTAGCATTAACAATTGAAGTTGCCTTCAATTCGTATTGTTTATTGGTTTCCAAATCAGTGGCTTTAACACCGTATAATTTACCCTTGTCGTCTTTCAATAATTGGTCAACATTGAAATAGTTTAAAACTGTAGCTCCATGTTCAATAGCAGTAATGGCCAAAGTAGCATTCATTCTGGTATCGTTAAAAGAACCATCATGGTAAACACAGGCAGCTTTCAAGTTCGATACATCCATCATTGGGGCAATAGCGGCAGCTTGCTCTTTACTGAAAATTGTAGAGTTTCTCAAATTTTGTTTTCCGGCAAACCAATCATACATTTTACAACCAGCAAAGAAATAAGGAACTTGCCAATAGTTGTAAACTGGAATCATAATTGGCAAAACTGAACACAAGTGAGGAGCAGTTCTCAACATATTACCTCTTTCATTTAAAGCTTCAATAACCAAATCCAATTGTGCTTTTGATAATTGAAAAATTGCCTTTTCCAAATACCTAACACCACCATGAGCCATCTTTGTTGATTTGGATGAAGTACCGGATCCAAAGTCGGTCTTTTCCAATAAACATACATTCAATCCACGAGTAGCGGCATCAACAGCACATCCTGATCCAACAGCTCCACCACCAATGATCAAAACATCAAACTTCTTTTCCGGAGTTAGTCTTGAAACTAATTCTTCACGTGTTGGTGGAGGGGCGTAATCCTTTTTCAATGGTTTATAAGACGTAGCAATCTGTGCTGGTTTCTTTGGTTGAATAAAGTCCAAATAAATGATGGTACCTCCAGCAGCTGCACCCAAAGCTAAGGATGCTTTACCCACTGCTGACTTGAAAAATCTCGACATAGTGGAGAAAGGGTGAGTAAATGAATATATAGTGGTGTTGAAACTCCCTAGTGATCTAAATGAGAAGAAAGAAGTGAGTTTATATTTATGTGATTTGTTTTATTGTTGTCGTTAATTTTGACGCTGTGAAAATTTGGCTCTTCTGGAAAAAAGGATCTTTTTGCGTCAGGTCTCGATGTTGCTTTTCTTTTGCTTTTTCTTTTTTTGCTATTTTTTCAGCGTTTAATTTTTCCGAGGATGTTCTTATTTAGCAAAATTTAAAGTTAGTCACCTGCTGAAGTAAATGGAGGAAAGAAATGCAAAAAGGAAAAGAAGAGTGTTTTTTTTTCATAAAAATATGGCGCTTTTGAAAGATATTTAAATTAAACAGAATACAAATGATTGGACGCTTTTATTGTTGTCGAAGTTAGAAAACGGAAAATGGAACAAGAGACAATAACAATATAGTAAAGTACACGTTTGAACTAAAAAAGAATACCGAAAATGAGATTATATTTTGTGTCACCAACAACGGACAATCGCAATTCGAACAAATAAATATAGCAAACAAATTTACTATTTTAAACCATTGTACATGTGTACAGAAAAACAGTTTTTTGATCTTCGAATTCTACCGAGATCAGAAAACGATCGAAATGAGGCTTTATGATTCACCCTTCTTTTCTTTTTGGTCAATGAGCTTATATACTTGTAGAATAATGTTGCATTCCACGTGCGTGAAAACTCTCCGATCAAGAAGCAAAAAAAAAAAAAATAAAAATCTTTTTTCTCTTCCCCACCCTCGGCATTGGAGAAACAAATGGTTCTAGACAGGGCGAACCAATGCAAATACACAAAAATGAAAGCGGTATAGGGCACCACTCGCTCCAGAAGAATGATGAATCGAATCAACACTTTGTATAAGAAAACAAAATAGGCAAGGTAGTGGGTTTGAGTGATGCCAAAATTACGTCAGGGAGATATAATCAATGTAATCGTAATATAAGACGATAATCATTGAAACAGAAGTGGAAATTTCAAATTTGCAATATCTCGATTGTTGCTGCTGCATATTGTCGTGTGTGTGCGTGTCTGAGGCAGTGTGGTCATTTCAAAAGTTGTACTAAATACACACCAACGACAACGAAACCAATGACAACAACAACGGAGTTTCTACTGTACGTTTGACTTGAAAAAGAAACGACTGAAACATCTTCATTGACTTGTTACTTGTTGGTAGCGACGCCAGTCTCGTTGGAAAACTACTCGAAGAAGAAGCAGGTGTAATTGATTTCATCTTGTTAATTGTTCTCACCTTTGACGGGGACTGATTTCTCAATTCCCAAAGCCATTCCGTTTTTGATGCCAACTAGTTTGGGATCTTAGTTGGTTGTAAAAATGTTGCCCGCGCTAGAAGCGTGTTTTTTTTTTTCTTTTTTTGATTCTCGATCTCTCGTTGAAAGCTTCGGAGAGATTTATGGAGAGATGATGTTTTAGAGGAGTAACAAAAAGAGTAAAACAGATGTACCTTTGGAACATCTGACATTTACTCTCACCTACTAAATGTACCTCAAATTTTGCGTTCCACAAACAATTTTTCTCTTTTCAAGTCGGTAAAAATTATATCACGAATAAACGTTGGAAGCTTAACGACCTATCAAAACACGACGATAATGGGCAATTTGGCACGTTTTGTGACTTTGCCCCAGGTTTTTTTTTTCTCTTGCCCTTCCCTTTTATTGTGTGGGTGGGTATATCGATGGTTTATTGTAAAAACGTTGGATGTGTACTGCATGTAGATTAGTTTGTGTCATAAAAAGCTTATTCCCTATTGCTGTCTAAATTACGTGTGATAAACCGTTATTTAGCCGAGGTTAAAGTACTTCGTTTCTTTCTTTTTAAAAAACACTTCAACGGCTAAGACCGAACTCAAAGAGTTGCAAGTAAAGCACTTTTCGTCAAATGTTCGATTGGAACCCCGGAGAATTGGTGCATTTGATTTTTTAGCGCCAGGATATATAGCATGTGCAATCCGTTATAGAACAAAATGAAAGTTAAAAACAAATGATGGAGCTGTCACAGAAGAAAAGGTCGCAAAGTAGCCGCTTTCATGGACAGGATTACGCTTTAGCACTTGATATCCTTTTCTAAGTTTATGTAATTTTGCACAAATTTTGCAACAACGAAAAACAATCAGAAGGAAGAACAACTATAAACGCAATGTCATAGTGCAATCACATTGACAATTGCTTTTATTGAGCTTGACAGTCCGACAACTCTATCAACACTAACTCTTCATGACGCATCAAGTTTACTCGAACTCGCCTCCTGTTACAAGTGTTTTAACAAGGTAGTAATATTTTTGACCAAAAGTACACGTCACTTTGGTAACCAACAAAATTTCCAAGCCCCCCGGTTTTCTAAAACAGTCTCAATCAATATATTCTACCAATTCATTCACTCCTTTACAATCTTTCCCGAATGCCAAGCTCAGACAATCAAGAGGCTTTTGAACAGTTCAAGATAATTGCAGGCTTGGGATCAGATGATTCTTCCAGTGATGTTGACGACAAAATCAATCGTCTACTAACTATTCATGATCACGATTTAAACAATGCAATCTTGACATACTTGGAATCAGGTTTTGAAACAGTTGAATCAGCTCAAGTAAATACACAAAACGATACTGGCACTAGTTCAGCGATAGATCCTAGAGAGATTGAAGGTAATGGGACTGGCACTGGAGGTGGCGAGAATGACGATGACGATGGAGGCATAGGTGAACTAATACATCGGTCAGCATCGACAAGGACCAGAGGTGATTACGTCAATCTTCAAAGTCAAATGTTTCTTAACTCGCTTACGCCTCGATTGCCTAAAGCGCCCCAAATTTCCACTCGCTGGCAATTAGATGTGGGAATTTATAGTTCCCTTATTCATGAGCGAGAGGAGAAACAGAAACGCGAATTGGCGGGAGAGAAGAAATGGCAAGCTAATGAGAGTGTGATTGAACATAGTCGTGAAATAGATAGTGACACGTCAAGCACTAGACTGAGTGCAGCCGCACGCAGCAATACTTCGATTTTGAATACACTATGGTTCATTTTGTTGATTATACCCAAAAACATTCTTCTGGTGATCATAAACTCCATAAAGTTCTTTTTTGGCTTTGGATGGGGTGGAGATGATGAGGGTGACAACAATTTCAAGCTCAATAGACTGTATGATTTCGAAAAGTTTCATCCTGATTATTCATATTTGTCAACCCTAAAGGAAAAACAGGAGCTGGAGGATGAAACCAATTCCATAGACATGTACGATATAGTGGAATCAGGTTTCAACGAGTTGCACTCACACTGTCAAAGGGAATATGACTGGTTGTTGGTGGTTTTGACCAATGATTTACCAGAAACGACAAAGTTTATGAAGAAACTACTCAGAAATTCCCACTTTAAAAAATCATTCAACAAGAACAACGGTAATTTCAAGTCTACAAAGATGTATTTCGCCAACGTTGATCATTCACCAGAAGCATGGGAAATTGGTCAAACTTATAAAATCAAAAGGACGCCATATGTAATGCTTGTGGCTAATGTGTCTCCAAGCCCTGATATCATGGCATCAATGTCAATAGTCTACAAATCCAATTTGTCCAAACAATTCATTATGGATGATGAATTGAGTATAACTGTACTGAAAATTGCCAAGTATTTAGTCAAGAATATTGACAAGTACAATCCACAATTAGTAGCTGCTAAATACGACAAACAAGAGACCGATTTCAGTCGATTAATTAGACAACAACAAGATGATGCATACACGCAATCACTACTTAAAGACAAATTGAAGAAACAAAAACGAGATGAAGAGTTGCGATTGAAGGAAGAGACAGAGAGTCTTGTCAAATTAAGACGGTGGTTTCTTTTAAATTTGATCAAAGATAATCATATTGAAGGTTTAACTGATCCTGATGACTCTCTACGTGTGGCAGTTAAACTCCCCAGTGGTAAACGTCTAATTGAACAGTTCAACAAGTCAATCACAATCCTTCAATTCTTTATCTATATCGAACTCAAGCTATTCATTGAAGAAACAACACTGGAATTGAACCATGCAAATGACAACTGGTTGCAAGATGAAGCAACTATTGATGAATTGATTGGTGAATTGAATCTGGATTTATCTGACGAGCACAAGTGTCGATTCCAAGATGTACATCATTATTACCTGGTGAATCCATTCAAGTTTGAAGTTGTACAGCCGTATCCTAAAAAGGTTATCGCGTGTGATTCAGAATTGACTATTGGAGAAGTGCCTGAATTCAAGGGTGCAAACTTCCTTGTTGAATATATAGTTGAAGAAGAAGATGACGATGATGAGGATGAGGAGGGTTGAAAAGTGCTATTGGTAAATCTTTTTCAAATACATATTACTTCTGGATCGTTGCGAGGAATGCACAATTCTCTGTACGTAATAATATTTGTAATTTGATACATAGCCTCCTCTCCAAACTTCGCAAGAGGTTCTACACGCCTTCACTTCTTTAATTGATAACTGTCATGACTAGACAATCTCTCAGATGCCCATACGGCTCATACAAAAGGGTTGATATTTCTACAACTTCGATTTCGAGCTTTTACAATAGATAGAGCACTTGAACAAAACTTATTACAAAATAAAAGACCATATAAAACTTGAAAAAATCTGTGTAGTTAGTACCATCCGGCGCATGACTTCTGCCCGTATTTGCCGAAGAACAACGTCAATTACACAGAATAGTGGTAGATTTGAGAACAATCGATGCTGGAACGGTTAAACAACTGTGCCACTACAGCGAAGTTGGATTAGACTTCCAGATCGAAATCAGCTTGTAATTTTCTTGATTTTGCAAACATAACAAAAGGCCGACACTCTCCATACATTTCCATCAGATAAGGAATCTTGATGAACACGCTGAATGAAAAGCAGTCATCAAGAAAACCCAAGTATTGTCGCAAGTTAGATGCCAAGTGAAGGTATACACGCGAAGGGGTTACCGCCACTCAGAATGGTATCACCAAACACACATGTGCTCTTCACTTCGAAACAAAATGGGGCCGCCGAACGAGCCATATGAACCGTTGAAGACGAAGTCAGTACAACTCTGATTGACTCCCAATTGTACGCTCGATTCGGACCCTTCAACATAATCATTGCCGGATTTGATTTCAGCAATCTTGTAGGTCAAGTTGTTGCTAAATAGTATAGCGTGGCGGTATTCCATTGTTAAAACAGTTCATATTCCTTTCAGTAACCTACCGTGCCACGTGAGCCCAAGGAATTCATTAAAAGTTACCTTGACAACAATATTGACGTGGTGCACGCCATATCTTTTAGAAGCCTCATGCATGCTCTCATGGCCGTTCCTTTGTTTCCTGAAGCATTTGTTTATCAAACTAAAAGGAAAAAGGAACCATTCATTGATATATTTTCATCGTCAGCTGATAAACGCAATGATGAAAGCATCTTATCAACAGACGTAAATCAAAATCGCATGAAAGCAAAGCATTGAAAAGTTCGTCGTTAGCATCACACAATACAAATCAAGTGAAAGTAACCAAAGAAAAATACATCATGAAAATATCATCGAATAGCGAAACGAAACGAAATGGTTTGCTTCTTTGTTGGCATTCTTCTATGCCAATTGTCCAGTAACAACAATAATGATCCACTGTCGTGATGTTCATTCCGTGTCATTTATGTGTATGTTGCGACATTTAATACGGAAAGAGTGAAAAAGAAAAAAACTGAAATCCATCCAAAAACCATCGAAAGCGTCTCCTAATCATCTCATCAACTCCACCAACACATTCCTCTTCTATTTCCAATGGTACAAATAAGTGAAGTTACCGATAAAACTACCTCCTTACCAGTTTCTTCAGCTAAAGAAAATAGAACTGCCGCCCATACTCACATCAAGGGACTCGGCCTAAATGAATATGGCACTGCCAAACCCATTGAGGGTGGTTTCGTTGGTCAACAAGATGCACGTGAAGCATGTGGTATAATTGTTGATTTAATCAAGAGTAAGAAAATGTCTGGGAAAGCAGTTTTGATTGCTGGTCCACCTGCAACTGGTAAAACAGCATTGGCATTGGCGGTATCACAAGAATTGGGTCCAAAAGTTCCCTTTTGTCCCATTGTTGGACTGGAGTTGTACTCAGCTGAAGTGAAAAAAACTAGTGCATTGATGGAAAATTTCCGAAAGGCAATTGGATTGAGGATCAAGGAAACTAAAGAAGTTTATGAAGGTGAAGTTATTGAATTGACACCAGAAGAAGCAGAGAACCCATTGGGCGGATATGGTAAAACTATAAGTCACGTTATAGTTGGATTGAAAACAGCCAAGGGAACGAAAAACTTGCGTTTGGATCCAAGCATCTATGAATCCCTACAAAAGGAGCGTGTTGCTGTTGGTGATGTCATTTATATTGAATCAAACACTGGTGCTGTTAAACGTGTGGGAAGATCGGATGCATATGCTACTGAATTTGATTTAGAAGCTGAAGAATATGTCCCACTCCCAAAAGGAGAAGTACACAAGAAGAAGGAAATCGTTCAAGATGTCACATTGCATGACTTGGATGTAGCAAATGCCAGACCCCAAGGTGGTCAAGATGTATTGAGTATGATGGGTCAATTATTGAAGCCCAAAAAGACTGAAATAACTGACAAGTTACGCAGCGAAGTTAACAAAGTTGTTTCAAAATATATTGATCAAGGTGTAGCTGAATTAATTCCCGGGGTGTTGTTTATTGATGAGGTGAATATGTTGGATTTGGAAATTTTCACCTACTTGAATAAAGCCTTGGAGAGTAATATTGCCCCTATTGTCATCTTGGCATCAAATAGAGGATTAACTACGGTTAAAGGATCAGATGATTTATCAATTAAAGCACCTCATGGATGTCCACCAGATCTCATTGATCGATTATTGATTGTTAGAACTTTACCTTATAATCAAGATGAGATCAAGACAATCATTACCAAGAGGGCCAATTTGGAAAATTTGACCTTGAGTGAAGAGGCAATCAATAAATTGAGTCATGATGGGGTACAAACTTCATTGAGGTATGCTTTGCAACTATTGACCCCAGCTGGTATATTGAGCTCTATTGCTGGTCGTTCAACTGTTGAATTACAAGACGTTGAAGAGTGTGAATTGTTGTTTTTGGATTCAAGGAGATCAACGAAAGTGTTGAACGAATCAAAAACCTTTCTTTGAGAGAGTGTGTACTTTGTAATAGATTAACCTCTCTACTTATTTACTCTAATTGTTTAGCTCTTACTCAATTGTTCACATTCTTTCAAAAACTCAGTCGCTGAAAGAATATCAGTACTTCCATAAATGACATTGAATCTACCCTTTTCACCAACACCGGCACCACCACCACCACCAACTCCGACACCTCCACTGATTCCAGCACCACCGTTTCTATTTGCCTCACCGTCTCCATGTTGACCACTCCATTCAGTCAAGTTAACATACTCCAAGTAATTACCACCACCAACAACGAAAACAATCAGATCACTATACGATTGTCTCTTTGGTGGTTTTGAGTGTCCACCACCTCTTGATTTTGGATCAAAATATAAATACTCATCAGTCAAGTTGATTGATTGTTGAGTGGAATTTGTTGGATCCATAATCGCCTCAACAATCTTGGTAATTGGAAGCAAATTTCGTTCGGGAATGAAATTTTTAATCTTTGAAGCAATTGAGCTCAAACCTTCAGAAATACGACCTTCCGTCAATCCATAAAGTTTTGATGATAATCCACTGAGTAAAGCAGATGAAGTCTGTGCATTGGACGATGAAGATGACAACCCCCCACTGCCACTATGATTGCTACTATATGAGTCAGATAAGTTGGATAAATTGGCAATTTTCAGATGTTCTTTAAATTTAAGGATATAGTCAAATGCCGACATGTCCAAATTAGGATAATGTTGAAGCAAAATCGACTTGACTTTGGAAATATAGTCCGAGGATAGATGATCACTGACAAGAGTCAAAATGATCAATGTACGTAACTTGTCCAAGGATGTGTCTTGCTTGGCATCATCGTTATTCAACAAATCCATAAACTCTTTTAAGATCTTGGTATCGTTGTGATTACCTCCAGCATTTTGTTCAATTTCAAAATACGTATCCAAATTCTTGGCTTGTAATTCATTGATCAAGTTGGATAAAATATCCATATGCATATCCAATGTTGCTTTTCTTGCGGTCAACTCTGGCAATTTTTCAACTGCTTGTTGAATATTTGCGGTTGAGCTCGTTGAATTTTGGTCAATATCATCCAATGATGTTATTCCCGTCTTGTTGGTAATTTCTTTAGCCTCTTGTTTATAAGCATTCAATTCAACGTCGGCATTTTCAACGACATCAGGGAACGGCAATTGGGCATATTTGGTCCAAAAAAAATCACGAGGATCAATATCATAATTCTTGACCGTTTCTGATTCAACTCCATTCTTATCCTTGGCTATCTTGCGCAACTTGATCGTATTTCTCTTTAACAGGTAAACATCGCTCACCATACATTGATAGATCCATGAATGAGCAAACATTGAAGCTAAATCGAAATTTCTATCCAATAAAATAAGAACTGGTCGTTGTGTCAATGCAGCGTTGTGTTCATTACCCAACAGTTTGGCGTTACTCAAGTATTCTCGCAACTTTAAATCGAGTTCTTGAGCTACAAACTCAGCAGGTCCGTGTTGTTGTGCACGTATTATAGGAACAACATCCAAGCTTATAAATAAGGATAACAATCCATCAGCAATGGTACCCACCAAATCATGAATTGTTTCCTCTTTTGTTTGCGATGTGTTGAAAGTTGTAAAAATGTTGTTCAAATTCAATGAAAATAAATTGGGTTCGGTAACCACAAAATCTAAATACTGATCCCAAACTTGCTTTATTCTTGATGCTTTACCCAGTAAAGCCACTTGTTTGGCGAAATCCTCCAACAAGTCACGAGGTAAATGGGAAGTGAAATTGATGTAATAAGTGTCATACTTATCGTCATTCAAATCGTGAATTATGGTACTAATGTTTTCTTTAGTAGGTTCAACAAAGTAAATGACTGGCACATCAGGTAATTTCGATCGTTGTTGATTAATCAATGAATGAACCGTGATACCACATCGTAACAAATCATTGACTCGCAAAACTGACGACAAGATGTTTCGTGATTTTTGATCAAGGACTAGTACTTTCCAAATGATTTCTTCTGATTTGGAAGCTAACGTCAAGTCTGCTGAACCTTCCTTGTTCAAATGGAGCATTCGCTCTAGAATCGCAATTTGACGATTCCTTAGACTGGGTAAAACTTGCAATGACATGGGAAGAGGGTGGCCCTTAATACAGTTTAAAGCAGTAGTGGTTTTGATGGATGAAAGTGTTGCTGTATCAAAGGGGTTGCCTGTGTTGCAAATTAAGCTTGGGTGATAGTAATACGTGTTTTGTTGGTTGTCAAAAGAGCAAAAGAGAGAAAAAAAAAAAAATTTAAGAATGAAATACCTCGACTTCCTAAAGGGGAAATATACTTACACACAAACATTGTTACATTCAAGAGTTATTTTATCGTGGGTCATCTCCTTCACAATTATACCTTACAAACACATGCAAAGCATATAGAATCACTCTACTACGAGTAAACACATTGTACGAAATTGATACACTATAAACACTATAAATACACGACGTTTGCAAACGTCAAAGAATAAAACTCTAAAATCATGAAAAAACCGATCCAGTCTCAAACGAAAGGTTGATCAACATTGTAGAAATGAAAAAAATTGAATGTATAAGTTAATTTTTAAACCACTTCACCTTACCTGTACTCATACTCTTAGAGTTACTCTACTGAGACCTGTACTCGACTATTCCTCTCAACACTTTGATTCTACCATAAATCTCATGCTCAATGGTATTTTCATCTTCCTTTTGATCCTTGGGTTTGTTCTTGTGCTCTGTTCCTGGTTTGGGCCATACACAGTTCAATCCTAATCGACCACACTCGGTGCACTTGGGTCTCGACTCACAACATCTCTTTTTACGTTGACGGCATGTGAGACATCCCATACGTGATCTCCTTGTAACCAGCTTCGACGAACTGGCACTCAGTGGGGCCGAAGATGTAGACGAAGGAACGTTGGAGTTTTGTTGTTGGTACGGATGAGGAATTGAGTTTGGTTGTACCATAGAAGGAACTGTGCTGCTTGGGTTACCATATGGATGATACTCTGCTGGTGCATTCTTCTTAGCTCCAGGTTTTCTCCCAGGCTTTTTCTTTTGTCGTACAGATTTATCTTCCTCGTTTTGAGCTTGTGGTGGTTGTGGTTGTGGTGGATAATACTGTTGATTAGGGTTGGGGGGGGTACGGTGCCCATTGATGAGGTTGTGGCGGTGGTGGTTGTTGACCTTGTCTTTGAGGATCTACATGGGGGCCATGTTGAAAGTTGGGATCTTGAACTGGGTAGGGTTGACCAGGAGGTGCCATCATCCCTTGGTAAGGTGGTTGCTGAGTCCGTTGTTGTTGTTGAGGCTGTTGTTGTTGAGGCTGCTGTTGTTGATGCTGCTGTTGTTGAGGCTGTTGTTGTTGTTGACTTGGATGGAATATATCTTGTGAAAGATAAGCTGGTTGTGGAGGGTACTGATGATAAACTGGTGCTTGTGGTCCATGTTGAAGCTCACTTTTAAATTGTTGTTGTCCCTGTTGCAACCTTTCTGAATCTGTTGAATTACTTGTGGTTGGGACATACGATGCCGATGGGTTTCTTTCTTGCAAATGCGAATATGCATGGGTGCCTGCACCACCATTCACACTTGCAGTGGGATAGGGATAACTGGTACCAGCAACTCGGGGAGTTTCGTTGTAATGGGATGGAGACGACTGGGGCTGGCCGTGTTGTGGTTGCTGCTCATGTTGATGTTGTTGCTGTTGCTGTTTTTGCAGACGGCGTTGCCGCGCTGGTTGACTTTGTTTCTTGCTTATCGATGCAGTACTCATGTTTTGTAATAAACGTTAAAAATAATAAAAATCACAAATGCAGGGATCCCTCCAAAAAAAAAGTATATAATCAAATGTGCAACTGCTGCTGAAAAAAAAAATAAAAGTAAGGTTTTTGGATGACTTTTTTGTAATTTGCTAGCAAATAACCTTTGTAAAATTCAATGGTTCCCTGGGTTGAAAATAAAGTTTAGACTGAGTATACTTGAAATTTCTTCTAGTCGAAGCTCCGATCTGAAAAACTGTAATTGAAATTCTACCTCGACAAAGCACTTGTAGGTGATGGTTACAACTGTGTGCTATACTTCCTGATCTGCTGGTAAATGTGGGGGTTGTGGCAAATTAGTTTTTCCCGTGAATGTCTTATTCACTGATTCACTGGCGTTACTCTTAAACCCTAAAGAGATATCTTATACAAAAGGAAAATGATTGTTGTAGTATTGACTCCCGCTTATCTTTGTTTAAAGTTTCAAACAAAAGAAAGGAAAAAAAAATAATAAACTTTCATATGATATATCCTCCATACGTCTTTAATTGAAATATTTATATTTTGAAAGAATGCTTGGAAGGTTTCACTCTTGTTCTCTTTTTTTTTTTTTTGTATTTCATTGCTTTTAACAATGGGAAATGAAGGGCAATTGTTGTTTTTCATTTATGATTTCTTTGTCTTTGTGATGGGAACTAAAAGAATGTATTTTTACTTAATCTGGATGATTAGTATATTCTTAGTATTCTTTGTGGAAATGCAAAGTGACTTATTAATATTACTCCCCTTCTTTGCTTTTATTACATTGTTAGTTAATAGTTTGTTTGTTTATGTACAATGGTTAAAATTAGAATTCCCTTAGTTCAATACAGATGTCAATGTGTAACAAAGTCACCAAAATAATCCTGCGAGACGCCTTTTGTCGTGCTAGACGGCAAAAATATAGAATTTCATACTTTCTTGTGTTCTTACAGTCAGCTTTGTGTAGTGAGATCCATGAATTGGAATCTATATCTTCTAGATCGCGTGGGCAGAATGTGCCTAGAACGATCGGCATTGCAACACTTCGAGGAAATTTGTCATATCCGGTGAATGCTTGAATAGGAGTGGACTCATACTCAGGATGTGCATTTGCTACTACTATCTTGTTGTCACTGCAGCAGTTTTTGCGATGGAACTGACAATTTCATCTTATTAGGAGCGAGTCATAAGAAGGAAAGCACGCGTTGCCAGTCAGCATATTTGTTCATTACTAGTACTTATTTAACAAGGATAACTCAGTGGTGATTAACCTCGTGAGGAAATCATGTATACTTTAAAGTTGTTACAAAGCTTTACTTTCGTTAGACAATCAGAACTGTTTTAGTCTTTGTCAGTACTCAATGCGAAAAGCTGACTGGTAGGTCTACGCCTACCTATGCGTCCCATATTCTAGATATTTGTACCTCACGTCCCTCTCCCTCCCCCCATTCTTCAAAAGTTCTTGGTAGTAAAATAAAATCTGTTATAAAAACCAAATACACTTTGTCCTGTCCATTCAAAATATAGTCTTATTGGGCACAGGTGTGAATAATTGAGTCCACGTGAATAATAACATGGCAAGCACAAGTTCACTGAGGGGTACCGATGGCATCAATTACTTTTCTCAAGTCAGATAACACTAGTTTACGTATCCACGATTTGGTGCTCTCTTGCAGTTGTTAAGGAAATTTCTCTAGTTAAGTTTTTTGGGGTTTTATTTCTCAAAAACCCAGTTAAACTATAATATGTTAATTCTTTTTGTTAGTAGTGCATAAAGACTAAAAATTGGCTGTGGAAGTGACGAAAATAATAAATCCTGCATAAAGTCATACATCATACATTGTGCATAAACTAAACACAAAAATTTAAGAAATTGATTTTTAGCCACTGTACACACACCTAAAATTGCCACAATCTTTAAACGCTGATGATACATTTTCCAACTCAATATACCACCACTAGAGCAGTTACATAATTTAATTGGGGCTATCTTGTTTCAAGCGTTAACAGTGCTAGCACAATTAATAAACTCTTTACTCCCCAACTCGCACAGTCATTCCCATATGCAGTAAGCACTAAGATTAAGAAAAATAGCCTTTAAAACTAAGTTTTAGGTACTTCCTTCCTCTTTGTGCAAAGATACATAACCCTTGTGCGTAACAAAATATCTAAATTACTGATACAATATATATATACATGCAAGTATTCCATAAACAAACGCCCTTTGTTGTTTCTCCTCCTTGTCCACATCAACTAACCTTTTGTTCTCGAATCTGAATCGCCTTAGACTTATGGCTACTTTACACAAACGTAAGATGGAAAAATTACAGCTACTTTGTATATCTTTTCACCCCTAATTGATGATGAGATTCATAAAGATCCAAATAAATTCAAAGAACCACAATAAGAAACAAGACAATTAACGGAAATACGAAATGTTGAGCGGTTCGGCAAAGTGCACACTCTTCAAGTAAGAAATGGATCGTTGCCTTAAGAAGCCTCAAACGGATGGGCTTATTAACCCTGCCTTTATCTTTTGTTCCTCTTCGTAAATATGTCTCATGGCCAATATGTATGTTCTTGATTTACAGCTGAACAATAAAGGAGTATCATAACAAAAGAAATAAACATTAACCCATGATAAACCCTTGTATGTACGGGAAAAAAAAAAAAACATAATTACTAGCTTCCCGTCTTCCGTTTCAGGAATCTACTTTTTTAAACAGTCTACGCATAAACGGACCATGAACTTTCATGAGGCTCTCACATTCATCCAATTTGCAGTGAGATTCATTCTTATTCCTCATTTTGTGTTTACAACAACAGAGTGTTCAAGTTTTGGAAGAACTCAACGATTTTGTGATTTGCATTATTGAATTGCACGTGCTTTTTTAAAGAAAGAATGAGCTACAAAGTCTCTACACACAATACGAAACTGTCGTGAAATCGTAAGCGGAACAGAGACAAGTTCGTGTATGCTCTTTCTTTTGAACGTAATGTACGGCCTCCCTTTTTATGTTGCTACTTGAAACGTAACTATCCAACTTAAGTTAACCTCGCCGGTACGAGATTCGCGTAATCTTTCTAAATCGCCTCCATTTTGAGTAACTTGAGGCTAATATTATTTTCTTCTCTGTCAAAAAGTCAAAAAAAGAATAGAAACATGTTTTCGCAATTTGAAAAGGAAAAAGTTTAAATCAAAATTTCATTTCGTTTTGTACTTAATGACGTAAAAACTTTTGCAAAACTGAGGCGACTTTCTGGCGCAAATGAAAGTAAGTCTAACCACTGTTTCGTAATCGAAATACCACCGAACATCAGCCTTTCTTTATCTGCTATAAGATCATGCATAATTTCTTAGATTGAAGTCTTGGTCAAAGCGTCTTCGATTTGTGTAATTATTGATCACCCATGCATATCTTCTTTAAAACGAGCACAATAATGCAAATCCAAGAGGAAAAGGTTTTGTACTAGAAGATATATTGCAAAACGGAAAAACAACACGAAAGCTATACTGTGGCAAACAGCCTTGCGTGGGGGATCTGTCTTCATCAGATGTCAACTTTAGTAAAAAACCGTGTTGCTGTACGTATTTTTCTCCCTACAGATTCCTTCATTTGCCTGATTTCCACTCTCGATGCTTTCAACTCTTAATGTCTTTTGTCTCTATGGTTATGAACGGCTTAACTCCTTTTTCCGCTTTTGTATATTTATACGAATCTTGTAATATAACGCTCTCCGTTTAGAAATCGTGCTTGTTTTACTGGAATATGTGGGTAAAAAAAGAGCAAAAGATTAGCGCCTAACAACTACATTGAAATGAAACAAAAGATTATTTTTGCTCCTCATTTCATGTTTTAAAAGGCTAGACTTATGCATAGTGGACTATTATTACAAGAAACATTCCCATATTTCTTTAGCACACATTCTTCCGGTGTGAGCATATACATTAGTTCAAATTGCAAGCCCCGCTTTGCGGTAAACAACAAACAATGACCAAAATCATCATCGAAGGTTCTTGTTCTCCATCAAATCTGTCACCGTCACCCGCCTTGAATTATATGTTTCGAATCTTTTCTTAAATTTAGTTCTTTCGGCTAATGCACCAGCCCCTCAACTTGACTAAAAAGCCTTATGTGCAATGTTGTGTCTAGCTTGAGACTTGCCTGGTTGGCATCTTTCCCGTGTTGCTCGGAAACTTTTATAATATACAAGACCGCGTTCTAGAGTTTCACATTCTATGTCGATATTTTACACCCCTGACAATTGGCTTTGAAATTTTCATATCTCTGATGTCTTAACCAAATCAACAGTCACTCAACTCTCAATGAATCACTTTTTTTGTGGCCAAAATTATAACCTTCCCATTCTTATTAAGTAAATTACCTTAAAGCATAGCGTTCGTTTGAATGTCGTTGTTTATTTCTTCAATAGGTTGTTTCCACGCTTCCTAATTATAATCAAGGAACCCTCTAATAAACTACTTCAACCCTCGGCACAACCAACAAAGAAATTCCGGAACTTTCTCCTCGATATTTGATCCGAAGATAAATAAACAAATTCAAATATGCAATACAACTTAAAAACGAATAATCATCTTAAGATGTACTGCATAAAATATTATAATAGCAAACCAAGTTTTTCCAACCCAAAACCCAAAAAATCGTTTGGGATTGTACAAACCGAATCTGAAATCATTTTGTGTAGAGAACGAGAACTAGATCAATCTATTCATCGATCTATTTTTTGCGAATTAGCGCCATACATAAAGAGTAAGTTCAGTTAGGGAAAAAAAAACTCATAAAGTAGGCATATGGCTCAAAGACTTTGCTAGCACCACCAAGAAACATGATCCCTTAGTCTTTGCTTCTCATAGTTTGCGTCTTGGGGAAAGCCGAGCCAACATTTTATTTGATGTTCACTTGGCCAACTTCCGTCAGGCGTCTATTTACCCTCTAGCGAAAAAGGTTAGTATTTTCTGCGCTCACAGAATGTTCATTTGAGGACCACAATGTGTTTAAGAATAGGTGCGTAATTTGTCCTACTGATATTTGATATAAACGCCTGATTGCGTGGTCTTACGACAATTTACAGGTATGGTTATATTTACGCCCTAAATTCAACTGTTTCTAGTTGCATAGTAAGATAAAGCCACTTGCGTAACCCCAACTGCATTTTTCCCTAGACCAAAGGTTATGCGCCTTCTCGTTATAACTGAGATTAATACTTTTTTTACAACATATTCACAAGATACCCTCTACGCACCTTAAAACTCACTATACCCATCGGCTATGTATTTACTCACTCGCATTAGCAACGCTTTCGAATGCGGACAGCCTTCTAACTTACGTGTGTACCCATTCTCACTACGTTTCATTGATACACATTCTACATCATTGCTCTACATCATCCCTGGGGCACCCATTGGTGGCATACCAGCAGGCATTCCACCCCCTGCACCTGGTGGACCTCCAGCACCACCACCACCTTCTTTCAAGCTCGATCTTCCTGCTTTCAACAATTCATCACACAATAACAAGTTAGATGCAATTCCGGTAGCTGAGCTGATTGCATTTCTCACAACTCTATATGAATCCCAAATACCTTCAACAGTTGGATCCAAGGGCTCACCCGTCTTCAAATCAACACCAACAACATGTCCGTCATTTATATCGTCTTGACAAGTAGATATGGTTTCTAATTGATCCAAACCAGCATTGGCAGACAATGTCTTTGGTACCACTAGCAATGATTCGGCAAATGCTTGAATACCAGGCTTGTTTTTACCCTTTAAAATCTTTTTATCTTGGAGTAGATGGCTGTTACAACTCATCCAAAATGCCCCAGCTCCAGGTATAACACTCTTGTCTTTTATTACATTAGCCACTGATCTTAAACCATCTCTAACTGCATCTTTTGTTTGTTGTAATGTGTGGGAGTTGGACCCTTTTATTAAAATGGTAGAAGCACGAGGATCTTTATTTTCAGTAACATAGGTGAACTTGTCTTCACCAATACTATTTTCGTAAACTAATCCTGAGTATCCCAAAACTTGTGGGGTCAAGTCATCGACCGAGTTTTGCGCTTCACCTCCACAAACTAGTTGCAATCTTTCCATATTTCTTCTCTTGGCTCTTCTCAAAGTTAATATTCCATTTTTGGCCAACACATCCAATGACATTGGATCTATTCCCTTTTGATTTATTATAACAAACCCTTGATCAGAGTTTAATGAATCGCCGCAAACTTGGTTCTTTAAATCAACAATTTTTTTCAATTTTTCATCAACAAATTTACGCTCTGAGGCAACTAGTTTGTCACGTTGTTCAGCAGATGAGTAAAAAAACCCAGAATTGACCTCAGTCTTTTCATATTCTAAAGAAACATTCAAGATTAAAATGTGGGCATTGGGCACTCTTCTGGGCATATCTGGGTGACGTGCACCGTGATCCAACACAAGTCCCTTGATCAATTCTGTGTCCTTTGAATGGCCATGTTGCATAGTCATAATCTCAATCATGTGCAAGTCCAAGGGCTGGTCATCGTGCTTTACAGTCAATACCGCATCTGTAACAATCGGAGTTAATACATCAGCTAAGTCATTATTGACTTTGGTGATCAATGAACTTCTAGCAATTTGTAACAAAAATTCACGATCGAAAGATTCAATTTTGGTTTTGAACTCATCCAAGTACTTTAAACTTTCTTCACGAGCAATGTCAAATCCATCAACGATAACTCTTGGATGTATACCTTCACTAATGAATCTCTCTGCTTGCTTCAATAACTCACCCACCAATAAAACCACAGTGGTGGTTCCATCTCCGGTAATTTCATCTTGTGCAGTAGCTGCACGAGCAATCATCACAGCGGTAGGATGCTGAATTTGCATTTCATTGAGCAAAACTTTACCATCCTTGGTCAATTTCAATGCTCCGGATCCATCAACTAATAATTTTAATGTTCCCTTAGGGCCCAAGTTAGACGCCAACACCAGTTGCAAGCCTTGAGCGGCATTGATATTGACTTGTAATGCCTGCGCCCTTCTGAATGACTCCGCCTTAGGGTTAAGTAGTTGAATTGACGATGACATCGTTGCTGTAAATGTAGAGGTGTATTACTTGTTTGCAATTTTTTTCTCTTTCATTCTTGCACTTTATTTTTTTTTTCAATGGAACTGCATCGAAGAAATTCCATCATACAATCAAGGGGGTATCGCGTCACAACTAAAATGAGCATTGAAGAGCAGATTTTCATTCCAGCAAGAGATCACCTACGAGTTAAGCAAGATGAGAGAGAAACAGTGATCAGATCATGTCGAGAAATCACAAGCTATTCGAAGAAGGCAATTTTCACGCTACATCGATCCGTGCTGGATGATACTGTAACGAAAGAACTAACGCAATATTTAACGGTGATTAGTGAACATCTACGCAAAGTGAACTGCATATATGTCAACAACTATCACTTGCGAGGCTCAATACTGGGTGCAGTTGAAGAATTGATTGAATTTTTCACATTTGCATATTATAAAAGAACTGGTGGATTGATTAAATATGAATTGTTTACACAATTGATCAATCTTGTTGCAGATGGGGATATAGATACGGTGGTGAGATACTTGTTGAACCCGGAAATAGAAATACCACAAAATGACTGCCTTTTAATTGAGTTTATTGACAAATCTGACTACATCATGGGATTGTTTGATTGTACCGGTGAGATAATGAGAATGGTGATTCTGCAGTCATCAGACACCTCAGGCGAATTCCAAATGACAAAGACGTTACAAAACTACAATTTTTTAAAAGATTTACATGAACAATACATCATCTTGACAACATATTATCCTGGTGTATCTATACATCATGGCGCCTTTGATGATGTTATGAACCTGAAGGGCAACATTTCATTCAAGAAAAAGTTACAAGTTCTTGAATCATCACTTAGCAAAATACAAAACACGCTACTCGATATTCTCATCAGTGATAAAGAGATTCTATAAATATTTTTTTGCACAGGTGGTTCGTTTAATTTTATATACATTTTAAATGCGTCTTATTCTAAATTCTTGGGATTGGTCCGCCCGGTGAATTTTCGTTTCTGGCAGTCAAAACTTCTACTCCGTCTTCAGTAACCAACAACATATGTTCAAATTGTGCTGACCGCTTTCCATCTTGAGTAGTTGACGTCCATTTGTCCGGCCAAGTGCAATCCTTGTAGGTACCCAAATTAAGCATAGGTTCAATAGTGAAAACTTGACCAGGTTTGATTATTCCAATGGCCTTGTTCTTGGCATAATGAGGAATGTTTGGTTGACAATGAAACAAAGTACCGCATCCATGACCACAATAAGTTCGCACAACTGAACAATTGTTTTCCGAGGCATGTTTTTCAATAATGTTTCCTAATTCTCTAAATGCCACACCTGGTTTGACCGCCTGAATGGCCAAGTCGAGACATTCTCTAGTAGTCTCAACCAAACGAACAGTGTCAGGGTCACTTTTAGCCTTATCACCAACGTAATAAGTTTCATTCAAGTCGGAATGGAACCCCATGTAATATATCGTTACGTCCAAGTTGATGATATCACCATCCTTCAATTTTGTTTTGTCGGGAATACCGTGGCAGATCACTTCATTGACCGAAGTACACAATGATTTTGGAAAGTTGTAGTAATTCAACGGTGATGGATACGCATTTCTCTTGACACATTCTCTATGCAAAATCTCATCCAACTCGTCGGTTGTAATTCCTGGTTGGATATGACTTGCAGTAATATCCAAGACTTCCCTGGCTACTTTACTAACTTTTTGGATTTTGGTAATCTCCTTTGGTGTCAAAACCGGTATCTTACCAATACGATCATTCTTGATTTCACTAATGGGTTTACCATGCTGAGCATAGTCGGGTAATTTAATGTGCTTAGGGATGGACCTTCTTGGACTTAATGGGTAATGAGGTCTTAAATCACCAGTATATGAAAAATTGGGGAATGGAATATAAGTCTCTTCTCCGTCATCTGATTTATGAATTGCCTTGTGAATGGAGTAGCTGGAACGAAAACAATTTTGATCACAAAACACACTAGAAATGCCCGCTTGCAAACAAACTGGGCATTTCAACATTGAATTTGTTTCTTTACCACATTGTGGAGCTGCGCAAACTGAATTCATGGGTCAATTATGGTGGTCTTTCTAAGATGGTTTATCACTCCTAAAACTTTTTTTTTTTTTTCACAAAATATTTTTTGGTTTCTTTTTCTTCAATCACGTGAAATACTTGGTAGCGATTTTGCCACCTGACTATTTCGAGTCTAACGAAATTTCGAATCACAACTGGCGTAAGAGGGTGGATGGTCAGCACTTTGGAAGGTAGTGGCTCTAATGAGTGTATGCCGTGGATACCTCAGCTGATTTATTGTCAAGAAATGCTGAAGACCAGCAGTGGAGTCCAAGTACACACCTAAAGATGCTTCGAAAAAACTAACTGAACTAGTGATCTCCTTCAAGCAAGTCTCACATACTTCAAGGACATGTAGAGCGTCATGTTGTTCATAGATACGTAGCATTCTTGAGAGTACGCAATTATTGAAAAGTTACACAAAAATAGCCTTTGCAACTAGTTACTCATTGAAATATAACTAACCTCAAGCCAATATCACGATCATTTCCGCTTGAAGACAAAAGAGCCTTAACGAAATAAATTGGTGAGAAGCTAAACCTTTTCTCTCACTATCATTGAGTGCCTGAGTGATTAATGCAGAATAATCGTCACACTTCGCCACTTCACACCCCCAACCACTTCCTAGCTTAGGCAAAAAGGGACAGTACTTGGTTTTTGAATTAGTCGACGTATCACTACAGCATGCAAAGGAGCTACTCGATCCAATCCCAATTATTCACGAAATCATTTTAATCATAGGGTGTGTAGTGTACACTTGCACAAAATTTGTGTGAAGAAAAAATCAACTTCAACACGCACTTTGACAGGTTTTGCCATTGACAAACACTACAACCATATTGCCATCTCAGCAACAATGGTATGTATTATGTGCCCTCTCCCTTTTTCAATGGGATCCCAAAGCTTTGAAATACTAACTTCGTCCAGTCTTTAAGAATAATTCCATCTGATTCCAGAGAATCGAAAGTTTCATCCACCCATTTCAATGATGCCTCCAAAAATACCCCTTCATTATCAGAAAAGTTACATACGCAGTCTGGACCAGTAAACATATCTTCTAAAATCAACAATCTTCATCCATTACAATCAAGAGTAAATAATTGGGAACATACCCAACAAGATACTAGGCTTGAAACTTATAGACGTATATTTGGTGCTGGTGAACCTATCAAAAGAACTATGGAGTTGTCAATTGTTGAAAATACCGATTTTAAGCCTCAGGTTTTGGGAGGCAGCGATCCAATGCATAGAGATGTGTTGTTGGGAAAGGATACAAGCTTTGATTGGGAAGATGTGTATCCAAATGGATTAAGTCAAAATGGTAACAATGTGATGGACATGCATAGCGAAATGGAAAAGAGATTGGGCCTTTAGATGGCTCACAGTATGAGTTTCATACAATTGCCGTATAGTTCACTATATACATATACATAAGGAATTACTTTTTTGAACTATTCTTCTTCTTTGGTTTCACGCTAGTGCTCCATCCATCTTCATCAACAACTTGAACCTTGTCTGCACTAGAGATGATGGCCGCTGACCAGCTGGTGAAATCCTTGGCTGCTTCTCCTCCCAAAGTGTGATCCACTTTGTTTTTTCTCTTGATAAACTCTTGAGCAAATCTTCTTCCATCCATTGTGGTACTTGATGCATAAATAGTTTCCGAAATCAATTGTTGAGTATCAGGAGAGTTGCAAGGCATGGTAATGAACATTTCCAACAAATCGTTTTTTGAAACGGATGGATAAAGATTGGTCATTTGCGATCTAGCCCACACCAAGAATTCTTCTCTGACAGCTTGCAAATTAACCGACGAAGTGGCTGTCTTTGCAGCAGACACACTACGTAACAATTGTGGAGTAATTTTGGATGCTGGAACTCCCGTTGAGCTGCTTGAAACTGTTGTCTTTTTTGCTTGAGGTTTCTTTGAAGAAGTAACGGTAGTCCATGCTGTGGTATCGTCCTTTGGTACTGAATTAGCTAAAGCACTGGCAAACGACATATTGGGTGCAAAACCAGCGGCTACAGAAGCACTTGTAGGCGCATGAGCAGCTTGTGATTGGGCAGTAGCAGCAGCGGCGGCGGCGGCGGCTTTAGCCTTAGCTTTGGCAAGTTCAGCTTCCTCCTTTTGAATCTCTGCCAATGTCTTCACAACAGGGGTCGAGTCAGAGGTAATATTCCAAGTAGCTGGTAGTTGGGTTTTTTTCTTTTCTTGTTCAATAGCTTCTGCTTTTTCAGTTGCTGCATTAACTGCCCATGCCTTTTGAGCTTGTTCAGCTTTTAACTTGCTCTGCAACCTCTTCTGCTGTTCAGATTTCTCAGACTCAACCTTTTGGATCTCTTTCAATGACAAGCTTGGCTTCTTGATATCTTCGGTTCTTGTTTTGGCTGCCCAAGGCGCTAAAGCTTGTGGTTTTGCTGGCTTCAAATCAACAGTTCTGATAGGCGGAGCAGAAATCTCTTCTTCTTCTTTCGGCTTTGTTACAGCTTTTTCTTTTGGTTTTGATTCCTTGGTTTTCTTTGGTGGTGAAGAAAGAGCGGTTACGATAGCAGGTTCGGTGAATCCCGTGGTGGCGGGTTCATTGTCATCTTGCAAAATATCCGTGACGACCGAGCTCATGACCAAATTTTCACCGGCATCGTCGTCATTACCAGTCAATGAGTCGTTTCTCGCGTCTTGATAGTTGCCCGTAGTATGGTTAGTGCTTGCTGTTGACGCAAAGGGAGAATTTATACGAGATACTGACTGTCCAAGAGCGGTGCTCGATACCCATGGAGAAACTGGGGCTGGTTGACTCATCTGGGTGTTGCCAATTCCACCGTGACTGCCCAATCCACCAACAAATGCACCGGTATTAGAACCAGTTGCCGAGGCTGGTCCTGATACTTGACCAACAATAGGTGAGCCAGTATCAACCGCCCAATTGCTATTGCTTCTTGAGAGCAATGGTTGCTGCTTATTGTGAATTTGCTGTTGTAATAACGATGGCATGGAAGATAAGTTGAAGCTTGGTTCAAAATTGTCGTGTGTTGCAGATGCAGTGGCCAGGGGGTTCAAATTATCGATTCCTGTAAGGCCCGACCCATTGGCGAATCCAGTGTTTATGTTGCCAAAATTGCCCATTGGCAGGTTGAGGTTTGCGGGAAAAGATTCATTTGCAGGCGAATTGGCAAAGTCTGCCGCAAACATGGATTGAGGTAAGGTCGAAGAAGGCAAACGAATTGAGTTGCCCAAGGAAGGTCTATTCGATGCATAGTCAGTTTCCTTCTTTTTAGTCAAATCCGGTAATGGAACTTTAAATGGTTGAACATAGTTTTGAACTGCGTCACATAAACTTTTCAACGGTCTAAACTCCTGCTCCTCTTTTCTTCTTATTCTCAAATCAAGATCCAAATATCCACCAGTAAACCACTCTTGCATCATATCACCATTGAATGGACCTTGTTCATTTCCCGAAGGGTCAATATAAAGCCATTCAATTATATCTGATGCAACCAACAGTTTGGGCTGCGCAAGTCCAGGCGGGAAATCTGTTGCCAATTTTGAGCCGACAAACCCATTGCTACCAAAGGCACCCTGAAAGCTAGATGATCTGTCGTAATTCAATGGATTTGATGACAACGGATTCAGGTCAGACTTTTCATTCGCCAGATCTGAAAAACCCAACTTATTCAATGACTTGACAATATCATCGCTGTCAGTTAATGCCAGCCCGTCATGACTTTCAATGCTTCCTCCTTTAACCTTCTGGGGACCAAGACCGTCGTGTCCAACATCAGTAAAGGCACTTTGCCCTTTTGCATTAACACTTGGGTTGTTCTTCCGATACTCCTCTTGTAAAGTCAAATGATAAATGGGCTCGGGTTTGGAGACTTTATAGTTTTCATTCCCATTAGTCTTGACTTCAGAATTCAAAATCTTGTCCTGGTTATCGTACCAAACTTGAAATACCTCATCCATGGTATATGGCTTTCCATTTTTGTTCTCCTGGATGTTTCTGATCAGACTGCCATTACCATGGTAGTTATGGTTGTTGTTATTCGGGTGGGTGCTGTACAGGCTGCTGTTGTTGTACCCATTGAAATGATGTTTTCCAGAACTATTATTGGTGTTTGAACCAACGTACGATGAGGTGATCTCATCCAAATTTTCATTCGCAGAATGATCGTGAGCTCTACGTGATCTTGAAAACATTGCTTCTTGGATTGATTGATTGAATATTCTGTTGATTGTACTCTATGATTGCTATTGGGAAATAATAACAAAATTAATAGTATTTGCCTTTTAAAAGGAGTGTAAAGTACTATTAAAGTGTTCCAAGTAAGGTGGTATTTTAAAATTGAAATTTTTTTTTTTTCTCTCAAGAGAGGAATGGAGGATTTTTTCCAGGAACGCTACCTGTCTTTACGGCAACACAATAACACAATACAAGGAGAGGGAGATGAATTTTGGACTCTCGAACACGTCAACTCACTTGTGATCTTATAGTTACTTTATAATTGTGTTCAGTAGTAAGTGGCAGATCTTGGTGATTACCTGAACTTCTCGATGAGTCTCTAGTCTTTTCTCTTGTCTCTTTTTTTGTTATACAAGATATATATACAATAAAAAGTGGCAAGATTGTACTCATTTTCAAAGTTAACCCACTTCGTTTGGTAAAAAAAAAACTCCCTCCTGAATGATACTTCTCATATGGTTGTCGTTGTTGTCATATACGGTGGGTGTAATCGCTTTGAAACCTCCTCATCTTGATGACTTTTATGAACCTCCCAAAAAATACCATGGAACACGGTTGGGAGAAATATTAAAAGTTAGACAACCCCCAGCTTCAGTCCGTTCATATCTTGCTCCCGTCGATGCAATCTCATGGCAACTTCTCATCCGGTCTGAAGACTCTTTTGGTAACCCCAACGCAATTTCAGCAACAATATTGGAGCCACAAGATTCTGACTCGACTAGAATATTAGCTTATCAAGCTTTTGAAAATTCTGCCACTGGTGATTGCCGCCCCTCATATGCTATCCTCGCTGGATCGTTTGAAACTTTTCAAATACAAGCAGAACTTGCATTTGTTTCCATGGCTTTGTCCAAAGGATGGTTTGTACTAATACCAGACTATGAAGGACCTCATCTGTCTTTCCCAGCGGCGAAAATATCAGCATTTTCAGTGATGAACTCCATGAGAGCAGCCAAGACGTTTATCAACAGAGACGCGCATTTTGCGATGTTGGGGTACTCTGGTGGAGCCTTTGCATCTGCTTGGACTGCAATTCTTCAACCTCAATATGCGCCGGAATTAAAAATTGTGGGTGCGGCAATGGGAGGTACAATTGCAAACATTAGTGCAATGGTGGAAACTGTTGATGGAGGACCATACGCTGGTCTTGTGGTGAACATTTTGAATGGGTTGGGGAATGAGTACCCTAGATTCAAATATGCAATACATAGGTATGGGTTGAATTTAAGAAATTATTGCTTAGTTTCAGCTGCAATCCATTATTTTGGCTCCAAATTCAATGTTGACGTTTACAAAAACTTTTTGCAAAATGGAATCATCAAGTACTACTTTGGCAAGAATAGTCTTTTGGGCAAAAAGGCACCAAAAATACCCATCTTCATTTTCCACTCAATGTTAAATGAAATGTCGCCGATTAGTGAAGTGTATAAATTGGTGAATCAATGGTGTGCACAAGGTGTGGAGTTGCAATTTACCGAGGACTTGAGTTATAATCACATGGTGGAAGCATTCACTGGGATTCCAGCAGCATTAACATGGTTGGATGACAGGTTTGAGCTGAAACCAATGCCCAAAAAATGTGTAAAGGAAAAGAGGATATCAAATTTGATGTACCCAGGTAGCTCTGCATTGATCAAACAACATTTCAAGTATTCTGCATTGCTAATGATGTCGAAATTGAATATTTTTTCATAATAAGCGGGGGGTCGTATCAAAACTCCTTCAATATGTTTCTCACCAAATCTATATCCTCCTTTGGAATCAATATAACGGCTGACTTTGCCATAGACAAATACCCAATTTCAAGCACATTTCCTCCTTGGATGATCAACTTATTTGCTAACCCAGCTACTATGCCAGTGCAGTTCAAGGGAAGTTTTGACAAGTCCATTGCAACGGGCACCAAAACGTCTTGAGACAGACCAATAGTGCTTGTAGATTTGAATCCATATCTGGATCTCAATTTAGGCGATTTTGGTAAAACCAAACTCAATTCATTGGAAAATGTTCTTGTAATGGCAAAGTATGACGGTTGTGAAGTATTTGCTAATGAAATTAGTTTGATTGTTTTCAATACGCAATATTTTATTTCGCCAGGTCTGGCTCCAGTTAGCAACACCTTGTGCTTTTCGTGAATTTGAGGGTGAATCTCTTCTCTTGCCAATAATTCAAACGTCTTTTTGTGCGATTCTAGTAGAGCAGGTTGTTCCCTCTCTTCAATATCGTATGTGGAAATGTAACTATTTGACGACTCTGAAAAGATGAAATGTTCCAGAATCAAGATTTGTTGGACTCTATCTCTCAAGTCAGATGGAATTAGAACAATGTCATTGAAATGAGAAGAAATGTAGAAAAGGGCAACGTCATTTTCAGATAACGGTTTTGTCAATTCCAAGATTCTGAGGGATCTAGCAAATCCACTATCCGAGTCAACTATTAAACTCAAGTACTGTTGCGGTAAAATCTCCACATCAGTGTAGCCCATCTCTTTGCATAATGCCAAGGCTTGTGTAAAGAACTTGTTCGTCAATCTCGTGGAGCAAATAATCGTACATTCAGTTTGCGTTAGCCCAACATGGAAAAAGCTTTCTTCGTGTCTCTCGTGATCGTTACCCTGAGGATTGTCTGTAAACGTTTGGTGCGATTGTGGCTTGCTTGAATTATCAACCGACTTGCGGCTGGAATTGTTGAAATCCGTACTCAACTTTGTAAACTGGCTACCTGTACTGTTTATGAATGTTTCCGTGTCCTCCCCCTCATTTTCGTAGTCATCGCTGGCTGTCCCATCTTCGCTACTGGGCCCCGAATCACTATGCTTGTCTTCCTCTGGTATCGAGTCGTATAATAGTTGTATAATTGGGTTGGTGAAGATCCATAGCTTTGACCTAGGAATAGATATAACTGACAATTCAATGTTATTGAAATGTACTTGGATACTCATGGTAGATATGCTTCACCAACAAAGATTTTTACTAGATGATGACTCTTTGAGAATTTTCAAGGTGTGTGTGTGGGGGTGGGGAAAATAAAATGAGTCGCACTAAAAAGAAAACATTGTTTCTTTTTCGTTATTGAGTCATCTATGGCTACTGAAGTATATACCTACTATAAAAAGTTTCATACAACTCGATTGCCTCCTTTTGTGACTCAATAGAGCTTTCAACATAGATTTCAACATTGTTTCTGAAATCATCGATCCTATTAAGTTCAAACTCTTCTAACTCGGCCTTTATAGTCTCACTTATTTGCTCAAACTGTTCCTTTAAATCGCCCTGTCTTTCTTTTAGCTTTTCAACTTCGAATGCCCTCTCCGGCAGAAGTGGTTGCTTTTTTGATAACTTGTCAACTTGCGTAGTCAAAGATGAAAACAGTTGATAGATTTTGACTCTCGTTTGTAGAACATAGTTTATCGACTCTATAATTCGCAAGTACTCATCAATAGTGAATCCAATAGTCAATTGATCTGAGATGTTGAGTCTGTCCAAATTATCTTTAATCTTAAACTCAACCTCGCTAAATGCGTTAAGTAGATCTGTGGTGGCTTTGCTGATTTCCAAAGCTGATAGTTCCTCCATTGTGATTGCCAACTCTTCTAAAATGTTGCTCATATCTTGTCGCTGGGTTCCAATCAAGTCAATCGTTTTAGCAAACTGTTTCAAATTGTATTCCAAATCATCAAGATAGTTCTTCTTTTCAACAAAAAACTGATCGGGGTCAACAAATTTGTTCGACATGGAGAACAACGAGCTCATAAAACCAGTGGACGCTATGGCAGCACTAGCAGCTACATTTGCTGCAGATGAGGAATTGGAGTTAGCTGTGCCCCCTTCGTGAAACGTTGACTCTTCAAGTCCACCCTCATTGAATCTTCCATCGCCATCGTTGGTCAAAAACGAAACGAAATCTGGGTCATTAGCAAGACCTGGTTTGTTGGAAATGTTGCGTAGCATTTTCTCCAAAGCAAACCTTCTATGCTCAATCAACTTTTCGTTAAATCTACCAATGATGCTTTGCTTCGATGGAGGTGGTGGAATAATTCTTCCTGGGTGGTTTGCCTGTAGTTGATGATAAATCCATCTGAAATCTCTATACCTCCTTGTCACTTCTGCTGTGTCTATGTTTGGAAATTTCACCGACTCTGGATTTTTGTTTTTGGTCCTGATTTTGTATACAATATGGGCAGTAGTTATGTCACCCACTTTCGTAGGATCGCCCACAGTGATGTCCAACTCATTTTCGTCCTTGTTTTTTGGCGGTGGTGGTTGCTTCTTAGACTCTTCTCCGCTCTTGTTGTCGCTCGTTACCTCTTCTTCGACATTATCTTTCTCTTCAACTTGGTCTCCTTGTTCGGATACCAATTCATCTGTCACTTTTAGTGCGCCACCTAATGGTCCAAGCAAATTATCTGCTGAGTCCGATTGTGATGACTTCAAGTGCTGCACATTTGTTTTGGAACTGAATTTTCTCGGTCTGCCCGCTTTGAATTTTTTAACATTTAGTGGCCTACTGGGCGATAAGGTTGTATCTTCACCCAGAGAAACGAGTTTGATTGGAGATTCCCTGTCATGGAACAATTCGTCAGTTTTGCGGACACTTTTTGGGGTCCTTTCGTTCAACTGTTGTGCTAAAAGGTCGCTTTCTTCAGAACCGTGGGTAAGCTCTGACATAATTTGACTTTTCAATTCCTTGCGTTCTTCTGATTTAAGCTCATGCAACTGTTCTTGTTCTGAGTTGAAATTTGTAAATTTTTGAGCTTTGTTCACGTTATCATCATCATCATTGTCACTTGGTTCAGGCAGTGGTTTTCTATCATCAAAGGGGTTAGCAAATGGATCGTCAATTGAGTATGATTGAAATTCATTGACCAAGGGCGTGATTGACTGACCGAATGCAGTAGACAGGGAGCTTATGCCATCGCCTAATCCACCAGACAGTTCGATGTCATTTTGCTTATTGGAATCAAAATCATCATCCCACACTGATTTGGTTAAATCTTCATCCATGTTCTATTGACGTAAAGAAATATATGCTTGAGGAAATCTGTATTTGGCTAATTTGTTGCATGGTTGTCCTTTTTTTTTTTCTCGACTTCAAACAATGAAACTTTACTCCATGGTATCAACTTGCACCAAATGCAGGCGTCGTATGTTACTGCTCTCATAATATATGTCATTCATGTTCACCGAGTAACCTGAAGACTATCAAATGCACTACATAGTGTGGTCAACAACTTTGAATTCGGCACCCACTAAACTTTCCTTTAATGGTAAGAGGTGCGTTCAATGCAAACCTGAGCGAGGCATACCAAGAGGTTGGCTAAGTCTGTGACGCCTATGATGCTTAGTCTCCCATGTTTGCTGCTTTTATACATAGCAATTTCAATAAGCTTCAAACGCATGATTGTGCTTTGCATTATGGTTGTAAATGCTACGGTGTCTAGAACTTGTGCAAACTGACTTGAGATTGAATTCCTATTTCGACTGATACTTTGAAGAGACTCCAAATAGTGTTAGTATATGCTCAATGTCATGAATCCATTGTAACTAGGTATCGAATGCATCTCACTCCGCAAAACATTTCAACAAATGGATAAAGTTGAAGTTATCAGTAATTCTTGCTTGCTTATATTCACATGATTCTTTTCGCATGGGTATGCATATGGAATTGCAAATCGAGAGAAAGTTGTACTCCTAGCTACTATGATTAGGAAGTGACAGGGACCATCAAGTAAAGTTTTCTCAAAGCATGGAACCTTATAAAAGACGCAATATTCGACTAAAAGTGCTATGTCTTTGCCAACAATTCATCAAAGATGCGTGTTTTGAAATTTGTATCATTTGCATCACTAGTTGCATATGCCCATTCTGCCACCAAACAATTGAATTTATTCACCAGGGTGAAAGGTGACTCCCCACTAAAAGACAAGTTTGACAATAAGCCTATCTTTTTCCAGACGGATCCACTGGGACACTATTACCTCGAAGTGGCGGCTGACGACTCGGGTCTTGCGAAACGAGATGCATTCAGTGTGTACACGTATGATGATGAAGAGCAAGCTATATACCAGCAAATTACAAACAATTTGCGAGCAAATTTAACTGCTGAGGATGAAGTGTTGCAAATGACGTTTCTCAAGCCATTGGTTATCAGGTTGATTGAGTTGAAAAGTGGGTTATTGGATAAGTTATTGTCTTTTAAAGAAATTGCAGGTTTATTCGTTACTGAGAATGTGCCTTTGCGGGGGGGACAACAGTCAGCTTATGTTGTTACAACATCTGGGTACAAGAAGATTGGTGATCAAAAAATTCCAATTGATATTGTCGCAAGAGAGGTGAGATGATGAAGGGGTTAGCTGCTGCTTTTGGTTTCTATAGTGTTCGTTGTTAATGACAAAGTAATGCTTTATATCCACCTCGGCCAGTATAGTTTGTTATGTAGAGCGGCCCCGGAATTAAAAGGAAAGATATCAGTGAGTGTGTACAAATTCGGTAATATGTGCGGCTGTATTTCCGATTCTCCATAATTTTTTTGTCTTCTTATTTTTTCGACCTATCAAATTGCAGTATTTTGTAATCCACGATAGAACCAAGTCAACAATAAGGCTCACAGCATCCTAAGGAAGCTCATATTTCATATGACTTTCAACCAATGTTGAAGTTTGGGCATTCCTAAACACCGTCAATCTCAACTATAATTCAATAGTCAACGGTATCCTCAACTAATTTCTACAATTATTAGCCCCAATTGGTCTAACTTTTTTCTCCAGACATTGTAATTTTTTTTTTTTTCAATTCCTTCTCTCCTATAAACAACTTTATATAAAACTTGTAATAAAATTTTATATAAAAAAACACCCAACTTTCTAGAACGAGGTTACCTTTGGAAAGATACACAACAACTGGAGCAGACCCACATCAAAGGAACTGTTGCAACTTTCAATTTTAATCCGCTCACTAGTCACAGTCACAGTCACAGTCAACTGGTGTCAAAAGATTATCAAACACATTCAATCCTCGGTCTGAAATCTCACACTAGGTTCCCTTTTTCTTTATTTATTCCAAAAGCATAATCCTCGCAACATCATGTTGAGATCATTACGTCCAAAATCATTGTCTTTGACAAGATTTTTCTCCACCAGCTCAATTAGATCACAAGTGCAAGGAGCCAATGTTAAAGGCTCTGACTTTAATGCCGCTAAATACATGGGCCAAAAATACCATGTTGTTGACCACGAATACGACTGTGTGGTTGTTGGTGCCGGTGGTGCAGGTTTGAGAGCTGCTTTCGGTCTTGCTGAAGCTGGCTACAAAACTGCTTGTGTATCGAAATTGTTTCCTACAAGATCGCATACTGTTGCTGCTCAAGGTGGAATCAATGCCGCTCTTGGTAACATGCACCCCGATGACTGGCACTGGCATTTTTATGATACTGTTAAAGGTTCAGATTGGTTGGGTGATCAAGATGCTATCCACTATATGACTAAAGAAGCTCCTGCTTCTATTTATGAATTGGAACGTTATGGTGTTCCATTTTCAAGAAACGAAGAAGGAAGAATTTACCAAAGAGCTTTTGGTGGTCAATCTAAGGAATACGGTAAAGGCGGTCAAGCATACAGAACTTGTGCTGTTGCTGATAGAACTGGACACGCTTTGTTGCACACTTTGTACGGTCAATCTTTAAACCATGATTGTCACTTTTTCATTGAGTTCTTTGCCATGGATTTGATGATGCAAGACGGTGCTTGTATTGGTATTGTTGCCTACAACGAAGAAGATGGTACTTTGCACAGATTCTTTGCCAATAGAACCGTTATCGCCACTGGTGGATACGGTAGAGCTTACTTCTCATGTACTTCTGCCCACACATGTACTGGTGATGGTTACGCTATGGTTTCTAGAGCTGGTTTGCCATTGGAAGATTTGGAATTTGTTCAATTCCACCCATCGGGTATCTACGGTTCTGGTTGTCTTATTACCGAAGGTGCTAGAGGTGAAGGTGGTTTCTTGGTTAACTCTGAAGGTGAAAGATTTATGGAACGTTATGCTCCACATGCCAAGGATTTGGCTTCAAGAGATGTTGTTTCTAGAGCCATCACTATGGAAATCAACGAAGGTAGAGGTGTAGGACCGGAGAAGGATCACATGTACTTGCAATTGTCACATATTCCAGCTGCCGTTTTGAAGGAAAGATTGCCAGGTATTTCGGAAACGGCACACATTTTTGCTGGTGTTGATGTCACCAAGGAACCAATTCCAATTTTGCCAACTGTTCACTACAATATGGGTGGTATCCCAACCAACTGGCAAGGTGAAGTTTTGAAAAAGGATGACCAAGGTGAAGATGAAGTTGTTCCAGGTTTGTTGGCTTGTGGTGAAGCTGCTTGTGCTTCTGTTCATGGTGCAAACAGATTGGGTGCTAACTCGTTATTGGATTTGGTTGTCTTTGGTAGAGCTGTATCTCACACTATTGCTGGTAACTTGAAACCTGGTGAGCCAATCAAGCCACATAGTAAAGACATTGGTTACGAATCCATCCAAAACTTTGACAGAATAAGAAATGCTAATGGTACAAAGCCAACTGCAGATATCAGATTGAACATGCAAAAGACTATGCAAAAGGGATGTGCTGTTTTCAGAACTCAAGATACTTTGGATGATTGCGTGGAGAAGATCAACGCTATCGATAAAGATTTTGAGCATGTGAAGACTACCGACCGTTCAATGATTTGGAACAGTGATTTGGTTGAAACTTTGGAATTACAAAACTTGTTGACCTGTGCTACTCAAACCGCTGCTTCAGCCGCTGCTAGAAAAGAATCTAGAGGTGCCCACGCTAGAGACGATTACCCAGACAGAGATGACAAAGAGTGGAGAAAACACACATTGTCATACCAAGATGCATGGGGAGCACCAGTACGTTTAGATTATAGACATGTCATTAAGCACACTTTGGATGACAATGACTGTAAACCAGTTCCTCCAGCCAAGCGTGTTTATTAGGGTTGGACAAAGTTATAGGGAATTTCAATACGTTTGTTTAAACCGATATCGTGTATGTAATAAGTTACTTATCAATATAATATCATAAGGTAGATCACGCCCGGTAGGAAGGTTGCGACATCTCGATCATTCGATTTCGAAAAAGACTGGTACATAGACGATGTCATTTGCAAGGAAGCTTCGGAATGTTGGCGAGAAAAAAATAAAGTATTAGTGGCAGAAACGGATAGGACTAAATCTTTTATTTCCGAAAGTAGTTTTAGCAAGCATAAAAGAAAGAAGAAAAAAGGAGAACAATAGATTGAATGCAAATCAGTTTAAACGAAATCAGCGTCAAAAAGCATAGTAGTATAAATAGCTCTTCAATTGGGCAATTTTGAAAAAAGCAGCATACTTTCTTTTACAATCTTTCACCAAGTTTATTCAACATTAGTTATCTAATCAATTGCTTTGTCAGGTTCAACAAACTTACACCTTCAATCCAAAGATTTTTCCACCCTCGATACACCGTCAATTGCTTCTCCACGTTTCACATTCGAGTACACACAAAAATGAGTAAAGACGAAACAATTTCTTACTGTAATGACCAATTGGGCCCATTGCCAACCACAGCTCCAAAAGTATCTGATAACGTTACTGACCTTTTCTCCTTCAAAGGTAAAGTTGTGTCAGTAACCGGGTCCTCCGGAGGTATTGGTTGGGCTGTTGCTGAGGGCTTCGCTCAAGCTGGTGCAGATGTAGCCATTTGGTATCATTCTCACAATGCTGATGAAAAGGCCAAATATCTCCAAGAAAAATACGGAGTCAAGTCAATTGCTTATGGATGTAACATTGGTGTTGCTGAGGAAGTCCAAAAAACAGTTGATCAAATTGAATCTGATTTCGGTAAGATTGACGTTTTCGTTGCCAACGCTGGTATTCCATGGACGGATGGACCAGAAATTGATGTTCAAGATTTAAGCAAATGGACCAAGATTATCGACACTGATTTGAACAGTGTATATTACTGTGCTCATGCCATTGGTCCTATTTTCAGAAAACAAGGTAAAGGCTCATTGGTTATTACTGCATCCATGTCGGCTACAATTGTCAATGTTCCGCAATTGCAAGCAGCTTATAATGTTGCCAAAGCTGGGGTTAAGCACTTGTCAAAGTCGTTGGCGGTTGAATGGGCTCCTTTTGCCAGAGTCAACAGTGTCTCACCAGGTTATATTTCAACAAATTTGACAACCTTTGCCAACCCTGATTTGCAAAAGAAATGGGTGCAATTGACTCCATTGGGTAGAGAAGGGCATCCAAAGGAATTGGTTGGTGCTTACTTATACTTGGCTTCCGATGCTGCTACTTTCACAACTGGTTGTGATTTAGCTGTTGATGGTGGTTATACTGTCCCATAGATTACGTATATATTTTAGAATAAAATGTAAGTTAGACTGTCAGCAGTGATGTCATGGATTGAACTTTGTGTAAACTGACCTCTGGGTTTCTCTCATTATCTCGTTAACAATGTATACGATGATGGTTTGTCATTTCAAATCAGAGTGTGCAAACCTAAAGACTTTAAGTTCCGTTCTCCCCCTCTTTTACTTAAATTCTTCCGAAATGTTGCAGAGTTTCATATTTAAAGTTTGTGTCACTTCGGTACCCCATTTTATAATTATCCCGAATCGGGCTCTTGAACTTGATCAAAAACAGAAGACTCGCTTGTATAAATACCTACGAGTGTCCTTTGCATTTGAGAATGTCATGAAGAACTGAGTCAATCATTCTAGAGTACTGTCTGCTTACAAACATCAAATCATGGGCGAAATCGAATCTTATTGTAACAAAGAGTTGGGACCATTGCCAACAAAAGCTCCAACTTTGTCAAAGAACGTGCTTGACTTGTTTTCCCTTAAGGGTAAAGTTGCTTCTGTGACTGGATCATCTGGTGGTATTGGTTGGGCTGTTGCTGAAGCTTACGCTCAAGCTGGTGCAGATGTAGCCATTTGGTACAACTCCCATCCAGCTGATGAGAAAGCCGAACACTTGCAAAAGACATATGGGGTCCATTCGAAAGCTTACAAGTGTAACATTAGTGACCCAAAGAGCGTTGAAGAAACCATCTCTCAACAAGAAAAAGACTTTGGAACCATCGACGTGTTTGTCGCTAATGCTGGTGTTACTTGGACACAAGGACCAGAGATTGATGTTGACAACTACGATTCATGGAATAAGATAATTAGTGTTGATTTGAATGGCGTATACTACTGCTCACACAATATCGGTAAGATCTTCAAAAAAAACGGCAAAGGGTCTTTGATCATAACATCATCGATATCCGGCAAGATTGTCAATATCCCTCAGCTTCAAGCTCCATATAACACGGCTAAAGCTGCTTGTACACATTTGGCAAAATCCTTGGCCATCGAGTGGGCACCATTTGCTAGAGTGAACACCATTTCACCAGGTTATATTGATACTGATATTACAGATTTTGCAAGCAAAGATATGAAAGCTAAGTGGTGGCAATTGACACCATTGGGAAGGGAGGGGCTTACTCAAGAGCTAGTTGGTGGATATTTGTACTTGGCATCGAATGCGTCTACATTCACAACTGGTTCTGATGTTGTTATTGACGGTGGATACACGTGTCCATAGAGTAAATATATATAATAGTTTGTGGATGTTGAGTAGCTAGCTTTTATAAATGTCGAATTTGATAGACTTCGCTTTTCGGATCAAAATTATATCGTCATCTAGCTCTCCTTGGCCAACCCTTGTGCTGATTTTCCAATTAACCAAGCTCGTCCGGAGGATACACGAGTGAAATTAAAAGCGTCAAGACGTAACCTTGCGATGTATACATTGTTTGACTAGTCTCAGACCAACAAAAGAAATGAATCTGCAACCAGTAATTAATTTTCAGCGGCGCTGTTGGGATCTAGCTAGCACTACTTTGAACGTAAATTGATGCTGCTTTGTGCAAAAGCTCACCTGTTGCAAAATCGAGAAGAATTAAAATACGAGCTATTGACTCCACTTATGTCATTTGTTGCTAACATGTTGGGTTTCAAAAAAGCGCTCAAGTGACCCCCGTGTCACTAAGAAAGGCAAGTATCAAACTACTCGGTATAGTGCTTTTGTTGATGCCGCCCTTATCCCCTCGGCTTCCTCGGAAACGAACTAACTGTCCCCTCCGCATATCATTTACCTTTTTTCACCCAATTAGCGGAGATTAAATATTACAGAGGCGGCGCTAAGTTTTGTATCAATTTAGAAACCTGGTTGAAGTTCAACCAGATTGCTACTTCTTTACCTCCACCCTTCAAAGCGGAGTTTAAATATGATGAGAACAGCATTATAACATGTGTTGTCTCAAGGTCATATTCCTAATTTAACCGATGTTGCTACTCCAAACATATCTTACTCATGTTTGAGCCAAAGCACACCTGGAGTCAGACTATAAATAACGACCAATTAAGCTTCCAGGTTCTTGGCTTTTCGAAAAAGATACAACACATTGTCTGCTTACAAACTTTGAATCATGGGCGAAATCGAATCTTATTGTAACAAAGAGTTGGGACCATTGCCAACAAAAGCTCCAACTTTGGCAAAGAACGTGCTTGACTTGTTTTCCCTTAAGGGTAAAGTTGCTTCTGTGACTGGATCATCTGGTGGTATTGGTTGGGCTGTTGCTGAGGCTTACGCTCAAGCTGGTGCAGATGTAGCCATTTGGTACAACTCCCATCCAGCTGATGAGAAAGCCGAACACTTGCAAAAGACATATGGGGTCCGTTCGAAAGCTTACAAGTGTAACATTAGTGACCCAAAGAGCGTTGAAGAAACCATCTCTCAACAAGAAAAAGACTTTGGAACCATTGACGTGTTTGTCGCTAATGCTGGTATTCCTTGGGCTGATGGTCCGGTGATTGACCTTGAAAACTACGATGCATGGAATAAACTCATCAACACCGACATCAATGGTGTGTTTTACTGCGCACACAGTATCGGTAAGATCTTCAAAAAGAATGGAAAAGGATCCTTAATTATTACTGCTTCACTCGCTGGTTCTGTTGTCACTATTCCGCAACAACAAACTCCTTATAATACTGCGAAAGCCGCTTGTCTTCATTTGGCAAAATCATTGGCGGTTGAGTGGGCGCCATTTGCTAGAGTCAATACCGTTTCACCAGGCTACTTTGAAACCGAGATCAATGGATTCGCAGACGAGGATATGCGTGAAAAGTGGTATCAATTGACGCCATTGGGAAGAATGGGAATAACTGAAGAGCTAGTTGGTGGGTATTTGTACTTTGCTTCTAATGCATCTACATTCACAACAGGCTCTGATCTTATTATCGATGGTGGATTCACCTGTCCATAGAATGGTATAGATGTGTAGACGTATGGCGATAATCAATATCAGGCAGCCTTCTTGTCCAGTAGAATTCTCGGACATTTTGTATATTAGCTGGACTAATTCCCTGCACATTGCCTTTTTGTGTCATAATTACGATTGCTATACCGAGACTTTTCTTACTCGCACAAACACGGACTCCGACGAACGTGTCAAAAATAACTATAAATACTTGAAAGATTGAACAACGTCTGGGCATTGAACAAACTTTTCGAACTTCTTTAAAAATTCATTTTTAAAAAAGACATTTTATACAACTACTTGAACATGGGCGAAATCGAATCTTATTGCAACAAAGAGTTGGGACCATTGCCAACAAAAGCTCCAACTTTGTCAAAGAACGTGCTTGACTTGTTTTCCCTTAAGGGTAAAGTTGCTTCTGTGACTGGATCATCTGGTGGTATTGGTTGGGCTGTTGCTGAGGCTTACGCTCAAGCTGGTGCAGACGTAGCCATTTGGTACAACTCCCATCCAGCTGATGAGAAAGCTGAACACTTGCAAAAGACATATGGGGTCCGTTCGAAAGCTTACAAGTGTAACATTAGTGACCCAAAGAGCGTTGAAGAAACCATCTCTCAACAAGAAAAAGACTTTGGAACCATTGACGTGTTTGTCGCTAATGCTGGTGTGCCTTGGACTGAAGGACCTGAAATCAATGTCGATAACTACGATTCATGGAACAAAATTATCAACCTAGACTTGAATGGTGTATACTACTGTGCTCATACCGTTGGTAAGATTTTCAAGAAAAACGGCAAAGGCTCCTTGGTGATTACTTCATCCATGTCGGGTACCATTGTTAATGTTCCTCAATTGCAAGCAGCCTACAATGCAGCAAAAGCTGCTTGCACTCATTTGACTAAATCCTTAGCAGTTGAATGGGCTCCATTTGCTAGAGTGAATTGTGTTTCTCCAGGTTACATTGCCACTGAAATTTCTGATTTTGTTGAAAAAGACATGAAAGCCAAGTGGTGGCAATTGACACCATTGGGAAGGGAAGGTTTGGCCCAAGAATTGGTTGGTGCTTACTTGTATTTGGCATCTAATGCTTCGACTTATACTACTGGTGCTAACCTCGCTGTCGATGGTGGTTACACTTGTCCATAGAAATTATCCTTTTAGAGTAAAACTTTTTAGATTAAATGTTCACATCTTGTATAAAAAAGTTGAAACTAAAATATAACATCGTCTTCTGTTTCTGTTAATACATTGCCCTTGGCATCTGCCCTAACGTCGAAATTTTCAACGTCTCGTTGCACACCTACGTCATCAGTTATACCCTCGGCTTTGGCCAAATCTACTTTCTCTTCAGCCTCAGCAGCTGCAGCTGCTTCTTGCTTCTTTTCTTGGACCTTCTTTAACCTATAAAACTCTTCCCTATCCAATTCATCCAATTCCGAATTGATGTATGCAATTGTATTTTCCGTCCTTGGAATAATGACATGCTCAATGGCATTAACTCTTCTGTTCGTAACTTTAATAACTTCGTCCAATATGATAAATGCTGTTTGCAACGATGCCAACTCAACCAATGTTTCAACGGCTTTGGTGTAAACTTGTTTGGCTTTTTGCACTTGTTGACCACCTCTTCCTAACCCAGTCAATTGGAAGTCATTGATTTCTTCATTTATGGAGCTTTCAAAAGTGGGCAAATAAACACCGGACACATTTTCTTGTTTTGCTTTAACTTGGAATCTGGCCTTATTGACGGATTCCTGTACTTGATAACCAATGTTATCACCAGTTGCGTATGAAACTTCAGCTAAGGAGAATGCTGCTGTTTGCATCACTCTGCCCATCTTGGTCTTTGCGTTATCGATACGGGTTGTTATATCCCTGAATCTCTTTGTCAATGCCTCTGACTTTCTCTTCAATAGGGAGTGACCTTGTTGTGCACCTTTTAATTTACTCTTCATGGTTCCCAATGTCATACGTGTGGGAAAGACCTGTTCACGATTTCCTGCTCCTGACATTGTGTGTGACTAGTTTGGTGAAGCTCGAGTAGTTGAATTGCAAAGTTGTCGTTCAATCCAATATCAACCTATTGCTCAGAGGTTTTGTCGAGAATTGAGTTTTCATTGTGTTGATAAATGAACTGTGACAATTTCTTGGTTTTTGCGACATACAAAATTTAATGCTCAACTGAAAGAGCTACAGTAAGTCTACAACAATGATATAATGATTGACATAGATGACATAGTGAAGGATAAAGACTTGGCATACGAAGCTGCTCTCGCTAAAAATGACAGGGATACGCAAACATGGGAATCTTACTACGAGTCAAGATTAAATGATGCACTACCTGGAAAGCTTTTTGTCATCTCGAGAGCAGTCAAGGCAATACCCGAATCAGAAGATCTATGGATCAATTATTTAAGTTTAATTGATAGCAACTTTGGACTTATGCTAGCACACGAAGTGCAACAAGTAATTGATCAATGTTTTACCACTCAATCAAAGTCATTAATTATTTGGTTAAAGGTTTTTGACATCTTGATGGAACATGCAATCGATCAAGTGACATATATACGACACAAGTTTGATCAATGTTTGCAAAATTTGCCTATCAAAGATCATGATAAGATATGGGTGTTGTTTATCAAGTTTGGTGATGTTATTGGTGGACCCACTGCAATTGAAATATACTCAAGGTTGATGAAATTCATCAGTCCTAGAGTTTTGAACGGAAGTGAAATTGGCAACCCAGCTGAGCTAAACTTAACCATTTTAAATTTCATTGACAAATTTGTCGAGCTTGGTGACGATGACAGTGGGCACGTGTTGAAGTTGTACGCTGAGATTGTTCAATCAAATGACTATTCAAACTTGCCCAAATCTCAGGTACAGATTCTATTTGAGTACTTGGATTTGCTTACTAAGAACACAGTAAAGGAGAAGGAAATTGAACTGCAAATAAACAAAGCGATACAAAAGTATCCCGACCAAATCACAAATCTACAATTAAAGTTGATTTCATTCTACAAATCAAAAGTGGATTATGCCGATAAGGTAAGAATCACATACGAAAAAGCTCTAAAGAATTGCAAGACTGTACGAGATTTCGAAAAAGTTTATAATGAATTTACAAAATATGAACAAGAAGATATACAGTCGTACATTGACTCCAACAATAATCCCAGTACAACCATCCTTTCACAAAAATTGACCTATTTTGAAAAGCTTCTCAACGATAGAAGATTGTTGATCAATGACTTGCAACTTCGTCAGGATATAAATAATGTCGATTTTTGGTTCAACCGATTTGATATTTACCAATCTCAATTACCTTTACTTATTCAAACCATAGCCAATGCCATCAAATCAATCAATCCATTAAAGATCCCTCGCAATTGTCAACATAAACTATATGAGATTTGGATCAAATATGCACAAATATATGCCTCTTCATCCGACTTCAAAACTGCTGATTTCATATTTGGTAAATCGGTGCAATCGCAATACCCGCATCCCAATGAATTAGCAGAACTATACATCCACTGGAGTGAAATGCGATTAGCCAATGACTATTTCCCAGAACTGGATGCAATAGAATTACTTGAAGATGTACTATATCGTGAATCATCGTCAGCGAATGATGCAACAATTAGCTACTCCGATGCATCAGTACCAGTACAAAAACGAATTCGCAAACTGATTCAATTATGGGATTTTTACCTTGATTTAGTTGAATCATTTATTGAATCACCACGAGATATCATTTACATTGGTAAAATAAGTGATGCTTATGAAACGATGATTGATTTGAAAATTGCCACTCCTGGAAAATTGTTAAATTTTGCCACGTTTTGTGAAAAATGGGGGTTTATTGAAAAATCTTTGAGTATTTATGAGCGTTGTTTACATATTTTCAAAGATGAAGCTATAAAGTTGGAAATTTGGAATGTTTACATCACCAAGTTGAAGTATATTGATCATAAGGAAAGACGCAAAGATATTGAGGAGAGGTATTTTGAGGTGGTCAAGTTCAGAGGTGTATAAAATTGAAGATTTTGTTTTAGTGGATCAGTGTTGAGTCCCTTGTAGAATAAGGGCTCTCCATTTGGTGTAGAGCTGCATTTGAATAAGAACTGACATGAATAGCAAAGCTTTTATTTGATTACAACTTGAATTTAATTTTATAGGTAAATTTGCAACAAAATGGTTAGGAAATGTACACTACTCTGCTTCAACATCAAAAATCGACACCTGCTCTTAAAATTTCAAAGTCATAACCAACGCAGGATTGAAGGTTGAAAGCTATTCGACGATTGATCTTACGACTAGCTGCAGTTTACTATCTTTATAAGTGCATAATGGTTCAAACCTTACTCAATGTTTTGTGCCGTGTGTAGCGGCTGCAGGAAAATTTTGCAGAAAAAATCCCAGATAGTTTAGTGGCTAGAATTACCGTTTGTCGCATGGTAGACCAGGGTTCAATTCCCTGTCTGGGAGCATTTTTTTTTTTGCTTCTTCTCTTGATTCTCCTCTTGATTCTTTATTCCCATTGAATTGCAATTAAACTACCACATCCACCCATTCTACATTGCAAATAATCTTTACAATACTCTCTCTACTTTACGTTACTAGAAAAAGTAATAATTTAAATAGAATACAAAAAGACAAACCGACGAACAATCAACGCGCTTTCCTTCCCACTAATGAACCCAAATAACATAAACCATGTCGTACTTTCTATTAAAAAAAAAAAAAAAACCCCCCATCCCTTGTACCCACATCCGAATCTCTCTATTATTACCTCATTTCATGTCATTTCCCAATTTAACCCTCAGCCTCTGCTTTAACCAAAATGATGCGATGTCCATCTAGCGACAAATTTCTCCAAATTTAATCGTTGATCAGAACAATTGTTAATCCTAATGGGTTTGTTCAGTTTAATCAATTCATCATATGAGTTCCATCCAATATGGAAATCGAAAAACACAGTTTTGATAAACAGTTTGATCAATTTTTGATTATTCTTCAATTTTGTCTTTGTAGATTGCGAATTGATAATGAGTAGCGTGAATAACTTGGTGACAATTTCAGTACTTGCTGAGGTTGTTAATGCCAAATTAGTATTATTCTGACTTTCGTCACTTTTAATTGGTTCGAATTTGCCTTGATCAACAATCGGGGTTGATGGTGCTGATAATGATAATGGTAATGAATCATTGAATTGGAGTACCAACTTGAATGTGTCATTGAATGTTAATTCACTCGTTTCTCCCGATGGCGCGCTATAACTGCTAATGAATTCACGATTGAAAATCTCTTGGTTAACCAATTCTAATAGACAGTAGATGTCAATCACGGATTGGTTGGGAAACATGACTAGAATAATGGGAATCGTGGAATGGTCTCTTTCAGATAATCCCGTTTCACTCATACTCTTGATGTATAAGAGATGAATAAAATTGGTTTTGAATAAACTCATATCAATTCCTGAATGGGCAATAAACGGTTTTGATAAAACAGACTCCATAATTTTATTAAATTCACGGTTCTTGCTCTGCTTCATTACATCAGTTAAACCCTGTAATTTCTGATCAAACAAATCAAACAGGTTACGAATAGTGTGTATCGAATCTTGCGATGAGTAATTATTCGATAATATTTTAATCAAGAATTGAAATGCGAGATTCGAAGGAACATTGCAATCCCAAGCTAATTTTCTCAATTGATTCTTTTCACTGGTGAATTTCTTGTTGAAGTGCTTGGTGTCTAACTCCATCAACGAGTTTAGAGTTTTGATCCATTGCTGTTGATGAAGAAGTGCTGATTGTACGGTTTTGATCCTTGAATCATGTTGGGTCTTGACAACAGATTCAAACAGACTTAGACTTTTTGTGAATTCTCGATTGTGTTTGGTTTTGTCGAGTGATGATTTTGGTGGCAAGTTTATAGGTCTAGTTTGATCAAGAAAATTGAGCTTTTCAGGTGAGATCAAATGCAAGTCTTCCAAGGACGATTGCGATTTAATAAAAGATGGCAACTTGTACATCAAATTTTGCTCCCTTGTCATTTTCATCAACTTTGATACCGATGCGCTTCTTTGAGAATAGAAATCAGAAATGTTGGCAGTGATTTCTGAATCATCATCAAATGTCGATTCGTCTTCTTCAAGTATGCTGTCTTCATTGCCGGTACCATTAAGTGTTGGCAAATGGGTCGTGCTTAGTTTCCCGGGTAATGGACATGGCCGAATATTGTACTTGTCATCATCATCACCCACCAAGTCATTTCTCGATAGTATAGTTACAGTACTCGATGAGCCAGAATTTGACCTCGATTTGGATTTGCCAAGAGTACTAGTGCTTCCCTTTTGCAATGAGTACAATTCATTGTTTTTGATCACGGGAACATTAAAGATTAAACTATCCAAATCGTTTGATAGTATTTCTTCGTCATCATCATTTTCCTCATATTTCTTCTTTCTCAATATTTGACGTTCTTTGCTTTCTTGAGAGCTCATAAATTTAGATTTAGTACGATTTAAAGTTGGCACTGTAGTCACCGACTTGGAACGTTCCTTTTTAGTTGGGGGTTGTGGTACAGGAAACGGTCTCAACACATTTGTTGTAGATGCTGCTTTCAAAGGTTGTGGTTTGAAATTGGACGGAGTTTTGGCCAAAGATATCTCAGATTCATTGTCAACTAGAGACACTTTTGATTCAAAAGCTGCTGTTGACGCGGATGTCATTGAACTTAGCCTGGAGTCAACTGGTTGAGATCCGTGATTGTGTTGTGATTGTGTAGTGCAAGAAGTGATGGCTGAGGTAGAGCTAGCAACGGGTGCATCAAATTGTGATGATACAATCAGGGAATGGTCTTCAAAAGACGAAGATGAGGAATGGGCAGACATTAGTGAATCTTGAGACATTCTTCTTTTATTGTTGGCTGGGAGTGAAGATACAGAAGCCGATCCAGGAAGTGGTGGTTGGCTCTTGTTCAAGTTTAGTGACGATTTGGAGTTGATTTTTTGAATGTAATAATCACCAGGTCTTTTCGGTATATTTGGAATTGAAGCGGTGTGTTCATTCAATGTTGGTAAAGAAGTTCTGGAAGCAACTCTTTTGGGAGTGGAACAGCCACCACCACCACCACCACCCATTTTTGAGGGGGGCGGTGGTACTGATGGACAAGACAGTTTTCTTGAATTGAGTGATATGTCATACAAATTTTGACTATTTATGGAAACATTAGACATAATTGTATAGGTGTAGGTGGGTGTAGTTTCTAGCGAGTGTCGAAAAGTGGTAAAAGACCTAGTTGGGAATTTTATCTCACTTTATAAATAAAAAAAGAAGTTGCTGTGGTGGGAGTTTTTGGTTGTCTGGAAATTTTCTTGCAACCAAATAAAGAAGTAGCAACAGTTTTAATGGTTAAGAATAGCCAGTGTTTTGATCTAGGTGTTTTTCTAATAGTGTATAGCAAGTAGCTCAACTGGACAATCTGTAACAAGTTGGTCTATGAAAAGGTAGTGGTTCACAGACAAGTTGGTGACGATGTATATCTTCTTTGATCTGATTTGTAAAAGCGAGTGTGTTTTTTTTTTGGTTTGTAGTCGAGTGTACGTTTAACTATCACTTTTGATTCAGTGGGTGTAGCAAGATGGGTGGTGGTTGTGAGTTGTGGTTGTGCCAGTTTCCTCTTGTGAGTTGTAAGTATGGTGGTGGTTGTGATGGAGTAAGTGTGTGTGATATAAAAAGTGGTTGTCAGATCTGAAATAGAGAGAAGGAATTTTACTTTGCATTTTGTCTTCTTTGCTTGTCTTTGTTTTTGTAAAAAAAAATGAAATCTCTCTATATTTTGTGTGTCTCTCTCATTCTGTTAGTGATTGTTTTTGTTTTTGTTTCTTTGAGTACTGCATATAGCCATGCTTATTATTTATTATTTATTATTATTGTTTATTGTTTATGGTTTTTCAGTGTAGTAAAAGTAGTGTACTTATTACCAAAATTTGGTTTAAGGGTGGGTATTTATAGCAACTAACTACTCATCACTAGTCTATGCATAATATGACTTGTTCGGAAATTAACTTGCGGAAAAGTATACACAACATTGAGCAATCAAACGTATCTTCTTTTACCAAGGGCTGTCCAACTTTCGTTGGGTTCCTTTCGCTTGTGGATGAAATGACAGCAACTGTCCATAAACTCGAGTTCTTCAAAATGCTGGTTATGAATTCCATTTGTGGTATACTGTTTAACCCATTGTACATGTTTAGGGTGCTGTTTTTTTGTTTTTTTTTTTTTTTATATTCTATTCAACCATCGAGGAACTCCTTTCCATCTATTGTTGTTCAGTCAAATTGCCGCCTTCTATTGTTTCAGGTGGCTGTTGTTTTCATCTTTGTGGTGGTTGCTGCCTACGTGTCTCGGCTTAAACTAAAGCTAAATTTAGCACAAAGGTAGCTTTATACTATTACTCGGGTAGTTGTTTTATTCAAAGAAAACCTGCTCAAGCAACACAACCAAGGCTTTTAGATGTCTTATCGGAAGTTTGGAAGATGATTTATTTTTTCATTACACTGAAAACCACTGAACCAATTCCCCGCTGTTGCCGAACAGTAAAAACAAGCTGAAATCAACCCGATACCGACTATCAATCGAGATGCCGAAAAAAAAAATAAAATCAATGAAAAAACATTCAATTTGAATCCCGTGTTGTTGTTTTAGTGGTCGTTACAAAATCTCAGAACAAGAGTAGCAATTGTAATTATAAAAACAAAAGAGAAGCAAAGAAACACACAATGCTAGCAAAGCTTAACAATATTATACAAATCTCAAGTTCTTCTTAATGGCATAAGTAAAAAGCAGGTATGTGTCAAAAGGTACAAAAAGTTTAAAGTATCCATGGCCAAGATAAAAAGTAGATATAGCAATCCTTATTACGAAAGATTAGGAAGTCATTGATAGATTGAGATAGGAGATGCGATACAAAAGAACAGGAAGTTCGTCGTTTGCTGCTTTTAGTTTTACTGATGGGATTTTCCACATAGCTTCTAAGATAGTCGTGTATGTGTGTATGTACGTATGTATGTATGTGCGTATGTATGTCTCGTTTGTTTACATGTCTTTTTCTCGAAAGGAGGCGTGTACTGTATATAAAGTGCTTGTGTTTTATTCGTGCTACGGAAAATTGTAATACGTTTTCTCTTTCAAATGTTGTTTCTTGAATGAACGAGTAACAAAAAGGCAAATGTCCCAATGGGGTAATACCTATTACTACTTTAAGAATACTATAGTATTCTAGTCTAAAAGCACTTTATCTCCGAAACCATTGACTTATCTTTATGCATTGGGGGAGGGAAGAGAGAAGGAGTACCAAACAGTCAACTTTTCTAATGGCTTTAAACTAAAATAGCAATTAAACAGGAGGAATTTGTTTTATCTTATCTAGAAGAAGGTACAATTAGAGAACACAATACTATACACCCCTTACTGAATATGTGTTTAATTTTGCTGCTTTAGGGATGAAACTCTTGGCATTAGAAGATTACTTCTTTTATTTTCTATTTCACGTATTTCCTTAATTCTTTATCTCATGGCCAATACCAGCATTTATGTTTATATCTGAAAGTACGCACGTGCACTGGTATTTGCCTACACACCACAGTGCAAGTGAAGCTTAGAAAGCGTTTGATTTCGATTTGATCTGTGTATGGTAGCTAAAGTTTCCTAACCCACCACACAAAGATCAAATATAACCGTACCCTTTCTTTCTCTTTCTTTATTCTTTCACTTGGCAACTTCCTTGTAAGATCAATAGCGAGATCTTGGTTGGTATATCGAGTAAAGTTGGCTTACAAGAGAAATAGACGTTATTTTTGTATTTTGCGTTGTTTTTTAATTCAGTAACAAAATCAACAAAACAAAAGAAAACCAATTACGAGAGTGTACACAGACACGAGTGTTGCAAAATACTTTGGTCCCGCGTGTTTTTTACCCTTTTCTATCATTCGTTTTATGCTGTTTCATTGCAATTGAGAGTTCTAAACATCTCTGGCGTGTAATTCGTCGTAGAATCTTTGGCAAGTTAGAAGAACGATTGCCATCTCAATTGGAGATGCCAAAAAAAAAAAAAAAACTATTGTACATTTGGTCCCAATTTGGACACCTAAACTGCTTGAAAACGCACACTATTAGAAAGCGATGTGAGTATCCATGTCTCGCGGTTATAGTATTGTACCAAACCACAGTGAAATCAAAGAGGTTTTAAATACTTTACAATAATTTTAACGATATACAAGATTTAATATTGTGATGATTAATAAAGAATTCTAAATTATTCAAACGTCATGCAAGCTTCAAAATTCCATGATTGCAGCACAGAATTTATGAATCCCCTCTCAACGAAAGGGGTTGTTTCAAGACTCATGCACAAACACAAGATGAAATATTGTTTCCACCCCCAAAAATTGGATTCGCAATATGATAAAATGTGACTGATTTCGTCAGTTAACTTGTCATATATCGTTCACAGAAGCTTTTTACAAAAGCCTGCTTTTTGATCGATACGTTGCCAAATTATATTGACTTTTCTTCAAATGTAATAAGCACCGTTATGGATCCCAAGAAAGAAGATAACGGTGATTACCATCTAAAGAAGATGTCATTGATACCTTGTACCTACATTTATTCCTCAAAGAGGAGGTAATAAACTTTCAATATCCCATTTAGGTTCTATTGATTCAGGACTTGGACAAACCTCAGGCTCATTTTTTGTGACTGTGTTTCACAATTTTATCAGAAATGGGAGAATCGTTATTCGTTTTATAATGTTTTCATAAAGTTCACGCTGCCTCTATCTTTATCACTTATTATATTTTCTCTTCCCCATAAATCGATAAATTGATAAATTACACCCTACTTTGTTTGGCAAACACAAGGAATGCTAAGTTTTGCAGGTCTGCGACGACTTCGACTCTGCTTCCATCTCGCATTTTTCAGTCGACAACATTTATTCCTGTGGCGATCGCCTCTTTCCAAGATGCGAAGGCAGCCCTATTTGTAATTAGTAAGTAAAATAAAAAACCAGCACAAAGTGCATTAGCTCATTTCTGTTGTCTAGTTGCAAATTCGATGAAACTCTATGAACCTTCGCAACTAAACTACCGTGTCTCAAGCAAGACCATTATATATCCGTCGTGCATACGGAGCTTATATCACCGAAGCCGGCAGGCATGTAGTGTTACAAAGTCTTATAATTAACTGAATATACATTGTTACACGAAATATGAAACACAACCAATGAATGTTACATAAAAAGTTAAAAAGGAGAATAGTCGGGTTACATGTGTGACCTGCTTGTGGGACAACTTGCCACAGAAGTGGAGTTCAAAAGATATCATTTGGCTACAACTAAGGCAAGGGATCTTTTTTTCCCCAAACCACCCCATCTGTCTATGTACATATGACATGTGTATAACATTGTGTCTATAAATAATGTAAACAGTCTCTAATACTACTAAAACTAGTGTCGCACAAACGTTAGCTCCCCCCTCTCCTTAATCTTGTCCATGCTCAATCCATTCAGTCGTACTCATTTGCGACAACCTACTCAAAGCTCGAGCAAATGCAAACCTCTCTTCATCATTGGCAAACATATTTGCTTTTTTCGCAATCGACTTATCAAAGCCGTGTTTAGTCACCAACTCATCATCTTCAAAAGTTTCCTCAACCCCTTTATCCTTTTGTCGTTTATACAATTGATAGTTTCCCTCAGCCAAGTCCTCTGGCTCAACGAATAAATCCTTGAATGGAGCAGCACACGTTACTGCCAAACGACCATGTGAATCATAAACCGCATCCAAAAATGTAATGAAACGACGCACTTCATTTCTAGCGTCGATACTGAGATAAGGGATATCAGTGATTATGAATGAATGAAACAGTTCAGCCAAAGTGAGGTAATCACCGGCTGATCTTGGTGTACCACATAGTTCAAAAAACGTAAATTGGGCAACGTTTGGTGGAGAACATAACGGGATTGGGATACGTCTGCCCCATACTTCAAGATCGTAATCAGTCAACTTTTCTTGACATTCAGCATTACCATCATTGAAATAATCATACCATTGAGCAACATGTTTGGTACAATTGGTACGATTAACTTTCGAATCCCATTTAACTCCTGGCTTGGGGAAATAATAAACTGAACTAACCGGTTTGGGTACTTTTCTGTAATCAGTTGGTGAATTCAAGTAAATGACACGACACTTATGTTTAATCAATTGAATACATGGAATGAAACTAACCCTTTGGATCCCATTCAAGTATAAATCATCAGGAGCTCGATTACTGGTGGCAAATAAAACAACACCATACTGGGGCGACAACAACATCATTAACAATCGACGCAACAACATGGCATCAGCAACATCTGTCACTTGAAACTCATCGAAACATAAGATAGTTGAATCACGAGCAATCTCAGCCGCCAATATCGGAATAACATCAATGTCATCATGCTCTTCACCCGTCTTCAGCTTGGTACTATACTTCATCTTTAATTGATGGGTCCGTTTATGTAAATTTTGCATAAATTGATGGAAATGAACACGTTTTTTATTCAAATGTGATGGCACCGTTTGATAGAACAAATCCATCAACATAGTTTTACCACATCCAACATCTCCGTAAAGGTATATCCCCTTAACACCATTGCTATCATCATCATTGGCGAAATCGTAATCTGAAGCTCCAACAATTGAGTTTGTTCCACCACCATTGCGACCAAAAAATGATGAAAAAGTCTTAACGAGGGAAAATTTTGGTTTCAAGTCCTTGTATGTTGGTATTTCCACATTGGGTGGTTGATATGTATTTAACAGCTCGTGTAGTTGGGATAACGACGTGATGATTTTGTGTTGGTATGGGTCATCTCGCAATTTACCATGTTTAACTCGTTTAGAGTATAGTTCAAGTGGAGTTTGTAAATGGCGATGACTGGATGTAAAGTTTCGTTGAAGTGAATGGTTGCATGTTACGGAAATTGTTTTTTGGGGTAGTATTCGTGAAATTTTGGTGGGGAATCTCGATAGTATCATTGTTGATGGTTTTGCAGATGTCTAATGGAGGGAGTGGTCTTTTACGAGCCGTTGTGCATTTGAGATTGTGCTGTGATGGGGTGTGGCCAGTTTAGTAGACTTCTGTGACCAAGTGCACAAGCTATTCCTCACTCGTTTGATAAATTATTTGAGTGGCTTTTGACATGACGCATTGTGGTTGGTTCAACTTTTTCTTTTCGCAAGACTGCGCAACTCAATCATAGAATCTCAAAGAACCAACACAACAACAAATTCAAACCTGATGGTAGAATACATTATGAACCCGGTTTGCTTGTGTATCTCGATGAGGTCAGCATCGTGTCAATGGTTTCGAGCGAGTTAGAGCAAAGGACTCCACCCTGAATGGAGCATTATTGGCCCAAAATCAATTTAGTTCCCAATGAGGCACAACATTGTATTCAACTCTAAAGAATAAAAAAGCATATCCTTCAAGTTGTTTCACCTACGATAGTATGAGTTTCTAGGAACAAAGGGAGATATTTATAGCCTGAATCCCCACTTTTATGCCCCATTTTTAGTTTTGCAGCTAATCCTGGGTCGTGTAAAACTGAAAAAAAGCATAAAAAATTGGAGCAGTACAATTTAGGTGACGGAATATGCCGTTGAAATCCCCGTCACCAAAATACATCTTACCCTTCGGCCATCCACATTACATCCACCTTCTCCAATCATGTCAAAGTCGGTAACCCCTGCAACAACAACATCAGCAGATCTTCATTCACTTCTGGAAGTCACCACAAAGCCACATTCATTCAAACAAAACCCCAATAGGAAACCAGTTGGTAACAGACGCTATAAACCAAGTCGACAATTGATTTCCGATGAGATCAAGTATATTCAACAAAAGGAAAATCTACCCGTGGATAAGCCTACATATTTATCAGTCACTGCACCTCCTAGTCTATTACCTAAGAAACATTACTGTGACATTACTGGGTTGGAAGGCAAGTACAAGAACCCAGCTAATCAATTACGATTCCATAACGTTGAGATTTATCAAGAAGTTATCAAAAACATACATCCTGGTGTTGATCAAGCGTATTTGGAGCTAAGAGGAGCCAATGTTGTTTTAAAATAAAGTTGGCGATGGATAGATGCATTCACCATACAAGTGTATAAATAAATACCGTTATACAAACTCATCAACGAGTTTTTTCACTCCTTGATCAAACTTTGGTGAATTCAATACATCCTCTTCATTACTATTCTCTTGCTCATCTTGTCGACTTGTGCCAAAATTTCTAAATGGATTACAAACAACACGTAAATACAACTTATAAACTGAAGTAATGAACTTGTGCAAATTATCTCTATTAACCGAGGCACTTTGATCCATCCCCACAATAATCTTTAATCCATTGTTCGACTCATATCCATATACAATCACTTGATCTTGAATGAACAAAAGCAAAACGCCGTCGGAGTTTTGCTGTTGTTGTTGTTGCTCGCGTAGTGCTAATGATGTTGGTGACGAAAATATGTCTAGTGCCATGTGACTGAAGAAATTGAATTTGAGAAACTTGTTGATTGTAGATGTTGATTGTACTGATTCGGTGGGTTCATCTGTGGTCAGTTCTTTTGGGGCTGGAGCTATTTCCGGTAGGAACGATTGAATGTATAGTGGTTTATCAGTACGTGATATGAGGGAGACAAATTGTATCGGATTCTTGCGTGTTGATGTCATTATTGCAAATGAAGTGGGCTAGGCGTGTGTCTACGTTGGTGAAAAGGTTTGGTCGTATTGATTTTGTTGTGGAAACGTTTTGATGTCGCAAAACCTCAAATACGACACACATTCATAACTCTATTACAACTGGCTCAACAGATAGATACACATATGTAGAAATGAGCAATATTTGTGACAGTCAAGAGGAGTTCGATGAAATGCAGTATGGGTAAGATATATTGCAATGCAAAGTAGTGGAGTGCAATGCACATTTGCAGGCTACTTACGCCCAATCAGTGAACTCGGAACAATGGGAAATTTACTTCACCAACCACGAGATTGAGTAGTATGACGCTGCGATCCGATATGAACTTTGTGTCAATGCAAACCGTTGGTTTGATCTAGGTGTATGAAGCAGAGAGGATGACAGTACCTAGGATAGCCTTTAATCATTGCCAAAACTTAATGAGCTCTTTAGCTAATGAGTAATTGATTTTGGTTTCATTAGATTGCAAGGTGCGACAAAGTGGTAGGCATGAAACAATTGGGGTGCCTCACCTTTCGACCACTAAGGGAAAGCTGGAGTGCAGCTTCCTTTCACACCGTGGTTGCAAAATTCATCGATAAAAATCCATCCTTCACCCCTTTTGAACCCATAATATGTCATGATATCAAAGACCTGGTGATCTTTTGTTACTTTTACTCCCTACTTCAGTAGTTGTGCCGTAGTTGTCTTGAATAACTCATGATGTGGTTTGGCTCTATTGATTGTCCCTGTATTTCCCTTGTCCCGTCGTTCCTCGAAAAATACTTTACGCGCGTTGCGTCTAGTCCTTTCCGATGTTTCCTTTTCCCTCTCCCGAAAAAAACCAAAAAAAAAAAAAAGAAAGGAAAAAATCATTTCAAGGAGGAACGACGAGGCGTGTAGATTAATGTTGCAAGGTATATGCTTTTGTTATCTCCACAGGATGAGATCGCAAATACATTGATCTCTCACTAGATCAACATAGCTGTACCTTACAATTACTAAAAACTAAAAGAGAATGTTTTTTATTTACGCGCCATAGCCACATTTCCTCAACAAAATTCTCCCTTTTTAAGTAGTAGGCAGATCACAATAAGTCTTTCAATGGAGATAAAAGAGAGACAATGAACTAATAAAACACACACAGAGATACTTATTAAATGTAATGCTCTCTCATGCAAGAAGTATATTGACTTAAACGCCGAAAAACCAAGGCTGTGAGAACTTTCATTCTCCTTATTGAAAGCAACAATGTTCACTCAGTAGCTAGGTATGTCGTAGTAGTACAATGAATGCTCTACATAGTTGGATCTATAGACCTATCGTACTAACACATTTTTTTATCTACATACTCCCCTCCATAGTGGTATAACTGTAGATCTCTGTTGCACCTTGTACCTTTTGTGACAAAAAAAAAAAATAAAAATTTGTTTTTAGAGGCACAGTTTTTCCCATCCCTTTCTGAATATCAACAACAAAAATCTGGTTCCAGAAAAATACTTCCCCATAGAAAGCAGAATCATTTGCTAACCACGATATCGTTTTTCCTTTGATACCCACCACTCGTTATTATCAAGCACCATGGCTATCTTCAGATCTAAATCATCCAACAAAACCCCACAAGAAGGGAACATAGATGTCAAAATCACCCACAAGGATGAAGAACATTATAAAGTACACACAGCCAACGTGCATGATCCTATCTTGACCGCTGTCAACGAAGCACAGCCTTTTGAGCAAGCAGCCCAAAGAGATACCAGAAGACCATCTTACTTATCCAACGAATCAGCTGATTTAAAAGATATATTTGGTCAACCAATTAGACAAACTGATATGTCGAACCCAACGAGAAATAGAAATGAAAGACCATTAGATACTATACGTGGATTCGAATATGCCATCACCGGTGATGTTAGCTACAGAGATCAATTAGAAAGTGGTCGTTTAGGGTGGGGATTCCATGAAGATTTCCCATATTATAATTTGAATGGACAAGGTGCACAAGATGATGGTGGCCCACAAATGGGTGGAAGTGGCAGACCAGTAATCAATTTTGATGATCAACCAGTTTATCAAGCTCAGAACTATAGTGCCAGCTCTTTGCAGAATGATGGTGGTAAAAAGAAGAAGAAGAGAGGATTGTTTGGAAGAAAGAAGTAGCTTGGTAGAGCTTGGTAGAGCTTGGTAGAGCTTGGTAGAGCTTGGTAGAGCTTGGTAGAGCTTGGTAGAGCTTGGTAGAGCTTGGTAGAGCTTGGTAGAGCTTGGTAGAGCTTGGTAGAGCTTGGTAGAGCTTGGTAGAGCTTGGTAGAGCTTGGTAGAGCTTAGCAGAGCTTGAAAGAGCTTTATAGTCCATTTGTTGATGTTTCCATTTGTTTAGTTCGTTTCATAGTGTTTTTTCTTGTTTGAATGTATTTGATTTGGTTACTGACGCGTTGAAAGTGTAAGAGGAGACGCATATTGCATCTACCGATTCATATTGGTATTCTCTCTATATACTACAAAGGTTTCATGATTTCATCATACAACATCCTCTTCAACTCCTCTATGGTCAATTCATCCTTTCTTTTATCAAAATCAAAGAAATCTTCAGGAATCTTTTCACTAACAGGCTCATCATTAGGGTCATGATACAATTGCAAATATGGATGCTTCAATGCATCTTCCATAGTGATACGTTTAGCAGGGTTAAATATGAGTAATTTCTCCAACAAGTCCAACGCTAGTGGATTTATTGGTGCGTTATTGACATTTTTAAACAATTCCGCAAACGGGATCTTTTTACAAAATGGCAATGATCTGATGTATTCTCTTGCACGTTTTGATTTGATATTGTAATAGTCTTCCATGTTTGGTGTACCCAACACCTCCATAATCAACCACAATTGATTATGATAGTCTCTACCTGGAAACAATGGTCTTCCACTCAACATCTCCGCCAATATGCACCCTACTGACCACACATCAATGGCAGTGGTGTATTCTTGGAAAGTCAACATAATTTCTGGTGCTCTGTACCATCGAGTGGCAACATACTCTGTCATAAACCCAAAATTATCCTCCAGTGAAGCAATACTTCTAGCAAGACCAAAATCACAAATTTTCAAATCACAGTTGGAATTGAGTAACAAATTCAGTGGTTTTAAATCTCGATGCAACACATTGGCAGAATGCATAGCTTTCAAAGCTCGTAATGTTTGATAAGTGAAATATTGTATATGATCGTCAGTCAAAGTTTGTGTACGTATTACTCGATGTAAATCAGTTTCCATTAATTCTTGAATTAAGTAAATCTCATTGAAATGGGCATAGTCGTATGGTCGTTGAATGGCAAGTATCGATATAATATTTTCGTGATTGAAATGTTTCAAAAGCTTGAGCTCTCGTAATGTTCGTAAGCACAACATTGATCTTTCAAATGGTTCGATTTTCTTGATGGCTACTTTTTGCTGAGACGGTTTATGAATGGCTGAACATACGATACCATAAGCACCTTCACCAACAATTTCTAAAATTTGATAGTGATCAGAAACGTTGAACGAAACTTGTCTTTGTGGGGTATCTGATTGCTGCTGCTGCTGTTGTTGTTGCATTTGCTGCATTTGCTGCATTTGTTGTTGCTGTATTTGCAGTTGTTGGATCTGGGCTTGGTGATGCTGTTGGGGATGATGATCAACGCTCATTGTAGAACTAGTGGTACGATGATGGGTCAGTTTCCTTTGAACACTTTTAGCAGCTGAATAACTAACCTTTGGTTGTGAAGCGCCTGATCTAAACTATTCAAGTGTTAGGAAGTAAGTAATGGTATGGACCACAATATATACGATACTTGAAAGTTGTTTTCAAAGTTGAAATATTTGAAGGAGAGACAGAAAGAAGAATGATTGAAAGAAAAAAAAATATACAAGAGGTTATGCATCTTTTGTGCAATAATTTTCTATTGATCTCTCCCATACAACACGTTTTAATTTTTGGCGCTTAATACATAAGTGAAAAAAAAAACACCACTATCTTTACTCATGTATAGTGAAAATAAGGTACAAAAGATGAATGGTTATATGTGGCCAAGTGCATCCATGTAACCAAAAAGAAAGAGTTCTCTAGTCGAGTACTAGTGTAATGATGCTTCTGGCTTTGTATTAAGTTTTTCTTATATCTAATGTATCCTGTGATTTTAAACTTATGTAAATAATAAAAAAAAGTTAGCCTCTTTTTATTCTTTTTTGTCGTCTCATGTTTCAGATATCTATATTGAGTTTACTTGAATTTGTATCAGCTGAATGCTAAAAGCTACAGGCCATTTCTAACAAGGCACAACTTTATTAAGCGTTAGTAACAGCCTTGTTGTTAGCTATGTAATGTTTTAAAAAAGTTTCTTATGGGTTTGGCTTTTGTTTATTTCTCTCTTTATTGTGCTTGTGTTTGATGGTTTAGTGTAAGAAGCAGAGTCTGAATGGGCTGTTCACGACGATTACCCACCCCTTTCATTCTTGTATTCTTACAGACAATACAGTCTACAGCCACAGTTTACACGAGAACAAACACAAGCCAAACAAAGTTATGCCGTTGTTGTTTATGATATATGGTTTATACTTCGCTAATGTTTTAGATGAGAATGTTGGGTCTTTCATTCATATTTTGTTGATAATGTAGTGAAAGAATTTTACACGTTCTTGAGTTTTGTAGTACAAAAGGCATCAATTTTTTAAGGTACCATTTCTGATGCCTTATAATATACAGTACTATTGTCCATGAAGAAAACACACAAGACGCGTGTAACTTTAGGGGTATAGAGTTTTTGGTATTTGGTATCTGTGTTTATTAATCAGCCGTTTTTGGAAATTACCCCTTAGAGAGTCCCTGTCCCCCACATTGTTTGTTTAGTCGTAGTTGCCAAATTGCAACTTTTCACAACCAAACAAGTGTAATTTCGTGATTGTCGGATAGGAAAAGACCTGCATTAGCTTTGGCAATGGTCTCTGACTTTTAATGCAATTGGATCACGAGCACAACGAAAGGACTCCCAATGATGTAGGTGTTATTATTTGCAAAAATTCTCATACAAAATTGTGGTGAAAAATTCCGCATAAGGAAAGGTGGGTAGTAGCTTGTAGTCACATCCACTAATCTCGTTTTCCAAGAGCAGCAGTTCGGTATATGAGGCCATTGGCCGTAGTTGAATGCAGTTAGCTGTAATACGTAAGTGAATTGGTGTATTTCCTCAAAGAGTGATCAGAAGAAGTGGGTAGTACTTATCGCTCTCGAAATAATCACTCCCTGCATTCACTCCCGAATCCCTTCGGTATGCCAATTTGGAAGGGAATAAGCCTTGTAACGTACCACGCAAAATTTGTGAGCTGCCAAATTTGCAGATATTAGATACGAGCCTGAATCACATGAAAACAATTCATTGCAATTTTGCAACTAAAAAACCTTGAAATATCGGCCTTGAGTCACACTAGAGTCATGTTCATGAGCTTGTTTTTTCCCAAAAAAGGGGACCGAGGTTTTAGAAACGAGCTTCCACTATGGTAGAAAAGAACGGGTTCAGATATGGTATGACAATCGTTGGAGTTAGAGCTTGACAAATTCATGAATACTAATTTCTTGAATGGGAGTCTTCCCACTATTAAGTAACTAGCTACACTTGCAATCGAACAACAAAGAGATCACCCTACAATAGCTTCACTAGTATCAATAAAATTATCTACGCTTTATATATACTCAAACTTTGCTCTCTAAACCACCTATTCATCATTGTAGTCGTCATCATCCTCGTCAATTTCAACCACTTCACTTGGATCATCAGCTATAGCATCATCACTCTCGTCATCACTAAACATACTTGTCACTTTCGCCCTTGCTGGCCTGCTTGAACGTGTTCTACTTTCCAATACCTGCGGTTTGTCACCCAAAATTTCCAAATCATCTAATTCATCCAATACGGTGTTTTTCGACTTGGGTTTCGATTTCTCAGAAGATTTGCTACTCACTTCGAATATATCGTCATCTGAATCAAAAATCGAACTGGTTAGAGGTTGTGATGGTTTTGTCGATTTCGTAGATTTATCATTCAGCTTTGTTTTGGATTTGCTTGTAGGTGAAAAAAAGGTAAGTATGTCATTTGGCTCTTTCTTGACTGTAACTTCTTTCGGTGCAGGAGTTGATGAAGTTGATGGCGCGGATGCTGCTTCTATACTTGCAGACTTTGGTTTAGCCTGGTGCGTGGTGGTGCGAGGTTTGGAAACGACTTTTGGTGGAGCTTGTGCCTCTCCTTCAACTTTAACCTTCTTTACTGATTCTGCCTCAGGTTTGGCTGCTTTTCTTTTTCTTGTGGTTTTCTTCTTGTTCCCACTACTTGACAAATGTTCTCTTTCCTCTGCATCTTTGGCCAAAAACAATTCATACTCCTTCATGAATACATCCAAGTCTTGGTTCCATAAATCAATAGCAGATTTACCAATTAATATCTCCAATTCCTTTTGCAAACTAGACTTCTCATTCAAAAGTTTGACATAACGTTCATGAGTCAAAGACCAAATCGTCATACCCAACAAATAATCGTAAGATGAAAATATAGTGTCTGGTTTATGTTCACCTTCAACACGATCCTCGGTCTTTTTCAAGTTCAATGCGGAAACATCACCTTCATTTTCAATTTCCTCTTCGGAGTCATTATCATCAATAAACACATCTGACCCCTTTGATTCCACAGGCGTACCATCTTTCGTAAATTTTGTGAAATCATGTTTTTCAAGCAACTCGATCAAATCCTTCTTCTTCTTATTGGCGACTGACAATTCTTTTTCAATAATCATCTTCACAAACCTGGCTTGTTCCGAAATCATCAACAATTTACGTTGCAACATCTCGAGCATGTGATTCTTTCTCTTTTCGTAATACTCCAAACGGACATAATAGAAATCTTTCAAAATCTCAAATACGTCATTATATTTCTTGATTCTTCCGTATGGATCAAACGCAACCATATTTCCCAAACTTATTGATGAAATCAATTTGAATTTCTCCAATAAACCAACTTTCAATGCTTTTTCCATTTCCGCATCACTCAATTTGACAACAAACCTGATGTTCGTTGTATGGTGCTCCTCCATATCCTTTATCCATGCAGGAGTTTTTTCATTACCGAATCCTGCCAACAAAAACTCTTTCACAGTATTGGTCCAGGTCTTTACTGGAATTTCAGTAATCTCCACTATGTTGTCATCAATTTGCTCTATCTTACCACTGATTTTGTACTTTTGTTGTCCCATGGGCTCAATAACACCATCCCATCCCTTGTACCATGGCATCATCTCCTCCAAAGGTTCATTGTTCATGAGCCTCCTCAAATTAGCAACAATTTCCTTCGGGTCATAGGAGGGTATGTTGGTTGACCACCCAGTTCCAATACCTTCAGCTCCATTAACCAAAATCATTGGCAAAACTGGCAAATACCACTGCGGCTCAACAGTTTGCTCATCATCTTGAACATAGGTATAAATCGGATTGTCTAATGGGTTGAAAATAGCCTTTGTTATATCATTCAACTCAGTAAAGATATATCTCGCAGCAGCGGCATCTTTACCACCAGTTGCTCTCGAACCGAAAGCACCATTTGGTTTCAAAATGTTGATGTTGTTTGACCCAACAAAGTTTTGTGCAAGACCAATGATTGTTTGCACCAAGGAGACTTCACCATGATGGTAGCCAGTATTTTCACTTACATACGCTGCCAATTGTGCCACTTTGATTTCACTTTTCAAATTTCTCTTGAAACAACCAAACAAGACTTTTCTTTGACCTGGCTTTAGCCCATCAAGCACAGAAGGGATAGATCTAATGTTATCCGACATCGAAAATAAAATCAATTCCTTGTTTATAAATTCACTTATGGGTATTTCATTCAACGCGGGATCTAGTTGATTACCAGGAACAAAATTTTGCAACCATTCCTTTCTTTCATCAGCCTTCTTTTTGGAGAATGCTAGGTCAATACAGCTACTATCCTCACCTTGCAATGCATGGAATCTTTTCAAGTGTCTATCCAAGGCTGTAAAATATTCTCGAGCTTCCATGGGAGTTGAAGTACCCAAACCCTTGTAGTACTTTTGAGTCCAACGACAAGTTTGACCTTCACCATCTCTCCATGTTTCAAATTCTGGCATGCTGTAAAATGGAATTATCTTTTTGGCCCCACGACCTTTCACAGTGACTTTGACAATAGGTGTAATGAATTCAAGCAAAAACCCAGGAATATCAAGCAACCCAGGAAACGAAGTTTCCAAAAAATTGATAATCAAACCTTTAATATGTGATCCATCTTGATCTTGATCTGTCATAATCATAATATGCCCATACCTCAACGACTTGATGTTCTCCGCATTGTAAGTCTTTTTATGCTGAAGACCAATAATTTGTTTCAATGAATTAATTTCAGCGTTCTTTGCAATTTGATCAGCGGAAGCTTCACGAACGTTCAACAATTTTCCTCTCAACGGAAAGCAGCCATAGTAATCTCTTCCGATAACAGTTAGCCCAGCAACCGCCAAGTTTAAAGCCGACAACCCTTCGGTAAGGATCAAAGTGCACTTTAATCCATCTCTCGTACCAGCCTTGTTTGCATCCACTAAATTGACCTGACCCTTGATACGCAGTTTCCTGCTTCCATCTACTTTTTGTAATGCCTTGTCTTCGTTGGCATTGGCTATATCACGAATCTTGTCAGCTATCCCGGTCTTTAACACACGGCTGATCAAGTTGTCGGAAGCCACAAACTTTTCTTTACCTCCAAATTGAGATACTTTAGTTGTGAGTTGTTCCTTGGTTTGCGATGTAAAAGCAGGATTTTCAATAAGACAGTTAATAAAAATAAACATGTTGTCCCTCACCTCATTCGGCTTGATCATCAATTTTTTCTTTCCCTTTTCCTTCTTGGACAATGTTTCCACCAATTTGGTTATGATTTGATCGGACACATATTTGACGTGGGTACCACCTGCAGTTGTGGCGATGGAGTTAACAAAACTCACTTGGTTGAATGAACCATCACTGACAGCAAACGCCACTTCCCATCTTTCGTTGAACACTTCATGTACAATTGTGGTGTAATTCTTGGGAGCACCTTCTCCTTCTGGCTCTGGCGACCTCTCCTTGATTGCTTTAACATACATTTCAACATAGCTCTTGAAGCTAGTGACGGGCAATCGCTTGTCATTGAGATAGATGTTACAATTCTTTACCGTACCACAAAGATCATACACCCTTCTTCGCAAAACAGATAACAAATCCTCGTCTAAACTGTCCATATCAAACTTACTCAAGTCCGGTTTGAAAGTGATCTTGGTGTATTCTTTCTTTGTTTTTAATGCATTAATCTTGGGTTTGCCGACTTTTGTCATGTTGTCCGTCCACGTTTGTTTGTACAACTTGCCGGTATTCAAGTCAGCCGTTTCAACCTCAAATTGAGTGGAGAAAATGTTACATAACTTAGCACCAAACCCATTTCTACCACCAGTAACCTTTTTTTGATCATCATCATAATTGGAAGAAGTCAACAAGTTACCAAAGATCAACTCAGGAATGTACATTTTCTCCTTTGTATGCATTTCTACAGGAATACCTTTACCATCGTTGAACACTTGAATAACGTTATTTTCAGGATCAATCCTCACCTTGATATTCTTCATGGAAGGGTCTCTTATCTTGTTATCAGCGGCATTCACCAAAATCTCGTCAAAGATTTTGTAAAGACCAGGGACAATTGTGACTTCTTGAAATTTCATAGATTCAGACTCAGCATCAAAACACCACATTTCCATTTTAGTTTTCTCAACTGAACCGATATAAGTATCTGGTCTCTTCAAGATATGTTCCAATTGAGATAGCTTTTGATATGTCTCAGAAGCGTTTGAAGGTTTCCCCGTTGAAGTGGTTGACGCGTTGCTAAATGAGTTTAAAGACGTGTCTGCTAGTGGCTGTTTCTTTTGCTTTGACTTCTGAGCCTTTCCAGAGCTAAAGTCTTCATTATAGCTCGACCCTTCGGAAAGGTAGTCGGATTCGTCTGAAGGTCCCGACATTATTCAAGCAAAGTTGATGTGCAGCTCAGGGCAGAAGAAGGAAGAGAGTGGGTCCTGCCGTTCCCTTTTTTATTTTTTTCTCTGTTTACAAATCAGAAGAGGGATGTCACAAACACAAAGATATGGATCTTCTACATGTTTCATCACGGATGTACATATACTCCAGGGCACTACTTCACGAGGAGAGGATGTAGAGAGGCTGCAGTGTCGGTAATTATTGACTACTAAAGCCAACTCTGCTTTCTTACTACGATCAGCCTACAATCTTCACCAATATCGTTTTTGTGAATTCGTTGTATGCAAAATTATGTAAACCCATTACTCTCTTACTTACTTTTCTTAAACATTTGTGCTTGAATCCGCTCAAACTCATCATCATCAATATCCTTGGAGCTTCTTTTCGTGCCCTTTTTCTTACCATACTTGGCCTCTAGATTCGAAATTAAACTGTCCAATCGGTTATTTTGACGACCTTTGATCAAACTTGCCAAATCTTGTGATGTCTCATTCTTCTTTTTCAACTGTTTCTGTAATTCTTCAGCCTCTTTGGCTTCTTTGGCCAATTTCTTCAACATATTTTTCACCTTAGTTTTCCGACTCTTTGTGTATTTTTCCCATGATTTAGTCACAGACTTGTCCACTTTCAAACGAGGAAGTTCTTGCTCAATAATTTTGTACACTCGTTCCTCTTCTGATTCAGTGAAGTCTAAATGGGGAATTACCTCAAACAACTTCAAAAAATCGCCTTCATAATAGATGAAACTGGAAACGATATCTTCCCTTTCTTCTTTTGATTTTTGGTACTTGACCCTATCCTCTTCGATCATTTCAACTGTGATTCTCTCATTCATTGACTGGAAATATTCCTTCCAATCAAACCCTTCGTCATCGTAATCGTCATTAAGTTCAGACAACGAGCCCAACGTGTCAAATCGATTCCTTCTTACGGGGTCGCTCAAAATGCTGTATGAAAATTGTATCTTTGTGAATAGCTCTTCCTCCGAAGCTGCTCCAGATCGGTCATTTTGTTTCATTTGTTTGATCTTATCAGGATGATGCTTTAAACATAGTCTTTTGTATGTCTTTTTTATTAGAATCGGAGACGCATCTTTGTCAACTCCTAAAACCTCATAAGGATCTATATCCGGAAATGGAATACCCATGATACAGTAGAAAAAAAGGGGATGTTGTAGTGGTTACGGAGTTGTAGTTGTTTCCTGTGGGTGGTGATTGTTTCAAAAACAAATTTTCAAATTTCATTATGAGAAGCTGACGCGAAAAGGGAAAAAAGAAATTTGGTCTTACAACCCAGGGGTACACCAACAGAATAAGCATATCGATGCTGTAGTTTAGAAATACAAAAGAGGGAGTGTGCTGTATACCAGTATAAACTATGAAGGATGAATGCGTGTCCCGGGAAGAGGCATGTTGAACAGGTAAATGTCTATTCCAAATAGCCATAGCCACCATTGGTTGTAGCTAAGGACTAGACTTCCACGAATACACCTCTGTAATAAAGCAATTTCCATATTATAATTATACATTTACAAAATCCTCTACTAACTCATTTAAGCTGTTCTTTCAAACGTTCAATTTCTCTGTAAGCTCTTTCCAACTCTTGTTTCAATTTCTCATTAGATGCACTCAACTCAGACACTGCTTGTTCAGTCAACAACTTTTCCAATGTCCACTTTTCAATATTGTTATTTTCATTTTCCTTCAATCTCTTGATATATTCCACTGCTCTTTGCAAAATTTGAGTCTTGTTAGTATCTCTAGTGGGGATCAATTCCGCCAATTCCTTGATACCAACATTGATGGCCTCTCTTCTGCGTCTCTCTACCTCTTTATGGTTGTCCTTTCTTTGCCTATGCCATTCATCGGTGCCGTGCTGTGGTTTATTTGCACTGGGACTCTGTGCGTAATCACTACCAGGACTACCTTGGTGAGGGTCTAAAGGTGAACCATGAGCTGACAAGTGGTTACCCTCTGGTGATTGATGCTGATTTTGTTGCTCGTGTTGCTGCTCAAGTTTTTGCTTAAGTAAGTTTTGGTGATAAGCTTGTTGTTGTTGCTGCTGCTGTTGCTGTTGTTGCTGTTGCTGTTGTTGCTGCTGTTGTTGTTGCTGCTGTTGTTGCTGCTGTTGTTGTTGTTGTTGCACATTTTCATTTTGGTCTTGGTCCTTCAGTTGATCATTGAGGGCGGCGGCAACAGTAGCTACAGCTCCAATTGCTGCGCCATGGCCTTTTTCGTTCCCATCTTGGGGTTCAGCCGACTTGTTGTCTAATTCCTTTTCAGCACCAGCTTCTGCCTTGACGTCTGATTTTTCCTTGTGATGAGCCATCAATTCAGAGTCTATAGCCATGTCATCGCCGTACTTTGCTTGCTTCTTCCCCTCCTCGTGTTCTGGGGACAATGATCTTTTAGACATTGGTACGTTTCTTTCTATTCTATTATATTGTTAGTAATCATGTGATCTCATCTATGAGTGGGTGCAAAAATACGTTGTTAAAGACACTCACGTGGGAGTCAGGTGTTGAAAAGAATAAAATGCCCCGCTAAACAAATCACACCCAGTGTGGCCCGAATAAAAGCCTAGCCCGTTCGAAACAGTATACATACTCCTACCAAATGCGGTGATTACTGTTTTCCAATACTCAAGTTGTATATTGGTGATGATAAGTGGTAGTTGCGTGTTTTTCCACTCTTACGAAGTCATACGTTTATCACGTTTTTTTTTTTGTTTGTTGATGATGATGGATTAAATGAGTGTTTTTTGTTTACAGTTTGTAAATTGTGCACTTTGACACGACCACATTCTATTATTTTTAACCAAGGCAGTAGAAAAACTTTACCCACACTACAGAATGACAGATTACAGTCAAAACGGTCCGTTGGCTAATCCACATAATGGTCATAGACCATTCGGGATTCATCTACGAAATTCCGGAATGGCTTATGCAACTACAATGTTATATCCGCTAAAGTTGTCCTACGAAAGCGAGTTTTTCCGAGATCGGTAGTGTACATTTGTCTAATTGTTGTTCTTGAGTAAGGGTATGCGCTTAGATTGCCACCCATCTAAGTGCATACGTTTCTATGCGTATGCGCTTAAGTAGTCTCGGTTTTTAACTTCCAGCCAATCATTTTAGAACTTACACAAAAAGGTAAAAATGTATCCCGGAAATCAGGTCATATACTGCACTTTTTTCGTACGACAGCCATGCGAATAAACGAAAGATAGAAATAATCATCAGCCTTTCGGATAACTGCCGGCCCTTGGCTGCAAAATGAATCGATTCATCAGAGTATAAATATAGGGGGTGCAACATACCCCCTTGACCTGCGTTTGCTGTATAATACATCAATTACAAACAACACAATCAATACTATAACTACTAGAACAACCACAACTATAATGTCGGAAATCACTTTAGGAAGATATCTTTTCGAAAGATTGCATCAGTTGAAAGTTGATACCATTTTTGGCGTGCCCGGTGATTTCAATTTATCACTCTTGGACAAGATCTATGAGATCGATGGAATGAGATGGGCTGGTAATGCCAATGAATTGAATGCAGGTTATGCCGCTGATGGGTATTCCAGAGTTAAAGGAATGGGAGCTATTGTATCGACTTTTGGTGTTGGTGAATTATCCTTGACCAATGCTATTGCTGGTTCATTTGCTGAACACTGTGCTATTTTGAATGTCGTTGGTGTTCCATCAGTTAATGCTCAAGCCAAGCAATTATTGTTGCATCATACTTTGGGAAATGGTGATTTCACAGTTTTCCACAGAATGTTTAAAAACATTAGTCATTCGAGTGCATTTATTTCTGATATCAACAGCGCTCCAAATGAAATTGATAGATGTATTAGGGATGCGTATGTTTATCAACGACCAGTTTATGTTGGATTGCCATCCAATTTGGTTGACTTAATGGTTCCAAGTTCATTATTGGAAACTCCTATTGACTTGTCGTTGAAACCAAATGACCAAGATGCTCAAGAAGAAGTTATTGAAACTGTTGAGAGACTTATAAAGGAAGCTAAGAACCCAGTAATTCTTGTTGATGCTTGTGCTTCAAGGCATTCTTGTAAACCGGAAGTTGCCCAATTGGTGGATGCTACTCAATTCCCAGTTTTCACCACCCCTATGGGTAAGTCAGGTATCAATGAATCACATCCTAGATTTGGTGGTGTTTACGTTGGTTCGTTATCTCGTCCAGATGTCAAGGAGGCAGTTGAAAGTGCTGATTTGATTTTATCAATTGGTGCCTTGCTATCAGATTTCAATACTGGTTCATTTTCCTACGCTTACAAGACCAAAAACGTTGTTGAATTCCATTCTGATTACACAAAGATTAGACAAGCTACTTTCCCGGGCGTTCAAATGAAGGAAGCTTTACAAAAATTATTGGAAACTGTTACGTCTTCCGTCAACCCATCATATACTCCATCACCAGTACCACAACAGAAATTGATCAACTCCCCAGCTCCGCCAAACACTCCATTAACTCAAGAATACTTGTGGACCAAGGTAAGTTCTTGGTTCAGAGAAGGTGATATTATTGTTACTGAAACTGGTACTTCAGCTTTTGGTATTGTACAATCACGTTTCCCAAACAACACTATAGGAATTTCTCAAGTGCTTTGGGGTTCTATTGGTTACACAGTTGGTGCTACTTGTGGTGCGGCAATGGCTGGACAAGAAATTGATCCAAATAGAAGAGTCATTTTATTTGTTGGTGATGGTTCGTTGCAATTGACGGTTCAAGAAATCTCCACCATGTGTAGATGGAACTGTAACAACACTTATTTGTTTGTGTTGAACAATGACGGTTACACCATTGAGAGATTGATTCATGGTGAGAATGCCACTTATAATGATATTCAACCTTGGAACAATTTGCAACTTTTGCCATTGTTTAATGCCAAAGACTACGAAACCAAGAAGGTCAGTACCGTTGGTGAATTGAATGATTTATTCCAAGACAAGGCATTTGCTAAACCAGACAAGATTAGAATGGTTGAAGTAATGTTGGCTAGAATGGATGCTCCTGCTAATTTGGTTGCTCAAGCTAAGTTGTCAGAAAAGACCAATGCTGAACCAAATTGAATTGTATAGGGTGACGAATATATTAGGGATTTAATAGAATTATATTTTTGTTGAATTGAGAGTGTAAAAATCGGACATCTCCGTTAATCAAAGCAAGGCAACAAGTGCTTCTCCCCTCGTATCGTTGTTGGTTGTATGCAACCATACAGAGGGGGAGCATGTGTGGCGAGCACTAGGTTGGGCTCCAAGGGCCATCCACAGCTTATGATCGTAACAAAAATGATCAACTTCTAAGAATCATATGCTAAGAGGTTCGTCTCGTGGATTATCAAAAAATTTGCAGATTGCACCTACTTTTCTGAAGTCCCCCCTCTTTCGCTTTCAAGAGGGGGCTATCATCCAATGTAGGAATGCAATTGCTCAATGACGAAAGTATCATCTAAATCACAAGCATGAGCTAAATATAAACGAACTTTAGTATCATTTCTGTTCGCTTTTTCTCCCCCTTTTGCATCTTCGCCCAATAGTTTCCGCTTTTGACAACAGCTACAACGGACTTAAACCAGGACCGAGTTTGATATCATAAAAAAGGGGACTCCTTATACATTATTTCCTGAATTGGTGGGGGCGGTATTGCAAAGAACTGGCGGCCCGCAGTCGACATTGAATAACGTAATCTTGCATATATGTGAATAGTGTTTTGTGTCATTATTGGTAGTATAGTTGGTAGCAGTTTCGGATATCGCCGTAAATGACTAAATTGTATGGCGTTTGAAGCTGCTTTAGAATTTTGCAGCATCTTTGTGTAACAGAGCCTTTTGCATGGTCTTCTGCAAATGTTTTGATAAAGATTGATTTTTCTCCAATCAGAGTGGCTCTAAGCATGTAAAGCATGTAAAGAGCAGAGGCTGAATCTTCAAACGGGACAATAACATTTGCGAATGTCTGCTCAAATGTTTTCATAATCACGTTGAACCAAGGCTTTGAACTTGATCCTCACTATTGATTACGACGAAGGAAATGATACGTTTGGCTTACACCTAGTATTTGGAGCGCTTTTTTATTGTCATTTAAAAAAGGTGGTGTTTCTTCTGCACAGCGACTATATACTTCTAGTCACTACAGTAAATGACTATTTCCTTCTCTCGCAATAATTTTGCTCCTTGTTTCAAAAGGGCTCGTCTTGTGTGATCTCTTCTCACCCCTCCATGAATCAGATCCCCACATTTAACGCCGAAAAGATACTCCATTTAGAAAGAAAACAACCCCCTCAATTTTCTTTTTGCCTCACCCTGGCCATCAACTCTATAATTGCAAATGCGTCATTGTAATTACAGTCTGTCCTTCATTTGCTCATAACCCATTTGCCCGTTCTCCTAGTTACACCGCTGTTTGTTTTTCGTCGATTTGTGTTTTGAATTCAATTTTTGCTATTGTTTGTCTTCTTCTGATAAGATATTTTCCGCCCAGTCAAAATTGAAGTTGGTACAAAACCTCTTTCTATAGAATCATATTGAAACAATAGTGTCTTTGATATGTGCTAGATAGGCCCATCCATTGTAGGCTGAGAAAAATATATTATTAATATGTTTGAACATTTCTTCCTTTTTTTCTTCGAGATTGGCTATCTGCGTTATCTTTTTCAAATTAATTAATCAACGCCAACGCCTAATTTGTTATTCACAATTTTTTCTTTTTTTTTTTATCAAAGATCACTGGGTACTTTTTGTTCATTTCGGTTAGATCCATCGCAAAGAGATAAGGAACATCACATCAAACTATATAAAGGACTTCATTGTTCGAATTGAAATACACCATCAAACAAAAGGTACATAAATACAAGAACATCTTTCCTTGCTCATCCTACTTCTCCTCAACCTTCCGGATCGGTATTAAAGTTATATTTTAGTTATTTGGATTTAAAGTTTCTCCTCATCAAGGGACTAAAGTTTTACCTCAAATATTTCGCAACTATAAAATTTATTCCTTGATCCCTTTTTTATTTTTAATAAATACATCAAGACAAAACTTTAAGTCAACCAATATCGCATAACGTTTCAGAGAAAAAACCCATTGCCGACAGGATATGATTGATTTCACAAGGACCCTTAAACGGATTTTCCGTAAATGGACCACTAAGGATGGTATAATTGGTGATTACGATTACAAATACTTGTTCACCCCAGAAATACCATTTGTTTCCAAAGAAGCCAAAGTCCAGCCGTTTTTTGGATTAAATTCAGATATGCCGCTACTTTTAGGAGCCATATTGGGATTACAACATGCATTGGCAATGATGGCGGGTCTAGTTGTGCCTCCTGTTTTGATTAGTGTTTCAGCAAATTTACCTATTGAAACGCAAGAGTACTTGGTTAGTACGTGTTTGATTGTTTCTGGTCTTTTGTCAATTATTCAAATCACCCGTTTCCACATTTATGGTACTCCATATCATTTAGGTACTGGGCTATTGTCGGTTGTTGGTCCATCGTTTGCTACAATTACAGTCACTTCAAGTGCGTTTCCTATGATGTATGCTAACGGTACTTGTCCCACATCAGCTGATGGTACAAAGTTACCTTGTCCCGATGGCTACGGTATGATTTTAGCCACAGGGATTGTATGTGCCTTGTTGGAAATATTATTGTCATTCTTACCAGCCAAGATTCTTCAAAAGGTTTTTCCTCCATTGGTTACGGGACCGGTTGTTATGTTGATTGGTATTCACTTGGTTGAGACTGGTATAGAAGATTGGGTTGGTGGCTCAGGATGTGTTGAAGATACTTGTACAATGGGCAAGTTTTCCAAACCATGGGGGTCAGCTAATTTCGTTGGGTTGGGATTCCTTGTTTACGTTTCCATTATAATCGCAGAAAAATTCGGTTCACCAATCATGAAGAGTTGTGCAGTTATACTAGGATTACTTATTGGATGTATCGTTGCTGCCGCTTGTGGTTATTTTGACTCTAGTCAAATTGATGCCGCCAAAGCTGCTAGTTTTATTTGGGTCAAGACATTCAAGTTGAAGGTTTATGGTCCAATTGTTTTACCCTTTTTAGCGGTATATTTGGTTTTAATGATGGAAGCTATTGGTGATATAACTGCAACTTCAGATGTATCGCGTTTAGAAGTTGAAGGTGAACTTTACGAGTCAAGAATTCAAGGTGGTTTATTGGCAGATGGTTGCAATGGTATATTAGCAGGTCTAATGACTGTTACCCCCATGTCAGTTTTTGCTCAAAACAATGGGGTTATTGCTATTACTAAATGTGCCAATAGAGCTGTCGGATATTGGTGTGTTTTCTTTTTGTTGGTTATGGGAATCTTTAGCAAGTTTGCTGGCGCCATCATATCCATCCCCAAGCCAGTATTTGGTGGTATGACTTCATTTTTGTTTTGTTCAGTTGCTGTGTCTGGTGTCAAGATTATTTCTGGAACAGAATTTACTAGAAGGGATAGATTTATTTTGACCGCAGCGTTGGTCCCTGGTTTAGGCTCTACATTGGTGTCTGACTGGTTCAGTCATGTTTTTACTTATTCCGGCGATAACCAATCATTGACTGGATTCTTTGATGCTATTGTGTTGGTGATGGAAACCGGATTCGCCATTACTGGATTCATTGGAGTCATTTTGAATTTGATCTTGCCACAAGTTCATGATGATGTTGAAGAGATCAATGAGTTGATTTTAGAAACTGTGGGTTCTGCTGATGAACATGCTAGAGAAGTGTTTGCTAGAAAGGAGGGAATCTCACTTGAACAGTTGAAAAGTCAAATGACGCATCACGGTCAAAATGTCACCAGTATAAGGTCGTCTGATGGTATACCTGACTTGCCATATCCAAATCAAAAATAGAGACATTTACTCTGTTTCTTTTGTACTATAGTTTTATGAAGTTAACATAAATACATATTCTAGTTTAATATGCCTGGAAGAAGCACATAAGGTGTAAGATGATACTGATGTTCTCTTGTTGCACATGTCATATGGGACAGTAAGTATTAAACTGTTTAACCGAGGGTAAAAAAGAAAAAAAAAAAAAAACAAAAAAAATAAAAAAAAAAAAGACTAGACGAATAACACAATACGACGATATCAGTTACAGTTGCAACCATTGTTGAACTGTATAACTGCATAATCAAATAGGAAGCGCATTTTTAAATACCCGAAATAGACGCAGACACAGACAAAAGAAAAAAAAAAAACTATAAACTTCCATATTGACAATTCAACAAATATATCAGATACAATAAAAACTCTTCTTAAGCGCCAGGAAGAAAAAGAAGCTATAATAGTCGGTACAAACAGGGTATTCACCAGAGACATCAAAGATGAGTTTGTTGGCAATTTCTGCAATGTCGCCTCCACACAAACCAAGAACCACCAAAACACTTCCTTTACATTTACTTCTTCAACTAAACCATCTTTTACAGAAATCCATTTTTAATAGGAAATTTTATCAAGAGATTAACGATAAAGTATTGAGCAAAACATCGACAGTTGATCAAAACTTGTACTTTATATGCTATTTCTCATTGCTAGTGTCATCAATCCTCAATAACAAGTACCAAATTCGGGATTTTTTACGTAGTCAACATTATAAGTTACTACAATTAGTCAAAGGTGGAGCCAACAAGTTGAATATAGACACATCAAACATCAAGGCTTTCAACAAAACTAAACCACAACCAACTCCAGAATCACAACAACAGCCATCCAACTTAGCTTATCATTTGAAAAAGATTAATCTGTACTTGGCGGACGTGAGAATTTTCAACAGATTAACTGATTCAATTAAATACATGCCATGGCTAATTGACGAATACCATTCATGGCGTAACCCCAGTGCTGCTACCCCCAAATTTGATCGTTTCATAAACATGATTCAAGCATTAAACTGTATTGTATTAGAATTGTTTGAAAATGCCGGTTGGTTAACTGAGCATGATTGGGTGGGAACTGGTGATAATAATTATTGGTGTATCGAAACGTATATTTGGTGTTGCCGTGTTTGGGGTGCTTATTTGTTGATTGAAATTGCAGAAATGTTGAGAAGAACTCCCATTAGTAAATGGAGTAATAAGCAATGGCAGATTTCTTTATTTAAGAATGTTATTCAATTACCATTGGTGTTGCACTGGTGTTTGAGAGATGGCTGTTTAACTCCATTTTGGGTGGGTCTCTGTGGCTCTGGTGCTTCTTGGTGGAATTTTAAAGAAATGTGGCTGTCGATTGATTTATCATAGAGAGAAGGGGAGGGATAGCTTAAAGACGCTTGTTTTTTTTTTCTATATTTATTTTTCTTATTATTGTTATACAGATACAACAAACAAACTCAGTCAAATGCTGCTTGACGATCAGCCTTGGCTGCTTTTCTCTCCATTTCATCCCAGTCTTCACCACTCTCTTCACTTTCTGCCTCACTGCCACTTCCACTACCGGAAAAATCACTCTCTTCTTCACTACCATATTCTTCGCTTTCTTCACTTTCATCTTGTGGATCTTCATCACTAGCCTCAAACTCACTTTCTTGTTCTTCATCTTCACTCTCATCTGATTCTCCAGTACCGGTCAAAAACGACCATCCACCATCTAAAAAGAATTGATAAGGATCTGCTTGCACAGTTTTCATAATTTGTGCCCAATTCAAATTCATTTGACCTTCACTGATAGGGATATCAACATCAGTTAACCAGTTCTTTACGTCCTCAAGTAACTCCATGGGAATGGTGTTTATATGAACAACTGGTTTGGCAAAATCTTTAAACACAAATACCAAATCAAAATTCTTCAATCCAAACTGAACTCTTTCCAAATGAGCAATCTCAACCTCTTCTAATGCAACAACAAGGTATGGTGGGTCAATCAATTGAACAAGACAATCTCTAGTAGGGATACACAATACCGAGGACCTAAAAGGAACACCTTGGAATCCCAATTCTCTAAATGGAATATCCAAGTCAACAAGTCCATTGGAACTATCAGCAATGAGTTCAGCAAATTGCTTAAATTCTCTATCCAACAATGCTTTCCTTCTCCTTTCTTCTTGCTCTTGTTGCAATTCATCTTCATCACCATACCTATACTTCCTCTTTCTACCTCCAGTTTCATCAAATGCCATATCACTAGCTTCACGATAAAACTGCACATCAAAAGTTTTCCTTTTACCAATCATTATTGGATTTTTCAAATGACAATGTATGAGAACAATCAACTCATCTTTACATGGCTGGAAAAATAAATTCTTAATGTTTGAAAACAAAATGTCAATCTTTTGATCCATTTTGAAACTCGATTGGTAACGTAACCCATTATCGTGAATTTGCAAAACACCACCAATTTTCTTGGTATCAGGTGTTGGCCTCACAAATACATTCTCCAATTTCTTCATTCTTGATCCTTTCAATTCAACAAGATTTGCTTGTGCAACAACATCGGCCATTTGCTTCTTTTCCTGTTCTCGTTTAACTGAATCCTTTTTCAAATCTTGGATGGCTTTGAAAACATCAACCATCCGATCACGATCTTTAGATCTAACGGTGATGGATCTTAAGAATGTATTATCTGGCGAATCTTCATATGGCAATTCTGCTCGTCTAGTAACATTACCACCAGCACCTGGCGAATTAAAGTTTAATCTGAGATAGGTATAGTCTCCTTCTTCATTTTGAGATCCACTCTTGTAAGCATTGATGTGGAACGGCACCGGTCTTCCTGAAATAGGCAATATAATGGTTTGATTCTTGTAATCAATGTGGATCTTTAAATCAGCCACACTATTTGGAATCTGTGATTCACGTACATATGATTCATATTTTTTGAAAATGGGCTTGTAATCAGAAGCATCAGTGGCATCAGCTTTTGAAAATCTAGCTAAACCTTCTTCAGTTCTCTTTTCATGCAACTTCATTTGTGTTTCTTGTCTAATCTTTTCAGCATTCTTGTCATCTTCATTGACATTTTGATGCCTGGTTTTATGTGATCCATCGAGGTTATCAATCGGTTTCCTTTCGGGCTTCACCTTTTTCTCGTCATCTTCATCATTGAAATAGAACGATACCTCCAGCTGCGCTTTTGGGTAGTTTGTCAACAAGATTGGTTTATCGACACTGATTTTATACGTGTCAGTTAAAAGAATCGAGTAGGTCTTGTCCTTATTTGGCAAGTTTTGAAACCCAATTGTTAACGAGATAATCTGTCCATCAGTCAAAACTCTCTCGGATTTGGCATTTAAAATAAAAGTCGAATCTCTAAACTCAATTCCGATTAACCAACCACAGTTTTTAGTAAACTTGTCAGCCAAATCTGGTCTTTCCTTTTTAATGTACTCTAAAGTATCTTGATATACTTTACTTGCCTTGATACCACTTTTCAACAACTCACTGGCAATATATTGTTGCAACTTTAACAAAAAATTATAATTGCTTTCCATCTCCTTTGATGGGTCAATCAAAAAGGTTCTTCCAACATTGGCACAGTACGATTTATATCTCAATCCAATGGACGACAAGATGACACCATCACCAACCAACACTTTTTCATTAGAAATTGCACTTGGTTTCAAATCAAAGTCACTTCCGCTTTGAATGATTGGCGAATAACACCACTCCAAGAATTCCGGGTCAAAACCTTTGATTGGCTGTAACAAACTCTTTCCCAATTTGGTCTTCAAGTACCACTTGTTATTGTCGATTTTGTCCTCAATTTGGTCAGTCAATTGTGAGTTTGTAACTCGTTTGTCTTCATCGACAATTGCAGTCATGTCATTCACAAAAGTGTCCATCATAGCAACGCTAGCATTCGAAGCAATTTTAGTGTTTTCAAATTCTTCCGAATCCTTAATTTCCATAGCTTTTGATAAAGTTAATGCTAAATCAACAACCTTGAACCCAGAATCCTTACTTGCATCAGTCCATTCTTCAACAAACTTTCCATCATACTTGTCCTTCAAAACAGTTCCATATTCTTCACCAACTTTCTTCATATCAGCAATCAAATTGACAAACAACTGTTTGTTTCTCTCTGGGTCTTTGGTTCTAGTCCATAGTTCAACAGTATCTGGTTTATTAGTCAACCCTTTCAAATATTTTGCCTTTCCTTCCGATGTAATGAAGATACATCTTGTGGGTGACACGTAAATTGCTGTGTGGACAAATTCATAACCCAACAACCAATTTTGTAAAACTGTAGATTTCTTGTATGTGTTATCATCGTTACGTGCACCAACGATAACCAACCCCTGTGGGATTGATTCATCTTCTAGCGTTTTCTGCAAGATTGCTAACCTCTTGTAGAACAAGTTGGCGTCAATGTGAACGTCTGCCATCGCGTATTTTAAAGCAAGGAGTTTTTATCTCTGTCTTGATAATTTTATATTAACAATCAAATGGAACCAAAAAAGAGCCAAATCAATTGAAGCAAGATGGAGATTTAGATATGATGTTTTCCTCAAATGTGAATTCCCCCAGTAAAAATGATGATTCTAATCTCTTTGCCTTGACGATTTTTGATCAAAGGAAAAATTTCAGCATTCAATCAGTGTCGTGACATAAACAATTGCGACAATAACATTTTCCACTCACGTGTAACCACCAACAACACAAACAGACGCGTTTCAATGTAAACAAGAAGTACAAGACCACGCTTTTTTTTTGCAAGACTCTTTTGCACAAACGTTATTCACTTCTACAGCCTCCCAATTCACAACCCACCTTTCCCCCCCCCCCCCCCAGAGAAGAAAAAGCGGCTACTATGTTTAGACAGGTCAAGAGAAAGACTACTGGTAGAAGAAACTTTGAAGATAAAAAGTCGTCTTTAGCCACAGCTGAATTTACTCTACCGAAATTATATTCATCAAGACTATCATTTTATGATTTACCACCCAACCAAGAGATTACTTTGGAGGAGTTTGAGAAATGGGCTATTGATAGGTTGAAAATTCTTATTGAAATTGAATCGTGTGTTGCTAGGTCCTCATCACAAAAGGATGTTGAACTTGCATTGAAACCACTCTTGCTCAAGTACATGCCGTTGAGTCCTCATGGAGATGAAAAGACAGTTATGCAGGAGCGTATGAAGGATTATTATAGTCATTTTATTCTTCGCTTGGTATTTTGTCGTACTGAAGAGTTGAGAAAGAAGTTTATCAAGAATGAGACAATCTTGTTTAGAATTCGATACAATTCAATGCAACCTAAAGAGCAACAAGAGTTTATTGAGTTGAATCTGTACAAGTTATCGTGGTCATACATTTCCAGAGAGGAAAAAACTGAATTGATTGATAAACTTTTCGCTGCAAGTTGTTCAATGTTGAAGCAGCATTATGCATCTGATGGAGAAACTAATTTGACCAATGATCAAGTAAAACAATTGATGATTAACAAGGAAAATTTTATCAAATTGCCATTTGAAAAACTTTGTCAATTGGTATCATCTAGATCGGTTTATTTACAAGGTGGTTATGCTTATTTACCTACAAGTTTACAACTGAATTTATTAGTGGCTGAATTTCAAGAGAATTTGAATGATATCTTGATCAAGACTTTTCAGGCAATTCCAAGACTAGAAGAAGATGACCGACTCTTGCCCTTGCTCAACCACTTGTCACGTAATTTCTCCAACTTTCAATATGAGACTGATATCAATAGTGAACTTGCGTCCGACATCAATGCCTTATCAATCACATCAAAGCAAATCATGGCTCATTATCCACTTTGTGCTACCCACTTGCAACGCAATTTGATGGCGACTTCACATTTGAAATATTTGGGACGTCAACAATTGGGTATTTTCTTGAAAGGAATTGGGCTAAATGTTGACGAAGCTGTCAAATTTTGGGCTCAACAATTTACAAAGAATGGAAACATGACTCAAGAAACATTCAACAAAAACTACAAGTATAACATTCGACACCAGTATGGTTTAGAAGGTGCTAGAATCAATTATAGACCATGGGATTGTGCCACTATTTTGAGTAAACCCAAACCGGGCCCCAAGGAATATCACGGATGCCCCTATCGTGATTATTCTGAACCACAATTGAGATCAAGTCTTGAAGAAATGGGGATCAAGAATCAACAGGATATGAATTCAATCATGGATAATGTCAATAATCATGATTACACCATTGCTTGCACCAAAGTTTTTGAATTGACTCATCAAAAGGAGATTATGAGTGCTGCAAAGGGACAAGGGAATCATCCACCTCAATTGGAACATATTAATCATCCTAATTTGTATTTCGATAGGAGTAGACAATTGGAGAGGTCCGAGTTGAAAAAGGATGACGCGAAGGAAGATTAAACTTTGAAATTGAACTAAAATTTATCTATAACTTTCTCTATAATGTAAAAGAATTAAACTCAAATGTATTATACAACTCTGCAATTGCAGTTTGTTCAAAATTTTCATTCAAGTCATGACTTTTTTCCTTTTCAGCATTTTCCAATGACTTGTCATACAATAATCGCAATTGTTTAACTCGTTGTGCCCAGTTGGTGACGTATTTCCCCGACATGTCACTTGCATGCCATACATTGGCAAATTCACTAGCCAAGATAGCAACACTTCGAACAAGATACGGTAATTGGTCTTCACTCACAAGTTTGAAATGACAAGTTGCAAAAATCGCCGGAACGCCAGCTCGTCTAAATGTCTTGACTTTGAAAAATTTTCTCCGTTGATGTTGTGAGTGTAGAAAAGATGTCGATCTTTTAGTTTGCATAGTTTGGGGCGATATGACAATATTTAAGAAATTGAATTGACTCTTGATCAAATTGAAGTTGAAATCTTGATTGCCTGATTCATCAAAGAATATATTGACATAATTGTTCCCAATGTGGCGTTTCTTCAAATCGATAATCTTTTGATTTTCAATCGTGTTTGATATCAATCCATTGCCCATGGGATTAGTAATGGTGGGATCATCATCTCGATGCATCATTGTAGTTACATGAAATATGACTTGGGTCAACTTACTACTCCAACACCTTGCATACTCACCATCCATGTCGTTTTCGGTATCCAACCCACCAGTATATATGTCCCTATTGTCTTTCAACCTCACAAGAACACCAATTTTATCCAAAAACTTGAGATAATTCAAGGAGCCGACTTTGTTTAAAAACACTTCGGTTTCTGTGGATTGTTTGTCACCAACGTAAACAATACCAATTTTGTGGAATTCAACACTGGGTATACGATCCAAGACTGATAGTCCTCTGGCAATAACAGGATCCTCCAACATTGGAATAGGCTTCACTTTAGAATCAAACAACTGCAACAAATAGTAACTTGGATCAATAACTTCAGGTGATTTTTTCAGTACTTGTGTCTCGTGATCCAATTCAACAATCAATTTGCTAACCCCAGTTGGTTTTCTAATCAAAATTTCCGTATCACCCAGATGCACTTCTGTTTCAATGCTGACTACTGAACATCCAACCATCCACCGATTCAACACAGTATGGTCATGGTCACTATTTTGTCGCTTTTTTGTAGAATTTTTGACCTTTAATGGCAAATCACTAAATGTAAATTTCCTAACAAAGTCCAAAAACCCAATTGTTTGGTCACTAGGTTGCTGCGATCCACTCAATTGATCAGATGCAATCAATTGCTTGATCAAAAACGACGAAATCTTTTTCCGTTCACTCATTTCAATCTTGACAAACCAACTCGAAATAACATTGTACGATAATATGAGAATGTACTGCAGCATGAAAGATGAAAGACCTTTTGTTTTGGTTGATGGTGTCACTTCCACTTCTGCGTCAACTCCATGCTGTTGCACACTAGGCACAACAACATTGTCCGGATTACGCAACTCAGTGTCACGTGCATATTGAATATACTTGAATGCGATTCCAAAAACACGTTTGAATTCCTCCATGGTGAAATCGGATACCAAAATGGGTAAATGAACCAACGAACTAAGAAACTCCAAAGTGTGCGTACTTGCATTTGCACTAGTGACTCGTGTTTGCAATTTCGTCAAAATCAAAGTGAGGTATTTCTTGATCGATAAAGGAATCTCATAACAGCATATAGTAAGGATATTTATACACGGAATAGCCGTTTTTTCCCATGATCCCAATCCAAATATTAAACTCGATGTAATTTGATCTTCATCTGCCTTCAGAAATAAATCGTGATAGCCAATGAGTGATGAGAATGTTCTAACCAAAGCAACTTGTAAATCAGCTTTTGTAATATCGCCATTTTTGGGGAATACCAACTCTTGTGGTAGTTTTAAAGTCAACTGATTGCATACAATTGTTTTAAATTCGAGGACTTCCTCATCACAATGCATGAACAATTGCATATTTGACAACTGAGAACAAGAATGTGCCCACACATACGAATAAACTTCCCATTCAACAAAGTTACTCACAATGTGCAAAATTACCTTGAGCCACTTTTTGATGTCAATGTAATAGACATCCGCAGAATGTTCATTCGTTTCGGGGGTAAGAATTTGTAGTTCCTCTTTTGGCTTATCGAGGTACTTAGCAGAAATATAGTCAACTGTTTCAGGATACGTCCACAACTGGCCAGCAGTTGGTGTGACATTATCCCTCTTAAATGCAGACGCCAATCCCACCATATCTTGAGGGTTGGTGAGGTATACATAGTTTTCCGCAGTTGCTCTGAGTCTTGTTAGACACTTGGCAATTGTAAGCAAAACTTTTCCATTCTGTGTTGTGTTTGCAATTAATATCAATAAATTATAGCAATCCTCTTTTCTAGATGCTGGTGAGGTTGTGAATGCTGTGCAAATAGCCCTAGTTGAATAGACTAAAAATTCCGCAGATGCCTTGGGAGTCGAGGGAGCGGCCGGTTTAGAGCTCATGTAACCTCTTGTTATGATGATCTCCTTTGGAGGGGCCAGTTTCTTTTCAAATAAAGGTTTCAACAAAGACGTGAGTTCAAAAAACACGTCCGACAAGGATTCAGCAAGTAGTGTCGTCAAGATATCACCACATAGATACTGAAGCAAGATCTCATCAGTTTCCTCAATCGATAGTTTGAATACCCGCAAAAAGATGTCATAGTTGTAATTCTTTGGCTCAAATACTAGCATTGACACCTTGAATGCTTCGTAAATCACCTCAATGCATTTCAATCTTACCGGGACACTGCGATTACCAATATAAAAATGCCTCAACAATCTAAGCGACGTTTCATACCATAACGGGTTCAACAAGATGCAACTTTTCTCTTCTTGGAAACCTTGCAAGACAAATAAAGCTACGTCTTCAGAGATGTGTGAGCTTTTCTTGACGAAAAAATCCAACATTTTATCTTTAGGAACAGTCATTTCGTGCGATTGATATAGGTTCTTTAATGAGTCACATATGCTCTCCATTAGGTATTCATCTTCCTCGTCATGTACTTGAATTGAATCAAGTATATCAAACATTGAACAACCCTCAGAATACCAAACTTGGAATGGGAAAATATCATTGAAAAGTCCAGTGCTTTCTCTGCCAAGGTAGTTCTTGTAAAACAGACCGTCCAAAGCAGCCGCCAACATTTTCGAAACTCTTTTACCAATCAAGGGTATCTTCATTTGCAAAGCATGTAAAAGGGAAGAAAGATAAAAAAACAGTGGGAACTCAAATTTAATCTTTTCTAATCTGATCTTGACTCGTAATAGCTCTATCAAATCTAAAGAGCCAAGACAAATAGAGATTGCCGGATGAGACTCATTGGAAAGTTGCTTAAGTGAGGGGTCAGAGATTTGACCACACAATGTAGTGCCAATGAATACTGATGTGCTTTCATCACACATATTCTCAATTGTTTCAAGTGCTCGTTTCTTTATATCCGGGTCAGTTGATTGTTCGTGAGCAAATGCCAAAAACTTTAAAATCTGAGATATGTTTTCTTTCTTCAACTTGTTAAACGAAGTAATACAGTTGAAAAAATCAACTATGGCTCGAAGTAGCAGCGCATCTGTTGTTTGCAAAGAAGCAAGCTTTGACACATTTGCATTAGCAAAGTCTTTTAACGTGGCATGGTTGAATTTTAAACAGTTGGTTAAAAAATGCAACAAATCAACACAATTACTAATTTGCACATCTATGTGGTGAATCTCTCTATTGTCATCATTTGAAACTGAAACTAAAGTATCCACTGCTTTTGTAAACCATCTAATCAAGTTTCTATGGTCTTCAAAAATGATAAAATCATGAATATCATGCCCTTCCTTACACAAGGTACTCAATGCTTTCAAAATCAATGTGAATTCCGGATCAAAATGGTGTTTGGTAAACTGAGTGTACTTGTACACATCACTGAAGTAACGAGTCCTCGCGCCCATCGAATTATCATCCTTTTCAATACATGCAATACACAATTTGAAGGCTTGTCTTCTAATATTACGTGGTTGTCTTGGGTCGCAGAAATGTCGTACAAGGTACCATATTTCTTGAATTGATGAAAGGGAAAATCTTTCAACACTTTCAGTTAGTTGTTCCAAAGCTTGAGACTGAGATGGCGGAGAGGATGAACTTGATAGTAGTTGATCAAGTATCTTTTGCAAATTTTGGTCTCCTCCTACAACTGTTGGGTTGATGGTGACTGGTACATTTTTGGTATTTGATGAAGATGATAGGGATGATGATGACGAAGGTTTGAATGATTTGGTTAATGATTTGAAAACACTTCCTATCCCACTAGATGTGCCAAACGTGGGGTGATGAGTTGACATAAAACAATCAATAAAGAGTGTACATTCAAATAAAGTTGTATGAAAAGATTAAGGTTTCTTTCTTTTTTTTTTTTATTTTTATTTTTTTTTCTGGCGAGATAAAGATGTTTGAGTTCAACTGGGTGGATAAAGTAAATTGAATTAAGAATTAGAGTTATATCATGGACACAATCTATACTTTCTAATTAGAATAAACACCAACCACCAGCTCACCTGAATACTGTCCCCGAACGAAATGAACAACATTTTTTTTATTTTAATAAAAAAAACCCCCCCAAAAAAATAAAAAAAAAAAAAGCATCAAACATTAAAAAGGTAAAACCAAACCACCATCAACCATATAACAAATCCACAATATAACAAAACCCACCACCCCATGTAACTTTTTGTAAAATTGTCTTTAACCACCTAGGACGGACCTTGACGAACAAGTTGCCACAATTATATCCTTCACTTTCTATACCAACGCCCCATTTAATATTTTGACGAACGTTGCACCCACTCCAAAAATTCCACCATTTTGCCCGTTCGCAAGGCACAACTCTGAGTAGGTTCTTCATAAGTGGGCCCGTAGGTCCATTGATGTACTTGTATCCTCCAATAAAAGAATACGTTTGTCTCTTGTCATTATCAGGAAGTTGTTGGTCTCCCCAGTGTCCTTTGAAAGATAGCCAATTACCATAATTCCATTCCCGACCAATATGCTTGGGGTTGGAGTTGTTGGTAGCTGGATAGACATTTTTACCATCATAGGTGTATCCAAGGTAGTTTCTCGATGGGTTCCACAATGGGCCGCGGTCCGTAAAGTCACTTAGTATATCATAGGGCAAATCATGAGGATGTTGTCCCACGCTAGGGTAGTTGGCATGCGTTCCTCTGGCACTGAAAATGACTGGATGTCTTGGGTCTAACGCATATTTTTCCAAATTGTGATAATAAAATGCACCACCACCACCGTGGGCTGACATCCAAACAATGACTGGTTCCCCTTTATAAAACCTCACTAATGAGTGTTCCCAATCTCCCACGTGGTTACCATAAGGACCTTGGCCCATAACAAATGGACCCAAATTGAATGAATAAAAATAAAACCAGTATGCATCAACCCATCCAAAGCCTTTGTCAACAACAATTAAGGTTGCTGGGGCATTTTTGATCTCTCCATTGATTAAACTGGGTTTATTTTTGACCCCAGTGATCCAATCAGGATCCTTATCGAAATCAGAATTTGAAGTCAAAAACAAATCGCAAGAATGTTTAAGCTTGGACAACTTGTCCAAATTCATATCGGCTTCAGTGCCAGGGTACACGGACCCATTTTCAAATGTTACATGGAAATTGGTGACATATTCACCAATGTCGTACGGGAGATATCTTTCCTCACTGTATAAATGCACCAAGGGGGCATAGTCTATTACGTATTGTGGGATGTGTCCCTGTTCCAATGTTCGTTCTGTCTTTTTGGGCGAACTTACCAAGGGAGGGAAATCTTTGTAGTTCAATGGGTTGCGTAAGATGTTGTCAATTTTCAACTCTTTATCTTCATCTTGTATTGTGCTGAGAATGTAGCTGTCTCCGTCAGACACATCAAAGTAGTTTTGACATAGAATGGTAGGTGTAAGAGCTAGTAGCGATAAAAGTTGTATCAACATTGTTGTTGTTGTTGTTGTTGTTGTTGTTGTTGTTGTTGTTGTTGTTGTTGTTGTTGTTGTTGTTGTTGTTGTATGCACGTGTGACCTGTGGGTTGCTCTTTAAAAGCGAAAGTTTGTAAAGGTGTTATTATCGCTTCTAGCTGAGTGGTAACAAACAATATGATAAGCTCTAGTCCGGGTGTGTGTGATTAGTAATTACTTCTAACTTCTTCTTTGTACAAGTCCAGTGCTTGGTTGGTAAATCAATACAACAGTCAGTTGGTTATAGTAAATAGAGTAAAATAAAATATACAAACGTGGGTTTTAAAAGAGATGCAGATTGAATGATTATTGTCTTAGTTGTGAGTGATTAAGTTTCTTTTTTTGTCTCTTTGTCTCTCTTTGTCTCTCTTTGTTTTTTTTTTACATCCGATTTGTTATAATGTCGCTGTTTGCTAATGTCGCTGTTTCCTAATGTCGCTGTTTGCTAATGTCGCTGTTTGTTGTTTGTTGTTGTTCTTCTTCTTCTTTTGTGTTATCTCCGGTCGGTCAATCCAAAGAAACAATTCTCGTTTGTTATACGACAGAACAACCCCCCCCCTCTACCCCCATTTTAGCACGTGATTCTTTGTATATTTTCACCAACCAATTCTCTTCACTTCGTATCTTTCAAATAAATCTAATCTACATAGAAACGTCTAAACCCCACCTCTAAAAGACAAACACTTGGTCTCCTAATTTGGACACTGGTTTAGCCTTTTCATATCCTAATGATGCAGCAGCTTTTTTCATAGCACTAATCATTGGTGGAGGTCCACACAATAACAATGTAGTTTCATCAGAAGGTTTTGGCAAGTGTTTGTCAATCAATTCTGGAGTAACAAATCCAGTACTAAATTCCCAATCAGCTGGAGCCTCGTTCAAAACATAATGAATTTTCAATCTATCTGGATGTTTAGCAGCATATGCTTCCAATTCCTTTCTCAACAAAATATCATTCTCAGTAACATTGGCATAGATTAAAGAAATCTTGATGTTATCCTCAGGATTGTTTAAAATAGCGGTAATGATTTGATACATTGGTGCGATACCAGTACCACCAGCAATCATTCCAAATGACTTCTTCATGTTTGGAGTATGAGTAAAGAATCCCTTTGGGCCTCTAATTTCAACATAATCACCAACTTTTTTAGAAGCAACATGCTTGGAAATATTACCATTCTCATAAGTTTTAATCAACAAGTCAAAATGACCCCTTTGGTCACTGGTGGAAATGGGGGTATATGATCTAACAATCTCTTTACCATCAATAATAGCACCAATGGAAATATGCTGTCCAATGGGTAAATTCAAAGTATCGGTAGGTTTTGGTAATCCAAATCTATAAATTGCCGAGTTATGGGACACTTTAGTAATACTGATCAAAGGAAATTTCTGAAATTGATCAGGAATCAATGCTGGCTTGTTATTCTGTCTTGATAACTTGAGGAAATAGTAGCTAACAAACGAGATGATAATAGTAGCAACCGTAGCAAGTATAAGGAAAGGATTAGGTTCAGATGAAGAGTCAGCCATGTTTCAAAAAAAAAAAAAGGAAAGCTTCGATGTGGTTCGTACAGATTGTAATGGGGAAAGGAAAAAGAAGTGGTCAACTGGAGAAAATTGGAAGATATCGGAATACAAGTAAGAATATAACACGCGCTGGAAATTCTTTTTTGTTGGTGATTTTTATTTTTTTTTCTTTTAGCATTGTCACATGATGAGAAGAGGCATATGAATTTTAATACAACACAATGTGAAGTACCACCCCTCCCCTTTCTGTAGAAATATTATAAATATCCCGAATCGGGTAATACTAATGGCACGACGCTGTCATATTTATAGTGATGGTTAGGGTATACCATGGCTACAACAAGCTAAGAGCATGAAATGTTTAGTATCAAGATATAAAAGTAGCAAACTGCTTTAACTGCTTTACACAGGGTCTTTTTACCAAATGTGGAAATCATATGCATTTTTTTCACCAACAACAAAAGTTTCAAATGCCAGACAAATTGAGTTGAAACTTCCTACGCCTTGTTATGTTCTAGTTATACCGCTACACATCAACACTCTCTACTATGATACTGCCGTATTGCTGCATCATTAAACTATCCGCCGCATCCCCAGTTTGAATCTCCAACGGACCTTTTCCGTAAAGAATTCTCTTCTATCTCTCCAAATTGATATTATTACCAAATTTACCATACAAGTGTTTCTTCAATTCCCCCAATTGTTCATCAAACCCGTCAATTAATTCCTCCACTTTATCAATCTTTTCAGATAATGCCTTGTCATCAGCTTCAATCTTGGACAATGCTTTACTCGTCTTCATAAACACAAATGCATCACCAATCTTGTATTGTACAGACTCATCCTCATCTAGTAACTCCAATTCGGTTGATAAATCATCAAGATACTCTTTTTCAACTTTCAACTTGTCTAGTATGGCTTGCTGTTGGTCCTTCTTGGATATGATGGTTGAAAACTTGTTGATCTTTTGCTGGTCTTCCCAACTCACTTCTGTAGCAGTATTTCTTTGTCCTTCAGGTAGTAATTCCATTGTACTTTGTTGACTTGACATTGTGTTGATGTGATGAATGTTTGATTTTTTAGCAGATCTTATGTTTTGTTGCGGGATGGTAGCGCAATCTCTAACCTACAACTGCAAAGCTCACCAACCCAACCACACAACATTTTAATACTACAGTTCAGCTAGTTGTTCCGAAAGTGAATATTAATATTTATACAAACCTATGTAGAACCCCCTTTTTAAAAAGAACAAAAAAATTGAAAAGACAAAGAAAATTAATTGAAAAGTAAACCTTTAAATAATTTACTCTTCATCTTCTTCTTCATCATCTTCAGCAACAGAGTAGAATTGCAATCTGTATTGGTTTTGTTTAACAGCAACAAATCTGATCCAATCTCTGATTTGGTTCTTTTTCAAGTATCTCTTGGTCAAGTATTTCAAGTATTTACCACTGAATTTGGTGTTTGAAACAACAACAACCTTGTTACCTTCAGAAGTAACAGAAATTTCATCACCCAAGTTTCCAACAATATTGTCAACTTTGATGTGTTCAATCAAGTACTTGACGTAACCTTCTTGGTCAAAAACACCATTTTCAACTGGAGCTGAAGTGTCAACGACGAATTTTTTGGCAGCTTTGGATTTCTTAGTGGTCTAAAAAAAGTGGTTAGAAAGGTTAGCCTACCGCACTTGAATAATACTTATTTGAAATTTGACCAATGCGTTAAAACGCACACGATTACATTTGCAAATAAAGTATCGGCAGCAAAGCATCCCTCCCATAAACGGGGGTAAAAAAATTTTGAGACAAAGGGTTCCAAATCTTTGAGCAGAAAACAAGACGAAACACAGGAAGGTCCAAACGTCATCTCTCAAGATTGTAATCCATAGGTTTGATACTAATATCAGTTCTTTGTTGTTGTTCTTTTTTTTGTTGTTATCTTTCGGAACTTTTGATAATCACAGCAGATAGATATGCCATGACTATTCTTCCCCTATTGGATATGCCCGGTTTTTAGTATGGGAGTTCAGACTTTGAGCTGATACTCGAAATGAAATTCGTGATGGTTGTAACACATTGAAGAATCAATGTGGGTGTATACATACAATTGGAGCCATGTTGATTGATTATTGATTTAGTTGATATTGGATGGAGAAGAGTATGAAGCAAGTGGGTTTTCTTTGATTGAAAAATTATCTTTCTTGGAGTGTGCGGAATCTGTTGCGCAGAGAAGAAGAAAAGAAAAAAACATGAAAACATCGACAAGGTCTATAGCCCTATACAAGTGGTAGCGCATAGTATATAAAAATAGGCAGAACCATAAATGGGTCAATCGTTAAAGATAAACCTACAACGTGTCGTCATTCGCATTTCAGTGAACGTCACATACCAGCTATTCTCTTAATATTTCATTGTCCCATTCAAGGTTTCTGAAGGTCATTAAATTGTCAACAAATTTAGTTGCGAAATGAGGCAAAAAAAGAAGTTCCATTACTCGATCAAGCATTGGCGACCCTTGCAATGATTTAGTTTATTGCAATTGAGAACAACTCTACTCGTATTTTATTAGTTCTTTATAATCTATTAATATAAAACAAATACGTATATAGACAATGGTATCAAACTCATGCAATAGGCGTACAACATCGTTCGTATGTTGTTGGTACTTGCTTCTGATCGATTCGAAAACCTATTCTCACTAGAACTAGACTCTGTATCAGAGGCATCATCAGACGTTGATACTGGCGCAATGGATAACTTATCGTCATCCAAGTTGAATACGACATAGAAATGTTTCAAAATATCTGAACCAAATATCGTACCTCCTATTAGTGACTCATCCATCACACCAAGGTAACATTTGCCATTTGTTCTTTCATTATTGATGATCAAGTCGGATACCGACACATTTAAAGTGGTGTTGCCAACTTTGAAATTGAAAAACACTTCATTTGTTGATTCACACGGCACCTCGTATGCCTGTTCGTCGTTGTTGTAAGTTCCATTTATTGATTCTCCAATAACTTTAATCCAGTCCAGTGGTAACGTTGAGAAGGTGGATCCTGTGTCAAATATCACATATTGTAACTGAGATTGGATTGAAGTGGTTTTGTCCCCACTAAGCGATACATCTTTGATGTGTATTCCACTATTCTCCATATGAGTAGTTGCCAACTCACCTTGATACTTGTTATTATCCACACCCCCAAATAGTATTGTACCTTTTTGATCATTCAAGTAGATTGAATATTGAGCAGTATCAATATACCCTTGTTTCTTCAATAACGAAATGAAATTATCATACCTCTCATTGTGTTTGATACCCAAAATCCCAAAATCAATACTTGACGCAGTAGCAACACCAAATTTCAATCCTTCTATTGTGACATTCCCCACACTTACGTCATCACGTCCGTATTGACCAATAGCAGCTGACCCGTCAGCAAATGCAATACTAAAATCATCATTTATGTATTTGTAAGTTGTCGAGTTTTCATAATCGAATGTACCATTGGCCTTACAAGAATACTCTTCATCCAAGTCGTTAAAAATATTCGGTATATTGGGTGCATTTTCCGCATGTAACTGATCAACAGTTGCACATTGCACGTTTTGAGACATTACCCACAACTCAGAAGATCCAGTGTCTATTGATACAACAACCTCATCCTTGGAGGATCCAATAGTCAAGTTTGTCAAATAAACATTTTTTTGTAACTTTATGGCTGTGTTTAGTGTATCTCGTTTGTCAAATCTTGGCTCCATCTCATGTGTCAAGACATCAAAGTCCAAGCTTATTGCCGACTCGACAATGATCGGTAGGTATGACGCTAGTAGGAATAATAGGCCAGGTATGGACATGGTTGGTAGTAATCTTTTCAAGAAAAGAAATAGTGTGTCGAAGTCGGTTCATTTTAATTTCTCTTTTAGAAGTCAATTACATTTCCCAATTTGTCGATATTTATCAAAAACAATGCCTGCATGCATTAGCCATCATCTCATAGGGGTTAAAATTGCACGTGCATGAGCTTTGTTATTGTGTTTTGTGTAATTATTAGATGTTGCAACACACGTTTTTCGTTTTTTTGCGATTCTAGAACTAACCAGGGGCTGTGTTTGGAGGTAACCAGTGAAAGAGGTTTTCATTGCCAGTAGAGCTACGTAATCCATAACAAACTTTCAATCCGAATGGAAGGGATCGTTACCGCCTGCGGGCAGGTCATAAAGTAACGTGCTTAGCTTTAGTAAACCAACTTTATAATTGCTATCTTTGCTGCTAAAATTTTCGAAAGTTACCTACAATCCACTTCAAGATTCTCTATAACCCTTATGAAGTTTAAAGGATCAGATTCTTTTACAAACGTGTATTTCAGTTAAACTTATCTACACGAAGCACCCAACCCACGTTCAGTTTTGGGTTGTGCGTTTCGAGCCAACAATTGTTTGTAAAGTGATAAATGTTACTACATTCAAGCAGTAGGTAATTGAAGGGGATTATGTGCTTAGGTTACAAGACAATGGTTTTACCGTAGGTTGGATCACCTTAATAGGCTCAAAAGGGAGTCTCCCATTGGAGGTTCACAGTAAAAATCTTTCCACGCTCCTTTACTGAGCAGTTTTCGTACCTACACGCACTGATTTTCACAATAAAAGTTCAATCAGCAAAAAAGAGACAAAAGGAGAAAGAAGCTCATTTCTTTTAGCTCTTTGTTTTACAGTATTCGGTTTCCTGAACTCGTTTAAACCTTTTTACTGAAAAAAAATGCGATTGTTGGAGTTCGGGGCACTGTCACATCTTAATATTAATCCGTTCGTGACGATTTTAGTCGACTTGAGTCCGCCCATTAAGGACGTGGCCTGTCGTCCTGGCCTGATTACCATGTAAGAGATGGATGATTATCGGTTTGAGTTTTGATAAATGATGAATCAATTTCATTGAAATTGTTGCTGGTATTCTCTATACGATGTCGAAATTATTTCAACGCAAAAGTGCTGAATATAATTTTCGATTCATGCTTCCACTTTCTGGTGTCAGGCGCCACAGGATTTTTCTATTGCACATTTCTGCTGGCCCGTTCATTTCCGGTGGGTAAGCTGGAATTTTGCCTTTTTATGCCTATTCTTGCTAGTTCTATCGCGACCTTGTCTTGACGAGGGTAGCTCAGGGGGGCATTATCATTTTTTCAATAAATTGCTAAAAGTGATAGTATATTGTTTAAGAAAGCCCAAAAATGTAGACTTTTGGTACCTCTGAAGCTCATACATCTACTTGATGGGAGTTAGTTCGATCATTTGAGGAAAGACGACATTCATCAGTGTGTGATGAAGTTGTCAACTTTAACTTAAAACATAATGACTACTTGATGGTGCAAAGTTTCACTGGAGTAGCTTGTGGCGACAAGTCACTTCAAACATCTCAGCTACCAACAGAGTCAAATGGGGAACATCGTGGCAATGCAATACCCAAAGATTGCACGTGTTCTTGTAGTTGCCCGTTTGGTTACCACCCCACACACACAAATTTGTGTGTGTGAATATTTGGTTGCATATCAAAGAAGTTAAATATATAGACATAGACATGAGACCGTCTAATTCAGAATCAAGACAGCCTCTTTTCCCAAAGCTCAATCATGCATTTGGCACTTGTTCTCCTACCAATTTGCATCGCTGCAGCTCATATGATCAAGCCCCAGTCTGAACAGTTTCTCCTTGCAGCCTACGATGAAGATTACACCTACAATTTACAACACGAAACTCAATACCTCAATGCACCAATCCAAAGAGTCGATTACCAATCATCCAAACTATTCATTCCTCAGCACACAAAGGACACCGCAAACTCCTCCACCACGTCAGCAAAGTATATTGAAGGTAAAATTTTGATTAATGGTAGTTATAAAGTAGATAATTTAAACAATGAGGGATTACATTTCATCAGAGTTGATAATCGTACAAATAGATTGAAAGCGTGTCCTAAAGGTGAATTGTCTACCGGGTTTAGCTTATTTAGGGATGAGTTGCTTTATAATAAATTGGGCAAATGGTCATTGTGCTTTGATGTTGAATGCAATTGTTCGTATATTTACCACGGAACAGTTAAGGATAATGTCAAGTATTGTGATTCCGGTGATCAAGAAATTACCGTGAGGGCAATTGGGAAGTATGATGCATCTGGAGCTATACCTGATTATCCATACAGCTTGGAGGAAAATTAAGAAAAAGGGACCCAAGTAATTGTCTGACTACCTTTTGGTTCAATTTCGGTATTTATACAGGTATAGAAGTATTTTCCCATTTAGTATGAAGCGCAATATTTAGCACCCTTTATTTTTAAGTAGATGTAGTTTGATGCATTATTAAGTAAGGGCAGTAGCGAGTGTTGCAAAACTAATGGTAGCGTGGAAAGAAATTCCTCTTAAGAATCTACACTAGATAAATCATAGAAAACATCCATTTTAAACTAGAAAACAACATCAATAAAAAAAAATAAAGGCCTATAGATGCAATAAACCAAACACCCTTCTCTGTCCCTTCCTCTCCCTCATCCCCTTGCAATGTTTCAATTACCATAATAGTAATTCCGAACCTGTTCCAACCGCATAGTATTCAACAATTCATCATTACTATAATTATTCTTAGCCTGTTCCATCAATTCAAATTTACGCCAAAACTCATCAAATTGAATCAGATCCTGTTTTATTGATTCAATTGATTCTTGATTATAATTTTGATTCACTTTACATTTCAAAATCAGTTTTGGTGGATCAAGATGTAATTGAGAACAACAATAATCACTGGTTTTGTGATCACCCTTTGACAAATGATGATGATTGTAATGACTGTGGTGGTGTTGATGACGATTCAGTTTGAAATCGAAAAAATTAAAGGGTAATGAAGCTGAACGTAAATGCAAGAATGATTTTTTACGTTTTGGAGATGATGATGATGACGATGGGGTGGTACAAGTTGTGGTAGATAGTTTCCCTTTGTTGCGTTTATGATGACGGGTAGATTTAAAAGTTGAGTAGTAATTATTCGGTGTTATTGGAGTTGGAGTGCTCGTTGATACTGATGGCATCATCGAATTTGCCTGATCTTGTTGATCATGTTGATTTTGTTGATTTTGTTGATCTTTTGGTTCATCAGACTCTGATTTCACATATTCTTCAAATTTGATCTTGCTTGGTGATGGCGAATTCGATAATGACAATGAAGATGAGGGGACTACTATACGTGTAGTCGCATCCATAAACCCATTTTCGCCATTCTTGAACAAAAGCAAATCAAAACTGGAGCTATTCAACCGTTTAAGCATATTGGTTGAATTCTTGCGAATCATTCCTTTAAACCTATCCAATAATGTCAACTCCTTCATACTCTCAATCATGGAATTCAACTCCATACTTTGATCCATAGCTTCGTCTCCACCGTTTTGATTTGGTTCAATATCTCCCTGCAGTGGCAACAGCAGCAGCAATACTCCTGGCTGTGAGTTATTAGCTGATTCAAGTTTGATTCTTTCATTAAATTTGCCATCGTCCATCGGTGGCAACTCATCCAAACTCCAATTATCAAACTCAAAATTGAAATTCATAACCGATAATGGCGATGAGTGAGATTGTATTGCAGTTGTGCATGGTTTCCTATTTTGTTCATATACTTCCAAGACAACTTTGTCTTCATCAACGGGGGAGTTTTCATAAACACTAAATCCATCTTCATGGGTGTGATTTGCCACTGTTAACCCACAATCCAGATTTCTTGCCCTCTTGTGCTGATGATTATGCGAATGGTGGTTATGGTGATGATGGTGATGGCGGTGTTGGTGGTGGTTGTGATGATTGTTATCATATGTAGATATGGAACTTGTATTGCTTCGATTGAACGGAGTGGCAGTTGATTGCAATGAGTGGTCAGATTGTAACAGTGATGAAGCTGACGCTGATGATGACTCCGATTGGATATCAAATAAATTCTTGATGGTTAAAATTGGCAGGTGTTTGGGTTGTTTTTGGTACCCTCTTGGCTCATGCTGCTGTGTTTGTACGAGGGCAGAATGAGAAGGTGGTTGTGGATGTGACTGTGCTTGTTGTACAAGTTGCATAGTTGTTGGCACTTGTGTACTCAGAGGTTCATGAACTAGTGACATATATTTGAAAAAACTGTGAATGTAACTTTGAGGGGGTTGTTATTGTTGCGAAAAAAATAAGAGGCAATAGAAATATAGAATCAAAAACATGAAGGATAAAAATTTATATGGTATGCTGAAATGTTGCTCAAAGTGGATCCATGGCACAACCAATACAAAAAAAAAAAATACAATTCCCACCATTGTGCATCCTATACTCTCCTCAAATCTCCCTCTAGTGAACTTCAATCTTATCCAACTTTTCAAATGCTTGTTGGTTATGCTTGTCTCTGTAACCATTTACTTTTTCATATTCAAACAACGACTCTCTCACCGGTGGCTTCAAGTGAACACCTTGTTTGATAAGATGAATATACTCTTGATCGGCATATGCATTTGGGTTATCCAAAATCTTTCCCTGCGGCAAATCATTCACATTTTTGTGTTTAGTACCATCCACTTGAAACAAGTGACGTATTTCTCGTTGATGATACTGCGCCAATGCTTGTGATTGGTAGTAATCAATCAAGACTTGGTGGTTTTCCGTCAAGATTTGATAAATCTCCTCATCTGATAAATTTTGAATGAGTTTTTTGAGCTTTGTTTTGTTGACACGTCCATTTGATTTCATGTAGTCATTAGGATCGAGAGCCTTCACCAATGAGGGTTCATGGATCCAACTTTGCAATTTGTTGACAAAATACCAATCCTTGTATTCCACTTTTGTCAATGCACGGTTGGGGTATTCAAATTTTAATCGTTGGATTATTGAATTGGGGACATAGCATGGTACACCATTCAACATGGTTAATTTCAATGGGGACAAGTGGGGTAGGTTATAGAAATGAACTCGTCTATCATTAAACACAGCAGCGCCCTTCTCCAACACAGGTCCTTCGTCCACATCGTCATTGACATTTTGAAAATAGTTTGACGATGGAGAAGCTCCACTTGTACTCAAACCGGTAATGTCAATGTAAACCCCTGTATCAATGTCAATAAATCTTGCATCAATATGGTTCCCACGTTTTGATATTTGTCGATTATGAACAAAAGTCCCCACTTCAATAAGAAATTTTCCGGTACCTTCACGTACATCCTCAACAACCAAAGTTTGATTATAAAACTCACCCAATTTTAGTAAATGTTCAATTGGCATTTGTATATCCAAATCATTATCAAATGGAAATGTACCTCCATTCCAATACCAACTCAATAATGGACCATGGGCGATCCAGCTAACCATGCCATGTTTCTCACTAAATTTGAACCAGTTGCGCAGTAACCTTTCCATTATGATTGATGTACGATCAACATTATCACCTAATTTCCCGTTGAAAAACCGCCAATCATAATGCCATCCCGAATCCAGATTATCGAAATTCGTATGCAAGGTGGCTTCTTTGAAATACCTAGTTTCAGGGTTTCTCGATGGCTTGGTTTCTATAGTGGTCACCATTGAGTTTAAAAAAGATTGCTGCATTAGATCAAGTGGTTCCTTTGCTGTGCGAAGTTGGTTCCATTTTTGAGCAAGAATTATCCGATTGTAGGTGAAATGTTTTTCTTGCAACTCTATAAGAGGCTGTGGGCTATACTTGAAAGTTGTATTTGGAGCAATTTGCTCAAACTGGGTAACAAGATTGAATTTGGACTTTGTTGTTTCAGGACGACGTCCTTTGTATACATCAAACAGTAAATCATCACCATAATCGTTCAAAAACATGATTTTGTAGGGGAGTGGTTGATGAGTTAACAAGTACGATTTTCCCTGCAAATTCCTCACATACTCTGTGGTTGTAACTGATGTGTGCTGAAACTGAATAAATCCCGGCAATTCCGATTTATCTTGGAACCCCAATTGTTTAACTTCTTCATCAGAAAGATCCTTGGTATCTATACAGCCAATTCTCTTTGGGTCTGATTTTGCTCTTGCCCTGCCTCCCGAAGGCACAAAATTCATTTCGTGTATAATGTCTAGACATTTGAGTCGTTGTTCAAATGGTTTATTTAACTGATGATTCAAGTATGACAAGTCCACCCAATCTGACCACTGAAATGGTATTGCTTTAGGGATGCTATCTTGAGATAGAATGTGGTCAAAAAGTGAGCCAAAAGTGAGTCGATCATCTTGATAAAGTAGATTCGATTGGGCAATATTATTCAACTCCTTTAGTGATTTCTCTAAAGTAGTTGTATGTTTTGGTGGTTCCATGTTGGTTAGTAAATGCTCCAACTTTCTAGCGTAGTCTATATCGGTATTTGCTAGTTGCGGTAGCAGATCTGAGCCATCTGTGGTGATATGTATCTGTTGGGTATCGACATTTTTATTGGCTGAACGAGATAGGCAAAAGGTTAATACGTATACTATATTGATGAGAAACACAAGAATGAGTGGTTTTTTAAACCTTCTTTTGCTTCGTAGCATTTTTGAGGTTATTGAAGAAGAATTTTTCATAATGTGTGGGGCTGCTAGTGATCTATAATGAATCTATCTTGGATGTACGAAAACGATTTGTGCATTGAAGGGGGAGGATCGTGTATAGCAACTGATTCCTTTGAATGTATGCTTGTATATACTTTTCTGATGGTTAGTAGTTAGCTAGTAAACGATGAATAAGTGTAGTTAGCGTCAGTGGTGTTCTATACTGATTTGACTTATTGTTGTTGATCTTTTCACCAAAAGAAGAGACTGTGATCTTGTGACTGTACCAAGAAAAAAAAAAAAAAAAATAAAAAAATTAAAATAAAATTAAAATGAAATGAAAATATTTTATAGATTGTCGCAAAATTAAAGTCTTGTGACAGGGGAAGGGGTGAATAATAGAATAAGAGAAGTATAACAAAGAATCATTTACGTAACAAGTCTATATCAGTTATGGTTTTTGATGGTAATACACAATCCACTTTGTACAATACACCAACAATACAAAAGCTTTATACTTTTACTCTTTTGAATGTATCGGGCAGATAAACATAATATCATTTGGTTGCGCCATCATTTAAAGCGTGTAAATGCATCAATTGAGATACATAATGTGTCACAAAAAAAGTGTAAAACTAAAACCGATATTGCAGTAAGATCATAATGACATTGAAACGTTACCTAATGATTATTAAAGGTTTTGCAAATAACATGACAATATCATTGCGCCCGCTTAGTCGACCCACATACGTATATAATATTGAGTAGGTGTGAGGTAGATATCACTTTGAGCGTGACGAACACCTTTAAAATTCACCGTCTCACTCTCTCCCCAAAAAAAGCCTTGTTAAGTAAGGGAAAAAAGCCAAGTCGTTCGAGTGCCATCCTCTCATCCTGTGAAGTTCTGTGAATCGATTTGTATTGGCCTGCCAAGGCTTCAAGAGAGTAGTGTGGTAGCATTAAGAAAAAAGTTTACTTGAGCTTAGAGTAGCTGTCTTCTCAAAAATGTGATTCCATCCTACTGTAGAATTAAATACCTCGTAATGCAAACTGACCATAGAAAATCGTATCAACAATGTGATTGAAAGCCTCGGCATTTTAATACCTCTGTTGAAACTAACAAGTACAGGCTAGCGTGGTAATTTGTGCTCAACAAGGAGAAGAAGACGTCCTTCTACACTCGAGAAAGGACTCCTCCATACACACCATAGAAAGGCCGTTAGTATAGATGGGTCAATACACTCGTGCTCTAAAAAACAGCATTCTCTTAGTGGATATCAGTTACAAATCGGTTGCAAATTCCAAAGTGGGGCGGATAAAAACGGAAAATGACGGTAAAATGTGTAACGGATAAGGCGCGTTCAACAAGTCCATCTGTTGTTGCGAAAAATCAGCTATTATGGAGAAAGTACGCAGGAAAGAGTATGTAAGTATTGACCAACTATATAAATGAACACAGCATTGGAAGCCTCTTTATGCCCCTTTCTTTGAATGCCTCTCGAATAACCGGTCCACATAGAAGCCGTTCGACGAAAGTAAAAATGCGTCGATTACTGAACCAAGAATATTTATTATAATTGTCCGTCATACGGCGGAATCAAAAAACCAGACCACGACGGAAGAAGCCATCCGTGGAAGGTTCCCGTTCAACACGACCATGGCACTGTACCCGCTTTCAATAGCCAGCATGTTCTGTAGTATAGGATTATACGTCTACATTTCCATTAGTTAATAAGATTTTATGAACTCGTTAATGCAAGCGCGACAATTCAAAGTACAATGAGAAAAAAATGCAATATCCAAGGCTAATCCTAATGGTTTACAAGAACATTACCATTAATCACATATTAGAGTACTTTGAGCCAAATATCCCATCAGATCAACTACTTCCGAATATTATCCATGAACCATTCCATTCCACATGCACTGTAACGTATTTGAGGTCCGTGAGTAGTAGTAACGGTGGTATACTTTATCACCATCCCCGCAAAAAAAACCTGTCACCATTCCTTTACATGCAGGATGGAGAAATAACAACACATTTTAGCGGATATCGATATCCTATTTTATTTTTTCAGGGTAACCCGTTGTTTAATTAAAGAACAATGTTAAACAAAGAATATATAAAGAGCACCAAGAAATCAACGAGTGAATTTTGACCCGGAATTTGAAAGAATATTTTCAACTTCACTTCTTCTTCTTCTTCTGCCCATACACTTTCCATACCCCATCACCAAAGGTAAATTATGTTGTCTAGAGTTTTGAAAACCAGAGGCTCACTTCAAGTAGCCAAAAAATCATTCAACTTACAAGCCATTAGATCAAAAACTGTCATTTCATTATCATCCACCCTTACATCTTACCCCAAGGATCACACTGAAAAGGGAGCTGAACCATACTTGACTCCAAGTTTTCTCAATAACGAATTTATCAAATCCGAATCCAAAGAATGGTTTGATATCCATGATCCAGCCACCAACAATGTTGTTGCTAGAGTTCCACAATCAACTGAAAGTGAATTAGATGAAGCTATCGCCAGTGCTCACAAGGCATTCCCAGGATGGAGAGACACTAGTATTATCAAGAGACAAGGTATCGCTTTTAAATTTGCTGCTTTGTTGAGAGAAAACATGGACCGTTTGGCCGGTATGATTGTTTTGGAACAAGGTAAAACATTTGCCGATGCTCAAGGTGATGTTCTCAGAGGTTTGCAAGTAGCAGAACAAGCCTGTAACATTACGAATGATTTGAAGGGAGAAACTTTGGAAGTTAGTACTGATATGGAGACGAAAATGATTAGAGAGCCATTGGGTGTTATTGGATCCATTTGTCCATTTAATTTCCCAGCTATGGTTCCATTGTGGTCATTGCCATTGGTTTTGGCTACTGGTAACACCGCTGTTATCAAGCCATCAGAAAGAGTCCCAGGTGCTGCTATGGTTATTTGTGAGTTGGCTGCCAAAGCTGGTGTTCCTCCAGGAGTTATCAATATTGTACATGGTAAACATGCTACTGTCAACAAATTGATTGAAGACCCAAGAGTCAAGGCGTTGACATTTGTCGGTGGTGACAAAGCTGGTAAATACATTTACGAAAAGGGTTCAGCATTGGGTAAAAGAGTTCAAGCCAACTTGGGTGCCAAGAACCACTTGGTTGTTTTGCCTGATGCCCCAAAACAACAATTTATTAATGCTTTGAATGGTGCTGCTTTTGGTGCTGCTGGTCAAAGATGTATGGCTATTAGTGTTTTGGTTACCGTTGGTAAAACTAGGGAATGGATTCAAGATATCGTCAAGGATGCTAGCAAATTGGTTACTGGTTCTGGGTTTGACCCATCATCTGATTTGGGACCATTAGTCAACCCAGAATCATTAAAGAAGGCAGAGGAAATTATTGAAGATTCAGTCGCTAATGGTGCCAAATTAGAGTTGGATGGAAGAGGATACAGACCAAAAGATTCCAAATTTGCCAATGGTAATTTCTTAGCCCCAACCATCTTGACCAATATCAGACCAGGCCTTAGAGCTTATGATGAAGAAATTTTTGCTCCAGTTCTTTCTGTTGTTAATGTTGACACCCTTGATGAAGCTATTGAATTGATTAATGCTAACAAATATGGTAATGGTGTTTCCATCTTTACTTCAAATGGTGGATCAGCTCAATATTTCACCAAGAGAATTGATGTTGGACAAGTTGGTGTCAATATTCCAATCCCAGTACCATTGCCAATGTTTTCATTCACTGGATCAAGAGGATCATTCCTTGGTGACTTGAATTTCTATGGTAAGGCTGGTGTTACTTTCTTGACTAAACCAAAGACCATTACTGCTGCTTGGAAAGTAAACACTATTGATGAGGAAATTTTGAAACCATCCACTTCTATGCCAATTCAACAATAAATGGCGAAAAAGGAAACAAATATGCAAAATTGTGTATAGTTTAATTAATAAAGATACCGGTTATAGAGTAAGTGATTGTACTATAGGAGGCAAAAAGTGTCGAGGCAATTGTAGCGGTGATCTACATTTTTCTCGCGGTCATTATTTAGGCGCTTTATTCAGTTAATGATTGTATCGCAAGAGTAAATGAATGAACCAGGTCCTCTTTTGGTACTTTTCCCCATTTAGGCAATTGTCCTGCCCTGTTTTCCCGGGGTAATCCAATTAGCATCTTACACAAAAAGGCGACAAGATGAAAAAATGAATTACTCACGACACACGGGGTGATGAGACTAAAAGCGTGTGTAATCCATAGGTAACGTGGCGCAAGTATGCGTTTTGCGGTGTAACGCTTTTTTTTATTATTAATTTGTACCGTTCTGTTGCAGGGGGTATAGGATAGAGTCTAGACTCCCAGAGTCGCTTTCGATTGCATAACTGAACGGCATCTGCCAAAAGAGTAAAACAACAACAACAACAATAACAACAACATCCGTGGTATTTCCTTTGAAGTGCATCCTATTATATATGAAAGGTTCTATTATTTTTTAAAGTTCTGTTTGTGTTTTCTATTGGTTTTGTTTTGTAATTTTTCAGACACCAAATGAATCATCCGACAGAAGAACAAATTGAATATTAGAACCGAGGAAATTAAGAACCGATTTTTTTTTTTGTACCGGAAGAAAAGAGTGGTAACGTTTATAGAGGAAAAAGAACAGTCGACAACTATCTCTAAATATTGTGGTCCAGAACTCTAAGGTTCAAGAATGCCCGGGACAACTCATTGATACAACGTGGCTCATTTATGAAAATGGGTGGGTCTAGATTAAAAGAACTTATTTATGTACTTGCTTTATGACATTTTATAATAATGGAATTCCGAAATTTATGTGTACGGACTTTGAAAAGTAAATAATCCCCCTTTCTTATTCAGTAAACTCTTTTGTCTATGCCAAGTTTTATAACAAAGCAAGTCAACGCCAACTTTAATAACAATCAAAATAAAAAAGACATTATTCACTGTTTGTTGTGATTCTTTTCGGAATAGACGTTCGGTTATTAACATCTTACACAAAACACACCTAACCATTTGAGATGCTTTGCTTTTATTTTCTAACGCGCTCTTCCGGTAACTTCCTTTGCAAGAATAATTCGTAAATAAAGTAATACAAGGTAACAACAACTACGTGGTTGCTAAAAGAAAGGGGGAATCAACTTCACACTACATAAGATCAAACAGTGACTATATGTACAACGCATGCGCTCAAACTGGTCTAGCTTGACAACTCTGTATTAAAATAAGTCTGTGCTCAATGTGGGCTAACTAAAGTCAATGCCTAATTTTTTTTTTTTTTTTTAGTTACCGCTTGGTAGTTATGTTTTCTTTTCTTTCGTAACGAGAACTCCTTAATAATGCATATTCGCTTGCATTGACGCTGAAAAACATTCAGCTCTAAAACGATGAGCAAGGGGGTGGAAACAAGGAAAAAACGTACGAGGTTTCTGATGGTCTTGATCTTTTAGATTTGTAAAGGGGGTTACCATAAACGCTTTCAAATATGCGTCTCAGTTGTTGAGGGTTGTGTATCTTTTTCTCTTTACTTTGTGTGTCAATGGCATTTGTCTGGAGTATTGTGATTGTTTTTCCTGAATCCGACAATAATTGATCACAAATGGTGAGTGGGACAATCGGAAGCTTAATACGTTCAGTGAACGAATATTTGGACGATGGGACAGTGAAGATGCTGTTGAAGGCTCATAAATCACACAAAAGAAGCAAAGATTTCATTATGGGTCCATTTCTCTCCTTGTTCTTTTTGTGATTTAAAATGGAAACCGACATGATATCATTGTTGGTTTTGGGTTGCCATTGATTGCTCCTGAAATTTTGGGAAAAGCAAAGTGATGCGGGAGATAGCTTCTTCTATTTTGTTAAGCCTTAGCTATCACTGTATTTTCTCTCACTTTTTCAAGGTTTTTTAACAAGCAAACTTATAGGATGTGGCAATCCGTTGAATACGGGTTTAGATTGATTTCCCACGGAGTTCTTAGAAAATAATACTATCCAATTTAGGAATTTATGCATAATGAATGCATAATGCATCTATGAGTTTATTGTGTTTTCTTTTTTTCTTTATTGACAATTGACCAAGCTCCAATTTGTTGAAATCTAAATTTATAAAATCCAAAAAAAATTGTTTAGTATGGGTGTATGGATGTTTTGTTTCGTAAAAAGTCGGAACAGGAAATAAATAAATAAATTAGCCAAAATTGAATGCCACAAAGTACCAATGCCTTGCGACACAGACAGATATATTATTTCTTGCTATTCTTTTCTCTAATCAATGGTAATGGCCATATTTGATTATTACAAGGAAGCTAAGAAGCATGGAGAAGGCGGCATAGTGTTTTGTAGTAAACAAAAAAAAAAGAGAGCGCTTTGCTTCAAGGATATGAAAGCGCGGCAAAAACACCTTGCATGAAAAAGTAGGTCTATCTAATTCGAATACTCCTACTTCCTACTCGGCGGTTTATGTCCGTGAGAGATCATCCATCGACGTCTTTTCTTTTTCTTTTGCTTTTTTGTGCAATGAAGGAAGAAACGATGATGAAAACCGTTTCTTTTCGTTTCATTCTTAGTATGACTTAGCTGGACTTACCATCCTAGTAATTTGTACCTTTGGTTCTGATGACCTCTAGCTACTGCACCCGTTGGTTTCTCTTCATGAATGGGTAGTATCGGTGGTGGTGTTTGTGAAACCTTATTAAAGCAAGTATTCTTAGAGTGTTATGTGTCTAACCGCCAATACAGACAAAAGAAAATACAAGATACTATAATAAACAAGTAATAGTTTGTGTGCACACAAACATAAAAACAGACAGACAGACATTTTTACCTATTTTCCATCTTTTTATATAAAACAGTTTCCAAATATCTCATATTAAAGAATATTAAGACATATTGTAACATCAACAAATAACGTATATACAAGCAACTTTTTTCAACAAGTTAATACTATATCTATTCTATCCACAATCCTCAATTCATTTCGATTCATCAACAAGAGCAAGGACTTCATATCATTGAAACAATAAAGCATTGTCGAAGGGGCTCATTTTTTCAGCAGCAGCAACAGCAGCAATATAACAACTTAAATAATCCACTTCGTACTCTGACCCAAGTTATGATACTGCAACTTTAGTCACTTTATTTTTGAAACATTAAAAGTATGTATACATTATGGGGGAGTTCTATATTTCGATTGGGTCGCATCAGTGGCTCAGGCCGCCAGATTCATGCCGACAGTTTACCATTTTTTTTTCCTTTTGTCGCCCTAGCGGCGGCCCTAATTTGAGCTTTTAACACTGAAAACTCAACATAGAACCGAAGAGGAGGCATATACAAATGCGACTTGTGGATGCCCCCCCTCGATTTTTCTTCGGCAATTGAATGCCCATTTATGCCAGTGACAGGTATACTAACATACAATGATCTAGCTATTTCGTTATAACCATGACAACCACAACTACAACTACATCTTCAATGGTCCCAGTACTAAACCAGCAATCAGTTGAAATACCATCTCATTCACTCGAGGAAATGAATTCATCACAAACAGAACGAGTAACAGTCACAACTTCCAAAGAATGGGTACTACCACCAAGACCAAAACCTGGAAGAAAATTGAAGGAGATCAAAGCAAAACAAAAGTGTAACATTAAGCCATCTTCAACTTCAAGTGCAATATCAGCATCGAACATACCAGCAAGCACGAAAAAGTCACCATCCGCCAAACAATCAACTAATCGCAAATCGAATAAGAAATCCGATTGCTGTGCCAATGAGTTGAACCCTGATCTATCAACTGTATCATCATTATTGCAAAATATATCCATTATAGACTCTGAAAATTCTTGCCTAAAATCAAACTTGTTGTGTTTAATTCACGAATATAAGCATTTGAAAAATTTGGTTTTAAGCGCCCCCTCAACAACCACAGAATCATCAAACACAAACACACCAGCCACCACCACAACCGCCACCGGTACAACCGCAACAAGAACGGGCTCGATAACCTCAGACCTGGCTATAGACTCGCTACCAGACAATTTGACAGAAATTGTTGACTCAATGTCACATGAGGTTCGTGCAGTCCATAAGCGTTCGTTTGTTGAAGTATGTGAAGAAGATAAAGATTTGTTTTCGGAGATTGAACACATCATTGAAGAAGGTGAACCATCAAGACGCATGTCTGCCCCCGCTTCGAGAGCCTCCCTTAGCTCCTCAATCTCTACTACGAATTCCACCTCGGCATCGTCACCAATTGCAACCATCATGGGCTATAATTCATCCACCGTTGACACTGTAGCGTCTACGCCTTCGCCTGCCACACTTGAATTTGAGCAATTTATCAATATAGATCAACTGGATGATAAGAAAGAAACATCTATGAGCTCAACTCCAGACTCCACCTCCACTTACAGAAGCAAGAAATTTGCCCATTACAAGGATTTTCACAAGTTGGATACTGAAGAAGACTCTGATGGCGATATCAATTTCGAAGATGATGATTTGATCAATGGTGGAGGAGGAGAGGAAGAAGAGGATGATTTCCTTGGTGAATTATGCACGCCTTCATCAACTTCATCTCATGACTTGTCCCGTACCACATCACCATACTCTGACTACGAAACAAACTCTTTGATGAGTACTTTGACAAGAACAACTACAGGCTCATCAATCAATACAGTTATTCATGAGAAACCAAGTTTTGCCAGTGACAAATTGCACAACAATTCTTCTTCGGGTTACACTTCAATTCACCCACCCCCTTTGACATTGAAGAAGATGGGTAATTTCTTTGATTTACCAAAGTATCAAGAAAATGATAAATTGTACAGTTTTAAATTTGACACTGCTGAGTATCAAGCGAAAAGAATTGATGATGAATATAACTTGGTGACCGATTTGTTGGAGGAAAAATTGATGAGCAATGAAATCCATTATTACCTGCAACAAGAATAGTAGTCGACCTACATGCACAAGGAAACATGCGACAGTGGCAAACATTACCAACAAATGACTACCAGAAATAAAACACGATGACGACGACGATGACGATGACGACGATGACAACGAAGACGATGATCACAACAGAGGGCTGTTTTATGAGACTTTTTTATTTTCCATTTTTGTTTCAAGTTTTTGCTTTTATTTATCTTATTTATTTATTCTTTTTTGTATAGTATTGATGACGCAAATGAAGGGACTCGGGTTTTGGCAAAATTTTCAGTATTAAAGATCGTAGGTCATGTTGCTCTCTCATTTTTAATGATGTTTTGCTCTGATTCGATATAACATACTTTACTTTGTTGCATTCACATCAATCAAAATAGTTTACTACAGCCAACCCCATCAACTCAGCATTTGACTCTTGTACGTAGAAATGTAAGAGTAGGTGGTGCCATCTTCTCCTGCACTCAATACGTTTACAAGTACCAACCGTTATATACAAGTTGAATCAAAGTTGATTTATTGAAAGATTGAATTTTAACAATTCCTACATAAGGTAAGAGTAGGTGATGCATTTGCAGTATGGGTTTAAAAGCACCAGCATTTATATTATTATAAGTTACATTAATGTCAAAATTATTTAAGAAAATGGATATTGATAATACCCAAGTTAATGAGATAGAGGTCTAATGCAAAAGCATATCCGCTGAATCACAATCCACCTTCAATCGATGCCAATAACTTCACCTGTAGCGCCCCAATACTTTCAATGTAACTCAAAATCTCGTCCTTCATTTTTTCTCTAGCACCAGCGTCCCAATTTTCATCTTCGACAAAGCAATCACTGTACATTTTCAATGATTTCTTTATCGTAGCAATTTCCAATTGATCCGTAATGATTCTATTTTCGATAGCCTTGTCAAACAAAAGAGATGCAAACTCGCGATCATTGTTCATAAGAAAGCCTAGGATTATGGATTGCGTAAGTAGACCCTTTTGAGATGATCCATCCTTGACCACTGCCGAAACTGCACCGATGTAGTCATTGTATAGTGCCAAACCTTCATTGGGATTGAAATAAGACTTGAGGGTGATGAGTATTTGCAACAACTGAATCGTCAAGTCAGGTGGTATCATTGTTTCTGCCATTGTTTTGAAAATTTCCTTATCTTGTTTGATTGCTTGGTACGAGATTGCCTTTACCATGGAAATTTGCACATTAGAAATGCCATACTTGGCGAATGTCTCATACTTTTGAAACACCTGTAATGCTTCACCAATATCGTTTTGGGAGATGCCCCAGGTTTCAACCAACATTTTTCTGAGGACCAAGTTCTTATCTTGTAAGTCAATTCTTGAACCATTGATGTAATTGATAATTCTTTGATTCAATTGTCCAATGTCCAACTCGATACCAGCTTTGTGATGAGTGGGCACAACTTGCTTGGACTGAAAGTTCAAAAGGTCAAGAATAACGGCATATATCCATGGCTCTATTGACTCGGGTTCCTTAAACCACCTCTCGAAACTTCTCACCAACGCAAACTTGGCCAATGGATCAGTGTAGTTTGCAAATACTTCCTTCAATAAAGTGTCTCTGTTTATGTTGACATTGGCAATGAACAAATCCAATTGGGAAATATCTTGGCGATGAAGCAAAGTTGCAAACAATTCTTTAAAATGTGATTCCTCTATAGATTCAAAATGCTTGTTCAAATATTCGAGAAGACGATCCACTGAGTAGTCCACATCGCTTGTATACTCTTTCACCAACTTACTCAAAACATCCTTTTTAAACGCATCACTTGTTTTAGTAATGTGATGTTTCTCAAGTAAATCAAAAGTATCAAGCACTCTTCCAGGGTTGATATTGATCAAATGTCTCAATAAATCTTCATCCAGTATGTCACCCTGGGCTAATTTGAAGTATGTGCCAAATGTCGGTATCAATTGAGTATACAATTCCGATTTGTTTGGGTTTGACGAACTTGCGATGGCATTGACTAATTTGATTCTCCCTTCTTGATCATCATGGTTGACCGATGGGTGGGTCAAGTCATGCACCTTAATATTTTTGGCGTCTTTGGCTAGTAGAGTCGATAGCTGTCTATGAAAGCAACTGCCAGATGGTTTGAGTAGAGACTTCAACATGGGGTTTCCATGGCCATTTTCAAAACGAATATAGAAATAGTGCGGCGAAAAATCTCTTCATGTACAACCTACATCATCAAGAGATACATTGTCATACCACTTCTACCAATTTTAGGTACTAGAGCCTACATAATATCATCAACTAAATTTGTATGATTACAACAATTTCTACATCTTCTATATTTTCTATTCAGTCTTTAACAACTCTTCCTCCATCTTTGCCAACATTCCAACACCATCAAAATATTCCATTTATCATCCACTTTAAACCCACCCAATTCAGTATCAGTGTCAAATAATTTTTTAATATACTCGTCGTATCCTATAAACTCATTCTTTTGTTCACACTCATAACTCCAACTGGCTTTGTATGCACCTCCTAAAGCACATGCATTGGGAATTTCAACTTTGTAGTTCCCATTGACTGGTCCGAATATTTGTCCCATTTTGTGGATAATGCTGAGATTATTCGAAGCACCACCAGCATAGTAACATTTATTGGGACGAGCTGTCAAAGTGTCCACATTTTGTTCCTTGCCGTCAGTGTATAACTTCCCAAACCTCTTGGTCACTTGTTGATATAATTCGTCGGCTTTCGATGATGCATCAGAGTTGCCCTTTACCTTTGAATCGTCCTTATGATATCCCGATCTACTCAACATAGGACCTGCTCGTAACCTGCAACTCAAGGTTTGACTTTCCACAATTGCCAATGCATCATCATCAATATCGAACCCATTCTCGCCTAGTTCACACTTGACAACTTCGTAATCGTCGTCAGACTTTTTATTCAACACAGCACGAATTGTTTGGGCTGGCGCTTGTGGGACAATCTCTCCAATAGGGAAATATATACCCAATTTCCCATCAAAAGAAGAACTGTTGTCCAATATCTCATCAAATTTATCCCACGACTTGTGATCATCAACGTGATACTTTTTGTTGATCTCGTCTCTAGCTTTCTCTCTAGCGAGTGAACCATTTGAGTAACAAATCATACCCATATAATGTTTTGGCATTGTTGGGTGTTTAAATAAATGGTATTGTGACGAAGGTTGGTAATTTTCAGTAATCAATAAAACAGTTGTAGATGTACCCAACGAAATCAAACAATCATTTGGCTGCAAAGGCAATGACAAGATTGTGGCCAAATTGTCACCTGTAAATGAGTAAATGTTACAATCTTTGGAAAAGCCATATTTTTGTACAAAGTAATTTGCAATAGATCCCGAAGATTTATAGGTGATTGGTTGAATTGGGCCTAATTTTTTCTTCAAATCATCAATCGCCTTTTGGTATTTCGGATCATCTTCAGCAACACCGTCGATTTTAGTATGAACACCAGCAGCAACAGCAAGCAACTCATTGCAGTAATCCGACTTGTTTATATCGTACACATTCATTCCACAAGCATCACTTTGTTCCAACTCGGCAATTTCACCTAATAAAATACTAGTAACGAATGAGCTCACTAATGAGATTCTTGATGTGGATGCATACTCCTTGCCATGAGACCTGGTTATAAACTTGCGAATTTGCAACCCAGTGAATCTCAAATGTGCTCTTGATCCGGTAATCTTGGCTAAGTTTTCCTTCCCCACTGCATTATGAAATGCCTTAGCCTCAGGAAGAGTTGAATGGTCTTGCCAGTTGGGAGACATTTCCCACGAAAATGCATCGTTGAGTTGTTCACTCAAGTCCGAGTCTGGCTTCAATTGCTTCAACAAATTGTTTGCATCGTGTGACCAGTAGACAGACCCATGTTGTTGGCCTGAACCACTGATTCCAGCAACTTTCTCAAATGGAAATCCGTCGTCCTTCATTTGAGAGAAAAGGTAATCAATAGCATCCAACCACATGGCCACTGGACTGACAATCTCTCCTTCTTCGCCAGTAATGACTCCCTTGTGGATACCATATTTGTCTTTGAATTGCGAATCAAATTCGACATTATAGGTTTGTAAAGGGTCCAAATGTTCATTGGTTACAATAATCTTGAGTTGCTGCGTCGACAAGTCGAAGCCGAGAAATAGGTGGTCAGATTTGGAGTAGTCAGTCATTGTCTGTACTAGGAAGCTTCTTTATTGCGGTGGAGGATGAAAGCTAAAGAGGTGTATCTGGTGTTGTGTATTTGCTATGAATCTCTATTTATATCCGCCTTTTCCAATTGAATCTTTTTTTGTGTTTCCAGTTTGCAATTTACCCAACAAATGGAAATTAGTACTTGATATTCAACCATTGTATTGGGGGAGCAGTATTGAACCAAAAGTTCGGGGCGACTATCAATAGTAAAACAATAAATTGAGTAGCGAAAGCGTATGATAGGTATCGTAATGAGTCAGTTGCGATCCCAACAATTAGTGAAATGATTACATTAGCTATGGAAGCATAGTGTATAATCTGTTCCACTTGTTGCTGGTTGTTGATGGTGACGGGAAACTCCACAGCAGCGACTAGGTTATCCATTGTTAGTGGTGGTGGTGGTGGTGGTGGTGTAACCGATGACTGGGAAGAATCGTGTTTGATTTCGGAGGAATTATAAACGAGGTGGATTTGTTCTCGTTGTTTTCTTTTTCTGCAAAGGCGTATGTCGCAACATTTGCTTTTATGAAATTGATTTTTCATTGACACTGTCGTTTCCATCACTCACCTTTGGGTTGCAATTGGTGGTTTGGCGTTGGTTTGGGCTTTTATGGCTGAAGATGGAGGCGTCTTATATTGATTTAGGTGAGCAAGCGTCAGTCTTTTCAAGAAAGTTACTTACATGCGCATTTCTTAGTCCTGTTCCTACAAGTGTAAGTTGATTTACCGACACTTCAGCTATATATACACCACGATAGTGATAAATATGCCTTTCTTACTCCACGGATCACCCTTAATGGCCACAATTATACTGGTTAGAAGCGTTTCACCTTTGATGCCGCACAACTGTGGTGCAAAATAATTGAAAAAAATAATTTATTCTTTCAACTTAAAATACACCAACTATTCCAAATAAAAGAAGAAAAAGAGTCAGTTGTCATTTGTTCTTTTCTCGTATCCGAAGCTGTTCACCATGACCAAACAACAAGTCCTTTTCGTTGGTGATTTGAATCGATCCCTTTCCGAGTTTAAGAAATTTCAATCGAAATATGAATGTCTTGAATATACATTGACAACAAAGGACCAATTTATTGCCGATTTGAAAACAAAATTCTCCCACATTAGTGCCATTTACGGGGCGTGGCTCGGATTTGTTCCAATCGGCGGATTTAGGACAGTTATTGACCATGCACCGTCGAGTTTGAAAGTTTTGGCTTTTTGCTCGGTTGGATATGATCATCAAGATGCGGATGAACTTGCTAAAAGAGGAATTGCCATGACAAATGTTCCTAGTGTTGGGGCTGCTGAACCAGTTTCTGACTTGGTTGTTTATTTTACAATCACTGGGTTCAGACAATTGCATATGTATACGAAGCAGCAGCTTTCAAAGATACCCGACACCATTGACATTAGATATAAATTGGCCAACGAAAGATTCAATCAACAAGGAGGTCAATTAAACATGTCCCTGGGGAAAGGTTATGACTTTGGCGAAAAAATCAACCAAAGGCCAAATTTGAGCCCTCGTGGTCACAATGCTGTGATTGTTGGATTTGGACAAATTGGCCAATTGATAGGGAAAAAGTTGAATCAATTGGGAATGAATATTACATATGTGAAGAGATCAAAATTGGGTAAAGAAGAGGAAGAGAAATTGGGATACGAGGCAACATACGCGTCAACAATTCTTAATGCCACACAACAAAGAGACGTTGATCTCATTGTAATTGCGTGTCCAGCGACACCGGAAACCCATCATTTGGTCAATGCAGCAGTGATTGATTCCGTCTCCAAACCATTCAGAATCATCAATATTGGAAGAGGTACAGTGGTTGATGAGGAGGCTTTGTTGAACGGATTGGATCTGGGGAAAATATTGTTCGCTGGATTGGATGTTTTTGAAAATGAACCTGCCATTAACGAAAAATTGATCAATCGTGATGATGTGGTTTTAACTCCTCACATCGGAGCCAGCACTCTGGAGAATTTTGACTACACAGCCACAAAAGCTCTTGAAAATATCGACAACATCTTAGAAGGTGGGGCAGGCATCAACAAAGTTAATTAGAACTAGAGCTTTTTACATCTTGATATAGATTATAATATGGTTTAACCATGACATTTCAGATACTACAAAAAACTACGCATGCGAAAGGTACTTAGCTATACTCCTCTCGGCTTTAAGGTAGTCCCGAGATCCTTTATGACTATCGCAATAGGCTCTTATCGTAGAGGGGTATGCTAGTGTTATCTTGTATATTTTCTGGTAGCCCCACAGCTTGTCAAAAAATATAATAAAGTGTATCGCCCAAAAAAGGAAAATAAAATAAAGCCTAATCAGTAAAGCGCTTTACAAAAGAACGATAAAATAATCCTAGAGCTCAAGAAAACCAGAATGATACTTTTGTCCAAGATAGGACGAAAGCCGCAAAGCGGTAAAGCACCCCACCGTTCCCCCCCCCCCCCCCCCCAGTTGAGGGGACCTGGGTGGAGTGAATTTCGCAGTATAAATGGTTGCCCATAGTAGCTAAATCCGACTGAACAGGACAAGTCAAACTTGTAAACATCGAATCATGTCGCTAATTGACGAGTCACCTGAACGGATATATGAATTGATCAAGGAAACAGTGCCACTTCACCCACTGTTGATTTCCAAAGCTGTCGCACTTCCAGATACCGAAGAAGATGGATATTCACCAGTCTATAGAAGTGGCTACAGCCCAGATAGATTGATTTCAAGGATGCATAATTCGTTGGATACACTATACGCCTTGTTTGAGTTTGGTTACAAGTTTTACAAAGACCGTCGTGCTTTTGGTGTGAGACAAAAATTACCGGATGGTACTCTTGGTAAATATCAATGGCAAACCTATAAGACAGTGAGACAAAGACGTAATAATTTAGCCTCGGGGGTGTTTTTTGTGTTGGAGAATAACCCATACAGGGGTAATAGCGAGATCCATCAAAATTTGCAATATGATCCTTCGAAGAAGAACAAGTCATTTGTGTTGACAATATTTAGTCCAAACAGAGCTGAATGGGCGTTAGCTGACATGGCTTGTATTGCTTATTCCATTACCAACACTGCTTTGTATGATACTTTAGGTCCAGCTACAAGTCAATACATCTTGGAGCTTACTGAGTCTCCAATTGTTTTGTGCTCCAAGGATAAAATTGAAAGATTGGTGGCGCTCAAAAAGGCTCACCCTGCCTTGGTTAATTTGATTGTTATTGTTTCCATGGATAAGCTTGATGATGTGAAAGATGCTCATTTGAAACCCCTTGCTGCTGCTAATAAAATTGCCTTGTATGACTACGATCAAGTTGAGAAACTCGGAGAAACAAACCCTTTAGACCCTATTCCGCCAACACCAGATACTATTTTCACAATATCCTTCACTTCTGGAACTACTGGTGCTCATCCTAAAGGGGTTGTTTTGACTCACGCAAACGCTGTTGCCGCGTCGACATTTAGATATGTCAAAGATTTCAAGCCCAGTGGCATCAGGTTGTATTCTTTTTTACCAATGGCACACATTTTTGAAAGAGGTAATATTCAGCAAGCTTTGAACATTGGTGCCGAAATTGGGTTTCCACTGAGCACTGGCATTACTTCATTGTATGATGATGTAAAGGAGTTGCAGCCATCACCACTCCCAACTGTCCCAAGAATCTTATCCAAATTGTTGGCTGCCGTGAAAGCAGAAACCGTAAACAACACTGAAAAGCCATGGGTTAAGTATATTTACACAAGGGCCATAAATGAAAAATTGAGAATGCAAGCTCAGCCTAGAGACGATGATCTGAACCCGCGTCATCCAGTGTATGATGTATTCCTTGATGCTTTGAGAGAAAAGTTTGGGTTAAGGAGCGTGGAGTACATGGTTACCGGATCTTCACCCAACAGTCCTGATACATTGAAGTTTTTGAAAGCCGCCTTGAATATTGGGATCTCCAATGGTTATGGTTCTACGGAATCTTTCGCTGGTATTATGAGGACCAAGAGTTTTGATCACAATCCTGGCTCAGTCGGTCCAATTGGAATTACAACCGAGTTTAGATTGAAGGATTTACCGGAAATGAACTACACCACAAAGGATAAAGAGGGTCCTAGAGGTGAACTTCTTTTACGTGGACCACAAATCTTTAGAGAATACTACAAGAATCCTGAAGCAACTGCTGAAGCTTTTGATGAAGATGGTTGGTTTCATACTGGGGACGTTGCACGTGTTGACCCTGAAAACGACAATCGACTCTTCATTATTGACCGTGCCAAAAACTTCTTCAAATTGGCACAGGGTGAATTTGTTACTCCGGAAAAGATTGAAAACGTGTACTTGGCTACAAACCCACACCTTCAACAGCTTTTCGTTCATGGAAACTCACTTGAATCGTATTTGGTGGGAATTGTTGGATTAGATCCTGTTACCATAGGAAGTTACTTGAAGGAAAAATTCAATGATGAAATTTGCAATCAAAATGATATACTTAGACTTTTGAATGATCCTGTCAACAAGAAGAAGTTCCTCTTGGACTTGAACGCTGCTGCTAAGGATGAGTTACAAGGATTTGAGAAGTTGCACAATGTTGAAATCTATTTTGAACCATTGACCGTGGAAAGAGATATTATCACACCAACTCAAAAAATCAAGAGACCTCTTTGTACCAAATTCTTCCAAGAGAATTTGAACAGAATGTACCAAGAAGGATCTATTTTGAGAAACGAGAAATTGTGAGGAATTTAAGTAGGAGTTTGATTGTTCTTATGAATAGATGAATATGGCTTGAAGAACCAATATTGTAGTCTGGTAGCATTTGCTACTAAGAATCATAGTCGTGACGTTGATACGTTTCCTGCGACAATGACTAATCTTTTGTCAAATTTTTCGATTTTGCCGCGTTGAGTCATATATAATCTTCTGTTCCACTAAAAATTTATTCAATTGATCAACTGATATAACTTTGTTTTAATAACCTCTTTTACTATACCCCTCCTCAACTTTTACAAATGAGTCCACAACCAGTTACTCTTCATTTAAGAGCTGAAACCAAACCATTGGAAGCTAGAGCAGCTTTGACTCCATCCACTACCAAACAATTACTTGATGCTGGATTCAAAGTTTATGTTGAAGAAAGCTCACAGTCCACATTTGACATCAAAGAATATGAAGATGTTGGTGCTGAAATTGTCCCTGAGGGTTCATGGAAAGAAGCTCCTAAAGACCGTTTGATTATTGGGTTGAAAGAATTGCCTGAAAATGAGACGTTCCCGTTGGTACATGAACACATTCAATTTGCTCATTGTTATAAAGATCAAGCTGGGTGGGAAACTGTATTGGGTAGATTCCCTGCTGGAAATGGAACCTTGTATGACTTGGAGTTTTTAGAGAATGACCAAGGTAGAAGAGTTGCCGCTTTTGGATTTTATGCTGGTTTCGCAGGTGCTGCTATAGGTGTATTGGATTGGGCATTCAAACAAACTCATGGCGATGATGAAAACTTACCTGGTGTAACTCCATATCCTAACGAAGATGCTTTGATTAGTTATGTCAAGGGCGAATTGCAAAAAGCATTGGAGAAAACAGGCGGTAAGTACCCTACCGCTTTAGTCATTGGTGCCTTGGGTAGATGTGGGTCTGGTGCTATTGATTTTTTCAAAAAAGTTGGTATTCCTGATGAAAACATTGCCAAATGGGATATGCAGGAAACAGCCAAAGGTGGACCATTCAAGGAAATTGTTGATTCAAATATTTTCATCAATTGTATATACTTGTCACAGCCAATTCCTCCATTTATCAATTATGAGAGTTTGAATGTTGATGATAGGAAATTGACGACTATAGTTGATGTTAGTGCTGATACAACCAACCCACATAATCCAATTCCAGTATATGAAATTGCCACTGTTTTCAATGAGCCTACTGTTGACGTTAAAACTACAAAGGGTCCTAAATTGTCTGTATGTTCAATTGACCATTTGCCAAGTCTATTACCAAGGGAAGCTTCTGAATTCTTTTCCAAGGATTTGATGCCAAGTTTGTTGCAATTACCTGAAAGAGATACTGCCCCAGTTTGGGTTAGAGCTAAACAATTGTTTGACAAAAACGTTGCCAGATTACCAAAAAATTAGAAATATGCATCTATACACAGACTTTATTCAAGAATAACATTAACTTTTCTTTTCTTAGTCTTCTTGCCCTTGTTTTTGATCTTCTTCTTTTTAGGTTGTCCTTGCATCAACGTTTTAATCTCCTCTCCATCAGTTTCGTATTCAGACTCACTGACATCAGGTTGGCTTTCCCCCTTCAACTCATCTAATGAAGCGAACCTTCTCTTCATTGTATCCACTTTTTCGACACTTTCTGGAGCACAAACGACACAATTCAATCTTTCTCCTGTATCGTAAACTGCCACCTGATCTCTTAAAGTTAAGTTCCACACAACAATCTTCCCATCAGAAGATACCGATATCAACAATGGAACATTTTGAGTATCCTTATTTTGCATAAAAGTGATACCTTTTATACGATTAGTGTGGCCTCTAAGAGAAAAAGCTGGCTCAATTTCCTCGGCCTTATTTTCCAAAACTTTCTTTTCATGTTCTTCGGCATTTTCGCCAATGTCATTCAACAATGCTTCAAAATCATAGAAGCCAATAGATCCGTTACCAAAACCGATCACGAGCCACTCTTTGTCATCGATTTTCAAGAAATCAAGACACATCAATGTCAATTTGAACTTGAATTTCTTTGCAATTTTGGCAGTAGAAGTCTGGTACAAAAGTACTTGATTTTGCAATCCCACAACAAAGTGGTTTCCACTGTGACTCCATTTGACAAATTCTCCCAGCTGGCCTAAGTGGTCCTTACCTTTGATTTTCAAAACAGCAGCCTTCTTAGCCGTCATTAAATTCCATAACCTTATCGTTTTGTCTTGTGATACACTAATGGCAACACGGCCACTAGGGTGTATGCTCAAGTCATTAATCTTGTCTGTGTGGCCTTTTAGTGTTGCAAATATCTCCCAATCTTTGGTTCTCCATATGATAATTTTCCCATCTTCTGATCCAGATATGAGCCACCTACCTGAGGATGCACTTTCCGAGTCTTCGGTTGCTTCCTTAGAAAATCTTAATGCGGTGATTGTACCTTGATGGCTTAACAATGTGCCAAGTTCCTTTCTCTTTTGCAAATCATAGATCCTTATATGCTCATCGTTTGAGCCAGTGACTAAGTATCTTTTGGCAAGATCCATAGATTTGATAGATAAAGCATGCGCTTGGAAATGAAAAATTGGTTGGAATATGGGTTCCTTGACGTTGGAGGGGTCTATAAACACAGAAAGGCATAACAAGTTATGTTCATAAGACCCTACAAATATTCTAAATTGAATACGAGATGACGATGAGCTGGATGTGGTGGTGGTAGTGGTGGTAACTGTTGAGTTACTTCCTTTAAGAGCTGACTTAATCTCCTTCCCTTCGGGTTGAGTTAATATCTGAACCTGCAGTTTTGCCTTAGCCATTGCGAGATCTTTAGGATTGTAACGTTGTTTAGGGGCTCCTGAGATGAGATGGAGTTGAGCTTCTTTTTTTTTTCTCTACTTTGCAACAAAACCGCGAGGTAAACACACGAGATACTCAAGGCGTAGCTTACTACACTATAAATTACCACACTAATCTCCACGGCAATGGGACAGACTCAAAAGACACCTCAGCAGCACAATTCTACCCTCTACATTTCGCCCATGCTCAATCGAAGAAAAGAGGTTTTCAAAACACCACCCAATCCAGCATCAAAACAACCAAAATTATTTGACTCCCCCAGCTCTTCCAACAAATCACTGTTTTTCAATTTAGATAGATCATCACACAATCTAACAGTACAAAGCAAAAGTGACGATTCCTTGGCCGGTGCAGATATATTAACGCCGATTGACAGATTGCGTTTATGGAGACACGATGCAATTACGCAACATCAATACAAAACGGCAGAGTTTCTAAGTGACAAGATTCTAGATATAACCCACGATTCCAATGATGCATTTTGGTTAGCTCAAGTCTACTTCAACCAGGGAAACTATCTACGATGTAAGGATTTGGTGTTGTGTAACGAAGAGTTTGCTAAAAGTATCATTTGCCGATACTTGGCAGGATACAGTTTGATCAAGTTGGAGTTGTGGGATGAGGCTTTAGAAGTAATTGGAGAAACGAATCCATTTGATAAAGATGACCGAATGAAGAATGATGACGGAGGGGTCAAATTAGAGGCATCGATGTGCTATTTGCGTGGCATGATTTATAGTGCACAAAGCAATCTTGAGAAGGCCAAAGAATGTTATAAAGAAGCATTGAAAGTGGATGTTAAATGTTATGAAGCGTTTGATGAATTGATCTCCAATAACCTCATGACGCCGAGTGAAGAATGGGATTTTATCACCAGTGAGTTAAATTATCATGAAGTAGATAGTAATGATGATTTGATTAGATTACTTTACACAACCAAGTTGAGTAAATACTTGAACCAAGACAAGTTCAATGAGGCGGAACATATACTCAAAGAGGAATATGATTTGAGTGACAACTGTGATTTAATGTTGAGTCAAACCGATCAACTTTATGTTCAAAGCAATTTTGATGCATGTTTGAATCTTTGTGAAAAAATACTTGAAAAGGATCAGTACAACTTTGATGTGTTACCTAATTACCTCAGTTGCTTATATGAATTGGGTGGAAGAAACAAGCTTTTTTACAAGAGCCATCAACTTGCCGAATTTCATCCATCAAGCCCCATGACTTGGTTAGCCATTGGAACCTATAACCTTTCCATAAACAAAATCAGCGAAGCACGAAAATTTTTTAGCAAGGCAACTGTGCTCAACCCCAACTTTGGACAAGCTTGGATTGGGTTTGCACATACGTTTGCCGCTGAGGGGGAATATGAACTGGCCATCAATGCTTACGCTTATGCTGCTCGATTATTCCCTGGGAGCCACTTGCCCATGTTATTCCTTGGCAGCACTAATGTCAAGCTTGGCAACCTCAACCTAGCTGAAGAGTATCTCAAAAATGCCTACCATTTCAATCAGCATTGTGAACTCACATTGAATGAGTTAGGGGTTCTCTATTTTCACAAGAACAACCTAGTATCAGCTGAATGGTATTTGAACGCAGCTTTGAAGATTGCAAATCGCAGTTCAAAGACTTGGATATCAATAATGACCAATTTGGGCCACGTATTGAGAAAACAGGGAAAGTTGTTATCGGCGCTTTCTGTATTCCAAGAAATTTATGGTAACGATGCCAACATTGCTTCCACTATTGGTCTTATTCACATGAAGTTGGGCGAGTTTGCTGAAGCGATTGAAAACTTGCATAATGCACTTGCTATTGAACCTACCAATCAAATTGCCAAGGACTTGTTAGACAGAGCCTTGAGAGAGGCTATAACATCGGGATAAATAACCTTGGGAGAAAAAGCTTTGAGAATAGTTTACTATTTGATGAATAAATTGTAATGTGCTGCAATATGTAGGTCTGAATGTTAGTAGAGCAACAGCACCTTTTTCTAGATAATGAATCCTAGTGTACCTACACTACGACACAAGTGTCTTTATTCTTCCTCTTTTGAGCATTGATCGGTGGTTTTTCTCCATTTGCATTTACCGTTAGGTGCTGTTTACCGAACCCTTTTTCACGTTCCAGAAGCTTGGAATTTAGCCGATCCACTTTTGTTTGGTCTTGACTTTTGGGGAAAACTTGACATTCCCTGCCGAACTCAATTTCCAGCCCCTCCCCTTTCAACACTCTTTTCTCAAATGATTCTGGTTCTAAACTCTTTTCATAAATCTTATTCAATCCACTTGTCCATTCTTCGTGTAAGTATTGAAGAGGAACGTCAAATACGGTACGAACATGTCGATTTTCCCACGATGAGCTTTGAATAAGTGCTATAGCGTCGATTTCTTTAGCAACTTGCAATACGAGACCTTCCGGTATGTGGCTGACTTTGTCCCATTTTGTACCAACGAGAATGATGGGAACTTTTCTTGAGTACACCAGCAGTTTTAACATGGGGTACCATATATTTTTTATATTGAGCAAACTTTCAAGATTGTCTTTGGCAAAACATAATAGGATCCAATCCTCAGCAACAGAAAGTGTTTGTTGTTGACAAAGCTCCTTAATATTTCCCCTGATACTTGCATGCAGCAATTTCAATAAAAAGGGCATAGTATAAGGTCCTTTCATCCTCATATAACAAGCATTAACACGACGACTACGTTGTTTTCCTGACTCATTATAATCCATGTAAGCCTGCATCAATGTGGATTTACCGACACCGACATCTCCTGCAACAAATATCCTAGCGGTGTAAAAGGATCGTGCTTCATCCTTTCTTTGATAATAAACTGGTGTAACTGGTTCGTCGTATTCAAAAATTTTCAAACGCTTTGATTCATTTTGGCCTTGCTCTCGTTGTTCTCCTTGAGTATCGGCAGAGGTATATTCAGGAGGTTGGGGAAACAGTGGACATATATCTTTCGTAGAAGTCATTGGGGGAGGGATTAGATGATGTTAGTGTGTGTTGTGATTTAGTTCAGGTGAGACTTTGATTGTTTGAAGAGCGCCTGGGTATTGATATTCTTGTTAGAAAAGAGATCGCATCGAGCAAAAACTTGTGTGTAAAACCCGTTGATAAAAGGTAGTCACGATCAATGGGCGCAGAATTGGCTATGCTATTGTGCTACTAGATTTGCAGATCCTATCTTCGAACACAAAAAAGAATCTGAGATAACAATTCGGCAGATCGCGAGTCTCGCACAATCATTATTTGTTAGCGCAATCAGAGACGACCATTCCCTCCTAGTTACTCATCACAAACACTCAAGATCTGGTAGAGGAAGGACTGAAAGAAGTTTCTTGTTGCAAAGAGCCAAGCTGCGTAGCACAAATTGCTGCTGCCAACGACGTTGATGATTAAATACCAAATTTTTAAGTAGAGTCAAGTGAGACATTACAGTGACGATAGTTATGAAATGGATTACTAAGAACTGATGCGACGTGAAGCAAATGGCCTGTCTTCATGATCGGCCGCCTATTCCTGCACTTGGCGTATATACCTGCACGTTGGTTCTGCCTTTTCGTCGCATTGCTTTAATAATTGAGTTGATGATACTCTTATTTCCTCCACATTAATCAAAATATTTTATCACAGCCAACCCCATCAACTGAGCATCTGAGAACACCCTTTCAAATTGATCATTAAAATAAATTTGACTCCTCGCAAGTGTTTATCTTTTGGCTGAACTCTTCAATGATGGTGTCCAACTTTTTCTTTTTTGGAATCCAATGGAGCCCGACACGACAGTATGGCATTGTTCTATTCACAAATAAGAATTTCAGAAAAATATAAAGCCCATGCTTCTCATATTCATTTAAGTAATTGGGCAATATTTTCACTAACTCGTTTTCCCACCAATTGACACTTGCACGAGGAAAGTTTCTTGCGAATTGGCAAGTGATGGTTGCTTTAAGTAGTGTAGCTTCATTTGATTATACTGATGATATGTAGTTAAAGTATTTGCAGGTCTGTTAGCTTTTCGTAAAGCGACAGAGACACATTGAAGTTGAGGCCAAGCTTAAACGACATCAAACATGGAAAAGTCTGCAGCAAGTCTGGGGAACCAAAGACAAGCATGTTTAGATTTTACCGTCAATTCCTCAATATAGTTTGTTTGAAAGTATTGGTTCATGTCAAAGTATGAACACATGGTAGTGAATCAGAGATGAAGCTTGCAAAACTTGGCAGTACATCTCCAAGGTACACCTAGTAGACCCACTTTGTTTACATATTCCTCTCAGAGCTACATGCAAAAAACACCCAGAGAACTATTAGATTTGTAACCTCATCAAGAAGCTCAAGGCGGGAGCAGTTCTTGAATTGCATCGATATAACCCTCAGGACAAAATCATTTGGTGTCGTCTTTAAATGTTGCAATGGTACACCATCTGCATGCTCCACATGAAGCGGATTATGCAACGAATTGAATGACCATCCCAGTGACCAATGTTTATGCCTTTTTATTTTAATGTCAAAGCGCAATATTTCGTATGACTGGATAGGGTAATAACTTTCCAAGATTTTAATCGGATAATGTAGGTCCATTTCTGCTACATACTTTCCGAAATTCTTCAAAAGCCCAATGGTGAATTTTTTGGTTTTATTATTGTTGATGTTTTTGGGAATCCTCGACCAACAGGCAATTTTGTGTATAGAATAGGGTCTACGATAATTCAAAGTAGATAACTTTTTACTTTCACTGTCCATTAATTCGTTGTTGTGCAACTTCGTTAACTAAATCAAGTGGCTAGATTCTGAAAAATTGGAGCTCATCGGTGCATTAAGGTGAATATGTACGTGTATGTGGGCGTATAGCTTCTATTTAACTGCGTAGCTGAAATGGGAGTGTGTTTGAGAAAGTGCAATTGCTTGATGTTGGTTGATATGGCTGCAAATAACATCAAGAGCAGGTGGCGGTAAGTCAATGATTGTAACCCTCGAGGGTGGGGGATAGTGTAATCATAGTTTTTCTGTTTCGATCAGTTGCATTCCACGAAGTATTATCTGATGTGAAAAAAGTTGCAACCATCCCAAAAGTTTCCAACGAATTTGACTGTGAAAGGATGCAAAAAAAAAATTACACAATTTGACAAAGCAAATAATTCGAGGCAAAAATGCATACATGTATGTTCATTCGTTAAGTGTGCTTTTTAAGCCTAACGTTATTACATATGGGGCTCTTTGCCGAAAGGTAGGTCTTCTTTTGCTACTTGATCTTGTCTCGATGAATGAAATAATGCTGGCGCAATTGCTGTTTATTTTATGTGCGCAATCTTGCCTGCAACTACGATATAAGCAGGTTCAAAGTAATTTTACGATTAGCACTTTGATTAGCAATCATTGGCTTGGCGATGATTAATCAACTCAACAATTTCGATGTGTTCACGACTAAACATTTTTCGTTGTGGTATTAGTGTTGGATGAGCGAAATGTATATTAACAGTCGTGAATTTAACTCCAACAAGCTCATAACGTGAAAATGTGTTTTACGCTTCATCGGTCTTTGGGTTTGAAACCGGTTCAACAAAAAATAGCAGCAGGTTTCCTGTTCTTGATAGTTTGATTATTCGTGTACTCTCCTAGACATTTTGCAACTGAAACAGTTACTCCACTTCAACTAGGCAACAACACAATTGCTACTATCCTTCTTCTTCTTCTTCTTTTCTATGCTGTAAGACAATTCGTCGAAGTTCTTTTTCACAGCTAGCTCTTGAGACTTTGTGCCCAGAATCTCCATCCCTTTCAAATCTTTATCTTTCAATGGCAATTGAAATGATTTCGCGACCTTTTTTGGTAACACATCCTGTTTCAACACCTCATCTTCAAAATCATATGGTAAAAGGCTTTTTTCAAAAACTTTGGCCAATCCATTGCTCCATTTACTGTGTAGGTACCGAAGGGCAACATCGAATACAGCTTGAACACTAGAGATTTGCTTTGGTGAGCACTCCATGAATGCAATTGCTCCAATCTCCCGTCCCACTTTTCGTGCTTTTCTACCTGTGTGTTGCATGTAATTGGATGTGTCAATCTTGTCAGATTTCGTACCAACCAAAATTACTGGTACTTTTTTTGAATACATGATATGCCTCATTCTGGGAAACCATTTATCTCGGACGTTGAATAGGCTGACCGGATTGTCCATAGCAAAACAAAGAAAGACTATGTCATCAGGAATAGGAAGCAAATATCTCAGAGCTTGTTCTTGTTCTGCATCCCCAATAGAATGCAGTACCCTCAAAAGAAATGGCATATCATTGGGCAAGGGCCCTTTCAACTTCATATAGCATTCATTTTTTCTCTTTTCGCAATCGTTAGTCATTGTTTCCATGTTCTTATAGGTCAACATCATACTTGATTTTCCCACACCAAGATCACCAATAATGTGTATACCTGCAGTGTAAACAGCACGTTTTGAACAAAACTCTTGTCGATACAATGGTGTTGCGTTTGCTGACCCGCGTTTGGGTTTTGGTCTAAGTCCCGATTGCAGAGACTTCTCCTGAACCTGAGGTGTCTTTTGAGTACTCTCATCAATTGTGTAACTAGGCGGTGGTTGATAAAATGGCAACGTATCTGTGGATTCAGACATTTTCCTGTACCAGCTAAAAATTGTCCAGCTTGTGACTTACTGAAGTAGCTACCTTGATGAGGAGTATTAAGTGATTCCTACAGCCAACATTTATACAAGGTTTCCAGTTTACAAATGTGATTTAATATGACGCAGATCGTTTCGTGAGTACAAAACGAACAATCAAGTTCTTTCAAGTGGGCGAGATCAAAGTGACCTTTTACTCTACCAATGTTAGCGGTGGGGCCGTCCTCGAAAATTACAAGACGACCCATTTGTAAGTCAACGTCATGCAGGCGCTGAAAGTGGAATCGACAAAATCCCGGTGATTGAGGAGCAGCACGTGGAATTCAAATGAATATATGAGAAAAAGGATCACAAAAGCGAACTTGTTGGTTTTCAAACGGCAATGTACGGCATAATGAAGAGAGATACCTCAGTGACCGCTTTGTAGCTCTTGGCTTCTAGGGTTTCAGTGTATCCCCGAAGGATAATCGTTTGCAATTTTCTTAACCTAAAGAAACAGAGTCATGCAAACAGCGTGGCTACAATGTAGCCACAAAATGAATCAGCTAAACCATTATCATTGAAGATAAGCCAGCTCTTCATTCCCCAGACTCAAGTACAAAAAAGTTCACAAAAATGACTGCCTTTTTGCTATTTTCTCGGCATATCAATTGGTAGTTGTCGGCGTTTAAAATTACCCACATGGCTATTATCCCATTAAATTGATTCAATCAATTTTTAGATGCCTTACAGATTTGCAATGATTACTTTCGCTTTGGTCCCACGTGTCGCCTCATACAGTAAACACACTCAGTCAATAATGCTTTTTCCGTTTAATACACTCAAGAAAATCATGTGATAACCCACAGCCTCAACAATTTTTGATATTGCTAAATACGTTGCGACATTGGCATCATTGCGACACTCAACAAAGATATTCTTGAAAGCCGCACGTTCTGGACCTAATTTTTATTTTCAAATCATCATTAATTCCCTTTTCTCCTCTTAAATGCACAGCTTAAACAACCAATAGATGACAAATCCCTAGATTTACTATATATAGCACAAACCAAGAGACAATACTAAAGGAGCATCTATTATCTACGTTCGAAGCAAAACTCCTCCGTTTACAAGTCCCTTAGCAAACCATGCCCTTAACGTTTAGACATGTCAACTATATCGGTTACGGTATCTACAGTGATCTCAAAACCCGACTACCGTATTACAAATCTGATTTCAAAGACGCGTGGAATTATAGAGTCGTTCCGTCCACTTTGTCCATCTTTTTCTCAAACTTGCTCCCAGCTATTGCCTTTGCCCAAGATATGTTTGACAAAACTGATAATGCTTATGGAGTAAATGAAGTTTTAATGTCCAGTGCTATAGCAGGAGTGGTATTTGGACTATTTTCAGGGCAGCCATTGTGTATTGTTGGTGTGACGGGGCCAATATCAATCTTTAGTTACACAGTGTATGAGTTGATGACGCCTAGAGGAACGCCGTATTTCCCTTTCATGTGCTGGGTATACCTCTGGTCGATGGTGTTTCACATCTTGATTGCCGTTGGTAACTACATTTCGTTTATGAGAATCATTAGTTTGTACTCGTGTGATATTTTTGGGTTCTTCATAAACATGGTTTATATTCAAAAGGGAATACAAATTTTGTCCAACCAATTTGATGAGGTTGATTTAGCTAGCGGATACGCTTCCGTCATGATTGCATTGTGCATGTTGATTTGTGGTGTCGGATCATCCATTCTTGGGAGTTACTTGCATTACTTTAAACCCTGGATGAGAAAAGTGTTTGCTGATTATGGTGTTGTTGCGTCTGTGATTTTCTTTACTGGATTTATACACTTTGGTGGTAAGTTGGACGGCACAACGTTTGCACGATTGCCAGTCACCAAATCATTTCAACCAACGGAGTCAGGCGATCGTCGACCTCATGGATGGTTTATACATTTTTGGCCAGGGGAGAACATTGAAGTAGGTGATGTATTCCTTGCTATACCTTTTGCCATATTATTGACATTTCTATTCTACTTTGATCATAATGTGAGCTCATTGATGTGTCAGTCAAAAGAATACCCATTGACGAAACCAGCTGGGTTTCATTGGGATTTCTTGTTGTTGGGGATAACGACAGGAGTTGCTGGTCTTATTGGTATTCCTCCACCGAATGGTCTCATTCCTCAAGCTCCACTTCATACAGATTCTTTAGTGGTTTATGACAAGTATGGAAAGAAATTGTCGGTTGTTGAGCAGCGACTAACAAACACTTTACAAGGAGCGATGACGTTTGTGATGATGTCACGGCCGTTTCTTGTCTTACTCGGATTGGTCCCACAAGCTGTTCTATCAGGATTGTTTTTCATCATGGCGGTCACGGGATTGCACGGCAATATAGTTACGAATCGAATTCGATACTTTTTCTTAGATAAAGAGTATATTGAAACAGATCCTGCGTGCCCTCAAGTATGGAAAGATATACACGCATTGCCAAATAAGAAATGGTTTTATGTGTACACCATATTGGAAGTTATTGGCGGGGTTGGTGAGTTTGTAATCACTTTAACAATTGCTGCTGTTGGGTTTCCAGGAGTGTTGCTTTTCCTTGCATTTTGTGCTAAATGGGTATGGCCGTTATTTATACCTAGAGAGGATCTTGATCGTTTGGATGGTGATGTGGCTGACGAGTTTATTTTGAAAAACTTTACTGTTGCTTCTGATGAGAAAAAGAGGAGGAAACGAATACGAATGGAAGATGAGGAAAACAAGTACGAAGGGGAGACAGAAGTTGGTGAATCAATAATGGCAAGTAGCAGCAGCTGAGAGAATAGAGCAACTGCACGGGGGTAATTCCCCCTGCATAATCGTACATATGTATAGGGATAGAGTATTTATTGGATATTAATCTTCATCAAAATCAAAGACTACTGATACAGTAGAGCATAACCGCAATGTCTTACAATTTTTTGAACAAAGTAGTTGTGGTGACTGGCGGATTATCAGGTATTGGACTATCAACCACCATTAAGCTTTTACGCCAAGGTGCTAAAGTAGTTGTTGGGGATTTAGCTCACGAGCAAGAGATTGATTTTGTGGTCAGCAAGATCAATGAATCAGCTCCAGATTCAAATGTGCATCACAACTTGCGATTTCTCAGGACCAATATTCACTCCTGGCAAGATAATGTCAATCTTGTAGATTTTGCTTTGGATGAGTACAAGGGGATTGATTATGTCGTTGCCAATGCGGCCATGATACGCCGCAATGGGGAGGGGGCTAGTGATGAGCCAACATTAGATGAGTTCAATGAGGTGGTGAATGTGAATCTTGGTGGAACATTTGCTTTCAACAAGTTGTGTATCAATTATTGGAAAGAGTTTAAAAAGCTGGGCAACATTGTCAATGTGGGATCAGTATTTGGACATAAAGTGACTGATCCTAATCTCGTTGATTTGAATTATTCCAAGAGTGGCATTCATACACTAACCAAATCAATGGCATTGGGGTGTGCTTCATTAGGTATCAGAGTCAATGAAGTGTGTCCTGGATTTATCAAGACTCCAATGTTGGAAACGGTTTTGGGATCGGATCAATATGATCATATTGTAAATGGAATTCCCATGCAAAAGATTGGTGATGGTGATGATGTTGCTAATGCTATATGTTTCTTATTAAGTGATGATGCTAGGTACATCACAGGTGCGTCAGTGGTTGTTGATGGTGGATATTCATGTTCGTAGGTTGGAGCAAAACATAATGTAAGTAATTATGAATGTTGTGGATTATTTTTTTGATCTTTGATGATCATCTCAACTATCTTTCTAATCACTGGAATCTAAATTCCTTTATTGCACCACCACCCGCCCACATTTATGTCAAATGAAAAAGAACGTTCACGGGTGCTTCAATCACTAGAATCTGAATTCATAAATGATTTATCGCTACATTTATACTCATCGTTTTTGCTACATCGAATCAATCCCAATTTCCCATTGACTCGATGGTCTAGTTGGCCCAAGAAGTTTGATAAAGTGCCAGTACCAAGTCAAAAATACGAAGATGATTTGATCAATGGGAATGAAGAGAGGTATGAATGGGACATTGATGAGGGTCATGTTTTGTATGAGAGGGATAGAACTTGGCAGATGCAGGGAATAAAGCGGCAGAGGAAGAAGAAGAGGAAGAATCGAAATAGAGGAGACAATGCAGAACCGGCGCAACAGGGAAAGGAGAGTAGCTCAACTTCTCAGAGTGAAGAAACCTCTTCAGAAATTGACGACGCTGGTTCTAGTGATACCAATAATGATAGTTTACATAGTGAAGATGGCGATGATGAAGTTGAACGCAACGAGGAACAGCTACTTGATTCAAGCAATAAAATTGTTGAAGTGACCTACACAGAACGCGTCCCACAGGCTAAAGTTTCCCTCATGAACTCAATAAACTCATTACTTGAACTGAAAATTCGAACCAAGATCCAACAAATGAGACAACAAGGTAAAATAGATTCATCGATGACAATGACCTCTGATGCATTTCCCAAGTACATGCTTCTTGTTAGCGAGTTGGCCAATCGCTTTAATTCTATGTTGGATACCATTTTTGATACATTCCATATAAATGACTATCCATTAACTTGGCAAAATGTACTACTAGCTGGTATAATTAATGATCGACAAAGAGGTCAATTGAACCCACAATTGTATCAGAAACTCTTGCATAATTGTGAAGAAATTTTTGAGAATGTACATAATGTTTACGAATTTGATAATGATGAGGCAAAAGAAGAAGCAATCCGTGACGGAATTGTTACTGATGATGGCGGGTTTAACGTTGAGAAATATTTGTATTCGTTACGAGATGAGTATGTTGGTCCTGGACAGAAGGTTTATGAGGCATTAGCAAAGAATTATATGCGTGATTTTAATAATAAAGTCAATTTTCAATCAAGATTGAAGCAAAATATGCTCAATATGATTGGTGAGGAAGGGAATAAGCGTAAAAGGAAAAATGATGAAGTAGAACATAGTGACGAGGAACTGTTGCTGAGCAGCTCACACGAAGAAAGGAATCAACCCGAGTCCGATTTTGAACAAAGACATCATCGACTACTACAACAACAAAAGGAACTACAAGAGTCATACACAATCAAATTTTAATCATCACTTCCATAAAAAAAAAACAATTATTAAGTAGCTACTTATTTATCTCTGTCTAGCTTCGGCAGGCTTTAAATACAAAACAGAATCTCTTTCCCTTTTATCTATCTCCAAGACCAAATATAAAAAAGCAAAAAAAAAAAACCAAATAAATCAACATAAATCAACATAAATCATTATCAAGGGTGTCTCATGCACATCCAAAACACAGAGAGCAAATCCTTCTTTACATCCTCAAACTCAATTCCTCTATGCCCTCTTTTCAAAAGTATCATGAATTTCGGTTTCAAAAATCACATCCCAAAATCTACTAGTGACACCAAATCCCATTTCATAATTCTTGTAATGATGTTCCAAATGATAAGTTTTCAAATCTTGTAAAAACTTGGGTAATTTAGTATGATGCAACACGTAATGAGTAACATCATACATTATATAACCTAAAGTACCACCAGCAAAACCAGAACAAGCCATGTAGAATGGGAAAATAGCAAACACCAACCTATAAAAAGGGTAAGCAAGGACAACAAACAATGCCGGTGGCAAAACTAATCTATAACCATCCATTGGTAAGTAATGATGAACACCATGTAAAAGGAAATGTAAAGTTAAGAAATATGGATGATCGGGCAACAAGTAATCAACATGGAAAACAAAACGATGTAAAAAGTATTCAACCAAGGTCCAAACAAATAATCCCATAACCCAGAAACTCAATGCAATAATGGGTGATTGATTAACAAATCCAACGTAAAAGATGTACATATTTGGTGGCAACCAAACTAATGGAACCACCCACCATGGAGTCAATGAAATTGGTTCCAAAAAGTTGCCAAATAATGGTGCTGATCCTTTACCATAGTGTCTTGGTCTATGAACTTGATCAAGATAAAATTCCTTAGTGAAATTACTGCGTAACAATTGCATCAACAATGGTTTATTCAAATCCAAAAACTTATGCTTCTTTGCATCCTCACTGAAATCGGTTTGAATAGATAATTTCTCCATTGCAGGTAAATGATCATGGAAAGTGTACATGTCGAATTCATTCCCATCAGAGTCTGTCGTGGTAACCAACTTCATTTCAACTGGAGTATTGTTCTTGTTGTTGATCAATTCACGTTCTTCAATCTCCGTGGCCATGTACCCAATCAACATATCATCATCCAACATCTCATAAGCTGATTCAGAGTGCGAATGGCTGGTTATATCAGCCATGATTTCAGTAACGTCTTTACCAGCATATGGCAAAATGATATCGCCACCAGCAGGATGTTGATCGAGAAATGAGGTGACATTGTATATCTTACGTTGGTACAAGGTAACCCAACAATCTTTCTCAGTATTGTGTTTGGCTACTTCTGATGCAGCAACCAATGGTAAGCTCCTGTTACTCATGGTGGAAAAGGGAGATTTTTTCTATAAGGCTGTGTTGTGAAAAAAGTGAGTGACTAAAAGTGAAAATAGTGTTGTTTGTATAGGTTGTGTGGTAGTTTGTCTGGTATAGATATTGGGTATAAAGGGGGACGTATATATATATATATATATATAAGTTTGTGATGATGGATAGAAAGTATCAACAATGGAGTGGTACGGATCTTTCAATGTTTGGTAAGGTGATTTTTTAATGCATCAGCTGCATCTAAGATTTCTATCAAACTTTTCTTTTTCGCGTATGAGTGTCGTGTAATTGTTGCCAAAAAAGCCTACGTTAAATGCAATACAAAAAAAATATGCAAATAACAGTTGAGACAAACTCCTTTTAATAGCAGCTTCGATTGATAAAGAGCGCTCCAGTCAGTATTGATAGTAGGTATTACAATCAAGTTGGAAGAAATAATTGGACAGAGTATGAACCAATTGCTGCGTGCAAAGGAATTCCAATATCCGTTCTTTTGCCGAAGACTACTAAGAACAATGGAGGAAAAAAAAGAAACTTTGAAACATGTCGTGTCGCGAATTTGTAAATGGAGACATTTCGATAGAAAATAGGGGTATCCAAACGGAGACTACCCGAACTTACCCATTGACTAGTATTTAGTTGAATGATCCTTATTTAAATGTGATACGGCATTGATCTATCCCATTTACTGTCATTGGGCGTGAGAAGTCGACGTTGGTGTTACACGAATTCCCAGCACCTTCATCTCCTTTCTTCGTAACCAAATGCTTTAAAGTGTACCACTTTTGCAATTGCTTCAAACCGAAATGTGTCATTAATCGTCTACTTAAACATCCTGAAAAGTGTTTGCGTCTATACAGTTATCCGAATCCTTTCTTCATTCGGCAACAATTCTTCCTCTACCTCGTCATCATCATCATCATCATCACCACTACTACGGTGCGTCCTGGTAGAAAATCCAACGACAACATCACCGTCAACTATATCTTCACCAAAATCATCATCCACTCCACCATCAGTACCAAAATCATCAAGAACATTCACTTCCTCTTCATCCGCATCCTCCTCTGCATCCGCATCTTCTCCTTCAAGATCAACCATTGTCTCGTCCCCTTCTTCGTCATCACCATCATCGTTTTCTCCATTTTCACCAGCGCCTCTCGCTCCTCCTCCTCTTTCCTGTTCTTCCTGTTCTACTTCATCTTCTGCACCGCCACCCATCAGTTGCTCCATATGCAAAGTATGATCAACCAAGTTCAAATAAGCATACATGAAATTCGACAACAATACTTGTTCTCTTAAGGACTTTTTCGGATTGGCCAATTTCAAGTGCGATAATCGATAAATTGCACGTTCAACATGAACAGGGAATCGATAATCGAGCATAACTATGGTGGATTGTGATGGTGGTGGTAATGGGAATCCAAATGCTGAGTCAGTAAATTCGATAGGTTGATTGGCTTTTGAAGTACGTTTGATTGACTTTTTTAGTTTCTCTTGAATGTCAATTTTTTGCAATTGTTGTTGTTCTTTGGTTAGAGCCTCGTCATTTGCAGTGGCAGTAGTACCATTTTCCTTTGTGTCTTGATCAATAGTTTTGAGTGGCTCATTTCCTTGTGGTGGGGTTTGACTTTGATCCTTGACAGCAGTTACTTCATTCGCGTCACCTCCAGTCTTGATTGAGTCTAACTCTTTTTCCTTCTTTCTATGACGGTAACGTTTATGTTTCTTAACTGTCAGCTTCTTACTCTTTAGTCCGACTTCAGATGCATTGTCACTCGAGTCTAGGTTGTTGACATCAAGATTGGTTAACTTGTGATCATCATCGACATCCATTGGCTCTTGCCCCATATTGACTCTAACTGGGACATCGTCCCCGTCGGTGAATGATGCAAGCGCATCTCCTGATTCCTCTAAGTCCTTATCCAACTTGAACCGTTGCGGATCCAATTCATGTAAAAGTGGAACTTCTGTCTCCTCCTCTGCAGCAACGGCATCACCTTTGGTGCTCGATTGAGGCAGTATTACTTCAACACTGTTTTTTCTCAACGATGAAGTCACCAGTGGATCTTGTCTCGACAATGACGATGAACGTGCCCTTGAGTTCTTATTATGCTCGACCAATTTAGTCTTTGATCGTTTCTTAAATAACCCACTTGTTTTCTTCTTCAAGCTTCGTTGCTCATTGGAGTCATCAATGTGGTCGTGATAATTGATGGTAACACCTGAATTCTTACTATCGTGTGAATGTACAGAGTTAACACTTGTGCTAGACAAATTGGCCTTTGATTTCTTCTTGAACAATTTAGACAACACATTTTCCTTATCTGAATGAAGTGAAGAAACATCTTCATGCTCTAGTGATGCTTTTCTAGGCGCATTTGAATTCTCCCTTTCATCGGTGTTTGTTCTTTGGTGCTCAGGATTAGAAAATGATCTAACTGGTCCAGGTACTTTGGGGTCAGCAGTTGCACCAAGGGCCAGTTGCTGCTGCTGATGATGAGCTGAATCAATCGATGATAAACTCGATGACCTTTCCCTTAACCAATTCCAACTCTTTTTCTTTTTCAACTTCTTATCATCGTCGAAATCATGTTCACTCGAAGTTGGCGGAGTCAAATTACCACTAGACAATATGCCAAAACTCTTTTTCTTTTTCAAATTCTTAGCATTGGAATCGTCGGATCTACTTTTATTCTTTTTGAGACCCATTTTCTCTTCATAATTGTCAGAATCAATAATCTGAACATTGGATTTATTGAAAAGTTTGGTGTTGACTTTGGTTGGCTTGGAAGTAGTTTTGACGCGAGATGAGGAATCCGAGTCACTTTGAAAGTAATTTTTTAAAAACGGTTCATGTAGTCTCTCCTCATCAGGTTGATCAGTGGTGGAAAATTGACCCGATGATAAGTCAAACCCATCATTGTAAGCTGTTTCCTCATTGGAGAATCCATTGTAATACTCTTCTCCTGAAGCCATCGCTGGAGAATCAAGAATACGCTCGTCTTCCAAATCAGAAAAATCATCGTCAACTTCAGGTATGTTGGCAAACAAGTCATCATTGGCATTAACAAGTTCGTGTTCAGGAGTGGATTGCTTAAGTGGTAACTCATGCTCGGGTGTCGATTGCTTGAGTGGTGGTTCATGTTCAGGGGTAGATTGTTTGAAAGGCTGTTCATGCTCAGGGGTAGATTCCTTGAGCGGACGTTCATGCTCAGGTGTGGATTGCTCACGTGGTTGTAACTCACCCTCGCTTGTCCCATCCCACTCAATAATGTCATCGCCATAAGTAACGTGATCCTCCTTCCTCCTTCCCAATTCAAGTAAAGCTTCCTTTTCAATTCCCAATGGATCGTCGGTTGACAAGTCTTGGTAACTAACATCGAAACTGAGATCGGATTCGGATATATTTTTCGGTTGTTGTTTAGGATGATCTTGTGGTTGCCGGGGCAAATCCCGCTGGTGATGTTGCTGTGGACGACGTGACTGTTGTTGCGGTGTTAGCTCTCCCGGTAACTGTTTCTCCCTACTATGCCCCTTGTTCAAACTCTCTTTAAATTCATTGATTTCCGACCTAAGTAAATCTAAGTTCTGATGTAATTGTTTCGACCTCGCGGGGACAGAAGCCGTTGGTCGTGCAACTTGGCGCGATCTATGACGTGGCTGTTGTTGTTGTTGTTGTTGTTGCTGCTGCTGTTGCTGTTGCTGTTGCTTCTGTTGTTGTCCCCTAACAAATTCTGGATCTTTCGAACTTGGAAACAACATCGGTACATCGGGTTGTGGTCTTTGTGATGCATAACGTGCAACTTCATCTCTCTTGTGACTGCGATGATGGTTTCTTGAGCGTTTTGTGGGGGTATCGATCATAAAATCATTGATATTGGTATTTGACGCCGACGTGAGCTTCTTCTCTGGTCTGAATTGATGATGAGATCCAACGGGTTTAATGTGAGGTTGGGCACGCAAACGATGGTGGTCACTCCTTTGCTGAGAATTGCGAGCTTCAGAGGTGCGTGGTTCTGCGTATCGACTATCTTGCTGGTATGTTGATTGACTGCGATGACTATCTTGAGGGTACATTGGGTATTGCTGTCTATTCTGTGGTAAGGTCGGTAAATATTTGTCATTGCGCTGCCGTTGCTGTTGTGGGTGTTGCTGTGGGTATTGTTGTGGATACTGTTGTGGGTACTGCTGCTGATCGAATGAGAAATCATCTGGTTGAGTATTACCACGCCTTTGCTTGTATGCTGTCCGTTGTTCTTGCTGCCCTTGTCCTTGCCTGTTAGAATGATAAGGATCTTGTTGATGTGACCTCGGATGTCCACTCGATCTGTATGGTGTTTTCTCTTTGCTTAGACTTCTAGGAGTATATGGACTACCAGGGTACTCTTCCCTGGATAATGAGTTACTCAAGATTGCATCACGTTGCTGAGATGACGGTGATACTTGTCTGCTTGATATCTGTTGTGGCGGTTGTTCATCGTTCATCTTCTTATAACTAAATAACAACCGTGAATCTCTCGTTTTGTACCCCCTTGGAATAGGCAGGTCCCCTTGGTGCTGGCCTTGCTTTTTACTCAATGGCAGTTGGTCTGGCAGAGCCGAATGCTCAGCATCCTTTTTCCTATAATCAGTTCTCCTACTCCTTTTTAATGCAAAATCATGAGGTAAACCTTGGATGGGTAAAGTGCCGGAATAAAGTTCTTCTTGATCCTCCTCTTCGTCAACTGCATCACCTTCCAATGACTGATTGAATTGTTGTTGCAATCTTTGCTGCAAATGCAAAGTACTCGACGTCACATTAGCATCTCCGTGTGGTGGTGAGTGATTTAATTCATCAAATGCCAATTTCTCAACATCAGTGTATCCTAGTGAGTTCCACGACAAAGTTCTGGCAATTGTTACAGCATCACTTTTATCCATTCCCGCCATCTTTGACAATTGTTGCAACTCGGTGGTTAGCTCTTTCAAGGAAGGATTTGAAAACCTTTTTTGCTTGTTATACCATGACTCACGCTTGGACGGATCCTTTGGTGGCGATGCAGACTTGGATGACCGAGTTGAGGGTGTTTTTGAAAGTGACAGCTGTTGTGGTTCTTGACTTGGCTGTGGAGGTTCTTGTGATACAAATTTGGGAACTCTGACCACAGTTGTAGGTTCTTCCTCATGATCAGTGATGGATGATTGACGAGATAGGGTTGATCGCCTCGATATAGTTGATCTTCGTTTAAGATTACGATCCATAATCTCTTCCACTTGATGTTTGATTAATGTTTTGAAGGAATCTGGGTTAACTTGAGGGTGCATTTCTGCTGGGACCCATATTGTATTTGATGCATCATAAATCTGATCTTCAGCAGCATCAAAAAACTCGTCATCCGTAGTCAAGATACTATCATTATCCATGGACAAACTGTATCGTTTTCTTGGACTAGGAGATTTGCCATTGAATGACGAAGGTGCATGTAAATGTGATGAGGGAGACTTTTGATTACGAATTGGACTTGCGCTGGCACTCTTGATTGGAGAAGTTGTTTTTTCGTAGGCGTCTTCTCTCTGTGGAGATGTGGATGATGATGGTGATTTGGATGGTGATTTCGATGGCGATCTCGGCGTCGAGCTCGACGTTGATAAATTGGAAGAGGAATTATGTGTATGAGCATGTCTTGTATGCTGTGGGACTAAATCTTCATCATAAAACTCTCCACTTCCTGCTTGCAAATGGCTTGACGCAGCAAATGGATCTATATCAACCATTGAACCTGGTGGAAGATCAGGATCGTACTGCATTAGATTTCCAATTGACAATCGTTTCAAAGCAGCCACCATCTTCTTCTCCTGCTCGATATCCTGTACTGCAGATTCATAATTTGGATCATTTTGAAATGACGAGTTGGGCAGATACATTATCAATTAAGTCATGCGTAAGGAAAAGGTCCAAATTTGGGATAGTATGTACAAGTTTAGTGGAAGCTTTACTGTGTGTGTGTGTGTGTGTGTGCAGCTTATGAATGGGGTGATTCAGTGTAGTTCAGTTGTATGATATTAAATGAGTGAATAGGGTGTGTTTAAAAGTGATTCTGTGTAAAATGTAGCACTACCTTGGTTATAAGGAACCGTAAAGTGTAGTTGGCAATTGTTTGGTGTTTGGTGGTTCCTTGACAAATCAACTTTAAATTTCTGTGTTGTTTGTTCTGTTTTGGTTGGAAAGGAGAGACGACAGAGAAAAAAAAAAAAAAAAAAAAAAGAAAAAAAATTTGTAACGTTGGGGACGTGTCTGTGTGATCAAACTGAGGACACTCGACGACGGTATCAGCAAGCAAGATAGTAAACCCGGCTTGTAATCGAATACCGGGGAGTATACTAAGGGCATGTCTCGTTAATTGTGGATATATATTTCATAAATTCATTACAGCCTCTACATTTTGAAGACTCCAATTTATAACCTCTGCAGTTGGCATTGTTGATGGTGTAAAATCGTTGTAGTGAACCATCTCGTTTTTCAGATAGCAACGGAAAGCAAAATAGTATTTACGGGAGTCACTATCATAACCTTTTACTGCTGACTTAGCCAAAAATAGTTGCCATGTCGAGAACTTATCACATCTGTGGAGAATTATGGTCTCGCGTAATTTAACCCCCTGTGCAGTGACATTTTGCGGCACTCTCCTCTGCCATCTCCTCTCATCTAGCGATTTCTAGATATGTATGCCAAATTCCACCTATTACCAACAAGTAGTAAACAGCATGCACCACGGGTCTTTTTGAATCAATTGTCAATGTAGGAAATCCATAGAAATTGCAAAACAGATGTACAAGAATTGGACACCAAAGGTTGAAATCAGTTGTGAAATATATCCAATTGGCCAAGTATCCAAATATCGACGTATAGGTGAATTGAAACAACGTTGACACAGCTATGCACGACAAGTTCAGTGTCTGTTTACGATACAATTGTAAAGCGTGATGGAAATGAGCAATACCAAACAAATATGGTGTATACTTGATGAAATTGGGGCATGACTTGGACACGACTAAAAGTACCAAACCACGGTATATTAGTTCTTCTGTAATTGGGGCAAAAATATAGTCTCTGAAGTTATAGATCATTGGCGTGGTGAATACGTTTTGGATCGTTGATTGATAACCTTCCACAAAGATTTGAAATATCGACGATGCAAATAAGATGTTGATGAAACAAAGTGAATACACAATATTGATAAAATCAGTTGAAATACTGCCACTTTTGGTGAGGCTTGGGATAATGCCAATTTGTCGTATATTGTCCTTAAATGTTCTTGGAACCAACAATGGAACAAGGATAACGAGTCCAACACAGAGTAATGTGACTCGCTGCAATCTATACCTAATCACACTGATGTCATTACGATCTTTGCTTTTTAGGTCGCTTGGCTGCCTAAAGTAGATCGCAAAGACATACGATGAAGCAATTGCAAATGCTAGAAGCTCGTATAGCATTTGCATGTGTCTAGTTTGTAAAAATGGAAGAATACGCGCAATTTTTGTTTCACTAGCAATAAAATGTTTTCAATTTATTGTCCGTTTTGTTGTGGTTTTGTGTTTGGACGCTAAGGTCACCGCTGACAAATCAGGAGAGCCGACCTTGAAGTCACAAAAATTCAATTTTTGAGAATCAATTGGGTTCAGTTTTCTTTCTTGAAAATTGCATCAAAAACAAATTAGACCCCAGAGATGACTTTGCTAAGCAATTGCTTAAGTTTGTGTCTTTTTTTTGTTTCCGTGCTTGGCAGAAACTTCACAGTACTCACTAATGATAGCGGTGCCATTTGCCGTCGAGTTCAAGCAAAACCCAATAATGACGGCTCATATGTCAAACTTCTTGTAAATGAAATTATAGCTGACTACAAAATCCCTGGTTTGATATTCAATTATGATGATATCGTCAACTTTGCATCGGTTCCTATAATTAGGAATTTCACTAACTTATACCCTCAAAACAAGACGGAGTTGTACCTCAAGATGTTGAACGATGAAGGTCAATTCATAACCGACGCCGTTGAGGGGCATTCTCTTGACTCACTGAATTTCTGGAGTGGGATCATAGATAAAGAGATTATATTTCCTGTGGTAGATTCCGGAATGTATTGTGTCTATATTGCACCAGACCCTGTCAATGTTCCAAATTTTGTGTTGCCAGTACATTTTAAAAAGTATTACGGAAATCTAAACTACGCCAGCTACTTGTATTATAACAGTTTGAAGTGGTTGTTGGTACTTTTGGTGGGTATATTTGCTGCATTGATGAAGCTTACAAAGACTAAGGATGCAAAAGGCTCACAAAATTTGAGTTCTGTTAAAGCCATCACGAATACGGTTGTACTTTTAACTTTAATCCCATTTACTATGGAGTATACAATCTACTTTATTCAATTATACCTGCAAAACTACTTGATTGAACCGTACAAATCGGTTTCGATCATGGCCATTTCACCGTTCATTTTGGAACTCGCCGCGAATATCCATCAAGCTGTTGACCAGTACGTAGCTCTTCTTTTTGCAATGGGACTTGGTGTCGTTTACTACTACAATGATGATTCACAAAGTTATAGGAAATTCCCGCGTGATTTGTTTCTAAAGACGACTGTGTTGTTCGCGGTGAAACTCTCTATAATGATTATCGGAATGATTTGCATCCAATCACCAGGCACTATCCCTTTAGTTTGGACCACAATTGCGACAGAAAGTTTTGCCAATATCTTGAATGGTGTGAATTTTTTACTTGACTTTATTTGGATCTTGTTGTCCATAGTGTTTTACTTCAAGACTAAGAAGCGATTGGCGGCAACCCCACCCAACCCTGACATAGGATCACCGGATAAAGTCGTTTCCACATTTAAGAAATCAACTTTGGTGATCTGGATTATGCCCTTGGTTATACATGGTCTCGGTGCAGCGGTCGGGGGCTCTTGGCTTATATCCAATATATTCAAGGAACTAGATCATATGCCAACCCAGTCTGCAGATACTCAAGCAAGATATGAATCAATACTTTTGATGCAAACAGTGGAGAGAGCACAATTTATAAATGTACAATTTACCCATTGGTCAGGTTGGTTAAACACATTCCTCACCATTGGTTTAGTGGTTCTTATATGGGTTCGCAGTAGCAATAAAGCAGCATTGGATGAAAAAAATTAATAGAGCTATACATTGATCTTGCCATATGGGTGCAATTTGTCATGTGACTGGATATTATGTATGGTTAGTATCAAGATTAAGTTCGGAGTCTAGGGATTAAAGTTTACATTGAAGAAATGGTCACGCCGAACCTTGATGGTTGAACGTTACCTCTTTATGGTTCACATTTAAATATGGTGATAGCTACCAATGGTTTATAATCTTTGAACTGGAAATCAAGCTACACATTGACTAAAACTAATCTGACACTATTTTCCAAAAGGATTTTACATTTTCCCACTAAGTTTTGTGTAATTTGAATTAATTTTCCTTTTTAATCAGTGTCACAAAATATCTGTTTTCTACAAGAGGCTATCCTTTTAATTTCAAGGGGAAGAAAAAAAATAAAGTTAAGAAATTAAGAATATTCTCCTTCCTCCTTTCTTCTTCTCGTGTTTCTCTATTCAAGTTCGAGTTATGTCATGACCGTTTGCTCTTATTTGGTTATTCTTTTTTTTTTTTTTTTGTCCCAAATTCAGTGTAATTGCTTGTGCTTTGCTTATCTCCAGTTTTTTTTGGATTTACAATCTGTTGATAAAAAATTTTCATCATACAAATATTGGTTAATGGTGGAAATATATCAAAGGATAGTTCCTCCGCTTTTATTCTATACCATAACTTTAGAAGGGAAAAAACGGGGCGTCACCAGTTGGAAGGGACAAATGCATGACAATTTACTTTTACCTTTACTATTTTATGAGAAAGAGTTAGGCTTGTTGTTTTGTGTTACGACTTTTTGGAGTTAAAATCGAGCCTCTTACACCTTGATGTTTTTAATAATACTAGCAAATCCTAAGATAGTGTCATAAAGTATGAGATGTAATATCAAGTTGATTGCTATATATGAAAAGTATATCAAAAGTATAACGATGGGATGAAATGTATATGGTACGTTAAAACTTTTGATAAAATTAACCAATAGAATAAATACAATGTGCATACATGTCTTGGGTACTAGCGACCTTTTATTTTATTTTTTTTAGGATCCCGCCGTTTGGAACTGCGAGTGGTGTTGGTGACCCTACATTTAAACAACTTCAGGGGGTATTTTTTTCGAGTCAAAACCCGTCATAATCTAACAACGATTAGTGCTTTGTTGCTTAATGTTGGAGGTGGTTTATATATGATAAAAGACGATATTGTAATCACACTTATTCCACTTGCTTTGATATTAGAAGATGATACTTTAACTTGTATAAGACTTTATAAACTTTTGTTAAATGTTTTTAGTACAATAGAAAGTTGGATGTTTTAATTGGCAGGCAGTTGGAAAAAGCTCTAGGACATGCTAGTCCACTACCTTATATCAAAGGTAGTTTGTCCAAATTTTTACTAAGCCGCATTGTATGTGGTTCTCCAATAGATTCCAATGTATTAAGTGATTACTAAACGGAAGCGTGTGTGACTCATTCGCGGCTAATTGATGAAGAAAGGGAAAAAAAAAGTTTTATCATATCCTGCATATAAAGTAGCATTCTCGATAAGGAAATTGAATCTGTGTGACAAGCACCAAAAATTTTTCACCATTTACTCAACCAAAGAACAAAACAAAACTTCAACTATAGACTCTCTCCAACAATGAGGCTACACCTTCATCGTTTTATATCTACTTCCACGCCATTACGCAGTGGTCAGAACTTGACTGAGAAAATCGTGCAAAAATATGCTGTCAACTTACCTCCAAACAAGCTAGTCCACACTGGTGATTATGTCACCATCAAGCCAGCTCATTGTATGTCACATGATAACTCATGGCCAGTAGCGACAAAATTCATGGGATTGGGTGCCAAAAGGGTCAAAGACAATCGTCAAATTGTGTGTACTTTGGATCATGATGTGCAAAATAAGACGGAAAAGAATTTGGCCAAGTATGCCAATATTGAACGATTTGCCAAAGAGCAAGGTATCGATTTCTATCCTGCTGGAAGAGGAATTGGCCATCAAATCATGATTGAAGAAGGATATGCGTTTCCATTAAACTTGACGGTGGCTTCAGATTCACATAGTAATACCTATGGTGGTGTTGGATCATTGGGTACACCAATTGTGCGTACTGATGCCGCAAGTATATGGGCCACTGTCCAAACATGGTGGCAAATCCCACCCGTAGCCAAAGTTGAATTAAAGGGGAACTTGCAAAACGGGGTCACTGGTAAGGATATTATTGTTGCATTGTGTGGAGTTTTCAATAACGATGAAGTATTAAATCATGCTATTGAATTTGTTGGAGATGGTGTTGAGAATTTGCCTATTGATTATCGATTAACTATAGCTAATATGACTACTGAATGGGGTGCATTGAGTGGATTGTTCCCCATTGATGACAAGTTGATTGAGTTTTATGAAGGGAGGTTGCAAAAATTGGGTCCAAACCATCCTAGAATCAATAAAGACACTATAGAAGCTTTAAGGAGAGGAAGTTTAGCCAGTGATGAGGATGCCAAATATGCCAAGCACTTGGTTATTGATTTGAATACGTTATCGCCTTATGTCTCGGGTCCGAACTCAGTCAAAGTGTCCAATCCGTTGTCAAAATTATCTCAAGATAATATTGCCATCAATAAGGCGTACTTGGTTTCATGTACCAACTCACGTTTATCCGATATCCAAGCAGCTGCTGATGTCTTGAAGGGTCATAAAGTGCACCCAAATGTTGAATTTTACGTTGCCGCTGCTTCTTCATTAGTGCAACAGGATGCTGAAGCTGCTGGTGCTTGGCAAACCATAATTGATGCTGGCGCGAAACCATTACCTGCTGGATGTGGACCATGTATTGGCTTGGGTACTGGGTTATTAAAAGATGGCGAAGTAGGGATCAGTGCAACGAATCGTAACTTCAAAGGAAGAATGGGCTCTAAGGATGCATTGGCATATTTGGCTTCACCTGAAGTTGTCGCTGCGTCGGCCGTATTGGGTAAAATTGGTGCTCCCGAGGAAATTGATGGCAAGCCCGTCAATGCATCACCAGAAATTGTTAAAAGTATTGATTTACCAAAGAGTAGTGGCAATACTGGTGCCACTTCTGAAGAACCAATTAGTGAAGACGATACCAGCGAAGCTTCAGTTGAAGTGTTGCCTGGATTCCCCAAATCAATTCAAGGTGAACTCATCTTGTGTAATGCCGATAACATCAACACTGACGGAATATACCCTGGGAAATACACTTACCAAGATGATATATCACGCGAACAAATGGCAGAAGTGTGTATGGAAAACTATGACCCCGAATTCAAGACCAAGACCAAACTGGATGACATTATAATTAGTGGTTACAATTTTGGTACTGGCTCATCTCGTGAACAAGCAGCTACATGTATTTTAGCACGTGGCATGAAGTTGGTTGTTGCTGGATCATTTGGAAACATATTCAGTAGAAATTCAATCAATAATGCCTTGTTAACACTTGAGATTCCTGAATTGATTGAGAAGTTACGTGTCAAGTATGATGGTGTAAATGAGTTGACTATACGTACAGGATGGTTTTTGAAGTGGGATGTTACGAAAGCCCTTGTTACTGTTGCTGATTTGGATGGTGAAGTGATTTTGCAACAGAAGGTTGGTGAGTTGGGTACTAATTTACAGGATATTATCGTTAAAGGTGGGTTAGAAGGATGGGTTAAGTCGGAGTTGCAAAAAGAACAATAAAAAGGGAGGAACTAGGAAGGGGGTGGATTTCATACTGCATATAGATTGTGTGTAATTGATAATATTTATTCTTTAAAGAAGGAGAAGGATCGATTGTAGAGCTGTTGGAGTGGCGATGTTAACGGCAAAAACTTCCTCGGTGTTTCTGGAAAGAAACGGTTGTCAGGATGATCTGCATAGGATGGTTAAGATCAACGGTTTTAATTTTCTTTTCGCTTTACCCCCTGTGATAGTGTGTACACTCCTTATTGTTTAGAGAGGGCTGTTTTATTGTATTCAGTCATTCCGTATTGTGTTTTCGCTTGCATCTAGAATCGCCAAAAAAAACAAAAAACAAAAAACAAAAAGGGAGGCCAACACACTGTGGTATTTCATGTGTGTGTCTTTTACCTAATTAGATATAGAATTGAGCTAAGCTCAGCCTCTAGGTAGTTCATATAATCTGGTTACATACTCAACAATGTGGTAAAAGGTTGTTATGATGCAAATGATGCTTTCGAGAGTGTGTTTATATCAAGGTTTCCATTTTATTGACGGGGGGGATTCGATTGCAGAAAACGGTTTTTCTGTTCATGTTTTGTGTAATTTAGAATCCCCATGTGAAATTGTTAAGGGATTCGTTGGAGGTGGGTGAAAAGTGATTTTCCCCTAATAGTGCACTGCCCACGTTGCTTGAATGAAAACGGAAAGTGGGTGATATCCGCATTAACAATTAGTGCTGGAAATCGGCATCCAAATACTCTTTATCCTCCTGTCTTCACTCGTAAAGTATTGTCGTGTCAATTCCGTTTTTTTGTCTTATTGTTTTGTATTTTTGATCACCATCCCACTACCTAACCCAAATTGCCCCTCCTTTCCCAAATAGGAAGAGTAAGAAAAGCTTCTTCTTATTGTTATTGTTCTTACCATTAAGGTGAAAAGTCCGACATACAAGAAACAACAGGAACCGTTACTTGGACGGTATATTTCCATTGCATTTGGAACAATGAGTAAGGAGCTAAAACAGGAGTGTAGATGTATGTCACTTGAAATTCGTTTGAAGCTGGTGGCTCTCCAATGGAAAAGAAGGTGCGTAACGGCTACAACAAAGAAGGCATTGAAAGTACAGTTTTTTTATTTCCATTCCCTATTGTAGTTTTAAACCAGCAAATGGTTTGGTTGTTCAAGTATCCTAAAACATTTGCTAATAAAATTAGGGCACAGTGATACTGCAACTAATGTAACAACAAAAGCACTGCAATATTGAAATTGTCAGCACTCATTTTTGTCTACATATTGTAACGGATTTCGTAACAAGAGCAGAAGAGAGCAATTTGCTAAAAGCAAGTTGTATTGCTTATTAGTAAAAAGTGTTTGATATATTATTAACAGTTTGCTATTATAATATTCGAATCATTTTGCCAACTGTATGATAACTTAAATGTGAATTCTTTTAGTTGTTTAGTTTGATATTATAACAAGTAACAAAATATACAGTTGTTGTTCTAACGAAACAATTGCTATTGCAAATTGAAAATAGATCCGGTACAGGGCATTTTATAGAAACACTCATGAGTTGTATTGGTGCAGTGATTTGTTGTGCTGGGTTTGATGATCATTTGTGTGACCACCAGCAAAGAAATGAGGGGAAATAGAGTGTCACGTGTGTCCTTATTGCTTAAAGATGAATGTGATATTTTCGTTCATGCTCTTTTGTTTTTTATATTATTACCACCCGAGTTTGTGTAACAATTGATATATGTATCCTGTATATAATATATCTTCTTCTTTTTTGGTGCTTTGTGTAATTATGGAGTTTTTTAAATTATTTTTTTTTTTTTTTTTTTTTTAAGTTTTTTTTATTGATGTATTTTATATACAGGAATGCATATACACATTTCCACTGAAGGACTATTGAAAAGACTATATATATAATCACACACGAATCCTCAAGAATCCACCGGTACTTTGGACACCACTTGAGTTTGATACCAATCAAATCATACAAATAATCATCAATAACAGCTACTACTCCACCACTGCACTGCTACCCACTGCTACTACTATTATAACACACACCGATAGCCTATTATGTCATTATTCTCATCTAAATCCACCACAGCTACAGCTACCAGTAGTAGTAGTAGTAGCAATACAACAGATGACTCATTAGTTGAAGGAGCATACAATATGTTAGACTCACTACTATTTTATTTGATGAATTTGATGTTGTTTGTTTTGTTGTTTACTGATTTAGTATTGGATTTCATCAACAATTGTATATATGGTTACAATATCATTGCTTGTTCTTTTAAACACAAGTTGTATAACAATATAAACTAATGGCTATAGAGAATGTATTTACGTGTTTAATGTAATGAAGAAAAAAAGTATTCTGGGAGTTTTAACTACCTGTTCGACTGTAGTAGTAGGAGTAGTATCAGTACTATCGTTGTTGATGAAAAATGAATCTCTTCATAGAATGAGATGTACAAACACACACACACACACACACACTTATTCGTATTAGTTATTAGTTATTAGTTACTAGTACTTTTACTTTTGCTTTTACTTTCTCTGGTGGATGTACTTACTCACTGGTGGCTCTTGAGATGAGATGAGATATATATCCTCCTCCTCCTCCTCCTTCTCCTCCACCGAGTCAATATGCAATGCAACACTTATATGTGTGTAGTACACATACCCCACAGCTTAGCAAAAACAAAAACAAAATGTAACCACGCAATCAATTGCAAAGCACAGCAAACGCATACTTTTCACCATATACATCACTTCCTACTTGGGTATGTAGCCACCGCTTCCACTTACTACGTAACAGGAACTGTAAGTTGTGATAGTATTTGCATTTGTTTCGTCGGATATATGTACTACTACCAAACACAGAGCTACAATCACAATCATCATCATTCAGTAGAATATTCTTTTTCTTAACTCCATTGTTCTATCTATTGTTTAAATACTAAATCCTACTGTCTTTAGTCAAAACTTTGTGAACTCCGTTCTGTAGTGCTCTGTGGTGTTTGGTGTTGGTGTTGGTGTTGGTGTTTTGTTTTGTTTTGGTTGGTTTTTGGCTGTTTTGTTTGTTTACTGTTTTCACTGTTGCAAAAGAATATTATAATTTTGTTCTATGGAAAACACAAAACTAAAGATAATCAAAGCTATTATACAGGAATACCATCTTTACCCCACAATTTTCAGATCATCAAAAATCAACTACGAAATATAGTAAAAACAAAGTGTAAACAAAATGTAAACAAAATGTAACTATAAACAATGTGCAAACAAAGTGAGCATTGGTCATTCAACCAGCACTGCTTCTGCTAGTACTACTACTACTACTTCTACTACCTAGCCATACTTTTAGGTCATTACTCTAGCCTATTAATACCCCTCATTTTCTTATTATTATTTCTTTATTACTCAATATAGTGTACCACCGGACCTAACTAATTTACCAAAAATAAAGCCGTTTATTAATAGTAGTAGTAGTAGTAATAGTAGCGTAGTAGTAGTACATCTAATCGCATCTTGTGTGGGGAGAGGGTGGGGGGAAGACAGAAATAAAAGAAATGCTTACATCCTTACTGGTCTTCGACACGGCATTTTAAGATCATCATCCTTCCCAAAGGCAAGCGAACATTATATCTCTTGGACCATCCCTCTCCCCTCAAATTCTCCCTTCTTTTTTTCACTTATCTCCTATGAAATAATTATGTTCTTTCTCTGACATATGTACTTACCGTTGTTTCAAAGTAATTTTTTACATTATTTTCAACAAGTCGTCTCGTGACTATTTCAAAACAAACTCATTATTATCAAGTGTTGTGTCATTCAAGTTAAACAACCGAACATACCTCTTGTAACTAAAGTGACGCTAATTTTTGTACCACTTTGATTCTGTGGTTGAAGAAGCAACCACAGGAACGGAAAGTGTGTATTGCTTGTATCTTGTCTTCGTAGCAATCCCCCTCGAGATGGAACTCCGTTTCTTTCTCGCAGAAATTTTACCCGACTCAAAGAATCAAGTCCCGGTTCCGGCGGTGTTACATTGCAAAAACCCACTTGGCGGTTAAAATAAGAAATCAAAAGATTTCGTGTTTTTAAATTTCTCCATTGTTTCTTTTTAACAAGTTCGAAGTTATGTAAGTTTGCTCCCTTAGATTCCATTGCATTCAAAAACAAAACGTTTGATGAGCCTCCACGAGAATCTTCCACCACCAGTGGTTATGAGAGTGTGGATTGCTTTTACAGTGTTTGTCGATTTTTGTGGCTTTATTCCCCGCAAATCGATTGTCCTCATTAAGTTGCGAAATTCATCGCAAAAACAAAAAAAGTTTTACACAATAAAGGAAGACGGCCAATCCTTCGTTACATCAATAGCAAACTCCGAGTAATACAACTGGAAATTTCAGATTGGTCAAAGATTACAATAACGTAGTAGAGTTTTTAAACTAAAGAATTACATGGTTGGAAGCAAGACAAAACGTCCATAGAAATTTATATGTAGATTCCGGATGTAAGAATCTCGTAGTTCTCCAGATTCAGCCAGAACTAGCGTGAACGTAGTCACAAGATCATCAGATTAAAAGCGTGCGATAGCATGGAATATATTTCTTCTTACAATGAGCTTTCCAACCTGACACATCGTTGCTGTGGATTACCGTTTTAACACAGCATATCGTCATCATAACGTCGACTTGTGCAAAGCAAAAGAATCAATTAAAGATTACATAGTGTTTGTTTCTCGTTGATACTCTCTCGGTTGCAAAGGACTTTTGCAGCAAACTTCCACTTGGTGGATACAATTGTGCAATTTCTTAATTGGTGCATAATCTTCTCGTCTCAATCATCGAGTTTCAACCAAACACCTTGCCTATGAACTCACCTCTATAAAACATGCTTCACATCTTTTGTCTACAAGAGCAAAATATCTACTCAACCACAATTTGACTGAAAAATCTTGCAGAAAAGGGAAAACATTCAACGACATAATACATCACAGAAATCAATATACATATGAACGAGCATCCAGTCCATACAGCTTATTTCCTCATTTATGAGCTACTGCTTTAATTCCAACGTTAAATTGAAATTGTACTCTCTTCCTTATCTTCGGTTATAGACGCAACTAATTGAATCTCTCTCTCTCTCTCTCTCTCTAGCGCATCTTTCCGCCCAATTAGGAAAGTATCCCGCTTAATTATGCCACCGCGAGTACTTAACGTTAGTGGACAAACGCGAAAAAAGAAAACAAAGCGAATATCAAAATCATCACCAAAATTGCAAAACCACACCCAAAAAACCTCGCGATGGGTTGACGTTAGTGGATTTACAACTAAATCAACAAAAAAAAAAAAAAGGAGACAGAGTGCACAACACACACTCTACAGAGGAAAAAAAAAAGAGGAAAAAGACATGAACGGCATCAGGAAACAAGGATAGATCTCCACACGTGGCCGCTGAAGTTGTTTTGAATAAATATATCAACCAGAGATACCTCGACAAACTTTGAGCTCATAACAGCAACCACTTCCGCGATTATCGATAATGTCACCTTCACTGATTCCCACCACCACCACCACCACTTCTGAACAATTTAAATTAGTCCATTTAACTGACCAAGAAATCATTGATTTCACTAGATTTCAAAACAGTCTTGCTTGGAAAGGATGCTTGTCAGAAAAAGATTATGTCTTGAGAGAATACGTTTTGAGTAAATCAAAAATCACCTCGTCGGGGAATAACAAGTTGTATGTGTACATGTTGAAATCGAGCTACAATGATGGTGATAATGATGATGAGCCACTTTGTTCTATTGAGTTACTTGTTCGTGATAGTTTGAAATTTGAATACGACAAAGATGCAAGGGGTCATGTGAAACAGACCAACGTCCTTAGTGGATGCATTGGTGGTGTATTCACTTATCCACAACAACGTGGGAAGGGGTATGCTAGAATCATGGTTAACAAGTTGGTTGAATTGGCTAAACGTGACCTTGTTGGTTCCGATGGGTTCATGTTTTTGTATTCTGAAATTGGGGAATATTACGCCAAGAATGGGTTTAAATCTTTCCCTGTTGACTTGATCAATATCCCTCTCAAGGGAGAAGTTGGTACATCGGGCAATTCTCCCCAAGTGGATTACGAGTTGGTTGAATATCATCAGTTTCAAGATTTGATGCGTCAATACCGAGTCCATTTCGAACAAGAAATGGTCGCTAAGGTGAAACAAGACCACAAGACGCGTGTATCAATCAAACCTACTTCTGATTTAATCGATTGGTTTCATTTACGTGCAAAATTCATTACCCATAAGTTGTTCCATGAACCAAAGGGCCACACCATCGATTTCAATAACGAATACGAAACTATCAAGGATAGTTTTGCTCAAGAACCAAAGATATTTGGACTCAAGATCAAACTGTCCAATGGTGAAATTGCTGGATTTATCGTTTGGACAATTGATTGGTTAGAAAATGGTGATGCAAACTATGCGACAATTTTAAAAGCGGTTGCATTTGATAAAGAAGCTCAAGATGAGATAGTTTTGAATTTGATCAAATTGGCAATTCATCAATTGGTCCATTATCCAATACTTGGCAAACCTACCATCAATGTTAAGCTATGGGAACTGGAGATTAGTGATAATGTTGGACGAAAATTGATTGAGTTGTGGCCAGGCACGGAGACTAGGTTGGAGAATTCATCACGGTCGGGTATCTTGATTAATAATCCTGAAGAAGAGGAACAGTTGAAAAAAGGTCAGTTGATTTGGGAAGAGAACACCAAATTGCCTTGGTTTTAGAGTAGATGCTTGTTTAGTATTGTCTGTTTTTGTATATGTCGCGTAAATTTGATATTTTTTTTTTTATGAATAGAAGAAATCCACAACTTTGCAACATTTTCCTCTACGACTCCAATGGACAGTACAGCCCCTGCGCGACTAGACCTAGTTAAAATTGGGTACTATGATCCGTTTGGTATATATCCGCGTATCCAAAATGACATTTCAAAACGACTACCACTAACCAATCTCCATGTTCGATTCAAGTCCAACCAACTGATGAAAACGATCCCTAAACTCGACGTTGAATTCGTTGAAGAAGTTCCCAAAAAGGCAGACTACCATCACCACCTCACTACTCATGATATCAAGACCTATGTCCGGCTCATCTTTGTCCAAGTGGATTCTTTGGACAAATACCGTGGCCAAGTACGTCCTTTGATTCGTGAATGGTTGAAAAACTTGGTATTAAGGACAAATGATTGTTCGTGGATGATTGTGTTGTATGTTCCACTGGATGGCAAAGATCGACTGTCTTCGATTATCAAGAGCTCGTTTTTTGACAAGTTGATGAATGATTTTGGGCCTGAGGGGAAGGAAATGAAGACGATTTTGCCAGGGCACAATAGTAGTAGCAGCAGTGGCACCAGCATTGCAAGAGCTGGCAGTAGTGACAACATGGAAAGGGTATTCAAATTGAAACAAGTTCTGGATGAAGATTTGTTTGCGTCATTTATGATTCAATTGAGACAGTTACTTCTGAGTGCATTTGTTGATCGATATCACATGTTTAATGATTTGATTCATAAACGCAAAAGCAATGGTATCAAAAGCCTAGCTGCTAAATTAGAACTATACAATCTATTAAAAGATATGAAGTTACTTCAAGATGCATTGGTGGTGAATGAAGAGTTGCTTGTTGATTTGGATAATCTTGTAAGTCACAATCCAGGCCAGTTTAATCATGAGCTCCAGTTGAATGCGTCGTCTTTGACCAATTTCAAATTTAATGAATTCATCAATGAGGAAAATTTAAAACAACAATTGATCAATTCAGATGAGGAGATTAATCTCGTGCAGTTAAAGAGTTTGATTTTTGCTAATGAATCTTACATTTTACAAGAATTGGCTCGTACTGCTGTGTCAAATTCACTTGCATCAAAACACATTTCAAGACTTTATCAACGGTTGATGTTGTTTTTAAATGATTCGCACTTCAATAATAGTCATGAGTTTGTGTATTTGCTCATTGATTCATTCTTGCGAATTCCTATTGTGCATCAATTGTTAAACGCAGTAAACGATAATAACGATGCTGGTGGTATAGGCCGTGATGGAGATGGCGATGTTGTGCCATTAATTGATGTATTGGAAATGCAAGCCGAGTTGAAATTGTTCAAACGAACCGTAATTGGCAAGATTGCTAAACTGAATGGTATTGAAATTGATGGATTACGTGGAAACTGTACATTTGAAGAAGTGAATCTAAATGATGATACAACACAAGTAAGCTCCATCCAATCCACCTTGACGAACCACCAATTGATGGAAATTGTGAAAAATGAACAATCATTTGTTGACTACTATTTTAACTTAACTGAGGATATAATTGGTGATTTTGTTAAATGTAATAGAGTTAAATCAATTGACATCTTGTCGTTAGACCTAGCCATACTCAATTACAATCAAGGCAATTATCAAGAATGTTTGGATACGTTGCAGAATTCATATGATTACTTTATTATGAATAGCTGGAATTTTCTAGGTGGCGTTTTGCTTGAGATTTATCTTGGTTGTGTTGAGAAATTACGAGACAAAAGCAAGAAAAGTGGTGAAGATGGCGTAGATGGTGGCGATGCAGAGGTGTTGAGAACTTGTTTGAATTTACTTGCGTGTTTGGTGAAACGCGATGGTGATTGTGTGGGAATAAATTCATACAAGTTGGTACGTAATGCCAAACATGTTGCTCAGTTGTTCAACAAGATTGACGAGAATTGTGGAGAGGGGTTGAGTGAGCCATTGCTGTATCCATTGAATCATTTCTTCAAAGCAAAAGTGAAACCATTTGTCAATGCGAATGATGCTACTCCAGGTGATGAGTATTTCATTGAAGTGGAGGTGTACAATTTATTCAATGTGCCATTGAAATTTACATCGATGGGGGTTACATTGATGGATGATACTCAGACGCAATTGTCGTTCAAGGCTGACGATATTCTATTGTCTGCATCACCTGAGGTACAAATCTTTAAATTGTATACTCGAGATATCAAATTTGGGTTGTTTGCCATTCATAGATTGATGATTGCCTATAATGATAAATTGTCATTTATTCATGAGTACTCCAATAACGATAATGATGATGATGATGGGGGTGTTGTAGCCGTGCCTGATAATTCGATTTTTAATGAGACTGTTGTTGAGCACAAGCATACTACCAATTCCAATTCAGCTTTGTCGAATGATGTATTGATTTTCCAAAATGTTTACAAATTTCAAGCACAATTCGTAGCGTCAAAAGTGGTTGAATTGGGTACTAATGCAGTATCATTAGTGTTAAAGACCGGATCAAACGATGTATCCAATATAGAGATACGTCTTAGTTCAAATACTGACGGAGTTCAACTTTCACAGCCTCATTTAACCATTGATAAACTCGATGCGAAACAGAAACAAACGCTTCAAATACCATACACTTTTTTCAATGACTTGAAATTAATCAATATGCAAGCACACGTTAGTTACCTTGCTGATGATGTAACATATACTGCTCAAGTATCATACAATGTTGACACAAGATTAGCAATTTCCGTCTCAGTGCAAGATGTATTCAAGACTCAATTTTTTTACTCGAAATTTCAAGTAGGAACTGCTGATGCCAAATCGCCAATACGATTAGTGCTGCAGAATTTGGTCAGTGATGATTATGAAATCAAACTGCCTAGCGGTGAATTGCGCAATCTCGTCGCATTTGGTGAACAGCCTATTACATTTTTTTACAAAATTACCCCTCGTGTGGGTCACGCTATTGATGATGAAGATAAGTTGGATTTATCACTTTGTTATACCAATTTACAAGATGAATGTGAACAACAATTGACTGAAATTGTATGGGATTCGTTGTCGAATTCCAATGGTGGTGGACATTTGATACATTATTGGTACTTGATTAAAGAAACAATCTTGTCTAAAGTCCAATTTGACTTGAACAAGTATGCGGTGCAGAATGTGTTGCAAATTGTCAATGCCGGGTTTGTTCAATCGTTTGCTGATCGTGTCATTGGTCGCTATGTGGAACATGAGTCAGATCAAGTACAATTGCATAAAAACTTCGTCAATCTTGCCCCAGGTGGATGTATTGCAATGCACCCTAGTTGCAAGCTTGATAAGCTAGATACCATTCAACATCAGCTAAACATCAAAGTTGCGGTGCCTATTTTAAAGTATCTTCATGTTGTTGAATACGTGTATGAAAGGAAAACGTATATTGTTGGAGAATCGATACCAGTCACACTACGAATCAAAACGGTGACGAAGTGGTCAGATGGGAAACAGGTTTTGGCTGTGTCATCGCCATCGAGGTCAACCACTAATGCTAATGATAACGATACAGAAGTGATTGCACCGCCGTCGCTTTCCAATGCAGAAAAATTCCAAGCTATGATACAACCGGACGATAATTGGTTAGTATCAGGATTTAAAAAGCAAACAATAAGCAGTCCCGGAGTGGAGGCTAGCGACGTAAGCGAAGCAGGGGATGCAAACGACGATGCCCCGCCATTTCAAACTTCGTTGGTGTTGATTCCTTTACATGTGGGTAAGTTGTACTTGCCCAAGATCGTTGTGAGTCCAATTGAAAATGGTACAAGTGGAGGAGTAGGAGCTACGAGCCAATCCGATATTGAATTTGTCAATGGATGCGAAACCATCATGAGTGTCCCTGACGTTCGAAACATTCAATTTTCATTTTAGGGAAGAAGCTGTACATCATGAAGGTTAGCTTTTATGTTTACTTTGCTACTGAGAAAGAATCAGCTTCAAATATTCTAATCTGGGTAACCGAAATTTAAATCAAATGTAAACTATTAAAATATAAAGCCTCTATTAAAGTGTATAGTAAACCGAAAAAAGAATAGGAGGAACGATCAACAAAATCGTGGCCTCAAAAAGAATAGTAAGAAGAAAAGGCCCTCTCCAGTTTAAATCACCCCTAAGCAATGAACTGGGAGAAATTAGAAATGATGGCCGAAAAATTGTCACATGTTTGATATCTAGAATAACAATGAACTGATAATGATGAATAAACCAGTCAAGAATGTAGATACACCTTGACTTGAACCTGATCCTTCATAGTTGGAAATGATCGGTGGTGTTGTGTTTGTGTTGAATGCGGACGCGGATGAGGATGGCTCATTTGATGATGATGATGGTTGTTGTTGTTGTATGCTTGGGTTGCTTCCCGATCCTTCTCCTGATCCTTCTCCTGATCCATTTCCTGATCCATTTCCTGATCCATTACCAGATCCTTCTCCTGATCCATTTCCTGATCCATTACCAGATCCTTCTCCAGATCCTTCTCCTGATCCTTCTCCTGATCCTTCTCCTGATCCTTCTCCTGATCCATTGCCTGATCCTTCTCCAGATCCTTCTCCTGATCCTTCTCCTGATCCATTGCCTGATCCATTGCCAGATCCATTACCTGATCCATTGCCAGATCCATTGCCAGATCCATTACCAGATCCATTACCAGATCCATTGCCAGATCCATTACCAGATCCATTGCCAGATCCATTACCAGATCCATTACCAGATCCATTACCAGATCCATTGCCAGATCCATTACCAGATCCATTGCCAGATCCATTACCAGATCCATTACCAGATCCATTACCAGATCCATTACCAGATCCATTGCCAGATCCATTACCAGATCCATTACCAGATCCATTGCCAGATCCATTACCTTCGTTTCCATTGTTTCCATTGTTTCCACCGTTTCCATTGTTTCCACCGTTTCCATTGTTTTCTGGAGGATTAGTCGATGAGGCTGTCAGTTGGGAATCAATTGTGTTTGCACTCAGAGTGGTTGGGTTGGAAGGAGTACTTGTGCCTGTATTAGTCAGTGTGTTTTTACCTCCGTTACCATTATCAGTTGTTGTTGGTGTGTTTTCACCTCCGTTACCATTATCAGTTGTGGTTGGTGTGTTTTCACCTCCGTTACCATTATCAGTTGTGGTTGGTGTGGTAGTTGGTGATGTAATAGCAGATTCACTAGATGGGGATGATATGTCAGTAGTAGACTCCGTGGTTGGTAAATCAGTAGGAGTAGTTGTGGATTCTGAACTAGGTGGAACAGAAGAGGGTCCAGTAGGGCTAGTACTGTTTTGGTAAGGTGGTGTAATTGAGGATGATGAATGGTCGTTAGACGAAACTTGACTCAGTGACAGGAAATCAGTATCAGATGAACTTGATGGTGGCTCAGTACTTGACTCAGTCTCTGACGAGCTTGGGGGTTCCGAACTAGATTCCAGTTCTGATGAGCTTGGTGGTTCTGAACTGGATGGTGGCTCACTTGAGCTTGGTGGCCCGCTTGAGCTTGGTGGTTCTGAACTAGATTCCAGTTCTGAACTAGATGGTGGTTCCGAACTAGATGGTGGCTCACTTGAGCTTGGTGGTTCCGAACTAGATTCCAGTTCTGATGAGCTTGGTGGTTCTGAACTGGATGGTGGCTCACTTGAGCTTGGTGGCCCGCTTGAGCTTGGTGGTTCTGAACTAGATTCCAGTTCTGAACTAGATGGTGGTTCCGAACTAGATGGTGGCTCACTTGAGCTTGGTGGTTCCGAACTAGATTCCAGTTCTGATGAGCTTGGTGGTTCCGAACTAGATGGTGGCTCGCTTGAGCTTGGTGGTTCCGAACTAGATTCCAGTTCTGATGAGCTTGGTGGTTCTGAACTAGATGGTGGCTCACTTGAGCTTGGTGGCTCGCTTGAGCTTGGTGGTTCTGAACTGGATGGTGGCTCACTTGAGCTTGGTGGCTCGCTTGAGCTTGGTGGTTCTGAACTAGATGGTGGCTCACTTGAGCTTGGTGGCTCCGAAGAGGGAGGTTCAGAACTTACGGCAGGGGTAATTGGATCCCATTCAACAACTGTTGCTGTCTTTCCAGGTGTAGCTGTGATAGTGGTGGTCCATGTTGAAATACCAGTGTAGCTAGACGTGACTGTAGTAGTTGGAATTGGTACTTCAACAACAATGGTTTTAGTATTACCTGGGGCAGTATTGAAGGGCAAAGTTGTTATTGAAGTGGTTGATCCAAGCCATGTAGATGTAGTGACAACAACTTCATTACCATTAGCACCAGCATCGTTATTCTGGTATGGTCCCCAAGTTGTAGATTTTGAACCATCCTTAACCGATGAACTTCCTGCACACAAGTATGTGTTGGTGTAAGCAGTTTGTAATCCTTGACCTGTTGGAACTGAAACCAAAATGTCCAAAAATGGTCTATAACCGGCGGGGATGTTGTTGTAGTTGATTGTAAAAGAGTTACCACTGCAGCTTGTTGAGCCTGATATAGCCTCCGCCTCTTCTGGCAAGAACCAATCATTTAATTGGTTTGTGATGGAAGCGTGAAAGGTTGAGCAGTCAAGTGTTCCACCAACAATAGTAACGCCTAAAGTTCCACTCCTATATCCATTAGGACAAGTTCCACCAAGCAAGTACAACTGTTGTTTGTTCAACGATGGGACTACACGATTGTTGTAAACAATAGTATCAGTTGGCGAATTTCCATTCGTGTTTGTTCCTCCTTGAAAGTTTGCTGTGGTAGTCAACTCCTTGTCACCGTCAGTGAATGTAACTTGGTTGGAACCAGCGGTAAAACATTGGGAATTTTGTAAATCGACAGAATTTGCTGATCCCCCAACGTTGAAAGCAATAGGAAAATGAACAGAACCAGCAGCATTTGTGCTTGCTTTAACATTGTTACTAGCAGTACACTTTAATTGGGAGTAAGCAACAACTAAATCACCAGGAGCAAATTGACAAGTAGCATAAACAGTATCGCCAACCGTTAAGTCGACGCTGTCTTGAGTGGTGGTAAACTTGAAAACACAGGGCATATTTAAAGTAAAAGTATCACCAGCATGCACGTTTGAGCCCAAAATCTTCCAGGATAAGGTTGCAATCCAACTTGGGGCTGCAGGAGTACTGTACTGGTAGTTGGCGGCATTTTGCCATACCAAACTGTCAAAGCTTTGAAAAACATCGGTAACTTCAGAAGCGAGTGTAAGCGTTGTGAATGTGAAAGCCGTGAAAATGGCCACAAATGAATTCCAGTTTTTCATTATTTGTGGATGGAGTTGAGCTAGAAGTATAACCGACAGTAAATCAAAGGAAGATAGCTCTCTTTATATATTTTTTGGGAATGCAATTGAATGCCGTCAAGCAATGTCTCTAACATGAAGGTGCCAGGTTTTTGACGGGTAGGGTTCATATACTTTTCAATGTACATCCTCTTATATGTATATGTAATGGCTGCAAAATTCATAAATCCGCAATATTATTTTGTTCGGTGAAAACACAAAGTCACTGAAAATTTCATATCAAGCAGGAAAAGAATTTACACGAAAGGGGTTGACGAACCGTCTCATAGAAGACATTTCCACGTACAAGGCAATGCTTGACATTTCTATATGCCACCATCAAAAGATAAACAGAGAGTTAAACGGAAGCTTGTAATTGAAATCAATTGAGAAGGTGTGCCTTCTGTTAAAGCAAGCTTGGGCAAAAGTGTTCTTGCTAAATTTCGCATGTGAATATACTAACTTGAATCAAAATAAGGTTTGCAAATTGTGCAAAAAGGGTATTGGTATTCGAAGTGTTTCGAAGTTTGCATAACAATAGACGTTTATAGAATTTACTAGCGACCTCGGTTTGTCGTAATTTCGTGAATCGTTTCATTTTTCCAACATTGACCGAGAGATACAGTTACGAAGTACGTGGTTGGAAGTTAGTGAGATTGGCGTGACAACGTTCAGTAACACATGTAAAGTGGATAGCCAGTTAAGGCAATGACGCTTTGGAAATCAAATCAAGACGTAGTAAAACAAGCATTATGGTAGAAAGTAAAGTAGTAAATAACAATGACTTTCCCGCCAGTCAGTTTTAGCCTAATATTTGTTTCAGATAGGCGATTATTTTCATTGCTTTCACGAAGGCGTTCCTTGTAGGTTAAGCGATGAAGTATATCGTACAAAGATGTACACATTTCCTTTTTTGTGTTCTTTGTCAGCTTAATGCATTTTTTTAGTCTTAATTTCAGTCAATGGCGACAGGGTCTTGTATTTTTCCGGATTCCACACCGCAATGATGAGGTCGAGGCCTACGACGAGAATGACGTTGTAAGGATGTGGTATATAAGATTTCAATATCCCAGCAGCACGATGTAAACGCAATCTCTATCCCAATTGGTTTGATCCAGATATTTGAGATTCAAGGTGAATAACCACTTGTTAGTTTACTTTTTTGTGGCCCGGACAAACAATTAACACTTCCCATAGTAATTCTCAAAACATTAGCGCGTTGCGTATATAATTTCGCCAAATTTCATTGCAGATATTTATATACATATTGGTTTCGGCGAACAAAACAGGGTAGTTGCTCTTTTGCTCCAAGTACTTGTAAAAGGTATCGAGTTGCTAGTTGTTTCAGTTGATTTGAGTAACACGGGGGTATGTCCCTAAACAATCACAAAGAACGTAGACGTTTTCTGAGCCAATGGGACTTGGATCCAGCTTTGTGGTTTACATAAATTGATCGTCTACATCTTCAATCATTGCGATTCCATTGTTTTAATGTCGGAAATACTTTCTGCAATTTCATGAATACGAAACTGTACACAAACCTAGAACTTATAAGGATATTCCACTAATGAAAGCATCTCATTACTCCTGTGTTTGAGTCTTCTAGGACTAGCAAGAGGGCTGTGCTTCGAATCTTCACTAAACTCTCAATAAAGACCCAAGTCGACATTTGTGAAATGGTGTTGAGCGCATGTACGGATATAGCTTGACATATCGAGTACCCGATTTTATTGAGCAACTCTCCGCGACATATTGCAAAGCATTGTCGCGTACACTGTTTAGCTTTATGAAATGCTCTTCTTCTTTCTCCAAAAATTAAACTTTTCGGTATTTTACGTACCATTGCCTATTTCATATAACGAATTTCAAGATTTACAAATTCCAGAATACTTCACATGTAAGGGTGAATCTCTTGAAGTTGCTTCAATTCGCATTTGAATGAAACGTTTGGTGTCTTGCCTTTCCTTCCATTCCGAATGAGTTTTGAAGTTAAGTGTATTTACTTTTACGGCCGTTGGGCGTCTCTTGAGAAATAGAATTCGTGGCTTCCAACACGCGAATGGAATTTCCAGCAACATCAAATGTTGGTAAACAGTACCGGAGCTGAAACTCTCTGATCTGTGACTCATGAGAATGAGATCCTCATTTGAGTGTCCCTACAGAGCTTAGCCAACTTTGTCTTTCCATATAACAGAAAGTTCACTTTCAATTCAAGTACACAACGCCTAGTTTTTCAACGCTAGCAGATCTCTCAACCTACGAATAAAATCAACTTCCAGGGAATAGTTTCAAAAATGATCCTAACTCTGCCTCGCCGATTTTCTTTACACAAAACCCAAAACTGAAATATAATACTGAGGCAGAAGAATAGTCTTAGTCTTTCAGTGATTAGCTTCTTGAATTGTTTCTTCAATAAATCACCTTATATTCAGGCACCTAGTAGCTATAGGTCTAAGCCTTGTCAAGGTATGGAAGATTTTAACACATTCTTCTCCCCTCTTTTGTGTCACAAGCGTGATCCTATAATTAGAATCAAAAGATGGACACAACGGAACGAAAAAAAGAACAAAAAATATGGAATACATAGACAAAATCATTAGCTCCGGTTTAGATCCGTAAACGACCCTAATACGACACATTAACCTAGATCACAACAAAGACTCGTTTTCACAATCAACATGGTGGTAGATACAACATACTACGATATTTTAGGTGTAGAAGCTACCGCATCGGAGCAAGAGCTTAGAAAAGCGTACAGAAAGCAAGCAATCAAACTTCATCCGGATAAAAATGGAAATGACCCAAAAGCAGCTGAAAAGTTTCAAGATTTGGGCGAAGCTTACGGCATCTTGTCCAATGCCGATACAAGAAAGATTTACGATGAGTATGGTGTTGAAGGAATGAAGGAAAAGAATGTACAAGGAGAGAACATTGACCCTAGTGAATTCTTTGAAGTTATTTTTGGTGGAGTGGCATTCAGAGATTGGATAGGTGAGTTGGGTATGTTCAATGATATCACCAAGTCGGCAGAAGTGTTGGATTTGGATGAAGAAAATTCCGGTCTGGAAGTTAGTTCATCTGGTGACTCAGCCTTCAAGGACAAGAAAGATGGCACAACTAGTCCAACTTCCGGTGTTGGGGGAACCGCTTCATCATCTACTCACAGCTCATTGCAATTACATTCTCAAGATAACAAGGGTGAATTGTCATCTGAGGATATAAGAAGAAAGAGAAAGCAAAAACTTTCTAAGGAACAAAGAGAAGAAATTATGAGGATCCAGGAGGAAGCCAGAGAAGCCAAACTCAAGAGGATCAACGATTTGTCGGTTATTTTGAAAGAGAGGTTAGAGAGCTATAGAGCGGCTGCAACCAATCCAGAAGGATTAAGGAATTACACTGAGAAATTGAAACGCGAGCTTGATGATATGAAGATTGAAAGTTTTGGTATACAATTGTTACATTTGATTGGGAAAATCTACACCAACCAGGCAAATGCCACATTAAAAGCAGCCAAAACATTTGGTATTACCAAGATTTACACTTCAGTGAAGACATCCACGGAGACAGTCAAAAATGGATATAGCATTATCAAGTCTGCCTTGGATACTCAAGAGACTATGGAAAAGGTAATGAAGGAACAAGAGGCTTTCCAATTGAAACAAGAGCAAGGGTACACACCCACTCAGGAGGAGCTTATCCAACAAGCTGATAGAGAACGATTTGTTACCGGGAAATTCCTAGCAACTGGATGGTCATTGGTGAAATTTGAAGTAACCAATGTGCTAAATAAAGTATGTCAAAATGTATTGCATGAAAAGGGTATTGGCAAGAAAGAAAAAGTTGCTAGAGCCAATGCCTTGTTATATATTGGAACTCAATTGTTGAATGAAAAGAGATCTGCTGATGAAGAAGAAGAAGCTAGAATCTTTGAAGAGATGATGGCTGATGCAAAAGTGAAGAAAAATAGTAAAAAGAAGCAGCATAATTTTTTTTAAATAGATAGTTAATATAGACTGGACAACGCCAATGTTGAGGGTGGTAGTTAGAGTACATGTAAAGAGATACACTGGAGTTCACCTCTGACAGTTTGACTCCATAACTTCATTTGCTTAATAATCAAATACTTGGTAGTGCACTCGTTGCAAAATCGGTTTCTGCAAGTCTTTTCCTTTTGTCATTCGCACCGAGAACCGAAAAAAAGGAACAAAAAAAAAAGGGTAAAAGGCAAAGGGCTAAACACCAAAGGCAAATTAGTCAGAAATCTCCTTCACCTTCATCTCGAAACCTCATTTAAGGTCCACTCAAAACCCCCACAAGAATGGTTGACTCTAAACAAGTTCTCAAATTGTACAAACAACTTCTCAACAAAGCTTACAAGTTCGACAATTATAATTTTCGTGAATATTCGAAAAGAAGAGTACATGATGCGTTCAAGGAACATAAATATCTAACAGATGAAGAACAAATCAATAAGTTTTATAATGAAGGAATCGATAATCTAGCGTTGTTAACTAGACAAACCACAATCTCCCAATTGTATACTTTTGACAAGTTGGTTGTTGAGCCTTTGAAGAAACATCATTAAGAATTTTTACAAGTAATGTGTTGTGTATAGTTTTTAAAGAAATATCCATTCTACAGATTGACTCCAAGTAACAACTTTTTCAATTTCTTATTCAAGTCTAACTAGATCCACTAACTACCAACTTCTGTAAGTGGCTCATAAACACTTGCAAACTGACATCATCTGTTAAGACAATTGCTCCACCTGCACCACCCAAGCCCAGACCACCAATAAACTCATTGGTGTTGTAAGTAACACTAGGGTTCAATTTCGAATACAAGAATCTCGCTTGCGATCCACCTTCCTCGGTGTCAATAAATCTTGGCAATGGATATCTATCAGCCAACAATTCAGCCGCTTCTTGTTTTGGTTCATCCAATAATTCTTTGAAATTGGCATACTCTTCTTGATCTTGATACCCAGCTTTACGCCAAGCGGCAATGGTTTTACCGTGGAAAATCAAAATGTGGAAAAATGTGTCCAACAACAAAATACGATCGTCTCTAATCGATACTGAATCCAACAAAACAGCTTCGGGTTCACCTTCTAATGTGAATGATGTCAATGTTGGCTGAATCATAATCAATGAGTTGTTGGTGTCTTCGGTTAATAAAACGTGTCTATAAAACACAGTTTCATCGGGTGAGTTGTTGAAAACTTGCAAAAATTGTGATCTTCGCAAATAATAGATAAATTGTGGAAACAATTGAAATTGTTGTCCCAATCTGAAACTCTCTTCTTGATCCTTTCTATAATCGGCGAATTTTTGACACAAACGAATAAGCATGCGATCGATCCATCTAAGAACATCAGCACCATCGTCTTGCTCTGCTTTGAATAAAGTGACTCTTGCCATCAAAACGGCTGCTGCTTCTTGATCAAAGGAGTTGGTAAGGGTTTGCTCGTCACTGGTTAAATAGTTGGACACAGTAGTCACTCTGGTTCTATAAGTACCACTGGCGTGTTGGTAATGGGTAATAAATTGTACATAGCTTTGAGCAGTTGGTGGCAATTGTTGAGTGTTTGCAACATCGAAAAACACAGCATATGTGTGTCGTGGCGATGTGGCACAGAGTCTATAGTTTGAAGTTCCGCCAAGTCCCAATTCATTTTCGGAAACGTTTGCCGACTTCACTCCCAATGATGAAGCATGTCCAATTAATCCACTCACTTTTAATTCTTTTGAAGTTCTTATTTCAAGTGAAGCATTGAATCCCATCAACAAATAACCTTCCTCGTCCTTGTTGAACAACCTTAAAAATGATCTCTTGAAAATGGATGTAGTGAAAGCATCTGACAACAACAAAGTACCACCGGTGGTATTACACAAGTTTTTCATCTCCAACATACCTATTTGGTCATAACAACCAGCAAAAATATCCACTGCATGACTGTTTTTAACTGCCTTGGCCGCAATTGCGTCATAGAACTTGACAGCTTTTTTGAAATGTTTGGCATTATCCTTGTCGATATCTGAGTGAGATCTAATAGGTTCCTTCAATTGGTTACCAACAATCATACCAGGGTTCAAAGTTCCCGGCCCCGCAGAAAACAACATAACTCTAGCCCCAAATCCTGGGAAAGTTAATCCCAACAAGTTAATAGCCACATTCAATGCACTACCAGTACATCTCAAAGGTCTAGCTCCATTGGCAACTGCCCATGGATCTTTGCCCAAATTCTCCAAAATTGTGGTCAATTGAAATTCGACATCTTCCAATGGCAAAAAGAATCTCGTTAATGAGTTTGCCAATGGTTGTTGTGGCTGTTGTTGTTGGTTCAATACAGGTGTAACGGGGTTATTCAACATTTCACTAATTTGTTTATCAGTGTATTCCTTATCACCACGGAAAATAAAACTCTTGTTGATCTTTTCTGACCCCAAATCGTGCACTTGAACCATGGTTCCATAAGTAATCAACCCAATCAAGGCATTTGGTGGTAAATGATTGAACCCAACAATAATATTTTCAATCAATGCTTGTAAATTATCTTCGTCTTGACACAAATCAATCACATAAGCAAAAATTGGTGGGTTTTGCACCGGTCTCGAGTTTATATATTCAACAGTCGAGCTAGTATTTTGCAATTCCAATGGCAAATTCTCGGGATTGATACCATGATAATGTGCTGGCAACGGGTTTCTACCTTGACACAAGGGACAACGCCAGAATCCATTGGGGTCAACAGCACAATATGGATTCAAAATCGCTTTACATGTTTGATTGGAACAGTAGATTGGATCATATGCAGCAATGGGTAAATCCTCACGTTGTTTCAATGGTGTGTACAAAGCACCAGTAGGGACGACAATTTTCCCAGCTTCTACCTTGGTAGATGGAAATGCATTCCATGCGAATCGAACACCATTGATGTCCTCAGCTTCTTCAAAGTCCATCTCGAGAGGTGTAGTTGTGTACTTCTTGGTGATAGCTTTAAAATTGAAGGTTTTTGGGTTGAGATCGTGTTATTTTTGACGATTGAGATTGTTTTCATTTTTCTTTGTTCTTTTTTTTCAAACTTGACAACGAAACGAAACAAGAAAAAAAAAAAATGAAGTACCAGAGTCGCAGTTGGTTGTCGTTAAATATTCTGCGACATAGAAATCAAACGCACGACATGAGGCTGGTTATACTTCATACCCAACGGATATTTCATTCTTGATCTCATAAGAATACTATTATTCAACTAAATACATTAATCACTAACTTCACCTTCAATTACAAGCTCCCCATTTCCACGTATCTCCTCTTCAGCCCCATTTACGCCTTGTTCTGCATCACTTTTCAAGTTTTCAATATCCCCTAAAAGCTTTCTGATATACCTTGAGGCCAATTCCACAGTTGTTGCTTTAGACGGAATGCTGATTTCATCATGATACAGTTGTGGGATCAAGGATGCCAAATCAGCAATGGCGGTATTCATTCTATTTCTTCGTCCTTGTTCTGCTATTTTGTGTGATGCCTTTTTCGTGGACAATTTTTCAGGTTTCTTGGTTAATTTTGGCGACGATGATGCGCTGCTATCTCCCGAAGAAGATGATTTCGAAATCGACGATTTACGTGATACTGATTTGCTCTTCTTTGGCTGTTGCTGCTGCTGCTGCTGCTGTTGTTTCTTTCCTTTTGGTTGATTTTTCTCTTCCACTTCAGCTAGTCTTCCCATAGTGAAGCCCATTAATGGTGGCTCATTAATCTCTCGGGGTTTCCCACTTGGTGGTAACATTTCCGTATCATTAGTATTCACTTTGGACTCGGGTATCGATGACTGGGGCAATTTCTCAAGTTGATCAGTAGCTGATGGTGTAGAAGATTTGGCCTTGGCTGAGGGTGAAATATAGCTCTTGTTACTAGCAGCAAGAACGGGAGTTCCGTGAGGTGTTCTTCTCTTGTTTTGATATCTATGATCCTCTGAAGATGGTGCATACACCGAACTTGATTTTCTTCGTTTATCCGATGATTGTTGTGCATTCAATGCTGGCGAAGTCAAGGGTTCAAAATTGATATTTGCCGGCGACTGATGATGATGATGTTGCTGTTGTTGTTGCTGCTGCTTCTGATTGAAGGAAGGTCCGTTGGCACCTTTATCCAATGGTGTCACTGCTGGACTGACCAAGGGAGTGAATACAGCATCTGGACGCACATGTTGCGGTTGTGGTTGTTGATCACTATCATCATGATTCACTGAATACACTTTTCCCAGTGAATTTTGCCTATGGTAAAGATGGTGTTTGTTGTACAGTTTCTCATTTTGGCCCGGTAGTATAGGTGAAGAAAATTCTGCATTCCTACGCTGCTCTTCCTTTTTCATGGCATTTATGGCTAACAAGCTAGGAGTTTGTTCCGTGGGGACCTTGGGAGGAAATGCTGACGAAACATGGCCAGGTTCAGTGTCAAAATTCAATTCTTCGGGGATCATGAAATTTAAATTGTCAAGTCCAAATTCAAATTGATGTTGTGGCGGTGGCGGTGGTTGCTGTGATTGATGAGGGTGGTGATGTTGTTGCAGTTGCAGTTGTGACTGTGGTTGTGGTGGTACACTAGAGTGTAAAACCGGAACACCACCATTGGGTGTAGACATATTAGATACAGTATGCTGATGTCCCGGGTGAGTAGAATTGTGACGGTGAAATGAAGCTTCCTGCGCTTCTTGGTCGAAATTCATTTGGTTGTCCATGGGTTGGTGCGTCGCTATGGCATCCAAACGGAAGTTACCTGGCAGAGGCCCCTGTTGCCCTTGATCGTGTCCACCAAGTCGACTTTGCGACCGAATTTGTTGCTGAACCAGTTGGTGTTCATACATATTCTCCTCTAGTTCTTGCAAAAATAACTGCTCTGATTCAGTGAAATTTGATGGCGTGGTTGATTGGAAATGAAGAGGAGTACCCATTTGATTTGGCCCTGGAGTGTTTCTTTTCATACTACTTTGGTCACCTGGTGTTGAGTAATTTGAATTATTATTGAGATGCGGCGTTGTATGCTGTGACTGAGTCGAGTTTGATGTTGCATGCTCCAATTCAACATAGTAGGGGGACTTGCCAGGAGTATTGCCTGCCAATTGGCCATTTATTTGACTGTCCGTCGTGTATGAAGTATTCCAAGTCTGTGACTCCATTCAGGAATATATAATTTTATTGAACCGAGGCTGTTTATCTGTAGATTGTGACGAGGCACGTTGTTCTGAAATATATTGACAAATCGCTGTCTCTCAACTGTTACTTTCTTTTTGCCAAAGTTGCAACCACCTTAAAGCTAGATCTTTGATTGTAAAGCAATCACTTGGAAATGGGAAAAGTATGGAGAGAATTTTTTTTTTAAGAATGAGATATTTCAAAAATCTTTTGTATTATTGTTATTGTTATTGTCCCGTATGTGTCCATATGAATTTTTACAAGATATACAAAAAAGCGCAACAAGAGAAAGAACAAAGTTGAATCACTCGCCTATCAGTTGATTCATTGATGTACAGCTTATATCTAATTAGCTAATGACAGAACTGTCATAATGAAGAGAACTAAGTCATTTAGATGCCCTTGGCGGAACAAACCTCATTGGTCACACTCAAACTTTTCTCATAAAATGTAACAACAGTATATACTATAGGTCTACTACTACTACTACACAACAACAACAACAGCAACACAAAATGCGTAAAATCTGAGTCAAAAAAATAAAAACCAAAAATTAAGGCACCCCACGTGCATATGTCGCAAACTGGATAAACATGACACACATTTTACTATCGCGCGACACACACAGAAAGTACAACCAAAATTTGGGTGTCGAAACATTTAAAAAGCATAGGAGGTATTGAGTGCCGACTAATCGTAATTTTGTAAACCATGCTCCCATAAAATGACGTACTCAAAGTCTTTGTAGGTGGTATGTGCTGACTCTTTGGTGTTGTCGATTCTATACCAACGAAAACAAGGGGCACCTCCTTTTTCAAAAATAGTTGAAAGGTGAGCTTGGTTCAGCGTCGCCTTTTTGCTTGGATATGGTCAATCTTACCAACTTGGAATGATATGGTTTTAGATTGAAAAAATTTTTTGCACTCAATTGATTACGATTGACAATTTTGCAGCATTGATCATCGATTTTTATCAACCCAAAGATTAGTCTATGAAAATGCATTTAAATTGCAATGTCAAATTAACCGGTGTGGCAAATTAATGGGGAAACTGGTTCTTGGTACCTGTTTTTTAAACTCGCCCATGTCGACTACATGAATAGATGACATGTGCCTACTTAGTTTTCTCAAACCCCTGGAGACTTTTCTCCCAAACATGGGAAAATGACATTCTGTTAAATATCAGCCCCTCAATCGTGATGTCAACCAGATTTTAATTTATGCACTTTAAATATAATGCATCATACATGAGAATTAAAATATTATCCATACTGTAACATTTCTCACCAAAAAGTTGTAGTTAAAACCTGATAAGTGCTGAAAAATCTTTTATTTTAACCTCTCATGCATGATAATACAAACATGAATTTGAGATATTTTTATCAAATGACTCTCGATATTTTGGTCTTTGAAAGTAAGGGTTTCTGTAGTTGCATGGGTTACGAAAATAGTTGCAAATTTTGGGGTAATTGGTAATTGTGGCAACTTTGATAATTTTTAGGTGGGGAAGAGGAGAGAATACTGCTGGTGTTGTTTGTACTGATGTAGATAAAGCCCGATGTCGATTACTTAGGGTAGTCCGGCTGGAAAACTATTCTAGTCCACTCAGTATAACCCTCGAAGCACCGAATTACAATGATTTAAAGCTTACTTTTGAGAAGTCTACAAAGTGAAGAACGGCTAAGCAACATGGTTACTGGCAGCCTTTCACCCACTTGTTTCCCCTCCTATTTTCAGTAACTCACAATTATCTCTTCATCCTCAAAATTTGGAACAAAATATAAAAGATAATTGGGGGTACAAGAAAATGTCTTCCAAAAAAAGATTGTGTTTGGCGCGTAAAAAAATCTTGACCCAGAAGTCACACAAAACCAAAACCAGATTGAGAAACAAACTCAATCCCTCTTTCTTTGAACCTCCCCCACCCCCTACCTACTTTGGTGATTTGCGTAGAACACGTTTAAGGTTTTTTGCACTCACCGATCAGCATCATATTAAGCTCGCATTTTTCTTGTAGCGGAGGGGACTCACCCGATTCACGGGGAATAGGGGTACTGCTAAGGAGCAAAATAACATGGGTCTTTACTTTACTGTACGCTCTTTCAATCTTATCGCAACATTTGAACTGAATAATAATTAAGTATCGTGCAATGTTGTTAGTTCTATGGCGTTTTATTATTTTGTAAACAAAATGACTAGTATACGGTTTTTGTCTCCACATATTGTATACTTCTCCTTGCATTGCAGCATCAACTCGTCATAAATTCGCCTTGCTCCAACTTGCATCAACTTGCAGCTTCACACAAGGTTTGTATTATGTTTTGAGTATATGGGACCAAGAAATTATCGGCGTAAGCACCTTCTATTATTCAGGCGGGGGGACAAAGTAACATTCAAGATTGGAAAGTGGAAAGCCTTTGAATAGTGTTCCCACGGCTACTTTAAAACTTAAGTGCTTTGGTGATGCTGAAACGCCATAACTTTATCACCTACAGAAGTTGCAGACAATTGACCCAATTTGTGTCAAGGTCATTTCTAAGCGAAGTGAAGGAATAAAAAAGTCTTAGCCCAAGGAAGTAAAAAAAAAAAAGATCAGCTGATTAAAAAGAAAGCTGAAACAACCATCACATTTTGTAAAGGGGATGCTCTTTCGGTACCAGTACTTGCTGTTTGTAACACTGTTTTTGGCATTACTGTAAGTCATTCAAAGAACACATCTGCTAGCGAATTCGCGTGAACTGCAGTCTACACCCTCTTTTCTCCATGCATCAAAATATTAGGAGCTAGAGTTTAAGGTTTTCAGAGTTTTCCACACGCACGCCTACACACATACTTTTGGAAGTTAATCTTTGCTCCTGGTGCTAAAAGCTACTCACTAAAGAGAGACTAAGTAGAATGGTTCCTCGTTCTCCATTGTTTTCTAGCAAGACTAGACTAGACCAATACCTTTTGGTCATGTAACACAAAATAGTTTTAGCCCCAAAATGATAAGCGCCTTATTGAACACATGCATAACTTGACATCTTAAACAAAAGAAAATCTGGCACTTTACATTGAATTGAATCGTAACACCTGCTTTCATGAAAACCCAAGACTTTTTTTTTTAGAGGTAATTTATAATATCATGCTTTCTCTTTGTTTTGGGTCTTGTTGTTTTATAATATTATTATATTTACGATGCTTTCTTAATTCAATTGCAAAAAAACGTATTAACCCACTCCATACGATCTTTGCAATAGATATATATTGTGGAACTGCAGTCAAAACATTCAGTAATATAAATAATAATCACATTTTCCTCTTTGAAATTTTTTATTATCGAAAGACAAAAGCAAACTCATAGACACCTTTTTTACAATTGACTAAGCTTTTGCTATCGAGAAAACATAAACAAATCCATCAACAAACTAAAAGAGCTAACTCGTCAAAAAATCTGAGTACAATCTAAAAAGACCTACATCTGTTCTTCTGAATACTTTCAATTAAAATCAATCCAAGGGCTGTTTATTTTTTTTTGCCAATTGCGGTTTTATTTGATTTTGGGTTATTCTTGCAATTTCAATTGAAACAGCAAAAGAGAGAAAGAGAAGAAGACAAACAATCAACAATCAAAAAATAAAACAATCAACAACCGAGAAAAGGCTGAAGATAAAGCAAAGGACAAAAAACATTGCAATTATATTTATTCTGCATTGAGATATACACATACTGAAGTTCGTTATAAGGGCATCGCAGAAGTAACGCACCAACTCACCTTTCATTTGGCAAACCCAACAGTTGTCAATGGTTGATTCATCTTCCTTTTCCCACAATTCAATGTCATTTAGTAGCAATATGAGTATCCCGAGTCACAACAAGAGCTACAATGGCAACATTTTCACCCCTAGTAGCTACATGAACTCGGCAAATGCGAATTCAGGGATTCCAATATCAACCAGTGCAACCCACCCGGGACTACAATACTTGCAAGCGTATCAGTCCCAACCGCAACAACAACAACCACCTTTGCTACATCCACAACAAACGACTCAAGATTACTACACTACGAGCTCTTCATCGAATAATACACTTTCCTCGGGGTCGGCGTCCTCAACTGCACCAACTTCAATTGCTGATATGCCGTTGCCTGGGCAACAACAGCTGCAACAAAATCAACAACGATTTAATCAAACTACAACCAAAACAATTATACCGCAAATGATTTCTGGAACTGGAGCCTCGTCGAACCCTCCAATGCCCCTTGATCCAAATATCACCACTAAATTCACCAACAATGACATACAAATATTACGTCAGTTGCTTATTGCCGGTGAAAAGTACAAATGGAAGCAAATTACTAAAGAAATCAATTCATCTACAAATCATACGCAGCATGTCATGGCAGCCATTAGTAAAAATCAACAGCATTTGCAACAATTTCAACATCTACGACAAAATTCCATGACATCGCACAACTATCAACATCAGCAGCTCCAACACCAGCATATGCAACAACAGCAACAACAGCAACAAACGCATCAACACCACCTCCAACAACAGCAGATGCATCAACAGCAATTGCTGTATGGCTTCCAGCAACCATCTCATTTACAAAATAACAATATCATGCACAAATCAACGTCTTTGAACCTGCCCTATATGTCGAACTCAATGCCAACAACAACAATACCACCACACAGGACGCAAAATAACATCCCACATCATGCTATGTCAACATCGATATCATCCCATTCCAACTCCAATTCACATTCGCAGCCAGCTGCTGCAACAACTTCCTCGGCAACCCACGCGCCTCCAAATCCAGTACCTTTGAAGAATGTAAGTCCCACTTTTGTAATGAAGCAGTATCAGCAATTGCTTGGATTGCCTAATAATCTGGTGTATTTTGGTACCTTGGGCTCGAGTTTGCCTTATGTTATTGCTGCTAATGGATGGAATGATATTGATCAAGAAGCTTATAACTATCCGTTCAATATGGATGAAGAGGAGTGAGGAGGGGTAGAGAGGTGGAGGTGATTTGATGCGGGAATATGAGGAAAAGGGAGATACTTATCGGGGTTAATTGTTTTATGGAGATGGTGTTCTTCAATTGTTGTTTGACAATTAAATTGTATTATTTTATATATTTAATGAATTAGATTTAAGCAGTCCGTTCCATTGTAGTCACCGCTTTGATGTCACCATCTTCGTTATTCTTCTCGTTCGCATTCAACACACTTTTCGTGTGGTTCGCACACGCCCCCATCATTCAATAGACTCCCCTTTCCAATCAAATGATCACCAACTGGAGCGACACTTCCACTACTATCCTCGTCGCAAGCATCACCACCACTATTGCCGCTTCTACTCTCAATCTCATGAATCTTATCCCTAACTAGATTTTTCAAAAATTTGGCATCAGGGAACCCATCAAATGACGCTTGAGCCAATTGTGGATCCAAATCGGCGCCATCCTTTTTAAACTTGCGCCGATAGATCAATTCCACTGTGGTGCCCAATTGAACCAAGACTTGGAAAGTACCCGGTATATCCACTATTGGTTGAAGCGAAATATCAGCAATGGCGTTGGCATCAAATGTTTGAAATAATTCTTGGGCGTACCATATTGCTCGATTTGTCCATTTGCACTTAGTACAGAATTGGATTATTATGCGGGGGTATTTGTCAATTTGAGAGGCTAGTGGTGGGGGTGCAGTGTTCGTTGCTGCCGTTGACGATGAAGTTGAATTAGACATTTGGTTTGCAAAGTGTGGCGCGTGGTCTAGTTTCTTCGGTGGTTGTTTAGTTGTAAAAGATTTTGAAATTTTCGCGGAATTGTTTATTGCGACACATTTTTCCAGAGCCGGAGTTACTTAGAGATTGATTTACCTACACATCTCATGAGTTTGACTGATGTGTCTATTATTTTCTATATTTTTCTTTCTTTCAATACCTTAACCAGTCGTATTCATTACCCAACCCCGAATTATCAACAACCAGTTCATTATAGGACAACTTCTGCAGTGGAGCATTAGCAAATGATGTCGCACTAGTTGTTGTTCCTGGCGGTACATTCATGGGACTACTCGACAATGAACGATTTATGTTTCTCGACAAAACATTTTCAGCGACTTTGGTACTTGACTTGTTTCTTTTGATACTTGGTCGACGTGTCTTTCTTACACCAGAAAAGGAGGAGGAGGAGGATGCTGGATTACTCAGCCTGCGATCATCTTTCTTTAATGAGGTGGGGTTTAGATCATCACCGTCATTGTCATCTTTCTTGGTTCCTGTTGTTGTTGTTGTTGTTGTTCTTTGACGTTTTTTGATTATGTCGGTCTTTAGACTAAGTGGACGCGTAACGCCATGTAATTTTAAGAAAAGACCACAGGCATTGCAGAGTGGTTGTCCTTCTGGGTTACGTCGCCATAGTGGGGTTGTTTTTGTTTGACAATTTGAACAAGTTTGTCCACTCTCGCTGGGGTTGCTTGTTGATGTTCGATTTGAGTCACCTTCGTTTGCATCGGATTGAAATTTCCCTTTACTGATCTGTTTAGTCAGTTTGGGTTTCCTTGTTTTCTTGCCTGGTGGTGGTGAGGGACCACTTGCGTCATCGAAAAAATTGTGGCTGGTTTGACTAGGTAATGTGATCTTGATATCAGTGTGATTTGGCAAAGACAGATTAATGAATGGTTCATTCTGATTGAGACTCCGTGAGAATTGTTGTTGGTGTTGTTGTATTGGTGTAACCATTGTTGATCGGTTCATAAAAGTGTCATTCATGTAATGTGAACGGTTGGGGTAACTATTGTGAAAATCAGCATACTCAGGTAAGGACACAAGGGACTCTTGACGTAATAAGTTGGACGGAGTTGCCGTGATTGATCTTCTTGGATTAACTGAAGTTGGTTGGCTCATTGAGCTTAGTTGGGTACTTGACGGTATTATCGTTGAAAGTGACGATGATAAAGATTCTACACCACTGTTTGTAGTTGGTGAATGAACAAAATCATCAAATAACGGCTTTTCATATGAAGATGCAAAGCTACCTGACATAGAGTTCATATTGACATCACGAAAGTTGTCATTGGGACCTTCAAATGCCAATGGATCTAATGAAAACTCAAATGATGACGAGGATACTTGTGGATATTGAAAACTATGGGTATTCCTTGATGGTAAAGAAGTAGAACCTTGATGTTGTTCATAATGGTGTCCGGAAAGCTCAAGACCAAACTTATCATAGTCATGTAATTGTTGAGACAAGTTTGAAATTGTTCTACCTTGTTGCTGTTGGTGTTGATGTTGCGAGCCTATTGCTGAAAACAATGGTGAAAATTGAGCCAGGCGCTTTTTGGGGATATTGCTGATGGATGTCATTCCACCACCTGATCCATAATCACCTGTGTCTCTATTGGACCTGTCCGTATTTCTCGGCGATGCGAAACTTCCAGCTCCCAAATTTTTAATATGGGAAACGTAATCGAAATTATCATCATTAGGATTTATGCTGTTGGATTTGAAATTTAAATGGTTAGTATTCGGAGAGTACGATTTGGTGGATGATGATGTGGAAGTGGAGTGCTGATGCGATTGAACTTGACTTTGTTGATGATAGGATCTAGTGTGAGTTGAGTTTTTGCTTTGTACTGTTGATTGTAAAGGTGGGGTTGATATACCATATCGATTCATTGAGTCTGACTGCAAAGTTTTGTCCCCAAACATATCGAGTATGTCAACGTCATCAAGCCATGCATTGTCGTGATTGATTCTGTCTCGGGATTGAGGTTCCTGTTGATGAGTTCTTGTTTCAACCCTGCATCGATTATAACTCGATTTACTCGTAAGATGCATCATTCTCCATGTTAGATTTTCCATCCTAGTATTGTACGGCAACGAGTCTCTTGCTTTGTTGTATAATTTCCATAGATTTTCCACGTGATCATACTCACTGGTTAGAAGTTGAGATAAATTGATGTCGTTGCCACCTGTAGTGCCACCTTTTATGTCTTTTGGATTGAATTTAAATTTCATGCGTAAGGTTGGCGATGATGGTTGACTTGATTGATGTTTGGCTGTGGTGGTGGTGGATTGATTACGACTGTTGCTCTGAAGCTTATCTTTGATGTCATGACCATGACCTGCTTTGGATCGCCATTCGTATGCCTGTTGTTGGTGCCGTCTGCGAGCTTGCATTTGTGCCAGCAAAAGTGACGATGGTGAATCGTCATTTATAGCAGCTGGTGACGATGTCATTGACATGTTCGATAATTGTTAGAAGGGTGCCACTTGCTAAGTAGTATTGTCGTGGGTAACACAGCTTTACTAGATTCACTGTCTTAATTTATGGAACAAATGGCACAACGGTTCGAGCTGAGTTCTTGGTAAAAGACAAAAGTGTAAATAACTTGTTTGAAATCAATGTTGACAGCAAATGGAAAAGAATAGTGTTGACAGTATAAACGCGTGTGGTATGTTGATTTATGGTTTATATATAGAAGTCTCTGATTGGTTTAAGATAAAATCTAACAGCTTTTTCGATTGATGGGGCCAACGCATGAAGGGGTAAAGTACACTTTTGGATAAGGACAAAGCTTAAATTGTTTCGACTATTAACAACAACTTTGTGTTGTGGGTAATGTATGTGTTCGAGTGCAAGAGTTATTCCGATAAATACAAGTTACGCATATGCATCATGAGTTAAAAGTTACAGTTGTCTATTTATTGTCAAGTCAAACACAAAGTGGTGGTTGAAACCAATTGTTTGAAACAGCCTTTGTCAAAGAGACCAAGTGGCAACGAAAGCAATCTTGTACATTGTTATAAACACCGGATGGTTTTATTGCAAATTAGTGATTTCGATGGATTAGATTTTATGTTTAACGCTAGTTTTCAGCAGCTTCTTTGACATCTCTCATGAATCATCGGCATATCCTCTTGCTTGAACACTAGAGAATTATCACACTCCTTTTAATGTCAACGTCATAAAAGACTCTTCATGTCCGGGAAAAGTAGGAACAAATCCCCTTCCATCCTTCCTTTTTGTCTCATGTGCAAAAACACAAACTCAAAAATACTTTGAAATTGCAATTTTTTCCATTTTTTTTTTTTTTTTTTTTTTTTCGTCAATTTTCGCAACCGTATTTGGTGTGTTACGAACAGAGGCAGAGGGAGGAGAAGATTAGTGGGACGCTTCTAGGGCAATTCCATAGCTCATACCCACAACCTCGTGTGAGCGGTATTAGAGTGCATAAGTCAGTTTTCCAGTGATCTTTGTCCTTCTTATCAAGAGAATGGATTGTTTAGAGCCCTCCGTTTTGCTTTGTGCAATTTAAGCATGTAGTTTTGTGAATTTATGATACTTACCAAAATGCTGTGCGCTGATTGGACGATAAGAATTTGCTGTTGTCTCTTATCAATTTCTTACACAAATTGAGATGGAAACTAGACTATTGTCGCAAAACATAGAGAAATAACATTACATATAAAATAGCGACACTCACTAAACTTGTATACAAGTTTGAATCAGTATATGGTTATACTACTTATGCAACCGTTTGAGTTAATCACTTCAACAATACATCTTTCTAATCCGTAAAGTTTTGACTGACCCCATCTTTTCAACTTGGCACTCTTTACTGAATCCTTTTTAACATCAATGTTTGGTAAATCAATAATATCCAAATCATTATCGATAAACTCTGATTCATATCTATTCAAAAACACTGGTGTCAAATCTTTAAATCCTGAAGGAAGCTCTTCAAAATACATTGATGAATTTATAGTATTTGCAAATTGACTAGATTCAATTGTCCAGTTACAACGATTCCATTTCATAAAGCTAAGATCTTCAACAATACCTCCATTGTGAAGTACGACTTTATTGACAACACTGTTTAATGTGTTTGCTGAAGCTGTTGGTGGAGTTTTTAAGTCGTACAAGATATCAATACCAAGTTTATAGTAATTGTGAAACTTGCAATTCTTGAAATCTTTTTGCGCATCTTCTTCACTTGTGTCATCACTAAGATAGTTGTGTATGAGTAATCTTGAATCATATTTGTTGAATTTGTCTTCTGGAGGACCTAGTATATCAATGACATCCTGTTGCGTTGATTTCCCAATCTCAATATAACGATTCCCATTGGCTACTATAACTCCTTTATCTAGGTCTATTATAAAATTGGAGCTTTGCGTCACCTGATTATTTGCTTTATACTCACTCCATGTTTTGCCCTTGAATACCGCAATGGAATCACAGACGATATCATTGGGGTTTTCCCAATTAATTAGTGAATCCAATACCGACTCACTCGATTGATCAACCAATTTGTGGCATAGTTCCTCATTGATGATCTTGTACTTGAATGCGATTCCCGGATATGAGAGGATATACGACTTGGTGGATTTATTGAGCACTCCCGGATATGTTGGTCCTAGGATTTTGTTGTAGATCAATTGAAATGAAGGGCCAGATGATGTAATCCTAGCTCCATTTTCCATCTGGTTGGAACCATTGAGTGAGTTTGAATTGTTCATACTCATCGAATGCAGTGATTTTGAGTGATTGTTGAATACATCATCGTCATCGTCATCGTCGTCACCTTGCAAAGACTGTTCAAATTCATTCAAGCTTTGATTCTTGTATAGTAGTCGTAAAGCTCTACTCTTTTTTTGCTTGCCATTTAGATGTAGAAACTCAATCAAACGCAATATTTGATCCTTTTGGTTTTGAAACGTTAACCTAATGTCTAAATCAACTATTTGAACTAGTATTGGTGACTGATAGTAATTCTTTTCAGAATACATGACTTGGTATCTATATTCATACTTGTTTAATTCATTGATAACTTCATACAACGTGTGTCCAAGTTTAATATTGTTTCCAATACCAACACCTGGGTATATTGCTGTTTCATATATCATGGTTACTCAGAATCAATATACCTTTCACTGTATCGCTTGTGACGGAGATCCCTTATCATTGCTTTGTTGTTTTTTTCTACGTTTTTGTGTTTCATTGGTTTTGAAAAGTATCACGTGAGGCAACACCACCTTCTCTTTTCTATACAGCTAAATAAGTATATCACCTAATGAAATCTTTGATCTAGTAGTTTCAACAGGAGCTGCCAATGAAGCCTCGTTTATAGGCTCTGAATGGTAGACATTCCTCACTGAATCATTTTCATCCTTGATGCCGTAATATTCTCCATTCAAGGGTTTCGATAAATCAAGCAACTCATTAGCTTTGGACTCTGTAAGCTTACCATTATGGTGGCAAGTTTGACAAACAACATGGTAACTATTTCCTGAATCAGCTGGCCACCATATTGGTGACATGTCTGTTGAGCATTGTAAACAAGTCTTGCGCTTCATGCTACTGTTCAAGTTCCCATCTCCACTATGTGACTTTCCAAAATACAAATTTCTATGTTCGATATAACGTAACGCCTTTGCATGGGATCCACTAGAAACCGGTTTGCTTAGCTTTATAATATCTTCCAAAAACAACTGAATAATGGGTTTGCTTTCACTATCCCTACCAGTAGCCCTTTTCCCCAACGTTCGGAAATTAAGAATGGTGTCTTTTGATTGATCATGTTTGGGACAAACCAAAATTGATCTCAATTTACCCACTTTATCATCCACCTTGACATTTTGTGAGGATTTAACACCAGCCTCCAACTTGAAACCCAATTTGTAATTTGGAGTATCTTGTGCACAAGTAGGATGATAGTATGTTGGAGTCTCGCAAAGATCGCAACGAACTAATGCCCCATTGTATGATTGGCAGATACCACATTTCAATTTGCAATTATTCAAATACACTTTCGTTACATCATCAAGTGTCAAGAAGCTATGCGCTACTGAGTTGTTCGGTTTCTTAAAGCTGGCGTATTCGCTATTGAAAATAACACATAACAAGTGACTCCATCTTCCATCGGCAGTAGGTTTCAAAAAATCAGGTCTCACGTGTGGTGACCCAAGAAGACACAACTCGAAATTAGTTTCATGGGCCAAGCACAAACAACACGAGTAAATGGCATTGTTAATTGGTCGCATATCATTTGTACAAGGCTCGCATAACCATTCCTTTAACGGTTTTAATTTCTCGGGAACTGAGTACCCAGCGCATGATGCATGAACGTTGACTCCACAATTGGCACAAATCAACGTTTCCAAAAGCGCTGATTTGGTCGTGTCATGTTCTCTACAAACACAACACTTTCGTTCTTGTGGTTTGAATGGTAACTCAATCGATGTCAAGTGTGGAGTTTGGAGTGGTACAAGCGGGGTGTAAACATCGGCTAGTTGAATCTCTCGATGATTATCAACAATGGGACCAATTGTGGTTGCAGCCTCTTCTGCTGTCAACTTTTTTGGTATTCGGATCGACCTTGGAACTAAGTAATTTTGGTTGAAAAGCACATTCTTAGTTGGTGTTCCTAAGTTCTTGGCGATCAATTCATCAATCCTTGGCAACGGTCGTGTATCCTGCTTTTGAATTTTCAACTCATTCTTGTCAATTTTAGCGTGCTCCAATTTGATTGCTTTTGGCGTCGTGGCGCTGGATGCAGAAGTAGTCAACTTTCTCTTAGAATCTGCTCTCTTTTCAATGATAGGCTCTTGTTTGATATCCACTAGCGGATCATTCTTCACATCGGGTGAGACTGCCACATTGGACATTTCAGCAAACCGTAATATAGCGTTTGCGTCATTTATCAACTCACTTTCAACTCCCTTCCGCCAACCACTGGATTTTGAAACCTTTTTAAACACTTCTTCTGGTGTCTCCCATACCACGGCATACCTTCTCCACAACTTGGCACATCGAAAACACAAGGCTACAACATTCCCAAAGTCATCCAACTTTTTGGCATCATGTCCAGATATTCTAAACCATTGAAATGATGAAGTATTTCCACAATGCTTGCAAACAAATTGAGACCCATGCGCGTGTATCTTATCATTCTCATACGACGAATCGTCATCGGGGTTAGCCAAATCATCAATGATTATATGCTCTGGTTTTTTCTCATTCTGCTCTAGTTTTACGGGATTGTGCAGTTTTTTTGTTCGACCTTCAAAATTGCCCCAAATTTGTCGACCATTCTTAGTCTTTTTCCAAAGATAGTAAAAACGCACCACTGCGTGTAGTGGCTGCGTACGAACTTTCTTTTGGACATAATACAACTCACTTCCAAACTCCCGAACTCCAGCTTCGAACCTCTTGATCTCTTCTCTATTGAAAACTGGCTCCTTGAGTTTCTTCTTGTCTAATTTTGCAACATCTGCGAATGCTTTATCAGTATTGCCATTGTGTACCATGTACAGGTGAACCACTGCATCACAAAAATTGGGCGAATTGGGACAAAGTCCAAGCGATTCAGCAATGGGTGCACATTGCGCAACAAAAGCGTCAAGGTGTTCAAAATTGTCTGCAATGTCTTTTGCCGATGATTTCCAAAGTAATGTACACGTCACCCCAGCTCCATCATCAACTCCACGTTCAATGTATCCCTTAGGTCGTGGCTGTAACCACTCGGGATATTCTTTTGGGTCGCATTCTTGAAACTCCTTAGGGACCATTAATTTTTGAATCTCGTCTTGCTTCTCTTTGCTTTTCGACTTGTTGCTGGGTTGCTTCTTCTTTGGTGATTTTTCAACGTCGTAGTAAACGATTGGATGACCGTTGCACTCGGGGATATAAACAGCTTGATGTTTGGTTCCTACCCTGGTTGATGCTCGAGGGTACGGTGATTTGTCATCCAAGTCTACAGCTTCCTCTAATTTTGCATTCAATCCAAGATATCTCATACACCATTCCTCTTTAAGTCTTCTCCGTTCTTCGAAAGATGTGTTAGCATCATTCTTTAAAAACTCCTTTGCCATAATTTCGTATCGAGGAAGTACTGCGTCAACGGAATTGACCTCCATGGATTGGTCTTTGTCTAAATCTTTCACCTCGGCTTCTAAAGACTCCAATGCACTCAACTCTTCCTCTAGACTCTCTTGATTTGAAGATTTATTGTCATGCAGGAGCATCAAGATTTTCTTTTGATGATACTCAATCTCGTGCTTCTTTGCGCAAACGGCACATGACCATGAAAACCCACGACTGGGTTTCTTTTGCAAGGGTGGATCTAGACAATACATGTGGAAGTACTTGTCACACTCGACACAATTTATCGAGTCTGCTCCATCGCACCACAATCCACAGATGTCACAATTACAAGTATTGGCTTTGAATGAGTTGATCAATGATTTCGTCCTATGTGTCTCGCAAAATATGTACTCAAATCGCTTATTCAATGCAATTAGGAAGTTCCTTGACTTGCTGTTTTCCACTTGAGCATATTGTAAAAGATTTTCCGTCAGCAAAACATCATAAGATCGGATCATGTATCTATCGTACAAACGATCAAAGTAGAAACAATTTGGCTGTTGCACGTACGATTCAATAGAAGAATTGTTGCCGGTTGGAGTTTGCGATTTTGATTGCGTTTTTCGATTATTTGGAACCTGTGAATTGAGTCCGTTGTAGCTATCTTCTATGTCCTGCTTCAACTGTACATTAACAATCCCGCGAAAACTTGCTAATGGACAAGCGTCAGAATCCATCGTGGCGTAAAGCAACCGTGAATCGGATGTTGCTTTTGAAACGTCACGAGGCCTAAAAAACCACTGTATAAGAAATTGGTAACCTTTAGCAGGCACTGTTAGCTCTTCAGCAGTGTTTGATTCCAAGGATGAATCATTGTACTTGTGGTATTTATTGTTGGTGAAGCCTCGTATTCTCCCAATGTAGTAAGGCTCACCAGGAGGTTCACTAATCATATAAATACACTGACCTTTGGAAAGCGAGAATGGTTTGGTGTTTCTTCCCCTCTTATGATTGGTGGATACTGAATCATCCTGATGTGGGCAGTATAGTGTCTGGGTTCTCAAATCAATATATGCATCAGTCAAATCTAGCTTGTTTGAAAAGTAGTCTTCTTGAGTAGGCGGAGGTTGCCAGTTGTAGGGAACCTGTGATGTTAGGCAATCGCTGGATGTTTTCACATTCGGGCTATCTTGAGCCACTAATTTCTTTGTAGAGGGATTGGTCTTCTTTCTTTTGTTACTGGAATTCGATCTTGGGGTTGATGTTGTACTTGAATTCGTTGATACCACTGAGGAAGCTGACAGCTCGTAATCTAGTTGCAGCTCTAACGAGTCATTATAGAATTTGTTTGTTGCCGCTTTCCTCTTTGGTCGAGTAGTGGTTTGAGACATATCAGTCAGTATCTGGTTAAGCAGGTGAGGCAGGAATTAAATCCAGTTTAACTAAAGCGAATGTAACGGAAATGATGCTGACACGAAATATCAAGGGCAACGACACTTTCTTATGCACTTCTGTAACTGCTTTGTTAGGTGAATTAAGTGTAATGCAGAATATATGGTGGTGTGAAAAATCACTCAAATTTTTTGAAAAATATCTTGGGACAACAAGTTTCCCCTCTCCCTCTCCAAGATGTTGACTATAACGCTTTTAAAGAGTGAATTCAACGCAAGAGATAGAAAAGGAAGTTTTACCTTGGCTACTACAACGAAGACTATACAGTCCTTCACTACTACGTCCTGAAAGACTGAGGTTGAGGTTATCGATATAAAGTGTTTAAGGCAGCCTTGAACTACGACAATACCCGTTATCATGCTGCTATCTCAACACAGGCGGGTAACAAGTCTCCCGGCTATCCCCTCAATTTCCACTGCTCTCATGGATCATCATGTAGTATCATGGGGTTGTTACCAACATTGTCCCATGGTGGGAGAGCGACAGAGATAGAGCGAAAAAAAAAAAAAAAAAAAAAAAAAAAAGATAGAACCCTTTCGGAAAGTGAAAACAAAACAATCCAGAAGAAGCCCTACTAAACGAGGAGACCCAAACGACATTTCCCAATGATTCAGCTCGAGGAACGAGATATACCAGTAATCCCTGGGGATAGACTTGATGATGAAGATGCACAAGAGTTACGTTTAATGGTGGCCGAACTTTTGGGAAGAAGAGGCACTTCTTTCCCTGGCTCACAACCGGTATCGTTTGAAAGAAAGCATCTAGAGGAGACATTATTGCAAAGAGACTACTTTGTGTGTGAGAAATCAGATGGACTTAGGTGTCTTTTGTTTATCATCAACGATCCTGAAAAGGGAGAAGGTGTGTTTTTGATTACTCGCACAAATGACTATTACTACATCCCCAATATTCATTTCCCGCTTTCGATTAAGGAGACTCCAAATAACATGACATATCATCACGGTACACTTTTAGATGGCGAATTAGTATTGGAGAATAAGAATGTCAGTGAGCCAGTTCTTCGATATTGTATATTCGATGCGTTGGCAATAAATGGGAAATGTATAATTGACCGTCAATTGCCTAAACGATTGGGGTATATTACAGAAAATGTCATGAAACCATTTGATCAGTTCAAAAAAACGCATCCCGAAGTCATCAACTCGCCCGACTTTCCATTCAAAGTTGGGTTCAAGTCTATGTTGACGTCATATCATGCTGATGATGTATTGAGTAAAATGGACCAGTTGTTTCATTCGTCTGATGGACTAATTTACACTTGTGCTGAAACTCCATACGTGTTTGGAACTGACCAAACGTTGCTAAAGTGGAAACCAGCAGAAGAAAATACTGTTGATTTCCAGCTCGAATTTGTATTCAATCAATTTCAGGACCCTGACATGGACGAAAGGGACCCATCGTCTACTTACACCGATTACGATTCGAAGCCGGACTTGATAAAATTACGAGTATGGCAAGGTTCAAATGTGCATACGGACTTTACCCGGTTAAATTTATCCGATGACGATTGGGAGCGTTTGAAAGCACTTGGTGAACCACTTCAGGGCCGTATTGCGGAATGCCGTCAGTCCCAGACAAAGAAAGGATACTGGGAGATGCTTCGTTTCAGAAACGATAAAAGCACCGGTAATCATATTAGTGTGGTTGAGAAGATTTTGTTAAGTATCAAGGATGGAGTAAAAGAGAAAGAAGTTGTTGATAGTTGCAAAAAGATTCAATTGGCTTGGAAACGTCGAGAAATGGAGCGTAAACGTAGGCATTCCAATGGTGGACCACCTCACCACAGCCAGCATCATTTCAATGCACACGATGACCCTCCACCAAAAAGAGTTAGACTCGATTCAGCAAAAACAGAGCAACATCAACCCCAACACCACCAACAACATCAACAACCACTACAGCCTCCAAATCAATTGGACGAAATTCCAACCTACGAAGACAGTGATGACGAGTAAAAGAATTTGTATTAGCACTTGTATTATATTAATAAACTTTTTAACAATTTTCCTAGTTTTCTGTTTCTTCCTCGGTTTCCGCTTTTATATTCCATTGACAACTAATATCCCACCTAGATCCCTTTGCATTAATACTAACATATTTTACGAATTTCAATAACGATGCATCTCTAACCATTAAAGTAAGGGTGTTCCATTTACATTGACTCGTGTATAACACACTATCCTCTTCAGAATCTTTGGATGAACGGTAAATCGCGGGATCATCTTCCTCGTCACCGTCATTGGTATTTTGCGCCATGCATAATTCATACCCCCCAAATTCACCTGATTCCCAACTGTTGGACTTTTTACCGGTTGCCGCAGTTGGAGTAAGGTTTAATGTTGCTTCAAGCAAAACGTTTTCTTCGTAATCATTTCTACCGGCATCTGAGTCCACTGTTGTTGCCAAAATAAAATCATGTCCCGGTCTAAACCTCCGTGCTAGAATTTGTTCATTGGCAAGTATCAACCCAGTGAGTATCTTTAACCATTTTTTAAAGGCCACTGATTTTAGAAATTCACAAATTTCAATGATTTTGGAGTCTGTTGGGTTAAGGTTATTTGATTGTTTAAGAAGCGTGAAATTAGGTTGTTCCTGAGGACCTACTTCATTGATGTGTTTAATCTCCCCTTTCGATAACCCATGATAAGACGTACCATCAATATACATGAAGCGTTGCTTGTGAGGTGGTACGGCAATTTTCCATGGGTGTCGCACCTCTGTCGAATTTTGGGGTGTTTCAGTGTTAATCTCAACATCTCTGAGTAGCTGTTTCAAAACGGAAGCGTAATCATCATTGAAAAAGTCTTTTAATTCAACAAGCGATTCATCAATGAAAAATTCGCTCAATTTCCGAATATGTGTGGGGTTGAGATAAGTAGGGTTGATGAAGTATTTCAAGTAATCAATGTCTTGTTGATTGAGTCGCTCGCATGATTGAATATTCTTCATTTCAAGGGGGTTGATCTCAGTTCTGATGCTTTTTGGAAAATCAAACTCTTGCAATTCTTTACTTTGAAGCTGTTGCAATGTGGACATGGCCTCGGTCTTTTCTTGCTCGCCCTCAACGAATCCATCCTCTCCAGGTTGGGGAATGTGAAACCATCCTTGAATTGATAACCTATGCTTTTCCTCGCGAACTTCTTCAACATCATGAAAACTCAATCCAGGCTGGACGGTGAAAAAAGCTATTTGGTTAAACTGAGGTACTAACTTGCATTCATAGTCAGTATGGGGAACATTGGGGACAACAGCGGGGAATAATCTCAAAGCTCCACCATATTGTGGTTTCCATACTTTGTCAGGATCAGGCATGTAAAGGATGAAACTGACCCTTCTGCTGCCAATGACATCGTCGTGAGTTAACAAATGGCAACCTTTGGTGTACGTATTGATTGACATATCAGTTTTCACCCCACTCAACTTACCGCACCCTGTGATTCTAGAAACAACATCCCTAAACTCTTGGGAGTATATCGCAGCTCGTAATTTATACAATGAAGGTAGCCTGGACAAGTCATTCCAATCCAAACCCGACAAATTGGCAAGATCTCCCAGCTGATAAACTTTGTAAATATCAGTCTCTTTCTTTGTGAATGCAATTTCTGATAACACCTCTTTCCTCACTTGACGCAAGAGTGTATCATCCATGAGATGCTTGATGGTTCCCCATTTATATGGTGAGCTCTCTTTCACTTGCTTTTGAATCTCATCTTGAAACTCTGACTTCCAAATTTGAGCATTGAAAAAGTGCTCAATATCTTCTTTGGTGAAGTTGGTATTTAGCTTCTTGGGTGATGACTCCTCCTCTGCCACAGCAGTCTCTTGAGGCCTCTTTGATGGTGCCATAATTTCAACTTAATGATTGTAGTTTACAGATGAGAAAAATAAATGTACTTAATCTAGATCATCTGATTTTGGACCGCCGCCGCATCGGAGGAAGTAAGAGCGCTACCTTACTTCCCTTGCGCAAATTGAACACACAAAAGAAGGTAATTAGTAGGTTACTCAAATGCACGTGACTAGATTGACTCACATTCAAGATTTCGCTTTTCCTTTCTTTTTTTTTTTCACCCGTTAGATTGAGTCAGAATGGTATTCAATATTACTAAATAAACAACTTCTCTTCATTTTTTGACAAAAGGGAGCCCTCCTTAGTTTGATTGCATTGACCTAAGATCCAGTGATAAATTCATAAAGACATCCACCCAACTTTTTTCTTGCAACCTTTACTGCATTAAACATGTCTAGATCACCGTCATTAGGCTCAAGATCCTATAATTCTGTGCTTGACTTCAAATCAAACACGCCCACGCCTACAGGCTTATCTTCGAATAAACCACTCCTCCAGAAAGGTTGGGTAGTGCAGAAATTTGGTGGTACTTCAGTGGGTAAGTTTGCTAGAGAGATTGTTGATGACATTGTCAAGGACTTTGTCAAGCTGAATCAAGTTGCTGTAGTTTGTTCGGCAAGATCATCCAAGACCAAAAGTGAAGGTACCACATCACGATTGATTAGATCAGCGGATTTGGCTGCTGACCATGAGGATTACGGTGCTCTTTTGGACATTATTGAGAAAGATCACATCGACAATTGCGGAAGTTTGATTCTGCTGGATGCAATCAAACTGCAATTAGTGGAGGACATCAAATCGGAAATCAGACATGGTCGTGAATTGCTTCATGCATGTCAAATCATTGGAGAAATTAGCCCTAGATCATTGGATTCAGTGATGTCCATTGGTGAGAAATTGTCATGTATCTTTATGACTGCATTAATGAAGGACCACGGACTAAAAGCTGTATATATTGACTTGTCGGACTTGATTCCATTGAGTTATGACTTTACAGATGGGTTCAATGACGAGTTTTATAAGTACATGGCGAGGGAAATTGGATCTAGAATAAATCAAGCTACTGAGGGAGAAGATGATGTCATTCCTGTCATTACTGGATACTTTGGTGTTGTTCCCGGTGGTTTACTTAATGGAGTTGGAAGAGGATACACCGACTTGTGTGCAGCTTTAGCAGCCGTTGGTGTTCAAGCAGACGAGTTGCAAATATGGAAAGAAGTTGATGGAATCTTTACAGCAGATCCAAGAAAAGTGCCAAATGCTAGATTATTGGATAGTGTTACTCCAGAAGAGGCAGCAGAGTTGACATACTATGGAAGTGAAGTCATACACCCTTTCACTATGGAACAAGTTATTAAAGCCAAAATTCCCATTAGAATCAAAAACGTCATCAATCCCCATGGCAAAGGTACAATCATTTATCCTGATAATATTGCTAGACGTGGTGAGGCCACCCCACCCCATCCACCTGCTGCTTATGAGACTTTGCCTGTTAGTTATATCACATCACACAAGAGAAGATCGGCGACAGCCATCACCGCAAAACAAGACATTGTCGTTGTCAATGTCCATTCGAATAAAAAAACATTGAGTCATGGGTTTCTTGCTCATCTTTTCACAACTTTGGACAAGTATAAGTTAGTGGTTGATTTGATTTCCACTTCAGAAGTTCACGTATCCATGGCTCTTTCAGTTCAAATAGATCAAGAGCATCAACTCAAACATGCATTGTTTGAGTTGAGCAAGATGGGTACGGTGGATGTGACAAGAAAAATGACTATTGTGTCTCTCGTTGGCAAACAAATGGTGAATTTCATTGGCATTGCAGGAAACATGTTTAAAGTGTTGGCTGATGAAAAGATAAACATTGAAATGATTAGTCAAGGAGCAAACGAGATAAATATAAGTGCAGTCATCAATGAAAAGGATACGCTAAGAGCATTGCAATCTATACATGCCAAATTATTGGAAGGGAATTATGTATATGAGGAATCAGCAAGCGCATCCGCGGTCGATATACGATTAGAAGCACTCAAGTTTGGAGAATAATTAGTATGTAAATAGACAAATAAGAGGTATGCATCTTTTTTTCACACTGATCAAAAAAGAAAAATACATGGATTTCCACTTTAACATTACTAAATATCAAAGTCACCACCTTCTCTGTCATCTTTATTTTTGGCACCTTCACTCAATTTTTCTTGTTGGTTGATCAACTCCTCGTATTCAACAACCATACCACCCAAAAGTTCACTAGCCAATTTGTGATACGCCAATTGAGCTTTAATCAATTCCAAAAACTCCTGTAATGGTTTGGCATTTTCAATCACATTTTGCATTATATTGATTGCATCTTCTACAGTATTGGCAAAATCATCTTCGGCATTTTCCATATCAACTCTCAATTTGGACTCCTTGGCCGGGTTGGTACAATTGGTCAAGTTATATCTGCTCAAGTCGTAATCAATTCTTTTCTCCTCCACCTTCTTTTGGATCTTGTTGGATTGTGATATTAATGAACGCAAAGTTGTTGTTAATGGTTTGTTGAATTTCAGTTTGATCAATTGATCTTGTCCCAATCTGGCATTAGCAATCTTGTTCAAATTTGATGAGTACAAGTCCAACCCTTTAATCAAAGGATCGCTTGCATCGGTACCAGACTCGGTCTCTTTGGTCAAGATACTGGCATCTGTTGCTCTACTCAACGCGTGATACAATGTTTTGGGAGGTTTAGCTTCATCACTCCCAGCATTGATCAAGGCTGCTTGTGCTTCAGCAGTGGTGGTAGCTTTACTTAAGTTGCTGAATCTGGTAGTGACATTGTGGCTAAATTCAGTAAATGATTCTTGTAAATTAGTTGGATAATCATATGACTCATTTTCATAGTTGGAAGTCACTTTCAAAACATTCTTGTACAACAGTTCAATGTTGTTGCACTTGTTGGCCAAGTCAATATATTCTGATGGCAATTGGGATATATCATCTTGATTGACTCTACCAATTCTTTCTTGGACTAATCTTGAGGTTCTTTGCGCTAATGGTACCACCTCCTTGTTGAACTCGGTGCTGATTCGATCGCCAAAAGATTTGATATCCTTGGTAAAGTTTGAGAAATTGAATGACATTGTTGATGTGTAAGGGGTTAGGTTGGCACGCTCGCTGAGATATATGTAAAATGATACGTGTTTCTCCAAAGGTTTTGAAGGGGGAGGTTGTGAGGGTTCTGAAAGGAAAAATTAATATGTTGCGTTTTTTTATTCTCGTGTTGGCTGTGACAATTGAGACGATTCGACGCTACCAAACACAACTTTATGATAGAGGCATGAGATTACGAGGTTTTAAATAAGAAAGCACGAATTACAATCAGATAACTGGCTTTTATGTAACTTTATACGACTGTATCAAAATTTGTTACCGTTGTTGTGAAACTCCAAGACAGCATCGGTCAAGCGTCTTCCACTCTCGATGATATCGTCATCATTATCAAGTGGTGCATAGCACAATCTAAAAAAGTTACTTCTTTCCAAGCTGAAATTTTGATCAACTGTCATATTATATCCAGGAACAACCAATACACCATGGCTAATGATTTTCCACAATAATTGTTTCATTGCTGAAACTACTTCATCACCACCGATGTTGCCTTCTGCAGGGTCCAAAAATTTCACCTTAAAAGTGACAAACATTCCTGCTTTGGGGTCGATAACGTCCACCAATCCCTTTTTGAAAGCTTCTGATTGGTAAATTGATTGTAACAAGAGATCCTTTCTATGTGAATATGTCGCTCTCATCTTCAATATCCAGTTCAACCACCCATCTATACCTCCCAATTTATCCTGGATTACATTGTTCACCACTGTTTGAGACAAGCCTGATGCACCTCTGTTTGCGACTTCGGCGTAATTCTTAATAGCATCGATAATTTTGGCATGGCCAATGACGAATCCAAGACGCAAACCAGGGGCGAACAATTTGGAAAACGTCTCAACTCTAATGACACGCCCAGTAGTATCGAGCTCTAAGTAGGAAGGTGTCAAATGATTGGACAAATAATCCTCAATGGTTAAATCATTCTTCAATTCTGCTGGGTCTACTTTGTCTGTGCTTGAAAATCTAGATGGGTCATATTTTGGCAATGTCAAGTAACCATATGGATCATCCTCAATGATTACAAAATTGTGTTCTTCTGCCAACTTGTAAACCTTGCGACGAAACTCAACCGTTTGAGTAAACCCAGTTGGATTTTGACCGGTGGAAATTGTGTACAATGCTTTGGGTTTTGGTAAACTAGGGTGTTCTTTGGACCAATTTTTCAACAAGTTTTCCAAATGTTCAAAATCAAGACCATCTGAATCATTTGACAAATTAATCTTGACTGGCACTGGCACACCGCCCACATTGTTTACAAATTTAAGAAATGGAGTAAAGGTGAATTCCTCAACGAGGATGACATCGCCTGGGTCCAATATTGCATCACATGCTTTATTCAATCCATCACTAGCACCTGTAGATAAAATCAGGCCCCAGTCGTCGTAAGCTGGTTTATGCGTTTTCGCAATAAAGTCTTTGGTGAATTCCAACAACGGTTCAAGACCAGGAACGGGGGCGTATTGCAATCCCCTCGACAAGTCGAGCAAATTAGGGGTTTTGGTGTGTCTCGAAATGTGAACACTAGTTGAATTTTCCTCTTCCTTTGTGTAGCCATTGTTGGCTTTTGAAGTAGAACCACTCCCATTAGCATGGCCCTGCTTTGATTGGTGCTCAAAAGGGAATTTGACCAAATTCACATCAATCGAGTCAATGGGGAAAAACCCATCATTTGGAGTACCATATGATAACAATAAAGGTTTGGAGTGCGGTTTGAACCCAGCCGGTGGTTGCTCAGTTGGCACGTTGGCAAAATGACTTGATTTGCGAGATTGTGCTCTTTTAGAAATGAATTGGGAGGCGTCAGTCATATCACAGTTGAGGGAATAGCTTTAGTTTGGGTCTTTATTGGTTTGTAACGAGTCAAAGGAGGAGAGTACCTCTTATATAAAATTGTTTCGTCAATGATGATGAAATTTGATTTGTAGATTAGTAATTTAGATTAAGGCACTTTAACGCCATACCCATTCTTTGGTCAATGTGTTCTTCTTTGTGTAACGTTCCACACTTTTTTGTTTTTTATGTCGATCCAATTCCGTCATATTAACTCCGTTGCCAAAAATAATCAGCGAGCTTTCAAGAAAGAAAAAATCGTTCATTAAACCAAACAACAGCTACATATCCATTTCTACATCATCTTCATCCTCCAAGTAATTGATACTCCTACATGCACTGTACTCGTCAATTACTCTCACCACTGACTCCTTGCACTCGCTAAGCATGTCAACCACACGCTCCATCTCCTCAGCAGAGTTGTCCTCGGCATAAGTGTTCAAGTATGCTCTTCTTTTGACGAGCAAGTCATACTGTCTTAATATCTTGTTAAACACATCTATGATGGAAGTGTTGTTAGATATCTGTATTCCCTCAAGGTGCTTACTACTCAAATAAGGTGATTTCTTGCCGTGTACTACTCCAACTGATCTAGATGTCCAGGGTACAAAATTTGTACGTGCTTGAACTTTCAAAATACCCTTTCGTATCTCCTTACGATCCAAATGAGATCCACTGATTAGATAGTTCATCAAACTGATGTATGCAATCTCTGAAGATGATGATGATGATGATGAAACACATTTATTGGTTTTATATCTATCATCTGACAATTCCAAAAACATGTCATACTCGTTGATGTAGTTGTGGTGCGACTGGGTGTTGAATGGTGCCACCGAGGTTGTGAGGAATTTCAAATCTGGTGTTGGAACCAAGCCTGCAACAATTGATTCAATCGAGCTGTACATATAGCTAGGGAATCGCATGGGATTACTCACTGATGCACTTGCAAATGCAATGAGCTTGTTTGTGCCTTGAAACGAAGTAGCATTTGATAGATCTCGATCTTGTAGCCCTCCTTGGTTGAAGACTGTATTTTCAATGTTATTCAAGGCATCATTGTGGAATACAAAAGTTGCATTACTAAACTCAATCAATCTTTTCAACGTTAGCAAACTATTGTATGGTTGTACCACAACATCACTAGTTTTTTCATTCGAAGGGAAAATGGAATTGGTGGTAATGATCTTTTTGCTGGTATATCTATCTTGTAATACTTCCAACATTTTCGACCCACATCCCAGGCCAGTACCACCAGCCACACTATGAATCAATTGAAACTGGGACAAATTGTCACATTTGTCAACTTCCTTATCTATTATATTCAAAATATTTTCAATGTGTTCTGATTCATATTTGTATCCGTTAGACCAGTTGTTGGCGGCACCATTACCATGGTTGCTAACGTGAGTATTTCTTGGATTAAGCATAGGTAGTGAATTCAATGCTTTGGTCACCACCGACGGTTCTAAATCAATGAGGATTGAACGAGGAGTATATGTATTCGAATCTGAAAGTGTAAAGAACAATTCTGGGTGGTCTTCTCGATGTAGTCGCTTGGAGCCATTGGCCAGACCCAGTGATGAGTCTTGCAGAGAAGGATGAGAGCCAGTCTGAGAACTATTGAATGATGTATTTGGATACAGTGTTGGTGTTCCATCTTTGTTTATTCCATGCTCTAGAGCTAGTTGTTGCCAGTATTGTAGACCCACTTGATTCCCGCATTGTCCCGCTTGTATTGTAATAGTCTCGCTATAAAGCAGTTAGTATTCGGTTAGAATAGAGCTCAGTGGGGGGATAGTACATACCCTGGCATGGCACTGAAGTTGTAGTACTGGGTCAATGAGTTTGTCTACGCGTAGGATTTCTTTGTCAATAATTTTTTTCTTTGTTTGTTTGTTTGTTTGTTTACACTTCGAAAAAAAGATCAACAAATTCGAACAGCCACTAGGTGCTCAATCTATCATCACACTACCACAACTCTCTTTCTACAAAACTCTAGAAAACCTCAATGTGATAAACAACAAACTAGTGTATATGTATTTTGGTATTTGATTGTAAAAGATTAAATAACGTATAGAATTTTTTTAAAGGAAATGTAAGATAAAACAAAGAATAGTGTCAAGTACCCAAAAACGACAAAAGCAAATCAAAAATCCAGTTAAACCTTTATTGGAGCAATAGACAGCCATAGGTTAAACCAACAGAAGCATCTTCCCATATGTGTAACTATCAAGTGACCAACATTTTTTTATCTTATTCTAAATTCTGACCAGCAGTAGAAAACACTTTTATGAGATAACCAAACCATCACTCTTCCAATAACTTCCAACCTCTAATCTAACTTTGCTTGTTCGTGAATATAGTCACTTCTCTTTGAAGGAAAAAAAATTCCACGAAGAAAGGAAAAAAAAAAGACAAATGTAAAATATGAAATGTGACAACTCAAGATCTATTGACCCCTTAAGTTGATCTCTTCTTCTTCTTACACTTGCTTGGAGTACCAGTTGTAGTGACGGTACTGAATGAAGTGTCACTGAGAAGTGAACTAAGATCAGCACTACCAGTAGTAACAGTTGGAGCTGGACCACCAGTTGGAGTGGTGACAATTGATGAGGTGGTTGAAGTGTCCTTACAGTTTCCGAATGCAGCAGCCAAAGCGTTAACAATAACTGATTTAAGGGTGTCAATATTCAAGAAAGCCTTGATAAGGGATGGGATCAAACCAGAGTCAACTAAAGCATCAATCAATTCACCAAGAGTGATGGCACCGGAGGAGAACAATCTTGAAATCAATTCACCACCCCAGGTGTAGAAGTCATCATCAACAACCAAAGCTTCAACAACTTGGTTAGCCAAACCAGAGTTCTTTAATGATTCCATCAATGAGGTAAGAATGTCTTGGGTGTCTCTAGCATAAACTGGGGAGATGTATTCTGCACCCATTCTAGCAATTTCTCTCTTGTCAACAGCAGATGAAACGGCAGCAGCGTTAATACCCAACAAGTTTGCAATAATGTTTGGCAAGTTTTCGAGCCATTGGCCAACCAATTTGAAGATTTGAGCATAGAAAGCACAATCGTTGATAAGGTTTTGAATAACATCAACAGCCAATCCAGAGTCGTTTAATGATTTCAACAATGTGTCCAAGTTAATCCAACCGTTTTTGATAGCAGAAACAATAACATTAATGGTGATGTTTGACAAGGTTGGGTCGGAGATGAAATATTCAATAACACCTGGAGCCAAGTTGGTGTCTTTGATAATGGTCAAAATATCGGTGACAATTTGTGATTCTCTTTTGACAATGTCAGCTTCACTCAATAAAGATCTCTTGGTGTTGTAGTGTTCCATATTGTGGAGAGCATTGTTGGCAATATCGAACTCCCTAGGAGTCAATTCCAATGGAGCTGAAGCGGCTGGCATAGCAGCAACAGTTGAAACTGCAGCTGTGAAAAATAATGTGACTGATGCAAAGTTGAACTTCATTGCGAATGGATGGAGGTGAGATTATAGTGAAGAGACTCCTTTGATTGATGGAAAAGAAAAAAGTATAAATTGTGAAAATCAGTACTGGAATTTTCATCCTTATTTATATAAAGAAAGTTGAGTGCCTGTGGGTGCTTTGAAGGAGGAAGAACCCTTCGTCACATTCATACTCAACCCCCTGTGTTTTTGCTCTATTAACCAACTTGAGTAAATATGTAGCATGGGCTATTCTGACTCGCCATAGTCTACCTAAGCCCTTGACATGTTTATACAAGATTTAAGTTTACCCAAAGTAGAAAACCCAGAAAATATACAATGTAGAGATCTATTTTAAGAATAAGCCACAAAGCATCAATTGGTGGTAATAATTCATTGTATAAGGTTTAAATTTCGCAGCATCTCCAAATTTTTTTTTTTGTTTCCCTGTTGCAGCCACAAAAACAAAATAAAATTCTAATTCATTTACCCTTTTGGGAAATTTCTCATTCTTTGATTTTATTTTTACATTACATTTTCTAAACTGAGTTGAAACAAAACATAATATACCGGAACCCAAAGTGAACTCTCTCTTCTAATATAATGTTGTAAGACGGGGGTAATGTGCACGAAGGTACCACCTGAAGTTCTTTCTCTGCATATTCAGAGCCATTCTGCAACAGGCGATGGGGAAGACTTGACTGCACGTTGATTGCGATACAACGAATGTATCAGGACGCCTTTTATTGGAATTGCATGGATCTGAGTTGTGCAAAAGGTTCCGATATTTTAGCTCCTTTTCTTCCTCTATCCTCGTATGCACAATTCTAGAACGTCTGAAAACCGACTCGTGAATGTTGTTCCAAACCATTGTTATTATTTGCACCTCTACCCCAACTTTTCAAAGATTTGGTAGCAGGTAGCGCTCGATTTTCTTTTCCCAAATAGGAAAGTTTCAATCAAAGATTTTCTCTTCTCCTTTAAACTCTAGTATAAAGTTATACTACTCTAAGTAGTAATCCAACCACTAACGTAGCCATTTTTGACTTGTTTTCATAGTCGAAAAAATAAGCTCGAGAAGCCCCCTTTTTTCGACGCATTAACCATATGACATATTACATTATCGATTTAAACCTAAAACTCTATTATCCAATCGAATATAATATTATGTCGGCAGTAGCGGAGAAACTACATCCTTATTTGTTTTCCTTTGTTTGTTTCCCGAGTTGGAAATTAAGCTTTATTTCTACCGAGATCGTCCATTGTATAGATATTATCTGTTGTAGCAACCGAGCACCAACAATTACCACTTGTTTCAACAACTAGCAACTCTTTTAAGTTTCGAATGAGATTGAAAATTTTACTGACGATGAGCAGTGCTCTTCAATTGGTTTGTGGTAGTTAACCCCGGTTGAAGCTGCTCTTTTAAACAAGCACTTGGTTTAATCACGTGACTTGAAAATTAGGTGATGTAATTTCGTGACCACGTGTCTTGGTGTCGCTACAATCCATTACTCCAAGTGCAGAATTTTGCCTCCTCTGAAAAGGGCCAATCCTGAACCTCCTAGCTCCTTTATCATCGACTAGTAGTCTCTTGGCACTCAGTGAATTTATTTGATGTAACCTGTTTTCATAGAAATTGGCTACAAATTTTGACAAAAAGCTTCAGTTAGGCATTTGGGCAATTAGAATGTGCATACCCCACGTTGTTATATTTCAAAGTTGCTTTGTTTCACAATAGTGTTAAGGCAAGAGGGGGAAATAGGCGATTAAAGTACCGCCATCCGCTTCATCGCCTAGGAATCTGCAAATTTGATCTAATTGAGTGGCTTTCCAACACTCCAAAGTTCAGAAGTCGTACAATCTCATAAGCTCACCATTTAATTCAACATTGCAAATATCGCTCACTTCTTCAAATAAAAGGCAACGTTATGGTATTGATGAAGTAAAGACCTATATAAAATTATACTCTAACAGCTTGTACTGTCCTTAAATTGCTCTCTTTTTTTTTCTGCATTTCTTTGGTGGACTTGAAGTAGTTACGGTGCTGAAAGTGGTATCTGGAGTTGGGCTTACATCAGCAACCTTGGTGGTAGTGTCAATGCTTACAGCCGGTTCTGAAGGCAAGCCAATATAAGTGAGATCACTAGAAGCTTCAGTGGCAGCAGGAGTGGAGCTCGTATCAACAGTTGTTGGACTTAACGTTGCATCAGTAGCCGAGCTGCTCAAATCCGCTGGTGTTTCGGTGCCAACAATGGTGTCGAATATTGTGCTAAGATCAACACTTCCTGTAGAAACTGTTGGAGCTGGGCCACCGGTTGGTTTAGTCACAATTGAGGATGTTGTTGGAGAATTTCTGCAGGTACCAAGAGCAGCACCCAATGCCTTAATAACAATCTTTTGGATAGTGTCAACATTCAATAACAAATTAAGAATTGGTGGAAGCAAACCTGAGTTGACCAAATCCTCACCCAATTGTTCAAGTGTAATAGCTCCTGATGAAAACAATTTTGATACCAAGTCAGCACCAAAAGTGTAAAAGTCATCATCAATAACCAAAGCTTCAACAACTTGGTTAGCCAAACCGGAATCTTTTAATGATTCCATCAATGAGGTAAGAACATCTTGTGCGTCTCTGGCATACAATGGCACCTCATCCCTCTTACTAACAGCAGCAGAAACAACTTGGGGGCTAACACCTGCTTCAGCACTGACCGCCGTAGGTAAGCCCAGGATCAAATTACCAATCAATTTAAACATTTGCGTGTAGAAAGCACAATCGTTGATAAGGTCCTCAATAACACTAATAGCTAAGCCTGAATCGTTCAATGATTTCATCAAGGTTCCCAAGTTAATCCAACCATTTTGAATAGCAGTGATGACAACCTGTTTAGTAACACGTGCCAAGATAAAGTCAGAAATAAGGTAGTGAATGACGCCTGGAGCCAAGTTTGTATCCTTAACGATGGTCAAGATTTGTGTAACTATATCTGATTCTCTTTTGGAAAGCTCAGCTTCAGTCAATAAAGATCTCTTGGAATTGTAATGTTGTAAATTGTAGATTGCATTGTTGGCAATTTCATATTCTCTTGGAGTCAATTCCAAAGGCGATGGCGCTAAAGAAGTAGCAGCGACTGTCGAGACAGCAGCAGTAAGGAATAAAGTGACTGAGGCAAAGTTGAACTTCATTGTGTAGTTGGAAGTTGTTGAAGTATTTGACTAGTGGAGTGAGTTGCTTGATGATGAGAATAGAATGAAAACTTTGATTATGAAAAGAAGGGTCAATTCCATCACTATTTATATTGTTGGAAAGCGGAGGAGCTCGTAATACCTTTGGTCCATTCAGATGGACGGATACCCATCCATTTTACAGCAAAAAGTTGGTTCTTAACCAACCTAGGTAATTTTGTAGAGCTATATATCGGCCAAGTTGAGGCGACACCTTACGTTGACTTGCATTGCGTTTACCTAAAGTAGAAAGCAAATAGGGTCCTGTGCATCGTACTTGGAAATGCCACTTTCAATTTCAACTCCAAACTTATGCATGGCATATTTGTGATGCTTGTATGGTGATACTGTGTTTTGTATTTACCCCAAAAGTAAGCTGCGAAAAATTGGAAGTAACATTGGAAAAAGGTGAACACAAAAATTAATAGAAACAATATCACCACACTGCATGGGGAAATATAATGCTCCTTTTGTACCAAAGGACATTCTGGGAGCCTTAAAGCTGAGCTACTCTAGTTCTTAGTAGCAGTTCGATCTTGCTTGGTAATGTTTGCTGCTAAAATGTTTGCTAGACCATGTAAAAGATTTTGCAGCCTCGTTGGATATCTCAGGTCTACAAACCATGCCAAAACAATGACAACTTTGCTTTCGAAAACCTTAACAATATTCGTATTGAGTTTGTCCTTCGGCGAATTCCAGATCCATCACTAAATTGCCTGTAGAGTGGGTATGTCGGCTACAAAATGCGAGTTGGAAGCGTTTTGTGTAGGTGCGGCACCAAAATTTTTTAAATTGCCCGAACTGGGAAAGTTTGATGCTTCTGCACATCTAAGTGTACAGCTCCTTGTTTGCAAGGAAAGTGTATTATCTGGATGAACCTTCTCCCTAGCTTCGTGTTAGCCTCACACTGAACACCAGGAAGCTCTGCTCTTTGAATGAATAATCGTCACTACGAGCTGGTTGACACAGTTGCAAGAGAAAAGCGAGGACAATCTCTCGTCACGCGACCAACCTACCTTGGTCGTGCCAAATGAGATGGTTTGGGGCGGCTCTGTGCATGTTCCGTTCAAAATTCCGCACTGTTTAGAGGGAGGAAATAAAATTCCCCAATCCAGGCAACTGCCTATTTGGACACCACCCAATCTAATTTGAACGAAGGTGTCTGCTTTGAGCAACGTAGCATGAGACGAATAACCCATTCAGTATTAACATAACATCAGCTCCCAATTTCTTTTAATACCCACTACATCACCTGAGCTTATGCATACTTCTTGGGGTAATATCAAAGAAGGGAGGTTTCGAAAGCAATATCGTATATCACACTTAAGTCACAAGTGGGGAGAAGTCCATCTTTTGTATTTTTTATTCTTTTGATGTATTATATGTCAATAGAAGACCAAGAAAATAGAAAATCAGATAGATAAAGTTTGTATTGTGCCTTCACTTGCATATTGACACCATCTCAAAGCCACTATATATAATAAAGATAGCGTTGTAACGTGAAACTGATAAGAAGTATATTTGAATTAACCAACTGCTAGTCTTCTTCTTCTATTGTTGATACTCATTTGACCTTTTAAAAATTGATTAATTTCATCAACATTTCAGGTCACGTGAGATCTTTTGGTTAGTTGTAGTAGTTCTGAAAAGTTCTTCATTTTTCTGCTCTTCTCCTTTTGTGTACGCAGTTGGAACGGAGTAAACTTCGGATATAACTGAGTAACTATAAAGATCCAATCTGTCCAAGAACATTCCATGCATGTTAGCTGAAGCAAAGACAACACAATTGTAGAAACAATAGTCTCAAAATTTGGTTAATCCCATTTGCACAAACCTCTGTAAAGTTTGCGTCTCTTCTGCGGAAAGTACTCTCCAAATTTTCCATACTCAGAGTATTTCAAATTGAAAGCTAGTTAATGTCCAAACACCTCAAGAATGTCCTCCACACCCCTGATTTAACGTGTTCTCTTCGCATATCCTCCATCAATTGAGATCACTAGGGATTTGGCAACACTCTAACCTTTTTATCTCCACAGGCTAGCGAACTAAACAAGAAGAACAAGCAGCTAAAGCAAAAGAAAAGCAGGATATTGAAAGAGCCAAACAAAAAAGATATATTCTTCGGCGGAGATCTAGAAAAGCCATCAAAACCGAAAACACAAAAAGAACAGGGAACAAAAAAAAAAAAAAAAAAGAACAAACACTTGTGAACCGAATTTCAGTTCGTTTTCACCAAGATAACAGCCAGATTTGCTTCCTTTTCCATAATTGCCAGAGAAAACAGTCAACTACAATCTCATTCCAATTGAACTAGTTCAACAGGTAGAGGCCTTGTTTCATTGCGTTACTCAAACAAACATTGATCACCACAACGTCATCTTACAATGGCGGGTGTCTACGGAATTTTATTTATGCTTGCTGCAGCATATGCCGTGGTATTATACTTAGTTAATCTAGTACCACATGTCTCCATCAAATACGTCGGCATCCTTTCTTTAAGAGGTGTAACGATAAAATTCAAAACAACCACCGTCTATATTGGAAAAATTGCTCTTCAGATTAATGCATTTGGACCAAGGGATGAATCGTTGAAATGGCTATCGCTCATATTGGCCGACGTCAATATTACCTGTTTAAAAGATCATCAATCAAGAAAGAATAAATCAGAATCTACAAAGAAACAAACCACCACACCCTGGCATGATAAATCTATTAAAAGCCGGCTTCAATTTCATGTGCCAACCATGATCTACAACTATTTATTGCGAACAGAGCTCATCAATAAGGTCAATTTCATTATTGTCAGAGCCTCGGTTTACCACCAAAGCACGCACGAGCATTTTTGTGCATCCTTGGAGTTTACAAGATTGGAGGCAAGGATTTCCAAATGTCATAACCTTAGAGTTACTGCCACTTTATTCAATGGATTGATATTTGAAAACGAAAACAAGGACAATAAACTTGATTTGTTTCGAAATGTGGAATTTTACGTTGATTGTGTAATTATCACCGCATGTGATGTGGAACGAGCCAATAAAATTAGGATTAATTTTGAGGAGTTTAGAACATCCTTGTCAATTGGAAGACTAAACATTCCCATGGAGTATATTCGGTCAACAAATAGACAACAGAAAAGCGCGAAAACTGAATCAACGAGAGAACCATCAACCCCTGTTGAAGATGATTCTGCGAAACAAGTTACAAATGTGATTCAATATAAGCATTTGTTACAAGACTTGTTGTCATTGTACTCGCTAACAGAGATCCGGCTCGAGGATTTCACATTGTCCTACAAATCCGTCTCCCTCAATCTTTCAAATTTTGTCTTTTCGTTGGAAAAGGTTGTTAGACCCACAACGACCTCGACATTAAAACTACAACTTTATGTGACATCGTTTAAGTTTTATCACTTGGAAACAAAATGCATAGAATTGCCATCGGGAACGGTTTCTTACGAAGTGTGCCCCATGGAAATTCTCAGGGTTTCTCAAGTGTTGCTCGACCTTGATGAAAAATCACACCAACGAATAAATTTTGACTTTGCCATAACATTGACCAACCCAGTTTTTGATGTCTACTACGATCAAGAAGATATATTGTTTGGATTGCTTCGAGATAAGATGATGCGTAAACGTATGAATAAAATGAGAACAGCTGCCGGTGTGCATCGAAAAGAAGAAGCAATGAAGAAGTTGACACTTGCTTCAAAAATGTTAAAAGACATATCAACAAAGATTGTGATTGTTGATACTGTAGTAAATGTGCACTTGCCACGAATAGGACTGACTAGGGACGATGTTTTCAATCGTCATTCTAATTCCAACACCAAAGTGACCTTTGCTGTAACCGATCTAACACACAAGGTATTTACTAAATCACAAATGAAAATTGTCAAGGGAAGCGGGAAAACACAGAAGCACACTATCAATTCGTTTCTCAAGATCAAAAATCTCAAAGGTGAAGCAGATGGTAATTTGGCTCAATTCACAAAAGTCAATTTGCTTCTCGCATATGATTTGGATCGCTTGAAATTGGCCATTAGATTGTCAAGCAAAGCAATAAATTTCAGATCCGTCAATGATATTTTCTTCTACTTGGTGAGACAGTTCCGCAACCGTCAACGGATCTACTTCAACAAGAAATTCGTAGAGTGGATGAAATCTTTTGAAAGAAACGGTGCACCTGATCAACCAAACAAAGCTGAACGTTTATCATATGGTGACTTAAATAACCCGATTGGTGAAAACCAAGAAGATGAGCTTATCAAGATTTTCAAAGTATTACCACCATACGTATCCTCAATCAAGGTTGATTTATCGTCTTTGACATTCGACATAAAAAGTAAGGAAGAGTTACCGAGTCAAAAAATCTATGACTACCGGATTGGAAAGGAAATCGATTTGAAAGATTATCGACGTGGTATTTCACTAAAATTGGCTGACCTTTCTGCCATCTATAAACTTTCGCGTGAAGAGGTTCAAATTTCGATCGGTTTAGTGCAAGCTGCCACACTCAGTGAGTATGCCCAGGAGTACTTGATTTCGAACGACAAGGTTGATGAGTCACAAACGAGTGATTCCGACTTTGATGATGTGTCAACTATAAACTCCTTGGATTCAACGCCCACAGATACCAATGCTTACGACTCAGATGGCTTAGGCAACACCGATACTTATGGTGTGAACAATGTTCTTGCAATCAAGAATATCAATATTGTTAATGAAACGTCCAAATCGGAGGATAGAGATCCTAACAAACTCATATTAACAGTTCCCGAAGTCGATGGACACATTGACACATTTTTCCTTTGGTGCATTTTCTACGCCAAGACCTTGCTTCAAAGATTTGCCCCCACCGTCGAGTCGAATTGCACAAAGGAGCAAATAAAGCAAATCACTGGTCCGAAGAAGAAACTCAAGCTTGATGTATTGTTGGAGTCTGTAACCATTTCGGTGAAGCTTCCACACAATGTGGACGTGCTTATTGAATTTGACCGTTCAAGGCTACAAAATGTTTTTGTTTTGAAAAACGCTGATGTTAAGAATATTCGAATGTACGTGGTTCATCCAAGCACAAAATTGTGGGCAAGAATAGTAGTGATCAAAGAGGCCAATTTTAGCATTGATGTGTCCAAAACCTTACATGAAGCTTCATTTGAATTGCAAACAAAATCCATTTTGTTCAATGTGCCAAACAAATTTGCTATTTATACTGTCATTGACAATACCATTTCTCTCGTCAAAGCGATAAAACAATTGCTGCATAATTTCAAGCATTTCAACTATGGCATTGACAACTTCGAGCGCGTGTACCCTGTGGCAAAGGATGCGATGGTGTTTCCTCATGTTAGGATCAAGACATCAGTATTGGGTCTCACACTTGAAAATGATCCATTTGAAAACGAATTGGCAATGATTTATGAATTGGGTACAATTGAGCAACGTGTGAGAAGGAGAAAATTGGAGGCGTTTGAAGCAAAATGTCAGGAAATCAGAGCCAACGTACAACCTGATATCGAGGAACAAATAGAGTTGACTGATTTGCCAAGTCCCGCATTGGGTGGTCGCAAGGGGCTGTCTAAAAAGGGTTCCGCCTCTACTAAGCAAAAGATGCAAAGTCCTTTGAGAAATGAGGCGACGTATCATGAAGATTCCACGTCAAACGAGCCGAGGTCAAGTAACGAAAGTGGAAGAACAAAATTCAGAGGCACTTTCTTAAAGATGAGGCGTAACCATTCTCATCGTAAGCATCCCAATGGAGCTCCAATCGAATCAGACGTGGAGAACGATACTAAACCAAAATTGACGAAAGCTCAAGCTGAAGAGGAAATCAAGCAAGCTAAGGAGAGATTAGATCACAACTTTTCACTCTCATGGATGAGAAAGTTTAAAGCTTTCAAAGACGTACGTAACAAGAATTGGAAGGAAAGAAGAGAAGAAGTTTGGGGTCAGGATGATCCAACAGATATTATGAAGTCTAAATATGACATTGTCGAGTATGCTGATGGGCCTACTTTGACTGCGGCGTTGTTTCAGGATGTGGACTTGACATTGGATAAGTTCAAAGGGGGAGATATTGACGAGTTTTTGTACAAGTATGCAAAGAAACAACCGAAACAAAAATACTCAATCTTGGTTCCTTTGTATATTGATTTAACGGCAAGGAATTTCCACATGCTTTTGAAAGACTATCCTTTACCTTTGGCGTCATTTCCTACAAACAGCAACCCACAAGTTCCTACTGTTCATATCAAAACAAACCTCGTGGTAAATGAAAATCTATATCACAGAAAGGAAGAGTTACGTTACATTTATGTCCCATTCTCATGGGCTGTATTTGATAACGGGGTATCAGACAATTTCTACTCTGTCTATATCCCCAGGACCTTGACAACAGTCAAATTTGCCGCCGATTTTCAGTGTAATTTAAACACTGATCGTGCTTGTATTGTGGGGTGGTCCAAATCGTACCAACCTGCATTGAGCACTATGGGCCAAGCATTTGAGAACTTTTCTAAACCCGCAATTGACGATAGTCCAATTGGTATTTGGGATAAATTACCATTAATGATGCATGGTAAGTACAAGTTCAACATTGCGAATGAGCTTTGCTTGCATATGAAGAGTGGTAGATCTCCATACAAGTTGGTAGGGTTAAACTCGGGGTTTGTTTTCAATTGGAAAAATAATGTCGATTTAACCATTGATGGAACAATCGATCCTAAGAGATTGGTTGTGATTACAAGTGATGATTTTTTGTTTGCTGTTCCAAATTATTCAGTGCACGAAAAGCATACATGGAGTTTATATTACGATGGTCATGCTGATTTTGCACCAACCAGCGACCCCGAGGGAAAGAAGTACCACAAAAGAGTCATTAGGCTTAGCTCCAATGATAGGGTCGAGTGGTGTTTGGGAATGATGTTTGAAAGGAATAAGCATTTTTCGCATAGACTTTCAGACCAAGAGGAAAGGACTTCAGAGTTTTTACCTCATTATAAAGTCCAAATCACCAATCCTGCTAACGAATATCACCCTGATTCTTACGATGGGTATAGAGCTGACTATGTTCATATGGCATTATCTGTCATCTCAAAGTCCCATAACGGTCAAGCATTCAACGCAGCATTCTTAACTCCGTTGGCTTTCCATCATTTCTTCTACTGGTGGGACACAGTGGCCCACTACTCACCAACACCCGTGAGACTGGGGAAACTATTCACGAATGGAGGAAAGAAGCCCAAGATCAAATTGAGTCCTCACTTGTTTACTGTCAAGTATCAAATGATTTTTAACCCTGTGACCATTTCGCACTTGTACATTCATTCAAGTAACGAGTTACACGGGAAAAAGAATAGGGTTGCGTTTACTGGGTTGAAGGGTAAGTTTGACGTTTGTGAAATAGATTTGCACCAAAGGAAGGAGTTGTTGACATATGTCAACCAGAAGTTGAACAAACGCACTCAAGTGAAGCACTTGAAAATGAATCAAGCTGAGATCAATGTTGAAAGAGCTGACGTGAGGATTTTGAATGCCTTGTTTCCTGATCAATCAGTGAGTGGACGTTTATTGTCGTACTTGACAGGCGACAATTCTTCTGATAACCTGGGAAGTCATCATCATGGGCCAATGCATTCGTCAAAGTTTTCAAAATGGATTGAGAGTGTGGAGGTACCCGATGGAGATCTATCATGGGTGGACCCAGAAGACTTTATTGAGTTGGATGTGAATGAGCCGTTATCGGCATACCCAAAGATTAAGATTTTCCCGTTTTTTGCTACTCCAAAACTCAGCTATTTCAGGGAGTTTACATTACGTGAAGATGGACCGTATCCCTTTGGGAATGAGACTATACACAATTGCTTGATGGATACCGAAAAACCTAGTGGTGTCCAATCTCGTATTTTGTCAAAGCGTGTTGAAACCCTTAAGCGTGAGTTATCGAGGAAGCAACATGAGCTCAGCCGTATGAAATCTCAAACTCAATCCGATCAGAATTTGCGAGACGTGGAGATCGATATTCAACTATTGCAAGATAAAATTGATGTCATTGATGAGGCACACAAGAATTTCACCGAGGAAGATTTGAAAATGACCAACAATTTTGATGATCCAGATAATCTCACAGCATTACTGAAACAACAATCTGGCTTATCGGCTTACTCTAGTCACAGGGACAAAAGTGATCTTGTTGAGGCAGCTAATTTTGTAGCGATTGCCGAGTTTCATAATCGGTTTATTGTGCACAATTTACAAATGAAATGGGATGATGATATAAAGGTGTACTTTGAAAGCTATTTGGAAAGAATTGGTGACAGAAGGGATCATGTTTACTACATGACCAGAATGGCAATTGATCTTGTTCAGAATGTTATAAGTGAAGGGGAAAAAGTTGAATCAGATGACTTAAATTTTACAGATCGAACTTTTACTAATTTCAAAGGCGGAATCGAAGCGATGGAGGGATTTACAGAAGCTTTGGATGTGGTTCAAAATCCAGATGTCGAGGAAGCGGAGCACAAGTATTTGATCAAATTGATCCACCCACAAATACAAATGATTAGCAAAAAAGCACCTGACACCACTGTTATTGTCACTTCTAGAGATTTGGATATCAAAATCGTCGACATTAATCAGAAGGATTTGGTGAACGTTTTAACAGATAGTTCGGACACGACTGCGAAAGTTGAGTCAAGAATTGGGGTTTTATTTAGAGAGGAGCAGATTTTCGTTGTGTCTAAGGATGACTTGTCACACTCGGACTTGAGATCAAAGTTTGCTAAAGGAGGGTACATGAATGCAACTTCTAGTTGGCCACCATGGTTTGAATGTGAAGTATGTTATAGAGGAGCATGGGCACAAGAATACCTTGTTGCCGAGAGAAATACCGTGGCCCTTGTTTACAAAAAGCCCAATAATTTGTTCCTCAATGCAAAGAACTTACAACGTCACAACGAAGTTGTTGTTTTCATCAACAAGTATGTGGTAAATGCTACGTCTTCTCAATATTCAAGCATTTTTTACGTTGTTACAGAGTTGTTACTCTCAGGAGATAAAAAGGATAGCCTCCAGTCCAAATTGTCGAAAGTTGTTTCGCTTACTGATGCAAGTGACTTTAAAGGATTGGATACTAAAGTGAAGAATTTACAAACCACAATAAGAGAATTTAATGACTTGGTTCTAACATTCCATCAACGAGGTGCAACCTTGAACGAAACAGAGCAAAAACATTTGCAGATTATTGAATTGGAGATGGAGAAGCTGAAGTTGGAGTTGATTTTGATTATGAAGCTATTGGGCACTAGGAACAAATCCAAATCAAAAGAAACAACCAAGTTTTGGCATATTTTAACCGACCAAGTGATTTGGCACTTCCTTACTGATGACAGACAGCCATTTATAGATATTGCATGCACGGGAATAGTGTTTTCGCGTGTTGAATCCATTGACGGAGCTAATCATAACGACTTTGAAATCAAAATGATGCAAGGGTTCAACCTACAGGAGAATAGCCAATTCCCCATTCTTTTGTCGCCATTGTTACCAAAGGGCGCTTCAGAGTTTAATGATGAAGGGAAACCAATTATTAAAATGACATGGGATCTTCTGGCGTTGGTCGGGGGTATACCAATCATTAAACATGCAAAGTTGGATGTTCTTCCATTGCGATTCGAATTGGATTACTCAACAGCGAAATTGCTCCAGTCATATTTGTTTCCCAAGGATGACGATCTGGAACTCGATGATAGTGACGACTCTGATGACTCTAGTGATTTCTCATCTTCGGATGAAACTTACAATGATGCGTCAGAACAGTCCTCATTGATGACAAACGAAACGACGCATTCGAAAAGCCCATGGAGAAAGTTTTTATCCAAGCGCAAGCCATTGACTCCGAAGATCAACTCGGAGAGAGGTATGGATACTCCGTTCAATGGTGGTACTTCCAGTCCGGCTAGCTCAACCCAAGGCTCTCATGAATCCCATTTGTTCAGCTCTCAAAATTCGGCATTACTTCGAAGGAAAGACAAGACGACAAGCACCAAGATCACAAAACCGGGTAAATACAATTCCAATAATGATGTCTTGGACGACGAGATTGAGACCTTGATTGCACGTTCATTGAAATTCAAATCCATAATTGATGTTGAGATTTCCAACTTTGATTTAATGGTGAGTTTCCTGGGTCCAAAGAGTTTACACTTGTTGAACGTGAACCAGTTGGTGTTATCGATTCCAACTTTACAATATCAGTACAAGATTTGGTCGGGCGAGGATTTTACAGATCGATTGAAGAAGGATATCATAAAGGTCATTTTGCAACATACGGGTAAAATTTTGGGTAACAAATTCCAGTACAAGAAGAAAATGACAAGCTCCAAACCGTTGAAGCAGATTTCAAGTTATGAGGGGTTTATGACCTTGGAAGATCTACAAGATCTGGGCAATCAAGATGATGGAATACATCTTACACCAGAAACTTCAAGGGTTCGTCATAGTAACCACGTTCGAAGTAACCATCATGTTGTCAGGCATGGCCCTGCTAACGAGGAAACGTATAAAGCATACTTGGCCGGCGACAGAAATTTAGAGAATGTTGTTTCTAACGCCAGTGAAGACAAAGTTGAAGGTGACGTAGATGCGCCCTGATCCGTTAAGTGTATAGTGTTGTTCAATCAAAGTGTGTGTTTTTATAGAAGGTATTCGTTTCGTCTGTGTTGTAGCTATTGGCATATGGTTCATTACGTAATGCCGGGATCTCCCTGTTTTTCACTTTCGGCTCTTTTTGTGTTGCATTTTCCTTCTGCATTTTATGTCCGTCTGGGCTGTTTCTAGGAAGAAAAAACAGAACAGAGGACAATTGTTTAAAAATAGCTCGCGTATTGGAAGGTGTTAACCGAACCAGATAGAACTATTATACCTATTCGACAACCACGACGTATTGACATTACATACAACTAGCTAGGTCAATATACCGAATTGGCGATCTTCTCATTTTCTCATCACACAATTATCCACAGCCGACTTCAAAAATAGTCTTTGTAGAAATGGCATTCTTTGAAAGTTTAAAAGACAAAGCTATCAATACCTTTAATGAAGTGGTTTTGAATAAAGAGGTCGGAGGAGACGGATTGACCAAAGAACAAAAGTTTTGTCAAAAGTTTCAACTTCCGGAGGAGGAGAGAATCATTCAAGAATCTAATGTTGTTATACAATACAGATCAGACTATTTAGAACCCAGTTCAAAGTCCAAAGGACCTCAACGATACCGTGAGCTTGAAGACGATGATTTTGAGCTTAACTTTCAAGGCAAGCTATATCTTACCCAGCACTTTTTGATTTTTAGAGACAATCAAGATCCAAGAGATTGTTCATTCACATTGCAATTATCTACCATCAAGAAAGTGGAAAGAGAATCAGCTTCGTTTGATTATAACTTTGTGTTGTCATTGACTACTGTGAGCAGGTTGCACATCAAATTTTACTTTAGTGGTGGGATCAGATCCGACAATGAGAGATTTGCTCAATGTTTATCAATGACATTGAAAAAGAACCAAACAAACATTAAAAAGCTTAAACCATTTATCCAAACATGTTATTCTGAGTACATTTTATCAAAAAATAAAGTATCGAATGAAGATATCGAGCATGCTCCTCCTGGTGGGTTAGGATTGAAGTTCAAATTTCCAGGGAATGCCAAAGAGTCCAAGGATAAAGTTAAGCTTAAATTATGGTTTGATTTTTTCAAAGAAAATGGTCGAAACCTATCATTGATCAAGACACCAATGTTTTATAAGTTGATTAGAGTTGGTTTACCTAATAGATTGAGAGGGGAGATCTGGGAATTATGTTGTGGATCGATGTATTTGAGATTAGACCATCAAGAAGAATATACCAAATTGTTGACTGACAACCAAGGCAAAAAATCGTTTGCAATCGAGGAAATTGAAAAAGACTTGAATAGGTCGCTTCCCGAATATGCTGCTTATCAGAGTTCAGAAGGTATAGAAAGTTTGAGGAAAGTGTTAACCGCCTTTTCGTGGAAAAATCCCGAAGTTGGGTATTGCCAAGCAATGAATATCGTTGTAGCAGCATTGTTGATATACATGTCGGAGGAACAAGCATTTTGGACTTTGAATGTGTTGTGTGATAGAATCGTACCGGGATATTATTCCAAAACAATGTACGGAACATTACTTGACCAGAGAGTGTTTGAGTCATTAGTGGAAACAACCATGCCAGTACTTTGGGAACATATTTGCAAGAATGATATTCAATTATCTGTTGTTTCATTGCCATGGTTTTTGTCATTGTATTTGTCATCTATGCCACTAGTGTTTGCATTTAGAATATTGGATATTTTTTTCATGCAAGGACCCAAGACCTTGTTTCAAGTTGCCTTGGCCATCTTAAAGATTAACGGTGAAGAGTTGTTGAAAACAGAAGATGACGGAACTTTTATTTCAATCATAAAGGAGTACTTTCTTAGTTTGGATACATCAGCACATCCCAATTCACCACAATTAAAGTATAGAAATATCACCAAGTTTCAAGACTTGCTTTTGGTGTCGTTTAAGGAATTTTCCAACATAGATGAAGAAACTATTCGCCTGCATAGGGCCAAACACAGAGATACAATTTATCAGAACATTTCCACTTTTGTCAAGCGCACAGAGATTAGACATTTGCCAAAAACACCAAACATACCACAAAGTACCATCGATGTTTTATATGATAGGTTTTATTCACAAGTGGAAGCATCAAACATCACCAAGGGTTCAGGTTCAAGTACGATTGATTTTAAATCATTTGTAAAATTTTTGTCGGAGGTTTGCGATTGGGTTGATGACACTGACATTGATTCGATTCCTGACAATCATTTTTTGCACAGATTATTCAACCACTGGGATTCAGAGAACCAACATGCACTATCGTTTGCTGACTTGTTGGTGGGATTAAATTCATTAGTTGAACCTGATCTCATGACGGCTATATCCAACTTTTACAACCTTTATGATACGAAACATAACAACAAAATTGACCGAGAAGGTATATTGCAAATCTCGGAAGATCTATTGTACATAACTAAGCCTTGGACAGAGGGACGGTTGCTTGATGAAATTACCCGTTCAGCTATCGAAGACGAAGTTGCAGAAGCTGCTTCGAAAGTGCAATCGGAAAAGGGCGAGCTACTACAATCTCAAATTGATTCAATCAAGGAGAAACTTGTTGTACAACAAAATGAAAGGTACCTACAAGCAGCAAGCAATTTTATCAATCGCGCATTCGAGTATGCCCAACCAGTGGAGGAGGAACTACTAATCAAGGATTTGGTTATCCAGGACAAGGAAAAGAGAAACAAGGCGTTGGATCCATCGCATCCATTGTATATCAATGTTGCTACATTTCGTATGGTAATTTTAGCTGAGCCAAGTTATGAGCTTTTATTCTCAAGAGAGTGGATGTTGGAGTTGGGTCGACCATTGGATGCCAAGGTCAACCCAATGAGATCAATGCTCGATGCGCTTTTAGCTGATGGAAAGAAGGTTGCCAACAAGGTGAGAATGAGACTGGATTCAAGAGAGGAGGAGGAAAGAGATGATGATTTTGGTGTGATATCGATTGATGAAAAAGAGAAGAATTTGCTCTTGGATATTTAGAATTTAAATGCGAATGGAATTCTTTGTAAGTTTTCATCTCTTTTATATTTATTGTTATTACAACAAGAGAAGAGAGATAGAAGCCTACATTAAAGCCTAAATAGTTGAGAATTGTGCAAAAGAAAAAGATAAGAATTGAACTAGAAAAGTCTACTTGGCTATACACCAGAATATCATCGTCATTCTAGTTTCTCTTAAATAGCTTTTTAAGTTTACCACCCAATTTCTTTTTTTGTGGAGATGACTGAGCAGCTGGTGATGGTGCAGCCACTGGTGAACTATCCAGAACTGCTGCTGGAAGTGCTGCCGCTGGCATGTCATCATCATCATCCGAGTCATTAAATCTTGATTTGAACCCATTTTTCGAAGGGCCAGGAAGATCTCTCAAAGTGGTCCTCCCCTGCAGTGGTTGTGGTTGTGATTGTGGTTGATGCTGCAGTGGTTTTGATTGTGGTTGTAGATGGTGACGTTGTTGTTGTTGTTGTTGTTGTTGTTGTTGTTGTTGTTGTTGTGGAACATGTTGCTCTCTATTTGGACTTCTAGCAGGAACATCGTCATTGGGTTCCTTTGAAAAAGAAGATTGTCTTTTCAGAGGCTGAAATTGAGAAAAGGGCCTTGATTGTGCTTTTGCATAAAGATCTGATACGGAAACACCCTTCAGTTGTTGACGTTGTGGTTGATGTTGCTGCTGCATAGGGCCAACCATTGATTGTGGCCTCATTGACATTCTGAATTGTGATGATGGTGGTGGTTGCTGCTGTGGATGTTGTTGTCTCCTCAATGTCTGTTGACTCAATCTCTTGGCGGGTGCCTTTTGGAATTGAGGTGTGGTTGAAAACAGCGGATACGCACCACCACCATGTTGTGAGTTCAACCTGGTGTTTTCTGCTGTAGTTAATGACAAATATGCTTGTTTAGCGGCATTGCTGTTTATTGTTGCATGTGATGGCTGTGGTGGTGCCGCTGGACCTTGTTTTTGAGGAAGTTGTGCAAAGGAGCTTGACGACTTCATTGCCGACTTGATTGGTTTCTTTGTTGAGTCATTTGAGTAGACAGATGATTTTGAGCTCAGCGCGGTAGCAACTGCTGGAGGCAACAACGTGTCGGCACTTTCGACCTTGCTATTGATGGTAGCTGCGTTGCGGTCATCATCCGCCAAACGTGGCTCAACAATTAGTGGAGGCTCCTTAGAGTCTTCGTATTGAGCAATAACATTCATTTCCTCTGTGGCATCAAGTCTATCAGCTTCTTCGGTAGCCCAGTTTCTTGATTTGTTTGTGGGATCAACTTCATCATCTTTGTCACTAACTACTTCGATATCACTTAATTTTTCCAACTCGGAACCAGGTGGTGCATTTTCAGCATTGTCAACAACTACCGCCACACGAATATTGTCATCAATATCTGAACCATCAACAGAGCTTGAATGATCACTTATCGAAGAAGAAGCGACAATCTCACCCACAGAGACAACTTCATTCTCAGATGAGTCTGTTAGCTCATCCTCGTGACTCTGTGTATTGGTAACTGACTTTTCCGTAGGAAGATTTGCACTAGCTTGCTCTTCATGTTGATCTACCATCAATATTTCCTCATCCTTTTCCTCTGCAGCAAGATTTTTCTTGTCCAACTCGTCCACAGCCTTTGTTTTTTCAATAATAGGAACATATTCATCGTCCAAACTACTGGAGAATTCTTTTTTGTTTTCTATAGTGTTCTTTTCAGTCGACGACTTTTCAAATTCCTTCTGTTTGCGCTCATTTGCTAAATTCTGCTCCCTCAACCTTTCATACTCCAATCTCTTTTCTTCGAGTTCCTTTGCCAATTGCTTTTCGTGTTCAATTTCCTTCTCCAATGCTCTTAGTTTAGCTTCATGGGCTTGGTTTGTATCGACTTTTCCCAAAGATTCTTCCAAATTGACGTCTTCACTCATTGATTGCATCTTTGATGGGGTGCTGACATTTCTCACTTGTTGTGCTGGCCTCTGTTGCAGTCTGGTATTCAATGAGCTTGCTCTTGAGGGGGGTTTCTTGTTGGCAATATTGCGCAATGAACCAGATCTCGATGATATAGGATTCAATCTCATAGAATTGCTTCTAGCCACTTCTTTTTGGAAAGTTGATTCTGGTACCTCAATAATTTTGATCCCTGTGGGACTAGGTACATATTTTTTGACCATTCGAACTGGGGGAGCCACTTTAGGTTGACCTTGCGATTTCAGATTTGCTGTGGGCAATCTAAGATCTTGCATTTTTGCTTTATTGTTCAAGTACACTTGAGTTGACTCTTCAGTAATCTCATCTAGATATGAATCATTGAAACTATCGTCAATATCGTACACTTCAGGGTGGTGTGAATTATAGTAAGCCGCAGCTTGGCTGGAATTGCCTCGATTAGATCCCTGAGATGAGAAAGATCCATTTGAAAAGCGTCTTTGAGAAGCTGTATGCGTCGGTGGTGGTTGAAGCTGAATATTCGATTTCGATCCTCTTTTCAAAAGACTTCCATTTGAGCTGTTCAAAGATGACACCCTCTGTTGTGAAGTATTTGGCTGCTGATATTGAAAAGATGGTGAGCGTGAAACACTTTGGTTTCCCTTTTGTTGCTTCATAGCATTACCAATCGTCAAAGCAGCAGCTAAAGCTCCCGAATTAGGCTTGTTTGTGTTGTTGGTGTTTTGGCTCACACCAGTGTAGGCTGTGCCGTGTGAAGATCTCGAGGACCTATTTCTTGAAAACATTGCACGTTATCCCAATTGGTTCAATGAATATCAGATCTATAAGTTGGGGGGTAGCTAGAGGGTTTGTATTGAAATAAAAGTTGAGATGCTTTTGTCGAATGCAATATATTTTTAGGTTGCGATCCCAAAAGGAGAGATTTCCGGGAAAAAAAAATAGAATTAGCAGAGAGAGAGAGAGAGAGAGAGAAAGAGACAGATGAAATTTGCCATTTTGTGCCATTATACACGAACAAGTAACTAAAAATACTGGCGCAGTTTGAAGCAACCAGAGGAAGAGCAAGTTGGGCGAGCCTTAGCCCACAACGAGTAAAGGAAGTGTAATATCAAACGGTTTTCCTTGCAGCAAGTGTGTTAATTTAAAATGGAGAGTGTTCTTGTATTCAAGCGCCCCCTGTCTTCAAATACCCAGCGCATATCTCCTCGATGACGCCAGCGTCAACCTGTTTAGCCCCAATAAGTTCGAAACCCAAGTGCCAGCTTGTTGACCATTCTTTACTAGTAATCCCAAGACAGGACGAACTGACATTAGAAGTCCCGTCAAAAAGAATCCCTGCAATAGCGGTAGCACAATTTGATCTTTGATGATGGCAAATATCACTATTCTCGGTGTTATTGGTTTCAAAGGTTTCGGGTCTTCCAAATAATCTTCCTCTTCCTTATCCAAGTTTTCATTAAGTAACTCGAGCTCACCATCAGTCAATTTAGGCAAAGGATTGTAATTCTTCTTATTGAAAATGGAGTGTTTTCCCTCAATTTCTTTATTTCCAGCGTAGGTGTTTAGTTGTCGCATGAACGACTGCTCAAATCTTAAATCAGGTATAGTATATGACATTGATAGGATCGTGTGCTTTGGAAATGTGTAGGTTCGGTAGGGTGTAATAAAGTCAACAGAGAAGATTAAAGTTCAGTTGAAAAAAAAAAAAAAAAAAGTTGGAAAATAAACATCCTCGACCATTCAAGGTATACTACCAATCACACATAACTTACCTACATCATGGAGCGAGAACAAGGACCATCCATCACTATACGAGAACGAGAGTTGGATAGAGTTGATTTTGTTTTGGGAAATGTCGATTTGTCAGTAGCCAACGCCCTCAGAAGAACCATGCTCGCTGAAGTACCCACATTAGCCATCGACTTGGTCGAGATTGATGTCAACACATCAGTTCTCGCTGACGAGTTTTTGGCCCATAGACTAGGGCTCATACCGCTTGTTAGTGAAAACATAGAGAATTTAAAGTATTCAAGAGATTGTACCTGTGACAACTACTGTCCCCAATGTTCAGTGACATTAGAATTGACGGCTAAATGTGATACAGACTCAACCATGAATGTTTACGCCAGTGATCTTTTCAAGCCACCGAGTCCTTACCTGTTAGGTACGCCTGTGTATAGGGACCACATGGAGAGAGGCCCTATCATTTGCAAGTTGAGGAAACATCAAGAATTACGTCTAACTTGTATTGCTAAAAAGGGAATCGCAAAGGAACATGCAAAATGGTCCCCGTGTGCTGCTATAGGGTTTGAATACGACCCCTGGAACAAGCTAAAGCACACTGATTATTGGTACGAAGTTGATGCTAACGAAGAATGGCCTAAATCGAAAAATTGTGATTGGGAAGAACAACCTGACCCTGAAGAAAAATTTGATTACAAGGCAAAACCTAATGATTTTTATTTTGATGTGGAAACAGTGGGAAGTTTGGCTCCCAATGATGTTGTAATTCAAGCTATCAAAACATTGCAAGAGAAATTGGCTTCGGTTGTTATAGAGTTAGACAAGGATAAAGTAGAAGGAGGTGATGTTCCAGATGGTGGGTTCACCACTTATGGAAGAACAGACTATGGACGTGGTGGAGAGACGCCAATGATTGGCGGTGCCACACCATATGGCGGAAGCACTACTTCCGGCAACTCTAGTGGATACGGTGGAGGTACATGGAATTGAAAATAGGGAATATATAGGGTGTATAGAGTTCAATTATTTTTTTGATTCCACTTTATCAAATCATCAAACTTGACGAGTTTGCCTCCAAAGATATCAAGGGCACTACCAAAAGTCAAGTCGACTTTCCCATTACTCAAGCTTTTAACAAGCTCAAGATCTTCGATCGACTTTGCCCCTCCAGCGTAGACTATTTTACCTTCAAAGTTGGGAGGGCACCAGCTACCCAAACTGGAAACCAACTTTTCATCAATACCTTTGCACAATCCTTCCACATCGGCAGCGTGTATTAGCAACTCGTCACAGTATTTACTCACATTAAACAAAAAGTCTTGGCTCAATCGGTTACCTGTAATTGTTTGCCATTTATTCATTGCCACGTACCAAACAGTCCCACTATCGTCGTTGATGATAGTTCGACAACTCAAGTCCACAATTAGGTGCTTCTTACCGACTTTATTGCTAATAGTCTTCAACTTGTCAAAATCGAGCTCCATTTTATCTGTCTCTTCATTTTTGGAAAAGAGCCAACTGGTGATAATGACATGCGACGCACCTTTATCGACCCATCCTTGTGCATTTTCCAAATGGATCCCTCCGCCAACTTGTAAGCCACCAGGCCATGTCTTGCATGCCAATTCAGCAGCTTTATCGTTTTCTGGATTCAGACCGAGCTTGATCACATGACACCCTTGAAGGTTATTCTCAGAATACAACTGAGCGTAATATGACGATGGTTTCGTCAGTACAAAATTCTCTAACGTTTTGGATGTGTTTGCAGTGGAATTGACATCATCTTGGGTTAAAGTGCCTCCTACTATTTGTTTGACTTGACCTGAATGGATATCTATACAACCTCTGAACTTTGTCATCGTGGGAGCTAATCTTTTGATGCTGCTTTCTTTTTTTTTTTTTTTTCGTAAACCTCATGAGAAGATCATCTTACAGTTTGTTTCTTCTTCAACATGAGTGAAGAAGATGCAGAGTACAGAAGAGCATTGGAAATACAAAGACGAAATTTCGAGGCCCAGTTTGGGTCTATTGGTGACCTTGGGTTTGATGATAAACTAGATGAGGTGGATCAAGATGAAAGCTCATTACTGGAAGATTCTGAGGAAGAGAATAAATTCGATGGGTTTACCAGCGAGGGTGAAGACTCTTCTGAATCGGAAGAGGAGATAACGTTCAGCGAGGACAATCCACCCAAACCCAAGGTAATCAAGCTCAACACAACCACTTCAGATGTACCCCACCTTGTCCCATCCAAAATTGAACGAAAGTTACTAAAATCAGGAAGAGCAGCAACACTTGCTGAGATTGAGAATGTCACTAAACGTGCCTCCAAGCAGACACTCAAGCAAGCAAACAAGACGGCAAAAGAAGAGGCTGACAATCTCGAAAATGACTTAAAATTACAACGATTATTAAAAGAGTCTCACATATTAGCCAATAACGTAGATCCCCAATTCAGTGGAGCGGATCTAACTTTGAAAACGATTGATTTCGAAGACCCCACAGGCAAATCTCGTAAACGAGTGCTATCCTCACGACTCCAGGAATTGTCCACCACTAACTTAACAAAAGACAAGAAACTAGAATCAATGCCAATGAATATGCGAAAGGGAATGATTGCAAAACGAGATGAAAAGATAGCTAAGTACGAGAAAGAAGCACGCAATGCGGGAATTGTGCTATCAAAATTGAAAAAGGGACAAGTTAGAGACTTGAATGCAGGAAGAGGATCAACTTCATCAAGTGAACGATTAGGCGCTGGTAAGAAGCACAATAAAGTAACAAAAAGACCGCGTGGGTTGAAGATTAACGGTGTTGGTAAATCAACTAGAAACGGATTGGTTATATCGCAAAATGACATTGACCGGATCAATAACCAGGGGAAGAAAAAGTTTGGTAAAAAACGATAAATTAGTACAATACATTCAGACTCTATATTTTTTCTCCCTTTACACCCCTATGATTGTCAAATTATCATTGCCTTCATTGCCTTCAATAGTCAAACCATGTTCATTAGCCAAGTGCAAAACACAAATAAAACAAAAACTGGTGGAAAGTTCCTTAACTTGTTCCGGTGAGTACATTGTCTTTACTCTTTTGATTACTTCATTGAACTTGATCTCTCGTTGGGATATGCCATTGTTGTCATTAGATGATGAATTCGATGCCGCAACCCCTTCTGTAATGGCTCTCCATATGTTATCTTTCAAGAGTTTTATATCGACTCTTTTGGCAACACGTGAAAAATTAACAAACTCGGTCCTTCGTTTACCAATGACTCCAGCTGGCTGTGAGTTTAATTGAGATTCTGATACTGGGCCCACTGAATTTGAATCGTGGGTGGCGGCAACTCCATTTTCAGGTACATCTTCCAATGCATCATTGAAATCGATGCCATCGTAATCGTTATCGAAATCTTCATATTCTGCTTGATGGAATGAATGAGCTAGCCTTTCGCGGTCATCCGTGTTTTCAGCATCTTGGGCCTCCCTAGCTTGATACTGCTCGGCAAAGAAATTTGAATCGGTCAATTTAGCTTGTTCAGTTGCGTCATCATACGCTACAGGATTCTTGGGGAAATACATAATCGGGGTATTTGGCTTTTGAATCAAACTGACTAACCTCGAGGATGTGAACTTGATATCATCAGGCAATAAATTCTTTTCCTTTATTTCTTCAAATGTATCAGCATCGTAAATTTCATAAATGTTTATCGATTTCAAATTGATGAAATTAGGATCTCTATGCAGTTTGAATAGTAGATCCTCATCGACATTTTCCAGACTGAAAAAATCAATAGCTGTAACAGTTTTCTTATTCTTCTTTGTAGGTGCAGTTATGTCTGGTTTTTTCTCCTTGGCAAATTGATCAATATTGTTTGCTTTTTTAAAAGCAGATACTTTCCAATGCTCAGGACCAGCCCAACTTATTTTCAATTTCTCATCAAAATAATTCATCAAATCTTCATCCAATAATGCCGTATTGGTTTTGGTTTGAGTACTATATGGATCAGACTTCTCTTCAAATAATTTTTGCAAAACACTTGCATTGACATGGTTTAGAAGATCGTGATCATTTGAGGGAGCGGTATCGGCATCTCCTTCTTGATCGCCAAAATCATCAAATCCAAAATCATTGTCCATATCGAAATCATTTTGGTCAGCTTCATTTTCTTGTACATCATTCATTCGAGTATTGAAATCATTGAGTATACTCTTGGCTTTGTTTAGATCATCTAAAGCCGATCGAAATTCACCGAGAGAGGGGCATATTGTCCTTTCCTCAATGGGGATGTGATCTTCAAATATGGTCTTCCCTAAATCGGAAATGTCAACTTCAGCATCATCATTCGTCAAGTCTTGTGTCTCAACAACCTCCTTATCTTGAGCATTTTGAGTTGAAGTTGCATCAAATACAACTCTTCCCGAGGCATTAATACTCAATGTATTCAACAAGAGACTTTTAGCACCACCTTCGTCAAATTCAGCCAATGCTTTTTTGAATAGGGGGTCTATGGCCAACTCTTGATCCAATTTTTTAATCCTTATTGTGTCAAAGTCCACAAGTGTAGACTCAACAACTTTATTCACTTTACGCTTCTTTTTTGCTCCATCCTCATTTTCATCTTCGTTATCCGATGCAAGTCTTTCGCCATCATCCAATCCTTCTTCGTCTTCATCTGCCGAATTAGCATTTCTAGATTTCTCGCTTTGCTTCGCGGCCAACCCACTCAATAACTTCCCGGTTTCCGTAGCGGCGGAATCAATTCTGTTTGAGTAAATCTTTATACATCCATCCAAAGTAGCTGAGGCACGTTGAAAATTGATATGATCACCATCTTTGATAACGTTTAAATCATGGAAATAATCAATCAACGCAAATTGCCACGAGTTTTTGATATTGATCTTGTTATCGGTGGACATTTTGATCCATTCTTCAAAATTTGATAAAATTTGGTGTTTATTCTCATTGAATCCAATGCCAGCTTCTTCAAACGATTCATTACTTAGGTCATCTTGGGCCAAACTACGACTAACATGTCTTGTGTGTGAGCTCACTCTATTCAGTATTATTCTTCGACTGGCACTACCACTTTGATTGCCCGATAGTATGCGATTTGGTTGTTGTGGTTGTTGTGGTGTCAGTCGCGAGAAGTTGTGATGACTTATATGGCCAGAGGATGGAATATGGTGACTATTGACTCTTTTATCTCCTTTAGATCGTTTCTTGGGTAGCACTTGGGCAGACATAACGTGTGTTGGTTCAATAGACTCAGGCTCTGTTGATGGCTTTTTTTTGTTTACACTTGTTTGACGCATTTTGGTGTTGCTTTTGATTTCAATGTCGCAAAAAAGGAAGAAAGCCAATGTCAAGAATGTGCATGATACGACAGAAATAAGTTCAATGACACTCAATTTCGAGTGCCTTAGAAACGATGCAACATGTAAATTGAGTTAAAGATGTACTTTCGGTGGAGCAATGATATCAGAGGCAGGTCTCCTGTCTTTTTATGCCAAGTAAGTTAAATTCTTTCTCTTTTGTTGTCCATTTGGCAGTGTGCGGATATATATAACCGAGGTGCTAAGTACTATCACGTGATGACCTTTTTGCTTCCGGTAGATTCTTAACGAGAAAGTACGTCACTCACTCACTCACAGCATTTCACCAACAGAAGAAAAAAAGCTCAAAAAAAAAAAAAAAAAAAGAAAGAGAGAAACGGATCCACAATCAGCTCTCACTAATCAACTTACTTTATATGAACAACTTGATTCGAATATTACCTTTAGCTCAAGGAGTTAAAAGATCATCACCAAACAAAACTATTATAACAAGATGTTTGTCAACATATCTTGCTACTGCAGTGCGTCATAATAGAGCACACCAACGCCACTCGTTACAAAGATTTTCAGCGGCAAATTCAGTAACACTATGCAGATCAGTATCCAACTCAACGATATCCCTTTTACAATCACAGGAACAGATGGCAAACAACGACTTAAACAATGCAAATGCCCAATATGAGTTTTACAAGTCACTATTGGCAAACAACTATCCCCATATCGTTGTTCAAAGATATGAGACACCGGGAATTGCAGCATCACCTGAGTGTACTCAGTTGTATATAGATGCTTTGAACAAGATTGGTAAAAAGGGGAGAGCAGAACAAGTGGCAAATGCTTTGCACCAACACAATAATAATTTTCAAGGTGCATCAGGTAACGCTGCTCCTATGGCAGCTGGTGGATTGCCTCATGGGTTTGGCTCCAGATATGAACCAGTACACGTTGTTGTCAGTGAATCATTGTTGACAATTTTGTCTAAATGGCTCAAATGGTTGATTCCAATAGCTTTGATCACTTATGGTGCTACTAATGCATTCAACTATTTAGTTGAAAATGGTACTATTTTCAAAAACGCTGAAGTGAATGATAAATCAGTTGATGTTAGCCAGAGTACAGTTAGATTTTCTGACGTTCAAGGTTGTGATGAAGCCAGAGCTGAATTGGAGGAAATTGTTGATTTTTTAAAAGATCCATCCAAATTTACTGGATTGGGTGGTAAATTACCCAAAGGTGTATTGTTGACGGGCCCACCTGGTACCGGTAAAACTTTGTTGGCAAGAGCAACAGCTGGTGAAGCTGGTGTTCCATTTTTCTTTATGTCTGGATCTGAATTTGATGAATTGTATGTTGGTGTTGGTGCCAAGAGAATTCGTGAATTGTTTGGGCAAGCAAGGGAGAAATCTCCAGCAATTATATTCATTGATGAGTTGGATGCTATCGGAGGAAAAAGAAACCCTAAGGATCAAGCATATGCTAAACAAACATTGAATCAATTGTTAGTTGAATTGGATGGATTCAGTCAAACTGAAGGTATCATCATCATTGGGGCAACCAATTTTCCTGAGTCGTTGGACAAAGCATTGACTAGACCTGGGAGATTTGATAAGGAAGTTATTGTTGATTTACCTGATGTTAGGGGTCGTGTTGATATATTGAAACATCACATGCGTAATGTTGAAACTGCCGATAATGTTGATCCTACAATCATTGCCAGGGGTACTCCTGGATTAAGTGGTGCTGAACTTATGAACTTGGTTAATCAAGCTGCTGTTCATGCATCACAACTATCGGCCCCTGCTGTTGACATGTCTCATTTTGAATGGGCCAAGGACAAGATTCTTATGGGAGCAGCGAAAAAGAAGATGGTTATAACAGAAGAGTCAAGAATCAATACAGCATATCATGAAGCTGGACATGCCATTATGGCTATGTTTTCAGCTGGTGCTACTCCCTTGTATAAAGCCACCATTTTACCAAGAGGTAGAGCATTGGGTATCACATTTCAATTGCCAGAAATGGATAAAGTTGACATGAGCAAAAAAGAATGTTTTGCCCGATTGGATGTTTGTATGGGTGGTAAAATTGCTGAAGAAATGATTAATGGAAAAGAAAATGTCACGTCTGGATGTTCATCCGATTTAAGTAATGCTACCGGTGTTGCAAGAGCAATGGTTTTATCCTATGGTATGAGTGACAAGATTGGACCCGTCAAGTTGAGTGATGATTGGGAAAGTTGGTCACCTGAGATTAAGAATTTAGCTGATCATGAAGTGCGGGAATATCTTATTGAATCAGAGAGCAGAACTAGGAAATTACTTCAGGATAAGAAATTGGAGTTGCAACGATTAGCTGAGGGTTTATTGGAGTATGAAACTTTAACCAAGGATGAAATGGATAAGATTGTTCGTGGTGAAGCGATAAATAAGGAGAAAACTGTTAGTAATACCATTATTAAAAAGCCCTCGTCGTCTAGTCCTGATAAGATTAGAGATGGGTTGAGCTTAAAGCTGGATTAAGAAAGAAATATTGTATAGAGGTTTTCAAATATTACAAAAATGTGTTTTATGTAATGGAGTACATGTAAAGTAGTCTTTTGCAATTTGTTGGTGGTGTTACCCATGTGACTAACACGTGACAAGCATGAGCAAATTTGTTACTATTGTGTTGGTTTAACCTGCAAGGTTTCAAACTAGGAGATTGGAAATATGCTCAAACGATTGCTCCATTCCATATGACAAAGAAAGTATAAATACCTTTCAAGAATCCCTGTTTTTCTCAGACATAATTATCGAGAGCTTCTTTTGATGTTCATGACCAACGCACACTTCAAACTTTAAATACAAACCTGGGACTAATATTACTTCATTTCGCTCGGATAAGTCGGAATTGGACCAGGGAAAAAGGGGGGGACACTGGATCCAATTTCTGACCCAGCCATCGTATAAAGACAGGCTTGTTACTGAAGTGGTGGAGCATCCAAGTTTGATGAACTGTGGATCACGTTGCCCTGTTCTTTTTCAAAAGCCGTGGCTCGGTATGGGGAAACGTCATGTGCACATACAAACAACACAGCAATTTACAAATTTTTAGTCATTGGTGCACGCTCACACACTCCACTTTTTTCGCTCCCAATTTGTTTCTATTTAAATAGAATTGCCTCTCCCCTTTTAACTCTTTTCCTCAACGTTTCTGCCACACATTTCTTTGTCAATAGATAAAACACACACACACACACTAGAATTGATCGAAAAATGGTTAAAGCAGGTATGTTTTGTGAGTCAATTGAGTAGGTAAATGAGTCAATTGAGTCAATTGAGTCATCTGTGAACACGTCTCCAGCCAAATCGATGCTTACTGCATTCTTTGAGCTTGATACTAACTCAATTTCCCTAGTTGCCGTACTTAGAGGAGACTCAAACGTTTCCGGAGTCGTTAGATTCGAACAAACTTCCGAATCGGAACCAACTACAATCACTTGGGAAATTTCCGGTAACGACCCAAATGCATTGAGAGGATTCCACGTTCATGCATTTGGTGACAACACCAATGGATGTACCTCAGCTGGTCCTCATTTCAACCCATTTAGCAAGACCCACGGTGCTCCAGAAGATGATGAAAGACACGTTGGTGATTTAGGTAACATTTCCACTGATTCTCAAGGTGTTGCCAAGGGAACCAAGCAAGATTTGTTGATTAAATTGATTGGTGAAAACAGTATTCTTGGTAGAACTGTTGTTGTTCATGCTGGTACTGATGATTATGGTAAAGGTGGTTTTGAGGATTCAAAGACCACTGGACACGCCGGTGCTAGACCAGCTTGTGGTGTTATTGGATTGTCAGAGTAAGTTGAAATTTATAGGAAAGAAAACATAATCTGTAAGTTAAAGCCATCTGTAGTAATTGAACATTTTTTTGATCATTGAATAAGGTACGTTTTACACACTATTTTATCGCGAAAAAAAAATACTCCCCACTAAATACAACGACACCATATCAAACAATGAATGACGGATCGTTTAGTTACGTACATCTATCCAATCCAAACATAGCTACATACATAGAGACATGGCGCAATGAGCCATTGCCATTTGATGATATCGAACCACCACAAATCAACACCACCAAGAATAATATTGCCACCACCACAAGAAATGGAAGAGATTTGCCATTACTGCTGAACAATGACGATGAAGATCTACTTCAAGGTGCACAAGTCTTTGGCGCAGGAGTAGGTAGAGGACTGTGAGAGGTTGATGGTGCTGGCGGTGCTGCTTTTGGTGCAGGTGCAGGTGCAGGTGCAGGTGCAGGTGCAGGGTTTTATATACTAATAAACCTGGAAATGTGGAAGCGATTAAGTAATGAACACATTTCAACCCGGCTTGCTTTCTTCAAGTCATTGTTTTTATTCATAGTATACAGGAACTACCATGCTTCACTCTCCGCATAGTTATTCGCTCGCGGCTCCTGTTTCTCATCATATAAAGGGGAGACTCTGTGTAGCTTTCTTTTTGAGCATAGAACCACGAACTCAATACATATCATAATCCACGCGTTTCATAAAACAATAAGGCAGGACTCGATGGTGCATTTCACAAATTTGAACCGCACGGAGATTACGAAAGAAGTGATGAGAGGATATCCATGTAATCAGGAACACAATCTATTTCGTTTGGTGCTTGTATTGTAGGGGGTACTAGGCGTTGCATGTGCTCACATAATGGAAATCCAATCGATAAATCACCAGTATATAAGAGATGTGAGTTTGTTACATCACTTTGCCAAATACTAAAAACGCTCCCTTTGCATTATTCATCACCCTCGTCATCAGAGTCGTCCTCCATATTGATTTCGGGCATCTCGAAATCAGACTCGTCGGCATTATCTTGATTTGTTGGCGAGTTTGTCGTGACAACTGTAGCCACTTCTGTCTCTACAACAGGCTCAATCTTTTCAACTTTGGCAGCATTTTCGAAGGGTTCTGGCTTGAATGAAAAATCTACTGCAACTGTTTCCACTTTTCTTTTCTTTTCTTTGTCGTTATCTTGCCCTTCGTCCATTACTCTTTTTGCATCAGAAACATGAGTGGAACCAATAATAATCTCATTTTCGTGTTTTCTTTCTTGCTCCCTTTGCTCGTCAATCAATTTCATAATTGCTGATTCTTTTGTACTCATTGGAGCGTCCTCTTCCGGTTCCGATAAGTCATCAAATTCAACATCTTGTTCCCTCGTAGCGCTGATACGTTGTGGTAAGGGTGGTAGTCTGGGATTAACAAACACACTCAACAATGGGTCATTTGGTAATATTGAAGAGATAATTGGCAAAACATTGTGCTTGTCATATCCTGGGTTCAAAACTATACTCCCCAACAACGCCCTGAAGGGGTCAGGTATTGTAATTTCATAGTTATTAGCTGCCGCTTCAACGCACTCTTGAATTATACATTTCATAACCTTGTAGTGTTGAGTAGGTGAAAGTTCAGACCTTTTCACAATTTGATCAATAAACGTTCTCACCACTTCTATTGACCTTTTAGAACGTGATTGAGTGAATAAATGTTCATGGGATAAGATATCAGATAATGGGGCTGATGAAACATTCTTTTTCTTGGGTTTCTTTTGCTGAGAGGTAGACGCTGGTTGATCCTTGGGTTTAGTTGGAGCAGCCGCTCTAGGTTGTGATAGTATCAATGCAACATTAACAAATGGAACCAATAAAGTATTATCAGCCACAACACCTGTTAATTGTAAATAGTCACCAACGCAACTCAACAAGTCTAGGAATAGTGGCTCGTTGTTCCAAATGTCAGTTGATGATACTTTGCCTGATTTGGTCATGGGAACAATATAGGCCATAGAGGACCATAATGATGGTAAATGAGGAATCAAAGAGCCTTTAAACACCAAAAGGTGTTTCAATAGTCCAAGTACACTTTGGTAATTCACCTGAATTGTCGTTTTAATCAAGGATCTGATTTCTTCATCTCGTACATCACTTCTAAATGACAAGTACCTCGTATTGATTGCGCAAATCATTTCAATCAAGACAAACACTTTACCTAAAGGCACCTTGACACTGGAAATACCTTCATTCAAATAAGCTGCCAACAACTTTGTCAAAACGGCAATACGACAACTAATTTGCAAAATGGTCTTGGGATCATTCAAATCAATCTCCAAACTCGAAAACACCTTGGCATGTGATTGAGGCAACTTTTGCATCAATTTCTTCAATTCTGAATCATCACGAAAATTCAAAAACTCCTCATAAATCTCAACAACACCCTTGATTTCAGCAATGATTTGATCGACATCCGTTGCCCATTTGGTTTCGGGTTCATTCTTTTCCACCACGGGTAAAATCGCCAATGCCTTGCAGATCGAGGATTGTAAATCACTTGGGTACTTGATAAACCCATCATCCTGCATCAATGTGTACAATTTCTCGCCAAATTTATTGGCAAATGGTCTAAATGTAGTTGGATGATGCTTGATGATTTGATAAAGCGACTTTATACACAAGTTGGGCGCATACTGTAAGTTCTTCAAATAGAGTGCAACAATGGTGCTCAATTTCGGTGTCAATATCTCTCTTGTCAATGTTGGTTTATTTCGAATCACTTTTATCAATTTGTTTAAACATTCAATACAAGATTTCAAAATAATGTCATCAATGGTGTGGTTGAACGACTCCAAGATTGTAATCAACGTGGTCATAAAGTTGGCACCTTCATTGGCCAAGATGGTGTAGTTGTCAATTAGCACGTTGATGATGTTGATTCCACACCATTTGTTGTAAGTTGTTGGTGATCGACACAATTGCAATGTACGAGAAATTAGATGCGAAAGATTTGATTTGGAGATTTGGTCAAGGTGGTGATTCTCATGGTGGAGGATGGATAGTATTGGAATGATTGAAGACGGGGAGGTCTTGATCTCCTCAAGGACTAGGGTGATAGACATTGGGGGGGTGTAGTTCGATAAAGAAAGAGTGAATCTCATCGCTACATGCAAAAAATATTTCAAACACAAAAATACAAAAACAAAAAGCTATACAAAAATGTCAAAAAATCCAACAAAGTTTTCATCTACTTTAACAAAATTTTAAAAGTACCAATTTCGAACCCTTTCAAATTGATGCCAACAACACCCTTCTTCACTTCCAACTCTTCAAACACTTGATTTTCTAATCCATTCGTTTTCAAAACTTTATCAACTTTGAAATACTTTTCATCAATAACCAACTCTCCTTTACCAACCCCACCCAAGGATTCATAAATTCTCACCACAATGGATTTTTCATTCTTGGATAATTGAGAATACTGACTCACATCAACATCATCCTCGCCACGTTTGATATGAGATAAAATCAATGACGATGATGAATCGGCATCAGTGTTTAATTTAACGGCGTGTAAATATGATGTATCCATGGCTTTGGCAATCAACTTGTAGTTGAAATTGTAGCCGGCTTTCACGGTGTTTACACCCAATGGTCCACGATGTGGATAAATTGCATATTCAAATTTATGCTCGCCCATGTCAGCTTTGTTATCGGGGGCTTTTGCACTTCTAAGTAATGATAATCTAATCAAATTGCCATGGATTGAACCACCGTATTTGTTATTGTTCAAAATTGAAACACCATAATTGTACTCACTCAAATCCATAAATTTGTGATGACATACTTCAAACTTGGCCACATCCCAAGTGGTATTGTAATGAGTAGGCCGCTTTGTGATTCCAAATTGAGTTTCATAACTAGCATCCAAGGAAGTATTGATTGTTGTTGGGAATTGTACTTTTAAAAACTTGTATGTTTCATGCCATTGCACAGTTGATGAAAATTTGACATAATTGTTGATACTATTTTCATCATTGATTCCAGGTAATGAAATAACAGTTTCAATGGATGAGTTGGGCGAGATTTCATGCGTGACAACAATTGATGACTCAATTGCATCATTGGACAAAATCTTGCTCTTTGCATTATCCAACAACTTGAATTTTTCCAAAGAGTACAACTCAGTGTCCCAAGCAGGGAAATTGAGAGGTTCATCATCAAACAACACGTATTGGTTACCGCCAACCACTTTGTTTCCTTGCATTGTTTGTTTAGTGGCGGTATTGTCAATGATTTCTCTTTCAGCAACTGTATCATAAAGCGAAGTAATAACACCATTTGAAGAGATTTTGGCCACCAATAACCCATTGGATAAAATGTAACCTTCGTCGTTGGATTCAACGCTGGCAGGGTATTTCACTTTTTTGTTCACCTTGGTCTCTCCCGAAATGTAATCAATAGACAATTGAAGCTTGCCATTGGCAGTAATATGTCCATCCTTCTTGAATGTCTTGTACAAATCTGGTGACTCATCTTCACTAAGTTCAACAATTTCATTGTGTCTATCCCAAGGTAAAGTATTGACAACTGCGTTGCGTTTAGGTTTACCTGAAGCTTCGAAGGCTTTGAAAATCAACTTGTCAGCTTTTTCTAATAAACTTGTCAACATGGGAAACACTTCCTCATAGTAAACCATACCAATGCAACTACCGGGCAATACATCATGAAACTGACATAAACAAAGATCTTCCCATAAATCGTTAATCTCCTTGGAGGGGTAAGTGTAATCCTTATTCTTGAGACTAACCAAACCAGCAACTAATTCCAAATCGTGCAACTTAATCTCACCTTGTCTCATAAGTCTCTTGATCTTTGCTTGCACTGTATAAGTACCACGATGAAACTCAAGATAAATCTCACCCGTCCAAGTGGGCAACGTCAGTCCATTATTTGATTTCTCCAACAAATGATCGTAAAAATCCTCAATCGAAACGTCCAATGCCACTGATGGAAGTAAACCCACCTCGTTACTCAAACCTCTACACCGTCTCAATTTTTCAATCATTTCTGGGGTTGGACCACCACCACCATCACCAAAACCATAAAGTAACAATCCAGTTGGTACATCTCTTAAGTTCTTGTGTTGATGTTGTGATCTCAGGACATCACCAAAGTTTGCTGCTGCTGTGTAGGTATTATCCGGAGGCATGTGCACCAATACTTGAGATCCATTGATCCCCTTCCAGTTGAATGTAGTGAGTGGGAATGTATTGATGTTATTCCATGATAGTTTTTGTGTCAAGAACCGATCGATACCGGATAATTGACAAATTTGTGGGATTTGTGAGCTATAACCAAAAGTATCGGGTAACCAAAATATATTTGACCTAAATCCAAATTCAGCTTGAGAAAATCGTTGTCCCAAGATAAATTGTCTTAGTAAAGATTCACCGTTGGGTAAATTAGTATCATTCTCAACCCATGATCCACCAAGTGGGATAAATTGATTTCTCTTGAATTTTTCCTTTATATCGTCAATAATTTCAGGATATGATTGTTTCAACCATTTGAATTGTTGCATTTGTGATGCTACAAATACATATTCGGGATACTTGTCAGCAATTTTCAATTGAGTAGTCCATGACCTAACAATTTTCCTCTTTGTTTCAGCAAATGGCCATTCCCAAGCAGTATCAATGTGACAGTTTCCCACGCCAAATACATCAATACGTTTGTTATTCTTGTTTGGGTAGTCATTAAACACTGCTTCTGAATTGATCTTATCACCGAGCAATTTAGTAGCCAATTTACGACACTCTTTAATTGAGTCGACATTTTCAGGATCAAACGCATTCATAATCTTGGTACAAACATCAGCTGCTTGATATTTTTGCCATCCGCCAGGGAACTCTCTTGCTGCATCGCCCAAGATCCAAAAATCCCAAAAGAGACGTCTAGCTTCTAAATTAGGAACCACTAAATGAGCCTTGTTCAAGCGGAAATATCTGTTTGGATTTGGTTCACCATCAGCACCATTACCAAACATTCCATTACAAGCAACTTCGATGTAAAATAATTGTCTACCAGTTTTTCTAAACTTGTCGGGAATTTCAAACAAGTTACGATCACCACCAGTAAAAGCTTGCAAGGGGAGACCGTTGGCATCATAAATCAATGCTTCGGAGCTGGAATCCCATTCAATTTCCAATCCTTCATATTTAAGCCAATCTTGAGGAATATCCAAGTGGAATTTGACCCAAAATGTCTTCCAACTGGGTCCAAAATTGTATCCTAATCCAATATGCTCCCAAGATACTTCATCAAACTTGATATCACGAAATAATGGTCTTTGAGTCCTACCTTCTTTGTCATCGGGCACTTTCCAAGTTTGTAAGTTACCAATTTCAGTTCTATGAATGTCATAAAATTTGGGCAAGTTCAAACTAGGGTATTGGCCTCCGGTGTCGGTGAATTGACGCAATCGAGCTTCATAGAGGTGGTCAATTGGTTTAAAGTTTGGTTGATGATTGAAATTTTCGTATCCCATTGATTATTGTTGGCTGGTTGATGGAATAGAAGGTAACTGTAGTCAAAAGAACTAACTGTTAGTTGGAAACAAATTTAAGGGGGTGAGAGTTTCAGAGTTTTGTCGGAGAAGAAAAAAAAGGAAGCGGAAACGTGGAGTGAGAGTTGAGCGGCACTAAAAATTCCAAGAGCAAAACACTACATAGTAGTGGTTATATTTAACTACGCCCAATGGGTACACTACACTTGAAACAGCTTGGGATTTACTTGCATCTATTATATAAACGATAGAAAAACAACAAACGATACATACACGCGGCCTCTTTTTATTGAGTGTGTACTTCCTTATCTTCTTCAACACTAGCAATGTTTGGACTCTCCTTATGCAATGAATCAGCATGAATCTTTGGCAACTTGATTGAAAACCCTTTAATCAAGCTAAATTCATTAGTAATCTTGCCTCCTAAATCTTTAATCTTGTTTTTAATTGATTCAGCTTCCTTATCTGAAGTGTCATCTTTTAAAGTGACAATGTAGCCTTTATCGTCAGACATAGTTATTGTTGTTGTTGTTGTTGTTGTTGTTGTTGTTGAAGAGTAATTGAAACGGCAGGGGTGTTTTGGTTGAGATTGGAGTATAGCTCTAGCAGCAATTGATAGTCTAATCTTTATTCCTTAAAAGAAGAAGCAAAAGAAGAAGAAAGGATAGGGAGATTGTGAATTTTTTTTGGTCTAAAGGCAAAATGTCGAAATTGTGTTTGGCAAATTTAGTCGCCACAGCATTTTCTGTGTTGTTGTTGTTGCTGTGTTACTACAACAGTAGTTAGTCAGTTAGTTAGTAGTTGTGAGTTTTTGTGTAACAACATGTAAATACTCAGCTTATCTATTCTCTTTTTGACAATAGTACACTACCCTCTGTTCTTTATTTACAGCAAACTAACTATTAGACTCCATCAATACACCTATAACACTAGCAATTAACGCTTACTCACACTCACACGCACACACACACACACACACACACACTAACACAACCATACATCATCATATCAATGTTGGTGGTGTATCAGAAATACTATACCCCATTGGATAGGTTTATCAACAAATTCAGACGCAAGGGGTTTTGGCTATACACTGGATTAATCACGATATCACTACTTTATATGTTTTACGAAATATCTCATTTACCAGATATACCACCACCGGAGTTACCACCACCGGAGTCACCACCAGCAAGAAGGAGATCAAAAATAAAACCTAACTGATTGTTGCTACTCAGCTGTGCACATTTCTTTGTTAAAACCAATTGAAATTGTTTTATTGTGAATTTTCAGAGACACGAGATCAGTTGAGTACAATTTGGAATCTTGATTACGATTATGTCTATGGTATGCTGATTGTTTCAATTTACAAACGTCTTTGGTGCAATTTTGTGGATAGGGCATATTTCGTTGGTTTATTGGTGTTAGTCAAAACGGAATATAAAATCGACAGCCGTGTCTTCTCTTCTTTTGATAAATACCATTCATTACTTGCTGCAAATTGTTTCTTTTTGCTAGAGAACATGTATATACCAGAGAGGGAGAGAGAGACCAAGTACATACAAAATACATTCTATAAATCAACTATATAAGCCTGCTTACTTCATTAACCCAATTGCATTCGTATAATAACACCCTTTGCAGCACATTTCCCCCCTTCAGTTGTGTCCTCTGAGTGTGTATCCATGGCGCATAGCATACACTCAAACGCAAGCAGAAATTCATCGCCACAATGCTTTTTTAAACAACAAAGGTCATACCCGAGTACCGTCCATTATGGCTGTTTCATCTATTATCTTAGCAAGCGCTATTCTCAACAAAGGCTTCCACGATTGGTCAACGGGCCAGTGGTTTGACGTTGTCATTCACGTTGTTTTCATTCCGGGTTTAATTTATGTTAGTCGGAGAGCAAGAGCATCCCAAAAAAGGTTACACTGAGGCAATGACGCAAAAGAGACAGTTGGCGCAATTGAGCTCATCACAAGGCTGCACATCCGCCTTTTATGATAAATGATCGTTTGTCGAAGTATGCTTCAACCTCGGGCGGAAGGTTCTTCATAGCTATTTGCATCAAGACTGGGTGCAGCACCAATTCCAGGTCCACTTGAAATACTACCACCTCAAGCGCCAGCAACACCACCGCTGTGAATAAAACGTTATCGGGTCATTTTTCCCCACATCAAAACACACCTTTCGTCCAAGCCTCTCAGATAATCAAACATAAAAGGTAAATCACCTTTTTGGACAAGGCCAATTCTCCTTTTCGTCAAGTACATCCAAGTAATTTCGGTTTGGTGAACTACTCCAAAAAGGAAGTGCTACATCTAGGCGGCCGCGTCATTGTTTAATAAGCCCCAAGAAGGATTTAAGAATTTCCTTGGTGGAGTTTTCATTTTCATTTCTTCTTTTTTTGTCTTTCTCAATGCACACATTGATGTATGAACTCGATGGTGGATGGAGGCTTTCTGCAAAAAATAGGCCAGTGAGAATGAGAGTTCATGTAATTGGTAAGGTATCGAGCGATCTCATTGCCGTTGTGGTCTGTGCCCAAAGCACTAAAGCTTTAACACGAGCTTTAGCTTATGAAGCTCAGAATTCGTCACGTGATGTATGAACATTGACACAAGAACGTTAATGATTACTGAAAATAAGGCAAAGGAAGTAACTGTAATTGAGAAAAAGTGTCGTATCTAGTTTCTATAAGCCATTGAGTGTACCATTTTTCAGCTTTAAGGGAGCTGCTCCTTTATTATTCCTCTTTTGTGTAAAGCTAGTGATGGAGCCTTTTTGAGGATGAGCAAATATATTTCATTGTGTTGCTTATCACTTGAACGTGTAGGTATAACTTGCAAGGTTTTTTTGTTACCAAGTCTAGATAACAATAATATGCTCAATTGATTGCGTGAGCAAAAATCTCAAATCTATATAAATAGCACAACGTATCCCGCTTGCATTGACTTCTCATCGTATTGGCCTCTCCTAAGAAAGATATTGTTCATCTCTTTTGTCATTGGCAACACATATGCAAAAACTAGTGTACGCAATGGCTCCAATAATGAAAACACTACTAGAGTTCTATTTCACCGCTCACCATTGAACCAAATGGCAAGTGGACCAGCACCACCCGCCAATGAAAAACTAGTTGCTTCTTTCGGTTAAATCTCGGATATATATCATATCGGCACTTGCCACAATTTTTGCAAGCACACTTTTTCAATAGCAAACTGAGATATTTTTTCCTACACCCCACACACCTACCCCTTGATTACGTCATATAAAGAGAACGATATATAAATACACTACAAACTACAGACACCAAATCAATTATTCATAGCCCTTTTCCTTAAAGCATATCGATATCAAAAAAAATGGTTAAAGCAGGTATGTCGAATTCTGTTTACTAAAGTGGCTCTCTGGAATCCACTTCCACTCAACGTTTTTGCTCGAAATAGTACTAACTCTATTGGATTCAGTTGCTGTACTCAGAGGAGATTCAAACGTTAGCGGAGTCGTTAGATTCGAACAAACTTCCGAATCAGAACCAACTAAAGTCACGTATGAGATTTCCGGTAATGACCCCAATGCTCAACGAGGATTCCACGTTCATGCATTTGGTGACAACACCAATGGATGCACCTCAGCTGGTCCTCATTTCAACCCATTTAGTAAGACCCATGGTGGGCCAGATGATCAAGAAAGACATGTTGGTGATTTAGGTAATGTTGCTACTGATTCTCAAGGTGTTGCCAAGGGAACCAAACTGGATTCATTGCTTAAATTGATTGGTGCAAATAGCATTCTTGGTAGAACCGTCGTTATTCATGCTGGTACTGATGATTATGGTAAAGGTGGTTTTGAGGATTCAAAAACCACTGGACACGCCGGTGCTAGACCAGCTTGTGGTGTTATTGGATTGTCAGAGTAAGTGTAGCGTATAGAAGAGAATAAATTGTTTGGATTAGTTGTTACTTTAGGTTGGCAATTGGATCTACAAAGAGGGCCGATCTATTAAAGGGTATAATTAAACAACCAATGCCAACAAGTTTATTTTTCGTATGAATTCCCCTTGTAAAGCAACGATTCAATTCCAACAAACTGGTGATGCAATTCACCAAGACTAGCTCTAATCACATCAAGTTCTTTTTCCTGCTCAACAATCTGAGCGATATGCAATTTCAAATAATGTTGTTTTAAAGACATGGGAAATAACACGGCGTTGGAATCGTTGATAATTTGTTGAATCGTATCATAATTGGTTTCCAGTTTAAGCATGGTTGATGTTGTTGTAATGATTTTTCGTTTTTCCAACTCCAATGATTGATAAGCGGTTATGGCTTTGTATTTGGTGGCTTTAGCTTTGTAGATTGTTGCTAGTTGATGAAGCTTGTCGGAGAGTTGTGTGCCAAGGTCGGTCAATTGTTGTTGTTGCTGCTGTTGTTGTTGGCGGGTGTTGACTTTTGAAGATGATGTCTTTGATGATGGTGCCTTTGTTGATGATGTCTTTGACGGTGGCGGTTTGTTCTTAGGGGTGGGCTGGCCAGAAGTAGGTGTTGGTTGAGTAGGAGATGCTGATGAATTGGGTGAAAAGGGTGAGACGGCTGAGACTGGTGGAGGCTGGTGCTCACACTCTGGTGGTAAAACTGGTAACGGTGGAGGAGAATGAGCTTTTTGCAGTGGCTTGGGGGTAGAAGTTGACTTTACTGGTGAAATGGTCTTTGTTGGTGACACAGGCTTGACTAGTGAATTAGTCTTCCCCTGTTCACCTAACAAAGCTTCCGACTCTGAAGAAGAAGATGATGATGATGGTGATGAGCTACGATCAAGTACTTGCATTGATTTAGTTGTTCTTGTTGACCGAATGGGACGTGGTTTTGTAATTGTCATTACTTTAGCTCTTTTTAGAGAAAATGACAATTGCTTATGAGTTTTATATCTGGTTGGAATGGTAGAAGGGTATTTATGTATATATATATATATATATATATATACATATATTCGGGATGCTTGGTCCTCTTTTTTTTTTGGTATCTGTGTGGATATGGACTTGTGTCTCAGTCTTCTCTTGTTTTTGTTATGGCTGCGAAATCGGAATTGAGAATTGTGTTTTTTGTATATGCTGATATACACTTCACATTTTACAGCTATCAATGCATGAAGTTCTCTTTTGATAACTACAAAGTAAAGCTCTCAAACGGTTACAGCTACTACTCAACCTTTTCTATTTAAGAGAATCCTTATTTTCTCTTCTAAGGTATGTTTTTTGGAATAAATTATAGAGACAGCTTGAGATCATTACATTTTGGGCTCTTCACTTAAAGAACTATGAATCAAAGTGGCACACTTCTGAATATAGTACTCTAGCTTTGGACTAGTATTATCAACTTGTGACGTTATCCACTTACTACAGAGATTGCGATTGCTTACAAATCTGTCAAGAAAATATGCTAAAAATTGTTTATACATTTGTTGTAGAGTTTTCTCTACAGCACTTGACTACACATAATTTTTCGACTGAGCTTCAGAGTAGGAGAGAATAGCATCGATTGAAAAGCATACTTTTTAAATAGACATGTATATACACGGTGAAATGTGATCAGGGCGAAACTGAGGCAATAACGCAATTCAGGCAGATTTTGATTTTGGTTTTGTTTCATCTAATGTGGAATGTTGACAACTGACTGGAATGTAAAATGCATCTTACTTTTTTTTCAACCAGAGGACATTCCACTAAAAACCAACATGACAGTATGATTCAAACGCATAGTTGGTTAGACTATACACCCACCCGTCTACAGTTGTTTTATGTCTAATGTTTGTTCTTTGTTTTTTGTGTCTTTTTGTAGTACGAGGTTTTACATACTTTGTGTAATTTCGAAACTCGAGATTGGGCTCGAAAATGACAGGATGGAATGCAGTTGGCATATACACATACTCAAGGCACCGAAACTATGCTCTTATGAGAGTATAGGAAAGAAAATTCAAGTGCACCCGCTCTTGTGTTTTCAATTTATTATCGCCTTTTCTTTTTCAGTTTTGCCTCAATATACAAGGCGTGATACAGTTTTGTTAATTGACAACGGGCAGTTTAAAATCACGATTGTTGATGACCACTGATATTTGAATTAGCATTCTTTTCTTCTTCTTCTTATTCTTCGTGACTACCAGTTGATGTTGTTGTATTCTGGTGTATTTGTTTTCATTTTGTTCGTATTCAGTAATAACCTACATTCATATTTTAGACGATGCTTGTTTTTTATCTGTTAAAAACATTCATATTTTATTGATGTTTTTATGCTCTTATTCTTGGAATTCAAACATCAGTGATCATGTATCCCAATTTGCCATCGATGTATATATATATAAAGCTCTTATCTTGTAGTCTTTTCTATAGAATCTAATCGCTTCTTACTGAACTTAGAACGGCAATTCTGTTGTTGTTGTTGTTGTTGTTTTGTTTATTTTTGGTGCAACAAAATCAAAAACTAAAATCATACAGAAAGTAAGATCTAAATATTCCACAAACACTTCCCCCCACCCATCACCACAAGGTCATTCCACTTGAACAACTGACCGCAAACAGCATTATCAAACACGGCTTAGTCCTATATAATCTATCCATTCACACACACAAACACATTCATTCTATTCAGCAAAGCATCGAATAATTATCACGTTATTAGGGGCTCTAAGTTTTACGCGTTCTCAAAACGTATGATGTCATCTAATACAGCCACTACCATCACCACCACCATCAGTAGTAATATGTCACCCTTTAGCATAGACAGAAACAACAATCACAATGTGCAAACAAAACAAACTGTCAAGGGAGCATCGTCACCACCGCCACTGCCACCACCATTACTGAACCATCATCCCCACTCAGTCACCACAAAACAACAACAACAACAACAATCGCCTCCACCAGTCCAACAAACACAATCCTTTACGAGTTTACGTCGTTCATCACCAATACCAAAAGATTTGAAAATACTCTGCATAAACTTCAATCAAGATCAAGGATGTTTTGCCGTTGGTCACGAATTGGGATTTCTTGTGTACAACACGGAACCTATAGAACTACGGGTAAAACGGAACTTCGGCAATACGCCCTCAAGATACAACTTGAATGTTGCTGCCACCACCACTGCATCCAACACAACAAGCGTAACCTCTTCCGGATCCGGATCTGGTATCGGTCACATCACGATGTTGCATCGAACCAATTATTTGGCACTTGTTGGTGGTGGAATCAATCCTCGTTTTCCTACCAATAAGTTAGTTATATGGGATGATTTGAAACGCAAAAATAGTTTATCGTTGGAGTTCAATAAACCGGTGCTCAATGTACTTTTATCAAGGATCAAAATTGTTGTCATTCTAATTGATGAGATTATCGTGTATTCATTTGCATCGCCACCAAAGAAGTTGATTAGTTTTGAAACTTCTCGTAATGAATTTGGCAATGCTGATATGTCAGTAACAATTGCATCTACAGCATCACAAAGAAAGCCACGCGCCTATTCAGATTCATACCCTCATGATCAGTCACAGCCTGGAACAGCAGCTGCTTCTGCGCCACGAGGAAGTCATGGATCTGTGTCAAGTACAGGATCAGCAAGTAGTAATGTATCAGTGGCCAGTGGGACTTCCCTCACTAGCATCTTGGGACACAACAGCAACAACAACAACAACACCCATCAACCTAGCACCATTCTTGTATTCCCTGGTAAAGCCATGGGGCAAATTCAAATTGTTGATCTTGCTCAACAACAACCTGGATCTTCAATGAATATAGTGAAGGCTCACAAATCAACTATACGAAACTTGTGTATAAACAAAACGGGGACCATGGTTGCGAGTGCATCAGTATTGGGCACTATAATCCGCATTCATTCTACATTGACCACCAATTTACTTTATGAATTTCGTCGTGGAATCGATAAGGCAGATATAACATCGATGAAGTTTAGTCATGACGATTCCAAACTTGCAGTGTTGTCTGATAAATATACCCTTCATATATTCAACCTACAAGAAGAAGAAGAAAAGGACAACGAATCACAACAAGAGTTACTGCAGGATAATCTGAAACATCTAGATCATCATCTGGAGAATAAACAACATGCATTAAACAAATTCATTAGTTTTCTTCCATCATCATTTATCCCCCAATATTTCAAAAGCACGTGGAGTTATTGTAGCGTTAACACCAACAAGTATCATCATCAAGAACTGGAGTTGGATAAAGGTACATTGGGATGGGTTGGCGATGATGAGGTTGTCATTATTTGGCAAAAGAAGAAAATATGGGAGAAATACACCATTATGAAGAAGATGAAACTAGACAAACATGGAGGAGGTGGTGGTAGTGGTGGAAATGTGGCGGAACTGGCTGAGTATGAAATTGTCAGAACTAGTTGGAAGTCACTTGATAGCGAGTGAAATTAGTTGAGCTTGTAAAAGAAGGGTGGAGGATTTATATTGCATATAATTGAGTATTTCTACAAGAAGAATAAATTGCATAGTTTACGTGATTCATCAACTCTTGATCACTTTTCCACATCATTGTCTCCTTTCTCTACAACGTTTCACAAAGCAACGGCAATGGTGATACTTTTTCTTCAACTTTTCTAAAATTTTGCAACTTTAACCACTTTGTACCATGAAAATTACGTATAAATCGTAACGCATCATACTCATTCATAAAATTCATCTTGATTAAGTTTATACCTTGAATTACGTTGGAGTAAATGGGTTCAATTGGTGGTGGAGAAGAAGCGCTATTGGTTTCCTGCTCTTGCTCTCCGTTGCTCCTGCTAAGGTTATAGTTCCATAATGACTCGATAACTAGATCCTTTTTGAGACCAAAGGGCCAGTTGTGGATCAAGATTGATTTTGCTCTGTTTGGGGCGTTGATTAAATGGGTTAGAATCGGGTATGATTCATCATAGAGTGGACATGATATAAGTGGTTCAAATTGCGATGGTGTAGATGATGAGCTAGTTGCGATATGGTGTTGCTTTAGTGCTTTTATTTGATCCAACAGTGATGCATTTGGTGTAGATGATGATGATGTGGTATATTGTTTTAATGATTCAATTTCATGTATTAAGGATTCATGATTAGCAACGCGTAGTTTCTCAGGCACCAAATCATCAATGATATCCTCAAAGCATTGAAACTCAGTCCTGAACTGTATTCCATTGATTAATTTCCCTTGAGTTTCCAATTGAAATATTTTCGCATTCAAATGGGATTTGAATATTAAAATGTACTCATTTTGAAATTGTAAAAGTGGCCCACTTCTTCTTTTAACCATTTCGAAATTGTTTATTGGGTTTAACGAATATGTCAATTGATGTTCTTTAGGAAGCAAGTTTTTGAAATCTTGTTTTGTAATAAACAGATTTATGCATTTAAATGAAAGGATATTTGATGGTGTTGAAATGTGGGGGCCAGTTTTGAGCGCTTCTGTAGCTGGGAGTTTGCGTTTTGTTGTTTGATACGTTGATAGGAGATCATTATTGGTGGTGGAGTCAGCTGCATCGGCGTCGAGGTCTGAGTCGGGGTCATTGTAGAGTTGTCGTGTTATTCGAGGAATTGCTTGTGACGTGTCTGTGCTTGTTGCTGCTTCTTTGTATAAAAGGTTTATTAACTTCTTAGCTGTAGCTGTCGTAGCTGTAGTAGTGGGTGTCTTCAGCATTTTGTTTGATTTGAATCTGCCTACAACTTCAATGGGCTATCCTGCCTGGTACTTGAAAAATTGAACAAACTTTCAACATAAGTCAAGAGCGCTACCGGTAGATGTCTTGTAGAAAGTTAAGTCACTGTTGCCGCATCATCAATGGGCGTAACTAGTGCTATAGGCCAAGTATTGCAATTTAGTTTCTGAACAGATGAATCCTTTTGTTTTATGATTTATATAGTGTTATCAGTCACCTTTTACCGTGTTTTATCTTGTGCCAACGTCTGCACCTCTCGTAAATGAAATGGTTGGTATTGTTGTTACTTGTATGCAGGATAAAGACCAACTCTGCAGGGAAAAAAAAAAAAAAAAAAAAGGACCAGAGAGACGAGATAGTCCATCTAACGAGGCCACCACAGTACATTACACAATAGAGTTTCCCCTTATACTGCGTGAGAGAGACACTACTGCTAACGTCCTTTCAATTTATACTGAAAAAAGCCATCCATCTGTGCATACATCTTTGCTGGTATCTTTGTCACACTATCAGCTCATAGCTAGGGTTATTGTCTTTTGGCCCCTCCCTGATTATCGCCACTTCACAACAAGAGACAAAACATCAATCACCATTTTTCCTCACCACTACCGCCACTCACTTCTACGAAGTTCTACTTGTATATAATAATCACCATCATCGACAACCAACTGTCCCTTTTTACCATTTTGTGTATATACCCAAAGGTGCTAAGAATAAAGTCACACAGTCCATAACTAACCACTACAGTGAGCGCCCACGTTTAACACTTCTTTTTATTTTTTTTCGGAGCCATTTTGTATTTTGTTTTTTTCCCCATTTGAGAAAGATACACAACAAAGCTCCAAACAACTTAGAAAGACCATCACCAGAAATACAGACATTTCCCACCCCCCCTCACCTCAGACATGCCTTCCGATACAATTTGGTCAAGTGCTAGCACATCCCCTATCCAATCTAATTCACTGTTATCTGCTAATTCGTACAATAAAAACTCATTCAAATCAGTGTTGAATCAAGTTGACTCTGATGTTGCTCGGTTCTTGTCAAATACAAATCCATTGGACCCGTTGAGTAGTGATCGAAGATTCTCATTCAATGATGGTAGTGATATTGAGGATGATTTCTTTGGATTAAAGAGAGGTGCATTATCAGCAATTACTGCCCCAGTTGGTGGGAACAATCATCACCATCACCATCATAATAACAATAATAACTCAAACACTTCCCCAGTTAATGGAAACAGAATCAATTTTGGTACCGCTTCAATTAGTGGTGGGATTGCAAGCAGACATCCACCTCAAGAGAGTTTTTTACAAAAATTTGCCAATGTTGGTGATGCAACGAGGGAAATTGAATTGGGTAAATTGTCTTTGGACGGTTCAAGAAGAACTAGTTTTAACAACGACAGGTATGGTTCTGGTTCTCTTAATGAGAATTTGAACATGCCCGTGCCTCGTTCATCAAGACACCAGTCAATTAGTGAAAAGATTGACTATTACAACAACAGTTCTCCTATTCAGGGTCATGGGTCTGTCAATGGTGGTGATTTGGCACCTGCGGAGATAAATAACGCAACAGTTGCTTCGTCATCACATGTGCCTCAAACTTTTTGGAATCCCGCGGCGGCTACTTCGTTTACTCCCTATAATCCTAATTTCATGGAAAGTTCTGTGCCAACTCCACCACCTATGCCGTTTCAAAATTCATTTTATCGTAACCATCCACAGCCACAGTCACAGCCACAGTCACAGCCACAGTCACAAGATTCCAATGGCAATGGCAATGGCACCACCTCACCTCCAATGCCTCCTCCCTTTATGATTCCTTCGCCACCTCCGCATCCTCAAATGATGGATCCAATGTTTAGTATGATGTATGGAAACTTTCCCATGCCATTCCCACCACCCATGCCACCACAACCTAGTGAAGAGAAAGATAAAGATGATGATTCCACTGAAGCTAATGAAGGTAAAAAAACTCAGGGGCCTATTGGTGTGGGGCTTATGAATAGACAGTTTTCTCCTGCAGCATTTATGCTTCCTTTCAATCCCTACATGTATCAGCAAGTACCACCACCAACTATGCCCGACGCAATGAGAATGGCATCTCCACCACCACATCAACCACCTCCAACATCTTCTTCAGCATCATCGCTGCAACTGCAACAACACCAACAGCAACCACTGTCAAAGAATCATCACCATCATGGTCCAACCGGATCAGCTCCTCCATCATCCTCAGGAGCAAACTCATCCAAGAAGAAATCCAACAAGAAACCATTCATTTATCGCTCACCACTACTTGAAGAAGTACGTGCCAATCAAAGTAGCTACACACTCAAGGATATCTTCGGACATGGTGTTGAATTCACCAAGGATCAACATGGATCAAGATTTATTCAAACTAAGCTTCCACAATCGAGTGACGAAGAAAAAGAGGTTATTTTCAAGGAAATTTGTGACATTTCATTTGATTTGATGACGGATGTATTTGGAAACTATGTCATGCAAAAGTACTTTGAGTATGGTTCTGAACAACAAAAGCAGATATTATTGCAGAAAATGTTGGGACACATTTATGAATTGTCGTTGCAGACATATGGATGTCGAGTCGTTCAACGAGCTTTGGAATCATTACAAGAACAAGATCAATTGAAGATTATTTTGGAATTACAAGATAAAGTTCTTGTGTGTGCAACCGATCAAAACTCCAACCATGTGATTCAAAAGAGTATTGAATTGATTGATTTTGATAAAGTTCGATTCATTTTGGATGTATTAACTGGTCATTTTTATCATCTCTGTACTGATCAATACGGATGTCGCGTTGTTCAAAGATTGATCCATTTTGGAAATGATAAAGATAAACAAATGATTTACAATGAAGTGGAATCTCATTTGGGATTTTTAATTACTCATAAATTCGGAAATTATGTGATCCAAGCATGTTTGGAAAATCAACTTCGAGAACAAGACATTTTTACTACTGTTGTTTGTAAATTTACTCATTTTGCCACCAACAAGTATGCCCTGAATGTATGTGAGAAATTGGTTGATCTGGCTACACAGTTGCAATTGCAAAAGATTTTGGAAGTTGTGATGCATGGTAATGAGTTGGAACGGATTATGGGAGATGAGTATGGTAATTATGTCGTGCAGAAGATTGTGTCGGTGCTTGATGGCAATAGTAGCGAAAAGAAGCAGTTGGTTGTGAAGTTGCAGCAATTGTTGTCTAGAAATAATAGTGGTAAAAAGAGTGTGGAGAAGATATTGTCGTTGTGTATGGAGGAAACTGCTGGGACGAAATGACGTGTAAGTAAATAATGAAGAAGGAGGAGGACATTTTTGGTGTGGGTTGTATATAGGAAGATACATAGTTTTGTTGTTATAGTGTCTAGTTTGTAGATAATAATGTTTTGTATATAGAGAAACCTTGTGAATAAAAATAAAGATGTTTGCATAGTTGTAATTGTTGTAAAACACTGTCATATTAAGGAGATACTGTCCATATACATAAAAAGAGTACGAGTGTGAATGTGAATGTGAATTAAAAAGAATTGAAAATTGTCCAAGCATGTGTGTGTCGCGTATGTGTCTGTGTTTATGTCTGTGTGTGTGTGTGTGTGTGTGTGTGTGTGTGTGTGTTTGTGCTAATTGAACGATCGAAGTAGTTCCCATTTGAATTTATTCCAATTCAGCTCCGCTTCTTGTGATGCATCATCATCACCATCACCATCACTGCGATACTGCCTATACAATTGTCTCACTTGCATGATATCAACCTTTAACTCAGTTTGGCTAATTTGTAAACTATCGAATAAAGTAATCCATTTCAATATTGTTAATTCTTCAATATTGATGATTTCATCATGGGAAATATACTTTGTTCGTGTGCTTGTGGTTGTTGTTGTTGTTGTGGTGGTGGTGGTGGTGGTATTGTTGTTGTTATTGCAATAATGATGTGATGGAGTGGCGTAAATTTCCAACCCCTGACCGTCTGAACTGATTGATGATGTTTTGGAGATTGTTATTGGCAATGCGTGGTTGGTCTTTGTATCTGATGATGGTGACGCAACTGAGGTTATAGTGGTGGTGTTAGCGCTAGAGCTAGTAGTTCCGGCAGAACTTGCTTTGGATGACCTTGTTGAGCTTGTTGTTTGCTGCTGATCATTTTTCAAACTTAGCAACGAAGTTGTACTACCGTCTGAAGTCAATGAAGACCCAGTGTCTAAATTCAAATAAGCACCGATTGATCCACCAGGATGTTTCAATCCAAATAATTTTTTCCGTTTAACCAAATCTTGTTCAATCAACTCTGATAAGCTCAATATAACCGAATCAGCCAAAATCAATGATAATGTAGTTGACACCGTAGGGGCAGGTAAGCCATGTATCATTTCTTCGTTATGTGAATTGGGTAAATCTGCCAACAATAAGCTCAGTATACGATTACTAGTTGATAAATTGGAAAACTTGTTACATGTGAGTAAAATAATCGGTAAATTGCATGATAAATGAGGTAGCAAGTTGATCAATTCTGGGGTGTTTCCCGATGCCGTCAACATGATTAAGCAATCGTGGTTGTCGTTGATGATACCCAAGTCGCCATGGAGTGCTTCCAGTGGATGCAAGCAACTAGCTTGTATACTTAGCGAATTGAACGTGGCCACTAGTTTCAGGGCCAATTTATGTGATTTGCCAATCCCAGTAATGATGATTTTCCCACCACGTGTGTGCGTTTGAAATAGGGTTGTGATTGAATGGATTAAATTGTCAATGGAGAATGAATCGGTTGTGTATTGGTGGTGCAAGTGCGATACTGCTTCTGTTTCTAGTTTGATTGTGTTGAGAATTGATTGGTGACATCGGTTGATCATGGATTGAGTGAGACGTGATAGTGGGGGTGGGGGTGGAGGTGCAGACGTTGTTGCCGTTGGTGATGTCGAAGAATACATTGGCGTTGTCTTTGTATAGGGCGCGTATACTGGTGAGTCCAAGGCTATGTGAAGTTGAACTGAAAATATTTCGATCGTGTGTAGAAGGGTTCAGTAAGTATGGTATGTGCGTCGTATGCTATGGATTTTCTGGAGGATCAGTACGTAGTTGGTTCAAGAATGTGAAAGCTATAAGCGCCTTTGGTCTTGCTTTGCTTTTCTATTTTTTTTTTTTTTGGTATAGGATGTGATATTCTCTTAAATAAGAATTCTTTGATAGCTTGAGAATATTTTCTTGTGGTCTTCTTACACAAAACGTGTTGTAAATAATAGTAATAAATAATATAATTGAAGTATAGAGAGATTAGTAAGCTTGTGGAATGTAACTCACTAGCAATTGAGCTACGAAAGGTGCTCTGTTGCTTTTGTCTAGTTGTCAGTCTATTTAGAAGTAATTGGTTTCAAGATCCGCCAAATAAATTGATAATCATCATTAGCAAAACTAAAGACAAGGTCTGGTCTTTCTGTGTCCTGAGAAATTTCTTTTTCCCTTTTCTGTCTGTGTGTCTTAAAGTTTATATTTGCTCATTTTCGAATAGAAAAACTGTGCACGTGATGAAGTACTTTATATACTTGATGTGGTCTTCATCAGTATGACTTAAGCTTGTCATCCTGGCTGCTTTTTTTTTTTTTTTTGGCTAGTAGTATAGAACAAGCAGTTAGTGGGGTGTTTCGGTGTTTCACTGTAATTTGCTTGAATAGATTATGCTTCTTATCTCCGGTTTTCGGATGAATATTCCACCATATGCAAACTCCGTCTCTGCAGACATTGTTTCAAATATGCAATTTTCGTTTTAAAAGACAACACTTGTGAACAGTTTCCTCCTCCATTCTCTCAGTTTAATTAGGAAGCTCCTCCGAAAACACTAACTCCGTGTGTTCGTCTAGATTATTGTGGCGTATCTCTCTTACTTTCTCTTCTAATTATCAATAGTTATGTCGTAATAAGATTGTTAACTTTTAGATCCGCCACAATTACGATATTTTATTGTTTTATATCATTCTGTCCTTGTTTGTGACACCATTGCAGGAGCCACCAATGAACGAAATGAACCAGAAGAAAAAAAAAAAAAGAAAAATTAGAAATCTCGGTCCGGAGATGGGAAGTAAGGTTGAGGAAGGGGGACATACCTCCGATCCCATAACCACCACGATGTTTTAAGAAAGTAGTATTTAGCTAGATGCTTTTCGGTTAGTTTACATGACACGTTTCAAGTTGCTTACTCTCATCTATAGGAATCCTTTAGGGCATAATTGTTTTTTTTTTTTTTTTTTCTCCAAATTTGGAAGAAACTTGCTCAAATTTTGCAGCAATTCTTTATAAAATTTGTTGTTTTGAATGGTGGATATTGAACGAAAAGCAGAAACAATCTTTACAATATTGCTTATTCACGTGAAGAAACTGAAGAAACTACTACGATAGTAGATAACAAAGATGAACAAACTTCACTACAAGCACATCCTCACTGCACTTGTTACCCGTGGGCTCGGCTTATGCATCGTTTTATAGATTATGGAAGTACTTCCTAGCAAAAAATTAATTCCCCACCCGTGAAGTTTGCTTTCGAGCTACTTCTAAACGGTCTCATAGTCAAGCGGCAGTACATAGCTTGACCTCTTTCTCATTGTAATCTCAACTTCTAACTTTAGTATCAATTATTTCCCTCTCTAGAGTATAATACTGCATATGGGGCTGATCGAGACTCACTCACGGTACAAAAAACTTTCTTTGTTGCAAAGATTCAAATATAAGGTAAACACCTCAATGATCAAATGACAACTGCGATAAGTCTTCACTTGTTCAAAGACATCTCCCCTTTACAAATAGTCATACTAATTGTTATCAAGATCTACTCAATCAGTAATGTTGCACCAAATGTATTGATTAAAATTGCCCGATTGATTGAACACAAGCATGTGGTTACATGGGACAATCACAGTTTGAATATGTTGTCAGACTTGAGTAGTCTACGAGAATACTTCAACGATGAAGCATGTTTCACTCAAATTTTACGGTTTTTAAAGCAAATTCACTCGATTGAGGACTTGGATGGAGTTATGAAGGGGTTCAAAGAAATGGTTACTGACGAGAAACCAACAATCGAAATCAGGAAAACGTTTACCCCACAGTCATTGTTCGGAGCTTTTATTGTACAGGCGTGTATACTCTACGAACTGCTTGAATTCCGTCAGCTTATTTGTTTGTATCAACTGTTGGACCAATTTCGGGGAACTAGTTTGGAATCACAAGATACTATGGAGAAAGATGAGCTACAAATAGCGCTCGAGGCCCAACTAGCGAAAATCAGTATCAACCCATCAAACGAACTACCCGTCTCCACAACAAAGCTGTACTTGGATCAACTAATCAATGAACAAGTGACGATATTGGAGACTTTTGGAACACCAACTCCAACATCTTTGAAAGAAGTAATGCGATTAATGGGCTCGTCTCGTGGCTCAATTGAAAACATCATGTTCAATCAGGTACCCAACTACTACTATCTCCTGTACTTGGAGAAATTGGCGCAATTGGATTATAATGGTGCTGTCGATTCCTTACACCAATATTTTGACTACATGGTTAGTAACAATTCAAAATATTTTTACCATTTTGCTCTAATATCAAAGGCTTCTTTGCATCAGTATTTTGGCGAAGACCAAAAGGCAATAGACAGCATTGAGGAAGCGGTAAGTGTGGCTAGAGAGAACAAAGATAATGCAACACTCACCTACATTTTGAGTTGGTTTTACAATTTCATGCACCACAAGCCACATTTATGGGCTCAACAGTCATTGTTTAGCAAAAACAGTGGCAATCATTTGTTGGACTTTATTATCAAAAAAAGCTCCGGAGTGAATCAGCTGTTGCTAACGGTAAATTTGGGATTTGAAACGCTACACATGATGAATAATCTGCAACCTATTTCCACTTACGCAGCGAATTTGGTTAAAACAATGTATGTTGCACTGAATGATCTGAAATCAACATTTTCGCGAAGTGCTGATGTGGCATCTATTGTTTGGGATAGAATTGGTATTGCTTCATTGAGTGAGGTATACGGCGAGATTGCACTTTGTTACAGCGAAAACTCATCGGAACATACTACTTTGGAAGCAAAGAGACTATATCGTCAATTTCAAAAGGGTATCAACTGTGAGCAAGTGTATCTACAAATTCTGAGTTTGACTCCTCATGATAGTTCCTTGAAAAACGCTGTAAGAATCCAAACTTTGTTAATGCAGATAAAGTTGTACTTGCAGCAAAAGAGACTTCGCAAAGCAAAAGAAGTTTTGGACTTTTTAATTTGCAGCAAGATCAAGGACATATCGGTCAGGAATGAACTTTGTTTGCTTGACATTGAAATTGATATCGAGTACGGCAATTACAAAAGTGCGTTAGGCAAGATTAATACCATGCAACATTGTGATGATTACATGAAGATTAAGCTCAACTTGCTAAAATGTCAAATATTTGACGGCTCCGGTGCTGTGCCCTTGTCGCTATTAGTCCAGGTGATATCTTTGTGCAAAGATTATGGTTACGTGTCTTTGTTGGTGGAAGCTAGTGTCTTGCTCCTCAGAACCTTACAGAAGCAAGGATACGATGCGGATGTGAAGAGATTTGCTGATGAAGTAATGCCAATTGCCTTCACTCATGGCGACGAGAGTCTAAAACAGTCGGCACTTGAAATAGTTAAGAAATGATTTACAATACCAGTTTGCTATAATTTCAATTGTCAAATTTATGCAATCTCTCAACCCACATCTATACATCTCTCACCGCAACTTTTTACTTCCTCTTGCTGTGCTCTTCAACATCCATTCTAGCAAGAATGAGCAGCGCACTTTTCAACTGTATAACATTTGCAACCTGTTTGAAAAACCAAATGGGCGCACTCAACACTGCCGTAACAGTACCTAGCCAAAAGAATCCATAATAGTGCAAGTATACCGCAACATAGAAAAACTCATTCACGGCACAAACGATAAACAAAACTTTCCTATTGGTGTAGTACAATGAAAGTAGCTTGGATTGCGATTCATCAACATTCTTGTGTGATGTGGATCCAGCCGATAACATGGCATACATGTGAATGTAATGAGAAGCCAAGTCCAAACTAACCAATAATTGCCAAATGAAAAAATACCTTGGGTATAAAACAGCCAAATAAACAATCAAACTAGTGGTGGCACAACGATCGGTAACCATGTCCAAAACGGCACCAAATCTAGTTCCTTGATTGAACTTTCTTGCGGCGTAGCCGTCAAATGCATCCAAAAATCCTGAAATACCGTAAAAAATCAATGTGGCCACGGGGTGACTTGGCATGAGAAGGAATGAAATGACTGCTGTAATGATACGAAAGTATCCAATCAAATTGGGAATATATAGAAGTATAGTTTGCACTGTGATATCATGTGAAACACCCGACGAAGTTGATACTGGTTTCGTGGTCATATCTTGGTTGTTGTAATTGTTGCTGAAAAGATATTGTGGGGAGTTGCTTTAAAAGTCTGCGTCGGCGGAAGTCGGCGGAAACAATGGTAATTAAATGAATTGAAATGCGCGCAGCTGGGATTTGTGCTCTGTATCTTGATGCTGAAATATGAATTAACGTGAATGAACCAACTTGCAAACTTTAGCTCTCAAGGTGTTGCAAAAAGTTGTTCCAAAAGAATCAAGAAAACAGTGGAAAATTTGTTGATCTCAAAAAGTGTGTTTTGATAAATTTTCAAATTCTCGTTTGACTTTTGACTTCTTCTTGACAGATCGAGAGAAAAAATTTTGTTCACTTGAAGCTCTACTATTACTAGCTCCCCCAACGTGTTTCATCACTTTACATGACTGAATTTGTTCAATATGAGGTTGTTATCACTTTGAAAGATAACAGTACAGCAAGAGGAACCATTTCTTATGTTGACGAGAAACTGATCACTCTATCCAATGCCTTGACATCAACAGATCGGAAAATTCAGCCCCTGGTGGAGTTTTTAAACACAGACATTGCTGATTTAAAAGTGTCGCAACTTCCTCCCTATAGACCCAAATCCAATGACCAACAGAAAAAGAGTAAGAAGCAAAAGAATGAAGATATTGTAGACGATGCAATTGTCTACTCGTCCAAACCTTCGCGTTCTAATACTCCCAAACCTGAGAAATCAAAATCAAAGTCAAAATCGAGAACTGAAAGTTCCGACTTGGAACCGGAGTCCATTGAGAATGTCAAAAACGAGGAATTTGATTTTGAGGCTAATTTGGCCATGTTTGATAAAAAGGCTGTTTTTGAGGATTTCAAGAAAAATGACCATACAAGTATTAGCGATCGACTCGTGGGCCATAATAAAGTTGAGAAACCAGCCAAGCAAAAGAAACAAAAGTATGACAATGATGAAATGGTGTTGCAAGACGTTGCCAGGGATAATTGGGATCAAATTGGCAAATCGCAAGAAAATTCAAGAACAAACACCCCGAAATCTGATGGTGTTAAAACCCAAGGTAGAGCACAACAGAATCCTACAGAAGCAAGAAATAGGAATTTCAAGTTGATAAATTCTGAAAATGCCTCTCCTATTCAATCAGCATCACCAGTACAGCTTTTAGAAATTGAGCGATTATCATCTGACAATTTCGGTGTGACACCAGCAATGATGGCGGAAATATGTGCTACTAACTTGAGCAAACTTATCATCGATCGTTGTCTTGGTGGATCAGTTAGATTGAGCAATAAGAAAAATCACAACTTGCCTCCATTGGTTCTTTTGTTGGTTGGTAGTGGACGATGTGGGAGCAGAGCATTTGCAACTGGTCGTCATTTAAGTAATCACGGAGTCAGAGTGCTAGCGTTTGTGATATCGTCAGATGAGTCTGACACTGAATTGCATCATCAATGGAAGATCTTTGAGTCTGTTGGTGGTAAGGTGGTGACATCCAGTTTTGACCTTTTGATTGATATAATACGAAATCAATTAAACACTCCAGTAGAACTAATAGTTGATGCTCTTCAAGGGTATGATGACCATTTGGAAGATATATTTTATGAACCACAGGATAAAAAAACATTGACTTCTTTGATCAATTGGTGCAACTCCTCCGAGCAATCAAAAGTCATGTCATTGGACATCCCATCGGGCATAGATGGTGGCTCGGGAATACCTGATGACGAGCTAAAGGTTGACTGTTCATGGTGTATTTCCATGGGATTACCACTAAATGGTCTTCTTTTGGCTTACAAGAACAATTATTTAAGTGATGATGACATTGTACACTATTTGATTGATGTTGGTATACCTAATAAAGTATTTCAAACGAAGCAAAATTTGAGAAAGTTTGATAATTTTTGGTATACTGCAGAATCATCCATTAAATTGGATGTTGAAGCTTAGTATTAAAGAGAACAAAGCTAGTGTATAGAAAAGTTTAGAGCGACAGAAATGAAGAAAAGAAAAAAAAAATGTTGTAAACATAGAAAATTGAACCATCGAAGAGTAAACTCCAAACATTATTATACCCCAGTTGTTTCAATCCCAATGTTTGAACAGGAGCGCAACAATATTTACGACAATTGGGGTGCTTCATCTTCGTTTAGTGCGAGGAGCAACGGAGTGGGCAAATCAACAAACTTTTCAAAACCAGGATCTGGAAATTTCTTTCCATATCAAGATCAGCAACCAGGATTGGGAAATGAGAAATTGCCACTGAAGAAGTCATTTAACCTTTTTGGAAACTCATCGGATCTGAAGAAACAGAGCCCATGGAGTCATACTACACAGGGATCGTCTGCAGAGTTGGAATCATCATTTATTCCAAGTGGTGATGATAATCAAAAAAAGTTACATATTGCAGACTCCCATTTCACGTCACAGTTGTTTGAAAATGGCAACAATTATGGTAAGGCAAATTCACACAATACGGATAAGCTATTTGGTAATAACCCACCATCAACCAATCTCACGATTCATCGAGATAATGGAGTTGCAACTTTTTCCATCAATGAAAACAATAGTTCACCCCAAAACTCAGTCTCCGTAACATTTGGTAATTATACTTCACTTCAGCCCAAATCGAGACTTGGTAAGCTATTTAGTTACTTCAAAAGGGACAACAAACCAAAGGAAAAGTTGCTGAATATCCACAAAACTCCTCATGTTACCCCCAAAACATTTTCCAGTCCCTCGTACAAAGCTATTGATGCGAGAAGGATTGGAAGTATGAAAAGACTTGTACTCAAATCGAAACCAATAAAGTATCATTTGATTGATGTCAATAGAGTATTGAGTTCAAAGAGAGGTGTTGCTGTTGCTACAAATGTATCTGCTACGAAACTTTTAACTCAAGATGTGGCTTTCGACGACGATGTGGAAGACACAGAGGAGGAGGTGCAGTACAAGCCGTTTACCTCAAATGTTCTGGCTAAGAATTTCGAGGAGAAAGAAACCCCTAATCCTGTCACTGAAAAACAGGATGGGAAAGAAACCTCGGCTCAGCAGCATAATGGTTACTGGACGTACCCTTCCATTGAAGACATTGCTAAAATGGACCCTACTAGTCTTGAAGGTGTGCGAAACTTCATTATTGGTAGAGTAGGGTATGGTCAAATTGCATACGATTATCCTGTTGACTTGACGAGATTAGTCGCCAATGCTGAAAACAACGGGCACCTGATAGCTGAAGAACTCTTTGACAACATTGTCATTTTAAAACAATCGGCTGTTTTGGTTTACCAAGGGATTGATGATAAACCTCCCTTGGGGACAGAATTGAATGTGCCCGCAACTATTACCCTCGAAGGAGTCAAGCCAAAACCAAATTTATCTATGGAAAATCACATTGATTTTTTGAAGCGTCAAATTGGTATGGAATTTGTTACATATGACCCAATAACCTATGCTTGGGTATTTAAGGTGAAGCATTTCAGTATTTGGGGCTTAGTTGACGAGGATGACGAGAATCAAAAGGATTTGGTCCTGTTGAAGAGGAAGCAGGATTTAAAAGAAGCGGATGCATTGGTTGAATACTCCAAACTCTATTCAGATGATAGTCTTGATCAAGAGGTGAAGAAACAGAAATTGAATGAGTACTCAAAATTTGTTCCTGGAGGTTGGGGCTCGACTTTGCCACCCGATGACAGCTTATTAAAGCTTAAGCAGTCACTTGTGACGGACGAGATTTCCGGGGTTTTGAACCTGTACAGAGAGCTTGAAGATGATACCATGGCTGGTAGAGTTGGCGGTATCACCATTGATTCTGATATCGATGAGATCGAAGAAGTTGAGGAGGTAAAGCTAAATGCTTACGAGCCAGTCATTACCGATATTGCTGTATTTGATGACATTAAAAACAAATCAACATTCCCAACTACAGATAACTGGTTACTTCAATTGGAATTGGCAAATCAATACAATTCGGCAATGGCTCCAATGGTGCCTGAGAGCAAATTCCCAAAAGGTGAATTGACTCTTAGTAAAGTTGATGAGATGCTTTTTTCACAAACTAAAATTAAGAGTAAGTCGGCTCTGGACCAGAAGGGATTGGGAAAATCGAAAACGGCACTCGAGGATGTCTCAGAGAAAACCATCGACTTCATTTTCGGTAAAATAATCAGTCAGTGTGAGCTCGCACAACTGACTGATCTGATGCCACAACTTAGAGCCAATGGTTTAACTTTTGCTCAACTTGCTAATAAAAGAGACAACTCAGTCCTTAATTCACAAATTGAATTGGCTTCAATATTGTTTGACTCGAGTAATGATATAGAGTCTAATAGATTAGCACTTTTCGGCGAGTGGCTTCAAAGGTACAATGAGAATCAAATTGCAGATCTACTTGAAGCAAACAAGGGTGACGAATTGTACTGCACTTTCTTTTACTTGTGCGTCAACAGGAAAGAAGAAGCTATTGAGAGAACATTGATTTCCAAAAATGAGCATCTTGCCGTGATACTTTCGTTGGCCGATTCAAAAAACAGCCTCGTCAAAGAATTGGCTACCGAGCAGCTTGAAACGTGGAAAGAGACGGATAGCGAGAAGTATATCCCAAAATCTCTCGTTAGCATTTATCAACTCCTAGCAAGACAATTAGACCAGGTAGTGGAGAATTTACCATGGACCATTGTGTTTGGTGTCTTTTTGTATTATGGCGATGTTGAGAATTTAAAGGAGTTCATTGGCAATTTTGAATCCAAACTACCGAAAGAAGATCCCGTGGCAGATTTGTTGAGATTGCAATTGAATGGTATCGATTTTACTTCGATGTTGAACTCCAATTTCAACAAGACATTGAAGTGGCTCATCTGTCTTGTTTTGGCCGATTTCGATTACGACGAATTATCAAAGAATTTAGGTGATGTTTTGGAGAAAGCTGGTATGTGGAAGGAGGCATTGGTTGTCTTTTCCTCTATTTCGGATGACAATTTGAAAACACGGCTGATTCGAAGCTTGATCATCACCAGAGTCGCGGAAGAGCCTATTAGTGAACATGATGAAAAGTATTTGATCACCGTGTTGAAGGTGCCAAGATCACTTATATATGAGGCAAAAGCATTAGAGAGAAAGAATGCAGGTGATTATTGGAGTGAGGTAAATGCACTAGTTGAAGTTGATCTTTGGAGTAAGGCACATGAAGCTATTGTTACGCAACTAGGTCCACAAACAGTTATAAAGAACTCACCAAGTGGTGTCAACAAACTTTTGAACTTGATTGATCAGTTTCCCCAGCACGGTTCTATCATCCCCTCATGGAACAAAGGGGCTGGCATATATCAAAATTACTTGAAGTTGCTTGAAAACACCAATGATATTGAAGTAATCATTTTTTTGATTGAATTTTTGCCATTAACTAAACCAGAATCGGCCAAAGAAAAATTGGCCATCAATACAATCGCCAAATTTGTGGGAGATTTGGCTTTAGAAGATAAGAGGGTACCTCAGAAAGAAAGAGAAAAGATATTTCAAATGCCTTTGGATAAGGTCAACAAAGCTTATTTTGAATTAAGACTATCTAGAGCTAATTAGATGATATAATTGCGTAGATGATGGATGAAACCTTTCGTTATATGTCGCTACCATAAACATCGGAAAATCGGATTACAAATGACTTTTCTGAAGAATATCTGGTTACATTCAACAAGTATACAAACATGTCACCTAGTCAACAAGCTGAAGATCTGATAAATTACAAGTTGAAAGAGGCTGAACCCGAACATTGCCCAGGTCCAGAGTCTGAAACGGCAGGAAAAGATGACGCGTGCAAAGGGTGTGCGAATCAAGAAATTTGCTCTTCACAAATACCGAAAGGGCCTGATCCAGATATATCCTTGATCAACAGCAGATTAGCAAACATTCAACACAAGATACTAGTCCTCTCAGGGAAAGGCGGAGTCGGTAAATCCACGTTCACGTCTATGCTTGCTTGGGCAATAGCAGCCGATGAGGATTTGGAAGTTGGTGCCATGGATTTAGATATATGTGGTCCATCACTACCGCGCATGTTGGGGGCAGGAGAGAATGAAAGTGTTCATCAGTCAAATAGTGGCTGGAGTCCCGTTTTTGTTGCCGATAATTTAGGACTAATGAGTATTTCCTTTATGCTTCCTGATAGCGACCTGGCAATAATATGGCGAGGAGCAAAAAAGAATGGTCTAATAAAACAGTTTTTGAAGGATGTAGATTGGGGTGAACGTTTGGACTATTTGTTGGTGGATACGCCACCAGGCACAAGTGACGAACATTTGTCGGTAACGTCATTAATGAAAGAGGTTGGTATTGATGGTGCATTGATTGTAACTACACCTCAAGAAGTGGCGTTGTTGGATGTACGGAAGGAAATCGATTTTTGTCGAAAGGCACACATTAAAATCTTGGGTTTGGTTGAAAACATGTCAGGATTTGTATGTCCAAACTGTCAGGGCAAGAGTCAAATTTTCAAAGCTACTACTGGTGGCGGTGAAAAATTGTGTAAAGAGTTGGGAATAGATTTCTTGGGTTCAGTGCCTTTGGACCCTCGAATAGGTAGAGCTTGTGATGAGGGAGAGTCATTCTTTGACTTGTATCCCGACTCCCCTGCATCGACGGCTATTTTGGATGTTGTTGATGCTTTAAGGGATAAAGTTGAGTTGAATATGAATGGTCTTAAGTTAGAGTGAGCTCACAGAGCGGGGGAGTTTGTGTATAGAGTGAAGTATATAGAGATGATCTTCAAAGGTTATAGCATTAGGCGACGCTGAATCAACGTACCATTTTAAAAGAGAAGTGAACACCATAATCAGTAAACATGACATATATGCATCCAATCCTCGTGGGCGACCAAAGTGGGAACTAAAATGAAGAGTACTTGAATACAGAAAATGTCGCACGAAATAACTACTTCACGAAATGCGCCTGTCAGTGCGCAACCTACTCTGAATTGCCTCATCTCTTTACTTCCTTCCCCAGAAATGTGCATACTATGTCCACTATTGAAGATATCATCAAGCTGATTCCAGCATTCAAAGAGTCACGGTTGAATTCATTGTATTCCAACTTTCAAAAAAACAAGCAATTGAACCCTGAGGGTTATGAAGCAAACATTCAGGCTTGGAAATCCTTATTCACGAAGATCATAACTTCAAACAAATTTGAGCCAGAAAGTGTTGTATCGATTCCCACTTACAACCCTAGCTTGAAAGAGCTGCTCAGCTTGCATCCATATAATGAGCCCAAGAACTTGAGTAATATCTTGCAGGAATTTGTTAATGACAAGTTTCTAATTCCAGCATCACTATATACAACGGCAAAAGAGAGCTACTTCGTTACCATCAGTGGGCAATTCCATATCTCACAGTACTTTTCAGTTAATTCCTGGCAGCAATGGCGAGCATTGAAATCGTATTCTATCGTGAAACAAGGTAGGTTGGTGGATGATCGATTCATCTATTGGGATGAGCTAGTAAAGCTAGGGCAAAAAATTGCTAAAGTAATCGAAACCAAGGTGAAGGGTGACACTTACTCGAGTATTTTGTTTAACCATAATTTACTTTTTGATGAGATATCAAAGCACGTTGCGATCACCTCTGTGGATTATGACTTATTATTGAAGCACTTGTCGCGTGATGTCAAATTACTTCAAACGAAAGTTATTGATGGTGTCACTTTTATAAAGATATCACAGGAGGAGATAAGTCCGGAGGACCAAGCCGTAGTACAAGTGAAGCAAACGATAAACAATCTTGAGACTAGGGTCAAAGAAGTAGAATCAAAATTGAATAGTATCGACTTCAAATCAGTGTTGAAACTTCCCAAAGATGCTCAGAAGTCAAGTTTGAGACTGAAGATGGCTATGAAAGCCAACTTGGTGAAACTATTGGATAAGAATGTGAACCTCGAGTTGGAAATGACAACCCTATTGCAGAAAATCAATGACTCCAATTTCAACTCGGCTTACTTTTCTGTCTTGGAAGCAAGTGCCAAAACATTATCGAAGCTTAATAGTCAGTTAAAGATAGATGACGTTGATCGAGTCAAGGTTGATATTGATGAGGAGATAACGAAGGAAGAAGAAATTGGTGATGCACTTGCTGGCGAGGCCGAGGATGTGGATGTGGATGAAGAGTTGAACAAAATGCTCGATGAGGAAGAGAAGGCTAAGGAAGAAGCGGCTAAGGAAGAAAATGTTAAGGAAGAGAAAGCTAAGAATGATAATGCAGAAGAAGAAGCTAAGCAGCAAAATGCTGATAAGGAGAAAGAACGAGAGCTTTTGAGTCGATTGGAAAACTTGACTGTCGATGATGTAATTAAGCAGTCTCCACAACATGACAGCCCGGCAACGATTGTTCCTTTCGAACAATCGCACTAGTCGATTGAGATTGCCGCTTTTGATAATAAAAAATGCTAGAGTAGAATTTTTGACCTTCAACTAATACTTTACTATCAAACAACTATAAGGTTTATTATACACGTATATAGTTTTATCCCAAAATTTGTAGAATTTGTTGAGTTAAATTATACAATTCCACTTTTGGATCTTCATATTGATCATCGGGATTGACTTGTCCATTCCTGTCACCTTGATTTAATTGCAGCTGTGAGTTACTCATTTGTTTGATACCTGTAAGTATCGCTTCATCTTCCTTGATAAAGCTATTAAATTCGGGGCTGTTTGATTCTAATAATTGCAATATCGTCCACAATGCAATATGTTCAAATGTTGCACTTCCCAGCTCCAAAAATCTAATCAAGAAACCATGTATACCTTCGTTTGGTTGTTGCCAATTGTTCAAAATGTATTGCTTGTGGTCGGGTGATACTCTGGAACACAAATTGGCTAATGCAGCAGCCGAGTTTCCACATACTTCTCCGTTTTCAGAAAATGTTAGTGGGATCAACACGTCGATTATATGCGCTTCGTACAACTTTGGTTTCAAATCATCAGCCAATGCCAAGATTGCAAAACAAGCGCTAATTTCCAGTTGAACAGATAACGGGACTTTCAATACTAAATCCTTACATTTATCAACAGCTCCAGCTGCCAACAATGCAGTTCTATTCTTTTCACTAGATGCAGCCAAATTTCTCAAGGTGGACACTGCGTGGCATTGAATCTCTTCTGAATCGGTGTAATCCAACAAGTCGACCAATGGTTTTAAAAATCCTGCTTCAATAATTAAAGCTTCGTTCAAAGGATGGATCGATATGTTTCTAATACAAGCAACAGCTGCAAGAATCAATGGTTGGTGGTTACAAGTCAATAATTGCACCAAGTGTGGTAATCCTCCAGCTCTAACAATCTCAACTTGGTAACCACTGTCGGAGGCCAAGTTTCTCAATGCTAAAGTTGCCTGACATTGAACTCTAGGTGACGGACTATCCATCAAGTTCACCAACTGGCTAACCAACTTTGGCTCGGTATTGGCCAATTTTCTTCTGTTGGTTTCATCAACAGCAATGTTGGATAATGCTGTGGTACAGTAATACTGTACATCAGCATCATCATTGGAAAGCAATGATACTAACACAGGGACTGCCCCTGCATTTACCAACTCTTGTCTATTTTCACCCAGATGTGTCATATTCAAAAGTGCACCGGTAGCATTTCTTTGAACTCTAATGTCCTTCAGCTTGGCCAATTTTGTCAAGGGTATCAAGGCACCACTTTTTGCAATTTTAGACTTATTGTCATCTTGAGTGGCCAAATTGGTTATGCATCCAACAGCATTGCACTGAACTTCAATGTTTGTAGACATCATTTGTCTAATCAATGGCTCCAATCCACCCATTTCAACAATAAGAATTTTATTCTCCGTATTCACTGCCAAATTTCCCAAAGCACCACATGCTGCTCTTTGAACTTCTGAGTCATTAGATTGAAGCAAGATTAATATCGGTTCTAGTACATCTCGATTTACCTCTCTGACATCCTTTTCGGTTATTTCAGCAAATGCTAATGCCGCACTTCTTTGCAAGTCGATATTCTCAGAATACACCAATGTACTAAGTGCTCTTAATGGTCCATTGCTGAAAAAATCAACATCTGATCTATTTTCCAAATATTGCAACAAGGCTGATATTGCCTCTCTCTCATTTTCAGCTAATAACAATTGGTTTTGACTTCCGTCTCCGCCATGTCCGCTTAAACAACTGCAACATGCACCCATGACTTTGTTGATTCTAGTTTCTATTCAGGCTGTTTTAAAAAGTTGTTAGTAAAAGAATTGATTGTTTGCTGGCGGGGGCTGAATTCCGTGGATGTTTTGTTTCCGTTGGCGTGTTTTAGGGTAAACTCCAATGTAGCAACACAATATTTCTCTGGAGCACAGGCAGTTTGCAATCTGGCTAAAATAGTAGGTGCAAACAGAAACGAAAGTTGGTTATTGATGGATTTGGGATGAACAAAAAGTTTGCCACTGGTTTCTTGTTGATTGAAGCAGGGGTTGGGTGGGGGGACTGATTGTTTTTCTGTCGTCGTTATCGTTTTTGTCTGTTTCGATTGCGTTTAATTTCAATGTCGTCTAATTTTCAATGTCGTGTGTCAAGTGAAGTTGGTCATCTGACATTCACGCTTCTATCACGTGCATTTCACATGGGAAATCAACAAAAATTCGCTTTCAATCATAAACAACGATTCATCCCATACCATTTGCATTCTTTTACTCAACGAGTTAGCAAGTGGCTCTTTATTGCTGGAGCTTTTGGATTCACATAACGTCTCACAATGAAAATTAGTACATGGAATGATAGAACTAACGAGCTTCTGCATGTTATTGCGGACCCTTTTCTACAAGATCATAGCAAAACATGCTTGGATGAAGAAATTCAACCAGAGTTTTTCTTGAACGAATCAGACAACAAGGTTGATGCATTTCTTAAAAGCACCATCATCAAGTCTATGGACTCGTGTATTTTCCTTCCCCCAGCAATCAGAGAGCGTCAAAAACGGAAACCTGAAGAAGATTTACAGAATGAGTTAAAAGCAAAGCTTCGCCGTAGTGTGGCATCATTGCATGATACGAAAAGGGAGCCAATAGTGCCATCATTGAAAACACAAGATCAAATAGAAGAGGAGCAAATGCAACAATTTTTATCATCAGAAATGAGCCAATTGGAAATATTATCTATGCCTGAGCATTATCCAGTGAAGACACAGTCTGTGTGTTCCTTGACTGAGCTATACTATTTGACTCAAACATTAGCGTCGAGTAAACTACTACCAGGAAGTCACAAAGCCTTGACGACTGGCAACTACGAATTGGCACTTTTGGAAGGAAAGGTGGCCGTTTTATACTCTCGTATTGAGGAATTGAAGAGACAAGGTAAGTGGTCCTCAAGGCAACCAAAAAGATATCATGATCCGTTCACTTATAAAAGCAGGCTAAATAAATCTAAACACGCCTGGGATTACTTATTAGAAGAAGCAAGTTGGATGGCAGAGGACTTTCGTGAGGGAAACAAATTTAAAAAATACTGTTGTGTGATTATTGCCGATGCAGTAAATGCTTATTGGAAGCTTGGGAAGGAAGCAACTTGTGTAAAGAGGAAAGCGGTTCCACTTGTATCGGAAAACATCGAGGTAATAGTTAAAGATGATGCAAATGCATCAACCAATGCTTCTGTAAATGTTTCAGCGATTGAGGCAACTAACCATACTGTTGATCCAAGGTCGCTTTTGGAAAGCAAGGTTGACGAGTCCGAAGAATATGCAGCAAAAACAGCATCAGATGTGTTTTCATCGGTTTTTGCAAAAAACAACTCATCAGTGTTTGTCAGTCTCGAGGAGATGAACAAACATACAAAGTCAATCATCAAAACTATACCCAATCATGTGGCCCTCGAAATTAACAACAAAAGCAACAAATCTAAATCGATCGAGCCTTATGAACCACCCTTAACAGCGGTATCAAAGCTATTTTTACCATTTGAGAAAGATCAAGGTTGGCACAAGATTGTATTAAGGACAAGTTCCAATGAACGAATGAAAACAAGCAAAACACCAGAGTACCAAAAGGGCGTGTTTGGCTCGCAAGCACATCGTAAATTCCATTATCTTAAACCTCCAAAGCCACCATTGTTGGCCAACATAGAGCTTAGATCTCCTACAATCTGGCTGCCAGAAGATGACAAGAGGCTTATACACTATGTTGCAGAATTTTGTTTCAATTGGGATCTTATCGCTGAGCATGTCCAAGTGGGCTCCTTCGCGCCTAGTTTGAGTAAGTATGAGTCCAATATTGAGAGAAGAACTCCATGGCAATGCTTTGAGAGGTATATTCAACTAAACCAAAAGTTTCAATTCTCGGATATGAAAGGCAGCTACGCATTTCATGCTCAGCAATGGCTCGAACAGGCTCACAAAACTCAGCTGACAACCAAAAGAAGAGTTTCTCCGCTTGGTGTAGGATCTGACTCGATGCAAAGAGGACATCGGAAATTGAGGTGGGCTTCAATGTTTGATGCCATGCGCAAGGCAATGAAGAAGAGAGAAATCGCACTTGCCAAGATGAATCACCGCCGGGGCACCACGGATATGCAGCAAAACGTTCAACCAGGTGCAGTCGTCAATGGCGATAAGCGTGCCAACACTAGCAAAACTCCAACGCCTGCAGAGTTGTCGAATTTGAAGTATGAGCGAGACAAGTCAATCCAGCAGAGCTCGCGAACCCGTCTTATGGCAGCTGTGGCCCAACAACAACAACAACAACAACAACAACATCAGCAGCAGCAGCAGCAGCAGCAGCAGCAGCAACAGCAGCAACAGCAACAACAACATCAGCCAAACCAGCAGCATCCGCAGCAGCGGCAGAATCAACAACAACAACATCCTCATCATTCACAGCAGCAACCACAACCACAACAGCAACACCATCCATTGCCGCCTCAGCAAATACCTCAACAGCAGCAACTACCTCAACAACAGCACCTCCAACAGCAACTCCCACAGCATGCTCAACTTACACCTCAACAGCATCATCCTCAAGCTCCTCCGATGCAACAACCCCGCATGGTACCTCCAGCCCGACAAATGGATCAGAGACCTCAGCCCAATCATCACCAACTCCAGCAGTTGCAACAAATCCAGCAAATGCAGATTCAGCAACAACAACAGCTTCAGCAGTTGCAACAGCAGCAACGACAACAGCATTCCCAACAACAATACACACCACATCTGCAGCTGCAGCTGCAGCTGCAACTGCCGGTATTACAGCAACAACAAATTATGCTGCAACGCCCACATCTGCAACCGCAACAAGCTCATGCGCAACAACAGGTGCAGAATCGATTTCAGAACCAACCACAATATGTGCAGGCTAACTCTCCTGACTTCCTGTCAAATGCTCCAACCCCTCGCCCTGAGCAAATTTTACAAAGGGCTCAACGTGCTGCTTTGAATGGGCTATCCTCCCAAACGCAAGCCACAGTTAGGGATGTCCAATATCCTCAAAACCAAATAAAGTTTCCCACGACTAAAGATGGGAAACAATTAACTAACGAGCAGATACATCAATTGTTGCAGATGGAAAAACAAAGAAGACTCTTGCAGCAGCAGCAACAACAACAACAACAACAACAGCTACAGCAGCCACAGCAGCAACAACAACAACCACAGCCACAACCACAACCACAACTACAGAATGTGGACATTCAACCTTCCCCAAACATGGGGATTGCTTCCCATCCGCAAGCTCCGATATCTCCTCAAGTTCAGCAGCAACATCACCAAGCAAACATCAACAATGCGACATTGCCTATTGGATCGCCAAATTTACAGTATCTGCCAAACAAAACAGATAATCAGAATCCTGGCGTCTATTATCAAAGACTGGCGCAACAACCCGTGCCTCAAGTACAAAATGTGCTGCCCAATCCTCAACAAAAACCGATACCACAACAAGCACGCCAACAACGACCAAGAATTCAGTTTCCACCGGCGCAAATATCGGCAATCATTAACTCAATACAAACCCAGAACCCCAATTATACCAAAGAGCAGGTGACAAAGTTGGCAGCTCAGTACTTGAATAGTCTTCATCAGCAGGCTCAAAACAGAGCAAACAAGAATGCGCAAGCACATGTACAAAGTGGTGTTCCTCTACAGCAGGGTCAGCAATTTCGTGATGCCAACACTGGAGGGAACACCAGCACGAGCGCAACTGCAAGTCCTCAACTGAGTCATATACATCCACAAAGTCAAGGTCAATAAATTGAGGCGTATATATAGACAAATAACGATACTGATGTGTAGTTTCAGGTGTTTTGGTGCTACAATTGATTTTTGACTCCTATTAAGATTCTACATATATGGGGGCCAGTTTGGCAAACTCGAGTAGGCTAATCTTATCGATGGCTTCCTTTTAGGTGGTATCTACAACTATTTGAGCATCACAATTGAGGAGTTTTATTTTTGATATTTAGTATTCTATTCGTTTCTGACATAATATAAACTGGTTTTGATTTTCTTTTTTTTCTTTTTTTGCATCAACAAATTTCCACATCCCATCGCCAAGCGTCCAAACAACAATGTCTTTAACAGAAACAAATCTCGATGATACTTTGCCTCTCTTGGGCAGAGGAAAAGTCCGTGATATATATCAAATCGACCCGTCTACTTTATTGTTTGTTGCTACAGATCGTATATCTGCTTATGATGTCATCATGGAAAACGGTATCACCGACAAGGGGAAATTGTTGACCAAGCTTTCTGAGTTTTGGTTTGATTTTTTACCCATTGAAAACCACTTGATCAAGAAAGATATTTTTCAAGAATATCCACGATTGGAAAAATATAGGGATCAGTTGCAAGATCGTGCATTGATAGTGCGTAAATTGAAACTTATTCCATTGGAAGTGATCGTTAGAGGCTACATCACTGGATCCGCGTGGAAAGAGTACAAAAAACTGAAAACAGTTCACGGATTGCCGATAGATGAGGAATTGGTGGAATCACAAGAGTTCAAAACACCAATTTTCACTCCCTCTACAAAAGCAGAACAAGGAGAGCACGATGAAAACATCTCGCCTGCTGAAGCTGCCAAGATTGTTGGGCAAGATTTATGCGACAGATTGGAAAAGACGGCAATTGATTTGTACGTACAGGCAAAAGAGTATGCCAAAACCAAAGGTATAATTATCGCTGATACAAAGTTTGAATTTGGATTAGATGAAAACAATGATATTGTTTTGGTCGATGAGGTTTTAACTCCGGATTCGTCAAGATTTTGGAATGCCAGCACATACGAAGTTGGAAAATCGCAAGATTCGTACGACAAACAATTTTTAAGAGATTGGCTAACTAGTAATGGCTTGAATGGTAAAGAAGGAGTTAAAATGACGGACGAGATCGTCGAAAAGACTAGAGAAAAATACATTGAGGCGTATGAGCAATTGACTGGTGATAAATGGAAATGAGTGGTTACGAACGGACTAATTTATACGGTATTTTCGTATTTCCATATTTTTTTGTCGTTCGTATTCGTCAGTAACTCGAAACTTTGGAGTTTCGGTGGTGTTAAGATTCTTCATTCGTAGAATGTTCAAATCTTCAAAATCTCTTGGTCCTCGAGGTCTTGATTTCAAACGATCATTCACTTCTTTTTCAACAACTGTCCAGAACTCCTTTTGGTATGCTAAACGTACCTCTTTTGCTTCTAAATCAAGTGCTTGCTTTTTAAGATTGAATTCTTCAATCATGGTATCCTCTACTTTATCCAACTGGCTCTCTTTATCGTTAATTTTTTTTTCACGTTCACTCAATTTCAACTCCTTTTCTTTGCATCTGTTTTCTCGTAATTGTATAAATTGATCTTTCTTTTTCAACTCTTCGCTTTTGTTAATTAGTTCATATTTCAACGTGTTTAGAGTTTGATTGTACTCTTTCAACTCCATCTCTTTACGTAAAAACTTTATGCTCAATGAGTTTATCAAGTCATAACATGTAGGACGAAGGTCCGGGTCGACCGTTATGCATTCTCTAATGATGGATCGCAATTGCACAGAGTAAAAATCTGATATTGGTGGAAACGTCCCGCGTTTAATTTTTGCTTGAAGTTGTAAATGAGTCTTTGCCTGGAATGGCGGTTGTTGATTACACAATTCGTACAAGACACAACCTAGAGACCAGACATCACAAACTGGCAGGTAGGGTTCATCCATTAACACCTCGGGAGACATATAGTACGGAGTTCCGACATAAGTTTTGGCAAAGTCATTGGACGTAGTCAACATCTTTGCCAATCCGAAATCACCAACCTTGAGCACACCGTGCTCGAGAAAGATATTGTCTGGCTTGATATCACGATGAATAATTACTGAATCTGAGTTGATCTGAGGCATATCGATACCATCATGCGAAGAGCTATTGAACAAGTCCACTTTTGGAGCGTCTGATCCATAATGGCATCTATACAATGCTGACAAGGTTTGTACCAAGACTTGCCATATAAACTCCTCGGGTACATTTTCTTTATTGTTTTTGAAATCCTTGATTAATTGAGATAAATCACCCCCTGAACAGTACTCCATGTATATATGAATAGTTTTGGAGTTGATTATATGATCATGTTTGTAGTATCTCACAATGTTTCTATGATTCAATTCCTTCAATATGCGTAGTTCTGATATGATTTGGTTTCTTTCTTGAGAATTCATAGACTTGTACTCAATCTCTTTGCGAACAAGAATGGAATTGTCTAGCTTATTGCGAACCTTGCGTACGGTCCCATACGAGCCTTTGCCAATCACTTCAAGCGGCTCATAATCACTGCTCATGATTACTGTGGTAATGGTCAGTCGGGTATTCTAGTGAACGAAAGAAGTATACTTCAAAAAGTTGGTTTTGAAATTTTCAAAATACTGCAAAAAAATTTCTCAATTTGGTGAAAATGAAAACAAATACACAAAGACATAACCTAACCAGCGCAAGACCCCAAATGAGATGCGCTTTGATGGAGAAAATGAAAAGGTTCAACTCATGATTAATGTTATTATCGCAGCTATATGGTACTCCTACATAATGAAGGCGCTTACGCCCATTTTCCTAACACACTCATAAGCACTAATCCAGCAATTAAGGCGATCAAAGCGAACGAAGTATGAACCACCCCCGCATGGCGCAAGTTTCCAAACAACCAGTCATGTGCCCACATCTCAATCAACCCTGTCCACAACAAGACACCAGCTGAAAAAGAGTCCAATGTACCTAATGCAATAATGGTGGATGGGTCATTACCATTGAATTCGTGAAGTGTACCAATACCAATGGCCATACCCACAGGAGTGATGATTGCAAATACAGCCGCCATGAGAATCTTTAACCATACAGAGTCTCTCAACTCTATAATTCTTGAACCCAACGCCAACCCTTCGAAAAATTGGTGGAATACAATGACAATGAATAAGGTGATAAAATAAGAATCAGCAGCTACAACCAACGTGATACCAATCAAAATTGAATGGAAAACGATACCTGCTTCAAGAATGACCACTGAAAGTTTGTCATGCATCGCTTTGGAAGATCCATTGAGCGACGTTGTTTCTTCTTCATCCGACACTGTTTTAGTAGCTTCATTTATAACAGCATCATCTTCAGATGCATTTTCCTTTGAACCAGCGAGTTTGCTCAAACGGTAAGACAAAAATCGATAAGCAATATACTCAATTACAAAGGCAATGAATATGCCCGCCATAGTTATTGAAGCGCCAGTACCTTCATAGGCTAAATGAATACATTCGTTTGACCACATCAAAAAAGCATGGGTCATTAAATGAACCAATGCAGTGGAAATAACAACACCAGTACCAAACTGTTTGACTATTGTAATGATTATATTTTCAGAAGATATTTTAAAAAATGAACGCAAGACCAATGGGCCAAAAGATCCGATTGCACTTGTGACCAATATAACGAATAAAAGTCCAATTCTTAACGGAATATCATAATCCCGATCTACTCTTTCACAAGTTTCTCCATCAGCTCCATGTACGGTGTTTCCGTTTTCGTCCACACAATGTTCAACACCTGCGTGGAAATGACATGATACACCTGACGTTGAGCTTGATTCGGAAGTAGTAGTGCTTGCTTCATTGACTCTGACAAATTGTAATTCCTCGTCACCATTTTTACAGTGAACCTCAGTACCATGCAAATGACATCCTGTATAGTTTGATTGCGGATTGTCTTGTTTAGGTTCAATATAACCTTCTTTACCATCCCAATCGATACAATATTGAACATCACCATGCATGTGACAGCCGGTCACAGTAGTGTTCGAAGTACTGTGTCCATGGTCGTGCTCATCCTCATCGTCATCTTCCACCCTGACAAATTGCAATTCCTCGTCACCGTTTTTACAGTGAACCTCAGTACCATGCAAATGACATCCTGTATAGTTTGATTGTGGATTGTCTTGTTTAGGTTCAATATAACCTTCTTTGCCATCCCAACCGATACAATATTGAACATCACCATGCATGTGACAGCCAGTCACAGTAGTGTTTGAGGCACCTTCTTCATGCTCATGGTCATGCTCCTCGTCTGCCCTGACAAATTGCAATTCCTCGTCACCGTTTTTACAGTGAACCTCAGTACCATGCAAATGACATCCTGTATAGTTTGATTGTGGGTTGTCTTGTTTAGGTTCAATATAACCTTCTTTACCATCCCAATCGATACAATATTGAACATCACCATGCATGTGACAACCAGTCACAGTAGTGTTTGAGGCACCTTCTTCATGCTCATGGTCATGTTCCTCGTCTGCCCTGACAGTTAGCGTCACTAATTGTTCCCCCAAGTTGATTCTCTCTTTCACTGCATTAGCACAAATTTGGGTTGCAAGAAGTGCTATAATCGGAACACTCGTCAATCCAGTAAACTTCATCCTATGAGCTGTGAATCTTGTTTGTTGGCTGGTTGAGAACCTATCTGAAAATTTGGCATTGAAGTGATTGTCTCGTACCGCCAGTTATATAGTATCTTGATAACCACTATCATTACTAGATGGGGGAACTCATTTCAATTTAATTCAATGATGATGCCAAGCAAAAATCGAGGTGAACTCTTCATTTAAATAATTATGACCATTAAATTTAGCGAGGATCTCTCTCTCTCTCATTCAAGGAATGGTTGCAGAACAGCTCTCGAGTTGGGCCATTTGTTATTCGGAACTTGCACAAATGGGAATATAAGCGGCAATCGAATTAACATTTAGTCTTTTCTTCTCTTTTTTTTTTTCTTGGAACCTTAAAAATATTGAAAGCAACTTGGAGGTAAGTATTGAGACAATTTCATAACTTTATACCTGCTGTCTGAATACCCGTGGCCACGGTGTAGCTCACATCACCTGGCACTTGCATAGGACAGCCCGTGCTGTGGCCCTTGCATGTTTTACAAAACACAATTGAATAAGAAGATGGTTTTCAAACAAGATTTAAAGTTGGTGATATTTACGAATATATTTTCTTGGAATTCTGCAACAATGGCATATAACCACCAAGGTGAAATTTTTTCTTACGTTAAGCCACAAATATGACACAAAGAATACGATTTCGTTAAAAAGTTGAGGCAAAGTAGTGTGTAATGCCGTGCTTGTAAGCTTCCATAATCAGATTTGCAAAGTTGGTCTGAATGTAGATCCCAACAATGTAACGCCAGAAAATCCTGCATAAAGTTGAAACAAGAAGGGGAACCCTGCTGGAAGACAGTATCATTAATTGTTTTGAATTGAGTACAATGTGACTAACAATTTCGGTACGCTGAACACAACTTTGGTAATATATATCATCTACTTGAGTGAACCATTCAAACAGAATTCAGTCACGCCAAATAGGGAAAAAACACTTTGTAAAACTCATCACCTCAATGGGTGAATTTACAAGAAGTTAAAATCTTGAAAAGCTTACTTGACTTTTGATTAAGTCTAGGTGAGTCAAGGGGCAACTGATGTACACATATAAAATCTAAGAGTGGGAAAAATTCAAAATACCTGACCATATACCAACAGAGAATAATCAAGTGCAGTGCGTACATTGTATACTCCCTAGGAACATGCAAGGCCTGTTATCAAGGAAGAGAGAAAACCAAGAGACACCATCAACAATACAACTTTGTTAGACAAGTGGGCTGTACAAGGTGTCAATGTATTTGATACACATCGAAACCATCAACTTGAAGTAAGTACGAGTATTGGTGAAGTTGTAAAAGATTGTTCACGAAAATGATCACGTTTTTATGCAGTGCTCAAGTTATTTTTCTTTGTTAGCGCTTAACCATGTAAAGTACCCACTTCGTGGGCACTTTCGTGAATAAACGCATCTGATTTACGGAGACCCTATTCATTAGTAGAAGTTTCTCTCACCTCGTCCTTGAAAAAGCGGGTAGAAATTCTTTCTCTTCTCGACCCAAGTTTCGTAGTACCCCCGACGCGCGAGGTACGTCCATTTTCGTGAATAATCTTATTATTTTTATATATTTGTGTTGTATAAATATGAAGTAAGAAGATGTGTGGATAGTAGTATGTACACTAGTATATCTACTGGCGCTGCTATGAATGTATTATGTCAGATATCGGTGGACTTAGTATTGAGTTATCCATGTAAATGGACTTTCTAATAAGGAAATAGTTGATAAACAGGATAGCACATTAAGGTGTGATTGTAATCTATAAGTCAGTGGCTAACTAACTGCACCATTGAAAAGATGTAAGTATAAGTATTTGTGAAGTTAGTGTATAGTTTCTCTTATACTTGATCTTAGGTTGCAAAATGTTTCCTGCGCTACCAGTTGATTCCTAAAATTAAAAAAACGCGAAGAACAAACAAAAGAAGCAAAGTTACACAAACACCAATGTACACGCGTGTTGAGGAACAACAATCAATTTTCGAAATGTCAACTGATTAACCACCACTACTCTTCTTCTTCTTTTGTATTCTATTTCCATTCATTCGATAAGGCCATGTCATCCAATATAGATGTCCGGTTTTCCGGCACTGGCAATGAGAAGCAGTTTATCAGACAATTACATGAAAAAGATGCGTCCACCATTAGATTCATCGACCACAACAAGGATTATTTCACATGTTTGGAATCTGATGCTGAGTTAATTGCAGATGAAATTTACAAAACAAGATCAGTCATCAAGACTTCTGATAAAACAAAGTATGTCACGATTTCACCACAAGTTTTTCAGAATGTTTTGAAATTTTGTTTATTGGAGAAGCAATTTAGGGTGGAGATTTACCACAATAGAACTTATCAGTTGTTGGTTAGTGGTACTGCTGGTAATCTCGAAAGCATAAGCAAAGAGTATGGTATAAATTTTGAGTTTCATGATTGTTCCAACTCTTCTATTGCTGCAATCAAGATACACGGAAATTCTGTTGGTGTTTGTATTATTGAAGACAACAAGGTAGATCTTTGTGAATTTGAAGACAATGAGTTGTATTCCAATTTAGAAGGGTTATTGTTGCAATTTGGTATAAAAGAAGTTGTTTTGCCTAATTTGTCTGACAAGAAACTTTTGCAAGTGATTAACAAGATTAGCAACATTGTTGTCAGTACAATTTCGGCTTTCAATACTAAAAATATTGAGCAAGATTTGGTGAAGTTATTAGAAGAAGACAACCTTCAAATGGTGTTTTCATCAAAAGGTATGAAGTTGACAGAATACTCACTTTCGTTATCGTCTTGCAATGCGCTAATTGTTTACTTGGAATTACTTGAAAATGATTCGAAAAACTTCACCATCAATAAGTATGACCTATCAGCTTATATGAGATTGGATTCTTCTACAATCAAGGCATTGAATGTGTTTCCTGAGTTCAAGTCTACTTCGATAAACTCCATTTTTGAACTTCTCAACAAGTCCAAAACACCCGGGGGTTCCAGGTTGTTGTCCCAATGGTTAAAGCAACCTTTAACCAACGTTGATGCAATTGAAGAGCGTCAAGCTTTGGTTCAATTATTAATGGAGGACGCAAGTTTGAGAGTAGCCGTGCAAAACGTCTTGACACAAGTGCCCGATATCAAGAGATTGTTGAAGAAAATGTCAATATCAATTGGCAAGATTGGTAATGAAAATAAGAAATTGGAGGACTTGGTCAGGTTGTACCAATTGGTGTTAGTGTTGCCTGAATTGGTTGACGTTTTGAAAGGTCGAGATGACTTGGTTACCAAATACTGGTTAGATCCAATATCCAAGCATCACCAATTACTACTTAAATTTCAAGAGCTTGTTGAAACGACCGTTGATCTCAAAGGGTTGAATGATTTACATTCCAATTTTGACATTAGACCCGAGTTCGATGCTTCATTGGTTTCAATAAATGAAAGAAAGCAATCCTCACTCAAACAAATTAAGCAATTACATTTGCAGATTGCTGATAATTTGAATATGGATCTGGAAAAAAAATTAAAACTAGAGCAACATCAGCAGCACGGATATTGTCTAAGACTCACTAGAAATGATTCAGTTGTGTTGCGTAATAATAAAAACTACATTGAATTGCAAACCGTCAAAGCTGGTGTTTATTTCACCACTGCTCAAATGAGAAAATTGTCTCAAGTGTACGCCAATTCATGTGATGAGTACAATATCAAACAACGGGAATTAATTAGGGAAGTGCTTTCAATTTCATTAACTTATCAAGGGGTCTTTTCTGCATTGAGCTTGGATCTTTCTCACTTGGATGTGATTGCAAGTTTTGCCAATGTAGCGTTACTTGCACCAACAACATTCACCAAACCCAAATTAATCCCCATGCATGCAAAAGAAAGAAGAATTAAACTTAACGATTCGAGACACCCTTTGCTTGAAGTGCAAGATGATGTAGACTTTATTCCAAATGACGTGCTGATGGGTGATAAATTTTTCAACATTATAACTGGACCAAACATGGGAGGTAAGTCCACATACTTAAAACAAATCGCCACTACTGGACTAATGGCTCAAGTTGGATCATTTATCCCTGCAGAACCCGGTGCAGAGTTGCCGGTTTTTGATGCCATTTTATCGCGTGTGGGTGCTGGTGATTCACAATTAAAAGGGTTGTCGACATTTATGATTGAAATGTTGGAGACGTCGTCGATATTGGCTACAGCCACGTCAAACTCATTATTGATTATTGACGAATTGGGAAGGGGGACCTCGACTTATGATGGGTTTGGACTCGCCTGGTCGATTCTGGAGCATCTTATTCAACACAAGAAATGTTTTGCTCTATTTGCCACCCATTTCCATGAGTTGAATAAGTTAGCTGAAAAATATCCGAATTCAGTTGAGAATCTACACGTTGTTGCTTATGTGGAAAACAAGGATGACATTACCTTGATGTATAAAATTGAACCTGGTATTTCCTCCAAATCGTTTGGTATAAATGTGGCTGAAATGGTAAAGTTCCCAACCAAGATTATCAATATGGCAAAAAGGAAAGCTGATGAGCTACAGAATAACGAAAATTTGAAAAAGAGTCGTGTTGAAGTAAAGCAAGAAGTAGAGCAATTAAAGTCGGTGTTGCGAAAGTGGAGAGAGGAGAACCATCATGATGTACCAACAGCAAGTGAGAGTTTAAAACAGTTGCTAAAAAGTACATCCAATCAATACATTTCCGAATTGATACAAACTTTGTGAGTTTATGATTTTATATAGATCTATACTATTTAAGAATAAACGTCTAGTGCGGTAAAATGTCATTACTGTTGCTTTAGTTTTAATTCTTGTTGCTTCACGCGATCATCATGTTCTGCTAATGTTTTTATCGCTTGGTATTTGCGTAACCCTTCAGGATCAATACATGTAACCACTGGCCAACCCAAAATCCAACTAAGGGTAAAATACTTTTCAGTACCGGTTAAGAAACATCTCAAGTATTCTTCATAAATCAAGCAATAGTAAACACCGCTTCCAGTGAAAATATGCCACCAACCATGTCCTTCCAATACAAACCCATAAGGCATGCCCCAGTCTCTTCTGGTTGATCTAACTTGATCGCATAAATGGATATCCATGTTCCACAAGATATATCCGAAAAAAAACAATCCAATCCCTAAAACAGCCATCATATTCATTTGTCGTTTAACTTTTGGGTCATGGACATATTTGGAGCACAAACTAGTTGACTTGAAAATTCCAAGAACATTCATGGCACCATAAGCAGTTTGATGTATTGTTGGATTGCGAATTTGTAGATAGATAATGGTTAAAGTAGCAGCGGAAACAAAGATGCTCAACCCTACGAAAAAGGATTGTCTTTTGGTTTTGAATTCACTGAAAATCGACCAAAGTGGGATACAAGTGGTATAAATCATGGGTAACTCATCCAACAATTGGAAATGATACTTTAAAGTCATGTGGAATAACCAGGATCCCAATCCAACGAGGAAAAACCCGGCACTTGTCCACATAAATCTTTTTTCAAGATGGTTATGAAATGCTTGATAGATGGCAAATACGGCCAAACACATAAAGAATGCATTGGTGGTTGTGTTTATAGCTTCAGCGATATAAGTGGATACCACGTAGTTTTCCTCACACCAGTCAATTGTGGATGTGGGGATCCCCCAGTATCCATTCTTTTGTTCTGGTGGATATGGCCAAGCAAATGGTAACATTACAGATGATGGAATCTATGAGCGTGAGCCGAGTGCGTATGGGAAACGTTGCGATGCGTGTGGTTGTAGTGGCGGTAGTAGTAGGTAGCCACGTAGCTCAATAAGTGAATAGACTAAAGGCTAAGACGAGCTGGTGTGAAATTGAATGATGGTGGATAAAATGTCGACTAATTTATGGCACTTGTGTTAGAGAGTTGCTACCAAAGATATCCGGAAGTAAAGGGATTGGTAGCGATATCGGAATTAAAATATATGCCAGTGGATAAAAATAGAACTTCAACTTCTTGCACAAAACCTTTATTGTTTAAAGGTATTGACAAGTTTAATTTTCTCGGTATAGTATGGCAAATATGCACATGTGTGGGGGGAGTGGGACTATAAATTGCTATATACCTCCTCTTGCGAGCTTTGGTTTTGGCATACAACCGAGATTGCGTGGATTCCTTTCACCCCCAAGGCTTTTTGTGTCGCAAGTTGTCAAATAGGAAACAAGAAAAACTTTATTTTTTATCTCAAAAGGAGTTTACAGGTTTTCTAGGTAGCAGAGATTGTGTATGCATAGCTTGAAAGAAGAGAGCAGAAGAGACATGTTAGTTATTTGCTTCAGAAAGTATAACAGAGGGTCTGAAACGCCCCACGTGGTGGGGAGTTTCTCGCGTAAATAACCTGTCAATGACATAAATGGTAGCTTCATCACACTACTTCATGAATTCTCGACCCATCTTATCCAGCACTCTTCGTTCACAGGTCCGGTAGTTGTGTAAGCATCATTCATACACATCATCTCTTGATCCGTGCTGTTGTTTCCACAATTCTTCTTTCCCAATTGAATAGGCTCCGTGTCATTTTTGATTTCACACCAATCGTCATCCAATAGAGAATGAAAATGCCAATACAAATTGGCCACAACAAGTTTCATTTCCATCCATGCTAAATGCATTCCAAGACACAGGCGTATGCCCTTGCCGAAATGCATCATAAACTTGTGTTGTGCTTTCTTTCTCTGTTCAAACTCCTCTTGTGATTCCTCGGGGTACTTTAACCATCGATCTGGGATGAAATAGTCGTGCTTGGGAAACACTGTGGAGTCACGATGCATCGCATATGGCAAGCATGATATGATTGTCCCTTTGGGGATTTCAACACCAGCTATAGAGTAAACCCGATCCACTACTCGTGGCTCCGCTCCTGGGATCGATGCGTGTACTCGGGAATTCTCCAACAATAGCGCATCCAAAAATTCGAGCTTGTCCAATTTTTCCAAGTCTTCAATCACATCATCGTGACTATTAGGCTTGGAGAAAGATTCATATAGCTCATGTTGTAATTTCTCAACCATGGTGTGATTTCCAGATCGAGACAATTCGTACACCAAGTAACACAATTGCACCGCTGTTGTCTCGTGGCCAGCAAACAAATTGTCCGACAAGAATGAGTAAGCTCTTGGCCCTTTTAGTCCATTTTGTTTCAAAACTTCCAAAGTAGTGGAGTTTTTCCCATTGTTTGCCCAGTGTTTTTCAGCAATTTCGTACAATGACATTCGAAACTTTGCAATGTCCTCGGAGCATTTCATAATGGTTTTGGTGGCAACAAAATCCCAAAGTGCTGGCATTAATGTAGTCCAAAATAACATACTTGACACTTGACGATGTTTCAAGATTATGTCACGTTCAGATGGGTTGTCCATTAAATTCAGTCCATTGGTTTCTCCCAACTCAAATTTCGAAACCACATCCATTGCAAACAACCCAAATAACGAAAATACTTCAATTCCGAGACTCTTTGCTCTGTGTGACTTGTTGAACCATGGCTTACGATGTCCCTTTGCATGAGGGTTCAAGGTGGGAGCGACGCTAGCAAAGTCGGGAGATTCACCTTTGATGGAGCTTTTGTATACGTATTCTAGCATTTTCCTCGTTGACTCAATCAAAATTCTCCTGGTGTTGTTTTCAGGCGACATGACATTTCCCTTATTGTACAATCTCATTATGATCTTTTTGTATTGTAAGTGCTGATCATTGGGCAACGAGGCAAAGATATTATCATGGCCATGGTTGGTAAAATTGGCATAGAATGACGATTTGGGGAAATTTTTGATGTAAATATCATTGACATATTGTGGTCCATAAACACTGATCTCTTTTGGTGATAAGATGACGATGGGGCCATAGATCTGATGTAGTTTATAGACTGTTTGTATCCATGTCCCGTTTCGTTGATGATTCAAGGCAGGAATTATTGATACTCGATAGATATAAGGTCCCGGAATGTTCCAGAACGGGGACGTAATGGGTGCGTAAACAAAGTAGTAGCAGCTGAATATTGCAAGTACTGAAAATAAAGTCCAAAGGAGGTGCAATCGCAAAAGACTAAGAAACACTTGGAGGAGTTCACTCAACATGTTTATTGTCGAAGGTTGAGGAGAAAATAGTTGCTCTGTCTTTGACGACGTTTAGCTGAATCAATGGTTCATTTCCACGTGAGTGAGGAGAAGTAATTGTTATCTCTGATTTCTGAAAAGGGAAAAGAAAATTCCGCGTAAAATTATGTTTTTGCACAAAAACAAAAGGGAATTGAATTAATAATCACACAATCCCAAAAAAATGCACAGCTATATGCCACACATGCATCTGAGCTTGTTGTTGTTTCATTCCAATCAAGGTGCTTCCATTAGCGTGAGTGAGTGAAAGAGCACAGCATAAACTCAGGGGTTGCTAAATTCATTCAGCACAGTTCTAAATTCTTCTGGAGCCATCTCTTATTGCTTTCACTCATACGTGAAAAGTGCCAATTCAAAAGAACAAACTTGGCTATGAAGATGCCTAACAAAGACTGTTTTGTTGGCTCATGTGTTGGCCAAAACCAACTTCGATAGACTTTCCAACACTTTAATGCTTCTTTTTATTTTGGTTGCAAATTACTTTATTCACGTGGAGTGATGCAATTGCGAAAAATAAAAAAAAAAAGAAAAAAAGAATTAACTCATCATAACAAAGAGCAGTCGTTATCAACATAGTCAAGGTGCCAGATCTATAGTATTGAGGTAAGGGGAGATTCAAGATTGTAGTCGTTGTTATGCACGATATAAATATGAATCTTTAAAACTCTACAAAAGTCTATAAATTTTATAGAAATCTATAAAATCTATACAGTCTTGAATTCTTTAAACTCTTCCGCGATGTGTATGCCGCATTCTGTCTTTACTTTATCTTTCCAACGCCCACTTCTCTCATCTTCACCTTCAGCCACGGGGACGGTAGAGTGCCAGTCTCCAATAGACTTGTAACCTAAATCCAAAAGTTCATTGTACGGTACCTTATGCTCATCGATGTAAGACTTCACTGCTTTGAAATCCCAATCCCAAAGTGGGTTAACCTTGAGAATGTTGTTGGGCTCATCAAATTCAAGCACCGCCAAGGAGGACCTTGCCCCACCTTGTGATTTTCTTCTTCCTGTTAGCACAACATTCACATTGAGTTTTTTGTATGCTCTTTGTATGGGCTCCACTTTGACCAAGTAGTCGTAATACTTATCATTTGTCTCCCACAACTGGTCTCCGTATTTTGCAACAAATTCTTGTTCAGTAGAAACGCCTGATGGTTGAAATACATTGACTTTGGAATCTTTGTAGCGATCTTGTACCCTGTTTAATAAGTCAAGCGTCTGTGGGAAATGGTAAAGTGTATCAACAAAAATCAAATCTATTTTACAGTCAGGTATTTTTGAAATCATATCAGTGATAGCCAATCCAGTCAACCCAAAAGCTGTAGTTTGATAAACGTTGGGGAAAGTTAAATACACCCATTTTATCAACTCTTGTGGCGACAACTGTTGCAACCTTTCGTTGAGAAAGTTTATGTGTTCATTTGTTAGCTTAATGGAGCTATTTTCCACAGTCATGGCGTGATATCCAAGGGGAGGTGGAAGGTTGCTTTCGTAGGTAGAAGGAATTGTGTTGATAAACCTGAAAAAAATAAAATGAGAACTTGGGTTGTTGTATGTATTACTAATTTACTCTATTTGCGACACGACACTTGACGAAGCTCTGAAATTTTTTGACAGCCAAAAGCTATTTCACACGTTACAGTTACCACAATAGTTTCAATCAACGATGCATCAATGTCTACTCATCAGAATCCTACTTTGTTGAAACAAGTATTGGCAACCACACCATTGTTTCACCTTATTCCCAAACAGAACTTGAGTCCGTTGATCAACTTGCCCCTGCTTGTTCCCATAGCAGATGATACTGCTTTAAATGAGCATATAATACGCAGTATAGGAGCCTTTGATACTGAGCAAGCTAGAGATTTTGAACGAGAGTGTCAGCAAGAGCTATTAGATTATGTTGACTCGGAGTTAGATGCAATCAAGTATAAGCTATTTTCTACTCACGCAAAGGAAGATGCAGTCGCAAGGGAATATTCAGACCTTGATGCTCAGATATTGGACAATGAGTATATCGACTCTGGAAAAATCCTCTCCGGGACTGGTAACGAACTTGTGAAAACGGGAAGACTATCTATTCGAAAAAAAACACCAGCTGGTGATGAAACGTATGTCCCCAAACATAATCAAAAGTACTTTAGGAAATTCGAAAAGGAGTTTATGCGTTTGAACCCAACTTTGGATGAGGGCAGTCCCAGTGTTTCTGATGATGACTTGGTTCCCATTGTCAGTATTATCCCATCCAAAGCAGGTGGTCATTTGAAGAAACTTAATTTCGGAAGGTTTAACCAGTTCCTTCGCGGTGGACAGAAATTGTTTACGTGGGAGGATATGGTGGTCATTTGTGAAACATTAAGCAATATTGACATGTTTCTGGACCAGGATGCTAATGATATAGTCAAGATTCTTGAAATCTGTTTCGTTGCATTGTCTGAAGCATTCAACAAGTTGAAAGATCACAAGATTGTTGATTTCGATGACGTTAAATCAGTCTTGTCCGACATATTATGCGCTACATTTGCATCCAAGGCTTTGATCATCATTATCAAATACCAGATTGCCAAAGGAGTCAAAATGTCATTCAGCAAGTACACCTATCTCATCGCTCAAACACTAGAATACGTCTCTGAATATTTTGTTCTTTCGCTTGAGAAATTTACAACCGAAGACGCAGATGATTTGTCCAAAAGCTTAATTCACAAGCTGATTACCGAAACCTGTAACAGATTAAAGCAATTGGCATCGTTGACAAGCATGTCCTCTTTTGAAGAGCAAACATTGACAAAATTGGAGATGTTATGCATCAACATTGCCTTTAGCAGCAAGATAAATGCAGCCCAAAATTTGCAATCACTCATACCAGTTGATGTACTTCAAGTATCTGCTGGGCAATGTTTGGTTATGCTTTACAAAAACTCCATTGATCAAAGGGCTTTTTTGCTTCAAGAAGTGCTCGCAGGCTTCGCTATGATGAATTCGAAAAAGGGCGCGGCTAAAAAGTTCATGACAAAGCGTGGGTTTGATATTCATTTATTTACCATGATTATAAATCAATTTGCGTGTTGTTTTGTTGAAAGTGAAGGTTACTCATCCGATTTTATGGATTATGTTTCTCGAGAATTGATTTCAAAAGTACAAGCAAATCCAACAGAATTACGACCTAAACTTTCGTTCTTGATTGCTGACTTAATGCAACTACTATATCTCCCGGAATGGCCAGCAGCAGATTTATTTATAATATCTATTGCTACTTGTTTGATTCAAGTTTTGAGCTTACAAGATGAGCAAATTCTCGCGGAGGTCCAATTTTTGGATATTTTGCAGGACTTGGCGGTGAAATTTCTCGGAAAGCCCAATGATGGTACTTCAGTGGGAGAAAAGGAGGTGATGACTATTTTGGCAAATTGTAACGAATTTGACAAAGGGGATGCGTTGCCATTTTTGAAATCGAAACTACAAAACCTTACTGGATTCACCCTCGAATCTGAACCGACAAAAAGTAGTGAGACTACTAACTCGGCCTACAAGAGTCTTGTACTGAATCACCTTGTCAATTTCATCACCACAAAGTATTTCAACTTTCTCGAGACCCAATTAAGTAGCTCAAGAGCTAAAGCCAGAGCTAAAGCCATCAAAGGGTTGCTTTTATTTGTGTCAAAGTCTCCTCAGTTGCTATTATCTGCTCAGCTACAGAAGCAACTATCATCACGATTGCAAGATCCTGCCGCACTGGTTAGAGAAGCCATGCATGAGTTTCTCAATGAACACATTTCTAAAAACCCTGAGGAAGCACAAAAGTTGATCTACTTAATGTATTTGGCTATGGATGATTCCAGTATAACTGTTCGAAAAAGAAGCATCCAATCTTGCATGGCTGTTTTCCCATTGGTTAGTGAGCCGGTCAAACTACGTATTGGTGAGAAAATTCTCGAAAAGATATATGATGAGGAAGATGCCGTACGCAACGAAGCCATTTCAACATTAAAGAATCGATTCCTTTTCCAACCACCAGAACTTTACTTGACAAACCCTGGAGCTGTCGACATTATAAGAATTGGCAAAAGTAAGGGTACAAAATTATTGATGTCCTTTTTCAAGGATTATATATTTACCGACTCCCATGCTGTCAATTTTGTTGATTCTTTGGTTTTGTCCTCGATGCAGCTTGTAAGCAATGCAGAGGACGTTGAAGGGGGGATGTTGTTATTGTCTATGCTTGCCCAGTTGAACCCTAACCTCGTCACTCAAGATACATTGGTTGAGCTAAAAAGCTTTTATCTCGACGAAGCAAATGTAAATACTGCCGCTTACAGCTATGCTCTTGGGATTCTTGAAACAACCACAACTCGCCTTAAAGGTATCCGTCCTGAATTTTCTATTGAAATTCAATCATTCTTGTTGTCCAAAATCATCAATTTTCATCAAAAGGACATGTTGACCGCCACTGCAGCTTTGTGGAATTTGAGTAGACTAAGCTCCACTGAGGGTAAAATCGCCAATGCAGTTGTGGGAACTTTAAAGTGGGTTAGAAAACTGTGCAATGAAAAAAACTACAAGCAGCTTCCTAAGTTGGTACAGTTGTTGGGATGTTTTGGTAAACTTCTTGATCTTCAGCTATTCCAAAACGTTTTCATAAAAGAGGGATTCATGTCTGAGCGTGATAGTGTTATGAGCATCCTATTTAAGCATATATTGGCTTTTACGAAGCCAGAGTACCCTGCAACACTACGCAAATATGCACTTTCTAATTTGGTATTGGCGTGCTCAAGTCAACCAAGAATGATCACCCATCCAACGGTAATGGCTCGTTTATTGGAAGCTATAAAGACAGAACCCGCTAATGTAAAGTGTGCCATAATCCAAAACATCAACATTTATCTCGACGACTATGGAACCGTTGATGCTGCGCCACTGGACAATTTCAGATCAATTCAAGAAGTCTCAAATGTCCAGCAGAATGCATGCAAGGTTTTGGTTGATACCTACTTTGACGAAATCATCAAACAATGTACGTCAACTGATATTCAATTGGTGTTGGAATCGTTTTTGTTTGTGCGAATGTCGTTGGAGATGGGACTTGCTAATCCAATTAAAGGAATTGCTATGGTTGTCGCTTTACAAGGCTCGCCAACTTTAACTCTTCAAAAAGCGGCATATGATTTGTACAAGTACTTGTTTGACAAGTACAAACCGATTGTGGAATCGCAATTTGCCGATGGTATCAGGCTAGCTTATGCCGCGGGTCAGATTGCTAGAAACATGTTTGTATTGCTTTACAATGTTGCTGGGGAGTCGAGAACTTCAAGAAATAAATTTATCAAGTCAGTGTCAAAGTTCTTTGTTGTTAAGCCAAAAAGTAACTATTTAGCTGAGGATTTGAAGTTTGTTCTTTTTGTTATTGAGAGGGTGTCGTTGATCAAATATAAAACGATTGAGGAAGTGTATATAATCTTGGACCAACTACAACAAGTTTTGCAAAATTATGCGCCGGATTACATTCATGACCTTCGCGGAACACAAGTTGGCGATGAAAACAGCAGTGACATGGCATACTTGATCTACCTGATTCTTGATTTCTACAACTATCTTTCGGCAAAATACAACATCAGCAGTGAAAACATCGAAGGTTTCAGTTCCCGTTGTTTGGAGATTGATTTTCTGCAAGCACCAACCATTGTCAGCACACCGATTCTCCATGTGGATTGGATTTTCACCAATATGTGTAATCTCGACTCGCTAAAATTTGTTGTTAAAGAGATCCGCAGGTCTATATTTGTACATGGTGGTGAATAGATTTAGAGCTTTGTAATTCCTGGTTCGTGCTTACTCAACTGTGGTGTCTCTTTGCTCGCCTCCAACCCAAGGGCAATTGAAATCCGTCCTTGGGAGGTTCAATGTCGTATAGATCGACACCAAACAAGTCGTTTGTAGATTTGCCAAAATCAACGTCGGATGAATGGCCGATATTATCAAGCTTAATACTGCGATCAATGACAACAGAAGGGGAAGGTGTCCTAACTTTATGTGAGTTGTTGAGCTTGGGCAAGGCCAGAGATGAGCTTGCCTCAGCGACAGCCTCGTCCACTGCAACCACTCGCTCACCGTTATGGAACAATTTGGCATCATTATTAAACTTGTCCCTTTTCCTCTTCCACAAAGCCTGCTTTTCCAACAATATTTCAATCTCATTTATTGTCAATTCCCTTTTTCTTTCCATTTCTTCGTAATCCATAACGTCATTGACCTTTGTTATTGAGGGAAGGTGCCTTATCCAGTCGTATTGTTTGAGAAGTTGCAAGCTTGTATTTAGATTATCAACTTCAACTAAATTTTTGATCTTTTCCTCATTCAACATTTGCGTTTCCTCCTTTTTCATTTTACGATGGAAAATAGTGTACTTGGAGTCAGGTAATGGATCCACTTTCGTTCTTCTTTTCGGTAGTTTTCGTGGAACTTGCTTGACTTTGGTTACTTTTAATGTTGGTGTCTCTTCATCACCTTTAAAGTAGGTGTACAATTGATCACTACCGTCTGGTCTGATGTGTATCGGCTTATTCTGATACAAGTAGGCATTAATGTCATCGAAATTGAACAAGTTTTTATTCAATGTAGCCTTACTGGAGTCATCTGATCTAAGCTTACGTGATTGTTCCTTTTGCGGGCTTGACATGGATGTAGACGTAAAGTCGTCTACGCGCTTTGCAATGTCCTTTTTTTTTTTCATTTTATTCTCTACGCAATCTCCTATCTAAATTTGAAAAACTTGTCAGCATAGCTGGGGTTAAAGTCGGCTCTCTTGCTGATATATTGCCTAACATTGTACGGCTTCATACGTGATAATTGACCTTCTGTAACCAATGAGTTGACTAATTCACTCAGAACGGTAAACAAGTTACCAATTTCCTTCAAGATTTGGAACTTTTCCGATAATTCAGGAATACCCCACTCATCAATGATTGTTTGATATCGAATTGCATCCTTTGTCAATACAACACCACCGATGGAGTTTACCGAAAACTTTTTGTAATGTTCTAGTAGCAACTTTAGAAATTCATTACCAATGGTGAGTAAAATATTGATCAAGTTATCGCCCGTCAAAGCAACACTAATATTAGCATACATTTCATTCATGAACTCACTGATCAATTCACAAGCTTCCGTGTCATCCTCAATAGAGTCGCAAAGAAAATCCTTCTTTTTCTGCTTATTAAGAAATCCCCGAATTTGAGTTAGTGAATAGTCCATGATTGAATTTAGTAGCTCATTTATACTTGTTTCTTGTACCTTGACAAACTCATTTATCAAGAATCTCGCTTTCCCTTTGGCAATGGGGTCATTAGTCACACAAGGAAAGATGATTTTCTTTGCGCATGCTGTCAAGCAAAACAAAATCTCCTTTTTGAATTGAATGGAATTAAGCGTCCAGAAAAAGTTGAGGCTTTGTAGTTGAAGCTCCTCTCGAACAATTAATTTTTCAAAATTGACAATTAATACAGCCAAAACATCCAATGAATGTTCAGCTGCTTCATTTGGTGCCAATTCCAACACCCTTCCAATAGATTCGGCAGCGGTTTTCAAAAGTGTTTCAACACTATCAATCGCTTTCAAATCGTCCTCCTCAAGTTCCAACTTAGACACCCCATTATCGCTTCTTGCCTTTTCATTAATCTTTGTTTTGACATATTGAGTGAATTGAGCCAACCTTTTTTTCTCTGCAGAAAATCTGGTATGGTCGTATGCTTTGGATTGCTGACTGTATCTCAAAGTGTCCGATCTTGCCAAGCTATGATCATCACTAGTTTGTTCATTGAATGTGTCGGGATCAAGCATGTTTAAGATGGTGTTTACAATCTCCTTCAAATTCCTCTTTTCCCTCACAAGGTAAGCATTGTCAGCAAGGTACTCCTCAAATAATCCATCACTTGATTGTTCCAAAGTTTGCAGAACTTTCTGATCAGTGTCGAATTCTTCAGTCACCATGTAATCTTTGATTTGGTTGGTGAATTCTCCAACAATGCCATACAATGCTTGTAAAATTCTCACATGGGCTAACAAACTTTGTTGTAACGACAATTGCAACAATGTTGTGATTTTCCTCTTGATGGCAGTTCCGTATATTCTCTCAATAAACAATACAATAACCGTTTCTGGATTATTGAATATCTTTTTACTCAATCTTGCTTTCGATTTGATATTGAATTTAATATTTTCAAGAAAGTCGTTGAGGTGTGGTGACAAGTCGTAGTTTGTAGCGTTTGTGTCAGACCATAAGCTCCACTCACTGTCATCCAAGGTTGTATCTTCATGGTGGGCTTCCATCGAAAGCTCATTCTTATCGACAAACCTATTCATCAATGTTGTGCCTTGGTTGTATTCGTACAATATTTGCGAAACGTTGTTCATCACCCTTATATCAAAATCCCCACCAGATGTTTCATCAGAGGCCATTTCAAATTTTCTCAACAATTCTTCCTCCATTCGGTGTCCATAGGACTCAACCATTTGTAAGCATTTTAAGGTGGTGGGAATAGACTCGTCGCTAATTCTTTTGGAAAGATGAATCAATTTCTTAATATACCTAGCACATTCAATATTATCGTCTAGCTTGGAACTTGAACGCAAATTCTCTAACGGGGCATAATCTCCCTTTGTGTAGAACCCGTGATACGCCCGAATCAAAAAAATTGTCTCTCTTGACTTGTCTCGTGAGGTTGAGATTTTATTCAAAGTAGCACCCAATGGATTGATCTTCCTCGAAACATCTGATATTTTGGTGTCCAAGAGATTAAACTTGTCGGTGGTTGTAGCAATCAGATTACTCAATTCAAGAACGTTTTGGGAATGCTTTAATTCGTATGTGTCAACCTGTTTCTCCCCTCTGATCCTTTGATCATTTGCATCTGCGCTTAGCCGATTCAATTCCCTAATTGTGCTTTCAAAGGATCTGATGTATGGCTTTGGGTCAAGGTATGCTTTCTTGTTTACTTCGGCACCTTTGAGAATGTGATCTTTACTAATCTCTTCAACGAAATCATTCACTGAAAGTCCATTGAGAAAGTTATCTGCATTGAGAAGCTTCTTTATCTCCGGGTTTAGATCATAGATGGAAAATGACCCAGTGCTCATTTGGATAGCACTGACTGTGGTTGGTGGTGGGGATCGATGTTGGGGATGCGGTTGGTGGTGGGGCCAACGCCGAGAGCGATCTTTAATTTTTTTTTGTCGCGATTATTCACGACAGTCTTCATGAGACATAGAAAAAATTCTACACACATACACTAATTGTTGAGTCACCTCATTCATTAAGCTATAAACTATGTCTAAAAACTTTAAACTTAGTTGGCTCTCAAGGTCAAGTGACATTTACCACAGTATTGTCTGTCCTTCATGTTAGCCATAAAGATACCAGCACCACAAGTTGGAGATGGACATTCTCTTCTCAATCTTTCAACATTTCCATCATTGTCAACCTTGTAGTAGGTCAAAACAGCCAATTTGTGCTTTCTGTGCTTGTGCTTGATCTTCTTTGGGGTGGTGTAAACCTTCTTCTTTCTCTTTTTACCACCACCTCTCAATCTCAACACCAAGTGCAAAGTAGATTCCTTTTGGATGTTGTAGTCGGACAAAGTTCTACCATCTTCCAATTGTTTACCAGCAAAGATCAATCTTTGTTGATCTGGTGGGATTCCTTCCTTGTCTTGGATCTTGGACTTGACATTGTCAATGGTGTCAGATGACTCAACTTCTAAAGTGATGGTTTTACCCGTAAGGGTTTTGACAAAGATTTGCATTCTTTACTTTTTGGCTTGTCGGCAAAAGGAGTGCTTCTTTCTTACCAAAGTGGGTTGGGGTTCGGAAAAGGTTTGGAAAAGGTTAAAGGAATGAAAAAAAAAAAAAAAACTAGACATAGAGGAGCAGGATGGCGAAAATGCGCAAAGGGGAAAAAAACCAATTGTTTGTCACGTGATTAGGGCTACAGACTCACTATTTTCTTTTTGCGACACCCTTACATCTCGTAAATACGATATCTCCTTTTGCAACCGGAGAAACAATCCTCCCCCTGGCATTAATTATAATTGTGTATTGTTGACATGATTTGTATTTTTTTCTTGAACATCACAAATTCACCAGTTTCATTCTGTCATTGGTTGAATTACACTAATATTCCGATCAAGCACTACCAGGTCCAGTAATTATAAGGGCCCATCCTCAAAGAGTGGATTCTTGGCTCGAATTGTAATTGGCTAAAGATGTAGGTTCATGATGGTTGGTACGCTCTTGTTCTCTATCTTTGTGACAAGGTACAACGTTGCTAGCAGCTCTGCAATTGGTCTTTTGATGTTTACCTTCTCCGAGATTCTTAACGTACTCAAGTACCGCAATTCGACGGATTGTTGTACTCGACGTTGGGTATAAATACCGGTCAAACTTCCTTAAGCCTATTTTCAATTACATCGTCACCTTCAACAACAACACAAAGCCATGAAGATATCATCATTATTCACAACCGCCGCTTTTGTTTCCATAATCTCAGCTGCTCCTGCTGTGACTGCTCCACCTAATGCTGCTGCTACCGATGGCGCCAATTGGTCAACTTACCCTTCGGTTCCAAAGACCGCTTCCATCAATGGTTTCGCTGATAGAATTTATGATCAATTACCATCCTGTGCTCAGCCATGTGTTCGTGAAGACACAGGCTCAACACCTTGCCCATACTGGGACACTGGATGCTTATGTGTTATGCCTCAATTTGCTGGTCCTATTGGTCTTTGTATTGCTTCGGCTTGTAAAGGGAACGACGTTCGTTCAGCAACCTCATTGGCTACGTCAATTTGTTCTAGTGCTGGGGTTTGGGAACCATATTGGATGATACCAGCTACTGTTTCCGAAAGTTTGGCTGCCGCTGCTACCGCTGCTTAGATCTGCTTGTGTAGATACCAATGACCAATCAAATTACAAACTGTTTTTTCTAAACATCCTTCGATACTGTACTCTCGTATTTCAAGCTCTCCATTAGCCTATTGAGTACTTGTATGTTGCCAGCTACTTGTTTCTTATTCTCTGGATTTTGTAGCACAGCAATAATCTTAATCAAATTTTCATTAATATTTCGACTCACTGATGATATCAAGGCTAGTTCGTAGAGGATCTGTTGTTGCTCTTCAGTCATAGTGTGTTTCTTTGTTGTTGTGAAGTTGAATACGCGAGAAGTGGAATGAAAAAGAACAAAAAAAATTACGTCTTCATTGAAGTATGCACCCGCTGCCCTGCCAAGGACTCAGCTTGTCAATGTTATAGCACTCAATGATCATCAATGTAAAGGCTATAAACTAGTTTACGTAATCCAGAAAAAATTGAGTCAAGTGTTACCCGGTATCGCTCGGTAATGAGTTTTAAAAAAATGATAATTTTTGGCCAAAATTGCTGCAAAAAAATTATACTTTTGCTGTACAAATCGGCAAGACTTGAATATCGTTTTCGGTGATTACACTTACTCTACAAAGAATCTAGTATAAATTGAAATGCGTAAGTGATCCACTACTATGTACATTAAACAACAACATGCTCTCTAATCTGCTAATACAATTAAAGACAACATAAAAAATGCAATGTTAAACGACACCGTCCCCAAAGAAACAAATGAAATGCAAAATGCAACAAAAGGCAAATACCTTCCCCAACTGTGATCCTTTAAACAAAACTCCATTTAGTTAATCTCCTTTCAATACCATCATTAGTTGTGGCTCTTAGTTTCAGTTAATCGGTTTAAAACACTCTCAAAAGCCAACCTCCCTGTTTGAGCATTTTGACCAAATCTTTCCACACTCCAGTGTTCTAACTTGTCACACAACTTCGATACTCCAGCAAAAGCAGTAATCTCTGCGCTTTGATTGAAAGTTGTCTTGTGTGAAGGCAAATCTAAATCTGGATTGTAAATAACTGTTTCTTTTACCAATAGTAGATGGTTCATCGTCAAGTTCATTGATTTCATCACCAACGTTTTGTCATGCAAATCAATTTCTGATACTTCACGCACATAACTAAGATTTGCACCCCCTACTAGGAAGGAAAGCCATCTAGGAATTGACTGTTTACATCCAATTAGTCTTTCAGTACGTAGTGTATGATCATTGACTAATCTTCTGTCTAATACATCCACTGATACCACATGTGTTGAGTACTCGTTGGGGTATTTTTGCCAATTGGCAGAGGTGACTTGATCCCAGGGGTAGTTGAATGTGTGATTGGCTAGAAATAATTTCATATTGCGAAAGGGCTATGCTTGACTATCTATTTAGCAAAATGGAAACAATTAACCAAAAATGTGGAGATCTCCCGTGTACATATATAGTTATTTAAATCTTAGATAAACAGCTTGGAATGGAATGGAAAATTTCTCTCTCATTTCGTTTAAATTTCTTTTTTTTTTCTCCCAGTTTACCGCCTGCATTACGAACTTTTTATAACCGATGAATCATACACACATTTTAATCAATGTTAGAATAACAAGGTTTTAAGTCCAACTATGATCAATCGCTTCTGTTTGGGTGTTCCTAAACGTGTCCGCCTCTGGCATCTACTGGTGTATACGACTATTTCTTTCTTCACAAAGGGGGGGATGAGATCCTAAAAGTCACAAGACACTGGTTAGTTTGAGCGCGGGATAAAAAGACAAATTTATTCCGGATCTTTACGGGATAACATACAAAACGCAAAAAACTTCAATGACGTGATTTTGATATCTACGACATTCCTAGTTACGACATCAGTGCGGCGTTTTTGTACAGGACGCAAAAAAAAAAAAGAAATGAAATTTACTCAAACAAAAATCTATACACGGTCTATTGCGTTTTTCAAATCTTTTAAAGCCTTGAGTGCTTCTCCACTGATTATTGATTCTTTTGCTAATTTTACCCCATCTACCCAATTATCACAAATACCTGACACGTATGCAAGGGCAGCCGTGTTTAACAAGATGTAATCCACGTAGGCGTTGCTATTTTCATCACCAACTTTATACTCCTCTTTATCTTGCTTCAATATATGGTTGAGTATTTCAGCATTTTCGTCAGGAGTTCCAGACCTTACAGCTTCTAATGGGTGCTCACAAAGTCCAAAGTCTTTGGGTGATATGCGATCACGTTTAATTTCGCCATCTCTTTCTACCAACCAAATCTTTGTATATCCAATAGGCGCAATCTCATCTAATACGCATTCTCCAAACACAACCATTGTACGCTTGTGTATGTGGCTCTTTTTCGCGAGTATTGATGCAGCTTGAGCGTAGTTCTCTCCCAACTTTTCACTATAAACACCCAAGATTCTCGATTGAATAGGAATTGGATTAATCAAGGGGCCCAATATATTGAAAATCGTAGGCACTCCAAGTTGGGCTCTCACATTCGCCACGAGTCCCATTCCTGGGTGAAATGATGGTGCAAACAAGAAGCAAAATTTTGACTTCTTTACAATTTCAGGTAGAGTCACAACATTGATCTTGGCTAAATCAACACCCAAAGATTTCAACAAATCACCAGAGCCAGACGTGGATGTGCTAGCTTTACCGCCATGTTTACAAACAGGGAGTCCCATTCCGGCGGCAACAATCGCCGATGATGTCGACACATTAAATGTATTTTGGCCATCCCCCCCTGTTCCAACAATATCTATGTATCCAGCTTCGTCAACTAAATGATCCTCAATCGTCTCAGCAAACTCTAATACTGTATTGACGGCTGCTGCAATGTAAACAGATTCGTGGTCCAACTCGCGTTGTCTCAATGAAGTTAAGAACGCTGCAACCTGAATCTCTGATGCACGATCGGAAAATATAAGTTTTATAACAGCTGCCAAATCATCGGGAGTGAAATTGGGAGGGTTCAGAACTAAGGCTTTGATGTATGGTGTGAGAACCTTGTCTTTGGACGGGCTATGTACAGTCATAATGTCTCTGATTGATGATAGTGAGGGATTGTGAAAAATTATGATTCATAATGAATCATCGTTTTTTTTTTCCTCATATCTTTAGTTAGTGCTGCACGACCTAAAAAAAAATTTATGCACAGGTTTCGATTACGCAACCAAAAGTAAAAGATTTGAGGATTTGTATTGCATCATTTTCCTTATTTACGATATTTGTACTTCCTTATCAGCATCGAGGTAAGAATCACAAATGGCCCAACAGGTGAGATCATCAACTGAGTCGGGACTCTCAAAATCAATTTTTAAGTTCAGCTCAAGACTCTTGATTTGTGTCTTTTTTATAGCATACAATTGGTTCAACAAAGGCAGTCCAACAATCACCCACCAATTTTCCTCTTTGGTGAAGGGTAACCTACAGACCGCATCCAACGAGTCCAATTCTTCATCTCGCTCTAGCAAAACGCTTATTGATCCTGGAGCTAAAACTTCGAATGATAGTTTGACATTAGGGTACAGGTTGACAAACATGGCAACATCATTCAAATCATCATCTTCCAACTGGAGGACTTCATCTCTTTCATCGTCCTCCAAGCTCATTATGTCATAGACAGTCTCGACTTTGTGCTCTTTACAACGAGCGAGGATCGCATCATTAAATTTTGGAACCTGTTTCAAGTGATTTTCAAACGACCATACTTGTTGAGAAACCATTTGCCACAAGTCCATACCCAACATTGCACTCAAGTGGCCGTCTCCTGATAAAACATCAATACTGGCATTCAATACGCGAACAAAAATTTTGAGGACTTTTTCCTGGTCATACTTTAACTCAAAGGGCAATGTTGCCCTTGATATGAATGCTTGAACGAGAATGAAAGATTTGTAGAACGGTGTCATTGAAGAAGCATCTTTTAAAGGCATTTTCCTTGCAATAGTAGATAACACATCATCTACTTTTCTCATTGGTATGGATTCAAATTCAACGGCATTGGTGACAGCAAGTAAAATGTCCTTGAGTTTGCTCTTGCCATTCAAAGAACTCAACGAGTTTATTGTGTCGAAGGATAAGTCATAGTGCGATGTGATCAAGGCCTTATTAGAAGGCAAAATCGTTTCCTCTTCGTCTTCCTCAACAAAGTCTGCTTTGATCAACTCATCCATCAAATCTTCGATCATATTAGACAAGTATTCGGATACGGCAACAGATGATAGATTTTTCAACCCATAATAACTGGGATTGCTCAACAACCTTTTGTAGAAAAAGGTGTGAGTCAAAATATCAATGCAATCCTGTCTCAGTTTTAGTAAACCATGTGCAATACCATCAATGAAAAACTCACAAATTGTAGAGTCCAACAGACTTTCCAAAGGAATACCAGAATTAATAAAAGTCGAATAGAATGAAGTAGCGTCAACACTTGTTTGCACATAAACATATCCAGCAGTACTTTGACAGTGACCAACCATGTTGTATATATCTGTCACACTGTAGTCAACGTCGCGATGTTCATATTCATCATAGTATTGCGTTCCATCAATAATGACAACATCTGCAAAAGGCACAATGTTAACTGCGTCTCTAGTAGTGACCATGCACGATACATTTCCCGCTTGGAACAAATTGGATACAATTGCCTTGTCGGGTTTTGAAAACTCGTTTAATAATAGCCCGACCCCATTTCCCAACACTTCTTTCAAGACCTTGTTTTCGATGTTATCGGCAACATTATTCTTCCTCGGTGGTAAGTTTTGTGCAATCTTGATTGCTTCGCTGCTTGTACCTGTAAACAAGATAGTCCTGCGGTCACCAATATCCCGTTGTTTCTCCTCACTAAAATAAATTTCCTCGATATTGCTTTCACGCATAGATGCCGGGTAGTTTATTATATTCTCTCTAGAAACATTCAACCACAGCGCCACATCTCGAGCATTTAGTAATGGATAAGACACAGAAACAAGTCTGACGTTGATGTCATCACCATGCAGTTGTAGGATCTTGAGCTTTGTAATCATGAGTTCGTAAACTGGATTAGCTTCAAGCTCATGCAAATCATCTAATACAATCAACTGAACCGTCTTGATAGCCTTTGCGCTCCTCCAACGCTTGCAAAGGGAGTAGAATGGACCCGGGGTTGATAGAATAACCTGGTGGGCATTGAAAGCCCTAAAATCCTTTTTCAAATCTCCCGATAATCTGCATACGCTGAGATCCTCTTTTTTGGTCCATTTCTTCAATTTGGCTTCAACAGTATTCTCACTAGGGTTGATATAGATTATTCTCTTGTTTGATCGACGCAAGTGTTGAGCAATGGTCAACTCAGAACATAAACTCTTTTGTACTCCGGTCGTGATTCCAATGCAAATGTTTTCTTTATCGCATATTGCCTCGTAGAGCTCGCTTGCAAGTTTCTCCTTGTGTAATCCAAACTCTTCAAAATCAGTTAAATCAATCTTGTCTCCATTTTCAACAAAATATGACCTATCTTTTGGGGATATCAAACTTGTTATGATGGGTATCTTGGAGGTGCAATTTACCCATTTGGTACTCACGAGTGAAAGTAGCAAGTTTGGCGGTTGAGGCAGTTTCAACTTGATTTGAAACTCAAGCACGTGTGGCTGCTCTATATCCTCCTTACGGACACGAAACTGTTGGTACTGTAAAAGCTCGTTACCATCGCAATCCTCCAAAAACAAATCAAAAGACTCTTGCCTTCCATGAATGCTCAACCAATTCCATTTCGGAACGGCTTCCACTTTCAATCTCACAAATTCGTCAGTAATAGTTTGAACTGTGTAGTTTAGCTCAATCCGGGGAAATGAATGAACAAAGTTCCATGCTTGCTGGGCGTTTCCGCGCAAGTTCAACACCTCCGATAACTCCTCTGGTGTCAAGTGGAAATACTGAATCCATGGCAATTGAGATGATTCAGAGGCTTTAACTATGGGCTTTGGAATTAATGAGCCAAATTGCCTCAAAGGGGAATCGCTTGTCCAAAGCCTATTGGCCACCATCTTTGACAAATCGAGTATTGATCTCGCTAACGATGACCACTTTTTGAGTAGCGCTATTTCAAACAAGGCATGCAACAACCTGGATGCCGATTGCTTGATGTAAATCATATCTGAGATTAGTGCGTACCCTTCAAGATTAAGCCGGGAAATGTAAGTTTGCAACAAGATGTTGATCTTGGCAATTGGCTCAGTAGGGAGCTCCTTGATCGGAATAGGACACTTTTCCATAAGCTTATTGATTTCTAATCTCTCCTCTCTCCTAACAGGTATGAATTGAAATTCGTCAGAGTGGGCAAATACCCTAATTATGTCCCCTTCAGTGTGCCAAGGTCTCAACATCTGGTTGTATCTGGCAACGGTTTCATAACTGATGTAATGGTATGATGCAATTTTGCCAAGGGGAGTAGAGACAACTTTATCACCTTCACGGAATAACAATTTGTTTTCATAAAGAACTGAAAAGGCAGCATCAATCAATTCCTGTCTCCTTACATACATTGTAGGATCTTCCTCGCTGGTGAGTGAATCTGCTCCATACAATTTTGGTGACTGTAACATTCTCACATATAAATAGGTGTAACCGAGCCATTTTATACCATCATTCAATGACGATATGGTACCAGCAACAACCTCTGCATTAACATTATCAATCAATTTTGTCATCAACTGCGACTCGATTGGATATTGTTGATTTAAAATTGCAAGGTAGTATTGTATACGATCCTGTGAAGTGATGATGATACCTTCACCATTCTTATCATACCTAGGCCGACCGGCTCTTCCCAACATTTGGAAAACATCTTGAGGTGATAATTGAGTCCAATTACCAGCTTCTGGAGAGTAAACATCAGTTCCCTTTATGATCACTGTGTGTGCTGGCAAATTAACACCCCATGCCAACGTGGCGGTGGAAACGAGGGCTTTTAAATGGCCCTGGGCAAAAAGGTCCTCCACTAATGTCCTGTCATCTCTTGTCAATCCTGCGTGATGGATACCAATGCCTGAAAGCAAAAGTCTTTGCAATTTGGAATTAGTCACTCGTTCAGATTCTTGTTGGAGAATTTCTCGAGTACTAATTTCTGTAACCACTTCAATATCCAGATTTGACAAAGATTCTATCAAGTATTCTGCAGTTGCTGCAGTCTCATTCCTCAGATGAACAAAAATAATCAATTGCTGATTGCGTTTCAACACATTGCATGTTTGATCAAAACATGCCTCATTTATTGCAATCTTCTTTTTTAATGCTTTCTGATCCTTAATTCCAACAAATTTTTGCTCCAATGGGCAGGGTCTATAACTGGAGTCAAAGTAAAAAACTCCGACATCGTTAGCACGGATAAACTTGGCCACGTCGAGATAATTGGGCAATGTTGCAGACAATCCAACAATTCTTATGTCCTCCTCACCGGTGCGCACAATTCTGGACACTATTCCTTCCAAAACAGGTCCTCTCAAATCATGCAACAAATGAATCTCGTCAATAATCAACAACTTGACAAGTTTGAGGTAGTCGTGGTCTTTTCTTGTGATGATATCCCACTTCTCTGGTGTGGTAACAATCACATTGGTCTCTAGAATTTGTTGTTGGGTTAATGAAGAGTCACCGGTTAGCTCATTCACCACCAAGCCGAACACCGAAGTTAGCCTTCGTTGAAATTCTCTCATTTGCTCTTGCACTAAAGCTTTTAGTGGCGCAATGTATACAATTTTAAACTTGTTTGCGTCAATATGGCCGTTGGATCGATAGTTTTCAATAGTACGCAACATGGTCAACATTGCCACGTTGGTTTTACCAGCACCAGTTGGGGCACAAATCAACAAGTTGTCATCAGATTCGAACGCTTTTGGGTATATTTTTGACTGTATTCGGTTAAATGTTGATGTTTCATTGCTAGGGAAAACTTCCTGTGCCCATGATGGCAATTTATTAACCGGTAGGAGTTCATACTCACTCGTTGGGGATGTATTAGCGGGCACAGTGATAATATCATAGTTGGGCATTTTCTCTTGGTATGTTCCCTTTGGAAGTGTCACTTTTAACTCCTGGCCATTTGTTTCTTCATAAAGCACTCGTTTTCGAAGCTGCTTGATTGTATGTTCGGCATCGTTTTTTCCTAATAGCTCCAAAATGAGTGTATTGAGGTTATACTTTTGCATTTCTTTGATTATTGGGCCCTTGTCACCCATGGCAAGTCTTTTTGAATACACTATTCTCCATCGATTTGGTAGAACCTTGTCCATTGCGGGAAACTTTTCAAAAAGAGCCTCATCGGTGATGCTTCTATCACTCAACGCTTTGTAGACTTCTTCTGAATTGGGTACCTCATCTTTAAAGGCATTCCAATCGTAAACGCGATCGATGATAACAGGCTCTGCTGCCTTTTCCTCGTTGTCAGATTCAACCTCTGGCTCATCGCCATCGGATTCTTCCTCTACTTCAATTGCGATTGCGCTAGCCTCATCCTTTGCTGATCCACGATGCTTCTGCAATGCAGCCTTATAGCTATTTGCCAAGTTTATCAATTCCCCCATCTCTTCATCTTCAATGGTATCACCAAGAAGCTCCTTTGTTTCCTTTCTCTTGGTTGTCACACTTGTATCGGATCCTAATAAGTCTAGCAAGATTTCCACTGCTGAGTTTATTATCTCCGGACTTGCATCAAGCAAGTGGTTTCGTATTCTATTAAGGAACGTGTCGTAAGTCTCATCGTAGTCGGTCATGCCAGAAGCGTTGATGAATATATAATTACTGTGTGTGTGTTTACTGATATATTTTTATTTTTTTATTCCTCGTTTTCGCAGTTTTATTTCCCTACTTAATACACCTTATTCAAGAAATCATTCTTTTTGAAATCCCATGAATCGTCAGAAATTCTTCCTCTCAATACTGGAACCTCACTACCTTTGACATAAACATCTTCGAATAAAATGTCCATTCTAGCTTCAGGTGGAGCATCAGCCTCAGCTGCAGCAACTTGTTCATCAACGTATTTTCTAGCAGCCTTGTCGTATGCCTTGACTTCATCCTCAGTGGCAATGTTTTTGTCCAATAAAACAGCCTTTAATCCTGCAATTGGATCATTACGAGATCTCATGTGCTGAACTTCTTCTCTAGTTCTGTACGTGGTACCTGGATCAGACATGGAATGACCACCATATCTATAAGTTTCGTATTCTAAAACTAATGGTCCGTTACCTTGAGATGCCCAGTCCTTGGCAAATTTGGCACCTTGGTAAGAAGCCAAAACATCCATACCATTGATTTTCAATCCAGGAATGTATTGACCTCTCTTGTAGTACTCGGTCATAGCAGAACTTCTGGCAGCAGCGGTACCCATACCATATTTGTTGTTTTCACAGACGAAAATGACCGGCAAGTTCCACAACTTGGCCATGTTGAATGCTTCAAACACTTGACCCTGGTTTGAAGCACCATCACCATAAAGATCAAAACAAACTGATCTCTCTCCTCTATATTTTTGAGCAAAAGCTAAACCAGCACCCAATGGAACTTGAGCACCAACAATACCATTACCACCATAGAAACCTTTGGTAAACATATGCATGGAACCACCTTTACCATATGAGATTCCTGACCTTCTACCCATCAACTCAGCCAAGATTGACTTAACAGAAGCACCTCTAATGTGTGCAAAACCGTGACATCTATAGGATGTGATGACGGTATCTTGATGGTTGATTGCGTTTTCAATACCAACGGCAACAGCTTCTTGACCAACAGACAAGTGGCAGAAACCTCTAATTTTTTTGGCCTTGTATAAAGCGTCAGCTGCCATTTCCATTCTTCTAATAACAATCATATCCTTGTACATTTGTAATAATGTCTCCTTTTCAGTTTCAAATTCCAAAGAAGGTATTTCCAAGTCGTAACCTTCAAAAGATGATTCTGGCAAAGTGATGGAAACCAAATCACTACCATCACCAACTGGTTCAGCTGTAGCCAATGATCTTTTGGAGGTGTAATTGTGCAAAGGTTTAGGGTTGCTAGCCAACACTTTGGAGCAAGTGGATTTTCCCATTAACCTCAAAGTTGAGGCTGATGCATTGATTAGGCGACTCATGGTGTAGACGTAGCAATGTCAATTGGATCGCAAGGGGGGAATAGATATAGAAATGGTATATGTATGTCCAATTGAGTAAAAACTAAACACTTCGTCTCTAGTTCTTTGGTCAATTTTTTTCTCTTCTTCTTCTCTCCTTTCTAAGTTTGCCTTTTTTTTTTTTTTTTCCGGGTTGTGTGCTTCATACTCCGACTTTGCGATAATTATTTTCTATTTTGTGTTGCGATGGTTGACAGTGTTCCGCTTGTTTACGGAGTTTAAACTCCGAATTCAACAAAAAAACAAAATTCAATAGCTGTAACACCAAAACAAAGATGGAGGAAGAGAACGAGGGTAGGTGGCAGTCGTTGTTTTCATGATGCTACTGAAGGGACCTCTTTCATCTCAATAGGGTTTGATCGCTACTGTTTAATTGAATCCATGGTAAATATGTGTTGAAAGAGAGGCTGAGAACTTGAACCTCATTTCATTGCTTTGTCAGACGACGGAGAACTGTACCGACTACTATTACTACAGCCTCGGTCTCACGTTACCGCCAGAGTGGTGCCCAGAGTGACACCATTTCAGATGTTCAAGTATTTTTTTACGTTTTTATTATTTTGCCTCGTGGTGTGCGGCTTTCTCCAGATTGACAAATCTGAAACACCCACAAGTTTATCCAACTGGCAAACAAAATGACCCCTTCTTCATAAACACAATTGAAGATGCTGCTGCTAGATCCCTTGATGGTATCCTCTGATTTCTACTTGCTTTATTGCATTACATGTTTGGCATATCGTTGGACACTTTGAATAACAAGAAATTGGGAACCTCACCACTTTCACGATCAGGTTCAACTGAATCATCACCGTTGAAAAAGAAGTGGAGAGAGATTTTAAGACCGAACAAAAGCTACAGCATTAAGCAAACGGGTCACAATGCCAGCTACACTAGCAGCCGCATTTCACCAGTATCGGACACAGACAAAACCCCATTTCCACCAATGTCTGTTCAAGAGCAAGTGTTCACGCCCCAACATTTATCTACCCCAAAGTTTGAATCATCCCATAAATTTGAAAAAGCTTACAATACTCCCAACACCACGCCCAAAAGTGTCAATCTTTTTGAAACTTCACACAACAAGAGTAGTGATAGCTTTTCGTATGCTCATCAAGTACACACTGAAGGATTGAATCTGTCGTTTGCCAATATCTTGAATAATAATATCCCGCATTTAAATAAAAGAAGAGAAAGCCAAACATCTTCAACCAAGAATCTAGACAACACCTGTTTCATATGCTCAGAGTTGTTGCTGAATGTCTTGCAAAGCGAACGAGTTTTGAAGTTGAACTGTGGTGATGTGGTGCATTTTGAGTGTTTTAAAACCGCGTACAATAAGGAACTAGCTGGTCACAGAAGTTGCAACAAGGAATTTAATTTGGAATTGTCGAATCTCTGCCACGGCACAATTTGCAAAGGTGAATGTCGGATAACAATCGATAATCGAAATCTAAACTCCCTTTTGAAGAGGTCACATATGTCACTTACTCCCAAACGACCAGCTCCTAATCAGCCAAAGTCTAAAGACCTGTCCCATGAAACAAAGCTGAATTCGCAAAGCATCAACTTCAAAGCATTAAAGTCGACATTAAATCAATTGTCTCACATTGAGCTTTCGAGGAGAAGTTCTGTTAGGAACCGAGACACCATATTGTCAAGCATACAATCTCCATCGCCTGTAAACACAATCCCAACAACAATAACTGACTCATACAACTTAAATGGATTTGATAATAACCAAAGTGCAGAAACAGTTGTAAACCAATTAATGCAGTATCTATTAAATAATTGCACAACGTTAAATCTAGCAAAATTGTCCCAATTGGGAATGTTGCGAGTTGCTGATCAATTGCAAATCAAAATTGAAGATGTTCCTTTCCAGGAAAAGTATTGTTACTTGTTTGAAAACTCGGTTGTAATTTGGGACAAGATTAGCCTGGCCATCTTTATACCCGTAAAAAATGTCGAAATCACATGCAAAGGTTCCATTGTGACAATTACACCAGCAGAGGGTAATGTGTTGCATTTTTCGCTCCAATCTCATTTAAGTTCGGTTATCGAGAAATGGGCCATTGTCTTGATGGATCTATCAGTGGATGTTCCTGGATGCAAAATCACAAACACTATAGATTTGATACCAAAAGTGCAGGAAAAGAATGTATTTGGAGGGTTTTTGGGAACCAGGATAAGTCCGATTATGGATCTGCCACACAATAATGCCCAGTATCAGCTTGTGAATGTAAGTTCACACAGTGTGATATCAACTGATTCTCTCAATGTGAAGGATTTGAATCTTTTAAAAACCAATACGGTGCTGTTATTGGGAAAAGAAGTAGACGACAGTGATTCAGATGCAGACTCAGATAAGGAGGTCATACAACAAGCGTTAAAATATAATACGGATCGAATAAATCTAAACCAATTGCAGACATTAATATCGGAAGTAGACCAAATGCTATAGAAGATAGTGACATATGCGCATTTTACTTTTGTGTAGACATAGAATAGAAAAAGTAGCAAACAAAAAAAAAAAGAACTGGCGACGTTATTTCCGAAACATGGTTCAACAATCTTTTCTTGCCTTCGCTTTAGACCCTATAGATAGACTTTTTGATGACTTGCAAGATATTATTCAGGTTGTCCAACCTCGGGGAACCTGTGAATAATGAGAATGTTAGCAATGGAGTATTAAGTTTGCCATCGAATGATTATCCAAAGTCATACAAACCAGGAGACCCTATTTTCGACTTGCGGTTTCAATTGAATGCGGCAAGTAAAGTCGCAAGAAAGGGGGTGTTCCATACTAATATACCACCGTCTTACAAAGACGAGTTTGATAGAAACAAATATTACAACCACTCCATTGAATCTTCATTTCATCAAGACATTTCCTTTACCATCCCCTTATACAAGCCAGGAGCTTACAATTATTACATTTCATATGAAGACGAAAATGGGAATGACAAGGAGACAGAAAAGTTTTACTTCAATGTTCCACCTCATTTGACCATCGATGGAAATTTTGTCCCATTCAATGCCATCAATGTGGAGACAGTCATTTCCAAATGGATCGGACTGTACGATCGTTGGCCTAAATTTTTCAAAAACATAAAGGCAAAGGGGTACAATATGATTCATTTTACGCCATTGCAAGAGAGGGGTGAGTCGGACTCTCCTTATTCTATTTACGATCAGTTGAAATGGGATCCCAAGATTTTCTCAGACCAAAAAAAGGCGGTTGATCAAATTCATAAGGTGTTGAACGATAACGAGTTATTAAGCTTGACCGATGTTGTATGGAATCACACTGCTAATAACTCTGAGTGGTTAAAAGATGCACCAAATTCGGGATACAATAAACACACTGCACCACATTTGACACCAGCAATTGAATTGGACGGGGCATTGTTGGAGTTTAGTGAAAAATTGCAAGAGTATGGCTTTCCCACTGCCATTGAAAATGAATCAGATTTGAGCAAAGTTATGGAGGGAATAAAGTCTAAAGTATTGGATAAGTTGAATCTTTGGGAGTACTACGTGTTCAACAGAGAAGGGACCTTGTCCGATTTAGAAGAAACATTCAACAAACAAAAGTCAGCCATTGACAGCATCAAGTTACCTGACAATGTCGACAAAAATGACCTAGTACAATTGTCGCAATTTGTATTGGAAACTGCAAACACCCACTCAAAAACAATCTTGGGCCACAGATTTGAAAACAAATTGGACTCTAAAAAGTTTTTGGCTATTTTGTTTGCCTTGTTTGGTGGAAATAGTGTCGATGCTGGTACCATTGTCGACAAAGCAGGGGAAATTGTTGATCAGATTAACGCACCATTGTATAGAGAGTACGACGATGACTTGAAGACAATCCAACAGCAAATTGCTGACAGAATTCGCTTCTTAAGATTAGCTGACAATGGACCAAAGTGGGGCAAGGTGACAACAAAGCTCCCATTGACAGAACCTTACTTTACAAGATTCACCGATAAAGATGGTAAGAAGCAAGCATTGGCCAATAATGGATGGATCTGGGGTGGGAACCCTTTGGTTGATTTTGCATCTGATCAATCCAAAGCCTACTTGAGAAGAGAGGTGATTGTGTGGGGTGATTGTGTCAAGTTGAGATATGGATCGAAATATGAAGACTCTCCACAATTGTGGGATAGAATGATCAAGTACACCAGAGAAATGGCTAGAGTGTTTACTGGGTTCAGAATTGACAATTGCCACAGTACACCATTGCATGTTGGGGAAAGATTGTTGGACGAAGCAAGAAAAGTGAATCCAAATTTGTATGTCATCGCTGAGTTGTTTTCAGGATCGGAGCAAATGGACAAGATATTTGTTGAACGATTGGCAATCAATTCATTGGTCAGGGAAGCCATGCAAGCTTGGAGTGTTGGCGAATTGTCGTCCTTGGTTCACAAGCATGGTGGTAGACCCATTGGTTCATTAACTTGGTTACCTTTGAGTGATTTTTCATATCCTGCTGAGAAGGAGCCGGAATTACGAGTTACAAAAGAGGGATACACTGAATTAGATATCCCGCAAGTTTTAACCAGCACTTCACCCCATGCAATATTCATGGATTGTACTCATGACAATGAAACACCTGCACAAAAGAGAACTGTTGAGGATACGTTGCCTAATGCTGCACTTGTTGCGTTTTGCTCATCGGCTATTGGCTCTGTGTACGGCTACGATGAATGCTATCCTCACTTGCTAAATGTTGTTAGCGAAAAGAGATTGTACGATTTGGATGATACAAACGGAATAGTGAAGGTAAAAGCAAAGTTGAATGGTATTCGTAAGCAATTGGCTGAGGAAAGTGAAGATATTGCTCGTGATCACGAGATGTATATTCATCATGAGGGACAGTACATTACTATCCAACGCTATAATGCCAGAACTGGGAAAGGGTGGTTTCTCATTGCTAGAAGCAAATTTTATGCTAACGAAACGGAGCAAATTTTGTCTCCTTCCATTCTCGGTGGGACAAAGGTTAAACATGAGTTTAGTTGCACATTGAAAAAAACCGGGGAATATGAAAAGGATGATAAATTCTTGAGGGGAATACCAACCGAGGTGATTGATATTGAACCACCCAAAGTTGAGTTTAATAATGGTGACAGTGTCATTCAAGTGAATGGAAGCTTTATTCCAGGGTCAATATCCGTATTCTCTACTGAGATTCCCGGTGTTGATATCAAACTTGATGAATATGTCAGGCAGGGGGCACTTGAGGCATCTTTAGACTTGGACTTGTATGATTTGAATGCTTTGCTTTACAAATGTGCTCCAGAGGAGTTGGATGCTAGTGGAGGTAAAGAGAGTGTCTACAGTATACCTCTGTATGGTGATTTAGTTTATGCAGGTCTTGAAGGTTGGCAAACTGCATTGAAGCATGTTATCTGGTCTAATAATTTGGGTCACCAAATTTGCAATCACTTGCGTGATGGAGCTTGGGCTTTGGATTATGTCGTGCAAAGGTTGGACAAGTATGTGGCCAAGTCTAAAAATTTGGGCAAGTTTCAAAAATGGTTGAAGGATCGTTTTGATGCAGTTAAGAAAGCACCTTATTACTTGAGGCCTCATTATTTCTGTTTGATTGTCGGGATTGCGTACGAGGCAGCTCGATTTAGAGCATTAAGACAGTTGAGTAACCAAATCCAGCAAGCCACCAATTTTGTTCAGAGTTTGGCATTGACAAGTGTTCAAATGACGGGGTTTATGAACAATACTTCTCTTGTTCCTGATAGATCTGTTGCATGTTTAGCAGCTGGGTTGCCCCATTTTAGCAACGATTACATGAGATGTTGGGGAAGAGATGTTTTTATTTCATTTAGGGGGTTGTTGATTGTGCCAGAGAGATACAATGATGCAAAGGAACATATTCTTGGTTTCGCCAAAACTTTGAAACATGGGTTGATTCCGAATCTTTTAGATGCGGGAAGGAATCCCAGGTATAATGCCAGGGACGCTGCTTGGTTTTTCTTGCAAGCTATTCAAGAGTATGTGACTCACGTACCCGATGGAGAAAAGATTTTAGACGAAAAAGTTACCAGAAGATTTCCATTGGATGATGAGTATGTAACTGTTGATGACCCACGTGCATTTAGTTATGAATCTTCTATCAGAGATATTATCTTTGAGATCTTTCAACGTCACGCTAAAGGAATAAAATACAGAGAAGCGAACGCAGGGCCAAATCTTGACTCGCAAATGAAGGACGAAGGTTTCAACGTGGAGGTTGGAATTGACTGGGAATCTGGGTTTGTACATGGTGGCTCACAACTCAATTGTGGTACTTGGATGGACAAGATGGGTGAAAGTGAAAAAGCTCACAATAAGGGAATTCCTGGAACACCAAGAGATGGAGCTGCTGTCGAACTACAGGGTTTGCTCAAGAGCGCGTTGCGATGGGTGGTACAATTAAATAAACGAGGCAAGTTTGATTACACTGAAGTTGAAAAGGAGAATGGAGAAAAAGTCTCTTTCAAGGAATGGGAAAAGTTGTTGCAAGATAACTTTGAGAAGCGCTTCTATGTGCCGGAAGATACAAATGATGATGACAAGTATGACATTGACGCCTCATTGGTTAATAGACGCGGAATTTACAAGGACTTGTACCATACAGGTAAGCCATATGAAGATTACCAGTTGCGTCCAAATTTCCCAATTGCAATGTGTGTGGCACCAGAATTGTTTACTCCTGAACTAGCATTGACTGCAATAAACAATGCCGATAGAATTATTAGAGGACCGGTTGGTATGAGAACATTGGATCCACTGGATTACAACTATCGTCCCTATTACAACAACTCAATTGACAATGATGATTTTGCCACATCCAAAGGTCGCAACTACCACCAAGGGCCGGAGTGGGTATGGAACTATGGATACTTTTTAAGGGCATTCTTGTATTTCCATTTTGCTACCAACAATGAAGGAAGTAAGGCTCGCACACCATCGATTGAATTGTTTACTCTACTCAATGATAGAATTCAACATCACATTCGATGGATCAAAGAGAGTCCTTGGGCAGGTTTGACGGAATTGACCAACAAAGACGGTGATTTATGTAACGATTCAAGTCCAACACAAGCTTGGAGTAGCTCATGTTTGTTGGATTTGTATTATGACCTTTGGAGAGTTGAGAAGTATCAATAGTTTCTTTTTATAGAGTTTTTGAAAAAAAAAAAAAAAAGAAAAAAAAAAGAAAAATAGACGTGCGTTTGTGTTGTGTAAATATCGTGTCGCGCTGGGATGACAGGTTTATTCGCGTTTTTCGAGAGAAGTTTTGGAATATTAAGTACAAAAGCTCATAAGCAGCATGACAGATTACAGGCGGAAACAGTACATCAAAACCAAGAGCCTCAGAAGGTCAAATAGGCTACGAGGTGTAGAGGAGGATGATGCAAATGGACTCAGAATGAGCAAAAAGAAAATCATAGCTGAGATGACAAGTTATAGATCGGCGCTTGTGAATTGGTTGAAAAAGGATGCTGGATTTGTTGAGGAAAGCATTGAAGATTTGCTTGACAGGTCATTGAAACATGACCTGAACCTTTCATGTAAAAATCTTTCACCTCAGCTTGAAGATGAAGTCAGAGAGAGACGGGGATTTGATGTGCCAGAGTTCATGCGACTGCTACAAGAGTTCATGGAAAGCCAAATGCTGAGCCGAGTGGATGCCGAAAATCAAAGAAAAGTGGAGGTGGAGAGATTGACAACACAATTTAACAACGACATGTTGGAGATGCACCGAAGGCACTCCTCACAAAGAGTGTTTGAGGAGGAAGCTCGTGCGCAAGCAGTTCAACGTTTCATCAAGGGCTACAAAACAAACAAAAATGCTTTTGCTGCACATGCCCGAAACTTTGAGTCGGGCAAAGAGGTAGGTCCAGGTGGTGGTCCTTCACTCACAAAAGCTTCAGACCTATCCCCTTCTTTAGAAACTACAAAATACGAGGAACGTAACTCAAAAAAAGACATAGTTGCTGCTTCTGAGTCATCTAGCGAAGAAAATACGCACTCTTTTCACGCCCCAGCATTTGAGGCTAGTCTCTTTGACGCTGTTTTTGAGAAAAAGGAGGTAAGTCCTGCTGCTTATTCTTTGCTCGAAGATAGGACAGACACACGCACTTCCTCAAGCTCCACAAGCCAAGAGGTTATTGTAACATCAACGAACTATGTGAAAGCCGTCCCCGAGGTCAGTGAAGCAAGTCTTGATTTAGTGGACTTATTAAGGCTTTCAAATCACGCCGATGCCAATTTTGAAAGGGCGCCAACATCAACATCAATGTCAATCGAAGATTCCCATGAAACCGAAGACGTAACTGACCACAGAAGTTTACCTAGTGGAGAAGATGTACAAGTCAAGAACACCGAAATTGTGGCCGAGAATGTAAACAATATCTCACCTGTTCAAGTACACTCAGTGCGTGGTAAAGCGAATGATGGGAATGGTAATTTTTTATCATCATCTGGGTGGACATCCTTATTTGTGGCTCTGAAACAATCAAAGGAGAACGAAAATGGATGTACTCCGGTTTTTAATCAACGTTCGGATGCCCAACATGATCCCGATCAATTTTGTGGCTCTATGTTGAATCCAATAAATGAACCTATTGACGTACCGGCAGTTGCTAACAAAACCGTGCATCAGTTTCACCAACCCACTACTACCTCCACGTTCTCAAAATACGCTACTAACAGAAAGCAACAAAATGCGTTGCAATCTTTAGCTGATCTATTTAAGTCTAAGGACACTACCTTTGACGAGTGGAATACAAATTTGCAGACAAGAAGTGGCTCGGATGTACCACACAAAGACATTGCAAAATTGAAGAATCGAAGAGGTCTAAGAAAGCTTTTTTCGTATGATTGTGAAATGTCAAGCAGTAGTAGTGAAAGTGATGACGCGAGTGACAATGATAATAACAGTGATCTTGATGATGTGAGCGATGAGCTGGTGAGTAGCGGTAGCGACGATGACGAGGGAGTTGTTGGTGATGGTAGTGATGATAATGAATCAGTTGCTAGTAATAGTGAGCCGGAACACTCCATATAGGAATATATTGCTGGTGTTGAAAGTGATGGTGACGTTGCCCAAAGATGCACAAAACGACCACGGGTGAAATGGCATTGTAACTTCTATGTACTGTTAGATGTGTTCTTCTTTCAATGTATTATTACATGATGACTATGTGAAACTTTTTGTCGCAGGTTACGGTGATTACATTACGCATTTTTAGAACAGAAAGTCGATGCTAAACTAGGTTGTGATGGGGTTGCTTCCAATGTCTGCGACTTTACTGGTTGAGCAGACTAAAAGAATAGTTTGTTTCACAATAGTATATAACTCTTCTCACCCATTCACTACGGTAATGTCACTATATGGGCGGGACACTGGGAAAAAAATAACTGTAGAAGTGAAAGTTTTCGCGCGTCGGGGTACTACGAAACTTGGGTCGGGAAGAGAGAGAATTTCTACCCGCTTTTTTCAAGGACGAGGTGAGAGAAACTTCTACTAATGAATAGGGTCTCCGTATCAGATGCGTTTATTCACGAAAGTGCCCACGAAGTGGGTACTTTACATGGTTAAGCGCTAACAAAGAAAAATAACTTGGGCACTGCATAAAAACGTGATCATTTTCGTGAACAATCTTTTACAACTTCACCAATACTCGTACTTACTTCAAGTTGATGGTTTCGATGTGTATCTGCAAGTGTATCAAATACATTGACACCTTGTACAGCCCACTTGTCTAACGAAAAATAGTGTGTCAAGGACATCTTGGGGTGCTTGATTGCTTGCAATATACTGCGGGGTCGTGTACATAGTTGATTAACGTGAGCAATTTTTCCGAACCTCGACTATATCCATCTTCGTGGTATCGAGATGAAATGGATAGATAGCTACAGATACATAGGTCATTTAAAGTAATATCTTGTCTAACAAAGTTGTGCTTCTGTTTGTGACCTTATTCGACTGATCAACTACTTGACTAGCTTAATATTGACTCCACTAACATTGGACATTAAGTAGTCATAGTGGTGTCATTAGGCAGCCATGAGTGTATATACAACCTTGACCTCATCCTCTCACTTCCCTGTCATACAAATTTATTAATTGATTTGTTGTGTGGTTTCATTTGTTGTAGTTTCGTAGTGGTTTCATTGATCTTTTTTCTTTCATCGTAAACACGCGTTTTTGTGTTTTGACGCAAATATTTTACGGTACAAAGGAATATGAGACTGTCAAGACTCGGTAAATACACCGTTCAAGTAAAGAGTGTGATTCCTAAAAAACCAAGACCGTGAGTTTTTTGCTAGAGGGCACAATAATCATCGTTTGACAGTCTTCTTTATGTTGTATCAAATAAATTACAGATTTTTTATTCTTTTATATTTTGTAAAGAAATCAGGAGAAACATCATAAACCTCATGACTAACTGCATACATAATCAACTAAAAATAAAGATGATGAGTGGGTATGATATTGAATGACTCATATAAGACAATGGATACACCAACTAGTTCATAGTGGAGTGTGTAAGTGTAGATAGATGGGGTGGGGGTAATTTGACTGAGGTCTGGATGGGGATGTTGATTATACTGAGGTCCGGATGTTGATTATACTGAGGTCCGGATGTTGATTATACTGAGGTCCGGATGTTGATTATACTGAGGTCCGGATGTTGATTATACTGAGGTCCGGATGTTGATTATACTGAGGTCCGGATGTTGATTATACTGAGGTCCGGATGTTGATTATACTGAGGTCCGGATGTTGATTATACTGAGGTCCGGATGTTGATTATACTGAGGTCCGGATGTTGATTATACTGAGGTCCGGATGTTGATTATACTGAGGTCCGGATGTTGATTATACTGAGGTCCGGATGTTGATTATACTGAGGTCCGGATGTTGATTATACTGAGGTCCGGATGTTGATTATACTGAGGTCCGGATGTTGATTATACTGAGGTCCGGATGTTGATTATACTGAGGTCCGGATGTTGATTATACTGAGGTCCGGATGTTGATTATACTGAGGTCCGGA